GAATGGTCGCGGGCTGAGACTACTGCGGACCATTCGGAGGAACTTGCCTAAAAATCGGAATGTTGACCATGAGGTGCACCAGCTGAGCATAACTTGGTGCGACTAGTGGACTGGTCAGTGGACCTGAGTTGAGGACAACCTATAGGAATCCAGAGTATCCGAAGATTCGGAGCAGAAGAACACCCCGATCATTTTCGGTTGTAACCACTCGAATGGTCGGTCGACAATCTCCGAGTATCGGGGAGCTGCACAGATTGTAGAAAATAGAAATATTCTCTGAAGAATGAAGAATCACTCGAATCACCCTGAGTATAAAACTGGTACTTTGTCTCATTTAGCAATGGCTGCGGTTAGGTCATCGTTGGAGACCAAAGGTCTCTCCGTGCTGCCAGAGCCTGGCGAAGGATCGATAGCGTTACATGCGATAGAAAATATAACTTTTTATTGAGCCAACGGGCCTACGTACAGGAGACGAGTAAAGAGCAGGTGGCAAGCCAAACGAAAGGCTCCGCCACAACGACGACGCACGAACATTGCGCGCTAGCGGAGCCAGCGCGTCAAAGAAGAGACCGCGAAAATTATCTAACCACCCACCGCGCCTTAGGCAATGCTCGGCAGGTGGGGGTAGGAGTCGTGGCCCGCCATTCCACCCAAGGCCACTCCCACCCATCGCCTGCCTCGCCTATCGGGACCCCAAATCAGAGTAAGCCTAGGATGAGGGCACGAGCGGACAAGAGCTTATCCCAATGATTGACCTACGTGATAAGGACGAGACACCGAAGCAGCCCCGTATCGTACTCTTCTTCGTAAGCTTGCTTACTGCTGGTGAACCAGGCGAGTCACTTCGTCCTGAATACCACTGCTTAGACTAAGAAGTAGCTCTTGTCATTCTCATCAGAGTTTTGGTTAAGTCCAAGTTCCAATACATCTACACCATTATGCACAAGAGTATAAGCGTACGAAGAGGCTCTTGATACTTATATCCTTGTAAGGTGCCATAGAAATGCAGCCAGTCATGACCGACCGAGCCACGTCGTCTTAATCATTTGTTTTATCTTCCAGATCTTGGGCCAAGGTAATCCTGGTGAATAAGAAATCACAAAAATATCATGAACGTGACCCCCAAGAGGCCAACAAAAGTCATTTGTCCGATTCTTGTCGACAGAGATGGTGCAGACAGAGACGCCCTATCAAGGAAATGTCTGAGCTGGAAGTACATTGAGAATAAATCCAATTTGGGGGTGTCGAGTGATCAAAGGCTATCCCCAGCTACCCTTTGTGGATGATTCTCCGTTGCAAACTCGCGGGCGCAATCGTGCTGTCGGTGCAAAATGGGGTACTCGATTTGCTGTTGACGTTCCAGCCCAAGCACATATGAATTAGGTGAAGAGGTCAGGCGGAGGAGGGGTCCAAGTCACGATAGGACTATTTTAGTAAAAAAGAAAATATTCTGGACTATTTGAGAGTAGTCCAAATGCGGTCCAGAATTCAGGTTTTGACAGACTTAGGCGGCCAGGTGGAAGCAAGTTGTTGTTTGTTTTCACTGGGTTGGCTTCTTCACGATCAGGCAATCAAACCTCCACTCCTCTCAGCCGTAGCAGCAACTCCTTCTCATTATAAACGTGTCATCGCTGTTTCTTGCCTGAGACTTATTAAGCAGCATCGAGGTGGCAGTGTAGGTCGCGGGAGAGGAGCCCTTTCGGATCGCTAATTGTTGATAGGTATCGACAAGTGGACAAGTGACGACATATTGGTCGTTTCTTACGGCTCTCCAGTTGCTCCTAGACCAGGGGCGTTGAAGCCTCGACAAGATGTCCCAAATCGTAGAAATGGGTAGGTATCCGCCCTAACTACCCCTACTTCTATGAATCATATTCCCTTGGGTTGGCCTAGTGTCTCCACCCTGCTCTCTTTCTCGCTCCCAACGTCTGACTCTAATCATAGTGGACACCCCTGTCGAGCAAGCCATACTCCCTCTGATTGCAAACAGAGCGACAGTTGTTCAAGCCCAAGCAACGACGCCAGCCACGTTGGAACCTTCCATCGAATACCTCGAAGCCACTGTTGAATCGGCACTTGCCTCTTTTCAAACTGCCCAAGGAGAGGCATTTGCATCGCTACATCGTTCGCTACAACCTCTGATCGCAAAAGCAAAAGCGGACGAGGCGACACTTGAGAAGCGAAGAAAGCGGATCGATGTGCTCGAGCCACAGCTGTTAGATATGGAGAAAAGGATGACATCGTTAGAAGAAGAAGTTGCTCTCACTTCCGCAAATCACATTCGGGAAAAAGATATGCTCGAAGCCGCGTTGCGCTCGGAACGCGCAGCCATCGAGCGATTGGAACGACGCAGTATCGCATCCGAGGAGGCGGAGCGAGAACTAAGGGAGCGTCTTAAAGCGAGAGAAGAGAGTTTCGACCGATGCTTTGCCGATTGGCGAGCAGCAGAGGACAAGCTGTCGAAAATCGAAACAGAAGTCGGTCAACTCCTATCTCAGATCGCAATCGCCAAAGAAGAGAACCAAGCTCAGAAGAATAATTACGATGAGCTTGACAAGATGGCGTCTCAGCATATCCAAGTTATCGCCAAACTCAATGAGCGTCTCACGGCTGAGACAACTCGCGCAAACGATAAAGAACTCAACCTCGAAGCAGCTCACGAGAGAGTTGTCAGTACGCTTCGCCGAGAGCTTGAAGAATCGCGAGCCAAACTTCTCGCCGAATCTCTATCGACTTCGAAGCTTCGGAATAGCTTGGACGAACTGAAGGCGCGACTCGCTGGAGTCGAGGTGCAGAAAAATGACCTCGAACAGCGCCTTATCTGTATTACGAGTGACTGGGAAAGCGAACTAGCCGAGAAGGAGGCGGAGGTGCAAAAGTTCAAAGGGGAGCTTCACCAGACAGCAAGCCTGGCTAAGACCATCGAGACGCGTGTTTCTATCACAGAAAAAAGCCGAGCGGCGCTGGGTAGAGCGCTAGTCTATTCGGCTGCAGTACAGGATGCCCAAACCATGGCCCTTCAGCGGCTTCAACTTCGCTCGTCCGCACGGACCTACGCGGACAAACAAAGGCGTCGCGCTATGGAGAAAGAGCACAGTGCCACCCTCCGTTCCAAAAACGAGGTCCATGCGGCCAAGCTGAAAAGGTCGGAAAAGGATAATCTTTCCCTCTCCAGTACGCTTGCGGCCGTCCAAGAGGAGCTCGAGGCAACAAAGAGCGAGCTTGAAGGAACAATTCAGAGACTAAAGGATGTGGAGGAACCCAAGGCAAATATGGCTGCTTCTGATTCATCGGTGGCCAGCCTAAGCCCTGTTATTACTGGTCCACTGCTCATCTCCCTTCGTTCCCCCACCAAAGATCCCACTATGGATTCTTACCAGGCCAACGTTGAGCTGTCAAAGGTCCAGGGGGAGTATGCAGAGTATAAGCAGCGTACAAATCGACAATTGGCCATCTTACAAGAAAAGGTCTATGCATTATCGCACCCTCAGACCTCTGAGCCTGACGTCATCGCCAATATTCGGCGCCTCGAAGAAGCGAATCGCCAAATGGAGCGACGATTGCGGGACGCCGTCGAGGAGAATGTAGAGCTCCGGGAGCGAATCGAACGTTTTGACGAACTCGAAACAACTCTCAAAGCTACGAGGCAAATTCTCAAAGGGGCAGAGACACGGTTACGGGAGGCTGTAGACGAGAACGCCGACCTTCGAAGAAGGGTAGGTAAGTGGTAGCCGTTTCTAGGCGCAATTTCTTGAGTGTCGTGATCGTAGTCTTTTGGCCCTAATTAGCAATTTTATGATGCGTAGTATATGATGCTATGGTACAGATTACAAGAACGAAGGCCTAGGTTACAGCGAGTCAACAAGACAGACGAGATAACGCCAAGGAGAAAAATAACTAAGCAGAGAGATCCAAAACCTCCATTTGAAGCTCCATGAGGTCGCACTCCTGGTCCGAGCCTGCAGCCTGCATTGTGAGGTGAAGTAGGGCAGAGTCTTGGTCAACAGACTCCGTTGTGAGGTTACTAGTCCCGTCAGGGTCGAGGGAAGTATGATAAAGGGAGATGCTGCGCGTTTCGTCTACGCCGCGGACGAGACGAAAACCGGTGCCGTCGATGGTCTCGAGCTTGCGCCCACTCTCGATGAGTCGAACTTCGATGTGGTTCTCAGCGAAGAGGAAGAGGTATGGTGCGGCAAATGCGACGTTGGAGACCTTTGCTAAGGTCCAGTCAATAGGTCGCCCAAGGATTTCCCCGCTAGTATTGACGTAAACACCAAAGTCTAGAGCAGTTAGTTGAGAGCCTTGTATACTACGAATATCTTACCGTCATAACAAAGAAGCAAGTCGCTTCCAGACTTGGTCACTCCAAGAGGCTTGGATGTTCTGCAGCGTTGAGCGGCCTCGCTCGATGCACCAACTTTGATGGCAGGGAGAGCGCTTACGCGACATGTCGAGCTCCTGAAATGAATTTAGATATTGCGCCGCTGGCCATGTTTCGCGTACGTTTCAAGAGTGATAAGCTGGAACCCAGTGACGCCCATGGTGAAAATGCCATCCTCTAGAACGTTTATATCATAGACCTCCCCGTGGATATCTTGCTCGCATATCGACTTGAAGAGCTTGTGCGATTTGCTAAAGAAAGTTGGAGACACCAAACCGGATCGGCTACGTATGATGCCAGCGTAAATCTTGAGCGTCGTCGACTTTCCCTAGCAGGAACTCAGCGATCTTGTTCTCTGCAAAGTGTCCGGGCTTACGTTCTCGACAGCCGTTACGAGCAGTAACTGTCCCCGATAGTATCCCACACGGAAGAGAGAAACGTTTGACTTGACAATCACTGGCGGGCTTGTCTCCTCCGCGCCGATATCTTCAATTCGAATCGCCCAAAGGACCTTGCCAACGAGGAACAAAGCAGTATGGAGACTGGCGAGAAGGCAACACTGTCTCACTTGTGACGAAAGCATCACCGGCGTTAAGGGACCATCCTCGTCCTTCAGATATGCGCCGCCCATCTCACCCTCGGCACAGATTAGCACCGAATTCACGCGGTTATCTGACGTTATGTAAATAGAGTATCTGCAGGGGTAAAATTCACATACGCAGTTGCGCCGTTGACGATGGGATGAAAGGAAGATGGCCGAGTGAGGTAAGGCGGAACATGCTCTGCGCAACTATTCAGCCGAGAGAGCCACAAAAAGACTGAATATCATACCTTTGAGACTGGTGCACTCGCTTGAGACACTGGTTCGCCCGACTTGGCCTTTTGAATTTGCTCTCTCCACAACGTTCGCTCGCCAGTTGTCGCAGCGAGCAAGACGAGGTCCTTGGGAAACAAGAGCCGCTGTCCATCATCCTGCCGAACCCCAAGTAGGCTCACGTTACTTGTCCCTCGTGTCCTCGGTTCCAGGTTCCTCGGACCGTCCTCACGATATAACAGTTGTAAAGGTGCCGCAATCTTCTTGCCGTCGACAGAGTCCAGAAGGAATATCTGTTGCTGGGAAACTCGAGCCATCTCAATGTCCGGCACAACCAAGTCATGCAGAGCGATGGCTACGCGAACAGGATATCGTTTGATACCCATCCGCGAGCGCGCTTCAGCCACAATGACTATAACAGGGTGAGAGTACGTCACAAATGAATGGAAGGAACGTACGACATCGGTTGGTCAAGGCAACGAAAACCTCCACTGTTGTGCTCCTGTCATCAATACTCTTCCTGGTACCGTTCGGATCAACCGGGTAGTGTAAGTTGCCACTATACATGATGGTGCAACCCGAACTATCCAGCCCAGCTTGAAGCTCTTGGGCTTTATCCTTCCATAGCAGCAGTTTTTTCAAAGCCACTATTTCCTTGTCCAATGGTTCCTCGTCGGGCACGACTTTGGTTGCGATTACCACTAGGTCATCGAGAAGCGGCAACAAACGAGTGATGAGCTCGATGTCAAAGTGATGGTCTGGAGTCAAGTCGAACAAGTGTTTGAAGAGTTTTGTAATTTCCTTGATGTGCACAAGCGGTCCGACTAACAGCTCGCGAATTGCCTTTGTGAGGTCGAGGTTCTGGAGTGCAAAGTCGACAAGGCGGCTGTAAACAGTGTAGGTGTCTCCCCATTGCGGCATCGCGCGAAGATAATACGACGTAACTGGCGGAAGTCGTGGGTGATTCTCGCGTTGGTGTGTATGCAACTCGTCTAGCAGGCTTTGGTGAAGTTTTGCTATTTTGGCCACCGTTTCCATGAGGGCGTTCGATGTGGATTCATCATCCCAGGAATGCCGTCGAAGCACCTGACAAAAGTTACTCTCGAATGAAGATATAAAGGTCAGAGCATACCTTTTGCCCCTGGACCATCAACCGAACGAGACATGTTTCGGTATCAATGATCCCCAGACGCGCACTGCAGATGTGAGTGTAACGAGGAGTAAACGCATGCTGGACGTACAGATGCCTAGCTTCACCGTCCTTGTCGTCGTGGACGCTATCCATGAGCAACTCTTGGGCTTTAAAGGACACGAGCGGATTCGAGCATGGCGTCGTCTGCCATGTCCACAACCGCGTCCGGACTGCAAGAACTTCCCAGTTGGTTGCCGTCTGCGCCCACGAGTGGGTTTCACCACTAGGTAGGAGAGGTTTGAGAAACGAGTGCAACCCCTTGAGAAGTTGAAATGATTCGTCCAGCTGTCGAAATGGATGCTTTAGAAGCGTAGAGATTGTTTCGCGCATCGATGGTGCCTAGAACGAGATCAATACTTGAAAGTTGTAGCCCCTGCTGCGTACCATGAAGAACGATGACCCAGAATACTGCGAATCCGCCACTGCTTCCTCGAGTGCTCCAAGCGTGCGGACATACTCTTGGTAAGAGACATAAAACGACCCTATCCGCTTCTCGAACATGTCGAATATCTGGCGAAATCCATTGAGATCCTCAACGGTGGTATAGGGACCAAACATCCTCATCAGCGCACGATGCGCCTCCTTGAGCTCCAAAAGTGTGCGAATCGTCGCTTCGGTGGCCTTTGTCAACTGCTCCCCTCGCCCACATAAACTCGACTCTAGCTCCAGCTCGAGCGAGGCAGCGAGGAAAGATTCTTCTGAGCGATAGAATCCAATAATCATTTTGCTCCCATGCGCGTAATCCGCTGGGGATAGTTGCCTTGTGCGCGACATTGCGGTGAGAGACACCAATGACGCAGAGGGGTCGGATTTAGGCGACGAAACGTCCTCTGGTAGCTCAAACTTCCCATCCGCTGCGGGACTGATGCTAATTTGATGAAATGCCTCATGCATGAGATCACTCGCCGAATGAGAGCTACTCTCCGAGGACATGTTACTCGGAAAATCTCCTTGATCCGTCATCGACTTTCTTCCGTTGATACCATCTTGCGTAAACGTCTCGTCGACGTCTTCCACGATGATGTTAAACGCATGGTCGGTATTAGACGTTTGCGCGCTAGAGGGGGAAAAGGTGGACGGAGAGGTTTGGCTCCCGACGGAATATGGACCAGATGTTCGAATGCGAGGCGTTGGACGTTGTGTATGGCGACTGATGGGCTGAATAGTGTGACCCGCCGAGAGTGTAGGACTGGCAGTAGCCTGTCGCGCATCGGTAGGTGAAAGTCTGAGCTGATTCAGCGAACTTGATGTTCGTAGAGATTGAGCCGAGATGGGGGAAGTAGGCGACCGAGCCCTGTGGAGGCCAAGACTCGTCACGGAGCCAGCAGCAGGTGAACGATATCCAGAAGGCGTAGTGGATCCACTACCCGTCTGAAGCGTACCACGCTGCAAGCCGTGTCTATGCTCGTACGCCCGCCGTTCCGTCAGCGACATGTGTTCAATTTCTGGGACAAAGATATCCGGTTCCGGCGAAGTAGGCAATGATGGGCGCGCAATTGGAGATTTGGGTATCTCTTCAGTCGGTAAAGGTGGAACTGACGGCGGCGTCTTGACCTCGATCACCGACGGCATAAAGGGTTCCACGGGCGTTCGGATCTCCGACGGTCTTCTTTCCCTCAAGCTCGTCGAGTGACGTACACCAGAGAAAATGGCAGACACCCTTCTACGAAGGCCCTTTGGAGAGCTGACTTTGAGCGTGGACGGTATAGGTCCCGCAGCAGATTCCGTGGGGGATTGCAGGGACGATATCGGGCTGGATAGTGTATTGATTCTCGTCAATTGCGTTGGACTCCGAATAGGGCTTCTTGTGCTTTGTAGACGTGCCTGAGCCGAAGCGATGCTCGGTACCGACGCAATACTAGGTGCGGCAGGTGACAATGCACGTATGTTTGGCGCAGAGGTCTGATGGCTGAGTGCCCGAATATTCGGCGCAGACGACTGATGGGACAGCCCCTTTTGATTGCTTGTCGATTGGGAGGAGGGTATCGGTTTTGGACCGTGCGAGACGGTAGCACCTCGTGTGCGTTGGAGACAACCGAGAGTGACGAAACTCTTTGAGAGTATAATCTCTAGCTGCTTCTTGACGTGCTCCATCTGTGGTCTCTTGCGACGATCGGTGCGCCAGCATTCTTGCATGAGGCTCCAGAGCTCTGGTTGCCACTCTGTTCGAACATCCTTGCTCGAAGTTGGCGGGATGGGCCGTTCATTCCGTCGAAGTGCGAGGACTACCGTCTCGTCCCGTGCATGCTGATGATACGGAAGTCGCCCTGTGAGAAGCTGGATATACGTTAGCGGTGATTTCATGATGAACTGGATTCTTACCTCGTACATGGTCATCCCAAAGCTCCATATGTCGCTCATCGGGGTGACTACCTCGAGCAACCCGTCAGGGATAGACGGATCCGTGGTAGAATCCCTCCACCAGTGCGTCATTTCCTCTTGTGGAGACGAGATATTATTCTGAAGCTCCTCCTCGGTGCAGAATATCTCGGGAGCGGCCCATCGAACAGCGTGATAGTCGCCCTTTGCCGTGCTCAACAGTCTGTACAGCCCATGATCGGCAAGAAGCGAGTCCCCTTTAGCAGAAACGAGAATATTGATCCCCCGAACGTCGCCGTGGGTAAGCGCTGGCCAATAGGAATGCAAGTAATTAAGGCCTTGAGCAGCGCCCGCGAGGATGGCAATCGCGTTTGCATCTGGTCGCGAGGAGAGATACTGCGATGCATTCCCATGCGTTGTATATGGGGAAACCATTGCGAGTCCGAATTCAGTCGAGCAGATTCCCAGAAAAGGGAGGAGATGAGGATGGGCGAGGGAAAGGCGCAGCTTGAAATCTCGTTGAAGGGCCTACAATGGGTTTGTTAGACTGGTTAGGTAATGAGGGAGATTTGGCATACTCGATGGGTTTTGCTGTCGGTGACTTTGATCGACTTGAGCACTTTGAGCATCACGGCACCGTGGTTTAGACGTCGCCCAACGATTACCATGCTAAACTTGTCCGTCTGTAGCGGTGTCGAGTCGACAATGGTGATCTGGGGAGTCAAATCTGGGACATCCAGCGCCGCATCCACCTCTTTGCGTTGGAGTTGGAGAATTGTAGAGGCCACCATGTCGCGAAAGGGAGAGGCTTCGGAAGAGATTGCACTGAGAATACGCTTGAGTAACGAGACTGCAGTGTCGCGATGTGCGCTCGGTAGAGAATCAAACACTTGAAGCGCGTCTGGGCCACGGTAGATGGAGAGCAAGGTAGGAATCAGCGCATTTGCGTCGGAAAGTGTCTTGCTCATCGACTTTCTGGAGTCCTTTTTTCACGTGTCAGAGCGCGGATTACAGAAGCATAGAATCGACGGACGAAAGGGGTCCCATAAAAATTTGAGACGACGGCACGTATCGATGCAATCTTTCCCGAGATCATGTCACATTTGAGAAAGCTTCCGATATCGCTGAGTTCTGACCATTCATAGGTCGAGTTTCGCAGGTCGCGCATGGTCCTGCCAGGTGTTAGAGGCGAGTTTCTCGAGAGATGACAGGCCTACTCAATCCATTCTGGCAGTCTACAAAACTGTGCGTCTCTCTTCATCGCATAGGACACTAGTTCCCTGCAAAGCTCCTGATACAACGGGGATCATGTGTTGAATATCAAGGAGATACTTCGCGCCGAGGGAGGAGGGAAATAACTAACCTGATGGATGCCCATATGTGAAACGAATGACTGTGCCTCTTGGAGGAGCTCAGTGCTGCTGCCTATTGGAGGTGCAGCCATCTCCGCGAGCTCCGTGCTCAACGTGTCAAAAAGCGGGGAGGGGAACACTCGGCAGCCGCGATGACGGACGAAAGACGTGACGAATAATGGGAGTATTTGCTGTTGTAAAAAGAACGAAAAGCGCGGTGTCGCGGTCAGAGCCAAGTTGGAAAAATGCAAGGAGCGGAGGGCAAACTAACGAGGGCCGGCATTATCCCTATCAACCTGTCACCCAAAATGGCGTACCTGGATCGCACTAGAATCCACGTCAGACATGGACAGTTGTCTACTACTACTAGCCATCTCCGGTAGAATGACAAAGGTGGCAGTCGGCAACTCACTCCTGACCACTATCACAACTCTGATTTCGAACGGCGACAGATGGCAAAGAAGAAAGCATCCACTGCTGCAACTTCATCTGGTGGCAAATCAGCCGCAAAAGCCGCTAAAAAGGCAAAAGCTGCCGCAAAGGTCGAGAGAAAGGAAGCAAAAAAGGTCAAAGCCACCAAAGGAAAGGGTAAAGGCAACGCCGAAGACGAAGATGATCAGGATCTAGAAGGAATCCTCGAGCGAGTACGCGCTATGCTGCTAGATTGTCGATAAGACAATGACTCAACCGGAGTTTAGATGCGCAAGGAGTGGGAACTCGCTCATACTGTCACAGAAGAGACTGCAGATGGTCCTCCGAGCCAGCGAGCAAATGCGACCCTGACGCCATGTCCGAATGGAAATCATCTCTGGTGCATTGGAGGCGAATACTTTAGCGACGATGGCAAAGCGGTATGTGCATCACCTCCTTCCATATCTTTTATTGACGAGCCAGTCTAGTATTTTTACAACGATGTCTATCGATATTCGCCTGACAAGGTGGGACCGTCTGACTTGGTTCACGGAGGAATCTCTGATAGTAGTCAGGATGAATGGCGAAAGTTTGCTTCACCTACGTGCCCAGGTCCCAGATCAGCCCACGCCGTCGTCGCGACGCCAGCAGGAGGAGGCAAGCTTTTCTTGTTCGGTACGTACCCATCTATACCACCATTCTCCTCTCACCTCTCTCAGGCGGCGAGTTTTCCTCTCTATACCAAAATTCGTTCCATCACTATCGAGACTTTTGGTACGAGTCGACGTTCATCACATCCGCCATCTCATCAGAGATAGGGTCTTTGACATTCAAACTCATCTCTGGGATCGTATTGAGACCAAAGTCCGACCACATGGACGGTCAGGACATCGAATGATCATGTGGAAGCACTATATAGTCCTCTTCGGCGGATTTATCGACCCAGGTGTTCGAAGTAGGGAAGATTATGTCGCCAAGTCTACGCCTGACATAACACAGCCAACTACCTCCAGGATTTATGGGTGTTTGACACTCAGGAATACAAATGGCAGCAAGTCGAATTCAAAGACAATGAGAGGAAACCAAGGTGACTATTATCACGATTACAGTTCGGACGCTCATTATCTCTAGCCCACGGTCGGGATTCTCGTTTCTACCAGTTCCTGAGGGCGCGATTCTGCATGGCAAGTCGAGCATCTGATCCGCTATAAATCTAACCTCTACAGGTGGATACTGCAAAGAGTATGTCAAGGGAAAGCGTCCACAAGGAATCGCCTTGGACGATACCTGGCTTCTCAAGTCTGCATCCGTGAACCACCGAGGGACCAACTGACCGTTTGCAGGATGGACCTTGACCTGAAACAAATCAAATGGGAAAAGCGGAAAAAGATTGGGTACGTCCCTAGCGTTCGGAGCGGTTGTACAATGGCACTCTGGGCCACACGAGGGATTGGTGTCATGTTCGGCGGCGTGTACGACGACGACAAGGATGAAGAGACGCTTGAAAGTGTGTTTTACAACGACTTGTACGGGTATCAGACAACCGGTAATGGACGCTGGATCTCGCTTGCCTTGAAGCGGCCCAAGAAAAAGGCTGGGGGGAAGAAAGCCAAGAAGGCCGTCGAGACGGAGAAGAAGGTCGAGGAAGAAGCTGCGGACGAATGGGACATGGTTGATGACATGGACGATGCGGATGATCTTCCGGTACGTTGTGTGCGTACCGAGATCGCATGCTGAGACTAGCAACATCTAGCCTACTCCGACGTCTCCAGAACCAAAGAAACCGGCGGGGAAACCACCATCGCAAAAACCTCCACCTGCCACGACCGCCTCTCTCGACCCAGACGTGGATCCTGACGATCCAAATTTGACACTTCCACTCGTTCGGTATAATGCAATGTTGGCCGTTCTCAGAAACACACTCTACATGTACGAGAACAGTGCTATAACTCACGAGGACGTTCATCTCCAATAGCTATGGCGGTATCTACGAGCGCGGTGCGCGCGAGTATACTCTCGATGATTTTTACTCTCTGCAATTAGACAAGCTCGACAAGTTTGTCTGCCTGAAGGAAAGTGCCGTCGTACCGAAAGAAGGCCAGGAAGACGAGAGCGAAGAGGATGACGACGATGATGAGGACGGCGATGATAGTAGCAGCGACGATTATGATCGAGAAGAGGATCTCGAAGAGGAGGCGCAGCCAAAAGAAGAGGAGATTGAAGAAGTACCGGATGAGGATAAAAAGGTGAGATTTGTGCATCCCAGCTGCGTTGACTAAGCGACTATCATAGACGCTAGAAATACGAAGAAAGGCGCAAGAGTTCCTTCAACAAGCCAATGTCTTGCCCAAAGCAACATCCTCCAAGAGCGGTCAAGACGACAAACCAGCCATATCCGATGAACATATCAACCCATTACCAGGCGAAACGCTCGCGACATTCTACGCGCGCACGAAAGAGCACTGGGCATCCAAAGCCCGAGAGAGTGGACTATCGGATAATCGTGGCAAGGCACTTCGAAGGGATGGGTTCGCGTTGGCGGAAGAGAGGTGGGATGAGTACAAGCCTATTTTAGATGAGGTGGAACGGTTGAGAAAGGAGGCTGGTGTCGATGAAGATTCGTCGCGCGCTGGACCTGCGTTGAAAGGAAGTGGACCGGGAGGAGCGAGCGAGTCGAGGAATCGTCGATAATCTCATTTTTGTAGCAAATTCTTTCTTAGTGAACTCATTGTGTGTGAATATACTCGAAAGGAAGTGTTTGATACAAGCTTGCTCTCCCCCGCATCTACTCGCACTGATACGGAAGATGGATCCCCTCTTTGGAGCATCGAAACACGGTAGCTGCATCCTGTTGCTGCTTTCTAGCCACAGACAGCTGCGGTTCTTGTCCTGATGGTTGCGCCGCTCTTCATCTGCTTAGTGGGAGCGGGCTTTACTTGTTTCAATTTATACCGAGATCAAAAAATCGCCTTGAAGAGGGAGGTCCCGACCTCTGAGGACGTCAGAGCTCCCTACCAACATCAATAGCGGTCCGGTCGGATACCACATCTAGGCCAATAAGCATACCCAACTCGTACGTTCTGTACTTTACCCGGCTTCTAGAGTACGATTCTTCTACTGCAAAGGTCCAACTCGCGCTATGGTGCTTCATCGCATGATGATAAGCACCGGGCTTCAATTACTACCAGTCAGACGAGAGAGTTTGAACCCCCACCGCATCTGCTTCTTTCGGACACGTGCAAAAATTAGCTGCGCCCGTTGCCATTCCCTTGTCGCGGTCAGGTGCGACTCTCTCTTCCTCTCACGCATTCGGTTGTTGGCGCTTTGCCGACGGCCTCCAACACTCGTTACGACTTCTCCGTATAGATGCATATGATCGAACCATCTTGGAAGCAAAGTCTGTAAAGTCCGACGATGCAGCGCGGTCCATCAACGCCTCGAGCCTCTGAGGATAGTTCAGTCGTCGGAGTACGTCGTGAGTAAATACAACGAACGATCAAGTTCCTGACACCCTAGGTACCTATTTCCCACTCGCGAAGGCTGTGTGGATACCGGTCGCGCTACCGAGCATCCAACCCCATGCGGGCCACCCGTCAAAAACAGGTTTTGCGAGTCCGTCCCCCGCGATGTAACTTTCTTCCAATCTTCTTCCCTGCGATGCCCGCCTCGCCTGTCCCATACGAGGTATTTACTGCCGCCAACGGCGGGGGTGGATTACTCAATGAGAACGGTCACTGGTACTTCGATAGGTCTCACTATGATGTTAATAGTGCGTATGATGGATTCTGGTGTAGTCGGAGCTGGCTAATTTTGTAGTTGGTTCGCAGAACGGGGCCTGGTGCAGCGATGTCCCATATTGCATTACTGGATGGATGTATCCGAGTGCGAGTCTGACCTACTATTCCGCTTCATTCTACACCAACGTCTCCATCAACACCCAGCATTATCCAACTACAGATTCGCTCAACTGGTACGTAAGGTCTTGCATCAGCCGTAGTAGCCGCTGACCAGTTATGTAGTACATTTAGCTACAAACCGCTATGGATATCCACCAAAACGGCAGCAGGAACGGCAATTCCACTCAAAGTCGTCGTTGGCTCGCAAGTGTTTACCGATTCCCTTCCTGCAGGCAACTTTGACCGTGTCTTTACGACGCTCCAATGGGAAGGAGACGTCTACTCTCACCAAGTCGAGATTCCTCTTTCCCGGAACAGCGCCGCGAGTACGGTGTATGTCCCACTCTTCATCAACATCACATGGCCGAGACAGACTGGTGATTATATCAACTACTATGTCAAGTCTACACTTTTTACTATCAACAACGAGCGGATTGAAACTCCCAGCTCTTCTTCGATGCCCATTGGACAGTCGGCAACCTCGATCCCGACACCGATTCAAACCCAGGCGCAAAGCCAAGAAGGTGGCAATATATCGATCACCGTCGGGGCCACTCTGGGTGCACTAGCACTGCTTGGCTTGTTGATAGCAGGTCTCTTGTGGTTGAAGATTCGTCGACGAGAAACCGCCCAGGAGAAGAAGGGATTCCCGCCTCCAAATGACATAAAAATGCCGCAACCTCCTGCGTGGGTTGTCGTTACCCCTGAAAATGCGCCTGAACCGCCAAGCCATCGTCCATTTTCTCACCCAGAGCCACGTACCCAAGAGCAGTCCACGACGCAGGGTATAGAGCAGGGTAGATCTTTCTCCATACCCATCGTCTCCGACCGCAGCACGACTTTGCCAAGCCTGTACGATTCGGAGTCCCACTACACCGCTTCCTCGACAGACTATCACTACCAGGCTTCGGCCACCACAAGTCAGAGGAAAGAATCTGAGCTTCCACCTTACCGTCGGTAGCCTTCTCGGTAGTTAGTAATATCATATTTATTTTGGACTTTGGACCCGTCCTCCTCAAGTGGCTAAATGGATGTAGGCATAAAGCAACCCAGGAAGTCTTCGAACCGTCTCTCTTGTGTTGAATGAAAATGTATACGGTACGTCGTTACGCCGCTTGACTTTGACGTGATTATTCTTTTCCAAAAAACATGTTAGACTAATGAAGTTGTCAATCTTGACGCTTGATTCAATCTTACATTATGATCTCTTTCATTTCTCTCCATTTCTGTCTCTGTGCAAAGTGCTGATCTAGTCACAGACGCGCTGCGCGACGTTAGCTTCCCATAGGCTACACCGGCACGTATCAAAGGAAGCAAGTCGTGTCCTTCATCGCTTACCTCAATCAAATGCCCCTACGAGATTTCCGTTCGTCAGACATTGGCTGTGAGCATCCCGTGATGACTACATATCCCTTCGATTCATCATCGGTGAAAGTCGGGGTAGGTTTTCGTCGTATAAATCACCCTCATCAGATATTGGTGTCGTCGGAAAAATTCACTTGGGCCATTGAAGACAAGGAATACGTGCCGGCCGGGCGCTTGCTCACCATATCATGGCAAAGTGTAATTTAGAGAACAACCCGAACGTTTGGGCACGTGAATACATGACCACTATCAACAAACGAGAACCCATCCATCGCCGCAAGCACCCACTAGAGCCATTGGTTAGTTGCACCAGTACTAATAATCTTGTGATTCCATTTTGTCGATGGCTGATGGGCGGCTCGCCAAGACCAACGACTTTGGGTGAATCCGCGGTAGAACCATTCGCTGGCGTAGTATGTATAGTCCTTGGCCGTACGTCTTATACCCTCAGGTGGTTCGTATTTCCAAATATTCTCACAGAAGAATGCATGACCATAGCAGAAATTCTCCGCACCTCAATTCTTCCATCGGTCCATCAAGTCGTGGGACTCTGCCGGGAATGATCAACAATCCCAGGAAAATAACGCCGCTATTCAGCCACTCACTAGAGGTACATGTTCCGTCGCAGAGAGCCGGTTTCCGCCCACACATTCAGTCCTTGTGTTCGCAATAATGTCGATTGATGCCTTGTGGGCTTGTATACACCGCCTAGTGTGGTCCCAAGGTCATGATTGGTAATTTGGCCGATGATTATACTAGACTCGGCCTCTAAATATTGGGCGTCGGGAGAGGATCGAGGTCTCCTCCACGTTTAGGGCACAGCTAAAATGCAAGAAAAGGTACCCAATGCAACCTATGATTGTATTAACTCATCAAGAGGGTTGGATTATGGACACTCGAGCCCCTCAATCGAGAGCTGGCTCGCCACGATTGAATGGTGAGAGCCCCTTATCTTCCGCTGAATGCTACCAGCAACCCAAGGATACGGCTTGACAAGATGATGTAGGAACTTTATAAACCCCCTTCTCTCGGTCATTTCCCCGTAGCAGTACCTCTCTACGGACCATGTTCGCCATCGGATCTATTCTTCTTGCTCTCGTTGGCGTTGCAAGTGCAGCCGCAAACCCTATTGCAGATCCAACTGGCGTAGGGGTCGAGGCTCGTTCGCCAACACCCAAATCCGAGCTAGCGGTTCGTGACGGCACTCCGAGTTCGAGTGGCTTCAAAGACGGGTACTACTACTCATTTTGGACCGACGGCGCTGGAAGCGTCTACTTCACCAACGGTTCTGGTGGTTCGTACAGCGTAACCTGGTCAGGCAGCGGTAACTGGTTTGCTGGAAAAGGATGGAGTCCAGGATCTCCAAGGCATGTTCATCCACTTGATTCGGAGGGCGGTCTACTGACTCCAGGCTAGGATCATCAATTTCTCGGCTGACTTCAGCCCTAGTGGAAACGCCTACCTTTCAGTATACGGCTGGTCGACGAACCCACTCGTCGAGTACTACATCGTCGAGAACTTTGGAACATTCAATCCACAGTCATTAGGGACATACAAGGGCAAATTCTGGTCAGACGGCAGCGAATACTCAATCTCCACCGTCATACGTTATCCCTTGCCCTCAGTCACGGGTGGTCCAAACACCCAGATATTGCGACAGTACTGGAGCGTCCGTCAAATCAGGCGCTCTTCGGGAACGGTTACGACAGCGAATCATTTCAACGCATGGAAGCAATACAATATGACCCTTGGTCCGCACAACTATCAGATTCTTGCTGTCGAAGGATACTATAGCAGCGGAAGTGCCAACGTGACTGTCTGGTAAACCAAACCGTCAAATCCTATTGCGTCAAGACGCGGTCTCCGTGTTCGATTTGTACAAGTGAAAATGGTCTATACATGTCATTTCCTACCTATATGATGAGAATCAACTTGTCGCGATCCACTCTCGCACGAGACTCGCCGTTTACCGCGCTTTGTCAACCGAACTCCATTCGCGGGCTCCAATAACAAAGATTCGAAGAGATGTGAGCTCCTAGCACATCCTCGGTAGCTTTTCGCGCCTGTATTAATATTATAGCACCCGGCACTGGACTTTGGACCTGACCTCTTCTCGCGGTCAACTCAACGTGAGAACGGGCATGCCTAAAACATCTTTGCAGTCTGTTTATTGTACTGGAAGTACACGTATATATGAGCTATTTGAACCGCCTTTCTTTTATTGACGTGATTATTCTTTTCAAAGATGAATGAGGTCGGCTGTCTCGGTCTCTGCTTCCTTCCGTGCTATTGCTACAGCCATTTTGCTTGAACCATGCCTATGCTGCGTGCTGACGAAGTTATGAACCCGTTCGCGACCCGCGGTCGTCGTTGGTTGAGAATAACAGGTCCTTACAGGATCCGAACCGTCTCTAGAAATCTCATTCGAACTCAGCATTCGTCAGACATTGGCTGTCGATATCCCGTGACGCCGCGCTCTTCATCTCATCGCGGCGAAAGCCGTGCGTGTACTTGTTGTTATAAGAAGCGCTCTGCATCCGATATTGCTACCCACGCCACTAACTATTGGGAATAGCACCGACAGGGAATTGCCATCTCACGGTGAAGTGCAATAAGAGGTCCATGCGGATACATCTACATGCAAACGGAAGCACAATATATAGAAAACCACTAGAGTCAGGGAAGCAAGAATCCGGCATAAACTCGATTCTGCGACTTTGGAACTCATAGCCCCGGCAAGACCGACTCGGCTGAGAGTCTACGGTGGCACCGTATGATGTTTGCGCTTACCGTCACTTCTTATTTCCAAAGATGCTCACCGGCCAATACACGACGATAGCGGACATTCTCCGCACTCCAATTCATCGTTCCGTGCACCAAAATGCGGGAGTCTAGCGGAGTGGTCAACATTTAAAGTCTAGAAGAAATATATTTCAAACTTCATGCGGTCACGTCACAGAAATGTTCCGTCGCAGGGAGTCAGTTCGTGCGGTGTTTACGTTCGCAATTGAATTCAATTGATGACCCCATGGGTTTGCATGCACCGCCTAGTCATCCCAGGATTATGGTGCGTAATTTGGCCGATGATTATATTCTAGGGCAGGCTTCTGACACATATCGAGGTGATTTCTATTCTACACCTTGGAGGCAGTTGGGAATAGTCGAATACTTAAGAGATTGCATTGAAGTATTCACGTGATGGATGCTTGGGTACCCTCCTTCCTCTATCCAGATGGTCGTCTGGCCACGAATCAATGTATTGCTTCTGATCTCCTGCTGCATACTAACGGGACTCGATGGCCACAGTAGGAGACGACGCTCTTGGAGCTTTATAATTCCTCTTGTCTCTGTTCATCCCCCGGCAGCAGCACCCCTCCCAGTTTCCTAAACTCGCCATGGTCTTGATTCGATCCGTTCTTCTTGCTCTCCTCGGTGCTTCCAGTGCACTCTCAAATCCTGTCGCCGAACTAGGCAGTATTGATATCGAGGCTCGTAGACCTGTCCCCAACTCGGAGCTGCTCATTCGTGACAGTACTCCAAACTCGAGCGGGTACAAGGACGGGTACTACTACTCCTTTTGGAGCGATGGTCTTGGAAGTGTGAACTACACTAACGGGCGTGGTGGTTCATATGCAATAACTTGGTCTGGACCTTGTTCTACCATCGGTGGGAAGGGATGGAATCCTGGTCGTGCAAAGTATGCTGGTGTCCCTTGATTGATGAGAAAGGGGCATTACTCACCCGATACTAGGAAATTCCACTACTCAGCAGACTACCGCACCAATGGAAACAGTATTCTCGAAGTATATGGCTGGACGACAGACCCCCTTGTCGAGTATCGCATCGTCGAAAACTTCGGGTCTTATAATCCGGGGTCGGCACAGATCAAGGGCAAGCACATAGCCGACGGCAGCGAGTACACGGTCGGCAATGTCACACGATACAATCAACCCTCCATCCAAGGTACCAAGACATACCAGCAGATCTGGAGCGTGCGTCGGAATAAAAGACGGAATGGAACAATCTCTCTATCCGATCACTTCGACGCATGGAAGAAATTCAATTTGACTCTTGGTCGGCACAATTACCAGCTTTTCGCTCTCGAAGCCTACTTCAGTAGTGGAAGTGTCAACGTGACTCTTTGGTAATTCGATGTGTCGTTATCGGATCGTGACTCCTCGTCTGAAGACGTAGTCTTTGATTGTCGTATACGACGTGCGTCGTCTCTATACATACTATGCGTTACGTGCTAGAAGCTGGGTGAGGTTACCGCGAGCCAGCGCGTTAGTCGACCAAGTATCACATACAGGCTTGAATACTCCCGATTTAAACTAAGGGCTTAAGCTCCGACCGTACCATCGACTTCGTGTCCATCAGTGTCTTGCACCTCCCCTTTCAAACGGCGAACTGGATGCGTGAACAACGCGTCTCCAGACATTGAAGCCTGTTTACTGAACTGTACGTACATGTGTACCGGAGGTCTTTGAGTCGCTTGTCTTTTTCATTTGACTGTTCTTTTGGAAGGCTAATGAGCGACTTTGTTTAAATCTTGCGCTTTGAATATTCCTTTAATTCTACTAGCGTCTCCTTCCTGCGCGTTGATCAAGCCACGGACGCGCTTCACAGCCCGCGGTTGTCGGTGGTCCACGCTAGCAGGCGCTATAGGAACAGAATTGTTTCATTCATACCTCCTGGTCCTTCTATCTCACCCTTTGTCCAACGTTGGCCCAAGTATCCGTAATGCGCCTAACCCTTCTCGCGATGAAAGATAAGTCCTGTTGTAATCACAGAAAGCACTGATCTCTTAACATATCCCCGACTTCGAAACAAACCGCCGGGAATAGTGAAGAATGTGTGCGTATGCGGCACTCTCGCCATTCTGGGAGGTGCAACGGGGCTCTGTAGGAATAGCCGGTAATGCAAATCGACACCCAGTATCGAGAGAATTATATGAACGGAGCAAGACTCTACTACACAACGCGGCAATCATATAGGACGCCAAATCAGTGTTGGATCGGGAGCCCCCGCCAGACCGACTGGACCGGCTCAGAGTCTGCGGAAGAACCACGAAATTTGCACTAACCTGCCGCGGGTTCCATTTTGAAATATGCTCACCAGCCGACACATCAAGATAGCGGATATTCTCCGCACCCCACTTGACCGTTTCGCTCACCAAAGTGCGGGACTCTGACGGAAGTGATCGATATCAACAGCCCGTAAACAAAATCTTTCGCAGGTCATGCGGTCACGGCGCCCATATACACAACCTTTGTGTTCACAATCAATAGCCCCTAGGCTTGCATACACCGCCTAGCGTCATCCCAGGATCATGGCGCATAGTTTGGCCGATGATTATTCTAGGGCAAGCTTCTGACAACGGGACAAATCGAGGTGAACTCCGCATCATCAAGGCAATCAATACTTCACATATTGCGTTGAATCATTCATGTGATGGGTGCTTGGGTGCCCTCCTTCCTCGATCCAGATGGTTGCCTGGCTCGAATGAATGGATTGCTTCCTATCTTCCGCTGCATACTCGCGGGAATCCATCGCCACAATGCGAGACGACACTGTTGGGACTTTATAAATCCTCTTGTCTCTGTTCATCCTTGGTCGTAGCAGCACTCATCGCGTCTTTTTTGACTCATGGTCTTGATTCGATCCATTCTTCTTGCTCTTCTCGGCGTTGCCGCTGCAGTCTCAAATCCTGTTGCAGAAATAGGCAATATTGACGTTGAGGCTCGTTCACCTTCTCCCAACTCGGAGCTAGCCGTTCGTGACAGTACCCCAAACTCGAGCGGGTACAAGGACGGGTACTACTACTTCTTTGAGAGCGATGGCCTTGGAAATGCGACCTTCACCAATGGTCCTGGTGGCTCGTACGCAATGACCTGGTCCGGAATGGGCCTTTCAATCGGAGGAAAGGGATGGAATCCAGGCGGCACAAGGTATTCTGGGATCCTTTAATTGACGAGTAAAGGTCGCTACTTACCTGACACTAGGAAATTCCACTACTCAGCCGTGTACCGTCCCAGCGGAAACAGCATGCTCGAGGTATACGGCTGGACAACAGACCCCCTTGTCGAGTATCGCATCATCGAAAACTTCGGGACTTATAATCCGGGGTCGGTGGCGCAAACCAAGGGCAAATATTCAACAGACGGCTGCGAGTACACGGTTGGCAATGTCACGCGATACAATCAACCCTCCATCCAAGGTATCAAGACATACCAGCAGATCTGGAGCGTGTGTTGGAATAAAAGACGGAATGGAACAATCTCGCTATCCAACCACTTCGACGCATGGAAGCGACTCAAGTTGGCTCTCGGTCGGCACAATTACCAGATTTTCGCTCTCGAAGCCTACTACAGCAGCGGAAGCGTCAACGTGACTATTTGGTAATCTGAAGTATCACTGTCGGATCGTAACTTCTTGTCGGAAGACGTAGACTCTACCTGATTACCGTGTCAAATCCGTGCCAGTATGGATGCTCTATACATACTATGCCTACATTCTAAAAAGCTGAGAGTGGGGTTGCTTCGACCCACTGCTGCGATGAGTACGAGTCGTATTAGTCTACCGCTCAGTCGACAAATTGTCATTCATTGACTTGAATTCAACCACCTTCAAGGAAAGAATCTGAGATCCGGCCATACATCTGCGGATATGACTATTCTGGCACTTTGTATGATTGCAGACCCGCGACACTTGGCCAGCATAGTTATCAAATTCTTGCCATCGAGGCGAACTACAGTATTGGTAATGTCAATGTGACCATTTGGTAAATCAGAGCGTGATCATTCTCATTCTCCAAATTATCGGCCTTGCTCGTGATATTGACTACGTCCTACTGTGTGTACTCGATTTATTCTGTGATTTGTACTGTGGGACTAAGATGGTTTCGAAGGTTCAGGGCTCGGATTACGAGACGGTAAGTCGTCATTGCGTTAGGTCATGCCATAATTTCCAGTTTTTCGTGGTTCTGGACAAACGTATACACTTGCTGTACTTCTACTCGTTTCCGAGAATCTTCCCCGTTCTTTCGATTTGCATGTGCTGGAGTCTCAAGTAAACGCCTCGCTTACGAGCTCTGTGTTGACGAAATCTCCGCCTTTGGATGGATACTTCTTTGCCATGTCGTGATTATCGGTGTACCTGTCGTAAGCCTTGGCTCTCCGATCCCCTATTCGGGAGTCGTGTAGAATCTCAACGGTGAACTCCGGCAGCACTAGAAACTTTGGGACTCTAGTTCACCTTTCGCTGGGCGCCAAGAGAAACTGACTACGTTCTGCGGTAGAACCGTCGAAGGCTTGCACCGCCATAAGACTCTTAGCTGTATAAACCGCTACAGGAATCGATTCTCATTGCCAAAGATGCTTGCTGGCGAATATAGGGCGGTGGCGGAAATTCCCCGCAAACTCAATGTGTACCACGGCGGGCCTTCACGACGCGGAAATAAACCCGGTGCTCGCGGTAGTGATCAACCTTGACGGAAGCGACAGACGTTTCTATTCATACAAATGAGTCGAGCCAAACAGTCTCGGTCGCCGAGGGCGTGTCACGCCTTACTTGCCAAGCCTTTGCTTTGACGGTAACCATCCACTGATAGCCCATGTGTTTACAGACACAGTCAACCGAGAATCCAAGGCCAAGCAGCGTAATTTGGCCGACGTTTACACCGGAGCTAGCTGGTGCATCGCTAGGCGTCGAGAGTAAAGTGACGCCAAAAGAGAAAGCAAAAAATTGTATCAAACCCCATCCTGCCTGTAAGATAGTGCAAACTTGTTGCAGAGCAAGGTGCAATTAATTGCTTCTAGGGTTTATCGAGTGGCCAACTGCCAAGGCCGGATGCAATTTGATTCACAAGTCCCGAATTATACTAGTGCCACTGTCAGTTGACGGCCCGGACAGGGTGTTGTTGGGAGTTGTGTACATCTGACACATTTTGTTACACGGGACTGCTCAAGTCAACGTTTGCAATTTCTTTTACCGGAATATTCCCTTAGACTTCTAAACTCCCGACGGCTCCAGCTATAAAAACCGTCTGGATTGGACTGGATTTATTCCAGCAGCAGTCGCAGCATCATCTCTCGTTCCGTTCTCTACTCAACATGGTCGCCATCAAGTCCCTCCTTATTGCTCTCGTCGGTGTCGCCAGTGCACTCGCCAGCCCCATCGCAGAGCCGGCCGAGGTCGAGGTCGAAGCTCGTGCCCCTGAGGCCAACTCGGAGCTTGCTGCTCGTGCTGGTACGCCAAGTTCGACTGGCTGGCACAACGGATACTACTATTCGTTCTGGACGGACGGAGCCGGAAATGTGTACTACACCAATGGCTCTGGCGGTTCGTACAGCGTAAACTGGTCTGGAAATGGCAACTGGGTCGGTGGTAAGGGATGGAACCCCGGATCTTCAAGGTATGCATGCCTCTGATATAAATCGCATACTTTCTCACTCGCGACTAGGACCATCAATTACTCGGCCAACTACCGCCCCAACGGAAACAGCTACCTTGCGGTATACGGTTGGACGAGGAACCCTCTCATTGAATACTATATCGTCGAGAACTACGGCACGTACAACCCGTCCACTGGCGCCCAGAACAGGGGCACAGTCTACACTGATGGCGGCAACTACAACATCCTCACAACCACGCGCTATAATCAGCCTTCCATCGACGGCACCAGGACCTTCCAGCAGTTCTGGAGCGTCCGTCAGAGCAAGCGCTCGGGTGGAACAGTTACTACCGCCAATCACTTCAATGCTTGGAGGCGATACAACATGAATCTGGGTCAGCACAACTACCAGATTGTGGCCACCGAGGGATACTATAGCAGCGGAAGTGCGACGGTTACTGTCTGGTAAATCAACGCAACATCCTCACACCCTTCACACCCTTCACACCCTTCTGCCCTTGAGGCGCCATCGCTCTTTGATCTGAATATTGTCCCAAATTGCATGCATATATACATGCTATACCCGACACGTGTGGGAATAAGGCTGAGTAGCTCCGAGGTCTGAATCGTGTTTAAGTATCTATCGGCCAACGTATCAGAATTCACCAAGCAGATGGTGCTTTGGACTGGTTTTCAAGAGCATCCATTACCCTCGGTCTACTCCTGCTCAGATTTCGAGGAAGAACACCTTGTATCCGAGAGTTTGTGCAGCGAAAAATCTACCCTCGTTGCGAGGGAGCATCTGTTCCTTGTGGATTGAGTTCACTCTTGTGGCCGGAGGAATGGCAGGTGACGTACGTCCTACTGCTACACTCTATCCCACAGGTAACCAACTATACTCGTACTCAATTAGGGCATTCATAACTATGAATTTCGCTTCCAGCACTGCAGCTGCATAAACGTAGCTCAGGACGTGGCCTTCATGCCAACCACAGTCCTTCTCTGAATTTCACCGCGTGCTCCTTGCGAATGTGCGTAGTTTGTAGCTCTAGATGATGGGTTTTGGATTCTGAGTATATGTACGCGTCTTGCAGTGGCCCGTCGAGGTTTGCTGCTAGTTGCGAAGGGCATTGTTGTCGCTTCCACGTTCGAGCTTAAGGTAACTTACCATGTACCCTGACCATGCATGGTCCACTTGGACAGACTTCGAGCCAGCCACTTGCCTCGTAGCAGCTTCATCTCAGCAGAAATCTTTTCATACACGAATTCGGCTGTATTTGGAAATGTAAATAAATCCATCTTCTAATTCAACTCGTCTATGCTCCGATGGTGAACATTCTGACCATTAGTCAGAGCGGCGGCCTGGGCGCGATGGTGGCTGGCTTGATCAAGATGGTGTGTCGCTTGTTGGAAATGGTGATCACGTTGCTGCTGGTGCGTGTGAGCAGCTTCGTTGTTATGACTATCTCATCGTTAGTACGCAATTCCTCTACACATTTCACGGTTCGACTAGGAGACTAACTTTTCAGTCGCTGTCTGGTATGCATTTTGATGGTGCTGTGCCTGCTCTATGTGGTGCGCGGCTTGCTGACGATGGTGGGCATCCAGGGCTAGATGTGCATCTAGAGGTGTAGGCTGCTGCGCCTGATGCACCTGATGCGGGGGCTGTGGCGGTTGGTGGCCAACGCTAAACGAAAAGAGATTTGGGTGAGTACCGGCATAAATCAATCACACATAACCATACCTAGGGAACGGAGCTGCGGACACCAAGATAGAAGCCGAGGCGAAAAGGACAGCAAAGAATCCGGCGCGCATGCTGAACAAGTTGCAAAAGAAGATGAAGAAAGAGTAGAAGAAGAAAGAAAGAAAGAAAGTGAAGAAATGAGAACCAGTCTGAGGATACTTGGTCGAGGAAAGGGTGCCTTTTTATACCTTTCGACCATCAGCAGAGTGGAAAATTTCAGGGTTCGCGTCGAATGTCTGGCATTCATAACATAGCATCTGTGGGAAGGGTGTCGTAAGAGGAGTGTCTACCATTGACGAGGACGGTCTGGAACTTTTATAGATGTCATACGCGAGACTGGCTGTGGCTCGCACCGGATCCTGACTCCGTGAATAAAATGCATCGGCGTGCGGTAACGCCTAGCGCTGACTGCTCGCGGGCGCCGTGACGTACAAAGAGACCCGCTGTGTTATTTTATTTAACTTGCTAACCCTCGAAACTATCTGCTTATTACAAGTGGCCATTCGATTCTGGATATGCCACCCCTCGATTCAACATACTGACCGTTGAAAAAGCACACCTAGCTCCCGGAGGTGCATTTTACCACTTTGTGAGAAACTCACCGGCCGCATGATAGCATGGAGATGACACATGGGCGAATGCGTGGGAATGCGGTGTGGTGGCATTGTATTCGAGGGCCAGCATAGTATTCAGGGAGTCAATGAGTAGTATTTAGGCTCCCGGTCTAGTATTCAAGAGGCCGCCCTTGGTATTCAAGGGGCCAGGCACCTCTGGCACAGGCAGTTACACAACTTGTATCAAGCTTCTATAGTCAAAGCTTCGTCTCGTGGGCGCTCAGTGGGTGACTCAAGACGGTGCAAGTTTATCCGGTGCATCTCGACGCCGGGCTCCTGATGCAACTTCATGTGAACCATTGCCATCGGCTAGCGCCAAGAATGCACCCAGACGCGCTGAATTCATGAGAAAAAAGACTACAGGATTGTCTCTACGCCGATAAAGTGTAGTTTTGTCAGTGTGATACTTTGTCGCGAACGTAGATTAATTCCTGGACCGTAGACGAAGGATAAGACATAATTTTCAATTTTAATGGGTCTCTGGGGACTTATGAAACACTATTCAGCTCTCTATGGGCCGGCACTGACCGATTGATGGGTGGCCGACGCAGAGCCGATTCGGGCGACCTATATGTTAATCTCAACCCATTCATCTGTGAATTTCTTCATTATTGATTTGAATCTACATGAATAAATTGACTTGCCTTATGTAGCTTGTGTGCTAGAGGTGCAGGAATATACCAGGGCCAAGTCACTGCTCCCAATTTGACAACGGAAAAAGAAATCACATGAAGATTACTAGGAACATGCCTTCGGCGACGAAAGAGGCGACAACGATGGTTCCCTAGTAGCTGCTTCAATGGTGAGCTCAACTCACCTCCGTATCAACCCAACTCGTTTTCTGACCTGACCTATCTGAGCACTTGGCGATTTGAGCTGTGTCTCAGACGGATGTCAGCACTATTATCGACTTGTCTATCGCTCACCCTCCCAACGACGCTCCATAATGCTCAAGGTTTGACTTTTGATCAGACTAGACTCCCGGACGCTTCACTTTCCACATCCTCTACAATAATAGACGTGCGGATTCGCCCTGACGGCGACTTCGGCGCGGCCAATGGCGCAAAGGGCATCTCTTCTGACCACATTTATAAACAAATTACGAATAAAGAGGCTATTTTAGCTCTAATCACCGATCAGCATACAACACAGTCCCCGCGCCCATCATATTTTGTCGAGTGGACGCCTCTACACTCGGGCTACTCATCATCTTGATCGCTAAGGGATGTATTGTCACAAAGGACCATTATGTGGAGGGATCGTCTACTCCTGCTTATCGGGCTCGCTCTTATGGCTGGTGACTATCGTGGTACGTTCCATTGCTACCCCGTATGCCAAAACAACCAACTTTATTTCTCGTTCCCACTCATACCTAATCCCCAAGTATACCATTCACACCTACGAGCCTCGTTTCCAGCACTACCGCTACAATCGTAACGTGGCTCAGAGCGTGACGCTCATGTTGGTCCAGGCCATGCTCTCAAGTGTCTTCAGAATACGACTACAATCTCAAGGTCGAGTTTATCGGACCTAAAACATTTTGCCGCCTATACCGATAGCCTCCTAGCGTGCATATCTAGTTGCGCATGGCATTTTCATGAGTCGCACATATGCATTTCAATTTTTGAGGGTAGAAAACTTCTCTGGCCATCGTCCATTCGCCCAATGTTGGCCTATCATTGCCACATTTCGCGTCTCTGAGGAATTTTTCATACACAAACTCGTTTATATTTTCGATACTAAACATATTTCTTCTCTAATCCAACTCATCTATGTTCCGACGGTGAGGTTGCGGATAATTTGGATGCGCGTCGGCCAGGGCTTGGTGGCGCTCGTGCTCAGCGGTATGGTGATCAAATTGTTGAATATGGTGATTATATTGGGCTATGTGATGCGCAGCGGCTTGGTGGTTACCACTGTCTCATTGTTAGCACACGATTCTTGGTACATTTGTGGACGAACTTTGCTGTTGCTGCATTGGCATGATTGTCATGAGTCTCTGCGTGATTCAGGTGGACTTCTGCTTGGCGTAGATGGTGGTCTGCCTGTGCTTGGTGATGTGCTTTTGCGGCAGGGCCTTGCAAACTGAATAGATGAGGAGGTAGAAGTCAGTACCCACGTGCACTCCTTGCGTCTGAACATACAAAGGGAAGGGAGCGGCGGACACCAAGACAACAGCCGAGGCGAAAAATACGGCAAAGAACCCAGCGCGCATATTGAACAAGTTGAGAAAAGAATAGAAAGAAGAGTGGAAATGAAGAAATGAAAGAAGAAAGTCAAGGTTGAGCACCAGTCTGAGGAGTTGGTGGTCGAAGAGCAGGTGCCCTTTATAGGAGTAAGTCATTCACACCGCCTCGGACCTAAATCAGTACTGTAGTGTCGATATTTCCTCCCCAAAGCAATATATGCGCTTATGACATGAGCGCTGGTAACTCGGCTACTCCGGATGCATTCTAGGAAGCCGTCACCGTCTATATTTCTCTACTTGTATATATCTGAATCAACCCTGTGAGAGGGGCCAGGGAGCACCGCTTCCCACGCCTCTTTGATCTCATCTGAGGCAATATAGTTTACTGTCCAAGGCTGAGTCGTTGTGAATTCGCCTTGTTGCATTTTTCCCATGGCTAGGCGATATGTCCGAAGTGACACCGCCAACTGTGAGAGTTCCAGCAAGTCCAATAATAGACGACGAGAGGAAGATCAAAGAGCCAGTGATTCTATCGTGTCCACCCTTTGGCAGGGGCTAGAGGCTGAAAGTCCGTTCCGTCTTGTCGCCTCTCATTCGCACTGCTGTGGGTAAATGTAATGATAACTGTGTGCCTCTATGCGATTCACATACAAATCTACCTCACCAAACGCTCTGGTAGAACAGTCATCACCAACAACCACTTCAATGTTCGGGGGAGGTACAGCGTAAATCTCGGTCAACATAAATACCAGATTTTCGCCACAAAGGGATGCTATAACAGCCAAATTGGGACGATGACGTCTGGCAAAGGACTTGTGAGATAGAGCACCAGTGTTATCTGCCGCATCCTCCGCGTGTTCCCGAGACTATCATTCATTGATTAAAAGTTTCACCGCTATTGCATGTTGAATATATGTATATACCCTACGTGCAAAACAACCAGGATAAACTGTTTGAGTCTGAGCTAGCCTCTGGACATTGCACGCATCGGTTCAGATTGCGGTAATTATGTTACATTCGGTCTCTTTACTTCATCGAAACCGTGAAAGTGGATACGCTGGCTCACGTGGTTATCTCTTTCAACACTATCTGCGCCGTAAAGAGGCGCGAAGCAACTGAGAGACAAAAAGGCGGACCCTAACCAAGTCTACCAAGTAAATGGGCGGCTGCGGGAAGTGGTTGGAGTTGGTTTAGTGAAGAGATCAGTCTCGCCACGGGCCTTCTGGTATATGGCGATGATGAAACGAAATGATACGAAAAGTACGCCCCTCTCTCTCGCCTTGCATCTTTCAATCGTTCCTCTCGATGGACAGCCCCGCAGGAAGCCTCGTGTAGCCATAACAGAACGGAGCAACGCAGCCCAACCTGAAACAAGCCGGATTGATTTCGAATGAATTCGAATTCACCTTATTGCAATGAGATCGTGAATACAGTGATTCATGCTTCAGGACAGGCTGTGGGAACGGTGGCTAGATAGAACGCGTCGCAATGTATATTAAATTGCAGGAAAAATCATTTCAGCGCCCCTTCTCCCTGGCTTACACCCGACAGTATGCAGAAGCTGACAAGGACAAAAGAGAAAGATTTCTCATGGCCATACTCTACATACATGTATGATTCGGGGTCCCTCATGGCAATCATTCCCTGCATATTTCTTCGTCATCCCGACCGGATTTAAGCAGTATGACACCTAATCTTTTGTACATTGGAGTGTTTTATTGAGATGACGACATGGAAACTAGGGAAGAGTATAAGAGTCGCTAGGTTTCATCGACCAGATTTCCTCAGACTGGTTCTCTTCCTTCCCTCTTTTATTTTGCTTGCTTTTCTCTACTCTTTTTCCCCTTCTCTTTTTGTTCATTTCCTCATTTCCTTTGACAATGCGCCCTTTTATCTTTGCCGTCATCTTCACTTCTTCTGCTCTTCTGAGTTACGCGGCTCCGCTATACGGGTACGTAGATATTATGGAGATGCTTCTGAGAGCTTACAAATACCCTTCAGCTCTGAACGCCTGAACACTTTGGTCGCTCGTCACTCCAGAACACCAAGTCACGAAGAACAGTATCTCAAGCACAAGGAGCTTGGCGAGCACCATAATGCAAAAGCCAATGAACATACGACTCAGGCCCACTACCACCTCGGAATGGCTGATAGATTCCATGCAATGTGGGTTACTATGTCGTTGCCTATTCTTGTTGCTTACTACAAGGCAGTGGGAATACCGAAGGCCATCAGTCGCACCTCTCGGAAGCAATGAGGCACCACGATCGTGTCGCAGAACACACGCAGAAAGCAGTGGAGCATGGAAAGGAAATGAAATACCATGGCAAGAAAGCTGGAATATTGCATAGGAGCATTGAGGAGCTGGACTAGAGGACGCTCGTGCCATTATTAATTCAATATAGCCAGTTGACAACTCCCTCCATGCAAAAGCTACACAAAGGAGGCTCCGAATATGACTTTGAGAACTTTCAAAGTGTCCGTTGTGAGGGATCCACCAAATGGTACATGAGTGGCAGCAGAAAAGTAGTGGCAAGTGCAAGGAAATATATACATTTTCAACGAAATAACGAGTATAGTGTCGCCAATATTTCTTCGGCACCGGGCGGCGGTGGTGCATCCAACCTGCCGCGGCTCCTCACACATCCTCGGACGTCCGAGCGGCCAAAGTCAATGAGAATGCGGGCACTCTATGCTCGGACGTCTGAATCCTGAATACGTTGAGCTCGTTTCGACGTCTGTCCGGCTCTTCCTGCGGGTCTGCCTCCCACAATAACCTCCTTGTCGGGATATGATGGCATTGGTATACGATCAAAGCGATCTGAGTATATCGCGCGTCAAAGGGTGGAGATTTGGGTATAAAAAGGCACTCGAACATTCGCTCTGGGGCCAACAAAACTCCTACATGTCTTATAAGAAAATCGTTCAAGCAGGAGTGAGTCGTCCTTTTTTTTATCGTCGAGTTTGTTTTTTTGACTGTCGTATCAAAGGCTGGCGGAAGCATTGGCGCTCCAGTGCTCAAAGCGCTCGTCGATTCTGGACAGTTTGATGTCACAGTCCTCACTCGCAAATCTTCGAATTATAAACCTCCTTACAATTCGAGTTGGTACTCTTTCATTCTCACAACGGGACAAAATGCTGACGGCCGCAGTCACCGTTGTCCCCGTGGACTATACAAACCACGCAGAGCTGGTCGAGGCTCTCCGTGGAAACGATGCACTCGTCGTCACGCTTGGTGATTTTACATCAAGTGAGAGGAATCACCACGCGTTGACCGACGCAGCGATCAAAGCTGGATTAAAGTGTATCATACCCAGTACCTTTGCCTCGTACGTTTCTCCCCCTTTTTTCGTTGTACACTGCGTACATAACGGTATTCTTAGAGATCTGAGCAATCCTCCTGGTTCCGAAGAGGAGACGTTCCGCCCACATCTTAACAATATGGCGTACATCAGAAGCAAACAAGCGGAGATTGGCCACATTTTCATCACCAACGGATGCTTTTTCGAATGGGGTACGCCTCTCACCGAGTGATCGGTTTGTTTCATCGCTGACGAGTCTAGGTCTCAAGACTGGAATCCTCGGCTTGGACATTCCCAACGCCAAGTGTACCATTTACGGGGATGGGATGCGCCCGTTCAACGCGACTACATACGACTCTGTCGGCCGTACCGTCGTCTCAGTCTTGTCCACTCCATCCACGTTTCTCAACAAGGACATTCGGGTTCACGACTTTTGGATTACACAGTGGGATCTCAAGGCACTTTTCGAAGAAGAAACGGGCAAGACGTATACCGTCGAGCACGTCGACCCACTCAAGCTCAAGGCAGATTGCGAAGCTGCCATTGCCCAAGGAGAGTTGAATCATCATACCTTTATGGGAGTCATCGCTGGTGTGGTGTTTGGGAAACACACGCAGCTGGGGTGTCAGCGACGATACACCATTGGTCGGATTACCGGCCAAGGATATCAAGGAGGAACTGAAAAAGTTTCTCGAAGCGATGTGAATAGTCGACAAACATTTAGACGAGTAGAGAGCGCGCGTACTGTGCAAGCAATTGAGATTGTTTATCACATTGACGAGTTCAATGTACATCAAAAATAAACACATAGTATACATCCCAAATATGTCTATGCTTGGACGCAAACCTTTACTACAAGGCCACCCTTTTCGTCGGTACCTTTCGCCATGACGCCAAATGCCTCTGCGGCTCTGTCGAGTCCAAAGCGATGAGTAATCATCTTTTCGACACCGTCGAGTGCACCGCTGGCGAGCAAAGCGAGCGCGGCAGGGTAGGTATTCGCATACCTAAACACGCCAATCAAGTCGACCTCTCGACAGGCAGCGGCCGAAAGAGGGAGCGAGACGTTGGGTGTACCCATACCGACCAAGAGAACTTTACCACCCAGCCGTGCGGCGTAAATGGCAGATTGGATGCATGGTTCGGCACCCGTGCACTCGAATACGACGTCAAACCCGCCCTCTTCCGAGACGATGGTGGGGGATTGAGAGAGGACAATGTCGGCAGAGTGCTTTGCTTGAGCCATACGCGTCGCCAACTCGTCTGCGCGTCGTTGAGCGGGTGTCCTCTCGTCTTCTTCTTTGGATGTAGCTGTCGAAGCCGAAGAGGAACCAGAATCAGAGGATGGAGAGGAAGGGGACGGTAGTGAGAGTGGGTTGACAGTCGACGCCACAAAGCCATTGTCCTTGGCAAATTGTAGTCGTGCATCGTTGACGTCTACGCAGACGACATTTTGCGCGCCCTGAGCTCGTGCGAGCATACACGCCATTAATCCAACGGCACCAGCACCATAGACGAGTACGTTGCCACCAGCAATACTACCAGGAGCTCGGACACCATTTGGTAGGTCGTATGCTAACGATGAAGGGATAGCGGCACGGCGAGCAGCGTGGATGACGACACCGAGTGGTTCAGCGAGCGCACCCATCTCGTACGACATTGCCGGTGGAAGCGGGTGTAGCAGGGCGAGAGGGTGGTCGACAAACGTTTGAAGGGTACCGTCGAGATGAGGCGCCGTTTTGGCCGACGAGAGGAAGCGGAGAGATGGGCAGAGGTTGTAGCGACCCGATTGACAATAGGAGCAGGTTGGGCCATTGCAAGGAATACCGCATTCGACGGCGACTCGTGTACCAATGGCAAGTGAGGATGTTGAAGACGAGGGAGAAGATGACAAAGCAGGGGTGATAGCGGTAATGATCCCACTCGACTCGTGTCCAAGGCACATTGGGTGACATAACGCAAAGGTCCCGTTCCTGCCGTGAGTATAATAGTGCACTACCAGCCATCATCAGCCCATCGCCTTTATTAAAAAAGAAGACACAAATATGGACATACAGTCAGAGCCACAGAGCGTCGTGCTCATGATCCGAACTCGTGCATAACCTGGTGCGGGGGCCGCATCGAGTGTGCGTTGCTCGATACGCAGGTCGCGTGCGCCATGAAGGACCGCAGCAGAGTTTGTGTTGGTATTCTCGAGACCCATCTCGTCAAAGCGCGGGGTTGATTCTAACGGTGTGGTGGGGAGAGGGGAGGAAAGGCGTCACGGGGGAGAAGAGTGCAGAAACCCCAAAGAAGATTCGACAAGAGACAGATTGTCGAAGACGAGAGGGAGAAGAGAGCTGTTCCGGTTCCAAACTTTGTCTTCATCGGGTTTATATACCCCCTCGTAGCCGATCAACCCGGGATTCGGACCGTCCCCCTCCGAGCCGAAGTGGGGGAACCCACATCTCCTGAATAATTCAGTGGCAGAACAGGGCACCAAACTCGCTCGGTCATCTCCGGCTGCCTGTGCCCTGCATTTCTATTCTGTTCGGTCGAGCCCCTTGCCGGTGACCAAATCTCCCTTTGCAATTGTCGATTTCGACAAGAGTGTGCTCTCGTATCCTATCCTCGTTTTGGGAAATGATCGAAATCTTTGACAGCCTCCGTCAAAGTGGGTTTTTTTTACGCACGGAATAACGGGCCGCTCCGCTCATACGATCCCATCCATTCTCCTTGGAATCTCTTTGACCCCTCTATATCTCGACGTTGATCTCGGGATATGGGCCGAAAGCCGACTCGCATAAAATGCGTACACTTTACGGAGGGGGCGTAAGTAGCGTCAAAGGCAGCTCGCCACTCGCAAAAGATTTCGGTTACCGCAAATGTCTGCATCGTTAGCACAAACCCCCTCTATTCCCGTCCTCGACCTCTTTTCGCTCAAGGGTAAAGCCGCTCTCGTCACGGGCGCCAACAGAGGTAAAGTGCTCCTCGACTCAGGTCATTTTTACAATTTACGCTGATGGATGGACGAAAACAGGGATCGGTGCCTCGATCGCTCTCGCGTTGGCACAAGCCGGTGCACACGTCGTCCTCGTTCACCGTAACGAGCAAACGTCTACATCCACACTCGAAACAATCAACGCGTGGTACTCCTCCAAGGCGTCTTCCGATGCGTCTACACCCACAAAAGCTTTGGTTGTCTACGCCGACCTTTCGTCCAAAGATGCCGTCAAAGCCCTCGTATCCAATGCTTCAGAGCAGCTGAAAAGGACACAGAGGGAAAGATGGAGAGATTGATATCGTTGTGCACGCAGCGGGTATCCAACGCCGCGCACCCGCCGTTCAATTTGGTGACGACGAATGGGAAGAGGTGCGTCTTGTTTACGATACGAAAAACGACAGGAAATAATGGGCGAGGTATAGGTGATCAACGTGAACCTCTCCTCTGCGTTCTATCTCGCACGAGGCGCTGCGCAGCATATGCTCTCGACGCCTTCCACCACAACCAGCGGCGGGAAAATCATTCTCCTTGGCTCTCTCACATTCCAAGGCGGTCTAACGGTTCCCGCCTACGCGTCCGCCAAATCTGGTATTGCTGGTCTGACGCGTGCATTGTCAAACGAATGGTCCAAGCAGAACATTAACGTCAATGCCATCTGTCCCGGTTACATCAACACGGATATGAACACGGCACTGATCGCGGATCCAGTCAGGAGTAGGCAAATTGGCGAACGCATTCCGGCTGGACGATGGGGAGAAGGATGGGATTTTGCCGGTGTGAGCGTGTGGTTAGCGAGCGAGGCGAGCAAGTATGTGTGTGGAGAATGTGTTGTGGTGGATGGAGTGAGTACTTTCACATCCGTCTTCGATTGGCGCGTGCTGACAGGTCAAAGGGGTGGATGGGCCGATGATCCGTGGAAGCGTCCAAGTAGAACAATGTATATAATTCTTTCTTCCAAACTTGGTTTTTGCACATCGTCATCGACTCGTCCATCGGTAGCCGACTGCGCACACCCACTCGGGCGATGGAGATCGAAGAGCCGACCGTGAACCAGCTCGACATCCTCCAGACCCTGGTGGACCCAAAAGGTCTTGGTGAGATGATGGAGAGAGTAAACGTAATCTCCAGACATCGAATAGCCCCCTACGACGCGGATGCGACGAGGTTTACCTGATAAGCCCGGTAAGCCGCGGTGGCGTCTCCCCTCATTTGGTCGTGCTCGAACAGCAGTACACCTACCGTCCACAGGCCACGCTACTGGACATATTTTCCTTGACATCGAGATCCTGTGCAGCCTCGGTTGGTGCGGCGGGTTACGATAGCCTGGGTCGAACAGTCGGAAATAGCCGTTTGCTGGGTTTCGATTGATGACCGGCTCGAGAATGCAATCTGTCACTCTCTGTCCCATTTCATTCATCCCATGTGCTCAAATCGACCCGAATGAGTAAACCCAGAGCAAAGGGACAAACGGCTCAACCCGAAGCCATTGAGCAGAGTGATCAAGAGAAAGGGGTGGTGAATGAAGTGGGGAGGGGAGGGGGTTTCCTGCATACGATGACCATCCTCTATCCGTCTTGGTTCTCGGACCGATGTCCCATCATGGTCATGCGGCTTGAATGCGCGTATTACTGCGCAGATACACTGTACCCATGACGTAGCTGATGGCCAAGTTTTGATAGATTCGTCGACGAGTTGCCGTCCGAAGGTGAGGGGGCCATAACGGGCCACTGCCATTGACGTTTCGACCCTCGGGTACATTGACGATAGAGGAGCGCAGTTCGTTTCTCTTCGAGCTCTTTGGAATCTAAAGGGAGAAATGAGTATCATCACCCGAAAAGCGAGCGAGCCCACCTCTGTAAAGTCCGTACAGGCAGCACGAATTCGATCGAAATCATGGGCCCCTCATGAAAAGTAGGCACACGGGCTCATGTGAGTATCGACATGTCCAACTCTCAGACCACCGAAGAGCGAGAACTCGTCTTCATCACTTCGCTGTCACACCGCAGTAATGTCCGCATCACATATCCCATGGTAACGTTGCTTCGACCCTTTGTTTCTCATGCCCGCCTTTGACGAGGAGCGAGGGACGTACCCTTTGAGCCCCGGCGCGACATCCGAGCGAATTTGACCATCAGATACGCCCTATTTCTCCATATGGGCCGTATATTCGACTCTTCCACAATTCTGGGTCCCAGCCTACACGCTCAAACAGCCGAAGCCATATCGAAATGGCGTCTAGAACGGCCCGTCGGTCCGCGCCATTCTTTTCAGCGTCAATGACCAAGACTCGAGTCGACCAATCACGTTCTAGAGTCCAAGGAATGCTATTCACGCTCGTCGTGGAGGTTGAGAGCAAACGCTGGATGACGTTGGGGCCAAGGACTGCTGCTCGGCTTGGTCTCGTGACTCTGCTCTCACGCCTGACCACTCAGCTTTGGGCAGAATAAAGCTATAACTTTACGAGAAAAGATGGGGATTCACAAAGAGGAGTTGCAAGAGAACCAGTGCACACGCCATCACAGAAACCGCTCCGAAGTTCTGAAAAATAATCTCCATTCCCAAGCTCTCCTGCATCCCACACCACTTTTACCGACAAGTCCATTACGGGGATCCACCTGCGCCGGTGAAAAACGTTTAGCCTCTTTCACTAGAATCGCCACCCAGACCCCATCCGATCCTTTGTGAACGAGCCGATCGGACTAGAGATCACCCAAACGCCAAGGTGATCACAAATTCGAATGCGATCGTAGGTCGTTTTGGGCGAGGCGCAGTGGCGAGACTCGGATGTCGGAAGTCGGTACGGGGCCCCGTCGAATAGGCAACGCAGGCATTCGGAGCGGTCTTCCGCAGAATGTGGATGAATTCAGTGTGTACGATACAAACGGTATAGGGTAAGAGTTGTCGAAATACCCCGGTCCTCTGGATTACCAGCCATCGTGCGTCGAGCTGAGATTGAATCTGGCACATTCGTTGAAGGTTGCATCATACAAAGATCTTATTCGACTAATAGTAAGAAAAGAGACATATAAATCATTATCTCCATCCTTCTACCACGATATTACGCCCTCTGAACACCAAGGACACGGGAGCTAAACCGAGTGAGGAGCGTACGGATACGTACGCTCAAAGTGAGCGATATTTGAACATCAAGAAAACGTCGTAACGCACCTAGAGCTTAGAGAACCTCTTCGAATGCTAACTCTGCGTCCAGTTTCCCGCAGCGTTCGTCAATTGCCTCCTGGACAGTGGCCTTGTCTTTCTCAAACGTGGTGAAACCTTGTCGATTCCGGTGAAAGAGTCGAAATGTAATCGTTGTAAAGGACAGCAGCGGTCGCCACCCGTCATGGATCAGCCCAAACATCTCCAACCAGTCCACTGGCTCATACGCGCCCTCGCATCTCAGCACAAGATGCTGCAAGGAAGGATGAGGCTCGAGCGGATCAACGCCATAGTTATAGACCGGATAGCCTTCTAAAGACAGCGTCTCGAGAGAGGGGCATAGGTAGACGAGATAGAGTATCCGAGGGAGATCTTCATCCAATAAATCGAGCATATCGAGATGAAGGTAGGTGAGACCGGTGCAGTTGTCCCTCAGGAAGCTAGCAAGTCCTGGGTTTGATGGTTGGCGGAGGCAAAATCCTAACCACTCGAGCTTTGGAGTCGAGAGATGGCAAAAGACGTCGTCACAGGATATGAAGAATCGCCCAAGTTGAGGGAATACGACGTCAGTCTGAAGGGTGACTCGAACGTTTTTCGGTCGTTCAGCGATGAGCGCCAATGTCTCTAATCCTGGATTCTTATCAGCGAGTGAGACCAGACAATCAGTGGAAAAGATTGGGGTCTGTAAGATTGCCTGTGTGACGTTTGATATCCATTCTAGGTTGATTTGAGACGATCCCCCAGGTCCATGCCAGTTTATAAACATAGCTATAGTCCTCAATTTGGAACAGTATTCACTGAGCCTCGCCAACTGAGCAAAATTCTTTGCGACATCGCCGTAGAGAGCGTCAGGAAACAGGATAGTGGCTCTCCGAGTAAGAACTCCGGGATTCCGGGTCCAGGATGCCATGCTCTCTAGCGCGGAATAGAATCGATTAACCCAAGATGAGTAGAAGATGACATCTTCTAGGAGCAGTTCGAGGACGATAGTCTCGAGCATTTTGCAAATTCCTCGCAGTTGAGCATGCGCATGCTGACGGCTTTTGAGAGATCTCCAGTTTTTTGGTAATAAATCGTCACTGAAGAAGGATGTAGGCGAGAGCGATAGCGTTGAATTGGGTGGAGTAATTGTCAACAGGAATATCTCTCGCCACAATTCTGTAGGAAGTAAGTGAATATAGTCGACCGGACGAGTATAAGTTTGTTCGATGAGCTTTCCGCCTGCATGTTGCATCTTGTGGACGGATAGCAATTGCGCCGAGTCCAAGTTGCGTCACTGAGCGTAGGCAAGCTTTTTTCGGAGATTGTGATTCAGTGGAGAATTTTCGCAAGTTTTAAGTTCAACGGCTGTTACCCTCTTGATATCAGGTGTCGCTATTTCTTGACCACATCGAGGCCCCGGTTCAAATTCAAAAGTCGAACCGCGTATTTCGCTTTGCTCATGGTAGATTCGTATATAATAGAATACCATGCCAGGTACCTCCATAGTCAATTACAAGACAGTGATGATCGCCGACAGCCAAGGTGCATCTCCCCTAGTTATTTGGCCAGAAACGTTTTCTCCAGAAGGAGCTTTATTGAGTACCTATACCGGTCGTCTGCTCGTGTTCACCCATCGAGAGTCGCTGTCACCCGTTGTTCTCTCAGCGGCGCGTTGCATGATACCGAGACAGCCCATGCACTACTGTACGAATGACTCGATCTTACCGGAGCGTTGGGTCTGAGTGATTCAGGTTCCATCGCACACGGTAGGTGTATGAAGTAGCTCTCAGCGTCTTGAACTCCCGGGACCACCTTCACACCGACATCTGCGATACCCTCGCTCGAGCTACACCGTTCACATGCCCTCTCCAAGAATCATATGTTATACCATTCGGTGAATGCTTGCTTATGTTTATTCTGACCATTAGTTGAGTTGAGAGTTCGAGGAACTCCTCATCAAAACGCGCTATATCTTGGCATTTAAGACTTAGCAGTATCTTTGGTTCAGCTCGATTGAAGGCACCTCAATCTATATCAGATAAACACAGTAACAGGATGATACAACCATGGAATGAATTACTCGAATACTCGTCAGTGTCGCTTTTTTATATTTGTCCAAGATGTCCCAGGATGAAAACAAGCAAAATCGAGTCTTGTCGAACGGAGATGACTTGAAGTCGGGATGGTCAGAGAGTGTGGATAGAGTAGTCCGTGGCGATTTTCCGGGGGTACCCAGAAAAGAAATTCATTGGAAGATTTCACCCAACCATCGGGCGTGAGATAGCACTTTTCGAATCCAGGAATATGGCCTCGTAAGAGGAGTATCCTCCTGTTTTTCGATGGTATCTCGCACCAGGGGCTCTATCATTCCGCTGCTTTCTTTGGTAAACAATGACTATCAGTTTCTATCAAGTCAATTTCTAAATCAACTCACCAAAGCTAAGATCAAAGAGACGAATCGTGGTATCTTCTGAGCCAGAAACAATTTGTAGGCCATCCGGCGAGAACGCGAGGGAATTAACCCGGTTTTCATGACCTTGGATGGGCTTCTCAAGCAGGCAGTATGTTTCTGTATCCCACACTCGAATGGTATTGTCCTCTGAGCCGGATACTATTCGCGAGCCGTCAGGAGAGAAGGAAACAGCCTGAACTGGGGCCGTATGACCTTGGAGCGGCTCGCCCATCTGATCACCAGTTGCCGCATTCCACAGACGAAGGGTCCTGTCGGACGATCCAGTCACGATTCGTGAGCCATCTCGTGAGAAAGCGATGGCGTTGATGGAGCTCGTGTGACCTCGAAGTGGCTCTCCTATTGTTTGTCCAGTCTCGGCATCCCAAAGTCGAACTGTATGATCTTCTGAACCGGAAGCGATCAACGAACCGTTTGAAGAGAATGCGACGGCTTTTACCCCGTTCGTATGACCTCTGAGTGGCTCCCCCACCTGCTGGCCGGTTTCCACATCCCAAAGACGAAGTGTACGATCGGAAGAACCAGATACGATACGTGAACCGTCTGGCGAAAAATCGATGGCATTGACCCATTCTGTATGACCTCGGAGTGGGTGCCCACACTGACGGCCGTTTTTGGTATCCCAGAGGCGGATCATCCGATCAGACGAGGCTGAAGCAAGCATAAAGCCGTCTGGAGAAAATGTAACGGCGTTGACCTCTTCCGTATGACCTCGAAGTGGCTCAGTCAACGGCTGACCGGTATCGGCAGCCCACAGCCTAACTGTGTTATCGGATGAGCTGGACGCAATCACCAAGCCATCTGGTGAGAATGAGACAGCGTTGACTGCGCTTGCGTGTCCTGGATGTGGCTCTCCTAATGGCAGGCCAGTTTTCGCGTCCCAAATTCGAATTGTTTTATCGGAAGAGCCGGATATAATCCGCGAGCCGTCTGGAGAAAATGCCAGGGCGTTCACCCAATGCGTATGGCCTGTAAGTGGCTCCCCTACCGGCTGACCGGTTGCCGCGTTCCAAAGTCGAATGGTCCTGTCCCAGGAGCCTGTGATGAAAGTCGAGCCGTCTGGAGAGAACGCAATAGCATTGACTGAGCTCGTATGTCCTCTGAGTAACTCCCCCAACGGCTGAACATCCTTCCCATCCCACAACCTAATCGTTCCGTCCAATGCGCCGGAAACGATTCGCGAGCCGTCGGGCGAGAATACGACCGTGTTGACTGGACTATTGTGACCAGTGAGTGGGAGTCCCAAAGGCTGGCCTGTTTCTACATCCCAAAGTTGAATTGTCTGGTCTGACGAGCCAGAAACAATTCGAGAGCCATCTTCGGAGAATGCTACAGCGTTAACCCAACCCTTATGACCCCGAAGCGGTTCTCCCAAAGGCTGACCGGTGTTTGCGTCCCACAGCCTAATCGCTTTGTCCCAAGAGGCAGAGGCGATTCGTGAGGCGTCCGGTGAGAATGCGACGGCATTCACTGAACCTCGTGACCTTCAAGTGGCTCCCCCAGTGGCTTGGCAGTTTCTGCATCCCACAGCCGAAGTGTGTTATCCCAGGAACCAGAAACGAACCGCGAGCCATCTGGTGAGAACGCAACCGCATTGACCGAGCTCTTATTGTGCCCCCGGAGTGGCTCTCCAAGTGTCTGACCAGTTTCTGCATCCCAAACACGAATGGTGCTGTCAGATGAGCCCGAAATAATTCGAGAGCCATCCGGTGAGAAAGCCACACCCCTGACTGAGCTCGTGTGGCCTCGTAAGGCTTGTGGGAGATCATGATACTTCTCTTCGAGCCCTTGTGTGACTTTTAGGATGTTCCTATGCTCTTTCGATGCATCGAGGCGTAGTGGTGATTTCATAGGAGCAAATGCGAGAGCGGAGACGTAGATGTGCGGCGCACTATCCTGGATCGGCGCGGAAAATGCCATCATGAATCTGTTTGCGTCGATAATGCGGTTCATAGTCTCTTCATCAAACTTATACGATGTAAGTAAGTAAATTACGCGACACTAGAGCGGACTCACTCCTTTCTGGCGCGTAACAGCCCGAAGTCCAGCAATCGCACGTGGAACCCTCTCAGTGATGCTGAGAATCTCTATCCAGTAAAGCACGTTTGGACTACTAATTGTATGCCGAAGATCGTTTTCGAGGTTCTTGCGCCAGATTCCGTCTGTTTGTGCCAAGTGAAACGACCAATGTGAGCTTGCATACCGAAGTCTAGCTTGAATGAACTTCGATACTCTGGTTTTGAGATCCGGGATTTGCCTGTTTAGGTCGAAGGAGGATGCAATCTTGCAAATGTTGAATTTTAGCCCATGAGCCGGTGACCTAAGACTTCTAAAGCACCATGCAGCTAGCTGACCATGCGCATCGGAAATGTGAAGGGAAACGCGGTCTCGATGTTCGGTTTGGGTAGTGGAGCAGCGCTGGAGGTACTCGACCATGGTGGGATGCCGAAACTGTATCGTCTTTGTGGCTGTATCTTCGACCAAAATACTTGCTATGTTCCGTACCAGCATCTTGGCGCTGCTCCCGTGAACTCCAAAGAGCTCATCCAGCTCATCCGTTCTGAGTGGCTCGTACGCCGCAAGTAGTATAGCGAGCATTTTCCACATTTTAGCGTGGTTTCTCGGGTGTACACGCTCGAAGACAAGGTTGTATACATCGTCTATATCTCCAGCATGGTCTGCCGAGATCAGACGCTGGTATATGACTTGAGGAGTGTCAAATGAGGACTTGTCACGCAGCATTTGGCATGCAGTGCTAGCCCAAATGAAGAGACCATTGGCCTTGTCGACCAATTTCTGTCTCTGGTCTTGAGACAGAACTCCGTGCAGCGATTTATTTACATAAGTCGCAATATCTCTGATGTTATCAGAGTGCTTGACATCATGAAGGCGATCTTCGAGTGTTTGTTTGATGGAGAGTGGGCCCAAAACGCCCTCAATGACGGGGTCTGGTCGACTCGTGATGAATATTTTGAGATTCTTGCTCTCTTGCACGGCCTTGGCGAGTGTATCAAGAAGTTCTTTCGTGTGCGCTCCGGAGCTGCATTCGTCAATGGCATCGATGACCAGGATTACACGTTCATCTCGATGTCGAAGTGGGTTGGTGATGAGCGCACGGAACTGATCGCCGAAGGAGCTCCGCAAGATTGCCGACTTTTGTTTCAAGGCATCAGCGATGTATGGTCTGAGTTCGGGCATATGCTGTGCAAGCTCCCTCGCTATTGTTGAGCAGAACTTTTCAGTAGTAGTCGCATCGTTGCAAGTCATTGAGAAGAAGAATTGCCCTCCTAGCGTTCCCTCTGTCGCCCACGATGCGACTACCGACATGGCGACGGTGGATTTACCGGAGCCGGCTATGTCACATAGCCAGAATATCGGTTTCCCTCCCATATCCTCGGCCCAATCGTGAATCATCCGAAGGACGGCCTGACGTGTGCCCTCCAGGCATTTAGTGTGAACTGAGGATGCCACAAATGCCACCATTGGCAGCTGAAGAATGGTAGATGCGTCGACTGAAACTCGTGAGTAAACGTTGCACAAAAAAGGTTTCAGTATACCTTTTTCGAGAATGGCGCTAACATGGCGTGCGGTGAACACAGTCAATGCCTCCTATTGCTTGTGAGGTGGAGAGGATAAACAACGGAGCCCATACCATGAATCGCTTATGTCGATCTTCAATATCACGATAAAATTGAAGAATGGCGTCCGCATCCAGCTTTGATCTCGTGATTCCACTAAAAATACCAGACTTGCGGTTTCGTTTGTGCCTATGATGCTCGATCTTGTTCTTGAAATCTTCAAGGATTCTATGTCAATTAGCATTACAGAACATAAAATGTCATGAGACGCACTCCTTGTAGTGATTCAGTGATTGGCTCAGCGACTTATCGAGAACTCTTGCAGCGGGAGGATATTTTTCAAACTGGTCAATTTGATCCTTGATGTGGGCTTTATGTTCCTCTAGACGCTGTACAAGTTCTGTCCATTTCTCTTTATTATCGTCAATCGCCTGTAATATTCGTTAGACGGGATTATATCATTCTCGCCAATTAACCTGTATGACATCCAAGATAGTTTTGGTCGCTCGACAAGCCGCTTTGAGAGGAGCAAGTATATCTGATGCCTCGGCCACATTTGATCCGAACTCGAGACCGACCGCGGCGATGCTGTAGGCGCGACCTCTCTTACGGGTTGAGTGCTGAGCGAAAGAGGATGATCCACGAGTAAGCATGGTTATATCATTTATTTCTGGGATTGTAGTATGAGAATGCAAATGGGGGCGGCTCCAAGATGTGGCCAATGTTTGACGACCTCGAGAGGTAGCCAATAAAGGCCTGCCGAGCTCCGCCGCGTGTTATATGCCAGGCAATAGAGACAAGCTCGGCACCATTCTCACATAAAACGTGTTTTCCGCCTGGTTTAGATCCCACGGCGGCGTTGTCTAGAGGAGCAAGCGGACCCCTAAATCAGTCTCCTCTGGCGAATACTGCTTTTTATGCTAATATATAAGAATCTCGGATTGCATGTAAATTCAGCCTCCGGCGCGTCCTAAATATCGGCGCCAAGGTTCAGCGCGACGCTCGATGCTCGATATCGCGGCTGGCAAAGGGGCATTGGAGTGGGTGTCCCCACGTTCAATCAGTCTACTCCTCCAATTATCCTAGCTGTGTCGACCCCAGAATGTTGCATCAAATCTTACGCACTAATTCATGGCCGTATGCATGCAAATGCTTGCTTTAGGTGTATTCAAAGATGCATTCCCACAACTATAGGGGGTTCTGAATGGTCTATCATCTGGCTACCGAGTATATCCTTATCTTTAAGGGGGTGAGCATGGACGATCTTGGAGTCAACCTGAGCTTATAATAAACTGCAATTGACGCGCTCCCCTTCTCGGATATCCGAACAAATCTGGATGGCTCAGTCAGACGGTAATTGATAACGCAATTCAGATTAAGTAAGACGCTCTCACGATCAGGGATATATCAGCCTCCATGTCGCTCTCCACCAAATGCAACGACCAATATACCTCACTTGAAGAAAATGGCCGGAGTGTACAAAGTCCTCGAGAGTGGAGCGAAAGTGCCATTTCTGGCATTTGGCACAGGTACGCGGCCACTCTTGCCAGCGATTCAACGACGATTTACTGATACGATGTGGTAGGAACGGCACTCTACAGCCAAGATGCTACAAAGCAAGTTCTTCAGGCCCTGCGAGCGGGCTTTCGACATGTCGACGCGGCGCAGATGTACGCCAACGAAGAATCTGTTGGCAATGCCATTGAAGCCTTTCTCTCCACTCCCAACGATTCTCAGTCATCGCGCATTCCTAGTCGAGAGGACATTTACGTGACCACAAAGTTTCACCGCACCTCGTCTGGCTCTCGTACAGTAAAGGACGTACTCAAGGGACAGCTACGGGCGCTCAAAGTCGAGTATGTCGACTTGTCCATTTTCCCCTAGATCTTTGGCTGATGCATGGTGTTAGATAGAATTTCACCCTTATGTACTCAAAGCCGCATTACCAATCCTCGACATACACGCTCGCTATGGGATCCAGCTCGCTTCGTATGGTGGTCAAACGCCTGTCTCACGCAAGCGCGATGGACCAGTGACCCCTGTTCTCCAAGCCATTACAAAGCGTATGAACGAAGAGAGAAGCGCAATCAGGCAAGCCAGCTCGGAGAGATCAACGAAGGTCAGGTGCTACTCAAATGGTTGGACGCCAAGAATGCAATAGCAGTCACGTTCGTCTCATTTCCTTATGTCTATATTTCTCTGACGTGAATTAGAACGTCCTCAAAGTTGGATCGTCTTCAAGGGTATCTCGCGGTGTCAAATATCCCGTCGTTGAATGAAGAGGAGGTGCACGCAATCGATGAGGCAGGAATGAAGATCCACTATCGAACCTTTGTACGTCTTCACTACGACGAGTTGAGCTTGATACTAATAACTGACAGATGAAGCACATGGATCAACCGAGGTAGCCGAATAAAACGGGTCGAATAGTTGACCTCTGATGAGATGAGTGCATTCAAATCCTGTACAGAATGCATATGACTGGAATGATCCTGAGGATCGGGTGGAGTGAGAGAAGCAGATCGACATTGTCTGGAAGGATGAACATCTTCTACGGTCACTACTGCATAGACTTCAACACCTTCCTCACTTCCTCTTGGAGATCCTTCTTTGGGAGCTGGAGCAACTCGGTGTCATCCTCGACCCCCCACGCACACGCTCGCTTGCTAAAGATCACGTAAATGATCAGTCCCATTATATGCTCCATCGAGACTCGGCCCTGCGCCATGTTGGCGAGCGACTCATCTCTCATCTTCTCAATGTCCGCATACTCGACGTCGTACTTCTCCCCAGTCTCCGCTTCGACGGCAGCCTTGAGATCCCACTGGTTAATGTAAAAGTCGTGGACGCGCAGATCACGGTTGATGAACTTGTCTGGGTTGGAGAACACGCTAATAATGGCTCGGGCGATGGTATCGTATGTCGTGGTATTGAACGGTGGCTTGCCATCCTCGTAGATCCGTACCTTTTTGTTGCGCACGTCGACACCCAGGCTGGCGTTCTCCAGGCCTACACAAATCACTTTGCTGTCGTACAAATGGCACCAATACGCTTACCCATGTCAAAGAAATTTCCAACCGCGATGAAAGTGTAGCTGATTTGATTCTGTTTCTCCTTGAGGAAGCCGAGAATATTCATAGCCGTGCGAAAGAGATCTTGCTCAGAAGCCGGTGGGCGGGAAATATCCCTAAAAATGCCACGTGAATAGAGAAGAATGACCAGAGAAAGTAGACTGACGCGCCGAATAAAGACGGGATAATATGCTTCACGCCAGCCTCGATAGCCGCATTGACGACATTCTTCGTAACACTCTCAGCGGCAGAAAGGTTACCTTGAGTCATTATGATCGCGTCTTGTCCGCGAAGCGCTTCGACGAGCTCAGCATGGTTGGAGTAATCCACGCCAAAGAACTTGACGTCTGGGCTAGGTGGCACGAAAGAGGAAGACTTGCGTCCGAGGACGGTGACCTCGAATCTACCAGAGTCGACGAGGACGTTGAAAATTGGTGCACCCAGGTTGCCGCTGGCCTAGAGTATGTACTCGGTGAGTCTGTACCTCTTGATGAGAGAACAAGGACGTACGCCGACTTGGACAATCTTACGGTAGGACATGTTGCTTCTGCGAGTGCGAATGCAAGTGATGATGATTCTCCTCTGGAGGATACCGGTTTATATACCTTGCAAACCAGCAAATTTTCAGGTGAGTGCGTCCTCGCTCGGCGATAGGTTGCTTACCTCGTTCTCGACGACCAGCGGAGGCATGCTTCGATACATAACAGTAGACGCGCAGAAAATTGTAAAAACGGCGGAAGTTTTCAGGCGCGATTGGTTGGAACCTTGGTAATAGTATAGAAACATCAATTTCTATATCAATGCATGTCCGTTAGCCCCGAAAGGAGCGGCAGACAACAGGGGGAAATCAGAGGGCGTCTACCCATCGGACGTCCGAGAGATGACACAGGTCTGGCGCTAGATATTAGCAAGAGTACGGAGAATCCGAATCAGCGAAATTAGATATGATGTTGACTGTCTAAACCGTCTATTCATCCGAGATTGCTGACCAGGCGTAAGCGCGCGGCACTACCTACAAGAAACGGTTGCGACCAAAGTAGTATCATGATTATATAGCGTCCATTATGTCTGGTTGAGGTGAGACATGAAAAAGGGTCCATCGAGAGGAGGGCTGCCAATGTTCTTGTGATCAACGAGATTCTGCCCAGCCGCCGCAGGAGGCAAGCTGGGTTCCGACCTGTTCATACCGTCATACGCATGCAAGATGAGTGCATTGTCAAAATACGGGTTCATATACCGTTTGAGCGGTGTAGCAAGCCCAGATTTTGGGTTTGGCGAATGCGCTGATGCACGAAAGGTTGGCGAGCTATGCAAAGAGCTTAACACTGGGGATTGTGGTTCGGTCGGCGTCTTTACGTGGGCTAATCGAGGTGAGCTAAGAAGGCTTGGTGGGATGGGGGCATTTAACGACGTTCTTCGTAAATTGGCAATCTTCTGAGTAAGCGATACGCGAGTCGAAGGGAGGGAGGGTGAAGTCGTCAGACGTGGGCGTGAGTTAAACGACTGGGTTGGGCTGGGTGTATGTCCAAGGGGAGGTGTCGGTACACTGATGGCGCTCAGTGGTGTAGAAGTCGAGGTGCCGCGAAACTCTGGAGACGGAAGCATAAGAGGAGAGGGGGACCGACCAAAGTCGACGAGCGGGCGGACCCTCGGAGCCTTTGGAATGAAGGTGAGTGGTGCAGTCGCGGGAAGGGGTGGCAAGAGGTCGGCTTCTGATAGACCTGGTTTCCATGTATTTTCTATCGGAGCCGAACGAGGATGCTCGACGGTCCGAGCCGTCCCATGACCTCCTCCAAGGAACCCGTTGGCGATGATATCTACAGTCGAATCTTTCCGCGACTTTGATGCAGATAAATTGAGTGGGGGAGGTCGACGTGCCCGTCGGATGGAAGAAACGCCAGTATGGGTCTCCGCTTCCTCGCAAACTCGTGCTTCGAGTTCTTCGAATGAGGCGGCATCTCTAGTTGAAGGTGCAGAAAACCATGGGCCAGGAGATACTTGGTGCAGTTCTCCTACCGTTCTCCTAGGTGGTCTACTACGCTTCCAACCAAACTCTCGCGCATCGTCGTCTACAAACGTGCCGTCGGACGCAAGCTGGACGATTCCTAAACCCTTGACCAGCACATCCTCTGCACCCAAAACATGGTCAGCACTTTCCTTTTGTACAGTCGAGAGCGCTCGGAGCGACGTAGGTTGGATACGCGACGACCAAAGCTGCCCAAGCACCGGCGTATTCTCGATATCACCCTCATCTCCATTAAAACCTCCAAGCTCGAGACCAGGTGTCTCTGGTGGCGTGTCTGATTCCAACTCAGACGAAGATTGGTTATCTGAACTGGACATCGAACTATACGTATCTGCACCGGACGAACCAGAGGACATTGTAAAAGTGTGTAGTAAGAGTGCACGGGCTTGGGCCTCATCCCTGCGCCAGGACGAACACGAGCGGGAGGGTGCAGACGACGACGGCGTCGAGTCGTAGGTATGAGATTGGTTTTGTTCAGTGAGAAAGGAAGAGATTGAACGGCGTCCAAGATCCTCGTCGTCGTCGAAAGGTGCGTCGATAAACTCAGTGAATTGGCTTCGAGACATGGTAGCTTTTTTTGAAAAAAAGGAGGAGCTAAGGTATCTTGGTAAGACTTTACGCCCTCATAGGCTCCCTTTCGGCTCACTGGAACGAATTCTTGACCAGCAAGTTTGACGAGGAAGGGAGAACGAGGCTGACAAACCACAGCCACATGCCACTCGGTATATCAATCTATCCTACAATTGGCCAAGTAGAAAAAACTAGAGCAGTCCGTCATGGTTCATCGTCTCTGCATATCATCAGTTTTGGATAATAAATACTATGGGCGACGGGTCAGCACCGGCTTCGATCATCTCAAGAGAGTTTGCATACCTGGTTCGCTTCGGATTCTGATGCCTGTTTATGTAGTCTCCCATAGGGAGACGGAGGAAACGCGGGCGTATCAGGTTTACTCTGTGCCATCTGGACAGCCTCGACCCAGATGTCGTACGTTCGGTCATAAGAATTTGTCGTACGCGCGACAAAAGTCGTAGTGAGGAGAAGCATGACGCTCCATGTTGATCCTAGGCCGACCGCAATGTTCCAGGCAAGCTGATCTATCGGAATTCTCGCCTTGGCGCACCGTGGGCATTCAAAGATGAGATTCGGAAGGGGGGAGAGCGACTTGAAGTCTGTCATTGCATAGTCGATGGTGTGATTGAAAAACGTAAGGATAGACCCAAAGTCATCATTGTCCACCTAGAGAATATGAGACAGAATATAGGAGTAAAGTGAAGGGCACGTACATCTCCGGTCGTAGAGCAAACAGAACCGTTGACATTGTCCGAGATGTAGTTGATAGTAAACTCGTTTTTGCGGGTGTAGATGTTAAAGCCAATGATTTTCTCCAGATCGCATACCCAGTCGCTGTCTTTGAACCGTTTTCCAATCTTGATGAGCTCGCTTCTCCATTTGTTTTCGGGGTCAATTTCGGATATCTTGAGCTCCTTGATGCCCAATGCAATCATATTGGGATATAGCGACGTCCCAGCATACTCTGTTATCGGGTGGTCCTTTGACGAGACGCCGGTCGTGTTGCAAATAAAATTCATGCCGAATTTGACGTTGGGATTCTACATCTCGCGTGAGTAACAATGTAAGCAGACAGATAGACCTACAGAGGCGGGAAAGTTCAACGACGAGACGTACGACCCGTCTAACAGTGAACAGTTTGTGAGAGCATGGGGTTTCGTCATGTTTCCCTGCGGGGTATAAGCCTTGGTCTAACCCGTTACGAGCGCGACGTACCAATGCAAGCGCTTCGTAGACGAACATGTTGTTCCGCGCGAAAAAGGTCTGTCCTGTTCAGTCGTCGGTCAATGGTGCCTCTGGACACTCTCGTGCGTACCGGGATAGACAGACGTCGGTTTACAAGAATCGAAAATGGTCGCGTTGTTTATCCGTGGATCCGTGCTCTCGTACATCTTACTCTCGCACAACAAGTTGTACCCCTTTGTGAGGATAGTAACGACGATGACGCCTGACATGACGAGCAAGATGAGGACATAGGTGAAGATGGTTGCTTTCAAGCTAAACGGACGACGAAGAGGTCGTCCAATTTGCCACCACGGTGGTTCTTTCAGCATATCCGTGAGTCGGTAACGGGCGGCGAAGGTTGTTGAGGTAGAGGAAAGGAGTTGTATGCGACATGCGTCTAGTGGGAGGAGCCGTTATATAACACGCTGATTGTCGACAACCTGGGCTTCTGAGGAGCTTGGAAACGGACCCTGGACACATCAATCAAGCAATGGGATCCTTATCCGGACCGTGATTGATATTGGCGCCTATGAAATGAAAGGATTTGATGAGCAAGTTTCGCCCTCATGAGGCAGTGATGTCGTGTGCGCCGGGATAGAGTGGTTTATTGGACATCCGATTGAAGAGAGCGAGCCATAGATACCAGTGAATAGATTTTTATTTTGGTAAGGGTTCACTGGATATCAGAGTCCGCGGTCAGGTTGGGAGCACAGCTAGCAGCTATCTCATACCGGAGAACCAATGTATGTGATTCTCCAACCGTTTTCATCTTTTATTTGCGCTTGTCCACTGCGCTCGTGGAAAATACAAAGATTGGTTGGAGTCAGGGTCACACATGGCCTAACTTTCTCATGTCATCTCGATGACAATTTGCTCAAATGGTAATTATGTTACGCTTAGGTTCCCTTTGCACTGGTTGACCCTAACCGCCACTTCAATGGACGAGCTGACACCACTAGATACGCCCTCAGAGAGCCAAGCTGGATATGGAGATGCGACCAATCTATTCCAGGTCATCGACCGGGACAAGTGAGCCTTGTTTCTCACCGTCGGTGCCATTCTCCTGACGACTGACTTGGGTGGCGACTCGTCTTTCGTCAATTTGACAAAACTATGCGCATTCTAACACCCTTATCATGGATCCTGTACTTACTTTGGACACCGCGACGCGTCACGCTTTGTTAATCATCGGAAACGCACACCTTGCTGACGGGTCAGAGTAAATGGCCTCAATCTAACTGTTCCAGAAGACGCAAAGGAACTCATCAAACCGTGGGATAAACGCGAGACGACGGACAAGTTTGTAGATTCTGGCGTAGACGATCAAGTATGTGGAATATTTTGCTACTTGTGTCGGTGACACGCTGCAACTCGTAGATTATCATCAACGTACCGTTTACTTCAAACGTCCGCGTGCGCTCTGTCCTACTAAAAGTCGGTACGTCTGGACACTGCAGCCATCTGGACGGTTCCAACCACATCTAGGCCACGGAGAGTTTTCTCCACAGCGACTACGGATATACGTGAATCGACCTTCGGGAGTGGGCTTTGACGAGGCCGAGTCGCTCAAGCCGCACCTGGATATCGCACTTTTGCAAGGACAAGACTCAGTTACCGAGTATCCTCTACGAGTTGCCGCCTTTTCCAACGTCTTTTCGCTCAGCCTCTTCTTTGTGAGTGTACCCCTCTACACGCCCCTGTGCTGATTGCCCCCTGTAGAGCGAAGCAGATGGAGATGAAGTGACACGGATATACTATGTGAGCTCTTTGTAATGTACTGTCCATCTCTGACTATAACTGGCTATAGATTGGGTTCAAGGGCGATGCACGCCAGCATTCCAAGGATTCGAATACGAGGATGGAGGTTCCAGCAGAGAATGCAGCTGATGCCGCCCTCACGGACGCTGTCAGTGAAAAGACGAATCCCCAGCTTCGCATCCGCTAATGGCGTGTAATGTTCCTGTATCAACTAATAGAACACGGGGGCCTTATTGCTCACGAAAAAAACGCGGCAGCGGCGTAAATTTTGAAAAAATCCGACTTGACCCTTCCGCCACCCACGTTTGGCGGCCCACCGGCGAGGGAGCTCTAAAAGCGTGGAATGGACACCTCGACAGCAGAGTTTAACATTGATCTCACATCTTTCGGTATCCGAGATTATGTCCCAGATACAGACGGCGGCAGTGGCCTGTTCGACGAGCGCAATTCGCGAGAAAAGGCGCGACAACCGCAACAACAACGATCACAATCGAGTACATCGACTCATGGAATTACTCATGGGTACTATGGCCACCCGCCGGTCGAGGAAATGAGCGCTGAATTTCCACCGACGTCCATGCCCACGCTCGGCGCGCCAGCGCTGTCGATTGAACAGCTCAACGCACTTTTAAACATGAGCTTGGGTCAATCGAATATGGCACACGGCGAGAACGGTGGACTTCCAAACGCAGACACGCTCAAGGAGCAACTCGCTCAGCAGATGCGCCTCCAACAGCTTCAACAGCTTCAGAATCATATTCTACAGCAACAAGTAGGTCACAATATACGCCATACAGCTCGCTGATGTACACCGCGTTGCCCATCAACAGATTCAGCTGCTCACTGCAGGCGCACGAGGATTCTCGCAAAAAGATGCTCAACAGCTACTAACACCAGGTATGTTTTTATTTTCATTTTATCTTTGCCATGACGCCTGTTCGGATTCGGACCGACTAGGCAGGTGGCAGTCGATCCCACGGTTGTAAAAGTCACTTTACTCCCATTGTTCTCCGTCTCAATCGAGATGACTCAATCTCCGAATAGCTTCCACCAACATTCGCTCAGCTAGCCAGAGCACACAAGTCTCGCCCAATATTCTCCCACCAGGCATGTTCCATCCAGGAGGATCAGACTATCACGGTCAACGCTCGACGCATTTTGATCCACACAATACAATGTCGGCGCCGGCCTCGCTTGCTTTTGACATGAATGCACGTGGCATCCCCCAATCACCCGCCAGCGACTTTTTGACCCCACTCACGTCTCCTGTATTCCCTCCTACGTCTCCTCAACGCAAACGGACGGCGGAGTCGTTTGAAGGTGACCACCACGATGGGACGTCGACGGGTGGACCCAGAAAGCGATTAGCCCACGCCAATTCGTTTGGAAATATGGGTCTGAATCTTGGAATGACGAGCGTCTCCCCTGCGCTTTTGAGCAGCGCTTCGAAACATCGTCATACGAACTCGGCCATTGACACCCCTTCCCCAATCGACCTCAGCATGCCACCCCCAGTCGCTCCAGGCTACCTAGGAGGGATGCCCGCCGAGACGAGTTATCCGCGTTCCCATCTATCCATGTCGACCATGAACACCGATACAGAAATGACAATGCCACTGACTATTCAAGGATCCAGACGGCCATCGCTCTCTGGACCTTCGTCAAAGGGCACAACGACAAACGTCAGCCCAGACCTCCTTCCCGCAACGCCCTCCCTCTTGATGAACATGGGCAACCTCTCGCTTCCACCGGGTCTCATCCCACCCATGATCAACGACGGTACCAATCGCGGTTCGGGTCCTCCGTCTGCGCAGCCGAGCGTTCCAAGTAGTCCAGCGCGCAAATCCAAGACGCTCACGCGATCGAGGGCCGCGTCGGCTGCAGCATCCACCAACGAACCATCGTCGTCTACCCAAACCTCGACGACCACCGCAATGTCGAGTAAACCCCGCCGCGCAGCAGCGGCAGCCGCATCGTCACGAACAGCTGCAGCTGTTTCCGCCAACTCTTCAAGTCTACGAAATAGCGGTAACTCTGCATTTGGTGGCCCAAAGCTCAAATCGACGCACAAAGATGCGGAACAAAAGCGTCGGGATTCGCTCAAGACGTCGTTTGATGAATTGCGTGCGTTGCTCCCTCCGATCCCACTCTCTGCGTCTGGATTTGGCGCAGACGATTCCGACGAGGCTCCTTTACCGGGTGCGATGCCGCCCCGTGGACCTCCTCGTGGAGATGGCTCTGGTCCGAATAAAGGCGTGAGCAAACTTGTTCTCCTTAGATGTGGAAACGAGTTTATTCGCGATCTTGTTGGACGGGTAGAGAGGAGGGATGTCGAGATTGAACGGTTACGCGCAGAGTGTCGACGCCTGAGAGGTGTTGTTGGTGTTATGGGCAGCGGTGCGCCCTATGCCGAGTTTGGTGGCGAGGAGATTGTGGATTTGGACAAGGATCTCGAAAAGGAGGATGAGTGGTATCGTGAGGAGCGTCGGCGTGCGAAGAAAAAGCGGGCGGATGCGATTGAAGAGGAGAGTTAGACGTGTATTGGACTCTTACAGAATATCATGTGTATTGGATTCTAACTCTCTGAAAATGAACCTGTGGATTGCAGACTGAGAATGGTGTTTACGAGGGTTCGCCGTGATAGCCCTATGTTCACTTGAGTGGTACGATCAGCTGTTGCGTACCAGGATTTACATCTTTCAATGCACGATCTCGGCCATATCTACAAGATAAAGGAGATGCACCCTCTAATACAACTCGTCTATGCTCCGATGACGATGACCATGGGAAATCTGCTCGCGATGCCAGTCGGCTTTAGCTTGGTATTGGATGGCTTTCTCAAGATGATCTGCCGCTTTTTCTGGCGTCTAGTGACGCTAGCGTCATGTTCTGCATAATCTTGGTGGTCACCCCTGCCTCATTGTCAGCAGACAATTGTTCCGCATATTTCATCGCTCGATTCGCGGACGGACCTCTGCTTTGCCTCATCCGCATGACCCAGAGGAGTCTGTATATGGGCCTGGTGGCATTTTACCTTGGCAAGATGGTGATTTGCCAGTGCTTGGTGAGTTATTTGTCCCTGTCGGTGGACCTCGTAGGGGTTTTGAAGATAAAAAGAGATGAAAATCTGCGCGAGTACAGAGATTCATTTTCCCATAAAACGTACTTAGGCACCGGAGCGGCGAACCCCAAGAGAGCGGCCGAGGCAAAAAGCACCGCAAAGAAACCGACGTGCATGATGAATAAATTGCAAAGAGAAGAGAGGAATGAATAAGGAAAGATGAAATGAATAATGAAATAAAAGTGGACTACCAGTCTGGGGAATGGTGATTGACGTGTACGCGCTCTTCATAGGAGTATCCGCTCCCTCGGACTTACGTCGCTGGATATACTATCTCGCTTATTTCTCCTCCCTAATACGGTCTGCGCATATAGCACTCTGACCAGCGCTTCAAACGCCTTCGCCGTCATCGCCCTACGACGTCGGGCAAGCGTAGTGTGGGGGATCCCTAAAATAATTCACATGCGTTTGCCATGCCACACCTTATCTCGTTACGGTATACCTTCGTCATGTTGACTACTCAACTTCATTGATATAACGATTGGTTCACCCTAGAGGCCAAATAGGGCAGACCGGGATGATTTTCTAGATGTCACGGATGTCAAATTAAGGCCACGACGCGTTAGAACGAAAAATAAATACCATAACTAGCACTAGATCATCTTCGAGTGCTCAAGCCACGTCTACGAACAAGTCTCCCTCCAAAGGTGGCGGTTCTTCTGGATCTGTTGCGCAGGTAAGTGGATATCCAAAAGCTTAACGATCACTGACTGTTTCAGTATGGACAATGCGGTGGTATTGGTTTGTTGTCATTTCTATCCACGAGCAAGTTGGCTGACTTGTGCATAGGCTACTAGCGCTACTCTGGGGCCACGAGGTACGTTTCGCCGTTCAAGTGCACGTACGTCAACGATTACTACAGTCAATGCCTATAAACTCCGTTCCTGGTCTACAATCTACACATTCATTTCACAGAGCGAAAATTTAACGCGCATGATATTTAGCTCTCCTGTTCAATCTATCCTGGTCGGCCGGGTTCTGACCTGTAAGGTGAACCCATCCTTATAATTCTTCTGCAGATTTCATTGTTCGGTTCGCGGGGATCTCTCTGCTGTCGCATAGGCATGAGTCAGGTGGGTCCGTGTAATAGGAATGATGTGTCTCCATACAGTCACTACGACCGTTGGCACGCATCGGCCTCCCAATCTCACCGACTTGCGGGTTCCTTTTCCCCTCTGCGTAAATGATTCGGACCCGCACCTCTTATACGGCCTTTTTCTCCGTCACAGATCAATCCCAGAAGCAAAACAACCAGAACCCCTCAGCTTCGCCGGCCGCCCTATCCCATGAGGTCGCCGTGCCCGTAGCGGTAGAGGCATGACTCGGCTATCCTCATTTGTCCCGTCTGCAATTCTGTCTAGCAATGTCCGAAAGTCTCACGATCGGTGATGCCATCCCGGATGTTTATATTTGGCCGTGGAAATATGAACAGGTCAAATTCTCACCGACTCAGCCTTGGACCACTGAGATTACAACGCTCTTTTCGTCCTAATACACAATTTTGCCCTGTATAACACCAATTAAACCTGGAAAGTTATCCCGGTAGGCCATGCTTGGTCTATAAGGTGAATCCACCCCTATATCAAGGAAATAAAGTAGTCAACCAGTGAAGTTATGGTGTAATGAGAGAATATGTGGCACGAAAAACGGAAGTAAATTGGCTAGAGGGTGCTCCCAGAATACGCTCGCCCAATGCCGTGGGCCGACAGCGGCGGAGACAGTTGACGTGCTGCCTGTTGGGCTATGTACGTCTGTTGTACTTGGGAGGAAAGAGTGAGACTCTACTCTATCCGGCGATCTAAGTCCGACGGGGTGTGGCGCCGCTCGTTCCTATAAAGAGCACCTGCTCGCCAACCACCCACTACTCAGACTGGTTCTCAATTTCACTTTCATCTTTCATTCCATCTTTTCTTTATTCTTTCATCTTTTCTCTTTGTAACTTGTTCACCATGCGTGTCGGTTTCTTTGCCATCCTTCTTGCCTCCACTGCTCTTTGGGGTCCGCCGCCTGCTCCTCAAGTGCGTTAAGACGTAAAGAATGCGTCTTTCTACTCACGCGGATTTCATCTTGTCCAGGCCTTATGACCCTCACTCGGTCCACCGAGAAGGGCGTGTAACTCACCAAGCACTAGCAGATCACCATCGAGACGCAGCAGTATCCCATCGAGCTCAGGCAACTAATCATCGTATCCAGGCCACAATGAAGTAAGTCTGCGAACCGATCCATGGGATATCCCAAAGAATCGTACGCTGACGATGAGACAGTGCTCATAACCAAAACGTTGCTGATCGTCATCGCGCCGAAGCCAACAGGCATACCAATGAAGCGGATCATCATAGTGGACTAGCCGCTCAACACCAACTCACAGCGAACTTTCATGCTTCGCAGATTCCCAGGGGCCAGCGTCGGAGCATAGACGAGTTGGAATAGAGGATGTATTTGCTTGAAATTCTATATATAGCCGAGTTTTTGCATGGAAAGATTCTTCACAGATGCAAATACTGGTGCGCAACAGTCGCAACTATGGTGATAATGACCGGTCGGGTTTGCCCACTCAAACTCTGAATGAACCGATCCCTTGTTGATTTGAATGAGTCACTTAGTGGTGGCGTGGTTGGAATATACACCACAAATGGTAATAAAACGGAGTTATTTCCACCATTTCACAGGCAAGAAAAGAGTACATGTCAGTTCTTGGCCTTCTGAGTTGCAATACGAGCGCTGGCTTATATAGGCTAAATATGTATTATGCATGATAAGTGTTGTCAAACCCAAGATGCTCGACCTCGTCAAGTCATACACTGCACAGGAATCTGAGGCTCAAGGACAATTTAGAGCAATGGTGAGTAATGAAGGGCTCCTATTTCACTCGTTGCTGACCTTGATTAGGGGAAAGCACGTTTGCTAAGGATGCGCTATTATGGCGGAGATGAGGCACACTGGGGCCCAGTCGCAATGGCATAAAGTATTCTCCGTGCTGCCTGCAATTCAAAAATTGGGTCACAAGCGGCCTAGAGCCCGATGATATCCTGGACGTATTTGCAGCCCTCCAGCTCGATGCGATAGCACCGGATCGCAATACTCCCTAGGCAAAGATAATCTTCCCACATGCAAAAAGCTTCTATTTATTGTCTCCAACTGCAGTACAAGCTGTCTGGAATGTATGGAATGTCGAGCCTGTCCTCCGTCTCGTACTGGCAGGAATCAAACAAGCCGTTGGGCCTTTGTCATTTCCATGTCAAAGAAGTCCAAGATCATCCGAGATGGCTCGCATGTGCCCCAGGAGACCTCAAACAAGAAACGCAAGCGCTGCTTCCCACTCATAATCACGTACAACGACAGGAGAGGTGACAAAAATCACAAATTCGATGATTAAGACGCTATACGACCATGCAGAATCATCATACCCCAAGCAGCCTCATTTCAGCCACAAGATCGCAACAAAGTCCAACGTCGAGTAAGAAAATAAGAGGAAGAGGAAGAATAAGACATGAAATAAGAAGGCGACCACAAAGCAGAAGAAGTCACCACCCACCATTTCCAGGTCGAGCGGCAACCAGGCCTGGCACGTCGCTCATTTCACCAGGCCAAGCGGCATCCCAAGTAACAATTGCGCATAGAAAGAAGACATACAAGAGCTAGCGGAATAAAACAACTCTTCAAACAGACAAGGATACCGAGGCTGACTCTTGCCCACCCAACTCCAATGCAGACCGTTCTTCGCTTGTCCCGTCAACTTCTATCAAGAGGTCCACGAAGAGCAAGTTCAAGCACACAGATCGGGGCAAACCTAACCCCTATGAAAACGACAAGAGATCCTGCCCAAGCAAGCACTTGCTCTTCCCACGAAGGTACCCTGGATCACTTCGAGCAAATTTCTTTGACGAAATGCTCTATTCAACGTCAGGCAATCATATCTGGTCAATCCACGACACGCCCCTTGGTTTGTCAATTCAGACCGTGTACTAACACTACTTGGACAGATTATCCATCGAAAATTATCTAAGAAGTAAGTAAGTAAACACTTATAGTCCTCTCTACTGTAACGTTTAGCCGTGGTAAAACGGAACAAGCTGGATTTGCACCCACTTAGCCGTCAGAGCACTAGACTATAGTGTCCTTCTTTTCCCTCTAATGCGTTACACTCCCTATGTACCCCCGTTACTTAGGTAATTCAACCTGGTCGGCCGGGTTCGAACTTGTAAGGTGAACCAATCCTTTCATCTACTGTCTACTGACTAAAATGCAGGCGCCCGATCCAGCAAGGCCCACAGCGACCAAAAGTGGTGCCATGGTATGGCACGCTAACTCGGAAAAAAAATAAAGCAAGAATGATAACGTTCGTGCCAATGCATGCCAATGCGTGCCATTGTGTGCCAATTTTTTCCAATTCGTGAAAATTTGTGAACACTCGTGCCAATTGATGACACTATGTGCCAATTCGTGCCAATCTGTGACAATTTGCGCAAAGCTGTGAGCAATTGTGACAGTGGCTGTGAAAGATAGTGACGGTGGTTGTGACAATCTGTGGCAGTGACCGTGCCAAATCATGCCAAGTTGTAAACAATGGTGACGGGTGGTGGGCTTCACTCCAACCGTCACAAATGTGCACGCCGACCGTCACAAATGTTCACTCCAGCCGTCACAGATCTTCACATCATCCATCACAATCATGCACGGGTATTCGTGTTCAGTTCCGACAGCATTGTTTGGTTCTTTGAACAATTGTCAGTATAGTAAGCTTTATTTGACAATATGGCAGTCGTAGAATGTTGCTAAAGGGTAGCACTCGATCTTTCACAACACTGGGCACAATCTGTCACCCAACCAGGCACAACGTATCACAGCACTGGGCACGGTCTTTCACAACACCAGGCACAATCCGTCACAAACTTGCACGACGAGGTCGTGCTGGCCGGTGTGACAGATGAAACGTTTGAAATAATGATCGGACACTCATCCTTGCATGCAAACCGGCATGATTGCGCACAATTTTGCACGACCATTGGAACAAATTGGCACAAAGTTGCACGAATTGTCGCAAAATGTCACAAGTCGTCACAAATTGTTACAAATCTGCATATTCTTTCACGAGTCGTCACAAATCTTCACATCTTTTCACGATTTGTCACAAATCGGCACACTCATTCACGATACTGCACAAGGGTGTCAAGGCAGGACCCTATTATTATCCGAGCTGTCCGCCCAAACCATTGACCCAGAGTCATATGACGAGGATAGTGGGGAAAAAGAGGATGACAGCTCTGAGACTGAGCCCAATGGTCACTCAGGCGCACCTGAGTGACCAGCACCACCCAAACTGAAGGCGAGGCCTGTACAAGCCAACGCTCGTATTGCAACTCAGAAGGCCAAGAACTGACATGTACTCTTTTCTTGCCTGTGAAATGGTGGAAATAACTCCGTTTTATTACCATTTGTGGTGTATATTCCAACCACGCCACCACTAAGTGACTCATTCAAATCAACAAGGGATCGGTTCATTCAGAGTTTGAGTGGGCAAACCCGACCGGTCATTATCACCATAGTTGCGACTGCTGCGCACCAGTATTTGCATCTGTGAAGAATCTTTCCATGCAAAAACTCGGCTATATATAGAATTTCAAGCAAATACATCCTCTATTCCAACTCGTCTATGCTCCGACGCTGGCCCCTGGGAATTTGCGAAGCATGAAAGTTCGCTGTGAGTTGGTGTTGAGCGGCTAGTCCACTATGATGATCCGCTTCATTGGTATGCCTGTTGGCTTCGGCGCGATGACGATCAGCAACGTTTTGGTTATGAGCACTGTCTCATCGTCAGCGTACGATTCTTTGGGATATCCCATGGATCGGTTCGCAGACTTACTTCATTGTGGCCTGGATACGATGATTAGTTGCCTGAGCTCGATGGGATACTGCTGCGTCTCGATGGTGATCTGCTAGTGCTTGGTGAGTTACACGCCCTTCTCGGTGGACCGAGTGAGGGTCATAAGGCCTGGACAAGATGAAATCCGCGTGAGTAGAAAGACGCATTCTTTACGTCTTAACGCACTTGGGGAGCGGAGCGGCGGACCCCAAGAGAGCAGTGGAGGCAAGAAGGATGGCAAAGAAACCGACACGCATGGTGAACAAGTTACAAAGAGAAAAGATGAAAGAATAAAGAAAAGATGGAATGAAAGATGAAAGTGAAAATTGAGAACCAGTCTGAGTAGTGGGTGGTTGGCGAGCAGGTGCTCTTTATAGGAACGAGCGGCGCCACACCCCGTCGGACTTAGATCGCCGGATAGAGTAGAGTCTCACTCTTTCCTCCCAAGTACAACAGACGTACATAGCCCAACAGGCAGCACGTCAACTGTCTCCGCCGCTGTCGGCCCACGGCATTGGGCGAGCGTATTCTGGGAGCACCCTCTAGCCAATTTACTTCCGTTTTTCGTGCCACATATTCTCTCATTACACCATAACTTCACTGGTTGACTACTTTATTTCCTTGATATAGGGGTGGATTCACCTTATAGACCAAGCATGGCCTACCGGGATAACTTTCCAGGTTTAATTGTGTTATACAGGCAAAATTGTGTATTAGGACGAAAAGAGCGTTGTAATCTCAGTGGTCCAAGGCTGAGTCGGTGAGAATTTGACCTGTTCATATTTCCACGGCCAAATATAAACATCCGGGATGGCATCACCGATCGAGACTTTCGGACATTGCTAGACAGAATTGCAGACGGACAAATGAGGATAGCCGAGTCATGCCTCTACCGCTACGGGCACGGCGACCTCATGGGATAGGGCGTCCGAAGCTGAGGGTTCTGGTTGTTTTGCTTCTGGGATTGATCTGTGACGGAGAAAAAGGCCGTATAAGAGGTGCGGGTCCGAATCATTTACGCAGAGGGGAAAAGGAACCCGCAAGTCGGTGAGATTGGGAGGCCGATGCGTGCCAACGGTCGTAGTGACTGTATGGAGACACATCATTCCTATTACACGGACCCACCTGACTCATGCCTATGCGACAGCAGAGAGATCCCCGCGAACCGAACAATGAAATCTGCAGAAGAATTATAAGGATGGGTTCACCTTACAGGTCAGAACCCGGCCGACCAGGATAGATTGAACAGGAGAGCTAAATATCATGCGCGTTAAATTTTCGCTCTGTGAAATGAATGTGTAGATTGTAGACCAGGAACGGAGTTTATAGGCATTGACTGTAGTAATCGTTGACGTACGTGCACTTGAACGGCGAAACGTACCTCGTGGCCCCAGAGTAGCGCTAGTAGCCTATGCACAAGTCAGCCAACTTGCTCGTGGATAGAAATGACAACACACCAATACCACCGCATTGTCCATAATGAAACAGTCAGTGATCGTTAAGCTTTTGGATATCCACTTACCTGCGCAACAGATCCAGAAGAACCGCCACCTTTGGAGGGAGACTTGCTCGTAGACATGGTTTGAGCACTCAAAGATGATCTAGTGCTAGTTATGGTATTTATTTTTCGTTCTAACGCGTCATGGACTCAATGTGACATCCGTTACATCTAGAAAATCATCCCGATCTGCCCTATTTGACCTCTAGGGTGAACCATTCGTTATATCAATGAAGTTGAGTAGTCAACATGACGAAGGTATACCGTAACAAGATAAGATGTGGCATGGCAAACGGATGTGAATTGGTTGAGAGTTCTCCCACAATACGCTCGCCCAATGCCGTGGGCCGACAGCGGCGGAGACAGTTGACGTGCTGCCTGTTGGGCTATGTACGTCTGTTGTACTTGGGAGGAAAGAGTGAGACTCTACTCTATCCGGCGATCTAAGTCCGACGGGGTGTGGCGCCGCTCGTTCCTATAAAGAGCACCTGCTCGCCAACCACCCACTACTCAGACTGGTTCTCAATTTTCACTTTCATCTTTCATTTCACTTTTCTTTATTCTTTCATCTTTTCTCTTTGTAACTTGTTCACCATGCGTGTCGGTTTCTTTGCCATCCTTCTTGCCTCCACTGCCTCTCTTGGGTCCGCTGCCTGCTCCCAAGTGCGTTAAGACGTAAAGAATGCGTCTTTCTACTCACGCGGATTTCATCTTGTCCAGGCCTTATGACCCTCACTCGGTCCACCGAGAAGGGCGTGTAACTCACCAAGCACTAGCAGATCACCATCGAGACGCAGCAGTATCCCATCGAGCTCAGGCAGCTAATCATCGTATCCAGGCCGCAATGAAGTAAGTCTGCGAACCGATCCATGGGATATCCCAAAGAATCGTACGCTGACAATGAGACAGTGCTCATAACCAAAACGTTGCTGATCGTCATCGCGCCGAAGCCAACAGGCATACCAATGAAGCGGATCATCATAGTGGACTAGCCGCTCAACACCAACTCACAGCGACCTTTCATGCTTCGCGGCTTCCCAGGGGCCAGCGTCGGAGCATAGACGAGTTGGAATAGAGGATGTATTTGCTTGAAATTCTATATATAGCCGAGTTTTTGCATGGAAGACTCTTCACAGACGTAAATACTGGTGCGTAGCAGTCGCAACTATGGTGATAGTGACCGGTCGGGTTTGCCCACTCAAAATCTGAATTAACCGATCCCTTGTTGATTTGACCGGAGCACTTAGTGGTGGCGTGGTTAGAACATACACCACAAATGGTAATAAAACGGAGTTATTTCCACCGTTTCACAGGCAAGAGAAGAGTACATGTCAGTTCTTTGTCGGAAAAGTGGTGAGCGCCTTGTAAGGCCTTATGAGGCTCTGCAAGTCTAGCCGCCTCAGTAAGACAATCTCACCTTTGTAGGGATTCTTACAAGGCATAGTCCATGGTGCCTTTCAAAGCCTTACAAGGCGGCTTACAAGTCGGCTTACAAGATGAAAATTGAACCAGACCTAGCCTTACAAGAGGACTCAAAGGCACATAGCGAGCTCTCAGGAATCCCTACAAGGTGCTTGTAACCACATGTAATTGCAAGAATTAATACCCATGATAACAGAAATGAATCATACTCCCAAGCATCGAATGGATTTAGGAGTCACCCGGAGTCAAGTGCTGCACCTTTGAACGCTTTGAGCTTTGCAAGTCTGGCGGATCCGGCGCTGATTGTTTGTTTGCAAGTGTGCGGTGACACTTCTCCACAGCTGTCAGGTCTGAGTATGGAATCGACTGATCTAGGTGTCTTGGTATTGCAACAGCTGCTTTAAGAGACAAACGACCAATGTCTGGAGATGTTGCGATGACAGGTGGCGGCAAGACGAGTTGTGTGAAAGGCATATGAGAGGGAGTATTAAGTGGTGAGTGTGGATGACGATGATTGGAAAGATCGGGTGTTGGACCCAGTGGAGGCGCATACCATGGAATGCTTGAGGATGTTGAGGAGACCAATGCGGATGCAGATGCTGATGCTGATGCCAGAGATGAAGATGACGTGATAATGCTGAACCCAACAAAGTTGAGGCTGAAATGGATGCCAATGAAGTGGGTACTAATGAGGTAGATGCTGAGATAGACAAAAACACAGTACTTGGATAGGATGGTGAGTGTTGGCGATTTGCAGATGTTGTGGTGGCAATAGGTAAGCTTAGGATCGATTGGTCATCATCATCTGTTCCGACGTTGTCCTCATCATGCCTGCAATCAAGAAAACCAGGTCAGAGTAGACCATATATGTCGAAGGTTTACCCTTTGACTCTTAGCGCTTACTAAATAGACTTAGCCAATAGTAATAGCTCACGTCGTAACTCAATGTATTTAGGGACGCGGGACGATGCGGCCGGACCTTACTGGTCTTGCCTCTCACCTCACGCGTCCTAGGTTTGCCACACTATATACTGGTCTTGCCTCTCACCTCACGCGTCCTAGAATCAACGGAATCAACAGGTTATGAGCCTCTTGTTGCACTAAAGGATCAAATTCACCAGTAATCTCGCCTCCGCGCACCCACTGCTACACAAACATGTCTACAAAAGATTTCAGTGCGATCCCAGTCCTCACAACGGGCAACTACCTCGCATGGTCTCAAAAGATAGATGGATATTTCACACTCAACAACCTCGATGACCTTGTCTACGGACTCGAGCTCAGCCCTGACTCAGCACCCAAAGACCCTTCCACTGGTACGGAAGGCGAGGGGAGTGAGAGTTCAACCTCTTCCAAACAATACGTTGCTGATAATGCTAACGAATGGAAACGCCGCGCAAAACAGGCCTCCGCAGCCATCACACTCACTGTCGATGAGACCAACATGAGCCAGATCCGCAAACTCAAAGGGGATCCGGTCGCAATGTGGAATAAACTCGAGTCTATTCACAATGCAAAGACATCAGCGACCCGCTTCAATGCGCTTGAGGCATTCTTCACCAAGACGAAGGCCGAAGGAGAGCCTTTGGCGTCGATCACAGCCGCCACCAATGCCCTCGAGGAGCAATTTAGATCACTCTGGACGACAGACTACGATGTAGACGCACTACTGAACGACCTCGCTATGATGTCAAGCCTCCGCATGATCCCGCCTGAATCAATTCACGTCCGAACTTCGCTACTCTGCCAGCCAAATCTCACCCGAGATGTAATAGATGCAGCTCTCGTCAACGAGGACAATCAGCAGCGCAGGAACTCGCAGCCAGCCATCGCACTCCGGGCAGCCACTTCCCAGCCCATTACTTATCGCAGTACACCTCCCCACTCCTCACGACCAAAGCCCACGGCCGCTGAACGCACACCAGGTGCCATATGCGATCATTGTGGCAAACGGAACCATACAGCCGCCCAGTGCTGGTCGAAGGCTGAAGCGACTCGTCGCAAGCAAGAGGCCGCACGTGTTGCCAGCACTACAGACGGATCAACTACTGTACCAAATGCCCATGCCGCTCATGCAAGTACCCTCTCCTTACCATCCACGGCTAGATCTGACCTGAACGCCGACACAGGGGCTACTCGGACAATGATGAGTGACGAAAGTTACTTTACTATGCTCCGCCCCTTGGTCAGGTCGATCAAACTGGCCAATGGTGAAAGGATCTTCTCCACTGGAGAAGGGGACGTTGTGTTTCAGCCGTGGATAGATGGTTACTTTAGTTCTGATCTCGTTACTTTCCCTAATGTCCTCTTTGCTCCCGACTTACAATCGAATCTCGTCTCAGTTCTCTCAATGGCACGCAAAGAAGGATATGACATTCGCATTAATCCGAAGCAAATGGAGTTCTACCTTGATGGTAAACTCCAAATGACAGCTCGTATCGATGACGACTGCGTTGCTTACCTTAATGGACGCGTTCTCACATCCGAACAAGCGCATGCTGCCAGTACACTCAAACTTGACCGAGAGCTATGGCATCGACGCCTAGGCCACTATCATCACGATGGAGTTGACACTCTTATCCGTCATAATCTGGTTAATGGAATCAAGCTGGACTCCAATGCAAAGCCCGACCCTATATGTGCTCCATGTATCGCAGGGAAACAGACTCGAGCCCCTCACACCACGCCAGCAACTCGAGCTACAACTCCATTAGATCGTGTCTTTATTGATCTTAAAGGCCCAATCAATGTCGAGTCCATGCCGCACCGTGCCAAGTACTGGATGGCCATGGTAGACGATGCATCTAATTTCGTCACGCTGTCACTTCTTCACTCAAAAGATGGGGCGTTCAGAGCATTCTGCGAGTTCCATAAGCTCGCTGAGAATCAGACCGGCCAGCACTTGGTACACCTGCGAGACGATAAAGGTGGCGAGTTCAGTGGGAAAGAGTTTGAACAGTACTGTATCTCTGCTGGGATTACAAGGGAACGCACCATAGTTGCCACACCAGAGCAAAATGGACGGGTTGAGCGAGCAAACCGATGGATAGCTGAAGGGACAATTGCTAAACTCACAGAAGCAAATCTTCCACCATCTTTTGGGGTTTTGCTGCCCTTGCCACTGTCCATGAGTTCAACCGTGCCCGTGTTCACAATGGAAAGACGCCATATGAACACTGGCATGGTGAAACTCCCAGTGTCGATCATCTTCGAGTATTTGGATGTCTCGCCTATGTCTTTGTCCCAAAATCACAGCGTGATGCTCTCGATTCGCACACTGACAAGTGTATCTTCGTTGGGTATCCATCCGACCGCCCTGGCTGGGTGTTCTGGAACCCACAGACACGAAAGATTATACACAGTGACAGTGCTGTATTCGATGAGAGAGTCTTTCCAGGCACATCACTTGCAAAGGAATCGATTCCAAACCTCTCCGACTACGTCCAGCTACCAGATCTCGAAGAAGCCACTGTATCTCCATCATCCATTCCACCTCCAAACCCCCACCCTGCTGTTCACGTTGCAGGACGACCTGTACCTACACCTATACCACCTGAGCCTGCACACGAGCCTGTCCCTCCACCAGCACCAGCTCAAGCGCAACCTAAACCCACAGCTCCGGCGCGACTGAGTCGTGAGCTTCGAGCACTCACTGACAAAACCAATTTCGAGAAGGCTCCTACAAATCTACCAGTGCGACGACACACAGTTGCGCGTCAGCCAGGCACTTTGACTGAATCTGATTCGGATCTCGAATTAAATGAGAGTTTCGATGAAGATAACGTTCAATTAGCCACAGAAGATGCATCCCTACCCTCGACTTCCAGCTCTTATGTGCCAACTAAAGCTCGACGCTGGAGACCCAAGCCCAACTTCGAAGCGCCTGACCATATCCTGATTCCCATTGTTGATGGTGTTGAAGCTGCTTTAAACACATCTACAATCCGCGAGCCAACAACACTGGGAGAAGCTCTGAAACGCCCTGACGGCGACAAGTATGTCCAAGCGGCTATAGAAGAGGTCAGAGCTCACCTGGAAAATGGCACGTGGAAGCTTGTGCGACTCCCACAAGGCAAAAAGGCTATCGGCTCACGTTGGGTATTCAAAATCAAACGTGATGCTGACGGGTCTATTAGCAAATACAAGGGACGCATTGTGGCCAAGGGATATGCACAGCGAGAGGGAATCGACTACACAGAGACCTTTGCACCGACGGCTCGCTTTGGCGCCCTTCGCACCATCATAGCACTTGCAGCACTCGAAGACTGGGAGCTAGAGTCAGTAGACATATCAACCGCTTTTCTCAATGGCGAGATTGATGCGGAGGTCTACATGAGAAAGCCAGAAGGAGTTGAGTTCGAGGGCTATGAAGGTACAAGCTGGGTGCTTCAACTTCTCAAGGGTCTCTATGGAATCAAACAAGGTCCTCGAATCTGGTCTGTGAAGCTACACGCTGTCTTATCCGAAATTGGATTCAAACGTCTCGAAAGCGACCACAGTGTCTTCATCTATGAACGTGACAGTGTGAAGATCATTGTACCAGTCCATGTTGATGACTTACTGCTTGCATCAAAGTCATCCAAAGCCATCCAAACGGTAAAGGATGAGCTCAAAGCACGCTTCAAGATTCATGACCAAGGCCCTACCTCATTCCTACTCGGTGTCAAGCTCGAGCGCAATCGCCAATCCCATACAATCTCCCTCTCTCAACCTGCGTACATCGAACAGATCCTTGAAGCCTATGAAATGAAGGACTGCAATGGCGCTGACACACCGATGGTCGAAAAGCCACTCCTTTCAGCAAAGGATTCACCGCAAACCGAGCAAGAGAAAGCCGAAATGCAAGCTATACCTTATCGAGAAGCTCTTGGAAAGCTCATATACCTTGCAACGGCCACTCGCCCCGACATCTCATATGCAGTCGGAGTTCTCTGCCGGTTCAGCGAGAATCCTGGACAAGCACACTGGCTAGCTCTCAAACGAGTACTACGATATCTACGCAAAACGACTAATTACAAGCTCACCTACGGCCTCAAACCGGAATCCGACGAGCTCTTCACGACGCACAGCGACGCCGACTTGGGTGGGAATGCTGATAACACGCGTTCGACAGCCGGATTTGTCATGTCAATTGGTGGCGGCGCTGTGATGTGGAGTAGCCGACTCCAGCGCCACACGTCGCTCTCGTCGACGGAATCGGACAGCCTCCGCCACCGGGTGAGATGATCTGGATGCGCGCATTCCTTGACGAAATTGGCTATGACGTTGCGTCGACTCCATCCACTTTATACGTCGACAACGCCTCTGCTATCCAGGTCGTAAAGAACCCAGAGCACCAGTCGACAATGAAGCATGTTCACCGGAGCTTCAACTGGATCCGCGAGCGGGTTGCCAACAATGAAATCCGCGTCGCTCACGTCCCTGGAGCTGTCAACGTTGCCGACATCTTCACCAAACCACTAGGCCGCATCAAGTTCGAACAGTTTGTAAAAATGCTTGGTATTATCCCTCATCCACATGCCCATCCATGATTCACGCGCTCAAGTCATACGGTCAGGGGGTCGTGTCGAAGGTTTACCCTTTGACTCTTAGCGCTTACTAAATAGACTTAGCCAATAGTAATAGCTCACGTCGTAACTCAATGTATTTAGGGACGCGGGACGATGCGGCCGGACCTTACTGGTCTTGCCTCTCACCTCACGCGTCCTAGGTTTGCCACACTATATACTGGTCTTGCCTCTCACCTCACGCGTCCTAGAATCAACGGAATCAACAATATATAGATGTGACACATACATTTCATAGTTTCTGGTATTATCAGTATCACTAGAGATAGAGTCAGTAAATTCAATTGCAGTTAATGGAGACTGCACAAACCTGTACACACGGTTTGATTCAAGCCTCCTAGCCAATAGATTAGCATGCAAAATAGAGCCCAAGTAGATGCTCACAAGGGTTTACTCTTCTTGTTGATGAGCTTTTGGAGGAGAGTGGCATTCCAAGAAGTTTGAAGAAGTTGGGACCTAACCACCTGCGTGGCGTCAGCGACCAAACTAGATCATACAACACGAAGGGGTCAAACCAGCATATACCAAACGTAGTAGAGCAATTCGAGTAGGAGGCCGACCGGCATGGCAGCGACAGGGAGCGCAGCAGCGAGAAGAAGCCAAATGAGGTCGGAGATGACAGGAATAGATAAAGAGATAGTACACGATAGGGATTCAGCGATCAAATACATGAAGAAGCGAGGATGGTTGGAGGACGACACGACCATCACAACTGTGCTCATGGCGGACATCTGTCGGCAGGCAGCGGAAAAAGCGGGAGTGAGTCAAGAAGCGAAACACATGCTGAAAGCCTTCTCTTTTGTGCTCGAGACTGCAGCGGTGGACCCTCTCCTCGAAAGCTTCAACAAGACAGCTACTGCAAAACTCGATAGCCTAGTCGACGCGACAAAGCTGAAGCTCAGCCAAACCATCGAGTCAACCACCAAGCACCTGGACGCCGTCAGCTTGAAATACAGCGAACTCACCATCTCAGCTTCCGAAGCGGTCGCGGCTCTCAAGGCGGCACCAGTTCATCGACTGTACAGCCAAGCACTAGCAAGCAATGCATGCACCAAGCTCAGCCAATCCCTCATCCTCGACGACGCCAAAGCAATCAACATAGTCAATGCTAGGGAACGACTAGTCCTATTCAACACTCCAAGCGCCGTCGCAAAGGAACGAGGAATGTACACTAGGGACAACATCAACGCTTACAAGGACACACTCAACGTAGCGCTAGAGAAACTCACGGATGGAGCAAGCAAGAAGCGGATAGTAGGCTTGCGCATTATACGCACCGGGACGCTCCTGGAGCTGGACTCTGCAAAATCCGCTAAGTGGCTAAAGGAGAATAACAGGTGCGCAGAGATGGTAAAGGAGGCTTACACCTCGAGAGAAGAAGAAACGAAAGTCATCCCTCGCGTGCACGAGCTGATGGTACGCTTCGTCCCTGTGGACTTCGACCCCCACGAAGAGGAAAGCCTGCGCTTGGTGGAATTGGAGAACGGCCTACCGCCACACTCAATCATCTCCGCATCCTGGATCAAGGACCTGTCAAGGAGGTACGAAGGACAAGGATACGCCAATGTCAAAATCAACTGCGCCTCACCCGAAGTAGCCAACCGCATGATCCTCGGCCCCACAAGAATTGGTAACCACTCTGTCAAGGTGCAAAAAGAACATCGGTTAGTACCCATCTGCACCAAATGTTCTCACCACGACCACTTCCTGGCGGCATGCAAGGTGGAGAGGTTCACCTGCCGATTCTGCGCACAAGAGCACAGCTCTCGGGACTGTCCGGACAAAACGCAGACCAAATGCACCCCATGCGGGTCCAGCCGACACTCCTCTGGGGACGAAAGGTGCATAGAAGGCAAGTCCAGACAGGACAGGCAAGCGGAACATGCGCCAGAAACGAGATCCAAATTCTTCTTCACCAAGGACCGATGGACGTATAACAAGTCAATCAATGCCCCATGGAACTTGGGATACCTGCGCCCAGAGATCGAGACTGAGACCTCGCAAGAACAAGCAGGCAAGCAGCTCACAACGGCGGCTGCCAACGCCTCACAGGGAGTCACCAACAAGTCCAGAAAGACCAACCAGACGAAAAACCGACAGATAACACTTGCCCAATACGGCATCCCAACACAAGCCGCACGAAGCGTCCAGCACCCCGGGCCAACTCCCAAGACCCAAACCACCCCCGATTCATCGCAAGAAATGACCTCTCCACCATCCTCACTGCCCCCCGCTCAAACCCAGCCATCCATTGCGACCAGTAATGCCCGGCCAACCGACCCCTCTGCATGAACAACGGCACCCCACTCACAACAAGCAGTTATCTAAGAATCATACAGATCAACCTCAGAAAATCCTTTGACGCCCACGACGAATTCATCAACACAGCCTCACCGGACGACTGGGACGTTATTGCAATCCAAGAACCAGCACTCAACTCCCTCGGCAACACTCGGGCTAACAGGAAATGGCAGTCATTTTACCCATCCACCAAGGCTCATGAAGGCCATGGCAGAATACGTGCTGTAATGCTAGTCAGCACACGCGTCGGTGCATGCATGCAGATAGACGTCGATTCAAGCAACATTGTAGGAATAAGAGTGGGTACCGCATCGGGCCTCTGCACCATCTACAACATCTACAACGAAGGCACCAGCAACGATACATTGGACCAGCTCACCCAACACCTCGAAACATGCAATACGTCAACATGGGCCAACCGGCTCAAAGTATGGCTTGGGGACTTCAACAGGCACCACCACACCTGGGAGGGGGACAACAACTGTCACCTATGCAGTTCGACTGACGCCATCACTCCGCTACTCAACCTGATCATCGAACACGGCATGCAGCAACTCCTACCAGCCGGAATACCCACACGAGAGGAGAACAGGAGTCAAACTAGGCCAGACAACGTGTGGGCATCAGACGATATCGTCCACCGACTCGTAGAGTGCAATACATGGCCAGACCTTTGTCCAACAACAACGGACCACATCCCAATTGCCTCCATCATCGACCTCTCAGTTGCGAAAGTGGCCATCACGCCAAGGCCAAACTACAGAAGGACAAACTGGGAGAAATTCCGGGAAGGCATGGAAGACGCAGTCAAGAACGACCCAAGACTGGCAATCGAACCAACGCGCCCCGAGGAGCTGGAGCAGCTTGTCGAGCTACTCACAGGTTACATGCAGACAAAGCTCAAGGACACGACCCCGCTCAGCAAGGACCCAACATTCCGCAAGCCGTGGTGGAACAAGCAATGTCAGGATCTTCACAAATGCAAATGCCAAGCATACACAGAGTTGCGGTACTGGCGAGCATCCCCAGCCCACCCAAGTCATCAGTTTTACAAGGCACTGTGCCAAGAGATGAAGGAGATGGTACGAAGGAGCAAGGAGGCATTCTGGTGGAAGTGGATCGACGAGGCATCCGACACCGACCTATGGAACATCAACCGCTTCATCAAGCGAGGCGCCAATGATGGAAGTAGCGAGAGAATCCCCCCACTCAAAAAGCCGAACAGCACACTAACGCAAAGTAACGAGGAGAAAGCAGAGCTACTATGCGACGCATTCTTTCCACCTCCACCTGCACTCGCACTCCCCAGACCAAGGCCGGCACCTCAAACTGCACTTCCTCAGTGGACACCATACTCGATAAAGAGGGTGAGCAAGGCAGTTGGACGTCTCAAGCGCGACAAGGCACCAGGCCCGGACGGTATCCCAAATGCAGCAATTCAGGAAGCACTCCCAGCTATCAGTCCCATCCTCAAGAATGTATTCAATGCGGCCATTCGACTCTGGCACATTCCAAAGCAGTGGAAGGAATCAACTACAGTGGTCCTACGAAAGCCAGGGAAGCCAGCGTACAATATAGCCAAAGCATACCGACCGATCGTGCTCCTCAACACCCTCGGAAAGCTTCTCTCGGCACTCATGGCGGAGGACCTCACCTACATGTCCGAGCACTATGCACTGCTCCCACACTCTCAGTTCAGTGGTCGACCAGGAAGGACAACAACGGATGCCCTTCACCTTCTCACAAGCACAATCAAGAAGGCATGGAGGGAGTCAAAGGTGGCCAGCGCACTGTTTCTCGACATCCAAGCAGCATTCCCCAATGTTGTCAAGCCAGTCCTCATGCAGAACATGAGAGCAAAAGGGATCCCAGAGGAGTATGTGCAGACTCTCGAGAACATGCTGACAGGCAGATCCACGCGCCTCAAATTTGACGAGGTGCACTCCGCACCCCACGCTATCACCAATGGGAACAGCCAAGGATGCCCACTCTCGATGATCCTCTACCTATTCTACATTGCCCCACTACTGGAGATCGCAAACGGCAAGGACCAGCTCACCCTCGGGTTTGTGGACGACTCTACCCTGATCGCCATTGGCCAGAACTTCCACGACATGCACCTCGGACTGAAAGACATGATGGAACGTGAAGGAGGCGTACTAGACTGGTCACATTCGCACCACTCACCACTCGAGAACAACAAACTCGGGCTTGTCGACTTCACCATGTCATCCGAAAAGCGCAAAGGCTCACATCCCCTGGTCCTCGAGGCAAAGGACAGCAATGGCAGAACGTCAACAGTAACGATTCAACCCACCGACAGTTGCAAGTTACTTGGAGTGGTGATCGACCAGTCACTGCAGTGGAACAAGCACCAGGAGCTCGTGCACACAAGGGCAGTAAAGTGGACCTCACTATTCTCGCGTATACACAGGGCATTCCATGGCCTCCCAATCTGCTCAGGCCGCCAACTCTTCAACTCCATTGCCATTCCTCGCATCACATACGCTGCAGACATCTGGTACACCCCACTGTACACCAAGCCAGACTCCGCACGCCGGATGGGATCCGTAGCCATCACCAAGAAGCTGCAAGCCGTCCAACGTAGAGCCGCCATCGGTATCACAGGCGCTATCCGCACAACAGCAGGAGATACCCTTGATGCGCACCTCAATATGCTACCAATCGAAGAAACTCTACGCCTCACATGCCAGAAGGCAGCGGCCCGGCTGGCAAGCCTGCCCGCTACCCATCCTCTCTCCAAATTCGTGAAACGAGCATCAAGAGGACTCCTCCAGAGGCACAACGCCCCCTACATCGCATCTTCCACTCCATCGACTCCAAAGTAGACAACCTCAAAACCATCACCCCAGCATCACGCAACCCCAATGCCACTAACCCATTCACTATCTCAATAGAGGAGTCGAGGATGTTAGCGAAAGAGGCGGACAACAACAGCAATGGCAACAACGAGCAGGTAGTAGTTTATACAGATGGCTCAGGAATGGAAGGCATGATAGGAGCAGGTGCAGTACTCTACAGAGACAGAGTACGGATAAGGTCAGCAAGATTCCTGCTTGGAGAAGACACGGAGCACATGGTACATGAAGGAGAACTCGTTGGAATTGCACTCGGAGTCCAGCTAGCCAAGATGGAAAGGATCATCATACCATGTATCAAGATCAGCCTCGACAGCCAGGCAGCAATACAAGGAATGGAGAACGTCAGTGCCAAAGCTGGCCAACACATCATCCACAAGATCCACAGAGCAATAGACGAACTGCGCAACGATCAAAAGCGTAGACAAGAACTCGTAGAGGCGAGCAATGACGAGACAAGGATCAATTGATCGACTCAGATCACTCTCACATGGGTCCCAGGTCACGAAGGGATCGAGGGTAATGAAGCAGCGGACGAGGAGGCCAAGAAGGCCATCACAGATGGATCATCCACAGCAGCAACACTCCCACCATGGACGAAGGACACCCTCCCGCAGAATATCTCGGCACTCAGACAGGAACTCAAACTTGCAGCAAGGAAGTCAGCACATGACAAGTGGAAATCTTCAGCACGGTACAACAGGACCAGGCCCATTGACGAGACAATGCCATCCAACAAATATCTCCAAATCACAGATGAGCTAACGAGAGCAGAAGCAGCGGCACTTATTCAGCTACGTACAGGACATATCGGACTGAACAAGCATCTGAACCGCATCAACAGAGCGGATGCACCGTGGTGCCCACACTGTGGAGAGGGAAATGCAGAAAACATAACTCATCTCCTCCACATCTGCCCAGCGTACAATGCAGCGCGAGCCGAATGGGAAGGAGCATTGCGTGAGAAGACGAGAGAACCAGCGGAGATACTAGGGACAAAGGAGGGAATCAAGGAGACGTTGAAGTTTATCAGGAGGACGGGAGGATACAAACGGAAGGGAAAGAGAGTAACCAACTCACCAGAGAGACAACGCATATCGAAACCAAACCAACTTCACAGACAGTCAAGGCGATTGAAAGCAAGCAAAAGTAGCGTAGCAGAGCCACACCCAGAGGGAGATCTCGGCGAGGAGAGCGACAACTGCCTGCCTTCAAGGAGATGCATGTGCCAATGAAACCGAGGGTAACCCAGTAAGTGGGCTCCAGTTAGACAATGTGCTATATTGGCGGTGCCACTGCACAATAATACTTAACACAAAAAAAAAAAAAAAAAAAAAAAAAAACGCGTTGATGTCGTGATAGGCTTGAATAGAGAGCTGGATACGTGAGAAGAATTCAAGTTGTTGTACTTGTTGAATAATCTTATATATATTCTGGTCAGTGCTGAAAATAGTGACAAGTGGGATTGTACCTGCTTGGCAACATCCTTGTTATTTGATGCTGAATATGTGGCCTTCAAGTCTTGATGAAAGGCTTCTCCAATTATGCAGTGTAAATAGTCAGTTGTCCCCTTGTGTTGGACATTGGGGAACAAGTGGTTGAGTTGATGCATCTTTGGCCACTTGAATACATTTTCAGGAAAGACGTCACTATGCTTGACAACCTAGTAACATTTTATATTTGACAAGCGCTCAATCCTGGGGTGCTTACCTTTATATGCCTACCAAACTCTTCCACTAGTGACTTCCCATGTTCCAAGGTTGCTGTGGTTTGCTTTTGTAGCTGCGCTACTATGGAAATATTGAGTAGTAGACGGATTGCTTCAGGAAGCTCTACGCATCTTCCAATACCTTCGCAACAATCCCGACCTCAGCCTCACGTACTCCTGCTCGGACACACCCATCCCTGATGCTCTTGTTGATTACAGAGACTTGGACTGGGCTGGTGACGTCGATCAAAGATGGTCAACCTCCAGCTTTGTGTTTACAATGGCAGGGGGAGCAATTTCCTGGAGATCTAGACTTCAACCCATTGTCACGATCTCTTCAACTGAGGCCGAGTATGTTGCCACTGTCCCCACCTGCCAGGAAGCCGTATGGCTTCGTTGAATGGTTGCTGAGCTAGGTTGGACTTCAACGTCACCTACGCCTCGTTGCATAGACAATCTTGGCGCCATGGCCCTAACTTGAGCCCCAAAATCGCATCAACGAACACGACATATTGACCTGCAATATCACTTCATTTGCAAATGCATCAAAGAAGGTCTAATCAAACTGTAATGGATTCCTTCAATGGAGAATATAGTGGATCTCTTCACGAAAGCTCTCACTCCTGAAGTCTTTCGGCGTCTTATTTCCCTTTTGGGTTTGACACGGCATCCTGTGTGAGGGGGAGTGTTAGTTTGTTAGTTTATACATTACATTCTTAGCTTGTATTATCTTTCACCTGTAACGCCGGTGGCAGTGGTCCCTCACTCGGTTAATCTACAACCGCAGTGAGGTAAGACCACCGACTCTCTCATGCGATCATCCCTCACGCTCCATACTAGCTAATTAGACGTTGTCTATCAGGTAGTGTATTAGACTTGGTTAATCTACGACCGCAGTGAGCTAATTAGACGTTGTCTATCAGGTGGCTAATAGCTTCATCGTCGACCCTCCATCGTATCCAGCACTCCGTAGAGGAGGATTCTCTGACAACTCCCACGTCTTTGTAGGTATCATCCCTGTTGGTTCTCTGCCAGCCTCTCTGGATGGGGCGCACAAAGTGATCAAGGTCATTCTCAGAAGTAGTCAGTCATGCTCCCACTGAACTGTGGATCTTCTATATAGTAAGATAGGCAAACCTGTGCCGCATCTCGCGACCCGGATCAATATCCGGGAATACTCTGCTGTATGTGACCGTCATTCTCTTCTATCATAATTCATGCTATTCAATAGCTGCGTAAGGTCGTTTACTAACCGACTTACTCATTTGACTCTATTCTATCAACTCATTCAATAAATCAGCATTACGGCTCACATGGATTTTGGCGCAGCGGCTGTCAAGTACCTATTGTTGACTGGATTGCACTCGCTCGTGGTATATGGACGGATTATCACTTGGACACCCTCGGAGATTGTGTCCGGAAGAGACCACCTTTGAGCTGTCAACCGGGCTATTTGGGCCAGCATCCTGGCGGCTCAATAGTGGTACATTGACGCAATTATCCGGGAGGATCTTCCAATAGCCGTGCAGGTCCCCCACAATGCAAAACACGCGTGGGTATCGGCTGTAGTAGGAAGCCAAACCTTCTATATTCAACCACCCGAATGATAGGGGCTTAGGTTCGTGGACGTCCCTTAGCCCTCCCTGGCAGCATGCTCCGCCGATTCTTGTTCAGACAGCCCGCACCAACCCTGATTCACACCGATGAGGCCGTAATTGCGAAGTATTTTACTCCGTGCCTACCATGAGACGTCCCATGTGGAGAATTTTGCAGAAGTCGATGCGCATGACATGGAACCCTCGACTGCAGATGATACAGTCTCTTGAGCAACGCACTATTCATTGCACAAGGGGAAAGGATATAAAGCGCGCCTTTTATCAACAAAGTACACCATCCAACGCTGATCCTACTGCTGGACTGACAAATGGCCACCTTCTCCAAGCTCTTTTTCGCCATCTTTGTTACTGCTGGTGGTTCGTGATTAAACTTTGGCAGAGTATCTATAGCTGACATGCCTAGCCGCGAATGCGTGCTACATAGCATGCAACTCTAGCACTGCCGGCAAGTTCTCTCTCATTCACTTGAGCCAAAGGGTGAGTCTTAGCGAGCGCATCACTATTGACAACTTACATCAAATCTGCGTAGATCATGGTGGACAAGCCCAGTATGTAAACTTTAGCAAGGGTAGCTGTTCTGGTAGGGCCCAGATTCACGATGGATGTAGTGCTACCATCCTCCCTGTGAGCCGAGTAGCTTCTAATTTACAATGTGGAACTAATGAACTGCAGTCTTCTGGCTGCGGCTCTCTTTCGTGCACCCGCTGTCCCAGCGAGAAAGTTTGCTAGACGTTTGGGACTGCAAAAAGTGATCTTCGGATTCCTATTCTCATCGTGCTCGTGCAATGCGAATTTAGTTATTTATGAGCAAAGTCATGGGACGACCCTTCTACCTCTGCGTCGACTTGGCCAGCGCTTTCGACGTCGAATCGCATGCAACGCCGAAATTTGTACATTTGAACATGGCTCGTCAGCTGTTCTGCGTCTGAGCTCAGCATTTGAGCTTTGGGTCGAGATTGCATTTGGCCGAAGTTATTCCGCTCTCCTTTGCTCCCCACCGCTACTAGTTCTGAATAGCCAAGCCGAGCCCGAGCTGACAAACAATCGTACGTGGAGAACACGTACACGCGAATTCCTCGGGGAAAGTGATAACACCATAAAGACCTGACGCTGGTAGACCCCACACTTTGACCCGCCCTAGTCCTCCAACAAATCCTTCTGTCGTCAAAAATCCCAGATTAAACGTTACAAGGCAGAGAGATTGCCCAGAAGTCATGTCAGCAACCACCACGGCGCTCACGGAGACGATTCCTCGTCCAAATGTCGACGAAACCATTCAGCAAAAACCATATGAATATAACACGGCAATGACCTCAAAGGCGCAACTCCCTACTCCTTTAAACGAGCGAAATTCGGTTCATTCGGACCACCACCGACCGGGATCCAAAGCGGCTTCGTTCATGAGCCAGACGGGTCGAATCACGGGCCAGGAAAGGTCGCTGGATAGCAATGCGGGAGAAGGTGGGGTTGATGCCGTCACACCAGCGATGCGTCGCCGCGAAAAGGCTGTCATTGCCGCAATGTGTTTTGCCCTCTTCCTCGCAGGATGGAATGACGGGACTACTGGACCACTACTCCCACGTATTCAACGAGTATACGGCGTGAGTCCTAACCGAAAATTTTCGTTGTTGTTTTTCAACGCTTCACAGGTCAATTTTGCCGTCGTGTCCATCATCTTCATTTCCAACTGTCTGGTCCGTGTCTCTATAAGTTTCTACCACCTCCTTAGCTTTCGCAGGGGTTTATCTCAGGCGCACTCGCCAACGTATTCTGGACAGACCGATATCCCTTTGGCTCGGTACGTTCTACTCAAGCACGCAGTTCGACCAATGAACTCGAGTAGCTCATCATCGGCGCTTCTATTTGCCAAGTTGTCGCATACAGCATTCAATCAGCAGCACCACCCTTTCCACTTCTCTGTATCGCCTATGCTCTCAACGGTTTCGGTATCTCTATACAAGACGCACAGGCCAATGGACTCGTAGCAAGCGTACATGAACACGCAAGCGAGAAGATGGGACTACTTCATGCCATCTACGGCGTCGGAGCGTTCGCAGCTCCTCTCGTCGCCACCCAATTCGCCCAGTTGAGGAGATGGTCATTCCATTTCCTTGTATCTTTAGGAATTGCAGTGGTAAATACGGTCGTCTTGGTGCTGACGGTCAAGAACAAGTCTCTCGAAAGTACGCACAGACCCATGTTGTCTGCAATCTACTCACATTTGATAGATATTTTGCGTTCCATCGGGTCTCCACCAGCCGAGACCCATGCAGACGAACAACCGCCAAACATTGAAATGAGTTCCCTTGAGAACACCAATGCTGCAGAGGCTAAAACAGACGCCACTAAACCGAGCTCGATGAACCAAATTCTCAAGAACGTTACGGTTCAGCTCATGGCTATCTTTATTCTGGTTTACGTTGGCGTCGAGGTTACCATTGGAGGCGCGTGCTCTTCACTGCATCCCAACTTCCCGCTGACCTAGTGTCTAGGGTGGATTGTCACCTACTTGATTGATGTTCGAGGCGGTGGACCCTCGTCAGGTTATGCATCGTCTGGATTCTTCGGAGGTCTCACCTTTGGACGTATTGCGCTACTATGGGTGAATAGAGTCGTAGGCGAGCGGAGAGTTGTCTTTATCTACGCGGCACTAGCCATTGGGTACGTCGCATTATCCTGTCCTCTATCTCTTCATGTTCTCTCTTTCAACACGCTGACACCCAAGTAGATTTGAGTTGGTCATCTGGCTCGTCCCTTCGCTCGTCGGAAACGCCGTCGCAGTCTCCATCATTGGTATCCTTCTTGGACCAATGTACCCTCTGTGTATGAACCACGCCGGACGCGTCTTACCACGGAGAATTCTCACTGGATCCATCGGATGGATGGCCGGGTTCGGCCAGGCAGGGTCAGCAGTAATTCCGTTCATGACTGGTGCGCTCGCGAATCGATTCGGCATCAAGTCCTTGCAGCCATTGTGGGTTATACTGCTCCGTCGAAACATAAACTCACATTGAACAGGTTGGTCGCCATGATGGGACTCATGACCGCTCTATGGGCTGTCATCCCAAATCACGCGAAGCGTCGCGATTGAGTCAAGCTCACCACGAAGTATGTCCAACTGAGATATCGGAGTCTTTAAAGACGATACAGGCGTCTTGAAACTATCATGCGGATCTCTATTGAAGATAATAAGAAATGTTTACTGCACCCGCGGGCAATAATGAGGACCCAGAGCGGGTCTAGTGCGGTCCCTCGTTGCGGCTGAGCGACAAGAGATCGATTTACTATTCGGTCCGGCGAGACTCATATTCGACCTGATGACCCAGTCGGATGTCAATGTCGCTGACTTGGACTATGACTGATATGCCCTGAGTTAGATATCCTGGACGAAAGGAGATTCTTCCAGAGCCGTGAACCGGTAGGTCAATCAGCTAGATCAACTTTTCTAGATGACGTCTCTGCCAGCGCCACTTTACCGTTTGTCTGCCGCGGCAACAGAGTACGTACAACCCTGAAAGTGTATCCTTGCGAGTTTCTGCGGCCATTCATCTATGAACTTGGCGTGATCTTTACTACCCGCGGGTATTCCGTCTGTTCGGTACTTCGAATAGCCTAGACACCAAGACCGGCTGACAAATATTCGTACGTGTAATACACGTGAACGCGAATTCTTCGAAGTAACCGATAACCTATAAGACGCGACTCTCGCCGACCCCGCACTTCCAGACCCAAATCATCCTCCCTCGGTTTCTGAGTTGGAGAGCTAAGATCACTGCAGAAGACCAAAAGCTACAAGAGAGTGATGTCAGCGACCATAACTGGCATAACAGAGGCCGCCCTGCGTCCAAATATCGATGCGGATGTTCAGCAAAAGCCGCACCAACATGAACTAGCAGGATCATCGAGATCTTATCCTCCGGTGTCTCTTGACGGGCGTAATTCGACTCATCCAGATACTCACCGAGCCCGATCCAAAACCGACTCGTTGATGAATGGCCCGACCACAACACAAGAACAAGACATGGATGTTAATAAAGCAAAGAATGGAGTCGAAGCTATCACACCTGATATGCGTCGCCGCGAAAAGGTTGTCATTGCCCCAATGTGCTTTGCTCTCTTCCTCGCAGGATGGAATGATGGGACAATAGGTCCATTACTCCCATGTATTCAAAGTGTCTACGACGTGAGTACCTGCTGGAAGATTTCATCATCAGTCCTCAGTGTTTGACAGGTCAATTTTGCCGTCGTATCAATCATCTTCATCTCGAACTGTCTGGTTTGTACCATGTTGAGTGCCCATCACCATCTTAATCTCCCTAGGGATTATCTCAGGCGCAGTCGCCAACGTGTTCTGGACGGAACGATACTCCTTTGGCACAGTATGTTCTCCCCCTGCAGGCAGATCGACCAATGAACTCGAGTAGCTCATCATCGGCGCTTCTACTTGCCAAGTTGTCGCATACAGCATTCAATCGGCGGCACCACCCTTTCCACTACTCTGTATCGCCTATGCTCTCAACGGTTACGGTATCTCTATCCAAGACGCGCAGGCAAATGGACTCGTAGCCAGCGTACATGAGCATGCAAGTGAGAATATGGGACTACTTCATGAGATCTACCGCGTCGGGGCGTTTGCGGCTCCGCTTGTCGCAACGCAATTCGCTCAATTGAGGAGATGGTCATTTCATTACCTCGTCTCGCTGGGAATTGCAGTCTCCAATACAATGATTTTGGCTCTGACCGTCAAGAATAAGAGTCTTGGCAGTGCGTACCTTCTTCCACGACCTACAGAGTACTTATTCTTGGTAGACATTCTACGAGCTATTGGCTCACCACCTGTTGAGACGTACGTGATAGAGGAGCTCTCGAACATTCAAATGAACTCGCTTGAGAGCACCGAAGCTGCGCGGCCTCTGAGGGACATCAAGCAACAGAGCTCGATGAGCCAAAATCTCAAGAACTTGGCAGTACAGCTTATGGCCGTCTTTATCCTTGTTTATGTTGGAGTTGGGGTAACCATCGGGGGTAAGTAACATTCTTGAAGCAGAGTCGAAGTCACCTAACGATAGGGACCTTTAGGGTGGATCGTCACATACTTGATTGATGTCCGAGGGGGTGGACCATCCTCAGGGTATGTTTCATCTGGGTTCTTCGGAGGTCTTACCTTGGGCCGTGTCGCCCTACTCCGGTTGAACAAACTTGTCGGCGAGAGAAGAGTGGTCTTCATCTACGCGGCATTGGCTATTGGGCACGCCCGTTTCTCTGTATTTAAAACATTCTTACTCAATTCCACTGCTACGATCTCATGGAAATAGGCTTGAACTGGTCGTCTGGCTCGTCCCTTCTGTTGGAGATTAGCCGAAGAGTAATCAAGGATTACACGGCTCTGAGTCAGGCTCCCCACGGGCTAATTGGTATAGCCTCATAGATAAACTTAGTTAGTAATCGTCAGCTGTAGCATGTATATAAGAGCGATGAGCGACGTCTCAATCATAGATAGAACTTATCTCCCCACTCTCATTCGTCTACCAGGACTCACCGCCTGAAGAGTCTCTGCGTATATATTCGCTCTACATAATCTGTACACACATAGTATTCTACAGGTTATGAGCCCTGAGCTCTAACCATCGACAAAACGATTACACCCCTATTTGTCAGACTCTTTATAATACACATATCAGCAAGCGATCGCCATGGCAGAATACAAAACATCGTATACAATCGATAGACTCAACTCAGGAAATTGGGAGTCGTGGAGACTTCACATGCAGGCGCTCTTAGAAGAGCGAGGGCTCTGGGATATTGTCACAGGTGCATCACCCAAACCAGTCGTAGATTCGACAGCATCGAAAACTCAAAAAGCGGCACTGGAGGAGTGGAATACGAAGGATGGAAAGGCCAGGCGACAGATGATTCTGTGCATGGATAGCAGTGAGCTGCGCGATACAAGCGGAGCTACTACTTCGAAAGCACTGTGGGATCTATTGATCTCACGGAAGGAGTCGGCAGGCAGCGCTGGGCTGAATAGCGCACTTGCATCGCTGTTCAAGGCGAAGGCCGAATCTGAGGCAGACATTCCGGAGCATCTGAAGAAAATAAAGGATCTCCAGACGCGTATTAACACCTATGGGTTAAAATATGCGCTCAATCTGCCCGATTGGCTATTTACGTCAATTATGATCAACACCCTACCAAGTTCTTGGGAGCCATTTACAAATGCGTATTCGGGGTCCCTTATCGCCAGGAAAAGCGACGAAGAGACATCCCCATATCGGGTTAGCTCCCAGGAGATGGAATTAATCCTTATGGACGAGTGGAGACGGCGAAATCCCAGCGGCACGGTGGCTGAAGAGACGGCACTCTTCACAAACAGCACTGGGAGAAATAGAGGACTCAGGTCGAGGCATGGAACCCAAAAGTGCTATCAGTGTGGCAATATCGGCCACATTGCACATGATTGCACACAGATGCCATGGAGGAACCAAATGAAGAAGGAGAATCAGTCAGCAGGACAACATTACGCAAACTTTACCGATCAATCGGGAGATCCATTCGAAATAGTATGCTAGGCAAGAGAAGGCCAGAACCCTTGGACCTGTGTGGCCCATTGGCAATAGCGACCTGTGTGGTCCAGTTTGGAAGCCCTGTGTGGGCATAAACGACCGAAACATTCCTGTGTGGATAAATTTTGGGACAAGAAGGTTATATGACGCTGTGTGCGCGTAATCTCTTGATTATGGGGGAGTGTTGGAGATTAGCCGAAGAGTAATCAAGGATTACACGGCTCTGAGTCAGGCTCCCCACGGGCTAATTGGTATAGCCTCATGGATAAACTTAGTTAGTAATCGTCAGCTCTAGCATGTATATAAGAGCGATGAGCGACGTCTCAATCATAGATAGAACTTATCTCCCCGCTCTCATTCGTCTACCAGGACTCACCGCCTGAAGAGTCTCTGCGTATATATTCGCTCTACATAATCTGTACACCCATAGTATTCTACACCTTCCCTAGTTGGAAACGCAGTCACTGTATCCATCATTGGCGCCCTTCTTGGGCCAATGTATCCGCTCTGTATCAATCATGCTGGGTGGATCCTTCCACGCAAGATACTGACCGGCTCCATTGGACGGATCGCCGGATTTGGCCAGGCTGGGTCTGCGGTAATTCCGTTCATGACTGGTGCTCTAGCGAGTCGATTCGGTATCAAGCCTTTGCAACCATTGTGGGCTATATACTCCGTCAAAACGTAAACTCACGTTTAAAAGGTTGGTCGCCATGATGGGACTCATGACTGCCCTATGGGAAATCATTCCTAACCACGCAAAACGTCGTGATTGAGCCAAGGTCACTACGGAGACGTGTAAGTATGCAGGTGCATTTGCTTGGATGTCACCACATACTCCCTGCTCATCAACGTGATCGATGATTCATACTTTATCACGAAATGGCGATTATTAGAAGAGCTAGTCTGCTCCGGTTTTTTCGAGTTTGCTCTTACGGCTGGAGAACTGCTTGTGTTCTGTTGTGCTTGCTGCCACTACTAAGTGGTAGATGACGCATGATGCTTCTCACTCCAAGTCGATTTGTGTCCCCAGGTATGTAATTCACAACTATGAGCATCTTTTTTTTGGGACTACGGGCTCAACCAAGATAGTCCAGAACGTACTAGCACTCATCCCGGCCACGTTCACCTTGGGAGTGACGCACCACGCGAGTTCCGAATAGCAGTACGATCTCCAGCCCCAATTTAATTAACTTTGAACATTTGGGTATGCCTTCTCCAGTAGCCTCTAGCGTCTATCTCTAGTTGGAATGACATCGCCATTGGCTCGTTTAAATAGATCCTTGTGTTGTGATTATAATTCACTCCACATGGACAGGTACGAGGTCGTCCACTGCTTTGTATCATTTACATCTCCTCCCCAGAATCTTTTCACGGACGAATTGGGCTATAATTTAAATAATAAAGGACCCTATTCTCTAATCCAACTCTTCTATGCTTCGCCGACGGGATGGGGACCAAATAATATGGGGATTCTGTTGAGAGTGCCATTTAGCCGCATTCCGGTGTTTGGCAGCGGCATCCGCATGTTCCTTTGATAGTTTCCTATTGCTCTCGGCCAGACGAACGTCTGAGGAGTTGTCATAACCCTATCTCATTGTCAGCAAACCACTCTTCGGCACGTTATAAGGCTCAATCACGGACCTGGCTGCTGCCATCCAGGCATGATTACCGTGTATCTCGGCTACATCCCGGAATTGTCTTGCTGACTCCGCATGCTTGGCGGCCTCTGAACGGTGATACTCTGCCCACTTTGCGTGTGTTGCGGGCCCCTTCATAGGGCTAAATGATGGGAGGGTCTGGGTAAGTATTTTTGCGCATTCCTCGCGCATGAACGTACTTAGGGAGTGGAGCAGCAGTCCCCAATAGAACAGCCGAGGCGAAAAGTACGGCAAAGAAACCGACGCGCATTCTGAACAGGTTCCAAAGAGAGAAAGTAGAAAATGAAACTGGGAGTGATGAAATTAAAGCCTGAGAACCAGTCTGAGGACTGGGGGATTGACGGAGAGATGCTCTTTATAGGAACCGCGGCGGCCACCTTCGGACTTGGATCACCGTATACACTAGTGTCCTTCTTTTCTTCCTAATATGCTGAATGCACAAGTCACGCCGAGTAGGACTTCAAACGCTGCGCTTGCTAGCGCCCCACGGCGCCGGGCGACCGTATTGTGGGAGCACCCTCTGTCCAATTCAGTTCCGTTCATTATGCTACATCTTCGCTCCCTACAATACAACCTCTTTATGTTGACTATTCAGATTCGTCGACGTAAGGATTGGCTCTGCATATCAAACGCGACCGGAGGGCGGAATGACTTTGTGGATGAACGGGTACCGTATAGGGTATATAGCACGTTATATTGAAATGTGAATACTATAATCTCAGTGTCTAAGGCTAAGTCGATGTGAATCCGATAATGTTCCATGCTTCCACGGCGAAACACTGCGTCTGCAGTACATCGCCAATGTTAGGCCCTTTTCCCAGTCACAGACTCAATTTTAGATAATAAATAGATATTACCGAGCCACTATCTTAGCACTACACACACAGCAACCTTTCAGAGGCGGCTGGCTGAACTGAGAACATCTGGTCGATTTGCTCTCGAAAACTATTTGCGACGGGGAGGAAACGCCGCATGAAGGCTGCGTATTGGAAGTGTATATGCAGGAAAGAGAAAGAAACCTACAAACCGGTGATGTTCCACGGTCATCGCCCCACGGCATCGTCGAACATGAAGTGGGTCGGATGAGACGGGTTCTGCCCTATCCCCAGTAAAAGCTCAGCGAAAGAAATTATCCATGAGATGGTTCATCATACGACCTGTGTACTTGGCATCGTAGATGGACATCGGTTTGAGCCCTTGAAGAACCAGTGGAGCATGTCGGACAGTTGATAAGCAGATCTCTTCCCTATCTACCCGAAATTCTGTGTTGAGAAGTAGGCTCCTTCTTATAGCAGCCGACACTCACGCTGTGGGTCCTTGCGCGTCTGTCAGACGACCCTCCCTTGACATTAGCGTCAATGCGCCGTCATAATGAATTAGTAGCCAGCGATCTGATCAGTGCAGTGCGTCAGATTGGTAAGAGTGCGCTCGAAGGGGGACGCATTCTCCCGAGTGGTCCTTCCATCGTGTACTGATCGCTCACTGCGGTCGAATGTACCTGAACATGTGTTGCCAGTTAAATCAGGATATGAAGGAGACCAGATACAGCAAAGAAGTCGACTGGCGGCTGACTCTGTCATACAAAACTCTGCGAGGAAGGTGGAGAGTACGACAATGTAGAGACGCCCTTGTGATGAATTGAAACCACCTCTCATGAGAGGACTTGTCAGTGTCATTCCGCAGTGATTCACGGAGTATTCTCCGTCAATTGATCCGGTGCCGCGAGAAAATGGCGCAGGTTCGCGGCGGACAGCCTATTTTTTTGTGTATAATGCGGGGAATCCGTAAAAATTCTGACGTGCGACGGCTTCTAACGGCATCCCTGATCAATTGATGGCTACTTCCAGCTCTGCTCTCGCAGACAGGATGGTACGGGTTCGTCAGACAGTTGAGAGCTCCTTTTCGTGGCTTTTACAACTTGAGATCATTGAGAAGAATTCATTGTGGTGGGCATAGCTTAAAGGTGGTTATCAGAGGCAAGCTTGACCTTCAGCCACCTTCAAGGGCATTGCGAACCTGCATAGAAGGCATTTATTTGTGGGACTTCACAAGCTGTTTCAAATCCCACGTCTGGAGAATGGTGGAAACGCACTTCTGCGAGGAATTACGGTTCTTACTGGACACCGCAACTTCAATCTTGGCTCACTCTCTTCTTGAAGAAGCGTCTTTAATCAGCCTTCGTCACCTGTCTGACAACGCGGAGCTAGGAGTGCGCGCTATTCCCCGAACATCTTCTTGCCGCATTTCCAGAATGTCCATGGAATTCGCGAGGTTCAAGTATGTACTCATGTTTACCGATTTCTCCAGAGTCTGCTGATGCATCAGCCACTTGCCAACTCGTCGAGCCTCTCTATATGGTGGTTTACTCTACCCCAGGACACTAGATACACATTTTATTTGTATCTGATTCATTTCGGGTCCCATAAATTCGTCCTTTTCTTCGCCGTTGCCACAAGTTTGTGCCCAGGTGGGGAAGTCTCAACAGGGATGTTCTGTCTGACCCGGAAAGTGTCTCTCACCGAGTACACCAACAGTATGGTGACACAGATTGAACGGCATCCGCGAGTATGTCCGCGTTTAGTTGGCAATGTTCATGATAGCTGAGCGACCTGGCGACACGACACTGTCGGTACTGGACCGAGGCATCTGGCGCTTCACCTTGCCTTGATTAAAACCCGATACCTGCGCGATAAAGATTCATGGAAAAAGGTATCCCGTAGCGCGAACTCCTGTCACTGTCGAGGCAGGCCGAACGACGACGAGACGTTGCAGTCATCTCCTGTGTGGTAGTATGTATGCGCTCGACTCGTCAAAAGTGAGCTGCTTTCCGATGTTCATCGGCTCATATATCGCTGGTACTGTGATTCCAGTTCTCTCAAATTGGTACGCTCACTGTCCGCCTCGGCGACGCTCTCTTTCCAGAATGGACGATTCATGTACGCGTGAACATCCGTCATCACGGAGCTCCACCAGTTGGGAGCTCATATCCTTGAAGAGTTTAAGCGCGTTCTCTAGTTTCGAGTAGCATTGTCAGCGGTCTAAAATAGTGGAGATATATAAGAATGACAGTTTTCACTCATATCATATCCCATGTAGACAGGGCACATTCATACACACCAGTATTTACATCTCTGAAGAATCATCATGTACAGACTCGGTTATATTAGGGAGAGCAAAGGAAATACATCCTCTAATCCAACTCGGCTATGCTCCGACGACGATGTCCAGCGGGAATCTGCGAAGCATGCCAGTTGGCTGTGGCCTGGTGTTGGTTACGCTCTCGAATATGACGAGCCGCTGTGTTCGTCGCTCTGACGGATTTATGTAGATGCTCATTAGCGGCTTGGTGGTCGCCCCTATCTCATTGTCAGCATCCGATACTTCTGCATCTTCCATGGGTCGATTCCCCGACAAACCTTTCTTGGGCCGCCGCAGCATTAGCCAGATGTCTATGTGAATCATTCTGGTGAACTTGTACCCGAGCATTATGGTGGTCTGCCAGTGCTTGGTGAGTTATTTGTCCTTGTCGGTGAACCGAGTAGGGGTCTTCAGGACTGGAAAAATGAGGATCTGTGTGAGTATGCAGGCGCATTTGTTCCGTTCTAGCGTACCTAGGGATTGGAGCGGCGGAGCCCAAGAGAGCAGCCGAGGCGATAAGTACGGCGAAGAAACCGACGCGCATGATGAACAAGTTGCGAAGAGAAGAGAAGAAAGAATAAAAAGATGAAATAAAAGATGAAAGTGAGAGTTGAGAACCAGTCTGGGGAGTGGATGGTTGACGAACAGATGCTCTTTATAGGAATAAACGCAACCTCGGACTTGCGTCGCCAGATGTACTATCGTGACATCCTTTCTTCCCTGAGACACTGGATATACGCCTCCGCGGTCATCGCCCCACGGCATCGGGCGAGCGTATCGTGTGACAACCTTCAGCCTGATTCAATTACGGCGGGCCAAACACGGCCGACCAGGATGACTTTTTATGTTAAAGGCGTCGCATAGAGCCTATAGTACGTTAAAAATGAAAAGGGACACTAGATTCGGTGGACCAAGGCTGAGTTCGTGCGAATCAGATCTGTTCCATGTTTCCACGGTCAAAGAAAAACATCCGGAGTAACATGGCCGATTGTAAGACTTTCGGCTATGTAGTCATAGCCGCAAGAGGAATTGCAGTGCGTCTGCCCCTCTTCTCCCTGGCCATTGAAAGGGACTGTACTCTGGGGTTTAATAAATGCGATTTCCGTCCGTTGCCTGCTCTGTCAGCTCAGCGTCAACTGGACTTCCCAAAGCAATAAATTACCTATATATGAGCCTGGAGGACAATGGCTTGCCCACTACACTAGTCCTGCGTAGGGTAAAATACTTCAGAGCATCCGAGCACGCACCAGCCTAGGTTCCGCTCAGCAAAGGGAGCCCTATACTCAGACGCGGTGCAGCAGTTTTCTCGTGGCTGTTCATTGGAGATGAATCACTTCAATACATAGGGAGAGACAACACGTGTCTAGGTCGAATTGTCTGAGCGGATGCCCATGACTTTTGCCATTGCCGACGAAACCCAACTCTCAAACTTGGTCACGTCCATCTTCCCAGCACTGTCAAAGAAGGCAGCATACAATGATTCTGCACGCTCCTTTCCCTGGGAGACGAGTCAACCACAGCAATCTACGAGAAGGTCATAAACTCACCATATGAATGACAGTTTTGCCCGTGTTGGTTGTCCTCAAATAGGAAATGGAAATCTGATAAGACGGTGCATTTGTTATCGATGCAACGCTAACGGTGGCCTTTGAAGGCGGCGGGAGCGTCTTGCTTTCGACACGTATCCGTTCCGTCTCGACGCGTTTGGCGTACGTCTTGCGCTTTCCGATAAATATAGTCTCTCCCTCGATGAAATACGTGTACAGCGTCTGCGCTCCAGATAGAAGAATGTACCTAGAGAAGACCACGACGAAGGGTTGCCATAAGATGAGCACACGAGCGCGATCAAATGAGTAAATTTTAACACTCACAGAATGACTCCAGCCCATACAGCAGGCTTACTCTTTTCAAAATCCACCTTGTAGCCGTAAAACGCTGTCAACCCCGCCACGATAACACTCGCCCATCCCAACACGAGCTTGACATCCGTATGTCGATGTGAAGTACGGAAGCTCGTATCTGCATGCGCTATATACCGCCGCAGCGCATCGTCACACGCGACTTTGAGTTCGTTGGCGTTTGCGTTATTCACTCGGACTTCTTCTGGTGTCTCGCTCAACGGTGGAGGAGGTACTGGTGCTCGTAGAGGAGATGTCGGTGGCTCAGGAGACGCCATGCTGCGTCGTTTGGGCGGCATCGTGTCCAAAGTGCTGGGAAACGTTGGGGTCAACCTTGGGTCTGGGACAAATCCACTCATTAAAATATCTACGGGACCACAATAATTATATTCGACCGTTTATTTGTTACAGAGTCGACAACTCCAATGGAAACGTCTAGTAACCCGAGCCGTGAACCTGGACATTCCTCGTCAATACTCACTCAGTAAGAGAGAGAGAAACATACCTTTTCTCTGAGCATGTTGAGATATTGCTGGTAGCTCGGAGTTTGATCCCCTCTATCTTGGATGAGAGTGCTGAGAGCCCACTGTCGGAGCGCTGGCTCGCCATCTTCCTTGACGAGGTAGAGGTGAGGCCAATACACGCCACGACGCATCTCTCGAATCTTCGCGATGACAGCGTTGACACGTTGATTAAAGTCGTTGTCCAGTATCGGGAGCGTAATCTTGAAAGAGTGTCAATGCCAATCACCTCCCAGTCGAAGGTCCATACCTTGCCACTTTGTAGCATATCGTAGCGCTCTACATCGAATACATCTTGCACGAGCTGCGGAATCGCGTCCCTTCCGATCCACAAGAAGATGTTTTGGCCATCTTCCATCAAGAAGAGTCCGTGACGGAGGAGTCGTTCGCTCGTCAAGGGAAGAGGCTCCGGCATGATGATACCACGTTCTCCAACCGTACCCGCCTAATCTCGATCAGCCCTCTTCAATAGAACACAGGAATCACATACCTCTGGTGCCATCTCGATCAACGAGTAAAAGTTGGGGTGAATATACGGAACGACCAACTGAGGCGGTACGCTGGTCAAAAGGGCCTGTGCGTACGCACGAAGATCTGACGGGATAGTCGTACTCTGCCGAACAGCAATGTTCTTGACGAGACCAAGGGTGAGCACCGGAAGCATCTTCATATTGTCCGCAATGGCGAGTTGTGCGTTGGCTCCAGCTCCACCGGCAGTCATTGACGTTCGGTACGCGGTCATTATGTCAACCAGCTTGTTCGCAACGGCATCTCGAGCATCATCAAGTTTGTGCGAAAGACTGCGCTCGACGGCACGACGGCCAAGATAGGTCACGAGACCGATTTGGTCGACCGATGCGTAAACTTCAGATATACTGCTAGTCGTCGGGAGTGCAAGGTTGACCACACGAATTCTTCGTTCGCCTGTAACCTGTCAGAAAGGAGCATTCGATCCGTGAAGGAACGACATACCAAAGCAGCTAGTGTGAAGAACAGCTGTCTGGAAGACGACGAATGGAACAGTGAGCGTCTCTTCAATTACAACCTCCATGGTATATGTCTGGTCAACTGGAACCGACGCCAACGAGAGAAGGTCCGTAGACCTGACGAAAAAGTTGCCGTCGAAGCCGGTCATACGAAGGCCTGGACAGGCATTAGTGAAGGAAGTACGAGTTATATCAGCACTCGCCTCTCGATGCGCGCACACGAATCACCGCCTCCAACCCAATCGGGCTGGCGAGGACTTCGCCAAACTCGTGGGCAAACTTCAGAGCATCCTCTGACCTTGCAGCGTTGAAGGCTGGGTAGAAGTAGGTCTGTCCAGCAGTATAGCGGGGCAAGCAACCTGTCATGATGATCAGCGATTACCCTCCAACTCCCTAAGTGACCTACTCAAAGTTGCGACGTCTTGATAGCCACTGGCGAAGAGGAACATGTCTACTGAGACTTGGCTTCGCGAGCAGTCGATTGCAAACGTCTTGTAGAATGGAGACGCCGGCTGCAAAAGATTCGACTCCTATGAGGGTGTAAGCCTTGAACATTGAGATGAGGGGTGTGGTCACCTTGGATGTTCCGAAGAGCTTGGGATCATCGCGATCCTTGAGAGAACCAGCTCCAAGGGTCGGAAGGCTTGCACTTAAGACCATAAGCTTTCCGCCAATGGGCGACTAGAAAGAACTAAATCAGCTAATAACAATATACACATGGAAAAACTCACAATCAACTTGTATCCCGCCTGCAAAGCAGGTCCCATGGCGCTCGGGCTCTGCGGCACGCCTTGCATACCAGGTGGACCCATCGCCGGAGGCGCAGCAAACATCTCGTTAATCCGACCAAGCAACGACTCCAACCCCTTTCGATTCTCCGACAAATTGAGCAACAAGTCGCTCGGCCTCGGCAAAAACACGTCGTCCAAATCTGACACGACCATCATATTAATCTCGGGTTCCTCCGTCGTCTGCGGTACTTGCTCCGCCTCTCCATCTTCCGCATCGGGGTTTGCTGCTGGTGCTGCACTCGCAGAGGGTGGCGCCGAGACGCTAAAGAAGTAGAGCGACGTGTCAAACGCAATCACCGCGACCTTTGTCCTCCCATCCGTATTCGGAATGCGTCCAAGGCTTTCGAGAATCGTCCTCGTCGCCGTTGCCAACATGCCCGTCTGCACCGCCGCTGGGCTCACATCCAAAAGAAAGACGTAGACGGGCGGCTGAGGCGGTCGAACCATGTACTCTGTCGGAGCGACGAATTCGACGACACTGCGGTTGAGCTCTGGACGAGACCAGCGGTCGATTTGGGTGTTGGTTGCACGATCCCAATCGTATTCTGCTGGGACCTCGTTTGAAACGTTACACATGATGCACTTCCATCGCGAGCCACCGTCGATAAAAGTCACGTATGGGTTGATGTACGCACGGCACCTACGGCATCGCGCAATGACCTGGTCGCTGATGATTGGAACGGGCTCGTCTGCGGGGTCGATGCCAGCTGCCGCGGCATCACCCTCAGCTCCCTCTGGAGATGGAGGGACGGACCTGTGAGGGGTGATTACGAGTGCGAATGGAACTTTGGTCTTGGACAAAAGGGAAGCCGTTGTCGGAACGGCGTTGATTGTGGAGCGTTTATAAGATGGGTCCGCGTTGGCGTAGGGTGACTGGGTGACTGATGCCTTTTCTTTTTGTCAGTCAAATCTAATGCGGGCCGCATCACTCACTCCTGGGGGAAGGCGAATTTCCGGTGGAGGCCTGGAGAGCTCGATCGGATCAGGCGGCATTGTCAACAGGTTCACAGTATGGAGTGAATACTGTAGCCATCAGACAAGTGAACATCTGTAACAAAGCAACGTACAGGTTTAGCGCCGCCCATGCCCATTTGCGCAAACTGATTGTTCAGTTGGTCCATTCCGCCATACCCAGCTCCTGGTGCACCAGCTCCATGAAGCTCTTGACCAGGAGGGCCTTGGAGTGGATTCGATGGATGCTGAGGATTTGCATTATACCAACCTTGTTGCGGTGGTTGGCCATATCCAGGTCCCGGCGTAGTGTATCCCACTTGAGCTTGTTGCTGCTGCTGCTGCAGAAACCCAGGCTGTTCTCCAGCAAGTCCTGGTGTAAAGACACCTCCGCCTCCTCCATAGCCTGGTGCAGCAGCCGCAGCCGGAGGGCCTCCAGCGTAATATCCTCCTCCCACATCACCGCCATACGAAGGCTCCGATGATCCATAGTAGGCTTGAGATTGACCAGCTGCATACTGGCGTCGTTTGGTATGACCTCCTGTGCTTGTATGTCCTGCAGGCGTGGCAGGGCTCATCGCATCTTGAACGTGCGGAGATGGAGCCTCGAGCTCTCCGTAGGACGTATTCTGAGGAAATTCCCATTGCGTGTGTCCACTTTCAACCTCTGGAAATGCACCGTCGCGTTAGCATCATCGTCTTTCGCGCCCTCAAAATCGACACGAACGCACCAATAAAGAGGTATCGCTGGTGTTCAGCGTTCCTGTAGAGCCATGGGAAATACAGAATGAGCAATTGTACACGTTTAAAACGTGGCGTACGGACCATTGCGCTTCCCATCCAGGTGGCAATTCTTCTTGCGAGGCCATCAAACTCGTTGGTGCGCGCGTATACGTTGCCTAGACGTCGTGAAAGAGGTGTTTTTGGTGGATCGGACGCGCGTTTGTACAGGCCAAACGGAGCTGAGAATGCGGTCGAGTCCAAGGTTTTGGGAGCAGAGGGTAGGTGACGATGCCACGCAAGTCTCTGTTTATGGATTTCCAGTGACACGTACAACTCGCACAGTCACAACTACAAGGTTCAGTACACGTCGCCCATTTACGTAGCGAGGTCATTGCTCGAGAATGCAAATAGGCTAATGTTATTCATAGACAATTCCATCGGGAGTTATGCTAAAGCACGATCAAGACGTTTCAATCACCCTCACACCGCGGCCTCGTGGAAGAATCCAGTCGCGCATGTGGATGAGCCCCCACATGATGAAGAAGATGATAGTCTCTGCGACAGGAATGCCGACAATGTATGCGGCAACATGTGCATTGGATTTGTGTGGGTCCAAAAAGCTATAGACTGAATACAGGTGAGTCCTCCCATCATGGTATATTGAACGCAACGTACCCCAGATGTTTTGAGTATCGTGCACGAGATACGCAAGACCGAGGTAGAGACCAAGAGTAATGATGCAGAAGATCCAGTATCCAAGATGGAGGCGCACTCGTCCAAAGAGGAACTCGATGACCAAAAAGGCAGTGTTCATAGCATGCATGCTAATATTTGTCCAGGCTATCAGAAATGTCAATAGGATGTTCGGAATTCAGTCTGGTGAGAGAGGACATACAGGTGAACGGCGTTTGCCAGGTTTCTGCGTCTGCCAAGATAGCCCAGTAGACGATAGTTACAATAAGCGCTATATCAAATGAATATGCGGTTCTACGAATGAAGGGATGGTTACTCACGAAACGTGATGATCGTGCTAAACAGATAGAGGTGCAAAAACTGTAAGAATTTACCCCATTTCTGGAGTGGATACCAAGGAGCACGCGACGTCTGATGCTTCCTGAGTTGCCTGAGAGACAAGACGAAAAAGCCCGAGTGGAACGACGACGCGCAGAAATAAGCAGTGAGGCCAATCCACGTAAGACGGGTGAAATAAATGTAGTATCTAGACATATTATTCAGTACCAAACATCTTTCCACTCCGAATCAAGGACGTACTCGTCTCCGGGCCGACGTTGTACGTCGGCGTAGATAATGAGATGGGCCAGAGCCGTCGCCAATGAGTATACAGCCAACACCAGTCGTATAATGAATAAGACCCAAGGCTTGACGAGACCGCTCGTGACCAATCTGTATTTAGGATCAAACGGTTCGTGAAGCCCAAACCAGCTATGGCCCTCTGAGCGATCCTTTCTCCTCCTAAACCACATTTTGAGGCTGATTAGATATCTTTAGGCTTGTCCGCGACGCTCTTGAGGAAACGACGGTGCTGGCAAGGTCCAAGCGCGGGGCAAGTTTCAAAACGGGTGGACGGAGGATGCGACTACCGGAAGCGCCCTTCGAGCGGACAACTGAATGGGTTTATCCGCGTGCTTTGGAGTAGACGATGAGAGTCGTAACGATTCAGGCGGTCTCTTTGATCCTTGGTCCATATGAACCACGGAGGCCGTGTCGTTAGGCCTACAATTATTCACGGGAGCGAGGAAAGCCAATATTCTCAGGCGCTGCACCGTGCATTTGACTTCAGGGGGATGCATTAGTTGAAACGGACGGAAACACAAGCAAGTCTAAGCATTAGCAACATTACTCTTTGAATACAAATATCGTCAATCTGGTGAAATAATGTGTGTCTGGGTGCTGACGAGCACACGACTCATTCGTCCGAAGTAAGCTTGGTTATCACCATCGATAATCTGGGCGTACCGAGTCAGGCTCTTGTCGTTCCTTTCTTCCCAGCCCTTCGAATACCGCAAGGAAACCCCCCTCCCCCTCAGAATGTGCAACAGAGGTGAACGCGGTAGAGGTGGACAACGTAGACATGGTAACAGAGGAGACCAAGCAATCGAGGCTTGTTTGGATCCCCTGGAGGCCAGGCGACTCGCGGAGCATCGCCTGGTCCGCCAGGAAGACGTGGAGCACCCTCGGCGCGAAGGAGCCAAACAGGTCGGAGTCGCCAGCGTAGAGGCCGTGATCGTGCCCGCGGATTCTCCCCTACGACCGCAGAGTCCATACAAGCACCACCAGAGGGAGAGGCCGAACTCGATTCCCGCATCAAGACAATTGAAGAACGCTTGGAGAAGCTAACTTCCGAAATTCCTGCATCTAGTGCCTTCGTTCATCCCATAAGACCTGGCTTTGGGAAACAGGGCGAGGAGATCCTTGTCCGAGCAAACTTCTTCGCATTGAAGTTTACCGAGGGACTCATAACTCACGACTATAATGTATAGATCAATCCAAAGAGTGGCTCTGGCCGGCTGAAAGGGAAGATCCTCCGCGCGTTGGAAAATACGCCCGACTTTGCGGCGTACAAGGGCATCGTCGCCCATGATGACAGCCAACGTCTGGTGTCTGCGGTACCACTGCAGCAGCCACTGGTCATCGAGTTTGATTTTATCGAAGACGATGCATGCCAGCCCGAACCAAAGAAGAAGTATACCCATCACCATCACAAAGACGAGGGAATGGGACGCAGATGCACTAAGCAGGTAAGACATAACCAAAACGTAGATAATCCCAGTACTGAGAGAAGAAATAGACACGTAGATGGCGAGCCAGAGAGCAGAGGTGGTGACCTTACTCCTCTCATCTCCGCGCTTAACCTTCTCGTCCAAAACAGTGCAACGCACGCAAGACTTCGAGTCAGCAAGAATAGATACTTCTTCAAGCCCGGGATCCAGTCGATCAGTGGCGGGGTTGAAGCGTGGAGAGGTTACTATGCCTCCGTTCGCCCGGTGTGGAAGACCCTGATGGTGAATCCAAATGTCTGTATGACAGCGTTTGTCGAGGCGAAGAACTTGGGGACTGCCATTGAGGAGTATATGAAAGGGACCCTCGGACACTTCCCTCACTTTGGAGAGATGTTCGGGAGAAGCACAGTTTAGAAGAAAGGTCACTGTCCAGAAATACTTCACATCAAGTATGAGCATTCATTTACACTGGAAGTGACTTACAAAGAGCTTTCAAAATACCCAAACTATCCTTTCAATGACAATCTACCCCTCGTCGATATCGGAAGTCAGAGAAAGCCGACCTACGTCCCGGCTGATCTCTGCGTCATTGTGGATGAGATCCCTTTCCGGGGGCGACTTAGCGGAAAGCAAACGCAAAATATGCTTGAGGCCGCTCGCAAGGCACCACAAGAAAACTCGGCTTTGATCGAGGGTGGTTTGGAACGTCTGTACCTGCTGAAACCCCATGAGACTATGGGAGCATTCGGCTTGACCGTAGATCCGAAGATGACCGTCGTGCCGGCGCGCATCCTTCCACCACCCAGCATTACCTATGCCAATGGTCAGTTTCTAAGCGCCAAAGATGGTGCTTGGAATATCCTCGCCTCAAAGTTTCAACGTGGGGCGCATATTGCTCATTGGGCCGTAATGGTTGTGAAGGATCCAAGCAGGTTTCCACCATGGAAGACGGACAGTGACCCGAACCTAACTAACTTTCTTCAGCGATTGAAGCAAAAATGTATCTCTACTGGGATGTCGATTGCGGATGGAGTCCCAACGGTTGTCGAAACCCCAGTTCTCCAGAAATTCGACAAGAAGAAGGATTCGTCCCGAACTGTAGCTCTCGATGAGATTATAAACGTCATGGAGAAGTTAGTTGGTGCCAACCCCCGACCGTTTTTCATCCTTGTTCTGCTGAGCCACCAGGACCACTTTATCTATCCTGGGATCAAAAGGATCGGAGATGTCGAACTCGGAATCCATACCGTGTGTATGCAAGTATATACCGCTCACAACCCGAAAGATCCAAACCCAAAACGCGAAGATCAATACTTTTCCAACGTAGCGCTCAAACTGAACACGAAGCTAGGCGGCATTAATCATAAGCCGGATCTGGATAGTATGCGATGGTTAGTGGAGAAGAGAACGATGGTTGTCGGGGCGGATGTCACACATCGTACGAAGTGTCTTTCAGCTTTGGTTTCAGCGCTGACGAGACTTGGTTATAGCCAGCCCTCCCAGTATTGATGGGACGCCGTCATTGGCGGCAGTAGTCGCAAGTTTCGACTCCAATTCTGCACAATTTTGGGTCAGCATGCGCTTACAAGACACCAAGGAAGAGGTATGTAATGACATACCTGGAGAGACAAGACAGTTAATGCGGCTTCAGATGATCGCCGACTTCAAGGACATGATGGTAGAGCGTCTAAGCGTATATGGGCAAAAGAAAGAAGGCGTTTTACCAGAGCGCGTTCTTCTCTTGAGGGATGGGGTTTCTGAAGGTGAGACGGTCAAAGCTTGGAACCTGTATTTGACACACACGTAGGACAATTCGATCTCGTTATTTCGAAAGAGTTTCCATTGATTCAAGCGGCGTTTGATGAACTCTATGTAGGCGACAGCATCCGACCGAAGCTCTTAATCTGCATTTGTGGAAAGCGGCACCACGCGCGCTTCTACCCCACCAACGCCAACAAGACACCGAATGGAAACACGAAACCGGGTACAGTCACCGACAAAGGTGTCGGCGATATCTATCGTTTTGATTTCTTCCTACAAGCTCGTCAGTACTACTCCCCCTAGAGATGAGAACCTACTGAGCTTCCATCCAGATTTTGGAATTGAAGGAACCGTCAAAGCGACGCATTACACAGTGGTGTATGACGAGATTGGCCTTGATGCCGATGTCCTGCAGCAAGGGACTCACACCGCGAGCTACTCATACGTGAGAGCAACCAGAGACACCAGTCTCTGTCCCGCTGCATACTACAGCGATCTCGCTTGCGAGCGTGGTCGTCTATATTTCAATGAGTTTTACAATCCCGGCGTAGAGAGGGTGGGTGGTGCTATAGGAAGCAAAGAGACAGAGATGAGCTAAGGAAAGACGTATTTGAACGATGCGTGCAAGCATGGGGAGTTGGCGTACATCCCAACCTCAAAGATTCCATGTTTGATATCTAGGCGCAGTTTGCAGATGAAGAGATTACAACCTGTCCTTCTATGTGATATTTCTACATTTTCTTGACTTGATTGGTGATCCATGAATGTGAAGGGTGTCAGATTACGGCGTCGGCGAGGTTCGGAGCAAGATGCCGGAAGAGAGTCCAATTGTTTACCCAAAAAGATCACCGAAGAATACAGATTGCTGCCGGGATTTTGGGCGTTGCTCACCAACTTTGTTCCTCTCGACATCGCGCTATCACAGTTCACCATGCCAGAATGTGACGCTGCTAGTTATAGAACTGCCGTCGAGATTCGGAAGGCTATATTTTGTCAGTATATCGGCTCATCACATGGCCGTGGACCATGCAGGCACAGGATCTGTGTGATCTCACGGATGCCTACTATCTATATGTAATATCTGAGATCGGTCGTGTGTATCCAGGCTATTTTCAACGTCTTCGCTTCATTCTCAACCTCCCCCCATCAACCTCCCAGGGGTACGCCTAGAGTGGGTGCACGCCCGAAGCTGCTACCACAATTTGAAGAAATCTTCTCATGCACAATTCGACTATATTTCGAGCGCTAACGAGTATTCCTTCACTACTCAAACACATCTATGCCTTGAAAGCTAAGTTGCCGAGCATAATAGTTGGCGTGCGTTTTGGGCATTGTGATGAACGACATGAATCCTGCCAATCCTAGTGAAAACCCGCACAACTACATAGCCAACAGGGGCGCAAAACGACAGCCAGGGGGATGCTATTGGCTAGGAGACTAACTGAAATGAGCATGCTATCCGGGCGTCTGTACGGAGACATACGAATATTCTAGTGGTCCTGTGATCGCTCGTTTTTGTTCTGGTTTCACGAGGGGCTAATAGGTCGCTTGCATGGTCAACTGAGACTACCTTTAGATGAGTAGGGTGTGCAATAGATATAAAGAACAGTCAAGAAAGGCGTTTCTGACTGTGCTAAGTGGCTCATCGAGTTGTGTCGGAGTCACGAATCGCCGCCACATGCTTGACCTTCGACCTCATCCGGCAAAAGTCTTGACACCATGACAGAACCTGAAGCCGCTAGTTCAAGAACTCCTGTAGAAATTTGGGAGGAAATACTTCGCCATTGCGTTGGACTCTCGCTCACTGATCCGGTACAATCAAGTTTACGAGGATATGAACAGCACGTCTTCGCCGAAGATGGGTCTCGGATTTACGGTTACAAGAGAAGAGAGCGGCAAAGGGGCATTCTCCGACTGGTATCGCGCCGTTGGAAGCTCGTAGCAGATGAGATTTGCGATGACATTGCCTTCCTCCATCTCGACGAGGGCATGAAGCTGCCGATAGACTATAAAACTGAAAACGTCAAGCTGATGCATTACATTGCTTGCGAATCGTCTTCGTACACCAATTGGCCACGCAAAATCGAACCAGGGCCCTCCTTGCATGGGACAAGAAAACCGACGCATCCCCGGTCATCATCGGCGAGAACGCATCCTTCTTCCCCATTACACATGTTTACCATCGTGACATCGTGATTCCAAGTCCTCCATTCGAACATTCCATTCTCGCCCTACGCTGGGTGCATCCGACGCGCAACTCGAGATGGATGGAAACACTCCAAAACTCATGTTTTGGCTCATTGGTAGCCTTGGATATTGCGCCCCTTGACGAATATTCGTGGAACTCATTCCCGGACCTCACCTTGCCACTATTACGTTTTCTGGGTATCAACGCCTGTGAAAGCAACGCTCAATATCTCGAAAAGTGGCACTTTCATACACTCCAGTACCTGTCTTTTTCGGAAAAGTACAACTCTTCCAGCGGACCCTTAGGACCATTTCTTCAGCGTCACTCGAGGACGGTAGAGGAACTCAAGATTTCAACAGCATCATATGGAGCAGCGAAAGTCGACGCTGATCTTCTCGCATCCTGCACCAACGGACTCCCACGTCTGCAAACGTACATAACAGGCCACCTCGGATCACTTGGCACCGTTATTCCTCATTTGATCACTGCTGTCACTTCTTCTACAGACGTAATCTGTCGACCTGAACGCCATCTTACGATCCAAATGATAGCTGCCGAAGTCCAGTCAGAAGACTGGAAGACGCTCCGGAGATCTGTGCTGCAACTCGCACAAGCACCCGTCAAGTTTAGATTAATGATTGAGAGTACATGGGATGAGAGAATTGGGGGCCTCCACTTTGACTTTAACAAGTTGAAAGCGCAGCTACGCCTCATGGCCATGGTTAGGGAGCTCAAGATTGATATATTTGACGAAGAAGGCAGCCATCACACGTCTGAAGACGCGTCTTACTACAATTCCGAAGCTCGGGAAATGTAGCTCAAGTTGGCGAGGCCGGAGTACTGAGGAGCAGGATAGCGAGCGTGAATTTGTGTTGGGGTATAATCAGTATATCAAATCAGTACAGTATTTTCTACATTTTATGTGTCCACCTGAGATGGGATATCCTCGCTGAGGTCCTCTCTTCTCGCTATCCGTGAATCCCCAGCGCATCCCGAAGACTAGTGTCGGGATCTGTTTGAGACTCGAGGCAAGGGAAGGGATCATAGCGTATCACGAATAAATCCTGCTGGTGGCCCAAGTTGACTCTTGTTCCAGTAAAAGCACAAATCCATTGCACGAGTAATGCTAACCTATAGAGCCTGAGAATTCTTTGGTATACTTCTCTCATCGTTTGATATGCGACTGCCAACCGCCTCCTGTGCTGGGGCTGAACGATGAGCCCGTGCCTGTTTGCGCGCCTCGCTGGTAGAGCGCGCGCAATCTCGACAGCTCAAGCTTGGTCACTCCCCAGTCTCTTCGCCATTCCTCTTCCGAGATTGCATCTGGATCATCACTCGGCGTGTAGCCCGCCCTCAAGAGCTTTGCCTCCAGGTCCTCTGGAATCACACCACGATTCTCCTGCGCAAATTGCGCAAGGGACATACTCGTTCCACCCATACCTGTGACGGATAGCGTGCCGCTGTCGACTGTCGACTGCGGTGGGCGAGGCGAGGTGGGGCCTATATAGGCTGGTGGCGTGTCGTTGGTGTAGGCCGTATAAGCGCTGTTCGAGTGACGGAATCCATTTGCGCCGGATGAATTCGTGTTGGAGAATTCAGGGGAGACGACGACGGTTTGGCGCTGTGGAAGAAGCGCGGCGTTTTCGGCGGCAGACGTCGACATGAGCAATGATCCTTGGTCACTAGCAGGCGTCATCACAGGCCCTCCTGAGGGAATGATGAACCGTGTATCGTTACTTGTCGAGGCTACAGGATTTTGCTGCATCGGTGGGAAGGGTGTTGGGTGAAGAGCGGATCGGCGAGAGGGGGCGGTATCATCGTGTAGTTCGCCCTCTTGCCGCTTTTGGCGCCGCCTGAAGATGAGGAAACCAATGACGGCCAGGATAATCATGGCGACGGCGCCGAGCACTGCTCCCACAATAGCGCCAGTATTCGACTTTGCAGCCGGTGGTGATCCAGGTGTATTTCCTGGCGGCAACGGCGTCGTCGTTGGTGTAGTGATTTTGAGCGAAGCGCCTTTGACATAGTAATTAATGTACTCGGCGGGTTGGCGAGGAAAAGTAACGTTGATCGCAACTTGAAGGTACCCAACCGTCTTCTCGGCGTTTGTTAACAGTGCTGCTGTACCTGTATGGGAGAACGGTGTCCCTGGAGACGACAATGAGAAAGCAAACTCCGATGAAGCGGAGTTAGAGCACGTACCATCCCAACCTTGCCCAGTCCCCTGTAGGAGTGACCAGTTTCCAACCTTGAGTGTATCGGTGTACTGCTGGTCACCCACTGCCGATTTCATGACAAGGTCGCTGCCGACTTCGCTCTTGCTACTTCCCCACCACGGCGCATACTTCCATTCGCTATAATGAATCATAAGTATGTATGAACTTGTAATGAATGGAGTTGCTGACTAGTCGAGTTGAGAGGCGTTGCCAAAGCGATCGAGCTCGAATGAGATATTGGTGAACAAGGAGACGGTGTAGGATGGCTGGGACGAGCTTGGAAAGACCCAGCAAGCAAGACAGTACGCGTAATCCCTACACCAGGCATCCTGGCGAGCTCCACCTTGAAGCCGCGGAAGTTAGCAGGGCGGCATTGAGACCAAGTTGGGAGACGTACAGTTTATATCGTCTAAATATGATCTATAGACCATCCAGGGTCCACCATCGTTGGCAAATGCGCCGTTGCTTGTCTGGAAATCCTGGTAGGAGATGACACCGCCCGGCATGGTTAAACTTGGTCACAAATGGTTTGTGGAGTACGAGTCCAAGTAACACAAGTGCAAACAAAACTTAGTAGCCGCTGCTAATTCTGTTTCTCGATAGCCGCCGTGAGAGAATATGGCGCCTACACAGCGTTCGAAATCATCTCACAGCCCCTTCATCACAAGGAGGGTCCGGCGGATTGGCGGATTCCTTGTGCCGTTATGCTCCATATTGTACACATTTCTTCAACGAGATGAGCTTCCACGCAAGTCCCTGACCGCCTTCATCTCCGCATTTCAATTCGGTCACTGCTGTGCGCGGTAATGATCCACCTAATAGTGCCATTCAGAACGTTCTTGATATTGGTTTTTGACATTCCTGGCAACACGACAACATTGTCAGGTCCAAGCCGTCGCTCAATCTTTCAGACGCCAAAAAAGGTACAAAAAACCACGCTGGATTCGGAAATGAAATCCAAGAGGATGATTACACGTCGAGGCATCTCTCAAGCCGCGGTCGACTTTTGGTACAGCGTCCGAACTCTGGCCAGCTCAAACTTTGTCACTCCATACTCGCGCAACCATTCCTCTTCCGAGATGCTATCAGGGTTGTCTGTAGGAACATACCCAGCAGCCGCCAGTTTGGCCTCCAACCTTGCTGGAATTTGAGACCGGTGCGTGCGTGCCCATTCTGCTAATCCCGTCTCCTCTTCAACGCCTTCTGGCACCGGTGATGTCTTGTTGAGCAGAGGTGCACTGCTACGTGTCGAAGCATTGCGCGACGACGGTGATGGGGAGACATGCATCCGTATTGGGTCATACGCAGGTGGCCGTGTGACAATGGACGATATCTCGGCCACATCCCGACGTGGGTGCTGCTGTTCTTCGTGGATCAAGGCTGAGACCGGCTTGGGGAGTGGGCCATCCGTGTTCGCTGGCGAAGAGGGATCCGCCATGGCGACCCTGTCGACCTCCCAGATTCATCTCGACCATAGTACGACGTCGATGGATCCGTATTCGACAATGGCCGACCACCCTCGGCCCCGACCATTGCAGGTTGGCCAATGTCTGTCCGATTGGTCGAGATACGTTTTCGAAGGCGAAGGTACACGACGAGGACGACGAGGCCGAGGACAATGAAACCGACGACTGAACCGACAATCGCTCCCACGCGAGTCTTGGATTGGGTGGATTCGAGATTTGGATATGTAGATGGGTTAAAGATGTGGGTGCAACGAATGAGCCGTCAGAGTTGACAGGAGACGTAATCAAGAAGCCGGCGTCTTTCATGAAATAAAACGTGCTTTCTTTACCCGGGAATGTGAGTTCAATCCTGATTGGAACATAAACGACTGAATCAACAGTATCCTTGGTATTGAGGATTCCCCAGTGAGAAATTGTATAGCCTGGGTCCCAGATCAGCGTCAGATGCAGGAAACAGAAGGTGATACGTACCTGCCCCAGATTGGGTGTTGACAAAGGGTATGGATAGCTCTGAAAGTTCTGGAGATACGTGTTGTCCCCAACATATGCCCCCGATGTGAGGTCCATCCCTGGAAATAATCCATAGGCAGTCCAGGCCACAGTGTAGGAAAACCCACTGAGAACCGTCAATCCAGCGTCAGTCTACATGGAACAACGGACTATGTAAGCGATCGCGGCCGGTTACGAGTATCGATGGGCACAGAGACATTAGCGGAGAAAACGACTTTGTACGATGGTTCGTGGTATGGCTCAGTGTATATTTGACGGCACTGAACGCATTTTCCGCACCAGGACCATTCGATGGTATTACCTATAGCAAAACTCGATCAGCGAGTATAAGGCACAGGTTGCAGACATACAAAAGACGTCGGAATGAGATACATAAACCGACCATGCTCCTCCATTAGCGGCGACCATATGGCTCTGAGACGCGAAATCGCGATAGGCTGTGGACATTGGCGGACTGATCTGACGGGAGGGGGAGAGAAAGAGGGCGGAATTAAGAGGCTAGAGGCCCCTTCATTTATTGTAAATCATGGGAGAGACTGACCCTTTCAACGCACGATGAGCACACGCCCAATGAGGAGTGACTAATTACCGCGTCGACACTAGCTACCAGCATTGAATACTCGGCGACTTGGCAGGTCGAATATCAAGTTGCTGGCATGCAGGTTCGTTCTACTGATAAATCGATATTAGAGCTCGATCGGACTACAGTCTCAGAGGTCTCGCGGCCGTACGAAAGGACATTAGCGTGGCAGGACCATCAGGACGAGCAGGGCGATAGGTAAGTGAAGGGCCATCATAAACCCCCTTCTGAGTGTCACCAGTATTTGATGATTCCTATAGCCCCTATTCTAATAATGGTCTGATCCGAAATCTCCCTGAGAATTGAGCATGATCTCAAAACAACCACGCGTTTCTAAGTTTTATCTGACCCATGTACCCCAAATAAAGGACGCAATCCATGGTATGAAGGAGTAACCTATGAGAAGTCTACTTTCATTATTACTTGATATGAGACTTCTGCCTAGTGCTAATCCGACCGAGTTACGATCCTTAACCAGCTTGCAGTCCACGTTGATAGAGACTCAATCTCGAGAGCTCGAGTTTGGTTACTCCCACGTCTCTCCACTGGGACTTGGAGAGTGCATCTGGATCATTAGCTGGCACATAGCCTGATCTCTGGAGTTTTGCCTCCAAACTTTCTGGAATCGCATTACGATTCTCCTGTGCAAACTGCGCAAGAGACATATTCGCCCAGCCTGCGCCTCCAGTTACAGGTAACGTCTGGCCTTGACCTCCCACCGCCGATTGTAGTGGCTGGGCCGAAGCGTATGCTGGCGGCATGTCATCGGTGTACGCTATGTAGGCATTATCCAAGTGATGGGGCCCATTCATACAAGATGGTCCGGGGATGGTCAGTGCAGGGAGATGCGCGGCGTGTTGTGGATCCGGGTTCTGCGATCCGGAAAGAGAAGTGAGCAATGATCTCTGATCACTACTGGGGGTTATCATAGCAACCCCTGGTCGAGACGTGAATCGTGAATCCTTGTTGACCGATGCAAGTGGGTTCTGCTGTTGGTCGAAAGGGTGTGAAAGGGCTCGACGACTGGGATTGCCATCGTCGTTTGCTTGACGGTTTTGTCGCTTTTGGCGTCTTCTAAAAATGAGGAAGCCAATGACGGCTAGGATGATCATGGACACAGCACCGAGGGTCACGCCGACAATGGTGCCCGTGTGATTCTGTGTACTCGATGGAGTATCTGCACCGATACACTTCCAGAAGATATTGGTGTTATCGTAGGCGTTGTGATTCTGAGAGAAGGACCTTTGACATAGTAGTTGATGTACTCGTCTGCCTGACGAGAAAAGGTAATGTTGATTGCGATCTGGAGGTAACCAGTTGTTTTGTCCGCATTTGTGACAAGGCCGGTGGTACCATTATGGGAGAAAAATGACCCTAGAGGTGGTGATAAGAAACCAGGCTTTGAAGAAGCAGACCAACAAAACGAACCATCCCAACCTTGTCCGAGGCCCTGTAGAAGCGTCCAGTTTCCGACCTTGAGTGTATCAACATATTGCTGGTCACCAACTGCCGATCTTATGGCAAGGACACTGTCTGCTTCATTCTTTCCGCTTCCCCACCATGGTGCATACTTCCATGCGCTGTCCGAATAATAAGTCAGCATGGGCCAGTAGCAAATCAAATGGCTGACTAGTCGAGGTGAGTAGCATTCCAAAGTGATTGAGTTCGAATGAGACATTTGTGTAGAAGGAGACGTGTAAGCAGTCTGTGTGGCGCTTGGAAACACCCAGCAAGCGAGACAATATGCGTAATCTCTGCACCAGGCGTCTTGACGACTTCCACCTAAAGCGCATCGAAGTCAGCAAACAAAAACATGGCGACCATATAGGCAAATTTACAGTTTATGTCGTCCGCAAAAGACCTATATACCATCCAGGGTCCACCATCGTTGGCAAACGCGCCGTTACTTGTCTGGAGATCTTGGTAGGAGGTCACTCCCCCTGGCATTATTGGCACGGTAGGAGTCCAAGAAATAAAGATAGAGACCAAGCGCGGTTCTGTTCAGAGGTATACAAGACGTGTATGTATTGCTCTGCCATTCCACACCTGGGAAGTATCTGCCTTGTTTCGGAATTCATTGCCCATTACGTTGTATGCCAGTTATATTCTTCGGAAAATGAGTTTTCATACTAGTTCCTGGATCGTCTCCGGAGCGTCCACCAGTCGCATCTGGGCGCGGGAAGTTAACCACGTGCGCATAGACACTGACCTTGTCCGGTTCAAGCGGTAACTGCAAACCATCTGCCAAATAATGAGGAAGTCCACCAATATTCAGTAGTAAGAAAGAGCACAAGGTCGACTGAGAGAGTTATTTATGCTGATTCGGAATGGAAGGCGACTCTTCCATACACGTGCATCGATCCAACACCCTGAAATGACTAGATAAGAATTAAAGGCGGAGTATGCTACAAAAGTATCGAGGAGCGTGAGGTCGCGCGTTTGACTGCCCAGTCAAAACTACGCCGTTGTCTTCTTGTAACGTTTGGCCGTGGGAAAATGGAACAAGCTGGATTCGCACCGACTTAGCCTTAGACCACTAGACTATAGTGTCCTTCTTTTCCCTCCGACGCGTTACACTCCCTATGTACCCCGTTACTCAGGTAATCCAACCTGGTCGGCCGGGTTCGGACCTGTAAGGTGAACCAATCCTTACACTTCTTCACCACTTCTCGATGTGATGATATAGTATTCTCTTGCGATGAACGCTTTAACCCGATCCTTCCGGAGCGGCACCTCTATGCCCGCCTTTAAGAAATTTTAGTTTCATCAAAGTTGTAAGATGAGCCTCATCATTGTAATAGTCTCAAGACATAATCAAACGCCCGCGCTCCCTCGCTTATTGTTCCTCTCAAGGTTTCACTCGGCGGGTTTCGTTGTGATGCCGTCATGTGTTTTCTATCTTTGTTGCTGGCGAACAAAATACAGAGCGGATCCGGCGCACCTCAGGTATGAATCCGTCAGAGTGAACTGTCGCAAGAAGCTAAGAATAGGATAAATGAGCTCCCAGGCATGCTATTGACTGGTTTAGTCTCTAAAATTAAGTTTGGTCGCAGCTATCGGAGCGTCTAACATAACGAAGATTTCGGAATCCTTAGTCAATCAACATGATCGAGGAACAATAACCATTAGGAGGAAGATTCAGAAAGGAAGAATCTAGCGAGATATAGTGATGTCGGGTTACACCTTCTGATACAATGCCCGAACTCTTGCCAGCTCAAACTTTGTCACTCCGTATTCCTGTAGCCACTCCTCCTCGGGGATGCCGTCTGGATTATCGGTAGGAACATACCCAGCAGAGGCAAGTTTGGCTTCCAACCTTGCTGGAATTTGGGTTCGATGTATGCGCGCCCATTGCGCCAACCCCGTCTCCTCAGCCACCTCCTCTGGCACCGTTGAAGTTCGATGTAGCAGAGGAGCTCCACTACTCGTCGAAGCATGGCGCGACCATGATGGTGGCGAAGTAGCCCGCGTTCGTACTGGGTGTGCTGGGTCGTATGCAGGGGGTCTTGTTATGATGGACGATGTATCCGACATGTCACGAGGTGGATCCTGTTGCTGTTGCTCTCCCGAAAATGCAGGGACTGGTTTGGGGATTTGTATATCTGTGTATGTTTGCCCCGGGGAAGAGGGGATGGGCCATGCCGATACGGTAGACATTCGTGATTCATCGGCACCATAGTAATAAGACGTCGCAGGAGCTGTAGCTGTGTTGGCCATTGTCCTGGCATCTTCAACACCAGGTGTCGTTGTGGGTTGCTGAACATGTTCTCTTGAAGTACGCCTTCGAAGACGAATCCACACAAAGATTCCAACGAGTGCGAGCACGGTAGCGCCTACAATGGACCCTACAATTACTCCTACCCGATTCTGGGTCTTCCCAGACTCAGGATTCAGGCCAGGAGGTGGAGATCCGATGAAAAGGCCATTGGATCCGGTGGGAGACGTGATCAAGAAGCCGGGATTCTTCACAAAGTAATACGTATATGGGGCACCAAGGAACGTTATTTCGATCCTCATTGGAACGTAGGCAAAGGGATAATCATTATCCTCAACGTTAATAGTACCCCAGTGAGAAATGGTATGGCCTGGTTGGAGCTTAGTAGCGTCACCCTAGTGGTAGTTACTTACCAGTCTCATTTTGGCTAGTGAGAAAAGAATATGCGTAGGGTTGAAAAGTCTGAAGGTAAGAATCGTTGCCAACATGCATTATTGAGGTTAAATCCATCCCGTAATAGGACCCGGAGGCAGCCCAAGCGAGAGTGTATGAGAACCCGCTGAAGAAGCGGTCAGTAGAGGAGCAATTTATCCAGGCGGACGGACTATGTGAGCGATGTGGGTCGGTTATGGGTGTCGATGGGCACAGAGACGTTGGCAGACAACACGATTTTGTACCACGATTCGTAGATGGATGACCAGGGGTGACGACATTGGATACATTTTCCACACCACCCCCATTCGATCGTGGTACCTACAGAGGAACAAAAGCAAAGGGTGAACGACTACACGCGCAAATATTCCCGTCAACATACAAGTTATGTCCGAATGGGTTGCCCAAGCGGACCATGCACCTCCATCCGAGACCAACATGCGACCCTGAGAAGCAAAGTCGCGGTATGGAACCGAAGCCATCTCAATGAGGCCCTCACCAATGGGTAGAGTCCAGTTGCACCACCACCCAGCCGTCTTCCCTTTTATTGAGTGACCTAGGCTCTACTATCGCCTTGGCTTTTCTTGTCTGCCAGCAGCATCCAGCATGACTCAATACTGCTGGCACGGTGCCAAGATGTGGATGGTCGAGTATGGTAGTTCACTTCCGAGATCGACGTAATTTGTATTGGTATGATCTCCTAAGCGATCAAGGAGCACGATCGTTCCCAAATAAACCATGGCAAGTGGAGGGCTAGAACGATATCTACCTATTAGGAATCGAAGTTGCTGTAACACGGGAAAGGGTACCTGATAAATCACTCAGATCCTCGCCAGCTCGAATTTGTCGCTCCATCCTCGCTCAGCTACTCGTCCTTGTAAACACTATCTGGATTGCCTGTAGGAACGTATCCGGCCGGCGCTAATTTGGCGAGCTGCGTGTCCGCGAGCACTGCCAATGAAGGGAGCGTTCTCCCTCCAGTCCGAACCTGTACAGATGGCCACTTTTCAGAGACATACCTCCATTCAAATAGTCTGAACAGACTGGGTAGCGATTAATGGGTAGGCTATCTTACAATGCTACAAGTATCGAGGAGCGTGAAGTAAGTCGCGCAGATGACCGACCAGTCAAGAACTATGCCATTGTCTTCTTCGACGGTTTCTCGATGTGGTGATATAGTGTTCCTTGCGGTGGATGCTTTTCAACCCAATCCTTCCGGAAAGGCACCTCTATACCCGCCTTTAAGAAAGTTTAGTTTCATCCAGAAGTCGTAAGATGAGCCTCACCATTGTAAATAGTCTCATAACAGAATCAGACGGCTGCGCTCCCTGGCTTATCCACCAGTGTATCCTCTCAAGGTTCCATTCGACGCGTTTTGTCGCAACGCCGTCATGAGGTTGAGAGCTCGTGGCATACATCTCCGGATACGTTTTCTTGTTGATGGTCGGAGCGCGTGGGATAGGATCGTACGTCCCAAGGAGTTCCAGTGGTTTGGCGTTGCGCGCTTTTCGTTGATTAATGGCGACAATATGATAAAATGGATTGTTTGTCGTGCCGTGACGCGCGAGACGAAGGCGAACAGGCATTCTTTGGTGTTTTTGCTCGCTGGCGGTCGAGGTCAAGTTTGACTACTACCGCGACCTCGACCAAAATGGCGACGAGTCCGAATGGAATAAGTAAATCAAAAGTGGCCTTTTTAGGACCAAGTGGAACACATACCCACCAAGTAGGCTCTGGCCATGTTCAAATATCTGGTCGTTTCAACTGATAAAAGCGTTAGGCGGCAAACAACTACTTTGGCGATAGTGTATCATATGATCCTCAACCATCTATTGCTAGTGGGCTCGATTTACACCGTCCCACTCACGGCACCTGACGACCATAGAGTCCTTTGACGCGTTATCATCCGAGATCCCTTTCGCCTGCCTTCCCATCGCCAACTCGACGCATGGTCAGGTAATAGAAACACTCGACCTTTTAAGGTCCGGGCGATGGTCGAAAGACGTCCACATTATTGGAGAAATTGTGATGAAGATCGAGCATTGTCTCGTCATTCGTGATTTACCGACGAATGATAAAGACGAGGGGGTGCTTCAGCGCATCAAGACAGTATGGAGTCATGAGCAAGCTCTCGGACAATGTTCGTCCTGGCTTACCCGCCATCTTCCAAACGCCGCGAAGATCAAGACACCCAGCACGTCTGGTGCTGCAAAGCAGCTATTAGAACTCGACTCAGACCACACATGTGCCGCCATCTGCCCCCGAATATGCACGTCAATCTATTCTGGCCTTAGGATTCTGGCACCGAGCATCCAGGACAGGGATGGTGAATCTGCTTCCAACATCCCTTGGATTATCACTGATCTTTAACCCCAGACAACCAAACTCGATTCCTTATCCTTGGTCACCGCCATCATCCTGCGCTTCCAACTATCCCAGCGCCGACAAAAGCGCTAATCCGATTCAGCATTGCAGGAGAAATCTCTTCCCTTCTCTCATCCATTACGAGCGCCGCATGGTCGAGCAAGCTAAAGATCCTACGGATAGACCGCCGACCAAATCCTTCTTCCTCGCCATGGACAGACATTTACTTTGTCGAACTCACTCACTTTTCTCCGTCGCCAAATCTCCAAAACGAGGTGTCGACCCTCATCACAACACTCGGCACGGGTACAGAGGCTGTAATTCTTGGTGTATGGTGATACATAGGCCATAATGGAAAGAAAAATAATCGAACGAAAGAAGAACGAAATTGGTATCATGTTAGTGTGAGGTGATAAAGGTTCTGCGTTGGGTGAGTACTAGTCGGGAATCCGGGACCGAGAAAAGCTTACCCATGCAGAACCATAAGGGACTGACATCGCATTGAGAACGACAGCTCGTATCCACTTCTCAAATCGTTGAGAGTCAAAGTTGCCGTAGATATCCAAGAGGTCGAGGTACTTGATGTGTTCGCTATACTTTCGCTATGTGAATGGTCAAGGCGGTTCTTGGCTACTACGGCATGTATACCTTGAACACGGTGGTACCTGCGACGCATCGAGTGTATATTACTGTCAGACGAAAGCATGGTGGCCGACGGGTGTTGGTCAACATATGCCCGAGCATGCTCCAGTACGAACAGTCCTCGTACTCAACTGGAGCCTGTCAACATCCACATTTTGAGTGTTGATCGTCCGCCAACCAACGAAGATGGGCGCATCTTCAGTCAGTGTGGTATGTATCATCGTTCCACAGATTACGCAGAACCTACACAGGTAAGAGCGAGTAGAATAAATTTGCAGGCGCACACTCACAGAAGACTGAGGACAAGATGAATGAGGTCATGGGGGCTAATGAGTGACCCGTATAGGCTGCGAGTGATGTACACCGCAGAGCTTGCGAGGGTGAGTTCTGGGACGCAAATTGGAAATCCAAGTGCAGCCGAATCCGACGCATCACTCTTCATCCTCCATGAGCCAGTCCACTCGGTGCTGTTGAGATACAGACGGAGCTGGTTGTTACAAAAGTCGACCTTCTTCTGATCATCTCTCGACGATAAGACTCTTGCATCTTGGGGTGTGAAGAAGGTGAGAAAGGGACTCAAGCGGCTCTCGACGAATGGCCAAGAGTGAAGCAAAGGCACGGGTATGCGATAGAGTTCCTCTTGAAGGAAGTATTGTGACATGGTAGTTTAGGACAATGTTTTGTTGTTGTTGGTGCTCATAAACGGCGTCTCCTGGTGTCCAGACGGGTCCCCAAATGATTGATGAGGCTTCAGCCTGGTGTACTTGGTATATAACGAGTAAATACTCGATATATTGGACCTGGATGGCGACTTTGAGTCTAACTTCCAGATGTGGTCAAGACCAAGACGCCAAAATAACACTGACACCCGACGTCAAGAGGTTGACAGACGTTGAATATAAACCCAGTCAGTCTCCCGGATTATTTGGAATCATAATCAGATAACGGGATCAACCTCGCGCACCTCCAATCGTACCTTGGACCCGGCGCTATCTGCAGCGATTTCGCCGCTATACAAAAATGCAAGCTCCAGACGCACGCCTCGTTAAAAATACATATGAAAGTCCAGTAGATTCCACACATCTACTTCCAACTGAACTATGGCGAGAGATATTTCTGACAGTAATCCCACCCAATCCGACTCCACTGCTAACGCCTACTAATTTCTTCGGTGGTGGTTTATTACCGAAGAAATGGACATCTCTTCGCTATCGTCAACGCGAGCGGGCTCGACTGCGAATGATTTGCAAAAAGCTTGAGCCTGTTATCCTAGAGCTCCTCCTGGATGATGTCATCTTCTACTCGTCGGGGGTTGAGCGTTTCTACTGCACGCTGGAGAATAGGATCCAAGACTTGGAATCCTGGAAATCTGACGCGGCGCATTACTATCCTATTCTCTGATATCCTCGCTGGTGATGATGCCAATACTTTTGCTCTACTGGGAAAGCTCCATGAGCACTGTCCCAATTCGAGGATCGTAACTACTTTTATATACTTCCGCGGGCCGAGTAGAGCGTCCCCGATCGACCTAGGATGGGCACGCAATTTGAAGCAGGCGAATTTGCAGACGCGCACCTTTTCCACCCACAGTCTGGTCTCACTTGCCGAGAAGAATCCCGAGTTGGAGACATTGGCTCTCCTCGCTGAGCGGCCGGGAAACGTCCAAGGCACCCTACGGACAAACGTTGAATTTCCTCAACTCAAGCGATTTTTCATCTCCTGCGATAACGTTTTTTCCCATCTCTCCTCTCCGAAGTTAGAGTGGCTTGGACTTTGTCTTCGCCAGCCATCAAATAAGGGACTCACCGGCTTCTTGTGGGGTAACTCTGCCAATCTCACCTACCTTCATCTCAATATCCTCGATGTAGCCGACGAGGAGCTACCTCGGGCACTCCACCTCATCTACCTCTGTCCACGTCTCCAAACCCTATCTTTGGAAGGCGATCCTATCTGCAATAACAGCGTCGAGCCACGCGAGCCCCATGCGTCTCTACAGCACCTCATTCTCCACCTTGATTCCCCTTATCAAGTAGGCGATTGGTTAAGAATGTTCGGGCTTGTCCTTGGGCGAAGACCGCTGTTAACCTTTATGACAATCAAATTTCGACTCTTTCGCGGGTATAGGGCTATCATTCTGGAGATAATCGCCAGGGACTGTGGGAAACTTGACTCGGCTCTGGTATTCGAGGAGCTTCACTAGGTGAATATCATCACCAATCTCATTCATCTACTGATATTGTCATCTACAGCGCAGAGCGTGTCAATATTTGCTCTACCGTTAAGTCGTGTGGTTGGAATATGGTGCCCAGTCTTGTATCAACTTTCTCTGTAGATACCGCTATGCAACTGTCGGCTACTAGCAAGCCACTCTAAATCGACGGGGTTGTATAAACTTTTGCCAAGGATGCTGAGCACCTCACCTGGACTCAACGGCACCAAGCTCGCTTCCAGCGTGCGATATTTGTTTGATTTGAATGAACAGTGACATCCAGTAACGCTCGTAAATTTCAATTGTTGATTACGAAAAGGCTCCAACCGTGCTACAGTTACAATCCTCCCATGTCGGCGGAGGATAAAGCGCAAAACATGGTTCTAATTTAATATTCTATTCCTTATCGAATCTGTATTTGAATCTGTCGACAGCGCAGCGCCTATTCGACAGCCGCTTCGCCCTGGTATGGCGCGGAATCACCAACACCGGTCGCTTCTAAGATGAAACCATTCTAGAAGACACTCTGGATTTCTCAGTTCTTTGGGTTAGTCCGGTCATCGGCGCACCGCCTCTTTGCAGCGCAAAGCCGCGCTGGCCGGGAAACTGAGACAGCCAGCAGTGTATCGCCGGCGAATCGTACCCATATGTCCACGCCGATTCCGTGATAGAAATACAGCTTACCGTGAAGCCGGCGCTTTGTCCATCGTCAAACTTGGACCCGTCCTCTACCTTCAAGATGCGAAAATTGGTAGTAGATGGTACAAATGCGTTGTGGAGGTGGCATACATCGAGTACGGATGTTCACTGTATGTCACTCTCCTCTTCTGGACCTTCGATCTTGATCTTACTCACGCAGTGGACGGTATATGATAGGCTCGCTCTCTCAAGAAGACGATTGTACAAGTGTACCGAGCTGTATCGTATGCTGGGTGTACCCGGACGCAAGCGAGCTAGAGTACAATGTGCGATTCTGGTCAAATTGGACCGCTCCAGTTAATTATTTGAATGGATCAGAATCACTTGACTAGTAAGTCCTCTCAAAATCCAACCAATTTCCTCTCAACGGGCTCTTTCCTAGCTCATTCTCGTACTCTGCTACATGGGCATCATCGAGTCACGAACAGGATGCCAGGACAAGCCTCAAGACGGTTGTAGGAGATGACACAGTATCTACACCGCTCCTTGTAGAAGACAGTAGATTGATCACGAAGAGGCGCCAGACAAGGACTGGTCAGTTCCCTTTTACAACGCGGAAAGGCTGATTGAAAGGTACTGTAGCACGCTCTATCATACTCAATGGGACGGTTCCTGCGCAGATTCGAGATATCCCAGTCGCAGTCGACCTGACAATTCGTCGGCCACACGGCGCTAGCGTGTACTACCGCATGGAAGGGGGCACCTTTCACATAATCGACCCACAGTTGGCAAAAGACTCGGAGTCTACCCCTGCTCAGGGCTCATCTGTCGGACCTGCTCATGGCGCTTCCATCGCATTAATTGTTGGCGTAATCGTGGGCGGTGTCATTCTCATCGCATTTTTAACAGCTGGCATCCTCTTCTACAGAAGGAAGCGTCGAGGTCAACTACTGGAGCAACTTGAACCGGAACAGTACGTGCTTCCCACGACAGTGCCATCTCCGGATCCTCCAAGTCCGGAGGTGCCTAGTAATGCAGAAGGCATCACACCATATCGATACTCAAACCTATCTTATACATCACCTTCATCCCGTGCAAAGAGTGCCGATTTTCACCGCAAACAGGATCCAAATCCATTCGGGAGCACCTTCCGCGTAGCGGATCACTCGGATAGCGCAAGCCTTCCACCAGCCTATCTCGACGAGTCGGTTATCAGTATCCCACTCTCGACACCCTCTGTGACAGCTTCGAGGCAAAACCTCGCGGAGAGGAACCGCGGGACGGAAAGTGTGACGCCCTCGCGATCCAATTCGCCTACAAGCGAGCCCGAGCATACAGAAGAGCGTATCCAGCTACGAATCAACACGCCACTCGCTAAATGGGCCAAGAAGCATCGAAAGTATATACCCGAAAGACTAGAGCGCAAGTTGGAAGATGCGGGATATGTGCCGACGGACGATCCGGATCAATTGTCCGAGGACGAGTGGAGACGGGAATGGGGTGTGACCATTTTTGAGCTCGGAAGGATGCGCAAGCTGTACGCTGCGAGGCAAAGACGGCGAGGGCAGACATAAAGTGCACATTAACAAGGTCTAATGGTCTCTAATATGAAGTCCCTAATGTATATAACAGAAGAAACTCCTACCTCTGATTAGGGAATCGGGATAATTTGTGGCGACTATTGCAGGAAAACCCTGATATGTCAATAAACAGCGTTGCGAATCTATCTGCAGTGGAAAATTCGTGCAATAATGCCGCTCAAGCCGCTTGAACGACTCCCATTTTCCTTGCTCTCGATGAGCCCTCGCGGATAAGCCTGTTGGTGGTAACTTTGGAGGCCAGGGGCCTTCTCGCCTGGTCGCCGATAATGATCGCCACCACAAATAGGAGTAGCTCGTCCCCTCCTCTGTAGTTGAGATAAAAGAACGCATAGGCCCTTATTATATATGGCCGTCGACATCGAAGCCACATGTGCCTGCAATCATAGTTTAGCCTACTTTGCGCCATCTTGGCAATGCCGTATTCTACATGAAGCCATTCTTCCTACTGGCGTAAGTTGTTCTGAGTGAATTCCAGCCTGATAAAGAACGACTTGAACGCTGAGGTCAGCCGATACGTTTTCAGCGACGGGATGAGAAGAGAAGACGCACTCTGTGGAATACGTCACTTGAACAGTTTCATCTTCCATGTTCACTCTGGTAGCCTCTGAAATATTGATTGCTCAAGCGAGGCGGGTGACATTGGTTTGAATGCTGTCAAGACTGGCCAATGCTATCACAGTAAACAAATGAGTCTCTTTCTATTCTTTGCTTTACTCCTTGTTTGTTGACCTCCTTGGGGACTCCGAAGGACATTGTAAAGCGACGTGAAAGGGTTAGCAGGGAGCGTGATGGGATCCTTCGCAAAGTCCAGATGCACTCTTAAAGGGAGTACCTGCCTGTAGGCTTACGCATCTACTCTGCATGACGCTGCAATCTCGTGCAAATCAAGAATTATTCTTCATCGCGCTAGTTCTCGTCCTAGTTACCATCTTCACTCGTTAGATTGTTCTTGTTCTGTCCCTTGCGATCCTCTGACCATCGTCACTGCCTTACCCCTATACTTCAGTCAGATGCCTTCTGTTCGTCCCGATTTACATGTTCAATTCCTCCATTCCTTCCGATCTATTTCCACGTTCTCTATAACCCGTAGTACTTGACTGTTCTCCGAGCTTTAGGGTAGACTTGTACTCCCTGGTGACCGCCCTCAATATACACGCGTTGCACAGGTTCTATTCGCCTTAAGTCGACTTTATTCATCATTATTCAAATACAAAGTCTCAATTCGATGTTCACAACGTCTTCACTCTTACCAAAAACCTTACAGGCTTGTTGAAGCACCTAGTTTTATATGGTGTATAAATTGAGGATATTTTCATGTGGAAAATGTACGATAAAGCGCCCCTTACAAGGGAAAGGAACTTGGGACAGGTTCCTACACACGAATCCCCATCCAGATGGAGAGGAACGACCAGGCATAATACCTTCCCATAGGTTCAACGTCCATTTGCAGCACCTGCGTACAGATCAGCAGAGTATATGGAGCAATTTACTTACATACTGCGAATCCTATCCTCGGTCACCCATTTTGCTCCCACCTCTTGGACGGCACTCCTGGCAAATTCTTTGATATAGTCACAAACCGTATCATAACCCTCGTCATCTTTGCTTAACTTCACCATCTCCTTGTGGCTGGCATGGAGGGACTCTTTTCTCGCATCCGGGTCGCCGGCTATCACAGCCGATCTATACGAAACGGACTACAAGTGCAGTCAGTATTAGTGACTATTCTATAAACTATTTTCACCATGTCTCCTTTTTTGCCTTGCGAACACCCGGAATAGAAGCACACCCTATGGATGTTTTTACTTATCCCAGCATACAGCTCCTGTACGTTCTCGAGCTCGGACGAATCTTCCCGAAGTTGGTCAAGGATTTTGTCTGTTTTATGCGTGTACACTGATGCCATATGCTGAATGGCGTCAATTATCTCGTCCTTTACCCCAAAATGCGGTGTTCCAAAGAACAGAATTGCCTGAGTGGATACTAGGACACTCTGAAGGTCATCTCTCTGTATTGGTCCTGGCCTTGGCCTCTGATTGTCGCAGATAACCAGGGCCTGCACAGCGGTTAGCAGTTATTTCTATTATAATAAGTATTACGAACCCATTTAAGGATAATTCCACCCAGATCATGCGCGATAAAGATGATTGGTCGCTACGAATGTGTTAAAAGGAGCTAACCAGTGAGGCTATACACTCACTCGAGGAGCGTCCCTGCGTTTCCTTACAAGTGTACTCGCAAACTTCTGAGCATCCCGGCGCATTATTTCGGTCGATATGCTTTCCTGACAGCCAGTATTGGCATCATAACCGTAGCTGAGGATGCGGGCCTTGGGCAAGTCGGAAGGTAAAAAGTCGCGTAGCCATAGGGTACCATTTTGAGCCATCCATGTCTCCTCTCGGTGTCCATCCAAGCCGTGAATAGCAACAATGCTGCCGAGGGAAATTTAGTCGCCAGCACATACACATATGCAGCGGGAGGCCTACTCGACTATTGGATCATCCGGAGAAGAAAATGCTTTGATCCCAAAGTCCTTTTCATTTGGTTTTGGCTTGGGAATAGGCTGCATCGTGCTTTCTAGATCTGCCGGAGAGGTAAGTTGGTCGGAGTTTGACCGGGAGGGATCGGTGCCGTCTATATCTGCGGGATATGTCGTCTGATGTGTGTTCGATGGAGGCGGTTGGGGAGATGCGCCCTCTGTGGGAGTCGCGCGATGTACACGTGGGTCCATATTTGACTGCGACAATCGAAAGGAGTTCACGAGCTGTTTCCACCGTGATTGAAAGCTTGGCATAAATTCCGTTGGAAAAGGTTGGGAGCAAGCCTCGTCTCTTGGAGAACGGCAGGGTGTCAACAAGAGGTTGGACAGAGATTGACAATCCGGGCCGACGGCCAACTTGGAGCCTGGATTTCCGGTGCTGTGGACTGCTGTTATCGATGGAGCCTCACTCGGTGGTGTTTGATGGTGATGCCGGGACAATGCTGGACGCTTTCAGAGTCCCGAGACTACGCGCACCAGGCCATTGGTCTATACTCCGAGAAAGTAGTATCGAGGATCTCTGGCTCCAGCTTGAGAATAAGAATACGACGTCAACGCGCTCCTTTTACTAACTGCACATAACTACGTCCATCGAGTCGTCATATGATCTTCGTGATAGGTTGAAATGCTCTTTTCGCATTTTGTGGTGGCAGGGGTTTGAGGCCAAGCTTGCTTTGTGCGCTCACTTTCGACCTCGCCATCCCACCGCGTCGATTTCCCGCTCACAAAAGCGACTTGAACCCATTTGTTAGAGCCACTCGTTCACAGCTATAATACACCTAGTAGGTGATAAATACTCTAATTTGGAGCTGGACTGACCTAGAATCGACAAACAAGGTTTTGATTCGATCCTATGGCGTCTTTGGCAATCCGGAACATGTCGCGAGTAGCTTTAAGAGCGTCTATTCTACAGACAGGTGCTACTAGAGGTGTAATGGGAGTGCGAACGTATATGCTGCCCACGGAGATCAAGGCAAGTCGACATGAGGTGGATATTTTGGGGCATTCTGACTTCTCTACAGTACACGGCATCGGCGACAGCGAACAAGGGCGGGCGCGCCGGAACTGTCGTGATTAACCACGACGCACAACCACCCCTCAACACGACTATCAACCTCAGCGCGCCAAAGGAAATGGGTGGACCAGGAACCGGCTCAAACCCAGAACAACTCTTTAGCGCAGGATACGCGGCTTGCTACTTGACGGCGCTCAACGCGTGCGCAAAGAGTGCCGGTAAGACACCCGAGCAGCTCGAGAAGCTGAGTGTCGAGGTCAAGACGAGTATTGGACCAACAGATGTGCAAAAGGATGGCAAGGGATACGCATTGGTGCTAGAGGTCATCGTCAAGGGTCTTGATGAAGGCGGCGAGGAGATTGCGCATGCGGCGCATCAGGTATGTCTTATTCAAGACATGTGAATAATATACTTATACATTCCAGATGTGTCCTTATTCGCGCGCGCTCAACCACGGTGTCAAGTCGACGACAACGATTTCCTAGATTTAACCCTTGTACGTCGGCAAGGCCAAAATATAGAGTGGGATGATGGATTGGATTTCGTGCGAGATCCGGACATTATCATTTCACCAGCGAAAAGGAGCAATTAGTCGACAGATGTTAACCAACAGAGTCAATGGAACATGACATGACTTCTGATAGTTCTATCATCTTATCTGCTGAACCATTTGAGTTCAAGCCAAACCAAGCAAACCTGTTACTGCTAATATGGGTTCTCTAACCAGGACACGGATAAAGAAATGGAAGATGAGGAGGGAGTAAGATAGAGGACCATTCTTGTATTTATACTTTGGTCCGCCGGGCATTGCATCGACCTAGCGGTCTAGTCAGATATCAATTCACAACTTAGACCTTTCCACGTAAACACGACTGAAACAACCCAAACTCCGGGGTCCTTGGAGCCGCGACACTTGATTCGTCCCGGCATCGCTCTTATCTAGGAAGTCCCCATCGATAGATGATGCGAAAATGGCAGGCTGCAGTTTCCAAGATTGAAAAATTAATCATGTAAAACGGCCAGGAGCCTGGATTCCCAGTCCCTACAAACCTTTTATTTGTACCCCTCTGTGTATCAAAGAAACGAGGCTTCCTCCCTACCTTCTCCTTCGCCAACGGAGTCACCTCTTCGCTAGCTTCGAAGTACATCATGGGTGCCTCCCCATCGTTTTCAGTCGACATGGACCAGCCTATGCCTGGAGGTCTAGAGGCGCAGATACCTCCCAATCACCTCCATCAGTCGCAGAAAGTTATATGCCTCCCAGAAATTCAGAGAACCTGGGATCCTCACTTCCGCCTCCATCGAATTTGAACAAGCCTTTGGCCTCCCAAAGGGACGACTTGCATCCAGCTCCAGGGCGTAAACCGAAAGTAGAAGATCTTGGATTCTGCGAATTTTCTTCTGGGACCAATCCTGTTGTCGAGTAAGTTGCGCGCCCAATTACACGTGCTTGCCGCTCAGCGTTTCTCCTCAGTATCGTGGCTATTCACGGCTTAGATGGGCACAGGGAAAAGACATGGATGACAGGAGATGGCACTCTATGGCTACGCAACTTCCTGTCTACCGACTTGCCCAACGCCCGCGTCCTCAGCTATGGTTATGATGCCAACACGGGTGATCAGGAGTGCATATCGACTCAGACTATGCGCCGGCATGCTGACGGGTTTGCCAACGCGCTCGCAAGGAAACGCAGGGAGGCTCCTCGAGTGAGCGCATAGCCTCGCTGGTTAACTCCATTTGACACATTCACAGCGACCAATCATCTTCATCGCACATAATCTGGGCGGAATTATCCTTAAATGGGTTCGTAGCCTGATCCATAAGCAACCGTCCGCTTACGGTCTAGTAGGCCCTGGTTATATGCCATAATCAGAGGGTAACGTCGAAGTGTAACCTTCGAAACATACTAGTGTCCACTCATGCGATCCTGTTCTTTGGAACTCCACATTCAGGAGTGGAAGACAACATGCTGGAGGCCATCAAACGCGTGGCGTCGGTGTACATGTATACGACGGATGTGATCCTCAGAGATCTTCGGGCTAATTCATCTGAGCTTGAAAACGTGCAGAGTCTCTATCTTGAGGCGAGCGACAAGATTAATACGATGTTCTTCTATGAAGAGTATGCCACAGAGGGGCAGAGAGAACCGGTAAACTCACTAAGCCCGGAACAATGGATACTAATTAGACGGTAGTTCGTCCCTTATCACTCCGCCACGATTGCCGGGGACCGCGAAGCAAACTCAATTGTCCTCCATGCGAACCACCACGATCTTGTGAGGTTTGGAAGCAAAGAGAACGTCAACTACGAAACCGTTATCGACTACCTCACGGAGTATGTTCAAAGTGCCTCCGCGCAGGTGGGGCCGAAGTGGGTGACAGAGGACAGATTTCGGAGTTTGTAGAGAACACACACTCTCTATTCGGCTGATTATTATGCAGGCGCTGCAATGGGACAGTCCAACCCTGAGCAGGATTTGCCACCGAGATATGTCGAGAAGGCTACAACTTAGGCAATACTTATCTTCAATTGAATAGAGATACGGACAAGAAATAGTCAATTTTGTCCTGTATTACCTCATTCAAGCTACTTCCCTTTCTGTTCGACCTGCAATGGGAGTCGTCTTCATTTCTTCCAATATAGTTTTTTTTTTTTTTTTGGTAGGTATTATTGTGCAGTGGCGTTGCCAATATAGCACATCATTCTATCGAATAGTCCGCTTACTGGGTTATCCCTAGTGTCCTAAGATGAGGCGATCCCTCGCAGGCAGGTAGTCAGTCACGTCCTCTCTAGGTTCCCCCTCTGGGCGTGACCATGTCTATTGCTACATTTCCTTTCACGTGGTTCTCCATTAGTTTCGGTTGGTATCGTAGCTCGTTGCGTTGTTTCATCGATGTTTGCCACTGCTTTTGTCTTTCTCCTTCGTCCCCCCTGTTCACCATCTCCCGGTTCTCCTAAGGAATTTGAGCGTTTGCTTGATCCCGTCGCTGGTCCCTAGGACCTCTGAGAGGTCTTCTGTTCTCTCTCGTAGATTTCTCTCCCATTCGCTTCTTGCTTCACGGTACTTGGGGCATATGTAGAGCACATGTGTCAGGTTTTTGTAGTTCCTTTCGCCACAGTGCGGGCACCATGGCGTGTCTGCTCTGTTGATGCGATTCAGATGACCATTGAGGCATGTGTGACCTGTACGTAGCTGGGTTAACATCGCTGCTTCTCTCCTGGTGAGTTCGTCCGTGAGTGCCAGGTATTTTCCCGATGGCATGGTCTCGTCGATCTTGGCTGCTCTCTTGAATCTCCTGGATTCCCTCCATCTGTCTCGCGCTTCTGTCTTTGCTATCCTCTTGAGCTCTTGCTTGACTGCCGATAGGTTTGCTGGAAGTGAGTGTTGTAGCCAATGTGGGAGGTCGTCACGGCTGCTTGCGTCTTCCGTGATTGCCTTTTTGGCTTCTTCGTCTGCTGCTTCATTTCCTTCTGCTCCTTCGTGCCCTGGTATCCACGTAAGTTCCATTCGCGAGGTGACTCTATCACTTAGCGCATCGTCACTTGACTCTGCTAGCTCTCTCATCTCCTGTTCGGCTCTTAGGGCTGCGATCTCTCTTTGGATGGTGGTGGTTATGTGCTGCCCGGCCTTGGCGTTGCATTGTGCCACACTCAGGATTGCCGCTTGGTTGTCCAGACTGATGTTGATCCTCGCAATGGGTCCTTGCGCTGTCTTGGCGAGGTGGAGGCCCAGTGCTATGCCCACTAGCTCCCCTTCATGCACTGTGTGCTCCGTGTCTTTGCCAAGCAGATGACGGATTGCTTTGACTCGACGGCCGTCTTGGTAGAGGACTGCTGCTGCGCCTATCTTCCCTTCCATCCCTGAGCCGTCTGTGTATATCGCGACACTGCGTGTTCGTATCGCCTTGTCTCGTTCGATGGCTTTCTCCCTTGAGGCGTCGATGGTGCACCTGAAGTGCATTGGTCGGTTTGGGTCCTTGAGTGCCGGATTGATTGATTCTATTGATGCGACGTCGACTTTGGTTGCGTGGAGTATCTGGTGCATTGGGGTGTTGTGTCTTTGCAGCTTCCCCTTGGCCGCTCGGTTGGCGGGTTTGGCCAGCGGGTGTGACTGTGGTAGGCTCATTAGTCTTGCCGCTGCTTTCTGACATGCCAGGTTGAGAGTGACATCGATTGGGGGGAGGTTGATGTGCGTGTTAAGGACATCCCCTGCCGTTGTTCGCATGGCTCCGGTGATGCCAATCGCCGCTTTCCTCTGGACCGATTGTAGTTTCTTGATTATCGCAACTGAACCTGTTCTTCGTGTCTTTCTGGCATTATTGTGCGGCGGGGTGAACCATATGTCCGCTGCATATTGGATACGCGGGATTGCTACGGACTGGTATAGCTGTCGACCCATTCTGAGTGGTAGTCCTCGCGCAACTCTGTGGATGCGTGAGAAGAGTGCTGTCCACTTTACCGCTCTGGAGTGCACGAGTTCTTGGTGTTTGTTCCATTGTAGCTGTTGGTCCAGGATGACTCCAAGGAGCTTGTAGGTTTGGCTGGGGTTGATGATGACTGTTGACGGTCCGTCGTTGCTGTTCTCGGTGACTAGGGAGAGTGGCGTTGATTCACTTCGCTTGTCGGGTGAGCGTGTGAAGTCGATGAGGGCGAGTTTGTTGGTTTCTAGAGGGGAATTGTGGCTATATGGCCAATCGAGGACTCCTCCCATGCGTTCCATCATGTCCTTGATCTTCCTGTGCGTTTCGGCGAAGGATCAGCCTGTCGCAAGGATTGTGCTGTCGTCGACAAACCCAATGGTGAGTTCATCCTTTTGATTGCTGATTTCGAGTAGAGGAGATATGTAGAATAGGTAGAGGATCATTGAGAGAGGGCAACCTTGGCTGTTGCCGTTTGTGATTGCTATTGGGTCTGATTGCGAGCCATCGAATTTGAGGCGTGTCGATCTGTTTGTTAGCATATTCTCGATCGTGCAGACGTATGCTTCTGGGATCCCCTTCTTCTTCATGTTCTCCATCAGTACTGGTTTGACTACATTTGGGAAGGCCGCTTGGATGTCGAGGAAGAGTGCGCTGGCTACCTTCCCTGCTCTCCATGCTTTCTTAATCTCATGAGTGATCAGGTGGAGTGCGTCTGTGGTGGTGCGGCCGGGGCGTCCACCAAACTGTGTATTGGGTAGGAGTTTGTATTGCTCACAGAGGTAGGTGAGGTCCTCGGCCAGTAGGGCTGAGAGGAGCTTGCCAATTGTGTTGAGTAGTGCGATTGGTCTGTACGCTTTGGCTACATTGTACGCAGGTTTGCCAGGTTTCCTGAGCACGACGGTAGTAGATTCCTTCCATTGTTTGGGAATCCGACGCAGGCGGACGGCAGCGTTGAACACTGCTGCTAGGATGCCTACAATTGAGGGTAGGGCTTCTTGGATTGCCGCGTTGGGAATACCGTCCGGCCCTGGGGCCTTGTCTCGTTTTAACCGGCTAGCAGCATGACGTATCCTTTCTGTCGTGAAAGGTCTCCAATCTGGTAGCTGCTGGGAGGGTAGAGGCAGTTTGGTTGGAGCGAGGGATGGAGGTGGGGGGAAGAAGGTGCTGGATAGTATTGATGCTTTCTCCTCATTGGTCTGTGCAAGCCCGCAATTTGTTTTGAGTGGGGGGATGCGCTCCTTGCTGCCGTCGCTGCTGCTTTGGCCCTGGAATCGGTTGATATTCCACAGGTCGCCACTGTTAGCATTTTCGATCCATCTCCACCAGTGTTCCTCCTTGCTGTTCCTCACCGTCTTCTTCATGTTCTGTTGAGCGGCTGCGTATACCTGATGTGATGGGTGGTTTGGCGATGCCCTCCATCTCCTGGATTCGGTGTATGCTGCGCATTTGCGTCGATGAGCCTCCTTGCACTGTTTGTTCCACTATGGCTTCTGGAATCCTGCTGGTTTGCTGACTGGAGTCGTCTTCCTCAGATTCTCTTGCATGCACTCTGTGAGCTTGTCAACTACATCTTCTATGTCTTCAATGCTCTCTAGCTCTAGACTTAGCATGTTCATCCCTTCAATGCCTGCCTGTACTCCCTCTCGAAACTTCTCCCAGTCCGTTCTCTTGTAGTTTGGACGTGCTTCCTCCTGGCTTCTCTCTATCCTTGCCTCGATTATTGTAACAATTGGTAGGTGATCAGTAGTATTAGGTCGCCATTCCAGCCACGTGTTGCACTCTATTGTCCTCCGTACGATACCTTCTGATGCCCAGACATTATCTGGTCTTGTCTCACTACTGTTCTCCATTCTTGTGGGTATGCCAGCTGGTAGGAGCTGTTGCATGCCATGCTCGATGATGAGGTTGAGCAGGGGGGTGATCTTGTCCCTTGGGCTGCGGATGTGCCTGTTGGCATGACCTTCCCACATGTGATGGTGCCGGTTGAAGTTGCCGAGCCATATCGATTGTGTCTGCCTCTCTATTGGCCTTTGGCCTTCGAGGTGCTTGGCTAGTTGCTCGAGTGTGTCATTGTTTGTACTGTCATTGTAGATGTTGTATATATACATGCGATTGGGTTCCTGTCCTATGAGTATACTTACAATGTCGCTTGATGCGACTCTAACTTGTTCGCAATAACTGATTTTGACATTGACTAGCGTGACCGCTCGTAGTTTGGAGTGGTTGTCAGTGACTTTGGTACATGGATAGAACACTTGCCAGTTTTGCGTCGCTCGAATGTTTTCGATTGAGTTGAGGGCTGGCTCTTGGATGGCAATGATGTCCCATTCGTCTGGTGAGAGAGTGTTGATGAGTTCGCCATGTGCGTCAGGTGATTTCCTGGTGTTGATCTGGAAGATCCTCAGGTTGTCTACGGAGTTTCTGTATTGGCTGCTGATCATGTTGACGCGTTGGGGTTGGCTTGGTTGGTGATCTTGGTTTGTGGTGTCTTCTTGTTTGCTGGTGTCGCGCTGCTTGTTGGCAGTTGCATGTGCATTCCCTGGAGGACTTGGGCTGGTGCAGTTCCGCCGAAGTTGAGTGTGGTCTGGTGTAGGTTGGTTGTGCTCTTCGACTTGCGTAGAACTCCGGCGTATGATGGTGCTTGGTTGGAGCTTGCTGGCTCTGGTTGGGGTCCCTGCACCTCTTCGCTGTCTGGTTCACCTGCTATATTGGCCTCCGCGTTCCATGGTGGGGACTGGGTGCTGTCGAAAGACCATTTGTCGTTTGTGAAGTAGAACATAGACAATGTCTCTGGTGCCCTTTCTCCAAGCTTGTCTCTCCTTGCCCTGTATTCGACGCACCTTGTGTCACCTGATATGTGGCTTCCCGACCCGCATGGGGTGCACATTGTGCTCTGCTTGTTTGTACATTCTCTTGAGCTGTGTTCCTGCCCGCAATACATGCATTTGAATTTGTCAGCGCGGCATTTTGCTATGAGGTGGTCAAACTGAGAGCACTTAGCGCATAGTGGGATAAAGGCCTGTTCCTTCTGGACTTTGACTACATGGTCGTTGATGCGAGTTGGGCCAAGGATTAGTCTGTTGGCTACTTCTGGCAGTGTACAGGTCATTTTGACGTTGGCAAATGACTGTCCTTTGTATCGGTTGGCGGGGTTCTTTATCCATGAAGCTGCATATACTGAGTTTGTGGGAAGACGATTTTCGGTTTCGAATGCCCTTAGGGCCTCGTCGTCTTCAGGGCTCCATCCGACTGGTGCAAAGCGGATTGTAAGCCGGTATGTCCTAGGGATTATCTGAACTTCCTCGTCCGTTGTACCGTATGCTAAGTCCATCACCCTCTTCCATTTCCCTTTGCCTCTCAGCCCTTGTGCCGCTGTTATTGAGTTCATCTCGAGAAGTGTGGTGTTTGAGCTGGTGAACCTGACCCCAGCTACTCGCCATTCCTTTGTTTCCTCTCCCATCTTTCCTAGCGCGTTGTTCAGTGTCTCTTTATATGCGTTTACCTCGTCCCTTGAGTACATCCCTGATTGCTTCTTTATCTTTGGTGGGGTTGGGGCCATTATCTGTCTCTTGCGAAGGTTGACAATGTTGGAGGCTACCGCTTCATTGATGATTGGTGGGGTTGTGCGTGTCGCTAGGTGGCCATAGCCTGTTGACTGTCCAGTCGGCCTGGGTGCTAATCCTTCTTTTAGGCCCTTGGTTGCCTCCATTGCTGCTATAGTTAGCTCGCCGTATTTCAGGCTTACCGCGTCGAGGAGCTTGGTTGTTGATTCCGTTGCTTTGTTGACCTTCTCCGCTGCCTCTTCTACCAATTTGCTGATCTTTGCCGATATCGCTTTTGTGACATGTTCTGCTGCCGGTTCCAGGCATGCGGATTCTAGAGCAAAGGCGAAGGCATTCAACATGTTTTTGACCTCCGCACCTGCTGTCGTTTTTTCTGCATATTGCTTCATGTAGTCTGCTATTAGGCTCGTCGTGACTAGAGTATCCTTTCCTATCCACTTTTTCTTCATTAGGTGTGCACGTGCCGTCTTCTCGTTGTGCACTATGTTGGTCTCCGTTCCTGCGTCTGTATCTTGGCGCCTGGGCCTTCCGGCCTCAGCTCTGAGTTTGTCGCTCATACTTACTCTTCCCCTTCTTTCTCGTCCCCCGTTTGGAGCTTCGGAATTTGCTGGTTTAGTATTTGGGTTCACAGGTGGTGCGGTCCAAAAAAGTCTTCCAATATAGTGTCACGAGAGATGCTCTATGCTTCTTTTAGGGACCTATATGAGTTCTTTTTACATCCCGTGTCATCTGACTGGCCCTTTTATATCCAGATTATATGAGAATGTGCGGTGAACACGCGAATTTTGGCATTCGAGTACCTCTGTTGCCATTTTTGCTGCAGAATAAAATAGGAGCCCTTCAAAGTCATGATGATTGCGACGCTGGCAGTCCTCGAAGAAGCCGCGTATATGGAGGATGCCTATTCTTGCTGGGATTGTTCAATCGTGGAGATTGCCGGTATTGCGAGTCCATCGAAAACCCATTTATAAACCTCTTCCCTTCAAGTGAGACCTCGTTGAACAAGACAATGAGGCGGACAGATACAGGCTAAACGAGCCCTGACCGGCGGGTGGTTGACAATGCCAGCAAATGTCCGTTAACAAAAGAAGCGGTCTTGCTCCCAACCTTCTCCACCGTAAATAATGTCAGGTTTTCTCACACGTTCTAAGAATATCCTACGCCGTACTCGGTCTTCTTCGCAGCTGGACCAGGACAAATCCACGCCTGTCGCGCATTCAAGGAACATCGAGGTATCCACGTCGACGGATTCATCGGAGATAGATGGGCTTGGTTTCATAGACGCTGCTTCTGGAACGGATCCTGTCGTCGAGTAAGTCTGCTGACTTTCCCTGTGCTGGCCGCTGAGCCCATCTCTCCAGTATTGTCGCTATCCACGGTTTGGACGGATACAGGGAGAATACATGGTCGACTGATAGAGGAATCATGTGGCTACGCGACCTCTTGCCCTCCCGACTTGCCCAGCGCCCGAATCCTCGGATATGGATATGATGCAGACACTCGCAGCCGTGAATGCGTGTCGACTCAGAATCTGCGACAACATGCCGATGGGTATGGCACGCTAACTCGGCCAAACGCTCAGCGTCGGTGGTCGATGGTGACCGGAATGCGAAAGTGACTGGCCCCTAGCCTAGCCACATTGAAGTAGTGAGGCTTAGAACCAGAAAGGCAGGAAACTATGGAGCGGTTCTCGACTCGATCGAGGAGTGTGTCGAGACCGGCTCTGCGTAGGTAGAGGCAAATTGGGTAACCGAAGAAAAACGTCGCACTTTGTGGCCGAGCTGTCCTCTTTATTTAGCTAATTGACGCGCAGGAGCCGCTAGGGGAGAGCCCAGCTCTGAACCAGACGCCCCATGGGATACGTTGAGAAGCTCAACAATTATCATGCAGCAGTATGTTGACCTAGAAGAGGAATCCTTGTTTTGGGAATGGATAATATTCTGGACCGTATGTTTCTGTGAAATACATTCAGTGAGAGGTGAACGACTCATGGCCGGAACGCTCCAGAATCACCATTCCGGGGAAAGGCCTATCGAAGAACCGTGTGGGCTGACGATTTAATTAAAATGCACAAGACTGGAATAGGGATACTGCCCAATGGCCGTGGGTCCAGAATACCAGTCTCTGCTGGCATTTTGTTAAATAATAGCTGCACCGTTTATTTAAGAAACTTGACTTCCTTCCAACTTTCTCCATCATCATCAACGGAGTTATCTCCTCGCTCCTATAAAAGCGCATAATGGGCCCCGCTCTATCGCGTCTAGCCAACGCGAAGCAGCCTGTACAGAAACCGAATGAAGAGGATTTTGGATTCAAGGAGTTGTTTTCTGGAACCAATCCTGCTGTAGAGTAAGTAGTGTACGCATCACACGTGCCAGCCGCTCAGTTTATTTCTACAGCATCATTGCTATCCATGGCTTAGGTGGACATAGAGAAAGTACATGGAAGGCAGACGACGGTACTCTGTGGCTACGTGACTTCTTGGGCGATGACCTACCCAACGTCAGAGTCCTGAGCTATGGCTACGATGCCGCTCCTGGCAGTGATAGACGCGTAGCACACAATACCATCCGCGAGCTTGCCGATCAATTTGTCAATGCTCTCGTCAAGGAACGCACGGATCACCCTCGAGTGCGCATAATCGCCCTGCTTGTTAACCCGTCTGAGACATCCGCAGAGACCAATTATCTTCATCGCTCATGATCTAGGTGGTATTATTCTCAAATGGGCTCGTATAACTCTTCATCCGATAAAATCTGACTCCTGATGCTCTCGTAGGCGCTCGTTATCTGCCAAACTCAGACCATGGCATCAGATTGGAAACTTCGGAATATTCTAGTGTCCACTAATGGGATTCTGTTTTTTGGCACGCCACATTCTGGGGTCGCGAACGAGATCATTGACGGCATCAAACGCGTCGCGTCAGGGTACCGAGAAGCAACCACCGTCATCCTCAACGATCTCCGAGCTAACTCGTTCGAGCTCGAGACTGTACAGAAACTATATGGTCAAGCGACGAGTGAGAAGATCAAGACAATATTCTTCTACTCAGTATATCAAGAAAAGGGTTCAGGGAAAATGGTGAATATTTTATTTTATAGAACAGTGACTAACTGAACCACAGTTTGTTGACTATCATGCGGCTAGGGTACCTGGTGACCGCGATGCAGTAACGGAAGGTCTCTATGCCTACCATCGTGATATGGTGAGGTTTGGAATCAGGAACAACAACTATACATCGGTTCGCTATTATATCAAAGAAAATGTTGACAGTGCATCCGAAAAAGTGGGGGCTAAGTGGGTGACAGAGGACACACTTCGCAGTTTGTATGCAATTTACCTTCTGCGTCGGACTAATCCATGTGTAGGTGCTGTAACTGGAGTGCTCGTCTCTGAATACACCCCTAGGGAGGGTATACCCTCCACTTTGGGACCAGTACCCGCGGATCGGCCTCAGCTCCGTGAAAGCTCAGATAGCGTTAGGGGATCCCCCCAGTCGGCTCCACCAAACATGACTTCTCCTTCAGGTACAGAAAAAGCATCTTCTTGATTGAATGCGAATCATGCTAACAGCCCTGCCCCAATTCAGAAAGCAGCAAAGCGCCAGACCGAAGGGTCACAACAAAAGTAAATGATTTCGGAATCAAGGAATTGGCCTCTGGAACCAATCCTATTTTCGAGTAAGCTGTACAGCGATTAGACGTACCTATTTCTCAAAATTTCTCCTTAGTATAGTCGCTATTCACGGCTTGGATGGCCACAGAGAGAAAACGTGGATGACAAAGAACGGTGAACTGTGGCTACGCGACCTTTTACCGCATGACTTCTCCAACGCCCGCATCCTTAGCTATGGTTATGATGCCGACACTGGGAGTAAAGAACGTGTATCAACCCAAAATATGCGCCGTCACGCTGAAGGGTTTGCACAAGCTCTTGCCATGCATCGCAAGAATCAACCTGAGGTAGGTAAATAAGCTTGCTGGTTAACCCATCTCAAATATCTGTAGCGACCAATCATCTTCATCGCTCATGATTTGGGTGGTATCATCCTCAAATGGGTTTGTAACGTTGGATCGTACAAAATTTTCAGAGGCTGACATACTCGTAGGCGCTAGTTATGTGCCATAGCCAGAGTCTGGACTCCAAATGTGACCTTCGGAGCATCCTAGCATCGACTCACGCCATCCTGTTCTTTGGAACACCACACTCCGGGCTAGATAACAATATTCTTGACGACATCAGACACATGGCATCAAAATGCGCGCATAAAACGGATGTTCTTCTCAAAGATCTCAAAGAAAATTCAAAGCAACTCGAGAATGTACAGAGACTATATCTCGGGATTAGCGAGATCAACACAATCTTCTTCACAGAAGTGTATGGGGGTAAAAATGGAAGACTGGTGGGTGCATTGGAACCCGGGTATCTGTCACTAAGCGAGCTATAGACAGTCCAACCGCACTCAGCCACGGTCAAGGGCGACCGCAAGGCGATTGAAATCGGCCTCCACGCTGACCACCACGACATGGTGAGGTTTGCAAACAGAGAGGACGTTAACTACAAAACTGTTGTCCAACATATCCTGGAATATGCTGAGAATGCATATGAGCAAGTGTGGAAAAGATGGGCTACAGAGGCTTCGATTCGTAGTGTGTAATCAATCTCCTCTCTGTGCCCAGCTAATCGATGCCTAGGGATTGTAACTGGACGGGGTCCCCCCTAAGCGGGCGTTTGAAACGGGTGTAGGCACGACGTCGGGTCGTGAAATGGTACTTTATCGACCTTTGCCTGCACCGACAGCGCTTCTAGCGATAGAGGCTCCTCCGCGAGCCCCGACCGCTCAGGAGGAGTTGTTCGGCGGCAAAAAACCGATCAAGCAGCTGGTTCGTGAGAAAATCTGATGAATCTGTACCGAGAACTGAATATCAAATGGCTTGTGCCCAAAAGCCTATCTGCGTCTTCGTTGAGTGATCGCTTCAAGTCACTTCCTTCTCATTCTCCCGGTCATTCCAAAAGTCCAACGAAAGACTTTACTGGACGAAGGCTCCCACCTATAAACCGCTGACGCTGTGCCTGTCAGTCACCTTGATAAGGCTAGGAAAACGCATCCAGGAAACTCTTGCCTATTGGCTTCTAGGAGCCCGGCCAGCCTTGGTAGACCATTCTTTGATCTGTGGATCGGTAGCTATGCGCTAGGTCCCAAGAGCGTATCATTTTCGAGCGTAGTTCGTATGTGACTACTCACTTCCAAAAGAACAGTAAACCAGTAAAGTACATTCATTGCAACCCACTAGAACAACGATAACGCCCGCCAATAGCCCGCTTGTCCAAAAGACAGCGAGGACATGAATAAAGACGATATACGAATAGGATGTGTATAAGATACCTGAAGCTAACACACCATACGAGGGTATTACACGACCCACGTAAGACCAATACCCACGAGCCCAACCAACACGACATTCCACATACTCGTCGCCACCGTCGAAAGCGCACCGCTGATCGACTGCGCATACCCATCTCCACACGCACCATTGAGCACACGGGAAGCAGAAGGGTACGTCTCACTAATGAGCAATGTCGAATTGGTGGCATACGACGCAAAGATGCTCATCACACTCCGCGAACACGCACTACACGACGGCGTAATCTGCACGCCCTTTGCCAACCCACTCGCGTCCAACAAGACATTGTCCCGTGGGATATGGACATCACGAGCAATCTTGGCAACAGTCGTACTCTGCGCACGACTTGATGTAGACGAAGACGAGGACGAGCCAGGGAGAGGAGTCCCCATGGGGAGTTGGTAGAGGTAAATGTCCGCGGGTGGTTGGGCGGCCGCGGCGTCGACAAAGCAGTATGTATTCGTGCGCTCATTTTGTAAACACCCTGCGTCCCTGACCATTTTGTAGTTTCTAAACCCATTCAATGCGCTCCACGCGAGCGCATGACCGCTGCTCAATTCTTGTGCGCACGCTGTTCGGATATCTTGTTCGAATTCGAGCATGCGCCCTACGCATTCGTCTTCCGATGGCGTGGTATTGCACGTGCCGTAGATGATCGACGTCAGACTCGTTAGGTTTTTATCGAGCTGGACTTGCAAAAAGGCTTGCGATGTTGGGATTAAGAGGGAGAGTGGTCGACATTGTCGGAAAGAGAGTGTCGTAGTGAGATTTGCAAAGAACACTTGACATGTTCCTGATGTGAAATCTGTCGAGAGCGTGCTGTCAAAGGCCTGTGGGAATGGCGTAGGCAATACGACAGAGCTGGGAATCACAGGGGCCGAGGCGCGTGTCGTTGAAGTCGTGCTCGTCAATGTCCCTGATACGGACGCCGACGCGGATGTTGTCGGTGTGGCAGAGTCGTTCGCCGAGCCTGAACTTGTAGCTGACGAGACTCCTCCGAGTCCGCCTACCGTCAACACGGGTACGTCTGCCCCGTCTACATTTTGTCGAACCTCTAGGTCGTTTGACCATCGCTTTTGCCAGTCGAGTTCACCATGGGCCAGTCTCTGCACCGGTAACGGTCTTTGGTGGCCGGAGGTTGCAATCGTTGCAAATGCTGCTGCAGCGGTGACGATGACTGCTGTTGGAAGGAGGACGAGGAGAAGGAATTTACCCGACCGCCGTAGCGAGACGGGGTCTGGTTTAGCGAGACAGGGCCGCTGCTGGTGCATACTAGGTGGTTTGCCGAATTCGACCATGAAAGGTGAAGGTGAGGCAGGAGGAGTGAGATGTCTTGAAATTGTTGGTGGGGCCAAGAGGCTATCTACAGGCGTGGGGGTGTAAAGCGAATCGAAAGAGCTGCGCCTTGAAGAAGACGATGTAGTCGATGTTGATGGTACACAGCTGGACATGGACCGTCGAGGCGGGGTGAGGTAGTCGCGCGATGTCGAAGGGCTCGAGGCGTGTTCCATGCTGGAGGATAGGACGTGGCGAGAAGAGAGATGTGAAACGAGAATGAGCGTGTTTTGTAGGGAATGGCGTTGGGCAAATGGGCGGCTGTGGGTGTGGGAAGACTCGTGGGTGTCGTAGAACGGTAGAATAGGGAGAGCAGTGCCAAAACTGTTAGATATTCCCGAGTATCAGAATATGTATAACGCGCGTTAAATAGACCACTAGCGGGGGAGAATCGCAGGGAGTTGAGCGTCGAAACCAGCGACGTGGTGGTGAAACTACATACCAAATAATCGTCTAAACGCTCGTTTGTGACTGTTTGGATATTCTACACGCGCAAGATCCCCGCTTTTTTCTACCTCCGTCTTCTGAGCAATAGCCGATTAGGCCTAGCACGGGGAGAAGCTGAGCGTGCTTTCGGGTGTAATAAAACGAGTGTGGGGATTCCCAGCGATGCTGAGAATAATACGGTAGTGCTTTGCTGGGCTGGACGGGGATGGAGAGGTCCAAGCTTTGATGCGCAAGGCACGGAGATTGATGGACACAAGAGAAACAGTCTCGGGCGTTTTGACGATAAACTGCGGGTATACAATTCCCGAGAATTTGCGCGTGGACGGTCAGTCGGAGATAATGAATTGTTCCTTTCCCAGCCATAAAGAACTTGTGGGCCCTGGCCTCTTTTGGACCTGGCGTCGATAGTGACTTTGGTGATTATCGACAATTCCGCAATGTCATTATTAGTATATATTGCTTTCATAAGCAGCTCATAGCGCCCATTTGACTGCTCCATCTCCGGCACTCTATTCAAGGCGCGGGCGCGGGAATCTGGCGTTCGCTCACGGCCCTAGTCGTCGCAACAGCATCTTGGACCCTCCTAATGTCTATACCCTACACCTTCATCGACCAATTCCCCGCCCAGAGCGGCTCAGCAGCCACTACCGGCGGCGCATGGTTGGGAACATTGTCCGCAAACGATGCACGATGTAAGACTCGACTTTTTATATAGGCATCCATTGCTAAATCTGTGGTGCGCAAAGATTCAACAGCGACCATATCCACACCGTGTGGAGATGTTCCACATTGTCTTTGGATGTGGGTCAACGCCAGAGGTGCCTATGAGACGTATAGCATGAAATACGAGGCAAATATCTCCATCCCCATGTCGCGCTACGGCAACGCGAACCAGCTCTCATTGTACGTCTCTCCTTCTTTACGATTTTCCTCGCTGATTCTTCTAGTAACTGGTCGTATAAGATCCGATGGGGATGCTCAGCATTGCCGGGCGGATACAACCTCACCTCCAACTCGCGCGTCGGCTCATCCGATGCAAACTCATATTCGACCAGCTTTGGTTCAACAGATTGGTCCACCATTACAGCAAGCGACGATTGGGCGACCACCATTTCGCACAGCGGGACGACTCCGATAGAACGCTATGGCAGCTCGTCGCTCGGTTTTGTCTACATTAGCATCGACTTGACGATGCCTCATCCACTCAATTCTTCCGTTTCGTATTACATCAAAGGGGCCACATTTGATATCACCACGCCTACGTCTGTTGCGGCAGTGTCAACGCCTATCGCCTCTGGCTCTGGTTCCGGCTCTGGCTCTGGCTCCGGCTCTGGCTCTGGCTCTGCTACCTCGTCGATTAACCGCACATCCACATCCACTTCGTCTACTCTATCGGCCTCTATCACATTCTCCTCCATCCTTGGCGGTCCTAGCGTGGACGCTGGTTCGGAAAGTTCAACACAGGCCGCGGTAGGCTCGACAGAGAACCCATCTAGTCCATCAAACGAACCAACCAGAAAGACCAACCTAACACCAGCTATCGTTGGAGCAACCCTAGGGGTAATTGCGCTCTTGGGTCTCATAGCTTTCTTCGTCTTCCTTCTCAGACGACATAGGCGAAAGGAAGTGGTGCCTACTGGAGAAGATGAGGGCTTTGCGCCGATGACGCATAGGTCCGACTCAATGCTCCTTGCCGGTCCTGCACCAAAGGGTGAGCGGCCACCGAGTGTGAGGTGGAATACCGACACCTCGGCATATCTCACGACCGAAGAGAATCTCATGCCTGTAAGCGAATCTGAAGATGCTATATTACCATCTGGCTCGCGCGCAGACAATCCAACCATCTCGCCCGCAACGGACGACGTCGTACCTATTCGACCTGAATCACTTTCGCATACAGAAACTACAGAGAATCGACAGGAAGAAGAGAGGCAAGGAGGCTCTGTAGTCGGTACAGAAGCACCTCCGCCTTATCGGGGCTCCGTGGGGACACCGATTGCACCCGGTCCATCACGACGGAATACGAACCCCTTCATTCCATTGCCCCTCCCAATGCGTACACTAGAAGACTTTGCACGTGTGCATCGTGCAGAGGTTTCGGAAGAGTTGGAACAGAAGCTCAGGAGGGCGAATTATTTGCCTAGTGATGACCCTGATGCAATTTCGGACGAGGTTTGGGAGAGAGAATATGCTGTTGATGCACGCGAGTTGGAGGTCTTGCGGCGTCTTTATCAGAGGTACGTCTCGGTGTACAATGTTCTTCGCGACTCATGTCTCTTTAGGAATAACGATATTTAACCAACTATCTCTTTGTGGGTGAGGGTAGACCAGTTTGTGATGTACACTAGTGTAATTTGAACCCCTACCACGACGATCAATATTCATGGCGCAACCCTGCGAAGGGTAGTTTGCTCCTGAGCTATCACGATTGAATGAGAACACCGCCCATGTAATTTATTTCTATGCCGCGGAGGCCGGAATTGGGCGCGGGAAATATGATATGAATCACCCTTGTAAACGGGACACGCAAAAGCAAACCTCTCCCATCCCCTCTACGAGCGTACAACAGATCCTTCTCGAGTGCTATGAGCACTGCGGTCCCTTTGGCTCAATTTTCGAGTCAAGCCGCTGCGTTTGCGCGAGATGGCGGGGCTTGGATTGCAATCATGTCGACAACGGAGCCGACTTGTGCGTCCATTTACTAAAAATGATGTAAAATCTGATATTTTGGATAGACACGACGCTCACTGGCTCGATTTGTAGCGACGTGCCGAGTTGTTTATTTCTCTCGTGGACCGCGACGACGACGAACACTGCTTTTGCCGTCAATTACCAGGCGAATGTTAGCGTCCCACTGGATCAGTATGGAAATATCGATTCTGTCAACTTGTACGTCTGCTTTTCGACCGGCAGCGAGAGCACTATTGACGGATCTGCTAGCAATTTGGCTTACAATATCGAGTGGGCCTCTTCAAAGGTTTCACAAGGGACCTCTATTAGCACGCACTCCTCTGTTGGGATAGGAGGCGTGTCCTTCATGGACAATACCTCTGCGGACGATTACAACGCCCTCACTCGAACAAGGAATACGTGGATATCCAGTCCATTCGGCCATTCGGGAAGTGTAACTCCCGAAAGATACGGTGATGCAAAGTCTGGATATGTCACTCTGTACATCGGCATAACGATGCCCGTGGAAGCAGGCGCGAATATTGCATACTATGTCAAGGGCATTACGTTCGAGGTCACGAATCCTATCGTCAACGCGCCGTCTTCTGGTTCCACGACTGTGACCTCTACGGCGTCCTCGACGAGTGGAGTCTCGCAGAGTGGGAGTTCTACGGGGAGTAGTACGAGGCTGCATTCGGAGCTGGGTGCCTTGCCTGGTCTTTCTAGCGGCGCTTCGCCTCTCTCCTCTGGAGGAGCGTCTGTTGGTTCGGGGGGTAGTGCGGCGAGTGGTGTTGCACCGCCGAAGACCGCTATTATCGCAGGGGTGGTGGGATCCCTCCTCGGTGCGATAGCATTGGTCGTTGTAATTTGGTTCATTAGGCGGAGGAGACAGAAGAGGAATGATGGTGCATCCGTGGTTCCCTTCACGTCCGTGCAGGATGATGTCTACTCTACCACGGAGCTCCCAACGTCAAGACGAGATAACAAGCCAGTTACACTGGATATAAAATTGGCAGGTGGGCGTGAAAAAACGGGTCGTTCCAGCATGGATGGATCCCAGGTTGCAAGTTCGTCTTCTATTCGTCGAAGACAGCAGCAATCCAGCAACGCCGCTCTTGCGCAAAGCAGTGACCCCTCACGTGGAGGGGGCGAATTATCTCCACAAGGCATCTTCTCTCCTCTTGATGAACATGCGACTCGACTCGGAGTTCATTACCCTTCACGAGGAGAGAAGCTGGGCGTTCACCGTGACGAGACATCCGAAATGGTGGCCTCGACGTCTCGTGCGCCACCGAGACGGCAACCGGAGCTAGATCAAGAGGAGAACCTTGAGCGACCAGCTCCCTCCACGGTTATGAGTCCTGTAGGTGACCTCCCACCACCACCGTATTTCATGACTACATCCGCTGGAGCACGACTTGGACTCGTTGGGCATTCTTCTTCCAGACCGGAGACGCTAGAAGAACTCGCGCGGAGATATCGACCGCTCATCCCGGTCGAGTTGGAGGCAAAGTTGCGACGCGCGAATTATCTTCCCACTGAGAATCCAGATGATATACCAGAGGAGGCGTGGTTGCGGGAATATGGGGTTGGACCGCTGGAGCTCGCACGGGTCAGACGGTTATACCAGATGTGAGTACACGTTTCGTCCTTTTAGCGAGCGAGATATTGAGGAGATATAGGAATGTACCGGCGGAGGTATAGATATTTATCCTTATTGGCATAAATTATCTCCTGGTTAATGATCGACCGTTCGAACCGTGGTTTACAAAGGTATAGAAAATGACCTTGTCGACAGCCTCAACTAGTCAAGTTGTTACTTCTTTCACTGGGATAGTCTCTTCCCCACGATGAGATTGCCATGTTGCGTTTATGATATGGAGGTGAGTAGACCAGAAGACTAATGAGCATTTTGACTTCGACGAAACCACACTCAGCTGCTCGTTTCATACTCATCTCCTCAGAAATCGTTCTCCTTCCCTACAGTTGCATTTCCCTTGTCCTCCGCTGGCTTTGGACCCGACATGGACACTGCATTTGTTCGGGCATCCAGATGATACACAATTACACAGGGAAACCATCGAAGACATAACCGTGCACCTTCGATAGCAACTCATGGCGCACATTTGGATCCTTCTCCATCTCCGACACTCCGTCCCAGGCGCGGGCGCGGGAGCCCGACGCTCACTCAACTCCCCTCGTCGTTGTGTAGGCATCTTGAATCCCGCCAATGTCTATACCTTACATCCCCCTCGAGCAGTTTCCCGCTCTGGGCGGCTCAGCAGCCATCAATGGTGGAGTATGGGTGGGCACGATATCCGCAAACGATGCTCGATGTAAGTCCGATCCTTTATCCTTATCACTCCCAAAGCTGACCTCAAAAGTTTCAACGACCACGATGTCCAGAACGCCGTGCGGGGATGTTCCACATTGTCTTTATATGTGGGTCAACCCCCTAGGTGCATACGAGACATATAGCATGAAATACGAGGCAAATCTCTCCATTCCCATGTCGCGCTACAGCAACGCGACCCAGCTCTCGTTGTACGTCTCTTGTCCTTCTCCATAGCACTCCCTTCTCATCTTTCAAGCAACTGGTCGTACAAAATTCGATGGGGATGTTCAGCATTACCCGGTGGATACAATCTTACCTCGATCTCACGCGTGGGCTCAACGGGTGCAAATACGTATTCTACCAGCTTTCCGCCAACAGATTGGTCCACCCTCAAAGAGAGCAATGATTGGCCGACTACAATCTCGCACAGTGGGACGACTCTGATAGAACGTTATGGCGACTCGCCGCTCGGCTTTGTCTACATTAGCATCGACCTGACGATGCCCCATCCATTGAACTCTTCTGTTTCTTATTATATCAAAGGCGCCACCTTTGATCTCGCTACGCCTACGTCCAGTGCGTTGGCTTCGATTACCACTTCCTCTAACTCTACTTTGTCCTCGGGTAACCGGACATCTACTTTCACTTCTTCTACTATATCGACCTCCACTCGACTCTCTTCGATCGTCGGCGGTCCCGAGTGGGATCCCAGTCCACAGAGTTCGATTCCGGCGGCGGTAGGATCTCCAGGAAGCCAGCCGAGCCTATCAAACTCACCTCCTAGCATGAATGGTTTAATACCAGCTATCTCAGGAGCAATGGTCGGTGTATTTGCGCTCTTGGGACTTGTGGGGCTCTTCCTCTTCCTCCTCAAACGACGCGCTAGAAATGAGAGGATGCATATTTCACATGAAGAGGCTGCCCCGACAACGACACAGCAATCCGACTCTCTCATCTTTACTCCAATGGTTATGCGACTACCAAGCGCATTGCGGAATATCGATACCTCGAAGTATCTCTCGACGGAAGAAGATTCCGTGCCTAAAGAAGAGTCTGATCACGTGTTTCTACCATCAGTGTCACAAACAGACGATCCACCCAGGGGGCGCGTGGCCGACGAAGTTGTGGATATCCATCCGGAATCAACTATCTCATGGACAACATCTACATTCTCAGAGAACGCAGATTATCAGCAGGAAGACGAAGAGCAAGGAGAGACCGTCGGTAGCAGAGAAGCTCCTCCGCCCTATCATGGTCCTGTCGGGATACATACGGCCTCTGGGTCATCAAGAAATGCGAATCAACCCCTACCACCTATTTCTGTGCAGGCGCTCGAGACATTTGCGTGTATGCATCGTGCAGAGATTTCGGAAGAGTTGGAGGCAAAGCTTGAGATGGCGGGTTATGTGCCGAGTGATGATCCAGATGTGATTTCAGAAGAGGTTTGGGCCAGAGACTATGCTGTCGATGGAAGAGAGTTGGTTCTGTTACGACAGCTTTACCAGCGGTGCGTCCTGCTGCAGTAACCTGTTTATGATGGATTATATTCGTTCAGAGCCAATGTTATTTAAAGAGCATTCACGTAGCGCTATAATCAGTCTGTGATATACAATAATGTAACTTGGACATCTACCATAACACCAGATACTCCTGGTATATACCTTCCCAGGGCATCACACCGAAGGTATCTTAATCGGCTGAAGAAATGTTGTATTATTCTTTGCGTATATCGGATAGGCTGAGAGCAGGCGCGGGCGCGAGAATTAGAAATGGGAAAGTGAGCCCTTGGACCAGATAGAAAGGCAGGTTCTCGCACTCTCCTACAATCCTACAAACAGCTCTCTTTTGAGTGTTATGAGTAACGCGATCCCTTTGACTAAGTGGATGCTTATTTTATCGGCAGAATTGATCTCTTGGGTTGACGAGGAATGATCAACGGCTTAGTTCTGCACGAGTACTCTGCTCTAATAGATATAAAATGCATTTATCCAGATTGCCGTTGTGCCCTGACCGTCAACTGAATGGAAGATGGATGTGACTTCGCTATTCGGCACGGCCTGGACCTCTCCACGACGATCAATATCCTGCCAAGTCCCAAGAATACAGCAACTGTGAAATCTTATGTTCTTGAGACGACAGACTGCGATCACGTCCGCTCTTTTGTGCTCATGCTGACCTCGTTTCGCGACTCGACAGCAATAAATGTCGGGTTTGGACAGATTCCGGCACGAGAAAAGAATTGTAAAGGAACAAGCCGTGGTTTCCTTGCATATTCCGTTGTTTAAACTAGTCGAGACTCCGTTCGGGAGATGTACTTTCCGGGCGGAGTGAATGCCTGTCAGACCCTGAAATAACGGAAGGACGATCTGCCGCTACAGCTGCATTGATGTTAGACATCTGTATCTTTACGTGAACCACTAGATGCGGGCTGCTTATAAACGGCCACACCCTCCGTCTGCGACTTGAACTCCCCACAACTGATCTTCGACATGCCGGCCAAAGCCCCTCCACCTTTCAAGTTCCCAGAACCTTTTGACACGCAGTATCATCGAGAGCTGGAAGAACAACAGCAGTCTGGAGATTACAACGACCAGCAAGAGTACGTCGAACCCCCGCCACCAGAGCCACAGTCCGCCAGAAGCAACATCAGGAAGAGGCTCATCGTCTGTTGTGACGGTACTGGTCAGTCGTCGAGCAACGGCGTCGACGACGTTCCAACAAACATCACTCGGCTTGCCCGAGCCATCGATACTTCAGAGCAAATCGAGTCTTATGGAGACGATCCCGCTACAGAGATCCCGCAAAGTCAGATTCTTCCATTTGACTTGAGCTGTACTGATTTCCGTGTATAGTTGTCCTCTACCAGACCGGAGTCGGTACCGAGGAAATGTCTGGCCTCGGTTCGGGTCTCTCCAGTATGTCTCTTTCTGAAAACTGTCAAGATTACACGCTCAATCATACATAGGTGCCTTTGGATATGGCCTCGACAGACACATTCTCGAAGCCTACACCTTCTTCTCCCTCAACTTTGAAGAAGGCGACGAATTATTCTTGTTTGGCTTCTCTCGCGGCGCCTTTACTGCCCGTGCCATTGCCTCTCTCATTTGCAATGTGTGTATTGCCCGCATGGTCCTGCTATCTCACTGACGAGTTGTGTCGTAGATTGGCCTGCTCACCAAGGATTGCCTGAACAAGCTCCCAAAGATCTATAAGCGATACAAGGAGCGTATCGACACCGAGGACAGCCGTAAGGAACTCGAAGACTGGGTCAAGAAGAGGGTCAAGCACAAAGGCGGCAAAGTGGAGATTGAAGACCCAAAGGTCATGGAGAGCGAAAAGTTTACAATCAATAAAGAGGTCGTCATCATCGCAATGGGTCTTTTCGACACTGTCGGGAGCCTTGGTATCCCCGACGGGACCATTAGCACTCTCCTCAAGCCCTTGAGCTGGACGGGACTCAACAATAAGAAGTATCAGTATCATGATACATCGTTCCCGGTTGCACAAAGTGAGTAGTTGGCCGGCGCGAATGAGTCATGTTTTCTGACATACAATCTCAGATCCTCAGGATTTCAGGGCTCATATTGTTGGCGTCTATCAAGTTCTTGCCCTCGACGAATGTCGCACTTCGTTTACTCCCACTCTTCTGTACGACCATGGCACCAAGTCCAAAGTGGGTGAAGGAACAGGCTTTTATCAAGTCTGGAGTAAGTCGTCTCCCTGATCTATCACTCCTTCGCCGATATATTATGTCCACTGTGAGAATGGCTTGCTTACCATCGAACAGTGCCAGGAGTTCACACCGACGTCGGGGGTGGGTACGAGCGAAAACCCAACGACATATCCGATATCAGTTTTGCGTGGATGTACGACTTTATCAAAGCCCGCTTGCACTTCCGTCCAGGGGTCGTCAACGAACTCCGAGAGGCCGCTCTGGATCCCGCGCGCTCCGATCCTACCGTCAAGAAGAAGCCTTCTGCACCTCCACCAGAGGATCGCGGCTGGGCATGCTCCAACGTACACGACGAATACCATACATACAAATTCAAGTTTGGAGGTCAACGTTACCGCACTCCCGGTCAATACTACCTCGAGCAGAGTGTAAAGGAGGGTTCCATATTCAGGACGAGCGAGTTCATCCACCCGTCTGTTCGCGTGCGGATGCTGTCGACTGATTGGAGGCCACCTGCGCTCGACGGGTTCAAACTCAAGCGCGACGAAAAGGGCTACTATTGGGTCAAGGAGTGCGACGTCTCAGGTGTCGGGAAGGTGCAGCTAAGGCTCGACGAATCGCCGGTATGGGTGCACGATCAAACCGAAGAAGAGCTCCAGCAGCGGCACGTCGACATGGAGTCGTACCTTATAAACCAGGACAAGAAGGCGAAAGAGATCTTTGAAGACGATAAATGTCACGAGCGACTTGCCAAAGTCGTTGGTGTCAAATCTGGATGGTTACAGTGGCTCACGGCTTTCTAAAATCATCCAACGTCTGCCTTTCCGGTTCCCTACGCATAGTCAGCTGTACTTGTCTCTATCACCTCACGGTCATATATTGCATATCAAACCCCAGCAGACGAGTTTTGACGAGCTGCTAAGTCGATGCTCTCCTTGATGCTTGGCCACTACGTCGGCTACTATAACACCGGTCGGAGAGTATCGGATGGGAAACATGAGCCTAGAACAAAGAAGGGGGTTGGACGTGAGCACTGTTTTTGCCCTCACGACATGCCCAGCACGGCCTTTGATCCACCTATGCACTCCAAACTGTGTGTGTCTTCTTCATGGGTGGGAGCATTTCCAAATGGCTATATTGCTTCCCGCGATTCGTCGTCGGTTGTCCGCTGTCTGGACTACTTCACTATCGCCGTCCCGCCAATTCAATCACAACATGATACGTATAGCAGTCTACCTTTTTTCATACCCCTTGCTTCAGTCATCATAACTAGGGGATTGGCGGGAGGTCCAAATGATTTCTGCTCACTGACCAGAGACAATCGTCAATGCAAGCTTGCAAAGATCCTTCGGCGGAACTCAAGTGGACCATGAAAGCGATGTACAGGGAACACATATATCCTGTCTCGCTTCACGCACTGCGCGTGGACAGGAATGTACTATTATTGTAAATTAGTTTATAGGGAGGCACCGCCACTGCGGAAGGCAAGTCGGACCTTTGAATACCGCACCTGTCCCTTTACTTCAATGCCACCCTCTCACGTGAGTGTCCCTACGGTATGCTGTCCCACGTTTACCTATAGAGTGGATTCATGTCTCTCGGGATGGGAGACGTTATATCCGTTTCCACTATGCCTGGGACAAAGTCCCTGCCTCATAACAAGCACTGCGTCCAACATTCTTCTCATTGATGTAGTTTGAACCACTCATCTCCAGACAACCAGCCACCGGTTGACCTCGAGTATGCGAACTCAGACTGGATCACTGCCATGCATGGGATAATTCTCTGTCCTATATGAACCATATTTCAATTTTTTTTCCTCATTCGCGCTGTTTGAATGGCGCTTGTCGAAAATTGGGCCCTCCAGAAAGGTTCAGACAGTCCCCGGCAAACTGTGCTATCGCACTCATTGCGATGCATTTCTCATTGATTTGTAATGACTTCAATGTCATGGCTCAGATTATACACTTCTATTAACTCTCGAAAGGTATAAAGGCCTCCTCGCCATCGACCAAGTTCTCCTCAGACTGGTTCTCCTTCTGTACTTTCACCTTTCATTTGCACATTCTCCCCATTTGTTCTTCGCTTCTCCTCTCTTCGCAGCTCGTTGATCATGCGTGTTACCTTCTTTGCTGTACTCTTTGCTTCGGCCGCGCTCTTGGGATCCGCTGCCCCAGTTCCAGAGTACGTTCAGAAAAGATGTGTGTGTGAATACTCAACTGGACTGTCTTCTTTCTCTTCAGACCTAGCTTAACCCGCGCCCAGCTTCAAGCCCATCACCAAGCAGCGGCAGACCACCATTTGACCCAGGCAGAACACCACCTTAATCGTGCAGAGACACATTCTAATCATGCGGATGCAGCACACCAGAGGTTTGTCCACAAATTAGACAATAAAATGTCGTGCGCTGATAATGAGACAGTGGTAACCACCAAGCCGCTGCGGCGCACGAGGCCCATTACCGTCACCATATAGCGCTATTTGACCATCATACCGCTCAACACGAACACCATCAAGCTCAGGCTGACCACCTTGCTCAGCGTCGTAGTGTTCAAAGCATAGACGAGTTGGATTAGAGGATGTACTTTATTGTATAATCAATTCACGCGTGACAAGATCTTATAGATCTGTGAACGGTGCTATACCGTGACTTGCCACACTGGAGGTGAACACGGACTATGATCCTAGCACAAGGTCGTCGTAATCGTCGTTAGAACCCCCCGATACCCTCTCGACGCACTTAGAATGAATCAATGCGTATCAACCTTCCTATTTCATACCTTTGCTTCGATTATCACAATAGTGAATGGGTGTTGATGTTTAGCCGTGGGAAAATGGAACAAGTCGAATTCACACCGACTTAGCCTTAGACCACTAGACTATAGTGTCCCTCTTTTCCCCCTAACGCGTGACACTCCCTATGTACCCCGTTACTCAGATAATCCAACCTGGTCGGCCGGGTTCGGACCTAAGGTGAACCAATCCTTACAATGGATGGGAGGGCCAAACGATTTCTGCTCACTGACCGGAGGCAATCCTCAACACAATCTGACAAAGAATTTTCATATTCTTCAGTGAAATTCGAGTGGACCGTGGGAAGCAATGCACAGCGAATAGATCTGTCCCAGCTCGCTTCACGCACTGCCACGTGAACAGGGTGCGCTACTATTGTAAACTAGTCTATAGGGTGCCATCGCTTCTCCCAAAGGCAAGTCGGACCCTTGAATACCACATCCGTCCCTTGAAATGAATGCCAAGGTCACACAAGTGTTCCTATGACATGCTGTCCCGCGTTTATCCATTGTGAATTCATAGCTCTCGGGACGGGAGACGTTACATCCGGTGCTTGGTGTGTGTCCCTCGTAGTCACATACTGAATCAGTCGAGCGAGATCGTGTTCAAAGCTAGATGGAAATGTGACGTTTCCTCTCTAATAGTTGTAGCTGAGAGATGTATTTAATGCAATCCTGATCGGTTCCAGTGGGTCGACCGTCAAATATAGGAAAAGCAGGCTAGCGTTGCCACTATGCCTGGGACAGAGTCCGTGCCTCGTCATAACCACGCTGCCAAATATCTCTCTCATTGATGGAGTTTGAATGACCCATGCCCGGACAATCAGCCTCCGGCTGACCTCAAGTACGCGAGCCCGGACCAGACCACTGCCATGCATGAGACAAGTCTGTGTCCTATGTGAACCATCTGTCAGTTCTTTCCTCATTCTCCCTGTTTGAATGGCGCATTTTGATAGTCGGCTCTCCCGAAATGCTCAGACAGTGCTCGGCAAACTGTATGTATTGGTGGTTAACGCACTTCTTGCAACGTATTTCCCATAGATTGTAATCATTCCAATGCCAGAGCTCGGATGATACAAGTCTATTGACTCTCGAAAGGTATAAATGGCCTCTCCTTGCCGTCGAAACTCTCCTCAGACTGGTTCTCCTTCTGTGCTTTCACCCTTTATTTGCACTTTCTTCCTTTTCTTCTCCTTTCCTCTCTTCGCGACTTGTTGATCATGCGCTTCGCCTTCTTTGCTATACTCTTTGCATCGGCTGCTCTCTGGGGATCTGCAGCTCCAATTCCAGAGTACGCTCAGACACGATGCGGTTACATGGTTACTCAACTATATTCTTCTTTCCTCTTCAGCCCTAGCTTAACCCGCGCCCAGCTTCATGCCCATCACCAAAGCCAGGCTGACCACCATCTGGCCCAGGCAGAGCACCACCTTCATCATGCAGAGACACATTCTAATCATGCGGAGGCTGCACACCAGAGGTCTGTCCACAAATTAGACTATGAAATATCGTGCACTGACAATGAGACAGTGGTAACCACCAAGCTGCTGCGACGCACGAGGGCCAATACCGTCACCATATGGCACAAGTGGATTATCATACCGCTCAACACCAAAGCCACCAAGCTAAGGCCGACCAACTTGCTCAGCGTCGTAGTGTTCAAAGCATAGACGAGTTGGATTAGAGGATGTACTTTATTTTATAATCAATTCACGCGTGAAACGATTCTACTCAACTGCGAATGGTGCTGCACCGTGACTTGCCGCATTGGTGACCATGAACCATGATCCAGTAGAAAGGTTGTTGCAGTAATCGTTGTTAGATATCCACGTCAATGCGATTCGCAACGAGATGTACACGACAAGGAGTCATTAGCATGGGCACGCCGAAGTAGCCAAAACTTGATAAACCAGAGCACTCTACTCGGACGACGCATGCTGAGCCAATCACACAATGATTACGGCCAGCATGAGCATATCCCTAGTACCAGAAATGAAGCTCAAATTATGAATGATATATTCAAGGATGAAGAGCGACTGGAAATGGGAGATGTATGTTAGTCAACTGCGGGATGCAAGGCAGACAACGTATGACGCTACACGTGAGTACGAGTCCTATAGCCGTGGATGCGAAATCAATAAAGGGAACAGCTACGCTCCGCAAATGATGGATGATGGCTGGCTCGCCGCCGTAAGAGCTCTCTGAGAGGAGTCTGCTTTCCTTGTCGATTCCTGAAATCCAGTCAGGCAGTTTCATAACGGAGCGCCTGGTGGTGGCGTTGAGAGTACAGGCATCAAAGAGCATGCCATGACCTGGAATATGATCACATAGAGCAGGAGTTCGAGGAATGTTGAAAACCCGATTTGAAGAGCGTTATTAGGTCGGGGACAGCATTCCAGGTGATGCTTGACTAGATTCCAACCAGCTATGTCGCTGACTATAGCTCCTGCTGGTGGGTCTCGTATGAAGGCGAACCTGGAACAAAGGAGCAAACTCAATTTTGGCGCCCACAACGTCGACTTACATGGCTTTAGCATCGCGCATACAGTCCCAACTGTATACTTCTCTCGCTTACGGTATGGACATTTCTAAATAATGGTGAATGTTGCCGAGGTTGGTTGGCCCCGTCCACAGCTCGGCCATTTCGCCACCGCTGTCCCCCGGATTCAAAGAAATGCAACAGAATTTACAACAAAACAACCCATCCATGCGGCAGAACTCCAGCGATACGCATAATCGCACTCCTGCTTCTACACCTCGCTCGAAGAGCTACACATCCAGCACAAAACCCGGTCAGAGAGCTGAAAAGGAGAGGTTTCATCGTGGATCCATCGTATATTGGTCCATTTTCCGTTCGGAAATGTGCAACTTCCGGCCCATGTCAACGCTTGTCAGACTCTGGGTTGAAATGGTGGAAAGAGGTTCCCCCGCCGCCGCTACATTGGCATTAGACGCCCAAAATTTAGGTAAGATGTCTCTGGGCGGTGTATATAAAGGCCTCACCCTCCGTCTGCGAATTGGTCCGTCGACCGTCAACAGATTAGACGACTGAAATAATGGCGACAAACGGAACCCATCCTTTCAATTTTCCCAACCCTTTCGACACTCTGTATAAAGAGCCTTCAACCCTGCCAGCTACGTCCCGTAAAGGCATGATCTGGAAGCGACTCATCGTCTGTTGTGACGGGACCGGTCAATCCTCAAATAGCGGGGTGAATACAGTCCCAACAAACGTTACTCGCTTCGCTCGAGCAATTGATACTTCGTCGTACATGAAAAAAGACGCAGGCAACGTACAAGAGATCCCCCAAGGTCGTGTTATTCCTCGAGGTGGCACAGACTCTTATGCTTCTTTCCAGTCGTCCTTTATCAAGCCGGAGTTGGGACTGAACAGGTCTCTTTCTACGGATCTAACAAGTCGAGTACGTTCATATCCTGATCCTTGAAAAGCTCTCATTCTCTTTCTAGTCTCTTCAGGACGCGGAGTTGAGAGGCACATCCTAGAAGCGTACACCTTTTTCTCACTCAACTATGAAGAGGGAGATGAATTAATCTTGTTGGGTTTCTCTCTTGGAGCCGTCACCGCGCGTGCGGTTGCCTCCCTCATTTGCAGCGTTGGTCTTCTAAAAACAACTCTCTCCGACAACTGACAGCTCCTAGGTCGGGCTGCTCACAAAGGACTGCCTAGATCAACTGCCGGCCATCTACCAACAATACACGAGCAACAAGACAATTGAGAACCCCGTCACCCCTGGGACCGATCCATTCAAAGTCTACAAACAGGTTGTCATCACGGCCATGGGCATCTTCGATACTATCGGTAGCCTTGACGTCTCCGGTGGAAAGCACCTCCCTAACGTGCCAGGTAAAAACATGTACGCGATCGTCTGGGTCCCACCTTACTCTTCCACAGATTCTAAAAATTCTCGGGCTCGCATCGATACCGTGTATCAGGTACTCGCGATCGATGAGTGCTGTCGGTCTCTTTCTCCAACCTTCTCTACTTGTGTGGCCATGAAAACCGTGGTACAAGCTTCTACCAAGTTTGGGGTAGGGTCACTTCTTCTACGTACGCTGTTTCCGCGAGGCTGATATAACTTTTACCAGTTCCGGGTGGCCATACCGACGTTGGGGGTGGCCACGAGCGTGCATTCCGCGACCTGTCAGACATTAGCTTCGCATGGATGTATAACGTGATGAGGCGTCACCTTACCTTTCGTCCTGGAGTTGCTAGAGAACTCAGGGAGCCATCTTTGGCTCCCAATCGCTCCGGTAACGAGCCGTTTGACCAAGGCTGGGCATGCTCCCCTGCACATAACGAGTACCATGCGTCTATATTCGAATTCTCCACTCCACACCACCGTACTCCTGGCCAGTACTATCTTGAAAAAGGAATTACGGAGAATGAAGTCTACAACACGAACGAATGGATCCACGCCTCGGTCCGTGTCCGTATGATGATGACGGATTGGAGGCCTCGGGCGCTTGACGGCTTCACGCTCGTCCATGACGAGGAGAGAAATAGGTACTATTGGCTTAAGGAGTGTGATTTCCCTGGCAAAGGAAAGGTGCATCTCAAGCTCAATGAATGGGTAGTGCGTCCCAACGACAGCAACTCGATCGATGTCGACAATCCAAAGATCAATATGGAAGCATTTCTCATCGACCATGAGGCAAAGAAGATTGTCGAAGATTCCGAGTGTCACAAAAAGCTTTCCAAAATGGCACACCAGAAATCCGGGTGGATGAACTGGCCCACGACCAACGAAACCAGAGTGTTCAAGTTTCCAAACCCGTTCGATACACAATATCATCCAGAATTGGAGCAGCATGATTTTCAATCCCAAGACCCCAACGAGCAACCTGACAGAAGCAAGATGCGGAAGAATCTCATTGTCTGTTGTGATGGTACTGGCCAGTCGTCGAGTAACGGAGTCGCCACTGTCCCAACAAATGTCACTCGGCTAGCCCGAGCATTCGATACTTCGATGGAGATTAATTCCACCTCGAAGGTTCCACAGAGTCAGTTTGATCACTGAGAAAGGCTCGTGCTGATGATTTCTTTGCAGTTGTCCTCTACCAAACCGGAATTGGCACCGAGGAAATGTCTGGTTTTGGCACGGGCCTTTCCAGTAGGTTTCTGTTTGAATACTCTTAACCTAGCAGACTCAATCATACATAGGTGCCTTTGGATACGGTCTCGACAGACATATCCTCGAAGCCTACACCTTCTTCTCGCTAAACTTTGAGGAAGGGGACGAACTTTCTTATTCGGCTTCTCCCGAGGCGCTTTTACCGCCCGTGCTATTGCCTCTCTCATTTGCAATGTATGTTTTAAGCTGGTGATCCTTCTATTCAACTGACCATTGGTGTCGTAGATTGGCTTGCTCACCAAGGATTGCCTAGACAAACTGCCGCAGATCTATGCACGATACAAGGAACGTATCGACACTGAAGAGAGTCGTAAGGAACTCGAAGACTGGGTCAAAAAGAGGGCGAAGCACAAACCCTACAAAGTGGAGGTTGAAGACCTGCAGAGTGGCGATGGGGACCCGTCGATAATCAACAAGAAGGTCGAATGGAAAGGCGGCAAAGTGGAGATTGAAGATCCTCAGGTCAACAAGAGCGAGCATTTCACGATCAACAAGGACGTCATCATTCTCGCTATGGGTCTTTTCGACACTGTCGGAAGTCTTGGTATCCCTGAGGGTACCATTAGCACTCTTCTCAAGCCTCTGAGTTGGACAGGACTCAACAACAAGAAATATCAGTATCATGATACGTCTTTCCCTCTTGCAATGAGTAAGTGCTCCCTACCATATCATCTCTTCTGACATGCGCCTCTTAGATCCACAGGATTTCAGAGCTCATATCCATGGCGTGTATCAGGTTTTGGCCTTGGACGAGTGTCGCACCTCGTTTACTCCAACGCTCCTGTACGACCATGGCACCAAGTCTAACGTGGGTGATGGGACTGGTTTTTATCAAGTCTGGAGTGAGTACTCTACCTCGCCAATCCCTTGTCTCGAAATCTGCAAACCTGGTTTGCTTACAAACGAACAGTGCCCGGAGTCCACACTGACGTAGGAGGTGGATATGAACGAGCACCCAACGACATGTCCGATCTCAGTTTCGCGTGGATGTACAACTACATCAAGGGAAAGTTGCAGTTCCGTGAAGGAGTCGCGTATGAACTTCGAAAACCCTCTTTGGATCCCGCGCGCTCCGATCCTAAAGCTACGAAGCCTTCTGTCCCTCCTCCAGTGGCTCGCGGCTGGGCATGCTCCGACGTACACGACGAATACCATACATACAAATTCAAGTTTGGAGGTCAACGTTACCGCACCCCCGGTCAATACTACCTCAAGCAGAGCGTTGAGAAGAAAACCATATTCAGGACGAGCGAGTTCATCCACCCGTCTGTCCGCGTACGGATGCAGTCGACTGATTGGAGGCCACCTGCGCTCGACGGGTTCAAACTCGAGCTCGACGAGGCTAGAAAAATCTACTATTGGGTCAAGGAGTGTGAGATCTCGGGCGCTGGGACGGTGCAGCTGAGGCTCGACGAGTCGCCGATATGGTTGGAAGACCAAACCGAGGAAGCTGTTAAGGAACCTGACGTTGACATGGAGGTCTTCCTCCTCAATTAGGACAAAAAGGCGAAGAAGATTTTCGAAGACAAAGAACAGCGGCACGACAAGGTTGTCGGCAAAAAGTCTGGATGGTACCAGTGGCTCACGGCCTTCTAAATGTCTCTGTTGCTGTCTCTACTGTACATAATCGCACATATCATGCTCTCTTGCTTTGTCGTTATAAACACCAACATGAACTAGTCGACTACGGGCTGGGAGTACTTCGAAATGGTGTTGAATAGGTTCCTCTTCGTATATCCATCGTTTCGAAACATATTCCTGGGATCTCTTCGCTGTCACTATTGTTCAGCCAAGCCACTAGATTGCAGTAAAACCTGGGGTTTTCTGTTGCCGAGGCCACATGATAGAGTGCTGGCTCTTTGTGCCTATGCTGACTTCTTCCCCGCCTTACCGTTGGGAAATAGTATACGCCGGAGCTGAACAAAATCCGGGGAGGAGAGGCAATCGAAATGTGTTCTGTTTTGATGAGTTATCGTTCAAATCGGCCAATCTTCTGTTCGGGGATGCCCATTTTCCGTCCGTCCCCAGCTGTCAGCAGCGAAATGACAGAGGAGCGCCCCCAGCGTGCTCAGTCCCTGTTATAAGAGGATGCTGGGCCTTAACAAGACTGGTACGAGTTCATAATTACCATCGTTCCTCTGTCACTTCCGCTCGGACCTGCTCGTGATGTCGGTCAACACAGGCGAAATGTTCAAGTTCCCAGTACCGTTCGACACCCAGTGCTATCCAGAACTGGATGAAGACCCAGAGGTGTCCAATGGACTACAGGATAACAAGCAAGAAGGTGACACCGGGTCGTCTCAGGAACAACCATTCGACAGAAAGAAACTCTGGAAGCGACTTATCGTCTGCTGTGATGGTACTGGTCAGTCTTCGACCAGTGGAATGAGTGCCGTTCCGACAAATGTCACTCGCCTTGCTCGAGCGATTGATACTTCATTCCAAATTGGCAAAACCGAAACGGAGTCAGCGTCTGAGATCCCACAAAGTCGGTCATGTTAACTCAAATGATTCCATACTGATCTTGACCTGCAGTTGTTCTTTACCAAACCGGAATCGGTACCGAGGAGGTCTCAATCATCGGGTCGGGTCTCTCAGGTATGTGCGCGAGTACTCCTATGTGAAACTAATAATCCTCTAGGAGCCTTTGGATACGGCGTCGACAGACATATTCTTGAAGCCTATACCTTCTTTTCGCTCAACTACGAGGATGGGGACGAGATGTTTCTATTTGGCTTCTCTCGTGGCGCTTTTACCGCGCGAGCAATCGCATCGCTTATTTGCAATGTTCGTACTTGCTCGACATTTCTCACCTATCTAACGAACCTAATTGCAGGTTGGTTTGCTCACAAAAGACTGCTTGGGTCAACTACCGATAATCTATGCACGATACAAGCAGCGTGTAGACACAGAAGAGAGTCGCAGGGAACTCGAAGGCTGGGTTAGGAGGCGAGTGAAGAAGCAAGATGGCAAGGTGGAAATCGCGGACCCAGCAGTCCCGGAGGATGAAAAGTTTACAATCAACGAAGAGGTCGTCATTTCCGTTATGGGTCTTTTCGACACTGTAGGAAGTCTTGGTATCCCCGATGGGACTATGAGCATTCTTCTCAAGCCCTTAAGCTGGCTGGGCCTCAACAACAAGAAGTACCAGTATCACGATACCTCGTTCCCTGTCCGTATCAGTGAGTAGTTAGCGAGAGATCCTTTCACCTCTGACTCGGAATAGACCGAACAGACTTTAGGGCTCACATTGACTCTGTGTATCAAGTTCTTGCACTTGATGAGTGCCGTACGCCGTTTACTCCCACCCTTCTCTATGATCACGGTACAATGTCTTCGTCTGGCGAAGTGACCAAATTCCGTCAAGTCTGGAGTAAGTCTCTAAACTTGCTCTTTGCTCGTGGTCAGTTGGCTAACGAATGGACAGTGCCCGGAGTTCATACTGACGTTGGAGGCGGATATGAAAGAGCCTTTCGCGACTTATCCGATATTAGCTTCGCGTGGATGTACGATCATCTCAAAGGCCGCCTAAATTTCCGCCCGGGGATCGCAAAGGAACTTGAAGAACGTTCTCTGGACCCGGCACGCTCCGATCCTCGCGCCAAGAAGAAGCCCACCAACCCTCCAGTGGAGTCAAGCCCATGGGCGCACTCGAAAGAACACGACGAATACCACACATTCAAGTTCAAGTTTGGCGGCCAACGCTATCGCAATCCTGGTCAATACTACCTTCATCACAGCTTCGAAAAGCAAACGATATTCAGGACAAGCGAGTTCATCCACCCGTCGGTCCGCGTGCGTATGCTCAGGACAGGTTGGAGACCGCCTGCTCTCCACAACTTCGCACTCCAACACGATGCGGACCGAGACACCTACTATTGGGCGAGAGAGTGTGAAGTACCTGGAAAGGGGAACGTGCAGCTCAGGATCGAGGAGTGGCGAATAAACATAGTGGACCAAACTCAAGGAGACATCCATCATAATCAAGTCAATATGGAGTCCTACCTGCTTGATCCAGAGGCAGTGAAAGATATTCAGGATCTCACATCTCCCGAGAAGATTGGCAAGGTCACTGGCCAGAAATCTGGGTGGCTCAAGTGGCTCTTGGCCTTCTGATTTCAACACGTATTCTAATAGGATGTATGAATAACTATGATGCTTCTATTTTCTCCCTCTTTACCTACGATTTTCGCCTGCCTATGTAACAATCTAAATCATTTACTTTTTTGACGGTGTTACACAGCGACCGGGCGGAAGGAAGTTAAGGCCGGGATATTCTCAGAAAGAATACCAGCTAATCTACTTTAATATCTGGTCTTTTCAAGCGACCAGCGGCTCAGCGCATTTTCATCAGGCCGTCATCAATCAGCTTCTTAGGAGCCATCGAATTTAACAGAACCACTAAAACGACTCTATAAGATGACGGAAAAATGAAGAGGAAGTCATCATGCATAGCGGCGACCTCTTGGGAACCTGTGATACTGTACCTCGATAGTGGGAATTAGGCCCTATAAGTCGCTAATAAAACCCGTTCATGTCGCAATGCTGTTTGATAAAGGTCTCAACACTGAGCTTGAATATCCTTGGTTCTACGACTTGGGAGATAAACTATTTTGGCGCATAGATGCGAGCACGGGATGCCTCGTTCCTCCTTGACCCATCTGCCTATTCAGACTTCTTTCGATGCTTTCCTTCAATGTCATATCTCGGAGTCCGACTCCCGGAAAGTATTTAGCATACTGGAGTCTGTCGTCGAGCCATGTCTCCAGCGAAGAGTTTTGACATAAGGGGCACAGATCAGACAGACGATGAATCTGGACCTTTCGAGAATCATGTACTCTGTACCCGCATCGCTCGCTGCTTCAGAGCTCCATGATGACTTTGGGTACACGAATCGAGGTATTTTCTCCAATATACCTTAGGGTGGAGACTTCAGACTGGAACTTGTCGCGAGGAAAGTCGGGGCAGGGTACGCACAACAAATTGGGTCTGCTCCGAGGTGATAATATCGTAAACCTGGGATGAATTGATTGGCATCGGTATCAAGGCAACGAGGACGGCTCGACTACCTTGTGGTGACCTCCTTCCGCAAGCTGAGATGACTTGCATTCTCGATTCAGGTCACGCATTACCGAGTTTAAGAGCCTTTGTTTGCTAAAGGAATGAAAAGCTTCGCCATCGACGGCGAAAATGGACAGAGAGTCGTCTGAGTCTGACATGGCAGAAGGCAAGAAGTGACGACATGCGTACGCGCGAGGTCAATGGATTTGGCATAACCAGAGTAGACTCCATTTCCATGATTGTATTGACAAGTTTCATCACGGGCGGGAGCTTGGATATATAGAGGCTCAACTACAGTACATCTACAACTCCCAGTCCAGGAGCTATAGCAGCTGGGCGAAATAAATTGATCTAAGAGGTATACATTGTCGTTTACATCCATGGCTTTAAACGAAGGTGATAACGAAAGAGTGTGTGCTGTTGAAATACCGTAAAGACTGTAAAGTAGGAGCGCCCGTCCTCAAATTCGCGAACGTGCATAAAGACCGCGCATCCTCGTCAGCTCAAGTTTCGTAACTCCCCACTCGCGCTTCCATTCCTCTTCAGAGATGTTATCAGGATCATCCGTTGGGACGTAACCCGCTGCATCCAACTTCATCTCCAGCTTTTCTGTTATGTAATGTCGATTCTCTCTTGCCCATTGCGACAGGCCTGCATCACCAGCGACAAAGCCCGAGGAACCAACGGTCGAAAGTGGAATCGAGTCTGACGTCGGCACGCTCTCTGCTATCGAGGGAGCGGGCAAGGGTCGGGTATTGGAGCCAGCGGACCGTGGTGTGCGGAATACTTGGCTCGGTGCGATGTAAGCCGGTGGTGGGATGTCGGTGCGGAGAGTCATTGGCGAAAAGGCCGCATTATTCCCGGCGTACATGGGATTAGCCCAGTGAGAATAAGAGCTTCGAGGAGACTGGGCGTTTGAATCATCGACTCCTTCGGGGGTTCGTTGCAATTGTTGCGCGTGAGGAGGTACACCAAAGCCGTTTCCATAGCCGAGCGGCATGTTATTTGGATGCGGTGGGATAGCAAATGGCTCGTTGTTATTAGGTGTTGGGTTGGGCTGAAAGGCGAGGAGATTGCTTTCAGAGTTTGGTGTCATCCACGGTGCGACGGCGAAGCTGCGATCGTCCATCTCCGATGTCGGAAGCTGGATCTGACTTTGTTTTTGCTTCCTTCTGTAGAAAAGAACAAGGAAGACGATGATGGCCAAGAGAGCAACAGCTCCAACGACCCCTCCGACGATGGCCGGCGTTGAGGCATTCTTTGTTTCAGGATGTTGAGTCGAGGAGATCGATGCATCACTTGAGGAGCTGGGAACTGGCGTAGAAGTACTTGAACTGAGAGACGGGAGGGCCGAGATTTGCGAGTGCGAAGTCGAGCTGCTTGAGCTACTCGACGTGGACGAGGATGAAGACGACGAGGAAGTCGAAGAGGATTGTGTCGAAGTAGATGTCTCTGAAGTAGGTGGGTTAACGACTTGTATTGGAGATGTGATCTGCAACGATGCTCCCTTGATGTAATAGTTGATGTACGCGCCGCTCTCACGGGGAAACGTGAGACCAATCTGGACAGAAAAGTAGCCTGTGGTGCCCCCATATTTGGTTACAATAGTTGTACCTCGGTGTGAAAACGGTGAATCTGCCCCACTTGTCAGATGTTGTGCAACCTTCACACGGGCACGACTCACTTATCCACGTCTGGCGAGTGTGTAGTAACTCCTCATAATCATCTGCTGCAAACGAATTGGAAAATTGCGCGCTCCCGACTTGAGATGTGGAAGTGAGGGATGTCCCCCGAGCCGTCTTTGAGGATGCCCACTCGACGCTATAGCCCCAGTTGCTACCGCGTATGTTAGATGGGGACGAAAGAAAGTTATCAACGCACAAATCTACGGCGTTTGCATTTCCATATTGGTCCATTGGGACCGAGACGTTTGCGACGACTTGCACCGAGTAACTTGGCTGAGAGGCACTGGGATAGACCCAGATGGATAGACATCTTCCAACATCACTGCACCATTTGATAGACGATGTTCCAGCTGTATGGAGTGGTTGCCGCGCGTTAGCGCCAGCAAAGGGTTTGGCAAGAGGACGCACCGTTCACATCCCCATCCGATCTTCGGAAGTTCCATGCACCACCATCATTAACAAAGGAGCCCGATAGAGTGTTGAAATCGTTTACGCTGAGCGCAGCGCTCATTGGTCAAAAGGAGCGACAGGAGACGGAGAGAGAGAAGGAAGGCAAGAAGTAGACGGCCCCGTTGAATCTCGTGAGATCATAAGAGAAGTTTCCCGAGTTTACAACTGGGCGCGACACGAGCCGCCGTCCTATGGTTCGTGTGAACTGCAGCGCTTAGGCAGTACAGTCTTATGCTGTGAAGGGGAAGAAGCAGGGACGCCTAGAGTTCGATCCTATTAAAATCTATTCATTCCTCGCACGCTCGGCACAAGAAGGTGAGCGCTCCGTTGCTAGTTTTGACCGGAAACGAGCCAGGCAGCTGGGAGAGTGCCTTAGGTCGCCATGTTGATTGCGATTTTCCGTGGTCCGAAGTGGCCATTCGTTTAGTTCCGTGGTGTTCTCCGTCTGACACGGAACGACGGTCAATTGCAAATGAGCGTCGGCTCGTTCAAAGCTTGCGATGAATCGTTCAAATCGTAAGCGTAGACAGGATATTTCATTCCCCGCATCCTTCTGCTGCATTCTGATGGAGGTGCTATGGCTTTTAGCGGCGACTGAGCTTCGCAGAGGTAGTTTCTTCTATGATAGGGCGGTCGAAGTGTACGTTGTTACATCAATGAGCCGCATAAGTTGTATGTAGCGAATTGGATGATGTACATACATTATGCAAGTAAAAAGGCAGCGAACGTCCACGTTACCCATCCAATATGAACTGCCATAATGACTGGAAACGGTTCCACTCTGAATCTCGCTCTTCCAATCGTCCGAGATGCATAGAAATACCACAAAGGAGTAGCAATGTGCATGAGGCCGAAGCAGATTCCGACAGCCTGACCGACTTCTGAATGAGCAATATGGTGCTTTCGAAGAAGAAAGCAGAGAAGTTTGAAGGGGAAGAGCGTTGCCGCGTATGTGCGCACTACAAAGATGCTGAAGGGAGTCAAGTTGCCGGTCGAACGCTTGAAGAACGGGAAGCCTTTGAGTGTAATAAAGGCCACTGTATCGCATGACTGTACGATGAAGGAGGAGATATAGATCCATTGAACCCAGAGTGGGTTCGTGGAGACCAAAGTGGAAAACTGAAAACCTGTTAGGACTGGTCTGGCACCAGAAACCGGGCATGTACCATAGCAGACTCGGAAGATATATGGATTGTATTAGCAGTGACGCCGCCCTGAAAAAAAGACAGGACGAGGCAGAGTCCAAGGATGTTCGGTTGGTCGAGAGTGGTGCGTTCCATTTCGTTCGACCACATTACAAGAAGCATCCTTGACTGCAAGGTGCATTTAATCATGGCACATCTTTGATGAATAGACCTAACGAACTCGCGCATATGCTAGAAAAGCAAATTCAGAAGATATGCTGGTGGCTACAAAGGCGGACTTCGCCTCCTAAGTCCCGAAATAGTGTTTGACCTAGGTGCAGTAAGATCCAATATAAAGTTTCAGAGTACCCAGAGGAAACTGGGGACGTGCTTTCTCTCCTCTTTTCCCGTCCTCTCTGCCATTTCTTGTCACCGGCAACGCCTAGCTCCGTCACAGCTTAACTAACAAGCCTGCTCTACCAAAATATCGCCAAAAAGGCAAATTTTACCACGAAATACGTCTCAAAAATCGGAAATAAATGCAGGACTACCGCCAACCAGCTCAGCAAAGGCCAGCTGCAGAAGATGTTCAAAGACTGATGCTCTTGTTGCTCAAAGAAAAGGAAATAACCTACAGGTGGCGACTATATCGACCCTTTCAGAAGTAAAGTCACAGGATGATTGGGATTCTGCATCAACCCCAGCTTCTCTGTAATGCGTTCACGAAGCGCCTTTGCGTCCCGGGTTAGAGGATGATCCTCGCCCAAGATCTGAGTCCGTACTTCCATCCCCTCATCCAACAGCTTCGCAGCTTCTTCGAGCTGGCCAGATGAGTACAACATTTGAGCGAGATTATACGATACGTGGAGGGTCTCCGGATTCCGTAGTCCAAATATATCGCTCCGCACAGCGAGCACCTCTCGCTCTATTTCTATGGCCTTGTCGAACTGACGACTTTGAACGAGGGTGTTCGCAAGATTGGCCTTTGCCATGAGCGTATCTGGATGTCGTTCACCAAAGGTCTCACGTCGGAACGCAAGTACCTCTCGCAGCATAGTTCCCGCTTCATCCAATCGACCAATCCTGGTTAGGATGATTCCGAGGTTGATCATCGCTGCGAAGGTGTCTGGATGCTGGGGGCCTAGGATTTCGGCGTTCAGAGTGTGTACCGTTCGTGCCATCTCCTCCGCCTCATCCAATTGACCGAGTTCTGCCAAAGTGTTTGCGAGATTGCCCATTGCACTGACGCTGCGCAAATTACGGTTGTCGAGTGTTTCGCGTAGCGTCGCGAGTACCTCTCGCTGTATTGTCTCCGCCTCATGGGGTTGACCACGGGAACGAAGGGTAATTCCCAGACTGGCCTTCACTTCGATGGTGGCCTCATGTTCTGGGCCAAGCACCTCCATGTGCAGAGAGAGCGCCTCCCGCTGCAGTGCTTCTGCTTCACCCAACCGGCCGCTTGATTGCAATGTGTTTGCAAGACTTCTCATCACTACAAGAGTGCGTTGATCCTTTTGGCCAAACTCCTCGAGGTGTATAGCCAGCAACTTTCGTTGTATATTTTCTGCCTTGTCAAACAGACCGCAATTCCGTAGTGCCTGGGAAAATTTGCTCGACACCCATATCACAGTTCCCACATCTCTCGGCTCGTACGTCAGCCGAATAAAGACCGACCCCAACAACCGATGGCACGCCTGCCAGTCATCCAAGGATGTGTAAAGCTCGTTGAAGGCCAATGCATGTGCCGCATCCATCCTCAATAATACGGGTTGAGCGACAGCATTGGCGTGTGGACGCAGTTGCCAGTGCCAGGTGTTATTACCCTGCGACGGGCGGATCGCACCTAGCATGAGTTGCGTCGCCATTCGTTGATAGCGTTGAACACCCTGCTCGGTAAGGGTATCCTTGATGTACATCTGGAGTAAGGGATGAATATTGTAGAATGAACCAACGTCGGTCGAAATGTCGATAAGCGATACGCGTGAGGCGGAATCAACGACGTCTTGAAATGCAAGGTCGTCCCAATTCTGGCCAAAAGTCCCTTGGAGCTCCGAAATCCAGATCTGGTCATCTTCCGGTGGAGGATAGCTTTGCAGGACGGTGTATGTGGTGAAACTGGACACTGTCGAATCCTTAAATAGATTTCTGGGGATTAAAGTGTGATGAAAGAATGCACATATCTTCAAGAATTCCTGCGCCTTTGCCGTCAACTGGCTGAAAGACAGGTCAAAGGCCGTGTATGTCGAGGACGAATAGTCCTTGCTAATATCGGACGCTCTGCGCATAAGTCGATTCCTCTGTTCCCGAAACGTGTCGAGGTAGGTATTAAGATCTCGTGTCCTGCGAATATACCCCCGCTTGGGTAACAGCAACTGCTAATCTTCCCAGCTCCTTGGCAATCTCCCGAGACTTGAAGTCAGATTCAGGTGATAGCTGGGCCACTGTATGGAGCAGCTCAATAGCCTCGTTCTCCTCGAGACCACCAACTGGAACAGCACCGTCCGGGGCGACTACAACATAGTCCTGATTCCTCGTGGTGATAATAATTGTTCCATTCATGGATTCAGGAAGGTATTGGCAAAGATTGAGGTCTGGTGAATCGGCGTGGTCGAAAAAGAGCAACCATCCCTTCTCTTGCCGTCAAGATACGCAACCGCATCTTCCCACGTCATTTTGCTGTATATCTGACCTACTGAACGAATCGACCGCTGCAAATCGGCTTCCAACTGGGCTTGACTAGAGGCGTCGACGAAAATCACTCGACTGAAGCTACTCGAATATGAGATATTCTCCAATTAGCCTCTGAAATTCGTACCTGCTCTCGTGTTCCTGGATCCAGTTTGTTGCGAGCTGAGTCTTGCCTGCTCCTCCGAGTCCGTATAATATACAGCGTGGTTGACGTTTCACTCGACCTTCTGGAAGTAGCTTCTGTGTCATCTGGGACTCGATCCCTTTCCGCTCAATGTAACTCCGAGATACGGATGGACGCGGCTTCGGCAGCATAACCTCTTCGGCGGCGAACTCTCCCTTTGCTGCGGCTGCTCATTGATCAGTTGAGCAATGATAACAGGGTGAAGACGAACTGCGACAATTGTCCTCGATGATCCAGTTCTCGCGTACTGTCGTGGCTGCACTGTTGAAATACTCTTGAAGATAGTGGAGAACACTTCGATAGTCGTCACTATTCGCGGCAGAGAATCGAACTAAGCCTTCATGGCCCGTATGAAGGACAATTGTGGTAGCATTGCGGTCACCAGCGATAACTGCGGCATGATGAGGAACATGCTATAGTCTCTTCAGCGCCGGTTTCCCATATGAGTATACTAACCAGTCTCCTTCGTTCGCCATTAATGGGTGCCTGGTACTCTTCGCAGAAGAAAACGCTCTTGATCTTCTCGCTAGTCTCGACATATAGACTCTGTATGTTTTCAAGTTCGGATGAGTGAGCACGAAGATCTTTGAGGACGGCTTTTGTCGTCTTCATGTACAACGACGCGCAGCCGTTGATCGCTTCAAGCAAGGTAGTGTCAACGCCAGAATGTGGAGTGCCGAAGAACAGAATCGCGTGAGTGGAGATGAGAATGTCTCTGAGTTCGGCTTTCGACTCCAACCTCTGATTATGGCAGATGACAAGAGCCTGTCGAGGGCCTCAGTGGTTGGTCTCCATCGACTATGGTGCGACGAACCCATTTGAGAATGATGCCTCCGAGGTTATGAGCAAGAAATATGATGGGCCGCTAGTCGTTGTTTCAGAGTAGATTGATGATACGAGATTACTCACTCGAGGCGCGTCTTTGCGTTCGCGTGCAAGAGCTTTGGCGAGTCCATCAGCATGCCGTCGCATCGTCTGAGTTGATACACATTCCCGACTATGAGTGTCCGCATCATATCCATAACTGAGAATTCGGGCGTTGGGCAAGTCGGAGGGCAAAAGGTCGCGCAGCCACAGAGTCCCGTCCTTTGTTGTCCATGACTTTTCTCTATGCCCTTGCAGACCATGAATAGCTACGATACTGTGGGAATGATTCAGTGGCGAAAGCGTAGTAGCACCTGAGGGACTTACTCGACGACAGGATCAGTCCCAGAAGCAATTGTTAGAAACCCAAGATCACCGGTCTTTGACGGAGGTTTCGAAGTGGACGACTTGTCGTTGCTTGAATGCGCAGCAGACGTAGATTGTCCTTGATTGGTATGTAGAGATGCCCGGGCACGGTTTAGAATATTCTTCGAGTGTTTGAAGATGTCCGACATTGTCTATGGCGGACAAGAATGGGATCAAGACTCGTTTCTTTGCTCAAAAGCGCGGCGCTAAAGACTGGCAGAGGCTGGATCAAAGGCCCTCCGATCATTCAACCGAGACGGCTTTCTTATTCCATACCGTTGGCCATGGAGTTGTACGAAGGAGGAGTCCAAAAGTTGTCACGTCGTGGGAAGTTACTTGAATTCCCGCAAAGGAAATACAAACAATGAGAGCGATGACACCCTTTGACTTGAATAAACTGACATTTGTATTTGCAATCACGAGTCGGATTTACAAGGGTGATGACCGTAAATGTCGGATATCATTCATCAAGAGCGTTTTCGCTCATGTCCTAATCCGAGAATGGGTTCACCGAGACGGCCGGCTCCAAAGGCGATGTGCGCAGACGCGACGTAATTCGAGGACAACCGTAGTCAGTAGCCATTCTTGGACCCCACCATCTCCATCTCAGATCCTCCTTCTTGCATCTCTACACCACACTTCTATCCCGATTAATCCTTCAACTGCCACCTAGGAATACTTCTGAACGGGAATCAATTGCAACAAGTCATTTATGCCTCGACTTCGCGTTCTCGCAGGCCCAAATGCCAACCAACTCACCGAAATATCCACCGAGGTCAACACTTTCCGGACCCACCGCATCACGTCTGACCGGTTCGACGGCGAAGTCTGCGTGCATATCAAGGGATTCATCGGTGCCGACGGAAACTTGAAAGAGAGCACATACTTTCCCGATTCAAAGGCCGGGAGCAATCGAAATGCGAGACAGGAAGAGAGTGGTGGTTCGAGCGCCAGCTCGGTCTCGGGAGACTCTAATGGGAGTACAAGTAATGGCAGTAGAAAAGGAGTAACATGGAGCATTCAAGTCCGTGGACGATACCTTGTTCACGGTCTGACTATGGACGACGTTCTCTTTGGGAATACGTTTGACCGTCCACTCAAGCTACCTTGGGGAAGTGGTGCGGCTCTCAAGTTTATGAAGTAGGCTTTACTTTTCTCAATTGTTCAACCACTGAAGTTGCTCAGCTTCGTCGACCCGACGCTGGAGCATGCACTTGATTCTGCAAAACCATGGGCACTGTATGCTCTATTATATCTCCGTTACCGGCCCTGTTGATACTTTCCAGTTCTCCTCTCGTCGCTACGATGCCGCACTTTGCCATCTCCACCAAGAAAGGCCACTCCCATCCCCTCGCAACTCCCGACGGCACCTACGTTCAGGACGACACCTCTCAGCTAAAGAACGTCCCCTCTTTCAAGAACGCATCCGCAAGACGTCAGTACTTTGCAAATGTATCAAATAGACAAAGGGTTCACTTGAGTAAAGACGTGCGTCACCGCTCATAAACTACTTTCTCGATGTCTGATGCCGTTGTAGGAAACGATCACGACAGACTTTTGCTATGGATTCCTCTCGTTCCCAGAGATTCGATTGAACCTTCCCGGCGGCATTTCGTTCGAATTGATGAAATACTGGGACGGACAACCGGTGCGATTTGTTTGCTGCGAGAGGCGTAAGGACGAGCAGTCTGGTAAGGGATCTGCTTCCTCCAATAAACTCTCTGACGTTCTCGTAGGAAATGGCCGTGTAAAGGGTCCTGGAGACCCATTCTGGGTCGTCGTATTCGAGGCCGTCTTTGATGAAGACGAGCCTGTTACTCCGGATGGAGCGAGTGTAAAGGATGACTCGCAGTTTGACCCAGAAGAGCAGAAGCACCTTCAAGAGGACATTGACTAATGGATCGCCGTTGCGGACTCGTTATTCAAGATCTCATTGTAATTCTATTCTGATATACTACAGCTTTCGATTGCAGGTACTAGAACCGGCGCTCCTTGTCTTCTTTATACTTGGCCGCTGCACGATCAGCGGCTTCCCCAGCAGCAGCAGATGCCTAGCAAGCAATGAGCGCGCGGAGTGGAGACGAAGGAAATGAGACGTACTTTGTCGATATCTCCACCGACTTGCGACTGATGCTGCGAAGATTCGCCTTGACCAAAGTATTCTACCCAAGGACGTCAGCTATGAAATCAGAGTAACAAAACATAGCAAAACTGACCTGCGCGTTGTTGGCTATCCGCCTTCATCTCGCCTTTGATTCCCTGGTTGTTGGGAGCCGTCGCACCCATTGCCTGGTGCTCTCCGGTATATTCGAGTGGTGGTGATTCGGACATTTGGATGTAAAAGATGTAGCCGGGATCAAGTTGTGTCGAGTATTTGGCTCTTTATTATTCGCTGAGAAGGCGTGACGTACGTCGAGTGGCGTCTGACCTCATCGTCGAATTTGTATATGGATAGCTTTAGTGCTCGTCTGCCCAATTTGGTAGTGCATGATTTAAATGACTCGGGGACTAAATGGATCGGAGGGAGGGCGAAATCTTCTCGACTCGACCAACACCATCGTCGGATCCCAATTTCCATATAACAAATCCATCAGCTCTATCACTCCTTTACTCTACCTCTACATTATGCAGGTTGTTGAAGACGACCCAAAACCACAGGCAGACGCGAGTGGCGAGACATCTTCCCATTCGTGCGATCAAACACCGGGGCAATCCAACCTTCCAGACTTCACATGGCTACAGATGAATCACGATCGTCACGTTCATTCAGAGTCTGCACTCATCCCCGCTATTCCCATCCACGTCAAAGATTTTGAGCGAAGCGATATTCGCGCCAACTTGATCTATGCACCATCTAATCATCTATACAAGGTGAATAAATTTGCCACGCAGCGACCTATTGCTGAGGCATCACACTAGTATTTCGAGCACGCGAGCCCGACCACGATCCCGGAAGCGGCGGTCCAAGTGAAGACAGAAATACCAGAGTCCCAGATGGCTGGGAATAGTTCACCTTGATTCAGTATACACAATACTCGAGCCCTACGCCATAAAGATGCCTGAAAGCCTCATCGACCGTTTTGATACAAAGCTCGAGCACTCGCCGTTCATCAAGAGATCACGCGTATGACCCGAACGATTTTATTCCGCAATGTGATGCTGTATAATCTGTGCAAAGCGTCGGCCTTGATCATATTCTAGGGCGAGATACAGAGTCAGGATATGAACGAGATGAGTCTAAGAAAGCTTCTTTGAGCCGTAATCATCAGGCGACCTTCTTCAAGACCTCGAGACAGAGCTCAAGTCTTTTTGAGGAGTTTTGCTACTCGCTCAAAACTTCAGGCGGAGATTGAATGAGATTCTGTAGTTTCCTTGGCTAAAGGATCATGAGCCGAGGTAAAAACGCCTGTCAATATAGAATACTTGCCTCTTCATCAACCTGGCTACGACTGGACAAGATATATTCCAGATTTTTCGTTGCTGTAATAAAATCTGGATGCCTTTGCCCAAGGATATCGCGCCGCAGGGCCTGCACTTCCCGTTGAATCTTTTCAGCTTCATCCAGTCTACCACGACTGTGCAAAGTAACCGCGAGGTTGTTCATTGCCGTGATGGTGTCTGGATGACGCTGGCCACAGATCTCATGCTGGAGAGCAAGTACCTCTAGTTGTATCTTCTCTGCCTCCTCTAGCTGGCTGCGGCTGTGCAAGGTGATTGCGAGGTTGTGCATTGCTGCAATGGTGGTCGGATGGCGTTGTCCGCTAATGTCAAGTCGCAGAGCGAGTACCCTCTGCTGCATCCCTTCTGCCTTGTCCAACTGATCACGGTCATGGAAAATGCATGCAATGTTGTTCATTATTGCAATGGTGACCAGGTTCCTTTCCCCAAGGAGTTTGCAACCTAGAGCGAGTGCCTCTCGCTGCATTGTCTCTGCCACTTCTAATTGGCCGCGGTCAGATAAGGTGCATGCGAGGTTATTCATTGTCTTGATTGTATCGGGATGTTCTTTACCCCGCATCTGGTGCTGCATAATGAGTACCTGTCTCCGCATTCTTTCCGCCTCTTCCAACTGACCACGGTCAGCTAAGGTGCATGCGAGATTATTCATCGACGCAATAGGATCTGGATACTGCTGGCTATGGATCTCAAGCTGAAGGGTGATCGCCTCCTGTCGCATCTTGTCAGCCTTATATGGCTGACAATGGTTGCGCAGCAAACAGTTGTAACCACTGCTTGCTACGATGGCGCCTGGATGCAGGCGATCAAGGGTGAGGAACTGCAGCGCGCGTGCCTTCTGCTGCATCTCTCTGCAATTACCAAAATGACCACCATGGCGAAATTCGTATGGGAAATCGCTCATCGAGATGATGGTTTCTGGGTGCCGTATTCCCCGAATTCCGAGCTGCAGAGGGACGATATCTCCCCACATATTTTGGGCCTCCTCCAACTGACCACGGCCGACCAAGGTACATGCGAGATTGTTCTTGGCTACAATGCTGTCTACATGTTGTTGGCCAAGAGTTATGACCCTTAGGGCAAGTACTTGTCGCTGTATCTGTTCGGCCTTGTCCAACTGACCACGGTTGCATAAGATGGTCGCGAGGTTGCTCATTGCCATGACGGTGTCCGGGTGACGTTGGCCAAGAATATCCCCCGCCAGGTCAAGTACCTTTCGATAAATGTCCTCTGCCTCGCCCAAATGACCACGGCTAGCACAGATGGCCGCGAGATTGTTCATGATACCGATATTATTTAGGTGCCGGGTCCCAACAACCTCGAATTGCAGTTCCAGTAGGCGTCGTTGCATCTTTTCCGCCTCATCCAACCGACCACAATTCCGTAGCGCGTGAGCGAGATTGCCCATCAACCACATGCAATCCTTATGCCTTTCGCCTCTAGACCGTTCAACCTCAGAAAAGGCAGACACCAACAACTCTCGACACGCCTTCCAGTCCCCTAGAGAGTTGTAAAGCTCGTGAAAAGCCAGTAGGTGTGCCACGTTTTCCGGTTCGATGGCTCGAATGATACTGTTGGTATGAGGGAGCAACTGCCAAAACAGGGCATTGCTACCCTCCAGCGGCCAGATTGCACCCAGTAAAAGTTGCGCAGCCGTACGCATAAAGCAATCCTTCTCCTCTTTACTGAAGGAATCCTTGATGTACATTTGAAGCAAAGGATGCACGGTATAGAAGAGCCCGTCCGGCGAAACGTCGATAAACGACGCGCCTGAGGCCGAGTCAACAATTTCCTGGAACGCAACCTCGTTCCACGTCTGGCCCAATATCTCCTGGAGCTTTAAGGCGAAAGTCTTATCACTCCCTGGTGGAGAATAGCTTTTCAGGACCTTGTAGGTAGTGAAACCGGACATTGTCGATCGTTCAAACAAGGCGATTGGAATGAGTGAATGGTGAAGGAATGCGAATAGCCTCAGGAAGTCTTGTGTCTTTGTCGGCAAGCCGCGGAAGGATAGATCAAACGCGGTATATGTCGAAGAGGTGTATTCCGTGCCAATCTTTGACTGCTTGCGCAGAAGTTGATTCCGATGCGTACGGAATGTGGTGAGGTACGTATCGAGGCGTCGTGTCTTGCGAATATATGTTCCTGCCTGGGCAATAGCCAGAGCCAGCATCCCTAACTCGGTGACAATTTGCAGTGAATCAGCGTCAGATGTAGGGTATACGTTGGCGGTTGTATGAAGGAGGTCCATTGCCTCGCGCGCTTCAAGACCACCGACAAGAATACTACTATCCGGGGCATATGCGGCGCATCCACTATTCCTTGTGGTGATTAAGACTGTCCCGTGGATAGAAGTGGGAAGATATGGATCCAGCTCGAGATCTGATGAGTCGGCATTATCGAGGAAAAGTAGCCATCCCTTCTGATCGACATTGAGATGCATAACTGCATCTTCCCACGTTGAATTGCAGTAATCAGTGCCTAGAGAGCGAATCGATCTCTCCAAGTCGGTTTCCAATTGAGCTGTAGTGGAAGCGTCGACGACGATCACTCGACTAAATCTGGCCAAATATTAGAGATTTACAGACAGCCTTAGTTGCTCTAACCTGGCCTCGTGCTCCTGAATCCAGCTCGTCGCGAGCTGAGTCTTGCCCGCCCCTCCAAGTCCGTGCAATATACACCGCGGTTGACGCTTCAATTGAGCGCCCGGAAGCAGACATTCCGTGATACGTGACTTGAGCTCTTTTCGCTCGACATAAGTTCGAGATACGGATGGTCGGGGTTTCGGCTGCAAAGTCTTCTCGCTAGTACAGTGTCCCTTTGAAGCACCTGCGCTTTCGTTAGCCCAGTAGGAGAATAGATCGAATACAAACCGCGATAGATATCTTCTGTGATCCATTTTTTCTTGACCTCCTCGAGCGCATTGCTCGCATTTTCCTTGATGTAGTGTATTACCGTTTGATAGTTGTCCTCCTCCTTGGTCGAGAACCTCACTAGGTTACGATGTTTTGCGTGGAGAACGACTGTTATTGCATCGCGGTCGCCGGAACCCGCAGCTGAGTGATGTGGGACCCTCTGCGATTTGGTTAGTAAGTAGCCGTGATTTGAGACATACTCGCCAATTCCCCTTGACTACTTTTACTGGAAGTTGTATACTCTTCACAAAAGAACAGGTCGTTGATCTTCCTACTTGCTGCGACATACAGCCTTTGTATCTTTTCAAGTTCGAATGAGTGAGCCCGGAGATTCTTGAGGATCTCGTCTGTCGTCTTCATGTATAGTGACGCGAAGCGATTGATCACTTCAAGCAAGCTGGTTTCCGCGCCTGAATGTGGAGTCCCGAAGAACAAGATTGCGTGAGTGGATACTATAATGTCCCGGAGTTCATTCTTCGATTCTACTCCTTGATTGTGGCATAGGACCAACCCTATGACCGAGACTGTTAGCCCCTAGTTCTATCTGACGAATGCTACGAACCCATTTGAGTATAATACCTCCTAAATCATGCGCGATAAAGATTATTGGTCGCTACCAAAGTTTTAGATGAGTTCACCTAGCAAACTAGAACCACTCACTCGGGGGACATCGCTCCGCTTCCTTGAGAGCGCCTTGACGAAACTGTCTCCATGTCGGTCGATCGTCTGAGTTGATACGCACTCCTGACTTCGAGTATCTGCATCGTAGCCATAGCTCAAGATTCGTGCATTGGGCAAGTCGTTGGGCAAGAGATCGCGTAGCCACATGATACCATTTTCCGCCGTCCACGAGCCCTCTCTATGACCTTGCAAGCCATGAAGAGCAACAATACTGACGCCGTGAGCTTAGCGGCGAGTACGCCCAATCGGGCACAGAAATTGGCAAACTTACTCAACGATAGGATCAGTTCCAGGAATGATTTCTAGAAAACCAAGATCATCCAGCTTTGATTTGGGCTTCTGAGTTGGCGGTTGGCTGCCTTTGAGTCCGCCGCGAGTGTAGCGCGAGGGTCCCGGGCTTTTGAAGACGATTGGGAGGGTCGAAATAAATCTTTCAAAAGAGAGAGACAGCCCGACATCTCGCGCTAGAGAAAGGTAGAGGCAGGACTCGTGGAAGGGGAGAGACTGCGATTAGGGTCACGCCATTGCGCCGTGTTCACTTTGACCAGTGAGTCCTCTAATCATAACCTGGGATGCTGTGGTTTGCCATGAGGCCCCTCATTGAAGACTTGCCAATGAATAGCACAGATTACTGACGTCCTCAGTTCAATCCAGCACCTATACAGCGGCGAGCTAGCATTTCGTGACATAGATACTATATGTTCCAAAGGTAAGCTCTGGACAGATATGAGGCATATTCTGGCATGATTTAGAATATATTACTTTAAGAATGCAAAGGAGCGTGAGCAGGCTCAATTGCTTAAGCGGCCGATTTTTGATCAAGAGAGATTGATAAAACGTTTCTGGGATTTAAATCCTGGTATAGGCTGACCGCTCCCTGGGATTATACCGAAGAGGTAGCGATTCCAATCGTGTGAGGGTGATGCGTGGCTCCTTGAATGTCATGGCGAGGGATATTTGATCATGTTGATGGAGTTGAATAAGCTTTTAATGTTGATAGATAAGCGTGGTCAGAGCCAAAGATGGCGTTCAAACTCTGACCCGTCCATCACGACCTGACAAACTCCAGAGCTGCCAGGACTAGCCACTCCACAGCACTGTTTCTATCCGCAAAAACTATCCATCGAAATTCTCTGAACCCCGTCATCTCCATCCGCCCCGCCGCCATGTCCACTCCAGCAAACGTCAACCAACCCGCAAAGTATGTTATGAGCATGCCCATGACTCTTCTGGGAGCCCCGTATGCTAATACGCACCACAAAGATCCGACTCTTCGTGGAAACAAGGCCTTATATCGCCGCCAAAGGACAACCGAGTCAAAACGCAAGATGTGCTGACTGGATCCAACGTCGAGTGGGAAGACATGTATCTACGCCGTGAACTGCTCATGGGCATCTTTGAAGAAGGTTTCGAACGCCCATCGCCCATCCAAGAATCCTCCATCCCAATCGCTCTCTCCAAACGCGACATTCTCGCCCGCGCAAAGAACGGAACGGGAAAGACTGCCGCTTTTGTCATCCCATCTCTCCAGCAAGTTAATACCGCTATTCCAAAGATTCAAGCTCTCCTCCTCGTCCCAACACGAGAACTCGCCCTCCAGACATCGCAAGTGGCCAAGAATTTGGGCAAGCATATCGCTGGTCTCCAGGTCATGGTTTCGACCGGAGGAACAACATTAAAGGATGACATTCTCCGTCTCAACGAACCCGTGCACGTCCTCGTCGGCACACCGGGCAGAATATTGGATCTCGCGAGCAAGGGTGTTGCAGACCTCAGCGAGTGCCGTGTCTTTGTCATGGACGAAGCCGACAAGCTGCTCAGTCCCGAGTTCACTCCGATCATGGAAAATCTCCTGGGACTCCTACCCGAGGAGCGACAAGTCATGCTCTTCAGTGCTACGTTCCCGCTTATCGTCAAGGACTTTAAAGTACGTTCTGATTGCACTGAATGACGTATTTTCTCACAGTTTTTTCAGGAGAAGCACATGCGCAAGCCTCACGAAATCAACCTCATGGAGGAGCTCACGCTCAAGGGTGTCACCCAGTATTACGCATTTGTTGAAGAGAGACAGAAAGTACATTGTCTCAACACACTGTTCTCCAAGGTATGCCGTTACGTACTTAAAGCGTTGCCATACTCACCCCTGTCGCAGCTTCAAATCAACCAGTCTATCATCTTCTGTAACTCGACCAACCGTGTAGAACTTCTCGCGAAGAAGATTACGGAGCTCGGCTACTCGTGCTTCTACAGCCACGCAAAGATGCTACAGAGCCATCGTAATCGCGTCTTCCACGACTTTCGCAACGGCGTCTGCCGAAATCTCGTCTGCTCCGACCTGCTTACCCGCGGTATCGATATTCAAGCCGTCAACGTCGTTATCAATTTTGATTTCCCCAAGAATTCGGAAACGTATCTCCATCGTATCGGTCGTTCTGGTCGCTTTGGTCACTTGGGCTTGGCCATCAATCTGCTAACTTACGAGGATAGGTGAGCTGCGTTCCTTGTTTTCGATTCTTTACTGAGATTGTATAAGATTCAATTTGTACACTATTGAGCAAGAGCTCGGCACCGAGATTCAACCCATCCCCCCTGTCATCGAACGTGGTCTCTACGTCGCGGGTGCCGCCCCTCCATCGAATTTGGCGACTGGAACTGCAAGCAAATCGGGAAGTGGAACTTCGACGCCGCGTCCGAACGCAAACGACGACCAGTCGAAGCAGGGTAATGGACAAACCTATACTCCTGCAACTATTCCAAGCGGGTCCAATGCCGCCATGATTGCTCGAGCTCAAGGAATTTACCAGCAGGGGCCGCAGTATCAACAACAAGCCCAGCAGCCTCAGCTACAGCCTCAACAGCAACAACAAACCTACGAGGCTCAGGGCCCTCAGCGTGGTGGATACGGTGGTGGACGGGGCCGTGGACGTGGGGGACCTCAACGGGGAACTCCTCGTGCCTCCCCCGCTCCGCCTGCCAACGGCACCATGGCCTAAATCATCAAGAACCCTCTTTCGGCAGATCCATCAACCCTTGCTCTTTTCTGGCCGCTACGCTGTTCGTCAACATTCCCATCCCCCCTCCCGCTTCCCAAAGCTTGACATTACAGACATCCATCTTGACTCAACGCTATTCTACCGGTTGTTCACGCCACTTGTTGTGATCAATTCCCATCCAATTCATACCACCACCTTGTACTTTTCCACTGTCTGATCACTCACACTCATACACGCCATATCACGGGTTGATATGATCCCAATCTTGATCCTCGACACGCCACACCTTGCCACCAATCCGCATCCGCATCCGCATATCCTCATCCAAACCGATTGTCTTGTTTGGAAGACGACCCAAACGTTCCTCTATCCCAATCCTCGTCGTCTGCACTCTTCCGCCTCTCGCCTTTGAAGTACCTGTACCCGTAACCGCAGCCGCCCCGTTTGTCCGGGGATGAATTCTATTCATTTCAGGACAAACATGTGTGAAAGCTCTCAGAATGGTTAGAGTGAGCGACGAAACCGCCTGGTGTTTGCTTGATTGGTCCTGAAGGCAGTCCACTCGGGTAAAAGGGTCTGATCAAAAAGAAAGACCTTGGTGGATTCTGGATGCCGAGCGTTTGGAGTTTTGCCTGCTGGCAATGGAGCAACGACTCGTGGGATTTGAGTGACCCGCAAGAGTCCAAGGCGCACGAGCAAAGCTTGCAAATGCTGACCGGAATGTGCGTGCGGCGTTGGGAAGAGCGTAGAATGCATATCTAAGGCTTATAATTCGTGAATTTGCTGAATAAACGGGTTAGCAATCAACTGGCCGAGTCCAAGGTGCTCACTCACAAACTTGAACCTCGACTACCTCGACTGCGTTTTGTCACAGCTCATCGTTTTGAGCAATCTCGACACTTACTCGTTTCCGAGGTAGATTAGAGTGCCATTCTGCTGCTCCAGAACATTGACGCTGCCACTTGCAAGACCTTTTCCCCGACCGTCTACGGCTTAAAAAGGGAGCCAGCTCGAGCAGAAGCCGCGATTAGATCCAAATGGCAGAATCCACGACAGAAATCGACCTCGACTCGGTCATCGATCGCCTGCTCGAAGGTGTGTGCCGACTTGTTCACCCAAACCCCGGCGCGCCGCCGCTTCTGTACATTATTTGGAGTTACAAGGAGCTGATCTCGACTACTCTGTGTCTGTCTAGTTCGTGGAAATCGACCAGGAAAGCCCGTGCAGCTGCAGGAATACGAGATCAAGTATCTCTGTACCAGGGCCCGCGAGATCTTCATAAACCAGCCAATCCTCCTAGAACTTGAAGCCCCCATCAAAATCTGCGGTGAGTATGGCCTCTACTTTGCTTCCAGTGGCAGAACGCTGATCGACTCATCCGCTTACAAGGCGATATCCACGGACAATATTACGACCTGCTACGCCTCTTCGAGTATGGTGGTTTTCCACCAGAAGCAAACTATCTTTTCCTTGGCGACTACGTAGATAGAGGCAAGCAATCACTCGAGACAATCTGCCTGCTGCTCGCCTACAAGATCAAGTACCCCGAAAACTTTTTCATTCTCAGAGGAAACCACGAGTGCGCTAGCATTAATCGCATCTATGGTTTCTACGACGAATGTGTGTTGTGCCCACAAAGTGCGCCAGTCGTGCGAGCTAACGCAGTCATCCGCCGTTCTTCTAGGCAAAAGACGGTACAACATCAAACTGTGGAAGACCTTTACAGACTGCTTCAACTGCTTGCCTATCGCCGCCATCATTGACGAAAAGATATTCACTATGCACGGAGGTCTGAGCCCCGATCTCCAAAGCATGGAGCAAATACGACGTGTCATGCGCCCTACAGACGTTCCAGATACTGGTCAGTGCTTCCCCACATCTGCAACAGCCATCTGTTACGTTGAAACCGCCCTGGTCTTGCTTCGGTGGCTGCCAATGACGTGTTGTTTGCTGATCCGTTGGCTCGGTTAGGATTACTCTGCGATCTACTATGGTCGGATCCAGATAAGGACATTACCGGCTGGTCGGAAAACGACCGTGGCGTCTCGTTTACGTTCGGTCCAGACGTCGTCTCTCGCTTCCTCCAAAAACATGACATGGACCTAATCTGTCGTGCGCATCAAGTCGTGGAGGACGGCTACGAGTTTTTCGCAAAGAGGCAGCTCGTCACCCTCTTTTCAGCTCCAAACTATTGTGGAGAGTTTGACAATGCGGGTGCCATGATGAGTGTCGATGAGACGCTACTGTGTTCATTCCAAGTGAGTTTCTTGTTTGCTATAGCTTGTTCGTGCTTTAATACTCGACAGATTCTTAAACCCGCAGAGAAGAAACCCAAATACCCCTACGGAGCGATGGGAGGAAGAAACGTCACACCGCCGAGAAACAAGGGCAAGAAAAAGACCGATGGGAGGATGAGCTAAACGGCTCGCCCTTTGATCTTCGAGCGAGCGTCAGATGGAACAAGGGTTCTTGGGACGTTTTATGAAGAGAGTGTCCAAACGACTTGCGCGTCACATGGATAAAGCGTCTTGTCGGCATTTCGTGGCTTGGACATGATCCCTTGTTCTTGGTCTCTGGTTCTCTCTATTCCTCTGGTTCGCTCGTTCGTCCTTTCTCGTGTTCTCGCTCTCCCTCCCCTCCCCCTTTAAGATTGTTCGTCGATTACATGAACTATCTATCTCGCCCTTTTTTTCTGCCCCCCTATTACTGTAACGATCATCTGCTCTTCACCCATTCTCCTTGTCCTTCCAAAGGTCCTGTGTAAGAGTTGACTCACACTTTGCTATTTTATGGTGTGACCTAGATTTGTTGCGAGCCGCTTGAACTCTTTCCACGTCTACGGAATTCCCGAATTCGGCCTTGCCACCGATGCAAGAGCACCTCAATGTGTAAAAAAAAGATGTAGAGCTTTGGTCACCACTGTTTACTGCCAGTGCGTCTCAAGTTAAGGAGATTCGTCGGTGCCAGGTCACTCCGGAGCCAGCCATGAGCGAACAAGGCGGGATTTTTACGGTCCCTTGCAACATTCATTTCATTTTCTCTGCATTTGGGCGGCACCTCACCGTCAATGGTCAATACTGAATTGTCAAGTCAGCCGTCCTCTTGGATCAGAACGATGACGGACTGGAATCGAAACCCGCTCAGAGGGAGCGAATAGTCGTTCTTTTTGGGGCTTGGCGTTTACTTGCGTCTACGTGTGCCTGTCAGCTTGAGCCCGCTATCCTTTATTTTATGCAGGGCATAGGGCGGGCGAGTGTGATCGATATGTCCGCACCGGGTCACCTTGGACGAGCTTGTTTCATTTATGAGTCTTGAACCAGGCTTTCTTTAAATCCTCGGTCCCTTGTACACTGGACAAGCGCCGCGTCTAGCGCGCCGTGCCGGGACCATATATCTTACCCCTATGAAGGAGGCTGATATCACTACCTCTTTCTCTCCCTCTTCGCTTCGACCCTTTCCTTTACGCCTTGCCTTGGTTTTTTCACGACTGGTCATCATGCTCTATATCTACCTTTTACTTTCAATCCTCTTCGTTCAACTCGTGCACGCGTATTCTGTTCGAAGAGATCCGCAGGTTACGCCTTGTATACTCAAGTGCCTAACCATATCGCTTCCTGCAGGCTGCTCTGATTCGTGAGTGAGATTCTTCCTAGTGAATCTTTGACTGATGAGTTTGCTACTGCAGCACAAATATCTCGTGTTTATGCAACAGTCCTACATTCCAAACGGTTTTGAAAACATGCATCCAACAAACATGTCCAGAAGAGCAAGCGACTTTTGAAACCTTTCAAACTTTTCAATGTTCTGCCTATAGTGAGTCGCTCTTTTCTGACCATCGAAGCAAAGCAGACGATGCTGAACACATCCTGTATCAGCAACCACAAATGCTTTACATAGCACCGGAGGGACATTTGCCTCCGGAAGCGAGACGGCGACACAGCCCACCGATACGTCGGCTCAATTAGCCCAGCTAACAGACAGTGCCTCTCCCCACTCTGATGGGTCCACAATCCGAATAGCGGCCATTGTAGGTGGTGTCCTGGGCCTCATGCTCCTCGTTGCGTTGGCCACTTTTGCCAGATGGTGGTTTAAAGAAGGAAGACACCCCCCACCAGCGCGTTTAAATCATGTGCGGGATGCACTCTGTTCGAGAGATGAACAGGCTCGTACGTATCGTGGCGCAGACGCCATTGCGATTCCGTGGACACCTGAACCGGCGCTCAGTACCCCGCTTCTGCCTCCTCCGTCCGTGGCCACGGATTCAAAACTGCCTATTGCGCAAATGTACTCTTCTCAGCGGTTTCAAGAGGTGTCGGGTGGACTTGGCTCGTCGTCTTCGTCGCTAGAGCCGACTTCGTCTGGTGTTACGGGTTCACTGGTTTCGGAACCTGTGGATGAAAGGAGAAATTCGCGAGGGTTCTTTAGGCTCTCCTTAGGGCTGGGTTTGCCTCCTCGTTATGAGCCACGACGGATAAGTAGACAGCTATATTAGAACTGGTCTCTTGCATATGATACAAAATGACATGTATGCAATATCTAATAACGTATTCTATGCGTTATTTTCTCTCCATTTGCTGGAATCCGTAAGGCGGTATTTGTTCGTGTTTGGCACATCCCAACCGTTGACCATATTTCTCCTTTCCCCATCATGGTCAAGAGTGAGTATACGGCACTACCATGACTGTATCTGGGATCTATGCTGATGTTTGTTGGTCGTGTCGTCTAGTCTACAAGCCAGGAAAGGTTCGACTCTCTTTCGTCGAAATTGAGACAAACGACTGACGGATTACTCATCTGGGATATTCTGATATTACAATCTTTGATATTTGGTCAATCTTGTCGCTCTGCAATCGCCATCCACTCGATTCTACTAGGTCGCCATTGTCCTCCAAGGCCGACAAGCCGGACGAAAGGTTGTCGTAATCAAACAACTCGACGAGGGAACCAAGGATCGACCGTACCCACACGCCATTGTCGCTGGCATTGAGCGATACCCACGAAAAGTGACCAAGCGCATGGGCAAAAAGACGGTTGCAAAGAGGAACAAAGTCAAGCCATTCCTCAAGGTATGAGATGTGTATTAGATTTCGAGTTGATGCTGACGAAATTTGCGTGTAGACTGTCAACTGCACACACCTCTTCCCGACACGGTATGCGCTCGAGCTCGAGGGTCTCAAGGGATGCGCGTCGGCGGATACGTTCAAGGAGCCGAGTCAGCGAGAGGATGCAAAGAAGACGATTAAAAAGCTCTTTGAGGAGCGATATGTCAGTGGAAAGAACAAGTGGTTCTTCCAGCCGCTGAGAGTGAGTTCTATCTGTGGTTGCAACAATTGTATACTGATAATGCTATCTAGTTCTGATTTCTTGCTCCGTTGGTCCTAATGCATCGATGTTTCCAATGCATATGTACTCTGACACCAGGTGCTATGAAGACTATGCTCGAAAGACGAAATCAATGGCGATTCTAAACCTGAGTGGTGTCTGTTCCTGGCTTCGACTACCGATGGATAAAGTCCTAATCTAAGATATTCGACGCCTGCAACGGAGATCGAGGACAATTGCCGTCCAGATCGAATGCGCCGCGTCATGCCCGATGCCCATACACAACTCTTGGTCCTCGCCTTCTAAACGACTTTGGTGTTGCTGGTATAGAGCCATGAGTGACGAGTCTAGCTACAACTATAACCCATATGGCTACTCTCCTTCCCGTTGTAAGACTGCTGGATCCGGAATTGGGGTTAGATGGCTGAGCTTTCTTAGCGGCAGCGGCGGCCTTTATAGGACTCTTGTGAATACCAACTACGAGGTTATGTAGCCTACGACTGACCTCTATCTAGTGGACTGTCTACTCTCCTTCATCTTGGACAAACCCTATTCCTGAGACGTCGGGTATGGTGGACGCTGGTATTCACAGTGGGAGGCATCAGTACGCATCGTTTCCAGGTATGGTGGTCTAGACGTTGACCTCTGTAGTGGAGGTCCTGGGATGGGTCGGACGTTTGCTCTCTTCATTCGACCCGACGCAGCCCAGCCCGTATCTCATGCAGATTATCACCCTCATTATTGCACCAGCTTGGTTCAGTGCAGGGTGCTATGCAGTCACTGGAGCTTTGGTATGGTCACCGAATGTGAAAAGTAAAGTAATGAACGGCGCATAGATTCACAGGATTGGACATGAGGGGACGTTGCTCAGTGCCAAGGCGTATACAATTCTCTTTGTTGCGTGTGATTTGATTAGCATTGTCCTACAAGGCGTCGGGGGTGCCACTGCGGGAAAGGAAGCAGACAGAGGGGAATCTCCAGAGAAAGGACGAGCTATCATGGTATATGGAGTCCAAAACTTTAATCTTCTACTAATCCGTATGACAGCTTGCCGGTATCGTCTTTCAGCTGGTGGCTATGATCGTATTCATGGCACTCTCTGTCCAATTCTATCGTCGTCGCTGGAGAGACTTTACCAAGCCACAGCAAAGACTCGCCCAGGGCACGTTGTTCGCCTCACTTTGCATCATTGTCCGAGGAATCTTTCGAACCGCCGAATTGGGTGAAGGATGGAAAGGGTATGTGACGATCCTTCGAGTGGTTTCTACTTATAGTCCGTAGATTCCTCTTTGTGCACGAGGTCTTTACCATAGATCTCGACGGATTCCCGATCGTCCTCTGCATGCTCGTCTTCAACTTGGTCCATCCTGGAAACACACTGGATGCTCAAGAAGCACGTTCGAAAGAGGTGGAGGATACAAATCAGACGGAGATCGTCTGAAGAGATCAACCTCCCACGCCTCTGAGCGTGGGTTCCTCTTATTCGCCGATGACTGCCGTTCCCCGCCTGAGGACTCCAGATTCGGTCGGCTCTGCTATGACTGTACATATCGTTTGTTATACCGCTTGATTAAACTAGTAACCGTCCTGAGAGCGCATCAAGAGATGGCCGGCAGGTACCGAACTCGTCACTTGACCTCCAACCATGCTCATCGCGGAATGGGCGTTCCTCCATCGCGCTGTACTATGGGTTTCCAATGCCCTCGAGTTGTTCTCGAGTGGTACACCCGAATTAGCGTCTCATAGCTACTTCTCTGTGCCCGTAACCATCGACCACTTGTTCGACAATGTGGCCACGCACGATTTCGACGGCAAGGGAAACTATTTCCCTATCGAGCTCCTTCCAACGGGGCAGTTTACGAGCGAGAATGTCAATGTAGGATCCCTCTATTCCGCTTCCGAGATGTCGTTCTGACTTTGCAAGTTTACGCTTCCTCGATGGGGACACGGACGGAAAGACAACGTTGTTGCTGAGCAGCAGGTTGTCCATGTGGATTTTGGTCATGTTCGCGAGTTTCATATCCTCTATGCCGGCGACTGGATCGATGGTGTGTTGCCAAGAGCTCCACTGGCGTCTTTGGAACTCAGTCCGTTCTCCCAGGCGAAACTGGAAATCGATTCGAATTCAACTTCAAGGACTGGTCGAAACAGTCTGTTGAATGTTGGTCTCTCAACGAGTACCTGTTCTTTGATTGACGATTTGTAGGTTCTGTGAAGAATTGGTGGAACTTGCATTGGCTCAATTCTGGTCCAATCCAACTGTACGAACACTCTTAGTATAAATATCCAATACTGACGGTTGAATAGCCCGTATCATCACACGAGGGACAAAATCAACCACAATATCACCCAGATCCACCATTGGTCGACGCAGATAAACTCGTTGTCGCCTCTCACATCTATTCGCTTCCCATCTTCCTCATACTGGAATCGCTTGCACATTTTCGCCATCTCCCTCGTCCCCGCGTACGCACCCTCGCATGTTCTCCCGGAATTCGACACGACCAATTGGCCATCGCGCAAACAGATATTACCGGCTTTAGGCGTCAAGGGTATCCGCGCGACTACTCGGTGGGTCGAAAAGGAAGGTCATGGACCCAAGGAGCCGATTGTTGAGGTTACGCTTTCGAATCTTCGGGCGAATGTGAACGATGCGAAGCATCTCCAGGGGTATTTGAATGGCGATTATACCGTTCATCTCGTTGGAGATGGGATCCATACGACGGCTCCTGGACATGTGAGGCGTCTTATGCCTGGAGATGATGTTCGTCTGGATGTGGGGATTCAGTTTAAGAAGGAGAAGTCAAAGTCCATGTGGAACTCAAGGATCACAAGGGCAAGGTTGTGTTTAGGGGCGAGGAGTGGCCCCTGACAATTGATGGAGATGCGTATGAGCCGACAAAGGCGAGCTTGTCGCGACATGAAACTCCCAGATGGGTAGGTCTTAAATGTCCACCAGTGTTGTTTACTCATCCATTATAGTGGCGAAACGCCAAATTCGGCATTTTGTGAGTTGCTGGATCTTCTCTGAACTTCTTGCTCATGGATATCAGCATTCACTGGGGCGTCTATTCCGTTCCAGGATGGGTTCCGACTGGATATTACGAGGAGTGGTACCAGTACGTCTCTGTAAATGGTTGGGACTCAGGACTTACAACGGTCCAGTTGGTGGATTCACAACCCGGCTCAGTCTTCGAACATCCTTTGGAATTATCATCGCAAGACATACGGCGAAGAGATTGTCTACGACGACTTTATCCCTCAATTTGACGGCTCCAAGTTTAACGCATCACAGTGGATCAATCTCTTTGCCAGTGCAGGCGCAAAGTATTTCGTGCTTGTTACGGTAGATAATCCCTTTATAACTCTGTTTCTTCTGATGACCGTTTCTACAGAAACATCACGACGGTTTTGCCCTGTTCGACACGGCAAACAGTACGCACAGAAGTAGTGTACATCTCGGACCGAAGAGAGATTTTATCGGCGAATTGATGACAGCGGCAAAGAAAGAGCATCCATCCTTGAAACGTGGAACGTACTACTCGATGCCCGAGTGGTGCGTTAGCTTCTACATGTCCCTCGGTGGTTTCTGAACTTTCTGTCTAGGTTCAATCCTGCGTACAAGAAGTATGGCTTTGGCAATTGGCCTGGTGGACTCGCTCGCAACGCCTATAACTCGTCCAAGTTTGAACCATACACAGGCCATTTAGAGGGCAAGGACTATCTCCGTGATATTCAAGAGGCACATATGAAGATTCTGGCGGAGAAATATGAGACGGACATCATGGTTCGTATCCCCATCACTCTTTGATTTCGGGCTGATAAAGCTACAGTGGTGCGATATTGGAGGACCGAACCGCACGGCAGAGTTCGCTGCAGAGTGGTATAACCAAGCTGCCAAGCAAAATCGACAAGTCACGATGAACAACCGTTGCGGTATCGCCCCAGATTGTGAGTTCCACCCATGGCAGATTCATCAGTTTACCTTGTGCAGTCGACACGCCAGAATATGCGAGATTCAGCTCTATTCAGACGAGAACATGGGAGACGAATGAGGGAATTGACCCGTAGGCGGCACGCATTGACTATAATCATGACTTAGGTCGTCCACAGGTTCAGCTATGGATACAATCGCCAAACGAAGGACGAGGAGTATCGCTCGACTCGTAATATTATTCACTCACTGGTCGATATCGTTTCGAAGAATGGAAACTAGTGGGTGATATCTAGCATCTCATACATCTGCTGATTTTCCACCAGTTTGCTTAATCTCGGGCCTACTGGTACAGGCGAGATCATCCCAGCAATGGTCCAGCGCCTACACGAAGTCGGTCACTGGCTCAGTCACTCAGGTTCCTGTGTATACAACACTGTATGTTTCTCATTATGAGTAAGATTAGGAGCTGATCTTCCACTAGACGTACTCCTTCCCAGGAGCCGAGGAACGTGGATTACGATTCACCACGACCCCAGACTCATTCTGCATCATCGCTCTCGAGCGGCCAGAGATTGCGCTTGAAGATCATGAGGACGAACATCATCGCCTACTCCTCAACAACCTCGACCATATGCAAGCTGACCGAGCATCTATGGCATGGGAACTGGAAGATGCACAAGCGTGGGCTAAACCCAAAGGCGAGTTTGCGTTGCTGGTCGTTGAGAGGCCCGTGCCTATTATGCCCAAGGACAAGGTGTTTCTGCTTGGAGGAAATGGAAAAGCGCTTTATTGGAGACTGAGAGCTGGGCGGCTCGGTATACTTGTTCCGGTCGAAGAGCTGAACAAGGTGGATCATGCATGGGCGTTCCAGATTCAATATGCGACGTAAGAAATCTAGCATTGCTGCAATCCCAGGAATTCCGCTGTACGAATGTGTGGTACTGAGCCTGTGACGTGAGAGTCTGGATCCCATTCCTAAATCTATCGAATGGATTGAGAGGTCCCATGATGAGTGTCCTTTGCTGGCAACATTGCCACGCGGCGAGTGTTCAGAGAATGGCAGACGCCGACCATCTTGGAACCATCCATCTTTACAATGTCAACTCGAGAGACGCCCAAATCCAAGAAACAGAACGTGACTGTGAATCCATCGGCATCTTCGTCTGCTTCACAACGCTCGACAAGGAGGAAAGATCAAGTATACGACCCGGTCAACATCGGCCTCGACGTGGTGGCAAATATAGCCGAGGGATCTGATATACTTGCTCCTCTCAAGGCAGCTTGTCGGACAACAAAATCAATTCTCGAACTCATACAGGTAGGCTCGGAAACCTTTCATGCTACGCCACAGCTAACGGGTCGAACAAGGGGGTAGACCACAACCAAGAAGATTGGACAGACTTAGCCCGACGTCTCGAGGAATATCTTTCTGGCATCGAAAATCAAATCGACGCGTTTGAAAAATATCCTCCAGAGGAAAGGGACGTAGACGAAGCCTTCAGTCAACCACTCATTCATTATGTCAAGTATGTGGAAACTCCGATGGCGTTTCAGTATGCTAATCGATGCAGGCTACTCGAGGGTATTCACGAGGTGGTGGCCCGTTGCAGGCATAAACGAAGCCGCACCGGTCTTGGTGCATTTACTGCAATAAGCAAAGTGAAGATAGACGTAGAAGAGATACGCAAGTTCAACCGCAATATCGAGGATCACCATAGGCAACTCATCGTATGGCCTTGAATGGGCATAGTCGTGATCTCACTTTGGATACAGGAACAGCTGACCCTTTTCTCTGCATACCGCGTTCAAACTATCGAACGGAAAATCACCGATGCCAAAGCCAAAGTGGAAATGATCCTGTCGGACGGTAAGCCAAAGATCCAACCGGTGCATTTTCTCAATGTTTCCAGTTGATGCGTCCGCTATACTTCAGCTGCCAATGGTTTCATTTGTCGCATCCTCAGTTCACCACACCTGCCTCCAAGGGACTAGACAGGCCGTTCTCGAGACAATCTGGCAGTGGGCAAACGATGACATGTCCCAAAAGCCCATATTTTGGCTCTGTGACATAGCCGGCTCAGGCAAGTCCACAGTTGCAATGTCTGTGGCGCAAGAATGGAAGGCAGAAGGAACCCTCGGTGGTCAGTTCTTCTTCTCCTTGGCCAACAGCGAGGCATCCAGCACCGAGAAATTTTGCTCGACGATAGCTAGAGAACTCGCTCAGCAAATGCCCGAACTTGCACCGCACATCGCCGACACCGTGAAACGGAATCCCGCTATCATGCGCAGTTCCTTCCCAGACCAGCTGCGAAGTTTGATCACGACTCCACTGCACCATCGACAGATGAGCGTGTTCCTTGTTATTGACGCAATCGACGAATGTAAATCCGGAGGACAGCGAAAGGAGCTTCTTGACGGGCTTGCGATGGTTGCTCGAGAGACCAGAAATCTCAAGATATTCATCACCAGTCGGCCAGATCCCGTCATCGAGTCGGTCTTACAGCCACTGTCGATCAAATCGGAGTTGAAGGACCGTCTCCACGATGTCAACCATCACGACAACATTGACGATATTGCGACCTATATAAATCAATCATTACATGAAGTTCTCTCACCAGACAAGAGAAAGCGACTGGTCGAAAAAGCCAACGGGTTGTTCATCTGGGCGAGCACCGCATGCCGAATGCTCACTAGTGAAACGACTTTGGAATCCCCTGAAGGCATATACGATCTTCTAGTCTCAGCGGATCAGAGTGGAGATATAGACGATGTATACAAGTTGGTTTTCGAGCGTATAGACTCGAAATCCTACACAACCATGTGTAGTATGCTCGCTCTACTACTTGCAGCATTTGACCCGCTTAGCATTGATGATTTGGAGGACATATTCAAGCATGTCGGGGTCAAGTGGAATGCAAAGGCATTGGTACGGAACCTAGGGAGCGTCCTTGTCGTGGATGCAGGTACCAACCTGATCCAATTCCGTCACCCCACGCTGGTCGAATACCTACGACGCTGTTCCCGCTCCCCACCAGTTGACAATGGCAGCCACCTCTCTCTGAACATCGCGAATGCGCATGGGCAAATTGCATCGTGGTGTCTTAGACGTCTGACATCGCGGATCGATGGCCCCAAATTCAATATATGTCAACTCGAGTCGTCGTTCTACCTGAATAGGGAGATCTCAGACATCGACGCCAGAATATCAAGGTTCATTCCACAGAGACTTCGATATGCCAGCTCCCATTGGTTGTTTCATACGGCGGAGACCGACGAGACGTGGCGATCCGCACTCAGAAACAAGCTTTATGACAGCGTTAAATTTCCATACGTGCTATACTGGATAGAGATTCTGAGCTTTATTGGAGGAGTCCCACGGGCAATCGCCGGATTGCAAGCAGTTTCCGGCTGCAAAGCCGTGAGTGACCTGCTCGGGTGAATTTCAATCACTTATGCATCATACAGGTCGAAGAGAGGACTAAAAGCAGGATAGACGAGACTCGACGGTTTATAATGGCGTTTTCTGTGCCGATACAGGAGAGCGCCCCACACATCTACATCTCTTCACTTCCATTCACTCCGAAAAACTCCAAGCTGCACGTTGAGGGGGTAAGGGGATATGAAAATACGTTGAGGGTGACTCAGGGGCTTGAAGCGATGTATCCTAGCCTCCCCAGGAGTCTTCGGGGCCCTGAAGGTGAGGTGAAAGGTGTCGTGTTTTCGCCAGACGGCTCGAAAATCGTCTCCGGTTCGAGTGACAAGACCATTCGACTGTGGGATGCAATCACTGGTCAATCGTTGGGAGAACCACTCAAAGGTCACGAAGGAGAGGTCAATGCCATCGCATTCTCGCCAGACGGCTCTCAAGTTGTGTCTGGCTCAGCTGACAAGACTATTCGACTTTGGGATGCAGCCTCCGGTCAGTTGCTGAGAAAGCAGCTCTATGGTCACGAAGGAGAAGTCAATACCATCGCATTCTCACCAGATGGCACACGAATTGTATCTGGCTCGTCCGATCAGACAATTCGGTTGTGGGATGTAGCCAGTGGTCAGTCGTTGGGAGGGCCACTCCAAGGTCACACGGGGAGGGTCAATGCCGTAGCAGTCTCTTCAGATGGCTTACGAATTGTATCTGGCTCGAAGGACTGCACCGTTCGATTGTGGGATGCAATCACTGGTCAATCGTTGGGAGAACCACTCAAAGGTCACGAAGGAGAGGTCAATGCCGTCGCATTCTCGCCAGATGGCTCAAAAATCGTATCTGGATCGTCCGATAAGACCATCCGGTTTTGGGATGCAGACACTGGCGAGTCTTTGGGAGAGCCACTCGAAGAGCACGAGGGAGAGGTTAATGCCGTCGCATTCTCGCCAGATGGTATGCGAATCGTATCTGGCTCGTCTGATGAAAGCATTCAACTGTGGGATGCCGTCACTTGCCAGCCTTTGGGAGAGCCACTTGAAGGTCACAGATTCACGGTCGGAGCCGTCGCATTCTCGCCAGATGGCTCACAGATCGTATCTGGCTCAGAAGATAACACCATTCAACTGTGGAATACATCCACTGGCCAGTCTTTGGGAGAGCCATTCCAAGGTCACGAATTATCGGTCGAAATCGTCGCGTTCTCGCCAGAAGGTTCACGAATTGTATCTGGCTCTTCCGATACAACCATTCGACTATGGGATACAACCAGTGGCCAGTCTTTGGGAGAGCCACTCGAGGGTCACGATCAACGGGTCAATGCCGTCGCCTTCTCGCCAGATGGCTCACGAGTCGTATCTGGATCGTTTGATAAGACCATTCGGTTGTGGGATGCAACCACTGGCCAGTCTTTGGGAGAGCCACTCGGAGGTCACGATGGAGAGGTCAATGCTGTCACATTCTCGCCAGATGGCTCGCGAATTGTATCTGGCTCGGATGATTGCACCATTCGATTCTGGGATGCAGTTGCTGGCCAGCCTTTGCGTAGTCTGTGGGCAGCCTACGGAACCTTTTTTCCTGTCGCATTCTCATCAGACGGATTGCGAATCGCCTCTGGTTCGCATGACCATACCATTCAAATATGGGATCTAACCATTTGTCGGCCATTGGGAAAGCCATTCCAGGGCCACAAAGGACCGGTCACTTCCGTCGTATTCTCGCCAGACGGCTCAAAACTCGCATCTGGCTCATCCGATCAGACCATTCGGTTGTGGGATTTAGCCACTGGTCAGTCTTTGGGAGAGCCACTCGAAGGTCACGATGGGCGGGTCAATGCCGTCGCATTCTCGCCAGATGGCTCACGAATCGTATCTGGCTCCGATGATCAGACCATTCGGTTGTGGGATGCAACCACTGGCCAGTCTTTGGGAGAGCCACTCGTAGGTCACGATGGAGAGGTCAATACTGTCGCATTCTCGCCAGATGGCTCGCGAATCGTATCTGGCTCCGAGGATCGCACCATTCGAGTTTGGATTGCAGCCACTGGTAACTATCGCTCGGTGTATCCCCAATTATGTTCCATGATCTGACTCATGATCCTAGACACAAATATCAACAACTCCAATCAGGATGACAGTGGATCTGAGAGTTCCGATTTTACGGAAGACTCTCAGGGAATTCCGTTGTCAATCCCTGTACCCGGGTTCGATCAATGTTCACTCTCACACGATGGCTGGGTGCAATCCTCGGGTAAACGTCTATTTTGGGTACCGCCAGATAATCGACATGGATTATTACGGCCGCGTCTTCTTCTGACTATGCCGACATCGAGTCCTCTCCGTGCGACCAAACTTGATTTCACACACTTTCGATGTGGCGATTCTTGGACCCAGATCCGGACAGGAGTTCACTAGTACTGTCTTACAATTGATATCCCTGTATACCGTATTATTTACACAGATCTCAAAAGGTAGGAGATGTCGGACTTGCTCATTAGTGGCTTTTCCATCCCTGTTAAAATATAAAGTAGCGAGTTTTTCTTATCCGTGTAGAGCCCTTCTGATCCTTGAGCCTCCTGGTATAATGTATCTGCTTGCCAGTGTGGCTGTTGTCGGAAGAAGGGAATAGAACCGACTTGCTGCCTGCCAAGTCCCAGCAAGATTTTACTCGGCCTGGCATTTCGACTTTACAAATTCTCAACAAATATTTTCGTATCGATCGACTCTCTTTGACTGGTTTCGTGAGCATTGCTGGCGACCGAAACTCCAAGGGGACATCGCCGACGCCGTACAGCGGAAGAGCGCTCCCAATTCAACGCTCAAGTCACAAATAGGCAATATCTTTGTGGCGTAGATACAACCTCAACACCCTAGTGTGCGTCTGTTTGCCTGTGTGAGACTCGCGGATTGGAATCGAGCTGGCGCTGACTTCCAACGCCAGCGTTTAGCGGAGAGTTCCTTGTCCCGTAGAAACTACAAGACATTGTCAACTTATGGCCGCTGTTGTCATCCCAAGTCCGTCCAGCGAGGGCGGACGCGACTTTCCATCTCCTTCGCAATCGCCTACACCTGCTACAAGCCACCCACCGTCCTCATTTGATCCCTCTCGCATTCCAAGTGGCAATAATAGTACAAGTGGAGTCAATTCAAGTCCTGGATCTACGAGTCCAAGCAACGTCGCCAACGTGCTAAACACACGGCCCACATATGACAGAAGTACAAGCCAACTTGGAAGGTACGACTCGAAAAGGAGTAGTATGATCTCCAACACGTCCTTTCAAACTGCGCCCCTCGTCGCTGGATCCGCATATGGTGGAGGTAGGCAATGTCGTTGTTCTGGTATTGGCATGCTTATTTGTTTAACAGGGAGCGTTTATGGAACTGCTGACGGAGGGAGTTCTCGAGAATCATTGGATACCGTGCAGGGATACGTCTATGAAGCCCCGAATACCCCAGGTGTCCCTCCGGTCATCCATGCCACTGGTCCCGTCAATGAAGGGTTCCTGAACAATCTTTTGCACCCCAAATCTGCAGCAGCTGCACCACTGGATGGCACCGAGTCCAGCCCAAGCAAGACGATCCGCCCAGGCACCAGCGACGGCAATAATCACACCTCGAATCCCGGAAACGATTTGCCTGCACATCTGGTTACGGGGCCATCGCCGATCGACGTTGATTCTGCAAAAGTCAAAGCCGCAGTCGCCGCGTTTGCGAATGGTGTTTCGAATCCAGAGTCGCAACCCATACCCGTACCAGGTACACCACCACGGAAAGCCAATATTTTCCTGGATACAAATACGATTCACTCTAGTCCATCCCATAGTCCGAGCGTCTCTCGTCCGGACGGCGTTGGAATCCATTCTGCGATTGAGGAGGCGCAAGCCGCTGAATCCGCGCCTGAAGGTGCCGATTCTACGTCGGCTCCAGGTACCCAGAATACTGCTGCTGGCTCGAGGACTCAGAGTCGATCTGGGTCCTTGCTCCATCCGTCGTCGGCTTTGAGTGCCAATGCGAATACCCAGACGACTACCGGCGGTCCCTCGTCAGTCAAACCGACGAGACGAAATACGACTGGCTCGACAGGTATGGTATCCAAGTCGAAAGCTGGCTCGTCCACGGTGGCCATGTCTTCTACGACCACTGGTGTTGTTGCCTCGACTACGGTCCTTGAGGGATGGGATCTCGCTCTTGATGAAGATATGCGAAAGCAAGCGGAGCATATCAGAAGAGAGCGGAAGCGCCGAGAGGAAGAGGCCGAAGAAGAGGAGAAATACCTACCCGGTGGTCGAGACAGGCGAGAAGGAAAGGGCAAAGAGAAGGGCCACTCCCGTAGCGGGAGCGTCGGCGGTCGTAGTGTGGGTGGTAGAAGTGCTGGTGGTAAGAGCTTGGATGAGTGGAGACCTGTTGTTGGCAATGTTGTTGGCGAGGGACACGTGAATTACATCCTCATGTACAACATGCTTACTGGCATTCGTGTCGCGGTATGTTTTTTGCGTTGCTCCAGGGAATGCCGCTCATTTTGCTGGCAGGTCTCGCGTTGTCAAGCCAAGGCTCCTCGTCCACTGACGGATGAAGATTACACTGCCGCTCACAAGTACAACTTTGACGTGATTGGAAACGAGTTGACACCGAGCGCCAAGGTGCGGTGCTTGTTTCGCTGAGCGGATCCGATTCTAACGTGTTTACAGTATGATTTCAAGTTCAAGGACTACGCTCCTTGGGTATTCCGAAGCCTGAGAGAAGACAGTTTCAATATCGATCCGGCCGATTATCTACTGAGTTTGACGAGCAAGTGCGTGACAAACCGCTATGTTACATGTGGCTGACATTTGTTAGATACATTCTCTCTGAGCTTGGCTCGCCCGGAAAGTCTGGAAGCTTCTTCTACTACTCGCGGGACTATCGCTTCATTATCAAGACTATCCGAGCCATCGAACACAAATGGCTGCGTAGAGTCCTAAAGGACTACTATCGACACGTCAAGGACAATCCACACACCCTCATCTCTCGGTAGGTAGTACGCTTCGAATACCAAGCTTCGCTGACACGTCTTCTTAGCTTCTACGGATTGCATCGTGTCAAGCTTCCACGAGGAAAGAAGATTCATTTCGTCATCATGAACAATCTCTTCCCTGCGCATCGAGATATCCACGAGACATATGACCTGAAAGGATCCACCGTTGGACGACATCTGCCGGCTAGCAAGTTGGAAGATAATCCCGGAGCTGTGATGAAGGATATGAACTGGATTGAGAGAGGGCGCGTGCTGGAGGTGAGTGTCCCAACTTTCTCAATACTTGTACTGACGAGATGAAGTTTGGTCCCTATAAGCGTGCGCTTCTCACTGAGCAACTTCGAAGAGACGTCGAGTTCCTCAAGTCTATTGGTGTCATGGATTACTCGTTACTCGTCGGTTTACACAGTGTAAAGCGAGGAAACAAGGAGAACATCCGTAGCAACACACTCAAAGTGTTCAAGGTATGAGTTATTTAGGATTCAAGGGATCGGCTCTCATCATCTCCGCAGCCTGATATCAAGGACGTTCCGGATATGGATGCGCCGATTGGCGCTCGAAAATGGATAGGCATCAAGCATGCCATGGAAGTTCGTCGCGCCATCTTGGTTGCCCAGAGACAACACCAAACCACAATTGGCGCATCTACCTCAGCCACGGGAGAAAACGCCTCCGCAACTCCGCAACGAGTCCGCAAAGTTTCAGCCGGTGGAAGGTCACTGAAACCGTCACCGTTACACACGCTCGAATCGTCCAATTTGCCCGAGGAGGATCCTTTACCTTCGGATCGTAGCGGGTTCATCTTTTATAGTGACGATGGTGGGTACCGTGCCACGGACGATCTTGATCGAGAGTGGCGAGGTGGACTAGGTGGTCGGGTGGTCGTCGATGGAAAGATTCAAGATGCGACCGAAGTTGAGAGTGACGGTAATGGCGTCGTCTACTATCTCGGCATCATTGATATCCTTACTCGATGGACCCTGACTAAACGGATGGAACATATCTACAAGGGACTCAAAGCCAACAAGGTATGGTCGTGTGAATTGCTCGAAAGCTTACTGACATCTTGTTATAGCACAAGATTAGTCCCGTGAATCCAATAGAGTACGGAGAGCGTTTCTTCGCCTTCCTACAGGCCGTTATGCGCGGTGGAGAAGGCGGAGAACGGTTCGTCTGAAAGACTTGACAAACGCATAAACATAAATCGTGATCGACTGCGAAACTATTATACACAGGTCTCTCTTTATGCCAACGGACCCTATCCTTATTGGCACTTCTCTATTCTGGCCAGCGTTTGCTCGGCCCCTTACACGCTCCTTGCTCATCTCGTTTCTCTACTATCTGTCACATTCACTACTCGTGTTTCTGCTCCATAGTGTTTGTTATTCGCTGCGATGTACGCCATATTCCGAGGCTTTACAACTTGGGGTGGTCCTCATGGATCCACAATTACACGCAAAAGGCACTTTCTGTGAGTAACGTCCCAGGCAGAACGCCATGTGGTTGATATTGAGTGGCACATCATTGAACTTGAACCCCTCCACGACGACACGTAGAATATCGGAAACGCAAAAGGCGAGGCCGACACACAATGACGTCCCTCAGAAGGGCACTTCCAGTCCTTCTATTCACCGTTTCACATCTCACCCGTGCCAATGCTGCTCTACCGGTCACGGTTGGCCTGCGAACCAGCTGGCCAGCCCATAATCTGCTTCTAGAGATCCTGTACGCGAATTATACTACATTATATCCAACGAAACTGACTATCTGAATGCTGCTTTGACTCTGGACTTTCGACGGCTGTAGAGAGACGGCAGCGCTTGATCAGCCGCAGAGTTTCTTCCCACTTGTGGACCTCCTAACGTCACCTGATACGTTTCCGGAACCCTTGGGGAAGCTTTCACCAGAAGCTATTCATCAAGCTGCACTGGCACTTTTCCAACACCACGGATTCTTCACACACGACACGCTGAAACAATTCGAGCTCGCACTTTCCTTACACGTCTCCGCTCCCAAGCTCGAGGCGTTTTATCAGTTTTACAATGATCGAAACTTGGAGAATATCCGTCTGCCGAATGGGTATATCAGTGATGGCGATGGTTGTGGAAGTTGGATCGATTGGTATGGCTCACGACTGTGCTCAAGCGAGGACTTGCATGCGGTATTGTCGAGAGAAGCCCTAGACGCTGCCTCGGGTCAATCTGCCACGTATGTGTCTTTTACTACTGCTTTATATACCTATCTCATACATGTTAAGTCCTCCAAAGAAAGCCAAGCTGCTTCCGTTTGATCACATCTATCCCGACCCAGCGACTACCGTCTTCGCTCCGCCACGGACTGCGATTCTCTATGCAGACCTGACATCGCCAAATTTCCTGGACCTCCATAAAACTCTTATGGAGTCTGCTGCCGCTTTCCCTCCCAAAATCCAATATGTCTTCCGCCACGTTCCCGCACCCAAAGTTGTCCCGCCCAAAGGGGAGAGTCCAGCACCTGTCAAGCAGCAGTATCTTACCGGATATGGAGTGGGATTAGACTTGAAGAAAATGGATTATCTTGCATTGGATGATAGACGGTCCCGCAGTGCGTATATATTTTCGATGGAGGCAGCTATCTAATGTTTCTCACAGATTCCGCTAACAACGATATCAAGGATGTTGCCATTGAAGAGAATGCGCCGCTTGTGGACATTGTTCGCGAAATTCTCAACAGCTTGCCTTCTTCATCCAGCGAGCCACTGAACCTGACAGCACCACTTACCAAGGAGGAGTTTCAATGTGTGTTCTTACCATTAGATCCTCTTCCCCGCTTACGATTTTAGACCTTGGTGTCCAGGCAACATCTCTCATCCTGCAGTCGCAAAATCCTTTGGACACATTCATCCAATTGGCGGAAAATTTCCCGCTGTACGCTACAGAACTGGCGAGAAAAGTCGACATCAATGGGGAGCTACAGTTTGAAATGGCATTCAACTCGCGACGCGTGCCCAAAGGGATGAGCCTTCTCTGGCTCAACGGCAAGCCTATCGAGGACATGTCCTCCTTCAATCCTTTCAAGTGGGTACCTGCAGTATGTACATGTACTCGCTCATCCTCCGCCTTAGTGTCCTGAATATGCTTCGATCTGAGCGTACAATTATGGAAGGTCTCACCTCATTGGGATTGACATCTACTCAAGCCCTGGAAGCTCTCGCTGGCCAACCGGTTGCAGAGTCGTTTAGTCAAGGAAACTTGTTTGACGGCATTTTCGACGCTTCTGACCGTCCAGAGGGTGGTGATGTCATTCTTTGGCTCAATGACTTGCAAAAGGACGATGCATACAAGGCGTGGCCCAAGGGCATTGAAAGTGTGAGAACTTATCCTTCTACGTTAAATAGATTCTCTAACTCTCAAGGTAGCTTCTGACGCCCATCTACCCGGGTTCTTTCCACACGCTTGGAATTAACCTATGGAATGTTGTTCTCGCAGTTGATCTATCGAACCGCGATTCTCTTATTTGGATCTTCAAGCACGTGTCGAACATTATCAACAAGAAGTTCCCATTCACGTGGGGAATCGTCCCACTCGTAGATACACCAGAAGGTGCGCGAAACATGACTTGCAAATGTCAACTCTTACCCTGCTCCTCAGGTGCAAAGGCCGCCAGAATTTTCAACTACGTCCATAAGCATTACGGACCAAAGGAGACAATGGACTTCATTCGATCAGTACGACGTCTCCCCATGCAATACCCGGTCTGACGTTTTACAGCTCATAGCAGCCCAATCAGAGGGAGAGACCATCGACTTTCTGATAGCCAATGCTTTCTTCAATAATCTCGGGATAAACGTCAAACCCTTGCTCCAAATAGAGCTCGATGAGTCTGTATCCCATGACTATGATACAGTTCTGGCAGGGCAAGAGCCACACTCGGTCGAGCGATTGGCCAAAGCGGAACGATGGGCTAAACGTATGGACGTACAGAGTCGCAAATGGGAGCTAGGACACGTTTTTCTCAACGGAAAACACTTCCCTCTGGATACAGTACGTACCTCCTTGCCGTTGGGCCACTAATAACCATGTTACAGAACTTTTTGGTATCCCTCCAACGAGAAGTAGGCTTACAGACTCAGTATCTCCAAACTGAGGTCCAAGTCGGACGACTGTCGAGCAACCAACCTGTGGATATGTCGACGTACTTCTATGATCTTCCTTCGACACCTAAGCGTCGTAATCGCTTCCTCTTCCCGGATCCTGAAACGTCCCCTCTTCGGGTTGAACGACTGGATACTCTATTTAGGACGTCTGGTTTTGAATGGCCAAATGAGGATCTGCTTTATCCGGGTCAGTTCATTGATCTTAGAGAGATGGCTGATATCTGACCTGCACCAGAGGGAACGGAGTCGCTGCTGGCGACGGTGTGGGTTATTGGCGACCTTGATGATTCCATCGCTAGGGGGATGGCCACAGAAGCAATGAAAGCATTGGACGTCGAGAAGAACTTCCGCCTCGGATTCATTCATGCGCCGAGGACATTGCCCTTCTCCGACACGACATCCACTCCACGGTTGTCAACTGTCCTGCAACAGCTCTCGGGTAGACTATCGACTCTCTCTCTGCCAGCCTTTGCAGAGAAGTGGGAAAGCGATGCTCCAAACCCAGTATGTCCCACGATTTGATCGATGTTTCTCTTATTGCTGGACAGGTCAACTCTGCCGAATACCTCAAATACTGCATGTCAGGTCAACTTCTGGCGCGTGACATTGGCCTAAAGCCGGGACAAACAGGCTTACTGGTGAATGGAAGGGTGAGTGATCCCCTTACACTATTCGCGATTGACGCAGAGCAGGTTATTGGTCCACTCGAAGCGGGTGATTTCGGCGCCATCGACTTTTCTCCGATGCTCGCGTACGAGAAGCAACGACGAGCGACGCCCATCCTGGAAGCTCTGAAGGAGATTGGGTTCAGCGAAGATTCCATGGACAGGTAAAAAATTGTTAGGGGAGAGATGACTGGTTGACGGGTTGCAGAACTACTTTCGCGGATATGATTTCGACTGCCGCATCCATAGTGGCCTCAGTACAAATTCCGGACCCAAGTGCCGAGGGTCTCTTCAATATGCCACAGCGTCCTCGTCAGCGTCAGTATCGTCATTTGGATTCGAAGCATTCGTAAGTCGTTTGCATAGCATTTTACTTTGTTTGAACTTGCTTTAGGAAACTCACCATTGGCGACGAGTCCAAGGCGTTGTTCCACTTTGCCGTACTCCTTGACCCAGTGTCGGAAACTGCACAAAAGTGGGGTGCTCTCATCAAGGTCGGGTCTTAGACAATTGTTAGAATTGACTGACATTTTGTAGTGGCTCACGACGCTCGACTCTGTATATCTCGAACTTTACCTTGTCACCGACCAAACTCGAGAAGAGGTGAGTCTTATTCATTGGTCCGACTATACCATCCTGAGGCTGTTCAGTTACCACTCAAACGCTTCTATCGCTCAGTATTGCGAGAGGCGTTGGTCTTTGACGATGTCGGGTGAGTTGACAGAAGTCGACTATTCAGAGCTAATCTGTAAATAGAGAGGAAATACCTGCAATGGCTACCTTCAAGAACCTGCCGGAGGAACCTATCTATACTCTCTCGATGGACGTGCCGTCTTCGTGGCTCGTCCGCCCACGGGAATCTATCCACGATCTGGACAACATTCATCTATCAGCACTGAGCAGCCATGAGAAAGTTGCAGGCGTAAAAGCCCTGTTCGATCTCGATTTCCTCGTGATTGAAGGACATGCTCGGGATACGACGTCGGGAGCACCTCCGCGCGGCCTGCAACTTCAGCTCACAAAATACGATTCGACACCGATTGCCGATACGCTAGTCATGGAGAACTTGGGGTACTTGCAGTTCAAAGCCAAGCCTGGAGTTTTCCAACTCGAGCTCAAACGTGGGCGTGGGGAGGACATCTTTACTATTGAGAGCGTTGGCAATGCCGGTTGGGATAGTCCGCCAGTGGAGAGCGAGGCGGGAGCGGAGGTCACGCTTACGAGCTTTGAAGGCCTGACTCTTTATCCACGTTTCCGCAGACAACAAGGTCAAGCAGATGCAGACGTTCTCCAACCACCACGTAGAGAGGGCTTCTTCTCATCTGCGGTACAAAAGGTGGTTCAAGCGTAAGTTCATCGGCTGTGTTGGAGACAGGCCGCTCACATAGACTAGCGTCGCTGAGTGGATTCAACCACCTCCAGAAAGTCCCGAGGCGGATATCAACATCTTTACTGTCGCATCTGGACATCTATACGAGGTATGTCTCGTGTAGTATGTTTAAATCTCTTCCACTGAGCCGTCTATAGCGGTTCGCATCGATTATGATTGCGAGCGTCATGAAGAACACGAACAGCACAGTCAAGTTTTGGTTCATCGAAAACTTTTTGTCACCTTCCTTCTTGGAGTTTATTCCTCACTTGGCGGAGGAGTATGACTTCCAATACGAGCTCGTCACGTACAAGTGGCCATCCTGGTTGCGCTCACAGAGGGAAAAGCAGCGTGTTATCTGGGGATACAAGATTCTTTTCCTGGACGTCCTGTTCCCCATGGATCTAAAGAAGGTCATTTTCGTCGATGCGGATCAAATCGTGCGCACGGACCTTCAGGAACTCGTCGACCTTGATCTACAGGGGGCACCATACGGATATACACCTATGGGTGACGATAATCCGGATATGGAAGGTTTCCGGTTCTGGAAGACGGGCTATTGGAAAGACTATCTGAGAGGCAAACCGTATCATATTAGGTAGGGATCTACCCAAGGGCTATTTGGCTGTCTAATCTCGCGTCAGTGCTCTCTATGTCATCGATCTCGTTCGCTTCAGACAGCTAGCCGCCGGTGTAAGTACTCTATACATCATCAAAGATGTGTCTCACGGGTTATAGGATCGGCTTCGTGGCCACTATCAACAACTTTCCGCTGACCCGAACTCGCTGGCCAACTTGGATCAAGGTACTGCATATATAATCGGTGTTTCGTAGCTGACCATCCGTTAGATCTCCCTAACAATATGCAGTTCGAGGTTCCAATCGTAAGCCGGTAACATTGGCTTGTAGTCATCACTGCTGACACCGTGGCAGTTTTCGTTGGACAAAAACTGGCTTTGGGTACGTCTACTACTGTATGCAAGCATGCGCCCGACTGATCCGTATCTTCCACTAGTGTGAAACCTGGTGTATGCGCGACGTCTACTTCACGCGGTCGCGAGGCAGCTGACCCTGTATTCAGGTAGCAAGGACCGTTTGGACCAAGCGAAGACGATTGACTTGTGTCAAAACCCGTTAACCGTACGTTTGTTTCTAGTGTTTCATTTGCTCCGAACTAGACCTAACATATTTCCTCTTGTGTTTTGCCGTTTTTGCTTGGAACTCCACTTTGGCCGCCTATGCGCTGTCCAACCTGTCGCGCCGCCACTCGTGCTCGGCACGTCCACGTGCCTACTCGCCAATCAATTCGCGTGCACTGTCACCACTCCCAAACCCGTAATGCTACTTGGTGGCATGGCTGGTTTGGTTCGTGGCGAGTAGAAGGAGCCCAAGCTCTCGCGTGCACGTCAGATCCCCGAGTGGTCTCAGTACGACGCAGAGATTGCAGCATTTGCGCGTCGTTTGGTGCATGAAGGCAAGATTGGCGAAACTGCATTGGGCGCAGAAGTCGATGCACTTGCGGGCGAGAAAAAGAGTGATGTCCCGCCGGCGTCGTCTGAGGAGTCTACGTCTGCTTCCCCAGGCGTCGCAGGACAAGAGCCGCTGGTGCACCCCGAGCTGTGAATGTCGTATAACAGTCTACTTATTCTCGGAATCGATCTATTTTCCCAGAAATTTATTGAGAACGGATTGTGTACAACAACGGGCGAACATTTTTCTGGCTAGTTTATTATAGGATCCGGTATTGGAGAAGGTGACAGGATAGAAAGCTAATGCACAGAGGAGAGATTCCGAGTTGGGGTTGAATGGAGGACGTGGGTGAGCGCTGTTGCTACATTGCTCTGGGCATGGTTGCAGCACTGGCTCTTCCTGCGTCTTTGGATAACAGAAGATAAAGAGAAGATGAAATAGTTTGGAGAGCTTGGAGTATACTCGCTCACAGAGCGCGACCCACCACATTATTGTCATCGTCGTGCGCCGAGAGTCCGGGCGGACCAAACGTATAGGACCGATGTGACCTGGTGGAACCCGCGGTTGTCGGTCGGTACACGTCTGGTTGTAAATGGCTTTGAGTATATAGCTGTGGCTGGGTGATATGCGAGGATTGGGGTACAGGGTGCGCTTGATGGGACGATTGCGAATGATAGAAGAGTGCGGCCTTTGCATTTGCCGTTGCCGTCGCACGGGACCAGCTCCCGCTCGCGCTCCTCTCAGACGTAGAGGATACACTTTTGCGAAGTGGACCACCCGCAGTAAGTGCGCCGAGGGGTGATAATGCATGACCATCGCCAAACACGTTGTGCGCATCGGCGAGGTAGACATGCTCCTCCATCGAATTGTCTCGTGTGCGGGGCATGGGTGTTGAGAGTGCCGTCGTGGACGAGGACCGGTTAATCTTGTTCGTGGTCATCACACTAAGCTCCACATTGTCTGCACCCTGTCGAGTCTTTTCCGTTGCATAGAGTTGTCGTGGCTTGTCCGATGCGTCATGGCGCGTCAAATCTTCGACGCTACTACCCGGTCCACGGCTCGACGACGTCGAAGGACGGCCCATGAAAAGTGCAGTGAGCGATGCCCACGGTGCATTGGTCGGTCTGAGCTGTGAATCCGTGGTGCGGGTCGAAGCGCGTCCGAGCGACTTGGAGCTAGCATTGTGTGCCTTGTCGTAGGGCGAGTGATCATCAAATGGCGAAATAGGGAAATCTTTTGTGGGTGCAGGGGTAGGGTTGAACTAGAGACGAAGAGGGTGGTCAGGATCCGTCCAGTCGACGTGATGCGAGACATTAGAGATTCTAGAGCGTGTCATTCCCTCTTGTTCCAACTAGACGAGGGAGAGACGATGGGTGGGAGAACAAAAAACGTAAAGCTCACCTTCATAGGTACACTATAGTCCGACATGTCTGGTCGCTTTCCTGACTCGCTCTGACGAGACCGCGAGCTATCCGGTCGCTGCGCCGAACGCGAACTATCAGGTCTATTTGTCGGAAGTGGATAATGTTGATACGGCGCATAGGCTCTTGACCCAGCAGACGCTGCAGACCCGCGCCGTCCTTCGTGGCCCGCGCCCGATACACGCCGGCCCTCATTCGAACTCGCTGCGGATTCCCGACGAGGTGCGGGCGGATACGTAGGTGGAAGAGGCGGGGGGACAGGATAGACAGGAAATTCGACGTCTTTGCCCTTTCCATGTTCGCCAGTGCTCACACCTGCACTACTATGTCCTGGAGTCGAGCGTTCAAGGTCGAGGAAATCGGATCGGTTGCTGATCTGTGCACCTGGTGCATCTCCATGGCCGTGTCCGGGAACCTCCAATCGAGCCACCTTGTCGTGTTGAGATGGTGAGCCGCCAAACGAGTATGCTCCAAGTTGACGTTGTAAACCCTTGCGCTCCTTTTCGCGTTCAATATCGATGTCATATTCCGCTGCGAGCGCGCCCAAGTCGCGGCTCATGCCCTCTGGCACGACACCATCATCGAGTTGCATGGACATCGTGGTTGGTGGTGTTGAATCAGCAGGGAGGAGTCCAGAGAAACTGGCACCAGTCCGGATCGCATGTTGCTGCTCCAATTCGTCGCCATAACCGTACGCATCCGTCGGTTCTCGCGAGCCAAAGGCATAGACAATATCGCCTGCACTACTTTCTTCTCCTGCTTCTGCTCCCGCGACATCGGCATGCGAACGTACACCGCCTGTCCCTGTCTGGGACATTTCAGCCACCGTCGACATTCGTCCACCACCCACGACCAAGGGATGCGAATACCCAGCTGCCGCAGGGACGGAAATGGGGGTTGACGGGGACGATGGCCCACTAGCTGTACCCAACGGAGGCGGGAGCACGCCCGTACTACCCAACTCGAAACTACGTTCACTCTCAAATGCACCCGTAGTAAACCCACCAGCAGCAAAACTCGTATCGCCACCATTCCTCGCACTGCGATTCCCACCACGTGCCGAGATGGGTGAAAGGGGGCCTATACCATCTGTGCTCGTGTCGTTGGTGGACGAGCCTTGGTCAGGACCAGCCTTGGATGTCGAGTTGCGCCGTCCTCCCTCTTTGGACGACCCAATTTGGAGTGGGGCAAGACCGATGAAATGCCGGATCCCAAAACGTCCTTTACGTTCATTCCCGCTTGAACTTGACCCGCGTCGGTGGCCATTGGGAGACTTTTCGTTGCCCATCCCACCTGGTCCCTCGACGACTTCTTCCTCCTCGGCCCCTGTAGACGGTTGGATCCGCTTCACGCCTACATTGTCTTCTGGATCACCCTCGGGTTTGCGACGTGCATTCTTCTTGGCTTCGAGTGCCTGCAGACGCTGGGCTCTCCCCGTGGCGGCTGGACCGATTTTCGCCGGGTTGACGACGCCTCGTTGGCCAAAGAGTAAAAGATTCTTGCGTGTCCAGAGAATGAGGACAACGTTTGCGGCACCAGAAAGGGAAAAGATGACAATCACGACAGAAGTGACCGCAAACGGGACATGTGGTTCCGTGCGCCCTATCTCTTATCAGCACAGGTTGCTCGAGAGAAAATAAAACGCACCCGGAGGTCTAAACGTAGACCAACGAACGATACTGAGTGGGAGGACGAGGATGGTATAGGTGACCGGATACCAAATCATGCTCAGCGCCTCTTTTGCGGCATCCTTGCCCGCCTCGCCACCTCGAGCACCACGGGCGACGGAATCAAAATACCCTTCGCCTCCGGCTGTGCGTCCCTGACCGCCATAGCGATGCCACTTAAATCGGACCCTACGCCAATTAAGAGGGTCGACGGTGATATTTCCACGCACACGGAAAAAGAGGAGGGTGTAGAGGATGATGTTGACAAAAGCGGCAAACCAGAGCCAAAAATACTCTCCGGCAATACGCTCTGCGTCGAATTTGCCGCTGATCCAGCACCAATAGGGGGTTGGCGTGAAGAAAATGTCGGCGGTCTGTGGGTCAGACGAGGGAGAGTGATGTTTACCATAGCCTACGGCAGCAAAAATGCAGACGTAGAGCCAGATGGCGGTGATGACGGCTTTCCATATCCAGGACGAGCGTGGCGAGGGGCTCCATCGGAAAAAGATGACGAGAAAGGTCTGGATTGTGATAGCAAGCGTGCTCATACCGACTCCAGTTTCTCCAACAATCTGAATGAAACCCTGGGCGGTGCAGGTTGCAGAACAGTAAACCTGGCGCTCGGCGGACCATTTAATGTTAAGAATAGCGCCGAGGCCCTGGAGAAAGTCTGATAAAAGGAGGGAGAGCAGGTAGGCGTCTACGTGTGTGCGAATGAGGCGCCATTCGCCCCCAGGGGGAGGGTGGAGGACGTTGCGGATGTAGTTGCGGGTGACGAGGATGAGGACAAACAGGACGGCAAACGAGGAAATAAATCCTGCGAGTGCTGTAAACTAGTGAAAGATGAGCGATTGGGTTTTTTCTTGTCGAAAATCAAAGAGGTGGGAGACGATCAAGATAGAGGGTGGCTAGTGGATGGAAATAAAGAGCGAGATGAGCAGAATAGTAAGCACTGTAGACGTACGGAGAGGCCAATGACCTGCGAGGTCGGGAGAATGTTGAGACAAGGGTTGAGGAGGGCCATGGCGTCGACCGTTGGGGCTCTAGAGGGGAATAAAGGCCCCGCCGTGTAGCGTATTTAATCGTGATATTTATTGTCCAGTGGTTGTTGGTGGCCGTGGTCAGCTCCAAGCCGCAAGTGATAAGCGTCAGTGGGACGAGTTACTGGCTACCGTGTGCTCGCGATTAAGGTACGCAGGCACCCTGGCCAATAGCCGGTCACGTGGCTTTGATGGGCAGAACATTCGAATGAGCATAAAGCTAGGATTTTATTATCCATGCGCTCGCATATTCCACGCGCCTCCGAGACTACCCGACCACTTGCACTACCACCAATCTGGGTAGATCAGCGGCGAGGACACTACCCCGCTCATGTCCTCCGTCGGACATGTCTAGCCACCGTGGTTCGCTTCCGGTACCGAGAGCTCCCCATTCTCTTGATGAATTGCGACATCTCCGCTCCTGATCACTAAACTTTATCAGCCGTCGGTATCCTTCATCAAGTTGCATGTCCGGTGATTACCTGGCCATCAAGCTCTGGCGTATACACGTCGGACCTCCGAGTCAAAAGAGCGTGCCCCCTTCGAGTCCCAAGGCGTCCCCTCAGAATCAAAGATGTCGATTGGGATAACATAGGTCATCCAAGTATCGCCAAGTGGACACTTCTGGTACACTTGTCCTCTATGGCCCGTGTCATTTCCTCCCAAGTATCGTGCATTTGAGATCGAACATCCTTCTTCATCTCTTGGATCTGCTGAGACACTAAAGGAACGAGAGCCTCGAAACTCCGTTCCCAGCCGAGCCAGTCGTTGAGAAATTGAATGGTGAGACAGTCTTCCGAAACAACCATTGACTCCACTCCAGAGTCGCGCAACACTTGGTTGAGTTGGGTGCCCATCCGACTAAATGTAACCATCGAGTTGGTCAAGTACGTCCTCAAGCGCGGGAGATCATTCACGCAGCTCGCTAGAACTGGCACGTCGTCCTCTCCGATGAGTCTAAGTTCCTCAAGAGTATTAGAGTGTCGATGAGCAAACGCTCCTACACTGATGGTCGAGTGGGATTCATATTTTACCCAGAGTTGCCCAGGTACGGGAAAGTGTCATCGAGTGAGATAGCTCGCCCTGTTGTGCATGTAGACCATTATGTAGAGATAACGAAGCATCGGTAAATGGAGCGCCTCTACACTTGCACTTTCCAAGCCCGACTCGATATGGAGCGCAACCAAAGAGTGCAAGGGCTCATGAACGAGTTGATGGCGCCAGTTTGTATCAATCTGTATGTACCATCGTAGCGCACGAACAAGTGTTGGCGTTGGGCTCTCCGTGCTCGTGGAGGGATCGGGGAGGACCATATCGTCATCTTCCAGAGTAGCGACATTTGCCAGAGGCATGTCTTCACCGAGTTCGATGGAAAGAGGGCCGATATATTAAGTATCGAACTCGAATTGGCTCCTTTCATGCGGATCAGAGAACGATGGAAGATGGATTGAGGAATCAGAAGATACACGGACGTGCCTTACATCCGAGACGGGGTAGTCTGGCGGCACTTGATATCCCAATGGATGGACAAAAACGATGCGGTCGGCGAGTTTGTCCACTAACAGCTTCCAAGAGGACGAGGCGAGTCTTAGTATCACCCTATTCTTCTCCTTGACTTTGTATAGGTCTAATACCACCCAGTCTTCTTCGAAAAGGAACGTTTGGTAGTGCATCACGCTCGAACATTTCGGGTTTGACAGAGATGAACCAAGAAAGTATCGGAATACTCCTCTCCAAATATCTACTGGGAGCCTTTAATATGCAGTTTCGGAATTGGGCATGTCGCGGCCGCAAGAGCACGACGTGCCAGAGGACAAGCGGCTGTACCAGCTGAACACCTCCAAGACAGGGAACCAAGGGACAAACGAGAGCAACCCTTTCACGGGCTTCTTCTCCACCTTTCTCACCTTCCTAGCCTTCTTCGCTGGCCCTTGGTCATTTCACGTTCTAGTCTGTGAATTGTGCACGTCTTCCCGGCCTCACACTGGAGTGTGACCGAGGCGAAAAGCCATAGTGCCAGTAGATTAGGTCGATTGGAGCCAACCTTTAAAGTGCCCAGAAGAGGCGAATGTAGATTCGGTCGAGGTCAGGGTTCTCTGCGTTCGTACAGCGCAATGCTTGAGAGATACAGGATTGTCACGTGTTCTACAAGAAAACATAGGACATACAATGAGAATTCTATCAGTCACAATGAGTCACTAGTTGGTGCTCGCTTGAACCTTGGTCCAAGAGAGACCATATTGAAAACTTGTAAAATCGAGTTTGGTTGGACGGAGATGACCCGATGTTGGCATAATCAGAAGAAGACGCGGAGATAATAGTCCAAGCAGATTACTTAGTGGTACCCAGAAGAGCAATTTATCAGAGGATTTCACCCAGCCATCAGGCGTAAGTGAGCATCGTTCAAAGCCGGGACCTAAAGAAATTTCAGCAGTTTCTTTTGCAAGATCCGAGGAGAAAGATGCCCCATCTTCCTCCTCAGAGCTTCTAACACCAGCATCTAGTGATAATCGTCAGCTCGCTCTACATTCAGGAATAGGTAGGGACCAAACTGACTGGAGTCTAGATGGAACACTGCATTCATGTCACCTATTGAATTAGGAACGGTTTGCAGACCGTCCGGCGAGGAGGCAGCGTCCTTGCAATCTTGATGTGGCTGTTGCGATGAGTGACTAATCACTGCATCCCATAGATGAATAATATTTTCAACGCCAGAGGCAATTTGTGAGCCGTCTGGTGAGAATGCGACAGTGTTGACCGAGTCGTCAGAATCTTGGAGTGGGAGTGTCGCTTCCATCGGCTCTCCGACCTGCTCACCCGTATTTGCGTCCCAAAGTCGAATAGTTTCGTCCATAGAGCCAGAGACGACTCGTGAGCCGTCTGGTGAGAATGCGACGGCCTTGACCGAGCCAGCATGGCCTTCGAGTGGCTCTCCGACCTGTTCACCCGTATTTGCATCCCAAAGTCGAATAGTTTCGTCCATAGAGCCAGAGACGATTCGTGAGCCGTCTGGTGAGAATGCGACGGCCAAGACCCAGGAGTTATGTCCTCGGAGCGGCTCTCCGACCTGCTCACCCGTATTTGCGTCCCAAAGTCGAATCGTCTTGTCCGAAGAGCCAGAGACGACTCGTGAGCCGTCTGGCGAGAATGCGACGGCGTTGACCGAGGCGCTATGACCTTTGAGTGGCTTTCCCACCTGCTCACCCGTATCCACCTCCCAAAGCCGAATCGTCTCGTCGCCAGAGCAAGAAATAATTCGGGAGCCGTCTGGCGAGAATGCGACGGCCTTGACCGAGGCGCTATGACCTTTGAGTGGCTTTCCCACCTGCTCACCCGTATTTGCGTCCCAAAGTCGAACCGTCTTGTCCGAAGAGCCAGAACGACTCGTGAGCCGTCTGGCGAGAATGCGACGGCGTTAATAGAGGAGTTATGACCTCGAAGCGGCTCTCCGACCTGCTCACCCGTGTTTGCGTCCCAAAGTCGAATCGTCTTGTCCGAAGAGCCAGAGACGACTCGTGAGCCGTCTGGCGAGAATGTGACGGCGGTGACCGAGTCGCTATGACCTCGGGGCTGCTCTCCGACCTGCTCACCCGTATTTGCGTCCCAAAGGCAAATCGTGTAGTCCGAAGAGCCAGAGACGACTCGTGAGCCATCTGACGAGAATGCGACGGCCTTGACCGAGTCAGCATGGCCTTCGAGTGGCTCTCCGACCTGTTCACCTGTGTTTGCGTCCCAAAGTCGAATCGTCTTGTCCGAAGAGCCAGAGACGACTCGTGAGCCGTCTGGCGAGAATGCGACGGCGTCGACCGAGTAGCTATGGCCTTGGAGTGGCTCTCCCATCTGCTCACCCGTATTTGCGTCCCAAAGTCGAATCGTCTTGTCCGAAGAGCCAGAGACGACTCGTGAGTCGTCCGGCGAGAATGCGACGGCGTTGACCGAGTCGCTATGGCCTTGGAGTGGCTCTCCGACCTGCTCACCCGTATTTGCGTCCCAAAGTCGAATCGTCTTGTCCGAAGAGCCAGAGACGACTCGTGAGCTGTCTGGCGAGAATCCAACAGCCAAGACCGGGTAGCTATGGCCTTGGAGTGGCTCTCCGACCTGCTCACCCGTATTTGCATCCCAAAGTCGAATCGTCGAGTCGTCAGAGCCAGAAACGATTCGTGAGCCGTCTGGCGAGAATGCAACGGTGTTGACCGAGTAGCTATGGCCTTGGAGTGGCTCTCCCGCCTGCTCACCCGTATTTGCCTCCCAAAGTCGAATCGTCTTGTCCCAAGAGCCAGAGACGACTCGTGAGCCGTCTGGCGAGAATGCGACGGCGTTGACCGAGTCACTATGGCCTCGGAGCGGCTTTCCCACCTGCTCACCCGTATCCACCTCCCAAAGCCGAATCGTCTGGTCTTCAGAGCAAGAAATAATTCGGGAGCCGTCTGGAGAAAATGCGACGGCCGTGACGCCGTCGTAATGACCTCGAAGAGCTCTTGGGAACCCAGGATATGTATCCTCGAGCCCTCGAATCACACGCAAGGTCCCACTATACTCGCGTAGACTTTCACGACGTAGAGTCGAGTCCCTTGGTGCAAACGGAAGCGCTGAGATGTAGACATGCGGAGCGCTGTCTTGAATTGGCACCGAAAACGCTGTCAAGCACCTTCTTACATCGCTGATCCGGCTTTTAGTCTCCTCTCCGAGCTGGGATTCATGTCAATGAGCGGTGCTTGTCAGGGCACAATACTTACTTCAACGTGACGCGCAAGAGCTCGCAGACCGGCGATTGCTCGTGGAACACCTCTAGTCAAACTCAGAGCCTCCATCCAGTAGAGTACGTATGGGCTCTTAATAATGTCACAAAATTCGTTTTCAAGCATGCATCGCCTGCTGTCGTCCGCTCCTGACACATGGAACAACCAATTGGAGCTTGCATATCGAAGTCTTCTTGGAATGAACTTTGATATTCTTGCCTCGAGGTCTGGGATCTGACTGTTGGGGTAGAAAGATGACTCGATTTGACATATGTTGAACTTGAGACCATCAGTCCGCGACTTGAGGCATTTAACACACCACGATGCAGCTTGCCCGTGTGCATTGACAACGTCCAGATGTATTCCATTGCGCCCTCGAGCGGCTATGGGGATAGAACGCCGTCCGAGATACTCAACAAGGGTGGGATGACGGAACTGGATCAGATTTGTACCCGCTTCCAGACTAAGCACGCTTCCTAGGTTCTTGATCAACGCCTTGACACTTCCCCGCACTCCGACGTGCTTTACAAGGTCCTCCATGTCGTCCATCGTGAGTGGCTCAAACGCCACTAGAAGTAAAGCGAGCATGTGACATAGGACTTTGTAGGATTCTTTGTCTGTGCGCTCGAAGATGAGGTCATATACCTCGTCTATAGCTCCAGGTTCCTCCAAGGAAATCAGGCGATCATATATACTATCGGGAGTGTTCAGAGTGGTTTCGTCTTTGAGCATCCGGCACGCAGTGCTCGCCCAAATGAACAACCCGTTGGCTTTACCGACTAATCGCTGTCTCTTGTCCTCTGAGAGGACCTGATTTAGCGATTGATGTACGTAGACTGCAATGTCGTCGACATTATCGGGGTGGCTGACGTCGTGAAGGCGGTCCTCCAACTTGCATTTGATCGAGAGCGACCCCAGTGCGGCTTCGATGACAGGGTCGGGACGACTCGTCATGAATATCCGGAGGTTCTCGCATTGTCGAACGGCCGTCGACAGGGTTTCAAGTACTTCCTTGCGCTGCGATGCATTCTTGCATTCGTCGACTGCATCGATGACAAGAATTGTGCGTCCTTGTAGGACATTAAGAGGATCCGTGATGAGCTCCCGGAACTGCTCCTTGACAGGACTCTGTAGGATAGATGTGTTTTGCTTCACAGCCTGAGCCACTTGTGGAGCGAGCTCAGGGATATGTTTGACAAGGTCTCTTGCTATAGTCGAGCAGAGTTTCTCGGTTGTCGAAGCTTCGTTGCTTGCGATGGAGAAAAAAAAGCGGCCACCTAGCTTTCCCTCCTTTCGCCATGTTTCCATTGCGGTCATTGCGACGCTAGATTTCCCGGAGCCAGCAATGTCGCATAGCCAGAATATGGGCCTCGCCGAATTGTCGTCGGCCCAGTCGCAGATGGTCTGAAGTACAGCCTTGCGCGTTCCTTCGAGACAGGTAGTGTGGACTGAGGATGGAGCGAATGCTACCAATGGAAGCTGAAGTATCGCAGTTTTTTCCACTTGAATCAATCAGAAACATTTCCATCAGCAGTCTTCGGCCTTACAGTTGTCAAGAATCTCCTTGGACTGCACCATGACCCTTTCCGAGATGGGCTCGCCCTTTGCTAAGTCTGCAGTTAAATCAGCAAAATAGAGATGACGGGATAGCTACGAACTGCGGAAATCATCCTCTCGTACCCATTTCTCACGTATTGCCTCAGGCGCAGTGTCGACGTAGTCATTGAGATGAAAGCGAACTGTCTTGTAGTTGTCGTTCTCCTTGGAAGAGAATCGAACCAGATTGCGGTGATCCGTATGGAGAACAATTGTCGTTGCATTGCGGTCACCGGCGATAACAGCCGACCGATGCGGGACAGTCTGTCGTTCCGTCAAGATATGATCCTTGAGTAGGATTAAACTCACAAGTTCTCGTCGACTGGACATAACGTAATCCTCGCAGAAGAATATCCTGCTAATCTTTTCGCTCGCCGCGACCCAATCTTTCTGAATATTCTCGAGCTCTGGCGAGTGAGATTGAAGACCTTTGAGAATAGCGTCTGTCGTTTCCATGTACAACGACAATACGCGATTGATACCCTCGATGACAGTCGTATTTTCGATGCCAAAGTGTGGAGTCCCAAAGAACAAGACTGCATGCGTGGATACTAGAATATCTCGGAGATGACCCTTTGATTCCAGGCTCTGATTGTGACAGATAACAAGAGCCTACGAGGGTGTGATGTTAGAAACTGGCTTCTCAGAGCCTTGTGTTACGAACCCGCTTGAGAATGATACCTCCTATGTTATGTGCAATGAAAATGATGGGACGCTGGTCGTTTATTAGAGGACGCCAAACGAGTAGAGGCAGAGCTCACCCGAGGAGCGTCTTTCCGTATCCTTGCAAGCGCATTGGCTAATCCATCAGCGTGTCGACTGATCGTCTGAGTGGATACGCATTCATGATTGCGGGTGTCGGCATCATATCCATAACTGAGGATTCGGACATTGGGCAAGTCGGAAGGCAAGAGATCACGCAGCCAATAAATTTGATCGTCCGTCGTCCATGTCTTCTCTCTATGACCTTGTAGACCATGAATGGCGACAATACTGCAGAGGGTTGGCGGGCACGCACCCTCAGCGGCGAGCACGTGTAGACGGCGAGTGACTTACTCGACGACGGGATCGACTCCAGGTGCAACCTCTAGAAACCCAAGGTCATCTAGCTTTGAAGGCTTTGGACCTGGCTTTGATTCGGGCTCCAAAGGTCGCTTTGATTTGGGTTTCGAGGCTGGCTTTATCCTAGTCGTCCACGAACGGAGAACAGACATAAGTTGACCCATGACGGCTTAAAAATTGAACGATAATGCGAGGTGATCGTCAAGAGCAAACGAGTATCAGACGCTATCCACGATGGAGATGGTGGCGGACAAGCAAGAGCTAATCGGCGGTCCACGGCGCTGCTGGCACGGACGAATTTGAATGTCGGGGACAAGCGGCTGTACCGGCTGGACACCCCAAGACAGGAGCCAACTTCAGAGGCCTGAAATGCGCTTATCTCTAGTCACAAGTATTCTCGGTTGACTAAGATAAAAGGCAGCAACTTGCCATGGGCAGGAGTTGTACATTGAGCACAGTAGATTCATAGATACATCTATAGTTGATACCCTAAAACTCTGACACCCTTTCCTCCATTACCGCTCTGATAAATAGTTATAATACTGATGCAAAACTGCAGTCTCAAAAACTCGTGCCGCTGCAGAGTACCACGACGTTCCCTCCCCGTCGAAAACATGGTCCGAGATAGTCCTGATTATCTCGACCAAGTTGTAATGTCCCTCTGGATTTACCCAGTCTAAGACATCTTCACGCATCTCAGTCCAACTATCGTGCATCTGAAACCGGACCTGCTTCTTCATTTGCAGGATTTGCCATGGTAGCGATTCGGCGAGTTCTTCGGCATTTAGTCTATCAGGAAGTCGGAGTAGCTGGACGATGAGGTAGTCCTCAGAGGCAGGTGTTCGGTTCGTTGGCCTCTCGCACCACATATCGTTTAGTGGAGATGAAACGGCGATAAATTCATCAAAGCCTTCCACCACATATGTCTTTAGGCGAGGAAGACCCTTCAAGCAGCAGGCTAGAACAGACTCCCTCTTGCCATGGAGTCCAAGCTCCTCAATAGTCATAGAGTGCCGATGGAGAAATGCTCCTATATTTCCGGTAGAGAATTCCCCATAAACCAGATATACTTGCGCAAGTACTGGGAAATTCCATCGAGTGAGAAACGTCGTGCCGTCTTTATTTCCATCGAACAATCGTGTCCGTAAGTAGAGGTAACGAAGAATTGGCAAATGGAGTGGCACCACTTCCATGCTGCTCCACATTGATTCGATATGTAGCGCGACCAGAGACCGCAGGGACTTGTGAGCGAGTTTGTCGCACCATTTACGGTGACTAGGAGGGGACCAGTATAATGCACGAACAGCGCCTGGTAGGGGATCATCGGGTTTGGCCGCGGGGTCAGTAAGAACAATATTATAACGGCCTAGGTGAACAATTTGTGCAAAAGGTACATCTCTGCCGAGTTTGACCGGAACGTTAGCGTGCAATACATTATACTCCCACAATCTGCTTTGCTCAGGATAATCCGAGGGGAATCTGAAGTCGATTGAATAATCGGGATATATATGAATGTGTTTTGCATCTGAGATGGGGTAATTTGGTGGCACTTGATAACCCAACGGGTAGACGAAAACGATTCGATCCCCCACTTGATCCGCCGCCAGCTTCCAGAAGCGCGATACGAGCTGAAGTATTACCCTCTTCTGCTCTTTGCGTCTGTAGCGGTATAGGATCTTCGTACTTTTGTCAAAAAGTGATCTTTGGTAGTCCAGCACGCTCGAACATCTCGGATTTGACAGAGACGGGCCGAGATGGTACTGGAATACTTCTATCCAAATCTCCACTGGGATTTTCGAACATGCGGTGTTGTGATCTAACATTGTCCAGACCGCTAACAAAAAGTGCTGGAAGACAAGTGACGTTCCTAGCCACCACCAAGCTCGCTTTCCTTATCCGACTGAATGATTCTGCATATTTGAATTAAAAAGATAATCCGTACTTCAAAGCATTTGGATGCGTGAGTTGGCCCGATTGGGCCAACCAGTAGTGCTCCTTATCTCGACTGCTCAGTAACTTTGCTACATTCATTGTGCTCGATCAACAGAATAGGGAGCAACAAGGTTACGCCGCAAACACTGTCAGCGCTCGTTAGGCACTTTGGATTGATAGCATATATAGAATCTAGGAATCTTCCTCATCTTCATCCGAATGCTCGTCATATTGACGCCACACTTCAGTCTTGAAAGCACGCGCTGCTTGTGAGTACCACGATATTCCCTCGCTATCGAAGATGTTTTCTGGAATGGCATGGATTATCTGGACTCGTCTGTAATATGTCGAAAACTCCTCCCAGCATAGTAGCTCCTCGACCATATCTCCCCAAGTATCGCACATTTGAAACCGAACCGTCATTTTCATCTGCCTGATTTCCTGCGGAAGTAACACGGCGAGGTTTGTAACATTAATATAATCATGAGAATGTGCGGATAGCTGGATGATGAGGTAATAGCTAGAGGTAGACGTTGAGCCTATTGCCGTCTGACGTAATATATATCATTTAGCTGAGCTGCAACGGTGATAAACTCTTCAAAGTCTGCCACCACATATGCCTTTAAGCGAGGGAGACCATTTGAATAGTATGATAACGATGCAATGTTTGCATGTCGTAGAATGCCGCTTAAGAAACACCCCTACACTGGTGATCGACTCCCCTCCGCAAGAAATGCAGACCTGCTCAAGCACAGGAAAGTGGCAATGTGTGAGATAATCTACACCAGTCCTGGAAGTATACAGGTAAAAGGAGCGCAGCATTGGTAAATGAAACGCCGACACCTCCAAAGAGTCATTAGGGACAATATACAGTGACATGAGAGACTTTAATGAATCGAGTACAAGTGGAATGGAAGAAGACAAGAGCGGGGGGGAATGTAGAACACGAATACCTATGGTAGATGGCTACTTGTCGGCGGCTTGGGGAAACTGATGTCGTAATGGTAACCTTGAACAATTTGTGTAAACAGCACATCGTCACCGCTGCCGGATCAGATGTGGCAAAGGCTGACTGGGGCAGAGGTCAAGTGACTATGATCACCAGCACCATAAATATGCAATTGTATCTATATACATGTGCATTGCATATACCAAGAATCTAGGAGTTTTGCCGTCATCCCCGTTTTGGGAAACACTTGTCATGTTGATGCACAACTGCAATCTCAAACGCACGTGCCGCATTTGAGTGCCATGATGCTCCCTCGCTATCAAAGACATTGTCCGGAATAGACTTACTAACCTGGACTAGGTTGTGCATTTCCTCCCGATATTCCCAGTTTGGTAGCTCCTTGAGCATATCCCCCCATGTATCGCACATTTCAAACCGAATCTTTTTCTTCATCTCCTGTGCTTGCCGTGGTAATGACTCGATGAGCCTTTCGACATCCCAGATATCAGAGGGGATGAGTAGCTGGACGATGATGTAATCATCACAGACTGACATCGAGCCGGTTGTACTCCCACGTAGGACATTGTTTAGCAGGGACGAAACAGTGTGAAACTCCTCAAAGGTTTCAACCACAAACGTCTTCAAGCGAGGAAGACCATTAGAGCAAGACGACAAAACCGCTGGATCTTCCTTGTGGAAGACTCTCAGCGTTTCTATTGTTTCAGCGTGCCGATTGAGAAACTTGCCTATGCTGGCGCTTGAACCTTCTTCGCAAAATAGGCAGAGCTGCGCGAGTATAGGAAAGTGCCATTGGGAGAGGTAATCTACACTGTACCGGGTTGCAAATATGTGGAAGAAACGCAGCTTTGGTAAGTAAAGCGGCGAAACCTCCAGGGAGCTGCTGGAGCTGCTGCCTGCCCCGGGGGCAATATGCAATGACACCAGAGACTTAAAAGTCTTGTGTGTAAGTGCATTGGGAGAATCCGAGAACGGCGCCCAGTATAGGACACGAACAATGTCTTGCGGTGGGCGGGGGTTCATCGGGTTGTCCGGAACGACGATGTTGCAGCAATTAACTCGAATGATTTGTGTCAGGGGCACCTCTTCACCGAGTTTGAGAGGAAGGCTCGCCCAGAACTTGTGGTCCTTGACAGTGCCACGGTCGATCGTGCCCGGGAGGGAGTTGTAATCGAGAGGCGTACAAGGGGATATAATGATTTGATCCGCTTGTGCGATAGGATATTGTGGCGGGACGTGGAGTCTCGATGGATGAACGAAAACGATCCGGTCGCTCACTTCGTCCGCGATCAATTTCCATGAACGCGATACGAGCTTGAGTACAGTCCTCTTGCGCTCCCTGAGTCGGAACTTGTACAGGAGCTTGAAATCGCTGTCTGGAGGGAACGCCCTGTAGTCCTGCATGCTCGGCTGTTGTAGCAAAGGCGGACTCATATAGTACAGGAATACTTCTCTCCAGATCTCCACTGGAATTTTGACGCAAGCAAATTCGCGGTTTGGCATCGTAGGGATGGAGGAAAGGCAAAGTGACGGTGCCCACCGGTCACCCACGGCGCTTAAGGATATTGCTTATACACTATGAATATGACCTCCACATTTCTCGAAGCCATGTTTGGATAATGAGCACCGGAAGAAGGTACCATCCTCATCCTCTCCGGGATAAGTCTATTCGAATCATCAATGAAGGGACAATGGAGCGGTTAAAGTCGCAAGCTCATTTCTCTTTTGTTACTAGATACGTGCTCTCCCTCCCTAAACGGGCTCTTCAATCTCTACTCCTCCAGTAAGGGGTAATAGCAGTCACTTTCATCAGAACCATTCATCATATCCTCCACTCGACTGTGGATATGAGACGCGAGTGGATTCGCCACCATGCTCCAAGGTGTTTCTTCGATGTCGAAAATATGGTTTGGGATAGAATTGCAAATCGTAAGTACCTCTTGGTACCATTCAACTGTTTCGCTCATGCTCGGTTGGTCGTAAATCAGACTCTCCTAGGTTACGCGCGCCTGGAATCGAATGTTCCTTTTCAGATGCTGGATTCTCTGGAGGACTGATTTCATGACTGCATTCAAATCGACCCATCTGGTATTGAAGTAAACTATTTGAATGATGAGAGAGTCATCAAACACGGATTGCGAACCTCTCGCCGTCTGTAGCAGAGCGTCCAGTTGGGATAATCCTGCGATAACTGAAAGAAAGCTTCCAATGACATACGTGTTTAAGCGCGGAAGTCCATCTACGCAGTAAGATATAGCCCTCTGCTCATCTGCATCATCCAGTCTCAGCTCTTTAATCGTTGTAGAATGTTGGTGAAGAAACGCTCCTACATAGGCTGTTGAGTTGGCACTGAAGTGTAGATGCACGTATTGGAGCCGTGGTAAGCGCCATTGCGTGAGGTATTCTGAATAGCCTCCGCCCGTGTCTAGATGAAGGAAGCGTAGTATCGGTAGATGGAGCAATGGCGTTCTAAGAAACTGTGAGTATGTGAAGACCAGTATTTCCAATGCCACAAGAGACTTAAACGACTCCTGTGCAAGTCGTTCAATCCAATAGCATTCGGACGGACGGTGGGATCCACCTGAGCGCAAGTACGCTGTCGCAGTGGGCAAGATCGTCTGCGATGTCTGCTGGGAGAGCTGGAATAGGAAAGATGAGATCCCGATAGCTAACTTGGAGGATCCGCGCACTTTGTCCGTTTTCACCGAATTCAGGAGGTAGTTGGTCCAGCTTTGCGCCGAAACGTTCTCGTATTCCGCTCCTCTTCGTCAGAGAGGAGACCTAAGTGGACAGGAAGGTCGGAATAGAATTCAAGATAATAAATGTGTTCTGCGTTAGTAATGGGGTAGTCCGGCGGAATTTGGAATCCCGTCGGGTGGATGAAGACGAGTTGATCACCCATCTGATCCGCCACCAGCTTCCAACTGCCAGCAACTAGTCTCAAAGTATTTCTCTGGCGGTCTCTATGTGCATGGAGCTGCAGAAGCGACTCGTCGTCTCTGAGCAGGTAGCTTTCGTATCCTAATAAGCTTGTGTGTATCGGATTCGACAAGGATGGTCCGAGAACGTAATGAAATGTCTCTCTCCATATCTCTACTGGCGTTCTCGGGTAAGCTGGTTCGGTTTGGGACATCATGGTAGAGGACAGAGGCGGTGAATTGAGTACCGGAGACATCGACGACAGCCATCGCCCACGGAACTTTTGCGTGGCGGATTGTCCGCTGAACATGCCGTATATCGGCACTCATTGACATCGATTAGCAGGTTGTAGCCAGCGACGTTCACCATTTTACCGCAACACGACAAGGCTGCCTCCTCGGTAATTCTGAGCTCTTCTATCGTTGTAGAATGTCGCTGAAGAAATGCTCCGATCTAAGGAATCGATGGTGAGGAAAACCGAAGAATGAGGCACTGGACCAAGGGAAATTGCCAGTGCGCGAGGTGATCTAAATTGCAACCGTGTGCGTAGAGATGAAAATGCCGCAGCATCGGTAGAGGGAGCATTGGTGCTTGCTCGGAGAGTGGTGATCTATAGAATGCTAGTTCAAGTGCTCTAAGAGACCTGAACGACGTGTATACAAGTGCTTCCCCCCAGAGGAAACATAGGTTGGCCACCAACCGGGCGTAAGTACACTATACATTGTCGTCGCAGCTGGTGGTGGTTGAGGACAACCTTCGCCGAAATTAAGCATCGAGACATACTATTCAGAACCTTACAAATTGATTATATGGCAGGAAGGAACCATTTATCCTATCCTCGCACTTGGAACATTAAACGTAGACAGCTCATCCCTAAGGTCAGTTTCTGTCCAAAGTCATCTGATCAAAGAATGTATACATCTGATCGTTCCTACGATGAAGTGCTCGGTGCAGCGTCTGCCGACGAGCTCGCTGGGTGTCGGTGCTTCCATGGCCCCTCGTCGCTCAGCGAGCATCCTCCCTCACATTTACAGTTTCCGCCAAATTCGCTCGGCAGATTCTCGGCGTCAATCTGCTTGAGTAAGACTTCTTTGTGGCCATTGCTCATAATCTGAATCTTGGCCACTGTCACTTCGTCCAACCAACGCTTGACGACCGACCAGACCGTGGTGAACAGGTAGGGGGCATTGATGATGTAGAACTTGCCCATGCACTCTGGGTAATAGTTTTGGCCAATCGCACTCGCCTGGGAAACGTAGTTCTTGACGCGGTAGAAATTTCCCAGCCCGACGTTGTTCAGGTCTAAGATCGTGCATGACGTCTCTACTGGGTGTCCAACCATCTCCGACGTAGCCGGAAGACGCTCGGTCAGGAATCGCTCGTACTCGAGCACGAGTCGTTTCAACAGGCGGTCTTCGGTCGTCACGGCATAGAGCTTGGTAAAGTCTAATTTTCCGAGGACTTCGATGTAGATGGGACGTCCCTCCTAGACAAACCATGTCAGCCATAATCGTGGCACAGCGAGAGAGAGCGCCGACTGACCTTGTCTGTCTTGTGGTAATATTGCGGATAATACTTGTTCACCTCTTCCTTTTCCGGAAATTGAAAGCTCCTATATGAAACCAACGTATCAGCGTCTGTTCTCCCGCCACAGGTGCAGTGGCGATGGCCATCACAACTGGATAAAAATACCCACTTGACAATATCATCTACACCAAAATCCTTTCGCCACTTTTCAGCAGCATGGATCATCTCCTTGCTCTTGGCCAGATCAAACTTGCGCGCGCGCAGGAAGCGCAACAGCGTCGCATCGTCGTGTCGGGCTGGCGTCCACGGAAAGTTTGGATCCGACGAAAGATCTGTTCTGAAGATCTCGAGGATTCCTTGCTCCTTTTGCGACAGATTGCCCAATCGTCCGGGAGGCGGCTGATAGGTCGACGACGAGGCAGCAGCGGCTTGGGACATGGTTGGCAATTAATGAGAAAACCGAGGAGCAAATCTCGAGAGTCGTAAGATCCTGGGACGCAAGGCCAATGAGATGAGCGGTGGTGGTGGAGGAGATTAAGTGGCGGAGCTGGTGGTGACAGCGTTCGCAATATCCGAAGAATAGAAAATTATATAGAAAAGTCGTATGCAAGTAGTGCTGGGGTAGCAGACAGTAGCAAGAGCCGGCTCCACACCTTTGACCGCGACTGCAACTTTCTCGACCACGGCCATGAACTTTGAAGACGTCGAAGAACGCGATGGTGAGCTCTTAACACATATTAGATGCTTAATGTTCACTTCTTGACGCTAAATAATGACCTCCTTCGCCCCCAGGATTGCGTCTGTCGTGGAATGCATGGCCGTCGTCGCGTATCGAGGCTACACGCACAGTAGTTCCTATTGCGGCGCTATACACTCCTCTCAAGCAGCGCGAAGATCTCCCCCCAGTCCTCTACGAGCCCGTGACGTGTAAGCCACCGTGTCGGGCAGTCTTAAACCCGTATTGGTGAGTAAATACTACGACTCTTACACTTTGTATCCTCTTCGATTACTTTGATCTTTTACTTTCACGCTCACACGCACAATACAGCCAAATTGACGTCCGGGCAAAACTCTGGATATGCCCATTCTGCTTGACGAGAAATTCGTTCCCGGCGCATTACAAGGATATTTCGCAAGCTAATCTACCCGCTGAGCTCTATCCAAAATATACGACCATCGAATACACGCTCGCGCGTGCAGCGCAGGTGCGTCTTTCCTTTTTGGTAGTAACTCTAGGCGAGAGTTGCTAACTATCTGCTCAAGACGCCACCTATTTTCCTCTACGTAGTCGATACATGCCTTGATCCCGACGAACTCAAGGCACTGCGCGAGACCCTCGTAGTCAGCCTGTCGCTCCTTCCACCGTATGCCTTGGTGGGATTGATCACCTATGGAACCATGGTCAGCATATTTCAAGCTAATCTGTCTCCATCTAACGCTTTCATAGGCCTCGCTGCACGAGCTAGGCTACGATGTGTGCAGCAAGGCCTACGTCTTCCGTGGATCCAAAGAATACACTACAAAGCAAATCCAAGACATGCTCGGTCTCGCTGGCGGGAGCAGAGCGGTCGTCCCTCCAAGACCCGGTGCACCAGGACAACCACAGGCATATGGCGCCGCCCGCTTCCTCCTCCCAGTCTCTCAAGTTGAATTCCAACTCACCTCCATCCTCGAAAATCTCCAGCGTGACCCATGGCCAGTCGCGAGTGATAAGCGAGCGTTGCGTTGCACGGGCGTTGCTCTCAATGTCGCGATCAGTCTGCTTGAATCCAGCTTTGCCAATACAGGTGCGAGGATCATGCTCTTTGCAGGTGGTCCAGCGACAGAGGGACCTGGTCTCGTTGTGTCAAACGAGTTGAAGGAGCCCATTCGAAGTCACCACGATATTGATCGCGACACAGTCAAACACTACAAGCGGGCGATCAAGGTTTGTCTGCCGTTATAAACCAGGACTTTTCTGATTCTTTGCAGTACTACGAAGGACTCGCGAAACGAGCGTCCAATGCCGGACATGCCGTTGATCTCCTCGCGGGATGCTTGGATCAAGTTGGCTTGCAAGAGATGAAGAGTCTCAGCAACTACACTAACGGTGCCATGATTATCTCCGACAGCTTTTCGACGGCCATCTTCAAGCAAAGCTTCCTCCGCCTCTTCAACAAGGACGCTCAAGGCAACCTCGAGATGGGCTTCAACGCAACGTTCGACGTGCAAACAACCAAGAGCTCAAGATTTCCGGCCTGATCGGACACGCCATCTCTGCCAATAAGAAGAGTGGTTGTGTGGGCGAGACGGAAATTGGTATCGGGGGTACCTCTGCGTGGAAAGTCGCCGCCCTATCTCCTCGCACATCCCTCGGCGTCTACTTTGAGGTCGTTGCAGGATCTTCTGGTGCTTCACAGCCCGTGGCGCCAAACGCGCGTGGTCTGATCCAGTTCGTCACGCATTATCAACATAGCTCTGGTCAGTTCCGACTGCGAGTTACGACAGTGGCGCGCAACTTTGCGGACACGGGGTCGCCGCAACTCGGCATGCTATTTGACCAAGAGGCGGCTGCGGTGCTCATGGCGCGTATCGCCGTTTTCAAGGCGGAGATGGACGATAGTCCCGACGTGCTTAGGTGGTTGGATCGCATGCTCATCCGACTCTGCCAAAAGTTTGCCGAGTACAGAAAGGAGGACCCGAGCAGCTTCCGACTCACAGACAAGTTTAGCATCTACCCCCAATTCATGTTCCACTTGCGCCGAAGTCAGTTCTTACAAGTGTTTAACAACAGTCCCGACGAGACTGCGTTCTATCGGTGAGTTTTCGTTCATTGCGAGGGGGCTTGGCTTACGTTGGGCCTAGTCATACGCTAAACGAAGAGGATGTGAACAACTCACTCATCATGATCCAACCTACTCTGATGTCGTATTCGCTCGACGCACCTCCAGAGCCCGTACTCTTGGACAGCGTCTCTATTAAGCCCGATGTCATTCTCTTGTTGGACACCTTCTTCCACATTCTCATTTTCCACGGCACGACGATTGCCGAATGGCGAAAAGCGGGCTATGCTGAACAAGAGGGATACGAAAATATCAAAGCCCTCCTTGAAGCACCGCAGACAGACGCGCAAGACTTGCTTGTGGACCGTTTGCCGATTCCACGATACATTGTCTGCGATCAAGGTGGCTCCCAGGCCCGTTTCCTCCTCTCAAAACTCAACCCGTCAACGACACACGTTAACATGTATGGTGGACCTGGTACCGGTGCGGCCGGTCAAGCCATCTTTACAGACGACGTCAGCCTCCAAGTGTTCATGGAATATTTGAAGCGTCTGGTAAGTGATTTCTAGAGGTTCTATCCTTTGTCACTGACGAGTGCGGAACAGGCTGTTGGAGCTCAGACGACTTGATAGAAGCAATCGCTGTAATGAATGGACGACTGTACGAATCTTTTTTGAATAAACTCTATTACTCTACGCGGAACGGGACTACGATAAAACGGGAATGCAAACCACCAACAAAAGAAACATAACGTCGTGAGAATCGAGAAAAACAGGAACATCATAATCATTGAAGCGATCCGAACTTCTTTTCGAAAAGTTCTACTTCCTTTCTCATCTCCGTCAGCGCAACTCTGTACTCTTCAATTTCTTCCTCTGTTACTTCGCCCAGCTCGAGACTCTTCTCTGCCAGAGCAACGACGGCTTGAACCGTCTCTACGGCTTCTTTGTTTCTGCCTAACCCCTCTTGACTGATGGCCAGACTGAAGTGTGTCGCGAGTGTATGCGCGTGGCCCTCTCCTAGCACTTCCTTCCTCGCGGCGTAAACCTCTTGAAGCAAAACAAGCGAGTTGGAGTATCGGCCGATAGACTGTAACGTCACGGCGTGGTTGTGCATCGTTTGTAGCGTGGTTGGATGCTTTTCGCCGAGTACCTCACGCTGGAGGTTCATCGCTCTTGTCTCCATTGCAAGTGCCTCTGTCTCCATCCCAGAGGACCAGATGACGCTGGCCAACGTGAGTGTCGCGGCTATCGTCCTCTCGTCGTTGAGACCATGCTTGCCCGTCAAGACATCGACGACCTGTTCTTGTACTTTGCGGGCTCGGATGAGTTCACCCAGCTGGACGAGGACCAGGCTGAGCGCTTGGAGAACCTCGATGAAGCGGCCGTTCTTCCGTCCTAGCACTTGTCCGTACCCATCTGCGACATCTTCGAGGAGGGACCGTGCATCTGTAAAGCGTCCAAGAGCTCCGAGACAACTTGCCTGCTCAAAGAGGGCACGGAGCATGAGTGGATGCTTCTGGCCCAGCGAGTTTCTCAGGCACGTCGAGATTTGCTCTCGTACACCTAGAGCTTGTTCGACTTCACCAAGTGATTGGAGAAAGCTCGCGTGCTCCTCGTGAACTTTAAGCGCGTCTGGGTGGCCCTCGGGTAGAGTTTGCGATACGAGTTCAACAAGGTCCTCGAACGCCGCTTCTGCTTCATCTACTTCTTCCAGTGCCACGAGGAGACGGGCTCTTGCGAGCTTGGCCAGCAGCGCAGGACGATTGGAGGTAGTTCCCTCCTCCCTAAGTTGTTCCTTTGCGTCGTCGAGAATGGGCCTCACTTCGTCGCGACCCAGTTTGACCAGGAGAAGACCACGCCTTAGCTTGCACAGAAGGACGAGTCTGTGGGTGCTCCCAAGGGCAGCTTCCGCATCCGCAATCCAAGCGTCAATGATGGGCAATGCCTCTTCTCTCCGGTCGAGTTGCTCCAGAAGGTCGACGATGAGGAGAGTGTTATCCACCATCCTTGTGTGTACGGGCCCACTATTCAACGATTGCGACTGTAAGACCTCTTGAAGGAGTCTGAGAGCCTCTTCCTTCTGGGGTTGGTCGTAAAAGCTCAGCATAGTGGCGAGCAGCTTCTTGGTTTCTGGTCGTCCAGACAGACTCGGCTCCGAGTCGATGGAGCCGAGGTACGCCCTGCCAAGTTGTATAGCGTCGGTCCACTGCCCAGTTGCATACAGAAGGCCGACGAGTGAGCGGCGAGAGGCAATGCTGTCGTCATGTAGCAGGCCTAGAATGGTTGACCGCGCCTGCAAGACTGACGCACAGAGAGCTCTGATCTCGTCGATAGTTTGAGGATGAACCTTGTGCGGGGTATAGACCTCATTGAGGAGGGGCCCTACAATCTCATCACAGAACTGGTGCATCTGTGAGAGTATCTCCCTTTCTGTCGTTGTATCCACTTTTTCCGTTTCTAGTTTCTGTTCCTCGTTCTCCGCCTTTTTCTCCATAAAGCCGGCAACAAGCAGTTCCAGCACCTCCATATAACTCGAGATGGCGCCTTTTACATCACCAGATCGCCTCATTCCATCAGCTAAAGATATATACCCGTGTAGCACCTCCGCCTCCAACTGTCCATCCGCAGCATCCCCGTCACCGTTTCTCCGACTCAGGATGCCCTGTAGCTCCATCTCGGCATCCTTCCAATCGTCAGAGGATAGTCATAAAGAGGGATCGAGACCGTTCGTCGGTGGCGATGGACTGATCGGAAACTTCTTGAGCCACGTATGGTGTCTCCGCAGAGTCAATGGCCGACTTAAAGTCGTCATCACCTTCCTCGTCCTCGGGGTGGTCACTGGAATGCAGGGGTTCCCTGGCCGCGGGGCCTTCGGCGGTCGCAGGTTTCTCAGCAGAGGACGCAGGGTGCCCATCGACAGGATATTCCACCTCCTCTGCCTCATCAGCAGAAGTAGGTTCAGCCTCTTCCTCGACAGTCTGCGACTGCAAGCTGGCGGCGAGCCGAGCCTCCTCTTCGTCCTTCTCGTCCTTGAGTTTCTTAATCCAGTTGATCTCTTCCATGGAGGAGATGGAAGCCTTGATAGTCGTGTATTGCGAGCTTCCGACAGTAACAAAGCGCGAAGGTTCGTGCGGCTTCGCTCCTACGAGACGGAAGTCGCGGCTTCCCACAGACTTAAAGGCGGGCTTTGCTGGAAGAAGCAGTTCTGCTTCGTCTAGAGGCCGCAGTCTGGTTTCATCTTCCTCTGGCTCGTCGTTGAGGCTATCCTCGCCGTCTCCGAATCCATTGAGAGCGGTGAATCCTGATCGGAGCACGTTCGAGTCGTCTACTGGTTCCTCTTCGAGAAGGGGTTTACCAGTAACCTCGAGCTCTTCCAGCTGCTCCGTGATGGACTCGATTGGAGGTTTCTCGTCCATGATAACGGGTTTCTCGGCCACGACCTGAGATTCTGGAGCTATACATCAGATTCAATGCGTTAGATTATCTCCGTCTCGGTACACTGAGGCATACCTGGCTTTTCCAGCATTGGGTGTTCGTCAGTGTATGGCGGAGGAGCGGAGTCGTAAGTGGACATTGTTCAGTGTCGTGAATAGAGCGTCGACAAGTCAGTTCTGCACAGGTGGATGATATCCGCGGAGGGACAAGAGTCAAGTTATGGACCCGAAACATCCACCTGCCAGCGCCATGAACGTGCCTCAGACTAGCCGGTCGGCCAATTAGACCAATCCGGGAATCCGTTTGTATGTTTGATAATTTACATACATGACGGAGACCAATCCCGGCAAGACTAGTCCACTCGAGCCGCTTTGCACAATATATAATAGCATCTATAGTATGTAGACGAACTCGCAACTGGCGCTCGATAACAGATATAGGCTACTTGTATACCATGTCGTTCAACTCTGATGGCAGGATTGCTGGGCATTTGGCTCCCTCGAGAGCCTCAGCGTGTGAGAATCTATCATCCTAGGTTCTTTTGAAAGAGCGATTGTAAGTAGCCTGCATAAAGGCTGCTAAAGGACGTACCGAATCCAGATAACTCCGTGAATGCACAAGTGTAATCCAGAAAGTGCTTTGTACAAGCCTTTACCCGAGAAATTTCACTCTCGTTCCGCATATTGTTCCAGTTCTTGATTCTGGATGAGCGCCCCTGAAGCCATAGATCGATTGAAGGTGGCAATGGTGGCTCAGGGGCTGGAGGCTGGACGGCTTCTACTAAATCCTCCTCGTATACGGGATATGGGAGTGGCTTGGTCGAACAGAAATGATGCGACATCAAGCAGGAATGACATCCTCGGCTTTCCAAGGCTCAGTGGTCGCCAGACTTGAGCGAGAGGGCAAAACTTACCAAGAGGAGTCCCAATAGGAACTCGCTAAGGAGGCAATCGAGAGTTCTTGATTGGAGGGACGAAACGATAGACGCCCCTTGAGAAGCTCGGTCAGCGTATAAGCAAGTACCGGACCCACAAACGTCGGCAGCGTCAGCTCGCGAAGTTTGGCAACCTTGGAGCTTGGGAGAAAATTGCGCCGCTCGAGGAAGAGGATTAGTAGATCCCACTCTGGAAAGTCACCAAAGTCTATTTCGACCAACGAAGGAAAATCCTCTGGCCTATAAATCATGTGCACGCAAAAGTCTCCGCATCTAATCGAGCGAACCTCCCGCAGGGAAAGTGTTCGTAGGTTGGGTAAAGACGTGATTTCCCAGCGAAGGTCCCTGGTCATCCATCTCAATGAATCCAGCCACTCCAATGTCGAATCGCTGATCACGATCGGAGTGGATGTCCAATTGTCGTTGCCATCCAATGAAATATACATCAACTTAGGACACTCCATCTCCTGCAGAAGTGTCTCCTGCGTCCCGGGAGGCATCGTGAGCAGTAGGTCTTCCAGGACAGGCAGGGACAGGGGTGCTAAGCTGAGTGGGGACGTTACATTGATGAGCTTGATGGAAAGATATTTGATGTTTCGAAACAAGTTAATGTGTGCTATAGGAAGCTCTTCCTCAAGGTCATGATAAAAGATAAATAACCGTTGCAACGTTAGAGGATCCAGATGCTGGTAAATTATCCCCAGTCTTTCGGTCACAGTGTCGGTTGCGCTCTCAAAACCTTCCCAATGAACTCGGATCCTGAATTCCCGGATGGGCAGCAAGAATGGGAGTCCTATGGGTCGAAAAGTGCGCATATTATCGTCTGTGGATCTCATTATACTGAAAGAAAGTGTTTTGAGAGACGACAAGGTTGAAAGGTACGGCAGTATTCCTGCCAGAACCTTCCAGGATATATATAAGTGAAGTCTCACAAGGTGAGGGCTTCGACGGATGAGTTCGGGAAGACCAGTATTAGTCTTGAGATGATAATCCAAGTCTCTCAGGGCAAACGTCTCGGAGGAGTTGCATTTTTCGGCAAATTGGAGCCCAAAGTCGATGTTTTCGGTCAGAAAGTTTGGTGCATCGTGGCCATACGCCTCCGTTGAAGATAATTCCTCGAGGTTGTGGAGCTGAGACCGATGCTTCAGCAATTCAACCGCTGTTACCTCCGAGTACAAGATACGGAGGTGAGAGTGGGTACCTGGCTCTGCCACTAGACGACTGAAAGGAGCCCTCGTCTCCGTTATGTATCGCAGAGACGGCATATTAACAAGAAACTTCCATTGGTCGATCGACGTAAGTAAATCGCCACACACAGTCAGATCCTCTAAAGCATGGAGAGGACCCAACGAGTAGATAATGTCATCGAAGTCCCACGAGAAGGCGTCGTCCGTGCGGATTGTCTCATACATTGTCGGAGGTCTGACTAGAATGCGGCGGATCCGATGCGTATGGGGAGTTAATAGTGGAAGGATGCTAGTCCATTTGCGTAGATCATGATCTATTGCTAGGGTAATCGGTCGCTTTAGGGTAAGGGTAACACCTAAATGGATCTGTGCCGGTAGTTCAGAGCTCTCGATGTAGCGATCTTCGATACTAATCTCTGTCCAGAGATCAGGAATCTGGAGTAAAGCAACACGCCAACTGTCACTAAGAAGTGTTAGTCGAAGAACCGCTTCCATGGACGTCGCGTCGTCGTAGGCCACTGCTTCTTTGATGATGGCAATAAATATCTCGACCGGAAGAGTAATAGGATCCGGATATGGGCTCCTTCTTCTAGCCGCAAGTTTTTCTGCCAGTGTGTTGTATTGAGCGAGTTTGGAGTTCCCCGCACCCTCAGAGCGACGATCACCAACCACGAGATCGCTGTCATGTAGCTCTTGAAGAAAATTGGATAACTGGGACTCCAGTTCTTCCCCTGGAGAAGTAAGTTCGTCAGATGTCGCGGGCATTGAAAGGTCGGCGGCAAAAGGTGTGAACCACAGCAACATCGTCGAAAGAGGATGCGTGTAATTATTAAGCGCCTCTATATCCGTCTGTCTATATTTGAGCATCCTTGAAAGATGTTGGTCATCATTTTGGCCTCGCCCACGACCGAGTGAAGAAGGACAATCGAGTAGCCATGTTCTCCATCGGAAGATATGATCACTATGACCTGCTGGGTCTCACTTCTGAGGCTGGAGAGAAAGATATCCAGAAGGCATATCGGAAACGCTCTCTTGCCGTCCATCCGGATCGTAATCCAGATAATCCAGAAGCAGGTACGCTATACACATCCATAATTGTCAAATTCACCCACAATCCTCGTCATATACAGCCATCTAATGTGTCTCACGTTTTAGCGCAGATGTTCCACGAGTTGAAAATAGCCCATGACGAGCTATTGGATCCTCAAACGAGGTCACTCTTGGATGCAAAGATCAAATCACTACAAGCCAGCGCTGAGCGGCTGGCCAAAGCGAGCGTCAAACGCAAAGGTCTGTTGGACGCCTTGGAAGAGTCCGAGCGGCAGCATAAAAAGCAAAAGACGATGACGGAGTCTGAAAGGCAAAAACAAGAGGCAGAACAGAACGAGATCAAAGAGGAAGGGCGACGTCTAAGGGAAGAACGGGAACAAGCAAACTCTAAACTGGAGCAAGAGGCTAGGTCTAATGCGCAATCACAAGACCAGTCTCTCTTTTCTACACAAGTTGGTCAGTACGACGACCTTGCATAGAGGTATAAGCTCACAGGATATAGATTCACCCATCAAACTTAAATACGTCCTGACAAATCGACCTGATCTCGATACAGTCCCAGCTTTATATCACATACTCCGACAATTTGGTCAGATAGACGAGTCGTCTATCACACTCACTATCAAACCACCCAAGAATAAACCAAACAAGCCACCGAAATTTGCAACTGCAATCGCAATTTTTAGGAAGATTGAAGGCTCGTTTGGCGCAGTGGAATCGAGCGGACAAGAGGCACGGGGCTTGAAGGACGTTGAGATCACCTGGCTGAGTGGTGAAGAACCAGAGCCTGTTCGCCAACTCAGGAGCACGGGGATCCTAGGAGGCAGGAGTGGCACCTCTGGTCCAACTACCAAGGTAGAGAGGACAGACAACTCTTCGACAGCTGCCACGGCTGCACCTTCAGCGTCACACCCCACCTCTTCATCACGCGATTCTGTGAGTAGAATGTTGATTCTCGTCAACTGAAAGCTGAGTGTATTCTTTAGGCATCAACTAAGCCAGGTGAAGGCCGACTATCGGGCGCAGGAATCAACTTTGAGTCTGCGATCCTTATGAGGATGCGACAAGCCGAGCGGGACCGTTTAAACAGAGGCCAAGGAAAAGCTGAATGACTTTGTGATCTTTCATAGTTTCGATATGCTATAGAAATTTGTCGTGTAACGGTCGGTACAGGTCGAAGCCTCGTCTTGGACTTGACCTCCTCCGACTATGAGCCTGGTACGCAAGATAGTTTCAAACAATAAAAGCCAGGAGTATGGAGAATTACAACGTCGACGAGACGAGATTTTACGCGACATCGATGCTCACAAAAACTCCAATTCCGAGCACACTTTGTCGCTGCTCTCCAAACTTGAGGGGAATTACAATCTGGTGGTATCGACCATTCGAAAACTGGAAATCAGTCCCCTAGAAGACCCATTCAGCCGTCTCCCGGAGGAGATATTGATACAAATCTTCAAAAATCCACTAAGCGTGAATGAGTCTTCTTCCAAGCTCAGACACGCGCAAGGCCATCTTGATCGACTACTCGTGTGTACGCTTGTTTGTCAGCAGTGGCGAGACAGAATGCTCGCTATTCCTGCTCTATGGAGCACAGTATATGTCACTGATTCGGAGAAGGAAGAGGACATGGAGGCTAAATTACAGACCTTTCTCTCTATATCTCGTCCCTATCGACTGGATGTAACCGTATTTATCAACGCTCGAGAATCGGACACAATAGCGCGTCGCCTCGCAGGCCATACCGATAGAATCCGCACACTCAAGATTGTTGACCTACACCAAGGATACACATACCTTACGATGGCATGGATATCACGCATTCTCTCAACCATAGGGCTCCTTCCCAATCTGGAGCGTCTTCGAGTGGAAGCCCAGACCCCAATTGGGGGCGAAGATGCCACTAGAGTGTTTCAACAAGCACCATCGCTCACTAACTTTCATGGCATGTGGCTAAGAGCGACCTTGCCACCACAGCGCGCCTTGCAATCGCTTGCGCTCGATCTTTCACCATATCAGGTGTGGGATATCGCGGAATCATATCCCCGGCTTGAAGAGTTTCGAGTACGACTGACGAAACCGGTCTCGACTTGTGGCTCTACAGAGTTGAGGACTGAATATAAAGGGCCAGCATGGTTCTTCCTCCGATTTCTTGCCATGGAAATTCATACGACCGGCATAAATCACGTCTTTTCTACCTTCACTTCCCGAACTCCCGTCCTGTTCAACTTGCGTGTCATATTGACACAGTGGGAGGCTCTTCCCAGTATACTCATGATTCTAGAAGCCTCTCCAAGGCTTGCCTACTTTATGCTCAAGCTGAAGGTTTCTAGTGGTACCCCTCCTCCTTTACCAAGAATAGGTCAGACGTCGATCAAGACCTTACATCTGACATGGTCCGGTGCAGATATGGATATCGTATTTGATGCCTTACTTGGGAAAACTCCCTATGTGAGACATTTGAAACTGTACGCAGGCAAGGACGCACAGTTTCCGTCGCCCTTCGTTCACCACCTTGGCCAGGTTGAGGAAATCAACCTAAACTTTCACCAAAGAGGGTTGAAAGTTAATTTACAGTCTGATACATTGCTGAGACTCGATATATCGGCCTTTGCGTTCTTCTCAAAGGCGGGAGACGCAGCTCTGGATTGTCGGAATCTCCGAGCATTGACATTGATCAACAATACACCGATCTCATTTCGGCCAAGACATTCATTTGAATGCATTGGGACAAAGAACTGTGTCTCTCTGCAGGAGCTGTCATTTCTTGGGACCTGGAGATTCGAGCCATTTCCTTCCCTCAACGTCAGGAGCGTTACTTGTCCTCCCAATCAAAAATTTATCACCGACTTACTCTGTTACATTATCTATCAACCCCACGACTGTCCTCGATTAGAGGAGCTGTCCTTGCATGCGCATAGGATCCCTTGGGACCTCCTCATCGTCGCAATCGAGCGGCGAAACACGCTCCCACACAAATCGAATGTCGCTCAGCTTAAGCAGATAACTGTCCTCGAATCACCATCTGATTGGACCCGTATGCTACTTATTCGGGCCCTACGAGGCGAGTTTGTCTTCTCTGACCTCGTCTCTGACGGGAGCTATTCGATTGAGAAGATTTGCAAGCATTATTTAGATCACAATATGTGAGCACCTTCTCTACGTTGCGAGCGAGGCTCATAAGCCACAGCACTGGATGCCATAACTGCGCTCTCGCGGCAAGGCCGTGCGATATTAGTGTCGGAGAAACAGTATTTCCGATACGTTACCCATTTGAAGTTGCGGCAAATGCACCTACCCCAGCTACGTACGGTTTGACTCTCGACGACGCTCGCGTGCGCTGGCTTGACCGACGTGGAAGTGTCGCTGGCAAACTTAGTGACGAGTGGAATATCTGGACGTCAAGGTACTCCAGAACAATCGTGGCAGGGCACTCTGCAAACAGCTCTGAACCAGTTATGTTCTCTGGGGATATAACACTTGGTGCGTCTCCATTCAAAGCGTCAACCACTTCATTGACCCTCGCTAGACTGATCTTCCAAGGAAGCGAAGATGTAATAGTACAAAGATAACATACACGAACAGCCAGAGATACGATCTAAGTAGCGCGCTCTCCACGCAGGCGGCGAGCCAACTGCAAATCCTTCGGCTGGATCGTGACACGCTTGGCGTGAATCGCAGCAAGGTTCGTGTCCTCGAACAACGATACCAAGTAAGCTTCAGCCGCCTCTTGCAACGCGAGCACGGCCGACGATTGGAAGCGGAGGTCCGTCTTGTAGTCTGAAAGTAACGTTAACAAGAGAACAAAGACCCAGTGACCAACTTACCCTGAGCAATCTCACGGACGAGACGCTGGAATGGCAGCTTGCGGATCAAGAGCTCAGTGCTCTTCTGGTAGCGACGGATTTCACGAAGAGCCACCGTTCCGGGCCTGAAACGATGGGGCTTCTTCACACCAGATGCGACCGTCTTTGGTGCCGTCTTGCGGGCTTGCTTGGTTGCGAGTTGCTTACGGGGCGCCTTGCCACTGAACAACACCAGTCAGACGCGTCTCCAAAGCCGTTGTTGACGAGGCATACCCAGTAGACTTGCGAGCAGTTTGCTTCGTGCGGGCCATTGCAGAGTTTTACGAGTTTTTGGGATTGGGCGCGGTGATGGGCGGGGACAAGTTGTGAGGTCGGACGAAGGCCAAATCTGAGCCGGCTAATAAGTCGAAAGCCAGCGCGTGTTCAAACTCCGCTGGCAAACCTTAATCAGTCACGTGATCCATCTCGCTCATTGCAGTGACGAGACGCCAAATTCAAGTTGTGAAACATTACAGTGAATAATTATACATCTATTTCTCGCACAATGAGAGCGTCGCACAGAGAGGCATGGCCAGACGCGTCCAGTCGGAGTTTGAATTCGCGTCGAGTCGAGCTCCTAAATCAGTCCTAAATCTTCATCGTATGAATTATAAGAATTGAATTCATTCTCAGATTTCTGACGTAAAGAGTAAAGCTTGCAAAAGCAAGGGTGAACGAAGGGTTGATCAATTAGACGTTTGACTATTTATGGTGCATTCAGTGGATTAATGTTCCCATGCTAGGCCACTTCAATAGCCCAGGTGCATTGCTAAAAAGAAGGGACTGGCTCCCACAGATCGTCTCTCAATGGCCTGCCCCACTGCGGTATCTCTGGAAAAGTCCATGGGGGAGGTCTCAGGTTGTCCTTTTGGACCCGATTATACAAAAGGAGGCAGCTCTTCCATCTTCACGCGCTTGCGTTGCTTCAGAGTCTCGATACGTTGATTCAGCGCTGCAATCCTCGCCTGCAAAATATTCAGTACTTGACTGAGAGCCCATTGTGGGAGGTCACTCACAGCAATCTCCTCCTCTTCGTCGGATTCGGCACCTCCGTCCTCTTCCTCAGAGATGTCCTCTGGCGCGCTACTCTTCACTCCGAGCAGGGATGGGACTGGAGAGGCTTCGATATGCCCCGTAGCCTGCAAAATATCTATAAAAAAGGATGAGTTATCTCTATGTGTACTTGCTTTACTGACCTCTGGGACGATAGCGAAAATGAAATTGCGCAAACGGCTGTTTATCCATGTAATCTGGAATGGCCTTTCGATCTCTTGCAATCTCCCTAAGTATTTCTCCAAGCCTTTCAAGTGTCAGCGACCGGAGTGGAGCTCTAGAAAGGACAAACTTAGTGCGATGTCCCCCAAGTGTCTTCGTTCCCTCATGAACGTCTTCATTGCTCAATTCAGAACCAAACTTGACTATCTTATCGGCCAAGGTCCATTCAGACTTGATGCGCCAAAAGTCAACTGATATAGTTCCAAGATGCGGGTTGAGTCGACTCTGAGCAGCTTCTTGGTCGTCTGGAATTCGTGAGGTTCTGTCGGTAGCGCTCATTTACATCTCACCTGTCAGTGTGATTGCTGTGAATAACAGTGCTCGAACTTCGTCAGCAACCAATGCTCCATCGAACGTGTATGCGGTCGTCTCCTTTTTCATCACCACAGAATTGACGATTACTCCATCACATCGCAAGACTATTGCCCACGCATAGGTAGTGCGAGTTTTCCACACACAGTTTACACGGAAGCTCTTCAAAGATTGAATAAGGGGTCAATATGATAGCTGTAACGTACCTTGTTCGCCTCACTAGCAATCCAACATGATCTGAACCGTTGTATCGGATTACTTGAGGGATCGTGCCGCTCGACGGAGTATTCCTGGAGTCGAGAGTCTCCGCATACAATATGAACAGAGATATCGTTGATAGTTGGCATAACTGGGGGGATAAGATATCGAATGCTTTGTTGCAAAGGGGTTGGTTAGGTCAGATGTGGCCTCCACTCGTGCCCACAATTCCGGTCCAAACGGATTGAAACCTTGGCTCTGGGTCAGAAACCAGGTGGATGGTTCTTTTGGCTCGAAATAACAGCATTCAGAGCTGAGGTATCGGTAAAAGGTTATATTGTAACTCGAGGTGGAAGCCAAAGTCAATAGTGGAAGGAAGAGATGTATATCAGTCATATTCTTAGTCAATTTCGACCACCTTATCATCCTTCGTCAGGTCGATAGGATTCCTCTCACTCCTTCCTAGGCTACCAGAAAGTATCAAGATCGGTGCTTCTTCTACCTTGACCCGTTTGCGCCCTTGTATGCCCTTCAACTGCCGCTGAAGAGCTGCAATCTTCGCCTGTACAATGATTGAGAATATCTTCTAGTCCAACATTGGAATTACATACGGCAATTTCCTGTTCCTCATCAGAGGCGCCGCTTGAGCTATCACTCTCGGGTGATTTAGAAGGCCTGCACGTTACCCCACGACTTGGTGCAACCAGAGGAGCTGGTATATGTCCCATGGCCTGAAGCATAGCTTTCAGGAGTCAACCAGAAGAAGAGATGTCCGTAATCGAAACTTTTACCCTTGGGACGATAGCGAAACGCAAACTGGGCAAATGGCACCCACTCTATAAAGCTAGCATTTACCGATAACCGGTACTCAGTATTGAGTCGCGTGCCAATTCTTAACAGGAAAAATTAGGAAGAAAACGTAGAGTCTGTCTCACGTACTGCGTGCAGTGAAGGCCAAGGGTCTGTTTTCCTTTAGGAATCTCTATTGGGCCCAGATTGACTGGGCAAGGAACGACGGGTTGTTGCATGGCCCTCACTGGTTTCCAATCTGATAGAATGCGCCAGAACTCGACCTTGATTGTCCGAAGCGCCGGATTGATCCCTGTGGGATAAGCGGTGCCTCTGTCTGGATGTACAGTATGAGCCGCCTGTATTTGACCTCGGCGCTGGTGTCTTACCTGTGAGCCGAATATCCGCAAATAGAAGTGAATGAGAGTTAGATCCGATTATGGCTCCTTTGAAGACTAATTTCTGATCCGTTGACTTTGCCTACAAGCCGTCGACGAAAACGCCATCACAGTAAAGGTGTATCGACCAGCCGTACGCATGGCAAGGCATCCAGTTACACGCGACTTGGAACGTCTGGCACACCATTCAGCAAGCTAAACACGGAGTATCCTCAGTTTTTACCTGGTTCGACTCGCTCACTACCCAACAGGATTGGGATTGCGTCGAAAGGTCGATTTCAATCGAGTACTCTGGGAGCACGGCATCATCACAGATTATCTGCGACGTGATATAACCGAGAGTGGGCATATCGAGCGAGGGGCTACTTCTCACAGTTGGTAGGGTCCAAGTTGGTACCCTCATACCTCAATTTTACGTCTCTGGGATCTATGTACCCATCCCAGGTGCCTTCAGTGCTGCCTTAGGTCCCGAAGACGCTGATGCGATTCCAGCTCAGTCAGTCCGTCAACGGCTCCATGAGAGATCACCAGAAGGCCTCGTGAATCCTGGAAGATGTAGCGTACGAGCACGTTACATGTGTTACTAGCTCCGTGGTGGTTCCTGGACGTGTATAGAAATATCCCGACAGCTGGCGTGCTAGCAGACAGGAGACCAGGTTGCGATCCAAGCACAGAAGTCGTTTGAAGTAGTGTGGAAAGTCAGCTCATGTGAGCGGCCAGGTGTGGAGCAAACTGACAACCAGTAGCTCAGTGAGAGTGGACTATTCGCCCATCCTCCTGCAGCAGCTCAACGGCCCTGAGCCACACCCAAATTCTATTTGAAAAAGGAATCCAATGAAATCTCATCCATCACTGACAATGCTCCTCTTGTTGATCTGTGATAAAGCAGGTGAACCTGGATCGGGTCGAATAGGCACATTTCAGACCCTCTGAACTACTGATGACCTTCCAGACATTCAAGGTGCACGAAAGGCCAGATTGGTCCTATTCGTCTCAACTGATTCGTTCTATTCCTCTATTAGGAAGCCTATAGACCGGTGCTACCTTAATACCACACAGAATATATTTCGTTTACCATGATTATAGGATATCAAAGCTCTAGTTCGGGTCAAAGTAGTTTACACGTTCTTCTGGCCAAGATCACGATATTACAATTGACGAGTATGAATCAACGAAACTCATATGGGGTTCTTGATCAGGATGGAGACCGTCCCTGCGAGCCATCGTCGATGAAACCAGAGGCGATTGCAAACCATCAGTAAGGCTAGTCAGAACTCAGTTCGACGATCTCCCATGGTCAAGGGTGATAGACGAGCCCTTGACGGTTCTAGATGGCCCTGCCACACCAATAATAGGAGAGGCCTCACGCTTGAGTTTATGCTTCTTGTTTTGCAAAGTCTTGATTCGGCTGTTCAGCACGTTGACTTTGGCCTGTACCAGTATTTAGTTGATGCCCAGGTGTCAGTCGAGGTACATACGACTAGCTCTTCCTCTTCGCTAGATCGTTCATCTTCGTCGTGAGGCCCGCCAGGTAGATAGGATGCACTTCGCTTGACAACAGTTGGGGTGGACGACCGCTTCACCAGACTCTTTCTCTCCAAAAGGGGTGGCATGATGCCCATCGCACGTAGCATATCTAGTTAGGCGAGCTGAGATGGAAACAGCAAGGGGCCTATTCCCGTACCTGGTGATCGGTATCGAAAGGTGACTGTAAGGTACGGTTGACGGTCCATGTATACAGACTTTGACTCTTGTTTCGGTCGTACCGCAAGAAGCTCCCCAACCCTAGGCACTGTAAGCTACCAGTTTTCCTCCAGGCAGATTCACACTTTGTGCGATGAACACCGATAGTTTTCTTGCCTTCAAAAACAGGCGTCTCTTCGAACAGTCTTTGACGTGGCTTGGACTTGTGGGGGCCTTTGACCGGCACGTTGTCAACTCTCGGTCTTGACCGCCATATCTTGATGCAAATTGTCCCAATTTTTGCGTCATATTTTGACTCGGGGACATTCTCGTCTTCTGGGAGACGTTTGGGATCTCTTTGGGAGACTCGCCAGGGTACGCACCAGTCAAGAGCAACGGCGCAAAAGTGAGTACTCGAATTTCGTCACCAGATCTGGCTCCTTTGTGCGCAAAAGTTCTGACGTAGGAAGGTACAGACGAGTTTCGCATTCGTTTGCCGTCGCACCGGAGTTCGATGGACCAATGGCAATCTTCGACCACGTCCCAGGTGTACTGAATGCGAAAATTCTAATTTTAGAGTTACTTCTGGTATAAATGCGGCCACGAATCCACCGACCTGGCCAGCCGTACTCGGAATCCAACATGCGATGTCGTTTGGCGCCGACGGATCAACATAAGTCGAGTATTCCTCCAGCGCAGAACCTTCACATATCACCCGAATATCGAATCCATTAAGTGCAGGCATCGTCTGCACGTTGATTCAGAATTTAGGGGAGGCGAACGGGTCCAAAGGAGTTTGGCCCACGTGCACCAACTGAGCATAGTTGATACATAAGATCATCCTGATTATACAGTATTGAGTGATGTCGTTCTCACCAGCCAGCCTCCCTTGCCACTCTTGGACTCTGCTTCGGCCGCTGGTTTCTTTGGGCTTCCGAGAAATATACAGACAAGTCGAATACTATGATACTGGAGACATTACATCTCGTTCTTAGGGACTACTCGACACATTGAGGCGCATGGCATTGACATATTGGATGCCGGCAGCCTTACATCACGCAAAAATGTTTGTGGAAACAGCACTCAGAGAGGATGGGAGTCACAAAAGTAGCGCTTTTGGTTCTTCGAGGTCGTCGAATATATCTCGCTGTTTTTGAGCACCGTGGTGGTTCTAGATAGGAGTGAGGTCCTTTTTTCCTTCAGAAACCCTCAGCATTATGAAGAGAGATTATCCCTTTTGTTAACAAAAGGCCTTACGACGCCATCATGATGGACCGACTCGTCTGCCGGGGTGCCCCCCCGGGCCGCCAAGTGCTGATCCATAATCCAAATAGAAGCTAAATATCATCTCATCATTACTTCTCAACTTCGACGAGAGAGCAACCGCCCAGGTCCTATTTCACATCCTAATTCCAACCATCGTGGCTCGGATGGATACAAAATCAAATTGGTAAATACACAGCGGAGTAAGTCGCACGCTGCCAGCCAGTCTCCATGGGTCACCCGAGGTGCGGTCGCCGGTATCTCTCCGACTCGCAACCCTAGTCAACCCGTAGAATATCAGCTGCAATCCCGTAGCCCGATAGAACCCAAAAAGCCCGCCATTTCAACACTATTCAGCATTGTGTTCAGTGTACGCTCGCCTGCCTGGATATAATCTCGGTGGCAGCAAAAAGGCACTCTGACCTGGCCGCACCCATAAAGTCGTCCGCGGACTGGACGCCAGTCTCGTTCTCGGCCTCAGAGGTGCTCGAAATTAATTTATGATCGACACCAACGGCCGTCGAGTAATCTGGAAGCGTCGTCCCCCACAAACTCGTCGCCTCTTGCTACTCTGGTTTCTCGTTGCTGCTCATACGGGCATGTGGTTGTATTTAAAGTAGTTACTTTGACTCACATTGATGCAGCATTCGCAACATCGCTGGCTTCAGCACTCGATATTGGTTCGACTCTAGACGGAGACCAAGGTACTTGGCGTCGAACCTCGTATTCCGCATCATATTAATTTGCTTTCAGTTTACAGTTCACATACGTCTAGTAAAGCTCTTGACAAGGCGTCAACAGCACCCAACAACCTCGGTTCGTCTTCGGAACCCACGTATTTTCCCCGGCCGGCAGTCCTCTTCGACCCAACAGCAAGTAATGTGAATATGGAAGCAAGAAAACGCCTCATACTGGTGTCTATCATCGTCGCATTTCTCATACTCATCGTGGTCGGGAGTCTTGCATGCTGGGTCATCATCCTACGCAACAAGCTACGAATTGAACGTATGAGAGCACGTCGCGGATACGATTCCTATTCGTCAGAGCTTGACACCGAGTCGATACCACTTCCCGAGCGACCTCCCAATATCCCCCGACTTTATGTCCACGACGAGACTGGGTCGAGGCTCATTACCACCTTCTCATCCTCTGCTCCCAAGAGCGAGGTTTCACATGACCTGCATCCGCCTGAACCAACATACCAGCCCTTGCACCGCGAAACGGTGACCAACTCCGATAGCTTTGGAGAACAATCCAGGTCCATGTCGTCCGCGGGCTCCAGTCGTTGGGAACCTTCATATGCTCCATATCCGGAGTTCAAGCATCCGTATCAAATGTATCCTGGTCCTCGATATTAGCGTGTATCCATAGCTGCTTCGTTCTTATATATGCCTGCGCCGCCACCCCTGACGGATTCCGATATGAAACTGCCTCCGGTGCTGCGGGGCATTTGATTGCTAGTCCAAAAGGGTTATAAACGCGTATATCTTGTCTCCTCTGAAATACGCAAACTTCTTACGCCTCTTGACCTCTACCATGTCCGCACCTCAGTTACCTCCTCGACCGCCACAACCGCCAAGTGCGAGCACAAATAACCAGAATTCTCCTCCTCCAGTCCCTCCACCTCCTCCGATCGGCTTTCGCCCAGATCTCAACGCGCCGTACAATCCATCGCCATATGTCGCGAATCCGTTGGTTGCGCCGCGACCTCAGAAGCTGATGAGCAGTGTTCCAGCAGAGGTATGTAATATGTCGTTCTAGATCGTTCCAAGTTGCAGGGTTTGGCGCGCTCATGTGCAGGATCCAGCTTCCTTCGATCTCTTGACGCGCAAATTTGAAGCTGATAGTCCCTAATTATCTAGATGGCGCGCAATTTGGAGGCTCAGATGCCTGCAACGCCCGCACCTCCACCAGTGGCGTACGGACAGCAAGTTCCTTCGATCGCGTTTACTACACCGACTGCACCGGCTGCGTATGCATCATCTCCGTACTCTAATCAGAACCCTCCATATCAGGGACAACCCTATAATCCTAGTACGTAGACACTCGATTGACCAAAATGATGGGCCCTTATCCATTGCCAGGTTATACGCCAAACTCTCAATTCAGAGGTAATACGCCACTCCCATATCCTGGGACGCCTCTGCCATACCAGATGCAGCAGCAGCAACCGCTCGCCTACACTGGTCTCCCTCCTGCTGGGTTTGCCGCTCCGCCTCGCATGGGTGCTTCTCCTGCACCTCCTATGGGACCAAATCTTACTCCAGGCTTTACTCCACGGCCACAAAGCTGGGGCGGTACTGCATCCCCTGCGCCGTCACAGAGTCCAGTCCTCCAGCGACCCGGGTCAAGTGGAATAGGGTCCACACCCGCGCCTGGACACGGGAATATGCAGAGCCTACAGCAAGGCCTTCAAGCTCTTTCTCTCGCCGGCATCCAGACGCCTGCTCCCAATCCAAACTGGGTGCATGGTTCGACACCGCCATCGACGCGTCCACCATCTTCCATGTCTCCGGCACCTGGTCAACCTCCTCCAGCTAATCGGTACAATATTGATAACAGCATCGCCGGCCTGACGTTTGGTGGGACTGTACCTCCACCTCAGCAACCACAGAAGCAGGACCCGCCGCAGTTGACAGTTCAGCTCCCTACAGTTCCATCACTTACATCGGCATTAAATGGTGTGATGACGACGAGAGACCAAGCGAGCAAAGTGGCGTGGTGCAAGGACGTCCTCAGTGCATTGGATCGCGCAATCCAAGCCAACGGAGCGAATCCCGGCGAAGAAACTGCCCGCAAAGCACTGCTTGGAACCAATGGAACCATGTCCGAATCAGATGCTGCTCTCCTGAAATTGGCCGAGACCGCCGTGGCCACAATCATGACACTACTCGCTCCTCCGTTACCGACTGGGCCGAATAATTCGATGCCGGCTCATATTGCAGAAGCCCTTTTCCTAAGAGGTCAAGTAATTGCTGCGGGGTCATTCCCAGACAAGTAGGTGATGCCTCCGATTACCATCCCCACAACTTAGTCGCCATCCAGATTACCCAAGTCACCGCGCGATGCGTTCCGAGACTTTGAAGCAGCTGCTCGGGGGGGCTACGCCCCCGCTTGGTTCAAGCTGGGACGAGACTACGAGACAGTTGGTACGCTTTATCGATTACTATCACGGATTCGTCTCACACATTACAGGTGATCTGGTTCGCGCAAAGGACTGTTTCGAAAGGGGAATGCAACGAGGCGTCGGCAGTTGCTTCTATGTAAGGTTTATGATTTCTTCTTAAATACCATTACTGATACCGGATAGCGACTCGGAATGGCCTATTTGCAAGGCCAGCTCAACCTACCACAGAATCCTGGGTTGGCCATGCCTCTGCTTCAGCGAGCGGCGTTCCTGTCCAGCATAGAGGTCCCTCAACCAGCATATGTTTACGCCCTACTACTTCTTCAAGAGTTCCCTCACATCACCCTCCCTCAGGACCTGCTACAATCGCTTGTTCCCGCGAGTCATCCTGGCCAGACCAATCCTAACACACCACCTCCGTCACTCATGTCCGAGTCCCGTAAGTATCTCGAGCGCAGTGCATATCTCTGCTTTGGACCTGCACTGTACAAACTCGGTCAATCCTATGAGCACGCCCTTCCACCTTTCCCCTACGACCCACTCATGTCTGTCCAATACTACTCGCTCGCGTCGCAGCAAGGAGATCCACTGGCAGATTTGGCGCTATCAAAGTGGTTCCTCGTCGGATCTAACCCAGACGCAGATCCGAAGGCACCTCCAGGACACCAAATGGAGGGGTTCGACAAGGACGAGACTCTGGCGCTCATTTTTGCCGAAAAGGCAGCATCGAAAGGCGAGGCAGGTGGAGAGTTTGCAATGGGATACTATTGCGAAGTCGGAATAGGGCGAAGCGTGGATTTGCGCGAAGCAAAAGGATGGTACGAACGCGCGGCAAAGCAAGGCCATGAGGATGCCAAGGCGCGATTACGGGAGCTGGCGAAAGAGAATCCCAAGACCCTGGGTGTACAGGAGCATCAAGGGCGTCTGGAGCGAATGCGGACGAATGCAAAGGAGAAGATGAGGGCGAATACCGCAAACTCTCTCGCTTCCAATCCGGCTGGTGGACTGGCGCCTCCTCCAACGGATGGTGGAATGCTCAGTCCCGTGAGCAGCGCGAATGTCGTGGCGATGGCTCGGAAGAGCTCGACAATCCATCATGCTGGCTCGGGTAGGCGACGTCCTGGAGGTATGCAAGACTTTGGGAAGAGTGAACCGCCACCGCCTGTTCCTGTTCCAGCGCCAAAGCCCAGCGACGCTGCGAAACCGAACACGCTTGCGCCTCCATCGACGAGCACCACACCAGCATCGAAGCCAGCAACGTCTTCCGCGGCTTCGCCCGGCGGAAAGCAGAAGCCAGCAACGTTTGAGGAGATGGGGTACTATAGTCAGAAGCTAGAAGATAAAGACTGTGTCGTTATGTGATGTACGCTCAACGGACTCTGAAGTAAATATACACGTTTCTGGCTAACGACGCTGTGTCGTGAGCGCGCACTGGCGACGTCTCCTTGATCTCTTCCATCTCGCTCAATTTCAGCGAGGGCCCGCATGGCGCGTACGAAACAAACATCAAGAAAGTCCACTGGGTATTTTATCATCTTCCTCTCCATTTCTGTGGTCATTCACCATTACTACAGTGGAAAGGCGCCTCGCAAACAACTTTCATCGCGATGGATACATACACATGCCAATAAAACTCGTATAAAATGTCTCAGATCCTCCAGTAAACGAGTTCCTGGTGCTGTCCCTGATCATGAAGCCGAGTTCAACGAACCTGCCCAAACCTCTCTAATAGGTGGTACTCCCGATAATAGTTCATCGAGGTCAGAAACTTCAAATGCTGTCCTATGTGCATTGTCGACTCAGTTCGCCAACAGCCGTCATCAAGAACTCCTACCATCAGGCGCAGACGACACCGTTGCGTCCTCTGTGGGTTGACTCCTCTCAAAGAAAATTTATCTACCATCAGTATCATTGATAGGAGGCAGCTCACGAGTGAGGAGTCCCCACATTTGGACCTCCAACGTGCCGGCTGTTTGACTCAGGGTCAAATCGGAGAACCATTGACTTTCGAAGAATGAGATCGGGGATGTGAACTCGTTGGATTTGAGGGTCTTGCTTCGCTGTTGGATTTCAGCGGCGTCGAGCGCAAGGGCGCGGCGATCCTCGACTCTCGACAGGCGTCAATGACACGCTATCGAAGTCTGGTATAAAGGTTCTTGATTAGCTTGATTGTTCATCAGCTGTTCTTTCTGCTGAAGAGTCTGTGTATTCTACATTTGCACGTATGCCACGCGGACCGACCTTCCGTGCCCTCTTGCCATTCCAAGGCCATGCTTCAATATACAAGGAGTAGAGCCTCACACTCGTAGTATATGTCAGTTCTTCCCGTTGACCTTTTCCTCGTTGTAAGATGTGCAAAACTAGTGGACCAGTGACTATTTCAGTGCGATGGGAAAGCTCGTTCTCTGTGAAGAGTAATATATATAGAGAGAGAGGGAAAATAGTATTGATAATGGGTTTTCAGGTCGTGGAGATAGTCACGAGGCTATCGAAGAGGAAGCTAGGCTCTTTACATGTCAATTATTCACTTTAATGTCGAGTTGAGTCCCACATTTGTTCCAGCATCTCTGGTTGCGGGTGGAGCCTCCTTTTTGGCCGTCGATTCCCATCAAAATATTTCGCTGTCTAGCGCCATGCCAACTATTGACAACATTCAAATTCACATTTACTCGGATGGCATGCCACTTCCGGAGTTTGGTCACAAGACAAGTGGCGAGCGGACAAAATATCTCAAGGCGACCTGTTATATCCCAGCCGAAGCCGGAAAGGTCAGTTGCAGTATAACAAGTGTTCGCTGAGGCTGAATTGCTCTAGCCTTTTCAAGTTCGTTGCGACTGGAACAGGCGAGCAAGGCATGACTGGGAAATCAGGACATTCTGTGACGAAGTGGCTGTTGAGACAATGTCACTACAGCGGGGAATGAAAGCCTGGTCGTTCGAGGTATGGAGATGGGCGGCGATATCTTCGCTCTCGAATTTGCAAAACTCATCACAACAGGTAATTATAATGCAAGTATATTCTATTCACTATATTATCTGGCAGACGATGATAAATCACTGCAAAATACGCTCGGAGACTATCACGGAGAAATAGAAGTCCAGTGCTGGCCAGTTAACCTGCGATGGAAGAGAAGAAGAAGAAGAAACCAGATATAAAGACGACCAAGAAAAAGTATCACAACTCCTGACCCTCTAGAAACCACGCAAGATGGTATGTCAGAAGTACAGCATGAGCGAAGGCCAGACATGTTCCCGGGAAGCCATGATATCAATCAAAATATCGAAAGGATATCAGTACTGGCGGAGAGCACGAAGGCACAGGGAATCAAGACAATAATTCTCTCCTGAAGCAGACGGAGATTCACGAACGAAAGAAGGAAAGGTTCAGCCATCGCATCACGTGGGTAACCTATATTTCATTTCCACTAATCACAGATCAGCAGAATCGGCCAAAGGCTCGCGAGTGAAGACAGGCAACTCGAGCGTATAGATGCCAGTGCGGCGATCAATGATGGTTCGGAAAATGACGAGGGCGACGGTGATATTGAATCTGGTGAAGAACTTGGGAGATCCAACTCTCTAATTCCTCCATACATTCGCACAAAGGATAAGACGCCTCAGTCTCAAGAGGCCGTGCAAGGTTATCCATACGCAATGTTCCACCTGCAGCGCTGAAGGAAACTGATAGATTAATACGGAAGGATCCTTCCTCCGAATGGCGCCCACGCCGAAGACCTCTTCAATGAGATTAATCCTGACACCATCTCGGGGAGTCTGACGGAGAATTTATAACAAAGTATCAATCTGAACATCCGAAATATGCCTTCGTATTCAAATACATATCTGAAGGTGTGTAATTGCCCTTCAGAATGGCATCAGGTTCCCTAAACTCAATTCAGAATTACTAAAGGCTAATGGGCTCAAGCGCCCTATACCGAAGCGCAGGCTATCCAAGGAAAGTTCTACTGAAACGGTATTTGACGACTGGGCGCACACTACCGCATCTAATCGTTTGCAGGCAGCGCAGTCTATACCTAGGCTTCAGAAAGAGCTCGAGTCAATCCAGGAGAAGATAGCATCGCGCTACATGGAGCATTCCGCATTCACGGTAGAGATCGACGACGAAGAGTATTTGACTCTTTGTGAGGAACGCGACCGGATTCAGGTATTTTATACCACGAGGTCCTTCATATTTCACGTTTGATTAGATAAATATTCTCTGTTTCACTCGACAACTGCGAAGTGTGTCTGAAGATGAGAGACCACGAAAGCGCGCAAGAGATATATCCCCAAAGAGAGAGGAAATCTCAATCAAACCCGGAGCATGGGGAACCGACAAAGATGACGCGCTAGACGTAGACCTTCTGTATCCGAGCGACTGAACTGGCGAACGTGGCTTCTGCTCTGCCTCTATTCCTATCTTTTCTTGCACTCGATTTTGGCGAGCCCCACTTTGTACTATATCTCACTGTTATGCAGATTTTTTGTCATAGTTACTCAGCGCTCACGGGCGACTAGCGAGCATCCTTCCACACACAAATCTAGTACTACTTACTATGTTTACACGCTGAATTATCTTTGGTCTCCGACTTGATGCATTGTCAATATAGGATCCCACGGACGATTGGCTATTAAATTGCCCTCGGAGTTTGCTGGGGTAGATTATTAATCTTCACCTGACTCACGATCAACTTAGATTTCTGTACTGACAGATAGTAGAAACTAATTTATAGCTTATTTACAAAGGGGACGATATATTTCCTCCAGCCAGTCCAAGCGGGCGACTGTGTTTTGCAATATCCTTTCAGGAGGTATTCCTAAATCTTCATGAAAGTCACAAAAAAGAATCATTCCGATGCTCATAGCATCTAGTACGGCTCCTTTCAGTTCTGTATCAATATCTTGCGTCAATGTTTGCCAAAATGCGGTTGCAATTGGCGTAGCAGTCGTGGAGTCTGGGCAATCGATTCCTTGGCGGTTGAGAACCGCAATAAGTCTAATCTGGTAGGCATTCATGGCGAATGGTAAGATGGTAGCACCTTGCCAGTCGATAAGTCCCACAATTTGCGGAGGGGAGGATTCATCGACGATCACCTATATGAACAAAGACTATAAGCAGAATTTCCAGGAATAAAGCAACGACATACGTTGAATGGATTGACATCTATGTGAGTTAGAGTAAGAGGCAGTCGCTTCACGTTGGGCGCTCGGGCAAGCAAGCGTTCAAACCACCCGCGAAGGCGTGGATGCTTATCCTCTAGGCTAGGAAGTTGATCTCGGATAATTGACTCGAGACGAGGGACTATAGTGTAGTTGATAATCGCTTCGCTTGTCGTTCCACCCAACCGACACTTGGCCAAAATCGAGCCAAGCTGCCCCGCGATATTCATATCCTCTTTCAACGAGGTGATAATCAGCGGCTCCCAGCGGCTTCCTTGTATAAACCGCATTCCATACGCAAACATGGTATGGCTCGCTTTGACAGCCCGCACAAGTGGTACAATATCCCCTAATATACCATGAGCAAGGGATACAAGTATAGTATCGATTCGATCATTTCTAAGCTGGATGATCGACTTGGTTTGATCTTCATAGTCGACGACAAAAGTCGTGCTAGAGCAACCTTGGTTCTCATTAAGCTCGAGGACGCGAATTTTATGTTTTCGATAGTCTCTGGCTGCGATAAGGGCGGATTCGAGGGCCTCTTTGCCCGTCAGATCTTCTACAAGTTTGGTCATTGACGTGGGCTCAGTTCAACCTGTGTCCGTACTTTGTTAGACGGGTGTACTTGATGAAAACGCCTCTATGTACCGAAATCATACTGATTTTCCTAGGAAATTAGCTCGGGAAACTTGGCCGCTGCCCGTGTTCCAAGCAAGCCAGCCGCAAACCCCCTAGGACAGACGGATGGGCGAAAAACGAGTAGCGCGACTCTGCAAAATGCTTGCGATTCCACGTTGAGTACATGTTATACTGGTCACACTCGCGAAGCGTTCGCGAACTATTGGCAGGGGAGCGGGACTTCGCTGGTCTTCCAGAAATTGGCTCTTACCCTAATCTTTTCTTCGGGACTCTTTTTTCTGCTGACACTAATGGACAGAAACAATGCGGCGTATGCCTCAACGTAGAGAACCTGTGAAATGCACCCCAGCTTACTTTACGTGAAAATTTGCCCCCTCTGGTTCACATAAGCTCTCTAGTGAGTGAGCGAGCTGCCCTATACAGCTGCTGATGTGGCTGTCGGTAGACCAGAAACTTTTCTCGGTATGGACCACATAATCTACATGCAGTTCTGCGTGTGAGAATATTTCTATTATCCAAGTTTCCCGCGCGGCACTGATGGATCGGACGGACTAGTCCGCGGATACAGATTTGTATCCAACGTACTAGTCCGTTGGTTACATCGATCCCTCCAAATGCGATCGATAGGCCAATGACGCCGTGCAGGGTCAACACACAAATGTACTCTTTTGTGCAAATTGGACTTCCCTGTCACCCTGCACGATGCTCATCATCTGGCCATATTCTGGCAGTGAGTTTGTCTGCTGACAGACCGGGAGGATCAACAGAGCTTACGTTACATATCCAGGAACCATCATGGCCGACCATGTGTGCACATGCCAGTTTGGAGCGTTCTTGTATCTTTTCATACGGGAGCTGGTGTAGCTGACGGTAAGCTGAGCCAGCATCGCATCATGCACGACAGGACTCAAAAGGGCGTTGGGAGCTTCCCATATATGAATATATTAGTCTCCAAAGCGGAGAAATCTGGGCTCGACCGAGTCTCAACTTGGACCCCACCAACTCTGAGAAGTGACCCCTCGCTCGATATGCCCATTCTCGGTTACATCACATCACATGTAATCTGTAATAATACCGTACTCCCAGAGTACTCGATTGAAACCGACCTTTCGACGCGGTCCCAATCCTGTTGGATAGCGAGCGAGTCGAACCAGGTAAAAACTAATGGCACCTTGTGTGTAGATGGCTGAGCAGTGTGTCAGAATTTTCAAGTCAGATGCGACTGGACAGTTTGCTCGGCATTCGACTGGTCCATCCGCTTCCTCTGTGACGGTGTTCTCGTTGGCAACTTATTGGCAAAGTCAATAGATTTACAACTGGTCTTCAAGGGAGCCATCAGTGGGTCAAAGTCGCATTCGCTTCTATTTGCGGATGTCAGGCTCACGGGTAAGACAACAAGCTTTGATATCCAAAGCACGCTGACCGCTCATACCATATATCCCAGACAAAAGCACCGCTCATCCCACAGGTCTCAGTCCAGCCCTTGGGACGATCAAGGTCGAGTTCTGGCGCATTCGGTCGGATTGGAAGCCAATGAGGGCAACGCAGCGATCCATCGTCAGTTGCCCAGTCAATCTCTGACCCACAGAAATCCCTGAGGGAAAACAAACGCTTGGATTTCACTGCACGCAGTACGCTCAGACAGGTCCTATTTGGTAGTATGCTGATATTCCCTGTCAAGAATTGGCGCGACACCTCTGGATACTAAATATACGTCGGTAAACGCTACATATCTAGATAGGGAGTCATTTGCCCAGTTTGTGTTTCGCTATCGTCCCAAGGGTAAGTGTTTCGATCATGGACGTCTCTTCTCTGGCTGACTCCTGAAAGCTATGCTTCAGGCCATGGGACATATACCAGCTCCTTTGGTTGCACCGAGTCGTGGAGTAAAGCGCAAGCCTTCTAAATCACCCGAGAGTGATAGTTCAAGTGGCGCCTCTGATGAGGAACAGGAAATTGCTGTATGTGATTCCAATGCTCGACTAGAAGATAGTCTCAATCATTGTACAGGCGAAGATTGCAGCTCTTCAGCGGCAACTGAAAGGCGTACAGAAGCGCAAACGGGTCAAGGTGGAAGAAGCACCGATCTTGATACTTTCTGGTAGCCGAGGAACGAGCGAGAGGAGTCCTATCGACCTGACGAAGGATGACGAGGTGGTCGTAATTGACTAAGGGAATAGCTATAAATTCATTATGATGTCTCCTTGTTAGGGAAATCCTTTGATGTACAAAAGCCCTCGCTCCATCAGCGGAGTTCACTTTTGTCACTGCACTACTCCACGTAGAGTCGTGTGTATTGATGATCTACGACTCAGTTTCTCTCGTATTCGTTACGTTGATCCGTAGCTAGTCTCTTGCTTAAATATACGTACTCAATACATTTTGAGAAACTTGCATTGCCGCCAGCTGAGACCCAACGCTTGGTTCTGGTAGTCTGCTTATATTCTGAAATGCACTCGATGTGCTCGTAAATCGAATGAAGGCAGGACTTTGATTCATGTCGTATCTACAGCGATTTCGAAAGGCTTGATTGCCATGGGGTAAACTTCCAGGAAACAAAGCCTTGATTAGAGCCCTGTTTAGATGTGCCAACGTAACGTGTAGAATCGACATTCGGTCTCGAGGGAAAGCGTGGGCATAGGTGGACAAACTACTAAAGAGGCTTCGACCCGACCATCTTCTTCCAACAAAGTGACTGTTATCTTGTCGTCTCAGTAATGCCAACTATTAACGACATCTCTGTTCATGTTGTATGCGGAGACACTCGGCTGCAGGAATACTCAGTTGAAGGACGCGATCCATCGAAAAATCCTACAAAGCGGTTCAGGTCATGTTGGGTTCCTAGCGAAGCAGACAAGGTGTGTCGCATCCAACACACTAGTTACTTGTTTAACCGTGTGAAGCGATTTTATGTCAAATGCACATGGAAGGCTCGTGCTACCTACACCTGGGCGATAAGGGTCTTCTGTGACGGAAGCATCGTCGATAACAGAGTCCAAAAAATAGAAACTACTGAGTATATGATGCAAGGAATGGCGGTTGGGAATGAAATTCGAGCGCTTTTGTTTTCGACAATCACACTCACGGGTGAGAGGAGTTGAATATCAGTGAGCAAGACTCTTATTATCCGTAGATGACGACAAGGCTGCTCAGAGTCGAGCTAACCCCGACCTCGGATCGCTCAAGGTCGAATTCTGGCGCATTAAGCCCGGTTGGACGGTAAAAGCTGTTCAACAGGTTATCAAGTCTACATTGGAAAGCAGTGATGTTCACGAGGGAAAGAAGACTTTGGGCGGGCATCGCATCAAGTATGGTCCGCGCTTATACAGAGATAGGTCGCTCATAATACTGCATAGAATCGGCGAAAAAGTTGCAACCCACACATGTGATGTCAGCGCTGCTGTAGAGTTCATCGATAAGGAGCCCTTTGCCGTGTTTCTTTTCCGCTATCGTCCCGAAGGTTGACACCCCAAAAATTCGTGGAAAGGTGGCTCATCAGTGTGGATAGATATACTACAGGCTATGGGACATATTCGAACCTCTACGGATCAATCACTGCTTGGAGTCAAGAGGAATGCCTCGGAGGCGTCTGAGAGTGAGGACGAAAGCGGTGCATCCGACGAAGAGCAGGAGATTGCGGTGAGTAGTACCTCATGCTGGGAACTTGATCAAATGCTAATCTTCTGTAGGCAAAGATTGCAGCGTTGAGCCAACGGATGAAGACTCTGAAGAAGCGCAAGCGTGTGAAGGTCGAAGAGTCTCCAATTCTTATTCTATCCGGTACAACAGGAACTCGCGAGACGTCTCCCATTGTTCTCTCCAGTGACGATGAGGTCGTAGAACTCGACTAAAGGGCCGTCGAGAGCTTATACATTCGTTTTGTCGACGGACCTACATGATTCAAGTGGAGAGCATCGAAACGTGGACCAATTGAACATATAGTACCATCATGTAAACCAGTTACCGTACCGTACTATAATCACCCTGTCTTGCCCCTATTTTCTTGAGCAGTGACAGTTTATAATGACTGTAGTCTGCGTAATCTACAGAATGAAGACTAGGACTGATTTAGGAGCTCGACTCGACGCGAATTCAAACTCCGACTGGACGCGTCTGGCCATGCCTCTCTGTGCGACGCTCTCATTGTGCGAGAAATAGATGTATAATTATTCACTGTAATGTTTCACAACTTGAATTTGGCGTCTCGTCACTGCAATGAGCGAGATGAATCACGTGACTGATTAAGGTTTGCCAGCGGAGTTTGAACACGCGCTGGCTTTCGACTTATTAGCTGGCCCAGATTTGGCCTTCGTCCGACCTCACAACTTGTCCCCGCCCATCACCGCGCCCAATCCCAAAAACTCGTAAAACTCTGCAATGGCCCGCACGAAACAAACTGCTCGCAAGTCTACTGGGTACGCCTCGTCAACAACGGCTTTGGAGACGCGTCTGACTGGTGTTGTTCAGTGGCAAGGCGCCCCGTAAACAACTCGCAACCAAGCAAGCTCGCAAGACGGCACCAAAGACGGTTGCGTCTGGTGTGAAGAAGCCCCATCGTTTCAGGCCCGGAACGGTGGCTCTTCGTGAAATCCGTCGCTACCAGAAGAGCACTGAGCTCTTGATCCGCAAGCTGCCATTCCAGCGTCTCGTCCGTGAGATTGCTCAGGGTAAGTTGGGGTCACTGGGTCTTTGTTCTCTTGTTAACGTTACTTTCAGACTACAAGACGGACCTCCGCTTCCAATCGTCGGCCGTGCTCGCGTTGCAAGAGGCGGCTGAAGCTTACTTGGTATCGTTGTTCGAGGACACGAACCTTGCTGCGATTCACGCCAAGCGTGTCACGATCCAGCCGAAGGATTTGCAGTTGGCTCGCCGCCTGCGTGGAGAGCGCGCTACTTAGATCGTATCTCTGGCTGCTCGTGTATGTTATCTTTGTACTATTACATCTTTTTTCTCCGGATCATCGACTCTGCTTCAGTCACAATGATAGACTTGGTTGGCCGTACAACAGTCAGTATGATACTCTGGGGATCATTAGATATGTTCAGTTGGAGAAGTATAACTGACCGATTGGTCGTTCGGCGCTGAAACCAAAGTAAAGGGGCGGTGGTCGATGTTCGTCCAAAACCAGGCGAAGAGAACCCCTGTTCCATGATGGCCACTGAGTCTGGAGCTGCTGAGCTACCACTAGCCGGTGTTCCAACCAGTCTACTACTGCCTCGTCTATAGAAGGTTCCGGGATTATGGCTGGCCACGCAACCGTGTCGGCTTCAAAGGGAAATGTTCTGGCAGATAACGACGCAATCCTGGGGAATTGTGACAGCACGGGATTAATCGAGACGTCGCACTCTTTCAGTGCTAGTACACAGGATTGGCACCCAGTCCTATTTGAAGTATCAGCAAAAGTAGCCGTAGCGGAATGCAGGAGCACGTACACACGGACGTCCATATATCGTCTCCAAATGACCTCCATCGAGAATGCCTTGTATGATTGATGTTCGGTGAAAATAAACTCACGTTTGAGCGTCTGGACAATGCGTTTTGCCACTGGTAATGGTGGGCGGCCAAAGACCATTACATGTACGAGATGGCGTACACCTAAAGTGGATGGTAGAGTGTTTCTCCGCTCTAGGAAGAGTAATAATAAGTCCCAGGGGACTTGACGCGTTGGCAAGGCGATTTGCTCGAGGCGTGGTAGCAGTATCGGCTGCATTATCAAGCAATATAGAAGTAAATTAGTAGATAGAGCGCTCTCCGTGCATTCTAGTCTCCGTAAATTGGACAGCTTTTGGATAGTAGCGACGTTGAAAATCAACGGCACTTTATAGCAATCAAAGTCTTCAAGTTGTGGGGTAACATCAATATCCAGCATTGATTTGAAAGCGGTCTCTTCCTTTACAGGATATTTGGCTGCATTGAGCACACGGAGGGTTTGAAGGTTTGGGCAAAGCAAGGTCACCGGGCTTGCGTTGCCAGCAAGACTGGATATGTATAGCTCGAGACGCAGGAGCCCCTCTACATGGATCAAGAGCATGTCTATCCCCCGGTGAAAGTTTATATGTAGCGTTTCGAGTCTGGTAAGAGCCGTGATAAAATCGGCAGGGTATACAGCATCTCCCTCTGATTCGATGAGCAGAGTGATGAGCCAAGGTGTGCTTCCTGTCAATGCGTCCAAAATATGTATGTATTCCCCGTCCGAAACGATGGAGAGATGGCGAATCGGGGTTGGATTGGACCGCCTCAATTTCGGTATCTTTGCCTTGGACACTTGCTGAATGTCGATGCTAAGATGGGTAAGGTTTGGGAGTTCGTCAAATATTTCGAATAGAGGCGGTAAGCTTTCCCAAGACCCTGATATGATGAGATGTAGATAAGAGAGCCTAGACGCTCTAGATATATAGTCAAATAGCTTGGATGCGGCCTTTTCGACCCGGAAGATGACCATCAATGTCTCCAATTTACGCGCTGTATCTTCTGTTGAACAATCCTCGCCATTAAAGGACCCGATTGATTGAACATAGAGTCGTTTCAAGGATGTCTGGAGTTGGAGGATGGGAATTACCGTATCGGCAAGCGCAGATATGGAGAGAGTTTGGAGCTGTCGCGACTGTAAATCCAAAGAGTCAGAGTCGCGGACCCAGACTCCACGCAATTCAGACAAACTGGGCGCGTGATGAATGAGAATATCAAGTACGTCGCCTTCGATGAATGGAATTTCAGGGGTGATGTGTAATTCTGTCAAGTTGGGTAGTGGACCAAGCGAGGAAAAGAGCGTCGATATATCGTCCTTGGTGAGAAATCGATGACTGAGAGGGTGCTTGCACACTGTAATGCTCGTGATTCGGTCAGAGTGAGGCGTGAGCAAGGGACTGTACTCTTGCCAGTCATTCGAGTAGAGATCGATGTAGAGACGGAGGCGAGCGGAGCCAGAAAGAGCGAGAGACGTAAGGATCTTATCCTCCTTGTCTTCTTCGTTATGGAGTCCTATGCATATCACCGACCACAGATCCGGCGTGGCGAGAAGGGCATCCCGCCAGCGAGTGCAAACGAGTGTCCCTAATAGCATACGGTCAATACAGTTTCGACTCTTGCTCATTTCGAAGAAAGTCTCGGCTTTGCTGAGCCCGAGTCCATGTATAAATATCTCCAGCCACAGTTCTGGAGGAAGGATCGATAAAGGGTCTCCCCAAGGAGACTTTTCGAGAGCACGGAGCTCTCTTGTTAGTTCGTTCCATTGAAGCTTCCGCTCCTTGATAGATCGGATGTTCGAAGGCTCACTCGGCGTGTAGCCGGTGCCCTCTACGACGCCATCTCGCTCCTTTTGAAGCCAGTCATATACTTCTTTATCGCTATTGCCGACAATACGGTAATATTCCGTCATGACGTCTCCAGGCAGAGAAGGTTCGCTCCAACTAACGAATGCACCAACGACAGACAACTGGGAGCAATAATACAAGCCATGTATTCCATCGTAGTACATTTTGATAAAAAGCACAAAGGAACCCGTAAGGTTATCCAAAATTACGACAAATCGGCCATAAATCTATAGCGCATCAGCACTCGCAAATGATGCAGCGTCAAAGCTCACCTAAACGACTGCAAACGACTCTTCGAGCGAGCAACGATTTCTTCCTCGTCAACAAGACGCAACGCAACTGGCTCACTCTTCAAAGGCACAGAAATCCGTCGTCGCTTCCTGATTCTTGCATCATCATCGTGCTCTTCATCATCCGACTTCTCGATATCATCTCTTGCCGAAGAACCAAAAGGCGAAGGACGCGTAGGCGCCAATAGCGGTTCTGATTTTCTCGGGACAGGCGTCTTCTTCGAGGGGACTGGGGCGTTAAGCGGTTGTAGGGGTCCCTTTGATCGACTTCGTTGACTAGAATCTGGTGACGAGTCACGTTGCCTTCGCTGTGCGATGGCTGAAAGGGTTGTCTGTTTACGCGAAAGCATGGCTCCCTGTTATATATGAATGCCACGTAGACGTAAGGGACGATAAGACGTACCTTAACATCACTCGGTCCAGCAAACGAAAAGCGCTTTCTCCAGGCAAGCGCTATAGTCGTCTCTTTGCGTACTTGCTCCTCGTCTCTTTCAGTTTCCGATCGATCATAGTCGCTCTCTGCCACCGCATCGATATCGGTCTCTGGAGCAAATTCTTTGATAGGAGACGTGGCCGTCTGCTCCGCCTGGATTGTATCTTGCTTCGTGGTAGGCGTCGTGACAGATTTGGGCAGACATTCTCTACTCGCTGACTCAAAAGACGCAAAGAAGTCTTGTAGGCTAGGAGCTAAAACGAGGCTGCTCGTGTCAGTCGGGCTCTGCGTTTCGATATCCGGTAGGGTCGAAGGTTCTTCCGCGCTCGCTGTACCGTCGTTGGTAGACGATATGGACAGAACTTTGGTCAAGGCTCGAGACGGCTTGACCGGACTAGGAATATCGTCCTCCTCTCCCCATCCGTCTTCATCATCCCCATCCTGCCCTTCTCGCTTGGCCGGCTTCGCATCTTCGAGCGAGGCGATCGAAGAGACTTCGTCGATCGACAGAGAAGGGGAAGGAGACCGATACCCCTCTTCTTGGTCGACCGTGTCCTCTGGTTCGAACGCAAACTCTAATAGCTCAAGCTCCTCGCCGTTAATCTCAAGAATAAGCGTCCCGCTCTGTGCACCTTCATCGGTGCTCTCCTGCTCCTTGCACTCGGAATGATTCTCCGCAGATGTGGGTCGCGCATCTGGGAGAGTTGTGGGGACTGGCGCAGAGGTGGAGAAGAATCGACTGCTGATAGTTGGCGACGTTATGGTATTCAATGCCTTCTTGATACTGTCTCTCCGCCGGGCGCGAACATCCTCGATCCTCTCCATCTCACTTGAGAGAGACCGAGTACCACTTGCCTTTGTATTGAAATTGGATAATGAAGCAGTAGTGATCGACGTGGTTTCCCTTTGTAGCGAATCCTTTGGCTTCGCCACGAGGAAGCGGTCCATCGGACCAGATTTGACCACCGGCTTTGCGTTGGCAAACGTCGCCACGCTGTTTCGCTTATTGCGAGCATCCGGCTGGAAGGATGGATTAATGTCAACGATTGGCTCATGGGATAGTGGGCAGTAGTCGCCCGTTGCGATATTTTGCGCCAGATCAAGAGGTAGCTCTCTACACCAGGAATTAAAAGAGAAAGTGAAGGATGTTAATGACGTACCGCCCGACGAACAGGTCGTCTTCTTCCGATAATCCAGTAGATGGAGGCTCCACGAGGTGAACTAGTCGCTTTTGCGTAGAGTCATACACTCGTTGGTATAGAAAAGCCAATTCGGCCTTTCGAAACGCCTCGAGGTAGCCCTTTGGGACACGAGCAGTCTTGCTCTCTAGAGCAATAAACTTGAGGACGCGTTCGAGAGACTTGTACTTTCGGAGTAGCTTGTTAGCCGTTCGAACTCCAATACCCTTAAGCCCCTCGAGGTAGTCGCACCCGCTCATCATAGCCATGTGCCGAAACTCTGTGTCGGTCCACAGCGCTAGGTTGATATCCGTCACTTGGGAGAATTTAGCGCGGGCGATATGGGCGACTGTGTAAGTTGAGGTGTCGAGCTTGAAATAGACATTTTGGCAGCCAAAGACGAGCAGGTCAGAGTCCTCGGTAAGAATACCCTGGACTATACCAGATCTTTCGAGGTATGCGAGCTGAGCATCGGCTTCGTATGGAGCGACGACGTATGCGACAGACTCTGCCCGGAGAGCCTAGACACGAGTGAGCTCAGGCTCTCAAATGAAATACCTCAACTACCTTGATGAGTTGAAAAGCATGTTTTGGACTGATATCGACGCATCTGGCGTAGAGGTCGCGGGCTTCGCTATGTCGTCCCCGAGACGCCAACTGCTTGGCCTTTGCGAGAGATTCTTCTCGGTTTCTGATGATAAATTTGACACGTATAAGTCGACTGATGAGAGAGAAACGCGTCGTTTATGAGACTCACTTTCGTCGCTCAAGTTCCGTCCCCTCTTTGGCCGGCAAAGGCCCGCCGTCAAAGACTAAATACGGTTCGATGCCATAGTAGCGGAGCAGTCGAATACGATGCATGGCATAGTCAATGTACCTAGCCTCGTGGATCAGCATGAGAGCTCTGGGCGATGACCACGAGCCAGCTGGCGCGTCAAACTTGATGGAACTAGAATTATAAGCTCACTTGGTCGTTGGTTTACCCGTTGCTAGTTCTGTCGCACACCCATACGCGCCTTTGTGCAGCCAAACATAACCGTCGACGGCCAGAGTTTTGCCAGAAAGGTCTGAAAGTTTGACCTGTTGTTGGATTGACTTGAGGAGGGGTAATAGACCTTGGATGCCCATGTCGTCTGGCAGCGGTCGACTCCAAGTTGCTCGACGTTGGGGTCCAGAATGCCTTGCACGCTCTGTACACCGAGCATAATCAAATTGATTTATTCGTGAATTATACTGAGCATGACATTTCAAATGTGGTAAACGCACCTCTTCTTCGACTCTTGACATGGCTTCGGACAGAATCCATCTTACACCGCCTATCATCGACAAAAATGGTGTAACAAAGTGGAGGGAACGCAACAGAACAGTCAACTGCACCTTTAGTCCACGCGCCAACAGTCTCGCCGTCTACCAAAGCGCCAACATTGTATGTATTCACGCGTCGGAGACTATATCTGCTCATATTTGGCATTTCTACATTACATTAGCTCCCGCAACCGATCGGTACACCAGCCAGTGGAAAGCAGGAGACCAAAATCTACTTTGCGCAATGGGACGCTGTGCCCTCTACGCGCAGAAAGGTGGATATTACGTTCCTACTTTCCAAATTGATGCGTTTCCTAGTTCATCACGGATACGTCGATTGTCTACGACGCCCTTCGTCGAGGCCTGAACCTACTCAGAGCAAAGGATGCCAGACCGTATGTGACTCATCCTTGACGCAAATACTTGCAACTGACGTACTCTTGATCAACAGTGTTGATCCCCAGTTCTTGATGCAGACTCACTTTGAGAGTTGCAAATTGTATCTCGACATTATACGCAAGACGCTCAAAACCTACGACGCGCGACTCGAAAAGCGTCCTGAAGACGAAGAACTGCTGCACGACAAGGATCTTCTGGAAGTCATGTACTCTTGCATGTCACTCCTCCAAGTCATCTTCCTCCCTTTCACGGCTTCCTCGCAGCTGTCGTTGGCCGCGAACTCATGCATTGGCTCAACGAAAACTACGTCACTCCTACGGGAGAGGATGGTATGGGTCTACTCGAGCTCGAGGAGCCGTGGTTGCATCCCACGTTTTGGAACTTCATCAAGACGTATGTAAAAGCATCAAATCTATGGCTGCCAACTCACTCTTATAGGTGTACAATCCGCTTAATCTTCCGACCGGTCACCCATTTCCTCAAGCGGATGGCTTCTGCTCATACCAATCCAGCCACCAGAGAAATGGCAGATCTCATCGTCACGACCCTGGATCAAATGCCCAGTTCCGAGGATTACGAGCAAGAGTCAGACTACTTTGACTCGCTGCGTGCCTGGAAGACGGGCCACCATCGCTTGACGAGAGCAAGGGAGAGGCATGCAAAGTCATTATACGAAGGCAAAGCAGAGATGGAGGATATAACCAACCTTATAACCGGCAAGACTGGGACGCTCGTGAGGATGTGTACCGAATGCGGAATGTCCTGGCGTGAAGCGATTTGCGTATTTGGCATTTGGGTCCATCCTCGCATGACAAGACATGATCTCCCGTGAGCCCTACCACCGATTCAAAAGTCAAATTTCTGACCTTGTAAAGCTCGATCGCTTCAGAAGTCATCGAGGAAATGCCAGTCGACCCCACAGATCCGGAAGAGCTGTTACAGGCTGCTCTATTCCAAAAGGATATTGTCAAAGCAGCCAGCCATGCCAACGATGTTGATATATGGCTGGTGGCGCACATGATGGACATTCTTGAATCGCTGTCTCTCCCCGAAGCTTCGGTGGTCAGGTATGATACTGACCTATTCCGTTTATGCAAATTGCTCAAATTCAATCCATCTAGCCGGCTACAAAAGTATTACATTATTACATACGCAGAGCAACTCATGTCCGACCCGTCCATGTGGCGAATCGCAATAGCATATCTCTCGTACTGTGGCATTCGTGGAATGGGGGTTGCCAACGAATTACTCTTGCGTCTTCCTTTTAGGATCGCCAATATCGACTTGCCCGCAAACCACAAGTATCCTGACTCGCTGACAGTGTTCGTTGGCAAGCAAACGCTACCAATGGCCGAGCTTGACGACATCCTCGAAACCTGTCGACGCCACGGTTTGAAGCAAGCCGAGGAAACGATTGTGCGGGTGCGTAGAAGGCATACTGGATGCGAACGGCGTTGACTGTCTTATAGGTTGTTGCGCAAAAATTGTCTGCGTTGCGATTGTATGGTAAAGCCATCGAATACTTGGCGCGAACGCTCGACGTACGGGCGCTCATGAAAGTGCTCCAGCTGCTTTCCAACGAATATCTCGTTCACGGTTCGTCATCTGGACCGATCTCATGATCATATTCATATCCTGCAGGTGCCCATGACTTTGTACTACTGGTGGACCAAATCCCAAGCAGATATCTGTATCCATCTGGCCAGGAGAGCCCTGATTTCCTGAGGTTTACAGACCACTTGCACTTCGTCATCACATATGCAGAGTATCACCACGATCTCTCGCGTGGTATCCGCAGCCCATCTCTTGCGACAAGTCTCGCATTATTACTCGACCCGAGTCGAGTTGACGCCCCAAAGGAATGGTGGGGCCTACTTCTAGTCGACATAGGAGATTTGCTTGTCGGTTCGTCCTCCAAATCTCACTCACGTACACAGATTCTAATCTTGGGTAACAGACGACACATTAATGTCGGTTCCAGCCGATGATATGAACATTATTCTCGCACGGCTCGAAGAAGTATATACAAAGTCGCGATTAGGTGGAGGTGGCGAGTACTTAGGTGCTTTGATGAAGCGCTACGAAATGAAGTCTGTCACCGAGGCGCTCCAGAGACTAGAGAGTGTGCGGTTTATACTCGTTCACTCTGCCGCCAGGTCCATGTTATCCGAGGTCGGCGGTAAAGGACGACTATGGGGCGGGAACCAGACTCCAGACGCAGATTGACATCCTAATCAAACATTTCTGCTCGATCTCGTTGTGTACATTGCCTTGGAACCATGTCAATTTGTCATTACCAACTCGTCGACCTTTGAGCGATGGATGCAGAATCCCTAATACGCATTGAGAACGATGAGTTGGAGAAGAGTCCGCTTACTGGGGTGACCCAATCGCCGCAGCTGCACTTCACACCTGCCCAGTCGTAGTTACCAACTTTGGCTTTACAGCGTTCATTTGGACAGATGATCTTGCCAGTGGATTCTCCTTGATCCAGAAACTGCATCCATTGCAGCTGCACAAGTATCAACGAAGAGCGACCTGGGTGTAAACTGCACTCACTGGTTGGACAAAGTATCCAGAACATTGAGATGCAATCATCCTTCCGTTTTCCTGGGCTCCTTCTGAGCTTTCCTCTTGTCCCAATGGTACATGGCCACTCAGATTCGCAACACCGGCCAAGATGCGCCTGTACATGGGTTCGAACAGTCGATTTGATCAAGAGGAGTGCATTACCTGCACATTTTACACCGTATCTTTCGCTCAGTAGACATGGAGGGACTTGGTTGGAAAGAAACTTTGCATTTGGGCGCCTACGCAAGAGGTATACTGGTGACTCGAAGAGGCATGGATTTACAAAGAGAGAAAAAGGAAAAGAAACCCAAAAGCACATAGAGTCGCAAGGGAGTGTGTGTATTTGTGGAAATGGGCCGAAAGGAGAGGCGGAGTAGAGTATCGAAGAAAAAGGAGACTATCACAAGAGATGCATAAGTAGGCTAGACGAACGATTAACGAAAAGAGATAAAGAGCGTGGCGGAAGAGAGCCGTCTATCATTCATTGGCGGACCATCGAGCTCTGGCGCGAGCGACGGGACCAACTGAAGACGCCTCCTTCTCTTGATCTAAGAACAAGGAGCGTATTAGTCAATTTGCCGACTCTGCGTGCAAATTACACTCGCCGGCCACTACGGAAGCTCCAACCCGATGGCGAAGCGGGTCTCTCGGGTCCAGAGTCACCAGCCGCTCCTCTAACGGTACCCCGTTGTTGTTGTTGCTGTTGCTGTTGCTGTTGGTGATGGTGATGATGATGATGGTGATGGCGGCCACCCAATGCTCCAACATCGTGCTTGCCATCGCAGCATGCTCGTACGTTTTCCAGGCCGTCATAGGCATCCTCTGGATCATCGTGTAGTTGGAACTCGGAGTCTTGTGCGTGTGTATTGTCCTCCATTCTTGATGGACTGGCCGGGGCATCGCTGTTCCAACGCATAAATTCGGCCGCAGCAGTTCCCGAGCGCTTGCCGACAGAGCCGTATGGATTAGACATCCTCGAGACGCTTCGCGGCGCTCGCGGCGTGTTGTACGTATCAATAGTGACAGCGGAGTGACCACTCTTTTGACTGCGAGGACTATACTCCATACGTCTGGGTTCCTCGTTTGTTTGAGAAGCCTGGCGCTGATTTGCTGAAGTCGGACTCAAGGCCACACGGGTGGCCGATTGCGACGGTTGGGAAGGAGTGTTGGCAGAGGGTCGAGCAATGAGATAACTCAGAGCCTGTATGCAAGCAATCAGAGCGTGCTCAACATTAGAAGGGAGACACATACATTGAACCAGATGTCGTGCCTCTCCTTTGTGGGAGCGGTAAACTTCATCTCCCTGTTCGCGGTGGTGACAACGACGCTGTACTGATGCAAACCGGGTGGCATCGGATTGGGGTCCATGACACTCTTGACCGACTCGATATACGCTACGCAAACATTTAGAAATGGAAAATCACTCCAAGTAGTCTACTTACCGCTCTTGGCGCTAGACTCGTGCACATTGGTCGATCCCGGGTCTTCCGCACTCCAGTAGATGGTCTTTGTATACGGATGGATCCAGAAATACCGTCTGTGTCTGCGCTCGGTATACTTCTTGCCAATAGGCTTTCGCGTATACTTGTACAAGAACTCGCCAATCATCGTCTGTGTAATCGCGTGAATGATAGCAGGATCCGTAGCGCCTTCTCCAGTGGGTCGGGAAGCCATAGCTCCCATCCCGCTCGCGGCCATGAGGGCTTGGGACTTTGGCGCCTCAGTCACTGAGCGGATGCCGCTGCCCTGATGCTCCGAAGAAATCGAAGACGTGATGGACGGTCGACGAGAGGACACAGAGTGTCTGCTCGACGTCAATGAAGCCATTGACTTGGCACCTCGCGCATTCTTGTCGTCAAACGATTCATGGCCCTCTTCGCCACCAGAGGTTACACCGTTTACAGCAGAGCGGACTTGTCGTGCGGATGCAGGAGGGATAGAGCCTGCGCTCGGAGGCCGAGTCGAGGGGTTGCTGGCCGTTCGTCCCATCGAAGCTGGTACAGCAAGTGTGCTATTTCGACCAATAGTAGGTGTAGTAGCGCGCTGGATGAGTTCAGCTGGAGGTGGTGACATTGGTCGCGGAGGTGGACCCATGGACGGACCAGCCTTGATACTGCCCGCCGATGAAGTGAGAGTTGGCGATGTAGTAGGTGGAGGAGGAAGACGGGGTGGAGGAGGCAGCATCATTGTCGGTGGACGTGTGCGATCGACTGGCTTCGGCACGTTAGCAGCAGCGAGCGTACCAGAGGGCACTCGTGAACGCGATGGGTCGGTAAGAGCAGAGTTGATTGACGCTCCAGTACCAACTCTGGAGCGCTGTGCACCACCATCACGCAATGCAGGTTTGAGCGCCGCCGCGGCTGCCACACCAGCTGCTGTAGGCAGAGCAACAGAGCTGACTCCGGGTGTGTTCGGCCCAGAGACAAACTGGAACTGTTGAGATTGAGGTCCGACCGCGAACAACTGAGCTCCTGGCGGAAGCGTGGGCTTCCACTCGTCGGTCTGGATAGAGACCTCTTTGACTTCAGGCTTGGGCTTCTCAACCTCGACAATCTTGATGATAGGCTCCGGCTTGATCGTGTCTCTCTTATCAGACGCTTCCATCTCCTCATCAGTGCCCACTGCAACGTCACGAATGGTGACATCCTGGGCCGTATTCGCATGCGAGCCAATACCAGGACGCTTAAAGTCCATGCGCGTGACTCTGATACTCTCCGCGCTGTCCGTTTCAGTCTCTTGGCCATCTTCGTCCTCGTCATCGTCGCTCCCTCCAAAGTCGTTGATAGAGTGGAAATCACCGTCGCCCATAGACTGCGCAGGTGTCGTGGCTCCAATTGTCTCTCGTGCATCTTCGTACTCCGTCTCACCATCCGTGCTGAAGCGGCTAGAGCGGCCAGAAGGCAGTGGATCTGTCGGGTCCTTGAACGCAGAAGGCGGTGGCCTGGACATTCTCTTCTCCTGTGTCGCCAATACCGTAGCTCCAGCGGCTCCAGCAGCAGCCGCACCGACTGCGACACCAACATGCTCGATAGGAACCTTCCTCGGGACGACGGGCTCAGTCGGTGGCTCGATCGTCTCCGAGCTAGCGTCAGCGTACTGACGCACAGGCACGGCATCCGTCTCTACCGCGACGCTCTGAGTCTCGACGATGATCGGATCGGTTTGTATCGAGAGCTCAAACCGGGCTGGGGGTGGTGGTGGTACTGGTTCTTCGTCGGTCTGGATAGACATGCTCGCTCGCTCGATGACGGGAGGCGGTGGTGGTGCTGGTTCTTCGTCGGTCTGAATGGACATACTCGCTCGCTCAACGACAGGAGGAGGGGTTGGTGGTAGGAGAAGGTCGCACTGAATGCCCATATCCTGTGTCTCCACCTTTGGAGCAGCGACGACAGAGGGAGCAGCAGCAGTGCTTGCAATCGAAGTAGACGCGACATGCTTGGGTCGCGGAGACACAAACACATCTTCGTCATCCTCTTCAATCTCTTCCTCGATATCCTCTTCACCCAGACCCAACTCAGCTCGCAACCGTTCGTCGTCGACAACGCTGGCATCCGCAAGCCCACCGCCAAGTTCAGACGCCAGAGTTCCAGGAGCCTCAAAGATGGAACCAGGTCGCGACTCGTCTTGCACCTTTCTACCACGACGAGACTTGTCAACGGGAGCAGAAGTCGAATCGATAGAGGGGCGACCCATCTCGCTCGAAACACGCGAGTCGCGTGCGCCCTTGAGCACGTTGGCGTATACAGGATCCATACCGTCCATGCTGCTGGCAATGCTAATGATGCTCTGCGTCTTGTGCTTTCTGCCGAGTGCGTCCTCATCAAGACTCTTGCGTACGTTCTCGCCAGAACCAGCAACAGACTCGCGGTCTTCAGATCGTCGTCGCATTCCGTCGTCATCAACGTCGACCCATTCTTCAGGTTCCATCGAAAAGTCGGCAAGAGGGAGTTCGTGTCCGGTGAATTGGCTTTCGAGGGTCTGGGACTGGCCTGCTTTGGCAGCGGCAGCCAATTTGGCGGCGAGGCTCGTTCTGGCACCTGGACGATTGCCCACGACTCGTCGTCCACCCCGCCCTCTACCGGCTCGAAGTGGTGTAACACGTGGGAGCTCTCCTGGTTCGTCCTCATAGTCCTCTTCGTTCTCTGGCTCTTCTGGCGCAACCTCTTCACCGGCTGCACCGAGCTTTCGACCATACTCCGTACGCAGCTGTCGCTCTCTTGCCAACGAGCTCTTGAGCGTCCCGATTTGACGATGGGCATGAGCCAGACTCTGCTTGAGCGCCTCGATTTCCGCAGCCGTGTGATTAGGAATCGCCGGGGACAGACGGTTGATATTGGGGTTCTTGATGGGGGACACATCGGGCGAGTAGACGTCCAAATCGAGATCGTACCCTCCTTCACCAAAGATGAGGGAGCTATCCATTCTGCGACGTGTCGACGCCGCAGTGCCGAATACATCCTCTCCTCCATCCTCTTCCTCCAAGTCGCCGCCACGAGCGGGGGTGAGGAAGCGCGCGTCGTTTGGGGTCATCGGGCTGCCGAACCGGGCAACCGTTTTGGCTTTCTTGGCCACCTCGGCTTTCAACGTTTCGACGTTTGTCTGTAGTTCTCCCTTTTCGCGCTGAAGAGTGGCGGCCTGTTTGCGCATTTGGGCAACGTCCGTCTCGTGCTTTGTGCGCAAGTCTTGCAGCTGGTTGGCCAACTTTTCCGATTCAGACTTGTGGCCTTCGGACGCCTCGCGCAGCGTTGTCATTTGCTTTTGCATGCGCTTTTGTTCCGACTCTGAGCGTTCTAGAGATGATTGGGTATTGGAGAGTTGTGTTCGCATTTCTTGCAGTGAGACTTCGAGGTTCCAGTTTTCCTCTCTGTATTTGTCTATGACCAGTCATGAGCACGAGGCGCATTGAGAAGAGCGCGAGACATGCCTGCATTCGCTTCCTGTGTTCTCAGTGCTGTCCTAAGGCTGTCGATGGAGCGTTCGAGGTCGTCCCTCTCATCTTTCATGTCCTGGAGCGTTTTGTCGCGCTCGGCCAAGAGGCTTTGAAGTCGTCGAATCTCTGTCAGCAGGCCGCTTCCAATCTCGAATGCAAATTCTAAGAGAATTGTGCGTGAGCACATGAACGCGTAAGCAGTGAGAGACCCAACACGCACCGACATCATTCGCGCGGTGAGCTGCGTTTTTTGCTCGACGCGACGATTGCGCAGCAGAGGGACCATGCGAGGCAGGTTGTGAGTCTGCTTGAAACTGGGGAGTGTCTGCCAGCGTATCCTATCGTCAAGCCGTCAGCCAGAGCCGGGGGTTTCTCAGAAGGAAAACGGGGACAAACCTTTGCGACTGCTCCGTTCCAGAGTGTTTCATTTTCTGTAGCCCAACCGTGCATCGTCTGTGCGAGGTCGTCGAGTTGTGCGCGCATTTCGCTCTCCTCGTCCGTGTTGGCGCCAGTGCCGGCCTCGTCGAGCTCTGCAATCTGGTTTATTCGCTCTTCAAGCTCCATTTGCTGCGCTAGGACGCGCTGGCTGAGGGCTTCTACCTGCTGGAGCTGCCGCTCCTTTTCGTCGAGGAGCGCCTGGAGCTTGTGGCGCATCTGACCACCAACAGACGAACTGTCCATGTCGTTTCCATCGTCGTACGCTGCTCCGTTTGTCCTCCCGCGGCTGACCGTCGCCATTTGCTCAGAGCGGACGGACTCCAAGTTGGAAAGCCCCTCGAGTTTCGGAAACGCGTTTGAAGTGCAGATCCCGCGTGAATGACACGGAGCATACACAATACTCAAAAGTTGATCAATAGTCGAGAATTCTACACGGCCGCTTGGGAATATGAAAGCCCCTGTCTCGAGTCGCGGAACCCGCGACGCTGACGGCTCTGGCGAATCAAAGAGGACCTGAATATCACCATGTGAAACCAGTCACATCTATTCGTGCGTTTGTGGGCGCACCCACGCGGGATAGGCTCCTTCCGTGCTGGCTAGAGATTGTTCCTTGGGCCACATTTCGATAATAATATCAATATATATTCAAGAACAAGTGCATCGAGCCCTTTGGCGAGGTAAAGGCTGCAATTGCACCCTTAGGAATCCAAAACCAGCCGAAATCCCACCGAGATGTGCTCAATGTTATATTTACCAACGTGTTTTTCAGTCTCGGTTGGTTGCTTGATCATCCTTTGCGCGGAACTGGTTGTCCCGGCTGACCCGCCACTGACAAGTTGGTCTTCCACAACTTTTGTACTGTCGACCGGCACGATTCGCCACCTTTCCAGTCGTCTCGGACCGCAACGGGCCGTCCCCACACTCACCCTTTAAATAACTCGGTTCGCTGATCCGACCTCGCTCTGCAAGTTGCCCTCTACGCCTCCCAGCAACTCTTGCTCTTCGTCGTTATCCCTCTAATCTCACTTTTGGGACTGTAAAGATGGTCCAGATTACATCGTACACCATCCGAGGCAGGTATCTGCCGTAGATCTCTTCTCTTTACTCACCAGTGCTCGCAGATGTGCGATTCCCCACCAGTCTGACTGGAGATGGAACAGATGCGATGTGAGTCTACCTTCAAGACTGTCCTTCTTTCTGACGAATCGTGCCTTTAGGAATACAGAATGCGACTACTCAAGCGCATACATTACCCTTCACACAGACACAGATCTCGTCGGTCACGGAATGACCTTCACTATTGGTCGCGGAAACGACATTGTGAGTGTCCCCAGACGACCCGAGATGCCACTCAAACTTATCCGGGTAGGTTTGCGCGGCAATGAGACAGGTCGCCGATCGTCTCGTCGGCAAAGATACCGAGGCCCTGTTTGAGAATATGGGCAAGACTTGGGAATACCTCGTTGCAGATCCTCAGCTGAGATGGTGGGTTGACCGACTGGAGTGACTGCGGCGCCATCTCAATCTCTCTCACAGGATCGGTCCCGAGAAGGGTGTCATTCATATTGCGACGGGTGCTGTCGACAATGCATTGTGGGACATGTACGCTCGCTCTCGCCAAAAGCCTCTGTGGAAGCTCGTCGTCGACATGTCGCCGGTATGTCAAAGCACAGCTTATAAACACAATCTAAACTTTCTGCAGGAAGAACTTGTCAATGCTGCCGCATTCCGCTACATCTCCGACGCCATTACAAAAGAAGAGGCTCTTGAGATGCTCAAGTCGCGCGCTGCTTCCAAAGCAGAGAGAGAAGAGCGCGTGAGAAAGACTGGCTATCCCGCATACGTGACAAGCGCCGGGTGGTTGGGATACGATGACGAAAAGGTCAAGCGTCTCACTCTCGAAGCCCTCCACGCAGGCTTCAATCACTTCAAAGTGCGGCCCCCTTTCTAACGCCACGAAAACCTCCACTGACATTTCTTTAGATGAAAGTCGGTGCCAACCGCGAATCCGATCTCCGACGAGGCAAAATCATCCGGTCCGTGATCGATGACCCCGCAAACCTCCCTCCCAACGCCGCACCACGCGACCCTGCAACGCTTGTCGGTAAAAACGCCGGTCCAACAGGAAACGTACTCATGATCGACGCCAACCAAGTGTGGGACGTCCCGCAGGCGATTGACTATGTGACCTCGCTCCAAGAGATTCGTCCATGGTTCATCGAGGAGCCGACGGCACCAGATGATATTCTCGGACATGCGGCGATTCGAAAGGCGCTCAAGCCTTTGGGTATTGGTGTTGCGACGGGTGAGCATGCGCACAATCGAATGGTCTTCAAGCAATTGCTCCAGGTGCGTCGCCATTGGCCACTATGACAAATCTGACGAAGATAATAGGCGGAGGCGATTGATGTCGTTCAAATTGATTCGTGTCGTCTCGCTGGTGTCAGCGAAGTCCTGAGCGTCCTCCTCATGGCCGCCAAGTTTGGGGTCCCCGTCACTCCTCACGCTGGAGGTGTCGGTCTTTGTGAATATGTGATTCACCTGAGGTGCGAATTATATTATGTCTCCGGTTTGGAGCTGACATATAGTAGCTTGATTGACTACATTGCCGTCTCTGGCTCGATTGACCGAAACGTGCTCGAATATGTTGATCATCTCCACGAGGTACGTTTTTATAGCTTGGAATAACTTGTCTCACTCTCGCGCAGCACTTTACGTATCCCTGCTCGATCAACGCCCAAGGCCACTACAACGTTCCATCGGATCCCAAAGAAGGCTACAGTATCGAGATGAAGGACAGCAGTTTTGCAGAATTCGAGTATCCACAGGGCTCGTACTGGGCCTCGGTGGCGAAGAAATAGATGTTGGGCGCCGATTGAATAGTCGTTAGCTTTGTATTTGGTTCCTTTTGAACTTGACGCTCTCCACGACAACGCCCGGTGCGCCAACGAAGAGTCCTTTCATCGTCTTCGTAAAATTTGGTCAACCATTGGAGAGCAAAAGAATGTCGCACGGATACCGTCAACCCCCGAGCAAGAGCGGAGGCCGCATGCCAACTGATGATGGATGGAATCAGTCTGGACACTCACAAGGACATAGAGGAGCTCCTTATGTCGGCGGTGGAGGACCCGGTGGACCGCCTGGCGCGGCGGGAATGGCTCCAGGTCGCCTTCTCGAGATGGCCGACGTCTTCAAGCAAGAGATTGAAGGCCTTTTGCATGATAATTCAGCACTCAGGAGTCAGAGAGAGGAGTTTGAGGCAAAAGGTGTGTATCTGTGTCCTATGCCGCTCCTCAACATCGGGAGACCGTCCAAAACGAGACGCAAGTTGCGCCTCCCTCGCGGCTTTGGTCTACTCTGTCACACTCTTCTGATAAACTTGTGCTGACAATTTCACGTCATGTGTTCTAGCTGCCGCCCAAATCGCTGAACTCACATCAATCAAAAACATCGTAGCAGAGCTGGAAACTAATTACCACAAAGCCAGGCAGGGCTACGAAGAAGAACTACAGAAGCTGCGGTTAGAAAACCAGTCGCTACGCACTGCTGCTGCACAAGCCAATAGTACGTTTCTTTCGTGGCAAACCCTTTCAGTAAATGACCGTTCCAGACTCCATCTCCAACGTAGACCGATCTGCGGGGCCATCATACCAAAACGACTACAACCGCGACGATAGAAACATCAAGAGGCCTAAACCAATCAAGGAATCGGATCGACATGGTTCGTTTCAGTTTTGAGCCCATTGGTACAAGAGACTGACTGTTGCCAGAGGTCATGCCACCTCGAACGCCACAGCCAGAAATAAGACCCGATTCGCCCTACGAGTTCCCCGGCTCGTTGTCTCCCAGCGCGCTCCCTGCGAACCTCCGCAACAATGGCTCAGACTGGTTCGCCATGCACAACCCGCGTGTTCCGCAAAGACAATTGCTCGACGTCAAACTCAAGCATGAGTTTAACCATGCATCTGTCGTGTGCTGCGTGCGCTTTTCCAAGGACGGCAAATATCTCGCCACTGGGTGTAATCGGACAGCACAAATCTACGACGTCTCATCCGGCGAACGGGTGTGCGAGTTGATTGATGACAAGGCGTCGATGGAAGGAGATTTGTACATCCGTAGCGTTTGCTTTAGCCCTGATGGCAAGTATCTCGCCACCGGAGCCGAGGACAGACAAATCAGGGCAAGTGCTTGCACTCGAGTTTATGTCTTCTTACATTTGTTTTCCAGATTTGGGAGATTTCCAAAAAGCGCATCCGACACTTGTTCGAAGGCCATGAGCAGGAAATCTACTCGCTCGACTTTTCGTCGACGGGAAACCTCATCGTATCTGGGAGCGGGGACCGTACTGCCCGCATCTGGAATCTGGACACGGGGAGCGAGCTCAAGCTTTCGATCATGGATACCAACTCGCCCGATGGGGACGCTGCCATGGGCGAATCTGGCGTTGCAGGAGACGCGGGCGTGACGTCTGTGGCCATTAGCCCCGACGACCGACTCGTCGCTGCAGGCAGTTTGGATACAATTGTGCGCCTTTGGGACGTGCGGACGGGTAAGCTCATTGACCGTCTGCGTGGACATCGCGATAGCGTATATTCGGTTGCGTTTACGCCGGATGGACGTGGACTCGTTTCGGGGAGCTTGGATAAGACGCTCAAGTATTGGGAGCTGAACACGGATGCGCTCCGTGCGTTTGTTGATGGTGTCCCGCGGCCCAACGAGACGTATGCACGATGCATTCACAATTTCATTGGACACAAGGATTATGTGCTCAGCGTGGCGATATCGCATGATGGGCAGTGGATTGTGTCGGGGAGCAAGGATCGTGGTGTGCAGTTCTGGGATACGACGGGGAATGCGCATATGATGCTCCAGGGACACAAGAATTCTGGTGAGTATTTGGAAAGTTGAGTTGCCGTTGCTAATGAGGTCGCCTAGTCATTTCTATCGACCTCAGCCCGACCGGAGGATTGCTCGCTACCGGGAGTGGTGACTGGCAAGCGCGAGTGTGTGAGTGTATTCGAGATGCTTAGGTACTGCTGCTGACGACAAACGATCAGGGTCCTACTCTACTGTCTAAACTGTTGGGAAACCTGGTGGGGTGGTCTTGGTGGATTAGAATGTTCGTTAGCTTGTACTCGAATATGCATTTGGTTGTCTTCTTGTCCTCTGGCTAGGCTTTGTCATCGAGAGCGAGGGCACCGGTGAAACTCTATTTGTTGTTTGGCGCCATTACTCATCGCCGTCTTTATAAGGTGCGCCTTTTCGCGCAATCGTGCATCTTGACCCCGTTCTGACCCACTTGATTATCAGTAAAAATCTACGATGGGTCGTCGTCCAGCTCGCTGCTACCGTTACTGCAAGAACAAGCCATACCCAAAGTCGCGCTACAACCGTGGTGTGCCCGACCCCAAAGTGAGGGAGTTTAAAAGTAGAAAAGCGAGTTATTTGCTGATATCGATTGTCTCGTAGATTCGTATCTATGATTTGGGCCGCAAGCGTGCCTCTGTCGACGATTTCCCATTCTGCTGCCATCTCGTGTCCGACGAGTATGAACAACTGTCATCTGAAGCATTAGAAGCAGCACGTATTTGTGCGAACAAGTATGTGACCAAGACGGCTGGCAAGGATTCGTTCCATCTCCGCGTGCGCGTGCATCCATTCCACGTCCTTCGTATCAACAAAATGTTGAGCTGCGCTGGTGCCGATCGGTGAGCTTACAAAGTGGTCATTCGTAATCTGTCAGACTCAATATTTCCTAGACTGCAGACGGGTATGCGTGGTGCCTGGGGCAAGCCGTATGGAACCGTCGCTCGTGTGGATATTGGTCAAATTATCCTGTCGATTCGCTGCAAAGACGCCAACGCTGCCGTTGTCCAAGAGGCTCTCCGCCGTGCTCGTTACAAGTTCCCTGGCCGCCAAAAGATTATCGTCTCACGCAAGTGGGGATTCACAAACGTCAACCGTGAAGACTATCTCAAGCTTAAAGAGGAGAAGCGTGTGCTCCAGTGCGTTCTACTTCTAAGATTCTGGTTGCAATTGCTAACTTGTTGTAGGGACGGTGCATATGTTCAGTACATTCGCCCGAGGGGCAATCTTGAGAGCAATCTTCGCGCACAACTCCGTGCATGAGCTCATCTTGTTGGTCGCTAGGGTGTGTATTATATCCTGGTTGCTTGATGAACACGATGGCGAGTTCTTGAGCTAGCGGGCGTGAGGTTGTCGTGAGCGCTTCCTCCCTTATATTCACTACAGTGTCCTGTTGTTCCGTGGACACTGGCTAGGGGAAACGAGGGACAGATGGAATTCGCATGGCTAGTCCACTGCTGTTTTGATCCGCGGGCATTGAAATGACCGCTGATTGTTGACGGACGATCATGCGACATGTTTGGATTATTTACCAGTAACAGAGGCCGATCCTTTCGCCGTCAATCTCTCCGCTGTTGTATACGTATAGTTCCTGAATTTCCAAGGGTCTAGTGGAAACCGACGACTAGTGATCTCCATCTTGGACCTTACCACGCTCACCCGTCTTGTCTGCGTTTCTCAACGACTGGCCATTTTTCTTGAAAAAGGATACAACTAGATAAAATGGCCGCACAAGACGAGGACGCGCCGTTCTTCGTCGAGGCGCTCTTTCCGTTTACCGGCACGGACGCCTCGTCGCTCTCGTTTCAGCGCGGAGACGTCATTCACGTCCTTAACAGACTCCCATCTGGATGGTGGGACGGTGTCCTCGACGACGACCGCGGCTGGTTTCCGAGTAACTATGTCCGCATCATCTCAGAGGCAGAGGCAGAGGAAATCTACTCCAGACGAGAACTAGAACTTCAGCAGCAGCAAGAATTGAGAAATCAACAAGAACACCAGCGCCAGATGGCCCACGCCCAGGCACAAGCCAGAGCCCACGAGCAACCGCAGCAGCAACGACAGCAAACGCACCAGAATGTCGGTCAATATAGTCACCACTCGCAGAATCAGTACTGGGACGATAGAACGAGGCCAACGGGCGAATACTGGGAGCCAGAGGTCACAGAGAATGGCCAGGTAAGGATTCCCAGTCGCTGGATACCGCTCGCCATGAGCGATCGTTGACATTTTCTCTTGTTTTAACCTTAGATTTACTATGTCAATTCGCTCACTGGCCAGCGTTCGCGCGAGATCCCGATGGAAGAAGATGGCGAACCACACAATCCACGAGAATACACTCAAGCGCACGGCAATCACTCTCACATGAACACTAACCAACATGCTGTCAACGGTGTGCCCATAGGCTACGGTCGTGAACGGAGTGGCACGACAACGAGTCAAGCTTCGTCTTCGCGCATCGACCCGATTAGTGCGACAGCACAGCGCATTGGGACAGAGATTGGCAGCTACGCTTCCAGTAGTGCCGCCGGGTCCAATGCGCAAGCGTTTGCTCCCCTTCATCGAAGCGAGACTCCCGAGCCATGGCAGCGACGGCTTACCCCTGATGGTCAAGCGTATTACTACGTCAACCCTATCACTGAAGAAACCCGATGGACTAGACCCGAACCGCCGCACGGATACGCCCAAGGCGGACGCTCGGACCAATACGGCTACCCGCAAGGAGCCGCCTCTACCTTGACGCAATTCCCGCCAAGAAACCAGACCTCCAATCATCACGCTCGCGAACGAACAAATTCTGAAGCGAGCTATAGCGGGCGTGAGAGGGATAATCGTCGCACGAGCGTCTACTCGGACACATCGGAAGTGAGTCCGCTCGGACCAGACGTTGTTCATCAACTGCACCATCTCAAAAAGGACGTACGGCCTTGGCCTACTCCTGGTGCACAAGCGACCGATGGTACTGGCGGCAAACAAACCGACTCGACGAACCCATTGCAAATTGCGATTACACTCCAAAGTCAGATGGCGCCCCCACCACTCCCTCCGCTCACTGTCTATTCTGAACGAGCGTGCGAAGCGATCGGGGCAGTTGTCCAGGCCTATGGGGATCCTCTAAGCCTGACGAATGGGGCAAAATCAAATGGACGAAAGGATGGAGAAGCTGGGTTGGAAGGTGCAGAGGGTTCGGATCCTTCAGCCCAGGCCGAAGGAGAGGAGCGAACATCGCTGGATCCGCTCTCCATTCAGACCATGGCCGACCGTGTGGCTCTTGTCGTCATTGCGGTTCGAAATCTCCTCTATGTCTCCGGAACGCTCACTGGATCCCTCCCGAACCTCGGTGGAAGTTTGAACAATGGCATCAACCCCCACGGTGCGGGCCTTAATGGCGTGGGAGCAGGTCTCAACGAGGACGTTGATTGGGTGCGACAAGAGATTAAACCTTTTCAGCGCAAAGTTACAGCCACCCTCTCCAAGCTCGTCCTTTCTGCACGCGCCGTCAATTCGAATCCAGATTGGCCACGATTGGCTGCCGGGGGAGGACCGAGTGCCGCTGCGAGCCGAGTGGAGAACGACGCCAGCGAGCTCGAACGCGCAGTAACGACGTTTGTATACCAAATCTCCAAGTCGGCAGCGTCTTCGCGTGCAAAGAGGCTTCATGGCGCGTTGATGCCCGGTGAAGGAAGTGCCGGGATAGGGCCTGGTTTGATTGGTGCAGGAATCGGAGGCGGGTGGAAGGGTGCAGGATTCGTGCCCGTGCGTGACGGGATGCTGCATAACGGGCCTGAGATTCGACTTGGACGCGAAGTCGTCAGCGAGCTGGCATCGCTGAAGCGGTTGACAGAGGACAAGATTAGCACTCTGCGCGTGTCAGTCGAGTCGTTTAAAGTCGCTGCACCGGCTGCTGCTACCCAAGGTCGCAACTATGATCCTCGGGCGGCGGATGTGGTCATTCTCAATGGACGGTTGACGGTGGCGGCCATCTCCGACTTCCTGATGCATGCAGAAGAGGTGCATATTGCGACGGGTGTAGATGTGATGGGGACAGCTGAAGATGACGATGCGTACCTTGCGAGCGTTAAGCGCGCGCGAGAGCTCATTCGAATGTTTGAGACGGCCAAGCAGGCGCTCTACGACGATGGATCTGTGCTTCTCATGGCCAGTCAAGCGATGCATGTCAGTAGTCTTGGAACGACAACGTCTGTGACCAAGGCAAGCGGTCCGGCGGATGTGTTGCTTCAGACGGCCATTCCGGCGCTGCAGGCGAATTTGGGATGTATCATGGAGGCTTTGGAGTTGCTGTTGGACATTGCGCGCGAGCAAGATGAGGCGCAAGCACAGCGGATGCCGCAAATCGGACCAGATGGGATGCCACCACCGACAGACTATCCACATGATCGACAGCACTATCGCGACGAACTTCGGAGACGACAAGCCGAGTTTATGCATCCGAGCGAGTTGTACGATCCCCTCGAGGATGTGTATGATCGTGGTCCGGGAGCCGGGTTGGGGGACAACGATGAAGTCGACTTGGATTATGTGTTGCAGCCAAATAATCAGAGGACGGCAATTCGACTTCCCTATGGTGCGGCTCCAGAAGCGGAGCATCGGATTTCAGAGGTCCCCTCGGAGGCGACGACGCTCAGGGCAGAAGCAGCAGCGCCGCAGGCGGAGCCGGTCAAGAAGGAGGACCCTGGTGCGGATTCGGATGATTCGCAGAATCCAAGTAAGTGGTTTGAATGTGCCTCTATGGTTGGTCAAATGATTGACTCGTTTGCAGCCCAAGCGAAGCGCAAGAACAAGGCAAAGGATTTGAAGGGCTACTTTGGCGAGCTTCCGCCAGAGGCAAAGCCTGGTTACCTTCAATTGGATCATACAGGTCCATCGGAGATCATTATGAATCCAGATGGGACTGTCAAGGCTGGGACGCTCCCGGCTCTTGTCGAACGGCTCACTATGCACACTAGCCCAGGTATGGGAGGCTCTTCTCGTTTCTCTGTCATTGCTAACGTACTTTGTTAGATGCGAGGTTCAACAATACGTTCATGATGACGTTTAAGAGTTTCGCTACGATTGATAAAGTGTTTGACATGCTGGTCGAACGCTACAATATCCAGCCACCAGAGGGTCTCTCACAAGCCGAGCTTGAAGAGTGGACGACAGAGAAGAAGACGCCAATCAAGCTTCGGTACGTCTCTTCATATAAAGGGAGCTGTTTACTAATTCTTTGTAGCGTGATCAACACGATGCGGAAGTTGATCGACGTGTTGGAAAAAGAAGATTTGCGCATTCTCGATCGTGTCAAGGCGTTTGCGTCGGATATCATCACCTCTGAACCGGAGCGTGCTCCTGTCGCAAAGACGCTTTTAGGCATCGTCCAGCGAGTGGTACGTTTCTCCTTTTTGTACGACGGGCAATAAAGTTTACGGTTCGGGCAGGAGAGGAATGGCATCGAGTCGAAGAGGACGATGCATACAACCACGTCGGATTTCCCGCCACCGTCCATTCTGCCCCGCAAGGGAGGCAACAAGATCAAGTTGCTGGACATTGATCCGCTCGAGCTCGCGCGTCAACTTACAATTCTGGAGAGTGAGCTCTTTTTCAAGATTAAGCAGAGTGAGTGTATTGCACGTGCAAAAGACTCTACTCCTGCCGGCCCGGATAATATCAAGAATGTGATTACGTTGGCGAATCAGGTGAGTTGGATATACAGTTTCGTAGAAGAGGTCTGATTGTGTGTAGATGGCGCATTGGGTTGCAGATGCCGTCCTTAGCAAAGAGGATCCCAGAAGACGAGCAGCGGTTATCAAGCATTTCATCAACGTCGCAGAGGTGCGTTGATATCCACCGGCAGATTGCGTTGGCTAATCAATCATTAGCGATGCCGACATTTGAGCAACTACTCCAGTATGGCTGCTCTGCTCGCAGGTCTCAACTGCCCGCCCATCCGAAGACTGAAGCGCACTTGGGAGCAAGTAAATGTTCGCGTCACGGGCGTACTCGATGATCTCGAGGCGACGCTCGATACGGCCCACAATTTCCAGGGCTACAAAGCAATCATCTCACGACGACAGCCGCCCTGCGTGCCATTTTTGGGTGTCTACCTGACCGTCTTGACATTTATCCAAGACGGTGCCAGGGATACCTTGAACGAGGGCGGGCTGATCAACTTTCAGAAGCGCCAAAAGACGGCCGACGTCATCCAAGAGATTACAAAGTTCCAGATGTTGCCGTACAATCTCACCAAGCTCGCGACGATTCGCCAGTTTATCGACGAGAGCCTCGCTGCGTTACCCGAGGACCCAGACTTTTGGCAGCTCAGTCTCGAGAGGGAACCGAGGGAGCGCGAGGATGAAAAGATGGCACGGTTGCTGCAAGAGAGTGGTTTCTTGTAAATGCGCCGGGGATGATGAATTGGTATCGGGCTTGGTTGTTGCTTTCTATCTTTCTATCGGCTTGCATGGACATTGCTCGTTTAATGTACTTTCTCGTCCGCGAATACCATCATGCCTGTAGCGCTACAAATTGCTTGAGAGCTTTCGAGCGAGTGGCGCTACCTCTTGGCTCCGGCCTCTACTGCGCACCGTTTCCTGGAGCTCGTCAGAGATGTCAGTATAGGAGAGCCTTGAAGCGCCTATTTGTACGAACATTTGGACATTTGGAACCAGACAAACCTCCACAGTTCAGTCTTAGCGGTCTTCACACGAGGCAAACCCTTTCCAGACGCGAATATCAAGGTCGCTGGGCCAGAACATCTTTGCATGCCCCCTCCAGCAGAATGTCTGGCGCCCAATCCAGACGTTAGTGGCAGCGGGGTGAGTATCAAATGTCTTGCTTTCGAGTCGCGAGCCGGGAACTAACTTTTGGCGGTGAGATAGATACGGATTGCATTCTATATCAACACACTTCTCATAGCAGCTGTTCCGCGCGTGTACCCGTTTACAAAACTGCTAGAACCGCTCAAGACGAACAATGGGCTAAATGGGCTCGCCCTGTTGGTGACGGCAGTCGCACAATCTGGGCACGAACTATCACTCTACCATGCCATCATTGTTATACACATGCTCACCTTTCTCGGTATTGCGACGTCGACGACTGGAGAATATAATACGACAAAGATGCGTTTCCGGATCATTGCGTTTACCAGCTGGTGTAGCATGATCGCCTACTTTTATCTGACGATGAAAGTCTGGATCATGGTCAAGTCGTTTGGGAGCCAGCCAGAGTGCAACGACTGGACAGTGTACGTCCTTTTTGGCGTCTCTGTTCGTGCAACGGTGCCGTGGTTGCGGGGTGTCATTCTTGCCCTTGTTGGTCTCGCAATCATAAAGTTTGTTGTCAGCACGACGCGGACCGTCATCTCCCTCTGTTCTGACCGACGCATAAACGACTCGGCGTCGGAAGAGTCGGACGAGAAGCAGGGGTTGTTTTCCACCATTTCGAGGTGCCTCCCATCACTCTACACTGATCGTCGTAGCCCAGGGTGGATTGCGCGTGTGCTTGCGAGCATTTATAGCGTGGTCATGCTTGAGCTTACGATCCGGAGGAACCCGTCGTCAGATGAAGAAAAAGTCTGGTCGTTTGGCCAGATTATTGCGCTTCTCATTACGCTCATGACGGTCAACGAGATTATTCACTTTGTATTCGGAGAGGATCTAGACCTCAATCTTGGACAGAAATGTAAGTGTTCCTTGTGACAGTTCCGATAGACCCTAACCAGTATAAGTCAATGCTTTATTATACAGGATTAGGCATGGGCGTGCTCGTCGTGACTCGCAGTCAGGCAGGGGCTCTGAACTACAGGATGTCGAGCAAGGACAAAGGGATTAGGAGGTCGGCATTCCAGATGGAAATCATCACAACTGAATAGAGTCGCGTTTGATAGTGATCGGTATCTTACCTAGCGCCAAGGGGTCTGGCATAGCATCACTTTCCGTCCTCCAGAGAACGCGTTAATGATATGAGACTGCGGACTGGTAAACTCGTCTTGAAGTCAAGTGGCACTTTGGCTCAGTAGTTCAGTCACGGTGAGCGACCACGATTCTCAGTCGTGATGGCTAGGCTGAACCTTGGTAGAGTCCAAGTCGTGCCGGCGCGTTTGTTCAATGCAAAATGGAAGCTTTCCTTGTTTCGGAACTAACAAACATCTAGGAGATCACAGCATTGACATAATTACAAGGATTCGTCAAGGCTCATAGCGCCGAGCCCGCCCTCTTCTCACGGGCTTGAGATACGAAGCGACCTAGCTGCCCTTTGGAATCCTCACTCACGCGCAGCCGAAATCATCGGCTCCGGCTAAGACGCGTTGCCTGCGCCCATCTGCGGAATGCGAGTAGTAGACGGCTGGGCTTCGGAAGCTGATGGAATTCACTCTTTTGAAGAGAGGAACATCAAATTTTATGTGTCTATACACGGTCACTCCTCTTCAAACCCGCCTCTGCTCGAGGTTATCACATCTTTCCAAAGTCACATCGACCTTGCATTGTTCCAAGGTTGTGTTCAATTACTAATGTGCTGGGAAAGGATCTCGTGGTCCACCTTGCGGCTCAGACTGTCGAGGTGATAGCGCAACCCAGCATACTCTCCGCCCAACCACGATGCGCGCGCCAAACTATCAATTCGCCCCCCGCTGACTGGTGATATATATGTGCGAAGGATGTGAAGGATGCCATAAAAAAACCTTGGAACGAAGCGGCGCGCCAGCTCTCAACCATCGACACCCCATCTACCCGTACTGTATTCGCCACAATAGCCATGGCTCAGCTCGAAAAACAAGCATCCTCAACTAATGTTGTGGATAAACCAGAACAAGTAGCGACTGCTGAGACAAAGACCGAAGCCAAGGCACAGCTCATCGCTAGCATCAAAAAGAAGAGCAAAAAAAGCAAAAAGAATGCAAGAAAGGTCAAGACGGAATATGAGCCCCCTAAGGAGCTCGCTGGTATCCTCGCTACAGAGCAGTTGCAAGAGGCAATGGACCGCGCCCGGGAGCGTGTCGCGACCATCAGCCGCCTGTGCAGGGCGCGCAACGAAAAGTTCAAGTGGGTACTGTCAGTATCTTGATATCAAGAAACTAATCCGATGTAGGGATTCCGAGTTTGACTTCTCAAGCGATAAGGATGCATGTCTTCATGGTCTCGGGCTGGACGAGAGCGCCCGCTATGATACTTCGGGTGTCATGCGTGTCACAGAGATCTTTGATAACCCCGTCCTCTTCAAGGATGGCGCAAATGCGTCTGACATTGCCCAGGGAGTTGTCGGTGACTGTTGGTTCTTGTCAGCCCTAGGAGCCAGTACGTAACACGGTCATCATGAACCTTGCTAATAATTGTCAGTTGCGGCTATTCCTGGTCTCATTGAGAAGATCTGCGTTGCTCATGACGTTCAGGTCGGAGTGTATGCCTTCATCTTCTTCAGAGATGGACTCTGGCAGGAAGTCATCATCGATGAGTAAGTGAAGTCCCACCTAGATGCATATTCTGACACTGCATCAGCCAATTGTTTGTTTCTACAGCTTCCTATGACGAGCTATCGTTCGAAGAGGCAAAGGTTTATCACTTCGACCGGGATCTATACAACTCTATTGCTCGAAAGGGTCGCAAGATACTTTGCTTTGGTCGTGGTCTCACCGATGATGAAGTCTGGGTGCCTCTGATTGAGAAGGCATATGCCAAGTTCTATGGCTCCTACGCTGCCATTAGCGGTGGCTGGACTATGGAAGGAATTGAAGATTTGACCGGTGGCGTCAGCTATGCGCGCGAGATGCACGACGTACTTGATCTTGACGCACTCTGGAACGAGCTTGTCGAGCATACGTCTCGAGAGAACAAAAGCAAGACATACGCGTGTGGCAGCAACCGACCTGAAAACGCAGGAGGCGTAAAACAGGAGAATTTGATCTACAACCACGCGTATGCTGTGCTCAAGGCTGCAGAGTACAACGGAAAGCGCTTTGTCGTAATCCGTAATCCATGGGGCAACAACGAGTGGAAGGGGCGGTGGAGCGACGGAAGCAAAGAATGGACAAAAGAGTGGCTTCCTGCCCTCGATGTGCTCGACCACAAGTTTGGAGATGACGGGCAATTCGTCCAAGAGTGGAGCGACTTCTTGACCCATTGGCAGTCGATCGATGGTGCTAGGCTATTCGATAGCTCATGGAAGGTTTCAAGTGTATGGGTTGAGCTGACTGGAATGACCGCCCTTCACGCCGGAAAATGGGGCGACGTATCTTGTGAGTCCACTCTCTCTCTATCCTGGTCACCTTGAATGATATGTTCTAGTCACTATCTCCGTCCCCAAGCGACGCCTGCTGTGATCGTCTTGCAAAAGGTCGACACCCGCTCCTTTAAAGATATTGCTGGGCATCTGCTCTATGACTTTGACTTTGTGATTTTCAAGAAGGGCCAGAAGGATATTTATGCCACGTCTTTCCGCAAGGGTAAATGGAGGCGCAGTCAGAGCACCGAGGTTGACTTTGAGGCCGGTGACTACATTGTCCATGTTCGCTTGGATGCCCTTGCGTACAAAGAAGCCGTATGTTACTCCTTTTCTGGGTTCTACATCGATATTCACCAACTTTGTAGGATTATTTGGAACAGCTGCTACCTCAAATGAACGAACGTATCCTCGCTCAGACCGTCGCGAGGCGCAAGGCAGCTTACTCTCTGGCACTCAACTACTCTGACCAAAACGCCGACAACAGTATCCCAGTGACACTGGACAACCTAGCTGGATATGACCTGACGGAGATTGAACTCAAATGGATGGAAGAGAAACGGGAGGCCGATGCAAAGCTCAAGGCGGAAAAGAAGGCTGCTCTCGAGGCGAACGGTGCCACTGATGAAACCGCTACAACGGCAGGTGACGAAAAGGAGGAGAAAGAAGGCGAGGGCGAGGAAAATAAGGCCGAAGCAGAACCCACCACCGATCCCGCAGCGCATGATGGAACGACGTGCAAAATGTGCTCCACCTCGCCAATCAATGGTGCCCTTTATACCTGCAACGAGTGCGTACACACATATATCAACCTTTTATTACTCATCTGCTTGCAGCGAATCGTGTCAAGACTACACCTTGTGCACCGCCTGCTTTGAGAAAAAGGAGCACAATCAAGCGCACTCTATGACTGTAAGGACGACACCGACCAAGATAATTCACGTTGGGGAGCAATGCAGCAGCTGCAGCAAAGAGCCGATCATCGGAACGCTTTACCGATGCATGAAGTGTGTGACTGTGTTCTCTTATAGATCTGTTTTCTGACGACATATAGATCTGACTGCGATACCAATGCGTTATGCTCGGTTTGCTACGACAAGAAGGAACACTCTGCAAAGCATCCCATCCTTGTCCAGCCCTTCCCGGAAGAGGCAGAGGAGGAAGAAACGCAAGAAGAAGAAGAAGAAGTACCAGTGCACGAGAATTTTACATGTGATATGTGCGGAACTTCGCCAATCGTCGGTCCGAGATTCCATTGCATCGAGTGAGCCCCTCTGCCGTTGATCTACGTTCATGATACTGACTCTATGTGCGTAGTGTTTCGTGCCCCGACTTTGACTTGTGTGAAAAGTGCAATGCGCGTGGTGTCCATTCACCGACGCACCACATGATGCGCTTGAACTCGCCGGAGGAGGCGACCTATCTCAACGCTAGCGTATGTATAGACTACTTTTTGGAGTTGATGCTAATCCTTTCCAGTCTTCAGATGGCTCCGAGCTCGTATTGGGCCTTCGGGTCTACACCAAGGCTTTTGCACCTGCCACGCTTGCTGCCCAGCTCAAGCACGTGATGCTGACGGCTTAAATGATTGTATAATATGCATGGGGAACACCGCTTGCAATGAAACAAACATTGGATTCTGATCAGTGCTCTGAAAGAGTTAGATGGAGAGAACACGCAAAGAGAAATGGATACCTTTGGCCATTATTGAACCTGGGATTCATCCCAGGAGCGCTATACGTCACTATACTTTCTCGTCACTCGATTCGTGTACTACGACGCGGCCATCCTGAGAATTGTAAGCGCGCATTCGGGATTCTTCGTCGCACTCGCCTCGACCGAATACGATAGCAGTTTCCCAGGTGCATCTTTGGGCACAACCGGCGTCGCCATGATCCTCATAAACCTATTCTGATAAGCCCAATTCATAGCTATCCACCTCTTGCGCACCTCTGCCCTTGGTCTCCATAAAAGAGTAAGAGCCTATACGTCTTCTGAGGCGGATACCATCCATCGCCCAATGCAGGGAGCATCACAGCACGGGCACCTGTCGTCTCAAATGTCGCCGTTGTTCCATCTGGATTTTGAAGTTTTGTCGAGAGTTGAACTGTTGCGATACATGTCGTGCCGAGTTTTGCGAGTGTGGTGCGAAAGAGGGTGAGTAGGCGTGTTCTTACAGAATGAGAGGGAAGCCGTTGAAAGGGCGTCGAGAGGCCGGAGAAGATAATGAGAGAGATCTGCATGTCTCTTTAATTTCAATGAAGTAGGAGTGATGAGATGCTTACGCTGGGACGAGAGCTGAGATATGTGGGGAGCTGGTTCATGAATACGAAGAGCTCTGCGTATCCCGGTGTCGAGACATGATGAATCTTATCCGCGTCTGATCCCAATGTCTCATAAAGGCGCAGTGGATGCAGGGTGGATTGACAATCTGCCCGAGTTAGGCAAGTAGACGAGTTGATACTTTTACGCACCGACAACGAGCACCTCGAACCCATCATGCAAAGTCGACCGTATGAATTCAAGAGCCAGGCTAGTTTTCCCGATACCAGGTGGACCAGCAATCTCCAGACACTGTCCTTTTCTCAAACCACCACCAAGCAGAGTAGTGATTGTCTGAGATTCTATACCGATGACATGGAGGTTTGCGAGGAGTGTCGACGCAGACTGGCTGGTCGGAAAGAGTGCATTGGCTTGGGTTCGCGGTTGAACAGCCGCACATTGAAGTACTTTTTCTGCTTCTTGTTGTGATATATTCAATTCTGGTTACTCCTAATGAGCTCTCGCTGGCCGGTTGAAGAGCCGGGCCAACCTGCAGCTAGGGATTCAGATGTACATCGTTCGAGATCCTTTACAGTTGAATATCCGGCGTTTGTGAGTAATTTCAACGTCTGTGCCGAGATGGTTAACAACGAAAGGGGCTTCGACATGGAGAGGTTCAAGCGAATTTTGCCACTTTCACCGTGCAAATCATAGAGTATAAGAATGCTCGTATTCGTAAAGTTAGAGTACACCCTCATCAGACGCCATCGTAGCTCGCACCACCGGCCTAGTCCCATCAGTTCCAGGCTTGACACAAAGCACAAAGAGACGAACCTTTCGCAGCCGGACGATAATAGGCTCCTCTTCGAGATCTTCCTTGTCCTTTGCAGCAACTTCGATTGAAAAGATGCGTAGAACCGACTTTACGTCTGCGGTGTGCACAGAGAGCTTTGCCTTGCGCATCACCTTGACCTGTTCGCCGATCCAGACTACGAGTACGAATTTCTCGCGGAGAGATTCTTTGTCGTTTGAATAGGATACGCGAACATAGGCAAACGAGGCGTGGTCGTCGCGGAGATGGTCCTTTAACTCGTTCAATCCGCCCGAACCCGTGGCCGTCAGCGTGAGCTTGTCCGAGCGCGCATTCTCATAGTCGATCAAGAGCCAGTTTATCTCCGACTTGTCGTTTCGGACTTGGTTGTAGGCTGCAACGCGTCTGTTAGTTGTTGATATGAGAGAAGGAGAGGAGACGAACCAGTGGCGATTTCAGGATCCGAGACGTCGGCCATTGTTGCTTTTTTCCGCAAGAGGCTCTCAACTCGTGGTCCAAGGGCCGTCACGGCAGAGTCCAAGGTCGGTTGGACTCCCACCATGAACTCGCGATGGACACTCCACTCGGTTTCTCTTTCGAAAACATTTTATACGCGCAGAGTGTGTGCGTTTCCTCTTTTGCCGACACGACGAGGCGTCAAGTCGAGCGCGGTTCAAACTACGAGTAACTCTCAAGGTCGTAAAGACTCTGGACCAAGTCCCCTTAGTCCACTATCACGTATATACGCGCGTGGTATTCCAGAAGAGCGCGTACGACCGCGTTTGGATACAACAAAAGAACGACATAAGCGCGAAAAGGCGCCAGAGATACAGTACAAGCCGTCCAAGGGTCTCAAGAATGGTCCCTCATCGCCTAGAAAGCTCGTCGTCGCATCGACTACGCGCCCCTCGCGGGTGCCCATCTGGGCTCGCCCTGCTTCTGCGCAGACACAAAAAGTTGAACGACCAAAGGCACCTGGTGGTGTATCTTGGTCTGAACATCGTGCTAGATTAAAAGAACGATATCCGGAGCGATGGAACCCGTCGAAAAAGGTGTCACGCGAGGCGATGGAGTCGATGCGCGAGTTGAATAAATTGGATCCTGTCAAATACCCTTCATTCGTACTGGCTCAACGGTTTGGGATTAGCCCCGAGTCTGCGAGACGAATCTTGAAGAGCAAGTGGAGGATGAGCGAGGAGGAGAAGCAGGCAGAGGTGGAAAAAGAGAGGAAGAAGAGGGCGGAGAGGATTCGTGCGATGAAAGAAGAGGAAATGCACCAGCTAGTGCGAGCGGGAATCAAGCTCAAGGTGCACCCAGACGACGAGCTGTCGCTACGATGAACAAAGCGGGGGGTTCTCCTTTTTTGATGGGACCATGCTTATTCGTTTATGCCAAGCTCCGTTGCGCCGTCGTCGTCGTCGTCGTCGTTGTTGCATCTCCGTGCTGCCTAGTGTTTCGACGAATAGCCAAGGTCTTCTGTGGTGCATAACAGCGGTAGTCTTAGTACCAAGGGAACCAACTAGCGGGGGGGGGATTTGAATTGGTCGGAAAGGTGACAGCTGGTGGGATCGCTGATGCCGGGTCCGATGGAGATATTTGGACATCATGGGTCATGATCCGTGATAAGTAAAAAATAGATTTTCTCTGGCGTCCGTGGGCTGTTCGTTTGGAACTCTGGGTTTGTCAGGCGTTGCCGATGGGAGCGCTTAGAAGAGGTCGAATGGAAGAATGATGAATCCGCCGAACCGGCAGTGGACGGCTCCCCCGCGGTTGGAAGACGGACAGATTCGAGGAAGAAGGTAGGCATTTCCGAAGTCCATAATCTAATGAGAAATCAACACCGAGTGTACTTGGCGACAAGCAGAGGCTGAGTTTGGAATTGGGGATCCATCGATCAAATGGCCGCTAACGGACAAAGCAAGACCCCCTCTCGGCTGGCTGATTGAGGCGTTGGCAGCCAATCACAAGCCATCATTGTCCTATTTGTGGTCGAAATGCGTCATTTGGCCATTTAGGAGCTGCCGCGGCATACGAGCTCCTCATTGTTGGAGGAGTGGGCGTAAAAGCATCGTCAGCGAGGGCATCTGTAGCTCTGTTGAGCGTGTAGATAATTTTGGTAGAATTATCGTGTCGGGTGAATGGTTGAGGCTGGGACCCAATGTGGTTATAAACCTCGACGAGACCCAGTTTGAATCTTGTCCTCCTACCACGACTGTCCCCCTCCCAATTCCCATATTCCCTGCATTATTCCCCTTCGCGATCGTCAGACACCCCAGTCTGTCCGTAGCTCTCTAGCTGCGTGTCGCATCGTCTAAACAGCTCCGAGTCGAGTACGTCGTTGCCCCGCTCCTCCCTCTGATATTTCCACAAACTCATAACGCTCACCGCACTCCATCTCTCTAGACAGTCGACAACACTTGCATCCAACTCTCATCCCAGGCGCAGCGCACCCATCATGTCCGAGCCAGTTGCCAAAGAGGCGGGCCCACCCGCTACAGAACCAGAAGTCACAGAGGAGAAGACGCAGAAGAAACGCGAGTATAAAGAGTTTGAAGGCGAAGAACATGAGACTGTCCGTGAGTATTGCACCTCCCGTCTTTTTCTTCCTCCCCGTTCCCCCGCCTCTTGTGGACGATTCTGCGCGATTTTTGGAGTATTTCCCTCGTGGATCCTCACAAAACGCGTGCGCCCCGGCGTGATTGCACCTGATTTTCCCAAGTCGTCCGACCCATGCTGACGATAAGCCCTTTCCGTGTCGTCTGACAGATGCAAAGGTCGACATGAACACGGTGAGCCTCCTTTTCTCATCCCCATCATCCAAAACGTCATGTTTGATTATTTTTGGCCCTCCTACGTTTACGCTATCAAACCCAAAACGACGCGCTTACGGCCCGTCGCGAGACCGTCTCTCCTCGTTTCGGTTGATTATGTGTTTGTGCTGCCGTTACCGTCGGAACGTTTCGGCGGTCGAGCGATCCGTAACCGAATCCACGCGAGGAAAAAAAAAAAGGGCTGCGCACGAGCCCGTCGTTTCGACAATGGTTCGACATTGCGAGCCGTACACAAGCGGATGGGCCCTCGAAATGATCTCTCCATCTTGACCACTCTTCTGGTTTATCTCCACTCCACGGGTCGGCCGCCTTGGCCCGGTCAAACGCCATTTGTCAAACGTGTGTACTGACCAAAAAATGTCCCTCAGATCGAGCTCAAGGCCGAAGACTTGTACGATAAAGAAAAGGTCGATCTGGAGCGTGTCGAGCTCGGAGACGTTTTCAAGCTTCTTCAAGCCTCCGAGGAAGGTCTCACTTCGGAACAAGCTGCCGAACGTCTGACCATCTTTGGTCCGAACAAGTTGGAGAGCGAAGAGCAGAATCCAATTCTGCAGGTACGTTGAACACAATCTGCAGCCTTTCCCTGACTCAGGCTCTCGCCAGTTCCTCTCATTCATGTGGAACCCGCTCTCCTGGGTCATGGAAGCTGCCGCTCTCGTCGCTATTGCTCTCTCAAACGGTGAAAGCCGCCCACCGGACTGGCCAGACTTTGTCGGTATCGTCCTCCTCTTGCTCGTCAACTCTGCCATTGGTTTCTACGAAGAGCACAATGCCGGAAACGCCGTCAAGGCGCTCATGGACTCACTCGCACCAAAGGCAAAGGTCAAGCGTGACGGCAGCTGGAAGGAAATCGAATCGGCAGACCTCGTCCCCGGAGACATGATCTCGTTCAAGATTGGTGACATTGTCCCCGCCGACTGCCGTCTTACGGAAGCGATCAACGTCTCGATTGACCAAGCTGCTCTTACCGGAGAGTCGCTCCCTCAGAGCAAGAAGACGGGTGACCAATGTTTCTCGTATGTATTTTCATTCCTTTTGGGGCAAGTTGTTCATCTCTGACGACTCTCAGTGGCTCTACTTGCAAGCAAGGAGAGGCAGAGGGTGTTGTCATCTCGACTGGTCCCAACACGTTCTTCGGTCGTGCGGCCTCGCTCGTCGGTGCCGACGACGATACCACGGGTCACTTGCAAAAGATTCTCGCTCAGATTGGTTCGTTCTGCCTCGTCGTCATTGGCATCTTCGTCCTTCTCGAGATTATCGTCTTGTACGGCAAATTCCGCTACTCGTACCGTCACGGTCTGGACAACATCCTCGTCCTTTTGATCGGTGGTATCCCCATTGCAATGCCCACCGTCTTGTCCGTCACTCTCGCCGTCGGTGCTCAGCAACTCGCCAAGCACAAGGCCATTGTCACCCGTATCACCGCCATTGAGGAGCTCGCTGGTGTCACCATCTTGTGCTCGGACAAGACTGGTACGCTCACGACCAACAAGCTCACCATTGACAAGACCCTCGTCCGCACCTATGGCCCCTTCTCCTCTGACGAGGTCATTCTCCTTGCCGCCTATGCCTCGCGCACCGAGAACCAAGACGCCATTGACGGTTGCGTCGTTGGCACGCTCGATGACCCGAAGAAGGCTCGCGAGGGCATCAAGTTGCTCGACTTTAAGCCGTTTGACCCCGTCATCAAGCGCACGGAGATTACCTACCGCGAGGAGTCGACTGGCAAGCTCAAGCGTGTCACCAAGGGTATGACCGGTATCATCATCGAATTGTGCACGCGCAACAAGACTGCCGAAATCGAGGACCAGCTCGAGCGCGATGTCGAAGAGTATGCCAACCGTGGTCTCCGTACGCTCGCCGTCGCCTATGAAGAGCTCGAAGGCGACAACCCAGAGGCTGACGGAAACGGCTTTGAACTCATTGGTCTCCTCACCATCTTTGACCCACCGCGTGCCGACACCAAGGAGACGATTGACAATGCCCTCGCGCTCGGTGTCAAAGTCAAGATGGTCACTGGTGATCAGCTCGCTATCGCAAAGGAGACTGGACGCCGTCTTGGATTGGGTGACCACATGTACCCTGCCAAGGTGCTCAAGGAAGGTCCTCCACCAGGTGGCAAGCACATGTCGCTCGAGGAGATGATCTTGGATGCCGATGGCTTCGCTGGTGTCTTCCCCGAACACAAGTATGAGATTGTCAAGACGCTCCAGGGACTCGGCCATTTGTGTGCCATGACTGGTGACGGTGCCAACGACGCACCCGCTCTCTCCAAGGCCAATGTCGGTATCGCTGTCGAAGGTGCTACGGACGCTGCCCGAGGAGCTGCCGATATCGTGCTTACGGAACCCGGTCTGTCGACGATTGTGCACGCCATTCGCCAGTCGCGTATCATTTTCCAACGTATGCGCAACTATTCGATTTACGCGTGCGCCGTCACCATTCGTATCGTCGTCTGCTTCGCCATCCTCGCCTTTGTCTACAAGTTTGACTTCCCGCCGTTCATGGTGCTTATCATTGCCCTCTTGAACGACGGTACGATCATGACGCTCTCGGTTGATCGTGTGCTCCCCAGCAATACGCCCGACAGTTGGGACTTGGCAGAGATTTTCGCATATGCCTTGGCATATGGCCTGTATCTCACCATGTCGACGTGAGTACACTCTTTTTGGTATAGGTGATTGGGTTGCTGACGCTAGAATAGGATTGCACTCCTCATCATCATCCTCAAGACCAACTTCTTCGAGGAGAAGTTTGGTGTCACTCTCGACAAGGTTTATCCCGACGGAGCCAAGGATCCCAACGACTATATGATTCACATGATCATGTATCTCCAAGTCGCCATCATCTCGCAGGCGCTCATCTTCGTCACGCGTTCGCACGGCTTCTTCTTCATGGAGATGCCCTCGTACGCACTCCTTGGTGCCTTCTGCGTCGCTCAGCTCATTTCGTCCATCATTGCCGCGTACGCCAACTGGGGCTTTACGCAGATCAAGGGCATTTCGGGTGGCTGGATTGGTATCGTGTGGGTGTGGAACATTATCTGGTTCCTGCCGCTCGACTTTGTCAAGTTTGCGATGAAGGCGACGATTATCAAATATCTCCGCCAACGCCACGAGCAACAGATTGCGCAAGAAGTCCGGGGTCAATCTCAAGGTGTGCCCATGGCACGCACGACTTCGCGTGTTGGCAGTATCCACGAGAGCTTGTACAGCAATCGTGTCAGCTTTATCAAACGTGCTGCCCGAAGCGTTGGATTCAAGGGCGGCAAAAAGGTTCACCTGTCACGTGAGTTTCTTCTTCTTCTTCTTCGTGTATGGATCGTGTACTGATGGCGTCTTTGCAGAAAACGAACTCCAGCGCTTTGCATCGATCCAAGCTGCGCATACGGGACAGACGCTGGCTCGACACGCTTCGCGTCAATAGATGATGTGCGATGTGGGGCGGCGTTGCCAAGTGAGACTTGGAGACTTGGTGGCCGGCGGTTCTATTCTTCATTCAACATTTATACAGCCAGCTCTCCGACGTCTCCAATGGTCTCTTCCTGGCAATCCACTGCATTCTCGCGCACGATTGGGGTGGTGTAACAATGTGCTGATTCGCAATGGCTATTGATTCTACGTTACGGTATACATTCTTCCTTTGATTATTCCGTTGCCCGAATAGTGTTGCGGTCTGTGTTTGTCTGCCCGTTGTTTTATAGTCCATGAAATGAACGGAATTGATCTCATGCTTGGTCTCTTTTAGTTTCTCTCGCTCCGACAATTTGACCTTGAGGGCGGGTGGTGGACTATACCTGGACTTAGTGCCCATTCTCGACGCGCGGTTACTGAGGGGTGCGTTGTAAAGTCATCACGCATATATATGCGATAAAAGTTCTACATCAGTTTCGGAAGCGCTTGAGTGGCCGTCCAAACGTCGACGAGCGACGTTACTCTCATACGGAGGACGAGCGGACACAGGCATTAAAAGAACAAAGTTAGGACATCGTTTAGACCAATTCACGGCCTGACACGTCTCAAGCATTACGCCGTACGAACGTAGACGACCTTGGACCCAACTAGACTCACATTTTCTCACTTCAACACCTCAACTTTCAATACTAACCAATCTCGTCTACCACTGCATCTTCTCACCTCGTTCACAACGTCAACCCTGGCCTTTTCATGCCAAAATGCCGCCTAAACAAAAAGAATACACGCGTCAACAGCTCACGCGTGGTCTGGCATTTCAAGACCAGACACCCAATTTTCTCAAAGCCTTTCAGGCGCGCGTGAGTGGTCGTGGAGGGGGTGCGGATGACGACGACGCGCCTGCGATTGCAAATGACGACGAGTACCCGGATATGGATCAAAGTGATTCTCGTTATGAGAATGGTGATGGTGGTGGGGTCAAGTTGGATGAATTTGGTCGTGAGATACGGATGGGAAGTGAAGAGCGTGAGATGAGAGCAAAAGTACAAGAGAAGAAGCGATGGGAGAAGAGGATGGAAGAAGGGGATGAGGAAGGGGATGAGGCCCCTTTGGTTGTTGTGCTCAAGGAGGGCAAACATTTGAGCGCGCGGGAGGCGGAGAATGAGCGACGAAAGGGTACGTTGCTCTTCTGGTGCTTGGTGCTTTGGTCCTAATGAGAGTCTAGCTCGTGGATTGCCGCCTCTTCCCGATGACGAAGACTTGTCGGCTGCGAATTCCTCTGTACCCAAGGGTGATGTCGAGACCCAGAAGCTGGCCAAGACAGAACCAAAGTCGTCTGTCCAGCTCGGTGGGCGTCCCTCTGGTGCAAAGCGAAAAGCGCCAGTAGGTGGCCGGGAAGACGAGCACGATGTACAGGCTAGTAGGGGAAATGACCAAGGCCCGGCGAAGAAGAAGACCAAAAAGGAGGAAAAGGTGAAGAAGAAGCCCGTCAAGGGGTTACTCTCCTTTGGTGACGAGGCTTAGATCCTATGAACTCATGCTTGCGTTAACGCACACTCCTCGGGTCATCTACACTCGTTAACCCCCTGATATCTATCGACTCCTATGACCAGTTTTTCAGAACCAAAATGTCTGTTCTTGCTCGCAACGGAGCAGACTATTCTATTGCGGTACGCCGTAGTAAGTGAGTCTAACAACGGGAGGCAGGTTCGCGTGAGTGGCCCGCCTTGTTCGTGCATAGATGAGGCGGATTTGACAAATACGGTGGATTGTGCTACTTATATGAGCCCTATATTCCTGGTGCCGTGCTGCACAACGCACGTTGCCGAGCTGGCAGTGCATCTTGGAGTCGTCCATCTTTGTCATGTCGACCCCAAAGTCCAAGAAGCAGCGCAAAGCTGCAAATATACCGGAGCCTTCGTCCACCGTGCGGCACTCATCAAGCAAAAAGGGTCAGATGTACGACACACTGAACCTGGGCCTTGATGTAGCGGCCAACGCGGCTGAGGCAATCAGTGTACTCGCTCCTCTAAAGGCTGCTTGTCGAACAACAAAATCTATCCTCGAAGTGCTACAGGTAAGGTGGCGATGCCGGTGCCGCTTCCGCTAACCACAAGGAAAGGCGATGGACCACAACGAAGCAGAATGGATCGATCTAACACATCGTCTGGGGCAATACCTGGACACGCTTGAGCAACAAATCCCCCTGTTTCAGTCCTATCCTTCACAGGCCATCGAACATGCGTTTAGCCAGCCACTCAACCACTATGTCGAGTACGTGAATGGTACAACTCGATTTTCGTAGTCTGAGAGATACAGATTTCTTCGAGATATGCTTGCTACTGTTGTTGACCTACAGACGAAACGCAGTGAAAACAAAGTCGTCGGCTTCTTCAAAGCGCTATCTAACTTCAAGGCTGACACAGGGGAAATTCTTAAACTTAATCGGGACATTGAAGATCAGCACAGAAGATTTATGGTGCGAGCTTTATCAGTATTCTCCGCGAGCTCACTACAGACGCAGGAGTTACTGGGAATTCTGACCGCGCTGCGTGTTCAGGCAATCGAACGGGATGCCAAAACCAACGTAGAAACAATCCTCGCAGATGGTAGGCTGGAATTTGGTACGGGACACTTGCTGACTATCCCCAGTGGATACCACTGCTATACTCCAGCTACCGTCGGTAGCATTTGTTGCATCTTCTGTCCACAATGCATGCCTGCAGGGGACGCGTGAAGCTGTCCTTGAGACAATCTGGCAGTGGGCCAACAACGATGCCTCAGAGAAACCGATCCTTTGGCTCTGTGACATAGCTGGCTCTGGCAAATCCACAGTCGCAATGTCCGCAGTGGAGTCATGGAGGAAGGAAGGTGTGCTCGGTGGCCAATTCTTCTTCTCCATAACAAGCAACGATGCATCAACCACCGACAAGTTCTGCTCCACAATAGCGAGAGACCTTGTTCAGTACATTCCTGAGCTCGCGCCGCATATCGCCGGGGCCGTGAAACGAAACCCTTCTTTGATGCGAAGTCCGTTTAATGAGCAGCTTCAGATGCTCATTACCAATCCTGTCAACCATCGACAAGGGAGGGTAATCCTTGTCATTGATGCTCTGGACGAATGTAAATCTGGGTCACAGAGAAGAGAGCTTGTCGATACCTTTTCTGTGGCTGTTCAAGAAACCAAGAACCTCAAGATATTCGTGACAAGTCGGCCAGACCCCATTATCGAGGATGTGTTGGGGTCGCTCTCGATGAAAGTGAAGTTGGAGGACCGGCTCCATGATGTCGAACATCCTGATAACCTCAGTGACATCGCCTTATATGTGCATCACTCACTAAATGGTGTACTACCAGTGGAAAAAATGCAGAGATTGGTAGGAAAGGCCAATGGGTTGTTCATCTGGGCAAGCACTGCCTGCCGAATGCTCAGTAGCGAAACCACGTTGGACTCCCGCGAGAACATCTATGATTGCCTGATCTCAGAAGATCAGACTGGGGATATAGATGGTGTATATGACCTTGTTTTCGAGCGCACAGATCCCAAATCCTACACAATCATGTGCAGCATGCTCGCTATGTTGCTTGCAGCATTCGAACCACTCCACATCAATGATTTGGATGACATCTTCAAACACGTTGGAGTCAGGTGGAATGTAAATGCGCTGGTTCGGAACTTGGGGAGCGTACTCAGCATGACTGCAAGTACCAAACTGATCCAATTCCGTCACCCGACTTTGGTCGAATACCTTCGACGGTGCTCCCACTCTTCATCAGTCGAAAAACGCAATCGAGTTTCTCTCGATATCGCCAAAGCACATGGTCAAGCCGCATCATGGTGCCTCAAATGCTTCAAGTCACCGACTGACGGTCTCAAGTTCAACATATGTCAACTCGAATCATCATTCTATCTAAACAGAGAGGTGCCAGATCTTGATACTAGGGTGTCAAGGTTCATTTCAGGAAGACTTCGATATGCTAGCTCATATTGGTTGTTTCATCTGGCGGAAACTGACGACAACCAACGACGCACGTTCAAACAAGGTCTTGAAAATTTTATCCAAGTCCCATATGTGTTATACTGGATGGAAGTTCTAAGTTTTAATGGAGGATTGTCACGAGCAATAGCTGGCCTTCGAACTGTTACCAGCCACTCAGGAGTGAGTCCTCCATTCCGACGAATTTCATCGCTTACATCGCGTAAAGATTGAGGAGGGAATCAGGAGCAGGTTGAACGAGATCCGAAGGTTTATAGTAGCGTTTTCGGTGCCGATCCAGGACAGTGTCCCACACATATACATTTCTGCCCTCCGATTCACACCCAAAGCGTCGATACTACATTATGAAGGTAGTATTCACTATCCGAATGCCATCACTGTAGATCAAGGCCTAGAAGAGGTACATCCCGAGCTCCCCAGAACCTTAGAGGGTCACGAAAGCTCGATCGTCGCCGTGACGTTCTCGCCAAATAGTTCAAGAATTATCTCTGTCTCGGAAGACTGCATGATCCGACTATGGGACGCCTATACCGGTCAGCCATTGGGGGAGCCACTCCGAGGGCAGAGTGAGCCGGTCTTGGCGGCGGCATTTTCGCCAGACGGCTCCCGAATTGTCTCCGGATCGACAGGATACGCCATTCGCCTATGGGATGCGGAGAATTTACGCCCACTCGGAGGATGTTCGATGGTCGATGGACCGACAGAGCCATTGGGAGATTCATTAGAGGAACAACCAGGAGAAGAACTGACTCTAACACGAGGTCACGAGCGACCGATCAGGGCTGTTGGATTCTCGCCAGATGGCTCACGAATCGTCTCTGGCTCAGATGATATGACGATTCGTCTATGGGACGCGGATTCTGGAAGACCTTTGGGGGAGCCACTTCTAGGTCACAGGAAACCAGTCTTGGCCGTCGCATTCTCCCCAGATGGTTCACGGCTAGTTTCCGGATCGAAGGACAAGATGATTCATCTGTGGGACGCACAAACGAGACAACTCTTAGGAGAGCCGCTACGAGGTCACAAGGGTTGGGTCCTGGCCGTCGGATTCTCGCCAGACGGCTCACGACTTGTCTCTGGCTCGCGCGATAAGACCATTCGTCTGTGGGACGCAGATACTGCAGAAGTGTTAGGAGAGCCATTGAGAGGTCACGAAGGCTTTATCTTTGCCGTCGTATTCTCACCAGACGGCTCGAAGGTGGCCTCTGGCTCGGACGACGGGACGATTCGTCTATGGAATGTAGAAACTGGACAGCCAATAAGGGAGCCAATGAAGGGTCACGAGAAATCGGTGCGGGACATAAGGTTCTCACCAGATGGATCAAGAATCGTCTCTGGCTCGGAGGACATGATAATTCGTTTGTGGGACGCAGAGACCGGGGAACCACTCGGAGAGTCAGTACAGGAGCACAATGACGTGATAACGGCCGTTGTATTCTCGCCAGATGGATCGAAAATCGTCTCTGGCTCGGAGGACATGCTGATTCGTGTGTGGGATGCAGACACTGGACATCCACTAGGAGGCCCATTAAGAGGTCACGAAAGATCGGTTTTGGTCGTCGGATTCTCGCCAGATGGGTCACGAATTGTGTCCGGATCGTCTGACACCACGATTCGTCTATGGGACACAACGACCGGGAAACAACTAGGAGAGCCACTAAAAGATCACAGAGACTCAGTCTGGGCGGTGAGATTCTCACCGGACGGGTCACAAATTGTCTCTGGCTCGGGGGACAAGACGATTCGCCTATGGGACGTTGGCACAAAACGTCCAATAAGAGGGCCATTAAGAGGTCACGGAGGATCGGTCTTGAGCGTCGGACTTTCACCAGACGGCTCACAGATCGTTTCTGGCTCGAAAGACAAGACGATTCGTCTGTGGGACGCGAAAACTGGAAACCCACTAAGGAAACCGCTTACAGGCCACAAAAACTGGGTCTGGGCAGTCTCATTTTCACCAGACGGCTTACGAATTGTCTCTGGGTCGAAGGACAACACAATTTGTGTGTGGGACACGGAGACCGGACAGCGGCTAGGAGAGCCAATTAAAGATCACAAAGGCTGGGTATTAGACGTCTCATTCTCGCCAGATGGCTCCCGGATCGTCTCTGGCTCCGCCGATAAGACCATTCGCCTGTGGGACGCACACACTAGAGAGCCGCTAGGAGGGCCACTTCGAGGTCACAAAGACTCGGTCTGGGCCGTCACGTTTTCACCAGACGGCTCACGCATCGTCTCTGGCTCGTCTGATAAGACAATACATTTATGGGACATAAACGCCAGTGAGCATAGCCCGGGCCATTCTTGATCATATGACTTACATTAAAAATGAAACTAGATTCACAGTCAATTGAACACAGCCAGGACGATAGAATGTCTACGGAAGATCTACAACCCATTGGCCTAGGAATCATTGTCCCTGGATTCCCAGAGTGCTTCCTTTTACACGATGGCTGGGTACATTCTTCCGGACGCCGTCTCTTTTGGGTACCACCAGGCAATCGACATGGACTCCAGTTTCCGCGCCCCGTCCTAACTATACCAACATCAAGCCCTTTGCGTGCCACTAGACTCGATTTTACTCGCTTTCGATGCGGGACCTCTTGGATAAATGTTCGAAAAGACGCTATCTAGTGGTTACATGAAACATCTGTATTCCATAAATGTACGACGCGTAAAGGATAAGAGAGTGGGAGCAATGTTACCTTGTCAAGTCACTTGTTGTAAGGGTTGGTCACCTTACAGGTCAGAACCCGGCCGACCAGGTTAGGATTACCTGAGTAACGGGGGTATATAGGAACTGTAACGCATTAGAGGGAAAAGAGGGACACTATAGTCTAGTGGTCTGACGGCTAAGTCGGTGCGAATCCGGCTTGTTCCATTTTCCCACGGCTAAACGTTACACTTGTGACAGGTTTAGGACTATTTGCGACCAGCAGTGTGAAAGCTTTCGAGGTTTCAACCTAAGATTTAAAAAAATCGAGGCCTAAACCAGAAAAAATACACATGCCAACAGCTCACGTGTGGTCTTGCGCTTCAAGACCAGAAACCAAGCGTTCTCAAAGCCTTTCAGGCGCGCGTGAGCGGGCGTCGTGGAGGTGCAGCCGACGAGGACACACCGGCGATTGCAAATGACGACGAGTAGCTGGATATAGATCAACACGACTCTCTTTATGAAGGTGGTGATAGTGGTGGAGTCAGTTTGAATCAGTTTGTTCGTGAGATATGGATGGGAGCGAAGAGCGCGATATGCGGGCAAAGGTACAGGAGAAGAAGCGATAGGAGAAGAGGATAGAAGATGGGATGAGGCACCTTTGGTCGTTGTGCTCAAGGAGGGCGAACACTTGAGCGGAGAAGTGGAGAACGAATGACGAAAGGGCACGTTGCTCTTCTGGTGTTTGGTCCTAATGAGAGTGTAGCTCGTGGATTGTCGCCTCTCCCCAATGACGAAGACTTGTCGATTGCGACTTCCTCTGTGCCCAAGGGTGATGTCGAGACCCAGAAGCTGGCCAAGGCAGAACCAAAGTCGTCTGTTCAGCTCGGTGGGCGTCCCTCTGGCGCAAAGCGAAAACTAGCAGTAGGTGGCCGGGAAGACGGACATGATGCACAGACTAGTAGGGGAAATGACCAAGGGCCGGCGAAGAAGAAGACCAAAAAGGAGGAAAAGGTGAAGAAGAAGCCCGTCAAGGCGCTACTCTCCTTTGGTGACGAGGCGTAGACCCTCTACATTCCTAGTGCATTGTTCTCTGGTGCTATTCGTCCGTGCCAGAGTCTAGCGCTGCGGACCGCCAATTAACTCTTGCCTGTCCCCGACCATCTCCGTCGTGCACGCCATCTGATACTCGTTTGCTCTTGACGAACATCTCGCATTATCTTCCAATTTCCAGATCGTCATGGGCCAACATATGTCTGTTCACCGTTCAGAGACCAGCACGAAGTCAGCCTCGAAGCGCAAATCAAAGCGGCCTTTGGAGCCCGAATCGAAGATAGACTCAAGACCTTTGAAGCTAGATCATCTTGGGTTTCTAGAGATTGCTCCTGGAGTCAATCCTGTCGTCGAGTAAGTCACTCACCTTCTACACGGCGTGCTCGCCGCTGGGGGGGGCGTACCCGCTAACCCTGTGCAGTATCGTCGCCATTCATGGTCTACAAGGACATAGAGAGAAGACGTGGATGACGGACGATCAAGTTTGTTGGCTGCGTGATCTCTTGGCTTTCGACTTGCCCAGTGTCCGAATCCTCAGTTATGGATATGATGCCGACACCCGCAGTCGGGAATGCGTATCCACTCAGCGATCAGTCGACACGTTGGTGGGTTAGCCAATGCGCTAGCAAGGATACGGAAAGATGCTCCTCAGGTGAGCTCTGCCTCTACTCGTTTGGCGTTCTCTAACCAACGACCAACGTCCCATTATTTTCGTTGCGCATAACATAGGGGGTATCATTCTCAAGCGGGTTCGTAACACGAAGCTCTGAGAAACCGGTTTCTAACATAACACGCTCGTAGGCTCTTGTTATCTGTCACAATCAGAGCCTGGAATCAAAGGGTGACCTCCGGGATATTCTAGTATCCACGCATGCAGTCTTATTCTTTGGGACTCCACACTTCGGCGTCGAAAGTACGACTTTCCTCGAGGGTATCAATCGCGTATTGTCGTTGTACATGGAAACGACAGACGCTATTCTCAAAGATCTTCAATCTCATTCGCCAGAGCTCGAGAACATTCAGAAAGACTGGGTCGCGGCGAGCGAAAAGATCAGCAGCGTATTCTTTCTGCGAGGATTATGTTATGTCCAGTCGATTAGAACTTGTGAGTTTATTCCTACTCAAGGATCATATCTTGACGGAACGACAGACCGTCCCGCATCAATCGGCTGTCATCGCCGGTGACCGCAATGCAACGACGATTGTTCTCCATACGGATCACCGCAATCTGGTTCGGTTCTCATCCAAGGAGAACGACGACTACAAGACGGTGCACTTTTATCTCAAAGACTACGTCAACACTGCGCCTGAAGCAATACGTGAGAAATGGGTACGAGAAGATGATTTCCGCAGTTGGTAGCTATCCCGCCACCTCTACTTCGCTGATCAAAATGCAGACATAGCAAGGGGCGAACCCACCTCGGAAAGAGCCATCGTACAGTCAAAGGCGATCCTTGACAATTGTAAGGCCGAAGACTACTCATGAGAATATTTCTAATCGATTCAAGTGGACAAAACTGCTATACTTCAGCTTCCACTGGTGTCATTTGTTCAATCCTCGGTCCACAACACCTGTCTTGAAGGAACGCGTAAGGCGGTACTTCAGACCATTTGCGACTGGGCCGATGACAATTTGGCAAAGCCCATATTCTGGCTATGCGACATTCCTGGATCCGGTAAATCCACCGTTGCAATGACCGCGATGGAGTCATGGCAAAAGGGGGGGAAACTAGGCGGTCGATTCTTTTTCTCCATCGCAAGCAACGATGCATCTACGACCGAGAAACTCTGCTCGATGTTAGCAAGAGACCTGGTTCAGTACATCCCCGAGCTTACTTCGCATGTTTCTCAGGCTGTGGTGCGAAATCCCTCTATCATGGGAAGCTCCTTCAACGAACAGTTTCAAGTACTCGTCGCTGGACCCATCCAACACCAGCAAGGACGTGTAATTCTCGTCATCGATGCGGTAGACGAATGCAAATCTGGACCACAGCGTAGACAACTTCTCAATACTCTGTCTACTGCAGTCCAAGAATGCAAGAATCTCAGGATATTCATGACGAGTCGCCCAGACCCTGTCATCGAAGCTGTATTGGGGCCCCTCTCGATCAAATCCAAGATGGAGGACCGCCTCCACAATGTCAGCCATGGTGATAACATTGACGATATCGCACTCTACATACATCAGTCGTTGAATCAAGTCCTCTCAGAGGACAAGAGACAGCGACTGGTTGGAAAAGCCAATGGGCTGTTCATTTGGGCAAGCACTGCATGCAGGATGCTCAACAACGAAACCAACCTGAACGCGCCGGAGGATATATATGATCGGCTGATTTCCTTAGAGGAACCTGGAGCTATAGATGAGGTATATGACCTCGTCTTCGAGCGTACAGACAAGGAATCCTACACAGTCCTGTGTCACATGCTCGCTTTACTTCTTGTGGCGTTTGAGCCACTCACGATGAACGACATGGAGGACCTTGTAGCACGTCGGAGTGCGGGGAAGTGTCAATGCATTGATCAAGAACCTAGGAAGCGTACTCAGTCTGGAAACGGGTACAAATCTGATCCAGTTCCGTCATCCAACTCTTGTTGAGTATCTCCGACGGCGCTCTGTCCCCCCGACTGTTGGTGGTCGCAATAGAATATACTGGACGTTGTCAATGCACATGGACAGGCTGCATCTTGGTGTGTTAGATGCCTCAAGTCACGAACTGAGGGCCTCAAATTCAACATCTGTCGAATCGAGACATCTTTCTATCTCAACAGACAGATCTCGGACCTGGAGGTAAGAGTATCGAAATTCATTCCAAGAAGACTTCGATATGCAAGCTCCAATTGGTTGTTCCATGTGTCGGGAACGGACGACAGCAGGCGACGCACGCTTGAAAACGAATTTCGTGACATTATTCAGAGTCCATACGTACTGTACTGGATGGAGGTTCTGAGCTTGACTAGAGGCGTGCCACGAGCAACCGCCGGTCTGCGAGCTCTTGGGTATCATGTTGGAGTGAGTACTCTACCCTGACAGGTACCAATCATTTAAACGAGTCACAGCTCCAAGAGAGAACTAAAAGCCGGATTAGCGATATACGAAGGTGCTTGATAGCGTTTTCGGTGCCAATTCAGGACAGCGCCCCACATGTCTACATCTCAGCGCTTCCGTTTACACCAAGGAGCTCGATTCTACGCAATGAAAGTCTAAGCGAGTATAGTGGGGCCTTGAGTGTGACTCGAGGGCTCGAGGATGCATATCCTGGGCTCCCAAGAGTTCTTCGAGGACACGAAGGCAGTGTCAACGCCATCGCATTTTCTCCAGATGGCTCGCGAGTTGTTTCCTGTTCTGACGACCAGACGATTCGACTTTGGTATGCAGATACGGGTGAGCAGGTGGGAAGGCCACTCCGAGGCCATAGCGACTTGGTCAGGGCCGTCGCATTCTCGCCAGACGGTTCACAAGTCGTCTCTGGATCTGAAGACGATACAATTCGACTTTGGGACGCAAACACGGGTGAGCAGGTGGGAGAGTCACTCCGAGGTCATAGCGACTCGGTATTCGCCGTCGCATTCTCGCCAGGCGGCTCATGAGTCGTCTCTGGGTCTGAAGAAGACACAGTTCGACTTTGGGACGCAAATACGGGTGAGCAGATGGGAGAGCCACTCCGAGGTCACGGCTCCTTGGTCTTGACCGTCGCATTCTCGCCAGACGGTTCACGAGTCGCCTCTAGCTCTTTGGACAAGACGATTCGACTTTGGGACGCGAATACGGGTGAGCAGGTGGGAGAGTCACTCCAAGGCCATAGCGACAAGGTCTGGGCCGTCGCATTCTCGCCAGATGGCTCACGAGTCGTCTCTGGCTCTTTGGACAAGACGATTCAACTGTGGGCCGCAGATACGGGTGAGCAGGTGGGAGAGCCACTCCAAGGCCATAGCGGGTCGGTCAACGCCGTCGCGAAGAAGAAAAGTGAGATCGCCTACGAGGCAGCCTTCAAAAATACGAAGAAATCGATGGAGGAGCGTGCGCTGGTTCTACGGCTCATGTAGAGGATCCAATAGATTGGATTCCCTGATGGCGCCGGCAAGCTCGAAAATCTCTCGCCATAGTTCGACTGGTAAGCATCTCATCGATTTCATGGTTAAAACAAGGTTTCAATGTGGAAACACGAAAGGCTCAGTGATGGTTGGGTCCAAACCTGATCACGCAATGGCTATGCAAATCAGTGGCCCACTGCCGACAAATATTTCAAGAATGTCCGAAGTCTCATCGTAAGAGAGCTCTTCTTTCAAGGTTCTTACTTTCACTTTTTATAATTAGGACAGTTGGATCTGACCGAGTCCACAAGCTGCGGTTCTGGACATAAGCTTCCCTGATTTGAGCTGTCATAGAATTAGCCCAGAAGAAGTTCTTGGTGTGGAGGGCGATCGCCAGTGCAAGAGGGCGCAACACGGGGAGGCGCTCCACCTTGACCTTTTCCACGTTTGTTTCAACTGCATTCTTACGGTTAGTGGCCAATTTGTGCTATTAATACACATTCTTTACTCACTTTTCTACCCTTTGAGATGTCTCATAATCAAGAAAAGCCGTCCAAGCAGCCATCTAAACCTACCTGCGCTCCCTCGATTCACTCAACAGATGATGCGTGACAGTGTGTACCATCACTCGCTTCACCTACTATGCACCCGCCGCCTCTCTGTGCATACCCTGTCTCATCGAGCACGAGTCGTCCGAGCATAGCGGCAGATCCTAGTGTGCTGTGCAATAAAGCCTGTCAATTCCCCCGAATCAATGTAGCCGAATCTCTGCTTACGACGCCCAGGATGACCCTGGAATCTTCACCATCAGTGACGTTGGACAAGGAAACCACGGGTAACCTAGCCTCGCTCGCTGCAGCGCCAGCTGTCGTCGTAACGTCCCTTAGTCGCCACCCTGTTGAACCAAGATCATGTTTCCTTCCACGTATGACGCCGAAAACGCCAAGAGCAGGAGCACGGAGGCGTAGAGACCTCGCCTCTGATGCCACTTTCCCGGCGCGCGATGCAAATCACAGTGAGTATTACACAAATAATTCCAATTTGCTTCTTATAGACCTTACAGTCGCGGTGTCTTCGACACCCTGCATCTGCCCCTCCTACTATTCCGGAGGAAAAAAAGAAGAAGGGACGCCACCGCTTCCAATGTAGTTACCGGAACCATGTCTGGAGAGTGGCTCAATTTCATCCATATTTGACACAGCTACATATCCTACGCCGGCCTCTTCTGAATACCATCCTTCGGTTCCTCCTCCCTATACCAAAACGACCCCTTTCCGACATGTAGGCATCTTGTGCCCTGGTTCCAATGCACACTCACGTTCTATAGGCCCATTTCGAGGATGTCGTGAGACAACCACCGGGGCCGATGACTCCTGCTTTCCCGCCGTTGAATACGAGCCGTATTACGCCGTCTCCTATTTCCGACGGTTCGATTGCAACGTATTTCGTCCCTTGCATGGGATACCTATTCCCCCTCCCCCCGAATTGCGGAGAGGACGTCGCTGCTATGTTAAATGAAGGCGTAAATGTTACATATGCAAAGGGTAGGCCGATATTCGGTCTTCCTAGCACCTGTACATCAAGGGTGCCTCGAGCACCCGTGCAAGATGCTTCATCTGGACACTCTGTCCAAAGCTCTACCCTTTTCGATGCCAGTGAATCTCTATCTGGCTCGAATTCCCGGCATAACGCGCCTAGTAAGCGCACCGGAAGGAGATACACTCAAGGATTCAAGGCGCCAAAAAGGCCCAATTTCTTCTAGCGTGTCTCAAGGACTTCCAAATCAATTTATCGTTAGCTTTGTGTATCATTTCCTCGCATTCGAAAGTGAACGTTATAGACGCACTTTTCTCTATTCTATCATTACAACGCTCTCATGCGGTTCCGACTTGGAAACGCCGGAGCGATTGAATGTATCATCTCGCCGCCGTAGAACAAATCCCACAGCTCTGATACTCATATAATAAGCCTTTAAGATGATCTTAGACATTATAAGTGACATAATCTAGGCCTTGCGAGGATCCAAACGAGCAAGCCATCGCAGGTGCCGTTGCGTTACCAGGGAACAGGATCCGAGAAGATGCTTGCTGTGGCTAGGAGCCAATGGAGGCTCCAAGGAATAATGGCAGTTTGTGTCTAGGTATCGTGTTGATACCTGGAAGCGAAGCATTTAATTATCCGCTCTGCGCAACTTTGTGTTTAGAGATATTGAAACATCAGACCATTCAAAAAAAGGATACAAGTACAGCAGGGACGTGAATAATGTACGCGCTCTAAGGCCCATAGCGAACAAACGGAACTGTTCTGAACAATGGCACATGCGCTGCTCTCAACGCAGCGAGTGCATCTTCGACGCCCTTTGTCTCCCAAACAGGCACACCTTCCTCACCAACAGGTGTCGAAGCATCGGGACTCGACGCACCAAACGACGCGCGACCGACCCGGAGGATCTTACCCGTAATAGGATGCGAGTGGATCCGCCTATCCTCCCCTGTACCCGAGTTGACAGCGGCTTGGTAGGCATGCTTGGCTACCACCGTCGCGTCCTCGTTCTTTGTGCTCCACATCTGCCCGACGACACCACGAACACCAGCAAATTGAAGCGCCGCCTCGGGTGTCATCAGCTCCTGAGGGAGTCGGACGTCTCCAGATCCAGCCATTGCCGGCCCGTCGATCCTATAAGAGGCAGCATTGCTGAAGACGAGATCCGGGTGTGGTCTCTGGCTTGACAGAGTGTGGGTTTGATGGATAGAACCAGGTGTCAAAGACATCAGAAATCTTGACGTACGAACCGTCAGCAACGCGCCAGGCGCTGCTCGCGGGTCGAAGCGCATCGCACAATGTTGGGCAAGAGAAGTGGATCACATCGACACCATTGGACGATGCATTGTCTTCGCCAGTCTCAAAGTAGATTGGAGTAGGTTGCAGCGCTTTGAGGATAGAATCTGGCCGAGCAGCAGGGCCCTCGAGGGACTCGATGTGCACGTTTCGACGGCCAGGTTCGCTCTGCGGTTCGGGCGTAGATGAAGGTGATGGGGCGAGTTGAGACTTGAGAGCTTGGATGCTGGTCACGTTTCCACCAAGAAGCGAGGCGCGTCGAGACGGTTGGTCAGAAACGACGAGTACGCGGGACTCGGTGCGATTGTCAATCACGACTGGGTGGAGGAGAGATTGAAGAGTGGTGGCATAGTAGAACGAGTATTTGGTGCTGTATGATTTTGGTGTCGCAGTACCGTCTTCGCTTGATTCCGCCCTGTTCGATCGTCCATCGCCCACAATCGCAGCAGCATGGAGTGGAAGCCAGGTAAAGACACCGTTCGTCACCCATCCGACACTCCTACCACCACCCAACGCGACCTCGTCCAACTTGCTCAACACTGGCTGAACGACCGTCTCCCACAAGTCCTTCAAGACTGGCTCGAGAACGACTTTGTCAAACTGGAAGCCAGTGAGGGCACTTTCCTCCAGCTCCTTGACACCCTTGATCAACCTTGCCGCCACCCGCTCCAATTCAGATCTAGATGTCCTCGTAAGCGGAACGATCAACGGCTCGTTTGTCGAAACGAGGATGATGGCGTCACAGCGGAGATGACTTGCGTTGAGAATGACCACTGGTCCAACAGGAACAGGAGCACCCTCGACCCGCATGCTATCAAACGTCCACGGGCGAAGGAAATCATGGAAGCCGCTCTCCGAAGCGCGAACCGTCCCAACAACAGAGTTCCACTTGTCGTCTGGCGAGGAATCATTCTTGACTTTGGGTTCGGATACGCGCATCCAAGGCGCACGCATGTTCAGATTCGCAATCGGCGAGTTGGGGCTAAACGCATCGTGGCCTTGTTCGAGTTCCCTCAACACGTCCGTGACATGACGAGCCAGGCTGGGATTCTTGAGCTCCAAATTGTCCAAGTCGCATGGAAGACCGAGCGCATCTCTCCACAGCAGCGTGCGCGCTTGCTCGAGAAACTCGATTGCCGTCTCTGGCTGGCCTCGTTCGATAGCAGCAGCAGCAGCGTCGGAAGCGAGGCTAAACGTATTGAGCAAAAGTTCATTCTCCTCTCCGGGCGCGGCCTCGACCATGTCAAACTTCGTTGATCGCGTCTCTCCTACGCGCAAGCGAGACGCGGGGTGCAAGGCTCATGGCAACCTTGTACGCTTCGACGGCAGACTTGTACCGTCCCTCGCGGCACGAGACGTCGGCCCACTTGAGCGCTGCACGGAACCGAACGCTCGGCGGGGAAGGCACCGTCCGCAAGCCAGCGGTAGCAATCCTCCTCCAGTCGTCCAAAGCATGCTCCAAGTCCAAATCCTCCGCAATCTTACTCGCCCCGGCGGAATCAGGCTTATGCTCCAAGTTCGACTCGTAACGTGCGTATAAGAGGTTACACAGTCGAAGCATTTGCACACCCCAACTCGGATCCCTCTCGGCCTTGGCACGTTCGACCTCTTCTCGTGCATGTGCGATAATGTCGTCGGGCGACGTACCAGGCTCCTTTGCCGGCGCGGCAGCTCGTAGCGCAAACGAGTGGATGCTCTTGTACATTTCGTACAACGGATGATCAGCCGGAGTCGCAGCGAGAATGGCTTCTGCATGTGCAATGGCACTATCCAAATCCTCTTTCTTCCCCAATCGCTTATACCGGGCACAGAGGACGCCACTGAGGAGGGATTGGTAGAGAATCTTGCGCGAGTCGGTTTCGGGTGCGACGGCTGTGCGCGAGGTGGAGACAGACAATCGGCGCGATGCCGGAGAGGGCTTTGAGACGGCGTCGTAGGCGAGCTGTGCATTCTTGAGGGCACCCTCTAAATCCTTGAGGTCTCCATTTTGCTCGAATCGTCTGAACAGCGCGAGAGCGAGTGCGTAGCGCGCAGCGGCGTGTGGGTTTTGTTGTATCGGACCGTTTCCATCACCCGCCTTTTTCAAGTCGAGAGCCGTCTTTGCATTGTTGACGGCTGCGTCGAGATCTGCTGGGTTGCGTTGGTACTCGAAGCGAGTGAGATGGTGCGACGAGAGAACGGAGAGCTTTTCTGCCAACTCTTCCCTCTCTGCTTGGGTATTGGCGGGTGGTGTGGCATCGATGGCAATGGTACTGTGGTGTATCGACTCGTTGAGATCCTCTTCGTCGTTAGAACGCTCGAAGCGCGTATAGATAAAACCAGCGACAGTAAAGTGTGCAGTATGTCGTTCGGGGGATCGACTCTTATCTGCCAATACAGCTGCTTGCTTTGCATGCTTGATGGCGTCATTAAGGTCGCCTATGTCCTCTGTCTTTTCGAACCGCTTTGCGAGTGCTTGGGCCAATGCGGTGAGACGGTTCAAAGGAGCGGTACTCCTTTCGGCTGGATAGCTTGCGTGCGCAAAAGTCACTGCGGCGTCCTTGGAGAGGTCGATTGCCTCGTTGACATCCTCCAACTCTCCACGTTGGTCGTATCGGGAAAGAAGCTTGGTGGCCAGATCCGACTGGTATTTGGACGAGTAGCGATGCTTGTTCGGCAGCGCCTCTAATGCGTCTCGACCATACTCTATAGCCCGGTCAATGTCGTCTGCCCGCTGGGAGCGACTCCATCGTTTGAAGAAGAGGGAGCTGGCCATGTACTTGTAGATAACCCAGTGAATGTCATCCCTTGGTGTGCCTCGGATGGCTGCTCGGATATTGCTAATAGCTCTGTCGAGATCCTCGATATTGTTGTTGATCTGATAGCGGGCGAGATAGACGGCGGAGAGGTTGGACTGGTAGGGAGCCTTGTCGGGATGATCATCGGGGAGGGAGGAAATGGCTGTTCGCCAGAGGGAGAGCGACTCTTCGAGGTGCTGGGATTGCTTGTGACGCTCGTACCGATGGAGGAGTGCGGTAGCCAGGTTGGCGCGATACCATGCCTTGTCAATGGAGGTGATAGATTCCTCCGACTGCGACTCAAGAGCGGTCAGCGCATTTCGACAATAGCGCTCGGCACGGTCGAGGTCCTTGTCGGAGCGAGTGTGCTCGTATCGGACGCACAGCATGAGTCCAACGTTTGATTCGTACATGGGTCGATGTTTGTGTTTGGGAGGGAGGATTGCCATGGCGGTGGACAAATGCGTGATGGCCTCGTCCAAGTCGTGCGGATCGCCATGGAGCTCGAATCGACCATGGAGAGCCCTGCCGAGTTTTGCATGTCGTAGTGCATTATTGGCCTCATTTCCGTGTGGTTTGTGGAGTTTGACAGAGTCTCGGAGCTTGGAGACTTTGTCGGTCTTTGATTTCGACGAGCGGCGCGGGCTTGTTTTCTCTCGTTCGCGCTCGCATTTCTCGCAATAATCGTCGTCTTCTGAATCTTCTCCTCCAATCGTTGTGAGAAAGGCCTTTTCGAGGTCGTCAAAGGAAAACTGGTGAGAATTTGGTACGAGGAAAGGCGTAGAAGCGGTAATAAACTTACCCCGACGGCCTCGATGGGCTTTATGAGTTGTCTAAATGACTGTGGGAGGGACGTGGACATGATCCAAGAGGTCCAAGAAAGCGCGTAATGGCGGAGGGACCAAATGGGGTTTTATAGACGCGCCTCGCAACTTCCTCGAGGCCTTGTCCCGCCCGCCCACCGCGTGTTCGAGTGCACGCCGACAGCACGTACACCGCCCATCGATATCCATTTGTGACGTGGATTGTGGCGCATAGGCCTTGTAAAGGAAAGTCGCTCCAAGCCAGAGATGCGTAGCGGCAGTGACAAACAACGCGTCGACATGTCCTCGACCACCACCACCTCTACCATCCAAAATATAAAGGAAAATGCACGCCCATCCATCTCAACGCACAGACTGCTCTACAGAGGCTCACTCGCCTTGCCAGACTCGGAGATGATCCTCGACGGTGTGTCTTTGGAAAACCATCCAAGCCAATCCTAATTCATCTTCTAGGTCTCGCTTTTGTCATGGAAATCGCATTCAAGTCGCCCATGTCCCTCATCAACTCACCCATCCCACTTGGGCTCGAGTCGATGCGAGGCCGTCCACTCCGTCTCGTTGCAGTCATAAACATCTCAGACATCACCCTCGAATGCTTTGGAGATGTCTCGATGTACATCCACCCAGATGCCTTTCTCACCCGCTCGTTTTTCGAACGCACTCTCTGCTCCGACACGCCACTCATACCAGACGCCAACAACATGCGCACTAGAATGGCCGTACGCATAGGTCTAGGGGACGGACAAGGTCCAGACGACTCGGACATTCTCGTCTTTGGCCAACTCGACACATCTACCCTTCCCAACGAATCCCCTCCAACACTCCAACTCCTCGCAGGACGTATCGCCCCACCACCAGTCCCCTCTTCTCCGCCACGTCGCATACCACGTCCAGACGACCCACTCCCGCGTGCCAACCCATTGGTAAACCTACACCTCTCCCCCGGTCGACGCGGTCTCAAGCGCAAAAGATCAAGCGGAACAAATCCATTCGCCACAGACCATGCCACGGCTATAGCACTCGCGGGATCCAAAGCACAAAAGGGCGACGGCATGGCGGCGTCGGCACTATTGGCCGCGCTCGCTGAAGCACAAGCAGAAGAGGAGAAGAAGCGCAAGAGTGGCAAAGTCGTCGTGGGAGATGGTGAACCAATCAGCAAAGGGCTTACCCGTCGACCGCTTTTACGTGTGACGTCCTCCAAGGGTTCCGGTGCGGACAAGTCCAAGGGTCAGCGATTGGATACGGATGGGTTTGTCGTTCCGGGCTTGCCTGCTCGAACGAACAGTTTAAAAGGCAAGGATGTGGATCCAGGACAAGCAAACGGGACAGAGTCGGAACTAGAGACCAAGAATAAGAATGTGCGTTTTAGACTTGTCGCGTCGAGCACTGACCTTATTCCGTTGTAGGCTATCAAGAAGCGAACGCTCGCTGCATTGGAAGCCTGTGGGATTTCCAAATCCCACTCACAGTTCAAGGATATGTATGGATCGATCAATAGTGGTGTCAAGTTTGCCGTCGTAAGTCGCTTCTGTATCCATTCTTCGATGCAAACTCTCTACAGAGAAATATCATCCGAGATACACACGTAGATCGAGATTTGATTGTCAAACTGGTGGAGACGCATCTCGAAATGTACTTTGGCGGGCGGGGCGGCAAGTATAACCTTCACGAAAAGGACGCTCCCAGCCAGACCGAGGAAGCGACAGCTACGAATGCTGGTCCGAACACGACCGCTGATTACACGACCGCACCACCTCCGGCAGCGTAGACGAATAACCACAGTTCTATCCTTATTTTCATCCTTTATTACTGTATATCCAGCTATTCACGCGCATTATACGAAACTTATTCGATACCGAAAGGTTGCGCCTACGACTGTGACCAGCGAAACCGCTCAAAGGTACGTTCTCACTACGCCTCGCACGTTCCTGTGAGAAATGTCATTCCAGAATCGTTAATGTATCGGACACTCTATGGCGCCGTCTGCCTCCGACCTCAGTGGCCGCACCGGCCGTTGGCCACTGGTTGCCCAAGCAGGCCTACGCAGCAAATTTCTCATCTTGGACCCAACTTTATCCACACTCTTTCACCCTTTTTATACCTCTTCGTTATTCTTCAAAAAAAAATTTCATCATGGCCATTGAAAAATTCACGATCCGCGTCGGAGGCGAGAGCTTTGTGTTCACACGGGCCCAGCTCGAATCCGACCCAGGAAACTATTTTGCCGAATATTTTTTAATCGGATTCAAAGACGTGCCCTATGGAACACGGGAATTGGAGATTGAAAAGGAGCCGCTCTTGTTCAAACTCATCCAGGCGCACCTCCGGGGTTACGATATCCTCCCATTACCCGACCAATGGATCCCGCCGTACATGACCAAAGAGGGTGCGCTGAAGAACTTGTACAAGGAGGCGCAGTTTTATGGTCTTTGGAATCTCCAGAACCGCATCGACGAGTTTAGGGCCAGCGAAGCGCGGCTGAGCAGGATGAGCTCGCGTTCGACTGCTTCGCAGAAGCGCTATAAACTTGCCGTACGTCGAACATTATCACAGCTCACAGAACACATTGCTCATTTCACCTTGTTTTAGCAATACAAGCAATCGGGATGGGTGAATTGCGACCTCTCCGAGAGCGGGTACAAAGTTCTCTTACAGCGCTTCCTTTCCACACCACATTTCCAGCTCCTTGCGCCGACAAGCCTTCACTGTCCGGGCTTTACGCTCGTGGCGTGCTGGAAGGATGTCCAGAATGACGAAGACAGCAATCTCGGTCTTCCACGACTGTGCATTTGTGCACTACTTGAATCGGACGCTTGATGACCATGACGCATTTACCACGTATTTCTTTGTATACCAATACCCTTTTCCCTCTTGGTGTTCACGACGCTCGTTACCCAGTCCTGTTGTATCGCTTTTGACTAGACGAAATGAATTAAAAATATAGATGGTTGCTATCATCTGGTGGTGACGGGCACGAGGGCGCAAACTGCGATACTGCCATCTTAAACTCTTCCACTTCAGCCATGGCCAGCGAAGAATACACTATAATCGTCGACGGAGAGAAATTTGTACTGACACGGGACCAACTGCTGTCGGATCCCAGGAATTATTTTGCCACTTATTTTCTAGGCGATTTCGGAGAGGCACGAGCTGGTAGACGGGAACTGGTACTCAGCAAGGAACCTCTAATCTTCAAACTCATTCACACCCATCTACGAGGATATGATGTCTTCCCGATTCCAGACTCGCTCGTTCCCTCTTATATGACAAAAGAAGGTGTGGTGAAGAATCTGTTACGGGATGCGCGATTCTTTGGGCTAGAGCTTCTGGAGCAAAGTGTTCTCCAGGAGATGGAAAGTCTTGATTATCGAAATACCACAAACAAACGCAAAATATACATGCTTGCAGAGGTATGTCGACTTTAGAGGGTGATATCCACACTCACAGTCACCAGGGACGAGGTGATACTCACGTCAACTGGCACATACAGGAGGTATCTGAACCGGGCTTTCAACTCTTGCTTCAACGCTTCAAGGATGAAGGATTCTACGCTCAGATCCGTACCACCCCTGGTTTGGATATTCCGGCGGGGTTTTCCCTGAGGATGAGCTGGAAGAGCGTCCGTCCACACCATGATTCTGTATATGCACTCCTCGAATCCAAACCCTAGACCACATTTACAATCATTCTCATACCATGCGCCAAGAGGAATAGAACGCTTTCCACCTACCTGTACCCTTGGAATGTCATCTCTGATTGAAATTTCGACGCATAGACGCATCACAGACCTCGAGTACATGGTGGGTACGGTTACTCAAAGGCCAATGTTACGAACGAGACAACCTAGGCTAGCGGCCTCCGATTTGACGGGCTGAGTACTCTTTGATTGGATATATCTTAGTCCGAAGATTCGCTATGACTGTATTACATGCCCACTAACAACCCAAAGTGGATCAGGGAAGTATGGATATCGCACTCAGTGGGGTGCATATCCTTTGTTCTATTACAAAGGAATTATATTGTGTTCTATTTTGATGGACAGAATTCTAGCGGTGCATTCTCCGGTTGAGTTGATCAAGTTCCTAATTCTTGACCTCTACGGTTCTAATGTCTGTCGACGAATACACAATTATCGTTGATCAAGACAGATTTTGATAACTAAGGATCAGTTGCTTTCAGATCCGGGTAACTACTTCGCCACCTACTTCCTCGGTGACTTTGAAGAGGCAAAGTCTGGCGCAAAGGAGCTCATTCTACACAAGGAACCGTTGATTATCCGGCTGATACAAGCACATTTACGTGGATACGATGTCATTCCGATACCGGATTCCATCGTACCATCGTACATGACAAAAGACGGCGCTACACAAAACCTACTGAAGGATGCACAATATTTTGGCCTGACGATGCTTGAAGATAAGATCATTGCACATCTAGAATCTCAGGAGGTGGATCCTTTGCCGAAAGCGACGAGATCCTACAAGCTGGCGGTCAGTTGGGAATAGTTCTTCCGGATAAAATTTTCGCCTAATAGAGAATAGACGTATAGAAGTGGATGGGTGATTGTCGACATCACAGAGAAAGGGTTCGAGACGCTCCTCGAGCGCTTCTCTACACACAAGTTCCAGGTCATCGCTCCCGGGAGGTTGGATTGCCCTCCCGGATTCAAAATCGTAACTTGTTGGAGGGACTATACGGCAAATGCTGTTGAACGGCTCACTTTTCCGGAAGAGAGTCACTGTGTGCTTCTTGAATCCGTGGAAGAGATGAGCGCGTCGTAGCTTGATATTAGGTCCCTTTGTAATATTACCACTTTATCTGGTCACATTCTAGCTCAGTTGCACTAATGAGCGTCAGCGGTTTCACTGAGTGAGCTTGGGGACCAGTAAAGGTAGTCAATGTTCTAATGGCGATACACCTAAACGGCTTTCATTTACTCTTCTTGTGTGAGATAAAGATCTGAAAAGATCTGGATTGTATTACATACATCCCCACCCGACTCAATTGCGCTATGGTTTATAGAATTTGGCTGCCGACATATAAATGTCGGACAACCAATTGGTATAGTCCGGTAATCTTACCGGCTCCTCCGTCCATCCGAGCGTCAGTCGGACATACCTGCCGTTGTAAGTCTCAACCTCGTCCCTTTTCCGCCGACTTGCGGAAGCAATGAGTTCGCTGTCCTCAACTGTTTGTACAACCGGTTCACCTGGAGAGGCCTTCCAGTAGAGCCTAAGCGTGGCGATCAGGGACGTTTCCGTTGGGAGAAGAGACAATTGATGGCTCCTTGGGAGACAACGCCCGTAGATGAGGCGTTCAAGTGAGGCAATGGATAAATTTTCGAGCCATAGTTCGAGGATAGAAAGGTTTGGGAACACGGGTTGGGTCAAATTGTATGCCACCGGGGTGAAGAGGGGCAATACAATGTCTGAATGGATGACTAGACGCTCGAGCCGGTGCGAGGTCCGGTTCATTTCGAGTATTGTTTTCTCTTGCTTGATGTCGCAGTTGAGGCTCTTCAGTTTGGGAAGGGTCGAAACGAAGGGGGAGAATGACGTCGAGGGGGTCTGCATGAACTCGATGATCTCCAGTGCGGGGAATATTACATAGAAAAGCCAGCCATAGTCTTCCAAGGCTATGAGCGCAAGCCTCTTCAGACCAGATTCGAATCGTTGAACGGGCGCTTCCCACTTGACGTCGACCCTCACGCAAATTAAATTGCAAAGGGTCTTGACCTCCCTCATGATATCTATGAGGCGAACCTCACCTAGATCCTTCAGAGTGATCTCTGTGAGCGAGGCTAGCTTGGAGGGTGCGACATCTAGCATCACGTCCCCCAGCCCACGTATCACTAGGCCTTCGACACCATCAAAGTGGTAAAGAGCGATAGAAAGGTTAACGTGGCATGATGGCGCACTGTAACCACCGTACAATTCCAGTACGCGGCAGCGGCACGCCAGGTTTGTGTACTCGCGGTTAAGGAAGGTAAGGCCGGATGACGGGTATCCAACATGTAGTGCAAGTTTTTCGATGGAGCGCATAACCTTGAGGTTGCACACTGCAAGAGTGAGACGACCAGAATCCGCGTGCTGGATTCTAATCGTGGCAAGACTCTGCCGGGTGCGTGGTGCAATGACAGACCACAGCTCTCTGGCCTTGCACTCTTTTATTGTCGAGAGGGAGAATGCCACATCCGTCCACAGGGAAGGCATGCCCGAGAGGATTGCACGCCATCGCCGACAGACGTGCGTGAGTTGAATCGCACGTGTAGGTATTCCAGTTTCAATTGTTCCACGGCTATCGTATCTGCACTCGCCGTCGTTTGCTTCGTTGAGGATGACCCGCAGCAGCTCAACGGGCAAACGGTTGATGGGGCAGACAGAAGCAGTATTGCCTACAAAGCCCAATTGCATACTCTGCAAGGGCTCTAACAATTCTGTATTCGACTGGGTCGAGTTGTGCTGCAGCGCACCCATCTCCGTTGAGAGTTGGGAACATGGCTGGACGTTGTCTGGTCGTTGGTTGCGTTGTGGAGCAATGTAACTAAGGTCTGATTGGATAACTTTCTTTGAAGTTTTCCGTCTGTCAGGGGGAGCGCCTGCCACTGGACAATGCGCATTGTTAGCGAGCCCTCGAGTGGAAGAAAGTGTTTGGGGCAGTGGAGATGTGACCTACTCGCATAATTCACTTATTTTAACGTTTCTTGTCAGAAATGAAGTCTTCCTTGCAATGGATGGATTGATGGAACACAAATTAGGATGAGTCCAAGGTCCGCTTTCAGGAAACGGGTAGACCCCGACACTGTCGCATGACCAACAGCCTCCACATGCGAAACTGACTTTACATACTAGCATCCTATATGCCCCATCATCGAACCTTTCCCTCTAACTGACGGCACTGATTTTCACTACTACACATCGCACACCTCTATAAGCCCTCAGAGTCACGGCACACAGCATATATATCCCTACAAGTACCCATCACACCACGGGTGCTAGAGTGCCCTCCTCAGGGATCCGCACTAATTAAAATTTCCGCCTATCCGCCTCATACCTAGTTCCACCTAATATTTGCCAAGGTGAGCGTATTTTATACCGTCAATTGGCCCGCCCGTGGTAGCCTCCAGAAATTTAATTTATTTATATTTGTTCCAGATTCCAATCTGCCATGTGGCCTTATTGCAGTCTTTTGGAGCGCATGGCCCGCCAAATTGGCGCCAGACAAGGGGAACTACCATCTTTGGAATAGTACGCGGCCATCGCCTGAACCTCGATCGTCAGGTGTCATCAGAGACTCCGAGTAATCGTAAACGCATTCTATTGGACACATCTTGACACCGGTGAGGTAAACCAAATTCAAAATCTCAATGCGCAGTCGCTGCGAACAATCGAAGCACCGACCCCGACCCCTAATACGATTCAGCACCCCTTTCAGGCGCTGGTGACTTGGCAGCTCTCTGAAACGCTAGTGCGCGCGATCAAGTTCATCGGCGGATGGACGGCAACAATATTCAGTCCACCTCCCTGCGTATCCGCCCGATCGACTATAAGTGAATGAGCGACCGGAGAAGACTCCCAGGTTGATTCGCAGCTCATGCGAATAAGACCTGGCTTGAGGCAATATAAAACAGATTACACGTCCGAGCGTGAAACTTGCTTGGTCTCTCCGCCTTTGGAGCATTTATTCAGAAACTATGAAATCCCTATCTCGAAATAGAGTAGGGGGATGGCAGCACACAATACCGATGTTCTAGTACATGCACTGGTAATATCGTTTGGCTTTGACGTCTAACATCGTGATGCATAACTGGTGGGATAAGGCGATGGCAATAATACTGGCTCAAATTCTATGATACGCTCTGAAGGAAATAAGTGCACTTGGCAAACTATTCGGAATCTCCAGAATTGGATTAATGAGCTGACCTAGGGCCAGCCGCAGAGGCGCGCTTGAGCAGAATGGGAGCTCGCGTTCGACTGCTTCGCAAAAGCGCTATAAACTTCCTGTATGTCTGATACCATCACCTCTCAGACGTGTCACTCATTTCACATTGTTTTTAGCAATACAAGCAATCGGGATGGGTAAATTGCGACCTCTCCGAGAGCGGGCACAAAGTTCTCTTACAGCGCTTCCTTTCCACACCGCATTTTCAGCTCCTTGCGCCGACGAGTCTCCACTGTCCGGGCTTTACGCTGATGGCGTGCTGGAAGGATGTCCAGAGATACTTCACCCTACAAAGAAGATCTACATATTCGCAGTGGTATGTACGTCGAATGCAAGTGGTTTTCGCTCACAAACCGACCAGAAAGGAGCTCGAGCTACGAGGTGGAGTACCCGCATGGTGTCTGAAGAAGGGTTTAAATTGATATATCACCGCCTCAAAACGGACTCGGTGATAGGCTCAGCATTGCCCCAGAATTGGATATTCCAAAATGTCTTCTCTTAACGGTAAGCTGGAGGTAGACAATTGAGTCAAAGAGTCATCTCTATGCGCTTCTTGAATCGCACCTCGGCCCGCTGCTGGATGCATCCGGAGGGACCGCAGTCTCGGCGTGCTCTATAATGCCTAAATCTCCTTATTCATTACTACAAATACAAAATGACTTGATTTCGAAAAACCAGAAGCAGTAGCGAAACAAGCTCGCGAACCCACAGCGGTGGCTCTGACCGAACTGGATCTGCTCGATAAGAACCTGGCCGAAGAATAGTACGTAGTGTGATATCTAAGCGCGGCGCGCTTCGTTTGGTTTCTCCTGTCTACGCGACGCCTCCGCCAGTCGAGGTTGGCCAACTTCTTGCTTTGACCTCTGCGATTCCCATGTCTGCCGACGAATACACGATTATCGTTGATCAACACAGATTCTTGGTAACCAAGGATAAGTTGCTTTCAGATCCGAACAACTCTACCACCTAATATTTCCTCGGTGACTACGAGGAAGCAAGGTCCGGCGCGAAGGAGATGGACTCGTGCTACATAGGGGATCTGTTGACCATCCGGCTTACACAGATACACATGTGTGGATAGAATGTCGCTCCGATATCACATTCCGTCGTCGTACTATCGTACATGACAAAAGGCGGCGCTACCCGAAACCTACCGCAGGATGCACAATAGTTTGGCTTGACGATGCTTGAAGAGAAGATCGCTGTACGCCTACAGTCTCAGTAGAGCGAACCTGTACCGAAAGCGAAGAGGTCATACGAGCTAGCGGTCAGTTCGAGATCTTTCTACCACAGGGATCTCACCTAACAGAATATAGACATATATAAATGAATGGGCGATTGTTGATATCACACAGAGAGGGTTCGAGGCGCTCCTCGACGTTTCACCACCCAGAAATTCCAGGTCATCGCTTCCAATATGTTGTATTGCCCTCCCGGATCCAAGGTTTTAACTTGCGAGAGATACTATACGGTAAATGCTGTTGAACGACTCAATTTTCCGGAAGAGAGTTACTGTGTACTCCTTGAGTCCGTGGAAGAAATGAGCACACCGTAGCGTGATATTGCGCTTACTGGTAGCGCTGTGCTAATTTATTTGTCATTTTCCAGCTCAGTCCTGTGAATGAGCATCAGAAATCGACTGAGGGAGCCCAGAGAACCAGGAAAGATAGTTCATGTTCTAATCGCGAGATAACTAAACAGTGTCCATTTACTCTCTTTGTGTGGATAAAGATTCGAAAAGATCTGGATTGTATTACATACACCCCCACCCGACTCAATTGCGCTATGCTTTATAGAACTTGGCTGTCGACATATAAATGTCGGACAACCAATTGGTATAGTCCGGTACGGTGACCGGCTCCTTCATCCATTCGAGCTTGAGGCGGATATAGGTCCCATCGTACGCCTCGATTCTGTCCTGTTCACGTCTAGCGAGAGCAAGGAGTTCGCTGCTCCAAACCACTTGCTCAACCTGGTTACCCGGATAGTCCTTCCAGTAGAGCCTGAAGGTAGTGATCTGGGACGTTTCCTTTGGGAGAAGAGACCATGGGTGACCCCTTGGGAGACAGCGACCCCGGATAAGTCGAGTGAACGAAACGATTGAGAGATTATCGAGCCACAGTTCGAGGGTAGAAATACTTGAAAACGCGGGTTTGGCCAAACCGTACGCCCCCGGGTTGCAGAGGGGCATTACAATGTCAGCGTGAAGGACTAGACGCTCTAGTTGGTGGAAATTCTGGTTTATTTCGAGGACCGTCTCCTCTTGCTTGATGTCGCAATTGAGACTCCTGAGTCTGCGGAGTTTTGAGACAAAAGGAAGGAATGTCATAGACGGTGTCTGCGTGAGCTCGATAATCTCGAGTCCGGGGAATGTAATGCAGAGGAGCCAGCTATAATCCCACAAGGCTACGAGCGCAAGCCTCTTCAAGCCAGATTCGAATGACTGAGTCGGCGCCTCCCACTTGACGTTGATCCTCACGCAAATCAAATTGCAAAGTACTTTGACCTCTCTCATGATATCTATGAGAGGAACCTCACCTAGATCCTTCAGAGTGATCTCCGTGAGCGAGGCTAGCTTGGAGAGCGCGATACCTAGCCTCACGTCCCCCAGCCCACGTATCACTAAGACTCGACACCATCAAAATGATAAAGAGCAGTGGTGAGGTCGACGTGGCATGATGGGACCCTGTAACCAGCGTACAATTCTAATACGCGGCAGCGACACGCCAGGTTTGTATACTCGCGCTTCAGGAAGTATGAACGGGGACGAACCTCCGACATGCAGTGCGAGTTTCTCGATGGATTCCATGTCCTTGAGGCTGCATACCGCAAGAGTGAGCCGACCAGAATCCGCATGCTGGATCCTGATCGTGGCAGGACTCTGTCGGGTGCGTGGAGCAATAACCGACCACATCTCTCTGGCTTTGCACTCCTTTATTGTTGTGAGTGAGAAGGCAACATCCTTCCACAGGGAAGGCATGCCCGAGACGATCCCACACCACCAGCGAGAGACGTGGGTGAATTCGACCGCACGTGTGGGCGTACCGACTGTGATTACGCCGCGTGTGTCGTATTTGCACTCGCCGTCGTTTGCGTCGTAGAGGATGTCCTGCATTAGCTCAACGGGCAGGGAGTTGATGCGGCAGACAGGAGCGAGCACGCGTTGAAAGCCCGCTTGCATACTCTGCAAGGACTTGCGCAACTCCTTTGTTATCTCGGTCAAGCTATGCTGAAGCGCGTCCATCTCGGTTGAGAGTTGGAAATCTGGCTGGACATTATCCGCCCGTTCGTCGAATTGCTGGGCAATGTAGCCAAGCAAATCAAGGTTGGATTGTATAAGTTCCTTTGTAGTTTGCTTTCTCTCCGCAAAAGCGTCTGTCACTGAACAATGCACATCGTTAGCGACCCCTCGGGGGAGAAGTGTGCCTAGAGCAGTGGAGATGTGACCTACTCGCATAATTCACTCGCTTCAGGTCTTCTTGTCTCAAGTGGAGTTTGCTGCTCAATGGGTGGATGGGGTTCAAATCAGGAGGAGTCCAAGGTCCGCTTTCAGAAAACGGGCAAACCCCGACGCGGCCGCATGACCACAGTCCGTGCATTCGAAAACGACCTTGCACATTCTATGACCTACCCCTACCCTCTAACTGACGGCACAGATTTTCACTACTACGCACTGCCCATCTCTGTGAGGGCCCCCAGTAACAGCGCACTGCATGTGTTCCAACAAGTTACTCGTCACATCACAGACGTTAGGGTGTATTCTATACTGAAAAACTTGCAGCATCTCAATAACCGCCCATCCGCCTCACTTGATCCCGCCTTGGACCCACCTAATATTCGCCAAGTGAGGGAAATTCATACCGTTTTTCTCGCCTTGTGATCAACCGGTCTGCCTGTGGTGGCTGCCGCCAGAAATCCATTTTATTTGTATCTGTCTCAGATTCCAATCTTCTCGAGCGCACGGGTTCCTAAATTTGAGCCGCACACAGGGCGCCCAGTATACCATCTTTGGAATGGTCTCGATCGTCAAGTGTCATCAGAGAGCTGTAGCGATCATGAACGCATTTTATTGGACGTATCTTGACACCTGTGAGGTAACCCAAATTCAAAATCTACTCCAAGCGCAGTCTCTGTGAAATACGGTTCAGAACCCCCTTTCAGGCGTTAGTGACTTGGCAGCTCGCTGAATCACCGCGATCGGCGGCTGGCAACAATTTTCAGACCACCCCTCTCTGATCGGCTATAATATAATTGAATGAGCGAATGGAGAAGACTCCCAGGTTGATCTGCAACTCGTGCGAATAAGACCCTATGCCATAAAACAGATTACGCGACGCCCGACGGTAGAATTTGACCTCTCCGCCTTTGGAGCATTTATTCAAACGCGACTAAATCCCTATCTCGAAATAAAGTGGGACGCTACCAGCACACGAGATTGATGTTCTACTACCCGCACTGGTAATGTCGTTCAGCTTCGCCGTCTAACGTCGTGATTGACAACTTGCCGGACAAGGCGATGGCAATATTACCACGCGAATTCTATGCCACACTGTGAATAAAACGTTCGAGTAGTTGACCAACTGTTCCATGGGAAACCCATGAACCTGTCGACAGGAGTCACTGGTCCCTGCAAAGGATTCATCGGCCGCATCAACTCCCGAGTGGAGACTCTTACTATCTTCTCTCAGTTGTGTATTGCCTCCACACTAGACCTTCAGTGACCCTTTCATCCAGCACGGCAGGCTTGGTTCGGAAATCTCAGCCAGCAAACACTGATCCGGCTTCGCAGTCAATAATTCTCTCACGCTGAGCTTGTACAAAAGACATCGGATGTTACCAAACTGAACCACGTCGGTCACCCACGCACCGTTGAATGACAAGCTCCGTCCGCGAAACAATACGCTCTCCAGGATAAATTTAGCGACTAAAAGCGCCAGAGTGGGATATTATAACCTAGTGGTCTACCTCAAATCCCATCATCACCCCTCACGCTCCTTTCGTCGTTCAAGAGCCCCGCTATGGGCGTCTTCCCCCCCGGACCAAGCTCATTCCGCTCTTTTACATTGACTATGCACTACCCTTAGACTTGGTCAGTAACATTATAGTATCAAGATTAGACTTTGACTTGCTTTAAGTCCAGTTCCCTCGACCGTCGCCAAGATGGGGGACCGAACTGGACTTTTCCCGCTGCTTAACGTACGCCTATGATCCCTTTCTTTATATAAATAACGTATCTTACAGTGACGCGGTTACCAATCGAAACCTCAAGGGAGCAGTATTCGTGGCCGATACCATGACCAACGAGGTGTGTCAGGGATTCTGCTACTCAAAGGGATACATCTATGCTGCTACAGAGTGGAGCAACGAGTGCTGTATGTTCGACCTCCTCGCGGTTGGCAACAGGGTTCACCTCAGATCCCAATGATAGGCTGTGACAACTCTTACGATTCCTCAACTGTAACGTCACCCACCGACTGCAGTATGGCTTGTGTTTGTAGTGCACTCGACACCTGTGGTGGCTCCCTCCGACACTCACTCTTTCAAAACATCGGCACGCCCTCACCGCCGTCGACGCCATCTACTCTTCAGACCTTCGACTGCTACACCGACTCTGTATTCAACCGCGCACTAACTTATCGTGTATACTCGACGGCGCAATGACCGTAAAGAAATGCATTGAAAAGTGCTTCTCTCTAAACTGTGGTTATGCTGGATTAGAGTTTGCCGACGAGTGCTATTGCTCCCATTCCATTGGCTCGTCTGGCGTTCCGGTTTGGATGGTTGCACCATGGTGAGTATTTAGCTCGATCTCCAAGCATTTGCTTACAATGTATAGTCATGCTCTGGAGACATGTCCACCGTCTGTGGGGGTTCCGATAGGCTCACGGTCTACAAGTACCAAGGCACGGACCTTACACCTGCTCCAGTCGTCCTCGAGTCTTACAATGGCTTCGCGAGTCAAGGGTGCTACGCTGACTCAGTTCAAGCTCGCATCATGACTCCAATCTCTCTGGAGGGCTTAATGACTATGGAAAAGTGTACTGATGCTTGCGTCGCAGCTGGCTATGAAGTGGCAGGCGCAGAGTTTGGACAAGAATGCTATTGCTCCTCAAGCTTACCCGCAGAGAGCTTCAAGGTGACAGATAACTGTGATATGTCCTGTGCAGGAGACTACGCTCATATCTGTGGTGGCTCAAACAGGGTGAGCTTTCGAGCCTGATATTCAACTGAGACTGATGTATGATAAAGCTCAGTGCTTACCGTGATCAAGGCACAGTCTCCTCCACCTCGACGCAAGTAATGGAACCATCGACCTCAGTGGGATCCTCCGCTACGTTTTCCAGAGATAATTTGTCATTATCTACGGGCACTACCACCTCTGCAATGCAAACGGCGACCTCTAGTTCCTGGCTCGACATCGGCTGTACCACGTATGCGTTTCCTCACCTGTAGTAACTAAACTGATAGTTCGCAGGGAGCTCAGTCTCGCTCCAGCTGCTACTCACTTTGAAATGAAATCTCTCGGCCACGTATCCCATGAGGCTTGCGGAATTGCCTGCTTCCAGTACGACTATAGCTACTTTGCGTTCATTCACTTGACGGCACGTAATATTTCATCTTGAATCCATCTTACTTACGTGATTCAGACATGCTGTAAGAATTCTTGATACGAGAAAGGGCGTACAGTAACTTGCCCCTAGATTGTTATACATCTCTTCCCGTTCCCGATCCATTTAGTGAGACAACGTGCACTACAGTGAGCAATCTGTGCTGATTAAAAGACGTTTCTGATCCGCCATATAGCCATGCTCTGACGCTCCAGATGAGAGGTGTGGTGGACCAACAGCGGTAAGTTCGCTGCCTCTTGTACTGACCTATGCTCATACTTGGTGCAGCCAAATTGAGCAACGAGGACCGACCATCCGTGAACAGAGATCTCGACCTGGTTCCAGCTATAGCCAATTTGAATATGATTTCGCTTGGTGGCCCTTCCAGTCACGAAATTTGTGGGCGGGCGTGCCTGCAACACGACTATAGCCCGATTGCCTTCATTCATTCCACGGTTCCCACTCCCATAATATGTGTATGTTCTCTAATCAACCTCTAGACCTGCTGTGAGTACCAGTCGGCAAAGTAGGCCTTGCTTGACCTGCGTTGCAGATTGCTACGCTTCTCTCCCGGCTCCTGGTCCGTTCACTAAGAAACCGTTTACCACGATGTGTCTATTTTCTTTATATAAAATTCGTTTGATCCATGAGTAGGCATGCACTGGCGATCCCAGTCAAGTATGTGGTGATCCCGCTGCTGTATGTCCTTCCACGCGAAGTGACTTCTCCTGGCAATCAAGTTAGTATACAGTCCTGCAGTTAGTACCACCGCGCAACATTCCAGCCATCACGTCACCTGCTGGATGGACTTCCCTTGGATGCATGGAGTACGTTGCCCTTCATGGTCTCGAGATGTATTGACTGATGCACTATAGGAATGCATTACCGGCAGACAGCTCAGGGGAGAATATCTTGCAAACTACCATTCCCGGGGATCAAACCGCATATGCATTTTGTACGGCCTACTGCCAGAACTTGAATCGCTTCGCATTGCTTTCCTATTCGGTATGTCTCCTGACTTGATTGAGGATTTCACTGACTTAGACCCACATTAGACCTGCTGTGGGTACTTGACCACATAATTCGAGAAAATGACCCTTGACGCTCTCTCCTTCAGTCTGCTCTCCAAGCCTCAACCCTTCAGTCCTACACGATTCCCAACATTGTCTCACTGTAAGTGTACCGCATTTCATTCATATGAGCTTCCAGTAACTTGAATCTAGCAAACTGGGTCGGATCCCTTACAGTTTGTCGGGCTCACCGACTACTTGAACGCAACACGTAACTCAGTACGTCATTCATTATCCCTAGGATTCTCGCTGATATCATGACCTTTGCAGTATCAAGTCTTCCTTCCCAATTAAGCGGAAGCGAATTTATCTTACAACTCGATGCGTACCATGACAGCTGATTGCGCCATCTCAACCCATCGAATCCTAATAGTGAGATGAATTTTTGCCACAGTATCGAGAGTCAGCTCGTCCTTGATGCCACTCCTTTGAATACACTTTGTCCTCTCGTATTTGAGACATCTTGAGCATAGTTCGGGCATTTGTGAAGCGAGAGGGTAGTACGCAGAAACGAGTGTGATTAGTCCTACTGATAAACAGATGGACGGTGTATGTTAGAGCGCGTATTGCGCGATATGCGTCCCGCGAGCAATGGCGCATCGAAAAGACTTCAGATCGTCGTAGGACTAGGCATCGGAATGATGTCGCTTGTCGAGATCACTGTCGTGGAGGCTCCATTGCTGGTAGTGGGTTGATACACCGAATACTGTAAAGCGTTTACCAATTAGCGGTGCCGGCACATAACGGTGATGCATATCTTACCGCCATTCCATCTCCATTTCCACACATCAAGGATTCCTCGCCAGCGGCAGTGCATGACTACACCCCAATAAGAGACCAGAAATAGAGTGATGAAGAGGACGCACGAAATCACAGCCCCCTCCACTAGTATTGAGGTCACCGAGACGAGAAGATGAGATGCATACTGTAAAGCCATGAATACTACTCTTTCCCGAGAAGAGAAGGCGTACCGCAATCCTAGCAAAGATAACGGGTGAGTAAAGCGGTAAATGATTAGCTGACTACTTACCGTGTTGGCTACCAACGTCACATCTAAACCCAACGAACCGCAGTACGATACACACCCAACCGCACTTGCACCCACACCCCTCAAGTAGGTCCAGGGGCCGTTGTTAAAGGCCAACTTTCCAGCTGAGCTTTGTGATCTATCGGTTCCATATTAGCAATAGCCTCAGATATCAGACGGCAAATTACCCGTAAACAAAGCAACCGAGATTGACCGGCAAGGGACGTTCTTCGGGGACGGAGGTTGCTGTTGGGAGAGGAGTCGATACGCTCATGTCCGTCGAGGCGCTGGTCTGAATTTCGGGTGTTAATGTACTCGTCTCAGTATTCGAGACTGTTGAGGTGGTCGATGTGACTGGGGCTTGATGCTGATATACGTTGAGTCGGTCCGCTCCGCCACACAGGTGAGCAGGATCCCCGGCACAGGGCACGTTGCAGTTATCTGTCGCCTTGAGGCTCTCTGCAGGCAACGTCGCAGTACAGTAACATTCGGCACCGAATTCGACACCAGCCACCGTATAACTAGATGCAGCACAGGCGTCAATGCACTTTTCCACGGTCATTGAGCCCTCCACAGAGATTGGAGTCATGATGCGAGCGTGGACCGAGTCAGTATAGCACCCTTGACTCGCGAAGCCATTGTAAGACTCGAGGACGATCGGAGCAGGCGTCAGGTCCGTGCCTTGGTACTTGTAGATCGTGAGTCTATCGGGACCCCCACAGATGGTAGACATGTCTCCAGAGCATGACTATACATGTAAGTAAATGCCTTTAAATCGAGCTGGATACTCACCATGGTGCAACCATCCGAAACCGGAACGCCAGACGAGCCAATGGAATGGGAGCAATAGCACTCGTCGGCAAATTCTAATCCAGCATAACCATAGTTTAGAGAGAAGCACTTTTCAGTGCATTTGGGTACGGTCATTGCGCCGTCGACATAGACGCGAAGACCGAGCGCACGGTTTGAGACAATGTCACTGCACCTTGTCAGAAACGAAAATGACGCGAATTATACACGTACGTATAGCATCCGGTGTCACCGTCAAGGACCCAGTCTCCAACCGAGGGAAGGGCGGATGCGCCGGTGTATTGGTAGACGTTCAGGCGGTTCCCACCACCGCAAATCTCGTTGGCGTTACCCGTGCACTGCATATCACATCCGCTTTCAGCTGGAACGCCAGAGGAGCCGATGGAGTCTGCGCAGAAGCATTCGTGACCGTACTCAACGCCTGCGAGAGGATAGCCAAGGCTGAAACACTTGGACGTGCACTTGTCGGCAGTCATACCACCGTCCACATAAACCTGGTTTGGTAGAGCACGGTTAGCAACCGTGTCCGTGTAACACCCTTGCGAGCTCCAACCCGGATTGCTAGGTTGTGATGGAGAGACGTCATCGAGGTACTCATAGATGCTGAGGCGATTACCACCTCCACATGTTTCGTCGGCGGCTCCAGAGCATGCCATATCGCAGCCGTCATCAACGGGAGAGCCACCATTGCGGAAGTCGCTGTCGCAATCTATGGGAGCTCAGATATCAATCTTAGCGACGGCAAAGAAGCGTACAGCATTCTTTGCTCCATTCGGTACCAGCGTACTTGTATCCCTTTGAGTAGCAGAAGTCCAAACAAGCGTCGGTGGTCATTGATTCGGAGACAAACTCGGCACCGGTCAGGGTACGGGCACTGATACTGTCGGTGTAGCATCTAGCAGAGGTGGTCCAGCGCGGACCGCCTCGCTGTCGACGGGCGAGGCCACGTCCAGAGTTGTCGTATCGAGAGGCCAAAGGCTAATCATCGATCAGTCTTGGAGAACGACGGATTCCTAGTCACGCACAGGGTCGACGGGAAGAGCATTAGTAGCAGTAGTGTAAGCAAGCGGGATGAGGGCAGCCAAGGCAGCGTGAACCATGATAGGTGTGTACTATTAAGAGCAAAAAGAGAGTGTAAGTGCGAGGGGGGATCGCAAGAAGTCCAAGACAAGTCTGGATCTCACCTTTTATGTCGTCGGATGAATGCTTCGCTAGACCGGTTCGGCGGCAGCCTCTCGTGAATGGAAACAAGGGATGAATCTCTGTCAAAGTACTAGAATTAGAGCGCCCTGAGCCGACGTGAACGGCAAAGCGGCGTTTGCCAATCTCCGTTACTAGCTCTTTTCTTTCAAGTATACGGCATGTGCCTGGCACAATTGGGATGAGTACACTATGCATTCTCACAGACCAGCATAGACCCACTTTAGATACCACACCTTGGGTGAGCGGCTCTTGGCGTGCAGCTGTCACAGTCCGGCATGTCACCAAACGATAGTTGAGAACGGACGTCTGTGGGAAGAAATGGTTCAGGTATCACGAGTCTCCTATGTCGTAGCCGAGATTTGACAAGGTAAATACGCTTTTTTCGCCGGTGTAACTGTAGCCTCGGAACTGCGCAAGGTTTGCAGGCGGCCATAAACAATACTAAATGGTGGTGAAAGTCGAGTGAAAGAGTCGAATGATGTGTTTCACGAGTCAAAAAGGATTGCTCCAAAGCGTCCATCCTTCAACTGGGTATGTCTGGCGCTCGGTGCAGGGTCGACTGTTGCTCGTCGGTCCGCTCAGTGACTTTTGTAGTCTGCAAACGCAGTCCAGACCGTGACTACCTCAGGTACCCACGACTAGGCCTTGGAGAATATTCGTCGGAGAGAGTTTGATGCGCTGATACCCTCCATAATGCCGTCGTATTACAACCAAATATATAGAGAAAGACTCGCTTATATGTCAAATGCACAAGTGAAAGGTCATCGACATCGATGCGGGGTCCAACTTGGTTTCACCACTTGGGATCTTTCCTCTGAAATGTTGACATACTTTCCAGAAGAAATATTCCTTGAGACATCTAGGAGTGCTTCTCTTCATTGACTGAACTTAATGATGGTGGTGTTGGCTTCTAATCGCTTGTACTAACCACGCGCTTGCTGTACCGCAGCCTCGTTATCCAAAGCTAGACATCGTCTGCTTTGATCTACAGTGCGCAATTCTTTGCTTCGTGCTCTCGTCAAGGCTCTTCGCCCGGCTGGACGGGTTTCTCAGATTCAGGAACCAGGGAGAACTTTTAGAACTTACTCGAGCCGCAAGAGAAAATACCTACCATATATCTCCCATACTCATGAAAGCGGCGTATGGTTCTCGCACTTTGGACCCCAATGACTTCTCGCCTGCCAGACGAAACTTTTGTCGCAATCTGTGGATTTGGCATCCTCAATAGAGATGACCTAGAAAACGTTATGCTGGTGTCGAAGCGGTTTAATCGCATCGCATGGAGCGAAGTCTGCCCAGACCTCTACAGCGAAATCTCTATCGAGAGTCCACGACTACTTCATCGACTGCTTCGATCAGTCATACGGAACCCGTCTCTCGGTCCTTTGATCAAACAAATCATCCTGGATTGGTCAAATGAAGAGGATAGCCCGCAAGTTTGCGAAGGCAGTATGGAGCTTTTAGAACAAGTAGAGGCCGCCAAATTGCTTCTTCCACCAGTTGTAGCCGACCATCCTACTGGCCAGTCAGCTCCCGCTGCACAGGCGCTGCTGCTTCTGGCACTCCTTCCAACGCTACGCCTATTGTATGTTTATAATGCAAAGGAGACTGAGATTTTCGAGCGTTATTCTCCGATAATTCTCAAGGGCGGGCACATCTCTCCGTCCCTCGTCGTTTACCGAAGACCAGGATAAGGGAATACAGGTGAAGGCCGAAGGAGATTCGTATGACCCTTGAACGCGTAGACTACGAATACCTCGATTAACCGTCTATAGTATGAGCTCACGCAGAACATTTAGGCGACGTTCGACTCAGCACATGGGAGGTCAAGTCCGAAGAAAAGAATATTACAGAGGCCAAGGTACAAGTACATGGTGAGAAAGTAGATGTCTATTCCTCGTAGTTCTTGGTCTTGGATGGGAGGAGCTCTGGAGCGATGTGAGGAACGACACCACCCTGGGAGATGACAACGTCGCCGAGGAGCTTGTTCAACTCCTCATCGTTGCGGATGGCAAGTTGAAGGTGTCGTGGGACGATACGTTGCTTCTTGTTATCACGAGCGGCGTTACCAGCGAGCTCGAGAATCTCAGCGGCGAGGTATTCGAGGACTAGCGAAATGTCAGCAACGGGAGAATTGAAGTACAAGTCACATACCAGCCGCGAGGTAGACGGGAGCACCAGCACCAACACGCTGAGCGTAGTTTCCGCGCTTCAACATACGGTGGATACGACCGACTGGGAACTAGACGCGTTGTCAATGCCCAAATCTTTAGAGGATAAGAGGGAAACTTACTTGGAGACCAGCACGGGACGAACGCGAGGCACCCTTTGCGTCTGCACCTCCAGTCGAGGCCTTTCCGCCAGACTTGCCACCGACTTTGCCGCCTTTTCCTTTGCCAGACATGTTTGATAGATTTTTGGGTGGGTGCGGGAGAGAGAACTGGTCGAGGGGGAGTTCAAGTTGGGGGACGGTGGTCGGTTTGTCGTGCTCTTATTTATATGTTTGGGAGAGATCCAGGTGGGGGCGGAGTCTAAAATGCGGTCGGAGCACGTGACGTAACGGCTCTGGGTAAATGCGTCGTATCGTACGTTAAATGTAATGTAATGATATATTTTATTAGCATCTAGCGACATTTGGAGGGATTGATATTTCCTCGCCTTAGCGGCAGTGGGTCGAAAGCCAGTCAAAGGTCAACCCTTTGTCAGCGCTGCTACATCGACTTTACTTATTTCCTCTGTATATCTTCCTTCTTTACAGCGTTTAGGGCAAAGTCACGTGAGACAAGGTTTCGGAGTTTGGGCGCGGTGACAAACAGTGCGCCAAACAGTGAGATGACCTATATAAGCCTTGGTGCCCGTTCGACCTTGATGGCCCCAAACTCGCTCCTCGCCTCTTCGCCAGCAACTCGTCTACAACAACTCGAATAACAAACATGCCTCCGAAGCCAGCCTCGACTGTTGCCTCCAAAGCCCCCGCTTCCGGTGTCGGCGGAAAGGCCCCAGCAAAGTCTACCGAGGGCGCAAAGGCCGCAAAGAAGTGAGTTTGCCTTGTATAATCAACTTTGACGCGTTCTGACAACTTGTAGGACGGCAAAGAAGGCCGCGCCAGGCGGTGATGACAAGAAGAAGCGCAAGCGCTCCCGCAAGGAGACTTACTCTTCGTACATCTACAAGGGTAAGCACTTTGGATGAACAAGTAACTTGTCTCTAACTCGCTCTTCAGTGTTGAAGCAGGTCCACCCTGACACTGGTATCTCCAACAAGGCCATGGCCATTCTCAACTCGTTTGTCAACGACATCTTTGAGCGCATCGCCTCCGAGGCCTCGCGACTCGCTTCCTACTCGAAAAAGTCGACCATCTCGTCGCGTGAGATCCAGACGTCTGTCCGTCTCATCCTCCCTGGTGAACTGTCCAAGCACGCCATCTCCGAGGGAACCAAGTCGGTCACAAAGTTCTCGTCTGCGGGCAAGTAAATTGCTCGGTTTGTGCACTTTGGACTCGCTCGGGTTATCTTTCTTTTAATTCCTTCGTGTGCGATGTACACCTTTGTATAAACAATTTACCCCCCCGAAACGTCTTTGACGAGAGAACAAAGTAAAAGTTTGATTCCACACGACGACGAACAAGACAGAACTAGAGTACGTAACGGAAATTCTTATTCTCGAAATCGGTCAAATCCAAGAACCGCTTCTCGACGCGGATCTTGTTGACTGAACCATCAGCACCAGGAACCTCGAGCCATCCATACTCTCCGTAGAGGTCCTTTTCCTCCTCGGTCGTCGCATTCTTGGCAGCCTCGTCACGGATGCGGTTTCTGCGTTGCAAGAACCAGCGGAGGAAGAGAATAATGACGACTTGGAAGCAGTACGAAGACAGGATGATGATCCACGGAACGCGGTTCTTGGGCTTGTACTTGTCCTTCCACCATTGGGGCGAGACCATTTGGCCGACAGAGTAGCCAATGAGCCACATGGCGTTGAGCACGAGCTTCTTTGTGTGTCCACTGGTCGTGGTCGTGATCCAGGAGAGGGAGAGGACGACGGCGGGCGTGCATCCGAGTTGGATACAGTAAAAGGCGATCAACAGGCCGACACGGCTGTTCGGGTGAATGACGAGCACCATGGCGGCGATGATAGATGGCACATAGGACCCAGCGGAGATCCATCCACGAGCATTAGGATACTTGTGGAAGATCCACATTGAGACGGTGACGGTGATGACCATGAGCGCACCACCGGGGATGTTGAGCAGTGTCGTCTGCCAGACCTTGAAACCAAAGTCTTTGATGATGAGCGTGTACTGGATACCGATACCTCCGACAAAGTTGGCAAAAACGGCGTAGAGCATAAAGATGTAGGCCTTTGGATCCATGAGTGCCTCGCGGAACTGGTACCACTTCCAGCTCTTGGTCTCGACACCACTCTGGTTCGTCTTGATACGCTTAATGGCAATGACACGCTCCTCGCCGGAGAGGAACTTTGCCTTTGTCGGGCTATCGGGGAAGAAGAGGGCGAAGAGGATCGAGGTGGCGAGGGTGAGGAGAGAGATGATGATCATGAACCATTGCCATTGGGCGACTTTGCCGTGGTTTTGCGGGAGAGAGAGCGGGGTGTGGTTTGGTGTGTGGTAGGCGCCAAATGCGATAAAGCCAGAGAGGATAGAGGCAATACCGTTGCATTGGAAAACAAGCCCGACACGTTCACCCATCTCCGCACGTGTATAGTACATGCTAGTGACGAGCATGAGTCCGGGCGTGATGCAGCCCTCGGTAAATCCGAGCAAGAGACGGATGGCGACTATTTGAAACTGAATGAGTATTGATTGCTATTATTAAAATATTTATACGCACTGAGGGAATGGTAGCTCCTGCCGGCGGCATGGACTCCGACGAGAACGGCCCAGAAGAACATCATGACAGCGAGATACTTTGCGACGGGCAACTTTTGAAACGCATAGGCGTGCGGGAGTTGCGAGGCCAGCATGCCAACATAGAAGAATGTGCCAAGATTATTAAGTTGTTCGCCGGTAAGGTGTGCATCCTGCAGGAAGCCAAGAATTGCGGATGCGCCGATATTGTTCTTATCAAGGAATTGGACTACACCCGGTCAGTACCTGGCCCTATCCCAATGTCGTAAAGCGTACCCGTGTAGATTCTAGCGGATGAATAATCAATATCAGAAAATTGGAAATAAAATGAAACAAGTACGCACAAGCATAGAAGAGGCATGATCCGCCAGTCGAGCTTGCGCTTGACCGCACGCGACTCGGCGGGATCAAGCTCGTCTTCTTCATGAACGCCCGTCATGCCTGGAAGAGCAAGCGAGACGTCGAGTTGTCGTGCGGCGTCATCTTTGAGTCCCTTGACGGCTGGGAGCGCGTCGAGCTCATTATCGGACGACGACGAGCTGTCGTGGTTCTTTTTTTCGTCGACGGCGTCGATGGGGTCTACGGGCAAGCCTCCCATTGTGTCTGTCTGTAGGAGCTCTACTGACCGTCTCAGAGGAGAGAGAGAGGGAAGGGGAGAGGATCAAGAGACGAGACACGGAGCCAAGATTCGCACTTGGGGGGATTAAGTAGTGATCGTTTGAGCCCAGATGCATTAAGAAGAGTGGAGGATGGAGCATGTGTGCTAGCTCAGGCACAGGCGCCACGGCTGGTTTGGAAATCTGGATGGCATAAACGGGACAAGGCCTACAACCTCGGGCCCAGACAAAGGTCCCTCTTAGTATTTCCATTATTCTGAATCAGATGCATGCCCCCTGGTCATTGATCACACTATTGCTGACAGCTTTGACAATCAAAGACTAGTTCAGGGCATTGGTCACCGGCCATCCAATCATATCTCAGGTCGTGCGCAGCTGCTTACACTCCACCTTGTGTCGTTTCCAATCTCTGATAAATCCATTAGCGCACTTTTTTAATTGAATTAGTGTAGGTCCACTCACTTGGTCTGGCATCCAGTCGAACAGTACCTTGCAGTTTTACACCCCGAGCAGCGCTGCAACACTTGCTCCGTCTGTTCATCGATAGCCCCGTGCCTCTGGCATGACACTTCCCAGCAGCCGTCACGAGTCACACTCGGTTTAGCACCCGATGGTCTGTATACCATCCCCACCTCCTTTCCCAATCCGTTCCAGCTATTCCATTTGGCCATGCTCGCTTTATCTTTAGACACGCGCGCTTGTTCGAACAGCACGTCCATTGTCTTCGCCCACAATTCTCCTGAATCCAGTGCCCGTCGGAGCGCATCCACGTATGCGTCTGTTCGAACATAATGACAATTGGGCGCTTGACAGGTCGTACAATGCACGAGCAGCTCGACAATATTCGTCCATGCGCGTGCGACAATCTCCATTGGTACCGGGTTGCCGTCCTCTGTTCGGGTCGTTTGTGTGTAGATGGTCGAGAGAACGGACAGCAGTGAAAGGCGGTCAATGTATTCGATGAGCGTGGCCATGGGGAGTGGAGAGACGTTGGAAAGAGCCAAGAGGACTGCACCGCACATGTCGACGAGTTCCCAGTTGACACCACGGTCGTCGGCGTGACCCAGTGCGTCTTGGACCGTTTGCACGACGAGTGTCATTATCCGTCGATCTATTTCCATGTTAATTCAACATCTAGATGAAGGGCAAAGGAACTCGCCTTGGACGAAATACCGTCCCAGTGTATCTTTACATGACTCGTCTGTCATCCACTGGATGAGACATAGCTCGACAAGGCGATGTCCGTCTGTCATCTTTCCCTTTTCCCCCAGTCCATCTTGAAGCATGTGAACGCATCGTCCGACAATCTTTTCGGCTCCTGTCGTACTCGTCGTACTCGGACCAGAGGAATGCGTCCCAGCCGCGTCCAGGACGCGTGAAAGGATGTGCTGCGTCGGTGGAGAGTCAAACTTAAACGTAGAAGCTGGTTGTGATTGTGGTTCGAGTAGCGCTTCGAGCGAGATGGATGCCGTGATGCGGGTTGGAAGGTCCGGCGTGTATAGCCAGCAGAGTGTACATACTTCAACCGCACCAGACGTTCTCACCTTTCTATACCCAATCCGTCAGTGTTAGAACTCGGGTCAAGCCGTGAAGACGTACCCTAGGTATACTGGGTCTGGGTGGACCTTGAGCGAGTGTGCGAGTGCAAAGAGCAGTCCACTTGCGGCACTGATGACACTCGCTGTGTCTGGTGCTCCTTGGTTTATATACCGTGCCCTCTCCGCGGGCGAGGACATGAGCGGGAATAGCTTGTTCACCAGGACTTCGCGTAGCAGGGAGAGTGCCTGTAGATTGATAGATGATGTTGAAAAGGGTGGCAAGGTCGTATTAGATGCTTGGAGTGCGAGTGCAATGTCCCATGCGCTGAGGATCCATACGGGTAATCCGCTCTAGTCCTGTTTGTCAATCGTCTAATGGAGAAATAGAGGACTTACAGAGGTTGTTTCGTCGTGCTGATGCGAGTTTGCATACTCGTACAGGAATTGTGGGTATTTGGCGTCGCAGAGGAATGCCCACGACGTTGCATTACAAGCATTTCTGACTCGCTGGTGTTTGTCTACACTTTGAGGATCTGCTCTGAGCTCGTCCACTAGCCGCAGAATGTCCTTTGCTGTAACAGCGGGAGAGGCCATGATTTGTTTGTGGATTTCACAACGCTCCTTGGTTTCTCCCTTGATTGGCCCGAATTATATAACCAGTCGGCGGAATATTCGAGAAATTCATATTCAATATGGCCAAGCGGAATAACCATCTATTTACGCTCGCCGTCTTGTTTATTGCCGTCTTGTTGGCGTACAGGCAGCGCAATAAGAATCCGCCATACACGCCTCCATCAACAACAGACAACATTTACTATCCATCACCGACGACTGCAACAACGGCAAGCACAATGACGCATCTTCCTCACCCACACATTTCAGAGGCACGACAGCTCCCCAAACAAGTCTTTGCGCTCCTTTCACGCATTCCCTCTCCTTTGCCATTGATCTGGGCACTGATTATCTGGATATATCATCTCATACTCTCCATCTCTACGCCCATTCGCATCGTCTTCGACGCTCTGAGCGTCATCTTTGCCCCATCATCTTACTTCTCTCCGCAACATATCACTATCTGGTCGCAATCCCAACTGGAATCGCACTCTCAATTGGACGAACACTCTACCCGCTCTACGTCTTTGCCGCCACGGCCATTCTATTTGGTGCCCTTGTCGGTGCGTGTGGGGGGATGCTACACGGCGGTATTGTCAAACCGTGGTCGAATGCCAAAACACGCGAGGCAGACGAGGCTATCGATACGGCGTTTGCGCACCCTCATAGGCCGGATCAGCGGCGTCAAGGAGATGCTTATGCGGACGATGGATTTGTTCGGGTCAAGCAAGAGGACGTTGATGATATTCAACGATGGCGACAGCAGGCTTGGTGATCTCGTTGGTTTTGGTGAGTTTGGCTTGTTCTTATCATTCGAGTAGTGTGCTGACGGTGGGCGCAATAGAGTTGTACAGTAGACGTGTTATACATGCATTTCTGGTTCCCTGCCCCGCAGTGCCACCCTGTCACCCTCGCTCGCTGGGAGATGCCTGACCGTCAGCTCGTCTTGCTCTTGACCATGTCGGCACCCAAACAAAACGACAATATTTCTTCTTATCCATTTCTTTGCTCTTCAGCGACTTTGCTCGTCGACGCTCACCCACGCGGGGGGAGGCACATTGATGAACTTGGAGTCGCCCAGATAAATGACTCAAACGATACAAAACTCTACTTTAATCCCTCTCTCCGCTCGCTTGGGGTTGTCTGTGCAAACTCGGTGAGTGTCCCATCGATTGTAGTCGGCCCTAACGATGGGATAGAGAACAACCTTGACTACTTTTCTCAAACGCATCGTTGAATCGCATCTGCGCCTGGAGGATACACGCGTACTCATGCGAGTGCCATTCTCCAGAGACAGGCATGGACTGACAGCTAACTCTCGCTCAGCCTCCACACAGATAACAGCATAACACTGCCGACGACCCGTCCATTTGTCCAGGATTTTGCTCAAAGAGGATGTAGAGCATACAGCTCGTACGTTTTTTTCTAACAGACAAGAGGCGTCGATATAATAACAGATACAGACCGCGCAAGCGACGGCGCATTGCTTCAATCAATGAACCTCTCAATAACACCCAAGTTGTTCCACCACTGAAATTCAAGGAGGACGATGTATCGATTAGGCATGTCCTCGAAATCTTCGCTCCATCGTTCAAGCCACCAGAGGGATCAGCAAAGCCGACCGAGGAGAGTAGAATCGCGAGTAAAATCGTTCATATTCTCAGCCAATTACCGGAGCCATTCGACCTCGTCCGTACGTATGAATAGCCTCACTCTACCGTTTCTAATGCAGCTTATCGACAGGCTTCAACCAACTAATTGGTGAGGAGACATGGGACGACGACAGCGAGAGGTACATTTCTGACCGCCAGACGCTCCTCACGAGTCTCATCTCGCCCCCCTCTTGTGGCGATGAGGAGGGCGAAAGTGAAGTGCACTTTGATGGCGTGACCATTGTCGATCTTACAGACCCTATCCTCCATTGGCTTGGAGTGAATAGCGTCTTGATGGACATGGTCCTCTCGTTTTTCTCTCCCAAACAGCGGAGAATCCCAAACTCGTTGGTATGTACAAACTTTGGGCACTATAAGGTGCTGACCGCAGTAGTCTTGAGCAACGCCCACGAGTACCTCCAACCCGGAAGCTCATTGGAACAGTCTATCTCGTACGTTGCGGCGGATGGACGCAAAAGCCGCACGTCACTCCTCATCTCGACTTCGGACCCGAGTATTGTGAACGAAGCGGTGTGGAGTGCGCTCGACTATGCCGCGTGCGGTGGCACGACAAGTTCCGCGTGGTATCAAACGCTTCAACATCGTCTCACTACCGCCGGGAGGTCAGCCTCAAGACCATCTGACATCCCGAATGCGTCAGAGACGCAATTGCTTATTCTTCCTACGAGAGGATTTGGCGCGGTAGGACAGGGTTGGGAAACTACCCCGATGTATGCGACGATAGACATGCAGGAACTGGAGAGGACGATGACATTACCACTGTCACAGGAGGTGGAGACAACGGCAGATCCAGAAGACGTCCAAAGATCACAGATATGTGGGCGGATTATGCCTCGTCAACATCCCGTCGACCCTCCACAAACACTGGAGCCGCTCCTGCCAGACGCTGGGCTGCCGACCACACCCGAGAACTTGCACCCTACAATCGACGTATCCTCTTATTCGAGCGAGCTCCAGTCACTTGTAGCTGCCATCCTCAACGTCGCGGATGGGAAACCGAACATCTACGTCGGCTATGCAGCCGTTCGTGACGTGGTAGGAAATAGAAAGCGAGTCAAGTCTCTAGGATGGAGGAATTTTTCATATATTGTCGAAGCCGCTGTTTCAAAAGGGTACATTGTCCACGCTGGCGAACATGGAAAAGGTGGACTCTTACTACTCAAGGCATCCCCTTTCGCATCCCAAGCGAATAAGGCCGAAATGGTATGTCATTCGAGCCGCATTACAGTCAGGCTAACGTCTCCTCATGCAGCTGCCAGTCGAGACCTTGGCATCCCGAACAGGATCACCCTCCACCCTAACGACGAGTCTACATTCATCTATGGTATCAGAAGACACGCAGAGCCAAGCATCTGATGTGGACCCTAATGCCTTTCCCGTACCTTTTCGGCTCCTGATCGTGGCGATCCTCGAGCTCTCTGGCGGGAGACCTGATGTTCTCATTGATTATGTCGAACTACGCAGTAAAGTGGGAAACTTTCGTGCCGTTAGAGCCATGGGATGGAGGACGTTTACGCAGCTCATCCGAGAGGCTGTGGCCGCTGGTTATGTTGACCATGTCGTTCGCCAAGGGCTTGATCGTGTAAAACTGAGAGCTGATCCGTTTGCTGGACCTGGATGGATCCCGGTAAGTTCATACTCGTTCCAGATATGGCGGCTGAAGTGTACGTGGTAGCCCACGGACCCGTCGACTACGCCAATCACACGGCCCTGGGCCCGTCCAGCCGTATCGATCGACCATACGCAGTACCCACCCAACTTTCAAAAGCTAATGGCGGCTGTCATCTCGCTCAGCCGCGGCGTCTTCGATACGCCCGTCAGCGCCAAATCCGTACGGACTCTGGTGGGTAAAAAGGAGGAGATTAGAAAGATGGGTTGGGTCACATTTTCGAGTCTGGTGGATGCAGCATGCGAAAAGGGGTATATTCGAACAGGGGGGCTAGAGGGGGACAAACGGATTATGCTCTTGCCTTTCAACCCGAATGCGTGATAGATCATCTGACGGTTACCTTGGATCGAGGCTGTACTTTTCGCAGGTGGCCGATTAACGTCGTGCTTTGAAAAGTCTGGACCTGACCATTAAAGTCGTTAATTATCTTCAACCAGTTGGGAGAGTCCCACAAGCTCAGGAATATGGATTGCAGAAAGCATTTAATTCCCTGGACAAATTCGCATCTCCACGAGAGATAGCATCTACCATACAAATGACCGCAACTACTACAGAGCAACGCCAGTCGCTCATCATATACCTTGACAAATCATAATCACCATCTTCACCTCCAGTCGTCTCACTTACAATAGCATCCCCACCTGACTGCCTCTTACTCCTATACCACGAGATATAACATCCAGTCATGATCTAGCTCCAGTTGAACTCTCAATTGGATATACAGTCTTATCACTCTATCTCTTCGTGGTACGGCCATTCACTTTGATGCAGTCGTCGGCTGTACGGAGGATCCTACGCGGCGGTACGGTATCGTTGAAGTGTGATTGAAGCACACAAACCTGGCGTAACTTGATAGAGATCCTCTGGGCCTGCGCACCAGGGAGGACACGCGGATGGAGGCAACGTTCGTTCGGGCTAAGCAAGAAGACATTAGCGCCACTCAAAACGAGACCGAGTCTGGTTATCTCGGCCAGTAGCCTGTTTCGGAAGATACGACCAACTTGGGCGCTTGAATGGTACGTTGATGGTAAATACACAGCAAATGATATCAACTATGACATATAGGCTATAAGGTATCCGCATGTTTGCCTCGACGCCTCAGTGGGTCGGACCCTGCAGCCATTTGACGCCCATTGAGCCTGACGCCCACGACGGCTTGTTCTCGACCATGTCGGCACTCGAATACGACGATAGCAGTTCGCTGCACCTATTCAGTCTTTCTTCGCTAGGAAATCTGCTCAATGACCCAGACGTCGAGGGAGCTCAACTGGACTTCGACGAACTCGGGAGTGTGGGGGCGAGTGCGGAAAAGGACATCAAATTATACTTTAATCCTTCTCTCCATTCGGCTGGGATTGTCTGTGGAAACTCGGTCAGTAACTCATAATTTGGGTACCGACCCAGATTGGTTTGACGATAGGCTAGAAATCAGCGTCGAATACATTCATAAAGCGCATCATTAAATCACATCTACGCCTCGCCGATGCGCGTGTGCTCATGTGGGTGCCACCGTCTGTCTAGGTGTTATCTGAACATTCCTCTAGCCTACATACAGACAACGAAAATCCCATTCCTACTGCATGTCCACTTGCTTCGGACTTTGCTGATCAAGGCTGTAAAACGTATATCTCGTACGTACTCTCTCTCTCGTCCACGAGTGGCAGATTTGACAATGGGATGTAGACCACGCAGACCATTTAGCATCTCACAACTCTATGCAAACTCCGGTTCTCCCAGTAACGGGCTCGTAGAGTCGTTATCATTCAAGGAAGAGGACATTTCCATCAAGCATGTCCTCCAGTTTTTTACACCGGATCCATATATTACAGCGTCACTCACAAACTCGAGAGAGAAGAACAGGGTTTCAAGCACGATAACCCATATTTTGAGTCAAATTTCCGAGCCGTTTGATCTCGTTCGTAGGTATACAAGCCTAACCGTCTCGTCTCTAATGACATTTGTACGACAGGCTTCAACGAGCTTATCGGGGAAGAAAAGTGGGATGAAGAGGGCGAAACCCATGTAGCTATTCGCCAGACGCTTCTCACGAGCCTTATTTCAGCGTTAGCTGGCACCGAATTCGAGGAGGATGGCAGAGGTGCAATCAAATTTAGTGCCGTAACCTTAATCGATCTCACAGACCCCATCTTGCATGCCCTTCGAGTCGATACAGTCTTGATGGACATGGTTCTCACGGCATTCCTCTCCCAGACGGCGGAAAGTCCAAAACTCATCGGTATGCTTTCTTGTGGATCAGGATGTGTGCTAAGTTTCGTCAGCCTTGAATAACTCTCACGAATATCTTGGTTTTGGCAGCTCATTCGAACGGTCTATCGCACACCTTTCGTCGGATAGACACACAAAGCGCATGTCGCTCCTTCTTTCGACTCCAGACCCGAGTTCAATTACACAAGAGGCGTGGAATGCACTCGACTATGTCGCCTGTACAGGCGCAGCGAGTTCTGCATGGAGTGAAATGCTTCGGCGCCACTTATCAGTCCAAGAGAAGTTCGCTTCCTCAAACTCTCTGGACATTGGGAGTTTCGGTCCTGGAGAAGTATGCATAATTCCAGCGAGAGGGTTTAATGTACCGAAAGATTATGGAGAGAATTCCCCGTGGTGCACGAGAATAGCCGCGCAGGAACTGAACAGGACGACGACGCTACTGTCGAAACGGGTAGTAGATACAAATACAACAGCAGACAATGTTCAAGGACCAAAGGGAGCATGGAAGGGTTTGCCATGGGCACAGATTGCCCAGCCTTTTGTTCCCAGACGATCGGACCCACCCGAGAACTTACTCCCCCCTGCAAGTCCGCCTTTCATATCTGCTCCTGCTCGATCGCCATCACCACCACTAAAGCACACAAGCACCTCTAAAGTACAGGTTGACAACTCGACACAAGCCATGCCACCTTCCATGAACTTGGACGCCTTTCCTGTCCCATTTCGTCCCTTGGTATCTGGGATCCTGATACTTTCCAGCGGAAAGCTTGACACACTCGTTGATTATCTCGAATTGCGCACGCAGGTTGGGAATAATCGCGTCGTAAAAGCCATGGGATGGGGTTCGTTTACGCAGCTTGTCCGAGAGGCAGCTGCGGCCGGATATGTGGACCATCTGGTTCGCAAAGGGTTTGATCGTGTACGGCTGAGAAAGGATCCGTTTGCTGGTCCTGGATGGAATGGTGTCAGTCAGTTTCTTCTGATGAAGCCAGTAACTCATCATGTCGCAGACAACGGGCTTGTCGAACGCACAGGCTTCAAGGTCGCCACCACCCGTGCCGATAGACCCGATGTGGTACCCGTCCAACTATCAGAAACTCATGACCGCCGTCGTCTCTCTCAGCCGTGGAGTCGTTCATACCCGCATTAACTTTGAGGATGTGCGAAGTTTGATTGGGAAAAAGGCAGAGATTAAAAAGATGGGGTGGGCTACCTTTACAAGCTGGGTAGATGCAGCGCAGGATAAAGGGTACATTCGAACAGGAGGTTCGGAGAGCAAATGGATTATACTCTTGCCGTTCAACCGAAATACCTGATTGAACGTCTTTTGATGAGCTGGAATCCAAGCTTACCTCTCTCTTTGGCGGATAGACAAGTACCTACCTGGCGTTCTATCGCATGCTCGTGTCTAGGCCACAATGATTCGTGTAGAACATGGCTCCAATGTACTGTGCGAGATTGAGGGAGAGTGCTTCTTTTGGGGGGTATGATTCTGTGAGGGGTACCAGTATTCATTCCACTGAATCTGGATGTTTTCGATGACAGAACCAGGAAAAGTCAGCAAAGATAGGAGTCTTTTAGTGATAATCCCGTGCAGCATCGCTGCGGGCGTGTCGCGGGGAAGATAATCGTTAATTTCGCTGAGGTACCCATATATAGGGCGCAGTCGAGCTACGAGTTGTTGGAGAAGCTTGGCAGCGACACTTGCCTCCGTCCACGACAAACCTGAGGCATGGAACCCCTCAACAAGGCCCATATTTCAAACTATGTAGTTCTCTTAACAGAAAAGGGCCCAAGTATAGCGACATCTGTCATCTCTCCATCCGATCAAGTGGAACTTGGGCTTGACAAGCTGGGGGAAGATGCGGATGCAAGAGTTGAAATATTTTGGAACTCTAATATAAATCCTTTTGGAGTAGTGACTGGTGGCTCCGTGCGTGTATCCCTGTCCAACAACTTGCGTACTCATTTCTCAGCAAGGTGATAACGAAATCATCATCAAGCGCCTTGTTGCGTCTCACTTGCAGGCGTGGGATGCTCAAGTTCTAATGCAAGTACATAAGAAGAGCTACTGCATGCTCGTTTAACTATTTGGATAGTCTCCATACCTCCAACCATGCTCCCGTTCCGGGTTTTTGCTCCATATTTGCACCAGAATCCGATCCGCAGGTCTTTCTATCGTATTTGATTCCTCTCCTGCTCCGGAGCCCGCTCATTCGAGCCATAGGCCACGTAACCCATCAGAGGTATTGGAGGTATACTCTGAAGGCGGCTTAAACCCCCAGCTCCTTACTTTCAGAGAGAGCGACATAAGAATTCAACACCTTCTCGCGCTCCTGACGGCTTCTCCAGATGCACCACCCAGTAGTCGCATTCTGAACGCGATTCGACATATCACAGGACGACTTACTTTCCCATTTGACTTGCAACGTAGAGCGCGTGGTTTACTTCCTTGCTGTCTCTGACCGGTATATAGGATTCAACGAGCTAGTGGAGGATGAACGGTGGGACGAAGAGGGCCAAAACTACGCTGCCAGTCGTCAGACACTGTTGGGGCTCCTTGTCGATGAGCCCGGATCGGACTTGACCCAGAAGAAGAGAGAGCTCTTGGTCGACCTCACGGACCCGTGGCTATCCGAACTCGCCCTTGATTCCGTCCTCTTCACAATGTTGATCAGCAAATTTATCAAATCATCGCCTTTTAGGCGAAAATTGATTGGTATGTTACATTCGTTGACTTTCGCAACACTTTTCGACTGCATTGGTAGTACTTAACAATGCACACGAATATCTTCGGCCTCAGTCCATCTTGGAGAATACTTTGCAGCACGTCGCTGCTAAAGGTCTTTCTCGCGACGTTTCAATCCTCGTCTCAACTTCTCAACCACAACTTCTCAGTGAAGCAATCTGTAACTCTGTCGACTATGCCATTTGCTCGACTTCTGCGAGTGACTCCTGGCTCAGGTGGTTCAAAGAACATATTCAAGAAAACTGTACAAGCCATGATCTCTTTCCGAGTAACATCTGTCTGGCTTCGAAGAGGAAGGGCATGTACACTCCAGAAGGCATATTCCGGAACGATTTATCAACCCTCTACCTGCCATTATCAACACTCCGACAATCAACACCTCCACCACGTCTACGACTCAATGTCAAAGTCCAGCAATCAAAGCGTCCAACAAACACTATCGCTCCCCCATTGGATGATTTTTTGTCGTCACCCGCATTCTCTGAGCCACCGGCGGTGCAGTCTAGTCCGCCATATAAGGGCCTGTCGTTTGAGCTTAGCCTCGAGGCGGCTCGATGGAGAGAAATACCTAGGCTCCCGCCTACCTCTACTGCAAATGATGAGAATGTACGTCGCTCTATTCCGGTAGCAGTTATCTCACTTCGGATGAGAAGATACGAAGTGCAGTTCGACCCACAGCAGATGAGTATCCCCCTGAGCTTCGGCCATTGATCGTAGCTATCATCAAACTCACCGATGGAATACCCGACCTCCGAGTCAGCTTGGAGTCTGTCCGAGCTCATGCTTATGGTAAGAATGGGGAGACACAGACCCGGCCCATTGGTAGCTCTGCTTTTATCCGCCTCCTAAGCTCTGCACGTTCGCAAGGGTTTACTGATCAGGGCGGATCTGGAGCAACAAAATGGATATCGCTTAAGAAGCTAGTGAGGACTTTTCTGCCGATTGACAGTACCTTGATCTCCTATCAGGATAGGCCCCTACCGGGATCTACAAACATCCCTGGTCAGGTCAAAAGTAACTATTCTGATCTTACTTCTGTCATGAAAAATCGAGTGAGAACCTTTGTGTATCACCAGATTGGATCCCGGCTTAATTCGTTCATAGCTCCGAGCTTCCGATTTCCCTGTGGAACACCGTCCTCTTATTTCCGCAATCTTACGACTAACTTCGGGTAGAGCAAACGAGGTAGTTCGCGCGGCAGACGTCGTCGAAACATTGCGGAGATTCGAAAGCATGCCAGACCTTACCGAGGATGGAATGCTCATAATGCTCCTTCAAGCCTCCAAATCCAACCTCGTGCGACACTATATGGGTTCTGATGGACTCTACATGATGCTAGAGGAGAAGAAGACGGTGGATAGCAACAACTGAGCCTTTTGCGAGAACGGGCCTGCGGTATTCTTGTCGTCACATACTACCATCTTGATATCAACCCATTCTCCCGATCCCAGATCGTTTCCTCGATGAGTACCCGCACTGTAAATGAGAGCCTGACGACAAAGCAAGGCCTCTTGACGCGCACCCTCTCCACGCGTGTTCTCGGCTGTCGAGAGGCTCGAATGAACGTTTCATTAGACAACGCATCCCTGATTTCGGTCTCGAAGGGCACTTCGAGTCAAGTCCCAGACCACCCTAACCGACGCCACTGGCAAAGCCTTGCCCACAATGCCAGCGGTTCGAGCGGAGAAGTGTATCTCAACTGTTCATCTCATCCAATGGGTCTTATTGTGGCATCTGATGTTCGTTTATGCCCTAGATAGAGGGCCCCGCGGTCGGTTAACTTAACGCCATGCTAGATGCCTTCCCTGGAGCCGATTTTGCACAAATTGCTTGTTCAAGAATATTTGAACAAGGATATCCAAATACTTTTGTGAGTTCCGCGGAAATTACAGAGCGGTTCGTTGAGTATTCTTAGGATTCGTATGGAAGACGACGAACAATTGTACCGAGGGCTGCACCTGGACGAGTTCGTTAAGACGAAAACGGACTTCATTCTTTCGTCAGTCAATCACTGGCTCTGTACAATACTCAAACTCGTTGCAGCCCAAATAATGGCCGGATACAGGCTTGGTATAGTTCCCGAGAAGTAAGCACAACTACCCTCAGAATTCGGGAAGAAGGCATCCGCAAGTCACACCTCCTGTCTCTCTTTTCTCCTCCGTTGGACATGGCCGGTCGAGGACGCATTCTTAACACAATGCATTTCATCCTAAGCCACCTTTCGGAACCTTTTGACCTCCAGAGTGCGTAGATCTTGTACAATGGATTATATCTTACAAAATCAGGGTTCATCGAACTTGTTGAGCAGGAAAAGTGGGAAGACGATGCTACGACGTTCATTGCCCTACGCCAGACACTCCTTACTCGGCTCATCGCCTTCGAAGACGAAGATTTCTGCATGGAGTCGCCAGAGAATCGGCGTATAGTCGTTGACCTTACCGATACAACTCTGACAAGTGCAAGCCTAACCGACACCCTCGCTTTGATGGCCATAGACTCCTTTCTCGAGGGGAGCTTCAGTGGAGAGAAACTTATAAGTCAGTCTCTATAGCTCAATAATGAACTAGCTAAACTTGAATAGTACTGGATGGATCATGGGGACTTGTGCACGGAGCAGTCGAGCGGAAGCTCACGTCTCTAGCACGATTAGGCCACCATCGCCCTGTGACTACAATCATTATATCCACGGATCATTTCGTTCCTCCAAAAGATGTGTGTGATCACATCAATTTCGTCATTGTCGCGCCGTCTTTTCTAAACCACCCAACGACGCCCTTGTGGTCACAACTTGGACTATCTCCACCAGATATCTCAGAGTGTCATTCCGTTCACTCCCGAGATTCTGTCCGCTTGGTTTACACTGACAAGTCGATTGTTTACGTCTCTCCCTGGGCTCGTATGTGGGGCAATATTAACCTGGGGTATGATCCCACAGGAATCGAGGAGCTGCAAGGTCTGGTACAAGTAAGCCCACTTCCGCCAACCAAGCAAGGCTCTGCAGCGACGACGACATTTCTTGCCGAGGAGCCGACAATAGCCGCTCCAGAGACTCCAGGGAAACTGCAGCAAGAAGATAGTGAATCAATGGTAAGCAAGGAGCAAAGTCCGACGGCTCTGACTTCTTTATGTAGGCGGACCTGGTGCGACTGCCTGAAGTCTCAGTCAACCGCAGCGACCAGGAGCAGCGCCATTTACCCACTCTCAATGATGCCAACAGTGAAGTTGAATCGGGACAGTGGCAGCATATCAATAGCTCCGAGGACGATCTCTCGCCTTTCCTACCTCTTATCAATGCGATAAAAGAAGTCGATACAGGGCCGCACGATAGAGGTGCCGAGTTTGAGGCCGTTCGTCTCGCTGTGGGTCCCAAGTCAACCGTGAACAAACTTGGATTCACCACATTCACTCAATACGTCAAGAGAGCTATAATCAAAGGATTTGTCGAGGCAACCAGCGACAACGACTCACAACGACTTCGACTTGTCCCTTCACTATTCCGTCACCGAAAGCTGACCGCTTCTCCACTATCTTTCAATTCAAAGATGGGTGCCGACATTCCTATTGTCGGTGGCCATAGACCGCGATCATCCTCATCCTCTCGTTTTGAAGTGGAGCCTGTGCGGAATTGGAGCCAACACTCGAATAATGTGTCCAGAGTCGAGTCTGAAAACTGTAGCTTTACCCACCATGATGCTAGGAGCGATATGAGCATTTCATCCGTCCAGGATAATCGTGGCAGCGACCCACTGGTGCGCCAATTACACTCCTTCTGCGGTTGATCTTACTTGTTTAAAGCACTTTTCGGCCACAAATGATAAAGATTCTACATATGGAAATCCATTCTCTACCCAGACCTTTGCCATTGACCTGAATGTGCCAGTTCAAGGCTCTATCCCCTGGTTCGAAGCGGTGTCTGGCAAATACCACCCCCAATACCGGCCATTGTTAACAGCAATCCTTCGAGTAGGAGGACGACAGGCAACATTTACAAGAATGTGCCCATCGATTCAGTCAGAACGCAGTATCGTGAACAAGAGATGGCAGCGGACGCGCATTTAGCGAGGTTGCCTTTCATTACATTGTCAATCAAGCTCACACAAATTTCGTTGTTCGTAAAAGCGTATCGTTACGCATTTGGTACATTTCATTATCTCCTCCAGTAGGAACTCTCCCATTCAGGCCATCACTATCTGACTCCCCCGTGTACAGGGCTCTCGCGCAGAGACAACAGTCAATGTCGACTACGACGTTCCTCCCATGTTCAAACCTTTACTTGTTGCAATCCATACGGCGTCTCCTACGGGAGGTAACCATGCCTTCCTCGGCGACGTTGCACACATCCTCGATTGGAAGGATTGTAAGGCTGCTAGAGCCTCCAATGCGAACCAGTATATCAGCTTTGCCTGTGATTGGGGCATAGTATCGGTTTTCGGTCAAAAGCCACATGAAATGGCTCGAATACTGGTGGCTCCTTTGCCAAAAACCAATATAGTCCCCCAAACAAGTGCCGACACATCTCAACGCGAGAGCGCTTCCTCTGCACAGTACCTACCTCAGGACGACGGTGCCGGTCCCTATCAGCCTGGGTCACGCATTCGATCTCGATCGTTATTCTCAATACCCCATCCAGACACATGGGTGGATGGCCGGAAACGTGCTGCGAGTGTCTCCAATGCCGATGCAGAGGAGTACAAATTCATGCAAGATGAGGCTCCCACAAACCACGCTCATGGAGACGATACTCATGTGCCGACACCGGCCGCACCGGACGGATATCCCAAGCAATATGAACCACTCTTTTCAACCCTTTTAAAGTTGACAGGTGGTCACGCCAATGTTCGGGTCCGACTCTCGGACCTAGAGACAGCCCTTTGCTCCGAAGGACCCCTTCAAGAGGCGAAAAATGTCAGCCTTTTCCTTCACGCCTATAAAGACAACATCATCACGCGCAGTGTTGATAAGGATGGCTCGTGGATTTCACTAAATTTCCCTCTGGACGCGGGGCAAATGGGTCGCCCACTCGTTGATGACGCTGCGAGGCATGCTGATTATGTAAAAGCTAGTCACGACTCAGGCAACTCCGAGTTGGAGGTGTTTCTCTCACTCATTAACGCGGTCAAACGGCAGGGAGGCTCGAGTGGACGCGCAAATGTCTCGGCGGTGCGGGATTCACTGTACGATTCCAAGGCTGGACATGTTCCCGCAGAGGCAGAGCAAGCTTTCCAGCGCTACATTCAGCTCGCCGTGTTCCATGGAGTCATCGTGAGTGGTGGATTACCGCCCGACCTCTGGATACAACTCAAGCCTGGGATCGAGTCACTCGCAGCGAACCTAGGAAATGGAGCCCAAAATCGCACTGAAACCCCGTTGGACCTACGCGAACGCGAATCTTTGGTGGAGGGTCCTTTGGAGGGGCAAGGGGACAAGTTCCATTCTCAAGATGGCAGATTTAAGCCTCTCTTGGATGCCATTACTCGTGCCAGTATCGATGATGATGGCAGAGCTTACGTCTTGCAGGTTGAATCCGGATTGGATTCCGATTATCGTACTTCTGCAAGAGTTACTAGTCTATCTCACTACATAGAGCTGGCCAGTGAGGCCGGTTTGGTCACCATTGGTGGCAAGCGGCCTGCTCATTGGGTCCAAATTCTACCATCCGCTGGATATGTCGGTGATAGGCCAAGAAAGGACGTTCAAAGTGACAATGGGAACATCCCGCAGGTATAAAAGTCTCTATGGGTTGTTATAATCGCTCATAACTCATCTAGCCCCTTCCACCAACGCAAATGGGTTTGCTCGGTCGCCTTTGAGTTTCCCAGAGCCGTTGGACTCGAGTTCCACGCGTGACACGAAAGCAGACGGGAAGATACCTCCTGTTGATGCCAAATTTGGTCCAAGTCCCGGTGACAATCTGTATCCAAACCTCGTCCGAGCTATCCTCCTTCGAGGCATGGGGAAACGCGGTGTCAAAGTGGATAGGACAGCTGTACTAGAATCACTTGCCGAAGACGCCCAGGTCGCCGAAAGAATGGTCGAGGACGCTTATCGAGATGGTATTGTTGATCAAGGCGTTATGGATAGGTGGAAATGGATATCGCTCAAAGAAAGCGTTCGTGCTTGCTACTTCGGATGACTGGTCGGGCTAATGCCTATTACAGGTTCCTGATATCAAAGTCCAGCAAGCCAAACCACGAATGAACGGTGTAGGTATCTTTACATGGTAGATTCATTCGTTTTCACCAACGATTTGCTAGCTTCGTGCGTCAGACTACCCAGAAGAGCACAGTTGTATTGTGTCTGCCATTCTCCTGCACACGAATGGAGCTGCAGGAATAAAGGCACGATACCCTGCCGTTCTAAACTCTATGCAAGCGAGTGGCGGTCTCAAGACGGCAAGTAGCTCCACCCTATTTGTAAACGCCACCAAAGCGGGTGTGATGGAGTTTGGGAATGATCCATCGGGTGTCTGGGTGTATCTCAACTCACCAGATGCTCGAAAGCCTTTCGAGGAACCAAAGGAGGTGAGTCCGGTTTAGCAAGCGGTTAACTTGCACCTGATGTTCCTTGTCGTGACAAGTCCCTTCCAAAGGCGTCTGCGAGTAAAGGGCAAAGTCCGACTCCGTCTACCACGCCCGGTCATCCGCCATCGGCTTCGTCGCCTGGACCACAATCAGTCGACATCACAGCCTATCCTCCCAAATTCCGAGCGTTGATTTCGGCTATACTAGAGTTGGCGAGCGAAGACTCTTTTGCGTTCGTGGACAGTCAAAAGGTGTGCCTACGTTTAGGGAGCAACAAGGGAGTAAAGGCCATGGACCTGGGATGGAATACCTTTGGTAAGATGGTGCAAGATGCCGTTCGCGCTGGATATATCGAACACATAACCGAGGGAACTGACCGGATGCGGCTTGTCGCAGAGGGTGTGCCATCAATCACCCCAAAGCCGTCAGCCTGCAACGTCGACGACTATCCGCCCACGCTATTACCGCTTATTTTGACAATATTGAGCTGTACACACGGCATGGCTAATGTGCCAGCAGACATGAACGACGTCTTCGTTTTGATGGAGCGGAATTTGGGCACGAAGCGGACTATATTTGACGGTTTAGTGGTCGTTGGAGCTTCGAAAGGGTTTATTTCCGTTGGAGACGTGGATGGGCGGAAGACGCTGAGCGTTCTGAAGCGTTGATGTGTACACATGTCGAATTACTAATAATAGCGAGTGTCCTTTGTTTCATAGCAATTGACTGATCGGAACATGATGTGGCGTCGTGTCAGGGGATGACAAGCGGAGACGCAACGGCCATGCGCCCATTCTTGGCCAGACTCGCCGAGACCAAGACTACAGAGAGTTGTGACGAGTCGTACGGTTGAGAGCTCTCTATAACCAAGTAGCAAACACTACAGCCAACGGAGATCGACATCGGGTCGGTAAAAGATCGCCCGGAGAGGTACGGCGCTCGGGTAAGCCGTCGCGTGTCCGATCGCAACAAAGCCACAAAAGAGACAAACACAGGCAACTGTTGACCTCCGCCCCCGCTCCCCATTTTTCCTCCACGAGTCTGAACTCGTCCGGGCTGCATTTCCTAGGATGGTGCAGACATCTCTCCGGGCCGCCGCGGCTCTCCTTCCAGTCCTTTTTACTATTCTCCAAGCAAATGCACTAATCTTTGAACTCGTATGTCGTTCTCGTATAATACCTACACACAGTGCTCATAGTCTCTCCTTTAACCAGTCTCCTCACGCCAATAAACGCCAGACGCAGCATCACCGTATTGCCCAAAAGGCCAAACGAGCAGCCCCCGTTCTTCCCGCGACTTGGGCTTATCTCGGATGCTACACGTACGCAAACTAGCGCCTTGCAGGGAGCCAATACTAACAGTTCCCGCTCCTAGCGACGGTGCAGCTCGTAGCTTGCCAGCCTTTGGTACAGTTTCTGCGTCAGTTCGACTTTCGGCCCCGGCGGTATCTGGGCTTACTTATTCCCAATAGAACCATGACCGTGGATACTTGCGTTGCTCTCTGTGATTCCCAAAACTATCTTTACGCTGGTCTCGAATATTCCCAGGTAAGTGCGCCCCTCTTCCCAACTTCTTTTCGTGTGTACTAACGCGTTATTCCAAATTCGATAGGAATGCTGTGAGTTCTTATCTTATTCATATGTCGGGCTCCTGTCAGCCACGATAGCAACAAGGGCTTACCGAACCTCCGGCTCGTTCCAGACTGCGACAATAGCATCCAGAACGGTGGGGCAGCCGCGGCCGACGGATGCAATATGATGTGTGCAGGTATACCCCTCTTTCTTGGGCGCGTTTCGACCTTCTGATCCTTTACAGGCGACGCGACGCAGACGTGCGGAGGTTGGATACTTTTTACTCACGCTCTTGGGCGTCTGGCTTAACCACACTCTTCTCTAGGCGGCTATCGTCTTTCAGTCTACAAGTCTTCCAAATCTCTTCCTGCCCCATTGTACGTTGACAAATTGGTGCTGCATCTTAATACTAACCCAAGCCACGTGCAGACCATCGTATAATACTTGGGGATACCAAGGATGCTACACGTGCGTTATTCGCGTTCCCATGTACGTTTTCTGAATGTCTTCGTAGGGATAATACCGCTGCACGCTCGCTCACGGTTCCCATGGCCGTGACGGGAGGGATGACCCCGCAGAAATGTCTCGACGCTTGTCGCGGTGCGGGTTACACGTACGCCGGAATGGAGTACTCTGTCGAATGCTGTAAGTACACAAGCTTGCCAACACTTTGTCGGGCCTGACCTTTTATAAGACTGCGGAAACGCCATCACCAACGGTGGTGTCGCCGTAACGGATGGGTGCACGATGACATGCGCAGGAAATACTCAGTATATTTGCGGTGGAGGCAATCGTGTATGTCGGTCATCCGAACCGGAGATTCTTCTGACCGCCTTTTAGCTCACCTTGTACAAATACGGCGCTGCACCCGTCTCTTCATCCACTACTACCACCACGACATCTGCTTCGACGTCTACATCCACTAGCACTCGTACGAGCACGAGCACAGTCTCGACTGTTTCCTCCTCGACTCCCAGCGCCACGCCGACTGGTCCTATTACTGTCCCGTCATACAACGGATGGACATCTCGTGGATGCTATGTCGACTCTGTTGCCAATCGTGCGCTGCCTGTCGCCATGGGCGTCACTGGCGGAGCTGCCGCAATGACCGTCGAGAAATGTCTAGATGCCTGCAAAGCAGCTGGATACACATTTGCAGGCCTCGAATACGCTCAGGAGTGCTTCTGTGGATCCGCAATGCCGACAACTGCGCAGGCGACGGACGGACGTTGCAGTATGGTGTGCAATGGTGAGCGAAAATGTCTTGAATGCCGAGTGGACGCGCGTTATTGAACGATTTTGTAGGTAACAATCTCGAGTATTGTGGTGGTGGCAACGGCTTGAACCTCTATTCGTATGGTGCCGTGACCTCGACTTCGACTTCGACTGCCCAATCGACACAAACGACTACAACCACAAGTCGTAGTTCGACGTCGACGTCAACAACTCCGAGCGCCACACCGACCGGACCTTCTGTCCTCGCTACGTATGGAAACTGGCAAAGCCAGGGTGCTGGAGCGACAACCCTGCAGCTCGCTCTCTTCCTGTTGCTTTGGCTATGAACGGTGCCGCGACTGTCCAAAAGTGCGCGGATGCCTGCTACAATGCGGGATACAGCTATGCTGGTCTCGAATACGCTGCCGAATGCTGTGAGTATTGTTCTGGAAACGGTACAACTCGAGCTCCTGACCCTCTCTCGCAGATTGCGGCTCCGCAGTCCAGAACGGAGGAACCGTACAAGACAATTCTGGATGTAACATGGTCTGCCAAGCAGATAATCTTCACTACTGTGGTGGTCCAAATCGCCTCAACTTGTACAAATACAACGGCGTCGTCCCTACGCCCACGAACCCGCCCCCTGGTGGCGGAGGAGGTGGAGGCGGAGGTGGAGTAACACCGCTTACGACTGGATTGCCTGGAACATGGACCTACAATGCATGCTGGGTCGACAACGCCTATGGCCGTATCTTCAGCCTCGCCCAGCCGGCCAGCCAGACCAATTCCGCGCTGAGCTGCATCTCTCAATGCTCTGCAGCAGGCTATAAAGTGGCTGGGCTTCAATACGGAAACGAATGTTGGTGTGGGAATCACCTGCAGAACGCGGCTGTTAAGGTGAGTGTCTCGGCGTGTGGGCGGTGGGCAGCGTGCGCGGAAACTCACGGTTTCAAAGGCTAACTCGGAAGCTGATTGTAACATGGCATGCCCTGGAGACACGACCCATGCATGCGGAGGCCCAAATCGACTCAACGTGTATGCGGCCACGGCGACTTTCCCAGTCTACCCCGTTCCAACGATCAAAAAGGCCAATCTCCCTGGATCTTACCAATACCTCGGTTGCTATGCTGAAGCACCTAGTGGACTCCGTGTCTTCGACTACCTCATCGAGAGCCAGACTGCCACCACCATAGACGGCTGTCTCAATCTCTGCAGTAGCTACGGCTACCCTGCAGCTTCGCTAGAATTCGGAACTCAGTGCTTCTGCGGTGACCCGAGCCAAATCACGACCGCACAGGCCCCCGACGGAGATTGCAACATCGCGTGCACGGGCTCGCCGACAGATTATTGCGGAGGAGTTGGAAAGCTGCTCATATACACTTGGAATATGGCCACTAATCCGCTCTTTGTTTGGAACAAGCCCGCAAACACTGGCCGATACGAGCTTTTGATCGGCGGCATTGTCATCCCCCTCATTGCGACGCTCGGTATCAACAACAAGGTCAACTTTATGGAAAAGTACGGCACGGGTGCACCAAATTCGACAGGCGCATACGAGCTCGACTATTCGCTTGCCAATGACTATAAAAAGGCCTGGAGAGAGATGCATGTCTCCTCTGATGTGTTCTGTGCTGCCAATATTGTCCTCCCGGATCGTAAAGGGCGTATTCTCTCTGTCGGTGGATGGAGTCTCGACTCGACGCGCGGTGTTCGGTTCTATACGCCGTCAGGAAGCCCCGGTGTCAATGGTACGACGGATTGGGAAGAGGTGTACGACAGCCTCCATCTTCAGGTATGCATACGTTTTCGTCCGATTATAGCTGTAGCTGAGATTCCTTTCAGCAAGGACGATGGTACCCCGGCGCAATGGTCATGGCCAATGGCTCAGTTCTCGTCGTCGGTGGCGAAGAAGGTTCCAATGGCAAGCCAGTTCCTACACTCGAAATTCTCCCCAAGCCAGCTGGCGGACCGACCTATGTGCGTCCTCATGTTCTATCGAGGTCTCGCTAACTCTTTGTCTAGTTGTACATGGACTGGCTCTTCCGAACAGATCCAAACAATCTCTATCCGTTCACCTATACGATGCCCGCCGGAGGAATTCTCGTCATTTACTACAACGAGGCTCGCATTCTCGATGAGACGACGTTTGCCACTATTCGAACGCTCCCAACGATTCCAGCTGCCGTCAACGCTGCCGGTGGCCGCACATATCCAATGTCCGGTGTCTCGATGATCTTGCCACAAAAGGCGCCTTATACAGCTCCGATTGAGATTATCGTTTGTGGTGGTTCATCCTTTGGTATTGCGCTCGACAACTGCGCTAGCATCCAGCCCGAAGTCGCCGGTGCCCAATGGGTGTTGGAGAGGATGCCCACGAAGCGTGTTATGCCACTCATGGTCGCTCTCCCTGATGGAACGTACTGGATTGGAGGAGGTGCGCAGCAAGGTGTTGCCGGTATGTCTTGGTTTTTTTGGACACATGTTAGACAAACGGCTCAACCACTCCTTCAGGTTTCGGTCTTGCGGTAAAGCCAAACTTGCAAGCTCAGATCTATGACCCAAGCCAACCACGCGGAAAACGTTTCTCTATCCTGGGTTCGACTAGCGTTGCGCGCTTGTACCATTCCGAGGCGATCCTCTTGCACGACGGGCGAATCCTCGTCACCGGAAGTGATCCACAGGATAACACAAACCCACAAGAATATCGCATGGAAGTCTACGTCCCACCCTATCTCTCGAGTGGACTCCCACAACCATCTTTCACAATCGCCACACGAGACTGGGTATACGGTGGACAGTACCAGATTACGGTCACCCTACGAACGGGAACTACCTCGACCATGCGCGTGTCACTCATTGGCGCCTCGTCGACGACGCACGGAGCCGTGTTTGGACAACGAACCTTCTTCCCGGCGTTTACGTGCGCGGGCAATGTTTGTACCATCACTGCACCGCCAAGTGTACGAATCTGTCCGCTCGGATGGTACCAACTGTTTGTACTCGATGGTCCGACGCCCTCGTACAGCCAATGGGTCCGTATCGGAGGCGATTTGGCCGGTCTCGGTAACTGGCCCAACGCAGCTGGATTCACGCTTCCTGGTGTTGGTGCCATTTAGACTGTTTAGAATTTCTGTTGGCTGCGACGATGGACACACTCCTTTACGCGTCTCGCATAGACGCTTCCGCTCTTTCATACCATTTATTGTACCTACGACATTGCTTTATTTGCCATATCTTTCATAAATACTCGTTACGAGCTGCCTTCGCCGTGGACTACAGCAGACCGTAAAGCACAAGAGACGGCCCCTGAATGCCTTTTTCTGTTCAGCCGGTAGTTCAAAGGGTCGATGGCTAGCGCGCCCCATCCCCCAGGGCTTGTGGAACGATAATGTTGAAACTGAGGGATGTATTTCAGATCGCTCAGCCAATTCCATAGTGAAGAGCTATAAGGCTGCTGTCGTCAGCACTTATCAGTCGTGTCTGAGACCTGCAGAGCTACGTCCATACGATATATCCCTGATATCTGGTATCAGCTAGACTTAAATTTAGGAGGGATACTACATTCGATGGCGGGTATGACCCACCGTGGGACGCGGCAAGTCCCTGTAATCTACTGAGGGGTTTGATGTGCTGGTCGTGTTGCGCCGGAATCGTGAGTGACCTCTGAGGTCTCGTTCCTTCATTCGCTTCGAATTCCGAGAAGATGCGATGGTTATACTTACATATTCGAGCACAGGTTACAATGAAAGACTTCATCGACCCAATCAATCGCTGCTGCAAAATCAATCAAAGACTCCATAAACAACAGAATGAAACGTGGTTATGGCATTTAAGATCGGCATTCCTCATTTATCTTTGTTGAATCAGGTACAAATTGCAAGCCATCTGATACCAATTAAGCAGGGAACAGTGAGCCAAGGAGATGAAACATACGTTGAAGATACTACAAGCTCTTTGGATTTCATCTGTACAGTCTTTGATGATTTCTGCATCACTGGACTGGAAAAAGTACCGCGGCCTTTTCTCTAGCATGCGGCTTAACCGAATGTGCACATTTTTAAGGCTCCTATTGTACCATAAAAAGCCGGTCATTAGTCCGACAAATCGCATAGACATCACATACTCAGACAGCTGATGCAGTGCGGTTTTGACCCCTGGCGCCAAGTTTTCGACTTCGGCATACTGCTCGACCAAACCGAGAAGACTGGTAGCATGAACTTTCAACGATTCGGCCGTTCTCTTTCTTTGTCTTTTCGCCTACGGGTAAAATAAATGACCAACGCCAGTACAGCGTATGGGCCCTCACCTCTATCGATTCAGCTACTTGGAGCGCAAGAGAAACCAGTCCCTTTAGGAAGGGAATTGGCGCCAGCTCCGTTAGGTGTACAGCGTGACGAAGGGCCACTGTGGTCGCCCCGACGGCCTTATCGGTGTCAATTGCCCTGATGAAAGGCAAACCTGTTGTTGATCCCGCCTTTTGAATAACTTGAACCATGTCTTGTTTCAAAACGGAGAGTTGCACAGCAATGATAAGCATGCTTGGGTTGAGCACTCGGGTGAGCATTTGGGTTTTGGTGATTGGGTAAATTTGCGGCATTGTGAGGGGTGTCAGTGGCAGAAGATGCGCGTGCAAGGTCTATATCCTTCGAAGCAAGTGGCCAGGCGGTCTGGGTGCTGGAGCGGGGAGCCCTTATTGCACGCACAATGGGTGCTGTTACCTCACAAATAAGATACGAAACTCTGCGCAATTCTGTGGGCAATGAATTTGCATATGTTCACAGCCATGCGGCTCAGCAGTTAACCTGCCAGGTTCAGACCCAATCGCCTATGCGATCAATGAGCAAATCACGGCATATTTTTGGAGTTACCACTCTTCCGGGGTGGTATGGAGGCAAGGCAAGGCCATTGGCCGTGATTCATGAACCACGCCGGGAGGCGAGTAGTTCGCTTTGGCGATTATGAGAAACAATTTTCGGATTTACTTCCCGATGTAGCACAGAAACCATGTCTTGATACAGCGAAACTTGAGCGTTTATTTCCCCCGCTAGACCTTCAAACAGGTTTCGACCGTCATTGAAACATAGGTTAGCATACTAGAAACATAGTTATCAAGAGCGGGGAATGATGACGGTCTCGCCCAAGCCACAAGTATCGAACGCGTCTGATGCAAGACCCGCCTTTTCGACGGCTGCAGCGAGCAGACGAGGTGGCTCAAGGACAGGTTCGATGGTCAGAGTCCAGGTTCTGTAAACAAGGGACTTTAGTGCCAAAAGACTTGGGATAAAGAAACGACATTACCCCCAATGCATCGCAATCGCCTTTTTCGCCCTCACATCCTGGAAAATTCTGACTGCATCGTTTGGAGAAGCGTGCCAGGAACTCATTGCTTGGCGTGGATCATAGGCACCAATGGGGATCAAGCCGAGGTCGAATCCGCCAAACTTTTCACCAATCTCCTTGAACGCCGGACAATATGGAACCGTGTCCTCGTCTTGACCTTGTGCAACGTGTCTATACCCAGTGTCCCCTGCGAACCAGACTTTGTAGCCGACGGTGGGTGGAGACGAGGGGGAAGTTACGTGAAGCTCTTCGAGTGCCCATGATCCCCAAAGGGTGTGAAAGCGATCAAAGGGCGTTCGAGCGGACTGGTGCTGCGAGGGTGTGCAGGTGAGCCGGAAATGAACGGTCGGGCCTTCTGTCGCTTCGCCAGCCGCACCTTCTTGCTTGAGTTGAGGAGATGGGGGGAGTTGGACGGAGACTTCACGATCTTCCCACCAGTCGAGGCAATGAAAGTGGGTCGGGGCAATGTCAACGCCGACAAACCTGTCGTCGTTGTTGAGCGGCGCAAAGAAGTGAGGGTTGTGTTTCTCCTTGAGAATGGCGAGTGATTGAACGTCCATATGGTCATAGTGATCGTGAGATATTACGACGGCGTCGACGTGCGTAAGGTTGCCGAGCTCCTCGAGGGAAATGGGAGGGCCTAGGGGGGGGGGGGATTGGCTGAGATGAAACAAAATGAATAAAATGAAGTAACTAATACGTACGGGTGTAACGGGCCGGGCCCATGAACGAAAAGGGCGAGCAGCGATGGGACAGGACTGGATCGAACAGGATACGTGCACCTCGGCTTGCACCTTTGGGCGTTGGTAGTTCGACGAGGAAGCAAGCATGACCCAACCAGGTTGCTTTGAGCTCGTTCTTGTTGGCTTCCGAGCCCCATGTTGGCTTCTGCCATTTGAGAAGCGCCTCGATGTCCTTTGGCGGTTTAGGGAGGCTGAAGATGGACTTCCAGAGAAAGCCAGCCATAACGGCCGGGGGAACATCCCTATAGAAGTATTAGAATATTCCAAGAACCAAAGAGGGAAGCGTACACAAACGACGGCCATGGATTCTGGAAGAGGCTCTTTGTGTCATTTCGATGGTGGGCTGGACGGGGCCCATTCTGTTGCTCCTTTGCTGGACGAGTCACAGTCACGAGTGCGGTCGACATTGCGTATGCGAGTGTGCGAGAGTGTCCTTTAGCGACGAGGCGGAAAAGTCCAAGCATTTGGAACAGAGAGTGCGCGTTTAGTCAACAAAGCCTGACGCCGACGTCGACATTGCCCGTCCGAGCCACGCAAGCTCTCGGCATCTCTCGTCTCTTTTCTATTTCTTACTATTCATTTTCATGGCGGCTATTCATGCACTCGAGGACAAAGTACATCTCCAGGATGTCAGGGACGCTACATTCGACACCAGCACAGAACACAATGTATATACAGCAATACAACATGCCGATTGGGACGCCCTCCGAGCAATCTCACTCCTCCCAGGAGGATTTGGCAAAGCCCGCGTTGATGCTTGGTACTCCGGATATTTCTACACGTGCTCCTATCCGTCTAATCATCCTGAAGGCGCTTTCTATTAAACGCACAACGCATTTCCAGCGTGTGTACATCGTCGCCGTCCCTCGCTCTCACACTGACACCGTGATATAGTCACCAGCAGCTGGAGATGAGCTACAACAACTCGAACCGCACAAAGACGAGCGACAGGTCGGACTCGACACGGACAGGAGTTTTGTCATATATCCAGCTGGTACGTCTATGCTGGCAATGGCAACCAGCATGCATCCTCATTACCTCTTGGCAGATGGCGAAGTCTCTGTCAAGTCGAAAGACGACCTCAAAGCACAATTACACAACGTCATTGTGCACGTTCTTCGGAAACGACCGAAATTGGCTTACTTTCAGGCAAGTCCTTTGTCGACTTTTAAACCCCTTCGGCTAAAGCGAAATAGGGATATCATGACATCATTTCTATCCTACTGTTGACGTTCGAGCAAGCGGGTGAAGATTCTGCCGACGCGCTTCATCTGGCCACCGAAAAGCTCAGCCTCCACCGGCTTCGAGATTCCATGGGCCCAGGGTTAGAACCCTTGGTCGGCATGCTACGGTACTCTTCATTATCACACTTATCTACCCAGAACTCATCACTTATAGGCTAGTTAAGCAGCTCCTCAAGGCAATCGACCCTGCCTATACAACCCAGCTCACCGCCCACTCTCCGTTGCCCTATTTTGCACTCTCAAATATCCTAACATACTTTTCGCATGACGTGCCAACTCTGGAGATTGTACAGCACATGTTCGATTACCTACTCTCCCGCCCACCGATATCCATCGTCTATCTCGCTACCACCCTCATCCTTGCGCGCAAAGAAGAGGTGCAACATTTGTACGAAACTGGCGACGAGGGAATGATGCATGCCCTGCTCTGCACGTCGCCCGAACTTGTCGACCATATCAACACCGGTGAGCCAATCAAAGAGGAAGAGGTGGTACCGACGAGTCCATCCGAGAAATGGGAGCCCACTTCGCCACCGGACCTTTCGGCTTCGCATACGTGGTCAATACCAGAGACGTCCGAGCTCACCATGGCGTCGTCCATGGACTCATCACAGTCGTGGACGCTCGCAGACTCTGCGACAGAGTCCATTCCATCTCCGGGCACATCGCCTACACTGGCGCCCATCCCAGACTCGTCATTACCCGCGTCTGCCAAACCACCGCCCCTAGATATCGACTCTACGCTCGACTTTCCGCCGCTCGAACCACCTTCTCCTTCTTCAGATCGTGCAGAAGAGGAAGAAAGACCCTCAAAGGGTATTCACATCGAAGAGAGTCCAACGACGCCGATAAAGAAGAAGCCGACCATCACGCTCACGTCTCTTCTCGCCCAATCCGACGAGCTGCACAAATTACATCCCCCAAAGAGCCTGAAGCTTTCGCAAATCATGGGATCTCAAAGCGTCGTGTTCACCTGGTGCGAGACACCAGGAATCCAAAATCCAGCCCGCGACGAATCTAACAGTGGTCGGAGAGCTGGTGCGCTCAAGTCGACAGACGCATGGGCGACCAACAATACAGATCTGATCAGCGACGACATGGCGGAACGAATGGTCCTCCGACCCGAACTGGTCGTCCGGCCGTGGAAAGACGAGGACGAAGAGGCGCTTGAACGCGAGGCAGAGCTTGCTCGTGCAGCTCGAAAAAGAGCAGAAGAGGAGAGGATGCTCAAGAAGCGCAAAACGAATAAGGCGGCTGTCGGTGTGTTTGGACGCGGACGTGGTAAAGTTGTCGTCGTGGGCAGTGTCGTCATTGTCGTCGTCGTTGGCGTTGCAATCGCTATATATGGCAAAAACGGTCTCGAATGGCGGCGGTGGCTTGGTCGAAGTCCATGGTTGACGCGGCTGCCGTTTGTCAAGACGTGACCCATCGTGATGTATATCTTATGTAGCGCTTTTCCATGTGTGTATGCAATATCGTGCTTCTATTTCAAACGAATACAAGCGTGATGCGAGTGGATGCGAGGGTCGATACATGGAGTGTTTCATCTACAGGTGCCAATCGCCTAGGAGGTGATAGACTGTGACGGCCGTGCAGAGACATGAAGGAGACAGTGAGAAAGCAATACAGAACGAGTTCCACACAGAGTAGGACACGTCTGTGGACAAAACAGCGAGATAGAAGGGAAAACGGTGGGGCTACCCACGAGGGACCTAGGGTGCACGAATCAATGGGAATCAGCCCGAAAAGGAAGTGAGATGGTGTCGCAAGTGAGGTGGCATCTATTCTGAGCCGCTGCCTAGGGTGAGGTCGCGACGAGGCTGAGACCACGGCGAAGGTGAGATGACGGTGCAGTTGAGAAACATTGAGTTGATGACGATTACTGATAAGGATAATGCAGGGATGCCTCGGCCAGTCACTACCGTCCAAGGTATGACACAGCAACGCTCACTGGCTAGCCTACTGGACATCAACGCGCGACTTTTGAGTATGCTCGGTCTCGTGAGTGCGCTTTGCTTGGTCGTATAGGGGAGCTGCCGAGATATGATGATTCGATGTCAAAGTGGCGGTTGGCTCGGAAACTTGGAGGGCGATGGCACGTTGCATAGCGTCCTTGAAGAGACTCGCGCGAACAATAGACGTTCCAAATGCAGTATTACTGAGCTGATAGAGCGCAGAGAGCGCGCTTTGAAGATCAGCGTATTCGACGATAACAGCCTTTGGTGACTCTTTGGGGGACGGAACGGTCTGAAGCGGAGGAATAAACGTAATCCTCTTAACGAAGCCATAGGGAGCAAAGAGAGCGTGAATATCGATATGGGTCTGGAAGAGCCATGGGCAGAGGTTGGAAACGAGCAGAGTAGAGGCAAAAGTAGTGCCGAGATTGTCATTGATAAAATCAGTGGATAGAGCATGCTTCGAGTCATGAGCGGTCGTATTTGAGGATGCGATAGGGTTGCTGGGACGCTTTGCTGGTCCGTCGTTTGTAGGAGCGATGGTTTCCTTACTGGGCTTCCTTGCGGAGGCTGAGTTATCTCCAAGTGCTTCACCTACCCGGTCAGCACCGTCGAGAAAACCGGAAGATCGCTGAACAACTGCCCAGGACACATTGAGCTGGTGACCTCTGTCATATTGTTAGTAGATCGTAGTGAGGGGATGACGAAATGTACTGACTTGACACCGATCTTGTGTGTCGCCCTCATAGCGGCGCGAGCTTGAGCATGGGTAGCAAAGACGACAAAGCCGCGACGGCGAGAAAAGTTATCGAGAACGGCGAGAATTACGGCATGTTCGATGGTACCATATGGTCGAAAGAGTGCCTTGAATTCATCTCTACAGGCTCGTCAGACAAGCAACGTGCCTTTTGCAAACAAAGCCGCTTACAGCGAAAAGTCGTGAGGAAGACCAAGCACGTAGAGGTTGCGACGCGTCTCATCGGCCGCAATGTCCGATTGCGACTTTTGGGAAACGTTTACGAGGAGGTCTGGATCAAACAACAAGCCGACTTGACTGGGAAGCGTGAATAAGGAGTGCCAATGCAAAAAGAGGGGGAGACGAACATGGGCATGCCCTGAAGAACGTGTCCAGAGAGTGAAAGAGCTTTACTAGTAAATATGAGAAAAGGGTTAGAGGCAGAGAATTCGCGCCTACGTCGCCGAGGCCTCGCTGTCGAGCGTGACTTCGAACCAGCGTTGGAGCGTACTGACGATGACATGCTCACGCGTGTTGATTACAGAGCCTGTATACGCGTCAGAATAGATGAGATCTGGGTTTGTATAGACGCGCCGATCAGCGTGTTGAAGAGCTGTTCGACGTCGGCGAGCGTCGCTGGGTTTTCTCGCGTCAGCTACAATCCCCTGCGCGTCGAGAGGCGTGCTTACTGCGTGGACTAATGTTCTCGACACGAACAGAACGCTGAGAGTTGACGGGGAGAGGAGACATGATGGGGGGGAGAGAGTCCAAGAAGAGGCTTGTTTGTTCGCCACTTACGCCAATTCTTTTCCCGCGCAATGGCTACCGCTGCCAACCAAGAAACTCTGGCAAAAATTAATGCTGCTCTCTCTGTTTTTGCAACGTCTACAGATAAACAACAGATTGCAGGCGCCAACGAGTGGCTCCAGGACTTTCAGCACACAGTCAGTAGATGACATACCCCTCGGGTTGGAAGACGCTAACGTGCATAAAATCAAGATCGAAGCCTGGGAGATCTCATCCTCGCTGTTGATCAACCCAGATTGCTCAGATGCCGTCAAGACATTCGCGGCGCAGACGCTCAAGACAAAGGTTTGTCGTTCCGTCACTTATGGGGATAAAGGAGACTGATATCTTATGTAGGTCGTATATGATCTTGCGCAACTCCCAGCTGAACAACACGCGTTGCTCAGAGACACTCTCGTCAGCGCCCTTCAGCATTACTCGGCCGGCCCTCGAAAGATCCTCATCCAAGTCTGCTTGGCTCTGTCCGCTCTCTCTATCCAGATGCCAGACTGGTCATCTACAGCAGTCAAGGATCTCATCGCTTCCCTCGGGGCCGACCCAGCCTTTGTTCCGGGCCTCTTGCAGTTTCTCGCAGTGCTCCCGGACGACTTGACCAGCAATTCGCGCATTCCCATCTCGGTTAGTCTGGCAAGATGTCATTCGGATCCCTTTCGTCTCAACGCGCATCTCGTTAGGACGACGAGTACAGAACGCGCACTCAGGCGCTCCTCACAGATAACGGCGAACGCGTCATAGAGATCCTCACGGTCTATCAAAACGCACAAGGTATGTAGTACTTGGCATGAACATCCCCCCTCGACTGAAATTGTCAAAGGGATCACCCCTCATATTCAGAATCTCATCTTTGAGGTCCTTTCTAACTGGGTCATGGCGGGAGAAATCTCTACGACGACCCTCGCAAATACGACCCTCTTCGACTTTGCCTTTCAGGCACTCGCCTCGGACGAACTATTTGACAACGCGGCTGAACTACTGTGCGAGCTCATACACGAGACTCAGGAGCTAGACGATAATATGGCCGTCATAGAAATGATTGTGCCGCGTCTCATCAGTTTACAACCTCGGATCGCCGTTGACAAAGACGACCCAGACAAGCTCCGGCGTTGGTGTCAAATCTTTTGCGAGGCAGGCGAGACATACCGTATGCTCATCGTTCACCACACGGAGACATTTTTGCCCCTTGTTCTTGCCATTGCAGAATGCGCCGCAAATGACGACCTGGACATTGTCCAGCTCACCTTCAGTTTCTGGTATCGTCTAGGCCAGAGTCTAGGCAAGCAACGATCCATACCCCCTGAGATCACAAAAGTATACGAAAATGTTCTCAATACCTTCCTTCGCCATATCCACTTCCCCTCGGACGTGGAGTCGACGACTGCGCAGGATGCAGATGACTTCAGGAGCTTTCGTCACGATATTGGAGACGTGCTTAAAGACTGCTGCTACGTTCTTGGAGCAGACTTCGTCCTGGATCGGACATACGCCGTGCTCACCTCTGCGTTGGAGAGAGGCATGGCAGGCAATGTCGTCGCATGGCAAGAGGTAGAGGCACCTCTATTTGCGATGAGGGCCTTGGGCGGAGAGATTGACTGGACCCAGCAAAACGAGAAGATTCTCAAGATCATGGAGATTTTGCCTGCACTGCCGGCACACCCGCGCGTTCGCTACGCAGCAACAATGCTGATGTCCCGATATACGCCATGGGTCGCTAAACATCCCGAGCACATCCCATCTCAGCTCAACTATATTACGGCTGCGTTTCAAGATACAGACTTAGAGGTCGTCTCAGCCGCCGGGCACGCATTAAAGTATCTCTGTCAAGATTGCAAACAGGTTAGTAGTCGCTTCTGCGTTCGACTCGTCGTTGACAATCAATTAGTCCCTTGTGCCGTACTTAGAACAGCTTTACCAATTCCTGGCGACAGTAGGAGTCAAGCTCATGCAAGAGGACAAGCTTGCCATTTACGAGGCGATTGGATGGATCATCTCCTCGATGCCCATGGAACATGCAGCCTCGACGCTTCGCAAGTTTGCGATTGATATCTTCGCCACCATCCAAGCGGTACCTGGCGATTCTTCTGTTCACAATCAGGCCGTCATTGGTGTGTAGAGATTCATCCCTCTAAGTATGTACATGCTAACAAGCTCGAAGAGTGCCTCGAACAGTTGGAGCAGCTGTTAGATGTCGTCGGTCCATTTGGAGAGGAGCTGCCGGCAGCGTGCCAGAATACCGCTGCTGAGACTTGGGCGATCATGGACGACATTATTGCTCGTCGCGGCGCCATTCCCGACATTTGCGATCGCACCACGAGGGTCATTCGTCTCGGTTTGCAGGTCTTTGACAAGCAAGCGTTGCCACTGGTCCCGGCCATTCTAGCGCGGCTCACCTCGCGCTTTGAGAACACTGGATTCGCCAGCTATCTGTGGGCCATTGGCAAGGTGATTCAAAGGTTTGGTCTGGAGGAAGATCCCGTGGTGAGAAATGCTATTCAGCAGACGTATGAGATGTGCACTGTGAAATGTTCGGTCATATTCTCAGAGACAACCATCTCACACCATTCGGACGGTATGTATCTTTCAATGACTTGCTTCCTTAGCTAACGTGCCCTAGTCGTGGATGATTACCTCTCTATCGTCACCCCTTTGACAGAGCAGTGCCCCGATATCCTGTTTCTTTCACCTGTCTTTCCTACAGCGTTTGTTATCCTCGTTGGATCACTGCAGCTCTATAACTCGGACACTACATTCCGCGCGCTAGGACTTATACGGGCCATTATCGGTCACGACTGTCTCCAGCTTGCACCAGGTTTCCAACCGCCGCCCAAGTTCCCGCTCTACGCAGAGGCAATCTCGGCCACGATTCAAAAGCACGGTCCTTTGCTAGTAAGCAATCTGTTTGCCGGTCTACTGGACCAGTTTGCTCCAGAAATGATGAGTGGTGTCATTACCACCGTCCGTATCATGACCCAGCTCTGGACGACGAGCATGCAGCAGTGGGTGCCAACCGTCGTCGACGCTCTTCGCGTGCCTCCGGCTTTGGAGCCGGCTAAGGCTCAATTCCTACTTGATTTCAACTCGTAAGCATAGCGCATGCCTCTGCTTGTACCCTACTGACAATCAACTAGAGCCTTGGCCAGTCAGGATCTCGACAAGCTCAAACCGGCTCTTGCCAACCTCCAGAGGAGCGTACTGCGCGCGAAAGACAGACGTCGCCCGCTCGACCGCTAGAGTGTTCTTGCGATTCATGTCGCACCAATCAATGGTTTATCGTATTTCTAGGTAATATCTCTAACTGCCTCTAGTTACATGTACCGTAACCTGTGCTCCTCAAACAAGGATGTTTCAGCTTTCTAGCGCGGCTCCTCGCTGTAACATCATTCACAGTCTATACCTTCACATGGACAAGTAAGAAACACAAGGTAGTTGAACATGGGCAGAACTGAATCTATTCGTCTACATCCATGGCGTTGGCGTAATCTTCATCCTCCAACGTGTGCCCGATGACACGACAAATTTGGACTTTCTTGCTGAGATCTCCAAGAGTCTGGCCACGTGTGGTGTAAATTTCCTCGTCAATAGTACTACGCGTGACGAAGCGGTAGATGTTGGCAATTTTCGTCTGTCCAAATCGTCGAATACGTCCGATAGCCTGCGTCTCCGCCTGAGTGTACTCGAACTGATTTTTTGCCAAAAGTGGAGAGATAAATATAGCGTGGTTTGCGACCGTGAGATTCCTGGATAGAATGAAAACAAGTCGAGGTAGAATCCGAGACGCGCTTACCCGCCGCTCGCACTCTCGTCTCCGAGATTGAGCAAGAGAATTCGACATTTCGATTTTGGATCTTGAAAGTCCTGAAGAACCCTCGACTGTTGCATTGGAGTACCTTTGATCTCGGAATACGACAAATCACCGTTAGCGAGTGCTTCAGCAACCTTTTTGGTGAGGTCAGGGAATTGGACAAATAACAGAACTCGCTCATCGCAAGGCAGTGATCTGGGCTGGAGTCAGGATCCGTTCGGAGATGGGCCAAGCAACGTACTTGATGAGCGCTACAATATCCTCCAACTTCTGGCCCCAATGCTTGCCTTTCGCATCCGCTTTTCGGTCGTATCCGAGGGTATCGGCGCGGACAACAAAGAGAGCACTGGCGGGAACCTTGCACCCACCAGAACTCTGCTGTATACAGGCCTCGTTGGCAGCCGATTTGGCGACACATGAGTGACATCCAACGTGACCACAAGAAGACAAAATCGAGACATCACTCATCCCGAGGCCAGTTTTCCCACATACTGGGCAATCGCTGAGCAAATTTGCATCTCCTTGGAAGGATCGGACGCATTGGAAAAATCTGAGTGAGCGAACTCTTCCACCCAATTCTTTGGCGAGAGCGCGAAGCTCATGTGCGTGCTCTCGATGAGCCCATACCAAATCTGTGTCATTCATCTTGTCTTCATCCTCTTTGGTGGTCTTCTTTGAGCCCCTTTTGATCGCTGTACTGGGTTCTCCATCAGTCGAGGAGTCTGAGTCTGCCTCTGCGTCTGGGTTTCGAGCCTCCTTTACCAAGGAGGCGAGAATCTCCTTGGTTTCGCTATCTTTGTCCCCACCGTGCTCCCATTCATCGAGAGTCTGCCGAAAGTGCGACCTTCCTCCGGTATCTCTGACAACCTTGCTGGATCGCAGTCTTCTTTCCATCTTGAAGGCCTTGATCAACCTGCGGCGTAGCTCACGTTTGCACTTGTCCAACTCGTCCTGTCTCTGTTTTACAATGATGTCACAGGCGACCGTAGAATTGAGAATATCAACGGTCTGACAATCGAAATGGGATGCGCTCTTGAGCAGGGCTTCTTCTGGTGTCCTAAAGCAGGGTTAAGCCAGAGAAAATTTGGTGAATATGCTACGTACTTTGACTCCCCTAGAGCCTTATTGAGTCGCCGAACCCTATCACTCTGAGACTTGCCCGTCTTCTTCATCTTGAGCTCTTGCGCCCGCAAGTAGTGCTCCAACTCGAGGTAGAGAGCACGCTCCGAAGCTGTTAAGGTTACGGCGCAGATTTTCTCTTCTAGAGGGATATCATCTATTTCTGCTAGGTTCTGCAATAATTTAGAAGGATGAGGGATGAGTCATGATGAATGAAAGTATTACCTGACGAACAAATTGGTCAAGAAAGCGCTGCGCTATTGTGTGACGGGCAGTATGCCAGTAAGCGCTTCGAACCTCACGGAAGGAATGGAAGGCCTCGGCAGCAGTCTTGTCTTGTATGCGTGATTTGACTTCCTCTGTGGCTCCCTCAGCGTCGTCATCGACGCCTAGGTGAATACCAAGAAACGCAGCAATGCCTTTGACGGAGGCAAAATTGCCTGTTGGTGGGGTGCCGGACATCACCCATCGACATGAGGCAGAGAGCCGGGTTACAATAGCGTGCGAAACATGCTCCTTCTTGGTATAAGTGAATTCATCAATGACCAGACGGTGGAAATGAAACATATCCAAGGGTGGTGCTCGCATTTGGGTCCAATTTTCTCGAATGGCCTTGTCACTCAGTTTCCAGGGATCCATGGTTGCTCGTGACTTCTTCGGCTTTACAACTTTGGCCTTCTTCGCTGGTGGTCCATCGTTTTCGTCGCCCTCGTTCTTCCTCTTCTTGCCAGGACTCTTCTCGACCGCTTTGGGTTTTGGAGGGTTTTTGATCACCTTCGGTGGTTTCCGCCGGACCACGTCCGACTCGTCGGATAGAAAGATTTCTTCCGCGGATGAGGACTCTTCACTATCCTCAAAATCTGTCTCATCGTCGCTTTCACTATGACTGTGATACTTGTAATCGCCCTCGCTGTCGTCTTTGGTCCCCAGATAGCGCTTTCCCTGCTTTGGGGCATCATCCGAGTCCGAGTCGATAATAATCGGCTTGCGCTGCAATCGACCGCGGGATTTGGACAGATTTCGGTTGTTAATGCCGTAGATAATGGGTGGAAACACCCCCAGGAAAATCCTAGTAGGCCTGATGATCTTGTCGCCCTCTGGCTTGTCCAGAACGGTCTCTGGACATGCCAATTCCCTCTTTGGGAGAGATTTCATCACTTTCATTGGAACTGCCACGACCTGCTCAGTTTCTTTTTCGGAGGCGAGCTTCTTGAGCAACCTGCCCCTCTCTTCGTGGGCGTCCGCGTAGGCCTTGCCTTTGAGTCGCTTGAGCTGAACAAACTGCTCCTGATTGTTCACTATTGCATCGTGAGCTTTATTATAGCCACAAATAGAAAATTATACCGTTAGCATGCGCGTTCTGAATCACTTTAAGTACTTTCTCGGGACCCTTGTCGGCTTGTAAGAGCTCTACTTGTTTCGAAAGTGCGGCATGAGCCTGCTCTAAGCGAGCGTTGAAATAACGACCAGCTTTGCTTGGAAGCGCCACGCCAGCAAAAGATCCCAAGTTATCCCAGTAATGCTCGGAATTAGGCATCGTAGATGCGACGATGACTATATCCGCGCTTTGAATATCCTCAATGGTCGTCGAATTAATGTCGTTCCCCTGGAGCAATGTGACGACCTTGGCAGACTCCTTTCCGATGGATCGAATAAACTTGGTGACTTCCCCCTTCCATTGGAGAACGAGATGTGCAGGAACAATGACACATGTTCCCTTGGCCATGATTTTCCCCTTCGGCGCGTCGCTTTGCTTCGCGAGTTTCTTGGCGTTTCGCGTTGCAATTAAGCCCAGCATAATGGCAGTTTTGCCATAGCCAACTTGGTCCGCGACTACGCCACCACGGATCGAGACAGAGCGTCTGGCCCTTCCTTCTATTCTCCAGCCCAGGTTCTCCGAGGCATCTTCGCAGATCTCTTCTTCGACGAAGAGCACGGGCGAGTCCTCTTGCTGTTGCATCCATCTGAGAGAGCGAAGCTGTTCCGGTCGGAGCTTGAGCTTGAATCCCTCAGGTTGTGCCGCAGGTTCGTCATGTCGATTACTTGGAATGACAAAGTCGGGAGTGGAGATCAGGGGTAGAGGAACATAAGATGTGTCAAGGCGCCAGGCAGCGTCGATGCAACCGTCGCGAGGAGGCAGATAAGCAATGGCCTGGTGAATGAGAGTCACTGGATTTACTCCTATGACTACTCGACCTCGCTTGTCGGACATGTCATACTTGACGTGAATTTGAAAGGCGGGTGGCCGTGCCTTCAAAGCTCGCTCAAAGGGTCCTGCTTGCCTCGGATCTTCTATGGCCCTTATATCATTGATATGTCCTCTCTCCTTCTTGTACCACACAATCCGAGGTGGCCGTGGAGCGCATCGCTCGCAGCGGAATTGCGGGTCCTCGAATTCTTTTGCCAGTCGAATCTCCTTCCATGTGCCATCATGCGAGATGTTCCGAACTCTCTCAAGGATCCACGATAGAAGTTTCAGATACTCCCTTTCGCGCAATTTATCAATCTCGAACCACTGGTTCATTGGCCAGAGTTCTCCAGGTTCATCACCAAGCGGCACTGAACATGTGAGGATGGCAGTAGCCTTGGCACAAGCCTTTACATCTGCCGCAATTTCCAAGTCGCCGCAAGGACAATTATAAAACGCGTCGCGAGAGGACATTGACTACGAACGGCATCAATAGGAGTTGCAACGACGATATATATCTACCGTGCAAAGAAGTGTTTTGGAAATAATCCACGTCCAATCGACGCTACACTCGGCCTTGGTTTCTTGACGATCGCTCTGACGCCATTCTGGATTGAGCCTGGCTATGATGGGTCGGCACTCCGAATACTCATACCTCCTAGGACTGGTAGAAAAGACGAAAGAGTCACAGCTTCCTTCTCGCGTGCGTCTCGGGTCAAGGAAGAAATAGAGGTCAGGCTGAGAGTCGTCCACGCGATCTCCGTTCACATTCCTGATTCTCTTGTGAAGGGAATGACATGCAGTCCCGCAGCTTGGCAGGTATCTATATGTACCGGAAATGTCGCGGTCGAATGGGCAAGATCCTATCGGTTTGCCCGCGTGGTCGACTGCTTGAATCAACAGTTCTTTCCAAACCAATTTGTTGACAAACTTGCTATCCAGGAGACCCAGACTCTTCTCCCAAGAATCTGTGAGCGCATTTTCACCGCTGGAAACGCCCTGAATGAGAATAGAGATGGAACATTGTCCAGGAACTGCATACTCCCATCTTCCGGCAAGAACGTCCCCTTGGCAGATCATGCGAGAGATTGGTGTCACTAGCATCCTTCTAATCGGGCTATTCGCGGCCAATTTCGCGTCCGGGATGGCGAAAAGCCGCCATTCAGGCCGCTTTGGATGAAGATGTAACTCCAAGCGAGCAGTTGGGCTTTCATAAATGGCTACCCAAATATCCTGCCGCCGAAGATCGACAAAGTGAAGAGGCATGTGAAGGGCATCCACAGTGGCTTGGACCCATGAAGCCCATAACGCCGGATCTATCTCTCCACTTTGGGCTCTGAGGGCATTGAGATCCTTTATTGTCGGAGTTGCGAGGAAGCTCAACGCCATGGGGAGCGCTTTCTTCGCCTCTTCAGCAAACTTGACGGGTTGTGGGCGCCCGTTGGGAAACATGACGAGTCGATACATATGCTCTGGTCGTTGACCACATTTGACGCAAGAAGTTGCTCCGCACGCAGAGCATTCATGCATTTGACGGTCGGTAATCGCCGATCTCCCTTCGCATCGGCACCACCTCTTAGCCCTCACTGATCCCTCGAGTAAGTCGTGCCACGAGAGGTCGCTGATGGCAGAAAGTTGGAGTGGATGCGTTTCAAGTTCTTCCAGCCCCATAATTCGGTCATCGAGGGTTTCCGTGTAGAGAAGTCGATCTACAGCAAGTTCAGACCTCTCATCCGGCTGGTCGACAGCGCCATCGCGCTCTTCAATGGTCTTTTCAAGAACTGGGATTGAAACAACCAGAGCAAGGATAATGGCGGAACCAACGACGGTAGTCGACATGGCATTTCCGGCAAGGTCTGCCAGTTGATCTTGCGTCTCTCTTGTGAGAAGTAATCGGTCGACTGGAAGACCTTGTAGGCCAAGGGCTTCGATGCCGACAAGGGGACCCCCACGGTTGGTGATATAGGCGATCATGGTCGGTGTAAGACATGGAGCAATGCCTAGCCTCCCAGAGCCAATCTGACGGTCGACATTCTGTGAAAGATTCCAAACGGTCCTGTACAGACTCAGCGTTGAATTAAACGTCGTCGAAGTCAGACTCACGTTTTATAGCTCGTGTCAACCCCAAGTTTGGCGGCTCGCAAATGTGAGATGTCCATGAGATCTTTGACACGAGGAACCGCGTCTGCACACCAGTCCTCCCAGATGTAGTCGAGGAAGTTGAATCCTCCACCTTCCTCCCACCTTGTCAGGGGCCTCTTGTTTCCCAACGCTTCCTCCGCTCTTGCTCGTGTATGCCGCTGCTCACAACGTGCCCAATCGACTTCCTTTCGTCTCCTATTGGCACTCGTCTTCGTCTCGATTGCCAAACGTTGCCGACCTTCGTGAATGCGTGGGTCATCATTTGGAAGAAGAAACGCATCCAGAGTGCATGAAGCCGGGCGCTGCATGTGCGACTTCATCCCCTCAACCCATTCCTCGACTAGGTCGTCGACGCTCACATTCGTCGCCTTTGCCTTTATCCGTCGAGCTTCGATGGCAATCATGTAGACGCGCGTCCTGGTATGCGGAATGTAGAAGAATTTGGTATCAAGTCGAAGAAATCGGGCACGATAGCCAATGTCCTCAAACTCGCCACAGACTTTGTCCCACGGCGCACCGCAGACGTTTTCGAGGATGACAATGGGCGGTCGATGATTTTTTACATACGAAAGCATTCCATAGAATGTATTTCCGGACTCTCCACCCGCGTCGATACTCTTCTGGTGGACATTCAGCGTCGAATAATCGACGCAAGAAGTACCTGCTACAAGCAGGTCAATGTTTCCAGGAACAGGAACAAGCGAGCCGTATGCAGTAGTTCTGTAGACTGTCAGATATGCGCTGGAGACGGATTGATACCGTACGCTTCGTCTCTGCCGAGCTCCGTCACGTCGCGAAATAGAATCGGTGGTCGAAAGTTTCTCTCGATGTACGCCTGCTTGAAAGGCTCAATCTCGCACGAAAAGATGTGCTCGACATCCAGTCTCTGGCCTCTCATTGCATCATTGAGCTCCATCGCCTCGCTGATCAACTGAAGAGCGAGCAGTGGAGATTCTGTGCCACTACACATTGTTCCGACACGTAGTTTCCGCGGCTCCCCGGCGCGGTCTGTATGGGTTTGGAAGAGCGTGACAACGTCCTTGAGCTTGGGGTTCCGTGCTACGATATCCCGAAATATGGCGGGCATTGTGGAAAGAGGAGGAAGGTTGAGATCCTCCGGATGTGCCTTCGAACGGTTGATTTTGTCTCCTTCATCCTCGTCTTCGCTTCCATCCTCCGTCTCGGAAACATCTTCGTCACCCGTGGCTTTCTTCTTTGCTTTCTCCCTTGCGGCTAGTTTCCGTTTTCCCTTGGTAACCTTGGCCGGTGCTGTCGATGCCTTTTTCTTGTTGACGCGTGCTTTCTTGCCCTTTGCGTCAGCCTCCGGGGCCAGGAGCAGCTTCTTCTTTGGTCGTGGTTGGTCATCGTCTTCCGTCCCAAGCTCGCTAAGTTGTGCTGTGCCTTTGCCTCTGGTAGGCCGAGCATTGGACACGATATCATCGTCTTCTCCATCTATTGCTGCAGTAGAATCCGGTTCAGATGGTGGAGGCAGCGTTCGACTTTCGTCGTCGTCGTCCGTCAAAGTGTTGACATCCACTGAGCCAGGCTTTTTGTTGGATTTGAACCAATTGCTGAGAGATGTTTGGAACCTGCTCGTGGATTTGGGAGGCATTAGGGATGTATGTAGGGATTAGGTAGAGGATACGGTGGAGAGAAAGAAGCTAGTGGTCGACGGCTGTGCTCGTCGTGAAACTCCGAACGCCCCTTGGCATACAATAGGAAGAAACCCGTGCCGTGAGAAGAGTATACAAGTCTACAGTTGATGTATACAGAAAAACACGTGAATTCGATAAAATTTTGATGCGTACAAGGAGCTATTGGTCTCTACTTCCCGGCCATGGTGCGACGAATAAAGGCGTGTTTCTCTGATAAAGAATGTTGGAATTGCGTCAAGTCGCGTGCTCGTTTTCCTTTAGCCGTCGGCGCTGCATACTGTCAATGCTCATTCTACCACAACTAACGGAATTACTTACAAGCGACGGCAAAGCAGCTTCCAAACTTGTTTGGATTGACGACCTTGATGAGGCAGGTCGACTTGTTGGATCCACCCGTGCAGGTTGTGCCGGCCGGTAGCTGGATGGTGATTGGGTTTGCACTATTCGAACCACCGTCCCTGAAAGCAGGCGTTGAGTTGGACTGTCACGTATACAGAGATGAACCGGCTTACTTAAAATTCTTGGTCACGGTCATGGCCTTGAAGTTGTTGCCAGTTCCCGTCGTATCAAGCGCAGCGGTGAGAGCTCCTCCACCGTCTGCGCCGCCGTTGACTTGCTGATAGGTCAAGCTGATTGAACGACTTCCATCCACCGTCGGAAGTCCAGCCTTGATGGCGGCTTCGATGGATTGGGCAACATTGATTGTGCCAGCTTCGACACCAACGCCGCATGCTGCATTTCCACGAAAGACAGAGGTCGGACCCTGGTTGTTGGATTTGATGCTGGCGGCCTTTACGCCAAAGCCATTTTCGGTTTTGCCATTGGCACCGCGAATGTCTCTGATATAACCGTGTGCATTGACGGTGGTGAAAAGGGTGATGCAAGAAAGAACGAGTGTTCCGAACCGCATAGTGAATGTAAACGAATGAAGAGAGTTGAAAGAATGAAAGACTGTCGAGCGAAAAGTGGAGAAATGGGAGAGACCTGCCCCGAGAAGGATTGATAATACAGGGTAGAGCTGTCCTCTCGCATCTTTATGAACGTGGCCGGCTAAAAATAACAGAGGGGCTAGCGTGTGCTCGCCGTAGATCACTCAGGCTACCAAGGTGATCCGACCATGGCGGCAAGCGACGGCGGCGAGATAATAAAGACTATAAGGTCTAATTGTACGGCCCGTATGATCTCGAGGTACAAAGTCCGTCTTGGGATGGGAAGCGTGCAACCAAAGACGGCAAACTCTCGTCTTCTCCTTGAAACCGGCAGAGTGGAAATCCATCCATCAGATTCAGGGCAGTTTGTGATTCCACCTAGTTGACTAAATCTTCGCGTAATGGTGGCGACTGCCGGGTGCAACTGCCAGTAGCGCGGGTGGCCATGGTCAGGTGTTGTCAGGCGCAAGGTGCGACTCCACCAGGCGAGGCGAGATAACAAAGTCGTGCAGAATTGAACCCTCAGAGTTGCACACATCAATATGTGTGGTCAAGTGGCACTGTCACCTGCTTTACTCCCTTGTCCGTTCTCTCTCATGGGACAATTATGGAGACCATCGAGATACTCGGGAGTACCCTCTCCTTTTGAGATAACAGGACGTGGTAACCTCTGTTGCTCTCTATGCCCATCGCGATATATCGAGAGATGCCCGCAAGAAGCATGCATAACACCCCTCGGTAATCTGAGGACGTAAGGATCCAGCATTGCCGGGGCGTTGTGTCTTCATTGCCTACGCTGCGCCTCTGCCTCATGCCGCCATTCGACCTACAAATACTGCCCAAAGCACAATGAAGATGATCCGTCAATTTCTTTGCAAGTTATGAGTACTACAAGCGAAAAGGTCGTCCTGTAAGTCGATTGCCATCCAATCTCTTCTGTTCTGAATATTTGGCGTTGCCAGCGTTCTGGGCCCATGTGGGGTCGGAAAGTCGCAGCTAATTAGCCATGGTGCAAATCTCGGTGGTCGTGGTGTCGTTCATTCTCTCGGTGCGGGCACTGAGCGCGTCGAAATCGTAAGAACGACGCTCAACGGTGAACCCGTTGTATTCATCGATACACCGGGTTTTGATGAATCATTCATGTCCCCTATCACCATCCTTACAGCAGTTTCGGAGACCTTGGACGAAAAGTAGGTCCCTGGCTCAAATAGTCATCTGCATACGCTCATCATACCGTTGCTCTTGCCAGCAAACTCAAGGTGGACATGGTGCTATATCTCCATCGCATCACGGATAATCGAATGGCGGGTTCCATTCTCAAGAACCTTGGCCTCTTTCAGGGCATTTGCGGTGGCATTGCGATGCAAAATGTCATTGTAGTCCTCACTATGTGTGGAAAGGTCCCCATTCCCGTCAAAGACGCGCGATTAGCAGAGCTCAAGCGCGACTATTGGGCAGAAATCGCAAAGCAAGGAGCTACATTTGCTTGCTTCGGGGACTCTATCTCGTCTGTCCGCGATATTGTTCTGGGTGCCCATGAAGAACCGAAGAACCCTGAGGTGCCACGCACGAGACCCGTCTCCGAACCACCAAGGTTCACTCGACGGCCCCACCGAGATACAGTTGCAGGAATTGCGTTGAATCAGCAACTGGAATCGCTGATTCGGGACAAGAAGAAGTACAAAAGAAGAATGGATAAATCCGATCGCCATCGGCATCGCACAAGACGCAACAGCACACGCGCGGATATGCGCAGGATTCCTGCCGTGAGGGACAGGATTCTACAAGCAGAGAAACGGCGGATAGATCAAGGCATCGAAGAGACGGTGGACAAGCTCAGACAACTCAACGCCCCCCTTTCCCGTGTCGTCAGAAGATTGTTTGTTAGAAAGAAGGTGAGGGCTTTTCTGTTCGTCGATATTTCACCTGACCGGTCGCCCAATAGCCGTCAGAGCTGAACTACTGATACTCCAACTTGGCGTCGTTATCTAATTAATATCAATAATATTCGCTATATTGTGCTAATATCGAGCTTTTTATAACACCCTTAAGGGTTTCGACCCTGACCCCTTGTGGCCATTTGGACCTCATATGCCAAAGAACCCATACACTCGCCCGTTTCATCTACTGAATCAGTTTGGAGCTCACTCTCACCACGAACAGCCGGCACCCAAAACGCATTTGTGCAGCGCCGCACTGCCGGTTAGCCACCATGATCGACTAAACGCACCCCTACCGCGTGCGAACTGGCTCTCGCAAGATATATGCTCTCAAATCGTATTCTGATCTATGCAAACTTCATTCCCGATGGCTACTAACGAGTTCAAGTTCACAAGAGACGACCGGATCGTCCTGTAAGTAGTCCCTGTTATACATATACACATTGACAGGCATATATAGAGTCATGGGACCTTCCGGAGTCGGAAAAACCACGTTTATCAACTACGCAACCCAGCGCAGTGGGAGAGTGAACCATTCGCTGCAGTCAGATACGGCCGACCTCAGGTTCTCTCGGATAGAACAGAGAAGCAGTTCAATTTCACCACCTCTATCTCTCGTCTTCGTTGACACACCAGGCTTTGATGACGCGAACAAGTCTGACATCGAGATTTTGACAATGATTGCGGAGTTTCTTGTGAAAGCGTATGTGCGACCAACGCGTTTGCAATTAGAACTTATCGATTCTCTCTAGTCATCACCTCCAGCTCCAGCTCGAGTCAATCCTCTACCTGCATCGAATTACGGACAAGCGAATGTCGGGCGCGCCACTACGCAACCTCGAATTGTTCGCCAGTCTCTGCGGCAATATTGCGATGCCCAGAGTCGTCCTCGTCACAACAATGTGGAGACATGTCGACCCAAAGGTCGGGCGTGACCGAGAGGACGAACTCAAAAGCCACTTTTGGAAGTCGATGATCGAGAAGGGATGCAGAGTTGAGCGTTTCAACGATACACATGGGTCTGCGATCTTCATTAGCACGGGGAGTGATCCAGGAAGAGAGGTGCTCATCTCGTCGGAGATGGTCGAGAAGCGTCGGTCACTCAAGGAAACTCAGGCAGGAACGACGTTGAAGAAGCAGTTGGATACAATGATAAGGGACAAAAAGGAGGCCAACCGTCGTCTTAAGCACCTACTAGCATCGTCCTCTGTCCAGCGAGACGAAAGCCATGTCCGAGACACTTGGGAGATGGAGCTGCACAGAGTCGACGGGGACATCCAAGAGGCGACTGAGCGTATGCGGCGACTCAATCTGCCTCTTCCCGTGGCTATTATGCGACGGTTCAGCAAGTCGGTAAGGCGCAAGCTTGTCAACTTTTCCGAGAAACTAACTCTTCATTAGCAAGCACCGGCTGTTCCAAGCGATTAACGTATTTAGAATCCGTGTCATGTACCAATATATGCTCAACCTTGCACTATCTGTCCGTTCCAATTCAGCTGTGAGGCGGGGCTGTCTGCCAATCGAATCCCTGTGCGGGCTCTCAATTGCATAAGTTAGCCAGCAGCACAGGTCCGCACAAGGAACCATGCGACAACGGCAAGGCTCAGTCACCGATGCCAACAAGTCTCCATACGTATCCATATCTTATTATCTGGACTACTGATTGCCCGTAGCACCATGACAGACCCCTCCCCTCCATAATGACCACAAAGGCCTTCAATTGCAAACGAATGAACGAAGTGAAACGAGGCGATCGTATTATTATGTAAGTTATCCCTCAAGTGAATCTGAAGAATCTTACTGATTGTGCTCGGATAGCCTATACGGCGAGACGGGTACAGGCAAGGTAGTCATTCTACTCCTGTTCGAGTTTATCTCCTCTTTGCAGTACTAATCACGCCCCAACCCTAGAGCACTTTTATCAATGCCGTGGCTGGTTGCGATGCTGCCAAGGTGGACCACACTCTGAAAGGTTCAGCAAACAGGATCGAAGTCTTCAAGATTACCGGTCCAGATCTGAAGCCGTTCGTACTAGTTGAAGCCCCAGGAGTCGATACTTCAAACAACGACTCGAGCAAGCTCGGTCTCTGGTTACAGTAGTTATTTGGTACCTCGAATTTGAACTTCGTCTGACATAGAACTCTGCAGTGACCAGAAGAACCCGCCTGTCGCAGGCGTCATCTACCTTCGCCGGATCACCGACAACAGAATGTCTAACGCACAAATCAATACGTTAGACTCGCTCTCCACAATATGTGGCATAGACGCGGCGTCACACATTTTCGTTCTTACGACGATGTGGGACGTCCCAGCAACAGCGAGACAGATTGAACGTGAACGCGAATTCAAAACAGACTTTTGTAGCATCAAGGCTGCTCTAGGAGAATGTAAACTCCTAAGGATGGAGAATACCAAGAAGCAAACGACTAGGGAGATCACTCGAGCTGCGAGGCAGACCGTGCAGGAAGTTTTGGATAGAGACCCTTGCCGTCTCTTGGTCGGACGGCAGATGCGGGATAGTAAGGGAGACTACAGAGGAACTGCTGTCGGAAAGGTCGAGGAAAAGAGCAAGGGCTTTAGAGGTTTCTTCCGGGGGCTGTTCAGCAAGTGAGATTCCAGCACCTACCTTGCTCGTTCGGAGGATTTGAGACGTGTGATGTCTTGGATTCTTTATTTGCGTGCGCGAACCATGGGACATATTATACAATTGTAGATTTTCTAACATTGAACAGGAATCGTATGTACAACCAGAGGTATCACAGGACTACAAAGAAACATATGAGAGGTAAGATACTAAAGAGTTACATAGTGAGACCACGGTTAGGCATGGGATTTGGAGGGATGGAGCGCGGTGGTGTGATTTCGATGACTTTGTGTGTCTGCTGGCTTCTTCTGCCAGTGAGGAAGCTCGATTGATCTGCGACATGCATAATTCGGTCCCTCTTGGGTACCTCGTGATGAGCCCTGATAGCCCCAACCTCACTAGCGATTGATACGATACATTTCGTCTTTTCGGAATGATCAACTTCCTTCCTCTACTTTCAATAAGATACGCACCAGAAACGACATATGGGCTTCCTGCAGCCGTGAGACACAGCCGTTCAAAATACGTTGATCGTGAGGCTGAAGGACATATCTATGGACCGTGCCGTTTTTCGACATTTTCTTGAGGACATGCTGGACGTCAAATAGATCCCTTGATCGCATTCGTTAACGCCGCAGGGCATGACACACGAGTTACATACTGTACGAGATCCTCCAAAGCTGCTTGGATACTCGGCGACAAGTAAGGGGTTGTCATATGTGTCTCAAGCATCATGGAGAACTCCCGAGCGTGGTTCTTCAGCGAAATCAGTGTTCGATCGGTCTGCTTAGTCGCCTGGAAGGAAAGTTAGTAGTGATCGCGAATAAGGCACTACACGCACATCGACCATTTCTACTACCTTCAAGGATAGCCCTGCAACACCCTTGAGGAAAGGCACTGGCGGGATTTCCGAAGCAGCTGTAAAGAGTCCAAGGCCTGTCCGCAACGCTACCCACCACTCATCTGAGCTCGAGGCCTCATCGCAGGAGGATACTGGCGATGGAATCTCGTAGGAGTACAGGGAGGAGGAAAAAGACCGCACTCGGGTGAGTGGGCTACCCGTGAATGACGGAACCGACTTTGAAGGTGTTGCGAGGAGCGAGGGCGACAAGGACCGTGAAGGGTTGATACCTCGGACCACATCTGCAAAGGAGCGACTTCGTGGTCGGATGCGCTCTCTTTCTTGATCAGCCTGTCGATACATCGCCTCCTTTTCTGAGAGTTGATCTAACAGGTCGTCTGGTGGGGAACCCTTGCAGTGCGGACATCCACCCGAGCATTCCCTGGAGCACCGACCTGGAGACCCTTTGCGTGAAACGAGAAGTTCCTTGAGTCTCTTGATCATAGACGCAAGTTCTTCCATCATCTTTGTAAGCCAGCTGAATAGTGATTTTCCTGCAGCGGTCTGCGATAAGTCCTTTCCTTGGTCTCCAATCTCAATTTGAAGGCGCAAGGGACGCCTCTGTAGACCGCTTAGCTGCTCTACAATCTCCCAAGCAGACTCAGAGGTATGCTTGAACCGTGACATTCGAGATCCGGATTGGAGCATCGATTTCCAGTAGCGAGTCCGCAGTTGCTCCTCACGCTCTGCTCCGGTCGTTTCGTCCACCTCGTCCCACATTGTGGTCACAAGCATAACGTTCTTGAGAGCAGCGGGTCCGCACAGCATCCGGAACATGTCTGTGTTCCTCTCGCTTGTAGCCGTAAAGCGGTTGTCCGTAATGCGTTGAAGATAGAGTAGGCCAGAGAGATGGACACCTTGCTTGTACCTACATCGAATCAGTGGAAATTCCACTCGAATCCAGGGAGACATACGTCGAGACGAGCCAGCTGGAAATTTCCGCCAGCACCTGCACATCTGAAAGCTTCGTGTCATCGAAACCTGGAGTATCGAGGAACACATAATCTCGTCCATTGTGGGAGCATCGTATGGCCTGGACGCGTTCTGTGCATGAATGCAATTTGTGGCCAATCATCGATTGATCATTACCAGTGATCAGCCCAACGAACTGAGAACTGAGTCAATACTCCCATCTGAGCACGAAAATGGCGGCATACCGTGCTCTTTCCTACGCCCGTTGCGCCCAGGACTCTAGATAGATTGTGAGTATATCGATGAGCACTCGAGCTCTGTACATACGCTATGACGTTGTCTGTTGGATTGATCTGATCCATCTGTTCACGACGCGTGAATGCTGGCATGCTTGCAGACCGTTCAGAAGCGCGAAGAGGCGGAGAGGATGCTTAGGGCCAGACCAAGGACATTCCTGCATTGCTTGTGCACATAGCGCCTTATCTGGATCACAGGAGCTGTGGTTAAAGCCGAGTTGCCACTTGGACCTACCCTCGCCGTTTAGGCGTGGCCAGTCCGAACACGCTACACCGATGGCTGTTCTAGGTTAACCGGCGGTCCCTTTATATTGAGTATCCTGAGCCTAATGGATCTGTCATGCGGAGTTGAGAGAATGCGGCACTGGGCGGTGATGTGGATCGATCACTCAATAATTGGGCAATCCATGCCCATATTGCTTGCAGATACTCCTACAGGGTTATGCTCCCCGGCTACGTAGCGCCTCACCGGCAACGCCAGTCGTCCTGCCTGCAAAGGCGTGCGAGTGCTCTACTTAGACATGGGACTGTCCGCTCAGAGGACACAAGGAAAGTACTTTTCAATCTTCAGCAATGGCCAAGCTAGCCAACGTTTCCAAGGACGACATGATCATCGCGTAAGTACTCCAGCGAAGTTCGATTGTGTACTAGCTGATGCGACGGATTTACAGTGTCATGGGATGTACAGGCTGTGGGAAAACTAACGTATTAATTGACCTGAAAGGAGTCTCCCTTGCTTACGTCCGCCATAGTTCATCGCAAAGGCCTCTGGCCATGGAGCACAATATGTGAACGCAAACTTGCGGCCACAACCTCCAAATCTTCGAACCTTTACCACTACCCATCCAACGACGGGAAGACGCGTCGTCTTTGTCGATACCCCCGGTTTCGACGACACAACAGTTTCTGATGCCGAAACTCTCTCTCTTATCGCTGACTGGCTCATCCTACTGTAAGCTCGCCTATCTCCATCGTATACGCATTCACACCCGTGCTTCAGCAAGAAACAGGGAGCCCGCGTCAGTGGTGTCCTCTACCTTCATCCTATCACCAATAATCGCATCTCGTACCCAGCACGGGAAAACATCGAAACTTTCGTTCGACTTTGCGGCACAGAAGCTATGCCCAATGTCATCTTGGTGACAACGATGTGGGACGAAATTGCCGACAAGACGATGGCAAACAACCGCGAGGAGGAATTGAAGCGGGATTTCTGGGACCGCATGCTCAGGGATGGAGGGGCAGCGAAGAGGTTTATGAACACCTCTGAATCCGCTTGGGACGTCTTGAGAGAACTACCAGAGACTCCGGTCTCTCTTCAAATGGAGTATGAACTGGAAAAAGGAGGAAACAGAGTTCACAAGACATCAGCGCACAAACATCTGAACAGCAGCATGTCTCGCTGGATTCACGACGTTAAGAGCGTCCTCTTCAAGAAAAATACGCTCAGATAGTCTCTTTTTTTCTCACTCGAGTATTTCGTGTCGTCTCCAGGTTGCTGCTGTCACCTTAAACGCTGGTCGGGGAATCTGTTTTCATAATCTCTAAAGGCATCACTTGCCTCTCAGCATAGTTTCCAATTCACGGCGAAATAGCCCTTCTTGCCTTGCTTCCATACCACCCGAAAGAATGTTAAACCGTAAGAAGATGCCGTGTTTTGCCCACTGATGGCATGATTGATTGTGTTTTTGGATCCTGGCAGGTTAATTGCTGAGCCGCATGGCTGTGAATGTGCGCAAATTGGGGCCTATCCGTTGCCCACAGTGCCGCACAGAGTTTTGTATCTCCTGTGCGAGGAAACAGCGCCCAGTGTGCGTGTCATGCAAGCCTATGGGTCCAGCACCTAGACCGCATGGCCGCTTGTCTTGCAAGATATAGACCTTTCAGCGCATCTTCTACCACCGACACCTCTCACAATGTCATCCAACTATCGAATCAGCCAAACCGATAAAGTTGTTGTGGTTATGGGCCCAACAGGGGCGGGGAAGTCAACTGTCAGTATCCGTCGCCATGCTCATTTCGGCGTCTCATATCCGTAGTTTATCAATTATGCTACTAGGGGTGACGGAGGCGGCATCGGTCACGCCCTCAAATCATGTACCGATACCATCAATGTTACTCCAGCCAAAATCGGTGACGACGTCGTAGTCTTTGTTGACACACCCGGATTCGACGATACATTCAAATCCGACATTGAAATTCTTAGCATGATAGCGGAATTCCTTGTCAAGCTGTGAGTGTGGATGAGTCAGAGTTCGTTCATTCTCACATTGCGTCCCTAGACATCAAACGGGTATCAAAATCTCATGTCTTCTCTACTTCCATCGCATCACGGACAACCGTATGGCTGGTGCTCCCTTGAAGAACCTCGAACTTTTCACGAGTTTGTGCGGAAGGGTGGCGATGCCGCACGCCACTCTCGTGACAACGATGTGGACAATGGTCGACCCCAAGGTAGCCGAGGCTCGACTCCACGAGCTCAAGCATGTTTTCTGGAAGAAGATGATTGAAGACGGGTGCAAGGTCAAGAAGTTCAAAGATTCACAGCAATCAGCACTTGACATCATCGAATCGAATGAGAATGATCGAGGAGTGCTGCTTACCGAGGAGATTATCGAGAAGCATAGGAAGCTGAAGGCTACAGAGGCTGGCATCGCCCTCAACAAGCAGCTGGCAAAACTCATGCAAGATAGAAAGGCGGCGAACCGCAGGCTCAAACAGCTCGCCCGAAAGCAAGGCAACCCAGCGGCGAAACAGACGCTCAACTCGGAAATCCAAGCGCTCGACCAAGGCATGCAGGACATTGCCAAGCAGCTCTCCAGGTTGAACCTACCATTTACTGCTACCCTAAAAAGAATGTTTTTCGGCCAGGTACGTCGACACCATATTATCAGGGACTTGGTCTAACGGTCCACTTAGTCGGCAGTTTCAGCCGTGCCAGCCGCGTAAATTTAATTGTCGTTCTCCTTGCGCTATGCTGTACTTTGTACATTATCCTGTTTGTGGTATCCCTGATGACTATACATTCCGAATTGACAGATCTGATGATTCGGTGACTGCTCCTCGCCTGGCAGATTTTGCTCGTAATTCGCTCGAGTTCTGACCTCTATACCTCTCTCTTCGACCTCTATGAAAGGGAGATTTCATACGTGGTCCTCTCTAATAGGCATGCCTATCATTGCCCGCAGACAAGATTTATCTATGGAGCTCGAACACTCTTGATTGCGTTTGAAGCGTGTATGTCTTTAACATTGCTCGTCTGTCATGTCTCGTCTCGGCGGAGCACACAAACGTGACACGCAGCAAGGATTACATGCTCAACGGAACCAGCCACTCGTACTTACCAGTATTTTGGATGGCATTATCTCGTTTCTTGTTCAAGGACATCGCGTCGTGACTGGTCGTGTGCTCAGGAGATCAGAGTGGAGACGATAGATGTGATTATGACCGGTTTTGAATGGTGCGTTACACATCCTGAGCTCCTGACGCCCGATTTTGCGCATCGCGGGGCGCGGTGGGCCCCCTGCTTGTGTCCTCGACCGCATTATCAGCTCCATGAGATTGGCGAGATAATGCAAGTGATTTGTTTCTATTGGCTGCAGAAACGCCGCCTCGTGTTCTGACTCCGTACAGCGTTCCCGCCGCCACTCAAGTCAAAGGCCGTGAATGTCTACGGCTCTTCGAAGTTCTCGGATGCCGAGAGCACACTGTTCAAGTCTCTTTACGGTGTGTTCGATGCCCCTCCCCTTATGATCGACTGCCTCATGTTTTCCTCACCGAGTTAGGTTCATCTACCCTCCGCTCGAAGCAGCCACCTAACCTTAGCTTCTGCTCTCTCTCCAACACCAGCCAATCCTTTCGACGTCTACTCGAGCTTGCTCATCGCACCGTAGCGAGCTCTTAGCTACCTTTCTCTCAATTCTTACTGTTTATACTCTGCGAGGTATGGCTCAGCGCTCTAGAAGATGACCTTTGGCTGATGGTGCACAGTCTCTGTTCCCGTCATTATGTCGCAGCCCATCTTCACACATCTTGCCTCTGAAGAGGAACGTCAAGTTTGCGAAGTCATGGCATCGAGGAAGTTGACAGTTGATCAATGCGAGTCGACTCTGCTTCTTACTGGTATCTCGAAGAATTCCCCCTATTATTCGCCTCCCAAGTCTGGAAAGAAGGGTTTCTTCCGATCCTTGTATCAGGCATTCCAGCTCTCTGGTCGAGCTGAATCGTCATCCCTTGCTGTTACCGCACCAATCATCTCAGACGCGGCTTCATCACTTTCCCGAATGGATATCGATGACGAAGCACACCCCCTTTCCGAAACCTATGTGACATCCGAATCGGTCCCCAGCGAGCCACAATCCTGTGATGATGACGAGGCGGCACCTCCGGCCTCGGAAACATTTACACCACGGTCCATCCTCGCGTCGCTCGTGAGTTATCAGATGACGCTCGTCCTCCGCGTGGCCAAGGCATTTGCCTGGTCATCTTCCACTACTCCTTCTTCTGAAGCTGACAGTGCTGACGAAGACAAGCAGGAGTCGGACGATGCCGCCACGCTGGTTGACAAGTCTTCCATCTGCCCTGCTCCTTCTCGCAAGGTCACACTGGACCTCTCGAGTGACTACGTGACCGCTGCTCGCCGAGAGGAGCTTTTTGGATCAACCATCTCACAGGAGCAGGATGAAACTGAACCGGTTGAACTCCTCACTCCCCTCCAAAGAGCAATTCAGCAAGCTCGAGAGCACGGATATCATCTTCATCCACGCACACCCCTTGGTCCTGTAACCCCTACCTCGCCGACGTCGCCTGTCAAGACGTCGCCACCAGGGTTACAAAAGTACAATCTCCGGTCACACCAAGTCGCTGCTAGCGACTTTTTCCGCAAAGAGGCGTCGCATCGTGCAGCTGTTGCTGTCCGAAACGACAACCGACAGTTGTTGATTGGCAAAAAGGACTGGAGTCCTTACGAGCCTCCGACGCTCATCATGCCTGAAGAGGAGGTTCCCCGTCTTCGCGTTGTGCTGGCTCCACGACGATTCGCTGTGCGGCTGTGGAAGACGACGTGCCGTGGACCTTCTGACTGGATCGAGATTGAGGAAAAGGGACCTCGCGGAGGTGTTGCGGTGTTCAAGCGTAACAGCCATTTGCGTCACGAGCTTGACCTCTCGCCACCAGCCCTCCACCTCGAGCAGGCCGCGCCTGCTCCCGCGTATAGCGAGTCACCTACGGACGAGGATGTGTCATTCGACATGCCCATGTTCGTCGACCAACTCATGGAGAAGCTCGCAGTCGACAAGGTACGCAGACCTCTTACTTGGGAGATTTCTGGCTTCACTCATTGACGTTAGCTTGCAGAACCACCCCAGTACACGATCCGAGGAGTCATCGACGAGGATGCAGGCTGCGAATGTGAGTGATCGTCTTTCTTTAATTGCTCACCCGGGGCTAATGTGCCGCTAGATCCTGTCTGCCACTGAGCAAAATCTGCGATCCGCAGAGACTCCCCCATCTTCTCGTTCCAACCTCGGTCTCAAGCTTCGACACCTCGTGTCCTCTGCCACCAAACGTCGAGCTTCCAATACTGATTCTATGGATATTTCAAGCACTGATAACTCTATCGCCCCACGCCCACACACTCCTTCCCCTAAGCTATCACCCGTCCAGCGCCTTAAACTCGCTGCTGCTCGAAGAATGCACAGTGCCGCGTCTGTCGCGCAGGAGACCAATACATGCTCAGACGAACCAACGCCCGCCTGCTTGAACTCTGAAGCCGCGGAGCTTCATCGCAGAGCAGTACGTGTTATTATACAGCTAAGTGACCCTGCTAACCTTTACTTAGCTTCTGAACAAGTATTTCCACCCACGGCCCATCCACGAGCGACCTCCGACGCCAGACCTCGTCCACGACGGGTTCACGACGGAGGACTCCAGTGACGACGAGACGCTCTATAGTGACGAATCGTCCGAGACGACTACGAAGAATGTGACGAGCTTTAGAAGCAAGCTCGACAAACTAAAGACTGGCTCTCTCTCGACGGCCATGGGAGCCGTCGAGCTGGTTACTGCATAGACAACTCGACTCTCATTTGGGTTTATGATATGTTTATTGGTGACTAAGTATCTGTTGTGTACTTGTATCTCTTGTTGTATTCCCTGGCAATACGAGCGCGCAGCGCCATTCAACATTCTTATCTATGGATACTTTGTTATGTGGTCTTTTGTTGAATATTAGCAGAATTTCTGGACGACTTTTTCGGAAGATCACGTGATGTCCCGTGACTTGGTTGACTTTTATGGCGACCGTGTTTGGCCAAACTTTGACCTCCTACCACGACCACCGGCCACATCCAGCTCGCTCCAGATACCAAACAGGCCATCAAAACAAGCAGCTCTACACATTTCAAATCATTTTACACGTCTTCAGCTCGTCGTTGATCCCCGATCAACTCACAATGGCACTCATCACCCTCAAAACATCCGCTACGACGCGCTCCACGCGTGTCTCTCGTACTTCTAGCGGCTCTACGACCACTAAGACGACTTCGTCCACGACGGCGACCGTGACCAAGCAGGCCGCCAGCGCGCGCGCGCCTCGTGCTCTTGCAAACAACGAAAAGGAGAACATTAATCCGCTGACTGGGCTCGACTCACTTCAGTCCAACAAGAAGTCCAAGCCTGTCTTCGGTGCCTCCAGCAACGCAAACACGACGTCCAAGTCTGATCTCAAGCTTAAGCCTTCCGCTGGACGCGCTGGTCCTGTGACTCGTTCACAGACTAGCCCACCACCGTCTAGCCAAGAGCATGCTCAAGTGCCAACTGCTCAGCGTTCCACTCGTAAATCCGGTATCTCGAAGCAGTCTCGCCGCTCTAATACGCAACTCGACGTGGTGACGGCTGAAGTCGACATTCTTCACGGGGCCATTGACGCGCTCATCTCAAAGCGAGCAATAAAGGTTGAGCGCGACATTACCCGCGCAGATCGAATACTCGCAGCGACACAGCATGAGACAGCGGCGGACCGACGTGCTCGCGAACTTACGGTCATGCCTTTGGCGGACCTCTCGGAGGCATTTCAACTGCCCTACGAATCGGTATGTTTCCATCATCTCTGGCTTCCCCTGAGGCTGACGGATTGACAGACATCTCAAAGCCGTGTCGAAGTCGAGGCACTTCTTACGCAGCCGGAGACCAAGGATGAGTCCAGACCCTCTGATATCTTTTCGCACGAACTCTCTGCCGCTCTTCAACGACTTGTTGCGGATCAAGACGCACATGCTCTCACCCCTACCGTCCTTAGGACTCGTGGTGTCAAGCGCGTAGGTGTTGTCTATTGCTTTCACAAGCTCTAGTTGACATGTCTTCTAGTCACTCGATTCCCTTCGGACTGCTGCTACCTCGCCATCTACAAGCCGACGGGCGAGCACTGGTGATGTAGGCGCTATCCTATCCAGGCCCACCAAACGCCTTCGAACAAGCGCATTTCCTCCTGTTCCACCCAACAGTCCCGCTCGTTCACGTCCAGTTGCCCTTCCTGTCACCGAAGAAGACAATACTTCAAAGGAAGAGACATACGATGAGACCCAGGATCAAACACAAGGCTCGTCGCACTACTCGTCGGTGCTTGACTCTCTCAGCTTCCGTGCTGGCACCAGCGTCGATTCATTGCTCCTTCAAGATACGAGCTTTGGATCACAGTTGTAAATACACGCGCATTGGGGCTTCGTAACTTATTTTATCATCATCACATCGTCACAGCTGTTTTGGTTACAATCTCCCTCTCGCGCCTCACCTCGTTACGCCTCTGTTGCCATTGGCGGGAACTACTTCACCTCTTTGCCCGTTCCTATCGGGAACGTTGTTCTTTCATCGCAGACATTGCTCTCAATCAGCGACCTATTCCGTTCATCTAATGTTACAACATCCTCTGTATTAGTAGCCACTTGCACATTTTTGCTCAATCAAACTGTTTGCTACAACAGCTGGTTTTCGTCTGTAAAGGTTGCGTTTCTACATTGTAAGCAAAATCGATATAGTATACACCAAAGTCCGATATTCCATTTTTGTCCTGGTGTGTTAAAAATGTCCCTCAGGGGCTTGGACCTCCTTCAATTCGTCGAACCTCGTTGTAACTAGGTGGAAGTTCGACAACCTCTTCCGGCTCGTTCGTCGGGGGTACACCACCAGCGTCCTGGTGCTGGATGACATTGACTGGACGCAAGCCACCGGAACCAGGTCCCTCTGGATTCTTGACATCTTGTCGAGTTGCGCCCGCAAATGTTCCTGCCGCTGGCGCCGACAGATGGGTGGGCGAGTTGGTTTGATAATCGCTGCTGGCACCCGTGCTCGTCATATCGGTTCCATCATTCTGGTATCCAGTGCCGGATGGCGTGCTAGAGCGGTGATACGGCGAGTGATGCTGAGCGTGATTGTTCCATGCTGAGGGTGGAACGAGCGGGTCGTGCGAGGCAGTCGATTGCCTATCACCGGCGTTTGTCGTACTAATAGACGTCGAGGGACGGTGGCCGTTTGCAGCTGCGCCGCCTGTCGTTGGACGAGAGTTGGCAGTGGCGCTGGGAGCATTATTCGAGCTATAATAAGGAATCGGCTCGGCTCCAACGGTGTCAAAATTGACCACTGGTCGTTCGGAACGGAGGAGATCGACCTCTTTTGTGCCGCCGTATTGTCTTTCTTTTCTTGCTCGGCGACGCCGCCAAAGATAGATAGCAGCGCAAAGAACCAAAATGGCAAGAACACCACATACAACGCCTGCAATGATCCCAGTTCGCCTCTTGTGACTGGCGGAAGTGCTGAGAAAAAAGGGAGTTAGAGGTCGTTGAGGAACAGGGCTACTTGGACTTACTTGGATCCACTTGGGGGTGTCGTTCCGGAAGGTCCATTCTGCCATGGTCCCGTCACCGTTCCTCCTCCTGATCCAGTTGCGTATTGACCACCGGCATAGGGTGAAGGCGTAGCCGAGTAGACCTCTTGGCCATCCTTGAGGCAGTCGTCTGATCCACCCTGTACGACCATCAGGTACGAACTTCCGCCTGTACCTCTCCCTCGCTGATCTCCAGCAACAAACATGAGACCTGTACCTGCTGGAACGCGAATGGGGGACCAAGTGGTGCTTCTTTGACCGTTTGGGACTGGGATAGAGAAGGACTCTCCGCCTGGAATGACCGCCATGAGAGAGACCTGTCCTTGTGCACTATCCGAGAATGTAATGTCCATAGAGCCGCATTGTGTAAGGGTGGGGTTATTCGGCAGTATAAGGTAGAAGAGAGGAGTCGTTTGTGTGGTGCTGAGACACGAGTCGTTGTTAGAACTTGCAACGTCTGTGATGACGCTTGTTCCTCCGGTTCCTACGCCTGTATATCTCGGGGTCAGCATTCGGTAGGACACCACGAGTGAAGTCAACCGCACCGTTCGAGTCGCCGACGATGGTTGTAAAGTTGGAGTTTCCTGGGAAATTAAGAGGAGGAAGTGTATAAGGAGAAGAGTCAAACTGCTGATCGACAATGGTCCGTATTTCCTGTTGGCCGTTTGGAAGAGGACCACTGGGGACCATGACAATATGATAGGGGGGTGAGCCGCCGTCTACAGTCACTGTAAGTCTCCCGCATTGTGTTGGTTTGCTCGTGAATGCAAAGCTCCAGGCTCGAACTGCGCGAGGAGCAACGGCGGCGAGGGCAATGATACACGCTGTGCGCATGGCCAACTGTGTACGTCTGAAATAGATAATTTGGGGGGTTATTTCCTGTCTCAAACTGGCCAAAATCGACGGCAACCAAGAAAAGTGGGATGAGGCCAAGGACGAAAAGGGCTGGACGGCGCAATGCGTCACCAGTTTTGCACCTGGCCACCACTGAGCCCCACCTCGAGGACCAATTGGCGTCGAGCGATTGGATGCAGAATCGCCTCTTGCTGGCTTTTAGTGTCGTCGTTTTTGTGCTCGCCGTCTTCACAATGTCCCACAACGTTGCCGACAACACCCAGCAACCGGAACAAGACCAGGGTGCGGAGGGGCTTTTATACGGGCCAGATGGTCCTCGTCCTGTTCAACACGACCAGCGTACAGACAACCAGCAAGCAAAGACGGAGCGACAACCCACAAACGTCGAGCAGCCACACCGGGGACGGTTCCCGCCTCCGACAAAGGAACAGCTCCGCCTTGCAGCACACAAAGGCTCTGGTGGTGGAGCTAGGCTGCCGGTGATGCCGCCAGCAACAGAATGATCATGGACATGCCACCGGTCAGCCGCTCATCCACATCATTCATGTTACATCTCACACTCTTACTACCAGATCCAGATGTCAGTTTATGCTTGAAATAACCGCCACTGGCCCTCTTTTCTTCCGTGTCACGCAGTGCAGACCCATGTCGTTCATCATCAACCATCACCCAACAGCGTCCCCCTGTCAATTACGCACTATCGACAGCAATCCTCGATGGCGAAACGAGGCTGTATGGTCTTCAGAGGATAAGATCTAGACTGGCTTCGGTAGAGGACGCCAACCTTATCACGGAACGGTCTAGTTCTAAAACTGTACAGAAGGATGCGGGAGAGACTTCAATACGACTGTTTACATCCGTGAGCCCGAGACGGTATTATTAGTCGCCAGAGCCGTCGTTCTACCGACCAGGCTATCGATTCTACAGAGTCACCCCTACAAGATTTATGCGCCAATGATGTCTTGGAGTGGACCAAACGGCGACTTGGAGTAGTCTGGGAAAAACTTCCACGACTGCACTGGGGTGAGCAAGAGGCCAAAAATCTGTATCGCAGATCAACTTACTGCCCGGTGTCTCCAGTACCAGACCCATGGCAGCAAAACCTTGACCAAGAACCATGGCAGGTCGGGGAAGTAACTGTAAGGCGCGACATGTCCATATGCCCAGACGAACACAGTATGAGGATCCTAGCAGGTCAATGAGCCGGTTATCATCCAAAGGCCAACTCAAACTCACATAAGATGTCTTGAGCTGCCTCTGGATGTTTGCATCGATCTCGGCGAACCGCTCAGCTGGAACACCACTGGCACGGATCTTCTCAGGTTCAAGCCATCCAATCTCATGCTGGAGCTGCATATCGAGATCCAGGTCATAACGTCAGTCAGGACGCCAAGAGGAAAGAAGTCGGGGCTTACGTGGGTAAGCAAGGGACCCGCTAGAGCTTCGAGATATGTCTTGAGCTTCTTCCCATCATATGGAACCTTTTGCTTGTGTGGCGCTGGGACCGTTTGGCCGTATGTCTTACCGGCGTCAACACCGAGGACTTCCAGGATATACGTGTTTATATCCTCGAGTGCCTTGTGGAACGCGGCGTGCTCGGATAGGACGTCAGTTTTGAATTCTGGTTCGAGCTTTGGGACTAGGTAGATCGTCAGCTCTTAGAATGAAGAGAACGAAGTGGAACGGACATATATATGTCTCTTCGAGATGGTGATGATGAAAGATATTCTAGGCACTCGTTAGCGCTTGCAAAGTGGAGGACTGGCCAAGACTAATACCTGGATGGCGCAGTAGCAGTAGAACCCAAAGTTTTGTTCTTCCCGAGTGGGAATTGTTTCAGCAAGGATGTACATATTGTGCAGTCCGTCCAACAGGAACTGGTGCCTAAGTATGCGCAGACGAGTGAGTAAAAGCAGAGTTATGTGAGCGATTGAACTGACACGCCAGCCATTTCCCAACGAATTTTCTCATAGGGATCTCGAGGCATACGTACCGAGCAGTACTTGGCGAACAGTGCTCGTGCTTGGTTGCAGGCGGTTGTGAACTCGGTCGAGGGCTCGCTCATTCTTGACAGATGAATGGCCTTCGCTTCATCGATTTGGCCCCGTTATATACTCGTCCAACCCAAGGTAGGCGATCCATCCGTGCACTCCGGTACTTGTTATGTGTAGAGGGTTTGTCGGCCAGCTTCGGTGAATAAGGGACACTCGGGGTGGAGTCCGAGGGTCACCATCTTGCCTTTAGAACAGGGGCCCGTAGTTTTGTCACATTGTTGGTCATCAAGTCGGTGGGTTCGGTGGCCACACTCCTCGGCCACTCGCCTGACATTGGGCGCGGTTATCTTGTTGTAGCATATACCAAAAATCGGCTTTCATATTACTCACTCGGTCGCCGCTTTTCCTCAGGATACCGGCATTTGGTGTAGGGATGGTCAAGAAAGCTACTACATTGACGGGACATTGCCTTGTCCACCTGGCATGAGGAAAACCGTGCATTATTGTTCGAATTGAGTCGCGTCGATTGCTTATCCACATCCTCCATCCAGCGAGAATTGGAGCGAGTATAACGGTCGGTCGGTTGAACATTTTTATCCCAAGTAAATGAATTGCAGAAGTAGTGAAAGATAAAAGTATGTCTAAAATATGCGCTATAGTGATAAATATGTGGGGCCCAAATCCAATAAGAAGGGTTAGACCTTTTGGAGCGCGCCAAATGGAGCCTTGGAGTAGTCGGGGATATATTTCCAGGAGGCTCTGTGCTTCCACCAGAACACCCAAGGTACGAGGACCTTGAGGAGGACCCAAGGCATCTCCGGGAATTGGCAATAGGGCGGTATATGGTATGCGGCAAAAACAAGCAAGGATTGTGGTTTCTATCGAATTGGTGAGCCATCTCAAGTGCAGATAAAGGGAGACGTGACATACAATTGACTCCTTGATGTGCTGTTCGACCTGAGCAAAAATGGGTTTAACCTTTTCAGGTGTCACCCCACAAGCACGAAGTCTCTCAGGGTCCAGCCACTCAATCTCATGCTCAAGCTATGCAAGAGTCAGTTCTGTTTTCTCAAAACCAAGGCGACATCGTACATGAGTGATGAGCGGTCCCGACAGTTGCTCCAAATACCGCTTGAGCTTTTCAGCGTCGTAGGGGATTCCTTTCTTGAACTTGGGCGAGATGGTATCCATGTCTGGGTTCTGCTCTTGGATTCCGAGAACTTGGCGAAGGTAATCATCCAAGTCGGCCAGGGTTTGATGAAACGCGGCATGTTCGTCAATGACGTCGGTTTTGAACTCAGGCTCGAGCTGAGGAACTATTAAGGGGTTAACTGTTGAATAAAATGCGACTGCAAGTCGTACAGATGTGCTCCTCCTCGACGTGATGGTGGCGGTCAATGTTCTGAGTTATGCAATAACAGTAGAATGCAAAGTTTTGATGCTCATTCGGCGGAATGGTGTCTGCTAGATTGTACGCATTCTGAACTCCGTCCAACAGAAAGGTGTGACTATAGACTTGATGATCAGCTCGAGGTCGTTTGAAACAGAAGATTGACGCACACGCCAGACATTTCCCATCTCAACTTAGCTATAACGTCTTTTGGTGCGGGCTCTGAGCAGTATTTCGCGAAGAGGGCGCGAGCATGGTTGCAAGCATTGGTAAACTCGATAGACGCTTTGCTCATGGCTCTGTGGGTTAGGATCTGGTGTGAGAATAGTCCCTGATGGAGATATCTCCTTTTTATGGCTGCATAAATCTCCCGTTCAATTCCGTTTGACCGCGGAGGCGCTAGATCGTCCCATATGGTCCGACACAGCCCGGCGCTCTCCTAGGCCCAGTGCAATACAAGTTATATGATTTGGCGCATACAAAACCACAAGCGGCGAGCGCTCGGAACTGCTACTAGGCTGTCTCCGATAGCACGGGGTCCCTGATACACCGCCGCCTGCCCGAGCGCCCGTCCATTCGGCTGACCGAGACGAATGCGTACGAAGTTCCTAATTGTACAGAGGACAAGAGAACAGCTATTGCTGTCGACCGGCCTAGAGTTATCCCTTCCAAGTTCCAACCAAAAATCCGACACTATAAGCGTCATTTGCTCTTCTAAATAAGAAATATTCTATCATGTTCTCCATTTTATCTGCGAAGCCAAAATGAACAAATTTAACTCGAGTTTGGCCATGGTTTGCCCCATCCGGCTTGCCGTTGGTGGAACGCCTCGTTGCCGTTCTTATTGTTCTCGCGGGCCACCTCTTTAGTGTAGCCAATGTACAGACCATGATCCACAATGATACATCTCTTTGGGATTTTCGTGAGGATTTAGTTGTCTCCCTACTCCTCTTGTCATCTTGCCTGACTTGTGCACTCTCATGCCGCCATCGTTCTTACTACATTTGGGTCACAGGTATGCTTTATGACAGGATTCTTTCTGTAAATAGGTGACAATTAGGCATCATAGACTGTCAAGACAGAGCCAAATGGATTGACCGAGTAGTCTGGGACATACTCCCACGCCTACATCCAATTAGCACTTGTGCGACTATGTGATCCATTCAGCCTACCTCTCGATAGCGCCAATAGAACACCCAAGGCACGATGACGCTCCTCAAGAACCACGATGCTTCAGGATATCGAAAATACGGTGGGCAATGCTTAAGCATAAAAGGAAACATAGAAAACGGATCCTGATTGTCAATTCATTAGCCTGAGATTCTCACCGCCAGCTGGAGAGGACATACCAACGCGCTCAAGATGTGCTTCTGAACGACCCGGTCCACCTGTTGGAGCCTTTCGACAGTAATGCCGCTGTTGTGAAGGTTCTCTGGGCGAGCCACTCGATCTCATGTTCCAACTGAACGACCCGTCACTCGAACATCACCTTTGCATGACTCTGAAGTACTCACATGGAGAAGCAGTGGCACGGCAAGAGCTTCGAGATGGCTCTTCAGCCTTTGTGCGTCATACGCTACCTTTACGATTTCTGGATCCGGGATAGGCATGCCAAACTTGGGACCCTTCTTGATGCCTAGGACTTGCATAATGTATTGCTCGAGACCGGTCAACGCAGATGAGAAGGCCGCATGCTCTTGATTCACATCTGTATGGAATTCCGGCTCCAATAATGGAACTAAGAGGATTGAGTCTAGTGGTCGAGCTCGCGTCTTTCCATACTGACAGACGTGATCTTCCTCAAGTCTATGATGCTGCTCGAGATTCTATGACACATGAGATTTCAGAATAGCGCCCTGTTCGGCTGTACCTGTGTAGCAAAGAAGCAGTACTTCACAAAAGCCTGTTCTTCAGAGGCGAGACGCGATCGGCCCGTATGTACGCGTTCTGGAGCGAGTCAACGATGCCATTGTGGCTGAATCTGTCAGATCTTGTTATTTTCCCTGATATTTGGCCTACATTCCACACATAATCCAGCGCTGGCGGCCGTAAATATCTGACGGTATGGGTTGAGCACAGTATTTCGCGAAGATATCGCGAGCCCTGTTGCACTGTTCTTCGAAAGATGTCATTTTGTCTATTCGAACGTAGTGGTTTATGAGAGTTGGTGTCTCAAACGGCCCAACTAGAATTACGCTGGGGGAGTGAAGGAGGATATCGTCAAAATATGTATCCGAAAGTACGCCTTTTGTAGTCAATCATAGATGGAACGTGTCGATTATCAGCCCGCGCGTCGGTGAAATAGACTGTGGGCGCGGGTTTCCACCCGTGCTGCGGTGCACATGACGAAGACATCAAAACTAAAGCTCAATGACGCATTCTGTTTCTCGAACTCTCAATACGGTTGGGATGAACAAATGAGCACGTGCCTGCGTATGCTGCGAGGCTAGTCGGCGAAGCAGTGGGCAACGACAGGTCAGCCCATGTTTGAGTAGAAAATGGCTTTCCAATCAATGATACATGCATTGCATATACTACCAAGGAATGCTCCTTGCTGAGGAATTTCCTACAGTAATCGATGAATAGCCATTATCGAGCTACGGAGTATCAGCAATAATCCTTCTCGCACAAAAGAATATACCGAAGAGGAAATCAGCCGATGCACATAGCAAAGATCTATGTGAGTTGAGTAGAAGTACAATTGTCAGAGCAATTGCACGTACAGTCCAGGTACGACATTGCGCCGTTGTTCGTATCCTCCATCAGCTGGTTTGCAAAATCAATTTCGAGTGCATCTAGATTCTGTCTGACAATCACAAATCGCCTCATCGACCCCGTCTGGTGCTCGAGATGCGCAATGACCTCCCTCACCCTTGTGGAGAATGAATTAGGGAGTTCGGGTAAGCGTTTCTACCATGAAATGAGAATAAATTGACCGAAGTATAAAATGCGCACCGGCACTGGACTGAGTTCATGTCCACTGGATACGTCAAACAGATCACGCCAGTAGGAGTCGTGGACGTCTCCTCCCAGCCAAAGGAACATCGTGTCGCCATCATCTTGATAGAATTAGGCCGATTGGGAACAATGGACATTGACATACCCATAAGATAGATGCCGTGGCCTTGCATCCATGTATAATTGCTCCGTAGGATCGTAGGCATCTCCAGCCTGCCGGTATTCGGATCATATGTGCCCATAGTTTCTGGCTCCTCGTGTAGTTTGTAGAGCCTTGGATACAAGCCTCTAATGACTTCTGCAACGGTTTTACTTGACAACTGATGAGCATGAACATTCCGGACATCCGACATGACAGGAGTTCCTCCAAGGAGTTAGCGCCAACTTATGAGACTTGGAGAGAATACCTTTTAGCGGTCGCGATTTGAGAATGCAGTTAACATAGACGGGAAGGAGAGTGAAACCTTCAGGTAGGATCAACTAGTTTTACCTCTGTCAAATAAACGGCGAATCGCGGAGCATAGCTAGCTAACCTGTGATGCGATGCTTGACGCCGCACAGTAGCGTCTGTAGTGAAGGAGTAATTCCGCGCACTGGGCAGTGAGCGAGTCCCGGATATCTCGCAAAGGACGTTTGATCATTTGCATTATTGCTATTGATTAATCACATTCAAGCCGATGATATGTGATAGTTAGGCTCACCTGTTTTGGCAAAAGCCGCAACAACGCCCTCATAATCCCCATATCGATAGACATTTCCCGCAAGACTGACAACTGGGAGGCTGAGATTGCATACTCTGACCCTTCTCTCGCCCGCAGCTGTCGTGTACAATAGCGCGCTTTGCAAATATGCTTGTGTTTGTTTCCCGAGTGTGATGCGTCGATGATGCGAGGAAGAAGGTCCCCCTTTCGAAGAGACGAGAGAAGATATAGAGTCGAGAGTCAGGGATGAGAAATTATCCAGTGCTGAGACATAGTTGAGAGAAGCATATAACGACTTGTCTGCGTCCACTGCAGCGAGGTCTATGTTCCCAGCACGCTCCCACCCATTCCCGTAGTAGGCATCGACATGGATGCCTTCACAGATTAGCAAGATCATGATCACATGCAAAATCGGACCAACCCGTCGTGCATCGCAATTTCAAAGTCGCTTGATAACCGGTTTCCCTGTCCATAAACCTCCGAATCTGTGAGTAAAGAACCCCAAAGTCTCTTTCAGGGTCGAATTTGGGATGGAAATAGAGGTCGCCCCCCGTGAGCTTCGGTACTATACCTGACCGAGGTTGAACAACATCAAACTGCCATAAAAGGTGCGCTCACCGATTGTTCCAATATCTGCCCATCTACTGGGTGCCAGGACCATCGACACGCCGACACCACAATCGACGCATTCCTCACCCATCTCCTTCCAACTAACCTCCCGGGGTATAAATAACGTGCTATCGCTCTCTGAGGTATAGATAGATTTCTCGTTCTCTCTCTCGGCTGAGAATTTGGTTGAGTTGGGGATCAATCTGGAGAATGGAGGGCATACTGAGCATTCCAAACCCCAACTTTGGCATACACGTCGCAAAGATAAGCACCTTCCCTCCGACTTGAGATAGAAGGGCAAGAGACGCGGCGATAGAGGAGCCGAGGGCGGCTTGGGCACAAACCGTGTTTGTGTAGCGGTCAGATAGTCCAGATAAGAATGGGAGGAGGAGTCCTCTGAGCCCAGAGAGCGATCAGCCATCATTATCACTGCATATATTTGAAATGGCGTACCGACTCTCGCTTGGGTCGATGAATAATGACGAAGAGGCAGGCATCGGGGAAAACACTTCTTCGATATCTGTCACAACCAGAGTTGCAGGTCGATCGAGAGTGGGCTATAAAAATGTTAGAATGCATGAAGAGACTATTGTCGATCAAACGCACCGAAAAGTCGTAGAAGCACAGCTCCTTGTCAAATGTGACTATTGCTATTTTGCTCTCAGGGCTCCACCAGGGTTGTGTAGCTAAGGTGGTTTGTCGATCTGCTCCCTGCTCTGGGGAATCGCCTCGAGACTGAGCTCCGTAAAGGAGGTCGATCAGAATGTCGCAAGCTGATCTTAGGAGGCCAGTCTGAACAGACTCTAGGCTCACGTCGAATGCAAACACATAGTGCATAGCAGTCGGCTTCCGATATTCACGCTCTGCGTCTCCAATGGAAGGAAGAAGACTTGTCTGTTTGGTGTCCTTCTTCTCATGCACTCCTGAGTCAACCGTGACAGGAACAAATGAATGGATCAATCTCTTGGGAGGTGCTAAAGCCCAGTAGGCTTTGGGAACCAGAAAATCGACTGTTCCACGTTGAAGTTCCAGCCGAGCATTGGGGCTTTCAGTCATGTACAGTGGTGGTGCTAATTACAGTCAAGGCAAAAATCATCAGTCATCATATTTCGATGAGACCAGAGCGCATACCAACCGTCGTTTTCCATCCCACAGAGGTTGCATTTCCACTGTCGTCCTCCCGTGTCCCAACTGCACCATGGGTTGATGTACGCGCGACATTCAGGGTCAGTGCATCTCGGAGGACCGTCTTCTCCGAAGTCGATGATGGGAACGGGCGCCTCCTCGAGAGGTTGCTGAGCAAGAGGGGTGATGTGGATCCCGAAAGGCACATGGGTCATCGATTGTAGGTCAGCATTCGATGGTATTGCATAGATTGTGGGTCGCAGATAGCGTGGTGTCGAGTTCCCTGAAAGAGGTTCGTATTAAATCGGCGATGTAACCATTGGAACCTTACCTTGATCGATAGCATGGTATTCGCTGGCCGAGAGGGGTACTGGTTGCTCTCCTGTGGTTATATATGATTCTTGCGTCCACCGATATTCGTCCTCGGCAAAATGGGCAGCGGTGGATGGGATTTGTTCTGGATCGAGCTTTGTACGGAGTCCCTGGAGCGGTGTTCCTGCAGAATGAGGAGGCTGTTGAATTGGATTGTTGATTGCAGATGGGTTAATTGGCGGCGGACGCCGTCCTCTATGCATGTCGGGCTATTTTCAAGGTCGTGGCGAGGTCCAACCCGTTGTGGCGGCGAAACAAGGGGAGGTCGCACAGAACCACACATTTGATCAAAATATATAACATTAACACCAAACTTTGTTGATCACACTGACTCGGTGCTCCATTACCAAATCATCATTTCTGGACCTGTCCTCGACCATCTCCCAAATATTAAGGCTCAGATAACCTTTTTGTTGAGAAATATGCCTCCACTTCCACCAAGAGACGTACCCGCGCTGCAGTTTCACATCCGACCCGCGACTCCTGCTGATATCGGATCCATCCTTCGCCTGATCAAGGACCTTGTGAGTATAAGACTTTCTGAGATGTTGACCTGACCTTCATACATCTAGGCGGAATATGAAAAGGAGCCCGACTCAGCCAAAGCGACCCCCGAACTTGTCAGTTCATCCCATGGTTGCTTCTTAGCGACGATTAAAGTTCACCTAGCTGCAAGCAAATTTGTTCGATACAGCATATGCACACGCACTACTTGCATTTCCGGGCCAGCATCCGGATACCTATGCAGAAACAACCTCGTCCACCGCTCCGGATACACCGTCCTCCCATGAGGAAGCAGTAGCTCAAGATCCTCTTGGTCTTGCTCTCTACTTCTTCAACTTTTCGACTTGGACAGGAAAGCCTGGGATCTATGTACGCTTGTCCTGCTCATCCTTGCCGTCGCTCATGGCGGCCATTTAGCTCGAGGATCTGTATGTCAAACCAGAGGCTCGGAATATGGGTGTTGGCAAGGCTCTGTTTGCAGAGCTGGGTGCTATCGCGCAGGAAAAGGTCAACCACACCCCGCGATCCCGATCTTGACGGTAGTTGACAAACTATGCAGGGATGTGCAAGACTTGACTGGTCCGTTCTCAAGGTACGTGCTCATTGAATCCAGTCCAAGAATCTGAATTTCCCCTTGTAGTGGAATACACCGTCGATTGCATTCTATGAGCAGGTATTGGGGGCAAAGGGTATGGATGAATGGCGCGGGATGCGCCTTGAAGAAGAAGGCATCAAGGCTCTCGCCAAATGGTCAAACCGAACACCAGCGGTGTAGTTGAACATTGCGCTAGTTCTTGACCTTGCTCGTCTGCAGTGTCTCGTTAGAAACGTGGCTTGGTTGACCAAAATACTCGCTTCGTTATTACGGACCGCAAACTCGAAAACCCATTTGTTAGCGGCAAACAGTATAGATTTGTCACCCCAGTAGAGCTCCCATCGTTCCCTGAGATATTTTGCTGGTGACTTTCCTGTGAAAAGGATGTCATTGGACGAGATGGTGTCAAACCAGATGCAACGAACTGCAGCGAATCCGAAAGTCCGGCGAGTCAACGATGAAGATGGATGGGAGCTGTGGGCGAGACTCGGTGTTTCCAATAATTGCTTCTTTGTGAGTTGACTCGACCTCGGCTTGCACAATTGTTAGGATTGCAGCCTGGAACAGCGCGAGGAGCATCACCGAGGATCCACGTGCCGAGAAATACGCGTCAAGAGTATGAGAGATAAGTGAGAAGGAGACTTGGAAACCAAATTTGCCATACGTACAGAAATTTCTGTCTGGGCTATGTGCCATTCGGCGAGCTCGCTGACAGTGGGGCACTGGCTATGATAGAGCAATTCAAGTCAGCAGTCTCCACGTGAAGGGTAGCAATAGTGATGCAAGCAGGCTCAAGAGCGTGTCACCTTTGGGTCCTCAGCGTCAACTGAACGACTTGAGCTGGTGATTGAGAACCCTGGAGCAATACGAGCGTCGTCTGACCGAGAGTAAGCAGCATTTTTTACTCCGAGTTGGGTTGTGGTTAGAATTCAACCGTGTGTGCAACAGCTTTGAGGTAAAGAAGCGGCAGTTGCAAATTAAGACAAGCGTATAGCCTAATAGTACAACTACACTGGAGCCACAGATGAAGAACAACTGGTGAATGGGCTTCTAGGTGGCACGTTCACCACGGAGGCGGCGAGCAAGTTGGAGATCCTTGGGCTGGATAGTGACGCGCTTGGCGTGGATAGCAGCAAGGTTGGTGTCCTCGAAAAGGGAGACGAGGTAAGCCTCGGCTGCCTCTTGCAAGGCGAGGACTGCAGACGACTGGAAGCGGAGATCTGTCTTATAATCTAGAGTCGTAATAGAGCGCAATCAGCAACCGTATTTTGTGGCACATCGATCCATAGGAGCATACCCTGAGCGATCTCGCGGACGAGGCGTTGGAACGGCAGCTTGCGAATCAGCAGCTCTGTCGACTTTTGGTAGCGACGAATTTCACGAAGGGCGACGGTTCCAGGCCTGAAACGATGGGGTTTCTTGACGCCAGACGCGACCGTCTTTGGAGCAGTCTTGCGAGCTTGCTTGGTGGCGAGTTGCTTACGAGGAGCCTTGCCACTGTTTGACAACGTGTCAGGCTAGGTTTATGTAGATTAAATGGGGGGGGACATTACCCAGTCGATTTGCGGGCGGTTTGCTGCAAAGCCATCAGTCAAAGGGGCAAAGCTCGATGGAGAAACGCGTCTTTAGTGGATTCGGGTCAAACATACCTTTGTACGAGCCATGGGTACTGCAAAAGGATTATTTGGCGAGTTTTAGGAGAGAGCGCGTCCAAAGGGCAGATGTGGTCTGGTCTAAGAAAGCGAGGGGCCCCAAACACAACACGCCAAAGTCACGTTTGTGCGGGTGAGTCACGTGGTATCGGCCTTATTATTGTATATACCTGCAAGTATCAATCTACATCATCTGTTTCAGTCCATGGCGACCACTAGCCTCTTCGAATGCCTGGCCCGGCCAAGGCACAGGCTGGTCGAACTCGGCCGCCGTTTACATCTTGGACCGCTCCTCTCTTAGCTTACCCTCCGAAACACGAGAAACTTGGAGAACGAAAGCCCGTCTTTGGGCTCGCTCTTTTCGCCTCTTCCATGGCGGATGCACCCTTTACCATTCGTCCGCTCCCAGTGTCCTCCCGCCAGCTAGATGCTCAGGAAAGTCCGGAAAATACTCGTGGACGTGGAAATGAGACAACAGGCTCACCTTCTATCGTCCGACGCTCCTTCCGGAGTCGGAGCCGACATATTCGCGGAGGCTCTTCCCTTGGGACAGTCTTTGGAGACTCAAAAATAGAAGGTACTTTGCATTGGAACCAAGACATTGCAAGCAGCGGTCTCATTTGCGGCTCTTCGGTGCGTCCATGATATTCCAACCACAAGCCGCTGACCCTGGGGTCACCTCTACAGAGCAAAGAGCTGCTCCGTACAATGATGCAAATGGTCAAGATGCATCTCCAGGACGGCCGGGGGTCCTCCGCACTGATGTGAGCCCAAGTAGCTGGCTTTCTCCGGTCATCACATTAAATGTGTTTGAATAGATTCCATGCGTCTTCGCGTGACCACTTGGTTTCTTCGTCACAAGTCTCTACTATCCACATTGCCAAACGGCTCCCTTCGCCGTCCATTTTTCTTGCGTGAGCTCCCGCGTATTTATTATAGGATCCCGCTCATCCGATGATAGCCCTCAGCCTAGACGTACAGTAAAAGAGCTGTACACTTCCATTCCCTTGGATCCACATAACATATTGCCGTTACGGTTCAACGAGGCAGATATTAGTCTGGCTCATGTGCTTGCACTCTGTACTCCTCCGCCAGAGTACCCGAATCGTGAACGGATCCTTACATCTGTTCAATTCATCGTCAGTCGACTAGCGGAACCCTTTAGCATTCGAGGTAAGCTCCCGTAGTCCGTCCCCAACCTGCTCACTCGTATTGCATAGAATTCAACCAATTTGTAGATGAAGAGCAGTGGGATTCACATGGGAGCGCCTTTATGGCAATCCGCCAAACTTTGTTGACAACTCTTATCGCCTCTCATGATGGAGACAAAGACGACGTGGATGTCGTCTCCAGAATTCGTCACGGGGGAGCCATTGTTATCGATTTATCTGATCCAGTACTGCGAAGCACCGGTCTCGACAGCGTGCTCTTCGACATGGTTCTATGTTTATATTGCTCTGTACAACGAGATACTAGAAAACTTCTTGGTACGTTCATCTCTGCTGACGTCGGCGTTGTTGACGCTTGGGCAGTTCTTGATCAAGCACACGAGTACATGTCTACTAACCCAGCATTACTCAACACGCTCGTTACACTCTTCTCCATGCACACGGACTCACCTATCAAGACCCTCCTTTCCAGTTCCGATCTCACTCTCATTTCGCCACGCCTCCTTAGTCACATTGACTACCTGATCTGCCATGATTTTCGCTCTCCTACCTGGTTAAACTACTTACAGCAGCACATTGCTTGTTCGCCCACCTTGCCTGTGGCCTCGGCCAGCGCCAATCAAGAAGGGTCCGCTATTCATAACCTAGAAACACGTCAGGCGATAATCATATCCCCTCGATCCATCTCAGAAGTTGCCAACGGCTCCTCCACACAACCGGATCAAAATCCAGTCAAATGGTCCAGCAAAGCTTACCGCGTGGAGATGGGTTTCGACGCCCCTCTGACTGTGGAGCAACGGAAAATCGAACAACTCGAAGCTCTCGTTGCACAGTTGTCCAGTAACGCAGACAACACCGGGTTGGCAGCACCAAATGTCACCGTTTCTCATCACCATCACCATGTGCCAGCCCCGTCGACAATGGGCGGAGGCACAGTAATCTCCCGCCGAAGTAGAAAGGAATCCAGTATTTACATGGAGAACACTATTAGTGCCTTGCGAAATGCACTGGGGTACTTGGCAGCCCGCAAGGCTATAGAGGGACCCTCGCCTTCACACTCGCCGCCTGCCTCTCCAACACTTGCGCCGCCTGTAGTACCTCCTCACCAGCTGACTCCAGTCGAAGAAAATACAGAGGCAAAGACGTCAGACTCAGATGGGAAGGGCTCCTCTGATCGTCCACTTGTCGTGAAAAACGTCACCTCGGATTCCGATCCACTCTCCGATGGTTCAGCTTGGAAGATAAAGCCACTTGGCACCGAGGTCCGAGTGTATTTTTTCTGGCTCCCTGCTCTCAACTGACGATTTTGCTTTAGTTCAGTCTTTCGATCCCCGTTGTCCAGTCGTTGCCAGACTTGGGTCCATTTAATCCTACGACGATTCAGGAACCGGACAGACCTACCCTTCTTGCTGCTCTTCAAAAAGCAGTTCTGGATGCCGGGGGCGAACTCGGCGTTCCTATAGCTACTCACAAAGTCGCCGAAGCCTTTTTACAAGCCAATCATCCCATTGATAGTCTCCTGCCGACATGGCAAGCCACTGCAGAGTATGCCGAGCGACATGGTCTACTCGAGGTAGTCCGTAACGATAATACGAAGCACGAGTGGATAGTCGTTTCAAAACCGGATACCGAGGAAGGCCAGGGAAGCCCCCCTCCACCTCCCTTTCCTGTAATCTCCCATGTGGATACACATAAAGCAGAAGATCAAGAGACCGTGCCGTGGCCCAAAGCACACGATAGCTCTGTTGTGCAATCTCCAGATGGGTGGTATGAGATGATGCAGGAGTCGGCCCTTAGACCCCAGACTACCGCTCCTGTTATTGTCACACCTCAGGTGAGATTCAATAGTCATCTTTCATGCCATGCTAACCATGACATTATACCTTAGGCACTTCCACCGTCACCATTCGAACCCCTACTTCAAGCTATGTCGACGCTACGAGACTTACAACCCTTTGCTCCGCTTTTGCTACATAACGTTAGTTATGAACTGAAGCGCCGCTTCCCGACCGCAATTCGTGACGCAGGATACAAAACCATGGTCGAGTATCTCTATGGTGCTCAGGCACAAGGTCTGGTGGAAGTCACAGACGATGCCTCTGGCTCTATCTACGTTCAGTTCGCTAAACATCAACCCGCTACTGTGAGGACACTAAAACCGCTTTTGAGGGGACGCTGACTTGTTACAGGCTCCGGGCCTTGCCATCCGTTCTCCACCTAAGCATATCTCATCTCTTTATTCACTATCAACCGACAAGTCCCAACCAGACAGCTCTGCAGTGCCAAGCTCGGATGTGAGTTGCAACTTTATCTGCGTACATTTGGATACTAAACTTGACAGGCTCATCTTGCCTATCCCAAGGAACACTTTGGTCCACTCCTTACCGTCCTTCGATCTCTTCGCAAGCACAACCTATACAAGGTTACGTTCACTCCCCTGTCGCTGGCGCTCGAAAAGATGTTTCCCAACGCAATGAAGCGACTCGGCATCGATAATATTGACCAATACATCTATCAAGCGCGCGATGCGGGCTTGGTCATTACGGGAGATGGAGCTAACGGCAAGGTTTGGGTGTCACTAACTGATGCAGAGCAGAACGGAGCCGTACGCTTGTCCTTTATCCCCGAATATTCACTGATTTGACTGAAAAGGCCACACCAACGCCAACGAATACGATTAAGATCAAGACGTCTCCTTCAGCCACCTCGCTTCACTTTCCATCGCCTCCAGACAAGAGTCGCGTCTCAGATTTTTCCAGACTCTTGCGGGCCATACGAGCATTGTCCGCTCCTGGTCGCGAGCGTGTGCTCTGTTCTCGAGTGGGAATGATGCTCAACAAGGAAGACTATAAGGCAATGAATGTCGAAACATTCTCCCAATGTCTTGTTGCCGCGTCCAAGGCCAACCTTATCGTCCACGGAGGAGTTGGAGGATCAGCATGGGTCGCACTAAAAGCTCCCTCGGTAGCTGGAGTCCACCCGAGCAAGGTCTATGAAGAACCTCGTTCGCGTCTCGTGAAGACCGCACCACCCGAGATTGCAACAAATCCGGTTGTGCCCTCAGGCTCAGCATATAAGCTGCCTTTATCAGAAGAGGTAACTGTCCCAGCCCCCCATCCGAGCCCGTCTCACCATGATATACCAGGATGTGGAACCCTTCAGACCTTTGCTCAATATTTTACGCACCTTTATTCACAGCAAGCATATTGCGGAGCCGTTCCGGACAGTCGTAGAGAAAAACCTCCTCAAAGTCAAACCAGACGTTCTTTTTGCCTCAAAATGCAACACGATGGACGATTATATACTACGGGCACAGTCTTATGGCCTGATTGCCCAAGTCGGCTATGGTAAGGCGGCGAGGCTGCGTCTCCTGGAAAATAGTGGCCTTGCCCTGCCATAGAGTATCAATTGTCTACATTCGGTACCGTGTAACTTGGCATTTTTTACACTATTTATTCGGGTACTTGAGCAGGAGATTATGGGGGAAATGAGCAGGTATGCAAATGGACGACGAATCATTCCAATCATCACAAATGATTGAAGACGACAAAGTTACTCTGGTAAAGGCACTGGAGCTGTGCAATCATACCATCCAACTGACGATGGTTCCGAATAGCGCGATGGGTCGAAGGCCGACTCAGAGCCATGAAAGACATATATTGAACTAGACAGACATTCATTCTTCATATCTATCGGTAACGGAATGCCATCATCGCCTTTTGAAAGTAAGTGGGGTGTTTGCGAGTGCCATGGTAAGGCGACAATTAACTCGCTGCAAAACTCGTGTGGACCAAGCGTCAGCGGTCTCTCCTGCCTTCAAGAATGGCTCCACTTTGTAATCCTTCAGTACGCTGCAAAGAAACGCCACGCTCTCGACGAGGGCAAATCTCCTGCCAATACATACTCGTGGACCGGTTGAAAAGGGTGAATAGGCTTCGTCCGTGGACGCGTCATACCAACGAGATGGTTGAAATTCTGTTGGGTTCGGGAATGTCTCTGGATCATAATCTAGAGGAAGTGAGCAAAGAAATAAAACCTGCACACACACGTACGCATCCCAATAAAATCAACAACCATTATTGCACCTTTGGGAACAAGAACGCTGTGCTGCTCCATGGATCCATCGGGACCTCTCCGCGACGCTTGGAGTATACAATCGTCTTTTGACTCTCGGATGATTAAGTTTGCAGGAGGAACGAGTCGTAAAGCCTCCACGAATGCACTTCGAGTCTTAACCAACTGATCGTAATGCTCAAATGAGAATCTCCCGTCTGTAGTAGTCTTGAGCACCGTCTGTATCTCCTCATAAACGATGTCTTGTTCGCCTTTATGCATGGCTAGGAAGCACAAGCATGATGCAAGTGCCGACGCGGATGTCTCGTGACCGGCAAACATTTGCACCCAGACGTTCTAAAAGGGGATCAGTATCTTTGAGGTCTATCCTATGCCGACATACACTGCAAGGAGAGGACGTTCATGAGCCAAACAGCGGAGGCGTCAGATTCAGATCACCACACGGACAGGCTCTCACCCTGAGAGAAATTGTCAAAGAGAATAACATATGTGAGTTACGTACCAATCTACAGTGCGTCAGAACGAGGGACCATACGCATAGAGGACTCACTAGCTCGTCGTCATTAAGATGATACTTCCCTTGCATTTGACTCGCGAGTGCCAGGCGTGTGAAGATATCCCGCTTGACAAGTTCAGTTTCAAGATCTTCTTCCCCTTCTTTGATTGCTACCGCAACTTCTTGTTTCTTTAAGGCCGATGATTCTCTGAACCAGGTTCGCATAGCGTTGGTGACACGGTCGATGTACTGCAGTCTTCCAGAAGTTAGTGACAGTTTCGTGTGGGCCCAAATCGCACTTTTTGATGGGAAGCTTGAAGAGCCATCGAGGTGCATACGTAACAAGGATGAGGTTCTCGCTATTAAATGCGATTCCCTCATCGATAGTGATATCTTCGTCCGGTGTCCGTAGTTTTTCATCCCATGCCAGAGGGTACCCGAACCCACATGCTAGAATCACACAAAGAGTGAAGCGAGCAGTGAGCTTATAAAGGTTTGACACTGAAACAGCCCCTCCAGGAGACGTCGGAAAATGTTCAACACCGAGCATCCCGTGGCAGAGACGTGTGGATTCGTTCCAGACATCTTCGTACCTGACAATGAGTCAGTCAGATGCAATCGAGCTCAAATGACTGACAGTTTGTTGTTAAAGGCGGGTTGCAAAATACGACGATGTTTACGCCATCCCTCATCGAGCTGAGAACTCAAAAGGTTATGACCCCAGAAACTAACGGACTCCACAACCCTGATGGGCCAATGTGAGTCTTCTATCTCAAGCAGAACAAGGTTACTGTACCAATCAGGTTTGCGCCATGAGGGTCCAGTGATTTGCCGTACCACGGCCAGAGAGTTTGTGCACATGATCGGACTCCCCCATACCTTTGGTTCGAGGGTAATGACCGTTTTACCAGCGTTTTGGAACACTACACGGGCTCAGCATAGGAGCAGAACGTACGCGAGAGAGAGACTTACATGTGGATCTTTTTTCCCAGAAAAAGTCGAGCCCAGGCCCGAAAACCATGCTTGGGGCGCTTAAAGGATCCAGCAGAGGCCTGTATGTCGGCTCAGCGCCGTAGTTTTCGACGAACTTGAGGTAGGGGTGAGCACAGCGCATAGTTTGAATCGATTAGAGTACCTTTTGATGTTTCCGGTATGTATGGAGCTGAAAAGCAACCAACACGCAGGCAATGGAAATGGTACCCCATGTCACAGTCGCGGTTTGCTCGAGGACGAAAGCTTTGAGGTGATGATATAAAATGCCCATGAGGAGTCTAGTCAAAGGGGAGAACAAGTGATTATGATTTGGTCCAAAGTGGTCGACAGCAATATATATAGGCGCGCGCTCTCTCCCTGTGGACAAAATTTGATCGCAATGGTACGATAACCCATGATTTGAAAGCACCTCCGAGTCATTCGGAGTGGTGTTTCGTTTGGAAACATGGTAGACGGGATGTCTCGTCGAAAAAGATCAGAGTTCAAGAACGTCTTTTGGCTGCCACCACTACCGGCTTTGTTGGTGTCGCCTCGTGTTCGTCGAGCGCACTCTTCTTCAACAACATTCTTATATTTTTCAATGAAACTTCCAACAACCTCAGCAGCGGCGGTAATGACACCACGTCAACAAGAGTCTTCGCGTTCACTTGCACGACGACAAGCAACCAGAAGCCGTCCTAACATCTCGATTCCTCTATTTCTATTTGTTGTCGTTTTATTCCTTCTCTCGCTGGCCCAGCCAGCTGCGGCTATCAAGTTCAAGCTAATCGCGGACCGCTACCCAAAGGCAAAATGTATATGGAATACGGCCCACGAAAATGCACTCATCATTGTCACAGCCAATGTCGGTCCAGGTGAGTAGTTTCGAGCGGAAAAAGACGATTGGCGTGGTGCTCACCAGATGCAAAGGCGCGTCACAGCGGGTTGACATCGAGATCATCGACTCTTCGGCTCGCAGAAACGTCTATCTCTCGAAACGGAACGTGAACGGCGAAACTAGACTCGCCGTGACAGCTCACGCAGAAGGAGACGTGGGTGTGTGTTTCAAGAATCATCTTGATCTAGGTACTTCGACCTTGCACATCGCTTTTAGAAGCTTATAGCTATCAGGAGTTACACAGACCGACACTGGAAAGTACAACCGAATTATCGACCTGGATGTGGATATCGGCGCCGACGCAGTCGACTACAAGTAAGGTACCCATATCTCCGTAGAAACTGGCCATTAATTTGGCGACTCCAGTGCTATTGCTGCCAAGGAGTCTTTGTCAGGTCTGGAAACGGAGATGCGCAAGCTTGAAGGATTGGTCAAGGAGATTGTAGACGAAATGTCCTACCTCAAGTCACGCGAGCAACGATTTCAGAGCACAAACCGTACGTAGTCTCCATCATGCTTTGGGGTAGAGTCTAATGGGCGTGGCGGACAGAGTCGACGAATGTACGGGTGCAAAACTTTGCGCTCTTTACGTTCTGTGCGCTCGTCGCACTGGGTATCTGGCAGATATTCCACCTACGTGCCTTTTTCAAACGAAAGTATCTCATCGATTAGGCATTGTATTCAGTGGCATATATCCTATCGAGTCACTAATGTTATGAGGACACTATGAGCAATGCGCTCGACCAGAAAGGACTCACATCTGCTCATTCTTTGCTCGTATAAGTGTCAACTGCGGACTGTTGGAGTCTTTTGATTGTCTCATCCTGGTCTCGAATGGTCTGCTCTGCCTGTTCGAGCCTTTGGCGGAGATTGGCTATCTGAGTTTTATAATATTCCACCAGTTTGGCATGCGTGTCGTTTATTTCAATCTGCTCGAGCAGTTTGATATCGAGTTGTGATTTTGCGTGGACCATGTCTCTCCAATGAGTAGAGACTTGACTGTCTAGTCCGCTCGTGTGTTCATCGAATAGCTTTAGGAGCTCTTGTTTCGCATGGAGGAGTGCATCCAAGTCGTTGCTCTGCTGGTCGGCCATAGGAAGATGGAATAAAGCGATCGGGGATGAAAACTCGGCCGGAAATTCCCTGACAACGGCGGGAAGAAAGGCTGAGCTCTGCGTGGCACTGACGGCGCGGGGGCAGTGAGGGCTGTCGTTACAACTTGGACCACTCCTCGTCTGTCTATTCGAACCCTCTGCGAGGCCTTTGCTTTTCTGTTTCTCCTTTCAGGTGCTCGGTGCGTCCCCTCGCTGAATCTGCCTGGGTTGTGGACAGTTCTCTCATGTATATGCCTTTTGTCCCCTCTAGACTGTGTCGTCGCCTCTTTTTTACTCTTTGTTTTTCTAGAGGGAAATATCCGTGGTCATTATCAGAATATTTCAAACCCAAGCGATTTATGGGATGCAAAACCAGCAGACTTTCGGGCTCATGGGAAGCAGTGCACCCCCCTCATCACGGCCATTCCTGTCACTGCGTTCATGATCATTCCTCCTCGAAACCTTTCGAGCATCCGGCCCTTCGTTCCCAGTATACCACTCGCCCAGATTCACCTTCGGTCTACAGCGCGCATACCCGTACCACGCCTGCTCATTCCAGGAGCAACTCAAATGATCTAGTTGACACCAGTGCTTGTTCCGTCGGTCACCCAATGGCACCCGAACAACGACCACTCCTAGGTTCAACGCATCATCAACCACGATTTGCCAACAGCTCGAACAGTGCCGCTATCTCCAAGGGTGTATACTCCCGCTTTACGCCATCTTCCCTCCCTTCGACAAAGCTATTCTCGCGCCCAAAGGCAAACCAGGGGACTCCCCATTTCGTCTTCCAGAGGGAGAAACCGCTTCCCTCCCACCCTGGCTTTGAAGCTTCGGCACAAGAAGAAGTTAGACGCAAACGGACCCGTCGTCTATCGCACTCAAAAGCCGCGAACATTGCCTACTGCGCCCACGAGCGTCAGAAAGACGCACCGTGCTTTGCCTGTCTTCGTGAAAAGCCAAAGCCACGAAGACATCGATCGCGCCGCAACGCTCAAGTTATGATTCCTAGGTCGAGCTTCATGGGACGAAAGAGGCGCAGAGGATCACGTGGAAGCTCGAGCTCGGTCGAAGCGCCCATACCAGAGGAGGAACTTCCCTCCTGGGTCACAGATCGGCACAGCATCTTCGTTCCCTCGGCACCATCCGCGCATAGCGTCGCAAAACCTCGACCCCTTAACTACACATACGGAGAGGGGAATCAGGCTCGCCAGAAAAAGCCCAAAGGTGACTCTTCGAAAGGTCTCTCCAAATCGGGGAGCTCCAAGAAGGAGAATACGATAGATCCTTACGCTGCAGGAGGTTACATCGTTTCACCGGAGGCCTACTATGCGACGTTACCACTCCCAGACCTGCCGACTACCCATCAAGGTGGACAGGGCATGTTCGCCGTGACTGAGCGGAAACAAAGGAGGAATCCGGTGTGGATCTGAACAAGGGACAGATGAGATATTGTGGAAGGGATTAGGAGCTCATCGAGCGTGAATTCAGACTCGTTTCCTCTGTACTGAAGTGGTCCATAAGTAATTTGAGAGCGTCTAGTGAAATGGGTAAAGGTGTTTGCGAATATGAACCCGACCACAGTGGCCTTGGGATATCGTACGAATATGGGGAGTCGCTCAAAAAAGGGGAGCAATAATCTGAATCTCAACACGTTGCACGATACTATCGCCAGTCTCTTCCAAATAGCGCAGAACAGTAATGCCACCCACAAACGATGTGTCAACGCTCTCTGCCAACTTCATACGGATTCTTCCTCGATAACTGAGGCACGTCGTCCCAAAGGGGACGATAATGGAGACGAACTTGTCGTGCTCGTCGGAGAAAAGTCGTTTAATCGCGCCTTCTGGGCTGTCTTGCTCTGTGTATTGGATGTCAAGCGTGGATTTGTGCAAGCAGACCGCATAATCAGATTCGTTGGATTATTCGTTGGCTCCCTCCTGATGCTTCGGCGTGAGTCACCGCTCATGGAAACCGCATCGCAACTGATCAAGGGGAAAAGACGAAACGGAAGGAGAGGAACAGGAAAGCCCTGCGGACAGATTCTTTGAGCGCCTCGTTGCTCGGATACTGCCTGGATGTGCAGCAAAAGATAAAACTGTTCGGTATCGATGCACACAGCTGTTATCGGAAATCTTGCGCAACACGTCTTCTCTTGATGAAGAGTTGTACGATCAGGTCAGACTTGTGCTCCTCCAGCGAGCGAATGACCGCGAATGGATGATCAGAGCCGTGGCGTGCATTGGTAAGCTCTCTCGACGCGTATCCGATACCAATAACCTGTTCCTAGGAATCGGAGTGCTCGCTCAGGGTGAAGGCAGTAGCGACGACTCCGTATCGACATTAGCCTCAATTTTGCAGGATATATGTCAATATGATGTCCATCCCCAAGTACGAATCGCAGCCCTTCCAGGAATAGCTCTGCCTCTCAATATTTCGACGCTTCCAGAGCTCTTGAAGAGATCAAGAGACACCGACAAGGCCGTTCGTAAAATCGTATTTCGTGTATTGCGTAAAGTACCGGTACGCAGTCTCTCCGTTGCTCAGCGCAGCACAATTGTTCGCAACGGAATGGGAGATAGAGAATCCAGTGTCAGGTCAGAGGCAAGTAAGCTACTGGCTGTATGGGCGCTCGGCTGCACTCCTCCCGCGGAATCAAAATCCTCCAAACCGTCGGCTGCGGGAGCCCTCAAGGTTGATCTCCATGAATTTGTTGATCTGTTCGATTTATGGGATGGTGAAGTTGCGGAGGAAGCTGTCAAGGCACTTATATATCATCATCCCGACATTTTTGAAGGCTTCGATATTAGCCAACGTGCGTTGGCACGTATCGTTGTCGATTCGCGCTCACATTTAATACAGCAGAGTGGTGGTTCAGCCTCTCCCCTTCCAAAGCTGTTCTTGCCAGGATTTTCACCCAACTCGTCAATTTGTCTACCAGAGAGGCGAGCAAATGGGATGAAGACCTAGAAAATTCTCAAACGCGCACATTCGCTCCCCCGTGTAGGGATCACTTCTTACTCAGCCCGAGCAAGCACATCGACTCGCTCCCGGTACTCAGCCTTCAGGCTATCACCATCCAGAGCACGTTCAACTTTCTGGCGTTGTGTGCCCAAGCGCTGATTTCGACCGATGAGATGCCAGAAATGCCTGGGACAAACCGTGAAGACCTTGAGGAGAAGATGGACGACTGCATATTTTCTTTGGGCGAGCTTCTCAAAATGACCACTGAACTGCTGCACAGCTCGACTGCAGATGAAATTGGAAAGCGAAAAGTCAATACGCTTATTCTCCACATGCTCGCGCATGCATATTTTCCCAATACCCTTTTGTCTCCCGCAATACAACTCCTAAAAGCAGCCTCCGACACCCCTTTGCAGTTTACGGAGGCGATAGTAAGTGACCAAATTCTATCTGGCATCACAAAATTTGATGTACCGTGTCAGATTCAACCCATTTTAGACGACGTAATTCAAGAGCAACGGCGGAAGGACACCGATGTCTCGAAGCGCTATACATTAGATGTTAACCGGCGAGAATCTCCCGACCCTTACGATGAAACATCGTCCAGTAGCGAAGATGAGGCGAGTGTTATCGAAATCTCGGAAGCAGACAAGATACGGACAACTTTTCTACGCCTCTGCATAATTAATGAGGCGCTCAGGTCCATTATATGGGTAAGAGCCTATTTAGCGGCAAAATAACAGTGTTTACTCACGGTAGCCAGCCCTCCCCAGACCATGAATCCCTCCACCTGCTTCAACGCCATTTGGTCAGACCATCACTCGCAATCTACGCCGAGAATCCAAACGCCCCACTTTCAGTGAAGTCGAAGATTTTTGAGGAGGCTTTGACGTGCCTTGGTCTGATTGCAGCGGCTTCCGAGGTGAGTTCCGTTCTTGTAAGGCCTTTTGGCTGATACCTTCTCTCAAGGCGTTGGCTCTCAACGCATTGAGCTTCTGCGTCCGTGGCGCAATGGGTGCTGTCCCTCCTTTCCACGCACCTCGTGTGCTCGATTGTCTTTTCGACATTCTTGTTACACATCCACAGACAGTTGCATTGACATTTTCTGGTGTCATCAAAGAAATTGTAAGCTTCCTGAACTTATGGTAGGGTATTATTCATCCTTATTATATAGCCAGCCGAGCTCGCGTCGATGCCATTTCTTCCAACGATTCTTGTCAAATCACTGCAATCTGGGGACGAGAATGTTCAGGCGAAGGCTACCTTAGGCGTGTGTAAACTCCACCTTACCAGGATATGGTGTAGCGAAGAGGTGTGGTCATTGAATCAGAGAAATATTTTCACTAATGCTTCACTCCAGCTCCTAGAGGCCCTGATACTTCTGTATTTTGTCCCAGACACTATCGACAATCAGGCCCTGCGGCAGTGCCTGGCCTACTTCTTTCCGGCATTTTGTTATTCCTCCTCGCGCAGCCAGGTCATCTTCTCCAAGGTATTGCCAGAGACGATGCTTGTTCATCTTTAATAAAGCGTTAGGTCATCATCGGAGCCTTCCTCAAATTATGTCCGATCCTTCAAGAACTTGGCGAGCAAGAGGTACAATCGCCCGATCTTCATCGAGTGATTTCCGTGCTCATCGAATTATGTGATCCATCAAACCTCACGTAGGGATCCATTATATTGGCCATTCACCCTCGTCTGATCCATATTAGGGATGTTACTAAACTAGAGCAGAATACCACTGTCTACCTCGCTTCCAGCCTTCTCACCACAGTCACTGACCTATTGAGCGACGAAGCTGCTAGTAAGTGGTTCAATCAGCATGTCTGTGCTGCTCAATCCTTCAATAGACCATCCTGCACTTGGCGGCGTCATACCGCTATGCCAGGCCCTGAATCAACTATCTCTATCGGATGTCGAATCGGCACACGTTCAAGAATTACTGTCCAGCACTTCAAATATTTTATCGGTACGATACCAAGTTTGCCTTGTACTGTTGACTCACAAAGACTAAGAGTCATACCCCAACGGACAAGAAAGTCTTTAAAATACTGACCTTATTCGAGGCAAAACTACGAAAGCTACTCTCACAACGGGACATTTTCGAGAACGGCCGTGATCCTCGGCGGCACTCGTGGCAGGCTCGTAATGAGAAGAGAAAGCGCGGGGAAGGGAGCGAGGAAGATTCGGCTGAAAACAAAAAGAGATCCAGACGACGCTACGAATTCAATCACCATAGTTTGATGCAAAATGATCCACCCGCATCGGTGGATCCGGACGAGCAATCATCGTGGAATAAGAGCGGATTTCAAGGCAAACCAAAAGCGCGGTATGTTTGAGTATCCTGAATTGTAACTCAACTCACACCTGTGAAAGGCTTCGTAGTGCTATGTATGGCTCGGATTCTGGACACTCTACGGATGATCCGTCGATTGGCCTGGCGGCGACGGTGTCAAGAAAAAAAAGGAAACATGATCCGATATGTGCAGACTAAACTTTGGTGCACGCTCTCTCCTTGAGAGGTTTCGTGTTGACGGTGCCTTTTCGGCTTTTCTCTCAGCTATGGAGTGGTTTATTTACACTGGTAACAAATCCATGGCGGGATTCAGAGAGCTATGCTTCTCCCCTATGTGGAAGAGTAAGAACTTCATATGACTCCCTGTCCCCTTTCGGGCATTTCCAACGTCTACGAGAGCCTCACGGCGTGTATCACAGTCGCTACGAGCCCCTTGTTTGCAGACAATAACCAAAGTCTTGAGTTCTGGGCAAATTGGTGCTTTCCATTTCTTGAGAAAGTCTGGATCGGACGTTTTGGCTTTGCCTCGGGGACGAACTGCAAGTGATGTTAGCAGCTTGAGTCCCACCCGCGATGCTGTATCGTAATGCAGTTGTAAATTTTTAACACTGTTCATTAGTCTCATCATTGCGAGGAGATGCACATCGTTGGCCCTGGACTCCAGACGCAAGGAATCTGAGGGTGTGGGGGCTCGGCCATATGTTTGGGGATTCCATATTGTATCTAATTCGATATTTGCCTCCTTTCCGTCTGCCTGACTTCCGTATACTTCGAGATAGCTCAGCGACGGGAGGCGGAACCACGCAAGCGGTCGATATGATCTGTTAATCAGAGTGAAATGCGTCACTTTGGCCAAGGATATTGAGAAGGGAGAAAATTCGGTGGGATCTACCAGTATTCCCTCCAGACATACGTGCGTAAGCGTCTTCAGGGAGCTTGCACGTTGGTCCAAACCTCTCAACGAACTCCCTTTTGCAGCCAAGCTTGAAAGTCGCTCGAAACCATGCGGGGATCCATATATAAAGGGGCCTTCAGACTGGTTTGCAAAAGCTAAGGTCTCTAGTTGCGGGATCCGCGACCAAAAGCTCTGCGATGTCCCTCCACCCATGACTCCAGGGAGGGTGTTGAGTTCGAGGTGACGTACGCCACGTAAATTTCCGATGTTGATCGAGTCATCGAAAATCCTGAAACGGGCGTCCAACTGGAGAGTATGCAGGTTAAGGGACGTTCGCTGCAAAGTCGCAAAGACGGCCCCAAGGAGACGAGAATCTTGTATGAGAGAGAAACGAACAGCTTCGAGATTTGATAGCCGAGGCTGCAACTCTGTCCATAGTGCCGTGAAAGTTGCTGAGTACGACGCACTCCAGTGAAGGGTTTGCCAGCGGTGACCATTCTGCACGGATATCAAGTGTAGCATGTCCTTGTTGATTTCTTCAGACAATACGTCGATTGATATATGGAGAGGGACGACTCCTGATCGAGTAACGACTACTTCGAGGCATTCCAGGCTTCCACAGCGAATGCCCTTGGGAAATATTGTGTTGCCCGGGCGGTAAGTAGGCTTATCTTGGCCGAAAGCGATATGTATCCTCCTCCAGAGGCGTGGTGAACTGAGCGCGGTCGAACGCCAAGATCGCGACACGCAGGCCAACGCCCATGGCAAGTGAAGATGATCATCTACATGAAACTTCATAATATAGGACAAAATTTCGGGAGGTATAGAACGTATAGGTGACTGTGACGGGTCGCGACGGGGCCGCGCAGCTTGTTGTTCGTTTTTGCTGAGGAGGTCATTGAGCAGTATTTCCAGCTCCCTTTTCAGGTTCCTGTCATTTGTACGTTCGATTAAGTCGAGGAGCTCTTGGATGTCGCCGGAAATCTTGGCACCTTCGCCTGCACGAGACAACGAAACTATTGCGAAGGATGTTTCAGTGTCCATGAGACTAGAATAAACCATTTAAGACCCATATAAATGCAATAAAATACATGGGGACACGAACCAGGAAGGTGTGGCAAATGCTGTTGACCGAGTAAACGGGTTTGGGGCAAAGTTTGTTGGAAATTTGGAGTAATTGGGTGATTTTTGTTGTCGAACCTCAGTAAAGGCAGACGCGGCAAGAGGCAAACTGTGGTCATCGATTGGGGTTTGCCACTGACCGTGATCATGCCCACCCGCGTACTTGTCACTGGGGCATCTGGAGTACTCGGAAGTGCAGTATTCAATGCATTTAAGCACTCGGGCGGCTTTGATGTCACTGGAATCGCCCATACGCGCGCGACTGACGGCCTCCAAGTCGTTGACCTCCTCAAAAGGGACAGTATGGAGACGTTCATCAAGCAGACTGATCTCGGGGAAGGTGATTGGTGTATACATTGTGCTGCTGAAAGAAGGCCTGATGTAGCAGAAAAGGTGAGCGCAAATGTCTACATCCTTTCAACGTCTGACAACCAAAGAATCCTGAGCAGACTCAACAGGTTCATCTGGAGTCTTCGTTGCCTACTCGTGCTCACTGAACCTCTAGCTAAACTCTTTTGTTCCCGGTCTATTAGCGCGGCTTTCAGCGGAACGAGGCTTCAAGCTCGTCTATATCAGTACGGACTACGTCTTTGACGGCACTTCTCCTCCGTACTCTCCTAAAGACCGCACAAACCCACTCCAGCTGTACGGGAAAACGAAACGAGATGGAGAGCTTGCAGTTCTCGGCATCAAAGACTCGAAGCATGTTGTACTACGCGTTCCAATTCTGTGAGACGGTTGCTCTCATATGCATCTGTGCAGTGATGCTAACTTGTAATTAGCTATGGTCCTGCCCCCAAGAACGGGGACTCTGCGATCAATATCCTCCTCGATGTAGTCGCAGATCAATCGGGTAAACGATACACGATGGATCACTTCGCCACAAGATATCCCACAAATGTACTGGATATCGCGAATTTCCTAGTGCGTCTGACCGGTGAGTACATATCGCTTTCTTGTCTCGCCGCTGAGCAGTTCCTCCAGCTTTACACCGACCTTTACCAACCATTCTTCACTACTCAGCCGGAGAGCCATTTACAAAGTATGAGATATGTCTCATCTTCTCGCAGTTGCTTGGGCTGCCTCATGATCATATCGTACCTCAGTCCACAGCACCAAACGGTACGACCATCGTAGAATTCTTTCATGAGCTGACATGGGCATTCAGACGGCACCCCACGACCAGTCAACACTCAACTTGACGTCCGAGAAACAGAGGCACTGTTTGAGCATTCAGGTTCTGAGGGTCTGGGTTGGAATCCGTTTGAAGAGTGGTGGAGCTCTCACTTGAATGTGAAACCCGCTTGAATAGAATGGTTGTATCAGTCTGCTTTGAGACGAGAAGGGACGAGCTCGCAACTTGGAGCCCGCCATGTCTGCGATTGGGAAAACGGGGCTGAGAATTTACCTTCCGGCTCGATGTCGAGTCGCTCGAGTATCCTTATCGTCAAAAGCTCCGTGTTATTCCACCTCTCGTGTGGGTTCTAAAGCCCCGGTTTCTTTGGGAGACGCAAAAGGCGACCGGCCCGTCCCCAAAAATGATGTTCGTCCTTTAGAAAACAAGGATGGCCAATCTTTGAAAGGAGAAGAGCCCATTTACCCCATTTATACCGACGTCAATCCCCTTTTCGACACGTATGTCAAAGCCCAACACCCTCGCTCCTTGCGCCCTGACTCCAGAGGGCGTATACAGCCGTTCAAAGTATCAACCACGATCTTCAATGATCCTCCGCTCTTTATGATTGATCCTCTCCAACGGCCCAAGCAGAAATACCCTACAACCCGGTATATCAAGTCAAAATCCAAAACTGGTGCTACAGGAGAAGTTGGCGAAACGTCCATGGCCCAAATGGACCTTGAGGACTCATTGCGAGAAGGTGGCGCAGCGGCCGTTTGGGGAGCGGATGTTCGTCCGGCTTTTGACACGACAATGGAAGAAAATCGTGAAACTCCTTTGGATGTGGCTCTCGACCAGCAGGCTTGGAACACAGGCGAACTTTACGACCAGTCAGGTCGATGGGATCGTCGCAAGACACCGCATGGAGAAACATCGTCGCTTCCTTCGCCCTCTGAAGCTCAAACTCTACCACCAAGCGTTGTTTCAACTCTAATGCGCTTCCCATTGATTTCCAAAAGAGTTGTCCAGCAAGGAGGAAAGGGTCGTATGCCTTCGTGGTATGTACTGACCGTCGCCGGAAATGGAGACGGGTTGGTAGGAATTGGGGAAGGCAAGGATGCCGAAAACGCTCGTGCAATCGAGAAGAGTTTTATCGCTGCTTGCAAAGATCTTGATTGGGTGGATAGATACGAGAATAGGACCCTTTGGAACGATATCAACACCAAATGGGGCGCAACAAGGGTGACCTTGCGACCGCGTCCGATTGGATTTGGGCTGCGATGCAACCCATACATACATCAGGTGAGGCTTTTAGTTTAAAGCGCTTCAAAAATGGCTCATTTCCAACGTCTCTAGCTCTGCAAGGCGGCAGGGATCAAGGATATCTCTGCCAAGGTCTGGGGATCACGCAATGGGATGAACATCATCAAAGCATGTCTGCGTGTTCTGCGGGGAGGTCACGCGCCACCGATGATGGGCGACGGTGTTGGCAGAAAGGGGTCCCGAATGGACAAGGGCTATGGTATGCGTGGACGAGGGAGCATAGAGCGCGAACGCGGAAGGTGGCTAGCGGACAACCGCCTGTGGTAGATACATAGTCTCGCATCTAATCGTTTGTTTACGGTTTGTCATTGAAACGGAGCCGTGTGGTGAGCGTACCCTGAGCTCGGCCCACAATGCCGACGCGTGTGGCAATCGACAGCGACGACGTCGAGGAGAAAGTCTCGTCTATATTTCAGCAGGTCCAAGCAAATGTCGCGTCCCACAAGAAAAACATGGTGCAGCTCCACAAGCTGCACGTCCAGTGCTCTCAACATACTCAACCGACCGCCCAAGGCCTTCGCCTCGTTGGGGAAAAGGTCTTCAACAGCGCCTTTCGTGAAATGATCTGTCATGTGCTACCGCTCAAACGAGGGACTACCGTAGCGGACCGCGTCGTTCGCTTTGTCGGCACCTATGTCAAATATCTTGGAGAGAAAAGTCAGCATTTACTGTATAGCGCGCTCTTGGGCTCATAAATAGGAATAAAGCTACAGAAGAGATGCAGAAAGATGGCCGCGGCGAGGAGGAAGACTCTTTGACCGCCAGATTCGTCAGATTTCTCCTCAGCACTCTCTTGCGTGGTTTTACTTCCAAGGACAGATACGTCCGCTATAGATCGGTCCAATTCGTGGCCGAGATTATCACTTTGCTAGGAGAACTCGAGTATAAATATTTCTCGTTGTCGCACTCTGAAGATAACCGTATCTAGGGAGGATCTGTACACATCTCTTCGAGGACTAATTCTGGAGAGAGCTCAAGACAAGGAAGTCACAGTTCGATCACAAGCCGTCATCGCCATTGGAAAGCTTCAAAAAGCAGAACAACCCGAAGATCTGGAGGTGGAAGATCTCTCCCTGGTCGACGTTCTGTGTAATATCATTCGTTATGATGCATCACCGTCAGTACACTTACTTAGACAGCAGCCTACCATGCATTCCAGGCTGACAAGCTCTCTCAGGGATGTTCGTAGGATCGCCCTCATGAACACGCCAGTCGCCGAAAAGACATTGGAAGCGGTCATATCTCGCATACGAGACGTCGAGGATACCGTTAGAAGGGCGGTATTTCAGCATTCCCTTCCTCAGATTCCTCATCCTCGCGTCCTGACCATCGTTCAACGTGAGCGAATCCTTCGGGCAGGTCTTGGCGATCGCGATCCTGCTGTCAAAGAGGCGGCACGCTCCTTGACCCTGAAGTGGTTAAAGCATCTCGAAGGAGACCTGATCAAATTCCTTGAAACATTCGATCTGGTGGGAGGTGACGTAGCCGAACAAGCTTTATACGCCATTTTCGAGGCTGAGGACACTATATTCTCGTCTGTAAAATTTGAGGGTATGTAGAGTCTGGGCACTTTTACATGCAGTTTTGATCTTCCTGCAGGGAGTTACTGGGAATCACTCACCCCTGAGAAGGCCTTCCTTGCACGAGTTTTCACCGATTTCTGTGTTAGAAAGGGTGAACACGCGCGTGTGGAAGATAGCCTTCCAGTCGTCACTGCGTTAGCCTTTCTTATTCAAGCCTCTTACAATCGCCTGGCCGATTGCTTGCGAATGCGACAAGAAGCGCTAAATGTACGTTCGGATCCATTCAACAATAATGTGCCCGAACAAGATGCATCTTGGGAGGCAGAGCACCTCGACTTGGAGTTCGTCGTGGGCGAGCTCTTCAGGATCGCTGTAAATATGGACTATGGAGATGAGATTGGCCGACGCAAAATGTTTGCACTTATTCGCGAGATGATTGGACAACGCGCGCTACCCGACGGACTTGTACCAGGCTGCCTTGACGTCCTGCGCAGGCTTACACCAAGCGAGAAGGACTTCATTCGATTGACTGTGGAGGTTATTCAGGTGATGAGGGATCCGGGGATAGACATGGATCAAGAACAGGTGAAGACGCCTCTCAGCACCCGTCCTTACTAATTCCACGCCAAGGTCGCGATGGATGATGAGACCCAACCAGGAGATACGCCCATGAAGAGGTCAAAGCTCTTTGCCCCGTCAGCGGAGAAGTCCGCAGAGGAACTAGCTCGTATGGCTGATGTGGATATGCGGTGTCTCTCACTCTGTACCGCGATGCTGGAAAGAGTGATGAGTGTACGTACTACCTTGGGACTGATTACAATCAGCTTACTCAGATCGCTGAGACCTTCGACGAAAACCCGACGCTTGACGGTGTCCTCACAGAACTGATCATCCCTGCTGTCAAGAGCAAGGAGCCGGCAATGCGGGAAAGGGGCCTAATCGCGCTCGGCCTATGCTGTCTTATTCATAGGGTGGGCTCTTCATAACGTCGAGCTATTTTTTCTCATGCATTATTAGAAAATGGCGGTCACCTCATTCGGCTTGTTCTTAAACCAGGTGGAAAAGGCGTCTTCTAGCCTCAAAATCAAAGCACTTCAAATTGTCTTTGACATGCTCACTATGTACGAACGGGACTTGATGACGAAACAACCAGGTACAGATGGGGTTTGTGGAGCCAGTATTTGTCGGTATTAAACGACTGACAAGACTTAGGATCCTCAAGAACAAATAACAGAGTTTCTCTTGGGTGTTTTGGGGAACGCAGAAACAGAATCCATCCAGGCAATCGCTGGTTTAGGGCTGGCAAAACTCCTCATCGCTGGTATCATCACCCATGATAAGGTGCTGTTCCTTCCCCGTCTATTCATGCGACTAAAACGATACGTTCAGGTCCTTCAAAGCCTTGTGATGATATACTTTTCTCCAGAAACCATGGGTAATCACCAACTGCGCCAATGTTTATCGATTGCACTACCGATTTATGCATACGCCGCATCATCGAACCAACAGCGCTTGCAAAGGGTAAGTAGGCCATCCCCCATCTTGCCGCTCGTTCAGACAAGTGTCAGGTTGTCATACCAGCCCTCAGAATACTCACCGAGGTATTCGATGAGCTTGATAGTGAACAAGAAATGATTACTCCGCTTCAAATTCTGGGTACGCTTGTGGATTGGACAGACGCTCAGAAGGTGTTGTCAGTATCGGTCACCCCACAAGCGACCTCTAGATTTTCTCATTGACCGTTTGGACAGTGCTCCCGACCACGCTACCTCGCAGACCATCTATTCCGAGATTCATGTCGATCTCGCTGTGGATATGATTTCCGCTATGTTTGATGCAGATGATGGTAAATCGTCCCATTCGCCACAACTTCATTCTGATCTATGCAACAGCTCAACGAAAAGTCTATATTCAAGTCCTCAACAAGTTATATTTGCCCAATGAGATAGATGAAAACAAATTGCGCAAGCTCAGATATTTGGCTGTAAGCTACAGGATGGTACGTCCATATCCCCTTGAAAACCACTGGTAGTTGATTGGTCAAAGAAACGGGGATATCCAGACGCGGCCAGCAAGGCGTCATTTGAGCGCTTCCTTAAATCCCTCGAAAAGCACTATGCAGAAGTTTTTGAGGGTCTGCCAGAAGAGGAGGCAAGAAAGATGGAGGCTTTCAAGGACCTTTTCGAGTTTCTGGACGAGATTGTTCCGGATGTTGGAGGCGACACGGCAAAGGAGAGTCGCAAACGATTAACACAAGCAAAGCAAGTCTGACTCTTGCTTCATAATGCTTTCTTATCTGCTTTAAGAGTAACGAGACTACCTGGAAAGAAAGGCTCAAAGTAAGTTACTCGTTCCTCCGGGCGAAGAAGTAACGTCGTTTCAAGGCGCAAGCGAGCCGGTTCAGATGAGAGTGATACGACCAATACTTCGCCATCACCACCTTCAAAACGTCCCAAATCTACTCGCGCGGCGTAAGATCCGTATCTAACACTCTTGCAACCTCCCTGAAATGCGTTATAGTGTCCTGGCAACACACAAGGTACCAAAGCTTGAATATGATAACCACGATTCCAACGGAGAGGAATCTGAGGAAGAAGATTCAGAAGATCGACGATCGTCCACAAAGAGGTACATCGACTGGTCAAAAGTTCACGAATATGGGTTGACTTTATTTTTTCAGGAAGCGAGAAACTATTGAAGATATAGACGCTGACATTGATCAACTGCTAGGCAAACGTCTTAAAAGAAGCAGCGGGGCATCGGCAACCTCGGCCATGACGGCGTCAACCACCTCACGGAAGACAGGCAGAAAATATAACGGTGGAAAGCTTGGCAAACCGAGGACAGGAGCTACAAAAGCTACAAGCGCCCGGCGCCAGCATGCAACATCCTCAGATGAGTCAGATGCACAGACATTGCCAGAGAGCACATTACCAGAAGGATCAGAAATTGGACAAGAGAGTGACGATGAGTCAGAACACGAAGTCGCTGGAGATCTGCTAGGCACAGATTCGGAATGAAGCAACTATAACACAACCACAATTATATAGCATCTACCACCTGCCAAAAGATACTTGAAGTGAAGCTTCTAGTTACTGGAGGCAAAAAATAGTGAGTAAACAAACAAATATAGTGAGCTGTGAGTCTACATACCTGGAGGCAAAAAAAGCAGTGAGCAAACCAGCGAGGGTTGTCACCACCTGCCACCAATTCAAATGACTAAAGCGTGTGAAAAAATGAAGAGAAAATGAGGAAACAGCCTTGGTAAAAATATCTGCAATCATTTCATGAGTTGGGATAAAGTAAGAAGACACTTCGCCATGCTGATTATGCTGGAGAGGTGGACTCAACCAAGTCTACTGGTGAGCATGTTGTCATGATAGGTGATGCTGCTGCTGTTGCTTGGTCTTCCAAGCTACAGACCAGAGTAACTTGCTCTACTACAGAATCAAGTACATAGCTACTGAAGCTGCAAGCAGGAAAATGGCATTTTCCCGCTTCATCTCCGTGCAAGTTGGCTGACAGTGTAGGAAATGTTTGGCCGAGGTGCCAATGCAGGCCAATTTGAGCCTGCTAAGTACACGTCCCATAGGGTACTGACTTCATTTCTTTAGCCTCCTGTGGTGTTTGTGGACACATATCATGGGTGACTCTAAGACCAAAAGCTAGGATGACAATCTTTCATTTTGAAGTCTTGGAGCGTGTCAATGCAATATTGGCGTTGGCAGAGAGAGAGAGTGAGCGATTACGGCAATCTCCAGTGATGTGAATGCCCAACGTAGAGCCCCGCTTAAGGCCATAAATAACCTTGCGCAGTGAGCAGTAGGTGAATACTTCTCACCACTCTCCTGCCTCCAGTAAGTTAAGGCTTCAGTTCAGCTAATGGAGCAGAAATGACCACAGGAAAGAATGCTTCAATATGGAGACACGATATGAAACCTTATCATGTATCAATTCGCTTAGGTGATTGTTCCATAATTGTTCTTTCCAGGTGTTTAATGCACATCACATCTACTCAGTAGCTGTAGCACCTTGAAAGATGGCACATTCGGGCTTGACACTGTGGACAAAGCACACCAGGCTTGAGCAACTGCAGGCATTGCTATTGAATTATCAGGAAACCCACTTCACCTCTGTCCTGCTTGCATTGCAGGGAAGCACTCGCATTTACCATTCTCCAAATCAACCACTCGCTTTACTAGGCCATTCTAGCTAGTCCATACCAATTTTTATAGCCGCATGCGTACACTCAGACCAAGTTTGGGAAGCGATACTGAATCATGTTTACAGATGATCACTTCAGATATCGTTGGATTCACTTCCTTTGCAGCAAGGATGAGGATTACGTCGCACTTCTTGAATACAAGGCTTACGCTGAGAACCAGACTGGCAAGACTATTAACTTGTTGCGGGGCTGAAGTTCATGCCAACAATTTTGATATCTACCTCAATCCAATGGCATACAGCGTGAACACTTCACACATGTCACTTCACAACAGAATGACATTGCAAATGTACCAATCGTGATATAGGCAGGGGTGTGGTCATTCTCTTGTTTCAATCTAGCCCACCTGACGGGTTGGTGAAGTGAAGCTGTAAATGCTTTCATATACACGACAAAATCAAATTCCTACGAGCTCTGGCATGGATCAAATCTTCTGTGGCGCACTTACGCTATGAAACCGAGTACAAGACTTGGCACTTTTGGAATCCGATCAGTAAACAGCTCATACGTTCAAGACATGCCATGCAGTTTACCCAGGCGAGCTACACCCAATCTAGACAAGTGTATCATTGCATCGCACATCTCCATGCAGTCTTCCATTAGAATCCCAGTCGGAGATGAACAACAATAGGTGGATGCTGAGCAGTAAAGGGTGGCTGCAAGCGTCGAACTTAAGGCTGATGAGGGATTCAATGAATACCATAACCACGAGTGAGTAGGCGAGTTGTCTGGCTACCAATTGAGATGCTGATCAGATTATGATGCCGAGCGAGTATCCTAGAGCGCATGACTGGCTACGAAGGCATAAATTAGGCCTTCGGTAGCTCGTGAGCTAGCAATCACTCCTCACGCAGTAAAGTATCAACGATTCAATTGCACCACGGAAAACTATTTTTCCACGTCCTCACTCAATACTATATAATACAACGACGTCGACACTGACGAGAACTTGTAGCTGTTAGTTACAATAAACGATACATTATAGAGATACTTTGTACAGTAAAGCCAGAGGACGATTAAAGAAAATATTACTAAAAGTAGACAGCTTGAATCCGCACCTGAACCGCCTAATTTCTGTACAACGCACGCGTCAAATTCGGGGCAGATCAATGACTTTGACAATGGATGAGCAGGATCAGTGCCTGGTTACCAACAGAAACCCTGCTGGAGCTATACCGCCAATACCATAGAATGCACGACTGACTACGAGAGAGCGCAGTATTCCTTCGCTAGCTCGTGATGTAAGGAAATTAGGCGGCTCAGGTGCGGATTCAAGTCGTCTACTTTCGGCAATGTTTCTTTACGTGTCCTCTGATTTTTACTGCACCAACTATTTCTATATTGTATTGTTTATTGCACAACTACAATCTTCTTGGCGGCTGACATCCACAAGTTTGTGTTAGCATTGACATTTTTCAATTGTATAGTATTGAGTGAGAACGTGGCAGAATACCCTTGCGTGGTACGCAATTGAATCATTAATACTCTACTGCGTGTGAGGAGTAATCGCTAAGTTACGAGCTACCGAAGGGCTACAGTGTGCCTTCGTAGTCAGTCGTGCACTCGCTCGGCACCATAACGTGATCGCCCGCTCACTTGTCGTTATGGTATTTCTTGAATCCCCCATCAGCCTCGAGTTTGACGCTTGCGGCCATCTTTTGCTGTTCAGTGGTTTAGCGATCACTCTTTACAAACAGTAACTTTCTCAAATAATTTTATTGCGTACAAGTTGAGTTTTAAATCGCTCTACAGGTTCATTCTCAATATGCTTCATCTGGATAACAGAGAACTCCATCAAACAATTTAGCCCATTCCCACCTTTGAAAACTCTGCACCAACCATTCAACTTTCAGTAGTACGCGCTATCTTTGCACTTGTGGTCGCTGGTGGAATGCAACTTATTGGATATCGTCACTGCTCTCCTCAATGCTGACTTGGACGAGACCATTTACATGAAATCACCACCTGGATATGAGCAAACCAGCGAGTATAGTGAGCTAGTGAGTCTACATACACCAAGGCAGGAAAGTAGTGAGCTGGCCAGCGAGGGTCATCACTCTCTGCCACCAGTCTAAATAACCAACTCGTGGGAAACTGCAGAGAAATTGAGGAATGGTCTCAAAGTATTATGGAGAATTTTGTGGGAAGAAATGGAGGCACAATGGCCATAGGAAAAGTCAGAAAATATTTTAAGCACCATTTCTTCCACAATTTCCAAAATGCCTTTTAGTGTTCCAAGACCATTCCTCAAATTTCTGTGCATTTTTCTGCATGATCTGGCTATGAATGGTGGCAGGTGGTATCAGCGCCGCTGATTTTGCCCACTATTATCAATAAGAAGCATCACCTCAAGTGTTTGCTGCTTATCAGAACCATTTTGTCATTTGCTGTTTGTAATTGGACCAATAGAGTTGTGCATAATTAGTGAATATAATCAAGGATTTTACAAGAAATAGGGTTGATCAAAGACTTATTTGGACCCAGTTGTCTTAAAGACTATCAGGCCAGCAAGAGCAATTGTATAGCCTGATCAACTGTCAGCCTGAATCCTATTGAATTGTACCCCCTTACCTATTACCTGAATGCTGGTAATGTCTGAGTGGAAGATTAGGACCGAACCCGTCACTAGTAATATATCCTTGAGAGGTCAGATAGATATTTGAGGTATAATTGTTAATACTGACTTTGAAGACTCCTGCAAGGGTGAGCACTAGACCTCCCCCAATACCTGTAGGTAGACGTTGTAGACTCGAGCTAACTTGGGCAGTGTACCGCACCTACTAGCCAAACAGCAGCAATGTTCAGCAGAAAGGCTGTCATGGCGTTGGCCAGGAGATGGAACAACCCAACTTGGTCGATAACATTCATAAACGGGGCCAACCCCTCGGTGATGGGCAGCAACGATATTGTCAACAATGCGCATGGCTGTAGCAAAATGAGCAAATAGTAGACGAGAGTGATTATGATGACTTGCTGGAGCATACCAGTGCAAGGAGGCCAAAGGATCCATTTTCATGCCTTGTAAAAGAATTTGGATCATGACTAGTCGACAAGATTCGAAACAGACAGCCATGGCTTGAATGATGAAGCCTTGAGGGATGTTAGAGGGGTAAGGATGTCGGTCTGGCTAACCTCGAAGATCAAAGCGGAGCTCCCCGTAGCTTGCCAGGCATACGCCAAAGCTAATTGCCAAGACGATGAATAGAAGGCGTGTGGATGGCGATTGTATGCGAAAGGTGAATGAGATCAAAAGAATGGCCACGGGGTTGAACGCCTGTCAGAGGCTTATCAGTTTGCAAAGCGTCGCAGTGCAAACTGGATTTACCTTGAGCATTTGAATGAAGCTGACAGAAAGGTACAAGTAGGCCTTATTGGACAGAACCAGAGAACCTGCGAAGAGGAGAGCAATCGGTGCAATGGCCCGCATATAAATGGCCCCAGTTATGGGTGCATCCTTTGCAGCGTCAAGAAGGGTGCTTGTTTTGGCTAGCACGCGAGTTCCCAATGCAGCAAAGATGAGATGCCAGCTGACAAGAAAGACGGGGTAGCGAAAGTTGAGCGTATTGTATATATAGTTGTTATAAATTATGACGCTGGAGCTAAAAAGAATCCAGATGGGTACTATTACCGCGGTTGTCGGTTGGATCTTGGAGCCACCAACGTGGATGGCTGGAATGGAACTAGGCTTCAGGGAGACATGCGCAGTAGTCGAAATCGAGGCGGTTACCGGCGTTGGAAGTGAAATAGAGTAGTCTTCCAGACCCACATCTGGCCCTCCGTCTGAAATTCTCGTATCTGTAAGGTGCTGGAGTATATCGTCGTGGACGAGGAGCCGTGCATGTTTTTGGGATCCAACATCGTCTGAAGGAGAGATGTCGATGGTATGTGACATCCTAAATAGATCCCCAACGGCCCGCGAATAGTTGCGGGGTGGATTCGACGGACGAGGCTGGGTCCCAAAGTTTTTGGCCACCACCAGTACCGATGAACCAAATCGCTCGTGTCGCCTGTTGTCATGGAAGATTTGCAAAAGTTCACTTGGCTACAACAATATATTCACACACCCTACAAAATGTTGGTTTCCTACACACGACAGCTGGGCAGTCCCAAACCTCTACTACGTCGAGTAGTGAGCAAAAAGAAAATGATGAGAAAGTAAAGGCGACACCTCTGGGCTTCCTTCCGCGCCCACTCGGGGTGCACGAACGTCCACGGTGGACGCCGTTGAGCAAAGAAGAGAAGACTCAGCGGTTTCTAGATGAAGAGCTACGAAAAGAAAGAGAGGATATCCTGTAGGTGACTTTTTGTTGCCCTTTGGGATAGCTATTGACCAGTCTACTTTCAAAAGAAAAAGGGTTAGCGGGGAAGCATACTACGCCGATTTCCACAAGCTGTCCTTTCATGGCGGAAAGAGATGGATCGCGCCGGAGCAGTTGATCAAAGAGGAAGTTAGTGCACAACTCAAATCATTTTGCGAAGCATCGAATAACACGTTGCCTAGCGCTCTCTTTACTTGCCCAACCTATCCGGGAAGACCCTTGCCTCGTCTCCTGCTATTCTGTCGACGGGGATGGGACAGGATGAACGGAGAGCCCAGCTCATGTCGTTGGGCCCGAGCATACCTACATTAGGTGAGCCACCTAGCATACTAGATAAATGTAGTCCTGACAGATGAAGATGGCAAGGCCCACGTCGCCCAACTTGTGCGAGGAAACGTATCGCTTGTTGCCATCGTCAACTCACAGATTTCGCACGAGCAAGTCAAATCGTGGACATCTCAGATTGCAGAAAGGTGGAGGAGCCATGAGCGTTTCCGGTTCATCCATGTATGTACGCAGAGTGCCACGAGATTGAAAGCTAATACGTCCTCAGGTGAACTTGCAGCAGAATCCATTACGCACATTTCTAGTATCCTTCTTTACATCGGGTTTGAAGAAGACTATCCCCCGTCACTTCCACCAGGTAGATAGACCAACATGGGTAGTTTCATCTGGCTGACGAACTCGACAAGACGTACATACTTTCCTATGACAACGTGGATTATATTCGGGAAGCAATTGGGCTGGAAAACAAGTTTGTGGGCCATCTCTATCTTGTCGATTGGGAAGGGCGTATTCGATGGGCGGGATGCGGTAGCCCTTGGAACGGTGACAACTCTGTTTCAACAGCAGGGCATATGTTGCCTATACCTGAAGGGGGTCCGTCCGGGCAGGTGGCAGAGGGCATAGTCCAGGGGCTAGGCGAGGTGCAGCGATTGGAGAGGTGTCTTCAAGTGCTGATGACCAGACTTGATGCACTCACGCGCACAGGAAAGATCTGAAGATCGGATCGGGTCCGTATCATAACATATTCGTATAACATTATTTTCCTTTCATGGCTATCATATAAGGGATAGTAATGTGCCACCAGATACCGAGCGCCGCCGATGCGAAACCATGAGAGACACACCATATTCTAACCGCAGCGTTTCAGTAGATAGACATCGAAAGTGTTCGATTACCTACTTCTCCAGAGTAATTCCCAGGCGTTCAGCGTCCTCGCCAAGGGTGATTGGAATGAAGCGAGGGGAATGCCAGAGAGCGGTCGCAGCTACGGTATGATACAAACAAAGCTGGAGGGCAACAGCGCGTTTCCCTGGAAGAAACTCTGGTAGACCGGACACCAGATAAGCCGCGAGAATTGAAGAGAGAACGAGACCAGCATATAGCTACAGATGTCCAGAGGCTGTATGTTGGCTATTGGGGGTGTCACTAACCTTGAGGACGAGGAGCGACGTGTTGCTCATCTCGAGAAACGGCAACGACTCTGGAGAGACGAGGGCGACAATGCAAAAAGGAGCTTCAAGGAGAATGTGCAACATGAACACGATGGATCTGCAGACAGCACAAAGGGTCAGAGTCAATACAGAAAGCGACGAATCCATACATGGGATGAGGTTTCTGAACGTCTATAGCCGCTTGTGACATTGTGGATTTGCACGAAATCGAGATTTACAACGATGCCGGTATTGGTGACGGGGTCAAGTTGGTACTCGGCAGACCCAACGGAGCGGGTCTGTGCGCGGCCAGCCGCGAATGGCTTTAAAGCGGGCGCAAATGGATTCCCGGATCCGCTATCTCTTGTGCTCGGGCACGAGCTATGGCCAGTGAGGTTCTTACCGAGGCATAGCCATTTGCTAGTTGCAAACTACCCAAATCCCACCTCTTAGCTTTGACTTTGAGGGAATTTTTGACACTTTGATGCCTTTCCTATCTTTTTTATGTGCGCAGTAACCCTATTATGAATAATAACACTCTCTTTGTGTGATTCTCCCACCCGGCGCTCCTTGACCACTTTCCACGTCGGTCCGCTGTAATCAAGGCAGCGCGTGGCCATCTTCAAGCATGGCAGCGACATCTCAAGCCGTTAGTCTCCTTCTCAAGGCCCAGAAATCGCTCGAAAAGGCGTCAAGCAGCGCGTCGTCAGGCTTTTCTAAGTGGTTCTCCTCCAGTAGTGCCAACTACGAGGCCACCGGTGATCTCTTTCAGCAGAGCGGGAATCAGTTCAAGGTATGTTATATTTGATGTGACGATATCCTGCTGATCAGTCAATTGCTCGTCCACCCAGCTCGAGAAGCGCTACAAGGAGGCTGGAGATGCCTTCAAGGAAGAAGCAAAATGCAGAGAGGCGATGGGTGACGACGCACGCAACGAGGCTGCAAACGCTTGGTGGCAAGCGGCCAAAGCCTACAAGCAAGGCTTTCCTGACCGTTCGTATTCTAGTTCTGATATCTACTCCTCTTTAAACAAGCTCATATCCCGGTATACAGTGGCCGTTGATGCCCTCTCTCATACGATCAAGCACTTCTGTGCTACTGGCAAGTTTCGACAAGCGGCAGACAGAGAGAAGGAGATTGCACAGGTAATATCGGGTTATCATTTGAAGCATCTACTCAAAGACACTTTCAAAAGATCTATGTCAAGGAACTCAACGATGTCAAGCGTGGCTGCGAATCCTATGACCAAGCTGCTGAATGGTACGATCAGGAAGACTCCAAAGCGTGAGTGCATTTTGATACTTGCTTCATACGACTTACCCATGGAAGGACTGCGACTTCCTGTCGTCGAGATGCGGCCGACCTCTACGCCGAACTAGGCGAGTATGATCTGGCCATTGAACGATACCGCAAGGTCGCAGATTCGTATATGGACTCCCCGCTTACCCGCTTCAATGTCAAGGAAATTTGGCTGCGTGAAGGACTATGTGCTCTTGCTAAAGGGGTCAGTTCATAGGGCATTAGCCATCACGCTTTAACGCCTGAACCAGGATTATGCCCAAGCATCCAACCTTCTGGCAAGGACACGCACTGTAGACCCGACTTTCCAAACGACTCGTGAAGCAAAGTTCTTGAGTACGCTCACAGATGCAGTCAGCCAAGGTGATGTAGAGGTAAGCTTCTTGACGTTGTATTCGTATACAGTGACTCAAATGGCACGAAGATGTTCACAAATGCGCTGGTGGAATGGGACCATGTATCCAAGCTGGACAACTGGAAGACGGCAATTCTACTCGCTGCCAAGGCCAAACTTCTGAGTGCGGAACAAGACGATTATCGGTAAACTGGCTTTATGATTGAAATATACTACATTGTTCGGCTGCCCGAGTCGTGATAGAAAGCGTATAAAACAAGCGACGACGTTTCAATGCATCTTCGCAGAATCAAATCCCATTCGACCGGATAGACGATACTGATCTATGTCTGCATCAAGGTCCTGGACCGTGGGCTGCCGCCGTAGGTGCATTGTCTCTGCACCACCCGCGACGATTTTAGAAGTGTATTGGTTTCTCCTCTTGGCCTTCGTGAGCCGTGCTGGTCCCCTCTTTGCCTTTCCGCGTGGAACTGCAGATGAGGAGCCTACCAAATGAGAGCCCAGAGTGACCACTTTGGTGGATTGTTCAGAGTAACCGAGGCGCTGAATCAAAGGGGTAGAAGTAGGCTGACTTGTTGAGTTGCTACGGAAGTCATATTGCTTTACTCTGGTACCAAGTTCTGTGCCGTTGGCTCGTGTCCCCATCGTAGAAGGAGTTCCAGGAGGCAGCCCTGAATCTGGAGGGGAAGCAATCTCCAGAGTCGTTTGATCGGTCAGTGGCAGGAGCCATGAGTCGTCAGGATCCAGAACAACTTGAACACGGAGCACTTGATTGTTGTTTGTGTCGAATATTCTTCCATTGAATTGTTCCCAAGCTTCGATTGCATCCTTTGCCCGCTAAAGGGTAAAAAGTTAGCCTAAGTGGTAGCAGCCAGGACCTGTAATTACCTGAAAATGAACCATTCCACAGCCCGTAGAGGTTACATATCGCATATTCTCCCCAATCTCCGCGTCGTAATTTCGCCGTGCACCAGCAGTTGGTGTGGCGTCCGTATACAGAGGTGAGCCACCATACTGATATACAACGTAGGCCTCGTGAACGGGACCAATGGACTGGCTCACAAAATCCTCGAGGTCTTGGTTGGTAATGTCCTTCGGCAGCCCCGAGATGAAGACACGCGAGCCTATCTCTGGTTCAACCTCACGGAAGAATTCTGCTTTGACCTTTCTAATACTAACAGGGGGTCGAGAGTCATAGGTACTATCGCGCTGCAGGGGTAGGTTAGTCAACTCTGCTAGGGGGAGCCGATAGTGGGCCTTACCTTGATATTCGGAGACCAACTCGGCGCTGGGCGTCCTGCAGTTCCTCGTTTTCCTATCAGAAAGGACGAACTCCTTGACGCTGAATGATTATAAACCCCTCTGTTGCTCCTGCGATGCCCATTCTGCGCATCCATACTATTTCTTGAGCTCTCGTTTGATCGATTGTACCGCTATGTAGTTTCTGGACGGCGCCGAAGTCAAGGCGGAGAGCAGGTGAAGTTTTGAGTTGATCCTTGCCAAACCAACCATCTACTTCAAGCATCTCCTAAACGACGAGAATCATCTCCTTATGGAGCAGCCTGACTATTCAGACGTGAGTCAGTGGCGAAACGACGGAGACTCGGACTAACTCTACTAGCTCAATATTCTATGTCGCAAATACCCTCTACATGCGGGTCTTCTGATGCAAGTGTACCAAGATCTCCTTTTATCTCAGCGTTGGACCGATATCATGTGTCTGGATATACATACTCTAGCCAGACCAGCGTTGATGGCCCGAGGGCATGCGGTAGGAGTCGATCTGATTCTCGAGGAGAAGGCTCGTACGGGGAATGAGATCCCTGGTTCAGTTAGTATTGTCGTACCATATGCGGTGGATGAACAACTTGACTTAAACGAGTATGAATATCCCGTTTCTCAACTCGTCTTTGCCAACTGACCGCTCATTTATGACAAGGATTCGCCTTTCGTTCGACTCTACTGCGCAGATGCTGCGCAACTGCACAATAGATTCGAACCAAGACGGTCACAACGGTCGCAATAGCCAGCACCACAAGGCCTATATATTTATGGCAGTGGTCACCTCGGACAGTTCTCAGGTATACTACAAGATTAGCGATGGAATTGTCAAACCTCAGGTCTGAACCCTCAGGCCATAGCAGGAATTTTGAGCCCATAGCCAACGCTCACGCCTCCTACTGCGCTCTCTACAAAGACCCCTGAATAGTGCAACGTTTCCGTCGTGTTCTCTTGGATTCCCCTGTGGACCACATCAGTGGCCTGCGTCGAGTTATCTGCCGGGTTTGCAATAGGAAGCTATTGCGACATGTCAAGGCTGCAAGGACTGTGTATGGGAGCAAGCCGCACCTTTAAGAGGCCGAAATGAAAGTCTCCCTGTCCGTCTGGTCCAGCAACAAGCCCCTTATTCTTGACGGTTCGCCATGAAGTGGGGGCCAGAGGAAGTCCGTTCTTGGAGTAGTAGACACCAAGTGTCAGTGCGTTCCAATCTACCAGTACTGCAAAGTTATGCCAATCATTCTTGGTGAAATCTGTCTCGAATAGAACGGTCAGATCCCGCGAGAGAATTCGGAGTGACTGGGCGTTGGGAACTGGAAGTCTTCCAGTTGGATAGGTGAATGGCGATCCGAGCTGAAGCCCAAATACATGTGAGCCTGTTATCCTTTCAGTGATTGCCCATATCCCTTTTCAGTCATACCATCATTTGGCTCTATGAAGACCACCTGGTATTCGTGTTTATAGTTGAGGTCGTGCTTTTTGTCTCTCCTGATGGACCAGTGGAATACTGTCCGCCCAGACTCGATCACGGTCCGATTCCTGGGTTGTGCAATGACTTCAGTGCGGCGAAAGCCATTCTGGGCATTTGCTGGGTTGCCTCCGGGGACAAAGACTGAGGAGGGATCGATAGATCTAGCCATGTTAGGTTATATCTGAAGCGCGCTCCTGTCACTTACACCGAAATTGTCTGCTCCTGGGGAGGTTGGAACAGCTTATCCCAGAGTGGGGTCGGCTTGATACTCTTCGACAGATCAATATACTGAAAGCGAGTTAGAGATAACATTCAAGCGAAGATTTGATTCATACGTCGCTGGCATTTTTGCTACCTTTCACGACGCTGACCCATTCATTAGTTGTTGGAAAAAACATTGAGTGCGCACTCACTAGACATAGGCGCCGCTGAGATCATTAAACGTGCTTTCAGATAAACCAAGGGCAGCCCGACCATCGTACACTACTGGGGTCGAGTAAACGACGCCAACGGTGACGAGAAGCCCGCAAAGAACACTATAAAATTGTTGGGAGAACATTTTGTATGTCCAGGAGTTGTGCGACCACTGCAATTTATAAGAACTACTCTGCCCGGAATCATCTCGTCTTGTTGACTTTCTTCCCGCGAAGATTAATCGTGTGTTCTCCGACCGCAATTTACATGGGGATCAATGCCCGTGATTCTCCGAGACTGGATACGCCGCCGCGAGTTCGCAAGTCATCTACACCGAATAAGAGGGATGATGTGAGAGATCCCACGGTCCTCTCGCGTCCCGCGGGAAAGAAACTGCTCCAATTTCGGATGGTGAGATGTGAGGCATTCGCCTGAGCAATTCACCGGATGGTGACGATTACGAGAACAATGTCACGAGAATAGGGTCTATAGATCAATTGAACGATAGATACCCGATTACCAACATAATACAGAGTGCCATAGATCCGACCCACCCTTGCCAGGCTTGCAAGTGTGCTTGACGCTCCACCTTCTCCCATTGGTGGTCAAAAGATCGTACACTAGACGGCTGCATTCTCGTTCCATTAGTCTCGCTCACAGAAGCGATATCTGATGTCAGGGAGAGCTCTGTCGTCAGATCGACAACTTCCGTTTGGGTAACACCCCCAAAGAAGTCGGTCAAAAGGACCTCAGATGGGTTTCTTGCAAATAAGTCCGTGCGTATTCCAGCGTGCGAACGCATGTGGTTGAAGTCATACGCGTCAAACTGCCGCTGGTCAACGGAAGAAGAACACAGAGGAAGTGACTTACAAGTTCTTGCATTGTCGCTTGTGAGGTTTTGTTGATTCCTTCAAGGAATGATAGTACGAGGTGGGTGTAGCGATCAATGACGGCTACTCCGATATCCGCGTCGTTGACATACTAGTGACTCTGTCAGTCGCAGCCGACTACTTGCAGATCAACTCACCGAGTAGGAACTTTCACCAATCTCAGAGGAACCTGTCGCTAGAATGTTTGGCGAGTAAAACTTGGAGTACATAGTATTCGCCTGGCAAGTGTCGATCATGAAGAAGATTTCATGGTACCTGTCTCGGTGAGAACAGAGTCGAGTCATACCAATGATATCTTACCGTTTCTTTTGCCACATCTGCTCAAATGCGTCTGCTATGTCAAATGCACTGATTTCCTCGTTGTCCTGAAACTTGAGGAATTCTGCGCCACCATGCCCAGTCATGTAGACAAAAATATTACTCCTTTCATCGGTGAGCAGTCGCTTGGAGCGAGGAACAGAGGGATCAACCCGTCCTTGAAGGTCGCTCAGAGACAATTGCCAATCAACAACAAGACAGACCTGTCAGTAAGCGAAGAAAGTTCTCCACAGTGACTTCATAGCCTCTATAGTCTACTTCAATGTTCTCCCCATACAGGTCGAGACTGCGGCGATTATTGGAATAAACCGTAGCTGGAAACTTGTTCCTCGCATTGCAGGACACGTCGTCGGCAAGCATCAAAATAATGTTCGAGTCGGGAATACCCAGCCGTTTTACTGTGCGATACCTGGTGAATGTCAACATGACACGGCGACTTTAATGGAGATAGACTCGCATTCCGAGGGTGTTGGCCATGTGCTGGCTCAGAATCAGAACCAGACATAATAAGGATGTCACACGTACCCTGTAATTGAACCAGTAACGTGATGAGCATACAAGAACGGCCCAATTGTTTGTATGACCAACACCTGATTTGTCCTTGAAGAAGCTTTGGACTCGTTCTTCCCACCCGGAGTCCAGGCAACGAACAGCATGAATAAATAATACGAGACAGAGCAGGCTCTGACAAATGGTTCGTAGCCGTGACATGGCGGGGACCAAATCTTGGTCACCACCGCTTCCTTCGTTTTGATGAATTGTACGCCACCATCTTGCGCAAGCATGCGAGAAATGACTATGATTAGCACTAGCAAAATACGCTGATGAGGAGGAGGAGGAACAACGTCCGACTGGCGTGAGTTGGACATTTTCAGTCCCCTTATAGAGATGAAGGAAACCATCAGGAAACGACTCTTATATGCAAATCTATTCCAGGAGGGTACACTTAACGTCTCCGCAATCTCGTTAAATGGTTAGTAGGCAGGAGCATTCAAGAAACATGTGATGATGACAAAAAGGGACAGATAAGGTCCCTTCAAAACCGCCCATTTCTTCCAAACTTCCGAAGACATCAACCATGGGACGCTCTCGGCACTCTACCAGTGGACGTACTGCTGAGAAAGCTGTTGCGTCGCAACACATAAAAATAGATTCTGCAGCAGTTCAAGGTCCATCCAGATATGCGCCTTTAACTGTAGAAACAAGTGACGATATGGCCAATCAATCCCAGCTTCGCGCCTTTTTGATGCCGCCACCTCTTGCTGGCACTGCTAACTGGGGTATTCCACCGCCTGCGGGGAGATCTTGCGACATCGAGCTGGAGGTATTGTCAGAATGAGTAAGCAAACCCACCTTATATTTGTCACAGGCAAAGCTTCGTCGATTCACCGAACTCAAAGCACAAGACGTACACTTCAACCAGTCCTTGATGTCAAACAAGTCCTTCCGGAATCCTCATTTATACGCCAAACTCGTCGAGTTCGTTGAAGTCGATGAAGGGGCGACTAATTTCCCTCGGGAACAATGGGATCCCCATGTTTTTCAGAAGAATTGGCTCGCGGAATCCATTGGTGCGTTCAAATTCTTCGATCAACGCTCCATGGTCAAATCCTACTTGCCACTGATTCCTGACACCTAGCTGAAGCGCAAAAACTGAAGTATGAGCGTTTGCAAACCTCGCAAGCACCAGGAAAGCGCAGCAGAATTGATTTTATGCCCGGTTCTAACTCTAGAGACGAGAAGACACGCTCTAACGAGCGCCACGAGAATACTCAGAGCACGAATGGTGCCCTTGACAACAGAGCAAGATGGGCGGGAGAAGGACCCACGAAAAAGGGGAAAACAAGCCAACGCAGCGACAGGCACTGATAAGTGGTGTAGAATCGCTGGAATGTCCGATAGGTCGGCTTTTCATTTGTTTCAACGCGGGTGGTCCGATTAATAGATAAAATTAAATTATCTAATGATATTCTCACAGAGAAATTGACTCCAACTGAGCATGTCACCTCGCCCTATAGCGCACTAATTCACGGCCCTGCCCTGCTCTCAAACCCGTAGAGTCAAGGAATGGAAATCATGGCACTACTCGGATTTGGATTCATCCATATTGCTCGATTACAAAGGGGAGACCTAGCCCATGCATACCGACGCCATTTCTTGTCGGGAGTCGATGTTTCGAAGTATTTGACTTCATAAACAACCCGATGGCGCATAATTACAGCCTTGGAAAGCGCTGTTTGCAATTCTTCTGATGCATATCAACCCCCTACCGGCCCACAAACTCACACTAATTGTTGACGCAAACTAGGAGATGGTAATCCTGATTCGGTCTCGAGTCGGTGAATTCGAGGTTGCCTGCGCTTTGCCCAAGTATTTACTGTCGGTGGCTACTATTGTCACTGGCTAATATACAGTATGTGTACATTGTGTACCGAGCAGCTTCTTATTGCAACGGTTCACGGCTACTGGATAGTCGGTTGAGGTGTATATACACGTCAGTGCCGTACCCTTCCATTGAGATCAAGTGCAAATCTCCTCCGAAATAGCGAGCGTACTGAAAAGGGGTCAGAAACCGCGTTTGTTATATCATTGAGCCCACCAATCGTGACAATGGCAGGCCGTAGCCAAACCCTGCCATGGGCGCAGCGAAGTCATTTGCTCCCTTCTTGAGGTTTTCCAGTGCGACACTACCGACGCTACTACCTTGTACGCTTCCTCCGCTCCAGCTTCCGCCTTTCCCACTCGCTTCAACGTCCATAGTGGTATACATGTATGTCCAAACCCAAGGCACTGCACTCCTAGGAATCCCACCGCCTTCGTCACTGATCTTGATCGTGATATCCTCATTGCCTTCGACCACCACCACCTTGATAGGTGGGAATTGTCCTCCGGGTGCAGCGACGAACTGACCGCCATGTGGTTGGGTCGCCGACGGCTCTGTGCCGTATCTCTCTACAACAGCACGGAGAGAATTCTTGAGAAGTTCGAAGAGAATATGTGACAGATGGCCGGGAACATAAGGGAATGTCAGATCACGAGGGCAGATGAGTTGAACCGGGGGTGCTTTGAACATGCCGTAATGCTCTTCACAGACAAATCGCGCATTTTCGATTGCTTCTGATGCAATGTCATGGAGTCGAGATCGTGTGCAGATGATTCCCACATAGTCCGGATGAGGCTGCAGGGTATTCAGCGCAATATCTGTTGGAGTTCATCCTCGATTAATAAAATGACTAGACAGCTCAACCGAAACTCACGTTGACCAATCAAGAACCGGATGCCGATGCGGCTCATATAAAAGCGGTCAAGGAAGCGTTGAACGTCGCTTCCGATGAGTTTACTCCTGTTCTTCTTCTTCCACTCCAGTACGCCTCCGGCAACGGTAGTGACGGTAGGATCATGCCTCTTTTTGATATGTTCAAGAGCCTTGGTGAATCGTTTGTTATACTCGTAGACTTCTGGGGGCCACACCACGTCCATGTTAGCCTCGGGATCCGAGTAATATCGTCTCTCCATTGGAATACGCAATTTCTTGCTCCCGTTTCCATTGCCATTGACACCCGGCCGCAGTGAGCCTTTGCCGTCCATAGAGTGGGATTTGAGTCCAGCGATGTTTGATGCGGGAGACAGGAACATCGAAGGACTGTCACTTTCGTGATGTAGACTACTGTGCAGCGACGGGTTGGGGATCGAACCAGGGAGAGGTAAATTGGCAGAGTGTAGGATTTTTGAGTATTCCTGTGGTATCTTTGGGGCAGGAAAATTGACCAGTTCCTAATACGGGTTAGAAATGGGCCTAAGACGACACAAGCTACGCTGCAAGGCCCATGGGCTGCTCCATTTTGGAGATTTGGAGGAAAAGAAATAGATATATAGGGACGAGTAGGTGTATACTGCACGTGATAATGGGACGGATGGATGCGGAACTGACCTCGAATGATTGTGCATACCATTCCTTCACGCGAATGATGGAGGGCATCTCACTAAGTCCTTGTGGAAGTTCCGTGAGGTCCTTGACACGATGCGCGAGCCGAATAGGCAGTTCTTCTGAACATCGACATTGCTTAGCTGTATTTCTCGAAAATATGTATTTCCACACTGACCTTTGAGAAACTCAGATGCCTTTAGAAGCGTTCCCTGACTGGGGTTTTGGCCGAAGAGTACCATCTGCTGCAACGAGACTGAGAGCCACTGTCAGCGAGACACGCGACGGTGCAACAGCAGCTACCAGGTGTTTGAGGAAACGATGCGAAATGATATATCTTATCCCACAATGGCGCTGTTATTCGAAAAGACATGGTTGTGGGCGGGTCTAAGTTTGACCATAACCGGTACAGTATCACTGTATCACACATGACTTCGACTGGTCCCGTCTCTGTCGTTCTGACTAGGGTGCATCGCTCGAGCAGAGAAACGGAAAACAAGCGTGGCATTTACAAGCTATGAACTAAAATCTACAACGAAAAGAGTTTACCGAGCTTGCTTAGGATAGAGCCGCTTCCCGAGTGCTGCCCTCGCGCGACTTTGATGCAGTGCTTGAGACATCGTTTGGCAAGGATTGTAAGCTCATGTTTGGAACCCATAGTTGCCACTCGGGCCTCGACCTCCTCCCTCAACAGCGCCTCGGCCTCTTCGAAGCGTTGTTGCTGATAGACGGATAGCGCAAGAAAATGCAGCGCATACAATGTATCACTGTGCTGGGGACCGAGGAGATCTCGTACTCCGTCGTATACTTTGCGCCATTCGGCTTCAGCCTCGACAAACCTCCCCTTATGGAATGTCGTTTCCGCGACGGAACTCAGTGCGTAGAGCGTCGTCAGGTGACGCTCACCGACTGCACTTTGCCTTGATTCGACGATTTCTTGGTAGAGAGCATCGGCCTTTGGTTTACCCTGTCTCAGGTAGCAATACGCCAATGCTCTCATCGCTGTAGTCGTCTTGATGTGTCGGCGTCCAAGTAAGTCGGTCAGGCTCTCCACCGCCTCTTCCAGAAGTGGTTGGGCGAGCGTGAACTCCAATAAGGAGTTGTGCGCCTGGCCTAGCACTATCAGTGTGTCGCAAATCAAGTAGTGTTGAGGTCCAAGGTGAGTGCGGCGCACTCGCAAAGCCTCGAGTAAAAGTAGTTTTGCCTCCTTCAACCTGCTTGGAGTGCCATGCTTCTGGAGGACACATGCGAGATGAAACGTCGCATGCATTGTCTCAAGGTCTGTTGACCCACAGACTCGTCTGCGAATAGTGACGACTTGGCGGGTGAGCGTTTCCTCTCGCTGTGCGTCACCTGCAGTCCCGCAGACGCGGGCAAATTGCAAGAGAGCCCGAGAGGTCGGAACATTTTCGTCTCCTCCATGAGTTACCCTGATCTTTTGATAGATAGCTTCGGTCTGACGCAGAGACCATGCGGCTCTGCCCTCTATGCGCAAAACATCTATGAACGCCTCTCGGTCGTTGACGTGTATTTCCTCGAAGCAGTCCACAAATCCTATGATATGCGCCTCCAACTGCTCCCAGATGTCATAATTGTTGTTGTGGGTACCACACGCGAGCAGCCGGATTGCCGCGGCTTTGAACTTACCACGCTCCCCCGTCACAAGCCGGTCGTTGGCCCACGAGTGGAATAGTGGGTGGAAGCGGAGCACAACCGTCGAAGGGAGCGAGACAAGGCTGACTATGGAGTAACTTTGCATGACATCTAGTAGCTCGTCCAGGGCACTTTCATCCCACTCGTCATTCGGACAGAGGATGTTCCTCAAGACTGCCGCGCTTTCTGTCATTTCTTGGTCTCGTTCCAGTAAGTTGTGTCGTTCGTATTTGAAGTCAGATGATGCGGCAATGCTGAACAAGCGACGAGGAATATCTGTATAGTGAAAGAAGGATAGGATGCCGAGAAAGCGGAGAGCCCTTGCAGGCAACACATCCATCGTGGTGTCAAAGGCAGCGTATACGCCATGATTGTATCTGAGCTGATCTCGTTGTGCTGTATGATATTGAAGAATACGCTGGCGATTGTTTCTCAGTCGGTCGAGATATTCGTGAAGACACTGTTGTTTATTGATATAACACCCGGCTTGGACTCAAAAAATGTCAGTCAGGGGTTCGTATGCCGCGATGATTTCAACGTACTGATCGCAACAGGTAGCATCCCCAGTTGTGTAACGATCTCAAGGGCTACTTCACGATGCCGTTCTGGTAGTTCCTCATCTGAATTGAACGCTGAGGCTATCAGAGCGTCAACAGACTCTTTAGGCGACATGACTCCGAGGTGAATATGATCGCCAGGGGAGAGACCATCTATGAGATGACGTCTGGTAGTGATGATAATAGCCCCATGGTCACAAAGGGGGATGAATTCTAGCACCTTGATCTCCGGGGCATCCACGTTATCCAAAATGATGAGCCATTCGGTAGTTAAATAAGGGCTTGGAGTACACAAAGCGGATGTAATGTCGGGGATGTCCCTGCCCTTGAACTGAGGGTCACACGACCCAAGCTGGCTTAGCAGACCGTTCTTGATGCTATCGCGAGATGATCCATCAATGAAAAATATGTGCCTGAACCTGTACTCCAGTTCGGATCCTATACTCCCCTCTCGCGATTTGGTCCATACCTATTCATATTCTCTCGCGCAAAGTGGATCACGAGTTGAGTTTTGCCAGATCCTCCTAAACCAGACAAAACGACAGTGCGCAAACCCGCTTTCTTGTCCCCAAAAATACCTGCGACGATGCGGGAGATCGGCTCGTCTCTTGCGATGAAGAAAGGAGATAAAGGAGGCAGACCAGCGCTCGCAGAACCACATTGTTCCACTGCCTGACCAACTGTACGGAGTTATAAAAACAGGAAGCATTTAAGTGGTCCTCTCACCGAGATGTTTGATAGTGGTATTACTTGCCACTTGGGAGGCACGGAGGCTTGAATCAAGAGTTGATTCATTCGTGGTATACGATAAATAAGACACGGTGTGAGTCCTAATTAGGCCAAAACCTCGGGAATTGGAAGGAATGGCGTGTTCAAGCCCTCGATCGACGGATAAGCGGAAATAAATCAAGAGATTTCCGAAACGCCTCTGGAGATCATCCGCTGTCGTCTCTGCTTGCTGCGTTGCGGCATTCAAAGAGTAAGAATCGCTGGCTAATGCTCCTTTCCCCGAACCTAAGCTCAGAATGAGGGAAATTTTTTGGTTGAGGTAGCTGTCCCTCGCCTCTTTGATAGCTTCTAATGTCGGGTTGATGATCGCGGGTACTGCGCTCACGAGCTTTTCTTGCATCAATTCGCTACCAATGAAGACCGGAGCGAAGACACCGGGGACGGCCATAGCGACTTTTACGGCTTGTACGATGGTCGGATTATAGGAGAATTGGCGGGAATCGTAGTTACGGAATGACCTCCAGCGACCAATGCCTGCGGCAGACATGTAGCCCAATGACACCTTGCAGCTGGTAAGGTGGACATCTCCGTTCAACTTCGCATCTTCTGCTATTCCTCGAGATCTGAGAAGCTTTGAAATAGCTGTTTCTAGATATTGGGAGCGGACTTCTGGCGTTATATTCTCTGTGGTCGGGTACACGTCCTTGCAGATGCGAATAAACGCTTCAGCAGCCTCGTCTATCGAGAGCCCCAAGACACCAATGAGCACAGCAATGAGACTAAGAATGTAAGGATATGCACAGAAGTGACAATTAGGCTGACCTCGCAGTGCCGACAGCAACAATGGAATGGAAGTGGTCGCATGGGGGGGTGGGTGAGGAGTCGATTTCCAGTCTTTGCATATATTCGCGTAGGAGCTCTACTTGCGAGAGACATCTATTGTCACCTCCGTCTGTGGGGACTATCAATTGTCTACCAGTCGGCGCCAGTTCAACTCGAACCTAGGCTAAGGATACGAATCCCTGGATGATGGTCTAGGGTACCGGCCATCACTTAGACTACAAGAGATGGGCTGTAACCCTCCTGTGTAGACAGTGTAAGGTCCAAGTCTAGCGCCATAAAGACTCCGGGCGCTCCGCGGATTGACGCTTCCAATGATTACACAACACCAAATCTGAGCAAAATTGAGGCATTTATCCTAGATTAAGGTGATGCTTATGGACAATCTTAGCAATGAGAGTCCCTTCGGTGGAATGCCCCTTTAAGGGGAGGCATATATATTACTCCCGATATGGTCTACGAATCTACGTTTCAGAATTATTATTTTTTACACGCGAGAGGCATACCTGAGGATCCGCCGCCTGACTTTGGAAAGCAACTCCCCGGCCCGCTTCGACGTGCGATGCAATTTGGTCTCGACATTTGGTTCATACTCCACGGCAGGAAGGCCACCAGGGATCTGCCTTCCATATGACTCTACTAGAAGGATCCCAGTAACGTCGCATTCCCTTGCCCATTCGGCACCATATATTTTCATGAATTGTAGAGGCGTAGTCCCCTCATCCTCCATCTTAATTATCCTGAGACAAGGCAGTTTGTCGTTTTTTCGGGCTAATATTATGCGTCCCAATGTCCGCAGGATAGCATGACTCACGTTTTGGGCAAACTCCCTCTCAGGCATGGTCTTTGGAAGTAAGTTCCGAAGTCCGAGGCTCTGAAGATTTTGATGAGCCCAAGGTTCGCTGTGTCGATCATCCTGCCGGACAGCAAAGGTCAGATGTAAGAGATTAGGACACGCTTCGAGGAGCCGTCGGTATCCATGAGGTGGGCCGTCTGATCGTATGTCGTAGGTGTAAATATGAGTGAGCTGATGGCCAACAATTGAGAAAAAATTCTCAACCCGTGGCTCGAAAAAGTCGATTGTCTTCATCGATATGCGCCGGAGATGAGGAAGGCCGATGTCCTGGAGCAAACGGAGGCTCGAGTGCACTGGTCGGAGCGATAGTTGGATCGTATGGAGGAAAGGCCATGAAACCTTCGTGGTCTCCGCCCCTTTGAGGAGCCTTCTCTCGTTGAGAGTGTTCAATGCATCAAGCAACTGCTCCCGCTCCATACGTGGTTCTGCGATTCTTCCTGTCGTGAGCTGCTCTAGATTTGGGAGATAGGCGATAAGTAGGATGTAATCCTCCAACGCCGGACCTTCGTGACCCGCAAAGTCTAGTCTCCGAAGGAATGTGTGAACCTTTATGGAGTCGAGAATGACGGGGGATGTCCTTTGACAATCGACGCCCCTAATCGAAAGGTCTGTGACGAGTACTTGAAGATTGGGGCAGCCAGTGATGAGCCGGGCGAGCGACATAATCAATTTGTTATTGTCCCCGTACTCCTCCGCCGTGAATACTAGGCAAATATCTAGTCTCCTAACGATGTGAGAGAGCCGTCTTTTCCCCATGGATGTGATGGTTGAGCCTCCCCCGGGCATAATGTCAGCAGGCTGTGCGTCAAGGAGCGCTAGGACGCGCCAGAACTTTGCCCAAGAGAGTATAGAGATCCATGAAAATATATAATCCTGCATGATTATGTAGAATGCACGAGAGACAGTTAACAGGGAGCGTTTTAGCGCGTCATTTCGTCGGCCACTGTCGATTTCGAGCCGGTATCGTGGTGTAAACGAAATGTTGGTGAAAGAATCGCAGCATTCCACGTCGCCGAGGGCAAATTCGAGGATATTATGAATGAGTTCTGGGGGCAACATTTCTAAACCACACTTTGTAGAAGACAGGCGGACTACAGGAGAGAACTAAATTGAAGAGGATATGACTGATAGGATATCTACAATTGTTCCAAGAGCTGTGAAGAGGTCAGAAGCCGGCACTGAACGGCCTGAATAATAACACACGGACCCAGGAGAACGCCGCTTTCAATCCATGGCCAGTTTCTGCAGAGACGGGCTGTGGAAGCAAGTCAAAAAGCGCGTTATCAAGCGCATGTAACTCACCTTGATATCCCACCTCATTCCATCGAGCTTTGTGACCTCCAAGGCCCCTTTGACTTCGTCTAGTGTAGCGGCACCCTCTTCACCAAGTCTGTTGACAAGAATAAGCAGTGGATAGTCATTAAGGTTATGATGTGATGCCGCCCAGGCGAGTTCTTGCTTTGCAAGAGGAAAGCGCTCCTTATCCTTCGCAGAGACGACAAAGATATATGCCGATGCGTTGTAATCTGCAAATTTTAATGGTGTTTGCCACGTATCCTGATTATACGCTTACAGCTTGTCCACAGTGCCCGACTGGTGTCACTGCCTCCAAAGTCACGGATAACAAGACTCCCACGGGTAAAATGAATAGTCTCCAGGTTGAATCCTAGTATCTAGACTTAGCTTGATGGCACACTGTTCGAAATGTCTTTGCACACCGACTGTGGGCGTGGTGGGTGGGAGATTGCCGGGTTCTGGATTCATCAGCCGGTGGACTAGCGAGGTTTTCCCACTTGATTCGAGACCTATCATATTGACCACTATCATGGATGCATGACGGTCAGTGAGCCTGTCGCACTGTATATTTTGCCGCAGTCGACCTGGTTGCCCGAGAGGCGGAGACAAAACGAAAGGACTTTACTGACAAAACTCGCCCTTGTGGGTTGGAAGCATGGACAATCCTGCACCCATATCGGCAAGACGAGTCGAAGTGGTTGGGAACAAGAGCTGAGATGGGTATCCGTCTCGCAGGTGATAGCAATTCAGCCAGACTATTCTGTGTTGTGACGCTAGCGCTGCACAGTATTCCTAACACACAGAATGGCTGTTCACAGGTTGAGGCGCTTAAAACTTTGAACAGTCAAAGTAGACTACAGTAGAGTGTCTGAGCGTCGGAAAGCATTACAATAACTCAAGAGTTCAGGTGCAAAGTGGTGGACGAAATCTTGTCTCGACCCAACTTTTCTTCGTGGCCGAAATGTCGTTGAGACAGCTTAATGCGTCTTGTTTACGCAGGCAATCTCTATTGAGAACATCAACATTCACGACAGTTAGGGTAATTCCGGGCAGAATGCTGGTCAACGTTCGCAACAACTCCTCCAATTCGACAACATCTTCAGCCCACAAGACACCGTCGCCAGAGACAGTATCGGCAGGAGAAATACTCTCTTGGTGTGATTATCTCTCCATTCGTGGCAAGAAGCGTCGTTGGGAAATGGTGTGTATCAGTTTACGACATTTGATTGTGAATCAGCATGCTGAGGGTGCACATCATTGATATGCGTTCGTCATCGACATCCTTTGACGTATGTACCAAATACAGGCGACGACCATCCCGATTACCGTAACGGCTGGAGCGGCTGGGGCAGCCTATTTCGGTGTCAATATGCCTCAATTCATGGGATTAGATCCGCTAGTGATGGCTATCCTGGGAATTTTGGGCACGTCGGGTTGGTCTCCTCTCCTTACCTCTTCCTGCCTCTTGTTCAATCAATCCCACCAGGTTTAGGTTATCTTGTTGGACCAATCATTGGCTCACAGATATGGCGACTGACTCATCGTAAACTGCTACCCCTCATTGAAGACAAAGAGCGTGAATTCCACAAGCATATCAAGCGGAACCGTGTAGACCCGTCGACCCAAAGCACAAGCAATCCTGTTCCAGACTTTTACGGTGCGTACAGAACACTCAAGGACTCTACTCCTGACAGGCAGGAAACAGGGGAGAAAATTGGATCTATGAAGGACTACCGCCAATGGCTGCGAGACCAGGTAAGTGCTTGCTAAAGGCGACTATAGGGCTCTGAAGAGTGTGTTGCAGGCTCGTTACAGACGAAAGGCTAGCTGGGGCGCTGCGACAAAGTAGAATTGCAATAGCTGGTCGGGTTACATGCACTATAATGTCCTTGTGTTTTCCACATGCCGATTGGTGGTCTATGTGAGTGATCAGCAGGTCTCTCAGCTTGTAAATCGAATGTTCAGGGTGTCAATTCTGGAGCATGTCCTGAGCGGATACTCCTTGAAGAAATTCCCGATAAGGGTAGGGGCATCTTGTGAGACTAAGAGGATGAAAGCACTCACCGAAGAAGAAGACGCCAAGTTGGTACCGAGCTTTTGCGTGGATGAACGCGGGATGAAAAATTCGAAGCCGTCGGGCCAAGAGCGAGCCCCATTAAGATATCATGTCGCTGAGAGCGACACGACGATTGCATACCTTTAGCTATGAGAAACGTGTGGTCCCACCAACGTCGCTTTCCGAAGAGGCGCGTTGGGGAATAGGACCGACAGCGTGTGCGACAAGGACGACTGCATCACACTTTCTACACACACAGAGGAGTGCGGTTGGTAGCGAATGAGCAGGACGACAGCTTTTGATGCCGCACCTCTGCCCTGGGATTGTCGTGACAGACGCCTCTCCGGGCCCGACTCGCAATCACCACATCGTCTTAGAGATGGGAGCTTTCCAGATACAAGACATGGACCCGGATTTGATGAGACGACGGCCACGGACAACACACCACGAGCAGATTGGTGTACGCTGTGACTCCGGGGACTTTTCCCGCAGCAGAAACGGGTCCATGGACGATCAAGTCATGTAGAAAAGTCGCCAAGGTGTGCGTGAGCTGCGATAGCAATCCTTTGGCCCGACGGCAGCACTGTGGTCGAGGACCAAGGCTTGGAAAACAAGGTTGTTTACAATTTGGGTAGGCCAAACAAAGACCAGAGGTTGATCTCCATTGCCTGGAATTCTAAATTTTTGTATTCGGATGTTGATGACTTACCGAGTGGCAAGAGATGGGCGTCAGACGCCATGGCGGCCAACGAGTTGCAAACCGAATCTCCACTATAACAATGCGAATTCGACGGGCGGTCCCTCAGCAGTTTGTCATCCCGCGGGGCCCGATGTTCCTGCCCTTTGGTCCCCTCCACGATGAGCTCAAGCAGGCCATTCGGTGACCACGATGCCACAAATACTCGTTATTATGCTCACCAAGTATCCTCAACGTCGAATTCAGGCCCTCAGCAGTCTCCTGACGATGACCAGGACCAGCACGAGCTCGGCCCAGATGCATTTATGAGCCTCTCGTCGGACAGCGACAAGCTGGCCATGGAGATGGTCGGAATCAGCCCCACGACGTTCTCAAGCTCTGTCCAATTTCAAGTTCCACGCTTTATGCAAGATTCGTTTGATCCAGCTATCCTCCATTCATCGACGTCGGCGTATGCTCCCCTCACGTCTACAGCCTCGCAATCACAGTCCAAGGACATGACATTGGCACCAGTTGATTATGCGACGTGAGTTTTTCGTTTTCCTCGTCTGTCCACTTTTTGTCATACTTGGCCTTCCCTGACATGTTTTATTTTGGCGTCTTTGACGATTCGTTTGATCTTAGAGCAAGTACAGGATATCAAGGCAGTTTTATTGGCTCCTCCGCTGGCTCAAATGCGGCCTTCTCTGCGTTTCGATACCCCGACGCACCAACTTTCCCCCCGATCCACATGCCCACCGATGGCTATCAGCTCCCTTCAATGCCCACTGGAGACATACCAGATAGCGCAATTTCAACAACGTATGTTCTTCCCGCCGATCTTCCTCTGTCGTCTGACCTGTCGGTTTTTCAGTTCCAACCTCGCCCAACCGCCAGCCAGACTCCCGCGCTCGTCCGCCCTCGCATTAAACGGACTGCCAATATACTCGTCATCGGGATTTGATATGTTAGATATTCTCGCGCGCATTGCGACGCGTCCTCAGCCAAAAGTCGCCCTCGGACCGGTGGACATGTCTTGTAGCTTCCTGGTCGTCGACGTCACGAGGGATGACTCTCCAATCATCTATGTCTCCAACACCTTCACCGAGCTCACTGGATACACGGAAGCAGAGATACTTGGGCGTAATTGTCGCTTTCTCCAGGCTCCACCGGGCGTTCAGCTCGAGAAAGGTGGCCCAAGAGAGCACACCGACATTGACAGCGTGACACAGATGGCGCAGAATCTTTCCCTCCATCGTGAATGTCAGGTGACCCTGGTCAACTATCGCAAGAACGGAGAGGCCTTTATCAATTGTGTTTCCATCATTCCAGTTATACCTGGTGGCAACGAACCCGTCCGCTATCATGTAGGATTTCAGGTCGACTTGGCTGTTCAACCCCTCGCCATTATGAAAGCTGTTCAGACGGGCAGCTATGTGACCAACTACAGCTCGACACCGCTCCCTCCCATCATTTATCAGCCCAATAAACTCAACCTGAGAGCAGTATCAAAAGACATGTCCGCTATCATCGGCAGAATCGGAGGTATTTCTCCTGCATCCATGAACGACAATCAAGATCGTCAAAAACTGAGCATGACCCTCTTGGCGGAATCTCCTGGTACGTTGGTATCAATCCTATATGTCAAGTGTTCATCACATCTCTTTCAGATGCCATTCTCGTCATCTCCTTGAAAGGCTCCTTCCTTTACGTCTCCCCGTCGATCTCACGTCTCCTCAAATACGAAGCCGATTACTTTCTCAACAAGAATATCTCCGACATCTGTCACCCGTCCGATCTCGCACCGACTATGCGCAAAGTCAAGGAGTCTACTACTCCTGCTACACTTCAGACTACCACCCCGGCTGGCGCTACCACAATCCCCGCGACCTCTGGAATCCCCCCACAGGAGATTCAGCTCGTCTTCCGTGCTCGATGCGCTGACGGCTCATATGTCTGGGTTGATTGCCCTGGAAAACTCCATGCCGACACGTCCCGAGGTCGCAAGGCGCTATTGCTGCGGTTGCGACGCATCGATATGCCACGACTTACATGGCACAATGTCAATCTCAATGGCGGTGTCAGCAAAGACGATTATTATCTGCGAGTCGCAAACGATGATCGGGGGTTGATTGTCTCTTGTTTGAGAGGCATCGAGGAGCTGCTGGGTGGGAAGAGAGAGGATATTGTCGGCAAGACATTAAGCGAGCTCGTGATCGACGATCCTCAAGGCACCAAGCGTGAAGCAATCCGCTCCGCACTCGCTGCAGGAGAGCAAGCTTGTGGTCAACAGATCGCTACAGAGGATTCGAGGGTGGTCTTTTGCAATATTCTCTCAGCAACAAGGCGTCGAAATCCTAGCGATAAGAAAAGCTCTAGCAAGTCTGGCGGGGGGACAGCGGTGCTGGCCACCACGGAAATTACATTCTTCCCTCCCATGGCGATGAAAGAATACATGCCCATTGGCAAGCATGGGGAAGCTGAATCGTTCTGGACGATGGCTCCGAAGACGATGATTGTCCGGCTTCGTGTGCTGAACCGGAGAACTATGAGAATGGAGCTCCCAGAGCTCACAGGACCAGCATCAGTATCTGCACAAAAGCACCTAGTAGCAAGTTATCAACCCACGGGATACGGCCTCAGCACCAACGAGATGACCCTTGCAGCCGCGGTGTTGCCACGGCCCATCACTTCCCCGCTGCAACTCTTCCGCCAGGATGCGTCCTCTTCTGATCAAACCTCTAGCAGGTCGGCAAATCTGGCACGACGCAGTGGCTACCGTGTCGCTTTGCAAGGGGACGTGAATGCGATCGATGAGCCTGTTGCATCAGATGGAGATGCTTCCCCACCCGAACACGTGGACAATAATAATGGTGGAGGGAATGGGCCTGGCTCTTCGACGCATTCTGCCAGTCCTGACGTTCTTGGTTCCAGCTGGCTATACGAGCTTCAACAGCTTAGGATACGCAACGAGAGACTCCGTGCAGATGTGGCAAATCGTCGGCGTGAGGTGCGTTCCCAGTCTAGGGTTCGTCCTCAGCTCCATAACGCGCTTGGCACGAGAGCAACGGGCCGCCCGTCCAACGATCAAATACCTACAACTGGTTATGCCGACACTATCGCTCCAAGAGTGACAGCATCTGCGTGGCCAGTCTCCTTCGCAACGCAAATTGGGCGCAGCAAGCCACAATCAGCACCACCAGCTCTAGAAATGGACGGTTTAGCAGCACTGGCGCAGCATCATGTTTCAACACAGCTGCCTCAGGATGGTGGAGGGCAGAAACGAACATGGAGTCAGACAGACATGAGCCACGAATGGGGTCACTGGAATCCATAAACTCCTGGGGGGTCACATATCCCATATTGAAGTGAGGCTCTATTTTCGATTTTATTCTTGTTTCCATTCTTCTGTCCTGGCTCGACTGGGTTATCGCTCCCAATGTAGCATTGGACATTGGCTACGCACGCAGTATCATATATATGTACCTCCATGAATGGCTATCGAATATATAGATTGGATGTTCATACTCACAAGTGCACGGGCCGTGGATGTGGCACAACAGGCTCGACTTGCTTTGTGCACGCTTTGAACTCCGCCACCTCCGCTGACGCGTGTCAGGAAAGATGGCCGCAGCTCCAGAAACACGCCCCCAGATCGAGGATTCATCAGTGGAACGTATGCGTGCATTGGCGACACGTGCATTGCAAACGCCGTTCAGCTTGTCGCACACAAAGGAAGAGTTTCGAGAAGAGGCGGGACAGATATCCAACATTGTCGAGAATGCGAACCCAGAGGATCCGAGAATGCTTGCTATTGAAGTTGAAGCGCACAAAGTTCGTGGTTATCCGCTGTCCAGTGCATTGGTATCCGTGTTTCTGCTGACCAGCTTCCCCTTCTAAAGCAATATGCGACGAAGCTCAAGCTCAAGTATCAGGAAAAGACGGCAAAACTCAAGCTCTCATCCCTTTTGTGTCAGGACGAGCCTCCAGACTTGTCTCCAGAGGCGATGGAGGAACTAAGAACAGAAGAAGCTGCCGCAAAGGAAAGACTCAAGCAGAAAAAGGAAGTTTTGAACGACGCTTATGACAGGATGAGGGTTCTCATTCCCGAGTGGCAGAAGCGTGAGTGTCCCACCGCGGGATGCAACTATTAGCAGGTTCTGAGAAGTATATAGAACACTCAGAAATGGTCACAAAAGCGGAGAGGACCGAAAAGATGGCACGAGAAATACAGGCCGCCAAACTAGAGCTTGCCCAATTGCGGGCGCGACATCCCGAGCCACGAATGACGATTGACGAAGCCTCGGCAATATATGATCAACAAACGGACAGGAATATTGCATTGACAGAGCAACGTGATGCTCTCGTGGAGATGGCAGCAAGCCAAAAGGCTCGGACCGAGGCTGAAGCGGACAGACTGCGGTCTTTGCGAGAGGACGTGATGAAAAAGGAAAGAGAGGCAGACCGGATACAGCAAAAGGCGAAGCTCAAGGGTCAGGGAGCTCTCGTCCCAGATTGGTGAGATCGCGTCATTCATGCAAAACGTTTGCTGATGCTTGACAGGCTTGCGAGCTATTCTGAATTCTTAAAGTCGCAAACGAGCATCTCCTCTATACACCAAGAGACGGATAACGAACTGAGGTTATCACTCCGGCCACCCGGCTTCACGCAACCAGCCGTACTTTCTGTCGTTTTTGATCCGACAACTTACACACTTGCGACTGCACAAGTAATGATACCTCTTTTCCTCTGACTCGTTGGCTAACAGTGTGATAGTTGATGGACTCCCCGGTCGACATAGACCTGGAGCCGATGAGTGCATGCATCGCCAAGAATGATTTCCCGCAACTGGTGCGGCTCGTTTGCCAGCGGCTTTCTCTTGCGGCGCACCCTTCCAGGTAGCAAGGGCCGATAGGAAAAGAAGAGGGCTCGAGTTTTCCCTTTCGCTGACGGTCTCCCGAAAAGTCTGTACGCCGGGACCAGCTTATCACGACCATCTTCAATACCCGACCGCCTCTTGTCTCTCCGTGTATGTATTCTGTATTTCATCCACATTTGACCCTGGAGCATAGATGCCGTATTGTGTGGCGTAGAAAGCTATGTCCTTCTCGGGCTTACAGGAGAGATCTCGCTCAAACCCCGCGACCTTATCAGGCTATATGCACGTGCAAACCAAAGGGACCAAACAGCCCACAATCTTTGCAGCTCTCCTCGACTTCCTCGGTGTTTAAAGACTGTTCTGTTCTCTATCGATAGCGTTTTTTTATCCGTCGGGTGGGCGCAACGGTTGGATCTGCAGAATCCTTGACTAACTTGGGCAGTTTCAAGCCCTCTACTGAATGTCAGCGGTTGCGGATATGCCCTCTGCTACCCATACGTGTTGCGTTCATTCGGAGAATGCGACGGAAATGGCGGCTTCTGGGCTTCTGAAGGTCGTATTGCTGGCAGAGGATATGAAGGAGTTTGCAATCGACCTCCAGCAAGGTGGGTCCATACGAACTCTATTGTGTCCGTCGTTGATCTACGAACAGGGACTGAAGAAGGTATTCTCAGTCATCGCCTAGCAAGACGCGTCTCACATTCGCATAGAAGTGGCTCGAACTCTGGACGCGACGTCGAGCCGGCTCAAGATGGCAGAATATATCGCCAAAATACTGTCTGAGAGAGTCAGAGAGCTCACTGCAGCGCTGGAGAGCATCAAAGTCACGACCAAGGGTGCCGAAGAGCCGCAGGGTATACTAGACAAAACCCCTCTGCCTCAGCCCAAGAGCGAAGGAAGGCCAACACGACCTGCACCGCTCGTTAGGCGTCACACCACGATGGCTGTTCCGGCGACACACGAGACCACCGCTGGTGGATGGGAAGACCGTGCTGCCGCATTCATGATGAGGAGGCGGTCTCAGCAATCCCAGCAAGTTAACCGAGGTGCAGGGGACTTGCAACAAGTATCCCCTCCCTTATCCCCTACGAATACACAGTATATTCCTCACTCACGTCGTTCAACACATTTACAAGACCATCATCCAAATCCGCACAGGTTCGCATCAGATCAGAACACCGTAGAGAGCCAAGATGTTCTCTGGGAATTTGAAAGGCGCAAACAAAATCCACGAAGAGGCATGCTCATCGCTGCGGCTTTCGAAACGTATTCAGAAACGTGGGATAATCTTATTTTAAGAGCAAATCAGGATCAAATACAACCGCATCTCACATTTTCCACTTTCCCTTGGCCAGTTCTTCGACTCTCGAACGACCCACCCTTTTCCGAGCCAACTGAGCTGACGATGGACGAGGTCCGCGAGTTTGTGCTCAGTCCATTCCATTCGACGGACAAGAGCAAGGAGAGTCGAATACGAGAGGCGTATGTGCGTTTCCACCCAGACAAGAACTCGCGATGGTTAGGGTTCGTGCTGGAAAACGAACGAGAGAAGACCAAGCGCGGTATGGACAGGGTTAGTTGGTGTCTTGGTAATCTTAAATAGCTATATGCCACAATACATAGTCTCGCCTCTGGTCGCTTGTGGATTCTGCACCTTGTACCACTTTCCCGCTCTATGAATCGATTTGTGCGGCATTTTAAACCCCTACTACGAAGTTATGGCAAGAGGTGGATCCAAAATGATGCCCTCAGCGTCAGTGTGAAACGAGGTCCCGTAAAGGCGAAGCATTGGGAACCGTGGAAGTCTCCGTGGACATGGATACTGGCCATCATACCACCTTTCACATTTGGATTGGGAACCTGGCAGGTATACTCGCTACATAGATTTTCCACAATGCTCTTGTGACCGTTGCCGGGCAGGTGCAACGACTGCAATGGAAAAACGACCTCGTTCGACAAGCCGAGGATCAATTGGAGAAGCAGCCTATAGTTCTTCCAGCTTACATAGAGTATGTTCATCACCATGATTTGGCTACCACTTTGACGACAACTTTTTCAGCACGTCCAATCTGCCGCCATATCGTCGTGTCGTCACTCAGGGTATCTGGATGCATGCCTATTCCCTTCTCTTGGGACCTAGAAAATACGAATCATTCAACGGATATCATTTGTTCACGCCCTTGGCTCGTTCTTCGCCAACTTTACCAAATGCCTCGACTGTCTGGGTGAATAGAGGCTTCATCTCCGACACCGTGGCAGCTTCAATGGACAAGAATCCAGAGAGACTTTCAATAATGGCAAATCCTGGAGGCGATACGGTACAAGTAACCGGGATGGTCGCACCGTCCTTTGTTCCCAGCATGTTCACACCAGATAACAAGACAGATACCGGTGAATGGATATGGGCAGACCTCACGGCTCTTGTTGAGCGCGCGGGTGGCGCAGCAGAAAACGTTCAGCCAGTTCTCATAGAGACAACCTTCGGTAGGAGCGAGCCATTGGCAGATTTTTTTAGCTCACAGTCCTGTAGAAGGTGATTCAGGTGAGGCGTCTCATTTGATTGGAGCAGGCAAGCCAGTCGGAAGATATCCAGCGGTCATCTTCAGAAACCAGCATGCAAGCTATGCCATCACATGGTGAGGAATATGCTGCTGATTCCGACTCGCATTCATGCTTTATCCAAGGTACTCCTTATCCCTGGGGACTGCGCTGTTATTATACAGGCTTGTACGGAAGCAACCGCCTAGTACATTTGGTAGACTACGCTAGACGTTAACCAATCGTTGTATGGCGCATGGAATACACACACTGTCAATCTCCACCACTGGTTTGTTGTGGTGAACGTCTTGCGTTGGCCAACTTGAGCCAAACATCCCGACCCGATTTTGGACTCTGCACGGACAGCCAGCAGTCTCTGAACAGAGGGTTTGTCCTCAAACTATACGCCTTATAAAACGTCGAAAGTCTGCTTTATCGAGTAAAGAGTATGTACACTTCATTGCTAGTAGCACGACTGCGAGGCTGACTGGCGGTCGCGCGGTGTTGGCGCGGGTGTTGTATAGCGTTGTTGAAACAATGTAAGTTGGATTCTTCTGCAAGCTTTGTGTAATGTTCAAGAGAGAATTTGTGCACTCAACGTCTATTCCATGACAGAAAATGTCGAATCAACCAGTGGCCGCGCAAACCGCAACCACCGCAACGGGAACGGGTCAGTTCGCCAAGCTAGATGCTAATGAGTTTGCTCAAGTGTTCCAATGCCATCAGTTTCCCAGGTGGCATGGCAGTTTGTCGTGCAATACTATACATACATGAACGATAAGCCTGACCAGTTGCATCGGTTCTATACAAAATCATCGCACTATTTGCATGGGATCGAAGGCGAAGACACGGATCTCCTCCAGGGTCAGACCGCTATCCACAAAAAGTTTGTCGAAATCGGGTTCAAAGACTGCAAAGTGTTCATTCACTCTGTCGACGCGCACCCGAGTGCAAATAATGGCATTCTTGTTCACGTCATTGGCGAGATGTCGAACCGTGGGGAGGCATGGAAGAAGTTTGTCCAAGTCTTCTTCCTGGCTGAACAGCAAAACGGTTATTTCGTCTTAAACGACAACTTTCGCTTCCTAAAGGAGGAGACATTTGATGAAGAGGAAGAGAATCCAGACGACCATCAGCTGCAGTCCGAGCAGGGTCCACCATCAGTCGCAGAGGACGTGTCGTACAACCAGCCGCACACAAACGGATATCATGGTACAGCAGAGGCGACGTCGGTGCAACAGCCTCCAACGATTGCCGCTCCTGCACCTATTCCCGCCGTGACCGCTCCGGTACCTATCACCCCCAAAGAGACGCCTGCACCACCAGCGGTTCCGGAAAGCACATATGTGGAACCAGCTCCTCGACCACCGACACCCACCCCTGAACCCGCGCTGCCAACGGTACCAGACGTGATTGAACCGACGCAAGAGCCTGTTTCCACTCCTCCGGCCGCGCCGAGTCCAGTTCCAGCACGTAAGTCGCCATCGCCAGCACCGCCTAGTGCTCTTCCTCCATCCACAGAGGCACCTTCGCAACCAGCGACTCCACAACCTGCGGGTCCGCCAGCTCCAAAGACGTGGGCGAGCCTCGCTGCGACCAATTCATCAAAGTGGGGTCAGAATGTTGCACAGGAAGCCAAGGGAGTGAGTGCTGCTGCGCCTCATCCAGCCGCTGGGGCGACGCAGGCCCAACCTCCACGAGAACGAGCAGGAGGGAATGCTCCTACGGCACCCAGTGCTGGGGGCGATCCGGTGCTGCAACCAGGTGGAGTTGGCCCACGAAACATTCCACCTGCGAACCAGCATCCACTGTATGCGGCGGCGTTGTCGGTGACGACGGCGATGTGCTTTGTCAAGGGAGTGACGGAAAACATTCCGCAGCAGGCGTTGGAGCAAGTCCTCTCTACTCGGTTTGGACCTATCAAAGAAGTTGAGATTGTGCGAAGCAAGGCGTGTGCATTCATCGAGTTCAAGTCAATCGACAGTGCAAAGAAGGCAATTATTGCGAGCTTGCATCCGGGGGCAGGCGGAGAAGGTGGGATTCGGTTTGATGAGGAAAAGTATGGGAGCCCGGCGAGGATCAATGTCGAAACGAGGAAGGAAAGGGGAGACCGACCAGCTCCTCGTGGAAGGGGAGGTGTGTCCGTCGGTGTGGCTGGGGAAGGACGGGGTGTAGCCGGAGGTTCGCAGACGGGAGGAGGATCTCCAGGCGGCAGCTATCGTGGACGTGGGGGGCCGCGAGGACGGGGAGATGGGACAAGAGGCAAAGCCTGAATAAGAATGACCAGTGAGTGTCTGACGCGAGTCGGAAATAATCTAACGCTGTCGTAGTCACCACCGTCTCACCTTGTTTCGACATCATGTTTTCCGAAATGTATCGCCCACTCCGATACGCGGAGGAGCGTTGTGTGAGTTGTAGCGAATCCAGTCTATGTAACGACAGCGGACCCGCATGGACTGTGAGTGTGAGGCATTCAAGAGGGCGGGGAACCCCGTTGCATCTGTGGCATAGATTTTATGACACGGCGGCGTTGAGAATTTACCGGTAAATGGCGCCACGTGCATTTTCACAACTATGGGTCGCGGGATGAGCCAAAGAGACGTCTAGCAGACCAAAGCCCGGTCGTGTTATGCAGACGTTGCGTGGATCGAGCTTGCCAATCTGGTGGGCTAGAAGACGGGCGCTTGTCGTGGCGTTTAATGCTGGGGGCGCAACCAGTGAGACTGGCAACCAAACGCGGGTCCGTCAACTGAAAAAGTACGAGACGGAGGCTGGATTATGTTATCCAGTCGCGGCCCCTAAATGGAATGTGATCCGTGTTCGAGCTGGATGCATTGGGCTGCGTTGATGGCTCGCCAGACTCTGATTCTCTCTAAACTCTAAAATCTGATCCCGATAATCTAGCTTGTCAGTCAGCGCCAGGCCAGCTGCCAGTGCACCCTTGTTTCTTGTCCCCGACGTCGTCCACCATATTACTCGTCTTCTCCTTTCTCGTCTTGTAGCCTCTTGTCCATGTCTTGTTTCTCCTTTTCTTCTCCTAGTCTCCTACCGAGCCCGCTTCCTGGCTCGGGCAGCGCCAAACGCGCCTCTGAAGGGGCAAATGAACCCGTCGCTGCCCCCGACAGCCACTCACAACGCGCTATACCGTTTGGACACGCTATACTCTCTCAAAATCACCCGGAAAATCTCTCACATGGAGTCGCGACGATGCCTGGCCGCTGCACCATTCCAGACGGTCAGGCGCTTTCTCTAGGCACAGAAGGCACCCCAAAGAGCACCCAGCAAGCCCACAGGTCATTATATACTACTCCGCTCTACTTTCGACCTACTGCTGGTTGTGATCGTGGCGTCCTAGTGACGGGGCTCGAGGTGGGTGGTTAACACGAATCCGACAACTGCGCCGCCAGTCCCCTCTTGAACGAATCTTTTGTCCTATGAAAACTCATTTATATTCCTAATTTCTGCAGAACAATACCAAGTATTCGATCCTCCGCCACTTGATTCGCTCTGCATGGTCTATCCATGATCCTTCCCCATTCCGAGGCATCCTCTGGTACACAGTCTCATTCGAAATCACCTCGAGGCTGACATTATTCACTCAGCTTCACAACCGACCATGGCTCCTTTGGGGTGGCCACCTCGGCGACTCTGGCAGCGCAGGACGTCGGTCAAGAGGCCGAAGTTGTCGTCCTGACAGTGTCAGTTACACGAAATAGCTCATGAATTAGTTTGCTAATCAACTCTGCAGCCCTTGGAAGGTTAGCGAACTCTCGGCCAACCTTGCCGGGACGGCCAAGAATATCTCCGTTCTTCCCATCAAAGTTCATCTTCAAGATGTATCACTCGGTCACCTTGCGTTTCTTCAAAGCGTTTATCAGCCTGACTGGCACCCTTTTCACGCTCAGGAGCAAGCTCGGTCAGGTAAATCTCTCTCTCTAAATCCCAAATTGGCGATCCAATCTTCATAACCCCCCACAGGCTCCATATCACATGACGATATCCCCGCCCAACTCCGCTGCTTTTTATCTACCAATGGGTCCACAGAGAACCAGCTCCCTTCGGCTTCACTAGACTGGGTGTCTTGGACTCGCTCTCGTCAGTCCGCAATGTCCGCTGCGGCCGAAAAAGGGACAAGCATACCTAATGACCCATTCCTCTTGTGTGTCGACCTCTCCGGTTTCGACCCGACGGAGCTCGTTCTCCAGCATACACTTGCTGATATCATCACCAAATCTTGGTCGTGCCATGTGGAAGAGTCGACACCAGTACCAGCGCAATCTCTCGTCGGTTAGTTCTCCCACTCTTGCGAAATGGTGGTCGTCGCTTGGCTGACAAACTCGATTGATAGTCTGCGATGATGCACATATCTATCTTTCTCAGGACGAGAGCCCCTTTTCTAGGACCCTTGCTAGCCTCGTCGCTCCTCTACCACTCAGCAAAACGCCAGCCTCAAAAACGACACCGCATCTTGTCATTCTCTCACAGTCACCCGTGTCTTTGGCTCCAAATGTTCTCGATCACCTCTCGTATTTGATTATTCACCGATTCACCGCCCCTCGCTGGTTGCAAAGCCTCGAGAAGCACTGGTTCCTGCAGCCTCGTGTCCACCAAGTTTTCAATATCACCGATAATACAGTCTCAGACGCAAACTTGACTTCGATCAGTACCATAGAGCAAATTCTAGATCTCGAGGCCGGACGTGTCCTCGTCTGCTTCAAAGGCCACGACCAATCTCAGAACTTTCAAGCAAATAAGCACAATGAGTCTGCAGGCGCTATGACTAATGGCCACCCTCGCAACGTTTTTGGCCCTATTCAGCGCCCAACTGTCAAACCAGCCACCACATCCCCATCTCTCGGACGACAGCTATTGATGGTCTCGCTGAAACCAGTCAGTATTCCGATCACATCGCCCATGCGAACCACCGGATCGACGGCTCTGTATCCGCCAGCCAATCTCGACCACACGGCCGCCAAACGAAGTCCCCAACTTGCTGACCTGGAGATTGGATCCACCAACAGTGTAAATTACGGTGGAATCCGGCCGTCTTTACTCTCGTCCAGTGTTGGCATCGAGGGAGGGGCCTACGAGCCATGGCGACAGCCCAGCGAGACACAACTGGGAACACCGGCGTCAGTGCATGTCTCCCTTCACTCACCTCCAGGAATTGGCACAATTGGACGTTCCATTCCCCGCACAACATCGTCCCCATTCGACACGATTGTGAGTCCAACCGCCTCTTCGCCTGAAGTTCCCTTGAACAGGGGCACCGTGGGTTCGTTGAACTCTACGTATCTCTCGGCTGGGGCGGTAACGAGCCCAATATCACCGACAAGTCGCGGTGTTCTCCCGGAGGCGCAACATTTTCTCCCTTTTCGATGGCAAGGAGGGGCCAAGAAGTTGCTGGGACATCTCAGTACGGAAACAGCTTCTCGAACAGCTCCTCTTCCATCTCGAGCCACTTCTTTCCCGCTCATGGAGACGGGAACGGGGTGCCCAGTCCACACCTCGACCGCTATCGACCGATGACGATGAGCATGTCCAGCGCAAGCGAAGGGCAGTTCTCAAAAGCAGACACGGATAGCGGTGGAGGTGACTTTGTGGACGTTGGTGCAATGCGTGACGCGCTTCCCTCATCCAACGGACGACCCCTAGCCCAAGCAGGCGTAGCAACGTCTGGAGGTGGTCCGGCAGGCTCCTCGGGTCCGTCGAGCAGCTATGGATTAGCCGCATTGGGCCTCAAGCGAAGCTACGCCGGAGTCACGGTGCGAGCCTTGTCGCTACCTTTTTGAGTTTTGCGTTCTGATGCGATCCAACTTGGGATTAGGCACCTGTATCTGACGGCACCATTCAACGTCGTGCCACTGCCATTTTGCTCGGCCCACAAATGGTGCGTGTCGTCTTGTCATTAGACGAGCTCCGCTCGCTCACGAGAGTGTTGATAGGATACGGCCGGGCGGTCGCAAGTCAACGGCGTCGGCTCGTCTAATGCATCCAACCAGTTCAGTTCCTCGGAGGGTGTGGGCTCTACAGGGCCCTCGTCTTCACCACCACCACCACCACCACCGGTCTATCCGGAATCTTTCTTTTGGCCATTGCTCGACGCATTGGAAAAGGCGCGGGTACAAGTTAGCTCTCCGCATAATCGCGCACAGTGCGTGCGCCACTCGGTGGTTGGACAAGAACTTCCACCGTCGGCGAGGGCAAGGTTGGGGCTGACGTTCAAAGAGTATGTAGCGGCGGCGGCGAGACAAGGTGTCGTGGTGACAGGAGATTCGGGGGACAAGGCGTGGATCGCAATGCAAGACTGGCGTTTTCCAGGTAAATCGAACTCGGTCAACGGACATTCTGCAACACAGGGACAACGCATGACGAACAAGTAGTTGTCCGTGGATAAAATGCCAGTCTAGATTCTTATACAGAATGGTGGCAGACAACTCTACTCGGAAGAGTAAGGAGTAAATTAAAACGCATTCTCCGCGAATGACGATGCAAGTCTCGTTTGTCAGGTGGTCTACAAATAAGAATGATTTATTCTCAGAAGTTTCGAAGGACGCAAATGGAGTATATGGGAGGAACCAATCAATGAGACTACCCAAGCGCACTAACCAATGACCTTGGAGCTTGAACCTCATCGTCCGTGAGTCTGAGATAAGACGTCTATCGAAAAATTGACAGAAATTTGTAGAACTCTCCCGGGGACTGTCGCCTCGATACCAAACGACCGGATTCCTCAAAGTGCGCATACGCCCACCACGCCCTCGTGGTGCTGGTAGGCTGCGCATCCCCATACCTAGACCCCGGACAAGCCCTGGTAGCTATAGGCTTTTGACAAATGGCGAGTCTCCTTTCTCTTACTGCTGATCAGACGCATGCCCTTTGCTGACCTGCGACTGTCTTCGTTTAGCCAGTTCCGCGTCGGGGACACCTCGTTTCTGACATGGATGACAAGTGTACAGGCAAGATATCCGTCTCTTCGGTTGTTCGATACGTCCATCCGCTGTGACGGTGTCAGATAAAATGTGGACGAGGAGTGAAAATCTCTTTACATCGTCCACTACTAATGGAATCCGCCCCCAAGTCTCCTCTTGTCCTTTATATTTTCGAGAAGTCTTGGCTCGTGTTCGCTTTCCTTCGTCGCAGAGTTGCTCAACCTTTGTTGATGCATAAGTCGTTGACATACTCTGAACAATCTATTTCTCCTGCTTAATATATGAATAAATTAAACCTGAGGGAAATGCGTACTGGCCAAAGAGTCCGTCTGGCCAGATATCGAGCGGCGGCAGGTCAGGAACCTTCTGATTCCGCCCTTGTCGATCCCCAGTCTGCCCGCAATGGACAGCTTTAGCGTCGGCGACACATATCAAGTCCAGGATGTCATAGGTTGGTAACATCAAGGCTCATTGCCGTCCTTTTACAGTCGGATCGCTGACGGGCCTTGGCCAAAACATGCTTCTCCGTTGCTCTTTCGGGTCAATTTCACTCTCATGTTACAATATAACTAGGGGAAGGAGCGTATGGCATCGTCTGCAGTGCGGTTCACATCCCCTCGGGTCGAAAGGTGGCGATCAAGCGCATTACTCCCTTTGATCACTCCATGTTCTGCCTACGGACGCTGCGAGAGATTAAGATTCTCAAGCATTTCAATCACGAGAACATCATCTCGATCCTTGATATCCTCCGTCCCCCAAGCCTCGACTTGTTCACCCAAGTATATCTCGTACAGGTATGCTTTCGACCTTTGGAAAACTATACACCACGGCTCATGGAATATGTCCTTCTGTAGGAGCTTATGGAAACCGACATGCACCGCGTGATTCGGACGCAGGAACTATCGGATGACCATTGCCAGTACTTTATCTACCAGGTCAGCCCATATATGGCCTACCTTTCTATGCTAACCATCATGTTATACAGACTCTCCGAGCTCTCAAAGCACTGCACTCTGCCAATGTACTCCACCGTGATCTGAAACCTTCAAACCTCTTGCTCAATGCGAATTGTGACCTCAAGGTAGCGCGCTTAGTGGTCCGCGTCTCGTTTCTGATTACTGTTTGCACCAGTTGTGCGACTTTGGTCTCGCCCGCTCGGCGAACCCTCCACCAGGCTACCAAGATACTGCCGCCAATTTCATGACAGAATATGTGGCTACGCGATGGTACCGGGCACCAGAAATCTTCTTCCTCGAATCGTACACCAAAGCCATTGACCTTTGGTCCGTCGGCTGCATCCTGGCCGAGATGCTTTCTGGTCGGCCTCTCTTCCCTGGTAGAGACTATCACCATCAGATCAGCATCATTCTCGATGTTCTCGGTACACCTTCCCTTGATGATTTTTATTCCATCTCTTCTCACCGCTCCCGCGAGTACATCCGCGCACTACCGTTTAGGAAGAAGAAGCCATTTGCTCAGTTATTCGAAGGGAAGAATCCACAGGCACTGGATCTTTTGGAACAGCTCCTCACATTCAACCCAAAGACGCGGATCGACGTCGAAGGCGCGTTGGCCCATCCCTATCTGGAACCGTATCACGATCCAGGCGACGAGCCGGATGCCACCCCGCTTGATCCGAGCTTCTTCGACTTTGATTATCAAAAGGACATCACAAAGGAAGAGCTCAAAGGTCTGTGTACATGTTCACCTCCTGCCTCTGGCTTGGTGCTTACATCACGTTGCAGCGCTCATTTTCGAAGAAGTCTGTAAACCGGCTCACCACCAAGTCCCCGTCGCCACCTTGGATCCTTCAACTCCCATCGCACCCACAGCAGATACTCCCATAGGCCCTGCTGCTCCTTCGTTTGCTTGATTTTTGTCCATCTCGTACAGCTTGGCCGATCTCTTCGCGTCATATTTGATGGCATCTTTCGACATTTTTGATCACATATTTCTCTGGAAAAGGGTGTAGCCGTATCTTACTCAATATTTGTCCCTGTCGCAGTTAATAGAAAAGAATGGTATAAGAGCTACATGCGACATGAAAGTGACGGAATTGCTTGGTATTACGAAGGTTGAGTTGAAAAGCAAGAGAGCTTCATGCCAGTTGGACGTGATCCATCTTGTTTCTCACCGAAAGCTTGACCACGCCGTTCTGTTCTGCCTGAATAAGAAAATCTTTCAACCTCCCGTCGTGTTTGAACTTTCTTTTCTTGAATTCTTGACCTAGGTCGCAAATTCTAACGACCCCCCTGCCGGGGGCCAATGTTGAGAGCGCGCTTATCAACACCGCATATGAACTTTCCCCGGAAGGAATAGACTGCTGAATAAGCGTAGAAGCGGTCTTTTGGGCCTGGGAGAAGGTGGTCCCCGGAATGAGTGTGACCATCTTTTTACTCCCTGAACCGGAGAGAGTGACGATTCCCGCCGCCTCTGCTCTAGTCAGGAAGTTCTTCCAGGGCTTTTTTTCACCAGTTGGATAAGGATTCGGGGAAAGTTGGTGAACACGATCGAGGAGGGACTGGTGAAGTGCACGGCCGTTATTTTCGACAAGACCCTTGATCAGAACGTCGAACTGAGGATCTTGTGTCTTAGCGAATACGCTTTGAGACGGTGTCGAGGAGACGGGAAAGGCTGGTGCAATATTGTGCACCATAGACTTTGGTCGAGCTCGCGGGATCACCAACACGGGCGTAGATGAGACATCAGTGAAGGCGTTCAATCCCTTTGTTACGTGCTCGTTCTCCTGCTGAAGTTTCAGTAGCTACATGAAGACAAGGCAAAGTACGTACGCTTTGGGAGCCAATATCCGTGTACGTTGGTGGCTTGAAGAGTCTTGAACCTGCTTCTAGCGTCGACATTCGAGGGCTGAGGATCTTTTCCGTAAGAGAGGGTGAAGATGCAGTTGACTGCAGACCATTAAGCTCCGTTAGAAGGTGAACGTCGACACTCACTGGTGTGTCGTTCGAGGTATCTACGCAGTGAACTTGAGACCCCAAACGGAGACCAAGCTCAGGCGATGGGTTTCCGCTCGAAGTGGAGGACTCTGGCGTTGCAAGACCCGCCAAGGGAACATGCTCTGCGGTCGACGTCGAGTCCGTTGCCAGAATTGATTCCCCACCGTCTCTTGTAAGTCTCATTCGCGACTTGATTACTGCGTATCCAGTGCCCAGTCTCTCCAATGTTCCTTCCTTTGATGGGAAGAGTGCAGAGGCGGAGCACAATAAACCCTCTCCCGTGCGTAACCTCATTACCTGTTTGGCCCAATCTGGCGCATTGCTTCCACTGCCGTTATTGTCGTCTTCCCCCACACTGGTTTCGTCGACACAGATGTGGTGCATCAGGTGTTTGACCCAACTTGGTGAGGTGAAACGGTGGCAAATGATCCACGACATCAGGTCAAGCACTGAAGGGGGGACTACTGTGGGCTCCTGAGTGGAAACAACGACACGTGCGGCAAGATGTCGCTGCTGTCGAATAATGCTGCAGATACTGCGAGTGAACTGATTTGCATCCGCGTTGGTAAGGTATTTATGCGCTTCATCAAGTACTAATCGCCGATGAGTCGCGTTTGCATTATTTGATAACAAGCGCACCGATTAGCTTTCCTGTCGTGTTCTTCCATTCAATGAACAGTCCCAAACAGATGTTGAATAGCATAGCGGCAGTGACGCCTATGCAAGGTAAGTTAGGAATGAGGGATGCAGAATACTAACCATCAACAAAAGGATCAGAAAGGTCAACGATAACGAGTCTTCCCGAATTGAAAAACTTGACGATATCCTTGCCCGTCCCTTTGAGGAAAGAGTCAAGGAGGTCAAGTCGAAGTTGGAGCATTGACTGTTGTGTGCGGTTGAAGTCCGACTCGGCCAGCTTCTTCCTGAAACCTGTAAAGGATGAGTCTTGGGTCAGCTCCAGAACATCAAGCGCACCCTGATAACTGAATCCGTCTGAGCCCATTTCGCGGAGAATGGCCATCGCGGAAAACAAATACAGAGGCATGGTCTCATCAACGGGGTCAGTGGAGGTTCTTTATGAGTATAATACTCACTTCTAAATTGTCGGCGCCCATCATACTCAGCATACGGGATGCATTTAGGTCTGTCTCGGAGATCCTCAATGGCTCAACCTTGACGTGTGTCAAAGACGAGTAGACTCTGCGCCTGGTATTGAGATTGCTTGGGCTAGTTGCGATGTGGGCAATTCCGAGACCAGGAGGATTAACCGGATCAGCCTTATGGGATGGGTCTCAAATCGAGAGGCACATACGAAACGAGAACGACTACTTCCTCGACACCACGAGCGCTACCAGTCTTGAGCTCGCTGAGGTACGCTGCCTCGCACGGACGTCCTCCATTCTCTTCGTCGTAGTGAAACCTGTTGATGGCTCAGTTAAGGGATTATAGGCTGACACTAACGTACACGACGGTAGCCAAAGGCGCGGGCAGCGTTCCAATACGCCGATCCATCATGAGTGATCCTTCAATGATACACGAAACGGTATGACTTTTGCCTGAGCCCTTGAGTGACCGTCAGAGCAGTGGCCAATCCTCACCAGATATTAAACGTACCTGGACTCCGCATACAAGTCCACTAGAAGGAGCATCGAGGTTTATGTAGATTCTTGGATCCTTCAGAGTCGGTGGTAAACCGCTCGCGTTGACGGCAAGGACGCCGCCTAGCAAACCTCTTTGGGTGAATTGATCAGCTGTAAGCTTTGCGGCGTCATATGTGATCAAAGGAGACGTCTTGAGCTCGTGTTCACCGATTGTCTGCGGTCCCGGGTCTAACGAGAGGAGTTCCAGCTCGAGCTCGGATTCGTCAAACATTAGTGGCTTGAAAAATATTCGAGGGAATTAGGGATGCACTCTAATCGATTTCTGAAGAGGTTATCCGGTGATAACGGGTTAAAGAAGAGTCGGAATTAAACCAGAAAGTGCTCTGGTGGAAATGTGGGAGGGTCCAATGGTCGCCAGGCTCTGAGCCACAGAGAGGTGCACCCAGCGCCTACAAGCCTCGTTTTCACGGTAGACACGGCGCTTAATAGTGGGGTTTCAATGAGCTCATTCAATTGCAGACGACAGCTGTGAGAGCACAACTCGTGGAGAGGCAGACCAGGGAACATATATCTATGGAATATTATGATATTAATTGCTATTTTACTGCTGAGCTGTAGCAAAGGTTACATTTAGCGTGGTACCCTTGACTTTTGGAGAGAGAGAGATATATATATCTTATTTGCCCTCGCTAGCAGGTACTACATGGAACCAAGGCGCGATCATTAACAAGACATGGGGCGCTTATTAGGGTGATTAAGTTCGTGGGTCTAGGTACGCTCTATTGTATAGGTGATGAGTGCAGGCTGGGAGGTGTCGTTCGAAGTTTGCCAAGAGTATGTTACGAAAATAGGAAAGGATACGGGAATAATACCATCTTCTTCATTTGCAGCTGGTACCCAGCCATTGGGGACCATCTCCGGTTGTAGCTGGCGTCGGTTACTTCGTCGTCTTGGGGCCTTGACTTTTGGAGCCGACCTCTTCAAGCGCACCCTTCACCACTCGTAAAATACCCTGTCTATCCCACTTTCCGGCGCGGGTACCCTTTTTGCTCAGCTTCTAGTCAGCTTTTTTGTCAGCAAATATTTCGCGACAAATTTCGACCATGCTGGGAGCTAAACCTCTTGTCCCTGCACGACACAGAGACATACCTGGGCAATCACGAGATCAGTAGCTCCGCTCTTGTCACTCGCGGTTTCACCCAGATTGCAGTCGAATGCTTCCACAACGTGGACTGCTCAGCAAAGGGAGTTCCATATCACCTGAAGTCTTTTCTGAGGAGTCAGAAATCTCCGAGGAAGCGAAGCGCTTCGCATATGATCAATTTGGTGGACTCATACACCGTATCCACCATTACCAAGAGACAAAGTGGACAAGGGCATTCCGGTCTCGAGACTTTGTTAGAATCTACGTTGCTATGATCGTTTTTGTGGCATTCATACGGCATTCCGAAGGATATCCGCAAAGCAAGACACGGTCCTTTGGCCACCTTCGCCGATGGATTTGACCAAGAAACTTCAGTAGTGAATATGTGAAGAAGGGCCTGAATTGGAAACGACAAATGAGGTCGCCTTTCCTTGGAGTATGCCCGATGAACAGGGGGGGTTGATATACCGTCGAATATCCAGTCGTTTGGACAAATAAATCTTCGTTCTATGCCCTCTTATGAGTGCCCAAAGAGCGAAGTCTTCTGCGACAGAAAGGAAATCCGGGCCATCTGCAGCTAACGCTTCAGATTGCGTGATCTTTCAAAACGCATGTACACCTATTGTACAACTTTCTAAATTATAGCCTATGTCTCGAAGATGATCACCTCTTTCCATAGAAATTTAGGCGCGAATCTTCTTACACTTCCTGCAAGGCCTCTCTCCACCCCGCCAGCCACTCTCGTTCATTTCCACATCACTTCTACTCACTTGTATTGTTTCCTTTGCTTTGGTCACCTGCAGTTCTCCAGGAAAGTCGTGCGCCACAGCGCCAGCATTTTCGGCATCTGTAGCCTCTACATCCTGCCACTGCCAATGTTGAGCGAGTCTCGCCTTTGATTTGCTTTGCCCTCCGTTCCTGTATGTTGACCACCCTAAATGCACCTCGCTTCGGGACCGGAAAGGTGGGCCAAATGTGGTGTTATTACAAGAATACATGACGAAAGGCCTAGCTGAAGCATGAGATATAGGTGACCGCAAGTCACGAACGTCTGAGTTCACTGCGCAGAAAGGATGCAGAGTTTTGATGGACCTCTGGGCGCTATTTCCGTTAGAGTTTAAACCGGAAAGTGGTATCTAGGAGGGTAGAGACAACAGGCTGCCGCACTAATCGTCCAGAGCGAACACACCCTCCTCTGCGTCGTTACCCGTTTTTGTGCCCGCTGGAACAGCAGTGGGTACGGGAGTGGGCACCGGTTGTGCCATATTTCCCGGTGAGCTTTGGTGCTGTAAATGCTGTGCCCATGAAGGTCGGCCTAGGTGGAGGCCGCCAGGTGAAGCAGAAATAATGGGATTCGTCCCGATCGAATCGACCGCGGAGTTGATAGATCTCGGATCCGGTGAAGCAGACGTGAACTGGGATCGCAATGGACTGCGCACGTTGGACTTTGGAGCGATGTCGCCTACACCATAACCCATTCCCATTCCCATGCTCATCCCTGGTATCGGTTGCTTCGCTCCAATCTGCTGACCACCGAGGGGGTTGGCACCAAGGTGGAGACGACTTAAGCCAGCCGCAAGTCCTTGAGGAAGACTTTGTCCTGGTGCATGGGATTGCAGCGCTCGTGCTGACGGAGAAAGCGCGTCAGCCCCTAGTTGAGCGTGACGAGTGTTTGTTTGTAGGTTATAAGACTCGTAGCGATTCCCCCCTCTCGCGGCGATGGTGGCCGGCGTGGGGACCGCCCCAAGTACATCTGCCTCTTCGTATGATTGAGAAACCACATGACGAGTGAGACCCGGCACAGGATTGGCCATGGTTGTCCGGGAAAAGCCGTGTAAAAAGGCTCCCGACGCGTTGGATATACCAAGTTGGGCGTGCGATGGAGAGAATCCCTCACTACCCAAGCCGGTACTTCGGAAGGAAAGGGATGCAGCGGACAGGAGAGCATTGTCCCTCTCCCGTTCGCGGTCCGTTTCCTTCCAGACACTAGCAGCTTCTAACAGCCGTGCAGCTGGAACAGACCTGGAGTATCGATGGTTGCCCATTCCCATAGCACTCATACTACCCACGCCTCCAAGACCAACATTTCCGACGCTATTCTCTCCGATATATCCCAAACCGGCTCGTGTACCTCCAGATCGGCTGAGGCGCCGCTGTCGCTCCTCGGGGGTAAGGAGGTCGTTGAGAGAGGAAGGGAGAAACTCTTCTAGATCATCGTCGTCGGAGGCCACTGCGTTTTCATTGCGTTCTGGCACCTGGGTGCGCCAGCCAGCTCGCTGAATGGCAATGGGGCTTTGCTCTCCTCTATCACCTTGCATGCGGTTGTATGCACCAAAGAAGTGCTGCTTGCCTTCTCCATGGGCAAAAGGCGATGTTGAAGGATGAATGACATTTGGGGGGTTGGGAGGGGGACTCGTCCCTGGAGCGTAATGGGCATTGTTGTTTGTGGATACAAACGGAGCGCGCATAGCACTCGCGTTTGGAGGAGACCCGATGGGGCCATAGCCCATGTCTGTCGAAGTGTTTCTACCAGACGAAAAGCGAGTCGGCATGGCAGGTCGAGCGGCGGATGGTTGCTGTGAAATAGTCTCATTTAAATGCTCCTGCTCATTTGTTCCCGCCTTTGCGAGAGTCTGAGGAGGGGAATGTCCCGCCTCGACGGATGGATCGTCCTGAGCTGGCGAGGGGATCATTGGGGCCGTCGCTGTAAGATTACTCGCAGGTTTGGAGCCTCTTTCTGCTCTCGAATCATTGCGCTGATGACCGTTTGCCGCTCCACTAGCCGCGCCGCGACCTCGCTTATTCTTGCCGTCCTTGGATCCATCGTGGGCTCCAGCTGCCTGATTACTGAGCTGAGCAGCCTTTTTATTCTTCTTGTCCATCGCCATGGGCTGGCCAGGAAGGATATGTGCTAGCGCGCATTTATGGCCAAACTTGCAGTTTCCCTTGATAAACCACTGGCAGGTCTCCTTTGGTCCTCCACGATCGATGGCAGAATGCGAGAATGGACAGTTATTTCCGGCCGTACACGCCCCAACTCGATAGAACTTGCAGGGAACATGGCTCAGTTTCGACGAAGAGTCTGCATCCTTGTCCTTTTGACCCTTCTTTGAGCGATTATCACTGTCATGATCTTTAAAAAAACCTGGATCGTCAGCGTCTGCGGGTCGCCTGCTAGGTTGCTCGAAAAACGCACCGAGTGCATGCAAGACGCTCCCGGAATCGTCGTGACGATCGTTCATCGATGAATGTTTGCTGGCTAATTTGCTGAGAATCTCGTTGACGGACTGGCGGCGATTGGTCGATGGAGTGTGCTGCGAGCTCGGGCCTAGCTTTGTAGGGTGTGGGTGGCTAAGATGTAAAGGTGGTGAAATAAACTTGGATCTCACGATGCGGTACTACAAATCCAGATTCCCAGAAATCGATGAACTAGTAATGGTTCAAGTCCGACAGATTGGAGAAATGGGTGCTTATGTGAAGCTGGTGAGGCAAGCCATGGTGGTTGGCATTTCCCCGCCTAACACCCAGCCTATAGCTCGAGTATGACAACATAGAAGGCATGATTCTGCTTGCAGAGCTCTCAAGGCGGCGAATCAGGTCAATCCAAAAGCTCATACGCGTTGGCCGAAACGAAGTCGTCGTCGTACTCCGAGTAGACAAGGAAAAGGGTCTGTTTCCAATAAAACACGCCATAAATTGTCGCCTAAACTGTCTACAGGATACATCGATCTCTCCAAACGCCGAGTGTCTCCAGAAGACATTGCAAAATGCGACGAACGATACACTAAGTCAAAAATAATCGCATCCATCGTGAGACACGTCGCATCTCGTACAGCTGCGCCATCCAGCAAACCCCACGAAGGCGCAGAGGAGGCGCCAGAGGAGACTGCGGCGGTTGCTGGTGTTGACGATTCGCGTCTAGAGGCTCTGTACGAACAAATCGTATGGCCACTCGCAGACAAATATGGGCACACGTATGATGCTTTCAAGCTCGCCCTTACGTGCGTCTTTTACTTTTCTTCGCACCTGCCGCCCAGCCTCACCATTGGACTCACAGGGAGCCGGATACAGTCTTTGCGGGCCTTTCAATACCTCAGGAAACGCTGGATGTACTTCTTAATACTATCGCTCGGCGACTCACGCCGCAGCCCATCAAGTTGCGAGCTGATATAGAGCTCACCTGCTACACATCTGGGGGCATCGATGCAATCAAGCGCGCTCTTCGTGCAGGCGAGGCAGTCGGAACAGAGACTGTGCCAATCAAGGCCAAACTTGTGGCCCCGCCTCTGTATGTTCTCGGAAGCAATGCCACTGACAAGGTGCGCTGGGTCGTTACAACTCTCAGCAGTGAATGACGGTTGCTTTATTTCACAGACAGCCGCCATAGAGAGATTAGATAGGGCTATAGAATGCATACAGACATCTATCGAGGAAGATGGTGGATCGCTTGTCGTCAAGATGAAGGTATGCTCATGTTCATCCAGGCGAGTTCCAAGGTGGCTAACCCGGGTACTAGCCCAAAGCTATTTCGGAGACGGAAGATACGGACCTTGCGGCAATGATGGCGGATGCCGCAAAAGAAAACGCCGAGGTGTCAGGAGATGACACGGACGAAGAAGGCATCTAGTTGCTTTGGACTCGATGGACTATATTACTCTGTCCAAATGCGAAATCCACTGATTACCTGCACTTTACGGAACAACTTACGGTGGAGGCCTCATCAATTCTTCGTGAGACTCGTCCCAACTTCGACCAAACTTGTGCTCCTACCTCAGTCCTCGGCTCCTGCAAAATATGTGCATATCGATAATGCATTCGTCGCATGGGACTATTCCAGGCTTGTGTTCATGAACAAAATAACGGCTCCGAAGGACCCCTCGTCCAAGGCAAGATATCGTTCCAACTGTGAATGTCCGCGAGAGTCGTAATACCACTAGATTTCTCGATTTGAGTGTATGTGAGCATTTCCAAAATGCTGGATCCAAGATGGGTATTGTCCAGCGTGTGCAGAGGGTGCTTCGGAGGCAAACTTTGGAAATGAAAGTCTGCCGAGACGCTGCTCATCCCAAGACATTCTATCTGCAGCAGTATCTCCCAGAAGTCTGATGGAGGCATCATCCAATCACCCAATGTCAGAAGAGGAGCTCGCCGAAGATTGTAGCCCGAACATCCATCGGAACAGCGTCTCCAGATGTACACATCATCATACAGATCGGGAACCAGTCTGAGGGTAAATAACCTGGTGGTAGTGACCTCGCTCTCCATTCAGTGGAGGGCTGATACCCAGCTTGGACTTGACCACAACCAACCCGTCAGACTCGCGCCTCTTTTATTCGTTGCGGAATCTGAGAGTCGTTACATATCATCGAAATTCAGCGTTATAGACAAGATTACGCTGTTGCCCAACTTTTGATAGGTCTCCCTCAGAGAGTTCGATGCTACCAGGATTCAGTTCACTCTAACAATACAAACTGTCAATCTTGGAAGGCTGTTGTCACCAAAACTGAGCTACCCAAACCTCCAACAGACTGTCGCGCTTTGTGCCTCGCCAGGATGTCAACAAGCAACTGAGTGTGCGAAGAGAAAACACCGGGAATGTGAAGCGACCGCGACATTTGCTGATGGACCTGAAGCATTAAACTCGTTAACATGACCTCCGTCTGTCACCCGAAACAACAGTCAATGGAGCTTCAGTAACGTCGATTGTGGTAAAAGGGTTCTAGTATCAGCAAAACCAAACCTCTTTACGATCTCCCTTTGGATTCGTACCACACTCTTTCCCCGACGCGTCTATGTCGATGGACCAATGACTGCACCCAAATGCACTGAAAAGTGCTTCCCGTTGACCTATGGGTACGCAGGGTGGAGTACGCCGACGAATGCTATTGTTTCCACTCGATTGGTTCATCTGGGCAATCGACTGAGGACGGATGCACCATGGTGAGTATCTGACCTGGCTTGTGACTATATCTGACGTGAGCAGCCTTGCTCTGGAGACACCTCTACTATTTGTGGTGGCCCTGACAGGATTACCATCTACAAATATCATGGCAAAGAATTGCCAGCCGGAGCGACTGTTCTTTCCTCGTACAAGGATTTCACGAGTCAAGGCTGCTACACCGACTCTGTCCAAGCGCGCATCATGAACCAAGTCGCTGCCAACGGCCAAATGGCAGTGGAAACGTGCATCGACACCTGCGTTGCAGCTGACTATGAAGTAGCTGGAGTCGAATACGGAACGGAGTGCTATTGCCCTGCGACTTTGCCTGCAGACAGCAACAAGGCAGCTGGATAACTGTATCATGCCGTGTGCGGGCGATTCGACCCATTTGTGTGGCGGACTCAATCGCGTTGGTCCTTTACCTCGTCACCCTTCTGTCTTACTTATTTCCCACTGGCTTAATGTCTACAGCTCCAAACCGGTCGTTACTCCTGGTAACAATCTCGTCGCCCCATGGGCTTACGCAGTTGCCTAGATTACACGTTGAGTCGCCTACTCCTTTTCGGAGGGACGGATTTCTGATATTTCTGACAGCTATGCGACAACAAGCTCAGAGCTCATGAACTTGGTTCAAAGGCAGTCACAACTCTGACATTGAATCGTGCATCGGCTTTTGTACGGCCAACCAACGACCGTTTGCGGGACTTTACAGCAAGACATGTGTCTGCGAGGAAAGGATTGTGGGGAATCTCCAATACACCGGAACCTGCGACATTATGTGCCCTGGTAACGACAAGGATCTGTGCGGCGGCGGCTCAAATGCATTCTCCGTGTACACCAGGTCTTTTCCGGTGACTCCAAAGAACAACGCCGTCTCCTTGGACGTATAAAGGCTGCCTTGAACCCAAGTGAGTCCACGCATGTACGTAGTTGGAACTTGTACTCATGTATTCGCACATAGCTACGCACAGACTGTCTCGGGCGTTTCTCAGCAGATTTCTGCGGCTCTCTCAACGACGGCCACGGATATTGAGACGTGCCTCGACTATTGCACACAGAATCACCAATAGTTGCAGCACTCAGCGGGGACCACTGCTTCTGTCTTGCGCAGTCTGTCGAAACCCTAGAATATACGGCCACGTGCTCGAGCGCTTGCTCTGGCAAGCCTGGTGACCTGTGTGGGACTACTGGAGACGTGGCGTTTTCGATCCTACTTTAGGGAGTACCCTCTCCCGACGAACAATGCCGTGGTACCGTGGACGTATCAAAAGGGTTGTCTCGACCCTACGTACGTAACAATTGCACCCTTTTTTTGGCTCTAGTATTCACGCCACTGATGTTGTCGACTTCTTAGCTATGCGCAAACGGTTCGCGAAGGACAATCGCTTCTTTCTGCAATGATGTCCACGGCACGCCCGGGATGACGATTCGAGACTGTCTAGGATTCCGCGAAGCTTGTTCGTATGGGTTCGCCGCTTTGAATGGAAACCAGGGTACCTGTCTGGGGTATGGGGTGGATGGACTCCGGTATGACGCCAGCTGTACTACACCTTGCTCGGGAGACAAGCGAGATTTGTGCGGGACGACTGGAGCCACACCTGCATGTAGGCGGTATATGTATCCAACCAGGATGGTCTAACCACATTCCCTTTTTCTTGTTGTACCGAAACTATCGTAATACACAATTCATTTTCGCTTACTGAACAGGGACCAGATGTAAAATATCGTAAATGAAAGATTGTATTCCTCTCCTCCTCGCAAAAGACAAGATCAAAAAAGCACAACACTTTGCAGACGGGGTAGACCAAGAAGAAAGGACGAGAATGATGATGATGGTGGGTAGTAGTACAGATTATATTTCTTTGGCAAGCGTTGGATGGTGTTACACGGGGTTGGGGTTTTTTTCGTGACCGACGACGACGAGCGAATGGAGGAGGATGATTGGAAATGTGTGGGAGAACGAGATGAGCAAGCAGTAGGACAGTGGCCAAAACGTTGTAGTTGTGGAATTGGTGCTGGGATCCGGTGGAGGGACGCGCCGGCGAGCGCTACACTCAGGAAATGAAGAGAGGAGAGACCACCCGAGTTGTGACCATGTCAAATGAGACGTGATCATACAACGATGGCTGGCCGTGCGCATCCAACCCAATCCGCAAGGGATCCCAGCAGCAGCAGAAGAAGAGAAGAACGAGGTTGGACGGACGCGAGGATGACTCGTCGGGCTTAACCCCGTTGAACCGGCAGAGTCTCGAGCTCGGCGTCAATCGCACCTCCAAATCTATTCGTCGCGTTTGCCTACATAGGCCGACGTAGAATAGACTAGAAATCGTGGATGCGAGCCAAAAAGGAAAATGAGGGAAATGATGGAGGGGAAATGGAAGATTGGAGTTGGTAGGGTCCATCATGGGCGCAGACTGTGGATAGGGGGGGCTAGTCCGTATCTGGGGAACTGGAAAGTAGATGGAACACGCAATTAGCGAGGGTTGGATTTGAGCTTGGATTCAATGGTGGCGATGCGTGGCTAGACTTGGGCTTGTGATGATGATTCCGGGGAGGTGAGGGGGCAATAAACAGCTTCCAGTCTCCGAGGTGGATGAGATAGATTTGTGATTCCACTTTTGTAGTCGTCCTCGCGTGACTGCAAACAGAGAGCGAGGGGAGGACGAACATTGGGGGGCCCAGACTCGCGTCCTCTACGCCCCGAGAGAAGCGATGCGACAACGTCGAGTGGGTGTTTGATACTCCGATTCGAGTGTACGACCAGTCGATGACTCGTGGGGGGGGCTTTTTTCCTGTGCAGTCTAAATAGCACGCCCCGGCCGTCTTTGCGGCAAAGGGAAGGGGGAAGAGTCGAGACGAGGGGCCTGTTTGGGAACGGGGTATCGTGTCCTACACACGTCAGACGTCGTCGTTGACGTTGAGGCAAACGGGGTGACATACCACGAGTTCAACTCGAGCAAAGCCTGGCTCTTTTCCTGCCAATATCCAAGAAAGAAGAGCGTATCCAGTGTCCATGTAAAAATGAAATGCGGCCAGTTTGATTTTTCCCAAAACGGACTCAGCGTAGTCTCTGGTAGGGACCAAGGCCGAGAGGGGCCTGACCATGGGAGGCGCCAGACGCAGCAGCAGCGCGTGGGCCTTCTACCATGTTGAGAATCCAAGTGACACTTTGCCAACCATCGATTCCACGTTCTCCTGGAGCGACATAGCGCCTGGCGACGTCTTCCTGCTGGACCAAGCCACCAAAGACGGTAGCGCCGTCCAAGAGGTCAATGACACGGACAACGTCCTTGCTGACACCCCGAACAAGACACCTCTCCTGAGCATGCAAGAGGGCTTCTGTCCTGACAGCCGCGGGGAATTTGGCAAGGTCGCGCGACTCGACTGGCGAGTGCAGGTAGGCGTGGATGGAGGAAAGGACGTCGTAGACGGTGACGATGCCGCCATTGTGTGGATGAGACGAGGGGAGAATGTAGATTGGACGGAGGTTTGGGTGGAGGAGCGGGGAGACGATGCGCAGGTACTGAGTTGCGGGCGAAGTGGCAGGTCGGCTTGCTTCGTCTGCGGTCAGACGGACCAATGCACCCGCTAGAGGGAGCACAAAGTTGATGGGGCCTAGACCGGTTGGAGTTGGAGAGGCGGACGAGGAAGAGGAGCCTGAACCAGGCTGGGGGACTGCAGCAAATAGTCAGCAATGGTCCGTAAATGTTGATGATAATGGAGACGAGCTCGTACAGGCAGATGCAGAGGCGAGAGAGCCACGGATAAAGTACGGTGGGGGCACGTCTGGGAGCGCTACGGTGCGCATCCTGGGCGCCCTCAAGAGTCTTTGCTGCTCCTCTTCACTCATCGTGTCGTTGTTGTTGGTCGTCATCGTCGTCGTCGTTGTCGCTGTTGTCGTCGCTGTTGCGGGCAGCGAAGGCGGTCGTCTGGCTGCTGGACGGGGAAAGGACGAGCTCATCGCGCACATTGCTAGAATGTGTGCGTGATAGCTTGCTTAAATCGTTGTCGTCGTCGTCGTTGTTGGTGGTCGTGGATGCCGTCTGCCCGCACGAGAGGGAGACGGGCAAAAGGTGGTGGGGGGGTCAGGGAGACTTGGGCGAGCTACCCACATAAGCCCGTCCAATTTATCGTCTAGTCGCGGTACCGAATCCACGGCGGCCGGGGTGCACTCGACCGTCTCGTTGGAGTGACTCTGCTCGACCGACTGCTCATGGCCAATTGCCAAAATACACGAGAAAAAGATATCATACACGAGATGGAATGGGAATGCCTGCAGTATACTTGACCTTTGAGGGGATGCGCATTCAAGCACCCGCAGGACCTGCGCAATTTGGGCGCTTCGAGGTGCTGGGACATGGTGTACGTACAGAATATTCGACGACATGCCACAACCCCGCCTTGTCCACTCCATCGTGCCGTAGCTTAGCAAGCCTACATGGCAGCAATACTAAGAGGTTGGGACTTCCGTTTTCGACAATGAATATTCTTCCAACCCCCCCGCCGCCGCCTATGTCGGGCAATGGCAAACGTGTCCCTTGCTCTCCTCCGACCGACGATATGAGCGCATCCCCGCCATACTTTGCATTTCTAGCGGTACGCCACGTAAGCCCTCCCCCCCCGTCGAGAGCGCCTGCGATCCCGAATCACTGGTGCGACCGCTTCCTCCTGACGCACTAGGTGATAATATCCAGGAAGAACGTCGTGGAATATTTTCAATTAAGAATCCTGACCAGTCGCATCGGAGATCTTACGCCCGATGAACAAGCTGCCGTTCATTAGCAGTAGAACTCGCCGTAAACTTTCTCTCATCCTCTATTCATCCACCTCTAGCCCATGACGGACTACGCCCGGGGCAAGTCGACCGCGCACTGCGCACTCGCCGCAGCCCAATGCCTTGAACTAGAATTGCATCCCTCAGGAAGCGAGTTTATTATATTCAATAGAGTAAAAGTCTTGCAAAAGAGTGCGTAAGAGCCTAGACGCCCTTCATTCCTCGGTCACAACTGGGGCGCTAGAGGTCGTCGTCGTCGTCCCGCCATTGCCAGAGGTGCGGAAATAAACAGACGCCTATAAAGAATATCAGAAGAGTGTAAACAAGGCTTGCTGGCACTCACCGCAGCTGTCCCCTGGTCACGGTCAGTACCACACAACTGTCAAACTTGTACTTGTCGACGTAGATTCTGTGCTGGATCCAGTGGATGTCCCTGCGCTTGTACTCGTACTCTGCGTCGCAGGATCGATGACCCAAATGGAGAGCTGCATACGACGAGAGATCAGTAGGAGCGAGCAAATCAATCAGATAACTTGCCAGAGTGGAACTGCCTCCACATAGCTCAGAGTCATCACCCGGACAAACCTGAAGACAGTCAGGTAAAGCCAGCCTAAAGATATACACGTACGCCATCACACATATCGGAAAACGAAAATCCAGTCATTTGATGTTCAAAACACCCTGCACCATGAATCAGAGATTGAAGCTCGGAGAAGAGAAAAGCGCACAGCAAGCCTTGGGAAAACGTCAGCTCATGTACACTCGAGTGGAAACGACTCACATCTCCATGTGCCGCCGAAACTTCATAGCCAATAGAACCGCAATGATTACGACATGCCGTCATGGTCATGGTATCAGACCTAAAACTACTGTCCATGCGTTGGCTTGACAAGATGGCACTATTCTGCCTTGGTTCCATGTCAGAAACGAATCAAGTCTAGCCAAATGTTCGTACTGTGGGTTTACGCAACCAGCATATCTCCAAGAAGAAGAAATGCTAGGCGTCGACGACGAGGTGCTCGTCTCGGTACTAGAAGCTGACGTTGTCGTCGTCGTTGTCGGGACTTGATATCGGTATACGTTGAGTCGATTCCCTCCACCGCACAAGTGAGTCGAATCTCCGGCGCACGGCATGATACAGTTGTCTGTCGCTTTGTTGCTCTCTGCAGGCAAAGTCGCAGAACAATAGCACTCTGTTCCGTATTCGACTCCAGCCACTTCATAGCCAGCTGCAATGCAGGTGTCGATGCACGTTTCCACCGTCATTTCTTCGTTGGCCGCGACTCCAGTCATGATACGCGCTTGGACAGAGTCGGCGTAGCAGCCTTGACTCGTGAAATCCTTGTACGAGGAAAGAACAGTTGCACCTGCTGGGAATTCTTTGCCTCGATATTTGTAGACGGTAATTCTGTCGGGACCACCACAAATGGTAGACATGTCTCCAGAGCAGGGCTAATCGTGTCAGAGATCGCTTTGAAAGCCAGGTCAGAATCTTACCATGGTGCATCCGTCCTCAGCCGGCTGGCCAGATGAGCCAATCGAGTGGGAGCAGTAGCATTCGTCGGCATATTCCACCCCTGCGTAACCATAATGCAGAGAGAAGCACTTTTCAGTACATTTGAATACAGTCATCGGTCCGTCGACATAGACGCGCAAACCGAGAGCGCGATTGGCGACGACATCCCTACTCTTCGTTAGATGAATGCACACAGAAGAGCTCCAAACGCACGTATAGCATCCAGTTTCACCCTCAAGAGCCCAAAAGCCTGTCGAGGGAAGAACAGATGCGCCAGTATACTTGTAAATGTTCAAGCGGTCTCCGCCACCGCAGATCTCGTTTCCGGCGCCTGTACACGGTATATCACATCCAATGGTAGCTGGAGTACCAGAAGAACCGATGCTATCCGCGCAGAAGCATTCGCGGCCGAATTCGACACCAGCGAGATGGTAGCCCAGGCTGAAGCATTTGGACGTGCACTTGTCCACGCTCATGTCACCTTCCACGTAGACCTGGTTCGGTAGTGCACGGTTGGCGACCGAGTCGGTGTAGCAGCCTTGGGAGCTCCAGCCAGGATAGGTTGTTTCTGGGGGGGACAGGGAGCCAGTGTTCTCGTAGACACTGAGACGGTTGCCACCCCCACACGTTTCGTTTGAGTCTCCGGAGCATGGCATATCGCAGCCAGTTTCCGCTGGGACACCCCCGTTACGAAATTCGTTGTCGCAATCTACAAGGCTTAGCCATCGCGTATAGTATCAAGAAACGAACCTACAGCATTCCTTGCTCCATTCTGTACCAGCATATTTGTATCCTTTACCAAAGCAAAACGATTGGCATGCACCCGTGGTCAGAATGTCGGAAATAAGTGTTGCGCCCGTAAGCGTGCGTGCCGCAATATTGTCTCTGAAGATAGATTGAGCGCTCCGTCGTGATTAATAAAAGTACCAACGTCACGCATCCATACGACTTCCAATTGGGTTCATTAGAGGAGGGTGATAGTGTTATGCGTCGCTGCGAGATGGTGAGCGCCAGCTCGTAGCAATTGCGTCCCAGATATTACCTCGAGAGGTCGTGCATTAGAGGTGATAAGATAAGCGAGTGAGTTTACGAGCGCCAAGGTCGTCAGAACCATGGCTATCCAAAAAGAACGTGAGTTGAGTGAGCTGAACTCGAGGGGGAATTAGAATCGAGAATCATTCTCATTCTCATTCTGCCGCCCTTTTAAGCCTTGGAAAAAAATGAACCCGTGCCTCACTCGAGGCAGCTACAAGCATGGCACCCCTGACATCCTTGACAGCTGAGCGACGGAGGACGGCTTTTGCGAGTTTCCGGTGTCAGTCGTAAAAATTCAGACTCAAGAACACGCCATTCGGGCATTGGTCGAGCTTCTCCGCGATGTTCTGAACAGCAATCGATCCTGCATAATTCTGAGTTCCGTTTGCTGCTCAAATGCTAGGGGTCACATACCTGTGTATTGAACCTTCTCCCAAGCGTTATCGTATTCGACGCATTGAGCGATAGACATGATCCGGAGAGAAGCCAGACTCGTTTGGAGGGACACAGCCGGAGGCCCAATGAAGTCGTTTCCGAGATCGACTAGCAATGAGCAAAGGTAAAACGGTAGCATAATAATTGGTCTTCAGGGCGACATTTCACATTTGCGCATCGCATTGTCGGGTTCGAGTAATACGAGAATACTTGTATTCCCGTCGGAAGCTACCCCGATTAGTGAAAATTACATGTCGTCGACACTCCACTGATAAGCCTCCTGGCCTACGCGCTGTCGCTCGTTCAACCGCTGGAAATACTTTTTCTCGAACCCATTACTACGGTCTGGAAGTTGTTCAGGCAATCTTCACCAAAGGAATATACTACGCACCAACACCATCCCATCGATAACCAGGTTTGATCCCGAACCGATTTGGCGGAGGTGGTGGACCTTTGTACTCGGGCTTTTTGGGACCTTTGGTCTGAGGTTTCTAGAGAGGGATGTGAGATTCTATGCACCTGTTGATACCAAACCTACGGAGAGAAAGGCGGCGGCTGGATCATTCCATCTCATCTCCTCCTTTTGCATCGCATTCAATGCTTCGTCATCTCTCCGCCTATCAAGTAGAGTTGTCAGTCCCTTCAAACTTGGAAGAAAGATGTCACACCTCTCGAAGCCACGACCACGCTCCAGCTCCATTTCTCGTCTTTTATCCTGGGCTTCTTGTCTCTGCACGATACCCTTTCCCCATTGCATACGTTTCGCTTCCTGCTCCTCCTGTTCTCGTTTCTGCCTCGCGGCTTCAGCCTTTGCGGCCTTGGTGTCAATCTTGCGTCCGCTCGCATCTCGATAGACCGTCTCCATTTGCTCAGGAGTCGGTTTTGCATCTGTTGACGTAGTAGACACGTCCGTTCCCAGCTTTTTCCGCAACTCTGCATGGGAGAGTAGCCCTCCAGACTTCTTTGGCGCCTCTGGTTCTACGACAACGACGGGCTTTTCATCCTCTGCTTCTTCAGGCTGTTGGTTGATGGAGTCAGCGCCGGGGGGTGGAAGCGAGACCCAGCCGCCATCATCTGCAACTCGCCTACGCTTCTTAAACGTCCTATCACTAGCCACAACGGCTTCTACTTCATCCTCGTCTTCGTTTTGATCCACAGGTGCCGCCCAGCTCGCGTCTTCGTCGACAATGCCAACGCTGCCACTACCACTCGACACTGCGCCTTGTTTTCGTTTCTTCTTTTTCTTTGGCGCGTCTCTCGCTAGTATAGCGTCTGCCTTGGGCCCACTCATGTACTTCTCGGCCAGATAACGCTGCATGTTTGACATTGTGAAATGTCTAGGTTGTCGATTGGAGATATCCAAAGCCAATGCCCCCTCTTAATCAATGTATTCTGACGTCCTCTGTGAAAGGAACACGCCGTCGGAGTGGTGGCGACAATCAGGTTTTGTTTTGGTCCTGACCGCCATGTCCTCGGTGGCCTCTACCTCACAGGCCGCTGAGAGAAGGCCTGCAAAACGACCCAAATATACACGAGAGGAATCGGTGCGCTCGTGGTCGTCAACGACGCCCAGCAGGCGAGAGGTGGAAGAACGCGCAGCTCAAGAGCTCGAAGCACAGCGCAGAGCGTCGCGTCAACGCGTGTTATCGGTATGGGAAAGCCTCGAAAAGCGATATCATCGTGACTTGGATGACGACGATATTGTCGACCTCGAGTCCATGACGCTAATTCAAGACGCGGGCACCCTTCGACAGATAAAGGATGTTCCTTTTGGATCTCTTGCAGCTGAGGATGCTAGTGGCAGTGAAGGAGACGACGATGAAGAGGACGAGCTGGCCATTTGGAACGACGAACGACATTCTGCCGATGCACTTGTGCAAACGCAAGAGGCGGCTCGGAAAACACGTCTCACCGAAGAGGACGAGCGAGATCTCGAAGAATTTCTGCGCGTCGAACATCAAAGGCGGCAGGAGGAAGGCCTTTCCGATGACCAGAGTCAGCCAGATGGGTTTGACGAAGGATTTACCGAGGGAGGCACAACGACAGATGGTGCTTTCAGTGAAAGGCAGTTCACTGATGGAGACGAGAGGAGCGAAGACCAAGTGACCGACGAAGAGGAGTCTTCCGCCTCCTCATTCCGACTCAAATCTGATCGAGAAGCGGGAGGCGAGGAGGAAGAGTCCTCCTCCGATGAATTAGTCGCTCCTCCAGCATCCAGGACCGCAGCCTCCGAATCTGCCTTCAACCAGTCCGAGCCCGACTCGGAAGAGGAGAGCAGTGACGATGAATTAGCGCTTCCATCGTCACAAGGTGCGCGTGAGTCGTATTCGACCACCTCGGGGCAGCTTCAAAGGCCCCATCGTACCGACCTACCAAGGGACTAGAAAATACTCAGCTTTCCACACCTCCCCGATCCAAATCTAGTGCCTTCACCCAAGCTTCCGATCGTTCCAGCCACAATATTCCCCGTTCACAATCCGACACGAGGCGCGTCAACCATTCCCCCCTTCCCAAACATCCACCAAGGCCTATCCCAGCGAAGAATGCATCTTCGCTGGGAAAACGCAAACGAATCTCGACGCCTCCATTGTCACCTCCTGTTCGCTTTGTTCCACCTAAACACCCGGAATCATACTATCAGCGTCATGGTGCTTCAAGTTCTCGTGCGGCTGACCGACAATCGCATCACTCATCCACTGGTCACAGATATTCGAACTCTTTAGATACTCATCTTACTTCCGAGTATGATGACTTTGATGCCTCGAGTTATGGGTATAGCGGAAGAAGATCTCCGGATTACTCGGAGCGAACCTCCACTTCCGAGCGAAGAGACGAGGATCTCAGAACTCCCGATTTATCACAGCTACTGTTTCACCTCAAGAAGGTCAATGATTGGGTCAAAACCCATCATATCCCGGAGTTGGAGGACGAAGAACCAGCTGATGTGAACCCTCGCCCGTTGTACACACCGTCAAAGAATTCAAACTTTCCAACGTTTCCCGGAAGCACGTCTCGCTCATTCTCGACGCCGAGGAACGCGCAAAGGCACCAATTCAGGGATATCGGAACATCATCCACCCACTCGAATAGGTCATTTTCTAGTTCGATGGGGCCTCCACCTACACCAGTGAAACTATTCGAATCATCTCCGCTCAAGGGCACGTTTTCTGCTTCTCCGTCTCCCGTCAAATCCAGCTCGTCGAGTAGACACCATCACGCCCACTCGACATCAATGTCAAAATTACATCCTCTGGTGAGTATTGTCCAATCTTCTGATATAGGGCTTATCTTTGGATAGGACGAAGACTGCCCCACTCGTCGCAAGCCTCGTCGCAGCTTCAACGAGGATGCCGAAGGTTACGATTTCTCATACCGCTCCGTTTCAACGGTCCGCGACTCGTCCCCAAGCAGAAGATATGAGCATCGCGCGCGGAATTATGGCACGAGCAATACGCCCCGCAGAGACAATAGCCATATTATCGCTCCTCTTACCCAATCGCGCCGTTATTGAGCTAGTTTTCGCTAATATTTCTCATCTCTTTCTCATTGCTGCGCCATCTTGTACAACTTTGCATCACTTCATAGGGAAATACATAGGTGCTGAACCATGGCGGTTGCCTCACAGTCATATACCCAATCGATCACGCCCACAACCCACAAGGGTCTGTAGAGACTGAGAGCTCTTCAGGGGGACCAAATAGGTTACTTGAAGCAACGATATTGAGAGCCGGCTCCTTGGTGATTTTCCGTTTTGTTTCGGATGTGTATAGCTTACCAATGGCATCAGGGCATTGTATGCGGGGAACTGAGAGAAAGACGTACCGTGCCATACGTATGATCGAGGAAATCCTCTTGCATATAGGACGGTTTTGTGAACGCTTCGGAGAAGATTTGGGTAAGAGTTGAGACTGGTGCGGCATAGTGGGATCGGTGCGAATTCAGTTCCCACAAAGACGACGAGATCGCATTTGTACGAAGTGGAGACGGTTCTTCGGCTAAGAAAGGATCTGTGAGGGTCTTAGTGAGTTGCCACAATATAAAGTGTGAGAGCACCTGTTTCGATCGTAGGGTCGAAATCTCGATGAATCATCGGCATAAGGGATGGATGCCGTTTGAGAATATTATAGGTGAATGGGATGATCATGATGATTGCAGGCGGCGGTGCAGAGAGAGATAGACGGGCAAGTCTCTTAAGGAACGAGGCCAGAAGCGTTGCAGGAAGATGCCTGCATTCTCCATGGTAAGTAAATGAAACATTAGAGGGACTGAAACTCACGTTGAAGATAAGAATACTTCCAAAAGGCGGAAGAATCGAGCCCGGTAGCGAACATGTAGGATGTTTGCATCGAGAAGAGCATAAAGTCTCGTGTAGAAATCCGGATAGTCCCTTCTAGAAGTTAGAGAGTCTTGAGCGCTGCCAACTTAGACATACAGGTTGTGTTTCTGAATGAGTACGAATAGTGCATTGAATGCGAGTAGGGCCGTTGCACCATCTGACGGGTCAGCAGGAATCTATAGAATGCCACTTGTACCCTACCAAAGTCAACGCATGCGCCTATCCAATCCACCAACTGCAAGGGTTGGGTAAGATGTGGCATAATGGAGCGGTGTAGAATTGATAAGACACGATTTGAGCGCTCAGGCGACGTCTTGATATGCTGCATCAGTGCCAGCCAGGCTGCAGAGAACTGTGCACGGTGAGACTGTACATAGAACAGAGCTTTGTGTGTGGAAAACTCGCTCGCACGTCCATCTCGTTCTGGTGCAGAGGCCGTCTCTTCCGCTGGCTGAGTATCGAAAAACTTAGACCAGTCATCGTCGTCGTCACTATCCTCCGAATTTTCTTGCGCTTTTTGATTGAATTTGACTCCTGCCGGTGGCTTCGACAATTCTGTAATGTAGAACTCGTTGATGTCGTCCTTCTGCGACGGCATACTATCAATGTTTTCCAAGAGTTCCAAGACGTGCTCAGTCACGTTGTTATCCGGTACAGAAGAGTGCGCCGACAGGAGAGATCTGAAAGCAAGAGTGAGCTACGCACAGTGTCTAAGAATCACGTACGGTATCTCCCTAAGTATAAACCAACGGATATCATCATACTCGTTCGTCAGTTTTTTGAGACGGACCAAGGCGGTATCAGAAGTTATATATGCTGGAACGATCTGGCGAAAGATGCGGTAATGAATTTGTGGGCGTCCGGTAGCAGCTGACAACGATGAAGAGAGCTGCTTGAGAAGTGAAAGCGGAATTTGCCATGCAGCGTCCTTGAACGGCTATTAGTAGAGGCAGAGACCCGAGGCAGAAACGCATTCACCAATATGAGTGGCTCACTGTGATCTAAAAGTGCGAATAATATGCCAAGATATTGGTCCAGCCTTTTAAAGAGCCATTGCCGAACAATTTGCGCTTTCTCGGATGGGGCCTGAGGAGAATGGAACCAGTTCTTTGAAATGAGGAGTGAAAAGGTCCTGTATAGCGCATAAAGGGCTTTATGAAGAACTTTGGGGTCCTCGCCGTTCTTTTCTGCGATCTCCAAAAGGTCAGACAGTCGGTTCAAAGAGCTTCCTTGGGAAACAGCCGCTTGAAGAGAATTTTCTATTTCCTGAATATTGTTAGTGCGTTCGGCGTTGCTATCCTGTATCTTGCGTTTCTTGGTTGGGCGCGACATGGTGGCTTCCAACTTGGCCCCGACCATTGCAGCCAATGCATATCAAGTCGCTCACTATCCAAGGCTTCAAGTCTTGTAAGTCTATGGAGGGTATTTGACGCGTACTGACGCGTTATATACCAGACAGGGACCAGATCAACTTGACAGACTTTTCTCCACGACACAACGTTGTTCTGGGTAGAAATGGCGCCGGGAAGTCAAACTTCTTCGCGGGTAAGGGGAATGCATATTATAAACAACCTGTTGAGGCGATCCTGATCTGCTTTGCCACAGCTATCCGCTTTGTATTGTCAGACGCATACACGTCCATGTCTCGCGAAGAACGACAACTTCTTCTGCATGAAGGTTCTGGTGTGACCAGCACGATGAGTGCTTATGTGGAGATTATATTCGACAATTCCGATCACCGTTTTCCGACTGGGAAAGACGAAGTCATCATCCGCCGTACAATTGGCCTCAAGAAGGACGAATATAGTCTAGACAAAAAGAGCTCTAGCAAGGCGGACGTCATGAACCTTCTCGAAAGTGCCGGCTTCAGCAAGAGCAACCCATACTACATTGTCCCTCAAGGTCGAGTGCGTGTAAAATCAATCTGAGAATACTTTCTGACACTCGACAGATTACGAGTCTCACTAATGCAAAGGACCATGAGCGTCTTGCGTTACTAAAGGAGGTAGCAGGCACTAAGGTCTATGAAAATCGTCGCTCAGAGAGCGAAAAAATCATAGAAGAAACAGGTGCGACTACCCGGGTTTGACATTTCCCATCTAACTTCTCATAGAGTCCAAGCAGGCAAAGATTGATGAGCTATTAGCATATATTGAACAACGTTTGGAAGAGCTTGAGAGCGAGAAAGAGGAGCTCAAGGAGTTTCAACAGAACGACAAAGAACGCCGATGCCTAGAGTATGCGCTTCATTCACGAGAACTCCAAGAGGTTACTGCCGCATTGGAAGAAGTCGAAGAGGAACGACAGCAAGAAAACTACAATAACAAGGAGCGACGCGAAGCTACGGCCAAGCGAGAAAAGTCTATCCAAGTGAGCGATTGTTTGCGTGATGCTAGTGCTTTTTGGTAACCATCCAGCAAGGCTCTAGAGCTCCGTATCAAGGAGAAAAAACAAGAGCAGGCGGTTCTCCTGGTCAATAAACGCGAGCTCGAAGCAGAGCTTTCGCAGCTTGTCAAGTCCAAAACCGAAGTAGAGTGCCTTGTCTCAGATCTCCAATCAAACGAATCCCAGAGTTTGGGTCAGAAGAAGGCCTTGGAGTCTCAACTCAAGAAGATTCGTAAAGCTCTTCAGGCCAAGGAAGTCGAGATGATGGAATTAGAGCCTGAATGTGCGACAGCGCAGGAAAGAGAGCAAGAAGCTCGCCAGACGTGAGTTCGTGTATTCAACCCTCGCTACCGCCTAATACTCGCAGGCTCGACGCCACCAACGCACGCCTTCAAACATTATACTCCAAGCAAGGTCGCCTACGACAATTTGCAACTGCTGCTGAGCGTGATAGCTTCCTGCAAAGCGAAATCAAATCGATCAAAGAGTTTTTAAAGCGACAGTCACAGGCATTGGACGACCTACGAGGACTTGCTCAACAGACTCAGGACCAAATTTCCGCTTTGGAAGCTCAGGAGGGAGAGTTGCAAAATGCGTTGAATACCCGTCAAGAGCAACTCAGGGAGCTTGAGGCGGTGATTTCCAGTCACAAAGATTTGAAGGCAGAAAAGGAGGAGCGAAGAAAGTATGTCAGTGAATTGGACATAACATCTGATCTGACTCGCTTCAGAGAGCTGTGGAGAGAAGAAGCCAAACTTGGAACCACTTTGGGACACGCTCGGGACGAACTACGCACTGCTGAGCGTAATCTCGCTTCAATGATGGACAAGGTCTGTCAGTATTATTTGTGCTTTACAATATTGCTCATAGTGGCCTAGGATACGGCGAATGGGCTCATGGCTGTTGATCGCATTGCTGAGCGTCTAGGCCTTAAAGGCGTTTATGGACCGCTTTATCGCCTCTTTACGGTCAAAAGTCGACTATATAATACTCCAGTTGAACTCACAGCAGGCACAAGGTTCGTAATAAGATCTTGTGCGGCATTGGACTCTGACAGGGTGCAGTCTATTTCACGTTGTAGTCGATACGGATGAAACCGCTAGTCGAGTTCTCAAAGCTATGCTGGAAGAAAAGGCGGGTCGCGTCACCTTCATGCCCCTCAATCGGCTCAAAGTCAAGGCCGTTCAATACCCCGAAGTCGATGAAGTCGAGCCACTTATCAAGCAATTGGAATACAACCCTCTCTACGAGAAGGCTTTACAACAAGTTTTTGGCAAAACGTGCATTTGCAAGGACCTGGCGACGGCTGCAAAATATGCTAGGAGCCACGATCTCAATACCACTACGATTGAGGGTGACAAGGTGGATCGTAAAGGAGCTCTCACTGGAGGGTATCACGATCTCAAGCGATCGAGAATGGATGGAATCAATGCATACAAGCATTGGAAAGCGAAGCACGTAGAAGAGTCTGAGCGTTCAATCAAGCTCAAAGCGGAGATCACCCCATTGGAGCAAGAGATTACGCAAATTTCTGGCAGAATTCAGGTCGACTCCAACGAGCGCATGCGCCTTCTCGATGCTAGAGGGCCACTGCTGAGAAATCTCAGCGCCATTCAGCGCGAAAAGGATCAAGTAGAAGCCAAGTATCAACGTCAAACAGCAGAGATCCGGGAACTGGAAACGGAAATTGCCAATCTCCAGGCGCAAGTGAAAAGTCATTCTGACGAAATTGGTGCCCCGATGAGCAACAATCTGAATCCAAGGGAGCGCAAAGAGCTACAAGACTTGGTCAAGCAGGTGGATGGCCTCAAGTCGTCGTATGCAGAGCGCAAGGCTATAGCTGCAGAGGTAATTAAACTGCTTATCGCCCTACCCTTGTTGACCACGCTCGCTAGATGAAACACAAGAAGGATATGCTGGAGATTGAGCTCAACGAAGACCTCCGCAAGAAGAGAGACGAACTGGAAGGTCTACTAGAACGAGCAATGGACGCACCGCTTGTGGATGCATCCGATGTTGCCAACCTAGAGAGTCGCCAACGTGAGCTCGCCACGTTGCAATCGTCTCTTGACCGGCTGTCGCAAGAACTACAAGGTGAACTCGTCCTTTTTCTCTGGACGCAGACTTACCCTTTTCATAGCCGAAGAGGACAAGGCGGAGAAAATCGCGGCGTCCATCGCGGCTGATGTGAAAGAGCTTGAGAAGGAGAATCAAGCTCAGCGCGACGATGGCAAAGCATTGTCAAAGGAACAGAAACTGGCGGAGCGGTACTTGGCCAAGCGACAAATGCTCTCCGCTCGCAAGGAAGAATGCAACCGGAACATTCGTGACCTCGGCTTGTTACCAGAGGAAGCCTTTGAGAAGTATATCAAGGAAAAGTCTGAAAAGGTTCTTACTCCCCTTCTTTGCCGGTCTGGAGCGTATTCTCACAGACTATACAGCTGTTGAAGAAGCTCACGGTCGTGAATGAGAAACTCAAGAAGTATGGCCACGTCAACAAGAAAGCGTTTGAACAATATAGCAACTTTACAAAGCAGCGAGAACAACTCCAAACTCGCCGACAGGACTTGGAAGCATCAGCAAAGTCGATTCAAATGCTCATGGAGACACTAGATCAACGAAAGGATGAAGCAATCGAGCGTACCTTTAAACAGGTCTCCAAGTACTTTGAAGAGGTTTTCGAGAAGCTGGTTCCTGCTGGTCGAGGGCGACTGATTATGCAGAGAAATATAGACGAGGTGCGATCTCAGGCTCTCCTAACGCCGATCTGACTGGTTTTCAGACGCAAGACGTTGACATGGACGAGGATGTGGCTGCATTGGATCGGTATACAGGCGTCGCCATCAAGGTACTAGACTAATGACGTTATATAAGGAGACTACTGACGATTTGCAGGTATCTTTCAACTCTAAATCGGATGAAGGGCTCCGGATTCAGCAACTGTCCGGTGGTCAAAAGTCTTTGGTGGCGCTTGCGACAGGTTGGTGAACAGTCGAGAGTGTGTAGTGGGATTGCTAAAGTTTCATAGTGTTTGCTATCCAGAAATGCGACCCTGCGCCCTTTTATCTCTTTGACGAGATTGATGCCAATCTTGACGCGCAATACCGAACTTCTGTTGCCAGTATGTATTGGTGACCGAGGTGACTGCCTTTCTAATCTCTTTTTCCTTTAGCAATGATTCATGAACTTTCGTCGACGGCTCAGTTTATTACGACCACGTTCCGACCCGAAATGTTACAGCGAGCGGACAAGTTTTTTGGCGTCATGTTCGATAACCAAAAAGTGAGCTCCATCTCGACCATTGGGCGAGAAGATGCTGTCGAGTTTATCGAAAACGAGACGTTGGCCCAATGATTGAACTGTAAAGATGTACGTTGTTTCTAGGTATACGATTATGTAGAATGGTACAGAACAATGGATGAATGCCTTGAGCTTGGCCGGGAAGTGATGGCAGGATTGAACGCGCCATTAGGTATCGACTCTGGTTCTATTCATGTCATGTGCACTATAATTGAAGGCGAGACGGAACTCTGGCAGTTTGGTGACGCGGTATCAATCTGTGTTTAGACGCTCCAAGTCGGGCTGCGACATCTCGAGCCGACCGGCGCAGCAGCCATGGCCCTTTAGCGGGACTGGACCGTCCAGACTGGAGTACATTGTTGTCGCAGTTAGTGAGCGCTCAGACAATTGCTAGCGCAAACGAGCACAGCACTCAGAAGACGGGGGCGCTGCAGTTGACGATGGGGGAATATTGGGTGATTATTCATGCCCATCCTCTTTTAGGAGATCGAGGTTATTTTCATCCGTTCCGGCGCTCGTGCTCGGGTCTGGGCTGTCAGAAATATCCGCAGCGTCCACAAGACTCGACATTGTAGTTGTTTTGATGGACGATTTGGAACGGGATAAAAGGCCGTGGGTATGCACACAAGATGTTGGCGCATCGCCCTTGAGAATTTTGGCCCCATCTCATATAAACTGCTTGCCCCGCCCACGACCGCGCCCCCCAGCCTGGCGCCTTCTTGATCCCCGACCACTTTTTTCTCTTTTCTTTTTTTCTTACAACCTTTTATCTTCACCTCAGGATCAAGCCCAATGCTCTCCCCAGAAACTCCGATGCCGCTCATGGGTTCTTCGTCGGTATGTCTATTTTAAAAGCCACCCCCCCCCCCGCCGTCGTCGTCAACACTTCGAATAACTAGGCTCACAATGTCTCTACAGGCTAGCACATCTCGTCCCGCAAAGCAAGAGCAGTCTCATTTCGTCGACTTGGCCACCAAAGTCCGATATCTGGATTCATGGAGGATTGTCGCCTGCAGTGTCGCCGCTTTTGTGCTCAATCTGCTCGCACTCATCCTCAACATCTCTCTGGTACACAACAAGAAGCTCCATGTCTTTCCACCAGCCATTATTGGCATGACCGCGGCGGCCCTTGCTCTCGCTTCAGTCGCATTCGACCTCTTGTCGGCAGAGGCCAGCGCAAAGGCTCAGTCCCCCAAGAAGAAGAGGTTCCTCTTCTCCGCACCAAGCAGGACTGCAATTCGTCAAATGATTTGCTTCCTGGCCTTTGTCCCGGTCATTGTCACTCTGGTCATGCTCACCCTCCAAGCAATCAACGCCAAGGGTCGCTTCAATGCGTACTTGCACATCCAGACCACCCCGCGTACTTCGCTCGTCATCGTTGACTGCATGGCCCTCGTAGCCGACATTGTCCTCTGTGCCGCCATGGCGAGACTCGTATGGTGGCCGGTACACCGTGCGGCTCGCTCGACCATGATCATCTCCTCTCTCCTCCAATGCACCATTGCCACCATCCTCATCGCCGTCAACTGGCAGCCCTACACCGGCTGCGTCCTCCGTCCCTCCATCAGAGCCACCGCAACATTTACACTTCACCAACACGTCGGTGCTCTCGTGTTCACCACAGCCATATTCAGCTTTGGTATCTGTTGCGCTATCAAAGAGGGGGACCGCATCAACAAGGTCTTTACCCGCTTCATCATCTTTTACACCATCCTCGCCTCCTTTACCGTGTTCTTGCTCTTTGTCATCCTCGGTCTCGCTATTCACCTCTTGTTCGACAAATCGCTCAAGGCCATCGTCACCGACGCGACACTCACTTGCGACCCCATCCTCACCGGATGCGCCCTCCTCTTGTTCGGCGTCAATTTTTGGGCTACCCACTATCTCCAGGAACCCCCACCGTCGACGCTCGCGGTCGAGCCAATCGACTTGAATGACCTCTCCGCTGTTCAACGCGAGGCATTTGCCAAGCTCATCAACAAGCACGGCAAGAACATTCCCGACGCACCTGGTGGTCAAGAGGCCATGTCGCTCATGCACGCGTACCAAAACGCCAACATGCCAGGCATGAAGTGCATCGTCCTCCGTGTCTACAAGCCGAGCAAGGTTCCCGACAAGAGCACCATTCTCAGCAACATGGCCGTCAACTACTCGTACGAGGATGACTGGGCGTGGAGAAATCTCGACATGGAGCAAATGGCCATCCGCCATCGGTCAGTCATCATCCCCGAGATCAAAGAGCCGGAACAGCCTGCCCCTCCAAAGCTGAGCAAGAAGCAACAAAAGAAGATTGCAAAGGCAAAAGCAGAAGCCCAGGCCAACGGTGGACCGACCATGCCCCTCTCGCCCATCAACTCACCAGAGGAACTCCAGGCCGAGCTCGAGTTTGCCCAAAAGCTCGAATCGACAGAGGCCCTTGTCATGATGTCGCAGATCCCCGACTATGATCTCACTGGAACGATTCCCGGAATCTTTGGACGCATCCTCCGTCGTACGCTTGGTGCCGATTCGTACTTTAAGCCACTCTGCGTCAGACTTGGCCTTCTCGCCTTTCACTGGCCCTTCCGACAAGCAACATTTTACACTGCTGCTACCAAGCGGCCCGTTGCCCGTTCGGCTGCTGTCCTTCGTGCTGTCGCAGAGTGGAACGACCACCGTCCGCGCTCGGAGCGTTGCACAATCTTGCTCGACCCGACGTACCAACACGGTGATGCCGAACGCGCGATTGTCCCCAGTGGCTGGCAACCTTCTCCCCTCCCACCATCGCACGTGATTGATCTGCGCCCGTACAAGGGTAAGACGCTCCCCGAGTACCTCAAGGCAATCAAGTATCGCGACCAAGAGGCTGCGTTTAAAAAGGCGCACGGTGAAGTCTTGGAGAGCACAGAGTTTACGGAGACACAGTGCGAAGAGGTCATGCGTCTCTGGCGACAAATTGCTCAAAAGCGGACGGGTGAAGGTCAAACTGCCGTGCTTGCGGAACCGGACGAGAATATGCTCATGGAACTCGGCGGTGGCAACAAGGGTGATCGAAGCTTGCTCTTTTTGCGCGCAGACGGCAAGACGATTGCATCGTGTGTCTTGTTCCGCTTGGGGGATACGATTACGTCGGATCTCCAGGGACTCGACTATGAGCTCGCGCGTCCGCTCAAGGCGTATTTCGTCATGATGCAACACACGATTGCGATTGCGCTCAAAGAGGGCAAGAGCTTTGTCGATTTTGGTCCAACGACGTCCAAGCCCAAGATTGATATTGGGTGCACGTCTGTCGGTATCACGGGTGCCATGTACGCCGTCTCGCCGTTTTTGCGCTCCATGATTGGCTTGTTTGCGAACAAGGTCACCGAGACGATTACGAGCACCAAAGAGGACAAGGAGAAGCAATAAAGGAGAAGTAAAGATGTATTATTAAACTGGGTTTTTTCCACTAGGCCGTCGCCCACCAAGGCGATGCATGCATGCGCACAACACCCCTCTCTCAATCATCACAAACAATTGTAGCGCCTACTATCACGAACAGCACCACGCCACACTCTGTCATAACTTCTTCCCTTTCCCTCGCATACCTCGAGTGCGCCTTGCTTTGGACTTTAATTCTATCGCCAGGGACTCCTCCTTTTCTGCCATGCCAGGCCGGTTTCCCTTTTTAACTTCTTTCCCTGGCGCGGCGCACTCGATTTGTTATTCCATTCGTTTGAGCCGTCCACACGTATACCTAGGTGGTCGCTCGTTTTATTTCTTTATCTTATTTCTTCAATTAACAGCTTTAACCTTCTTTACTTTACGTCTCGTTTGCTTTTTGGACTGGTTTTGGCTCTGGTCTCTCCCAGACTCTCGTTGGACGGTCCGTGGTTTGAATTGATGGTCGGTGACATGAAATGTAACATTGGTTTCCGGAATGTCTCGGTAGATTTAAGTAAGCTCTACTCTCTAGCACACGAGCCAGAATGACTCCGTGTTGGTCCAGGCGGCATGAAATCCGACCATTGGCAGAAAGCAATTCAAAACAACTCTTATTCTTGACAATCCGAGCACCTAATTAAGAAGTTGTGATTCGTTGAATGAATAGGACACTACGAACTGGGCAAACTAGCTAGCGTATGTTCGATATGTACTGAGACGTACGAGTGATACCTCTATAAGCATTCTGTATACTCAGACAATGTTACGTTGCTCCTGCCAAGAAGACGCTGGCAGGAAGGCATCCGGCGATAATCAATCCCATGCAGCCAGGCTCTCTCCCATGAGCGCGACATCCACGTATCGATAACCTCTTTATCTGTTTTTGGATATGTATAGAGGTTCTCTCGACTAGAAGATGGCGTGGGGGGTGAATAGGACAGGTGTGTTGTTGGTTTGGAGCATGGTCGATGTAGCTTGATACACTGTTGGCAGCCCGTGCTGTCAATATGTAAGCATGAATATTACTGCAACTCGTTACGGTAATAAGAGGCGACTTACACGCTCATGTCACCAAGTTTATCCATGACAGCGTAGACCGAAAGCTCAAATGAAGTGGGCCTAGGCGTGAGTAGTCCCTTCAATCTATCCACCAGTGATGCCAGACAGAAGTTCGGCGGATATCCAGGGAATGAGAGGGTATTGATGATCTTCACTGGCTCGAATTGCGATAGTATTCGCCGTTCGAGTGTGATAAAGAGAACGTCCCATTCGGGGTAATTATCGACGAACTCGACCTGCTGTAAGGAAGGCGTAGTCTCGCACTGCATAGCGAGCTGGCAGCAGATGAATGTCGAGATGTCCCCTCGCGCCGAGATGCGCAGAATACGCAGCGCGGGCAAGTCGAAACGGATGCTCGCCTCTTGCATGTAAATCGCATCTCGAGATATAAAACTGCGAGGCACGTCCATCGTACCAGATAGAGCCGTCGAAATGGTGAATTCTCTGTAGACCTCCACGCGTCCATAGCAAATCTTAGTTTCAGTCTCTCTACGTTGGGATAGGCATTATTATTGATATTTCCGACGTTGCATGCCACCTTCATCACTCGCAGATTGGGAAGATGACTCTGTGGCCGACAAAAGGGGACAATATCTGGCCCTGTGTCGACGGAGCGGAGCTGTGGGTAAGCGTCCAGGAATATTTTGCATGGTTGACTCCAAGTGATGACACTGAGAGTTTCGAGAAGGGGAAAATGAAGGAGGAAAGAGGCCAAGAAGACCTCGAGCGCCGGATCGTCTCGTACATCGGCATCCCAATCTGTATCTGGGACGGCATATCTGATATCAACTTTGCAATAGCGAACAGGTAGTGATGGTGACGACGACGGTGATAGAGGCTTTACACCTCGTGCGCATCGAATTTGGCAAGTGAATGCTTCCAGGTTCGTAAGAACACCAAGTGAAGCACATATTGAGGATAAATTGTCAACGTCGAGAGCCATCGCGAGTTCGCGCAAGGAGGAACCCAATCTCCCTATGAGCATCTCGCATAAATGAGTATCAGGAAGGCTATAGTCAAGGTGGATCCAACGTAAGGGAGAACCTCTAGAACAGGTTTGTGGCCCGATCGGAGGAGGCGGTTTAGATCTGGATGTGAGTTTGACAGATCGGAGTAATTCCATTCGCTCAAGAGTGGGCATGACCTGCATCAAACCCACGTCCAATTCCAAGCTACGTAAGCAAGGGAATAGATTATTTGAAGCGTGGACCTCCATGAAGAGGGCGCCCTTCAACTCTTCCAAGCGCGGACTACCGCGTAGGAGGGGCCATATATGGGTAGTATAGACACAGGAGAGTAGACCATGCCACTCTAGAATCTTCAAGTTAGGAAACGGAACAGATAACAGCCCTTCTTCGTATGATACCGGCAAGAGTTCGCTGAAAACTGGCGGCAACGCCACGACTTTCTTGACTCGACCGGCGTGAGGAGATATAATGGGTGCGAAGTGCTGCTTCCAGGTCTCGGTATGAAAGTCTACATAGAGATCCAGGTCAAGTGATGAGGAACGTCTGAGATTCATCGACACTTGAGCTTTGATCCTTTCCAGAGAACCATCTATGGGCACATATGTATGAATCGTGGTCCAGAAACTAGGCTCATTTGTAATCAATCGAAGCCACGTTCTAGAAACACGGCACATCGGCGCAATAAGGGTTACTGAAGCAGGATCATCTTCAACCGCCATCTTGATGATTTGCGTCCACAGTTCTGATGGCAAGGTCTCTAGTGGATCTCTGCGTTGAAATTCGGGTCACAGAGACGTGTTATTGTCCGGGAAATAATAACATGGCTCGCCAGAAGCTCTTGCAGTTTCCTTTGAGCGTCCTCGTCGTCGTCATGCCTAGCTTTCTGCTCGTGAATTTGACGTGCCAATACCACACGCTCTTGTCTTAGCCTCTCTAATTCTTCGCAAGTTGATCGTGGAAGCGCTGCCATGAGGAAGGCACCGAGGTTGATTTAACCACCCTTGCCCGCTCGCTCACCTATGTACACAAGACGGAATGAGCATAAAGAGCGACGATTCAGCATAAAATTATAAATTGATCGAGCCCTAGCTTACAGAGAGTTCGCCGGTTCGCTGGATTGCTAGACATAATCTATTTCTTAACTTTCGATTCGTGGGTATAGGTTACCATCTGATCCAACGTGGAAACATTGCAAGGTATCATTCGCTGCTCGATACTCATTCTCGTCCACCAGCTCGCCCTTGCTCGGCGCCTCCATGTCTCGAGAACATCATAGTCCGTTTTGGGGTAAGGAAGAAAGGTGTTGAGCTTGGTGCGAATTTCAGCTTCGGAGAGCTTGATGGCCATCACTTGGTAACATTTTCGCCGATTCTCTACGCATTCGAAGCATCCTAGACTACAGGAATGTTAGTGAAATAATTCGATACGATTCTTTGAGTACTCGCTTGTTATTCTGAAGTAACACCTTCGCAATATGATCAACTGAAAGCTTCAAAGAAGGTGGCCTGTATGTTATCAATCCTTGAAGTCGGTCAATCAGAGTATTCCGAATGAGATCTGAGGGCGTGAGTGTGAGTGTGAGAGACCGAATCGGGATGACGGTGGATGTAAGTATTCTGCGTTCGAGCAGAATGAAGATGACGTCCCAGTCAAGCAGGTGATCCTTGATGGTCAACCTCTCCAAGGAGGGGAGTGCTTCTGGCCGCTGCGCGATACTTTGACAGAGGAAGCCAGACGTTCCACCTCTCACTGTATAGATTTCAAACGTATTCAGCGCAGGTAGATCGAAAGAGACTTCTGTCTCGCCTGGGTTCCTCGAGAGATGGATACTGAGCCTTGTCAAGTGCAGCCAGCGACCTGCGGCAAAGTCAAGATGGCTCGCATCACTCGAGTTTGGCAAAGCGTCGTATGTAAGGAAAAACTCTAGAGACTCTAGTGTTGGTATATCGACTGTCTTGAACACATTTGCATCGCATCCAATTCTGAGGCTATGGATGACCAACGATGCGGCCATGTCTTTTCGGTAAGGTATGATTCCGGATGTACAAGTCAAATCTCGGAGGTGGGAAAGACTGTCGAGAAAAAAAGGGTAGGGCTCGGAGGGAACGGATCGGCTAATTTGTGCCTTTTGGACCCTGGGAAAGTAAAGCAGAAGCGAATCTATGTATGTCTGCTTTGGACGGTTCCTGCGGCCCACTTTCACAGTGGTGGCTGGCGCTAATACGACGGTGGCGTCGATGTCGAGGTTGAGATTGAGTACCGAGACAAGGCATTGATCACTTGCAGGAATGGAGAGACCAACTTCGACCGGTGTTGAGCCATCACCTTGGATGAGAAGATGTAAAGTATTGAGGAGCGGTGCAAATCGAAGGGCACACAGGAGCGGATGAATGAGAGCCAGGGAAATGGATGCGGTAAGTCGAATGAGATGGGGCGCTTGAGAAAGCATGTCAAAAAGTGTGCCGTGATCACGTTGCCAATACTTGAGCTCGGTCCATGGCAAGCCTTCTGTGACAACTAGCGGATTTGATCGGGTTCCCGCCTCGGGTTGAGACTGAGGCGATTCAACACAAAATTCCACGGAGGAAAGATGGCGCTGTCCCTTCAAAAGTGGCCAAAAAGAGGCCGCGGCTCGGAAGAAGGACAGCTTGTTCGGGGTAGTACTGTATTGAGCTCGAGGCGGCTAGCATCTATTGCGACGCCATCAAATCGCTTTAGCTGTGGGTTTCTCGCCAGGAATCCCATAAGGTTTACGGTAAAGCGGGGGATAAAGGTGTCGGTTTCCCGTGGTAGACGAACGTGTTCTAGTTGTTTGAACGGAGATAAAGTACGTATTACAGAGTCCAAAGTATCTTCAGTCGGTCGAAGATGTAAAATGAATCTGACGCGGTCAGCATGAGGAAGTATGAGGGGCTCTACGACTGTTCGCCACTCGGAAGCAGCAAAGTTGGCATTTAGGGAGAGATTTAGGTCCCCAGAGCGCTGAAGATGAATAAATAGTCTCATTTTCTCCCTTGAAGAAGGGTAATCGGCCAGCCTCAGGTCGATGTTGGTCCAGAGACTAGGCTGTTCGGCAATGAGACGTGCCCAATGAGGAGAAACCCGACGTAGTAGGGTAAGACGGTCAAAGGCTGGGAGCCCGGCATCTGATTCAGCCATCACCAGGTGAAGGATTTCGACCCAGATATCGCCAGGTAGCATTGCTAGTGGATCCCGCTTACGGTCAAGTATTTTTAAGAGGTCGAGAATTTTTGAGACAGTTTTATTGTAGTTCTGGATCAATGGGCGCGCCACTGCGTCCCCGAGCGTGTTGTGTTCCTTTCTTAATGGATCATAAAAGAGCACATTGAGCTGAGTGGAGAGAGTGTGTTTCTCGTTCTGAAGTTTTTGAAGCTCCTCAGACATGACTAGGATTTAGGCTTTGATTGCTCCGTCTGGCAGCAGGCTAGTTGTGGTAGGCTCCAAATCTGTAATCAGGGAATAATATATACCAATCGAAGCTATGTAGTCGAGAATATGATACAAGATCGAAATATTGTGATTATCTAGATGATGAAACGGGCCGCGTTTTCCAAAGCACCCACAATCTCACCTTCTTCCAAATACCTGTCATTTGGGTAAGACAAAGCGAGCACCAAATGATAGAGACCTACTCGTTTAGTATCTCTTCCACGACTTTCTTGTTCTGCTGATTCCATGTACCAAGCGTATATAGCTTGGTACTCTGTCTCATATTGAACCGAAAGTATTTTTGGGCTAGAATAACATCTGTAACGAGCCGCTGGTGAACATGTTCTGTATCGAGAGCCATGTTGCTGAGAGCGTTTAGCACCTCTGGGGTCTCGCCTTTGAAGTGTTGTAGGATGCTGCGCTGAGCCGTTTGAAACCCAGGCTTTGCGAGTACATTCGAAGGTGCTTCACCACATCCGATGCTGATCAGGCACTTGAGACGATTGTGGTTAAACGCGCTGGGGAGCTCTTCTAGCGCCAAACGTGAAGGGTTGTTGAAGCCGGATTCGGCACTGAAGAATCGCCCTCCGCCTGTCCTAATCACAGGAAGCTTGCCAAACGAGGCTGTCGTGGCTCGTGCAGCCTCCCAGATCTTGAGAGGATGGTCGAGAGAGTTGAACGTTTGGTAAGATCGAAGGATTCGTGGCGTTTGAATATTGTCCGCAGGCAAAGCTGTTAGACCTCTGGAAGCTATTAGTGCGACTTTTGAAGCGAATAAGGTCCCCACACGCGGCATTTTCCTGTCTCTCTCGAGGAAGTTTCCGCCATATCGACATATTTGCCTTCACAAGAACAAATATTGCATATCCTGTTCTCCTCTGTAATCAGATAGCGTGTAACCTGCTCTTGTATCACACGCTCCGCTCGTCGGTAGTCGTAGCGCATGCCGCGACTGTAAAGCCAAGCATCGAATGTCCATCCCCATGGACGACCGTAGACTTCTTCGGCAAACTCGTTGTATGCTCGCTCCAGTTCGTCGAGCGTCAGTCTGAAGCGCCCTATTTGTAAGGCGAGAATGCCGCCTGTCCCAGTGCCCACAACGAAATCCTGTTGGCCAAGATGCAAGCTCTAGGATTGAATGGAATTGGTCGAGATGCACGCACAAAATACGTATGCGGCCTTATTTCGCCCAGCTCTTCCTCGGATGGCTTACGCCCGTTCTGGATCTCATAGACGACTTTTATGAGTTCTCGGAGTATACCAATCTGCGCCAGTGCTCGAGCGCCCCCGGTACTTCCATCACCATCTAGCCGCCCAGTCGGTTGGCGTCAGAATCGGCACAAACAGTGAGGGTACCTTGCTTACCTAGAGAGAGTACTTTAATTTCTCGGTTATGGATAGGATTGGACATTCCGACCTTGGAGGTTGGGAGGAGCAAGGTTCAAGTTGTTACGAGGTTTCTATGTCCACCCCCAGGCTATGCGATTGCTCTTCTAGAGCCCTTATCTCGGTTCGCAGACTCGGAAATATTCTTTAGTGGCAAGCGGCCGGTGGCAGAAGGGGAGAACAGTTGCGCCTGTACCGCGTCGACCTCGACGTGTATATAGCAGATATCGCGCCTGGAATATCACTAAATAGCTCAAATATGAAGAGAAAGGCCCCGTCCTTTCAAGACGCGGCGAGCAAACGTCGGAAACCGGTAAGACATTCGAGCCACTGTCATACCCTCGATGGATGCGAGTATGCTCATCGGATGGTCACAGGACAACTCGGACGACGCGTCAAACGATGGTTAGTTTTCATTTCAAGGAAATTTCTCTTCGTAACCGGGCTAACTGGTCGCCTGTTGAAATGCAGCGGACGGCGTAGAAGTCAAGTCGATGGGTGCAGAGCTTCACGATTTGGAACGAAGAGAAATAATGGATAGGTCCATTCTTACAACGGCATCTCTTCCACACATGACGTTCAGCAAGCCGAAGCTTGGAGCCAAGAAGGCTGTAAAGCCGTCGTCCACGCTTGGATCTACCTCAATGTCCCTGTCGCTATCCAATGCTTCAAATTTCAATAGCAGTACTATTGCTGGGTCCAGCACGAGCACTGCAACTATGCCTGCTCGCCCTCCTCCACGACAGATTGCGGATATAGGGAATTTATCTCAGAAGATCAAGCAGGTCTCAGCTAAGAAGGAACAGGCTCGTCGAAGTTCCTTTGCAAAGAGAGGGAAGCGCGTCAGCGGGAGCTTTGAGACAGGTGAAGCTGTCATGCCGCACGAAAGCGTTCCAAGTGCAAAGCTATATCGGCATATCGACGAAGATTTGCCGGAAGCGCATCGAGTTCGACATCTGTTAGTGTGGTGCGCACGCAGGGCTGCCGCTGGAGAGTCTCCGACCAAGTCAAAATCGAAACTGGGTCAACAGGACTCAGCCCTCCTTGCCAGCATCCAGGACAAGGTCGTTCGCCAGCTGATGGACTTGACGATTGATATACCTTTGTACGATGTGGAGAATCGAGGCAAGCGAAAGCCAGACGAGCCCCTTATGGACGACCCAATCAATGTTAGGAATAGGGAACTCAAGGAAAGATTGACAATAATGGAAGAAAAGTGAGTTATTTCCGGCCAATGCGAGGTTTAGACTGAGCCCTCACAGGGCTCGCGATGAGGATCGGATGTGGGCCAAGGTCATCTCGGACTATAACGCTCTGCAGGCTTCCGTCCTATCCACATTACCTCAAACGAGTGCCAGTACCCCCGGAAAACATATCAAGAGACCGACATTTGACGTTCGTCTCTCCGAGTTGGACGAGAAATGGCAAGAGGTGGACAAGGAAATAGAGTCGTATCGAATGGAGCTGGAAAGCGGAAAGATCAGAGAGCTGGACACCCAGCTTGCGAAAAGATGTCGAAAACTTCCTTTCGAGGTGTGTCCTCATGCTTTTGATAGCAAGCGCAGACTGACCATCAAAAGCTTGATAGTCTTCGTCAGTCCCTGGCTCGGTCCAACGCCTTTACCGAGCAGGCCAAAGAATTTATTGACGACTTATTCGCCTCCATCAACGCCACTTCGTCAGGGCCATCATCGTTGAAAATCGCAGGCGCTACCCAGCCGGCCAGCAACTCGGTTGATCTTTTTAGGGCGCTGACCAAGACGACATCGTCAGATACCCCGTCCCAACCTCCTGGCGCTACCGGTCTCAACGGACATGTCATCAATAATAGGCGGCTAACTGCGGTCGTTCAACCGTCAACTCCGCGTCGTATGCCGGGTACGCCGCGACGCGGTAATGCCTGAGACGAATGCGACCATTATCTCTAGAATCTACTCAGCTTCTTACTATGTGACCGATTTCTTGCTTGATCCTTTGACGATATCTGCTGTACTGCCACCCATATTTCGTATTGAACTATTCTTGCCGACCAATCGGCCGTGCGATACCTCATGAATTAGCCTACTTAGCGCCCCGTACAATGCCCGATCCCAGCACTTGAAAGACTGGGCGTAGACCGACTGCGCGGTTTCAAAAGCCACTCGAGAGCAGAGGCAATCTTGGACCTCATCCACGACATCTACAAAGTCTCGTGGCCGATAATCATCAGGAATAAGAATTACTTGGCGCCATCTAAGACTGACGGATGCCTTCTATTCTGTTCTGGCTGCTCGTGATTGCATTCGTGCTCGCGGTGTTGCCTACATCAGCGCACGCATTTGGTGCTGGAAACTTGCCGAGGTACTCCTTTCTGTTTCTGAAGTGGAATGATAATGCTGATCAATGCCCTTTGTCGTCATCGATAGCTATGCTTACCTCGAAGACAAGGCGTTTAGGTCAGAATCCATTTCTCTTGTTCTGAGGTAGATTGAGTCTAAATGATTTCAGACACGGTGACATTGAGGATGTCCTAGCCGAGCTCTTGAAGCGGACTGGGAGTGGCTTGCTCAAACAAGGCAGCAAGTTTAAAGGACTGGATATTAAACGCGTATATTTCGGGTATGTCTATCCAATTTTATGGTTGTTGGATGATCACTCAATCTCCTGTAGAAACTGGTATGGATCGCTAATCTGTAATAGTGTGTGGTCTAACGAGCGCAGGTTGAGAGACTACTCTCAAGCTGTAGACGTTGCAGGACTCAAGGCGACGACCATTCAGGTGGAACACACTCAGGCCTCTCTCGTACAATACTGACCTTAGATATGCCAGAATATCATCACCATTTGCACTGTTCTTGGATTCATGGCGCACGGGTTTGTCACCGATGAATTCGAGGTGGGGACCTAGCAAGTAAAAGCTCCGTTCTGACGGCATGCAGGTTACGGAGGAGCGCTTGGGCGTCTATCTCCCGGTCGAACACATTGACAATCCCAAGTTGGTCAAAATTTTCCCTTTTTCGTAGGCTAACGTTTGGCAGGGGCTATCCGGACGATGCACGAAAGTATCATCCAAAGCTCCGCGGACCGGTCGACCCACGCGAGTTGGAAATAGACCTGCGCACGGGAATGAAGAACTATATTGCTAATGAGGATGGTGGTTGGGATACTTCCCGAGCGCTTGTCCGACGCCGCTTGCAAGAGTGTATCAACATTGGTCGACGATATCGAAGCACTCACAACAAAGCAGACCAGTATGAGGCGTTCAGGCTTCTTGGGAGTGCCCTTCACACGATGGAGGATTTCCCCGCTCACTCCAACTTCTGCGAGCTCGCCCTTGTCAGCATGGGTTGTAATCAGGTATTCACCCATGTAGGCGACAACGTCCGTATTCCAGCTCCAAATGGGAAGTTTGTTGCGCCTCTGGTTACTGGTACGTCTGAGGGATTCGACGTGACAGTCGAACTTAGTCCTTGCCAGGCACATTTGGTGGAGATGACTTTCAGCACTCTCTCCTTGGAGAAGCCGGAGATCATATTGTTGGTGACCTGCACCACAGTGTGAGCTCTACTGACCTCGCTATAGTCTCAATCCAGTATCTCTGATCTCAATGAGCACGTGAACAAGGCTCGTGCCAAGTCGGCATCCGGAGACTTTGGTAGTGCGAACAAGATTAAGGCACTCATTGCAACCATTCCTTCGCCCGAGGCACAAAGCATGTCGCGCGACATTGACACAATGCAAGCGAATAGAGCCACACCTGGCAAGGATCCGAATACTATGACCCCGAAAGAGCTTTACCAGAACATATGGGCAATTCTTTCTTTCCGAGACTCTGGTACGCTCAACATTTGACATAGACGAGTGCTAATATTATACAAGTCGTGAAGAAGATGTCCTACGGTATCGAAAAGATTCCTGGACTCGGACCCTTGATCGATGTGAGTTTGTCCAGTCTCAGTTGGTGCAGCAGCCGAACCCCTCACAGAGCATTATGGAAAATCTCACCGTCTTTGTCATTCAAACACTCGAGCCATATCTCAAGCCATTGATGAAGACGGCGACGACGCAGTTGGCGGCATCATCGGCTGCAGTCATCAATAAGTTGGATCAATACGAGGTATTCCACGACCTAATGCCAGCGACCCAACGCACTCTATTCTTAGCAAGGATCACTTCGTACGTGCACCCTCAATATCAATTTCATTGCTTATAGTTCCATAGAATCTTATCCGTTCGTGAAAAATGTTGGACAAATCGTGTCTCGATACTGACCGCTTTTCTAGTCAATGAGCCGGCTGGAAATCTCGCCAAGATTATCGTTATTCACACAGTGAAACTCGTCGTCCATGCTTGGGATCACGCCGAGGACAATATTCACCATGTCACGGAGACAATACTTGAATGCATGTTCCATCCGGATTTCCATAATCCTCGCTCTAGCGTCCAAAAGGAGATGGTGGGTGCTCGCATCACTACTTCACCACGACTGAAGAAATCATTAGATGGAATTTATGCGTCAATGGCTCAGCACTCACTCGGCTGGCCATCACGACGTGCTCTCGCGGTTGACAAAAGAGGCCATTCGAAACCATCAAAACGTTCGCAAACAGGGAGATTCAAGTGGATCTACTGTCTCGTCTGCGACTCACGGCCACGGAGCTGCTGTTGGTTATGGACATCAAGCGTCTGCAAAGATCTCGAACACTCTACAGTAGGTCTTCGTACAAAGCAGTCCTCTTCTATGCTTACCCTTTCATTCAGCTCAATCCCAGGTGTGAATCAAGTCCAAAACTTTGTAGGTCATATGCCCGGTGGGGGACACTTCCCTTCGCGAGATATGCCTGGATATGCAGGAGGTCCGCCGGAGCCTAGTTATAGTGCTCCTTCTACTGCGCCTGGGGCTAGTTCGTACAATGCACCTCCGTCCATGCCCGGCGCCTCTCCTTATGGAGCGCCGCCTTCCATGCCAAGTGCTTCAGCATACGGGTCCTCGCATAATGCGCCTTCACATACATCTGGCTACCCAGGAGCCTCATATGATATGCCGAAAGGCCATGATCATGGCAAGAAACATAAAAACAAGGGTTCGGATTCCGACAACGACAAGCCAAAGAAGGACAAGAAGAAGAAAAACAAAAACAAGGATTCCGACTCGGAGTCGGATGGTAAGCCCAAAAGGATAAGAAAGACAAGCATAAGCACGGATATGACAGTTCCTACGGCCAGCCATCCTACCCCTCTGGTGGGTACAACCCGTCGCATAATCCACCAGCACACAGCCCACCAACGGGCGCTCCCAGTTTCCCTGGTGCTCCAAGTAGTGGCGTAGGATTCCCTGGTACTCCTCCATCGTTCCCAGGATCAGCACCAGGTTACACAGCCCCGAGTGGGTATGGTGGTCCCCCTTCATACGATACCCCACCGCAACAGTACGGAGCTGCACCTAGCTTCCCAGGTGGCCCCTCTCCGGGATTTCCGTCTGGCCCTTACGGTCAACCGCAGGGGGGACCGCCTGGTTTCCCGGGTGCATACCCAGGTGGACCACCTCCACAACAACAGTTCCCTGGGCAAGGATACAATCCTCAGCCGCCCTATGGTGGTCAGTGGTAGACGAACGGTATTGAATAGGCCGCGGTAGACACGAGTGAAACAACTGTACATGATCTGAAATCGAAACTTTGCTTTCAAGTCTTGAAATCGACCACTTGCCTTTTGTGGGCTAGTGGACCAAAAGCGCGGAGAAATCTTTGCTCTCGACGACGACCCTAGCCAAGGGTTTGCGGCACGGCTTGAGCGCGTCTGACGACATTTACGAAAGTCTACTCGACGTTTAACTGACGAATATCTACGAATCTTGGTCCCGTAGTCTGTTTTCTTGCCTCGATAGCGATGGCATCTGGCGCGATGGAGGAAATCCCGCCGCATCCATATCTCACCGAACCCATCCTCTATGTCTCCAACTTACCAGCACACATTACGGACGAAGTAATCGCTCGTACGCTCGAATTTTGCGTCCCATTCCGTCCGCGGCTCGTGCGCGATCCTGCCTCTGGAACCGCGTCTGGGTCCATCGAATTTCGAACAATCGAACGAGGTCAGTCTCTATTTCTCTTCCCCAGTATTCTTGAGCTCGCCTGAGGGGCAGAATGCCTGTCTCCATTGCACAAGCGTGCGTGCTGAAATGTACCGGCAGCTGAAAAGGCACTGGCGACGTTAGATGGTCGACAAATGGCTCAAGCATATCCTCCCGTCATATTGAATCTAGATCCAACGCCCCAGTCGACGTCCTCGACTCACAATTGGCCGCCGCCAGCCGCCAGTCCCCGAATCATATCCAACCTTCCTCCAGCCTTTTCAGACTCGAGGTTGTTCGACACATTTCGAGTCTTTGGCGCTATTGCTTCATGCAGAATGAACGCTGATATGGGCCCCGATGTCGGGATCATAACTTTTTGGAGAGAAGAGGATGCCGCGCGTATGGAGGAAGGCATGCACATGGGCGATATAGATGACTACACTATATCCATCAAATCGCTCTCGGCACGTGACATGCGGAAACACAAGGGGCTCGAGTTTAATCCCCAAGCACCGTCCTTTGTCCCAAGCGGCATGCCACAGGGGCCTCCTCAAGCCCATCCTGTGCAACCTACTCCCCAAGCTGGGTGGGTTTCGCCGTCTCTGAGGCATGCTTCCCCACCCCTACAACCTTTCACCCTTAGCCCAATGCCCAGCCCACATCTTCCGTTGGGGAATAATAGCCCAATGATGATGCCAGCCCAAGCGCTCCCTCTGATGGTCCGTCTTTCTCTCTTTCCTTCTGGTTCTTATTGATATTGCTTGTAGTATTCCCCGCCTCGTGTTCCCATGCAATTTCCAAGATCACCGTCCTTGTCACCTTTTGTTCATGGGCCAGGTCAACAAGTTCAATACGCACCTGCAACTGGGCCAGGCTCGACTAGTGCCAGCGGTCTTATTGATCCATGCAACTTGTTTTGCAAGGTACCATCCTCTCCAGTGGCTCGCGCAGTGTCTCATACATGCATAGAATCTGGACCCCGATATGGATTCAAAGACGCTTCATGCTCATTTCCGAAAGGCACGTCCCTGTCTCTAATGACTCTCTAACATCTGACTTCTCATTAGTTTGGTCATATCGTGAGCGCAAGGATCATGAGGAATGAACATGGACAGAGCCGAGGATTTGGCTTTGTCTCTTTCCAAACCCCAGAGCAGGGTGAGTGATCGTCCAGGAGGGCATGGACGTTTCTTATTGGTCCCTTTAGCGGCACGAGCTCTGCAGGCCATGAATGGTGCGCTATTAGGCTCCAAGCAAATCGTCGTACGTCTCCATGAGCCCAAGCAACTGCGCAAAGAGAAGCTAGCCCAGCGATTTGCCGCTGGACATGGTCATAACGGGCATCCTCGTAGCGGCAGTGGCGCAACGAGCCCAACTATGAGTGAGGTTGGTGACAATGCTTCTGCGTACGGCAGTTGGTCTCCTGGGATTCCAGGACGCGACAGACAACGAAGAGGCTCTGGAAGCTATTATCAGGTTTGATATCATTATAGACTCTTATGAAAACTGGTTGACAAACGGGTTGAATTAGGCGGCACTCAGCGGAACACTCCATGTGCCATTATCGTACGAGGAGCTAGCGGGCATGTCACCTGTTGTGCGACATGAAGTCCTCTCAGGCGAACTCATGCGGCGACTACGTAGCTTCCCTGAAGTCAAAGAAGAAGAGATTAGTGCGATAGTCGATCATCTGCTCACTCAGAGCCTGGACAATCTCTGCAGTGGCTTGCATGATAGCGCCGCGTTGCTCACTCAAATACGTAGTGCCAAGGAAGCCCTCGGTTTCTCAGAGCCTCCGTCAGAGATGCCGGCCCTGGTACTCATCCTGGCTTCGGTGTACCGCTCAATGTGGCTGCATCGCACTCGACATCCACTCTCCTTGACCCCAGCACTCTAGCAGCGACCGCATCCGCACCTGAGCATCCCTCGACCCCTGTTTCCTTTACGCCATCGATCAACACTCCACCACGAACGGCATCACCTACTGGATCCATCGCTCCAGGAACAGAAAAGGAGCGTCTTCTTGCGGCGGTGTCTGCTCTCGAACCAGCTCGCTACAAAGCAGACCCAACGAAGGCAGCCGATATCACAGAGATGCTGCTGAGTCTCAGTAAGAAAGAGCGCGCTATGTGCCTCTTTAGCAATGAATACCTCAGAGGCAAGGTTGAGAATGCGAGGAACATTTTGGATGCTCTCGCCGAGGAAGACGAACCAACGCCCGCCGCTACGAATTCTGCGACCAATATGATGAGCAAGTTGACCCTCAACAACAACGGTGGCCCTGCTACGCCACAACAGCAGCATCGAGCTCCTGCGTCTTCTGCGGCGCAGCAAACTCCTCAGACGCCCGATCTTTCGGTCGGCACGTCCACCACGACTTCTCCTGCGTTCCCACAGACCCCAGCCGAGTCCAATACATCTTCGACTGGACACACGCTCGCAACGCTGGCAAAACTCCCAGCCGTTGAGGTGCTCAAGTTGGCGTCGAGTGGACAGGCAACCGGTCTTCCACTTCCCAAAGCCGATCCAAGTGTTGTTTCCAACACGGATCAGTTTGTTGATTCGCTCAACGACAAGCCAATCGCGGTCCAGAAGCAATTACTAGGAGAAAAGCTGTAAGTGGAGACATTCTATAGAATTCTCTCTGACCAGCTCTTTCCAGTTTCAAGACGGTGAAGAGCTTTGGTGTTAGAAACGCAGTATGTTGCCTTTGGTATTCAGGGGGACGGAATATTGACAGTCACAAACAGCCAAAGGTCACCATCAATCTTCTCGACACTGAGGACCTTCGCAGTCTTGCCCACCTCATGAACAGTTATCCGGCTCTCCTCAAGGAGAAGGTCTTGCAATTGACCGTGCCAAGATAAGCTCACGGTGCTGGCTTCTGGCGAGGCGACTTCTCAGCGGCCCCATTCGACTTTCTACAGATCTGCATACGCTGACGTTGTCTGAATTGCTTTTGTCTGTGCCTTGAAGGCTCGGCAGCCCCGGTCATTCCTTCTTTGTCTTTTTTTTTTTTTGGTCACGTTCTGGGCCCTAGGCTCGTCGCGAAACCCTCATGTCATCATCCTCCTAACATCAGTCTTTCTCTCATCGATGGTACAGGTCCCCTCTATAGTGACTTGTGATTGTCGTTCTCGGTCTCTGCTGTGCGTTGTGTGCGATGCGTTTTCTTCTCCCACCATTCTTGATGCCTTGTAATGATACTATCCATCTCATTGATAATAAGCTGGCGCACTTGCTGTTGACCGACGTCTCTGTCTGGGCTTATCGACTGAGGGGTCGATGACGACTTATGAGCCATTTTTGTAAATTGGCAATTCACGAAACTATGTGGCTGTATTACGGGTGCTCTGTTGTGCTCAGGCACCCCCAAACAGCCTGCCAGAGTCTCGGCTTGTCCCTTGCACGACTTGGACTCGCCCGCGCCATGAGCTCTGCGACCGCAAAGGCCCCGTACGTTCATCAAGTCTCTTAGTCTGAATGTCAAATGCTCATCGCTGATTTTGGCTCGATTTTTCCACATCGGCGGACGGACGCTGCCTCGTTTCTCTGCTTCTTAATCCCCTCCGGCTTCGCACCTCGTTTCTGGCATCGAAAATCATGCAGGTCGCGTTCAAGGAGCACGATAGTCTGTACAGAAGTCTGTATCGCATTTACCGCGAATTTTTAGCGGCCCACGGGCAGTAGCTAACCGAGGGACAGTGCAAACGGCTCAAAGTAAAGTGTTCTCGTGGCCAGCCATGCGAACCCTGTGCGCGACGGAGTAATGATCCTCGAATCTGTATTTATTTGACTCCAAACACCGAGAAGCCGTCAGTCCTTTCACCCGTCGTTTCTATTGCTGCAGATTATTGACTAATCTCCAGAGACATTAATGTTCTTTGGAACAACCAACGTGAAGCAGAGCTCAAGATTGATTCGCTGGCGATCCGAGTCGACGAGATTCAAGAGGCCTTTATGCCCCGAAAAATCTCTGTACCCCCTCTCGTCCTCACTTCGTCAGGAAGCGGTGCCGCGCGGACCTATCAACTCGACACGATTGCCGCCCTCTGGATCAGTACTCTCGGTATATCACCCAACAGAATCGAATCCATCTCGACGCCATCACCACCCGCGACACCCTTCACGACCAGACTATTGGAACCCGAGGAGACGTCAAGTCTTCATTCCTATTTCTTTGTTCATGGCCCCTCGGACGCGATCGGCTCGCGTCGTAAGGCCGTCATCACCCACCAGCTCATCCAATTCATGCCGTCCAGCCTGTCGCGGGAGAGTCTCCTCTCTTCTCTCAAGAGCACGTTGTATCTCCACCCCGTCTGCTTCTTCCATTACGAAATTGAACAACGGATCCGCATTCTCGATCATGATTCGCACTCGTTTGCGACCCAGATCACCAACATCCCTGTATCCCTCTTTGCAGTCGCTGCTGCATCAATGACGCTTGGCTCGCTAGCATATCAGGTCGAACGCAAGACGTGGAAGATGCCGTCTGAGATTCCAGACAACGAGCGCGACATTACCACATTGTTTGATATGGCCCGCCTGGCCATCTCACTCTCTGGCGAATCGATGGAAGAGTGCTTTGACGCCATCTTGGCCTCACTCATCCTTGTCGTCTTCCTCCTTCATGCGTACGAGCTCGATGGATACAAGACGGTTGTGTCGGGCATCGCTTCTGTAGGATTCCAACGGCAGCTTGGACAACTTTTGGATACCATACGCAGAAAATCGGAATACTGTGGCCTACTCCGAGAGCCTCCTAATAAGGATCAATCGTCAAGCTTGTGGCAGCGCGAGCAACGTCGAATGCTTGCCGCTGCGGTCGCCTTTTACGACTTGTACGTCTGCCGTGATTGCGTATCGTATCATTCTGAACCCTGACCTTTGTAGCCACGTCTCAGATCTGATTGGAAACAAAATTACCTTGGACGCCGCATCATACACAACGGAAACCCCGACTCCTTTGGAGGACCGCACATTTAAACCTTCCTGCACAGCGGTGCCTCCGCCAGCCTCTGCTAGCATCAATCATAGTACCCTATTCGCCGCCCATAGAGCCAGGTATAGTATCTCCCGGTGTGTTTGGCTTTTCCTGACTTTCGGTAGGCTCTTGAAGACCCTTTTGCAAGCGAGGGTGGAGGTTATGCATGTGCGCGACCGCGAACGGGAGCAAATGCTTGCCGCCGCCGAAAGCGCAAGTCAAAACGGGGACGATCAGGGCATCTCAAAGCATCCAGCGTTGCCGCGCAGTGCGGGTGATACGCTGGAGCAATGGGACTCGCGGTTACATCAACAGCAGGAGAATTTGCCCCATTCGATCGCATTCGATTCCTCTTCAGAGTATGCGACCGAGGTCAATACCGTTTTCAGCACGGAACAGCGATCCCAAGTACCCTTGACAGAGTCAAACGTGACACTTGGCATGGGTTACAGCATCGCACAACAAGCAGAGCTAGCTGCCCTTGTCGCGTACCATCAGATGAAATTGGCCGCACTTCTTCTCGAGAACGCTGTCATCCACAAACCGAGGGGATCGCCTCCCAGTGCGAACGGTACTGTTGCTGCTGTTCGAACTTTGGATGCAGCGCAGTCATTGCTACATGTCATTCAAGTTCAGCGACATGTGCTCAAAAAGAAGATGCCTCTCAGCTTATCCAATTTTGTCTATGGAAAGCGCATCTTCGACGCTGGTGTCATCTTTGGCGTTCTTTGCACCATTCCGTCATCACGACGATTTGAACAACGAGCCGTCATGGCTGCTGCTCAAGGTCTCATTCAATCCATCGAACTCCTCAAGGATCTGGAGTCATGGCTGCGTACCAAGGAAGAGATCCAGGATGCCTCGACGTCGACAGAAACAACCTCTCCACTTCGCATTCTAGAAGCGCTATCCGATCGAGCTGGTATCCAAATGAACGACGGAGTCGTCGAGAGCGTAACACCCAAGCGGAAGCGAACAGCATTCGACCTCGAAGAGGATCAGGCGGTTTACGATGGACTTATTCTCCCCTATGTAGTTGGAGGTGTATGGGTTGTGGGCAAACCGTCGACATTGGATGCTTGGACAATATCCAAACCAGAGCCTTCGCCCAGAGCTCCAGCAGTCTCACTTCCGGCTCCGGTCTCGCTCCCAGTTCCAGTCTCCCCAACCGATGTCCAACAGGATGAACATCGTGAAAAGCGTGTCCGCCTCGACGGCATCGTCACCCATCCACCTGCTCCATTGGCTCTGACCGATATAGGCGTCGCACGACCGGAGGCATCTTCAGCATTGAAGGTTCCTGACGCAGGCACCTCCAATGGTGCACGTCCAGTGAGCGCAACGACGGGGAGCAAACCCACGTTTGGGGTTCGTTCGCGTGTCAAGGAGCTTCTCAGACGACCCAAACGGAAACCATCAATGCCGAACGTTCAGCCAAAGACAGAGTCGCCAATGGACTCTGCTGATGACGACTATACGGATAGGTTCGCGTTCAGCCTTCCGGATAAGTCGGCGGACTATCAGCAGTACCCTGCGCAAGGCGCTGGGCAGCCGCAAAACAATCTGGGTTTGTCTCTCTCACAAGCGGATGACATGTCTATGGATGGGCGGTCGGTCATCCAGGGTTCCACCACGAACAATCCTGTCGAGCAGCTTACACCGGTCGAGGTTTCTATGACGAGCGATGCCCGATCGCAAGCGTCCTACGCACCCGGTTATCCTTCAAAGGCTTGGGGTGAGATGGACGATGCGAGCTCATACTCTGGTCAACCAAGCAAATCGACGGGATACCACCCAAGCAACTTGATGATTTCCCAACCAGAAAATGCATCGTCTTATCACCATCAGCCTCCAGCTCCACAACCGCAGTCATCGCAGCATCACCCCTACCAGATGGCACAAACTACTCATGGGCAATCGTACATCCCACAACATCCCCAGCTAGCCATGCATCACGATTATCAGTCTCAGTCTCGGCATCAAACAGCCGTCCCTATGCACGGCATGATGCAGTATCCCCAAGGTTACAGCGGATACTCAGGCTCCGTTGTCGACAACGGTGCAAGACACCCTCCACAACTCATCACCGACGGTACACGTTCTCAACACGGTTCTCAACCGTCTTCTGCGGTGACGATGGGGGACCCGAGTATGATGTACAGTGGCGTGTCTATGCAGTCATTGACACCGTCGACCATGTATCCGCCGCCACCACAAGATGGATATCCTCCCGCGTGGAATCCATCCGAGCACTACTATAACCGGTACTAAAACCTAGCACCTGGAGTGTTGGGATGGAGCATAATTCTCTGTTCGGGAACTAGAGTTCGTTTGACATGCATACATGGATTTGTACACTATCGTTCGTCTTGCATATTCCGTCTGTTTGCTTGCAATTATCGTGCCTGATTATCTTCGGACCTTTTTTGTGCGCCTTCTCGCTTCCCTCACTAGAAGTGGCGATGCCGCAGCCCTGAACTTGCGCCCAACCTCTGACCATACTGAGCCAGGTAGAACTGCTACAAGCTTCGGAAAGCACTGGGGTCAACGTAATAATGACGATTACATCGACATATATGACCAGGAGTTCCAGACGGACGTCGTCGGTTCATATCCATGACCTTCCCGTCGAGCTCCTGTTGCTCGTCGCCTTACACCTTGCTCCAGCGAATACATGTTCCTCCAGGGGACTCTCTACGACGCCATATCGCAGCTTGATGCTCGTCTGTCGTCGTTGGCGGGCAATCGTTATCCAAACCCCGGTTTTCTGGACACGTGTCGAGATATGTCCACCATTGGATGATTGTAAGGTCAAATTTAGCCGATTCATGTGGTCTCTAGACGTCCAGCTCGCGCGTTCAGCAACGGCCACTCTGGACCTCCGTCTCTCTCTGAGAACGCTCTCGCAAGTGAGAGTGACCAAATTACTCAGCATGATGAGCAAATACAATACGTTCGAGAGATGTGAGAGCCTCGAGCTCGAGTCCGAGGATCGGGACTTGTCTTCTATCTCCCCCGAGGACGGCAAATTCGCGGCGCTTCGGGCTCTCAAAATCACAGGTGGGATGAAGAGCATCATAATCCCACTTCTCGAACGCACAGCGTTTGATGTGCAGCATCTAATCATAGCCGGCGAACATCAACAACTGGCAAAACGGCTCCCAAGCCTACCGCTTAGAGTATCCAAACTCGAGCTCGACCAATGTTCTTACGAGATACTGTCACTCTCTTCCACTCTCCCATCTCTTCAGTCTCTTCACGTACCGCGCCTACCTGCTCGAGCGGAGGCATCGGCACCGAACCTGACCCACCTCAGGGTGACCGAACTCGATTTGACGGCGCTTGCAGCGCTCTCGATCTCGAAACAGCTGGAGTACCTAGAGATCGACCGCTTTAGCGACAACGTCCTCACCTCGATTCGCCTCCCCTGTCTCAAGCGCCTCCAGTTCAACGGTACTCGGACGCTCCACTGGGGACCGATTTTTTCACCTTTGACCCAGATCGAAGCACCTGCGCTTATCTCGCTCCACATTGGATACCCAACCGGTGGCATGGGCGGTGTACATAACCTTCTTAAAGACACCGTTAGCCGTCCGACATATCAGCTATCGCCACTCGAGCTCACACTTCAGATGGCACTCACACCAGAGACTATTGAAGACGTGTTGGTTCAGTCGCCTCGCGTTCGCAAGTTGTACTTGACGTTTCATGCAGTATACCAACCATGGAATGATTTGGCATACTCGCTCACAAAACAGACGCGTAGAGACGCGAACAAGAGCTTCGAGCTGTGCCCGAACCTTGAAGTTTTGGAGATTGAACTCGGGTGGCTACCGGGGAACGAAGAAGAGAGGCAGGAATGGGCCGCATATGCTCAACGTATCATGGATAGTCGTCGGCGTGATGATATGAGGGCGGTCACAATCATTTTGAAGAATGGCAGCACCGTAGTGGCCAAATAGGTAATTTGGTATGTTCCAGCATCTCATATCTAACGTCCGTTGACTGTTTCATAGCGTCCGAGTGCTTGCTGTGGGTTTGGTTTGCGATTTCGGAGAAGGAAAACTAGTATTCAAAGCACCCCGACAGTTGTATGACATCTCAATAACACTATAATCTCTCTCGTGTTTCCACTCCTAGCTTCCGGTGAACCGAGGCAAAGCTCTTGGAGCTGAATGTTGCAGAGGTCAATTTTGAAAAGTGTCCCACTGCGCGTTTCGCGGAATATCGGCTATAAATATGGCTCCCAAGCGCGTTTTTGGACATTAGCACTATCAGATAGACGGCTAGGCCGAGTCATTGGTGTCCCAACCCTTCGTAACCTTCCACCTCCGTGGTTTCGGACCGGCCAGGCTCATTTGCACCAAGAACGAAGACAAATCTCCTCCATGACACTAGAAGCTGTTCTATCGGCACTTGCGGCGTGTAAGATCGAGCCCAAGGGGTCCCTAGCACACGACGCCACGACCATCGACCCGGCGAGCTGGACGTCTGCTCTTGAGCGTGCCCCATCGCACGATGCAAGTACACCTAGTGCATACAAACTCACCAAGACGCTTGTATTCAAGCCCGGAAAGCCCAAAACCGACGAATGGACGCCGGTGATGGTGATCGCGCGTGAGGAGACGAATACGCGGGCCCTAAAGACGTTTTGTGGCCAGCTTGGACTCTCGGATCTCAGATTGGCAGACGATAAACACATCGAAGGAAAGTACGGCGCACAAAAGAACAGTGGTAGGTCTCGTTTGTCACAGTGGCACAAAGATTCGGTCTGACTCAGTTTTGCGCAGTTTCGGCGCTCAGCTTGAATGAGGACAGGATAAATATCTCTGTTGTTGTTTTGGATTCTACTATCGCCTCATCGGATGAGATCTTCGCCGTCAAGGCTGCATCAAGCGAGGGTACTGTTTTCCTTGCTGGGCGGGATATCCATGCGTACCTCCAAAGCCTCGACAAATCATCACAGAAACTGCACGTCGTCGATTTTGCGAAGCTTGCAGAGGAAGAAGCAGCCAGTGCTGCGGCTTCGTCGTCGCATCCCGCACCAATCGCAAAGGCTGCCGCTCCGACAAAAAAGACCGACGCAAGGATCGAAGATGCACATCAATTGGCTATCGGGGTCAAGAAAGAGGTCGATTTCTCGACATGGTATACCAACGTAGGCCCGCCACTCGTGGGGAAGTGCTTTTCTAAACGTTGTCTAGGTTCTCGTCAAGTCGGAAATGCTCGATTATTATAACGTCAGCGGTTGCTACATTCTCAAGCCGTGGTCATACTCTATCTGGGAGACCATCCAGAGTGCGCTTACGTATTTGCCCCCCGAACAAAACTGATACATCCTATAGGATGGTTTGACAACGAGATCAAGGAGCTCGGTGTCGAAAATTCATATTTCCCTATGTTCGTCTCGTCAAAGGTTCTCGAGAGAGAAAAGGACCATATCGAAGGATTCGCTCCTGAAGTCGCATGGGTGACTAGGGCGTAAGTGAATTCCGGACACTATACTGGCTACTCACCCCTCTCAGCGGAAGCTCTGAACTTGAAGAACCCATCGCTATTCGCCCTACCTCGGAGACTGTCATGTACCCTTGTAAGTGACTGTACGAGCCACGATCATTATTGACGATAGCAGATTATGCCAAATGGATCCAGAGCCATCGCGACTTTCCTCTCAAGCTTAACCAATGGAACAGCGTCGTGCGATGGGAGTTCAAGACTCCTCAGCCATTCCTGCGTACACGAGAGTGTGAGTGCTCTAGATTGTCGACCGAAAAGTAAACTAAGGGTATACAGTCCTGTGGCAAGAGGGTCACACTGCGTTCCTTACCAAGGACGAAGCCGACGTTGAAGTCCGTCAGATTCTCGACCTTTACCGGCGTGTCTATGAAGAACTACTGGCCGTGCCCGTCGTCCCCGGCATCAAGTCTGAAAAGGAAAAGTTTGCGGGTGGATTGTACACGACGACGGTGGAGGGCTTCATACCGACAACTGGACGCGGTATTCAAGGCGCAACTTCGCACTGCCTCGGCCAAAACTTTTCGAAAATGTTTGACATTTCTGTCGAGGACCCAAACGCGACGGCCAAGGGCGAGCGACTATATGCATGGCAAAACAGCTGGGGACTGTCAACACGCACAATTGGTGTCATGGTCATGGTCCACGGCGACAATCAAGGATTGGTCTTGCCTCCCCGTGTCGCAAATATCCAAGTCGTAATTGTGCCATGTGGAGTCAACGAAAAGACTCGGCAAAAGGTTTACGATGCGTGCGATGAGGTGGCAAAACAACTCAAGAAGGTTGGCATCCGTGCCAAAGCCGACCTTAGGGACACGTATCTGCCTGGATGGAAATTCAATTACTGGGAACAGAAAGTGCGTTGATCGGCTACTATGTCTATTTCTTGCTGACGGAGGTCAGGGCGTGCCGGTTCGGTTGGAGATTGGACCGAAGGATATTGAGAAGAAGCAGGCAATCGTAGCCCGCCGCGACAACTCGGAAAAGTCGACAATCAGCGTAGAGAATCTGACGAGCGATATTCCGAGCCTCTTGGAGAGGATTCAGGCCGACATGTTCACACGCGCAAAGGAAGTGTTTGACCAACGCTTGATTGAAGTGACCAAGTGGGAAGACGTGGTTCCGACGTTGGACAACAAGTGTGTTGCGGTGATTCCGTGGTGCGAGGTCGAGGCCTGCGAGGATGACATTAAGGAGCGCAGTGGGAGATCGTGAGTAGCTCCGCGGCGCTTGGAAGGGTTGACAGCTGAACTGACAATTTGTTTGCTGCGCTCGATCGCCCTGCTCCTGAATTATTTGACAGTGCCGAGCAGACAGATGAGCGCGCACCGTCGGCGGGTGCAAAATCGCTGGCAATTCCGTTTGACCAGTCACGATGGCCCGCCATCGAGCCCGGAAAGACCAAGTGCCCAGCGTGTGGGGGTGATGCGAAACGCTGGACGATGTTCGGTCGGTCGTACTAACGGCAGCGGGGGGCGAGAGAATGGTCGCGCGGGATCCGCTGCATACCTCCTCCCGGTCCCGCGGCCATCCTCTTCTTTCAAGGTGCTGTATTTCTGCTCTAATGCCAACGGGCCAACGCATCAGCCGTGTCGCGTGAATCATTTCTCCGCTTTGGGGGGGTCTCTTTGCGTTTGATGTGATGATAGAAAGCGAGAATAAAGAGAAAAAGATCCTTGATTCGAATTCACCTTTTTTTTTTAATCACTTGCAGCTCTGGAGAAGCTATCCCTGACCTCGAGGTCAAAGGGAGTCCGACCGTGTGGACAGCGTGTCGTTGCTCTCCGCCAATGGCAGCTCTAGTTGAAACGTCCAGGCAGCAGCAAAAACCCGGTCTCGACTTCCCAACTTACTTATCTTTGACGTTTATTCAGGACACCTGTCGGCTCGATGGCGGCCTGGTGCCTCCGCTCCCTTAGCTCGCCGTTGGGATATAAAACCCACCAGGACACGTCAACAACAAAGTTTTTTCAAGCCTATCTGGCCTTTTCTCGTCTCTCCGTCTCTGTGTCTCTCTGCTCGCTGCTCGCCCGGTCGACCCCTCACCAACACTACACCAGTTCCCAATCGTCTTATAATCAAGTTTCCAGTGATCAATAATGTGCCACGACGGAAATTCTGCGACCCAGTCGGTCCGCTATCTCAACGCCCAGCTCACTGCGCTCTACCAGAACGCATACGAGTGCGTCCACGACTGCGAGGATTCGCTCGACTTTACATCCGTCGAGTATGACAAATCAAAGTACAACCGCTCCCTCGCTCAGTGGCACTTTGTCCCAAAGCCCAAAAAAGTCTTTTCGACTGCCGAACTCTTCTTCTCGGCCCACTTTGAACAGCCAAAACTCATCTTCATCTGCAACCACGAGGCTATTCTCTATGTTAACATCAAAGAGGGACATTATAACCTCGAGCACAACAAGGTCTCCCTCTCCAACTATCGTGTCGATGCGTGAGTAGCTCCGTTCTCTCGTGGCGTTTGTTATATTCTAACGATATGTCCCATAGCACCAAGAACCGCCCTATCAAGGACGTTCAGGTCGCATTCCGCATGACCTTCTCGCGCGCTGGCATCAAGGGCAGCAGCAGCAAAATTGGCAACGGCTCGAGCCATCTCATCCAACTCATGATCCTCGACTTTGCTGGTGCCAAGCTGCAGTCTTTCCGCCCAACCCAGCCCCATGAGGACACCGAGGCACTCTCGTTCTACATGCGCCAGTACCTCCAATTCCTCGAAAATGGTGGCTCGCACACCCTCTTCGACATTCCAGACTTTGACGACGACAAGTACTCGCCCACGATCGATTACTCGCTCAGCAGCACCCTTGCCGATGTCGAACAGCACTGCACCGACCAGATTGTCTGCGGTGTCGATCTCGAACAGGTCAACAGCTTTTTGCACAAGAAGTGGCTCAGTGTCGCTCGTCTTGGCCACCCTGCCGACAAGCTGTCCATTTGCCTCGCTGAAATTAGCAGCAAGTGGGTCATGGGTGCCTCTATCGACGCAAAGTTCCACATCCAGTTTGGTGCCCCCAAGGTCCGCGCGCTCTGCAAGGACGAGGTCATCTTGACCTATACGATTGATTCGATCGCCTTTTTCAAGACGGACGATTGGGCCAAGGAGAAGCCAGAGGAGTACTCCAACTGGCAAATCGCCTTTATTGTCGACGTCTGCGAGGAGAAGGAGTGCGATGGTAGCGTCACCAACCTCCGACTCAACCTTGACACTGCTCGTTTCTCCCACCACTTCTCGGTCGTCACCGAGACGTGCGAGACTGCTCTCGCCTACTTCTATCAGATTGTCCACTTCCTCTCGGTCGACTATCTCGATGTGATCACGCAGTACAAGATGCACCAGATCTATCATCACGATACTCGCGTCGTTGTCGTCAATACCCGCACGACAACCACGACTGGCTATGTCAACACACACGAGCACGAGTCTGACGAGTTTGATGAGACCGAAACGACTACGCATACGCACACGACAGGCGGTGCCGTCACTGGCACCCAGGAGGGCAGTGGATGGACCAGCGGTACCCTTGAGGGACACAAGCACCAGCGCGCTCAGGGCACAGTCAAGCTCGTCAATGTTCGCATTTCCAAGACGAACATGCACGGCTACGACCAGGTGCTTGCCGTTTCGGAAGAGTCGATCAACTCGTTGTTCTACTCTCTCTGGACGCGCTCGCAGCACTCCGAAGCCGACGCATCGCTCGCCAAGTGGTCGATGGACATTTTCACCGCTTCGTTTGACGCCATGCGTGTTCGTCTGCTGAGCAATGGCAATGCCATCGTCTGGGTTACCATCCACGACGGTCAACTCCGCGTTAAGAGTGAAGGCGAGAAGAAGAGCTGGTGGATCCGCACTGCCTGGAAGCCAGCCAAGCCCACCGACAAGACGGAAGTGCACGAGTTTAGCGATCTCTGCCTCGCATTCGAGGTTCCCGTCAAGATGGAGGACCAGGCCTCGATGGCTCTCAGCGACTCGTGGTTCAGCCGCTTCAAGCTCTCGCACCTCTTCCAAGCTCACGGCGAAGTTGCCGACCGCAGCTTCAAGCATCTCGTCCTCGACTTTTCGCGTGCCAACTACCGCTCCGAGCTCTCCAACGTCGACTGCTTGTGCGAGGGCAAGGGACGTCAAGTCGTCGACAAGCTCGAGACGGCCATTTGCTACACCAAGAAGTATCTCGCCGAGATGGGTCACCACGGACACAATGTCATCCACACAATCCCCATCTTCCCTGGCAGTGCCAAGTCTCTCTTCGGTCTCACCTCTGTCGCCCACTGCATCGTCAGCAAGAACAAGGTCACCGTCGAGACATGCGGCCACGCTCGCAAGGCGTCCGAGGCTCCCGTCATCCTCATCGTCGGCAACTGTGGTGGTCGTGCGCTCAACTTTGTTCCTCCCGAGTGGAATGCCGGCTGGGTCATTGCCGCCAGCAAGTCGTCGTCCAGCTCGCTCGGAACCGTTTGCCTCGCCAAGTCTGCGTTCCTCGAGGGTTGCCTCTTGAAGAACCTCGAGGTCATCAACGCCCAAACAACCATTGTGCCCAACTTTGCCGGCGTCATTGACGGCCAGTGGAACTTTGAGCTCACGACATGGGCCAAGCACGCCTTCCGCAAGAGCAGAATCTGCAAGTGGAAGGCTGTCGAAAAGTGCGACGAAGGTACCCTCCAGTACATCTGGGAGCACCGCGATGGATGGAGCCACGAGCACGAGGGAACTGCCCACGACGAAAAGGACGGAGAGTACTCGATCGACTGTATGTCGTTTTCCCCTTTGATTAGCCTTTGACTCGTACTGACTGATTAATAGGCCGCACTCGCAACAAGCTCACCATCCCCACGGTTTACCGCCCAGGATGTCTCGACATTATCCTCACTGGCGAGTCTACACTCAAGGTTCGCGGCAAAGAGGCCTGCAACGAATGGAGCAAGTCTTCGAGCGCGACCTGGTCTGCTACCATCCGCATCAAGAGCACTGGTGCCGGCTTGAGCGTCGAAATGGCTGGTTCCACCAAGCCCGTCTTTGCTGAGCCAGTTTGCTGTGGTGACTGCCACTTGGATGTTGGACGTATCCACTCGGCCAACCTGCCACAGACCATTGACTTCCAGGCTGCGCTCAAGGAGCTGCGCTCGACTCTCCAGGGTACCTGGGAGTACTCGTCTCCTGGACACCTCGCCTATGCCATCACCAACCCCGTCTTCACGCTCAAGGGTGACCTCGTTTGCCAACTCTCGTCGTACGAGGCGCTCTTGAAGAACCAGGTCGCCGCTGCTACCGCTGCTGCGTCGGCTGCGTCTGCATCTGCAGCTGCCTCTGGTGCTTCGACTCCAGGTACGCCTGCTCGCAAGAGCCGATCGCTCATCCAGCGTGGAACGATGTACTTGAAGACGCAAGGCAACTCGCTCATCAACCTCGTTGACCACGGATCCGGTCTCCTCACCGGCTCCTCGTCCGCTTCGGCCAACACGCCCCTCATCCAGACTCCAGCTGACGCACCAGCCGGCGGTATTGCAGGTGCCATCGTCGCTGCTGGAAGCCAGTCCAGCTTCTTTTCCACTAGCGCCACTGGATACTCTGTCGGTAGCGAGATGAAGCTCGAGCGCCAGGCATCCCAGACATCGCTCAGCGAGTCCAAGACGACCTCGACGACGACGACCACGAGCGGTGGAAAGACGACGACTACGACCACAGTGTCCAAGAAGACCTCCAAGGGTGAGGTCAAGGCTGAGGGTTTTTAAACGGCTGGTGCGGGTTGAGCTGTGGACTTTCCGCTATTTTGCTCTGTTGCCTCTCCCAAACGACTACCGGCACAGATGGAGATGGTTTTGATGAAAAAAGGCAGCTTGTCGAGGGTGATGAGCAGTCGGGTGACTGCCCGTCCTGTTGCTTCTGCCTCCAACACTATCTCCTCTGTGCATGTACGTGATGCATTTCTCTCTAGTTTCGGTTCTGCTATCGTGTCTATTCTCGTAATCTCTCTCTCTCCTTTTCCAATTTGCCCACCCCTCACCAGCCGTCGACGCGCTTCTTTCCTTTCTCGCTCCACTCCTTTAGAAAACAGTCAATTCTGCTATGCATGTATGCTAGAGCATAGTAATGGGCAAAACGTGTACACGCTTTCACTCTGGGTTCAAGTGAGGGTCGCAGAGAGAATTCAACATTAGCTTTCTTTGATCCTTACTGTCTTCAACGGCTCAGAGTCAACTCGATGCTTCCATTAACGGGGCCTCCCGGAGATTACGCTTTCACGCCTACGGTACACAAATAGAAACCGATAAAACCAGTAGAAATCAAGAAGCGTGAGAATAATACATGACGGTAAGTCGCTCGGGTCCGCCGCAGATCTGCTCTGGATTGCCTTCGCAAGGTGTCGAGCACTCCTTCGGGTCCGCCTGAAGTTTCGAAGGCGGTAAAGAGGTTGTGCAGAAGCACTCGCTTCCAGCCTCCATGCCTGCGACAGTGAATCCGACGTCTTGACATAGAGAGAGACAGTGTTCCACCGTCATTGGTTCGTCTGTGACGATCTGGCTCATTATACGTGCCGTAACAGAGTCGACGTAGCATCCGTGACCTAGCCAAGTAAGGAATGCCCACCCCTCGGTCTCGTCTTCGGAACTGGGAGCGGGGACCGACACCTCCTTCTTGGCACCGTCGAGATGATAGATGATGATTCGATCTATACCACCGCAATTCTGTTCTGGGTTTCCAGAGCATGGCTGCATGGCGAATGAGAAGCGCATGGCGATACTTGTTCGCACTCACCGTTTCGCAACCAATCGTAGCCGGAATTGCACTATGCTCATTGTCGCAGTAGCACTCGTTTCCATTTGCGATACCAGCGTAGATAAACCCCTTTACATGGCATGCACCGGCGCATTTTTCTATAGTCATTCCTCCCTCCACGTCGACAGAATGCTTAAGCACTCGGTTCAGAGCCGAGTCCCTAGAAATAATCAGGATAAAGTGACATCGATAAAAGTAAACATACAAATGACAGCCGTCGTAGACCCAAGAAGCTGTTGGGGGACGGAATGCATCAGCGGCAGATGGAAGGCCCTTCAAGGTTGGGAGTGTTTGACCCTCGTAGTGGTAAATATTGAGACGATGAACTCCACCGCATTGCTGTGCGCCGTTTCCAACGCATGCTTGGTCGCATTCTTGTGCGGGTCGCTGCTTGCCCTCATTCTCGATTGAGGAGCCGCAATAGCATTCGCTGGCCCTCTCCGTACCTGCATATTCAAAGCCACCCTCGTAGCAAATCTGGGTGCACTTTTCTATTGTCATGCCGCCGTCAGTGAAGAATTGATAGGGCAGAGTACGTGCATGCGGCGAGTCGGTATAGCATCCTCGAGATTCCCAGTCCCCAATTCTTTCGCGCGATGGAGTATAGAGTGTTCCGGATGAGTGGTGATACAAAAGCAGTCGGGCGGTTCCACCGCATGCATGACTTTCATCACCAACGCAAGGGGATTTGCATTCTAAGTGACAATGTGTGAATTAATCGTTTCTTCACGCCGTAACAGATGAACATACCGTCGAGATGTGCAGGTTTCAGCGCGTAGATATCTATTGATTCAGCGCAGTAGCAGTCCCGACCATTTTCAATCCCGGCTACAGTGTACTGGAATTGCCAGCATCGACCCATGCATCGCTCGACTGTCAACGGCAAATTACCCTGGACTTCCGCGGCAATGATTCGGTGTTGAGGATCATCAACGAAACACCCTTGGATACTCCATTGTCCATGATCTGTGAGGATAGATGGCGTCGACCTAGTCGCGAGTCTGCTCAGATCCTGTACCTCTGAGTTTTGGAGTGACGGGGCTGAGGAATCGTTTCTAGAGAGTCGCTGTGAACATGAGAGATCTTTATTTGTGAGTAATTTCGCACATTATTCCGCCAAAGGACGCTGAACCAGGACCTCCGTGGTTTCGACGGAGGTGCGAAGCTCCGATTTTGTGGGCCACGGAGGGCTGTAATAGAGCATGAGATTCGAAATACAGGATTTAACATACGTACGGGTTCCACAGGCGAAGCGCGGCCGCCAAGTGCATAGGCCAGCGATACGAGGACAGCGAAGGTGACCCTGGCCATAGAGAGCCGTGGTGAAACAATATAGATTGTACAAAAGAGTGTGAGTCTAGTTTTGAGGGACTGGTCGCCGTTTTGCGCGGAACAGGTCGATCGCGGAGCGGATTAAAAGGCGAGAGACCTTACGCTTAGCTTCGACCAGACTGACCGGCAGTAAAGCCTCAAAACGAGCAATAAACCTTGCACAAATATCAATGGTCGTTTGGAGGCATATATTTCCTTCTTAGTAACGGACGTCGCCGGTGCTGGACCAAAAACCCCACGTATGGATAATAGGAGCGGCTCGGAGAGGCAATTATTTCTTCTTAGTCACGCGACAAGCGGTAGACCCGTACAAGTCGGACAACACTAGCGCGACGTCTGTCAAAAACGTCGACTACGGCCAAGACGGCACGGCAGGCAAGCGACAATTACAGTTTCTAGACACGGAACACCACCAAGCAAGTCCTTGGAATGTCCGTTTCTTTCATAGCCCATGGGACAAGATAATGTCGTTCTGGTTATCTCGTTCCGGGAGGTTGCAGGAGCCTCCGCTTCACCTGGTGCGTACCTGTCAACTTGACAGGTGACAGCTTCAGGGCCAGAAGACGGCGCCTATATATCCCAGAGAGAGCGGACGAAAGAGCTCTCTACGAGACTCCCTCGTATCACACGCTCTTTTTTACTCTCAGTGCACATTTACCATGGTTCACGCTGCTTTGGCTGTGCTCCTTCCGCTCGCTTATACTACTGCTACTAATGCGCTCCCCGTCGACTCTGTGAGCGACTTTGGATTCATCGTTCGCTGACGCTGATTACGAGTAGCCTTTAAGCTCCCGATACGACAACTCTGGACGTGGCATTCGTCGGCAAACACGAGGAGGGGGTCCGCGCTGGTCTCCGCCAAGATGCTATACCGACAATGTCGCTGCTCGTACTTTGACTGGTGCTCACCTTGAATCCGAATCCATGACCACCGACATGTGCTTGGAATTTTGTTACTCGAAAGGATACAAATACGCCGGCACAGAATGGAGCAAGGAATGCTGTAAGTATCTTTGCGGGTCCTTCTGCTCGAGCCTGACTTTCGCAGATTGCGACAACGACTTCCGCAATGGCGGCATCCCAGAGGAAACTGGCTGCGATATGCCATGCTCCGGAGCTTCAGACGAAACGTGTGGAGGTGGCAACCGTCTCAGTGTCTACGAGAATACTGGTGAACTCTCTCCGCCAGAACCAACGTATCCTGGCTGGAGCTCCCAAGGCTGCTACACCGACTCGGTCGCCAACCGTGCACTACCAAACCAGGTCTACGTGGAAGGTGACATGACTGTAGACAAGTGCACTTCCCAATGCTTTAGCCTGGGCTATCCTCTCGCCGGGGTCGAATTCGGCCACGAATGCTTCTGCGCGGATAGCATCGGCTCCTCTGGTACTCCAGCTACCAGTGGATGTGATATGCCGTGTACAGGTGCTGGAAACGAGATCTGCGGTGGCGCGGATCGCTTGAACATTTACAAGTATACCGGCGCGTCTGTTCTTCCCTCGACAGGCTTTTGGGCTCTCGAAGGTGAAACTGGATGCTATACGTGCGTTCAAATCTCTTATTTGTGCGCTATTTCTAACGAAGAGTAGCGATGATGTCGCCAATCGCGCCCTCGGTCTTCGTGTCTATGTCGATGGCGCAATGACTGTACCAAAATGCACCGAAAAGTGCTTCTCGTTGAACTATGGATACGCAGGGGTGGAATACGCCGATGAATGCTACTGCTCCCACTCGATTGGCTCCTCCGGCCAGCCGGCTGAGGACGGATGCACCATGGTAAGCATCTGACCTGGCTTTCAAAGCGACCTTTGACACGATTAGCCCTGCTCTGGAGACATGTCTACCATTTGTGGTGGTCCCGACAGGATTACCGTCTACAAATATCAAGGCAAAGAATTCCCAGCTGGGGCAACCGTTCTTTCATCTTACAAGGACTTCACGAGTCAAGGCTGCTACACCGACTCTGTTCACGCGCGTGTCATGACCGGAGTCGCCGCCAACGATCAAATGACGGTGGAAACGTGCATTGACACCTGTATTGCAGCTGGCTATGAAGTGGCTGGAGTCGAATATGGAACCGAGTGCTATTGCTCTGCGACTTTGCCTGCAGAGAGCAATAAGGCGACAGACAACTGTATCATGCCCTGCGCCGGAGATTCGGCTCACTTGTGCGGTGGAGGAAATCGACTCAACGTTTACCAGTATCAAGCTCCGGCTACAACGACCGCAACGACCACGTCTAGTACTGAGACGAGCACGTCAACAGATACGGCCGCGACCCAAACGTCTACATCAACTGGTAGTTTACCTCGCTGGGATGTCGTAGGGTGTACCAAGTATGCTTCGCTCCTGCTTCTTGGTTGGCATCTGACAAGTCCTTGAACGTAGGAATAAGGACTCCTCAAAGGTCGTGCTCAATGCCGATTTCTTGGATTTTGAGGAGCAATCGGATCATTGGATGACGCTGGAGGCATGTCAGAGTAGTTGCCTCACGTTTAACTGGAGCTTTGGGGCTTATGTACAAGGAACTGTAAGTGAAATGCATTTGTAGCCACCGAATACTGACTTGATTAGACTTGCTGTTTGTCTAATCATTTGGTTTGCTTGATTTCATTCTAACGATAGTAGATTGTGTAAAGGAACCATTCACTCAGTCCTTTACCGACGGGCAATGTACTACGGTCAGATAGTCTGACCTCCCGCATTACTTTGGCTCACAGAACCGCAGCCTTGTGGTGGCAACTCGTCCCAAATGTGTGGTGGCCCAACCTCGGTCTGTCTTCTCACCTCGTCTTGCCTCACCCGCATCTGATGGTTTCCAGTACACCGTCATTTCCTTCACACCGCCAAGTCTTCCTGCACCAGTGGCTCCAGTCGCCGGATGGACATACCTTGGATGCTCAGAGTAGGTCGGTGACCCCGTATATAGCACTGTCTGATCTTACAGAAATGCGTATGGGACCTATGACCCTAACAACCATTGGAAATATCTTGAAGCTGACCAGCCAGCATATAATAGTTGCCTCAACTTCTGTACGGGCAAAAATCCCTACGCTATCATTCAGGACTTGGTACGCCTTTTGGCTCATCGAGATGCATGACCACTGACCCGTTCGAATAGGCCTGTAGTGAGTCGGGACTGTGCATAATCCGTTCGCAAAACTTACATGAGGCACAGACTGCCTCAATAATCTCAATGCCGCAGTGACCTTTGGATCTGAACGCTGCGTTTCGGTGAGCGGTAGATCTTTTTGATGCAGCACGACACTAAACTGCCTCATCAGCAATTTGGTTCAGACCCTTCACAGATCGTTGGAACCTCCAATTCTCAAGCTAGGGGTTCGGTTCGTATCAATTTCTTGCGATTATGCGACCCACTGATGTTTGAATCCAGCACCAAGTCTTCAAAGTGGATTCCACTCCTGCCACCACGGCGACTCCTGCTTAGTCAACCAGTTCCCCAAATGATACACGATGTCATCATTGAACAGCTGTTTCTGGAATATCGTTCCTCACTCATTCACTCGTATACACTATTGGCCAATACAGGCTTTATTAATTTCTATCTACCGTCAGAGCTTGGGTATGAACCAAGTGAAACACTGACTGAAAGTTCACACCAAATTCCCGCCGAAAAAGACTTCATTCACCCTGCTAGTTGCGCCGACGTGACCGTTTCGAGCCTTGATTGAAGCACCATGATGCTTGCTCGTAAGGGATATAAGCTTTACTAAGGACGATATTATATGTACGCATCGTAGGCCTGATTCGGCGCACGCTCCTAAATCTCATTGTCCGATTGTCACTGCATCCTTGATAGGACGACTACCGCTAGGATTCCTGTAAACTTTGCCGGATAGACAGATAATGATATGGTTCAACGCTTCGATGATGATTCGTCTTCTCCACACATATTCAATACTTCCGCGGCACGTATGGCTTGCGAATCCCTCCCTCAACGCGAGTGAAGCCAGAAGGTACTCTGCTTTTTTGTCTCTAGGAGTGAAGGCATATTCGAATACCACGGGCAGTCTAGGTTCTTGCATGAGAAATGACGTGATGATTCACTGGAGTCCGTACCTGAAGAATGTTTTCGTATACTCGACTTCTTCATACCAAGGAACAGTTTGCCCTGGCAATGGTGAAACGTTGAACAATGCCATAACACACACAGCCAGATGAAACCTAGTTCTATCTGCAAAGTGCATCCCTGGGCACATCCTACGGCATAAAGTCATGAAATAAGAAGGTTTTGCGCTCTAATTGAGTACTTGCCGTGTTCTAAATCCGAACACTAAGACTGTTGGATCTGGGAGAGCGCCCGCGTCGGGTGAAAGGAATCGCTCTGGCCTGAATACCTTGGGATCTCCCCATATCTTTGGGTCGTTCAGCATCGACCCTTCAAAGTATGGCATAAGAAAGCAATACTTCTGACCACAGAGACAGCATACCAAAATGTGGGTTGATAACGACCCCTTTGGAATAAAGTATCCATAGACTATTTGGTCCTCGGAGCTACAGCGAGGAAGGGCTAGAGTCACCTCGTCAGCTCTTCATAAGGTGATGAGGTAAGAGCGCACCAAGCGGTACCGCAGGCGTAAAGCGTAACGCCTCCTTCCAAACCGCATTTGTATATGGTAACTCCCTCCTGTATTTGACGGTTGGAAGGCGCTCACGGCCAATGACAGAGTCAACTTCTGCTTGTAATTTTTTCCGCGACCTCCGGAAAGAGGAACATGGTGTGAAGAAACTGTGTAAGCACTGTGGAGGTCTGGGGGGGACAATGTGAGTGTTCATAATAGACGACCCACGAAGGACAGTACTGTATCGACACCGGCTGGAATTGAATCAGCAAATTACAAAGAAAGAGTAATACTTACCAAGGTATAGATTTGCCACAGCATCCTGTACTTCGAATGAAGCTCCAAACTCGTTGAGCAGGTCGTCGATAAGACAATGCCCCATGTCGTCTATTATACTGATGAGATTGAGTCTGTACTTTTTCAAAGAATGATTACTTGAATTGGGCTCCTGGGAACCAACTGGGCACGTAACGAACTTGAGTGAAGTGAGCAACCTTTCCCATATGCGCTGAAAAGTACTCACGTAATGGGATATGATCAACTGCCCAAACAGTCTGCATTGCTTCATTGATCATCATGACACCTTCGACGTTGATGGCGATCATCTCTACGCCGTGCTCCCTGACGATTTTTCGACCATATGCAAGCTCTATGATTGTGAGCCCCAGAGTCCTATCGGGAGCACATGAGTATACCAGTAAGGAAATATGCGTGCAAATATGATACTTGATCAGGTCTCCTTTGGGTCTCCTCTGAAATTTTGTAAATCAAGGACAAGCGTCTCAGCAGTTCCCTTGATGAGTGGGTGCTTTAGGGGCATTTTGGTTGGCCCTAGGCCTTTCCAGAACATTGCTCGATGCTTCGCATGCGTCGTATTAGCTTTCATAAAGGCGGGAATCCAATCACAGCCCATTCTATTCTTTCATTGGGGATATGAAATGAATATTCGGGTATATACGTACTCTCTCATGACCATATGGCCAAGTCGTCGGCCCGAGTTGATATTGGCATGTTTACTCAGGACCTCTTGTGCAATCTCCAGTGAGTTGATGACGATGAATGACGTTCCAGGGAGCTGAGCATAGACAATATCACCTGCGAGACCTTCGAACAATTACAAATTAGAGGGCAGTGGTGATGCCATACTGCTTCTGCCATTCGCTAAAGACGTTGCCCCAATCATCTGCAGGGAAGTTGTGCATATCCCCGATAATCGGAAGGCGGGGAGGACCTGGAGGGTAGCGGCGAGCATGTTTATGTGCTGTCAATTTTGTGTAGGCGAATAGACTGATGATGAGCGTGAACGCGACAACCCCAACTGGGATAGGGTCGCTTGCGTGAATGGCGATTTCAGACCCTCCATAGTATGGGGTGGTTGGGAACAAGCTAGGATAATGGGGCTCTGATAAGGCTTGGGGTCGCATTGGAGTTCCACATTAGAATATAGAATGCCACCAATCTTGCGCCGGATAGACAGGTCCATAATGATGCGTGGGAGTGAAGGATGACCTGGGCGGAAACTCTGCTCATTTGAACTGAGTTGAACGCTTCTATAACAAGTCGAGATAGCAGGTTCGCGGTAATACCACCTAGCATCGAGTCGGGGTTTGTGCGCCATGGGTTGACTTTGACCACAACCCAACGTATCCACGCATTTAGCATATCCACCGCTTTCACACGTGGAGAATTTATCTGCATTCCCAGCACAATATCGAATTCTTGTGTCCATCGTTTTGCCCCAAGTTTCTGCAAATTCGAAACAGCGCCGGTCAGTTCGTAGTATATATCGTCATTAGTAAGTATTTATTCACAAATTCACAAGGTTCCAATGCTAGCGAGTGTGTTTTACCGAATTAGGCGCACAAACTGCATTTTGACGACTAGCTTTATCATACGGCAGGTGAGTACGCTTAAATGACTCATATCTTGCATTATGTGCAGTAATGGTCATAATAAGCCGGAGGATTCACTCCAAAATGAGCGCGACCTGCCTGAATAAAGCCGAAGGATGGAGAGGTACAAATGAATCAAACTTGAGGTGAGTTCATTGATACTCGACGCGTCATTGGCTGCCAATAGTTATGCAGCATGGCACCTGTAGGTCGACAAAGGGTCGTTTGTTTGTTCGGCAGCGCTTGCTGTCTCTCACAACTGGCATCCTGGACAAACAATGAGAGGAAGATGGGACCGGGTAGCCCGTAGATTACACCGCCCTCTGAAACAAATGGAGTAGGGAGACGGGACCTGTTGGCTCGAGACGGACGCCTCGGTCCCGTAAAGATGCAACGGACAGGGACAACCTTGATTCATTGCCGGGAACCTAATTGTCCATTTTCAATTGCTCCAATCTACATTAGCAATTCGAGAGCACGTTGTGCCTAAACGCCCGAAAAAGTCGCGACTGCTCCTTGGCCTCATTCTCCTCCTTTGGTCGTCGGGAGTATCGTCAACAAATGGGTGTAGAGAGTATTGTCACACCCAGTCTCATCCAGACATTTGCAAACTTGGATGCATCGCGCTATACGTACGCCTCTCGAGAGTAGAAATACAATTGCTGACACTCGCAACGACATAAAGCTGCGGTGCAGCCATGACTGCAATGTTTTACGACTACTTTCTCACCTTTTCTGAGGTGACTTACAGCTGTACATCCCATTCGTTGATTCCTCATCATCTCTAGGAGGTCAAATGCGTCTGGGAAGACAGACGATTGAGCATCCCGCGACTCATGTTCTTTTGGGTTCGTTTGCGGCACCACCCACGGCATCTGAGGCTCACCACACGGACAGAACCGATACTTTGTCTGGCCGTGGATCATCCTTTCCAACTATCGTGCGTCTCTTCCAAGTTCTACACTGATTCAATGCCTGAGTGGTCAATTCAGACATTGCAAACCTTCGTGGGCCACTTTCGGACAAGGTGAGCTTCTAGTGCGAATTCGCGGCTGATTACCCGCTCATCAAGATCGACAGTTGTAGGCTCCCAAACCAAACGTGGCAGTAATTGCTCCATTAACATACCCTCAGCTGCCAATTCGTTGTCCCTGCTGTTGCTGTTGTACAAGGCATTAGCATGGTCATCGGTATTCAACTCGTGAGCCGGCTATCTCGGATACAATTACCCATCCTCACCTCATATCTAGTTTGCGATGCGGGTTTTGGCTCTATACAGAAACGATATCAAGATCAAGCGTCTCGTTTACTGTTGGCTCGTGGCCTGCCACATTCCTTTGATCATCATCGCCATTCTGGAAATCAAGGAAATTACACGTGCGTGTCCCGCTGCGTTGTATCCGTAATCTAACGACAAAGCTACAGCTACTCTATTCTATCTTGCTTTCACGCATACCTGCTATGCTGTCCCATCCAAGTTTATCAAATACGGTTATGTCCCAGCGGTTAGAGCGAACATTCTTGGCCAACGTAACTCCATTTCATCTTGTTTCAGATTATAGCAGAAGGAGGTCTACTGGCTCTTCAGACCTTTCACCACGTTCGAAACCGCCGCCATCGACAGTTCATCTCCATGCCGTTGGTGGACACGCTCTATCGTGACGGATACATTTGGTTCTGTGCCGCGATCGGCATCAGACTCTTCGCTGTCTTAGTGGTAAGCATTACATATGATTCCACGTGACCTATTAAGCTCCTCTTTAGTTTGCTTTCGCTGACCCATCGTAAGCTACCTCACTGACCTTGCTGACGTCTCGCTGAGACTTTCTTCAGGTTATGGCATGTAGCGAATCAAATGGATTTCCCTTTGTGAGTCTCTTTTCCCGTCTCTGTTGTTGTAACTGATAAACTGCAGGTCATCGTAAGCTTTCTGAAAGCCCAGCATATTCACATTCTCAAATTTTCAGTGCACTGGCTTCCCGCTTCTATCTACAATTAAAGTCTGCCATCCAACCGGAATTAGAAGCCATTTCCGACTTTCCCACAACGTCTCCGCACTTTAGTAGTCCGAGAGCTCAAGGAACATTCGCAACAACAGGCAGTCAGTTTCAAACGGAGCACTCGGAATCGATCCCAACTTCAATGCCACTTCAAGAATTGCGCAAGCTTCGAGCACCGCGATAGCGGGTTATCGTCTTTACATTACGTTGTTTACATATACCTTCCTGACTCCACGAACGCCCACTCCTATCATCCATCATCGCCCAAGGCAATTTACGCAGTGTACATACAGCCAGATTAATGACATTACGCAATACGTCAGGTCGTTACCCTCTACTTTCGGGCAGCTAAAGGGAGAGAGTGTCAACGCGAATATGTCCGATGCTCTTTCTCACCTCTTCGAGTCGCTTTGCGCTTGGCCGCAGCCTTTTTCACTTCAACTCGTTTCTCTAGAGCATGATCTTCTTGCCCTTGCTCTTTAAAGTCGTTGAGGATCTATCTCTAGTGAGTATCTCGTCTTCGCACGAAAACGCCATGCATACCTTTTCAAACTCTTTCATCTCATTATCCGGCTTGTTCGCCGACTTGTTCGCTCGGGCCTTGTGAAGCATGAGCAAAATTATGCGAGTTCAATGGTTTCTCTCCGCACCTTTTGTAGAATCTCCGTGAACCGGTCAAATACGGCCTCCTCTCTGAGTTTATCTTGATAGAATGGAAGAGCTTCAATGAGCTTCTTCAACGAGCGTTCTGATTTGAAAGGGAGCAATGAGAGACAGAATGAGATGTTCCGCCATTGTTTCTCGTTTGTTGTATCGCGGAAGCGTTGACACAATTTCTCCACCAAATTCTCCGCTTGCTTTTCCTGCGCAGAGGTTAGTGCGTTAGTAAAAGTTGGACATCTAGAGGCGAACCTTTTCAATGAAATTAAAGATGTACTTCATTGTGCTCTGGAACACGTCTTCGTCTACTGCATGAGGTCCAACTGACAAGTGGCTGATGACTATGGAGAATGAATACGTGAATTCTTCACAAGATAGGCGACGCACCGTCTTGGATGTTGTTGTAAATGGCATTATCCTTCGTGGATAGCTCTGTGAAGAAGAGCTTGGCAAGGTCGGACACTCGACGATCCTCGTCTTCGAGGCATTTGGCCATCTCTCCTAATTGTCCCTTGACCTTGACCATCCCGTTGAGAATCAGATGGGTGAGCACCATCAATGTATTCTTCTTGACGGTCAAATCCGAGTCGGAGAGTCCCTTGTAGAGTCGATCGCTGTTCTCGTCGATTAGCGTGCTGAAGCAAACTGCGATATCTCCGAGTGCAATCACAATGTTGCTGCGGATATTGGGATCCCGAGACGTTTCAAGCATTCGGAGTAGCAATAACAGGTTCTCCTCGCAGAACTTGGAGCTGATACACATGAGTTTGCTCAATGAAAGCGCCGCACTGGTGCGCAGGACGGAATGCTGAAACAACACTCAGTACAACGTGAAGTAGCGAGCCAGGAAGCTGACCTTGAACATTGCGGGATTTAGACAAATGTGAGCGATCATCGGACCGAACGTCGCCAAAAGCGAGTTCGGACTAAACATCATCTCATCCTCACGAACACTTGCTATCAGATCACCAATCTCGTCTTCGGCATTGCCTGCAACTTGATCGAGTTCTTCACCATCTTTGGAGGGCACTGGCCCGCTCGTGCTCGTCGGTTTCGCTATACGAGTGCTCAATAAGCACCAAGCATTGCCCTCTCATACTGACCCTTGGCAGCAACATCCTTCCGCCGTTTCAGCTCGCGTTCGATGAGCTCGAGGTATACTAGATGCTTGATTGCCACATGGCCCACCACGAATACGAGCTGTGCGAGAGTGAACGCGTCCCCCATGTCGCTAGATGGTGCACCAATGGTGGTGGCAGTCTCTTCAACTTCCATATCGTCTTCCTTGGATGATTCTTCCTCGGACTTTGGTGCAGAGCGAGGAGCATCAAAAACCCGAGCTGCGAGGTTCTTGATGATAGCATCACAAATAACGTCTGGTTGCTCTCCGAGTACGTAAATTGTGTTGATTGCTTGCTCGGCCATGCCAAACCTGAAGATTATCAGGCATTAATAAGTGATGCAACTGAGAACAGACCAGTCATTAGACCGTGCGGGGAGTTCGATCATCTCCTGCAACTTGCTGAATACAGGAGTATCCATACCGAGACGAACGGATTTATCATCAAGAGATCCTAGCAGATGTCAGACGATTTATATCATGCAAACGTCGCCTGACCTTTAACTTTCTTGACACTTCCGCTGACTCTCTGCAGAGCAATGCAGGTGTATCTCGCGAGAACGAGGTCGGCCTGAGGATAGTCAATGCAACTCAAGGGTCCTTATCGTAGCACACACCTTTCCTCTCTTTCCCAAGCCCACACGGATAAGCGTATCAACTCGTTCCGTGACGATTTGCTTCTTTGCCGCAGCAATCATCCCAAGTACAATTATAGCCCCGCGTCTCTGCGCTTTTGGAATCTCCTTTTCCGCACCTGGGCAAAGAGTGAGCTATAGTACAGGGTGTTGGTAATCGGCTGACTGTAAACTTGCCAAAGTCGTTTGGTGACTTCTGGGGGGATCTGACCATCGTCCATCATTGCACGTAACATCTCCTCCAAGGAGGTGAGCTCTGCGACGGTAGCATTGAAAGTAAGTCTGAGGGAGAGGTCAAATCTGAAATTGTATGAGAGGGAATCTTACTCAATCATATTCTTCGTGATTCGATTCACTTGTTGACGCGGTTCCAGATCTGGCACTGGATCGAAATAGATTGTTCGATAGCATTCCAAGAGCTTGGCTCGAATTCCTTTGAGCTCTTTGCCATCTTCGCTGGTCGACGCATTGTCTTTGGACCAAATTAGATGAAGCATCTTCTTTAGCCCGACCTGAAAATGGGTCGGGATCGAGTCAAACATATATATAATACGCATACCTGTGCACTCTCCATCCCGTATTCATAGCTTACGCGGAAATACTCCATGGCCTCCAATACCTCCGTCTTGTGGGTACTTCCAAGTAGGTCGCAGAGTGTATCGCTACCTTGCTCCAACCAACGAATAAAGTCGAGGGCCTCGGCGTAATATCGCTTTTTGAGACGAAGGTGGACGAGTTGAGTCCCCTCCATCTCCGCGACAAGCACTTGTTGTTGAGAAACGGCGTGAAGATTCACTTGTTCCGACTTGCGAGGCTTCTTCTTCTTCCGAGGCTTGAGAGGTGTTGACTCCACAGTTCCTTCTTCACCCTCGGCATCTTTAGGCTTTCGACCTTTTGGATACTTTTTCTTCACAGGCGTCTTCGATACAGAAGAGCGTTTGTTCGGGGTTGAAGCGACAGGGTCCCCGTCTTCGTCCATCTCTTCCTCAACGAGATTCATGACAGCTTCTTCCTCTTCTTCGTCGTCATAATTATTGGCCTCCGGAGCATCGTCCACTACCTCGTTGGTCTCATCCACTGCAGTCTCAGCACCATCCTCTTCATCATCGGTTACAGGAGGTCCAACATAATCGTCTCCCATCGAGACGTCGCCTTCTGACCTGGACACTTTGGAGCTCCTAGAGTATGGTTAGACACTGATGAGCAGAGTTTGTTATGTTTTCTCACTTTGTACGATTGCTCTTTGAACTCTTTGAGCTCTTCTTACTCTTTGAACTCTTGGTGCGTACGCTGACTTCTCCTGCGAGTGACGCGTCCTCTTCCATCGCAATTCCTGGAGCCTTCACGAGACTCTCATCGTCGCTGCCGTCGTCGCTCTCTTCTTCACTACTTTCCTCTTCACCTAGTCATCACTTAGTACCAGCACTCGTCAAGATGAAGAGGCAAAACCTTCAACTGGAAGACCAGATTCGTCGACTGGCCGGCTTTCCAGCTTTTCGAGCTCCTTCGTGACTTCTTCATATCGCTGCTCCCAATCCGCATGACGGAGTTCACCGCCATGCATAATGCCATACGGATGAGTTATCTGCAAGGTTCAGAACCTATATTGAGAGTCAATTCGACTTACAATGAGTTTGGTGAGCAATGCAATGGATGCTCGCCGTACGGAGGGGGTCTTGTCATGAAGGGATGAAATAGCATGCTCCGTCATGATCAATCGTTGTTTCGGAAACTTTTGTGGGAGACTGTGAGATGAATGTTAGACATGAAACCGCGATGAACAGAAGTTACTGACTCCCATATCCTGGACAACACTTGGAGAACTTTGACTCGAACATAGCTGCTGACATCCAGAAATCTCTCTCCAAGCATTTCGAATAACCTAACCTCCATCAAGAGCTGAAACGTCTGTGATAGCTCACTCACGAGTTGATCTTTTTCTCCCTCTTCTCGATCTGATCGGCACTGGCGAGGTATTTGATCAGATGGCCAATGATATCAACCATAGCTACGCGCATAGGGTATGCCTCGAAGAGTGTAAATAGGTGAAGTGGGATCCCGTTCAGTACTCACCTCGCTATCAACATGATCAAGTAATAGACTCATTTGTTTGAGCACAATCTTCGGCGAGAGCTCTGCCAGATGAACTAGGAACTTCCCATATGTCCGGGGACCTTTAGTGTCTACCGCTGGGAAAGTTTTCTGGGATATCTCTCTATATCACATGTCAGCGAGGCATTGTAACTCACGAGGCCAAACTCACCGAAGGACCTCGTCGCCGACACCAGAGACATCAAATTCCTTATCAAGAACATCGAGAATCTCTGCCATTGGTTCCGATAAATGCTCGAAATACTGCAGGCATTGAAGAAGTGAGATCTGGAAGGCGAAACCATGTCTGAAGGCGTTGAATATCCATTCGCACTGGAGAAGTGCACCCACCCATGACTTTTGACTGCGACGCAGATGACTTTGTAAACGCCGAGCCTAATCTTTTCGACTTTCATAAAAATCTCAGATTCTGCAATCTGGTATGCTGGCCGTGTGACGACTCTGATCATACTTAGGAATAACATATTAGGAAGTAAGGAGATCTCACCCAATGAATCCGTCCCTTTCTGCCGTGCTAGTCCATATTCTCGAGGTTGGGAGGCTCTTGAGGAGCTTGCTGAGCAACGAGAGGACGGAGGGGATCTGGTCGATCCATACCCACGCGCTCGCCTTCTTCTTAGACTTGGTGGCGGTAGCAGATTTGGTACTCTTTGTCGTGCGTTTCCCTTTGCTGGGGGCTCCGCCACCTTCATCGTCGCCTCCACCAACCTTTTCACCAACACCCACAGTCCATAACAGAAGAAACGCATACATTTCCAAAGCGTGCTTGTGCGCGTTGATAGTTGATGGATCGACATCTGCACTCTCTCCTCCCGGATTCACATCTCGGATGGTAGCCTCGAGTTCGGTGGCCATAGCACTGAGCAATGAGTCGAGTATCTTGGGTACAGTATTTTGAGGGAGCGAGTCTACGTGTTTGAGGGCTGATCGGAAGACTGCAAACGGTGCAGGGTTTCCCGAGTTTGTGATCGCGTCGGATGAGGATGCGAGCGAAACAATGGCATCTATATGGATAAAAATATCAGCATAATCAGGTTTCTCTGACGCAAACGCGTTGTTTCGGCATGGTAAGCGTTGCCACTCCACGTACCTTCAAGTAGATTGGTTGCTTCGCCGTCGTCCATGTTTGCAAGGTCAATCTCATCATCAAAATTGTACGTCGAGGGGTCTGTGAGCTGCTGACTCTCCTCTTGGAGATTAAAGTCGACCATTATGGTAAGTTGACACCTTGACTGGCGCGTCTAGACAAGTAAAGCGAGTCCCTATGATGTATTGAAGTCTTCGTATCCTATCAGCAAGTTAAACTGGGGATGGCCACAGCCAAGACACGGTCACGGCAGAGTTCAAATGATTTCTGACCTGACCTCAACCACGTCGAAAACAAAAACTGCGGCTGCTGATCCTCACTTGCTAGTTTATTCGGCACTAGAAGTAGATTACACATCATTCGGTGCTTAAAGTTGTGTGTTTGGTTGCAGCAAATCAGTCCGTCCCTCCAACGCCATGACTTTGGCCGGTTCGACCTGTAGGACGCGGAGTATTGCATCAAAAGCCACAAAAGTCGCATCAGGCAGTCGATATGTTGCTAATCATCCTTTATTTCTTGCACATCGGCCTAGAAAGCCAGTCGTAGGCGACAAGTTGCTGTTATGTCGGAACGCGAGCACAGGTCCTTCACGAAACACACAACCACCTGGTTCAAAAAGCGCTCGGAAAGCTGCAAATCTCGATACGCAAACACCATCTGCAGGTGCCAAAGCAGAGATGAAAGGAACACCTCGGGGACTGTTTGGACTTGGTCCAATAACACTCGCACTTCTCGTATTAGGACTGACCGTGAGTGGATGGGCAGGGTAAGTCTAACTCTTAGTGAACCCGCAGTTCTCTGACAGTCTCCAGCTACAAGTTCTATTATACAGAAACATTGTATCCGCCTCCAGTACGAGCATATCTCAAAGTCGCAATCAGGGCTACTATGGACAACGACTGGGCAAAGGCAGAGGCGGCATCTCGAAAGTAGGTGTCCTTCAGTCGCGAGGATCTGATGTTAACTGCGCATAGAGCGTGGGAGGTAGCTCTCTCGCTATCACCGAGCGAATTCAAGGAAGATCCACACCTCAAGATTACCGGTATCGCAGCAAAGCTCGGAGAGATTCTCGAGTCGCAAGGCAAAACACGAGAAGCATATATTGTCTACGTGGAGGCCCTTTCTGAACTTTTCCCACAATTCGCCCTCTACGGAACTCTAGATCCAGATAAAGACTTTTCACTGTTTGGGACGTCGAACACAGTACGGCACCCAGACTGGTCAAAGCTTGAACTGGGAGGCAAGGCTCGATTACGTGCCGTTGGCCTTGCCAATCGAGCTGCTACATTGGCACAAGGCATGCAACGAACAAAAGCGGCCACTACTCCTCCTGTCACAAAACGCCCGCAACAGGACTCACAGCGTCCAGATGGCTCCACGTCGTGGCCACCGACCTGGACGAAGAGCTGGGAAGAAATAGAACTACAGCTTCGGTCGTTTAGTGGTAAGCCTCTCATTCTCCATGCCATTTGCTGTGCTGATTTCCTTTGAAAGTCACACAAGTACTCTACTTGACGTCAAACACCACGGGAATCCCAACCTCGGAACTCTCGACCAGCCCGGATCTCGATACTAGGTACGTGTTCGTATTTCATAACTCGCGTATCTAATTATATGACAGACTTCCCCGCTGGCTGAGCCGAATGGACCTGGCGGGCACGTGCGAGGGGCTTGCAGAATGCTACGTCCGCCGCGGAAACATCGAGTACGCATCCAATCTTGGTGGCGACATTTATAACCATGGTTTGCAGACTTGCGCTGGCTCTGTATCAAACTACCTTCCAATTCCTCTTGTCTTCAAAGCAATCGATGGCATTCGACATATCGACCGCGGAACCACTTCTTTCGACCGCAGAGGCACCTAATAATGCTATGCTAATGTGCATGGCAGCTGGTGTACTAACTGCGATGGGTGGGGCAGTCCTCGGTACTCATGGACCGAACGCCGGGTCCAAAGCCAAACCAGTCGAAGATCTGGCGCAAAGGAATGCCGTGCGCTCATGGTGTCGCGAGTCTCGCCACCTCGTCGACGCCGGACGACGGTTGACGGGTGGAACTCCCTATCATAACCTCATGAGAGACATTCAAGTCCTCGGAAGAGCGGATAAGCCCAATGCAAAGGAGATTAAAGCGCTAGATTTGGATGATACGTTCCTATCGTCCCTTCCAGACGTTCCGACTCAGCAATCGACATTGTCGGACATGCACGTTGCTCAAGAGATACGAGACAAGCGACTATTGTATATTGATCTCAAGAGGATACAAGAGGCTGGGAGACGGAAGAAAGAGGCCGTTTGGAAGTCGAAGACGGAGGGGCCAATATACGGCGGCGAGACGCCAGCCAAACGTGAACTAACTAATGCCGATATATGGGGTGCGGGAGAAGCTGCGTTCAAGACGAACCCGCTTTGCGAGCGCACATGGGCTGCGGTACTCTACAATACGGGCATGGTGGAGATGGTGAGTTGGACCCGTTACTGATGACACGCTGAGAATAACCCTCTTTAGCTCGATCATAATCCTTCTCTCGCCGAGCAATACTTCCACCTTGCGTTGGAGCACTCTCGCCGGATCAACTTTTTAGAAGGCGTGACCAGAAGCAAAGAAGCACTCAAAGATCTACCCAAGTAGTCGCTTTCAGCTAGAGGTTGAAATGCATGCAATAATACCACAAATCATACGAAGCTAGAGTAAACAATGACAAGATGCACCAGCATCAATCCACTTTTTTGGCCTCTGTTCCAGAGGGCGACTCCTGGCCCTTGCGGACAATAATCTCGACAAACTTTCGCGGGAACCAACCCTCGCGTCCATCTCTTGTCCGTCCTCGCCACCACTCCGTCTCCAGACTACCCGTAACTGGATCGGTCATCAAGAGGATGGCGACAATGTCTCCCTTCTTTAGCGCGAGCTCTTGTGGGGAAGAGGTGTTGAATTCGTACAATGCATGGGCAAATGTAAGTTTTGACGGGTCAAGCGTAGCGCCTGGCTGTGTGAGGGAGAGTTGTTGTTGGGAGAGAAGGGTGCCATCGGGGAGGACGGGTGGGCGTTCGGAGAGCCGCTTGATGAGTTTGTGCATGAGATACGGGATGCCGAAAATGGCAAGGAAGAAGACGATAATGGGTTTTTTGGATGGTTTCGGTTGACCCTTGGATCCTCCAGGCTGTTGGTTGACAAACGCCTCAAATTCTTGACTCAACGCTCCTCGTGGGACGACACCCTCGCCGGACAGTACACCCTTGACCCATCGAACGAGACCAAATACACCAAGCACTTGGCCTAGAACGTCGCGTAATGCCGCAAACTGGTCAATCACGCCGACCATGGCGAAAAAGGAAGAGTGTGTCGCCATAAACGTCGAGTCGAGCATTTGCGCGAATCCTCCAAACGTCTGGACGATGCTGTGAAGGAGATTGAACGTCTGTGCGGTCGTGTTGGAGAGTTGAGCCGTCAGCGACTGTGAGGGATCCATTCCGGGCATCCCTGGCATCATCCCGGGCATCCCTCCATAGCCATAGCCTCCATATGGAGATCCATAGGTGCTATATGGCGAAGAGTACATTCCCCCGTATCCTCCGTAGCCTCCATAGCCCGTTCCAAAAGGTGAGTAGGTGTTCCCAAATCGGTTGTAAGGCGACGAGTACATGCTCCCGTATGCCCCAGCGCTCGTCAATGCACTACTAGAGGCTAGACTAGTCGATACAGGTGTTGTCAGCGATGCTGGACGGGCTGGAACGGCGGGTGCGGTCCCCGCTGTGGGGTTTTCAACGACGGTCGATGACGATGCGACCGAGGGGGCAACATTTGGCGCTGCTGTAGTTATTGCAGATGCATTATTTGCCGTATTTGCAACGCCAGCACGCTCCCAAGGCTTTGGAGGAGATGGCATGCCGGGTCGTGGTCGGGTCTCGGAAGTGACAAAACCGGCGCAACACTCAGAGGCCTGAATGTGCTTGACATGCTTATTGCACATGTTCCAGTATACAATATAATATAGTCAGTGGCATGGCTTGTGATTATGGCGTTTAGCGGCCCCAGAAGAGAAACAGGGAAATACCGCCCCCATCGATCGCCTTAGCACTTGGTCCCAACGACAACTACTTCCACATCGATGGCATCCAAATTTGAGACTGCAGTCAAGATTGGTAAACTCATACATCTTACATAAGACGCTTGAGGCTAAGACGATGTCCCTGGATATCTAGTTCAGGAGCTCCCCAAGGATGGCCCAGTCCAGCCATCTCAGGAAGACAAGCTCAAGGTGGGATAATGTGGACGCATCACCTTTTATATTCTGATTACCTCTAGTTCTACGCTTTGTACAAGACTGGTACGTAATCGCCTTCCCGCCTTTACCTTTTCTCATTTGAATCGCAGCTACTGTCGGTGTCGTAAACACTACTCGCCCCACTGGGCTGCTCGACTTTGCTGGGAAAGCCAAGTGGTAAGATTCCTGGATATTTCAGTGGAGAGCAAAAGCTCATCTCTTGCAGGGACGCGTGGAAGGCAGAGGAGACCACCTCAAAGGAGGATGCAGAGAAGGAGTATGTGGAGAGATTAATCGCTGTAAGCACAACTGTCGGGCTACCGAGTCGGAAGCTGACAGTAGCTAGATTCTCAAGAAGACGGATACCGAGGAATCAAACGCCCTTCTCGCTCAGCTCCAGTAAATAGAATGGATTGGGGGGTTGACCTGTACCGTACTACTACCCAGGTCGAATGACAGTTTGAAATTCACTGAGCCCCTGCGGAGACTTCCCGCCTAGGCGAAGAAATGACGGATGGTAATAGCTTACCCATAACGTTTTTGTTCATCCAATTTCAGGGGATTCGCGTGTCGACATCCCCCATTTCCATGCACTAACTGGGGTTCTAGTTGACGGCTTTTTATAGGAACCGCGACTCGTTCAGTACAAATGCACGCGGATCCAGGAACCCTCCATGCCGGAGGAACAATTAGTCCGAAGGAATGATCCTCGCTGCGGCCTCCTTCGTCCAACTGGAAATGCATAAATACACCGTCTACATTAGGGCTCTTCTTTATCTGAACACTCTCTCTTTGCGTATCAAGCATGTCAGCGACTGTCGACCAAAAGTATGAGCTGGCCCGGAAAATTGGTAGGTGCTACTCGTGCTGATGCACGTATCAAACTAACGGTATCATTTAGGTGGGCAAGTCTTTAACAAGTCGAAGCTGAGCAAGGAGGAGATTCTCGAGGTGAGTAGTCTTCCTTTGATTATTTCAGCTGACACTTACTCGCAACACAGATGTGGGTAATGAACAGAATGAGTATATTGTCAACCTTGATTCACCATTGCAACACCTGATAAGCCGCATAGTTCATGGCGCTGGTTCCAGCATCATTCCTCCAACTGCAGAGCAAAAGTAGGCCAATAAGTGGTCCCCGTATTCTCCTCCTAACTCTGTGTAGAAAAGCGCTGCAGGATTGGGCTCATTTAAGTCAAAACGACGTGAAAGAGAGCTTCATCCACTTAGTCGTAGACGTGAGTCTTGAGTCAAGTTTTAAAACGTTGATCTCACTATGGGTTTACAGAAGCTCGAGCTTGTTAAAGACGACAAAGACTTGCCCAAAGCTAAGGAATGGCTTGCTGAGCTTAAATAGAGCCTTGTATCCATCATTCGAATCGATTTTGATCGTGTAAACACTCGTACTGACTTGTGACCTACTCAAGGTCACGACACTAGTCCACTCTCCACTGCCGTCTCGTAGATTTTCTCAGAGAAAACGAGCGCATCCCCTGGCCAGCGAGCGGAAATGTATCGCCCGTCTTGAACGACGTGAGCAGACTCGCGTGCATACTAGCCCGTCAAGTTCAGCAGTCCTGGTAGATATTGCTCGGGAGTCGCGAGGCACTAGTGACGACTTGTCAGCACCCAAACACAGAAAAATACTCCCACTTACTTCTTGAACCAACGCAGCTGTGTATCTCCCAGGATACGTCCTGTAATAATCACCAATAAAGGCTCCAGTTAGGCTGTGGGCTAATCGCTCCAAATGTTCTGGCAGAGTCGTCATTTTGCGATCGTAGAGGATAGAATTTCCAGTTTCATCCTTTGTCTAGGCTAAAACCAGTACGCCGTGGCTACCGACGAAGTCAAACAGATAGACAGTGGTCAATATCTCGACGAACCAGATAGCACCTACGACCATCTTCTTGTCACTCGACCCGTCCTTATCTCTGGTGTACGGCCATATCTCACTCAGCAATGATCTGAGATGCCTGCTTTCGATAATTTGCCGGACACCTTTTGATGGTTCGTCTTCTTTATTCTCTCCACGTCTCTCGTGTCCGCCAGGAATAATGACCACGTCGTATTGTGTCAAGGAGAACTCGGGATCGTTCCATGCCTTGGGTTCCTTGAATGAAGTGGACGCGCTCAACGAATTCGTGTAGGCATCCTTTGCAGCAGCCTTGGCCCCCAGAAGACTAGCAAGAGTTCCGGTGAGCATCATTTGATCCGCCTTTGGTGCTATAAATAGGTAAGGCTCAGGACATTCTGGCAAGCACCAAGTACGATGTGATAAAGAAGTGACCAGTCTGTGGGCAAGTTGGAGAGGGGTAACTGACATTTGCCAGATTCCGTCACAATATCGATCACCCATCCTTTCTCAGTCAAATATTTGTACGGAATCGCAGCCTCTGTAGGATCGAAACCGTAATTTGGAAGCAGCATTGCAGCCTTGGTCATGTTCGACGTCTCAAATCGGTAATTAGAGATCGTATCTTTATTTTAGAGGTCGAAATCGAATGCCTGATCTCTGTCGGCGAAAGAGAAGCGGCCCAACTATGGCCGTGCATGTGGTTGTGGATTGTTCGAAGTCGGAGTAACTGCCCTGTGACGAGTGATCGATTCTGGAAACAATAATTGCTCCCATCTGTATCTTGGACAAGTGAATGAACGTCGATACTAATGAGGACTAAGTATTAACGCCTCTCATAATTGGCATTATCATATACTCCTGTCACACTAAATAAAAATCAAGCCTGTCTGCGTAATGAGTACACCGTGAACTGTCATGCACATACGCATGGCGCTCTTCCAAAAATCTGAAGCGATCCGATAGAAGGGGCGAAAGTCTCATCGTGGTCGGGTCGAAATGCAGAGGCTATGTAAATCTGGGGAGACGTGTAGTACATACACACGATATGACTCGAATCATGCTACTCTCGAGGTAATTATGTTATTGCCCGCAACAGCTCCTCGGATACCAGTCCTGATCACAAGCCAAGGGGTCACGCAACGTGTAACAAATGAATTAGAAGAATGTGATGGTTTCTCCACAAGCAAGAAGATGAGCGAGCGCCGGTCTAATTTGAGTTTGGCTGTCGCACATCGTGGCTAAGACGGCAACCACCAGATGATGGCGAATGAACAGGAAGCGTATAGGCTCTTCTTCGTCGACAAGGACCATCCAAAACAAATTCAATCCGTCACGATTCTGAAAACCGCGTTCGTTGAAGATCTTCAGCATCAAATCCAACAGCGCCGTTACAAGGATGTGGACCCGTCCGAACTGGCTTTATTCCAGGTAGACATATCGGATGAAGGCGATTTAGCCCAGAAAATCGAGGAAAAAAAGAAGGACCTGGGCTCACCGCTCCTTCCAAGTCGCCGCCTTATCCGTTACTATCCCTCAACCCCCCCGGAAGATGCTATACATATCCTTGTCAGGTGCTCTGAATTGCCCCAAGAGTTCGGTGAGGGCTTTCTCTGGAGCAATCGCACGGCTTACTGACGCACTCCTTTCTTCATCCATGGAATAACACCAGAATCGGTCAATTCCCAAGCAGAAGACTACATCTCCCTCGAACTGTCCAACAAGGGCACATACATGAATGCCTCGATCGTCAACGTCCATGAATGTGGCATAACCCAAACAGAATTTCCTCCCCCAAGCCTCGAAGAGTTTCGCCGGAGCCTAAGAAGACGACGCATTTACCGGACACAAGACGCAGTTTTGGTAACATTTCCATAGCTCAATCACCATCGACTGATTAGGAATATAGATGGAGCAAGTCGAACGCCAATGTGATGAGATAGGTCTCAAGTTTGAAGACTACTTCCAACCAGAAGGTTTGACGAATCCGATCGATAAAAGTGGTCTTTTCGGGAAGGCCGAAGCACGGCACTACTCCGACATACTTAGAGAGCCCGAATACCTCAATTTAGCATACTACAAAACCGCCAAAGAAACCGTAGTTCATTCTCTGCTCGCCAAACTTATGCATTCAAACGACACCTCTCCCGCCTCCCTGTGTGAATACCTCTTGTGCGTTGAGCCTCGCCGCTCCGTCTCAAGCTAAATATCATTGCAGTAACGCATCCTGGAATGTTCCCATCGTGGCGAGGTTACGTAACTCAAATAGTTGCGTCCAAACGACTCCAAGAAGCGACATGCTTCTCAACACTGATCGATTACCCATGGTAATCATGGAGATTGCGTCTGGTACTGGGGGAGAAGATGAATACAAGATGATACTTCAAGCAGGGGCGTTATTGAGGATGGCGCATTACTTGAAATACGACGAACTCATCGTGACTGCGATCTACATCAGTAACGACTTTATTGCGACCCGATACTTGTTCTGCCTTTCGGACCCAAAGTCGAAGCAGGTGTGTTTCTTTTCTGATCTAGATTGCTCACCTGACCATCTTGCAGGTTGTTTATACCAAGGATCGGTTTATCCTTACAGAAGGTCGCGATCTATTCGAAATGGTCTTGGAGCTCTACAATTTGATGGCTCTGTCAAAACAACAAAGCTCGAGTCTCTCGCAAGATAAAATAAAACTAATGACTGCAACGGTCAACGCGAAAAACATCCCTAAAATGACTGGGACACCTAGAGCATCCAAACGAACTCGTGAGGATGACCGCACCAGCCCTAGCAGCAAACGAATGAACACAAATCAAGGAGGGACAGACAGAATGAATGAATGCATCATCAATGCAGGATATGCTCTGGCGTGGCATCATCTTCCACAGGATGGGAAAGATATATTCGAACTTCTCTTTCCGGTAAGATGTTCTAGATTTCGGTTTTGACGATTTTAACATCAGTAGTTCCCCGACAATGTCCGCGAAGCGACGAGGCGGGACGGACTCTCGGTCATCATCAAGCGAGTCAAACATAGATCAGAGGTAGACATCTTGAGGTACCTTGAGAGTCGTGGAGGCGTAAATGACCATATAATTGCGTTACTCGACGTGCTCGAGTTCGACGCGCAATGGCTTATCGTCATGCCGAAGCACGTCAGGCTCCGTGAGGCTACGCATCTGTTGTCAACAGCCTCTACTGTCTATTCGTTTCAAAAGCAGTTCCTCCAAGGTGTCGCGTTCATGCACGCCAATGGAGTTGCGCACCTGGACCTCAAGCCGGATAATGTTGTCGTTGACTTTGGAAAGAGGTCAAGGGACAAAGACCAAGGCACGCTTTATATTATCGATTTTGGAGTTGCAGAGATGAATGTGACGACAAGCACGACGATGAAGGACTTGTGCGGGACGTATGGTTGGACTGCACCGGAGATTCAAGACGGCCAAACTTGGAGTCCTATCTTGGCGGACAGATGGGCGTGTGGCAAGATGCTACTCTATATTGGCGAGCAAATCAAGTGGACCTCGCGCGTGCAGGACCTCGTACGGCGATTGATGGATGATGATCCTCAGGCTCGACCTCCCATAGAGGTCATCCTCGAGCATATTTTTGGGGGACCAGGACATCATCCTGGCACGGTGGGTCAACATATATCCAACTCAGGATCTGCAGGCCGCTTAATTCCGACCCATTGATGGAGCTGCCCCTCCAGGGAAGTAGTTGTTAATTGAAAATGCATTCTCTTGTAGTCGCTATCACTTCTTGTACACATCACCACAGCCATGAAGCTTCCATGCTTCCATTTGTACAGGCAGAACAAGCGTCGACATAATGGACGGCACCGGAAATTCAAGATTCAGGTTACGGCAGAACTCACCAAAACGACGCCGTCAAGTATCGTTAGGGCTATGCCTGATGTCTGGACGGCGTCGCACAAGTTCACCGCCGAATCGTGGCTCTTTTGGCTCACCTGGGTCGCGCCTTGCGTCCTTAAAGGCCATCTACCGACCGAACACTACAACCATCACCTGCTTTTCAGTAAAATAATCAAGCGGGTGACGTCTCGTGAGCTTACCGAGGCCGACGTGGACGAGCTGGACGTATGGACAAGGCAATGGCATACGGAATATGAACGGTATGTCTTTATTTCGATTCTTAGCAGCTACTGATATATCTAGACTATATTATCGCTACAAGTACAGCCGTCTATCGGCATATCCACTCACCATACACCACCTCATCCACATGGCCGGCGACACACGCGCTTGCGGACCGTTGGCACGCGTCTGGGAATTCGTGACCGAGCGCATCATGGGACTGGTTGCACTTAGCGTCACCAGTCGACGATTCCCATTCTCTCAGCTGGCCAACACCCTCCGATACACGGGGCAGATGCGGATGATTGCGATTCGCTATGGGCTTGAAGACAAACTCAACTTTTTCCCTCAACATCGCAACTACAATAAGATTGGTCGTGGGGAACAGCACTTCCCAGATATCGGTCTGTGCCTTCCATCTTTACTTTTGTTGACTAATCTACGATACAGATGAAACGACCATTCTTATTTCACCCTATCAACGTGCATACAAGTGGTCCGACAAGCATCGACTACTTGCGGCGATCTACTTCAAGACGTGGCTCGATCTCTCTGCAAGAGACGTCGACATCGCAAAGAAACTCAAGAAGCGTGTCAAGAGACGGGGGAAGTTTCGGGTGAAGGGAGAGCAGGCTGTGACGCGATCTGTATATGGCATGGAGAGCGTCTTGGAGGATTCGAGTCGTGACTCATCATTTGTTCGGGTAAGCACAACTATCTTATATAAAGCATACTAAAATGCATCATCTAGCTCGAATTATATCCGGACGAGAACGCATCCGATATCGACACACCTGACGTGCCGTTTCATCAAGTCTTCTATGGCCAGCTCCTCTACATCGTCAAGGTGACCCTCAAGAAATCGAATAGCATTGTTAACCGCAAGGAGCATACTGCTATACTGGGGTTTGTTCGCTTTTGCAAGAATACCGTTGGTGACGCTGCTCAAGAACCTGTTTTTTACAAGAAAATGGACATCACCCAAGCGGTAAACATGGATACGATCCAGTGCAGTGTTGGGAGAGTTTGGTGTGGCAAGGAATGGGGTATACTTGACACAAGTTATGGATGGGAGAGTTTGGTGTGGCAAGGAATGGGGTATACTTGACACAAGTTATGGATGTGAGCGGACGATGTTCTTTGACGAGGATGAACCCGACTCTGATGATAATTAGAATCATGCTTTTATTTGTTATTTAGCAGCGAAATACCTTCTAGTCTGCATTTGCTACCCAAACTTACTGTTTGTGCTGAGCCAGAACAAGGCTGGTCAAAATGACCGGGACCGGCTAATGAACATTGACCTGCCCTGGTCAACTTCACTGAGGTCGAGCAAAAATGAATCGAGCCGGTCGACTTGACCAGGGTGCCCGGTTGCAACAACCAGTTCTGGTCAAGTCGACAAGCCACTGTGGCTTCAGTGTGCATAGGTCCTACAGACCTGCAGAGGGGCTATACAAATACAGATTAAAAAAAAAGGTCGGCTTGAAATGTAGATGTTAGTTTATTGCCTTGTTGTCTTGTCTATGTACATAGTGGCGAGTGAGCGTTGTAGTCAAATCAGTAAGGTTTGACTACAACGTTCACTTGCCTAAGTACACCCTGTTCAACAGTAAAGGCCATGTAAATCTGGTGATAATTGTAGCAAGTATACACGATTCTGCGTATATGCGACTGAGAATAACCTTATGCTCAAGGTAAGTATCCTCTTGTCCGCAACAGCTCTTGTACAAGTCCTGACCACAAGGTGAGACGTCAAAGCGTGTGAAAATGCCTTAGAAGAATATGATGGCTTCTCCGCAGGCAAGAGCACTGATCGAGTTTGAGTTTGGCTGCAGCGCGCATAATCTTGATCCCGGCCACATCCATTTCGCCATGGCGAGCGAACAGAATTCCAAATTCTTCTTTGCCGACATCAATAATCCACAGCATGTAGCTATGGTCACTCTTTCAAGATCCGACACAGTCGGTGATCTTCAGCATCAAATCCAACAGCGCCGTTACAAGGATGTAAACCCCTTCAAGATCGATTTATTCCAGGTAGACATATCGGATGAAGGCGATTTAGCCCAGAAAATCGAGGAGAAAAGCAAGGACCTGGGTTCGCCGCTCCGTGCAACTTACCCCATCTACGAGTACTACGCATCACCACCGCCAGCGAAAATGGTGCATATCCTCGTCAGGTGCTCCGCGTCGCCCCATGATGAGCTTCGTGAGTAGGCGTTTGCTGCATAACTCTTGTTTTTGCTGATAAGAACTCTCTTTGGCACAGTAAAGAGGAAGCGCGAGGACGACGAAGGCCCAGATGCGAAGCGAAGAAAGATCCTTGAATCCTTGAAGATAGCTCGCTCTCTTGCCCCTTCCTCCGCCTCTCCGAAGGAACTATTCGCACACTATAAGGGGAAAATCGACGTCAACCGACCCACTGCTGACCCGGAGACAATCCCCATTTCCCTCCTCCATGAAGTTTTTGGAAAATTCTTAGACAGCTACCAGACACACCGGCCAACTGCAGAGGAGAATCGTTTGTTCAATAACCTTCAGGAGGCAATGTTGATGGAATACAGAAATGAGGGCGACCGTGCATACAAATTCAGATCTTTGTTTTCAGAGGAATATGGGATAAAGTTGGAAGCATCCCTTGTCTCTAACACGGCTTATACCACCGATTGCCACCTCCAGATAGACGGCCATCCCCTCATCATCACAGAAGCAAAAGATGATGTGACGAGTTCTAAGGCAGCCGCGCATCTGCAAGCTTTCGCGTACTACCTACAATTCATCAAAAAGAGAAAGCCCAAGGAGGTGGGAAGAACTCCTTGCTTTCTCGTTTACTGTATCGGTAGGTATCGCTACATTCTACCGAGATATGTTTCACAGCTGAGGTCCTGACTAGGTACGAACATCGGCTTCGCCGGCGCCGTCGTAGGGATGAAACCTCAATTTGAGCCGCTTACATCAAACTTGAGTTTCGAGGCCAATCATCATGACCAGAGGAGACTTGAGCCGCTTGTACGGGCTCTCTGTGCACTCCAGCAAGGTGTAAAATTGTTGCAGGACGTCTACCTGCCCAACGAAAACTCTCTTCCACCTCGAGGCTTTACGTATCCATACCGCGACTTCTATACGGATGGTCAGCGTAAAGTCACATTTGAATATAGCCGTCGCCTCAACCCCGCAAAGCTCCTCTTTCAATGCGTACGAAAGGAGGACCAGATGCCACTCTGCGTCAAGTTTACACTCAAGTATGCGAAAGAGGCACACCAGGTGTGTAGCGATCAGGGAGTCGCACCAAAGCTCTACAGTGTCGAACGGCTTCCGGGAGGTTGGTGGATGGTCGTGATGGAGTATCTCTCCGAGGAGGAATACACCATGCGGAACTCGGTCGATGTCGACGTCGTCAAGTTCAAAGAGGCCATTAAGGGTGTCGTCGGTTTTTTGCATCGCAGCGGTTTTGTCCATGGCGATATTCGGGCTTGCAACATCATGATCCGTCGCGAGTGGGACGATGGCATTGGAATGAGGAACGTCAAATTGGGCGACTTCGATTGGGCTGGGAAAGACGGCGAGGCGAGGTATCCTGCAAATGTGAATTACGAGCAGATCGTGCGACCAAAGGATGCGAGGGATGGATTGCCTATTACAAAGGAACACGACCTGGAGATGATTGAAACGGCTGTGACCAATAACGAGTGGACAGGCAGACTCTGATGACCTGGGCGACGGGCAACTAACCATTGTATCAATCTTGTAGTCCCTTCCAATTATACAGTCACTCTACCTCATGCCGTTCGCCCGAGCGCGTCTTCCACATCCCTGGGTCGAGTCGGATGGGTCGAAAGCCGCACGACGTAACAGATAAAGAATTCTGAAAGGCGGAGTATTGTACACGAGTAAGCAGGGATGACATGACCAATGAACGGTATTCCTAGTGCCGTCTTCGAGCATACTCTCGGCCGGCTAGAAGGTCCATCCGGCCCAAAGTCCATCCACCTCATAACCTGTATGAACAGCCCAGTGAGAACAGCAGTTTAGAACGCAGCTCATAAGAGATTCAACTCTTGGAGGAAAACAAATACGATTCGGCGCGGTGCGTATGGCTTCGCATGATACATTTGAGAATAACGAGTTATGTCGAACTGAGGGATCTATCGCTGGCAGAGACAAGGGCAGCGTACGAACAATCGTTACGCACACTCGCTCGGGGAGGAAGAGAGAGAAACGAGTCATTCGGACGCTGGGGGCATGCTCTATATCATTGACTTTGGCATAGCAGAGATGGATGTGACGACTAGCAAGACAATCGAGGACATGTGTGGGACGCGTGGATGGACTGCACCGGAAATTCAAGAGGGCCAAACTTGGAGTCCCATTCTGGCCGATAGATGGGCGTGTGGAGAAATGCTACCCTATCTTGGCGAGCAAGTCAAGTAGGCGTCGCGGATGCAGTACATGGTAGGAAGATTGATGGAGGAGGATCCACAGGCTCGGCCGCTTGTACGCGCCGTTCTCGAGGTTATCTTCGCTTCAGAGGGCCAGAAGGTCATCTCAGCATCGTGGGCCAACATATCTACAGCTCAGGATCAACAGTCCGCCTGACCTCGACCCGTTGAACAAGTAGATCTTGCTACCGAAGAGTTTTTGTGTATCATCTTGTAGCTAGTATAGTCCCACCACCTCCACTTCCTCCACGATTGAGCAGCGACGAGGCTCCTCCGTATGCAGAATTCGAACAACCACGCGTCGTCTCTTGGCTCGATATTCGACTATATCTTTTCATCCTCGAGGATGCCTTGTACACTCGTCTTTTCAATTATACAGTCACTCTATCTCATGCCGTTCGCTCGAACACGCCTTTCACATCCATGGGTCGAGTCGGATGAGTGGGCGTGCTTCGCAGCAGCGGTAGCAGCGGTGAGCTAGTTCTTCAAGAGCTCCTCATATGATGGGATTTGGCAGAAGAGACCACTATTGAGTGTGGAGATAGGGTTGGTAATGGCATAGGCGGGCGTCCGGGCGACAAGTACTCCCCAGTGATGTTGTGCACAAAGTGGCCGCATAGTCCATAGTTGTGAGTCTGAGAACAATATAAACCAGTAATTTAATCTCTTTAGTAGTGCAAAGGTGCGTATCGCGATCGGGTGTGGGCTGCTTGCCTATCACTCGGTCGAATCCAAGTTGGACCTGGCTTCATCTCCGGCTGGCGTGACCGTGGCGTATCGCAGACGAAGGCCTTTTGACAAGGCTTGGATCCCCTTGGTGGTTGAATAACCGCTCAACTGCACGCGAAACACGCGCGTATTTGCCAATTCTCTAGCGCCCCAGGTCATACGGACGGCAGAGAGGAGAGAAGCCCATACCTATTGTTCAAGGCGACTATCCTCTCGAAGAAACACCTAGTTCACGAAGACGTGTGACTGCTCAACTGGGCCTCAGCAAAGGCGCTGACAACCCCTCTTTTGGACGGATGCGAGAGGACGAACCCACCTTCCTATATAATACTAGTCCATTGAGGTGCAAATAGCGTTTAAGAGGAGAGTTTTGATCAACCTTTCGATTCATGGCAACCATGTCGGCCTCGAGCTCTCCCTCGCAAATGAAAGGAGTTGATCCTATGCAATTTCGGGTACCAATATCATACGATGGTGGGAAAACGGTACGTTTGCATCACGACCACTTCTGCACCCTTACCCACGACTCATTCTGGCAATATTGTAGACAAACATGACCACTCTCACAAGCGATAATGACCCCTTTGAGGAAAGAGAACGCGGTGGTGGCTGTTGCGACTGCACTGGGTGTGCGAGTGGCCCATCCGGATGGAGTAGTGGGGACGGTTTCTGTGGGTGTAACACCAATGAAGTAGACTGTCATTGCATCATTTCTTAATACCTCGGTATGCTACAATTCGTCTGCGATTCACTGCGACTGATTGTGATGAGGCGCTTCTCAGTGGGCTGAATCTCTATGAATGAACAATCTCGTTTCCTATTGCCCACTTAGACTTTGACGGTCGACAAGAAGCGGCTGTTTAAAACAGACCAGTCGTGCTGTCGTCTGCTATTTGTCGAAAAGGAAGTCATTACCGTCTCAATGGATGGGACCATGTGCACGCTGGCTTCCCAGAGAGCTGACTAGGAAGCTCTCATGAACAGGTCTCACGACTAGAATACTTCTTGAAGCTGCTCTGGCGGAGGGAGACTCAGAGGGAGCGAATCATGACATATAAAGAACTGGGTTCAATAATAGGATCTTGTGAATCTGCCATGAACGTACAGGCTCATTAGATCTTTGCAGAGCCGACCCTCTTGTCGATGAAAGGGGTTACTCGTCCACTGGTTTCCATCTCGCTACCGCTTGAGACTGGCTGCGAACGGCGTGGGATCGTCCGCATGAATCTACGTTGCTTACAGATTCTAAACCCGGTCGAGTCGCGGGGAGAGGCGGCGAATATTAAGAAGGCCGAGGCGATTACTAATTGGGAGTTGTAATGATCTGTTGACTCGACGTGGTAGCGCCCGACGTCAGTCTCCTGTTCCCGCAGCCGTTTGTTTCGGCAGAGTCACTGCGATCTGATATAAGTCCGAAACGACTGTGCTTTCAACAGGCGACCTGCCTTGACATCTTTGTTCTCTCCCGCTCCAGCGAATATTCAGCACAATTCCTAAAAACACCGGAGACGACTCAAAACAGAAATATACAGTGCGGAGAATACATCCAGTCGGAAACGAGGGCAGCCCACACGAGAAGAACATGAGCCATATGGTCCATCCATCCCAGCCTCGCGCTCACTCGTCCAGACCCACCACACCCCGCTCGATAATTTTGAATCATCGTCAGCGAGAGGGAGAAGGAGAATATGCACCCAGCTATGCATACGCGTCCTCTTCGGCATCAACGTCGAGCCCACAGTCCAGCGCGTCCTCTGCTTGCGCGTCTTCCCCACGATCCGCTGTTCTCTCACTTCTCCTCGATGGAGAGGACACAGAATATCTACATTCATATGGGCTAACAACTCCTCCGACGCCACCCAGACTTACTCTGCCCTCCGAGGAGGAACTCGACGTCCTCCCCTCGTACACTCCGAGCGTTCAGCTTCTGTCACTATGTAGAAGGAAGAGGGTATACACTTCGACGGACGTCAAAGCGCGCGACCGGAGATGGCAACTTGTGTGGCTACTCTTGGACGGTACCGCGCTCAGGGTATACGAACCAACTGCGGAGGAAGCCAGAGATTTCGAAAGGCGGTGGAGAGAAAAGTATCTCCCAAAGGATGGCAAGCCACCGACAAACGCCGAAGTCGATGAGTTGGAGGATGTCGATGCGTACGAGGCTCGAAGCCGGTCATCTGGAAACGCATCATGCCCGAGACGAACCACACAACCTTCAACCACCCGAACGAGGAGCAACTCGACGGCAAAGACCGACTCTTCGAATCAAACTCGCCTTGCCATTCCTTCATCTCTATCACCACCAACATCGTCCAACCCACATCCATCTATCCCAATAATACTCTCTCGAAAACCGACCAAATCCTACCCAATCCGTCACATCAAGTGTACTCGGCCGACAAACTACTTCAGACGTGCCTTCTTGATCCAGCTGACATTCGAAAACGGAAAGACGTTCTTGGTGCAACTCAATAGCCATCAGGAGACACTGGATTGGCTGAACGCGGTCGCAGTCGCAGCTCCACTCGCCCTCGACCTCGATGAGCGCGTCATGGTCGAGGCAAATCCTTTCCCACGGCAAAGAAGAGAGCAGCAGATACAAGTAGAAGCTGTACTCGCATAGGTTCTCTGGCATTCAGTAAAAGCAATTATCGTTATTCGTCTCATTTCTCCAGGATATAGCCACAGCTCATAGCACATTTGTATCTTCCTCAAATTTGGACAAATCTTTCTGACCCATTACTCGCTTTTCCGAGAATCTCTCAGCCATACCCTAAGTACAGATATCGGAAGTTATCAGGCGATTGAGATTATATATGTACCTAACTGACAATCCATACAAAGCCTTTCTACTTCAGCCTCTCTAAGCTTCCTCGAGTCGTTGCAAGGAGATCTGTAGCGTATGATAGTGTAGCATGATCAACGGCAGTAGCGGCCTCCATCTGAGTTAGATGACTGCCCACTGAAATACACTCCTCAAGTATTTCGACTGCAAGTGCGTAGTCACTCCGGTTGATCAGGACAGTAGCGAGCCAAACTAGCCCAACACTGACAAGTCGGAGTCTTTCGTCGATAAGAGAGTCGTCGAGTTCCCTGGCCGATGCTATAGCCTCCTTAAAGTAATTCTCTGCCTCGGATGATCGAGGGTGTTGCATATAAATGGCTTTGCCGAGATTCATTTTTATTTGACTTGTCCATGCGAGGTGATGAGGTGTCCCCCATGACCTGGCCTGCCCTTTCATCGTCTTCTCGCCTGTCAAGTGTCCCAACCCCAACCCGGGCATTTCAGGCAAATAGACCCTAGGAATCTTCAGGTCACCTTGATATTTCACTTGCTCGCTCATCATCTCGAGCTCGCGTCTACAGAACTTCTCTTTAGATATGTATCAGCATAGAGCGATTACACGAAGCCATTCATACCCGCTTGCTCGTACTCGGCCATTTTATAGGATATCTCTCCTAGCCAGTAAAGAGTGGATAGTGTAAGGAGACGGTCTGCAAGACTTCTCTCCAGGGTATCGGAATACTCACGTACAATCTCTCGTGCAGCCGGGTTCTGCGGTGCATAGTAACAACTTGCAAGCAACCAAGGAGTATTAATCGTTGGGTCATGGTTCCGCCCATGAAGCGCCATGTACATTTCCCTGGCTTGGAGAAATGTCGACGCCGCTTCCGAGTAACGTTTGCTCTGATAATAAACCTGGCCCAGGGTGTTGAGTGCACTATAGATGTCGACATGTAGTGGGCCCAAAATGTGCCTTCGAGCGGCTAGAACTCTCAATACGGCCTCTTCTGCCTCTTTGAACTCTCTTTTGTCCAATAGAAGTGTCAAGGCTAAATGATGTAATGCTTCGGTAGCTTCCAAGCTGCCTGGTCCGTATAACATGGAGCGTTTGGCCACTATGGAGCGCTCCATTTCCTCCATCATCGTAGCATTCCCTTCGTCTCCATATGCACTGGCTAGGAAGAGAGCTGCAGCGCTCGTCCGTATGTCCTTTTCCCCATGCACCTTCTGGACCTCGACGTGAATTTCCTCCCAAATTTGACGTTGCAAGGTGAATTTTCCGCCCCACTTGATCGATCGACAAAGGCCTGCGCGTTCATTGAGGTGAAAGTCGCTCAGGAATGGTAACAAGGCTGAAACGTGTGGATAGAGTTCGCCAAGCAGATCAACTTTTGTGCGGTGGAAACAGGACCCGATTAATCGGGCAGTGGCTGCGCGGTACCTCGGCCGCTGCTCAGCTGTAAGTCGGTCACCTGCCCAGGAATGAAGAAGTGGGTGAAGATGGATAGTGACTGTGGAGTAGTATGGCACGTAGGAAACCAAGGAATATTGGAATAGCTCATCCAATAGCTCATCCAACTCGCTTTCGGATAGCAGTTTGTTGCCACTAGGAGTCAGAGTCTCCCGCAGAAGCGATACTGAGCCCTGAAAGCTGTCAGGAGGCGGGGAAAGATCATAAGCCTGATGATCGAAGCCGTGGGTGGCAGCAAGCAGGAACATCTGGCGAGGAATGTTGGCAAAGTGCATGCAAGAGAGCATACTAAGCAGATGTAGTGCGCGGGACGAGAGAACGCCCAAAGTGGTGTCAAATGCGGCGTATACGCCATGTTTATATTTCAGCCTGTCCCTTTGAACGGTGTAATGACGCAGGAGGTTGGCTCGATTCGTCTCGAGCCGCCTCAGGTAGTCCCAGAAGCATCGCTGCTTCCTGATGTACCCTCCTGCTTGTACTAGTATCGATTAAAGATATGCATGGACACAAATATGGCAGATCTCACCAATAGCGATCGGAAGATACCCCAGTTGTTCTACGATTTTCTGTGCCGTCTCTATGTGACGCGCAGTTTTCTCCTCATTAGCATTCATCGCAGAAGCGAAGAGGGCGTTGGTGGCTTCTTCGACTGACATGATATCGAGAGCGATATGAGATTCAGGCGCGAGATTGCCAAGTGAAGGGTTCCGCGTCGTGATGAGGATGGAGCCATGCCCACAGTTGGGTATATAGTTGTGGACGCTGAAGTTCTCGTCATCTGCGTTGTCGAAGATGATGAGCCATCGAGAGGTGAGTTTGCCAGCAGGTTCCTCCAGTAGACCCATCGCCTGCTGATAGCCGATACCCCGAAAGGAGGTTGCGACGGATTCTACACCTGATATAAGTCCAGTTTCGATGCTTTTTCGGACGAGGCATCAATAAAGAGGACGTGTTGAAACCTGGCACTGTCAACCATGAGAGACTCAACAATAATACGACTTACAATTCACCATATCTCAGTGCAAATTCGATAGATAACTGCGTCTTCCCACTGCCGCCCATTCCTGAAAGCACGACAATTGTTTGACCGCTGCCTTGTACGATTCCCCCATATATACGACTTGTCAGCTCTTTGCGGGTCACAAAGAATGGAGATAGTGGTGGTAGACCGTGCCTTGCAGTAGTCCTCCCACCACGCACTTGAACTAGCCCATAGTCAATAATCTCTGCCAGTCATATGCCAAGTGGACTTACGCAGTGATTCCAGCTCCACGCTCCCCGCCTCAGTAGCCTTTGTGATACACCCATCAACGAGACCATCTTGATAAGCCAAGGAGAGATAATGAGATGTGCTTGACGCAATTACTCCAAGAGCATCCTCGAGTGTAGCCTGGTTGTCTTCAATTGCTGGAGTGACTGCAAGCCGAAAGTATACACCACTGGTTCCCAGTCGCCTTTGTGCGTCTTCAGCGATTCCCATTGCTTCTCGAGCATACTGTACGATTGAAGTCTTGTATTTGACTTCAGCGCTCCATGAGCTCTGGCTTCCAGAACCCAGGCTGAGAATGCAAGAAACCATCCGATTTGGTCCACAAGTCGTATGTGCCTCGCAGATTGCTTCAAAGATGGGATTACTACAAGCACCAGCTGCACTGACCACCTCTTCACGGCCAATGTCATCTTCTATCTTGACCGAAGAGAACAACGTTGGAGTTGCCCATGCCGCCAGCATCACTTGCATGATGGTCGCGTTGAGCGCAAGGTGTCGACTATCGTAGTTCCGGAAGAGATTACATTGGCCAAGATGAGCCGCTGATTGGTATAATATTGCACTGGTGATTATCAGAATGGATTCGCTGCTCGATGAGAGGGCGTACACTTTGCATTCACTCGCCAAGCCAACTTTACTATTGAATGCGCAATCTTCTGGCACTTTGGACTCTCCTAGTATCTGTTTGATAACTCCTCCCAGTCGCTGGGTTCGCTCCTCCTGCGTCAGAGAGCGGGCGTCTCCGAGCAAAGTCGCTTTGCATATCCGGCTAAAGGCTAGTGAAGCTTGGTCCAGATCCATGCCAAGGACTCCCAGCAAGATAGCTATGACTCTATAGACAGCGGTGTTAGCCTCGCACTCAAACTCTCAGAAACCGGACACTTGCCCACCACCTCCAGACCCAACGATGAGGTCAAAATGCTCACTTATTCGTTGTAAACTACCACCTTGATCCATCTCTAGCCGATGGAGGTACTCTTTGAGGATCCGGAGTTGTGACATGCAACGCTCGTCGCCATCATCTAGTGCAGTTGTTGAAATCAATCGATCCTCATGAGTCCTCACAATCTCACCAAGACAGAGGATTCTTAATCCCTTTGTCATTTGCCGGTTGCGCAAGCCAAGCATGATAACGGGGCGGTCCAAGGTAGGAGATGTGGCGCGCTTGTTCTGTAACACTTTTCGGAACACTTTAACAGCGCATCTTTTTCCTCCTCCTATCTGAGGTCATCTGATTCGTCGAAAGATTCTGACAGTTGATCCCGTCCATCATTTGACAATGATCACGACGCGGTCTGCATGGAACAGGGTACCCACAGAAATTTGGCAAAAGATCTTTAGAATCTATCTCGGACCGCCTTTGTCCGATACAGTCCAATCAGACGTGATAGCGTATAGTGACATCTTTCGAACGAGATCCACGGAGTCTGAAGGATGCTTATCAGCAAGCTACAAAACTTCTTCATACATTGGAACTCGTTTGCCGCTATTGGAGACTAGTCGCACGTACAACCATGGACGACCGTGTCGTCTTCTTCCATACTGATACCAGATATAGCTGGCCTCCCAACATGGATGTATGGAATGCGAAGCAAATTATCTTCATTAGTGATATATATGAGGTTTTCTATGGCAATCCACCTCTAGCACAGCCAATGAAAGGCGTCCTTATCGACAAACCCGATCGCCATCTTTACCCTGTGCAACTGGCAGTTGAAGTGCCTATAGTGCCTATTATCAAGGTCATGGAACGGGATATTGAGCCTCGGGAGAGCCCTTCGAAAGTGGCGACCCTCAACGCCCTCGGATCCAAATCTTGGACTGGCTAATACCACCCAAAGCTGTTGAGAGCTGTATTAGAACCCTATCACATGATGTCTTCAGACACATTACCACCCTTTGCATTGTATTGGAAGTTTCCTCGCTGAAGTCCAGGACTCTCAAGCTACCTTTCTTCAGGTTCTCTTCATATTTACGACTAGCCGCTCTTTGAACTATCTTGTTCACTGAGACTTTCCTCAGCTAAGAATTCTCCGAGTCCAGGATGCACATACCAACTGTCCCGACACCCCCAACCTCGAAGCGTTCATTAGAGCCCACGCGGCTAGGTTGGAAGAGTTATACCAATAATAATATAATGTACTCAGGAGTTCGATGCTGGAATGACTTACGTCAACTTAGGATGCAAGTCTTTGACGATTTCGACCTGATCGCGCTCCCGATTATTGACATGAACGAGATGCTGAGGGCGAAATCGACAGCTCGGTCAAAGTTCATCTTACATGTGAGGAAATTTCTCTCATTTTATGAGAGGAATATGGTACCTTTCCGAACGGTGTCTACCCACTCGTTACTGGGGGATTACATCGAAGTGAATCTTGCCATTACTTGGGCCGGAGTAGCAAGTATGTTCAATTCACTGCCTAGGCTGTTACCTCGGTATCGCCCGCTCTTTGACTGGCTGGACAATGCAAAGATCAAAATTATTGACAATGCTGGCCAGTCGTATGATAGCGCAGATGGGCGAATGATCAGGGAGATGATTCAGTCCACAGGAGAAAACAGTTGATAGAATCAGACTCTCTCTATACAATACCTACCATCACGTTGTCGGCCGCACTAACGATGGTCGCCCATCAGACTCGCCGTATCAGAATCATCCGAAGATCAAAGTGAAATGATAGGTTCTTTTGAAATGATCCATCCGTTCAATCTTCTAATATTCATGAGCTGTGCGAATCTCGACCATATAGCCAATCGAAGTAAATTGCTTTACCAACGACTGCGGAGTGGCTTGAACGGAAAAGAGGTTTCAGAGTAGTAGAGAGACTCAGAGATGACCAAGGGTCTGTTGCAGAAGTATGAAGTGGCTCAGAATTCAAGGGGGCAGCGCCTACGACCTGAAGAGGAGATAACATTGCTCGATATACCGGTTAAATGTTATACGGAACAATGGTGCTTGCACTTACACCTGTGGTTCCTGAAGTCCTTTGATTGCTTACGCACTCAATCGGCGTGGATGGATAGCTTGAACCGCCAAGACCCAAGTTCCACGTTCCAGCATTTCGCCAATGATGGTGGAAATAGGATATACCCATAATCAGGAATCCAGGCATCGTGTCTAGAGGCACTGATGGCAGAGTAGTTCCCCTTGTGAGGAGATTTCTTGGAGAAAAAGAGGACGTCTGAGAGATCAGCGTTATTAAATCTCCATGCATTTGCAAAATTTGGTCGAGCACACGATAATTATGCGAACATCCTCCTAGACTGCATGCTGGCCCGGCGGCTAGGGACTGGCTCCCAACGCCTTCTCTTCTCGTGCATTTCGATCGTTCTCGTGAGTCCTAAATCTTGTTGGAAGGCCAAAATCTAGATATCGTACGCGAGCGGAACCGTTATCGCTGACAGAGAGTGGACGGCCGAACTGTGGATAAGGCTCGGGGCGTTTCTGCTTGGCTCAGAGGCAAAATGGCACAAACTTGTCGCCATCGACAAGAATTATGGCATGCCATTAAGACGCTCTGGTATGGTGGCTCAGGAGGCGAGGAGAGAATACAGTTTCCGCTCCGTGTTTGTTGGCGGAAAACACGTTGCTGGCTGCGCCGTCCGTCCCAAAGGGTGAATTTGATATCCTTGACTGTTAACTTCGGCAATAGCGGAATCTAGGCCTAAGAGCGCACATTCAGTCCTCCTGAAGGCACAGACGCGGACAAGGAGAGATAGGCGACAACGGAGACGCGCCTGGGGTGCAAGGCAAGCTCAATTTGCAAATCCTACTCTATTTCGCCCATGGCCTCCGCGTATCGTCTTTCTCGCGTCTGGCCCAAACGCGCTCTGGGCGAGTTGACCATAAATACCTCGGTGCTGGCAAGAGAACCCTCGCTTCCCTTCCCCATTCATCATCTGATACATCCTCAGTAAATAAGGCTTCCTGTTCTATTATTATTTGGCTACCCATAGAAACTCCAAGCCACCAAGGAGCCAAGTTCGCACCCCGACCTCGAAGAGCAATTCACATGAATGACGACCTAATTCCACCACCATGGTCTCCTTCACCACTTCTAGGACGATCTATGCCCTCTTCTCCCCATGCAGATCGCTCGGATACTGTCCCCCCTCTCGAGAACGAGCATATGGCCAGTAGTCCACCCCCAGCGTACAGCAATTCGTTGAGACTTGCAACCCTTTGTCAACGGAAAAAAGAGTTCAAGTCTGCCTTTGAGAAAGTCCATCGCGGTCAGCGGAGATGGGAGGTGGTCTGGTTGGTACTGGACGGGACTTTGCTTCGCGTCTACGCCCCGACAAAGGAAGAACGCAAGTCATTGGAGGAGCGATACACCTTGATCAAACTCACCCAGACTGCCCGCCCGAGCTCGCCGCGGGGCACGATCGAGAACCCTCCACCGCGACCTGCCCAGCCCACGAGCCATCTCTCACCACTACACCGGGCACATACAGTGCACGACCCTTCTCCACTCGGGAGACCGATGCTGATTGCTAGTTCCACGAGGGATAATCAAGAGGGTACTGGCAATGGCAGCTCGAGTCTCCAAACCCATAGGAGAACGACGTCAATAGTCAAGGTCGCAGACGATCTCCAACTCGCACCTATCACCCAACGATCGCAGATGGGCAGCATTGCCAACCACTCGGCTCCTCTTCTGGTTCACGCTACTCGACCCATCTTTCCCATCGTGCCAACACCAGACTTTAGCAAACGCACCGCATGCCGACAATATGGGACGCGCAACGCAACCTGCTCTCGCCCAGAAGGCTATATCAAGCGCGAACACGTCCTTCGGTTCACGCTAAACGACGGCAAGCAGTTCCTCGTCCAACTCAACTCCAAGTCGGAGATGATTTCATGGCTTCAGGTGCGCATCTCTTTCCCTTACACCTCATGTGAACCAATGTTGATCGACCTTGGCGATTAGTGCATGTCCGTCGCTGCGCCCCTCGCGCTCGATATAGACGAGCGGCCAATGCCAGAGCCTGCACATTATCCACGCACGAGAAGACGGGCGCTAGAGTTGACGGGCGCGATTCCACGCCGACCTCGTACGGCACCAGCAGCGCTCGGAAGTGCATCCCGTCCAGCTGCAGCTCCTGCATACGACGGCACTTCAGAGACGCAAGATGATAACGACCATGAAATAGAAGAGGATATCGATGAAGCTTTGGATCATCTCCCCTCCCCTCCCCCTCGTCGTCCTCCAGCGGTTCGGTCCTTGTCTTCTGTTGAACATGCTCGCAGGATGGGCATCCAGTTGTAATTTTGATCATAGATTTCGTGTTACGTTCCTGTACTATCTGATGGGTGTGCTGCTTTAGCACAATACCAGTTGCTTGCCTCAATAGACGGTTCACTCGAGTGTTCGGGATGAAGATCATATCGAGGCATGGTCAATCAATCATACAGCGGTGGGTGTCAATGCCTGATTCATAATAATCGACAAACGGACCAAGCTACAGCGGCGTCCGCCACAACCACAGTTTTGTCAAGAAAGCAGTAATTACGCAATGAGCTTGACAACACCACCCGCCTCTTTAATCTTCTTCCTGTAGGGGTTGTCAGTCATGGGTAACAGCGACGAAGGGGACAACTGACTCTGCAATCGCCGAAACGAAACGAGCCTTGACAATAAAGGGGAGGTTTGGTAGCTTTCCGTTTCCGAGCACCTTTGCATATCCATGTCGTAGGGTGTCGATAACAGGAACCACCTCTGAGTCTGCTGTGAGGCCCTTCTTCTCCTCAGCCGGGACGAGCGACCACAGCTTGTCGACGTTGATTATCGGACGCCAGTACATGTTTCGTGTCAAGTGGAAGTGTCGCATACCGACTTTACCAAAGTAACTGTTCACCAAAGCAGCATCCATTAGCTCAGAGGAGGATCTTTGGATTGAAGGACGTACCCAGGATGGTACTTGTCAAAGTTTGTTCGGTGATGATGAGCACCACCAGCGAGACCACGACCACCTGGGTGTTTTCGGTGCTTGCCTACACGACCGTGGCCGGCAGAGACGTGACCACGGTGCTTGCGAGTCTTCGAGAGTCGGGTAGGCATCTGTAATATGGCGAATAATCATGTCCAGTATCGAATCCATCAGCAGACGCACGTCCAGTCGTCCGAGTTCAAAAGTCGAATGGCAGAGGTCGTCAGTAAGTGTATAAAAACAGATATGATAAATAATCGTAATAGCAGCATTTGGCAGCCATTACGGTGATGATTCCATGTCGATACTCGCCTTTTTGGTGGTGCAAGGTTAGGTTTGTTTGGCCAAACACGGCGTCTCAACCGCCATCGCCAAATTCACTCGGTCCAGTAGTTTATCGTAAGTATTTGATCCGATTATTCGCATGATTAGAACCCTTCATTATCTGTCAATCCTCCGAATTCCTCATGAGGATTTGTGTTTGATCTTTGGATATGATCCTTCAACCGCGCTTGGAAACACTCTAACAGCTCTATAGATGGCGTCAAGTAACCTTCCAGATCGTCAGACGCTTTACGTGCTCCAGGACGGCGAGCGTCCGTAAGCAACCCCCTATCTGGTCCAGCGAAGGCGCCTGACGTTCCAAAGTCTCGAAATAATAGAAGACACAAAGATTCCCAATGCTGCAACCTTTCGAATCTACAAACAGGATCATACACTCGCCAACATGATCCGCACTCAACTTTTAGAGGATAAAAATGTCATATTCGCCGGCTACAAAGTTCCACACCCGTTGGAACCTTACTTCCTACTCAAAGTGCAAACCAATGGATCATTGACACCGACGGATGTCGTCAACACTGCTTGCGCGTCGATCATTGCGACCGTGAGTCAACTTGAGAAACGGTTCGAAGAGCAGTTTAGGGACAAAGAGTTTGATCTGGGTGCAGTGGACGCGAGTGCGCAACAGCCGTTCTACAGCGATGCGTACGCCGACTTTTAGGTCTGCTTTTTCGCACTGTATTGTGAGTCTTTGCTCCCTCTCACACTTTGATTCTGACATACTGAGCTAGTGCTTCATTATGTGTATCATCTGCTGTAGTCTAGTTACAATAAACAACGTCCGAATCTGTCATGGTTCCGAATTTGAATCGGCTCAGCCTCCAATCTCGCCTTCTGAATCCTCGTTTGCATCTCTTCCATCAGACGGTACGTCAGTCGATCAAAGGGAATAGAGGACCCAGCGACATAGCCAGCAGCGAGGACTCCATCGTGAAGCTGCAAAGCCTCTCTATACGCTTTGGCGTCGAGAAGTTGTTTGTACGCATAGGTGTACGCACTAAAGACCTTGTGCGCCATATAGACGTCTCGCAAGGTGTTGATGCCACCCATTTTCCTCCCATGGGCCGTATAGTCCCGGAGCGCAGTCGGACTAAAGTCTGGGCGACCAGAGTCTTGCTCCAAAAGGTGGATAATTTTCAGGAGGAACTCGGGTTCGCCGTTGAGTACCTTGTGTTTGGCATAGGCAAACCACACACGGTGGTCCAGAAGAACATCCCGTTGCTGCATCGCGGCCATGATGTCCGAGCAAAACTCGGGATCAATATCCGTCGCCTTTTTGAGAAAGAGTTCGAAGAAGCGCGCTCGTGTGTAGACGTTGCTAAACGCTGCACGACGACTTCTCATGTTCCTGTCGAAGATGTCGAGAAAGTTTTTGAACAATTGACGAAAATGAGTGGTGTCGTAGTTGAAGTTTTCTCCATCTTCGCTCTTGACGAGGCTGGTAAACGATCCCTTGGCTTCAGACGCTGGATCTCTCGTTGAGAGCGTGATGGCTGCTTTCCAGATTGCGAATCGCGAAGCAAATGATGGATTGAAGCGCGAGGGTGGGATAGGTGGCCGACGAGCAGGCGTCTTAGAAAGCCAAGAGTCCCAGAAGGGTGACTCCACCGCTCCCTGCAAAATGGTGGGAGCTCCGCTCGTGTTGAAGGCTCGGTAGTAATAGCTCACCGCCGAATGCGAATCATCTTGGAGGCACAAGAGCTCAAACTCGACGGTTCCCCAAAATGATTTGTCAAGGGGATTACCGAGCCGTGATGTCCTCTTCCGGAAGAGCGCGACAAAATCATGCGGCGACGCTGTCTTCGTGAGCGCGAGAAGCAGATATGCGACAGCCTTGGGATCTGGCTTTTGAGCATGGTTGATGAGCACCCTCTTTAGAGAGCGAAGGGCCGATGCAGTTTGCTGTATCAGCCGCTGCCTGCTTCGGCGAGAGACATTCTCCTCGAGATTCTCCAATTGGAATGCGAGGGTTGTCAGAGTGCGCGACTTTAGTCTGCCTCGATCGTGAAGTGAGAACTTATCGAGAATATCGAGAGCGCGGTCGATTTCAATTTGTCGAAGGAGTGCTGCGATGCTGGAGCCCGTACGCCTTGCAGCGTGGAAGACTTCGACGATGACAGCTTGGTCCATTTCAAGCACACCGTCAAAGTCTTCGCGAAGGAGATGCCAAGCGGCTTCTGGATTACTTCGTGCGGCCAGATTGTGAATGGCGAGACACCGTAGGTGAGCGATCAATGCCCGTTCGTCCGCTGAGGTGCCGATGGACTTCTCCCGCACATTGATTATGTGGGAGAAAGTGCGGAGGAACTCATCCTGCGGGATGAAGGTGGCCAAAGTGCCCACTAGTTGTTCCAGCACCGGACCTGACCATCCCTTGAAACAGTATAGATGTAAAAGTTGCATCATTCGGTCGAATAGCATGCGGTTGGTGTTCATAAGCTCTACAAAGTCTTCGTCGTTGGGAGGATGTTGTAGACCATGTTTCTCCTGCGCCGAGGGAACAAGTGCGAGCCATTTCAGCATGGAGTTAACATCACCATGCTGAACACTGGCACGTGCCAGATTTGTGTAGACAGGGCGGTGGGCAATGTCGATTTTTGCTGTTGTATACTCTTCTAACAGCGACTCTGCAAGTGCTAGGTCCCCAGAATCCGCTGCCGCCGCAAGAACGTCGCATGGATGCGCCTTTTCTACTTTTACAGTCGAAACGACATCCTCCGACGTCCTGTACTCTTCCGAGAAGGGTTCGAACAAGTTTTCATCTGGCTTGTCTGGAAATACGGGCTGTAGTCGCGCGTATTTGGAGACTGTACGTGCTTTCGGTCTTGTTTGAAAAGGAAGAGGAAGGTTCCGAGTGACAGGCTTCAAGGAGTGGAAGAAAAGTTGTGGGAAGAGGGCTCGTGTTATGGCAGCCATCTATATTTCGAGTTGTGAGTATCCAAACTTGTAGAATTGAATTGTAGACTTGCCCATGTTCAACGCTGGATGCGCCGCTGGCAATGAGGCGGGCGTCAAGTGCGAACTTGACCTCTGACTGCAACCGCGGAGATGGCAGCTCCAGACGGCGGGCGGGCTCTTCCACTGCTCAGTGGGCTTGCTCCTCGAACAGAAGCTGCGAGCAATGCTCCTCGCTGCCACAGATGCAACAGAGAGTTTGGAATTTTGACTCGCCGCAAATATTGCAACCACTGTGGTCAGTCTCGCTCCTATTTTTCTCATAATTGTGCCTGACAACTGCTCCAGGCTATGCCTACTGCGGGAATTGTTGTGATCATCAAGCTCTATGCCCAAGAACCGATGCTGGGTATCGCCCAGGATATGAGTAAGGCGCCGCTCATTGCGTGGCTCCCTCAGACTTATCGGATTCTCTACAGGACAGTGGTTGTGTGTACTTATTGCATTGAAATGCTCAGTAGTACGCATCCGCTCCATCCTACGTATCCCAGCCCAGCCGATTGACCTCAATACAGTCACTGCGAGCGGCAAGTCACAGTTGCGGGGAATGACCGTCCAACGCCTTCGCACATACCTGGATGCGTATGGAATCAAGCCTAAAAGCGTGCTGGAAAAGGACGACCTGATCGAGGCAATCATAGATGCTCGAGTAAGTCTGTGCAATAAATCAGTCGAAAGACTTCTCAATCTCTATCTAGGGCCTTAACGGTTGTTTGAGTTCAGAAAACGAGGTAAATCGTCTTCTGTCTATCGGATTCCACTAGACTGAGAATTTTCCAGAAGTTCTATCGAAGGTATACAATCGCAAGGCGCAGTCCTCCGGACACGAGGCAGCGTGGCGCGAATACTTCGTCAAACGATCGGTCGAACGGCCCCGTTCCGCCACAACGACCCAGATCTACGGACCCGAGATTGAATGCAGGCAACAGACCAACCGCTCAGCAATCACGGTCACCTCCACCGCCCATGCCTAGCCGCTCCTCTGACCCGTATTCACAAAACCCACAACACAATCGTCCAATGTCTCCTAGGCAAGAGCAATCTGCGCCAACATGGTCACCTCCAAGGAGCCCACCTCCTTTGCGCTTCCCAACTCCTCACCATGCTCCAAATACTTATCCGCGACCAAACTCCCCACCTCCTCAGCCCCGCTGGCAAACTCGTCCACAGTCTCCGACAGCTGAACCTAGGGATCAACCCTGGCCACCCAGTGGAGGCCGTAGCCGTAGTAGATCGGTTCCATCGTCAGAAGCACCTAACCCAAACGTCAATCGACCCCCTCCTCCTCCTCCGCCGCCGTCCTCACCTCGTCCCCGGGCACCCCAGGCTGTGCCATTGTTGGCGACCATCGTTGGAATGACGCGAGAGGATTTGTCTCTGTATAATGTGGCTACTCTCAAGGGCATCCTACAAGCAAATCACGTCAACGCAAGGTTGATATTGGAAAAGTCGGAGCTGATTGACAAGGTCATGATTCTCATCGAGACGGAGATGCGCGAACGAGCGAGAGAACAGGCGATTCACGAAGCCGAAGAGAGAGCTATGCGTGAGCAGCAGAGAATCAGACAGGAGCAACTTCGAGCCGAAGCTGGGCGTCGTGTGCAGGAAACAGCGAGTCAAGACTCACATCCCTCGAGGGCGCGGTCTCCTCCTCCTCCAGAGAGACCGACTAGCCCTCGTCCAGCCCCGACTGTTTCCACTGGATATGTTGAACGAGATGGGCTTTGTGTGGTTTGCCAGGACGAAGAGGCCAATGTTGCCATTGTCGACTGCGGGTAAGTTTTGTCTCTGTTCCTCTAAGCCTTCTCTCATCGTCTCTAGACATCTTGCTTTGTGTATGGGGTGCTCGGACACTATCATGAAGTCGACTAGGGAGTGCCCGCTGTGCCGTACTAGAATCGTGACTGAGCAGCGTTTGTTGCGCATCTTCAAGTCTTGAACTTGCTATTTGCTACTTCTTGAATACCTCTTACGTTTTGTCATCTTTCTTCTTGTTCGCCTACTTGAGCCACTGTCACCATCTAAACTTTGTCCCGACCAAGGCCGCTCATTCCCGGGCCCTCCCCTCTGCGTTCACTCGTCATGAAACTCAATCGTTCTAGTAAACTACTCCCTGTTCTAATCATTCCAGCGTTCAATTATACCACTCTCGTGCTCGCTTCACCCATCCGACGACGCCAAGACTTGGCCACAATCCTACGCGATATTGGCCTCGAAAGGATCATGATCAGAAGCAACTCGGGCTCCAGTTGTCATAGTCTAGCTGATGATGACTGCTCCTCTGTTGCGCAGGACATCAGCGCTGCGAACCTCATTGCTGGTTTTGTGGACCAGTTGACGAGCCATTTCGACACGAGATCTACAGACGAATACCCGTATCTCCCCGTAACAGACTCGCTCGTTTCTGCTCAATTCGCTGTCGCCAGCTCGACCGTCCAGTCGTGGCCTGCATCGTCCGAGCAGCCATCAGCGACTGTACACGCAGTCAATTCAGACACTCCAGTGACATGTGGGCGCTTCTTACTGCTGGAGATGACTTACTCATCCTTTGACAGTCGAGCGAACCACATTCTACGCAACCTCGAACAGTGGCAATCTGCGCGTGGGCACATCAACGGCATATCACAGTCTTACGAGTACGAATTCCATTGCTGAACAGACAGTTGCCTACCAGAACTCTACCGTCAACTTTCGTCCAATCTCCACTGACCGCGGACAATTCTTGTGGCTCTTCTTCATCATCCTCCCAGCCGGCGTTGCCACCGCTGTATGGCTCTTGCACAATCACAGTCGTCGATCATCTGACAAGGCGTCGGGGGACTATACTATGGCACGAAGCGACTCCTCTCATACGCTAACTTCCTCAAACTCGCTCGGTATCATCAGCGCCGATCATAGAGAAGACGGTACACTTGATGAAGTGCATGCTGCTGTGTCTTCGAGCTCCGTTCTTGCACCTCGTCTCTCGTCGACGGAAGACTTTGCATTTCCTACCTTCAAAGGCCCAGTACTTCTCAACGAAGAGGTTGAATTAGACCGTTTCGCCCATCTCGAAACGGCACCATTTCCTTCGAAACAGGATTTATGCTCTTATGTGTTTCCCGCGACGGGCTTATCCGTGGAAAGAGAAATCATGGTGCAAAAGGCGAGCGACAAAACTCAGATGACGCCATCGAGGGCTACTCAAGGACGAATACTCACGACCAATCGCTTTGTATACCCTGCGAGCAGAACATTAGCCCCGCCCACCCTCGGCATGCGGTCCCTGACCGCAACTAGGAAGCGACTCTCGCCTGTCGGAGATGTTTTGTACTCTACGACCGGTAGAGAACATTTGGAGACGGTGGAAGAGGAGGCACCTGAAGCATACGATATAGACACCCCGAAGCCGACTTTCAATTCGGGTCCTGATAATACCTCGCTAGGCGTAGAGAGCAATACGGTCATATTTGCGACCTCAAACTCTTACACCATGGAGGTTTCAAGTGGCCTGCGCGCGAGAAGAAAGTCAAGCCCCGTTGTACCTTCTCCTACCCTCAAAGACGACCATCAGGACGCGGTTTTAGTGAACCAGATGTCAGTACAGCGTCCGTCTCGGCCAAAGAGGAGTAGCAGACATCAAAGGTCGGTCAACACAGTGAACCTCGAGAGCCTCGTCATTCGTGATGAGGTTTCATCATCTGCCGACGTAGAAGACCGCAAGTTTACTCAGTTTGTCAAGGAGCTAGTGCGGCGCGCCGACGAGCTTCGAAGGGATCGCGAAAGATTGACCCAACACGAAGCTCACTACCATCATGTCCAGATCAGGATACCCGACGCACCTCAGGAAACGACAAAAGTGTGTTTTGCGGAGAAATGTGATGACCTGCAAGGGGACTATCTGGCACCACCCACATCGACGAGCGCCCATCTCAGCGACTTTAGCAGCTCCAGCAGTATTTCGAGCGATATGGTTTCCTCGTCCTCGAGCAGCTCGATGATTGGAATTGCACACTAGGGAGTGTGTGCGCTACCGAACCCGATATATCCCCCATACTTCACATTCCTTACCCATTGATGTGAACCTCGTTCCCTGTTTGCAACGAGTGAATCCGTCGTCCTATCATTACCACTCATAGCATTGATACATCGTGACATCGCCTCGATGTCTCTGTAGCAGTATTGTAGATTCGTGCACTTTCCTTCCTACCTCTTCATGATACTCGCTTGTAGTGTCGACACTCTGGCAACGTTGTAGACTATGATTGTAACTTCATGAATAGAATCTTCGATATACGACTCATAACATATGCCTCAATGTCTTCCAACCAATTCTAGATCTAAAATCCAGAAATTATGAAATATACTCTTTATTCGGAATCTACAAAACCCTCTCTCAATCTGATTGGACCCATCCTCAACCACACCGCCGCCGTACACCTTGAACCGCGACACGACCATGCTGCTTTCACGGAGCCGACAAGCGACAAATGGATTAAGAATCCTATGCCTTGGTAGGATCCTCAGCACCTAGAAGGAACGAACTGAATCGAACTGATCCTCCAAGACGATGGCGACGAGCGCTGCATGTCAGCACTTCGGATCCTCAAGGAGTACTTTCATCGGCTAGAAATGGATCAAAAGTTTAGACAAAGACCGTGCCAATATTTCGACATGATTGTAGGATCAGGCGGTGGCGGGTAAGTTGCTAATTTTCCGCGAATCCAGTGCAAATAACACAACTATTGATAGGGTGATAGCTGTTCTCTTGGGAGTTCTCGGCATGGATATAGATAAGGCCTCATTGGCCTTTAGTCGCGTATGCAAAGTCGCTTTGCTTGGAGACGCCCGCTCTCTCACGCCAGAGGAGCGAACCGAACGGCTCAGAGGGGCTATCAAACAGATACTTGGAGAGATTCAAGTGCCAGAAGATAGCGCATTCAATAGTAAAGTTGGCTTGGCAGGTGAATGCAAAGTGTACGCTTTCCTATCGAGCAGCAAGTGTATTCTGATAATCACTAGCGCAGTACTATACCAATCAGCGGCACATCTTGGCCGATGCAATCTCTTCCGGAACTACGATAGTCGACACCTCGCGCTCAACGCGACCATCATGCAAGTGATGCTGACGGCATGGGCGACCCCAACGTTGTTCTCTTCAGTCAGGATTGAAGACGAGATTGGTTATGAAGAGGTTGTCAGCGCAGCTAGCTCCTGCAGCAATCCAATCTTCGAAGCAATACGGGAGGCATACGCAAGTTACGGAGATCAGATGACTTCTTGCATTCTGAGCCTTGGCTCCGGGAGCCAGAGCACACAGAACACCGATAAAGGATGGAAGGCCTCGATCACACAGTCCGCTAAGGAAGCGATGCGGATAGCCGAAGACGCACAAAGGCGATTTGGGGACAGCGACATATACTTTCGACTTTCAGTTACTCCAGCAATTGGTGATGACCAGGATGTGCCTGGGAATACCTTTGGAATGATTGCATCGAGCACGTCGCATTATCTCTCCTTGACTCATCAAGACAAACTTATTGACGAGTGTTTAAGAAAATCGAATCGACCAGGGGTTATAGATCTGAAATCTCTTGGTAAGTCCCAGCAGCAAGTGACCGATGGATAGAAGGATTAACTATCAACTAGCTCAGGTGCGAGGGGATGCTACCATCTTGAGGCACGGTTTACCACCCCTCTCTCCTTTCTTTATACTGCGCAAGGAGCCTACAAGGCGCATATTTCAAGGAATCACCCAAGGCAGAGATCGCAATCAGACCATTGTGGTGCTCTCAGGGATGAGTGGTAGTGGGAAAACACAACTATCTATCGATTTTGCATTGAAATACAGTGAATTGTGAGCAATTCCTCTTCGAGTTCTCCGTAGCTGACCAAGGCTAGGTTTCAGCATATTCTCTTCATCGAAGCCTCGTCCAAGGAGAGTATCGAAAACGGGATCATAGGACAAGCACGTTCAATAGCATCCTCCTTTCAAAATATTAACCTCGATGAGACCATGCGTCTACTGGAGAATCCGAATGGCAAGTTCGGTACCGGTTGGCTTATCATCTTCGACAATGCAGACGACGAGAATATCGGCATACAGAAATATCTTCCTAACTGCAGCCATGGCTCAATCATCATTACGACCCGAAACCCATCGCTCGGAAATCTTGCGCCTGAAGCACATGTCACCCTAGATATCATGTCAGTTGAGGAGGCGACCCAAGCACTTTTCTTATCTGCGATGAGCGTCAACGAAGAAAGAACCATGCGCCATGTTGCTACAGCCCAGAAAATCGTGCAGCGGTTGGGATATCTCCCGATTGCCATTGGTGAGATTTACTGGTATCTATCAAGCAGGATCTAACTAGATGTCAGTGCAAGCAGGAGGCTACATCCGGAAGCAAAAGTGTTTCTGGGAGTACATAGGACGGCTTGAGACGAATCGTGCCAATCTTCTCCGTCATTATACCATTCAAAGAGACAGGCTCAAGTATAAACATGGCGTTTACGCCGCATTCGACACTACGCTGAGCGTCCTCTCGTCACGTGCCCTCAACCTTCTTAGTATGCTGGCTTGCATGCACTTTGCCAGCATTCCTCGCGAACTATTTATACTCGCCGCCAAGCGTGGATTCGATCACCAGGCTTTTGACCTACTTCCACCGTCTGATGGCTTTCAACACTCGGTATCACTTCTGCAAGAGACGCTTGGTCCTAGCGGTGACAAACAGCGGTGCGAAAGCGATTTGGACGAGGTGTTGGATGAACTTTTCCAATATTCATTGATTACCTACGTGCCGTACTACTCCACTGTCAATATCCGCCTTCATCCGCTTCTTCATGCATGGGCTGGTGACCGGCTGACAGCCGAGCAGCGCCTGATGTACCGTGCAGCCACAGCACGATTACTTGGATCCTGCTTTGTTCGCTCAGAGTTTGATCTTCTGGACGAACTATCACCGCATGTGTCAGGCTTGTTGCCCTTCATGGGCGATTTTCATCTCAATGAACGTGCAGGATTCTGTTTATCTCTGGGAAGAGATAGAAAGTTTGAACTACAACGTAAATTATGGGAAGACATTTATACTGAAGTCCAAATGGTGTATGGAGACGAGGACGTGCGGACAAGCACTGCAGCTCTGTTGCTAGCCAGCGCATATGGAGATGAAGGTGATATCACAAAGATGGAGAAGATGGAGCGCTCAGTGATAGAGATTCGCTCCGCTTTGTATGGACCAGATAGCTTGGAGGCTATCGAAGCATTGCACAATCTAGCGCGGACACTTTTGTACGACAAAGGAGAATTAGAAGAGGCAAAAGAAATTTTACTGAGAGTTTTGGACGTGCGGCGGCGTGCCTTGGGTCCTCAGCATGTCGATCTCTGTTGGACACTCCACACCCTCGGCGACATTTATTATAGGAGCAAGCGATACTCAGAAGCAGTATCGACATTTCTCGAAGCTAGCAAAATGTCCACAGATCTTCGTGGGCGAGACCACCACGCGACCGTCAACAGTCTTTGGATGCTTGCAAGGTCTACGCGGCGCAGCAGGACCCTGTCGCGCAAATTATTGTACGCGAAATTCACCATGCTCAGGAGAGAATTCTTGGACCGGACCATCCGATTACACTCTCTAGCCTTCGCTGGCTGGGAGAATTTTCCTATCGATTGGCTGATTATGAGGGAGCTGGTATGAATATTTTTGTTCACTTATATTATACTGATGCATTTGTTTCTAATAGAGAAGTTCTATCGACAAGAACTTGCACTGATCAGCGAACACACGGGGCTTACAGACAGTTTCAAGGTCACACAATTCCATCTAATTGGGAACCTCGGCCTAAAGTTCGCATACCCAGAGTTCGAAGAGACGTTGGAAGATCAACCCAACTCATCGGGAGCTTCCCATTCCATCATATGGGCAAGCCATTTAAAAATAAACCTCGCTGCAGCTGTCTACTTGCAACGACCCCATTCTTCCGAACCAGAGGGTCTATTCAGTGAGGCTATAGGTTTAGCTAAGAACCTCGATGATTCTTCGCTCGAACAACGACTTATAATCGTCAGCCTGGGCCTTTGTTGGCTGGCGGCTAGTATGATTCACAGGGGTAAGCATGCAGAAGCAGTAGAGGTACTTAAAGAATGTATCTCATGCCGGAAAGAGCTTGCTTGGATGGGAGCCACCATTGCTGCAGATGATATGACTTTGCCCACTGCCCGGAATCTCTTGGTGACGGCTCAAATGAAGATGGAGAATTCACGAAAAACCACCCTAAGTAGGTCTCAACGGTACAAAATAGGGTTGGTCACCATGTTGACGTGCACTATGCTGTATTATTTATATGGTCCAGCCCTCGAATATATCCAGGTTTAGGTAGATTGTCAGTCGAGTAGACGGTGCTGGATCTAATGACAGAAAGCTCTATTAGCTAAAACGGCGCCGTAGATCAACCGAATGAGTGCCACTGCCACAGACAACGCGTCGATCAAGAAAGAGAAACGACGTGACGATGAACATAAATAGCATAATATAATATGCTAACAGACGGTCGGAGGTGAATAAGCCAATGATTGAGCGAGACTTCGAGCGGTTGGTTGATTGTCGAAGGAAGCTACCCTAATGGTTTTTACATGCTCTACCATTTCCTGTGTGTTATTAACTATGATTTGCGTAGAGGATAGACGACTCACAATGTCAATTTGGCATTGCGAGGAGAGGAAACGTGGAGAGGCTGCAAATCTTCCTACTTTATCACTGGACCATACAGAAGAGTGAACCTCCGATGTGGCTGGGCGCCCTCACTAGATTTGCCAGGTGAGCACTTGACAACAAGGTGACTGAGTTCACCCTCGATAAAAACCAGAGACGCTTATTTCTCCATCATTAAATAGGAAGTGGGCTGTGAATGACGGACAATACTGGATCTGAGAGGGGAAAAATAACTAGATAGGATTCTCAGCGGTTTAGAACTTGTCCGCTATTTGAGATAATAATTTATTCAAAGCACGACAAAATTAGTCTGACCTCCATCTGCTCACTGTGCTCAGAGCTCGCTTCCCGGTTGCCGCCGTAAGGAGGGAGAGAACAGCGCCGTACGTCAAGACTTGCGGCAGCGTCAGGTTGACCCAATAAATTACGAGTAGGCCTTCGGTAGCAGCTAGGAGACTGATGAATGGCAGAATCTCGCTCGAGAATAGTTTTGGTGTTCGGTGAGGAATGTTGAGCCACTACTCACGATGTTAGCTCTATTCTCAAGAGAAAGATAGAACACGTACGAGGGTGAGTAAGACCACCCAAGGAGAAAGCATGGCGAGGGCGAAGATGCCGGAAATAGCTTTCATCGGAATCTTTTGCTCTGGTCGAAATGTGTGCTGAATCTCTGGTTGTGGGTGGTAATGAACCTCTTCTGGACTAACAGGAGCTGGCTGGCTTCGTGGGAGGACAAGATTGAAGAGTTTGCGATGTAGCGGGTCGTAGGTAAACGAGCCAATGATGAGCGAGACTTCGAGCGGTTGGTCGGTCGTCGGAGGAAGCCATGCTGGTGGCTTTGACATGCTCTATCATTCCAGATGTGTTAGTGGGTGGAATTCGTGTAGAAAGAGACTACTGACGAGATCGAATTTGGCTTTGCCAGCAGAGGACACGCGGAGCGGCTGCACGCCTTCCTCCTTTGTTATTGGATCATACAGACGAATGAATGTCTGATGCGGCTGGATGCCCTCGCCAGATTTGCGGTCGGTGATGGTGAATGTGACGCGCAGCGTGTCACTCGAGCGCACGCTTAGCGCGGGAGATGGAAGTTGCTTGTCCGAGAATCTACAAGGGAAAAGACGAGAAAGACGTGGCAAATGATGTGTTTAGCTGACAGCCTCGTCTAGACTCGACCGCCAAACTTACGTCTCTGAGCGTACAGGGCTACCATCTTCTCCGAGGATTGAGAATTTGAGTGTTTGAAGTGATAGCTCGGATGCTACTGCGAGTGCAGGCAGTAGTCCAGATAGAAGGAGCGAAAGTCTCATCGTGGTCGGGTCGAAATTTGCGGGGCGATGCAACTCTGGGTACGACTATAGTCTATACTAGGAATAGAACACTCGGAATAATGCTATGCTCGAGGGAAACCCTTTGGATACCAGGTTACGCGCAACGGCTCCTGGGACACGAACTCCTGAATACAAGCTCGGGTGTTTGATGAAGAGCGTGATACCTTCTCACGAGCAAGCGAATGAGAGTTACTTTGGTTTGAGTCTTGGCTGCAGTGCATCCTCCAATTGGCCACGACCATATCCCCCGCGTTATGGCGAACGAACAGGAGACATATGGCTCTTCCTCGTTCACAGTATAAATCCACAAAGACCAGTCATGGTCACTCTCCCGAGGTCGAAGACTTCCAGCATCAAATCCAGCAGCGCCGTTAGAAGGATGTGGACCCGTCCGACTTCGATCTATTCCAAGGAGACATATCGGATGAAGAAGATTTAATTCAGACAATTGAGGAGAAGAGGAAGAGCTTAAGCTCCCGTTCAATGTAATTTACCCCATCTACAAGCACCATCCATCAGCACCGCCAACGGAAACATTGCATTGCTCCAAGAGTTTCGTGGGTGGCCTCAAAATGACAGAGAATCCTCGCTAACGTTGTCCTCCTAAATCGCCTCTAGTCACCCTAGAGCCAATCCCCCTCCCCCCATTTACCCAATGAGCAAGCATAACCAAACTGCTCAAAATAACTAGATAAAGATAGCAAAATGACCGACTCATCGGTTTCTCCCCACCACCTGACAGATTCTTGTCAAAAGCTAGAAAGCAAGCGGAGGTACAAGCCAACCTCGAGCACGATAACTATTCATCACACTCCCTGTTGTTGATTCATATGGAATAGACGCTGAAACTAGAAGACAAAATGGAGGCCCCGGGTTTCAATTTTGCAAACTACTTCGAGGGCTCGGAGTCGCAGCACTCTGTCGATAATTTCGTGTATGACATAGAAGCGTCACATTACGTGATCTTGCTCCAACATCTACGATACCTCAATGCTGCGGTATATCAACGGTCCAAAGGGCAAACATTCACGGGATACTTTCCATGCTCACCTATTCAACGATGTATCTCTGAAATACATCTTGTACGTGAACTATCTACGTTCTTCGCCTCAGACATTTGTTGTTGAGCCCTTCCCGATCGTAATCAAGCTAGACATTGCAGATGAACCCGTTCAAGTGGAACCCAGAAGTGAAACCCAGAAGTGAACTGCTTATCCTTATTTATTGTGTCCCCGTCATAATCATGGAGATTGCTTCTTCGGTTGGTGAGACGGACAGATACAGTACAGGATAATGTTGCACGCTGGGGCTCTCACGAGAATTTTTCATCGTCTGGAACCGGATTCATAGCACGTCATCGTGGGGATCTATATCGGCGACTCCTTCGTGATCACCCGCTATCTATTCTGTTTGCCGGATTCGCAACAGGATAAGTATGTCCTGTTGACCAACCACCGGCATCTTAGAGGGGCTTTATCAGGTCATTTATACCACGAAAGACTTCAACTGTGGGAATAAAGGACAGGTATCGAGGTTCCTCTCCGAGCTCTACAACATAGCCGCTACTGCACGAAAAATGGACTTACATATTCTCAACGAGAGTGCCCACAAAATAACTGGCGAAATCGAGGGAGCAAGCCTCGAATACACCTCACTATCCCAAACGATGACCGGACACAGCAGGTCCGGGGGAGTAGCAACGATGGAGACGAAATGGACGATATCTTCGCCGATGCAGACTATTATCTCGCATGCCACCATCTTCCACAGGAAGGGAACGATAAATTAAAGTCAAAAAGTTGATATATTCGTTAGGGTATTTCGTTTCTATCTTATATTGTCGTGACACTCCCAGTTCCCTGAAAACATTCGCAAAGCCACCAATAGCAATGGACTCTCGGTCATTATCAAAAGAACCGGACATCACTGGGAAGTCGATATCTTGAACTATCTCAAGAGCCGTGGAGGCGTACCAAATCATACAATCGAGCTGCTCGATATGCACTTGATTCGCGATGGCTGATCGTCATGCTAATGTACCTCAGGCTCCGTGAAGCAGTGCATCTGCTATCGACACCTCCGACTATCTACCTGTTCCAGAAACAATTCCTCCAGGGCGTGGCGTTTATGCATACTAACGGTGTTGCTCATCTCGATCCTCAAGTTTGACAATGTTGTTATCGACCTTGGGAAGAGACGGGAGAAATATTAAGGCACACTCTACATCATCGATTTTGGGACTGCAGAGACAACAAGCACGACAATGGAGGACGTATGTAGTGGCTATGGACGGACGGCACCAGAGGTTCGAAAAGGTCGACGTTGAAGTCCGATTCTGGGATAGGTAGGCGTGTGACAAGATGTTACTCTATCTTGGCGAGTAACTCAAGTGGACTCCGCGCGTACGGAATGTTGTTCAGAGCTTAATGGACAACAACCCCAAGCGCGACCAGGCCTTGACCAACTCCTCGAGCAAATGTTTGGAATTGCATCGCTTCAAGAGCCCTAAGCGGAGGAAAGAGCGATGACCTGATCCAGTAAACTCGTTCTCTAAGACTGATATCTACCCTCGTCGAGACCATCATTGGATCAATAAAGCCAAAAGATGTTGCGCTGAGACGATATTATGATGAGATGGATGGATGAACGATCAGTCTCAAGTTTGAGCATACCAATCGGCTAGTCGGAGCACCAACGCGAAGTGCCATTTCCGACTGAGTAGTCTGCAACGTTTGCACTGGGTGTCTAACCATCTCGGACAGGACTGCCCCTGTGGGGAATTGCTCGTACATCTTTTCTTAGCCACAAAGTTCTGTAAAAATATATAAGTTTAAGCTTCAGGGCGACTTGATTTAGCTCGCTCAGGTGTCTCTTTTGTGCCCATGACGTCCGGAGCTGATGCAAACTCTCCTGGGCTCAAGATTTACGTTTAGAAAGAGTAACTATGAATAATTGGATGTCCGAGAAAAATAGGTACGTATGAGAGAAAGATCAACCACAATCTCAATACTAGACATCCTTTTGAACTTCTGTCCAAGAGAGACCGCATCGGAAGTGAGAGAAATCAATTCTGGTTGCACGTAGTGGACTGTTTGTTGGAATAGTCAGAAGATGTGGATACTGTAGCCCATGTCGATTCTCTGGTGGTACCCAGAAGAGAATCTTTCCGGAAGATTGCACCCACCCGTCCTGGAAAAGCGAGCAATGCTTGAATCCAGGTACAAGCTTACCAAGAGGATAAGCGATTGCATCTAATGGCACTTGTCAAGTCAAGCCACAAGGTTGGAGCGGCACCCACCGGATGTCTCCCAGAGTCGAATCGTCGTATCGCGGGACCCAGAGGCAACTCTTGAGCCATCTGGCGAGAATACGACAGATGAGACCCAGTCTTCGTGACCTCGAACTGGCTCTCCCAACGGCTCGCCTGATTTTGCGTCCCACAATCGAATAGTACAGTCTGATGAACCAGAGACAATTCGCGAACTGTCTGGTGAGAAGGCAACAGCATGGACGGAGGAATGGTGGCCAAAGAGTTCTTCGCCCAACCGCCGTCTAGTCATAGTATCCCACAGGATAAGTGCCCGGGTGTCCGAGCATGAGACAATCCGAGAACCGTCTTGTGAAAATGCGACGTCATTAATCGGTAGAAAATGTTCTCGGAGGGGTGCATCCAAAGGCCATCCAGTGTCAGCATCCCAAATTCGAATGGTCTTATCACAGGACCCCGAGACGATGTGTGAATTTCCTGGTGAGAATGAGACAGAGAGTATCAAGTCTGTGTGACCTCGAAGTGGCTTTCCCAACGACTGGCCAGTCTTTGCATCCCACAATCGAACAGTCCGGTCCGACGAGCCGGAGACGATCTGTGAACCGTCTGGTGAGAATGCAACAGTATAAACAGATGATGTGTGGCCTCGGAGTGGCCTTCCCAGCTGTCGGCCGGTCATTGCATCCCACAATCGAATTGTTGTATCTTCAGAGCAAGAAACGACTTGTAAGCCATCTGGAGAGAAGGCAACAGAGTACACATAGGATTGGTGACCACGGAGAGCTTCTCCTAATGGCTGTTCTGTTTCTGCATCCCACAAGAGAATTGTCTTGTCAAAGGAGCTAGACGCGATTCGTGAACTATCTGGAGAGAATGTGACAGCGCAAACGTAAGATGTGTGACCATGAAGTGGCCATCCCAACATTGGGCCAATCTTTGCATCCCAAAGTCCAATTTTTGCGTCCCACAGGCGAATTGTACCGTCCTCCGCGCCAGAGACGATGAGTGAACCATCCGGTGAGAACGCGACAGCCCACACTGCGTCGTCGTGACCTCGGAGTGGCTGCCCCAACTGCTGACCAGTATATGCGGACCATTTTCGAATTGTGTGGTCAATTGAGCCAGAGACAACCTGCGAACCATCCGGCGAGAATCCAACAGCCGTGACGGAGGATGTATGACCTCGGAGTGGGATTCCCAACGGTTCACCAGTGGCTGTGTCCCACAGTCGAATGGTGTGGTCAGAAGAGCCAGAAACGATCTGGGAGCCGTCTGGTGAGAATCCGACTGCACTAACCTCCCCTTCATGGCCTCTCAATGGCTCACTCAGCGGCTGACCAGTGAGTGCATCCCACAGGCGGATGGTTTTGTCCGATGAGCCAGAGATGATTTGTGAGCCATCTGGCGAGAACGCAATGGCTAAGACGGAGCCCTCATGACCTTTTAGAGGCTCACCCAATGGCTGGCCAACTTGGGCGTCCCATAGTTGAATTGTATTATCATCCGAGCCGGAGACAATTTGTGAGCCATCTGGGGAAAATGCGACGGCCGTGATCGGCATTTTGTGGCCTAATAGTGATTCTCCTAATTGTTGTCCTTTATTTGCATCCCACAGACGAATTGTGTTGTCTTGCGAGCCAGAGACAATTCGCGAGCCATCGGGTGAGAATGCGAGGGCCAAAATTGGATCTTCGTGACCTTGAAGCGATTCTCCCAGCGGTTGACCGGTAGCTGTATCCCATAGTCGGAGAGTCTTGTCTCGTGAGCCAGACAGGATCCGTTCCCCGTCTGGTGAGAATGTGACGGCCGCCACGCCGTATTGATGACTGTTGAGTGTGCCCAAAGGCTGACCAGTATCTGCGTCCCAGAGTCGAATCGTTGTGTCCCATGAGCCGGAGATGATCCGTGAGCCGTCGGGCGAGTATCCTACCGCTACGACTCTGCCTTCGTGGCCGCGCAGCATTGCTATTAACTGACCAGTATTTGCATCCAATAGGCCTAGCGTATAGTCATGGGAGCCAGTGACAATTCTAGAGCCATCTGGGGAGAATGTGATGGCATAGATGCAATAGAAGTGAGGTTGGAATGGCACTCCCAGTAATAGTCCACTATTCGCATCCCACAGACGAACTAACGAGTCCTCCGAACCCGAGGCAATCCGTGAGCCGTCTGGTGAGTACGCAACAGCGCAAACAATGGCACTGTCACTTTCAAATATAGTACCTAGACCGCGACCGATATTTGGGTCCCACAGCCGAACCGTCCGGTCTCCCGAGCTTGAGACGATTCGTGAACCATCTGGCGAAAACGCCAGGGCTAAGACGGACCCCCCATGACCTCGTAATGGGTCTCCGAGATGATGACCAGTGTTAGCGTCCCATAATCGAATCACACTATCGTCGGATCCAGAGGCGATTCGAGACCCGTCTGGCGAGAATGCAACAGTGATGACCGACGCTTCGTGACCTTGAAGCGGCTCTCCCAGAAGCTGACCGCTACTTGTATCCCACAGTCGGATAGTATTGTCCGACGAACCAGAGACAAATTGTGAGCCGGTTGGTGAGAATGCGACGGCGTTCACAGAGCGTTCATGACTTCTGAGTGGCCTTCCCAATGGCTTACCGGTCTCTGCATCCCATTGTCGTATTGTGCTGTCCTCCGAGCCAGAGACAATTCGCGAGCCGTCTGGCGAAAATGCAACAGCATGCACCCTGCCCTTGTGTCCTTGCAGAGTTCTAGGAAGCACCGGGTAGGTCTCCTCCAGCCCTTGCGTCACAGTGAGAGTATTTTTATATTTCTTTGCGAGCTCACTATGTAGGATCGAATTTGTGGGAGTAAATGGAAGCGCCGAGATGTAGATATGTGGAGCGCTGTCCTGGATCGGCACCGAAAATACTATCAAAAACCGCCGGATCTCAATGATTCTACCTATAATATCCTCTTCAAACTACTTTTGTGTCAGAATCAGAATCCATTGGAATGGACCACTCACTCCAGCTTGACCTATCGCAGCTTGAAGACCGGCGATCGCTCGCAACACTCCTCCAGTGAAGCTCAGAATCTCCATCCAATAAAACACATATGGGCTTTGAATAATCCATAGAAGTTCGCTTTTGAACGCACGTCGCCAGTTGTCGCTGGTTTCCGATACATGAAACAACCAATGGGAGCTGGCATATCGGAGTCTTTTTGAAATAAACTTTGAGACTCTGGCCTCAAGGTCCGGGAGCTGTCTATTGAGGTAGAAAGATGACTCAATTTGACAGACGTTGAACTTCAGGCCATCAGTCGGGGACCTGAGGCGTTTGAGACACCACAATGCCGCTTGACCATGTGCATTGGCTACGTCGATGAAGACGTTATGGCGGTTGTTGACAGTCGGGACGGAGCAACGTCGAAGGTACTCCACGAGTGTGGGATGGCGGAATTGAATCAGATTTGTACGTGGGTCCACGCTAAGTACGCTCCCCAGATTCTGCACCAACGCTTTACCACTACCTTGAATTCCAGCAAGTTTTAGACGGTCGTCCAAATCGTCTACGGTCAGCGGCTCGAACGCTACAAGTACCATAGCAAGCATTTGACACATAACCCGGCGAGAATCCGCGTCTATGCGCTCCAAGACGAGCCTATACACTTCGTCTATAGCTCCAGGTCGATCCAAAGATACCAGCTGATCATATGTGTTCTCAGGAGTGTTGAGAGTGGTTTCATTGGTGAGCATCCGGCATGCAGTGCTCGCCCAAATGAACAATCCGTTCGCTTTTTCGATCAATCGTTGCCTCTTGTCCTCCGGCAACACTCCATCTAGCGTTCGATGTATGTAGACCGCAATATCATCGACATTGTCACGATGACTGACATCGTGCAGGCGATCCTCCAACTTGGATTTGATCGAGAGGGATCCGAGGACCGCCTGAATGACGGGGTCCGGTCGACTCGTCATGAATATCTTGAGATTCTTGCTGCCTCGAACAGCAGTCGAAATAGTTTGGACAAGCTCTCGTCTCTGCGATGCAGACCTGCATTCATCGAGTGCGTCGAGAACGAGGATGACGCGCTCCTGCTGAAGGTTTAGGGGGTCGATGACGAGGGTCTGGAACTGTTCTAGAAACGAACTTCGCATGATGGAGGGGTTCCGCTTGATACCCTCGGCGATGTGCGGTGCCAACTGGGGAATGTAGTAGACAAGGTCCCTTGCAATGGTTGAACAAAATTTTTCGGTCGTCGACGCCTCGCTACTAGACATGGAGAAGAAGAATGCGCCACCAAGCGCTCCTTTCCTTCGCCAGTTCTCCACTGTAGACATGGCTACTGTTGATTTCCCAGAGCCGGCAATGTCGCAAAGCCAGAATATCGGCTTCTCCGACGAGTCTCTGTCGGCCCAGTCCCAGATCATCTGAAGGACATCCTTGCGCGTTCCATCGAGACAGGTGTTGTGGACTGAGGATGCGACAAACGTTATAGTAGGCAGCTGAAGTATTGTAGATGCGTTGACTCCGAAACAATCAGTACGAAATACAGACAGAAGTCACGGCTTACCTGTCCGTTTGATGGCTTGAACATGCATCCCAGTAAAAAGAGCCAGCGCTTCCTGTGTGACCGATGATTATGTGAATAAACCCAGTGGTGTTCGTACCATGAACTGGCTATGCTGATCCTCCATATCTCGATTGAGTTTCCGTATCTGTTCTGCATCAACTTTGACTTTGCTAAATGCTTTCAAAAAGCCGAGCTTGCGGTTACGTTTCTGGTTCAATTCAATAGCCATGTCGTGGATGCCTTCCAAATATCTATATTTGTCAACATATTGAAGTAACTCGGGTTGTAAACGTACTTCACATAGTGGATGAGTGGTTGCCTGAATGCCTTGTCGACAGCTCGATCTTCTTGAGGATAGGACTCGAAGATGGCGATCTGTTTCTCGAGTGCTGACATGTATTCCTTGAGCCGTCGCACTAGGTCGGTCCATTCCTCTTGGTTGTTCTCTATTCCCTGTCGGATTCGTTAGATTCGGCTTCAGATCCGCTTCGTCAACCCACCTGGATGGTTTCGAGGATGGCTTTTGTTGTTCGACAAGCTGCCTTTAGAGGAGCGAGTATATCTGATCCCTCGGCTATATTCGCCACCACGTCGAGGACGGTGTTGGCCGTGTCGTAGACTGGATCCCTCTTACTTGACGAGCTTCGTCCAGGATATGGGTACCCTGATGAATTCACAGTAGTGAGAAGTTTCTTAGGTTTGTCAGACTTTCTTGCTGACATCGTGGAAAGCTGATGGGTTGCAGTCGGTCACCATGGATGGGCCGGATCATAATATTCATGGAAGCGATAAGAGGCGAGATGACAACCCTAGACCCGACGAGTCTTATTCTATTCGTGGAGACTGGAAGCGAATTTGGAAGTAGGAGCGAGAACGTGAAAGAGAGAGGGCCGAGCTCAGCGAAAAGAGTCGAGGCAGATCATGAAACTGAGTGGGCGTAAGTCGAGACGTAGCCCCACCGGCGGCAGACGACGGCACTCGGTCTGTGCCCAGAACGAGTGTCTAGAAGATGAAAGGGATTTGTTTTAGCGAAGGCGCAGAGAAAATATGGCTAGAAGAAGGTCGGCTGAGTGAGGGCAGTGACACCACGAGAAGCCCACGCAACATCCCACAACGTAATTAGGGAAAGAGTGGCCGAAAGAGGATATAGCGAGTATTCCGGGGTGTGCAGTGTGACAATACTTGGCACACGACTGGACTGGCCGGCGGCGGGCGTAAAGATGGGCCATGACAAGATAACGTGGGTGACCCATGCGGTCGCCCGGTGTTAGCGACGGCAGTTTCCCCCGTTGTTGCGGGTTTCAGTCAAATTCGAATAGTATCAGTGCTACTAATATTCTACAATTTACTCTTATCCCGTGTAGCCTCGTCGTAATACCGGCCCTGTAGAACCCGGAGCGATAGGTGATAAGGGTATCGCTGGCGGTGCATTCAACTGGATCCACTTGTGTTTGTACCTCGACTCGCGTGGCAAAAGTGCCGAGGGGCATGATGAACGATGCGCCATATGGTTCATCCACAACCTGGTATAAAGGCCCCATCTGCTCATTACCAGTATCGTTGGAATCTTCTCCCTACTCCTCCCCTCTTCTCCTCGTCTTCGTCGACGTTCTACCCAGGCTTGAAGGCACTTTAATCGTCCTCGCCCCCCAGTAGTCATGTCCGATTTCGAAAAGAAACAAGCTATTAACGACGACGCCGTTTACGAAAAAAAGGACGGCTCAGGATCACCCGTTGAAGCTCCTGGTTCTGGCGGTGGTGGACATCATCATGTCACCCCAGCCGGTCAGGGTCTCTACGATCCCAAGCAAGAATCGATCTGGACCCGACTCGGGCTCACGTTCGAGTCGTTTAAGCGTGCTCCTGCGACGACTGGGTGAGTGTTTCTTATCTCCATCGCCATCGACGTCATCTCGTCGCCGCCGTTGTCGCCCATTCACTTGACCTGTCACCGGCGCGTCTGAACTAACTCCACCTCACAGTGGCCAAGTAGTCGCCGGTGGTAATGCAGAGCAAAATGAACTGCTACACTACGAGAGTATGTTTTACGCTATTTTCGAATCGGACAAGTCGTAACAATCCCACGTTAGATCCAATGTTGCAGCAAAAGATGCGTCCACGACACTTGCAAATGATTGCTGTCGGTGGTTCGATTGGTACCGGTCTCTTCATCGGTTCAGGTGGAGCCCTGGCAGTGGGTGGACCTGCTGCCCTCATCCTGGATTGGATCATCATCGGTTTCATGGTACTCATGACCTGCCAAGCTATTGGTGAAATGGCCATCCTTTACCCTCTTTCCGGTGGCTTTTACGCTCTCGCCGTTCGTATGCTCGACCCTGCCTGGGGCTTTGCCATGGGTTGGAACTATGTCCTCCAATGGGCCGTCGTACTCCCACTCGAAATCACCGCTGCAGGTATCACCGTTGGTTACTGGCAAAACGCGGCAAAAATCCCACTCGCCGCCTGGATCACCATCTTCTTCCTTGCAATCGTGCTCATCAACGTATTCGGCACCCTCGGATACGCAGAAGAAGAGTTTTGGTCCAGCTGTCTCAAGCTCTTCGTCGTGATCATGTTCATCTTCATTGCTGTCGTTCTCGTCTGCGGTGGAGGCCCAGCTGGAGGAGAATATGACCGCTACATCGGTGGCTCGCTCTGGCATAACCCAGGTGCATTCGCCAATGGATTCAAGGGAGTCTGCGCCGTGTTTGTCACCGCCGCCTTTTCCTTTGCAGGTACCGAACTCGTCGGACTCGCCGCTTCGGAGACGCCCAACCCACGCAAGACGATGCCCAGTGCGATCAAGAACACCTTTTGGCGTATCACCATCATCTACATCCTCTCCCTCCTCATGATCGGTCTCCTCCTGCCTTACAACGACGAATTCCTTCTCTTTGGAGGTGGAACCGCCGCTGCGTCTCCATTCGTCCGCGTCCTCGACCGTGCACATATCAAGGGTATCAACCACCTCATCAACGTGACCATTTGCATCTCCGTCCTCAGTATCGGTCTCTCCTGCGTCTACGGTGGCTCCCGCACACTCGCCGCCCTCGCCGAAACCGGATACGCACCCAAAGTGTTTGCGTACGTTGACAAATCCGGTCGTCCACTCTGGGCCGTTGTCTTCATTTTGGCCTTTGGACCCCTCGCCTATGTCAACTTGACCGCCGCATCCGACGAAGTCTTTGCATGGCTCCTCGCCCTTTCCGGTCTCTCCACTCTCTTCACCTGGGGTTCCATCATGCTCTGCCACATTCGTTTCCGCCGTGCGTGGGCCGTCCAGGGTCACAGCGTCGAGGAATTGCCATTCAGAGCCATGTTTGGTGTATGGGGAAGCTGGATCGGTCTCATTCTCGTCTTCCTCGTTCTCCTCGCCCAGGCGTATATTGCCATTTGGCCCATTGGGGGCATGAGCGATGATCCGAATGAAGTCGCCAGCAATTTCTTCAAAGTCTATCTCGCCCTTCCAGTCGTCATTGCCTGCTATGTCGTTGGATACCTTTGGAAGCGAACGACCCCACAGAGGGCACACGAGATTGACCTCGACGTATGTTCTCTCTTTCCCCTTTTGCGATAACTCCCGTGCTCACACGTTTCTTACAGACTGGTCGAAAGTGCTGGTACACCGTCGAACAAATGCGCGAATACCGCGCAGAGCTCGCGGCTCAGCCATGGTGGAAGAAGACATATCGCATTCTTTTCTCAGGCTGATTTTCCTGGGATCCAAAGGAGTTATTCACTGCGACTCAACGTCCTCGACTTTTTACCAATGCATCTCAATGTTGCTCTGTACGATCAAACGTGTAATAAACGGATTGAACGCATCCTTTCCTGAAAAGAATCTTTAGAATGTCGACGGATATATGTGGCGCTAAACCCGGGAAGACGTGCAACCCTCATCTCTGCAAGGGTCCATATGCTTCATCTTGGCACATATATACTGTACGCGCGTACATATGAACCAGGTTTGCTTGGCCCATATGCTCGGATCAGCCACACAGCCCCAGACATCTTCTGAGAGAAACACCACGCACGTGAAGAACAAAGGGTGATACAACGACAGAACAAGCATGTGAGCTGGGATCAAGGGCCAGTGATCTCATTAAACAGGGAACGGGGCCCGGCTTTATTTGTAGACTCTATTAAACTATCCATACGAGATGATACGAGCCGGCTTGGCCACCATGTCGTAAGCGCCAACTGAAAGGTTGAGAAAATTGCCATGCGACGTGTATATGCCGGCAGTAATTTGGATGGGACGACTACTTTGCCAACTCTCGTGTCTTGACCGCCGCGCGAATGTCGTCGACAGAAATGGATGACCGGTCACACATACCCCTGAAGAGACCCGCCTCATCTTCGAACAATACTTCTGGCGGTCCAAATTCAACGATCCGACCCGCCTCCATCACGCATCTATAATCATTGTTATCAGGGACCCTATTCACGACGAGTAATAGACCCACATTCTATCATAGGAAAGAATCGTCCTCTATGCGAGAAAGGTCAGAGACTGAAGAGAGAGCGAAAGAAGGCACATACGAGTCGATGCGCAATGCACACCAAGGTCCGGTCCTTGAATTCAGTCTGAATGGTATATTGGATTTGATTATCAGTCACTAGATCCACAGACGCCCTGCCAAATGTCAACTCATCAAAGGCTGAGGTGGGAAAGAGGACGCGTACGTCGCCTCATCTAGGCAGATAATCTTCGTATCCCTGACGAGCGCACGTGCTAGTGACAATAGCGACCGCTCGCCGACACTGAAATTCGCACCCTCTGAATCGACGACAGAGTCGAGTGAAAATCGATTGCGGGGTGTGGCACTCGTCACCTCTCCAGCATCCTCATTCTCCCTATCGCCTTCTGTTTCCGTGATGGCAACTTGTTTTGCCTTGGGGAGCGGCTCCGAGTCGAGCAAATGCGCTCGTCGAAGCGCGTCGTTCAGGTGTGCGTCACTGTATTGCGAAAATGGATCAAGATTGGTTCTAATCGTTCCTACGGCGTCGAGTGAGTAACAGAATACGGAGCTGTGGAAGTATGTGTACATACCTTGGAAGAGGACCGGCTCCTGCGGGATAATCGCCAACTTTGATCTCAAGTCGCGTAGACCGAGTTTTGACGTGTCAATCCTAATGAGAATGTCTAGTCATGCATCACTCTGGAACATAGGTGTAGAAATTCCCCACCCGTCCAACTTTATCGTTCCCGATGTCGGCTCTTGCAATCGGTAGAGCGCCGTGAGCAGCGACTACATAATCCTGTAAGCTTCTTCACACTTGATAAAGACAATTGAACACACCGTCTTTCCTGCACCCGTCCGACCAACGACACCAATCTTCTCTCCGTGCTCAATGCTCATCGAGATGCCCTTGAGTACAGGAGGAAGTCCAGGTCTGTAGCTCATGACAACATTCTCCAGTTCGAGTTTCCCTCTGATTGGCCAATCCTTGGGGAGAGGATAGTCGGTAGGCTCGTGCGTCGCTTCTTGTTGAATCCTATCCGCACTCGTGTATTGTACGACACGCTCTACGGCGTTTAGGTTGTTCTACATCCCGTCAAACTAATACATGCTGTGGAGCTGGGGGGCATACCTCGACTTCTGCACTTTGGCTAGGATGATTCAGTCGCCGAGATCGGCTGGGTAACGAGACGACTTACCGTGTGACCATACCAAATAGCTGCGTCAAAGCCGTCGTATACGACAACACGAGACCAATCTGTGCTGGCGAGATTCCATTGATCCCCACAGCGCACATGATGCCGACCGCAAGTACCATCAGGCCACCGAGAAAGTCGAGCCGGATCGACAGCCAACGCTAAATAATGACCCGTCAACAGTCCACTCTCAGAGTTAGTACGAGGCAAACCTGGTTTGTGATTGTAAGAAACAGCGCACGATTCTCCAAGTCGATAAAATAATGGTCGTCCTTGATGAACCGCTGAGTCTCGCCATATGCACGGATGGTTGCCAGGCCCGAGAGACTCTCGGCAAAGTGGCTATAGAGCAACGAACGCAATGCAGAGTCGAGTCGTTTGAGCTCTCGAGCACTCTCTCTGTAATAGTTGGCAAAGTAGAGGTATCCAAGGCTGATAATAACCACAGCTGCGACTACTCACGTCAGTCGACGCAGTACATGTAAATAGATGTACATACGGAAGTAGTATAGAAATATGGCGATGAGAATCACGGAGCCAAGCACGTTGGCGACTGCGAGGACGACTAGAGATAGAAGCATCAGAGGGTCGCAAAGCGGATGGAGGCCCAACATACACATGCGCATAGACTCTGAGGAGCAGTCAGCCTAGAATCAGTGATGCTTTCTTTACGCACCAGCGAGTTGATTGTCGACAGTATCGATATCCTTTCCAAACACTCCCAGAATTCGGCCCAGAGGTGTCGTGTCGAAAAAGGACATTGGCGCATGAAATACTCGGATGATAGACGTGCGGTGAAGGTTACTTGATGCGAGATAAGACTGCCATCCCATTGCTGTTCCAAACGCAAAAGTGAAGAGTGCTTGTATGATACCGAGCGCAGTATAGAGTGCCATATAGTAGCCAACTTTCCAATGAAAGGAGCTAATCACGAGTCAGTATAAATACCAAGTAGTAGAGTCGCACTCACTTCTCTTGCCACCAGACTAGTGTATAGTTGTTCATTACCTGAGATGCTAGAATCATGTCAGTAAAGAGCCGTACAGGGCCAACAAGCATGCCTTGCATCAAAACTGCTGCGAGTATCACCACTGGTAGAGTGATCCAGCCTTTCGATGCGCCTACATACGTTCTATAGACTATAAGGGTCAGATATTATTTCATTACACTAACAGTCGACTTACCATTAGATGAAATGGATCCTACTGTTCGTTTTTCGGAGACGATGAGCCTTCCTTCGAGCTTGCCCGTTCCGGCTGCTTTTCCTACAGCCTGCGAAACCAGGTATCTTCCCTTTCCGCCATCTGTGACAGCCTCACTATCACGTTGTTCCTGCGCTAGTACATCCGGGTCGACTCCAGCTGTATCCTCTACGCTCTCACCACCAAACTCCTTCATGAGTTGAGAAAATGGACCGTCCTTTTCCACCAACTGGTCGTACATGCCCTCTTCACAGATGCGTCCGTTCTCGATGGTGTAGATGTAATCTGCTCGAGAGACAAAGTGTAGGGCATGTGTGACGAGGAGGACTGATTTTCCTTGGTTACGCAGGGACAGGATGGCATTGTCAAAGAGTGCCTTGCCGACGTGTGCGTCGACGGCCGACAACGGATCGTCCATGAGTACGACATCTGCGTCGGAGTAGAGCGCGCGAGCAATGTTCACCTGACATCTGTTAGACATGAAGAAGAGGCAAACATGCCACTTACTCGTTGCTTTTGCCCACCAGAAAGATCTTTACACAGTCAGTAATTAGCCAGTCCTATGATTGTACGCACTGATTCCTTTCTCTCCGATCTACCACCAGTCAGTAGCTGAGCGGCCGTGGGTATGCAACGTACTTCGGTGAGATCCCCATCCGGTAATAGCTCCAAATCAGACATGAGCGACGCATTGCGAATCGCATTCCAATACCGCTCCTCGTTGTAGTCTCGGCCAAACAGAACATTGTCTTTCTAAATCATCATCAACAATCGAGCAGCCGAGCCAAGGCAGTCGTCACTCACAACTGTTGCGTTCTGAATCCATGCCATCTGGCTGCAATATGCCACACTTCCACCAAATTTGACGCTCCCACTCGTGGTGCGCATTTCTCCAATCAATCCAGAGAGTATTGACGTCTTCCCTGATCCCACAGGGCCCACAATGGCGTACAATCGTCCACGAGGAATTGTCATCGTCAAGTTCTTGACCGAAAACGGAGTTTGCGAAGTTGGCGTAGCACTCGCTGTGCGTTTTTCTGCATCTTTCTTCTCGTCTTTCTTCCTCCCATGTCTCTTCTCATTACCCTTTCCTCTGGCGCCTGCAGCCTGCTCGGGTGTTTGCTCCCATTCAAACGTCACATCTTTTGCCTCTATAGCATTTTCTAGAGTGTGATCGATCGGAAGGGCTACTTCCTTCATGAGCTGGGCAGTGAACGTAACATCGAGACGCTCGAACGCGTTTTTCGCATCGGCAGTGGCGGAAAGTGCGCGTGGAAGGAACATAAGAGGTTGTCGGAGGAGGTTATAGAGTGCAAGTGATGGAAAGACGATAGAAGGGATAAATGGTCTTCCAGCAAGTGCGTAAGTGATAAGACCAAGTATAGCAACAACGGCAGGCAGAGAGAACGCAATGGCCACGCTACATCTGGGTTAGTTCCTAGTCCGAACCGAAAGTCAGAGCACTTACTTTGCCGCGCGTGCAATGAGAATTCGTCGTATTCCTCGGAGCTCGCTCTTGCGAATGGTCGAAATTCGCTCCAAATATGGAACCTCGTAGCAAAAGTACTTGATAATGCGCATCGCACCAAGGAGCTCTTGCAGCAGCTTAGCACGAAGATCTGTCCAGATCATGCTTCGCTTGCGGACGTTGAACTGGTATGCCATGGCGCTCTTTTGAATAGGAATAATGAGAATAAAGAGAGCGAATCCTGCGAGCGCAGTAGGTCCCATCTGAACAAGCAGAATAATGAGGCACACGACCACTTGGATGGGTGCGGTCCATGCTGCATGGAACCACTGAGCCGCATAATCTACTCGAGAAATATCAGTCGACATGTGGTTAACAAGCGCTGATGCGGGATGTAGCGTCCGCTCATGTGGAGTGAGAGACAGCCCGCGTTTGTAGAGTGATCCAACGAGAGCTGTCCGCGCCAGAAGACCTGAAGCCATACTACGCCAGAAAAATTGGTGCTGGCATATACTGTTGAGAATAGTCAAGAGAAAAAGGCCCAGTGCCATCCCGATACCGCGACCAATGTTTGGAGGTTCACGACCGTGGGCACGAGCCGTCGCTCGTTCTGTCCCAAAGTTGATAAGAGCCTGTTCAAAAGGTCGAGACTTGTTCATTAGAGGTTCATGAAGACATACCTTCATGATAATGGGACCCATGAGCTGCGACGTATCTCCCACGACTTTGAAGATACCGCCCACCCAAAATTCCCACCCAAGCACATCGTTCAGTGCCCAAGCAATGGACGCACGCTTCCTCCCATCCTTGAGCCGCCAGCTCCTCTCCATTTCGTCGACACTCCTCCCTTTCCAAAACATCCACCGGAGCATCCATGTGACCTTGAGACGCAATGAAGGCGAGAGTTCTCCCTTTTCGAGCCGTGCATTCCACTCGTCTGCTACAGCACGCCTTCGTGCCCATGATTCGTCGAATCTCTCCGTCAGGAGCGTCGACTCACGCGATGGGTCCATCTTCCAGAGGTCGGTAGCTTGGAGCGTTCGTTGGTAGCCAAGCTTCATGATTGGGGACAGCCAGTGGTAGGTGAGCATGCTGAGAATACCTGCATTTGCCAGTGGGAGAACAGTCGCTTCGTCGAGCGACTTGGGCGCTGGAGACGGTTTGGTGCTTGGACGCCAAATTTGATACCTAGGATCGTCAATAATTAGTCCAGATGTCATAAATGAATAGTTTCATGCCATTTTTGTCTATATCGGACATGTTCCTCGCCCTCGTCTAGATCCCAGTGACGTCTGTGGTCCGCTTTGGCCGTTTTCTCTATTATTTCAGCACCATTTTTCTCTATGTCATCATTTGTGTTCTTCTGCGAGTCCATTCGAGAGCGTTGTCGATAATCTCAGTGCTGTCCAGACTGCCAGAAGTTCGTTGAGCAGTCTTGGTAAGAGCCAGAGTTCTCAGACAGCCTCTTCTCCCTTTTTTTAGACGCTAGAGCCGCTTATTCACATTCGGCATTTATCGGCATCTTGATCTGCATCGTGTCATGCGCAGTCGTCGGACCTTGGATGAGAGTCTATCATTTGATAAGACATCGAGTTCGATTTCAGTGCAAGTTTCAGGAATCTCCGAGTTGCAGCTGAGATCAATAGACCAAAACCACCGACACCCGTCAGACACGGAGATATGAAACTAGGTGAAGACTGGATTCAGTACTTATAATCAGATTATTTACGACTCGAAATGGAGGTTCTGACTGGGGTGGGTGCGGCTGAATGAGAGTCATTCGCATAGGTTTTACACACCAATCTAACCACGCATCAAGAAGCATCCTGCAAGTCTCCAGAGCTACTTCAACCAGAAGAGAGAGAGCCAAGCGAGGATAGACGGATCGTGTCGAAACTGTCCTACGACGCAGGGGCACCTCGTCCAACACCGGCATAGCGTGGTCGGTAGTCTTGCGGAGCACCTTCCTTGTCCGCTGCAGCATCGTCTCGCCTCCTGTACTCATCGCGGTCGCCTCTTGGTGCACGGTATGCGCCCTCTCCTCCTGGACGAACTGTCGCTGGACGCTGAGGACGTGGGGCCTTTTTGTGGGTTGCTGGGACAATCTCAGCAGGGAGGTTCAGCCTATTTGATATCAAAGTAGTCAGTAGCCGCTCGTCTTACAGGAAAGCTCAGATAGATGTATGAAAGATGAACACACCATCCTCGGAGGTATTCAAGACCCTCGTCGGTAAGAGTATAGTAGTAGTATTGCCAGGAGAAGCGCGTCTTGACGTATCCTTGCGAGGTCAACGACTGCATGGCCTTGATGACCTGCAGATTTGGTACATCCTCCAAGTCTTCATGCTTGGGAGCATTAAAATCCTTCTTCGCGACCATCACGCCCTCTGCCAGAATCCAAATTACACGAATTCATCCGTCAGCCTTTACTCCGAGTTCTAAAGAGCCACATAACGGCTCCAAATGCCCACCTTTGAAGAGGCTCTCGTAGATTTTTCGTCTGTTCTGCTTGCTGATAAGCATCGTGTCGAAGGCAATGGGACGGTCCAAGCGCCAAACACGCGCAAATAGCAAAGTAAAGTTGCTTCCCAGCCTCACGGCAGTACTACAAATCACACATATTCGATGAAGATGGCAAGATGAACAAGACAAAAATAACCGTGGATCATCCCGAACAAGTTTCTGCCAAAGACTGCTTGCTCTGTAAACGCAACCGCAAGCACATCCTCAGGCTCGAGTGTGCTCCTAGACAATCTGACATCTTCAAGTACATCCAAAACGATCTCTTCGTTCATCTCTTGTTCTTCTAGCTCGCTTGACCTCGGTACGGGAGGTACACCGCCAGCTCTTCCCTAGGCTCGATCTTCTTTCTCAGCCTCTAGAATCCTATTAATAGATCCATACTTATGTGTATGCTTGAGGGCCTTCGCTGGTCCGACTTGATGCGGCCGCTGCGTAAAGTCGGTGCCAATTAATAGTGCAAAGCCAATACATTCCTCGCGTACGCATGCCATGGAGAGTGCGGCGAGAATGTCTCGGTAGTCAATTGCGACCTTTGGCTCTTCCTGATCAGCAAGACATGAGAAGTTGAATATCAACAAGTGGCCCGCAACGTGGATGGATACGAACGCACCTCGTAAGAGTGGAGCCCCGTTTACAATGACATCAGTGACCTTGCTTGCAATATGCTAGGCATGTCCCGTCGGCACGATTGCAGGCTCCTTCGTACGTCGCCCCCTCTGCATCTACGGTATTTTCATGGCAAGTGGTAGCTCTTTTGTTTCAAAATGAGAAATTCTCGCTGATGGCTTTCGTAGATGTCCCCGTTGCAATCTATTACAGGGCCTTTCAACGAGGGGAAGCACACGGGGCTGACATCTCCTCCGACGATTGAGAAGTTAGGTGACTGGAGAAATAGCTTGTTTGCTACGGTGAGTACAGGCAACAGTCCGGATAGAAGAGGCGAAAGTCTCATCGTGGTCGGGTCGAAATGTAGAGGCTATGTAAATCTGGGGAGACCTGCAGTCCATACACACGATACGACTCGAATCATGCTACCCTCGAGGTAAATATCCTATTTCCCGCAACAGCCCCTTGGATACCAGTCCTGATCACAAGCCAAAGGGTCACGCAACGTGTAACAAATGAATTAGAAGAATGTGATGGTTTCTCCACAAGCAAGAAGATGAGCGAGCGCCGGTCTAATTTGAGTTTGGCTGTCGCACATCGTGGCCAAGACGGCAACCACCAGATGATGGCGAATGAACAGGAAGCGTATAGGCTCTTCTTCGTCGACAAGGACCATCCAAAACAAATTCAATCCGTCACGATTCTGAAAACCGCGTTCGTTGAAGATCTTCAGCATCAAATCCAACAGCGCCGTTACAAGAATGTGGACCCGTCCGAACTGGATTTATTCCAGGTAGACATATCGGATGAAGGCGATTTAGCCCAGAAAATCGAGGGGAAAAGCAAGGACCTGGGTTCGCCGCTCCGTGCAACTTACCCCATCTACGAGTGCTACGCATCACCACCACCAGCGAAAATGGTGCATATCCTCGTCAGGTGCTCTGCGTCGCCCCAAAAGTTCGGTGAGGGCTTTCTCTGGAGCAATCTCACGGTTTACTGACGCACTCCTTTCTTTATCCATGGAATAACACCAGAATCGGTCAAATCCCAAGCAGAAGACTACATCTCCCTCGAACTGTCCAACAAGGGCACATACATGAATGCCTCGATCGTCAACGTCCATGAATGTGGCATAACCCAAACAGAATTTCCTCCCCCAAGCCTCGAAGAGTTTCGCCGGAGCCTAAGAAGACGACGCATTTACCGGACACAAGACGCAGTTTTGGTAACATTTCCATAGCTCAATCACCATCGACTGATTAGGAATATAGATGGAGCAAGTCGAACGCCAATGTGATGAGATAGGTCTCAAGTTTGAAGACTACTTCCAACCAGAAGGTTTGACGAATCCGATCAATAAAAGTGGTCTTTTCGGGAAGGCCGAAGCACGGCACTACTCCGACATACTTAGAGAGCCCGAATACCTCAATTTAGCATACTACAAAACCGCCAAAGAAACCGTAGTTCATTCTCTGCTCGCCAAATTTATGCATTCAAACGACAGCTCTCCCGCCTCCCCGTGTGAATACCTCTTGTGCGTTGAGCCTCGCCGCTCCGTCTCAAGCTAAATATCATTGCAGTAACGCATCCTGGAATGTTCCCATCGTGGCGAGGTTACGTAACTCGAATAGTTGCGTCCAAACGACTCCAAGAAGCGACATGCTTCTCAACACCGATCGATTACCCATGGTAATCATGGAGATTGCGGGAGAAGATGAATACAAGATGATGCTTCAAGCAGGGGCGTTATTAAGGATGGCGCATTACTTGAAATACGATGAGCTCATCGTGACTGCGATCTACATCAGTAACGACTTTATTGCGACCCGATACTTGTTCTGCCTTTCGGACCCAAAGTCGAAGCAGGTGTGTTTCTTTTCTGATCTAGATTGCTCACCTGACCATCTTGCAGGTTGTTTATACCAAGGATCGGTTTATCCTTACAGAAGGTCGCGATCTATTCGAAATGGTCTTGGAGCTCTACAATTTGATGGCTCTGTCAAAACAACAAAGCTCGAATCTCTCGCAAGATAAAATAAAACTAATGACTGCAACGGTCAACGCGAAAAACTTCCCTAAAATGACTGGGACACCTAGAGCATCCAAACGAACTCGTGAGGATGACCGCACCAACCCTAGCGGCAAACGAATAAACACAAATCAAGGAGGCACAGACAGAATGAATGAACGCATCATCAATGCAGGATATGCTCTGGCGTGGCACCATCTTCCACAGGATGGGAAAGATATATTCGAACTTCTCTTTCCGGTAAGATATTCTGGATTTCGGTTTTGACGATTTTAACATCAGTAGTTCCCCGACAATGTTCGCGAAGCGACGAGGCGGGACGGACTCTCGGTCATCATCAAGCGAGTCAAACATAGATCAGAGGTAGACATCTTGAGGTACCTTGAGAGTCGTGGAGGCGTAAATGACCATATAATTGCGTTACTCGACGTGCTCGAGTTCGACGTGCAATGGCTTATCGTCATGCCTAAGCACGTCAGGCTCCGTGAGGCTACGCATCTGTTGTCAACGTCCTCTGCTGTCTATTCGTTTCAAAAGCAGTTCCTCCAAGGTGTCGCGTTCATGCACGCCAATGGAGTTGCGCACCTGGACCTCAAGCCGGATAATGTTGTCGTTGACTTTGGAAAGAGGTCAAGGGACAAAGACCAAGGCACGCTTTATATTATCGATTTTGGAGTTGCAGAGATGACTGTGACGACAAGCACGACGATGAAGGACTTGTGCGGGACGTATGGTTGGACTGCACCGGAGATTCAAGACGGCCAAACTTGGAGTCCTATCTTGGCGGACAGATGGGCGTGTGGAAAGGTGCTACTCTATATTGGCGAGCAAATCAAGTGGACCTCGCGCGTGCAGGACCTTGTACGGCAATTGATGGATGATGATCCTCAGGCTCGACCTCCCATAGACGTCATCCTCGAGCATATTTTTGGGGGACCATGACACCATCCTGGCACGGTGGGTCAAAATATATCCATCTCAGGGTCAGCAGGCCGCCTAATTCCGACCCATCGATGGAGCTGCCCTCTCCAGAGAAGTGGTTGCTAATTGAAAGTGCATTCTCTTGTAGCCGCTATCACTTCTTGTACACATCACCACAGCCATGATGCTTCCATGCTTCCATTTGTACAGGCAGAACAAGCGTCGATATGATGGACGGCACCGGAAATTCAGGATAGCCAAACATAGAGCCTCATTCTGGCAGATAGATTGGCGTGCAGCAAGATGTTACTATATCTCTGCGAGCAAGTCAAGTGGACGTCGCATGTACAAGATGCCGTGCGAATCTCTATGGACGCCAAACCACAATCACGACCAGGTCCTGGCCATATTCTCAAGCACATGTCTGGCATCGCATCACTCTAAGAGCAAATAGACTTAGAAGACGGACCTCATTAATTAGAGGGTTTCTCTGTGGTAGATAGATATCTCTATGGAACATCCATGCCATCCGAAAAGGATATTAAGAAGATGTCATGCATGGATTTATACCGCATTTGATCGATGACGAGCCACAGTGAAACAATGTATTACAACTATTTTGGGCTTAGGATTTCACTTCAAATTTTGACCGATGATAGTGCGTTCATTCAGATATCTTCATGACGGGTTTAATAGCCCTTCAAATGTAAACTAAAACCTCAATTTAATGGTACGCAAATGTGCCAATAGTAAAGAAACTGGTTAGGGTGTCAACACGCGGGCTAAGCTTTGTTCTCTCCCTGATTGAAGGAAAAGCGGGGAAGACTAATTAGGTGGTGACATGCCCGTTTTGAGAAGAAAGTCATGTGGATGAAGTCCTAGAGGCCCTCAGAGAACTCAATCGAGTCACTCCACAACGCGATATACACGAAATGCAAGACCAAAATACTAGCTCTACGCTTGCGGTTTATCTCCAAAGACGTCCTCGCCAAAAGGTGCCTCCTCTGAGAACGCAGGTATGATCTCGTCCTCGGATAAGTCAAGAATACTCCTCGACAATCCAGCGTTGTGGATGATGGCTGAGACGCGCTCTTCATCCCCCTCTCGTTGTACCAGCTCATCGGGGCTCGGCACGGGGGGTAAAGAGGTGAAGATTTGTCGCGCTACTTCGACCTGCTCCAGATATATGACTGGGTCGTTTGATAGCTGGATTTTCTTCTCGTTTTCCAAAATTCTAGGGATGGATCCATACTTTCGTGTATGCTTGAGCGCTGCTACTGGCCCGACCTTGTGCAGTCGCTGGGTAAAGTCGGTACCGATCAATAGCGCAAAGTCAATAAATTCTTCACGTGTCATGGTGAGCGCAGTGATAATGTCTTGACTATCGATTAGAACCAATGGCTTTGCCTGGTTGGTGAGACCTGGGCCCCTGGATATCAGCAACCAGGGCTCGATGTGGACGACAAAAACACACCGCGTAAGAGTGGAGCTCCATATACGATCACATCTGTGTCTTCACTTGCAACATAATCGGCATGCCCTGCCAACGCGATTGCAGACGCGAGCCCTTCTCCTTCATACGGGGCCTCACTCTGCACACACGGGATACCCATCGCCACCAACAGCTCTCGTGATTCCGCAAACGTTTGATCCGTGGGAAGGTCCGTCCGTCGCTGATAGCTCTCGTAAAGTTCCTCACTGCGTACGAGCAGCTGTTGAAAGCCAAGACACGCCTCATCAACGTTCATCAAGAGCTTTTGCCACTGAACACTCTCTTCCGCTGATAACTGATGCTGGTTCTTGGATGCTGAGCGCCCAGGACTGGGGTCGGCGTCTGTCTCTGGTGATGGGGCTGCTGCATGTTCTGCACTTTCTTGAAAGCTACGGTACGCAGAGGTTAGTGCAACTGTTAGATGTTCTATTTTGTCCTTTCCTACGACCTTGGTTGGAGGGCTTATTTGTTCCAGTTCGTCCAGCATCGGTTTCATGTCGAACTTTTCAGAGACAACTTCCCCATTATTAACCTGTCCTGAGGTAGGGGAGGCTCTTCCCTTCTCTTTGGGATGGTATCTGATCATAAATTCTGAAAGTCGCCTTTGAATGACCGGCTGATCTGTTTCGGGAAGCCCGCGGATCTCGTGAAGAGTAGGTAACAGCATATCAAGGCGCTGTGAACGCTGGTACTCAAGCTCTTTGCGAGCTGTAGTGAGATCTCTGGTCTGCTTTCGTCGTTGAAGCTGTCGAGGTTGAGTCGTGGGTATTCAGTCGAGAGCGACGACTATACCTCTGGCTTCTTGGCTTCATGTCTCTCTTTGCCATCGAAAACGCAAATGACCTTTACATTGTCTGCACGAAGTTTTGAGACAAGCCGATACCAAGCATAGATATGTCGACTCGGAAGAGGATTTCGAGTCAAATGAAATCGTATTGTGAAGAGCGTTGCATCGCTTGTTATGCAGAAAATGAGCAAGAGTCTCAGGAGCCTGAGCAAACGTACATGACCACCGTCTTCCCGGCGAGTGCCTTAAACCGTGTAGGAAGTTCTTTCAAAACTTGTGGACTGGAATTGTGTCACAGACGAAGACCTTGCCTTTGTAAACGTACCATTCTTTGGCAAGAACGGACGTTAGCCCCAAGACACCCATGCAAGATGAGAGTATGAAGATGTAGAAAAGAGAGTGAGGCTGTGGTTGCAAATATCTTAGCAAGTCAGTGGTGGGGTTGCGTTCAACTCTTGGATTTCTACCGCCACCGACGACCAGATATGGAGGCTCCGCCGGTACCACTCTGGCTTTTTCTGCGAGTATAGAGACAGTGTCAAAATCTCTTTCGGGACCTTTGGGATTCAAATGTTGAGCAGCGATCGTGCGTTCATCAAGATGTCTGCATAACAGGTTTAGCTGACCTTCAAACGCAGACTACCGACTCATTTTATGGCGCGTACAGGTGCCGACGATGATACAGATTCATTGAGATGTCACCGCGTGGGCTAAGCTTTGCCCCTTTCGCTTGATCCCAGGAAACAACGGAGAAGACGCAGACGACAGGAGCCCGCTCTTCAAATAGCAGCCGCATGGATGGGATCCTTGCCGCTGTCCTCCCCGACCATGAAGGCGCTCCCGCTTGGCCTCTGCTTGCTGGTCCTCGACATCGTTTACGCACTCGAGCATACTGTTACTGTTGATGACCACGACCCTAGGTACGATTTTCACCAAATTTCAGGTCGAATCTACGCGACTGTTGGCTAATGAGACTCGTCTATGCAGCCTGAGATACTCTGGAGGCCATTGGAATATGTTTCCCGAATGTACAAACTTTGCTGTTACGCCCAACGCATCACTGCTCTATAATGGCACCTGGCATTTCGTCAATGGCACCGGCAACGCCGTCACTTTTGACTTTACGGGCACGTCTACCCGCTTTTACGATATCTCAGACTCTGATTCGCTTTTCGTATAGGTACTGCCGTCTCGGTCATTGGAGTCATCCCCCAGCAAAATGACCAGGGTCCTGAAAGGCGGCCTAACATCACGTTTGAACTCGATGGAGAAGCAACAAACGATCTGTCGGAGATACTAGGTGCTGATAGCTCCGTACTTTACAACCAGACCGTGTTTCAAGCTACCGGCCTCGTCAACGGCCCTCATTCACTCTCCATACGAACCAGGGACAATTCTACATTCATCGTAAGACTTGCCATTTTGGTTCTCCATCACATCTGACGCACTCAATAGCTTGACGCGATCAGATATACGACATCTTCGGGCATTGTCAACGCGGTCAACGGCACAGATGGCTCGACGACCGCATCAAGTCTGCCTGTGGAGAGCACATTTCCGTATAACGAGGCCGGACCGCCAACCTCTGCACCAAATGGTGCCCTAGTGGGCGGCGTCGTCGGTGCAATCTTTGGCACCTTTTTGCTCGTCGGCTTATTCGTACTTCTCTTCCTTCGCCATTCACAACGCGCCTTACCTCGCTCGCGTGGTGGGCATCGAAAACGAAGCGCCGGTGCAAGACCTCAAGACGGACGACCGCGCGCAGGGTCACGAGCGATGAAGAATTTAGATGGGAAAACGCCTGACCTGTCGGGTAAACCTGGAGCGGATTATAAGGACAATAAGCGGAGCAAGTTTCCCGAATACAACTACAGTGGTCCAAAGCCACTCATTCCTCTCCAAACGCGTCCGACGAATCCGACTAGGACGCAGGGGGGTGGAGGGACGGGAGGAGGAATTCGGTCTGCTATGGGCACGTTTATGTCTAGGTTGAGCTCGGACCATGGGAGCGTTGGGGGCGGATCTGACGTTGTGCACGCCATTACGACCGACTCGCCGCGGATAGCATCCAATGTCGTCGAATTACCAGCGGATTGGGGAAAGAGACGAGAGGCGGAGAAGCATATGAGCATGGGAAGCACCATCGAGGCAGAAGGTGTCCTCGAAGGGATGATGCAGTCGACATCGTCGCATGCGACCTATCATGAGGGCATGTCGCCCTCGAACCACTATGTTCTTGAACATCCGTTCAAGACTGGTGCCTAAGTGTTCCCCACACTTTCTTTTTCCAAAATTTAGGAATCAGATGGACTTGGATTGGCAGTTTCGAGCGAGAACTCGAGCTTGACTTTGTATCTCTTCTACTTGTCGCATAACTTGGTAGGAATTTGAATGTGTTGTTTACTCGATGTTTGGTCAGTGGTTAGTCTTCCCCATCATCCTACGTCGCCTTGAGCATGGCGTCTCAGATCCTTCCCCTTGGTGAGCAGAAGGCGTGCGAAAATTCGATCCGACTCTTACTTTTGATTGAATCTGCTCTCTCTGGCGCGGACAGAACTCATCGACCGCTGCATCGGCTCGAGGATCACAGTGATTCTAAAAAACGACCGCGAATTCACGGGTGTACTTTTAGGATTCGATGACTTTGTCAGTGCGTGTCCTCCTTTCTCGGTCGTGGGCCAACTCCCTGTTCTTTGGTCTTGATCTATCAGAGACTTGGACCAGAACGTCACTGACGTTCCAAAGACATGGTTCTAGAAGACGTCACAGAGTGCCAAACGCTACCCAGTGGCGAGCGTGTCAAGACAAAGCTGCAGACGACGCTGCTCAATGGCAACAATATTTGCATCGTCCGTTGCTTCTTCTTATCCCTACCATCATCTGACATTTGACAGCTACTACCAGGAAGCGATGGGCTTGACTGAGTTATTTTGTCGCAGCTCACGTATGAAGCAGAAATACAATATCAATTGCACAACAGATGCGACCGAGCACAACACACGATAGACAGCCAGAAAGAAGGAGCTAAGCAATGCCAGACGAGAGTGAACTGGGGGTGATGTGTTCGCAATCCGCCGCCTACCCAGGCGACAAGAGAGCAGAATGGGAGGAATGAGAAAACGCATATGTGAATGTGAGCGTGGGTGTCATCGTGAGAGAATAACGCTACATAGATACAACCTATAAGAAATGCGTCGTACAGTGTTTTTATCATTTGAGATCCAAATTTGCCACGTTACGCTGTCGCGGCGACGGGTTCCGATACGCGAGATGTAGCAGATCCAGAATTGTTCCTGCTACTTCCGCCGTGTGGTGGAGGCGAGAGGGGCGATTGGCTAGGCAGCTCGCCCGGTTGGCGAGGTCGTCTTCTTCGTCTACGACTATGATGGAATGAGTATTTTGCCTTGGTTTGAACACATCTAACTACTCACCGAGGATACATTGGTCCCTTGGGCATCGGTCGCTCGTCGAGATCCAACGCGATATTCGTCGCAGCTTGTAACCCCTACCAGGCGTCAGAATCCACAAAAGCCAACACCTAGCTAACTTCACGCACCTCTATCCACTCGACAACATCTTCCACGCTTGGAAGCTGCATCAAAAACTGCGCCCCATCTAAACGGACCCGAATGACATTCCGACGTTTCAGATAGTCCGTTGCGAGTCCAGACTCTGCACCCTGGAGGGAATACTGGTGAATCAAGTGTCCAGGAGGCGGCGTATAAATTTCCGTGCCACCATTATCAATCACGCTCCGACCGCCAGGTCCATGACCAGGACCAATAATTGTACATTTACGCGCGGTTCGTCTGCCCCTGGATGCTTGCTGTGGCTGTTGAGCGTTGTTTGCAGGCGGCGGATGTGACTGGAACTGTGCTGGAGGAGAACCACCATTGGTGCTTCCCGTCATAGGCCTTGCCGGTGTCGTCGGGCGAGAATGACTAAACGACGACCTTGAGGGCGCATACGATGATCCAGAAGTACTGGTCATACTCTGGGTAGGCGATAGTGTTCCAGCCGATCCAGACGACGAAGACGATGGAGGCGCCAAAAATCCAGGCGACAACTGGTTACGCGTTAAGACGGTCCCTTCCAACCTCGCATTCGGATCCATCAATGGCAACTTGCCCGACGCCAACCCCGGGTTCGCCATACTCGCATCCGGTTCAGCCGTCGAGTTTCGTCGACTGGAAATGGCCGAGCTACTATGGGACCCACTGTGCCCATGCTTTGCTTTCCCGCCACTGAGAAGCGCACTCGCGCTGGTGGAAGGCAACTGTCCCGCGACAGGTGCAGCCGCGAGCGCGCCAAATTTCTTTTCCAACGTCCCGACTTTGTACACACGGAACATGGTCCCATGAAGGACGCACCACACCGTCTTCCACGCCCGATCCCTCGCCTGTATCCCCGGTCGATCAAACTCCATCTTTCGGGGTACGAGCGCCGCGAGAACGATATCGTTCGTGTACGCAGGCAACACTTCTGTACCCTCATCTTCATATCGATGGATGCTCTCGTACGTCGGAGGCGGCTTTTCTCGGTCCTGTGGCGATGGCATTTCAGCAGCTTGGAGCGTTGGGAAAGATGAGACACGGCGCATCGTGCTCTGCCTTTTGGAAATGGTCGGTCTAGTTATAATTGGCGAAGGTGGAGGCACGAGCCATGCAAGTGGATCCACTGCAGGCGATGTGGCCGCGGCAGGCGAGCGTTGTGCCAATGTCAATGCGACCGGTCGGACGATCACGTTGGGATTCTTCTGATCGACTTCTTCGACCTCTTCGACCTCGTCTGCAAACGAAGAAGTCGAAAGATCCACCATACTCCTCGACGCCTGTCGATACACTGATGGTCGCTTGACGCTGGTCCGCTGGAGAGCAGAGGGTGAAGATCGCAAGTTGGAAGGGGTGAACGATTCGATGGCGGATACAGGTGGCTTTTGTGCAGATATGACTGGTGACGAAGAAGTAGGACCTTCGGTCGAGAGAAGGGGGATAGCGCCTTGATCAACGTCACGCGGCCCGGATGCATCCAACGAGGGGGCATCTTCCGTAATAATATCGTTGGTAAACGGCTTCGCGGCATCAAAATTGGGCAAGCCTTCTCGCCTTGATGGAGGCAACCCATCCGGAACAGGTCGAGACCGCGAAGACAGATAATCACCCTCGTCACCTCTCAGCTTGCTGCTTCCTTTGCCAGGTGTAGGCGTCTTGTCCAAGTAAAGTTTGGAGAAATCACCACCAGACAACCTATTCTGCGCCAGCGTCGAGAGACTGAGCCGATTCTCCCCTCCCCTCCTGGCCCCAATCCCACTCGACCCTCCGGGCTGGAGCGTCGCTCCAAGCGAAACGGGTACACTCGCGCGCTTGGCTTCCCTCGCAAAGGCCGACATTGTCTCTTTCTCCACAGACGAACGCTCCTCGACGCCAGAGGCATAGGGCGTATGGAACGCACTTCGACCTTCGGATGGCGTGAGATAGACGCTCTCGCGTCCAGATGTGCTTAAGCTCCACGACGAATCGCGTCGCTCGCGTTTATCTGCCTCGGAACCCCGCGCTGCCCGACCGATCGTACTTCCACTTGCAGTGCTGAGTTGGCTATACCGCCTTTCCAACGCTGCTGCGACGTCTTTTGGCGAAAGAAACACGGATGCACGCGCGTCAAAGTAGACGGATTCATCGGAATCACTCGCGCGTTCTTCACCGTCCTCTTCTGTAACAACAGCCTTGCCTTTGCCTTTGTCCGTCTTTACCGACTCGGGTGGATCCCGCTTGGCGTGGACAGTAGAGGGGATAGGAGGTGAGGGAGTGGACGAAGTTTGCTGAGATGTCGTCGATGAATCCACGGGCGCTCGCACCGTTTCCGCACTCGTCACACTATCCATCGAAAACACAGAGTCAATCGACGGTCGTCCCACTCGCTCCACCTCGGCATCCATTTCCTCATCCATTTCGTCTTCATCCTCCATCTCCTCGTCATCATAGTCATCCGCCTCTGGATCCCCACGCTCCGTCTCACCCATGACGCTCAAGCTAGGGATAGCATTGAGCTTGACGGACACGGAACGACGCACGCGTGCTGCGCTCCTCTCGCTCTCCATATCGGGTGATGAAGAGAGAACGGGTCCAGTCATTGACCTCGTCGGTGGGGATATTCGGAAGAGAGGCGTAGCTTTGCCAGCTTTGGGTGTAGGCGCATCGCTGGAGGGTAGTTGTGGGGAAGGGTCTCCTTCTGCAGTGGGCGTATGCGCGGCGGATGCCAATGTAGGCATTGGCGGGAGAGGTGGGAGTGGCCACGCCGGCCTGCTCATCACGATAGATGGTGTGAGACGAAGGGTATGACCAGGCGAAGGCGGCTGTCGAGCTGATGCGGATCGTGGATGTGCAGAAGTCGGGGTTTTGGTAGCAGTTGAAGGAGAGGTAGAGACAGTGGACGCTCTTTCGTGATGAGGAGTGTTGGAGACCAGTGTAGGATTTGTCCGTGGTGGAATCGGGATAGAAAGGTTTGGCTTCGGTGGACGTGTTCGAGGAGTCGACGATAGTGTGGCTGCATTCGATGTCGTGGGTTCGGGGTTTTTTGAAAATGCAGGAAGGGAATGCACGATTTCGCGTGGTGGTATCAAAGGTGAGGGGTGTGTGACCTCTTGATTTGAAGGCGTCGACTTTACGGGTGCCCCTGAGTAAGATGGAAAGCGTATAGCACCGAGCGCTCCAGGCGGTGGTGTCCCTCCAAAGTCTTTGATCCCTGTATGCAACGATCCAGACTGACTTCCCGAATCTCCAACGGCAATCCTCGAATCCCGACTCGCCCTTCTTCCACTCCCACTAGAACTACTCCCACCTTCGTCTTCTTCCTCTCGGAGATGCAACACGGGTGGACCATCCAGTTCCATTTTGGGTCTCCCATCGATTTCGACTCTGGTTGTTTCCGTCGGAGAGCGTACGGTGACGGCTACCGAGGGAGGAGGGACTGGATTGGAGGGCACGGCTGGTCGGACAGTGGACGACTGTTTAGGCGTTGGAGTCTGGTTCGCCGATCCCTTGGCGTTTGGCTTGAAGAGCTTGAGCGCGTCCATCGAGCGTGAATGACGTGAGCGATAGAGGAAACCCGAGTTGGACCCTGTAGTCGTAGGTGTTGGCGTCGTAGGCGATGCTGGCGCTACGCGTCTGTCCTCTGAACGCTGTCGTGCTTCGTGAAATGAAGGAGCAGAGTCGTCGCTCTTTCTGTTCAACTTGATGGTCGATTTAGATTGGGGGAGACCATGGGTGGAGGAGACGAGCGTCGGCTCTGATTGTTCTTTGGAGAGGAGTCCGCCGAATACGCGCTTGAAGCCCTTTGCAGATTTGAAAGAGAATGCACTTGAAGAGGAACGTGAGCGCACGGATGGTGCTGCGCTTTTTGTGGAGAGGTCATTCGGGTTTGGATCAGAGGGCGAAAGAGGAGAGTAGGACGAAGGAGGTCGAGACTGGCGCGCTGTTCGTGCAGACATAATCAAATAAACTCGTTCTTATTATCGTGTTTGAATAAGAGAGCGAGTTGTAAAGGGGGAGATGGTGGCCAAGGTTGCCGTGCGAGACAGAGAGATGTCTGCAAACAAAGTTGGCTGCGGAGAAGAAGTGTAAATTCTGTGAGAGTACAGGATATTGTCAGCAATCCCTGCGCTATGGACGGCTAAAAGAGCGATGCAACACACGAATAGCACCGCTCTTGCTGGCAATACCCACAGCTATCTGGCTCTTATCTCCGTCAAACACACTCCCAGGTCGTTGGATGTGCGATAGTTGTTGAAAGAGACTGAAATAAAAGTTGAAGTGAGGGCCAAGGTTTGCAGTAGAATTTGCTAGGCGATGTGAACAAGAGTGTGACGAAATCAAAGGACAAAATTAGGTCTGTGTTATGGAGTGGTAAGCCATGTGAACCGGGTAATGACTGACCCACCGTGGACTGATTGGAGGTCTGGCTATCGCAATGACGACGAGATTATGGCGTCGTGGAGTAGACAGGAGGCCGTCAAAGGCACTAGATACTAAACCAAAGAAAATGAAGAAAAAGGATGGTATGCCAGGCAGAGGGTATGCTGGTCGCGGTCAAGGCGCTGTCTACCTTGACCAGCGCCATATCAGGCCGCTCCGACCGGGAGTATCATCCAATCTGGGAACTGGATGCAGATTCACTCTACAAACCAGTTTGGGATTGCTCAGACCGTGGGGAGATTATTCAACACTTGCTTATCATCGGACGTACAGTGATGGAGCTCAGGTCTTAGGTTACTTGACAAGAGCTCTCACCCGAACAGCTGCCATCCGTGCTGGTTGACTTGGCGAATCAAGACTAATGACTTCATTAGAATCAAGTCGTCAATGTCATAAACACAGATGCTGGCATTTCGAGCTGGTAGACACGGGGCCATCTTGGAACCCTCCGCTTTTCGACAATGTCGGCCAGAAAGTTGACCAAGCCCAAAAAACCATACACGAATGCAAATCCATCCGCTTCCTCATCCTTTGTACGAAGTTCACCGCGCCCAGAGTACGAAGAGTCCGACCCGGTCGATTTGCACGCCATCCTCTCCGAAGCAATAGACAAGGTATTGGACGAGGGAGTAGGCATACTCTTCTTTCTAAAATCAGCTTGCCGAGAGACGAAGCGCATTCTGGAGGACATATCGGTGAGTTGGCCAGTCTGTACGGCCACGGCTTCGCTTACCGAATGGCAGACTATGGACGGCAACAAGGAGGAATGGAACGAACTAGTACGACGTGTAAGGGAAAACATGTCCGTGATTGAAAAACAAGTTGCCTTTTTTGAGTCGTACCCTCCGGAGGACACTGTCATCGACACGGAATCCAGCGGGCCCCTCTTCTACTATGTCCAGTGCGTTTTCGGCTCAAATCTTCTACAGTGGACTAATAACGCGCTGTAGATGCCTCGAGAATGTGCACGAGACGATCGTCGGGCTGAAAGAGCAACCAGCTCGCACCAAATCCGGCTTTTTGAAAGCGTTTAGGAAACCTAGGGTCGATATCCGGAAACTCTATCGAGAGATTGAGGGCCGATATAGACAGCTCATGGTGCGAGCATCCTTGGTCTCCATTCAGAAGCTCACCGAGAGACAGGAAGCCCTAGATTTTTTGCCATCGTAGTGCGTGCTAAAGCCGACGAACACAAAGGTAAGCCACGATGCCTTCCTTGGATTTGCGCTTACTGTTTCAAAGCAAATGCGTTTTTAATCCTTCAGCTACCAAGAGTGTCATTCGTCGCAGCCTCGATCCACACTACCTGTCTGCAAGGAACGCGCACGGATGTCCTTGGGATGATGTGGAACTGGGCTCACAATGATACACCCGGGAGGCCAATCTTCTGGCTCTGCGACGTTGCCGGCTCTGGGAAATCCACAGTCGCCATGTCTGCAGCGGGAATATGGCATGATCAGGGATTGCTCGGTGGCGCTTTCTTCTTCTCCCTCACCAGCAACGAAGTATCGAACACTGACAAGTTCTGTTCTGCTATGGCACGCGACCTCGTCCGCACCACCCGGCGTGTTATACCATACATTGCGGAAGCGGTCAAACAAAATCCATCCATCATGCAAAGCTCGTTTGGCCAACAGTTCCAGACGCTCATCGTCGGTCCTCTTAATCGTCATCAGGAGACTGTCATTCTCGTCATTGACGCTCTTGACGAATGCCAATCGTCCTCGCAGAGGAGAGAGCTTCTAGAGGCACTTTCTACTGCTGTTCGCGGGACCAAGAATCTCAAAATCTTCATCACGAGCCGACCGGACCCTGCCATTGAAGCAGTCTTGGGACCGCTTGCAATCAAAGCCAACCTGGAGGACCGTGTGCAAGGTCTCAATCACCCCAATCCTCTCAACGATGTTGCGATCTACGTACATCGTTCACTGGGTGGCATACTGCCTCCCGAAAAGAGATGGCGCCTCATCGAAAAGGCCAACGGATCGTTTGTATGGGCGAGCACCGCGTGCCGAATGCTCAGGAGCGAAGCGAATCTCAGGAATCCCGAAAAAATCTATGATCGAATCATGGCCCTGGTTCAAAATGGAGGGATATACGAGCTATACGCCCTCATTTTCGAACACACAGACAGAAACTTCTATGTAATCATGTGCCAAATGCTCGCTCTGCTAGCAGTCGCGTTTGAACCGCTCACGATGGACGACTTCGAGGACCTGCTGAAACATGCCCGCGTAGGAGGAAGTGGCAAAGACTTGGTGCAGAGTCTGGAAAGCGTACTCAGTATGGACCCAAGTACAAACAAGATTCACTTTCGTCATCCCACCGTCGTTGAGTACCTTCGGTACTGCTCCGCTCCTCCAGCCGTCGATAGCCGCAACAGACTCTATATCGACATTGCTAATGCACATGGCCAACTCGCCTGGTGGTGTCTCAAAGGCCTCACGTCGCCGACCGTCGGACTCAAGTTCAATCTATGTCAAGTCGAGTCGTCTTTCTACCTCAATCGACAACTCCCAGACCTGGAAGAGAGGATATCAAAGTATATTCCGACGCGACTTCAGTATGCCAGCTCCTACTGGTCGTTTCATGTAGCGGAAACGGGCGAGGACTGGCGACGGACCTTCAAAAGCGAAGTTCAATGGATTGTTCAAAGTCCACAGGTGCTACACTGGATGGAGGTTCTGAGCTTCACGGGAGGAGTGCTGCGAGCGATATCTGGTCTTAAAGCTACAACGCGCCATGTTGGGGTGAGTAATCTATTCTATTAGATTCTCATTTCTAAGACAAATTTAGTTTGATGAGGAGACTAGAAGCGCCATACTTGAGACGCGACAGTTTCTGATGGCATTTTCGGTGCCGATTCAGGACAGCGCTCCGCACATCTACATCTCGGCGCTTCCATTTACTCCCACAAAGTCGATTCTACATAGCGAGCTCACAAAGAGATATTTAAATACTCTCACTGTGACGCAAGGACTGGAGGAGAGGTACCCTGTGCTCCCCAGAACTCTTCAAGGACACAAGGGCGAGGTATATGCCATTGCATTTTCGCCAGATGGCTCGCGAATGATCTCTGGCTCGAATGACAATACAATACGGCAATGGGATGCAGACACTGGCCAGCCGTTAGGAGCGCCTCTTCGTGGTCATGAAAAGGCAGTGAACAGCGTCGCTTTCTCACCAGACGGCTCACGAATTATCTCTGGCTCGTGTGATATGACCATTCGACTCTGGGATACGGAGAGCGGTCAGCCTATCGGAAAGCCCTACAAAGGCCACGAAGCATCGGTGACAGCTATTGCATTCTCGCTGGGCACGTCATGCATTGCCTATGGATTCGAAGACAATACGATTGGATTATGGAATCCGAACACTGGTCAGCTGCTTCGAGAGCCAATCAAAGGTCATACAAAATTGGTCACGGCTCTCGCCTTCTCGCTAGATGGCTCGAAAATTGTCTCAGCCTCGAACGATGGGACTATTCGGCTGTGGGACGCAATTACTGGTCGCTCTCTGAGCGTAATCCTCGAAACTCGCCAGTTCGGGATTTGCACTCTCGCGTTTTCGCCGGACGGCTCACGAATCGTTTCTGGCTCGAGAGACTGTAGGATTCATCTTTGGGACGCGCATGTGGGTTCACTATTGGGAGAACTCCGCGAAGGTCACACATATGGGGTCAAAGCTGTCATCTTCTCCCCAAATGGCTCACAAATTGCCTCTGCCTCGGACGACTGTACCATTCGACGATGGGATGCAATTACATGTCAGCCAATAGGGGAGCCTCTCAGAAGTCACGAGAGCGAAGTCATAACCATCGCGTTCTCTCCAGATGGCTCACGAATTGCCTCTGGTTCGAGAGACAGTATGATTCGACTTTGGAGCACAGATACCGGTCAGCCGTTAGGCGAACTCCGAGGTCACGAATACGGCGTGGAAGCCGTGGCCGTTTCACCAGACGGCTCGAGAATCGCCTCTGGCTCGCGGGACAAGACGATTAGGCTCTGGGATACGGCCACTGGCCGATCTCTAGGAGAGCCACTTCAAGGACACGAACATCCGGTTTCGACCCTCGCGTTCTCACCCGATGGCTCGCGACTTGTCTCTGGCTCATACGATAAAACGATTCGTCTGTGGGATGTAGACAGGAGACAGCCATTAGGGGAGCCACTATTAGGCCATGAATACTCGATCACGGCAGTCGCATTTTCGCCAGATGGCTCACAGATTGTCTCTGGGTCATATGACGAGACAATTCGACTATGGGATGCAAACACTGGAAGACCGTTGAGAGAGCCATTCCGAGGTCACGGAGCCTCGGTTAATACCCTGGCATTGTCGCCGGATGGCTCGCGAATCGCCTCTGGCTCAACGGACCAAACGATTCGACTCTGGGATATAGGCACCGGCCAGCAAGTAGGAAATCCACTGCGGGGTCACGAAGGCTCTGTTGATACCCTAGCATTCTCGCCGGATGGCTTACGAATCGCCTCTGGCTCAAAAGACAAGACGATTCGACTTTGGGATGCAATCACCGGTCGGCCCCTGGGAGAGCCACTAAGAGACAAAGAAACTTTATTTTATACCCTAGCATTCTCTCCTGATGGCTCACGGATCGTCTCTGGCTCCTATGACCACACAATCCAACTGTGGGATGCTAGCACTGGTCGATTGTTAGGAGAACCATTTCGAGGTCACAAATGCTTGGTTACAACGGTTGCATTTTTGCCAGATAATTCACGAATCATTTCTGGCTCGATCGATAAGACAATTCGACTGTGGGAGACGGAAATTGGTTCGTCGTGTCCTAATAATACGGCATGATCTGACGCAAAAAATTAGATGCGAACAAGAAGGGAGTCAGTCAAAATGACAGAAGGTCTCAGGACTCACAACTTGGGAGCGCTGTACCTGACCCTATAACCGTCACTGTGCCAGGATTCAAGGAGTGTTCGCTTTCACATGATGGTTGGGTGCGATCTTCTAGTAAACTCCTCTTCTGGGTACCACCAGAGAACCGACATGGACTACAATATTCGCACCTTTTGACTTTACCGACAAGCAGCCTACTCCGTGCTACCAAACTTGATTTCGCCCGCTTCCAATGTGGCCTCTCTTGGGCAAGTGCTCGAGAAGATGCTAGCCATTGACTCTGTGATTGATATCTATCCCAATTTATCTATTTCCCTTGGAAAGCTTCTATGCTCAGCCTCCCTTCCCCTAAATGCGTAGAGGTATTAATTGCTCGACCCCAGCCAGCTCTCCTGTGATCCTGGAGTCACATAGGAGAGTGTAGGGCATTAAATGGCAAGATGGACATGCTAGTAGTTGAAATTCGAGTCGATTCTAATTCTATTGTGGCATTTCCTCATGCCACGTTGCAGAGTAATACAAGTCACAAGAGAATGCGCTACTGACATAGAATACATTGACGGAGATACATATGCCTGTTATTTGGTGTTTGACTTACCAAAAGGATTATTTCCAGAAAGATGTCCGCCGAAAAGAGCTCGAGCGCAAGGGTTATCATTAGCTTGCAAACCTTCCTCTCAGCTCAAAATTTTTTGATTTAGAATGATTCATCGAGGTTGGACATGAGATTAACGTCAACCATAACGATGATGGTTTGATGAATGATGCCTCCCACATTTTCCGTTTCCTAGTCATTGAGGGACGTAACTCCAAAGATTCGACTGAGAACATCGTCAAGGCCTGGTCGTGCTTCTGATTGTGATCCATCAGGCTCCGCACAATATCCTGTACGCGCGAGGTCCACCTAACTCGCTCACCATGATAGAGCAACATCTTGCCACTCGCCCATCTATCTGCCAGAATAGGACTCCAAGTTTGACCTTCTCGAATCTCTGGTGCAGTCCAACCACGTGTCCCACATACGCCCTCCATGGTCGTGCTTGCTGTCACATTTATCTCTGCAACCCCAAAATCGATTATATAGAGCGTGCCCAGGTCTTTCTCTCTTCTTCTTGCCAAAATCGATAACGACATTATCCGGCTTGAGGTCGAGGTGCACGACATCGTTCGTATGCATGAATGCCACGCCCTGAAGGAGCTGCTTTTAAAACGAATAAACGGTCGCAGATGCCGATAGCACATGCGAAAATTCACAAAGTCTGATGTGCTTCGGCATGACGATAAGCCATTGCGCGTCGATTTTGTGCATGTCAAGCAGCTCGATGATATGATTCGATCCGCCTCCCCCGCTCCCAAGGTACTTGAGGATATCTATCTCTGAACTATGTTTGATTCGCTTGATAATGACCGAGAGCCCATCCCGCCTAGTAGCTTCACGGACATTATCGGGGAACTACTATGTCAAAGGAGTCAAACACGGAAATTGGAGCATCTCACCGGAAAGAAAAGTTCGAATATATCCTTCCCGTCTTGTGGAAGATGGTGCCATGCAAGGGTATATCTCGCATCGATGACGAGCTCGTTTACTCCGCCCCCTTCTGTGTTCATACGCTGATAGCTGCTGCTAGTTTCATCATCCTCATCAGCTTGATCAGACGACCCGGATGATCCACGCATTTCACTAAACTTCTTCTCCTTGACCGTTTCAACCATTAAGAGTCCGCTTCTTTCGAAAGATTCGGGCTTTGTTGTTTTGACAGAGCTGCCAAATTATAAAGCTCGAAGACCATTTCAAATATATCGCGACTTTCTGTGAGGATAAACCGATCCTTGATAAAAACAACCTGCAAGATGGTCAGGTGAGCAATCTAGATCAGGAAAGAAACACACCTACTTTTTACTTTGGGTCCGAAAGGCAGAACAAGCATCGGGTCGCAATAAAGTCGTTACTGATGTAGATCGCAGTCACGATGAATTCGTCGTATCTCAAGTGATGCGCCATCCTCAATAACGCCCCTGCTTGAAGCATCATCTTGTATTCATCTCCTCCCCCAGTAACAGACGGAATCTCCATGATTACCATGGGTAATCGATCGGTGTTGAGAAGCATGTGGCTTCTTGGAGTCGTTTGGACACAACTATTCGGGTCACGCAGTCTTGCCACGATGGAAACATTCCAGGATGCGTTACTGCAATAACATTTAGCTTGAGACAGAGTGGCGAAGCTCAACGCACAAGAGGTATTCACACTGGGAGGCGGGAGAGCTGTCGTTTGAATGCATAAGCTTGGCGAGCAGAGAGTCAACACGGTTTCTTTGGCGGTCTTGTAGTATGCTAAACTGAGGTATTCGGGCTCTCTAAGTATGTCGGAGTAGTACCGTGCTTCGGCCTTCCCGAGAAGACCACTTTTATCAATCGGATTCGTCAAACCTTCTGGTTGGAAGTAGTCTTCAAACTTGATACCTATCTCATCGCATTGGTGTTCGACTTGCTCCATCTATATTCCTGATCAGTCGATGGTGATTGAGCTATGGAAATCTTACCAAATCTGTGTCTTGTGCCCGGTAGATGCGTCGGCTTCTTAGACTCCGACGGAACTCTTCGAGGCTTGGAGGAAACTGTTTGATTATGCCACATTCATGGACGCCGAGGATGGAGGCATTCATGTATGTGCCCTTGTTGGATAGTTCGAGGGAGATGTAGCCTTCTGCTTGGCAGTTGCTCGATTCTGGTGTTATTCCATGCATGAAGAGAGGAGCGCGTCAGCAAACCGTGCAATCGCTTCAGAGAAAGCCCTCAACGAATTCTTCGGGAGACTTAGAGCGTCTGATGAGAACATGTATAGCATCTTCCGGAGGGGTCGAGGGATAGTAATGGACAATGTGGCGACTTGGAAGGAGTGGCGAGCCCATAGCCTTCTTTTTTCTCCTCGATTCTCTAGGATATATCACCTCCATCTGACATATCCACTTGGAATAAATCGAGGTCGGATGGGCTCGCACCCGCCTAGAGGGGCCAAGATGATTAAATTTGTTGTCGGAGTGTAGCGATTGTGGAATGCTTCAAGATCTTGGCAGATCTTAGCTTCCGCAAATTGCCGACATCGGCAAAGTACTCCTCCTGTTGATTTGCCATGGCAGGGCGGATGTGGCCGTGGCCAAGATGTGCGGCAGCCAATTAATTCAAACTAGACTGGCGCTCATTCGCTTAGTTGCTTGTAAAGAAGCTATTATATTTTTCTACGTCATTTATCACACGTTTCTCGACGCCTCAGCTTGTGGTAAGGATTATGTTTTAAGCAATAGGATATTTACCTCGAGCGTAGCATTATTCTCAGTGGTAAATACTACTACCGCGTATAGTTACTACGATTATTCCCTGATTTACATGGCTTCTACATTTCGACCCGACCACGCCTTCTCTATCCGAATTGTTGCCTGTGCTCACTGTAGCATCCGAGCTATCACTTCATTCACTCAATTTCTCAATTCTCGGAGAACATGGCAGGAAGAGTGCTAGCTCACCCAGCATTTGCTGCATACTTTCCTACTTGGAATCTCGGACAAGCAACTTCCATCCCCTGCAACTCGTCGGTAGAGAAGGCGAGCCCTGACGTATTGGGTCAATCTGAGCCGTGGGTAGGGAGTATCCTGGACTGGTCAAGAGACAAAGCCAGACGATACCATGACAGTGAAGCAACTTCTGCAGGATACCCGATCTCTCTATCGCGTAATTGGTCAGTGGCAGTGCTTCCCCAGAGTTGACTATTGTCGATATCCATATCTGAATCTTGGGCTTTTTATGAAACATTGATCGAAATTCATCCACCAGGAATTGGTTATTCCTCTTTACTGGGTGTCGGCGCTAATCTTTCCCCAGAGCCGACCCAGTGATCTGTTTGGTCAGAGTGATTGATCCTTTGGACTGTCTCGGGAGTCCGATATCGGGAAGTTGAGATGTGGGCCTCGTGTATTTCGCGTGGTCCGCGAGGAGAGTGGCACAACGATGGGCTTGCGTGCCAGCCCCGAACAGGGTGCATTGGCAGATTACTTGTCCTCAACCATCCCCATCGCGAACAGTGTTCAACGCTCGTGACCATATCCACCATTCCGCCCTTCGTCCAACTTGCAAATCGGCATGGGCCAATGTATGTCTGTTCTCCGTTCTTGGATCAAGAAGAAGACAGCTTCAAATGCCGAACTAAAGCCCAAATCAAAGCGTAAATCAACGCCGGTGCTGCAGCCCGAATCAACACCAGTATTACAACCCGAATCAAAGCCAGCGTCGCAGCCCGAATCAAAACTAGATCATCTCGGGCTTCTAGAAATTGCGCCTGGAATCGATCCTGTTGTCGAGTAAGTCGCTTACCTTTTACCCGTGCTAGCCGCTGAGAGCGTGCCCCCCACTCCCTCTGCAGTATTGTCGCTATTCATGGCCTACAAGGACACAGAGAGAGGACGTGGACAACTGATAATGGCAACTTTTGGCTACGGGATCTCCTTTCTTCCGATTTGCCCAATGCCCGAATCCTGAGCTATGGATATGATGCCGACACCCATAGTCGAGAATGCGTATCCACTCAGACGCTCGGTCGACATGCTGAAGGGTTCGCGCATGCGCTCTCAAGGGAACGCAAAGACGCTCCTCGGGTGAGTTCTGCCTCCAATGTATGTGCGCCATCTGAAGAACGACCAGCGTCCTATCGTTTTCATTGCACACAATATAGGAGGTATCATCCTCAAACGGGTTCGTAATGCTAAACTCTGAAGGATCGGCCCTGACATCCTCTCGTAGGCTCTTGTTACTTGCCATAATCAGAGCTTGGAATCAAAGGGTCACCTCCGGGATATCCTAACATCCACACATGCCGTCTTATTTTTTGGGACTCCACATTTCGGCGTCGAAAACACTAGTTTCCTTGAGGGAATCAATCTCGTACTATCGTTGTACATGGAGACGACGAGCGCTATTCTCAAGGATCTTCAATCTCATTCGACAGAGCTCGAGAACATACAGAAAGACTGGATCGCGGCGAGCGAAAGGATCAGCAGCATATTCTTCTGCGAAGCCTATACGACTTCCAATAGAGGGGTAATTGTGAGTCTATCCCTGTTCAAGGGTCATATCCTGACCGGACGACAGAATGTCCCGCGTCCCTCGGCTATTATCGCCGGGGACCCCAACGCGAGGACAATCGATCTTCATGCAAATCACAGTAACCTAGTCCGATTCCCATCCAGGTCGAACGAAAACTATAAGATAGTTCACTTCTACCTCAAAGAGTTCGTTGACAATGCGCCCGAGGCAGTACGTGAGAAATGGGTGAGAGAAGATGATTGTCGTAGTGGGTAGCCATTCCATCATCTCTATCCAGCTAATAGAAATGCAGATGCAGCAAAGGGAGAACCCACTTCTGAAAGGGTCATGGAGCAGTCCAAAGTGATCCTTGACAACTGTAAGAACCAAAGACCACTTAGGAGGATGCTTGCTGACTACTTTAAGTCGATAAATCCGCGATACTTGAGCTTCCATTGGCATCATTCGTTCCATCCTCGGTCCACCGCACCTGTCTGGATGGAACGCGCAAGGATGTCCTTCAGATGATATGGGACTGGGCTGAAAACGACTCGTCGGAGAAGCCGATATTCTGGCTGTGCGATATTGCCGGCTCTGGAAAGTCGACAGTCGCCATGTCCGCGGCGGAGAGTTGGCAAGAGAAAAAGATACTGGGTGGCGGGTTCTTCTTCTCCATGTCTAGCACCGAGTCATCGACAACCGAAAAGTTCTGCTCCACCATTGCACGAGACATTGCGGACTGCATACCCGAACTGGCACCGCACGTCGCCGAGGCTGTCAAGCAGAACCCCTCTATTCTGCGAAGGCCTCTTGATAAGCAGCTCCAAACACTCGTCGTCGGTCCTCTGGATCGCCGGCAAGAGCGCGTGATTCTCGTCATTGACGCTCTTGACGAATGCAAGTCGGGATCACAAAGAAGAGAGCTTGTCGAAGCCCTTTCCACAGCCGTTCAAGGTAGCAAGAATCTCAAGATATTCATGACGAGCCGGCCGGACCCTGTGATTCAGGCCGTCTTGGGGTCGCTCTCGATCAAAGCCAAATTGGAGGACCGCCTACACGACGTCAGACATCATGATAATGTCGATGATATCGCAGTCTATGTGCATCGATCGCTAGATGGAGTCTTGCCAGAGGACAAGAGACAACGACTGGTTGGAAAGGCGAACGGGCTGTTCATTTGGGCGAGCACTGCGTGTCGGATGCTCACAAACGAAACCACAATGAACACAGCTGAAAGTATATATGATCAACTTATATCCTTGGATCAACCTGGAGCGATAGACGAAGTATATGGGCTCATATTCGAGCGCACAGACCCGAACTCTTATAGGCTCATGTGCCAAATGCTTGCTATGCTCGTTGCAGCATTTGAGCCTCTGAGCATCGACGATTTGGATGACCGTCTCAAACATGCTGGACTTCGAGCAAGCGGCAAGGCCTTTGTGCAGAACCTAGGGAGCGTACTCAGCACGGACTCTAGTACAAATCTGATCCAGTTCCGTCATCCCACCCTCGTCGAGTACCTTCGACGCTGTTCCCTCACCACAGCGGTTGGTGGTGGCAACAAACTTTACATCGACATCACCAATGCGCACGGCCAGGCGGCATCATGGTGCCTCCAATACCTCAAGTCCCCTACCAACGGTCTCAAATTCAACATCTGTCAACTCGAGTCATCTTTCTACCTGAATAAGCAATTCCCGGACTTCGATGCCAGAGTGTCCAGGTTCATTTCAAAGAGACTTCGATACGCTAGCTCCCATTGGGTGTTCCACATGTCGGAAACGGACGAAAACTGGCGTCGCAGACTCAAGAATGAAGCTTCTTCAATGATTCGAATCCCATACGTGCTATACTGGACGGAGGTCCTAAGCTTGACCGGAGGAGTTCCCAGAGCCATAGCTGGTCTTCGAGCTGTCACGCGCCACGCAAGAGTCAGTGAAACATTCCAGATGATATTGACCACTCACACAAGCTTCAGATTGATGTGGACATCAGGAGCAGCATGGACGAGATTCGAAGATTTCTGATGGCATTCTCGGTCCCAATCCAAGAAAGCACTCCACACATTTACGTTTCGGCGCTTGCTTTTACTCCAAAAAAGTCACTAATGCATATCGAGGGCATAAAAGGGTATCCAAACATCCTCAGTGTGACACGAGGAGTCGAAGATACATATCCCGGGCTTCCCAAGGCTCTTCGAGGTCACCAGGGGGACGTGAATGCCGTTGCATTTTCGCCGGACGGTTCGCGAATCGTCTCTGGTTCAGACGATAACACGATTCGAGTATGGGATACGGACACTGGTCAGTCATTAGGAGAACCACTCCAAGGTCATGAAGACTCGGTCGTGGCCGTCGCATTTTCGCCAGATGGTTCGCAAATTGTCTCTGGCTCTTTGGACAAGACGCTCCGACTGTGGGATGTAGCCACTGGTGAGCCGTTGGGAGAGCCACTCCAAGGTCATGAAGACGGAGTCATGGCCGTCGCATTCTCGCCAGATGGTTCGCAAATTGTCTCTGGCTCGAGCGACAACACGCTCCGACTGTGGGATGTAGCCACTGGTGAGCCGTTGGGAGAGCCACTCCAAGGTCATGAAAGTGAAATCTGGGCCGTCGCATTTTCGCCAGATGGTTCGCAAATTGTCTCTGGCTCGAGGGACAAGACGCTCCGACTGTGGGATGTAGCCACTGGTGAGCCGTTGGGAGAGCCACTCCAAGGTCATGAAAGTGAAATCTGGGCCGTCGCATTTTCGCCAGATGGTTCGCAAATTGTCTCTGGCTCGAGGGACAAGACGCTCCGACTGTGGGATGTAGCCACTGGTGAGCCGTTGGGAGAGCCACTCCAAGGTCATGAAGGCTGGGTCATGGCCGTCGCATTTTCGCCAGATGGTTCGCAAATTGTCTCTGGCTCGAGGGACAAGACGCTCCGACTGTGGGATGTAGCCACTGGTGAGCCGTTGGGAGAGCCACTCCAAGGTCATGAAAGTGAAATCTGGGCCGTCGCATTTTCGCCAGATGGTTCGCAAATTGTCTCTGGCTCGAGGGACAAGACGCTCCGACTGTGGGATGTAGCCACTGGTGAGCCGTTGGGAGAGCCACTCCAAGGTCATGAAAGTGAAATCTGGGCCGTCGCATTTTCGCCAGATGGTTCGCAAATTGTCTCTGGCTCGAGGGACAAGACGCTCCGACTGTGGGATGTAGCCACTGGTGAGCCGTTGGGAGAGCCACTCCAAGGTCATGAAGGCGAAGTCATGGCCGTCGCATTTTCGCCAGATGGTTCGCAGATTGTCTCTGGCTCGAGCGACAAGACGCTCCGACTGTGGGATGTAGCCACTGGTGAGCCGTTGGGAGAGCCACTCCAAGGTCATGAAGGCTCGGTCATGGCCGTCGCATTTTCGCCAGATGGTTCGCAAATTGTCTCTGGCTCGAGCGACAAGACGCTCCGACTGTGGGATGTAGCCACTGGTGAGCCGTTGGGAGAGCCACTCCAAGGTCATGAAGGCTGGGTCATGGCCGTCGCATTTTCGCCAGATGGTTCGCAAATTGTCTCTGGCTCGAGCGACAAGACGCTCCGACTGTGGGATGTAGCCACTGGTGAGCCGTTGGGAGAGCCACTCCAAGGTCATGAAAGTGAAATCTGGCCGTCGCATTTTCGCCAGATGGTTCGCAAATTGTCTCTGGCTCGAGCGACAAGACGCTCCGACTGTGGGATGTAGCCACTGGTGAGCCGTTGGGAGAGCCACTCCAAGGTCATGAAAGTGAAATCTGGGCCGTCGCATTTTCGCCAGATGGTTCGCAAATTGTCTCTGGCTCGAGGGACAAGACGCTCCGACTGTGGGATGTAGCCACTGGTGAGCCGTTGGGAGAGCCACTCCAGGGTCACGAAGTTTCAGCCGGCGCCGCCGCATTCTCGCCAGACGATTCACAAATTGTCTCTGGCTCGCAAGGCCACACAATTCAAATATGGCCTCGACCTTTTGGTGAGCCTAGCTTCCTCCACTAGCCAATTGTGTGAGGTGTGTTGATAACTACTGTTAGGTCCAATTGGGAATGTCTCGAACAGGGACGACGAGGAGCTTGTAAGCTCAAATTCTGGGGACAAACTCTTAGAGTCTCCACTGCGACTCTCTATACCGGGCTTCACGCATTTCTCACTTTCACGCGATGGTTGGGTGAAATCCTCGGGTAGATATCTCTTCTGGGTACCACCAGAAAATCGGCATGGGCTACAATATCCACATCTTCTGACTATGCCGACGAAGAGTCCTCTTCGCGCAACCAAACTCAAATTTACTCATTTTCATTGTGGCTCATCATGGGCAGCTGTTTGGAAGGACACCAGACGATGACTTTTGTAATTGCTATCATTATCTATATATGTGTTCCTATTTATGTATGGCTGGTGAAAGGCCTTTCTGAGAGAATCACCTGTGAATAATTGGACATCAGAGGTCGTCTCTTGTCAGCTCTCAGCAAGAGTATTCGATATATTTTAGGGAAACTCACCGCAGCTTATCTACTGCGTGACATGCCACATGCGATACAGGCAGTGGAACCGCAAATGATGATCATTATTCCAATGCAATGGTGATACGGCAGAGCGAATTAACTCCACATGCGGATTTAAAAGAGAGACAGAGGGTATCCGCGCTCAACGGCACCTATCAATGAAAGACCCGCCGTCCAGTGGGTGGCGATCAACCTTGGAGCCACCACCGATCGAGTCATGGATCTGATTAGTTTTCCATTTGCGTCTAATCCTCAAGCAACGATATTAGAGACTGAAGTCGACTTACTCCTTGTCAACACATCACGAATCAGGCGTTTCGAGTATGTTCTCTCATAGACCTGAGACAGAAGGCTGCGCCATCTCAGAGTCTTGGGCTATGCTAGTACATGCCATTCATGTATATTCTGGAATCAGTAGACCCATTTCTCTGCTAATGATCACTTTCTGGCCTATCTGGCCAATACGCCAGTAGTTGAATAGGTACTTTAATCGTGGTTATAGTCTCCTGCGTGTGCGCCCGGCCCCCCATGCTGTCGGATGCATCCTATTCTACTCAGTAAACAAGAAGAATTCAAGGGAATGTCGTAATGCCAGTCGTGCATGGGCCAAGCGGCCCCACTATCGGGAAATTCCTTTCAGTATCGGGTTTAGAGCGCAGGGATAGAAACTATCCTCCAACTTTTGAACAAAATCACATTATATACCGAAGGGAGTTCGCGCTTCGACCAACATACTCGTTACCAAGGGTGCCTCCGAATTCGATAGCACTCCAAATGTCCAAATTTTCAAAGTTCCAATCATCAAATCTTCTCTTCCCGTGCTCCAGCGTTACCACCACGACACGGTTCCACTACAAACCCGGTCGGAAGCCTCCCTCCGTGTCACGACACTAACCGGTGGGACAATATATAACCGACGTCCACTCTCAAATGGTTTCGGTCTACTCTCGCTTGTACTATTTGTCTCTACAGGCGCGGACTTGAAGCCTACCCACCCAAATCGTTCAAACCATGGATACAGAACCACGAAACTCTACAGGCACTGATGCAGTAGAAGACAACGTCTCAACCGAAAAACCAGTTACTACTTCCGTGAACCCTGAATACACCTACATCACGACAGGGTATGAAAAGGGCGAAGTCGTGAGTTGTTCTCTCTCTATCACACGACCCACGTACTCACCCAATCTAGATGAGATTCACTGCCGTCGACGCGAACACTCATCGTGCGCGGGTTCAAGAACAAGGTGTCGACGATGATTTTCGACAAGGGTGCTGCAGTGTTCTTTGTGGCCGGAGTAGATGTGGGATGGGTGCAATCTGCGATTGTCACGCGTGTGATACTAGCGGCTGCATCGTGGCGTAGTGCGCTCCTTCCTTTTGTCGCGATAACGCGCCTGCAGTGTATCTTTGTAGAGCCCATAGGTTCTTACTATATACCCTCTACCCTTCTTATATCTTGTGAATCAATGGAATAGCGGAGGCAGACGGAGTACAGCTTGCCCTCCACCACGATTGACTAGGGATCTTGTTCTCTTACATCACGTGTATAGACAAGTTCTGTTATAGTGCTCACACGGTAATCCACTTTGAATCTGCGATAGACCTATCCTTAAATGCACTAAACTCCGTGATTAAGAAACCGGTCTGCTAATGGTAAATCAACCATTTTATCCAGGAACTCGGCCACCAGGAGCGGAAATAAATTAATATTCACGCAGGAGAGACTAGTGATGTTTTATCTTTAGTCAATACCATTCACTCGGCACGAGTAAACAAGACGAACGACGGATGCGCTTCCAAGCCGGCTGCTCCACCCATTTATGTCGTTCCCGTTCCTACTCCGAAGCGGGTGGATGTTTAAAATCATGAGACGAGGCGGAACATTGGACGAGGATATGGACCGCTTTCGTCGGCGTCATTGATAGATAGTATTCAGAAATGGGATAAGTCACATTGAGCGGCGTGTCAAGAAGAGCTAGCGCTTCTGCTCGTTTTCCATGACACGGTGAAAGAATATAGTGGCGGCCAAGGAAGGCGGCACCGAGACCAACTTAGACCCAAGGACAAACTTGTTCGATAGAGGAGGGCGCCCATCTCTGTTGTACATTGCTAAACGACTTGCTCTTTTGCATCATGCTTTATATAGTGCTCGATAGGTTTGCCCTTTGGTTATGTCGCCTTCATTTGTGTTCGTGTGGTACCGCGAATGAGCAACGATGACGCTTGTACATACCTCCGGATGACATTCTAAAGCCGATAATCTACTTCATGTTGACTAAACCTCTCGTGAACCGGTGGAGATAGCAACGGTACTCTGTTAATCACAGTCACAGCACTCGAGCATACCGACGTCGACTCTACTGAGCACCCCAAGAAATACCAAAACACGACCTACTAGTTATTTGAGCCTTAGTTTCATCGAATCAAGTGATCGCCTTTAGTCTGGTGTCGAGAGTGAGACGCCGACCCATCTTGGAGCCATCCGTTCTCCACGATGTCGACGAGGAAGTCGAACAAGCCTAAACAAGCACCCAAAAGTGGCAATTCATCACCATCTTCATCTGTCCCACAATCTCCATCAAACAAGAAGCAGAGACTGATTGATACGGTCAACCTTGGCCTCGAGGTAGTTGCGACTATATCCGAGGGGTCAGATGTACTCGCTCCTCTCAAAGCAGCCAGTAAAACAACCAAATTGATCCTCGAAACCATACAGGTGAGTTGCTAAATCGGATTCGAGGCAGAATCCAACGAATACGACAGGCAATAGAGAACAACCAAGAAGAATGGACCGACCTGAGGAAACGTCTGAGGGGATATTTGTCCACACTTGAGAAACAGATCACTCTCTTCGAGTCCTATCCTCGGGAAGACCGAGCTGTCGACAAGGCGTTCAGTCAGCCGCTTATCGATCATGTCGAGTACGTCAACAGTCCAATTTCGTTTCAATAAGTTGATAAATGCAGATTTATGGAAGAAATGCATGATAAGATCGTTCATCTAAAAGAGAAACACAACGGCAGTAAACTCGGCTTCTTCAAAGCGCTTAGCAAAGTCAAGGTTGATGCGGGAGAGATACATAAACTCAATCGAGACATCGAGGATCAGCATAGACAGTTCATGGTACGATCACCATCCGTCTTATACTCAACCACAAGCTCATCGAAGATATAGGAGGCATTGGGTGTTTTTACCGCATTGCGGGTCCAAGCCCTCGAAAATAAGAGTAAGTCGTAGTTGCTTTCTGGGATTATCCGCTTAGTATCTTCAGTCAACGCGTCAACGATACTTCAACTACCAGCGGTGGCATTCGTCGCATCATCAGTCCACAGCACCTGTCTGGAAGGAACGCGCAAGGATGTCCTTCAGATGATATGGGACTGGGCTGAAAACGACTCGTCGGAGAAGCCGATATTCTGGCTCTGCGACATTGCCGGCTCTGGAAAGTCTACAGTCGCTATGTCAGTGGTAGAGAGTTGGCAAGAGAAAGGGATACTGGGTGGCGCGTTCTTCTTCTCCATGTCTAGCACCGAGTCATCGACGACGGAAAAGTTCTGCTCCACCATCGCACGAGATCTCGTAGACTACATACCCGAACTGGCACCGCATGTCGCCGAGGCCGTCAAGCAGAACCCTTCTATTCTGCGGAAACCTCTTGACAAGCAGCTCCAAATACTCGTCGTCGGTCCTCTGGATCGCTGGCAAGAGCGCGTGATTCTCGTCATTGACGCTCTTGACGAATGCAAGTCGGGATCACAAAGAAGAGAGCTTATCGAAGCCCTTTCCACAGCGGTTCAAGGTAGCAAGAATCTCAAGATATTCATGACGAGCCGGCCGGACCCTGTGATTCAGGCCGTCTTGGGGTCGCTCTCGATCAAAGCCAAATCGGAGGACCGTCTACACGACGTCAGCCATCATGACAACGTCGATGATATTGCGGTCTACGTACATCGATCGCTAGATGGAGTCTTGCCAGAGGACAAGAGGCAACGGCTGGTTGGAAAAGCGAACGGGCTGTTCATTTGGGCGAGCACTGCGTGTCGGATGCTCACAAACGAAGCCACAATGAACTCACATGAAAGCATATATGATCAGCTTATATCCTTGGACCAATGTGGAGCGATAGATGAAGTATATGGGCTCATCTTCGAGCGCACAGACCCAGACTCTCGCGGGGTAATGTGCCAAATGCTTGCTATGCTACTTGCAGCATTTGAACCACTTACCATTGAAGACTTGGATGACCGTCTCAAACATGCTGGACTTGGAGCAAGCGGCCAGGCTTTGGTACAGAACCTGGGGAGCGTACTCAGCACAGAGTCCAGTACAAATCTGATCCAATTCCGTCATCCCACTCTCGTTGAGTACCTTCGACGCTGCTCCCTCACCGCAGCCGCTGGTGGTGGCAACAAACTTTACATCGACCTCACCAATGCGCACGGCCAGGCGGCATCATGGTGCCTCCAATACCTCAAGTCCCCTACCAACGGTCTCAAATTCAACATCTGTCGACTTGAATCATCTTTCCACCTGAATAGGCAAATCCCGGACATCGATGCCAGAGTATCCAAGTTCATTTCAAAGAGACTTCGATACGCTAGCTCCCATTGGTTGTTCCACGCGTCGGAAGCGGACGAAAACTGGCGTCGCAGACTCAAGAATGAAGCTTCTTCAATGATTCGAATCCCATACGTGCTATACTGGACGGAGGTCCTGAGCTTGACCGGAGGAGTTCCCAGAGCCATAGCTGGTCTTCGAGCTGTCACGCGCGACGTAGGAGTAAGTGGAACATTCCAATGTTATTGGCCACTTACACAAGCTTCAGATAGACGCAGAAATTAGGAACAGTATGAACGAGATTCGAAGATTTCTGATGGCATTCTCGGTCCCAATCCAAGAAAGCACTCCACACATCTACGTTTCTGCGCTTGCATTTACTCCAAAAAAGTCACTAATGCATATCGAGGGCATAAAAAGGTATCCAAACATCCTCAGTGTGACACGAGGAGTCGAAGATACATATCCCGGGCTTCCCAGAACTCTTCGAGGGCACCAGAAAGAGGTTTATGCCGTTGCATTTTCGCCCGAAGGTTCGCGAATCGCATCTGGTTCAGACGATAACACGATTCGACTATGGGATGCAGACACTGGTCAGCCATTAGGAGAGCCACTCCAAGGTCACGAAGGCTCGGTTATGGCCGTCTCATTCTCGCCAGACGGTTCGCAAATCGTCTCTGGCTCGAGGGACAAGACACTCCGACTGTGGGACGTAGCCACGGGTCAGCTGTTGGGAGAGTCACTCCAAGGTCATAAAGGCGAAGTCATGGCAGTCGCGTTCTCGCCAGATGGTTTGCAAATTGTCTCTGGCTCGAGGGACAAGACGCTGCGACTATGGGATGTAGTCACTGTTCAGCCATTGGGAGAGCCACTCCAAGGTCACGGAGACTCAGTATGTGCCGTCGCATTCTCACCAGATGGTTTGCAAATCGCCTCTGGCTCGAGCGACAAGACGCTCCGACTGTGGGATGTAGCCACTGGTGAACCGGTGGGAGAGCCACTCCAAGGTCATGAAGACGAAGTTTGGGCCGTCGCATTCTCACCAGACGGTTCGCAAATCACCTCTGGCTCGAGCGACAACACGCTCCGACTGTGGAATGTAGCGACTGGTCAGCCGTTGGGACTGCCACTCCAAGGCCATGATGACATAGTATGGAGCGTCGCATTTTCGCCAGACGGTTCGCAAATCGTCTCTGGCTCGAGCGACAACACGCTGCGACTGTGGGATGTAGCCACTGGTGAGCGGTTGGGAGAGTCACTCCAAGGTCATGAAAGCTCAGTCATGGCCGTCGCATTCTCCCCAGACGGTTTGCAAATCGTTTCTGGCTCGAGCGATAAGACGCTCCGACTGTGGGATGTAGTCACCGGTCAGCCCTTGGGAGAGCCGCCCCAAGGTCACGAAGGCGAAATAATGGCCGTTGCATTCTCGCCAGATGGTTCTCAAATTGTCTCTGGCTCGAGGGACAAGACACTCCGACTGTGGGATGTAGCCACTGGTCAGCCGTTTAGAGAGCCGCTCCAAGGCAATAAAGGCTCAGTAATGGCCGCAACATTCTCGCCAGATGGCTCCCGAATCGCCTCTGGCTTGAGGGATAAGACGCTTCGATTGTGGGATGTAGCCACTGGTCAGCCGTTGGGAGAGTCACTCCAAGGTCATGAAGACGAAGTCAGGGCCGTTGCATTCTCACCAGATGGTTTGCAAATCGCCTCTGGCTCGATGGACAAGACGCTCCGACTGTGGGATGTAGCCACTGGTCAGCCATTGGGAGAGCCACTCCAAGGTCATGAGGGCATAGTATGGGACGTCTCATTCTCACCAGACGGTTCCCAAATCATCTCTGGCTCGGATGACAAGACGCTCCGACTGTGGGATGTAGTCACTGGTCAGCCGTTGGGAGAGCCGCTCCAAGGTCACGAAGGCGAAATAATGGCCGTCGCATTCTCGCCAGATGGTTTGCAAATTGTCTCTGGCTCGAGGGACAAGACGCTGCGATTGTGGGATGTAGTCACTGGTCAGCCGTTGGGAGAGCCACTCCAAGGTCATGGAGACTCAGTCTGGGCCGTCGCATTCTCACCAGATGGTTTGCAAATTGCCTCTGGCTCGAGCGATAAGACGCTCCGACTGTGGAATGTAGCCACTGGCCAGCCATTGGGAGAGCCACTCCAAGGTCATCAAGGCTCAGTCATGGCCGTCGCATTCTCGCCAGACGGCTCGAAAATCGTTTCTGGCTCGAGCGACAACACGCTCCGACTGTGGGATGTAGCCACCGGTGAGCCGTTGGGAGAACCAATTCAAGGTCATAAATGTGACGCCTTGAGCGTCGCATACTCCCCGCTTGTCTCCCAGATTGCCTCTGGCTCGCAAGGCCACACAATTATACTATCGCCTCTACCTACTGGTAAGCCTAGCTTTTTTTATTAGCTAATTGTGTGAGGTGCGTTGACAACTACTGTTAGGTCCAATCGAGAATGTCTCGAAGCAAGAAGACGGGGAGCCTGTAAGCTCAATCTCCATCGACAAATTTCCAGACCCTCCCCTACGATTCTCTGTACCGGGCTTCACGTTTTTCACTTTCGCGCGATGGTTGGGTGGAATCTTCTGGTAGATATCTGTTCTGGGTACCACCAGAAAATCGGCATGGGCTACAATATCCACATCTTCTGACTATGCCGACAAGTAGTCCGCTTCGCGCAACCAAACTTGATTTTACTCATTTTCATTGTGGGCAATCGTGGACAAATGATTGGAAGGACACCACACGATGATTTTTTGTAATCTCAATCATTATCTATTTATAACGCTGTTCATGTATGGCGGTGATGAGCCTTTCTGAGGGAGTTACATAGAAAGAGGAATGGAGAGGACGTGGACAGAAGCGAGAGACGACAGCTTACCAAGAGGTAGTTTTGGGCCAGTTGTTGATGGCGAGCTGAGATCGTGTACCTGCGAACAATTAGACATCAGAGGTCGTCTCTTGTCAGCTCTCAGCAAGAGTATTCGAGATATTTTAGGGACACTCACCGCAGCTTATCTACTGCGTGACATGCCACATGCGATGCTGGCAGTGGAACTGCAAATGATGATCACTATTCCAATGTAATGGTGATACGGCGGAGCGAATTAACTCCACATGCGGATTTGAAAGGAAACAGAGTACAGAAGGTATCCGCGCTCAACGGCACCTATCAATGAAAGGCCCGCCGTCCAGTGGGTGGCGATCAACCTTTGAGCCACCACCGATCGAGTCATATATCTGATTAGCTTTCCATTTGCGCCTAATCCTCAAGCAACGATATTAGAGGCTGAAGTCGACTTACTCTTTGTCAACACTTCACGAATCAGGCGTCTCGAGTAAGTTCTCTCGTCAACCTGAGACAGAAGGCTGTGCCATCTCAGAGTCTTGGGCTAGCCTATTACATGCCGCTCATGCATATTCGGGAATCAGTAGGCCCATTTCTCTGCTAATGACCACTTTCTGGCCTATCTGGCCAACACGCCAGTAGTTGAATAGGTACTTTAATCGTGGTTATAGTCTCCTGCGTGTGCGCCCGGCCCGCCATGCTGTCGGATGCATCCTATTCTACTCAGTAAACAAGAAGAATTCAAGAGAATGTCGTAATGCCAGTCGTGCATGGGCCAAGCGGCCCTACTATCAGGAAATTCCTTTCGGTATCGGGTTTAGAGCGCAGGGATAGAAACCAACCTTCAACTTTTGAACAAAATCACATTATATACCGAAGGGAGTTCGCGTTTCGACCAACATACTCGTTACCAAGGGTGCCTCCGAAGTCGATAGCACTCCAAATGTCCAAATTTCAAAGTTCCAATCATCAAATCTTCTGTTCCCGTGCTCCAGCGTTACCACCACGACACGGTTCCACTACAAACCCGGTCAGAAGCCTCCCTCCGTGTCACGACACTAACCGGTGGGACAATATATAACCGACGTCCACTCTCAAATGGTTTCGGTCTACTCTCGCTTGTACTATTTGTCTCTACAGGCGCGGACCTACCCACCCAAATCGTTCAAACTATGGATACGAGACGACGAAACTCTACAGGCGCTGATGCAGTAGAAGACACCGTCTCAACCGAGAAACCAGTTACTACTTCCGTGAACCCTGAATACACCTACATTACGACAGGGTATGAAAAGGGCGAAGTCGTGAGTTGTTCTCTCTCTATCACACGGTCCACGTACTCACCCAATCTAGATGAGATTCACTGCCGTCGACAACGCGAACGCTCATCGTGCGCGGGGTCAAGAACAAGATGTCGACGATGATTTTCGACAAGGGTGCTGCAGTGTTCTTTGTGGCCGGAGTAGATGTGGGATGGGTGCAATCTGCGATTGTCACGCGTGTGATACTAGCGGCTGCGTCGTGGCGTAGTGCGCAGCTTCCTTTCGTCGTTATATTTAACGCGTTTGCACTGTATATTCGTAAAGCCCACAGGCTCTCTTACTATATCCACCACCTTTCTTACATTACATGAGTAACTAATGATATCGTGGAGGCAGACGGATCACATCCTGTCCTCCACCGCGACTGAGCGCCGCAACTCTTTGGCCCAAATTATGGAAAGAATCCCACTTGACCATTTCTTGATCAAGTTTGTAACGGATCCTAACTAGTCGACGAGAATGGTCATGGCAAAGCGTCTACACATAGCTTTCATCCGACCTAGGAAGCTTTTTCTTAAATTATACATATCAACACGCTCGGATGGCAACTTTTTGTGAATTCGCGATATATTAACCTTCGGCAGTAAATGCACCTCCGCGATCAGGAGACGGTCCGCCAAAGGCAACTCGACCATCTTATCCAGGAACCTGGCCACCCCAACAAATTAGTATCCATGCAGGAGAGATTATTGATCCTCTCTTCAGTCAATACTACCATTCACTCGGCGCGAGTAAACAGGCGAACGACGGATCCGCTCCGAATCCGGTTGCCCCTCCCTTTTCTGTCGTTCCGCGTTCCTACTCCGACGCGGGTGGATATCCGCAAGTACTGGAGGGCACGATGGTATATAAGGCTTACTGTCGATATGAAAGTATGATCCAATATCCAGTGTTGTCCGGCGGAATTTGGACGCTCGTGCACAGTACCGCGGAGCAGAGGTTTCCGGAAGTCTGAAAGTTGCGCACATACCCAGAAAACTTGAAGATGTCCAACGCAGGAAGTGAGCCGTGGAAAGCTCAGAAACCGTATGAAGGCGGACAAATGGTAAGCCCTCCGCTCCCATCCAGCACATCGTCCGACGTGAAACTAACCGCAGTCTATGGTCAGATGACATTGGTTTCCACAGAATCCAATCGTCTCCCTAATTCCAACCAAGCGAACGCGAGTAATAACTCCACAAGAGGCAACGGCGGCTACCTCACGAGCAATAGCAACGCCGTGTTCAATAGCAACACCGACTATATATACCAACCCAGTGAGGAAGATGAAGGTTGTTGTGATTCATGTTGTAGCAAGTCCTGTCGCGACTCGTGTGCGAACCATTGCGACAAAACGCTTCGCGTCTGCTGCTCGGTGATGGGATGTTGCGCGACGTGTTGTTGTCGTGGACCTCGGTGCGACTGTGCAGGCTGCGTCGTACTATGATGCTGGAGGCTTGGCTAATGGGAGAGAACGAAAAGCCCCGAAGTAATGTACATGTAGATTGAAGAAGATACCCACCATTGCAATCGTCTAATGGTGAAAATTAATACAGTCTTTCCAACTATGCTCGCGGACTATACATGGAAATGGTCCCCTTGTCAATGAGGCCCGTTTATCAATTGACCCATCGTAGTGCGTACAGTGGCTTATATTCTTCTGGTAAAGGTCAGAGGAACTTTTACGGGGTGTAGGGTCGGTATTCCCAGCTTCCATTCTAATAGCCTCCTTTCAAGTTGCTCCTGCGTCTCGTTTGGAGGCCCTTCCGCAGCAGTAAAGCGATACGTGTGCACAAGTTGCGCGATAAAGGTGACTGCCTCGATTTCTCCAAATCTGCAACAGGTCAAGATCAGTCATATACTTCGCCATGAAATGGGGGAAACCTACCGACGGCCCATGCATGCTCTTGGCCCCGAAGCAAATGGAAAGAATGCGTCCTTGTTGTACTCTCCAAGGAATCGTTCCGGATTGAAGCGGTAGGGGTCACTCCAGTATTTCGCTAGACGACTCAGTTAGGGCGGTTTTAGATGCAGATCAGGACTGACGATTGTAGTGTAGTCCTAACATGCTAATGTTGACTACGGTGCCCTTTGGAACGGGTATTACGACGGGAGTGTTTTGTCCGTCGTTGGAGTAAGTGGTGATTGATGTATTCTCAGCCGCATATTTTGGGATCGATGTCACCTAATAGTCCACATCAGATTGAGGCTTGATACTACGTTCGTCGCACCGGAGGGAACAGTCGCAATGCTTCATAGAAGATGGCAAGACCATAAGTCCACTTGGTGATATGGCTATAAGACTATAGTTTCGTGAGTGTCTGATGCTTGTATTGGTCTCTGCTACGCACCAATGATTCTCCAATCGGAACAAGTTTTTGGAGGCTTTGATACGCAGCCTCTTGGACGTCTTGATGAACAGCCAAAAGAGCCAATACGAAAGAGAGTGAATGCGCTGTCGTCTCATGTCCTGTATTTGGTTAAGCATTCAATACTCAGGGGATGGATGACCATACCGGCCAACAGGAAGATGAACATGTTCCCTGATGAGGTGATAAGCTAAATTTGATAGGTCTTCATGATACTCACTCAACATTTCCGCGTCTCCAAATGAGTATGCGCCTAATTCCTTGCGCTCTGCCTCCTCTGCCACAGCATCGAGCATGTTGCTCAAAACGTCTGCACGCTGTCTACCTTCTGGGTTGATTCTCCTTTCTTCAATCACTTCAAGCATATAATCCTAGGAATGGAGTCAATCTCTGCCCTATGACTGTCACTGAGCGACGAGCCTTGAATTCTCGAAATGCCGATCGAGTCTCACGCCCAGATTTCCAGAGTCCGAGTATCGAGTCCGGTAAAGCAATACGAAGGAGTAGATGTTCTAAGATGGTCCGTAGTGCGCCTGAAAACGACTGATAACCATGCAAGTCAGCCTGGAACTGCCTATCAAAGAGAAGAATTTACATGTGTTCGACCCTTTGGTCTTTCGGCTTTGTCTTCCTCCCATCCGAACTCAATGGCAAATGCTGCAGATGGTGAGCCCTGAACTCTTAGTAGAAGACTACGGCGTACCGGCTCTGGCAATAACCATCAAAGTGAACTTTTCCATGATATTAACCATATTTGTCACAGTCACTGGCTTATTGTCATTCTTTCCCCAAAGTGCAAAGAGCTCCAATGTGATTTTGGTTGTTTCGTCGAAGACGAGGCGGTTGTTCCGCTCATTGAAAGATGGCGCGGTAATCTTTCTGTGCATCTTCCATTCATCTCCTTCTAATGAAACAACGTTTGGCCCATAAACATCGATGGAACCGTAGAGTTCGACCGGCTTTGGAAACGCCGCACGGTTCATGGCAATCTCCTAGTCGGCCAAAGTTCAGTAGATGGAATATCTCTAAGGAATAATGCACCTTTGCGACGCTCGCATCAGCTACGCATAGAATGACCGTTGGGCGAGGGAAGAGACCGGTGACGGTCACGACATCCGAATTATACGTTTTATACACTGGAAAAGGCTTTATTGAGCATGATTAGTGGTTGATGTCAAATAACTTGCCCTTGTGCTTGTGATGCACGATGTACACCCAGCCCGGGTTGACATAAGGGATATATGGAAAAAAGACTGTCAACATAGACTGGGTGCTCAGGAAATATTTGACCCCAGGAAGATTTTTGACTTCCGACAACATTCTACGAGCGCGTAGCGCCTGTCCGACAAGGATAACCACTCCAATCGCGGTCAACGTAGCGATCCATTGTGTCACCGGTATCCCACGGGGGTCGTCTATGGCTTGCATGAGGGTATTCGAACTGGGCATATTGTCGTCGGTTCAAAGTCTTGTTGAAGTTTAGCGCGCACCTGGACATGGCACCATCTCGCTCTTTCATTTCTATCACGACTGTGTGTATAAATAAGTCTGAAGACAAGGATTGCAGACATTGAGGATCTCTTATGCAGAAAACCAACGCCGTCCAGTGAACCGTTAATGGCAGTTCTCAAGGACACCCCGGTAAAGTCCAAATTCAGAAGCATTTCAAAATGATATCTCTCTTTGAATTCGTACGTCCGTGCAGTGACTATAGAGCTACTCGTCGTCCTGCTGGTCCATTACAATTTCCATCGGAGAATGCACCGAAACTGCTAAGTTGATCATATTATAGACGGGAGGAGCATCCTGGGATTCTTGAACCATCTCCCTCCAAGCCTCTTCGCACAGTATTTGGATCAGGCCTTGCTCCATTCTGGTGGCCCTTACGACTGATGGATCAAAAAAGTAGTCCTCGCTCCGTATAGTAGCCACGCCGTGTCTAAAATACGTCAGTCATGAAACGAGTGCGAGGGTGAGCTAGCGGACTTTGCTTTGACGTGACTCCTAAGCGCGTTGAAATTAAAGACTTTGCTAAATGTTTCCGTCGTTGGCTTGAAGCAGTGCGCGCAGACGAACTGAAGTTTCGCTGCTTCCTCTTTCTGTCTACCGAGCACAAGCTGAGCACATGATACTGGGCGCGCGCGGTAGACGTTTCGAGATTGATCCCATTCCTTTTTGTCGTTTGGCGGCAAATCTTGCTTCCGGAAGAGGCTTATATCAACCGTTTCGTGGCGATTTGAGTGATGGATCTATGCGTCTTCAGTATAAGGGTTTATGGGATGTTTAACCTGCCATGTCTCTGTACTCCATAGGCTGCAAGTTGGGGCATTGCTTGCATGTCCAGTGTCTATCTAGGTCTCGTTCACAAAGGTCGTCTGTCACATCAGACATCTCGAGGCATGCGAGCATCGCTTTGACGGTCTGCTGGGCCATTTTAGCCACGGCAAAGTTGGCTGACCATGATCAGCATGGCGATCATATACGAAAGGAATCTTACAAATCGACCACTTTGGTTGGTCACGGGACGCCTTGTGATTGATACTGCATTCATGACGGCATAGCTCCTTGAAGTTCATGGCCCCTATTCCCTTGCACCGAGAATTCATGGTGTTGCAGGCCGTACAAACAAAGAGGCTTGAAACGCGTTCTTCAGGAAAAGGTGGTTTGGTATCGAACTCGGTCTTGCAGACACGTCGACCGATTCGTCATCCCCCTGACGCAGAAGGAGACGAGCACCGGCGGCTGCACGCCCTACCCATTGTGACACGTCGGTGTTGATCAATCTCTGGATGGGTTCACTCCGGAGGTCCTCAAGAATGTTGACTGGTTTCGTCGCGGATGGTTGGAGAAGAAGTTTGACGGATGGAAGCGACTTGAACACCTTGAAGGACGGAAAGTATTTTGTGGAGGCGATGTAGGAGTTATAGTACTCATAGAGCTGGACCCCTCGAGTATGGAGACTTTCACGAGCAACGACCGCCATCTTTCGCGTGACGGGCTCCTCCATGTCGACAACAATTTGCTCTTTGTGTGAATGAAGCACTGTAGGATGTGATTTCAGTACCCTTCATCATAAAGTTTGGCACTAACACTTGGCAATAGACTTTAGTTGATCACTTCGTGCATCCTTGAGGATCTGGGCATAAGTAGGAGTCGCAAGCATACACTCGTAGTCCAACTTGGCATCCTTTGCAAAGTTTCTGGCTCTACTGAGGGTAAGCCATGCATCTGCGTACAAGCTACACACTCACTCGGTATTCATACGCCTCTGTGTCTTCTTCAACCGTTTACTAAGATTGATGCTCCATTTAAACGCCTCATTCGCGGCCTGTATGGTATTAGAGAGATGGGAGATATAAATCGACATTTACCTCTGTGAATGCCCTCCTTTGTACAACCTTCTTGTCGAGATACTGAGCTATTTGAGTTGGATCTTGAGCAAGGTTGACACTACTCACTGCTCGCTTTGCCTCGGGATCCTCGAGGTTGGTTGCCACTGAGGTCAGTTCGCCAATCAGGGATCGCACTCCGTCAAGGTAGACTGGTTGCAAGTGACTAGTACCTAATCCAAGCTAAGCCAGCATACCAGAAACGAGGAACAAAACGAACCAATGTTGTATATGCGTTCCTGCTCGAGAAGTGGAAGCAAATCTGCCGATATGAACTGAGTATTCGAGACTCCAAATGAGGTTCGGAGTAGATTGATCCATTCTTTCAAGACGACAAGATATTCGGGGTCGGAGTGAAGGGTGAAATGGCTGTTGGGTATCAGAAATTGGGATGAAAATGCAATTTTTATCACTTCTTGGTATAGAATTCTTTGATAACACACGACTAATCCTCGTGTCAATACGAGTTGCAAGGAGCCTGGTACTTGACTTACATCGCACTTGAAGAGTTTGCAGGCGAAACTCCATGGGAGTTGAAAGTTTGCACGATGACAAAGTGTACATTTATTCGGTCCAAAGATGAACGCAGCCCATGAACATTCTGTATAGCACCATGGTGGATCTGGGACGGGAAGCGGCTGAAATCGTACGCGCATCCGTTTCCATACAAATGCATTGGATGGGTCCGTGAACATGTGACAGAAAAACTTGGACGTCCTCGTCAACGCGAGCAAGTCGAGAGGGCTGAGCAACCAGGAAACAATCTCCATAATGATTTCAAGCGGCAATGGGCGTAAATGACATGTCGACACAGCAGCAGCTTCTTGCGCTTTGATAGCAGCGACTTGCTTTGCTCGTTTGTGACTTCGGGATTTACCCATGGCGGGTGGTGTGGGACAAGGACTTGGACGTGACTTTATCCCTTTGGCAACGTGAAACTATTGAAATTTATGGCCCAGGACCCCTATGTGCTTGTTCAACGCGAGATTCAGACGGCGTTGGATGCAGCGGAGCAACTGAGAGCGTCGTATGCGCGGATTCGGTCAACGGCGAGAGGAGATAGCGAAGAATTGGTGGTAGCGAGAGAAGAAGTGTGTAATATGTGATATCTTTACAACACTGGAATGCTAATTACTATCTTTGTTCAGCTCCAGGACGCGCTGTCATCTCTGGAAGCAGACCTAGATGAACTCGAGCAGAGCGTCGCGTACGTCCTTCTCGTATCCTACAACTACAATCTCAAAGACACTTGTTGATGTCTTCGTTTCTTGCGCTGTGCCCTTTTCTGAAAATGATGATTTGACACGTTTGCAGTATCGTCGAACAGAGCGGTGCACGCATGTTCGGTATCACAGAACGTGAACTGATTACACGACGGCGATACGTGTCGACTACCCGGGATTTGCTGAAGGTAGGCATCCTTTTGCGTCCAAAGCTGGATAGTTTGCTGACTTTTTTGTTACTTTCCTATTTAGACTATGAAAAATGAAGTGACATCGCTGCATTCGACGGTAGCAAAAGTGCATGCACCGGCCAATGGTCGATCGAATGCACGACCGCAGGAAGACGATCAATCGGAATGGGCAAGACAAGAGCAACAGGTCTGTGCCCTTTTCTATAACCATGTTCTCTATCCTGTGCGCTATGCGCTCGAGCTGGCGTCTGGTCAGCCTTTCTATGTGGCGTCGGACAGCACAAGATCTCGAGGGCTTACCACTGGCGTTTGACCGTCACATGAGATGCCCTGTTTTCCAGCGTATTGCAGCCGTCAATTGGGAACTAATGCACCTACAGATGCTGATGCAGGAGCAAGACCGCACGTTGGAAACTATATCTGGCACGCTAAATACGTTGCACCTGCAGGCTGGGCTTATGGGCCAGGAGATATCAGAGCACAACGAGTATGCGACCGAGTTCCGGATAATGATTTACTCAACGTGCACAGGCTGCTGGGGATCTTGAGAACCAGGTCGATCGGACGGAGAGCAAGCTTGCGCGCGCCCAAAAAAGAATGGACTATTTTTTGCAAAAGGCAGAAGGTATGCGGGCTCTCTTGATTCATGAAATGTTTCTGATTGTCCTCAGAGAGTCGCTGGAGTATCTACATTCTTATTGCGATTCTGATGTTCCTGGTTATGTTATTGCTTATACTATGAGTAGAGTGGCTGTTGTAATTCTAATCGTATCACGTTGACGATCCTTTGCCGGGTGTTGGCCACGGGGAGCTATTCGGCTCCTCCATGACGGCTGTTTGGCCAAATAGTGGGAGAGCTACTTAAACCCAGCGTCGTCCGCATTTCTTGTTGAACTTTGCTCTCAACGGGTCTGCGGGCACTTGACAATCTTGGACTCGGCCGCTCCACCTTAAATACGTCGTCAGCCCAGCGCTACACACAAAGCGAGAGAGTGTGTGAATAATCAGACATGTTCGTAGTAAACTACCCACAGAGGCCTGCACATTGCTGACGCGCCGCAACTCCCGCAGGTCTGATATCCGGGACGAGGCAAAGGGCGCCTCGACGGAGAGTTTTACAGCCGCCTTGATCTTCAACGCCGCCAGTACGTCCTCTTCCCTTGCTACCGTGCATATTTCGTTGGGTTTTTACTGTCGCTGACGTCGTTGAACACAGTCTTCGGCGCCGAAATCTTAGTCTTTACCCTCGTCCGTCGACGATTCAAGGCCATCTATGAACCAAGAACGTACCTCACAGCTGAAGGGTGTGTATTCTGATTCGTTGCTCATTCTCTTCGTCCCCGCTATTGCCAAGACCCCTTTGACATCACGGGCTACGATGCTCACCACCATCCTTACCACCACCATCGAATGAAACAACTTCGTCCACTCTCCCGGAACCATGACGAAACCTTTTTATCAAATTATTGACAAGCTCCTCATGCTAACCTTTTCATGTCAGGAAACGTCAGCAACCGCTCAGTTCCAGTCTTCTAGGCTGGCCGTTGGACATTTGGCGCGCAGACCACAACGACATTCGCCATCACAATGGCATGGATGCCTTCTTCTTTGTGCGCTTCCTTCGCATGATGGCCCGCATCTTTTTGCCAATCTGGCCTCTTTCTTGGGCCGTCTTGATGCCCATCGACGCCGTCAGTCCAAACAACGGACTCACAGGTTTGGACCAATTCACCTTTGGAAATGTCAGAAGCGACCACCGGGCCCGCTATGCCGCCCACGCGCTTCTCATCTGGGTCTGCACCGCGTGGATTCTCTACAATATCAAAACGGAGATGAGAAATTTTGTTACTCTCCGTCAGCGTCATCTCGTGGACCCCATACACTCTGCCTCTGCTCAAGCCAACACCATTCTAATCACTGGTGTCCCCCGCAAATTCCTCGACGAGCACGCCATTGCCCAACTGTTTGCGCATCTTCCCGGAGGGGTAAAAAAGGTCTGGCTCAATCGTGATCTAAAGGAGCTACCAGAGGTGTACGAACGTCGACTCAAGGCGTCGAACAAGCTCGAGAGTGCAGAGATTGCGCTTCTCAAGACCGGTCTCAATTTGAACAAAAAGGCCAACGGTGGCAATGTCGTCCCTGATAATCACCCAACGCCCGATAAAGAGGGAAAGACGGTGGAATCTGCGACTGCTCATCCAGTGGACACCTACGTGCCCCACGGAGAACGTCCTACGCACCGTCTTCCCGTACTCGGGTTCCTCCCACTTGGCAAGAAAGTCGATACCATTGATTGGGCGACCAAGGAGATTGTAGAGACGTCGGATATCTTGACAAAGGGACGTGAACAACTAGAGGCCGAAGAGGGTCAAAAGGGCGAGAAATATCCACCTCTCAACTCGGTCTTTGTCCTCTTCAACCAGCAGATTGCGGCCCACCTTGCTGCTCAGGCCCTCACGCACAATGAACCCTACCGCATGGCGAACAAGTACACCGAAGTGGCACCCGCTGATGTTATCTGGGAGAACCTTGGCATGAACCCTTACGAGGCTCGTATCCGTCAGGTTTTGAGCTATGCCGCGACTGGAGCGCTCGTTATCTTTTGGGCTATCCCTGGTACGTTTTCACTTTTAATACAACTTTTTTCATGGCTAACTTGCCTGTAGTTTCGTTTGTTGGTATCGTCGCCAACGTCTCGTCACTCTGCAAGTATTCGTGGCTCGCATGGGTTTGCAAGATGCCTAGTTCAGTCCTGGGCATCGTCCAGGGTATCTTGCCCCCCGTCGCTCTCGCCGTCTTGATGATGCTTTTGCCCATTGTCCTGCGTCGTACGTTTCTTCTTCGTTCTAGTGCATGCAGGATCTAACTGCGTCTCGCTAGTCTTTGGAAAGTTCGAGGGTATTCCTCGCAAGACCGGCATCGAACTCAGTTTGATGACGCGGTTCTTCATCTTCCAAGTCGTTCACGGTTTCCTCATCACCACCATTTCCGGCAGTATCACCAATGCGATTGCTCAGTTCAGCTCCAACCCGACGGCCATTCCAGGCGTGCTCGCTAGAAACCTTCCCCGCTCGTCTACCTTCTTCTTGACATACGCCATTCTCCAGGCGTTGTCCGGAACCGCCGGTAGTCTGTTGCAAGCCGTCCCACTCGTTGTCTATTATGTGAAACTCTTCATCCTCGGAAGCACGCCTCGCTCAGTCTATTCCATCAAATATGACTTGCGCGACGTCTTCTTTGGAACATTGTTCCCATCCATCACGCTCCTGGTCGTCATTTCGTTTGGATACATGATCATCTCCCCTATCATCAACGGCCTCGCCCTTGTCGCGTTTGGCCTGTTCTATTTTGTATGGAAGTACCTCTTCCTCTGGCAGCTGGACCAGCCAGCTTCGGGAGATACTGGAGGCTTGTTCTTCCCAAAGGCCATCCAGCACATGTTTGTTGGTCTTTACATCCAGCAAATTTGTCTCGCTGCGCTCTTCTTCATCGCTCCAGGCGGGAAGGGCGCTGGCGGATCGACGATTGCGCTTCTCCTCCTCACGGTACGTAAACCATCACTGTGTTTGACCCTCGCTGATGTATCTTTGCAGGCCTTCTTCCATGCAATCCTGAACAACTCTTACGGTCCTCTTGTCCACTCGTTGCCGCTTACCCTCGCGCACAAGTCGTACGGTATGCCGCAAACCGGCGAGGTTGACGAGGAGATTGGAGGAAACGAGAATGAAGACGACTTTGACAACGATGCTCCGTCTGACGAAAAGACGGGCAAGAAGATGGTACCACCCGCCGACGGCACCGACCAAGACCGCGCTGCGGCTGCTACTGCCCACTCCTCGCACATTCAACATAACCAGGGACCCGGTCCATCGGCAGAGTATGGCACCAGCGTCCCGGTCGAAGGCAAGCGCAACGAAGGACCAACCGACTTTAATCACCCCTGCTTGGAGCCTCAACGCGTGGTCTGGATTCCTCAGGACCCACTCGGTGTCGGCGAGCTCGAAAGTCGACATCTCAATGAGCAAGGCGTTGAAGCGAGCACCGAAAATGCTACCATGGACGAAAGGGGCAAAGTTGATATCCAGGGGCATCCACCTGGAATGGATCCGAGCACTATATTTGCATAAAGCAACTCATTGGGCGCACACAAGTCAAAGTCCATGGATATATCCTTACAAACGTTCCGAACAGTAGCTATCGTATCATGGTCGAGTCTCGATACGGACTGGTTCCTGCCTCTTGTATAATCACTGGTTATTCAATCCAAACATCGTTGCCTGTTTTATGTGTTTGCCCTTGGTCGTGAGGTGAACGGTTTCGGTGTGCGGTTTTGGCCAAAGCGAAGAGGACTCCGATGTGAAGAGCGTGGGCTGACTGGATCATCCTCGTCCCCACCGTCGTCGGAGAGCTCTGCCGGATTGATCGAGTACGGCAAGGGCACATCCTTTGTAACTCGATATTGATCCGTGTTACCCAGCTGTTCGTTCTCCAGACGGAAAAAATTCCATTGGAATCGACGGAGCGCTTCCAGAATGGAGAGAATACCAGCGCGTACGTTGGGATGTGGACCCGGGACGGGAAGGTAGATGAACCATCCAAAGCGAATGAGAACATTGGTCACCATTGCAAAATAGTAAGTCTGAGAGTCGTCATCAGCTTGGCTTTGTAGAAACGAAAGGATATACCCATATTTGAGAATACAAGAGATTCTTTCGCAGGAAGCGATATCGTGCGCCTGATTGGAACAGCGACCAGTCCATCAGAAAGTCCTAGAAGGCATTAGGATGGTAAACAAAGCGAACTGACAATCCGTACCCATGACGTAGAATAGATGGATGTAATGCACGCAAAGAGAACAAATGGAATAAAGCTGCGGCTCCTCGGGCTACCTATGAAATCGTTCAGCTTGTCTTCAGCTCCATTTATGGCAGTCTCACCTTGATGGCGCCAGTGGTAGTACAAGGCGTAGTAAATGATACTTGAAGAATACTTTCCGCCCTATTCAAGACGTTTAGCGGTTAATATCGTGCAGTAAGCGACTTACATTGACAAGATGCAGGTATTGCCACGAGTCGAAATAACGCCGAACACATTGCACCAATCGAATCCAAGATGGAAGCGTTGCGAGTAGCCATGGAACACCCCAAGACGGAAGTTCGCATTGACCCCAAGGGAGTGTCCAATGAGAGCCATACAAACAACCCATCCAGTATAAGCTCGTAAGGGTGTACACCATGCTACAATATTGATCGCCCAGGAAGAAATCTTGGAACTACAGGAATGAGTATCGTGATACGAAAGAGAAGCAGTTGCGTACCTCTACACGTCTAGTACCACTGAGCAGGAGACCACCGCTCTTGCGCAGGATCCATGACCGTGAGTACGGGTAAAATATTGGAATCGGGTTGGCCAGGATGCAAATGGTGAGGAGAAGCCAGGCCAGGGGCCATACGGTGTGATGGACCACCATTGGCAGCCCAGAGAATGAGAGCCAGAACGCATAAGTAAGCGTCAAAAGTAGGAAAGCTGGCAACTAGGCACAGTCAGCAGGGTTCAGAGAATGAAACGAGACGTACTTCGGCATATTCGCGACTGTCTACCACCGTCCGAACATCAAGCTCTTCATTCCAAATTAGTCACGGCAAAACTCTGATTGACGACGTACCAAAGATGAAAATGTAATTGATTCGAACGTGGGCCCATACGATAATGTTGAGGGAGACCAACAGTCCGAATACGACTGGTACGAAGAAGGCGAGATAGATTTGTAACAATGCTGGCCATGCTGGAACTGCAGCTCGAGTCGATGGCTGAAAAGCTATCGAGATATCAGTCTCGAAATGATATGTAGAAGCTAGCGCCTACACTCATATATCCCCGATATAAGAGGAGGAATTGAGAGGCCAATGAAAAGTCCAGTTCGAAAGGTGCTGTAGTGATGGCTTCTTGGTTGCAAGCTAGCTCGAAGTCGTAGACGAGCCTTCTTTCGATCCCCACCCTCTGTGACCGAATCAGTGTCTTGTGAAGGAGTCACTGAGGTTACATACCAAAGCGAGCGGCATAAAGATTTTCCACCTCTTCCAGCATTCGATCGACGGGCGTATCATGGGAGAGGATTGATGGTTCAATCTGCTCATTACATCAGCTGAAGTGGCCCAAGAAGGCAAACAAACAACCTTCTCTGAGTGATAAAGTTGAGAAATCGGTATCTGGCATAGATTCAGCACATCGTCCCGCCTAACCGATTGTCTTACCTGGGTCGCCTTTTCAAACTTCTTGAGGGCTTTCCTGAACCCAGTCAGGTTAAGAATCTATCCAAATTAGGTGAGTGATCAATGGTAGGTGAGAGACCTACACGGTAATTGTGGAGATATTCGATCCCCCTATGCAAATTAGCATTGTATGTGCATATTCAGAGAACTCGCATACCGATAAAATTCGAGAACAGCCTTTTTCAACTTTTTCTTTGCATTATGGTACTCATCCGGATCCAGATGATTTGGATTGGGCGATCCCGAACGACTAATTCCAGGTTGACGGCTAGAAGAAGGGGCCAAAGGATTATGATCACCAGCACCGAGCACATCCTTTGGAGCGGGTTTTAGGAATTGTGGAGGAGAAAGCTGCGCAGCGAGCTTTCCGAGGGCTTTTGGAAAGGTGATCACCTGTTGGTCCTCATACGCCTGTAAATTGATTGTAAATATCAAGACCGACTCAGAATGTAGACTTACGTGAAATATTTTGCGATGGTCCTTTAGTTCTTCCAATTGGTCCTTGATAAGCGCACTTCGAACGAGTGCTTCCCGTTCGCGGTCGCGATAAAACGTTTCTACTTTGAGGAGCTCCTTGTCCAATGCACCAACAAATTGTTGTTCGAGCGGGCTCATCTCGGTTAGCAGCTCTGCCAAGGATGTAGCAGGAGGCCCTGTGAAATTCTTCAGACAACGAAAAAGCCTCGCCAAAATGACTCGTACGCGCGGCGTGCTGAGGACTAGTATTCAAACGATTCACACTGAGCGACTTGAAGAGTCGCGGGCGACGTAGTGCGATCGGGCTATCCCGATTCGAAGATTTGGTGTTTGGGGACATGGGCGATGCTCCTTCAGTGTTACCCTATACTCTGTCAGCTACCATTCTATGTATGGTGGTGTACGTACGAGCACTTGTTCAGGCGATGAGCTGATGGTGACTCCCCTTCGGCGCGTCATCCGGGGTGCGTCCAACGTAGCAGGTTGAAGCGTTTCATTGATATCAAGGTTACTAATCGACTTGATAGGGGGTGGGAGGACCATTTCCGGTGGACTATTCATGTCCTCAACTCGTTCAAGCGGCGGTGTAACGCCAAACGATCCATACATCCCGGATTTGGTATCCCGAGTGTTTATGCCTTTTGGAGTTTGCCCTTCGTCGCTGACCCTTTTCGATCGTGCCGAGCTCGTAGCTTCCTCTTGGATCACCGGTGTACGTAACTGCAGTGTTCGAGGTGTCTGCCCTGCACTTGCACGAACTTGAGCTTGTGGAGGAGATGGCTGTGGAGGGCTTTTGTCTGGGGACTGCGTCGCCTTTGTCGTGCCCGTCGCATAGTCGGATCGGCTCCTCAACCAGGTCGAGCGCGCAGGCGTCGTTGGCGTAAAGACTGAACTCGCTCTGAACCGGTCGCCAACGCTCTCACCGCCTACACTTCCTCCAGTGGTCCCTCCCCCTAATCGCGGGGTTCGGCGCTGCGCGGCGCGCTCTTCCTTGATGGCCGTGATGCGCTTTTTGAGGCCTTTGTAGTCACTGATACTGTTAGAACCAGAATAGTTGGAATTCGAAACAGCTCGCTTACATATATGCCCGCTTCCATTCTGGAATCTAATACACAGCAGATAGGTCAGAGCTGATACGATCCAGATAAGTGAATTTCAAGAAATCACCTGAGTATCCTCCAAATACCTAGAAACACCGATATACGTCAGTAAATCGTCATGAGAACCAGATACTCGACGTAGATAGCACCAGAAAGAGCTTATCTACGTGTCAAATGTGCTTATTCACCTTCCAAACTTCATAGACTCGACGTTGAGGAGCCTGCTCCGACCGCTGCTAAAGATGGACAAGGTTCTAGTTCAACCCGTGATGCCGACCTTGGCTCTCATACTCTCGACTTGGCCAAGTCCGTGCACAGAGAAAGCTCATTCCATGTTCAAACAGATCACATACGACAAACAGTACATTGCTTTAGATAATTCTCCGACAGCTGCAGGGTCGCTCGCCTATTGTAAACAGTCGCATAGTGTATGTAAACCGTCTGCACATTTCCGTCGCGTATAATCGTCATTTTCAAGCACGTCCTCCATTCGTCGTAGCTCCCAAAGGATCCGCAGCCGGGGCGGCACTAGTCGATGAACGCGGCTCGTTGGCAGTGCCTTCTGTATTCGTCGTTGCAGGGGGCTTGCTCAACGAGGTCCTCGCTTCATGTGCCGCGGTATTGGCATTGGTCTCTCCAGCAATCACAGCCGGTGGTGGAGGGGCAGGCGCGTTGGGTACCGTCACGAGATCGACATTCGACTCGGACGTGAGCTTCTTCGTCTCCGGAGGCGTCGTGGTGATGCGGAGCATAGACGTATAGGCTAAGAAGCGTTAATGTAAAGCGTGAATAAGAAGAGAGAGAACTCACGTTGACGGCAAACGGGGCAGAACCAGCCCTTTGCCTTTCTCTTGCGACGAGGAGCTGCGACGGGTGGAGGAGGCGGTGGAACGGCATTTCCGGCCTCCAAGTCGACATTGGCCCCGGGCGTAGTATTCGCGGCTGGAGTAGGCACAGCAGCGGGAGTCGTTGCAGTTTCTTCCGCTGCATGCGTGAGCGTTCCACCGGCACCAAACTCGATCATGTTCATCGCACAATCTTTGCACGCCACCAAGTGTCTGCACGGGAGCAACACGACTTCTCGTGGCTCGGAAAGACACAGGACACACTCCGTACCGGCGAAATCGTACGCTTGGGCATGCGACTCCTCTTCTTCGCCTGGTGGATAGGTATGACTAGGTGCAGAGGGAGCGGCATTGCTACCGTTGGATCCAGTGGCGAGGCCATAAATCTCGTGCAAGTGAAAGGTGTGAAGACCAATCGTCGCTTCGCGCTTGACAACCTTGACCATCCATTGCCTCGTATCCTCTACTGGTGCCTCGCCTTCAGCCGCTGGCTCTGGGGGAGCACCAATGCGGACGATATGGAGATAGGTCGTCTGTGCATTCGGAGATGCAAGTGGCTTCTCGTCCTCATCCAATGCTTCAATGCGAATGCGAACGCGCACTCCACCTTCGTCTTCCTCGCTGGGTGTTTCGACTTTGCCCGTCTGTCCTTCAACAGGGACAGCTGGAGCAGCGGGTGTCTGTGCGTCCACTACAGGAAGTGCGGGACCAGAGGTTCGAGACTTTTTGCGAAAGTTGAACGCAGAGAAACGCTTCTTTGAAGGGCCCGGTGGTGCATTTCCAGGAGTAGACGCCGATGGCTCTGCGACGGGTGTCTGTACCGTGGCTGGAGCTGACTTGTGGTCCTCGAGCTTGGCGAGCTCAAAGACTGCACCATCTTCGACCTTGAGCTGCTTGGCGAAACCGCCCTCGACTATGGTGTCATAGATAAGAATGGGTGGAGTGTCCTTGTTGGGTGAGATGACTTGGAGGATCATTCTCCCCTTGGCCGCGTCCAGGTCGTATTCAAACTCGAGCCCATGCTGCGTCGCAGGAGCATCCTCTGGGGTATCTCCATGATCAAGGGGCAAAAGGCGAATTGACGGGCGTTTGAGGTTAACAAGGGCCTGCAACGTTGTCGTGGGTTGCGAAGGCTGGAAATAGAGAGATGGTCAGACATCGGAAGACACGGATATCGAATGGGATGATGCAAGCCGCTGAATCTACGGGTTTGATATCTGGAGCCCTTTGGCCCGAGAATCGCACCGAGGATGATTAAGACGTCTAATATCGCCGTTCTCTCTGAGCCATAATCTACCTGTGCCGCAATGGCCGACATATTATGCCACTAATCTTATGGCCGTCCTAAAGACCGCCAATAACCCAACTTTTCTCGTCTCACAGATGAGGAAAAAAAGGGGGTGCCGTGGATTCGAGACCGCAGGACGAGTTGGACTGACCTCCTTGCTCTTGGCAATCCAGGCCTTTACAGTCTCCTGTGTGAGCTCATCCTTTGGTGCGTCTTGCTTGCCAAACAAAGTCCATGCTGGGCCTGGATTGATCGACCCGAGCGAAGGACCAAAGAGGGTCTCGTGTTTCTTGGGCTTGATGGCGTTTAGGAGCGCTGGGTCATCTGCGAGAATGTCACCCATGTTGATGACGACTGCTTCTGCTGGGGGACGACCGAGTCTCGCATTCTCCTCTGCCTGTGCCAGCAGCGGGGCCACCTGAACCTGGCGGGAGCGGGTCCACAGCGAGCTGTGGTCTGGACAGGTGTTAGCAAGCGTACTCCGGTGAGTAATTTGTTGAGAATACAGACACCAGTTTGAGATTGCAGAGGCCATGGTCGGTTGTAGTCGAGGTCAAGATGCCACTGAGGGTCGTCAACAAGCCATAAATAACCAAAGTCCGAAATCCAAGGAAATATGGTAATAGGAGCACTGCCTCGTATTGACCGACTCTTTGCCAGAACACACGCAGCCGCCCACCCGCAGTCATTATCGCTCTTGGCCCCGACCGCCACATGCACTTTCAAGATGACCAGGCTGAGCCAACCCAAGAAGAAAAGGAAACAACGCGGTTAATTCTCAAACACACAGACCGCGACTCACTCGGTGTCCTCACCGCAGACGCCGCTCGGGTCATCCCACCGTTGGTCCATCTCTCCCAATCGACATTCGCATCCCTATGGAAGATAGTCGACACAGAAAACGCTGGATTCCTCAGCTTCAAGCAGATTTCACAACTCGTCCGGCTCATTGGCTACGCACAGACCGACGAGCCCAATATATCCCGCACGCTCCTGCGTAAACCCGGACCGACATGTCGCATAGACGGCTGGACAGTTCCCCTCGGTAAGAAGTTTGAGAAACCGTGCAGTGAAGAAGAGGAAATACTCGTCAAGGCTATTATGAGAGAAAGCGACCCAGAGGGTCTGGGGATCATCGAAGGGCTCAAGGCGAAACCATTGCTCAGACGATCAGGACTACCAAATGAAACCCTTGCACGGATTTGGGAAATCGTCGACGAGTCGAAGCGCGGCTTTCTTGTCGCAGATGACCTCAAGCGTATCCTTCGACTCATTAGCTGCGCCCAACGCAATCTCCCTTTACACTCTCGACAGTACGAGAACCGTACGTTTACTTCTTTGTCCGAATCTTGTCTGAAAAGTCTACAGCCTGCCCTTTACCGGACCTTGACGACAGTTTCGCAAACGATGCGGTCATCCGTCCTCCAATAACACCACTATCAAACGGCCCACCTGCCTTTCCTGTTCCCGCACTCACATCACCGAATACATTCGTTTTGCCCACCAATCATAACCGGTCCATCTCTTTGCCGACCAGGCCACCCAACGATCCTCTGCCCGAGTTGACGGACAAGCAAAAAAAGGCGTTCATCAAAATATTCGACCGACAGCAACCTGTCAACGGTCTCATCACGGGTATGTTTCCACCTACACTCATGCATTATGCTCAACCATTGCAGGTGAACAAGGTCGCACAATCTTCAATCGATCCAAACTTCCTCCGGTCATCCTGGGACAGATTTGGGAGCTTGCAGATACAGAATCTAAGGGCTCATTGACACGTTCTCAGTTCATTATCGCCATGTATCTCATCAAGCTGGTCATGGACCAAAAGACGACCCAGCTTCCGGCCTCTATCCCCGACTGGCTTCGTGTAGAAGCGACAAAGGAGCCAAAGGCTACACCTACACCTACCGTAACGGTATACGCTCCACCGGAGGGACCGCCACCAAATCATGGACGCAGCCTATCCCAGCCGGCCTCGAGACCTCAGCTCTCCATCCTCGACTGGGACAACGAGGCACTCAACGTGCCGACGCGAGCAGCATCATCTTCTCCTCCACGAGGGATGCCCTCGCCGTCCCCACCTGCTCAATACCTTGCTGACTATCTCAACCGCCCAGTCCCGCCCCCTCCACTTCCCCAACGATTAAGCAGCGACGAGGCTCCTCCTCCGTATGCAGAATTTGAACGGCCAAGCGTCGTCTCTTAGCTCGAATGGACTATATCTTGTCATCTCCGTATATACCTTGTACACGCCTCTGGCTCTCTTTTAGTATTAGATTCATCAGTTTGACCCATTCCTCTTCTCCCTTGGTCCCGACATTACGGACAATATCTTTATCTTTCCCTGTTCTCTCGAATTCCTTCCACGCTGCGCGCAGTTCCCTCTTCTCATATATCCGCCTCTACCAATCTGGTACCATCAACTCTGGATCCCGTCCTGCAAGTCTCGCCAGTTCTACACGATAGTCAAACTACAATGCATCGGGTAGCTTGTGCCACTCTCTTGCCGCCAGCGCTTCGCTGCCGCCAACTCGCTTCAGTAGAGCCTCCATAGCTGTTCGAGCGCTTCTATCTTGCTCGTGCAGATTGAGGCTTAGGGTACCGGAGAGAATAGCCTCGATGATCTGACACTGGCCTTCGACGAGGGGAAAGGGTACGACTGGCCGTGGTAATCCGAGGAAGAAGAGCGAGCCAAGTTGCAGGTACAAACTTGTGGTTTAAGATCCACTGGCCCTCATCCGGAACCGCCTTTTCCCTCTCCGGTGTCCCATTAAGTACTGGGATGTCAAAAACGGAAGGCAAGTTTCGTGTCCCGTCGCGAATAAGATGTGGTCGATACCAGTCAACGTCATACCGTCGACCAGTTGCTTGTCCGAGATTCTAAGTGAGAAAAGACGAGAAGGACACGGCAAATTCTGCGGTTAGCTAGCATTCTAGTCGCGACTTGAAATTCAGACGTACCTCTCTGAGCGCTGGGGCTGCTATCTTCTCCGAAAATTGAAGATTTGAATGAAGTGATAGCTTGGAATACGGGTAGCAGTCCGGATAGAAGGAGCGAGAGTCTCACTGTGGTCGGTTCGAAATGTAGAGGCCATGTAAATCTGGCGATAATTGTAGCAAGTATACACGATTCTGCATATATGCGACTGAGAATAACCTTATGCTCAAGGTAAGTATCCTCTTGTCCGCAACAGCTCTTGTACAAGTCCTGACCACAAGCCGAGACGTCAAAGCGTGTGAAAATGCCTTAGAAGAATATGATGGCTTCTCCACAGGCCAGAAACCGAGCGAGTACCGGTCCAGTTTGAGTTTGGCTGCAGCGCATAATCTTGGTCCCGGCCACATCCATTTCGCCATGGCGAGCGAACAGAATTCCAAATTCTTCTTTGCCGACATCAATAATCCACAGCATGTAGCTATGGTCACTCTTTCAAGATCCGACACAGTCGGTGACCTTAAAAACGCTATCCAGTACCTCTGTTACAAGGATGTAAACCCCTTCAAGATCGATTTATTCCAGGTAGACATATCGGATGAAGGCGATTTAGCCCAGAAAATCGAGGAAAAAAAGAAGGACCTGGGCTCACCGCTCCTTCCAAGTCGCCGCCTTATCCGTTACTATCCCTCAACCCCCCCGGAAGATGCTATACATATCCTTGTCAGGTGCTCCGCGTCGCCCCATGATGAGCTTCGTGAGTAGGCGTTTGCTGCATAACTCTTGTTTTTGCTGATAAGAACTCTCTTTGGCACAGTAAAGAGGAAGCGCGAGGACGACGAAGGCCCAGATGCGAAGCGAAGAAAGATCCTTGAATCCTTGAAGATAGCTCGCTCTCTTGCCCCTTCCTCCGCCTCTCCGAAGGAACTATTCGCACACTATAAGGGGAAAATCGACGTCAACCGACCCACTGCTGACCCGGAGACAATCCCCATTTCCCTCCTCCATGAAGTTTTTGGAAAATTCTTAGACAGCTACCAGACACACCAGCCAACTGCAGAGGAGAATCGTTTGTTCAATAACCTTCAGGAGGCAATGTTGATGGAATACAGAAATGAGGGCGACCGTGCATACAAATTCAAATCTTTGTTTTCAGAGGAATATGGGATAAAGTTGGAAGCATCCCTTGTCTCTAACACGGCTTATACCACCGATGGCCACCTCCAGATAGACGGCCATCCCCTCATCATCACAGAAGCAAAAGATGATGTGACGAGTTCTAAGGCAGCCGCGCATCTGCAAGCTTTCGCGTACTACCTACAATTCATCAAAAAGAGAAAGCCCGAGGAGGTGGGAAGAACTCCTTGCTTTCTCGTTTACTATATCGGTAGGTATCGCTACATTCTACCGAGATATGTTTCACAGCTGGGGTCCTGACTAGGTACGAACATCGGCTTCGCCGGCGCCGTCGTAGGGATGAAACCTCAATTCGAGCCGCTTACATCAAACTTGAGTTTCGAGGCCAATCATCATGACCGGAGGAGACTTGAGCCGCTTGTACGGGCTCTCTGTGCACTCCAGCAAGGTGTAAAATTGTTGCAAGACGTCTACCTGCCCAACGAAAACTCTCTTCCACCTCGAGGCTTTATGTATCCATACCGCGACTTCTATACGGATGGTCAGTGTAAAGTCACATTTGAATATAGCCGTCGCCTCAACCCCGCAAAGCTCCTCTTTCAATGCGTACGAAAGGAGGACCAGATGCCACTCTGCGTCAAGTTTACACTCAAGTATACGAAAGAGGCACACCAGGTGTGTAGCGATCAGGGAGTCGCACCAAAGCTCTACAGTGTCGAACGGCTTCCGGGAGGTTGGTGGATGGTCGTGATGGAGTATCTCTCCGAGGAGGAATACACCATGCGGAGCTCGGTCGATGTCGACGTCGTCAAGTTCAAAGAGGCCATTAAGGGTGTCGTCGGTTTTTTGCATCGCAGCGGTTTTGTCCATGGCGATATTCGGGCTTGCAACATCATGATCCGTCGCGAGTGGGACGATGGCATTGGAATGAGGAACGTCAAACTGGTCGACTTCGATTGGGCTGGGAAAGATGGCGAGGCGAGGTATCCTGCAAATGTGAATTACGAGCAGATCGTGCGACCAAAGGATGCGAGGGATGGATTGCCTATTACAAAGGAACACGACCTGGAGATGATTGAAACGGCTGTGACCAATAACGAGTGGACAGGCAGACTCTGATGACCTGGGCGACGGGCAACTAACCATTGTATCAATCTTGTAGTCCCTTCCAATTATACAGTCACTCTACCTCATGCCGTTCGCTCGAGCGCGTCTTCCACATCCCTGGGTCGAGTCGGATGGGTCGAAAGCCGCACAACGTAACAGATAAAGAATTCTGAAAGGCGGAGTATTGTACACGAGTAAGCAGGGATGACATGACCAATGAACGGTATTCCTAGTGCCGTCTTCGAGCATACTCTCAGCCGGCTAGAAGGTTCATCCGGCCCAAAGTCCATCCACCTCATAACCTGTATGAACAGCCCAGTGAGAACAGCAGTTTAGAACGCAGCTCATAAGAGATTCAACTCTTGGAGGAAAACAAATACGATTCGGCGCGGTGCGTATGGCTTCGCATGATACATTTGAGAATAACGAGTTATGTCGAACTGAGGGATCTATCGCTGGCAGAGACAAGGGCAGCGTACGAACAATCGTTACGCACACTCGCTCGAAAAAGGGAGAAAAGTCATTCGGGCGCTGGATCAAATAGCTCTGGGAGAAGGAAAACGAGGAACACGAGCGAGCGCGAGAGAGAGAGTAATAGACCAGTGATTCGTAGTGTGGATGATAGGTATGATGATCGAGTGAATTAGCGAGCCTCGTCTCCAAAATTGGGTCCCTCAATGAGCTCCACGACACCTCCTCGTCCAGCCAACACGCGCAGTCTCGAGTCCTCCATGAGCGCCTCGAGGCACTCAGGGAGATCCACTTCGGATCCTTGATCCCATCGAGCGAGCGCCCACGAGCGCATGTACACCGACGCCTTGTTAAACTTGCGCGACGCATACTTTTCAAAGATGGCAGAGTGTTGTGGGTCCTTGAGAATATAATTGAGCATGACGTTGACACATGGAAGAATCTCCGCCTCCTTGTAGCCGGCATAGTGAGCCAGGTTGGCAGTCTGGAGGACGTCATCAGCTGTTGTAGAAGGAGAAAGAAACGCGATGCTAACCCATTCACCACGATCAAGAGCAAGTCTGGCGAGCCACATTGCCGCAGCTGCGATGCAAGAGGGAGGGAATTGGACGAGCTCATAGTCAACGCAGTAAATCTCGACGAGATACTTGGCAAGGGTCCTCGACTCGGCGTCGAATCCGTCGGCTTTGCTGATGCGTCGGAGGAAGGTGATTGGGCTCGAGTAGCTGAGGTTGTACTTCAAACTCTTGAGGACGTACTTCTCTGCCTCTTTAATCTCGTCAACGCCGGAACCCTTGGCCGAGAAGCGAAGCATCATAGAGATGGTCGGGGCACAAATCTCTTCATACTTTGATGCGATGAGAAGGCAGACGACGCCGACGAGTTGAACCTTTTCGATGGAGATGGCACGAACGGAGAGGAAGCGGTCGACAAGGTTCATGGCGATGAAGAGCGTTTCTGGAACCATGCGAAGCGATCGGTGGATGCCGATGATCCAGTCTCCAAGGATGCCACGCATATGAGGCTTGAGTGCCTTTTGGAATTCCATGTACCTCGGGTTGGGCATAGTCGTTTTCTAACCAGAATGAGAATGAGATATCAACGGAGAGAAGACAACTTTACCTCCAGAGCACGGAGATATTCAAAGATTTCAACGACATACTCGGCGACCATCAGGGGGTCTTCGCTGTCCTCCTTGTCGAGATCATCCGGAGTTTCGTCTTCGGCCTTGCGAGTGACCTGGGTCAACACCTCTTTGACCTTTTCGACAGTAACCTTGGTCAGCTCCTTTGCCTCTGGTACCTCGCGGTCTTCAGAGGACAAACGAGGTCGCTTGTGCGAGCGCAACTCATCTTCATCAACATCTTCGCGCACTGCAACTTTTTGGACCTTTGTCGTTGCTCGAATCCTTTCGACGCGCGCCTTGTGGCCATCAACCACCTGCGTTTTGGTCTCCTCGCGGACGGTCTGAGTGACCTTGCGAGAGACGGTAACACTCGTCTTTGCCGCTGCTGCTGCCGCCGTCGTGGTGGACGGGAGAGTGCGCTTCACCGAGCCTGGACGACGGATGATGCGTGCATTTGCCGCGGACGAGACGGTGCTCTCGGTGTCGGATTGCTTTCCCTTGTCATTAATGCTAGTCGTAGGGTTGATATTCTTGGACTTGACGCCGAGAGGAGCACGGACGCGTGCAGCAGCAGCGGTAGTGCTTGCGGCGGCCGGCTTTGAGGACGTTGATGAGGCCCTTTGGAGGCTGGAGGCGGGCCGCGCAACGGGTGCGACAGCAATGCTTGGTTTGCTTGACGCGTCGACTTTTACTTTTCCATTTGTCGCATCGCCGAGAGCGTCGCGTTTGCGTTTGCCGGCGACGTTGGTGTTTTCTTGCTGCTGGGTGCTGAGGGCGGCACGAGGTCGCACTGACGCGACGGTGGGCTTTAGAGGCGCAGTTTCCTTTACGACAGGCTTTGTCGTCGCCTTGTCTCCGAGAACAGCGGGCTTGGACATGCGCGAGATGACGCCCAAACGGCTTGGAGCGTTCTCGTCATTCGCTGGACGCGCGATGCGACTTGGGCGTCGAACCTGTAGGTTAAAAGAGTGTAAGCAGGTCTGTAGAACTGGATTTACACGTCGAGGGGGTCCAGCGAGGGCGACAACATGGGTTTATACGCACGGGAATCTGTGTGGACATGGGAGCAAACCAAGACGGTTTTGAGGTCAGTAAAAGGTGAAGAAATAGTCTTCCACGCGTAAAACAGCGAGCGTGGGGGGTGAACGGCCGGGCTGGTCGAGTCTGAGGTGGAGTGTGTAGAAAGCAAGGCGTGACAACAGTCGGAGTTTGAAATTGGCCCATAACGGCAGTCGACAAACCGTCACCGTAAAAGATTGGAGAAACTAAGAACAACCTGTCTTTATCGCTCAATCATCGATATCTACTCAGATGGAGGGCTTTGACACATTTGAGTAATCAAGAAGTAGAAACCGCTTTATAGTTATATCATCCTCTTTTAATTACTTTCGGAGACCAAGCTTGCGTTTCTGGAGGCGGGGCAGACGGCGGCATCTTCATTCGCTCTCGTTGAGGTGGCGATGGCTGTACTGGCGCAGACTCGGTCTTGATGGGGCTTTCTGGAGTTTGCCGAGGTGCTGGCTCGGGTACAAGCTTTTGAGCTGCTCGCTCGGCGTCGTATTGAGCCTCAAGTTCGAGCGCGGAAGCTTGGACGCGACGTTGTCTCATCAAGTCTGTTTGAAGCTCCTGAAAAATGGCATTTGTGAATAAAGGGTGACGTCGAGTGTCGAGACAAACCTCCAGAGAGGGCGCGTCATGGCGCGTATGACTTAACCACATGCTCCATTGCACTGGAAAGAGCGTTATACTGCGCTCAAAAACTCGTGGTAGAAGTCTCACCTGGTAATCTCGCTTGGCCAGATACGTAGTCCCACTTCCTGGACTCTGGCTGGTACTTGATCATCCGTTTTGTCCTTCGAGGATCTAAATGCCATGTTATAAAGCCAAATTTGATGGCGCAGAAGCCCCACTAACCTTCCGAGGTGCTCGGATACTCATAGAATTTGTTTCCTGTAATCCGTCATACACGTATGCCTTTCTACAGAGTATACTGACCTTCCAAGTCTCTTCCAACGTATCGTGTCTACCCTCAACGTTGTAACTGTCAAGAACACCGTCATGATTCGTTGGACGCACCGGCCTCGAGATGACCTGCCATACTCTTCTGAAAAAATTCGACATCTGATATAGTTCTAGCACTTCATAACCTTTGGTCAAGGAAGAAGAGGTCCAAGTGAAGTGACCACACTTGGCCTCGACCATCTCCCTGCATACGACTGCCCCCTTAAATTATACGATTTATGGGATCTAAAGCACCCTCCATGATAGACAGGAAACACATTGCGATCATAGGTGGCGGTTCAGCCGGCCTTGTAGCGCTCAAGACGCTCAAAGAGTCGCCAGCGTACACTACCAAACGCTGGAAAATCACAATATTCGAAAGCCGAGACAATATCGGCGGTGTATGGCACGTCTGATGCTACGCCACAAAATAGGGTGACTAACGACCACACAGGCTGCCGGACACAAATAGTGATAGTCCAGAGTTCCCACAGACGCCGTTATACAACTCTCTCACTACTAACCTCCCGCATCCTATTATGGCTTTCCGCGACTTTAGCTTCCCACCGTCGACGCCACTCTACCCGCACGCCAACATCGTCCAGCAATATCTTGAAGACTACGCCGACGCGCATAACCTCCGCCAACACATTCGGCTTTCTACCTCTGTCAAATGCGTGCTACCGGAGAGATCAAATGGCAAACATGTGTGGAAGGTCGTCTCTAGCCGTCTACCCACAGAGGAAGAAACGACAGAGTACTTTGACACGCTTATCATCGCCAACGGGCGAAATGGATACCCAGTCCTACCCTCCAACATCCCCAGACTATCCGAATGGATCGCCCAAGGAAAAGCATCGCATAGCAAATCCTACCGCGAACCATCCACCTACCACGACATGAACATCGTTGTAGTCGGCAATGGCCCCTCGGCGTTGGACATTGCGCCTGAATTGGTCGGCGTGGCGAAGCACGTCTACCGCTCGGTGCGCAATGCGCGTGAAACCAATAGTGACGCGCACGATCGTCCAGCGAACGACCTTTCGAATATGCAAGCCGCGCGTGATGTCCAACTATGCAGCGCCATTCGCTCGCTTGGATCACCAGAAGATGGGAGTGTGGGATTGGTCGACGGTACGACGTTGACTGGTGTCGACCACATCTTATTCGCGACGGGATACGAAACTTGCTTTCCGTTTTTGGACGTCCCAGTACTTAATGGGACACCGGAGAGAGAAACGGCCATTCCGGATGAGAGCCAGTGGACCTTAAATTCGGGGCAGCACCTGTTTCCGTTGAGCCTGCACATGTTGCCCACAAGCTCGGATCTGCCACTTGGCTCGCTCTTCTTCCTCGGATTACCACGGCCAGTCGTACCCTTTCCCCTCGTCGAAGGCCAGTGTCAGGTCATCGAGGCTATTCTCTCCGGTACCCTAAGCCTCAATCTGCACGAGCAAGATAGAAGCGCTCGAACAGCTATGGAGGCTCTACTGAAGCGAGTTGGCGGCAGCGAAGCGCTGGCGGCAAGAGAGTGGCACAAGCTACCCGATGCATTGCAGTTTGACTACCGTGTAGAATTGGCGAGACTTGCGAGACGGGATTCACAGTTGATGGTGCCAGATTGGCAGCGGTGTATATATGAGAAGAAGCGTGAACTACGCGCTGCGTGGAAGGAGCTCGAAAGGACAGGGAAAGATAAAGATATTGTCCAAGATGTCGGGACCAAAGGAGAACAGGAATGGGTGGAACTGATGAATAGAATACTAGAAGGGAGCCAGACGAGTGTACAAGGCATCCTCGAGGATGAAAAGATATAGTCGAATATCGAGCCAAGAGACGACGCGTGGTTGTTCGAATTCTGCATACGGAGGAGCCTCGTCGCTGCTCAATCGTGGAGGAAGTGGAGGTGGTGGGACTATACTAGCTACAAGATGATACACAAAAACTCTTCGGTAGCAAGATCTACTTGTTCAACGGGTCGAGGTCAGGCGGACTGTTGATCCTGAGCTGTAGATATGTTGGCCCACGATGCTGAGATGACCTTCTGGCCCTCTGAAGCGAAGATAACCTCGAGAACGGCGCGTACAAGCGGCCGAGCCTGTGGATCCTCCTCCATCAATCTTCCTACCATGTACTGCATCCGCGACGCCTACTTGACTTGCTCGCCAAGATAGGGTAGCATTTCTCCACACGCCCATCTATCGGCCAGAATGGGACTCCAAGTTTGGCCCTCTTGAATTTCCGGTGCAGTCCATCCACGCGTCCCACACATGTCCTCGATTGTCTTGCTAGTCGTCACATCCATCTCTGCTATGCCAAAGTCAATGATATAGAGCACGCCCCCAGCGTCCGAATGACTCGTTTCTCTCTCTTCCTCCCCAAGCGAGTGTGCGTAACGATTGTTCGTACGCTGCCCTTGTCTCTGCCAGCGATAGATCCCTCAGTTCGACATAGCTCGTTATTCTCAAATGTATCATGCGAAGCCATACGCACCGCGCCGAATCGTATTTGTTTTCCTCCAAGAGTTGAATCTCTTATGAGCTGCGTTCTAAACTGCTGTTCTCACTGGGCTGTTCATACAGGTTATGAGGTGGATGGACTTTGGGCCGGATGAACCTTCTAGCCGGCTGAGAGTATGCTCGAAGACGGCACTAGGAATACCGTTCATTGGTCATGTCATCCCTGCTTACTCGTGTACAATACTCCGCCTTTCAGAATTCTTTATCTGTTACGTTGTGCGGCTTTCGACCCATCCGACTCGACCCAGGGATGTGGAAGACGCGCTCGAGCGAACGGCATGAGGTAGAGTGACTGTATAATTGGAAGGGACTACAAGATTGATACAATGGTTAGTTGCCCGTCGCCCAGGTCATCAGAGTCTGCCTGTCCACTCGTTATTGGTCACAGCCGTTTCAATCATCTCCAGGTCGTGTTCCTTTGTAATAGGCAATCCATCCCTCGCATCCTTTGGTCGCACGATCTGCTCGTAATTCACATTTGCAGGATACCTCGCCTCGCCATCTTTCCCAGCCCAATCGAAGTCGACCAGTTTGACGTTCCTCATTCCAATGCCATCGTCCCACTCGCGACGGATCATGATGTTGCAAGCCCGAATATCGCCATGGACAAAACCGCTGCGATGCAAAAAACCGACGACACCCTTAATGGCCTCTTTGAACTTGACGACGTCGACATCGACCGAGCTCCGCATGGTGTATTCCTCCTCGGAGAGATACTCCATCACGACCATCCACCAACCTCCCGGAAGCCGTTCGACACTGTAGAGCTTTGGTGCGACTCCCTGATCGCTACACACCTGGTGTGCCTCTTTCGCATACTTGAGTGTAAACTTGACGCAGAGTGGCATCTGGTCCTCCTTTCGTACGCATTGAAAGAAGAGCTTTGCGGGGTTGAGGCGACGGCTATATTCAAATGTGACTTTACACTGACCATCCGTATAGAAGTCGCGGTATGGATACATAAAGCCTCGAGGTGGAAGAGAGTTTTCGTTGGGCAGGTAGACGTCTTGCAACAATTTTACACCTTGCTGGAGTGCACAGAGAGCCCGTACAAGCGGCTCAAGTCTCCTCCGGTCATGATGATTGGCCTCGAAACTCAAGTTTGATGTAAGCGGCTCGAATTGAGGTTTCATCCCTACGACGGCGCCGGCGAAGCCGATGTTCGTACCTAGTCAGGACCCCAGCTGTGAAACATATCTCGGTAGAATGTAGCGATACCTACCGATATAGTAAACGAGAAAGCAAGGAGTTCTTCCCACCTCCTCGGGCTTTCTCTTTTTGATGAATTGTAGGTAGTACGCGAAAGCTTGCAGATGCGCGGCTGCCTTAGAACTCGTCACATCATCTTTTGCTTCTGTGATGATGAGGGGATGGCCGTCTATCTGGAGGTGGCCATCGGTGGTATAAGCCGTGTTAGAGACAAGGGATGCTTCCAACTTTATCCCATATTCCTCTGAAAACAAAGATTTGAATTTGTATGCACGGTCGCCCTCATTTCTGTATTCCATCAACATTGCCTCCTGAAGGTTATTGAACAAACGATTCTCCTCTGCAGTTGGCCGGTGTGTCTGGTAGCTGTCTAAGAATTTTCCAAAAACTTCATGGAGGAGGGAAATGGGGATTGTCTCCGGGTCAGCAGTGGGTCGGTTGACGTCGATTTTCCCCTTATAGTGTGCGAATAGTTCCTTCGGAGAGGCGGAGGAAGGGGCAAGAGAGCGAGCTATCTTCAAGGATTCAAGGATCTTTCTTCGCTTCGCATCTGGGCCTTCGTCGTCCTCGCGCTTCCTCTTTACTGTGCCAAAGAGAGTTCTTATCAGCAAAAACAAGAGTTATGCAGCAAACGCCTACTCACGAAGCTCATCATGGGGCGACGCGGAGCACCTGACAAGGATATGTATAGCATCTTCCGGGGGGGTTGAGGGATAGTAACGGATAAGGCGGCGACTTGGAAGGAGCGGTGAGCCCAGGTCCTTCTTTTTTTCCTCGATTTTCTGGTCTAAATCGCCTTCATCCGATATGTCTACCTGGAATAAAGCCAGTTCGGTCGGGCTCGCACGCGCGTAGAGGGGCAATAATGATTGAATTTGTTGCCGGAGTTTAGCGATTGTGGAACGCTTCGAGATCGTGGCACATCCTATCTGCTCTGGGTCGTCACTATCGATGAAAACGAGCTCATACTCCTCTGGCTCGTTTGCCATGGCGGATGGATAACGTGGTTGGAATCAAGATGCCGCGGCCAAACCCAAACCATACTAACGCTGGTTCGCTTGGTTGCTCGCGAAGAGGCTATCATTATTTTCCAATACATTTATCACACTTTTTCGGCGCTTCAGCTTGTAGTCAGGACTTGTACCCCAAGAATCGTCACGGGTAATAGGATGCCTACTTGAGCATAGCGTTATTATCAGTCGTATAGGCCTACTATCATGTATACTTACTCCAATTCTTCCCAGATTTACATGGCCTCTATATTTCGACCCGACCACGATGAGACTTTCTCTCCTTCTGCCCGGACTGCTGCCCGTCGTTGCATCGGAGCTATCCCTTCATTCACCCAAGTTCTCAATCGTTGGAGGAGATGGCACCCCCGTATATTTCAGAGTCGAGTCGTTGGGCGAGTGTGCTCGACTTTGCCGACGAGAGATCCTTTCCTTAATTCAACATAACTCGCTGTTCTCAAATATATGCGAAATCATGCGGACTTCGCCAAATCGTATTTTGTTTTCCTCGAAGAATTGAATCTCTTATGAACTCATTCTAACCCGGTATTCTCACTGGGCTGTTCGTACAGGTTTTGAGGTGGACTTTGGCCGGGTGGACCCTCCGAAGCCATACGTACCGCGCAGAATCGTATTTGTTTCCTCCAAAAGTCAATTGTTCTAAACCGGTGTTTTCATTGGAGTGTGAATCGCGTCGATATATTATGGAATTGATATATCTGGCACCATGATTTGGGCTAAAGCAAGTCGCGGACAATTCTAGCGTAGTATCGCGAGAATGGGTGGGTTTTACACTGTGTTCTTTGTCAAGCTCGTACCGCTCAGAGAGCATTTTGCGTCGGCTCCGACAAAGTGTACAAGGCGAGTCAATTGCCATCGGATGCGGTCAGCTGGTATTATGCCGTCGCACATGAAGGACTGATCGGTTGTGCTTAATAGAGTCCGTAGAGCTTCCCCCATCATCGTCGTCGTTAAGATTCAAGTAGAAAGCCAAGGAGGTGTACGTAGGCTTGGTACCCCCCTTCGTATCTCTGAATTTCCAAAGCTTTCCGTGAAATTCAACAGCTGTACAAGTAAAAACATCCATTTTTCTTGGCTATGCGTGCTCTTCTGCTGTTTCTGCCGTTGCCTCCAGGGACGAGTAACTGCTACGTTTTCGACAGAGATCGTAGTGTCTGACCAAGATATAGCCTTCTCCATTTTAGAACCCGCACTGTGCATCCTTGAATCGGCCAAGAGCATGATAGTAGTCCTCAGAAGGTCAACCGGCCATCACTTGGCATTCTGACCCTCCGAAGATACCCTGAAGAACCAAGCTTACGGGAGGTCGAGCCTGAGGATTATCATCCATCAATCTCCGGACAAGCTCTTGTACTCCCGACTTCCGGTTGATTTGCTCGCCGAGATAGAGTAGCACCTTGCCACATGCCCATCTATCCGCCAGAATAGGACTCCAACTTTGATCCTCCTGAATCTCTGGTGCAGTCCAGCCACGTGTCCCACATACGTCGTCCACTGTTGTGCTGGCGGTCACATTCATTTCTGCAATCCCAAAGTCAATTATATAAAGGGTAGCTTCGTGAGATCGGCTCCGTCTCCTCTCCCCAAAGTCTATAACGACATTGTCGGGTTTGAGATCCAGATGCACGACGCCATTTGCATGCATGAATGCCACGCCCTGGAGGAACTGCTTTTGAAACGAGTAGACAGTAGCAGGTGTCAACAGTAAATGCGCAGCTTCACGAAGTTTGACGTGCTTCGGCATAACGATAAGCCATTGCGTGTCGCATTTGAGCACCTCGAGTAACGCGATTATATGATTCGATCCACCTCCACGACTCCCAAGGTACGCCAAAATATCTACCTCTGAGTTATATTTGACCCGCTTGATGATAACTGGGAGTCCGTCGCGCCTCATGGCTTCGCGAACATTGTCGGGGAACTACCAACGTGAAAAACTTGAAAGCAGGGATTGGAGTGTCTCACCAGAAATGGAAGCTCTATTTTATCCTTTCCACCCTGCGGAAGATGGTGCCACGCCAGAGCGTATCCCGCTTCGACGATTGCGTCGTTCATGGCATTGTCCTTGTCGTTTCCTCCGCTCGGTTTGAGCCGTTTGCTTCTGCCATCCTTTCCGCTGTTGTCCTGTCTTTCTCGCGTTTGTGTCGACGTGATGGGGTCCAGTCTCATGCACTGGATTTCGTTGACCATCTCGTCAACGTTCTTCTCGAGGATATCTGAATCCGGATGTCGTGCAAAAATGACCATCCTATAAAGCTCAGAGAGGAACATCAACGCTTGTGCTTTGTTTCCAAGATCAAACTCTTTCTTGATATAAATGACCTGGAAAATGTCTCTATGAGTCGTCCATGGTTGGCATCACAAGACGTACTTCCTCCCCCATTGGATCTGACAGAGAGAAGAGATAGCGGGTGGCCTTGAAGGAGTCGTCGATATAGATCCCGACGATCACAAGCCGCGGATCCACTCCCAGACATTGCAAAATTCTTGTAAGGGCCCCTGCGTGTAACATCATCCTGAATCCGTCTTTTCCATCTGTTCCAGAAGCGATTTCCATAATCATGATGGGGAACCGACGAATGCAGAGAAGCATGTCACTCCTGGGTCTCACTTGGACGAGTTTCTCTGCCTTGTCTAATTTGATCACGATGGGAAACGGCCAAGAGGAGTTGCTGCGGTGGTGGTTGAGCAAAGGCAATAGAGACAGGTTGATTATGGGCCTACAAGGTGTATTTGACAGATTCATTATTGGAAAGAATCAGCGTCGACAGCATCATATGAATGATTTGTTCCTTGGATCGTTGATATACCGCAACATTGAGGTGGATCAAATGTTCGAGCAAGATGATGTAGTGCGACAGCTCCACATCCTGAACGAGCTCATCAACGGAGACCTGTGATTCCGAAGTCTCGAAGTAGCTTGAAAAATTGATGCCAAGTTCTTCCATCTCGGCTTTGAGCTTTGACATCTATTTTATATGAGCCGACGTCAAGGACGTAGTAGGCAGCTACCCTGCTCAAGCTTTGTGGTTCGTACATCCGCTTTCTTTCTAGCTTTTGACGAAAGTCTTCCAGTTGCTTGGGAGGGGTCAACGAATAGGTGATTTTGTTTTCTCTGACGATTTGTTCTGAGCTATTTGAGTATACCTGCGTATCGGACAAGTGAAGCGAGATGTATTTATCGACTTTCAGGCATTGAATTGGCTCTAAGACCCCAGCCGATTTAGAAGCATAACGTCAGCGAAGCTCCTGGTGTCCTTCTGTGAAGGTTACTCACGAAGCACATGGGGCGATGCAGAGGGTCTGACGAGAATATGTATAGTGTCGTTTGGGGGGGTCGAGGGATAGTATTCGTAGATGGGATAAGTTGCACGGAGCGGCGTACCCAGGTCCTTGCTTTTCTCCTCGATTTTCTGGGCTAAATCACCCTCATCCAATATATCTACTTGGAATAAATCGAGGTCGGACGGCTCCAAATCCTTGTAACGGCGTTGTTGGATTTGATTTTGAAGGTCACCGACAGTGTCAGATCTCGGAAGAGTGACCATGACCAGTCTTAGTGGATGGGCACTATCAACAAGGAAGAACGTATACTCCCCCTGTTCGTTTGCCATGGCACGGCGGATGTGGTCCAGACCAAGATCCGCTGCAGCCAAACTAGACTGGGCTCATTCGCTTGGTTGCTTGTGAAGAAGTTATCATATTCTTCTAATTCATTTATCACACTTTTCTCGACGCCTCAGCTTTTGATCAGGATTCTGTTGCGGGCAATGGGATATTTACCTCGAGCGTAGCGTGATTCAGGTCATATCGCATGTACGTGCTACAGCTCTCTCCAGATTTACATAGTCTCTACATTTCGACCCAACCACGATGAGACTTTCGCTCCTTCTACCTGGACTGCTGTTTGCACTTGCTGTGGCATCCGAGCTATCACTTAAATCCTCATATCATCAAACATTAAGGACAATGCGCTTGAAGAGGTAAGTTTAGCCGCCAAGTCACAGCAAAATGCCAGCCAACAATATCACTCGTTGCCTTTTCTCCTCTTTCCTATCTAGAGTCTCAAACTGTTACGGACCAGCCCGCAAGAACCACGTCATCTGGATGACTCGTATATGTCAGTATGAGTCACGAAGAACGAGGATAGTCACTTACCTGACTCACGATGCGCGGCCAGCTTTGGCCACTACGAGCGGGAGCTTGTATGTGGACGGCTGCGCACGACTCGCCCGTATCAAGAGTCATCTCTATAGGTGACTCGTTATATAGATGACATGATATAAGATGTCGGATCGCTGTCTCGTCTCGGACTCCTCTTGTCCCTTCTTCCAACTCCCGCCAACCCTATGCCCTCCAACGTAGTCCCGCTACCGACTACTGGTTCCGAAATAATGCTTACATAAGCTTATCGAAAGGTATAAAAGGACCCGATTTTCCATGTAACATTCGCTAGTCTGATATCTGACTCCCTCGCCCAGTTTACGCGTCATATTACAGTAACTAAGTACCTCACGTCGAGGAATAATCTAAAGTAAACCATTGCTAGACCTGTCCTGACCCTACTCGGGACTCCGCCAGTCAGAAAGACGTGGGTATCGTCTTTAACACAAACTAAGTAACTCGGACTCCTGCGCGAAGCGTGCGCTCGAGTAATATACCACTGAGCATCAATCCGGCGAGAGCGTGCAACGACATCAGACATTTGTTCGACTTTATGATCCAGTCACACAGGAGATACGTGTTAGTCCCTCCGTCTTTCCTCTGGCGCCAAGGCCAGACCCGACAAGCTCTTCAATCTTGTCCTTCCACGGAGTCAATCAGCTGCTTTCAACACAAAGGCTCATTATTGCCTACAACAAGAAATTCAGCACATGCTTTGAGCAGAGCGGAAAATCGGGATGAACATTCCGGCATCTTCTCCCTTGCCATGCTTTCTCCCTGGGCAGTCTCAATTACCCTCGTACGTGATATCATTCCATGAGAACAAAGCTGACATAATGAGTATCGATTTGACATTCTTCACCAAACACCAAAACCATTCTCGAGGAAGACTCTGTCATTCATCAGTCTACTGGTCACAAAGAAGGTTGCTCGTGACTTATTGGATCAATCTGACGCTGTTGGTGCCGTAGGCAGAGTGGGGGGGGATCGTGGACGGGTCAAGAGACAAAGCGACAGACGATATTTTTACAGTGAAGTAAACTGATGCAGGAGGGTTCAATCTCTCTACCGCCTGCTTGTTTCCTTTCCCACAGCTATTTGATCTAGTGCCTGACAGACTCTCCTCTCTTCAGAGAGTATACACAACGGTTGGTCGTACCCTGCCTTTTTCTCTATCAGCAATGAATCTCAGCTCAAAGTCACCCCGTGATTTTGAAAATATATCACGCCGAGCCATGCGCGAACCGTATGTGATTCGCAGCAAAGGTCGAAACCTGAGGGTTGCGGGTTGAGAGACTGGGTGTGTGAGAGCCCGAACAAAACGAGTTATGCTCAGGTTTGAGAGCTAGGCGATGTGAGAACGGGGACAAGGGCCCTGCGAGACGCGAAGGGAGCGATCACTGGTTCGAAAGATTCGGTGGCTTTGCTTTGTGCGCGTTGCTTTGTATGGCGGATCAGGAGAAAAAAAACGTGATGGTGGGTGTATACACATGCATGATGTAATACAATCACGGGTGAAAGGATGCCTATTCGAGTGGACCTGAAAGCCGCTTGACGAGTTTCGAGATGTATGCTGTTACTGCGAGGTCAGGCCAAGGCATGGAGAATTTCGGGTAAATGGAATGGCAGCAAAACTCGTTATGTAGACCGGTCGGTTGGATCTCACTGCCGGAAGAGGTCCAAGAGGTCCAGAGGAGCAGGACGGTTCCAGAGTGGGGTTCGAGGAGAGCCATACCGGATGTATCCGTGGGAGAACAAGGACTCTTGTGTCGTCCATATTAGGATCTAATATTTGTTCGATCGACCGGCCGGCTCGGTTGGGTGTCAGGTCTTGTCATCGTTGTCGTCGTCGAGACGGATTTGGATGACAAGAGGTTCATTTCGTACCGTCGTTGTTCTCTTGTACTCTTAGATCCTGACGCGTTGTTCTAGCGGTATTCCTTTTCGGGCAACTTTCAGTCACGCGTCGGTCACTGCATTGTACGAGACGGTTACCATTCCGACGTTGATATGAATGCACAGATGTATAGTGAGAAAGAAGAATCCATGCACGTTCTGGCTGATACGGTCCGAAATGAGACTACGAAGAGAAGAAAGTCGACTCGGAGGGAAACCAATTCGTGGCTATCGTTAGGGTGTAAAGAATACGTTCAAAGATTTGTTAGCCGCTGATAGAACCAGTAGTCGAGCGAAAAAAGGGACTAGAACCCTGGCACGGAGAGGAGCGGAGACAAGGCCACCATCATCAGTTCGGTGGACGTCGCATCATAAAACCATCAAGGCGGCGAATTAGCCTCAATATCATATCCGCAAAGACGTCCTTGTTCTAGCTTTTGCCCCCCACCGACGAGCACGGCCCACACGATCCTCTCTCTGCTGTCCACGCTCTGCGCCGCTGGCCATATTGAGTAATCCTTATGGTCGCGTGGAAACAACGGATTGTTTCAACGGGATATACCGTCCCTCGTCGGCATCGCCAACGCGCAATTCAGTCGCACTGGTAGGAGAACAACAGGAGCCTAAAACGGAACACGGGAGAGAGAGATCTAATGATTTTGAAGTGGGAATTTGACAGAATGATCGGGACAGGTTATGATGGCCTTCGCAAATGCGCCTATGTCCAAAGTGAATGCGCCTTGTACTACGACTTCCTTTTTGGGTGTCCACCGACGGCTGTCGACTGAATGCCTCGCGCGCCCGCTGGGAAGTGGGTTTGTCAGGATCTGCGCTTTTTTTGGGTGTTTTGGAGGCGAAATTCTGGCCGTGGTCCAAGGTCGAAAGGCCTACGAGACTTGGTCAAAGTGACGTGGTAGACTAGCAGAGTGTGATAGGGAGTGGTATATGAGAGAGTTTGCATCGTAAAGTTGCAAGGTCTTGTTCTGCATCGCCTGCAGAGGCGCGCCGCTGCCTGGGAGAAGAACAAGGAAAGTGCGTAACCGACAAGGGGGAAGAGAGTCGAGTAGCGAACGATCTGATAATGGTGATCATTCATTGTACATACGTACATCATAGTATAAAGACTTGGAGATTCTCCTCGACATCCTAGTGTACTTTTGAACTCGCCTGGGATGCACCCTTAGAGAGGGCTCGTCATGGCTTGGACGAGTGCCTTGCGTCCCATTTCTTTGCTGCGTCGGCATACTTTTCATCAATCACCGTGCAAACGTCGTCTAATGCGTCCAGAGCTTCTATCAGCGCGTCGAGTGAGGACTGGTTGTCTGCTCGAGCAAGAGGCGTCAGCGAGTGGAGACGGGCACTGTTGAAGAGTGTACACACCGTACATCTGAATACGAATGTGAATCTTGTTCTCGGATGGGTGCGGTGCGCTGGAAAGCCATCAGTACTCGCCGTCACTATACACCTAGTGAGGTAGGGGAAGAAGATATATCTGCAAGAGAGAGAGAGTAGGAGACGGCTCAACCGTCCGGTCCGAGCCACTTGCAACGTTTTGATCGTGGACATCCTCTAGACGACACTGCATCAACCACGCGATCCATTGTCGTCCCAAATCGGAGCCTGTTTACTCGCTTTTCATCCTTTGGGTGTCACCCCGTGAGGTAGGGTCGGCCGCGAATGCTAGGCGATCTGAGCCCACACCACCCATGTCGCCACGCCGGATCAGATGCGTGCACGCCTGTACCTCGCCTGTACCACGGCATATACGGGACGTGTGATTGTAGCCAGGGAGTTGTCGATGTCATTCCAAACGAAAAAAAAAGAGGGAGGGGGATGGGCTCAGAACAGCCTTTTTGGCCGCAGTGGTTTGCTGGGCAGTTGAGGGTGAAATGAAGCTGACCTGTATCCGCAAAACTCGACTTTGGGACTGGCAAACGCGTGTCAGAGAGGCGAGCATGAATGAAGGTGGATAATGGGCCGGGCAGCGGGCATTGGGTGTTGCTGGTTGGTGTAAAAGAGATGAATCGTGATTCCCACCTACTTTTTCATGATCATCCAGCGGAGAGCATTGCCCAGGGTGTGCGTCTCGTCGGCAATGGCGTAGCTGGCCTCTGCGAGATTGGGCGATGCACCGGGGAGCTGAATGGGATATTAGTGATAATTTCTGTAATACGTGTTAATGGGTATACGATGGTAATCTTGTTCATGGTAGACGACGAAAATGTCCGCGAGTACCCAAAAAGGAAACCAGTCCAGAAGGGCAATTTCGTCCAAAGTGTACCCAAGGCGGAGGGCCAACCTTGTAGTCGGACTGAATTGTCGACCTCTTTGGAAGGGATTCTTCAGAGAGAGGGGATATAATCCCCGCCCGTGAACTCGATGAGATGTATCAAGTTCCTCTACTCCTCCTCCTCGACTCTACTCCTCAGATCTCCTGACACCAATGGCCTACTACATGCAACTGCCCACTCTCAGCGAGGTTGTCCCCGCCGACATTCTCCACGACAAACGCTTTGCGCAATTCGCTCCTTACTCGTCTGCTCCTCTTGTGCGTGGATTTCTTATAATGTCATGATATAAATGATACTTATACCTCTCCTAGGTCAAAGAGGAACCCGCGTCGCCTGCCTGGTCATCGTACAGTAGCCTCCCCTCACCTGGGAGTGCCTATTCCTCTGGCAGCCGCACCCCGTCGCTTTCTCCTTCTCCTCCTCCCGTCCACGCCCAGCTCCCAAAGGGCCAGTACGCTACCCAACCGGGCACCGTCTGGATCTCGCAGACATCTGCTGGCGCCTCTGCGGGTAGTTATGTCGCCCACAATCCCCAGCAGCAGCAACAAAACTATGTCTGGATGCCGCCGAACATGAACTATCCCGCGCCCTGCGAGCCCAACCCGATGGTCAGAAGAGGAAGTGGAAGCGTGACCCCAACCCCGCCGAGCTCTAGCCAGGCCTCGCTCGTCGACCCAAAGCAAAACTACAAGCTCGTCGCGTCTGATCCTGCACACGCAGACGCCATCGTCCACGTCGCACCCGGCGGTCAACCAAAGCTCCTCATCGGAACCGCCGCAAGGACCGTGTTGACGAAATTGACGACGATGCCTGAAAATCAACGCGGAAAGGTCGTCTTTTACAAGGTCGTCAAGAACCAGTAGAGCTCCCGGCAACTTAATCCCTTTTTAAACTTTCCACCCGCCTCCCGCCTTGCTCTTTCACCTTGTCCGCCGCCGCCTCCGTGTGACGACTTTAGACGACCATCAAAAACGACCAACATTTTGTACACCTTTTGTTCTCTCGCTCAATTTCCCCACCGCGCTGCACGCCAGGTTCGCATTTGCTGCACGGGTGGCCCGTCTCCATCTTCTGCTATCCCTCTCTCCTCTCGTCTCCTTTGTTCGCGTCTTTGTGCTTGCCACCTCACTACAATCTCTGTAGTCGAAAGCAGCAGGCCACCCACCGTTATTGGATCCTGTTACCGTGTACTAGATCGTCTCGTTACTCTACGCGCTGTTTCAGTAGCTCTAGATATCTTCATTCCTGCAATCAATCGGTTGTCCCTGGAACTCGTGTGCACTTGAACCCGGCCTCGTCGAGGCTCTTAAACAACTTGTCTTTACTATTGAAAACACGACGCGCCACGACACATGGACCCGACATCGCTCATCCAACACCCTACCCTCACCTGGGAAGCCGTCAATGACGGTGCAGTCTTTTACTCTAGACGTCATGTCTATCACATGAATTGGAATCTTGGCGCTGGCGGTGGAGGGAGCGACTTGAGTGGTTATGTCGTCGCCGCTGCCAGGTTTGGTGGTCCAATTGGTCCATCTCTTTGCTTCCAAGTCTTCTTTCTCTGATTTACTTTGCCGTCTAGCCATCATCCGTGACAATTCGAAACTCATCGCACTCGGACGTACGACGTTTACGAAACCCGTTATTCTCGTCTATTCTTCCGCGGGGACACAACTCGCGAGCATCACTGTATGTTTATCCTACAGTCGAGATGTGACATCTAACAATATCCGCTTCGACAGTGGGAGCTCAGTAAAATCGTCGCTCTTGGATGGACAATGTCTGAAGAACTCGTCGTGCTCAATGAAGACGGTCAATATCGTTTATACGACCTCCTCGGCACAACATATCGCACCTATTCACTTGGCCCAGAAGCTGCAGAGACGGGTGTCGTCGATGCGCGAATATTCGAGGCTGGTCTCGTTGCTCTGACAGGAAATTTGAGTTTTCTCGAGGTTAGGGCTTGGAGTGGCAGTAAACCGACCGTCTTGAGCTCGCCTGGTGAGCGCGTTCAGCCGGTGAAGAACAAGGTATTGATGGTGGTAGTATTGACGGGTCCGCCTATTACTTGGACAATTATCCCGCCCGACCAGACATCCTCTCGACATGCAGAAGTCATCATGGCCGTCGAAGGTACAATCTACACGTGCGATAATCTGGAACATATAGACCAGGTATGCTTCCACCTCTTTTACATTTCCTACTTGAATTCACTCTCTCTTAGCAACTCGGCGGCTCGGGTCCCTTTACACACATTGCAGTTTCGCCCAACGGCCGTTCACTCGCCCTCCTCACCTCTTCCTCCAACCTCTGGGTCATCACATCCGATTTCCAACGCAAGATTCTCGAATTTGACGTTTCCTCTCTCGCAGCTACCTCTTCTACCTCTACACCAATCCAACTCGCCTGGTGCGGCTCCGACGCCGTCCTTTTATCGTACCCAACCACCGTCGTCCTCCTCGCACCAGGAGGCGAAACACTCACGTATCACTACGTGTCTACACCCTACATGGTCACCGAGCCTGATGGCGTCCGGGTGTTGAACAAGGAGGATTGCGAGTTTGTGCAACGTGTGCCTGATAGTCTCGAAAAGGTGTTTAGACCCGGGAGTACGGCACCCGCGGCATTTTTATTCGACGCGAGCGAGAGTTTTGCCAGGAATGCGTCCTCTTCTTCTTCGGTGGGTGTTGGGGTCGGCAGTGGGAGTGCTGGACGTGCGAGGACAGATGAGAGTATTCGTGCGCTTAAGCCTGATTTGGCTTTTGCCGTTGATGCGTGTATTGACGCTGCGGGCAGAGAGTGGGATGTCGCTTGGCAGAAAAAGCTCCTTGCGGTCAGTCTGTTGTATTGATTCGAGATGGGGGGACCTGATTTTCTTCTAGGCTGCCAAATTTGGACGGGCGTTTATCGACTTGTATGACCCACGTCCGTTTGTCGCCATGGGTCAAACGCTCAAAGTCCTCAACGCGATTCGGTACTATGAAATTGGGATCCCGATGACGTATCAGCAGTAGGTTCTATTCTTGCATTCTTCGAATCTCCTGAACAAACTAATTGGCAGGTACACGCTCCTTTCACCCGAAGAACTCCTCGCGCGCCTGACGTCGCGGTCAATGCATCTTCTCGCACTTAGAATTGCCAATTTCTTGTCCATCAAGCCTGATGCCGTACTCAAACATTGGGCGTGTGCAAAGATTAGCAAGACGCGACCGGACGGCGGGATTGGTGGAGGGATTGGTGGGGTATCTGGGACGGCAGAGGATGACGAAGATGTTGCGAGGGGGATTGTGGAGAAATTCGAGGCGATGGGTGCGGGTGCTGGGAGTGCTGGTGTTAGTTATGCGGAGATTGCGAAGAGAGCTTGGGAGAGTGGACGGAATCGGCTGGCTACGGCGGTGAGAGTTTGTCCATCTCGTTTCCTGTGAACTGATTTGTCCATGATAGCTACTCGACCACGAGACGAGGGCAGCAGAGCAGGTACCCCTTTTACTAGGGATGCGAGAGGATGGGCGAGCGCTGGAAAAGGCGGTGGACAGTGGCGACACGGACCTCGGTATGGTTTTTTTTTTTTTGGCTTGAATCAGCAAAAGAAGGTTCTGACGATAGGCTAGTTTATCAAGTCCTTCTCAACCTTCACAAGCGGCTCCCTCTTGGCGACTTTTTCAAACTCATCGAAGATGGTGGTCCAAAAGTCGCACCTGCTTCGCGGTTGCTCCAGATCTACGCACGAGACCAGAACCGGGAAATGTTGAGAGACTTTTTCTATTCGGATGATCGACGAGTGGACAGTGGGCTGTTACTCCTTGAAGACGCGTCTACGCAAGAGGTGCGTCTTTATCGAATACAAAGGATGGTAGTTGACTATAATAGGATCTGACGGCGCGGATCAATTCGATCAAAGCGGCCCAGAAATTCTTCTCCGAGGACCGCGAGCGAGGGTTCGAGGCACGGATGATGGACGAAAATGCACGTTTGCTCGCGCTGCAGCAGACGCTAGAAAAAGACGTGGATGGTAAAGCGGCCTTTGTAGGGCTCAGCGTTGGCGATACGATCATGCTCTGTCTACAGTGTGGGTTGCACAAGCGGGCGGAAAAGGTGCGAAGTGATTGGAAGGTGTCCGACAAACAGTACGTTTTCTTCGTTCCGATGATCTTTGCTGACTTTGCCAGGTTTTGGTGGCTCAAGCTACGGGCGTTGACGGAAGCAAAGGCGTGGGACGAACTCGATGCATTCTCAAAGTCCAAGAAGAGTCCTATTGGATACGAGCCGTTTGTGCGGCACCTAGTCAGCAAAGGGTTCCACCAGCAGGCTGCAGCTTATGTCGCGAGATGCGACGCTGCCAAACGCGGCGAGCTCTACATGCTCTGCAATGAGTACCGCGCTGCTGGGAAAGAATTCAAGGATCGTGGAGACAAGGCTGGCCTCTCGTGAGTTGGTTTTTTTCTAGTACGTAACGCAGCTAATGAACTGATAGGGAGTTGGTTCGGACATGTCCTGATCGTCTTATTGCACGCGAACTCCAAGGATTGCTATCGTCTATGTAGATTTGTAATGCTACACTGCTCTCGTTCGAATTCTCCAGACGCTGAGTGATGGCCGTTGTGATGACCAATGATATATAAGTTGGCTTCCTCCGCGTCCGGCTCGTCCTCCATCCACCCCCTTTTCCCCCATCCAACCACTAAAAAGCATGGAATTTGTGCCACCGACGCTCGTCCATCGCGTCCTGTGCGCTGATTGCGGTGAGTGGCGATGGCAAAAAAATCGCATTTGGTATCTGATTTTAGTGAATAGGGACGCCAATCGAGCCCAACTCGGCAAATTTGTGCATACCATGTCTCCGAAACTCGTGCGTGGTCTTGTTGGAGGCGCCTTTCACATTCCTGATGCCTTTGTAGTGTCGATGTAACCGAAGGGATTCCAAAGTCTGGTGAGTTTGACCTAGCTTAGAACGTGTGGATGGAAGAATGACGGGTTTGGATGGTCAGCGTCGATCAATTATTGTCGCAATTGCGACAGGTTCTTGTCCCCGCCCGCGACATGGACCATCGCCCAGCCCGAGTCCCGCGAGCTGCTAGCGATCTGCTTGAAGAAGCTCAAGGGATTGAATAAAGTTCGCCTCGTCGATGCCGGATTCATCTGGACGGAACCGCACTCGAAACGACTGCGTGTCAAGCTTACCATTCAAAAAGAGGTCCGTCCTTATCCTTATATAGCCTTGTAGAACCTAATACGCGCTCAGGTGTTTACTTCGACGATTGTAGAGCAGGTGTTTGAAGTCGAGTATGTCGTCCAGCACGGACAGTGTCCCGACTGCACCAAACTTGCCGCCAAGAATACGTGGCAGGCGGTCATCCAGGTCCGACAAAAGGTTTCGCATAAGCGAACGTTTTTGTTCCTGGAACAGCTCATCCTCAAGCACAATGCGCACAAGGACACCGTGTCCATCAAAGAGGTCAAAGACGGCCTCGATTTCTATTATGCCCATGAGAGCCATGCGCAAAAGATGGTAGAATTCTTGGCAAGTGTTGTCCCAGTTCAGTGAGTGCGGTCCATATCGATAGTTCCTGGTTCTAATAAAGTTCTAGGACAATTCGATCAGCACAGCTCATCTCCCGCGACACGCATTCCAATACTGCAAACTACAAGTTTACCCACTCTGTTCAGATTGTCCCAATCTGCAAAGACGACCTGGTCTGCATCCCGGCAAAACAGGCGCGCTCCCTCAGCAACATTAGCCCACTCACCATCTGCTCAAGAGTTGGAAACACGGTACATTTATTGGACCCGTCTACGCTACAAGAAACGGATGTTACGTCGCCAGTATACTGGAGAGAGCCGTTCAGCGCGCTCGCATCGGTGACCGACCTCGTCGAGTTTATCGTTCTTGATATCGAGCCGTCGGGAGTCGTCAAAGGGAAACACGTACTCGCAGATGCAGAAGTTGCTCCTGCCAATTCATTCGTCTCCAAGTCGGGGAATGATGCCGACATGGACATGGACTCGCATCATGGATCGCTCGACACGACATACCATACACGAACCCACCTCGGTGGCATTCTTCAACCTGGAGATACCGTCATGGGATACTGGCTCACACGATCCAATTTCAACTCGACAGCATTCGAGTCTCTCGACTCTTCACGGATACCAGACGTGATTCTTGTGAAAAAATCGTATCCAAACCGAAGAAAGAAGAGCAAGCAGCGAAACTGGAAACTCAAGAGTATGGCGAAGGAGGCTGAAGAGGGTGCAGGCATCAACGAGAGTGGCGGCTATGGGCGTGGCGCGCTTGGTCGACGAGGAGGCCTGGATCAGAAAAAGGTCGAACGCGACTACGAAATCTTCCTCCAGAGCATCGAGGAGGATACAGACATGCGTGCGGCCATCAACCTCTACAAAGGCCAAAGCCTACGCGCCCCTGCTGTGTCGACAAACGAGATGGATACAGGCAAGTCGCGTGCAGCTGGTTCTTCAAAGAAGAAGGGTATGGCTGCACAGTTTGCGATGGATGTGGACGAGGCACCGGCCGGTGCTGCTGATGCATCCGAGACGGCGACAGAGGATGGAGAGGACGAGGCCGACTTCCCAGAAGTTAAGCTTGATGAACTGCTGGACGACATGGAGGAGCTAGCCATTCACGACGAGGAGGAGTGATTCATCAGCGTACGTCTTTTCTCTCTCTTTCGTTTCCTGTCGCATTACTTAGCGAGTGCAGAATATGGGGGCATGAGCAGCTGCCACGATCATGTACAAATCTTCTAGACCTACGGTCAGATGCGTAATACATGGACAGGGGACGCCGAGCTCCACTGATTTCTATCCCAAACTCGTCTTGCTTTGGCGAACAATCAGTGCTGGAAGATTGATCACAGGTCTGTATCGCACGAGCAACATTTTTCACCCAACGGGGCTTTCCAGACAGTGCTTCCGTCGCTCCGCCGTACTCTCCTGAAAGGGAAGGCTCACCGCAAGGCACCCGTGTGGGGAGGCAAACATCTTGCATATCATCACCATCTAACCGGCCATTGCCTCGTGCGAGATGGCATTTATTCCGGCAGCCACTCGTTTGGACCTCGGATTCTTGCTAGCGCTCATGCTGACCGCTCCATCCAAAAACCAGTCTGAGGATATCTGGCTCGGTCATCGCCTGGTTTTGGAGCTCTGGGCTCTTAGCCACGCGGTACATCCTGTGATATCCTGCGGCTGGTATGAACCCCGAATGCATTGCCGATTGTGAAGAGGGCTGTTCGCCGCTTACTGTCCCCAGCACGAGATCAGATTTCAGCCTGAACACATTACAGATCTACAAGGTGAGCCTTGGTATCGGTAGGCTCAGTTGGTGATTGGATATTGTCTGCGCCGTATGTAAGGATGACTGCTTGGTCATTGGTTGTAGATCATTTCAGCAGAATGTGAACGTAGCTCATGTATGAGGATAACTCTTTCGAGGCTCTGAAGGAGGATGCCATAATCAGTTGGGATAAAGGGGAGATTGGCAAATGGTTCGGGCTGTGAAATGGTTTATGGCTGATAACCTTTGTAATAAGCAGGCTATATAAATAATGAAGTTCTATTGTTATACGATTCATCCTTGTCCAATAAGGTTTGCACTCGTTTTACTACTTTCCTTTGGCGAACAAGGTGAAGAATTGATGTAAATAGCTGAAATATGTCATGCACTCACTGATGCGGATGGGGCGCCATGTCGCGCGCAGCTTGAACTTCGCGTCCACCGGCAAAAGTATCTGCTACGCCAATTCCTCAAGTCTTTCACCATGAAGCTCGTTCGGTGTGTATTCAAAACTTATGTCACTATTCTTACATTGCTAACTCGTCTTTTCGGGACCTTTGTTACTGTTGCTTCCTTCGACACTGCGTTCACCTTTGCAAACGATTTGATCGCGTTTAAATCCAATATATGACGCGAAAACTCACAAAATGCGCGCTTATGTGCATATTTATCATCGACGTGCCCATTGCACCGTGCATCGCAAACCTTGCACCGACTCGACCAACCGGATCGCAGGTTTTTGATGAAATTGAATAATGAGACGGTGACAATCGAACTCAAGAATGGCTCGATAGTTCACGGGACGATTACTGGTACGTTTAACTTCCCTTCGGTGTCGATAGATTCGGTTTGGCTGACGTTTGGATAAAATTGACGCGTACTATCGCAGGCGTTGATATGCAAATGAATACGCATCTGAAAACAGTTCGTCTCACGGCGCGAAATCGCGATCCGCAGCCGCTCGACTCGCTCTCGATCCGCGGAAACAATATTCGGTACGTCTGTAACCTGAAATGTGAATCATACTAACGGCTTTGTTGTATAATAACAGGTATTTCATCCTCCCCGATGCTCTACCACTGGATACGCTGCTAGTCGACGACGCGCCAAAGCCAAAGTCCAAGAAAAAGGAGGAAGCAGCACGTGGAAGAGGAGCACGAGGACGTGGTGGACGAGGAGGCGATCGCGGCCGAGGAAGAGGTCGCGGACGCGGCAGGGGCATCTAAAACGCTGTCGACCGCAGGATAAGACATGCAAAATCTGTGGGTATGATCTTTCTGACTGCTGTGGGACGATGAGAATAGCGCTTTGCTCCTTGCTTGTCTAACGGTGCTGTAGAATAGTCCAAGTTCAACGAGACTTGTCTATTACATCACGTGGTCACATTAGTGAGAGTAAGAGTACGCTCTGTCGCTCATAGGTCGTGTCTATACAGCTCCACCAATGTCCATGGTCTCGCGTCTCGCCGCTTGCTTGTCTTTTGAGCGCTCGTTGGCTGAGGGAATGTTAAAATCAATTCATGATCAGATCAAGCGAGTACATACGGTTGTATTTTAAAAGTTTTTCGATGAGATCAACATGAGTAAGGACCATTCGACGGCAGCAGTATCGCTGCAGTCCCAAGTCTGTCAAAGCGTCTCTTCAGAAGGATTAGTTTCAAATCAAGACAAATCAACGAGAAACTGTACCCTTCAGCGACTCCCTCCGCCAATAGTCGCATATACTCTGTCCATTTGTCACCCACAACTTTTCCGCACGTAAAGCATCGCACGGGAATAATCTACTAGCAATTTTGTCGTCAAATTCGGGATTTTGTGCGAGGAAAACAAAAACTTGCCATGGTGGTTGGGACAAGGAGACCTGGACTCTGCTACCATAATCATCGACTCAAAGGCATCAATAGCGCATCTGAAACGCGTCTTATTTGCTTCCGTTGGGTCTCTTATAGGCCCCGTTGGTCTCGCCAGCAAAACCTCTAGTCAAACTGCAATGAAAGGACGGTTCCGGTTTCAGGACAAGAGGCACCCCAAGCCGTAATTCGGTTCCAGATCGATGACAACAGTGGAGAACGTCAAACGCGCCACGGGAGCTTGGGGTCCATGACGTCTCCTCTCATCACAACCGTCCGTCGAGCAGACGACAAACAAATAGTTGCAACTTGAACTGCTCCTCTTCTTTCAGTTTATTTGTCGGTGCTGTAGCCATGTCGCAGCCGTACAGGTGAGTACACCAAACACCCTCGGTGGGGCCCAACTCACAATCACGGGCAGCGAGAACAACCCCGTGCCGACAATTCAGAAGTATGAAGACGATCGAGAAAGACAGCAGAAAGAACTTGAGAGAGAAATCGCCAACGGTGACTCTGTCGACACCAACGGAAATGCCGCATCCCCTGACGATGACGAACATGACGACGAGAACAAGAACCTGTCGCAGGGACAAAAGGAGAAGAAGGAAATGATGGAGAAGATGAATGCTAATCAGCAAAAGCCCACCGATGCCGTCAAGCGCCGGCGAGGAGAGCGTGTCGTGGACGATCCTGTGACGGGCCAAAAGGTGGTGATCAAGGACGCGCAGTTCAAGGGTACGTATGCTTCCTCGATTTTTCTGCCTTCTCACAGTTTGTCCAGACTTTCCTAACCAGCAACAGCTTGACCCAAAATCGGGCAAGGCTGGACCGGCGCTGCAAGGTGTCACCGGCGCGGCTGGAAAGATATTCCACCAGTCGCGTACGGCGCCAAATCCAGCGCATCCGTCGAATATTTCGCTTCAACCATTCCCTCCATCTACCCCACCTTCGCTTGGCAGCATCATGAACTTGCTGTACTATCTCGAATATGGGATTATGGCATCCGGCGTCGTCCTCTGGTTCTTTATGGCCTTTGGGCATGGATTCTGGGTCTGGCTCATCCGCAGTGTTTTCATTTCTGGTCTGGCATTCGGAGGTGCGACAGTGGCAAGTCTCGCACAGCGGAAGCTAGAGCGGGAAGTTGAACGTGTGAGGTTTGATATGCACAGGCAACGTAGGTATTCCGCAAAGCCTGCTATCACTCTTACTCATTTTTTTGGTAGGCGGCGAGAAATATGCACCTCCTACACCAGAATCAGTCGAGTGGCTAAACGCATTCACCAAAGTTATCTGGGGTCTCATCAATCCCGACATGTTTGTTCCAATTGGTGCGTAGTCATTTATCACCAGACGTTCTCTAACAGAGCTACAGCCGATACGATCGAGGACGTCATGCAACAATCTCTGCCCAAGTTTGTTGAGGCCGTCCGCATTTCCGATCTTGGGCAAGGAACCAACCCGCTCCGCATTGTCTCTATGCGCGCACTTCCGGACCAGCCCGGCGAAAAGGAGTATCCACGAGAGGAGTGGATTGATCAGGGCACAAATATGTTGCTGGAGCAGGCGAATAAGGACGCCAAGGCCTCTGAAGGCAAAGATATGGACCAAGCTGGAGACTACGTTGTACGTGTCTCTGCGCTCTTGTCCTCACAATGCTCACGCTCCATTGCAGAACTACGAAGTCTCATTTGCTTACCAAGCTTTGCCTGGTCAAGGAGATCAGTTGAGATCGAAGAACATCCAGTACGACTCCCGAGCCGCGTATTTGGGCATCTCTGACGGCGTCTTAGTCTCTTACTCGAGTTCTTCTTGGGTTTTGCCGACTGGGTTCACATCCCGATCCCTATTTGGGTCCAAGTCGATGGTATCGCCGGAACTGTTCGTCTTCGTATTCAGTTCATTCCCGAACCTCCATTTGTACGAAACGTAGGGTTTCGCGTCAGATCTCGTATTGCACACATTGACGAGTTATAGCTCACGTTCACACTCATGGGCGTTCCGGCGGTAGACGTTTCTGTTACTCCTCTCATCAAGCGTCTTCCCAACTTGCTCGACCTCCCGCTCATCTCGACTTTCGTCAAGATGGCAATTGCTGCTGGCGTGAGTATCAGACACTTAGTAACGATTGTTACTCACATCCATCCCAGACAGCATCTCTCGTTGCTCCAAAGAGTATGACATTGAATCTCCAAGAAATGATGAGTGGCGCAGCGATTGGCGGTAAGTGCTAACATCATAGGATGGAAAATCGCCTAATATGCGTTTAGACACCCGTGCTCTTGGTGTCTTCATCATCCGCATCCAGTATGCAGAGGATCTCTCCGCCCAGGATCGCAACGGAAAATCTGATCCGTATATTGTTCTCGCATACGCCAAGGTTCGTTCCCTACCAGCAGGCAGTATCGAAGTGCTCACATTACGGTAGTTCGGCAAGCCGCTGTATAGTACCCGAATCATTCTCGGTGACCTGAACCCAGTCTTTGAAGAAACGGCATTCATGCTTGTGACACAAGAGGAGGTCAAGGCTGATGAACAGCTAGCAGCTATGCTGTGGGATTCTGTACGTACCGTTTGTTGCGATAGACTTCGTTTGCTTATTCCCCTTAGGACAAACATAGCGCCGAGTATGCATTAGATTCTCCAGTAACTCACAAGTTGCTAACCAGCATCTAGTGATCTGATTGGACGCGTCACGATTCCCGTAAAGGAAATCATGGCGACTCCAAACAAAATGGTCGATCGCATCGACACACTGTCAGGCTACGAAGACGCCAACGCGATGTCTGGTAAACTTCAGTCAGTACTCTACGGTTCATCTAAGGACGTCCCTGACCCTTGGTTTTAGTTGGAGCATTGGCTATTACGACAAGGTTCCACTCAACCGCCAGCTCGAGCGTCCATTGGATCCCCCTCCACCGGAGAAGAAGACCTCGGCAGGCGCGTTTCAAGATCTCACAAGGGATATGCACTGACGAGTCAATAGCCATGGAAATGCGCCCTGGAGACAAGGCTCCGAATCCCGCTGCAAAGGACGGCCCACCGCCTCCGGCAGATGTCCAGCGTACTCCTCCAGATCCGAAATATCCTTCTGGCATTCTCGGTGTGGTCATCCATCAGATTAACAACCTCGAACGCCAGAATCTCAAAGGTGCCTCTGGAGACCGCGAAGGTCAAGCTGGTCAAGATACGGACGAGCCCTCTGAACAAGGAAGCAATCTCCCGAGCGGATATTGCGAGATTGTCATCAATGACGACCTTGTATACAAGACGTGAGTTGAGCTTTGCGACCTTTAACGGGTATTAACTGTCTCAAGTCGTGTCAAGCAATACACGACCATGCCATTCTTCGAGGTAAGCTGAACTAGTATAGCTTGTGCTGATGCTCATGTTGCTTTACAGGCTGGCACAGAAGTCTTCGTTCGGGACTGGAAGGAGACTGTTGTCCGCGTCGTAGTTCGCGATTCACGACTGAGAGAGAAAGATCCAATCCTTGGTATCGTCAACTTGCCTCTCGTCGACATCCTCAAGGAAAGCTCTGAAGTGACCAGGCTGTTCTCTATCCAGGAAGGTGTTGGTTTTGGGTAATTTGGTGCATCTTCTTCATGAAGCAACCTAATACTTTGCATAGTCGCGCCAACATCTCTATCCTCTTCAAAGCCGTCGATGCACAACTGCCACGGAACATGCTCGGGTGGGAAACTGCCACCATAGAGATCCTAAAGCCTATTCAAGTTAGCATCGACCCAGATTTCCAGTCTTCCTTCGCTCTCAAGAGCCAGACGCTCGTCGTCTCTACCACGGATAGCACAGAGAAGATCGGATCTGCAGAGACTAATGGAGACAACTCGCATATGACTTGGAATACGGAAATGGTCCGATTGCCTGTGTATAGTCGATATGCTTCGTCCTTGACATTCGATATTGGCTATAAAGCTGGCTTCGGACCTCTCAAGGGCCAAGCAGCAGCTTTGGCTGTTCAATGGCTCCAGGATTTGCCCGATGACGAGGAAGTCGAAATCAAGATTCCAATCTTAATGTCGAATGATCTCAAGACACTTCGGCAAAACTACATCAACGAGCATACCCCCAAAGGACACGAGTACAAGAGAATCGGATGGCTCACAACGACAGTGAGGGTTGACAGAGGCCTCGATCCTGTGAGTTTACCTTTGCTCCTATGTCATGTGGTGCTGACTTTCGGGATAGGATCACGAGAAATATGCAAGGTCGCAGTCCCGTCGCCATGCCTATGAGACCTAGTAAGCCCCACATACACTTGTATCATCACTTGCTAACCTAGTGTAGTGACCATATCGAAGGTCAGGCTATCGTGGCAGAAAAGCTCTCTCATGCCAATGACGATGGCGTCATTGACAAGAAGGAGAAAAGGGCCATCGAAGCTGCACATAATAAGCAATTGAAAAGTCGCCATCGAGGTATCGCCCAGTTCCGCCCTTACCGAACCGTCGTCTGGATGAAGGAGGGAATCAAGAGGCGTGTGACACCCAAGTCCAACAGCGGCAAACGTGAACGTAAGTGCATAGAGGCAGATGAGGTACTTGTAGCTGACTTTCTACGCAGCCACCGTCAAATCTGAAGCTTAGATATCCAGACTCGCCCCAAAAAGCTCGACTCGCTAACTAGATACTTCTTGTATGCGACTTACTATTCACGGACAGATTGAAGTCGCTCCCTGTATACCTAGCTAATCTTGTACGCTATGCCGAATACATTACAATTGTTCTCAACCTTGCCCTCTGCAATAACTTTGACCTTCACTTGACTTTGTCTAGCACCTACGTATTTATGCTTCGGAGTCTCTCGAGAATTAGGATCCAGCAGTCGAAACGACAGTTTACAACTTCGAGCCGTTGGAGGAGCGCTTTGTTGCCACGAACCATTCGTCAAATCCTCGACGCAGCACCAGAAACAGCGTCAACAACTGAAATAACTGTGAATGGGTGGATCAAATCTGTTCGGAGGCAAAAGGCTGTTGCATTTGCTCAACTGTCTGATGGGACAGACCTCAACTCTCGAGGACTGCAGATCGTGTTCGGCAAGCCTGAGATGGCAGAAGGGTACGCTCTCGTTCGTAACGTCTTTTCGCATATCTGAAAGTACATGTCTAGATTAGATTTAGGCACGAGTGTATCGTTGGTCGGAGCTATTGTAAAAAGTCCTAGCAAGGGCCAGAGCTACGAATTCGCGGCAACCTCCGTCAAGATTTTAGGGACCTGCATTCCAGAAGTGCGTTTGCAGATTCACATTCGGTAAGGAGTCTGATGTTTGGTAGGAGTATCCTATTCAGAAGAAGGCGCACACGACAGAGTACCTACGCGAGCATGCAAATTTCCGACCACGTACGGATGAGATTGCCAGGATGTTACGGTTGCGACACGCCGCAAAGAGAGCCTTTGAGGATTATTACGAGGTACGCCACGACTAGGGGGAACAGATGAGAGACTAATTGTGCTAGGTCAATGGCTTTACGAGTATCCAAGCCCCGGTTATCACGAACAACGATTGCGAAGGTGGTGGCGAAGTCTTCCGGGTTCTGCCAGACCAGAATGACCCCGGAGATGGTGAGAGCAAAGAGTCGTCGCACTTCTTTGGTAATCCGGCGTACCTCACTGTCTCATCTCAACTCCACCTCGAGGCATTTGCCTCGGCTTTCTCGAGAGTTTATACACTTCAGCCGGCGTTTCGAGCCGAACGTTCTCATACGAATCGACATCTCTCCGAGTTCTGGATGCTAGAGGCTGAGATGGCATTTGTCAACGATCTTTCGGTGATCATGGATGTCGTCGAAGCCTCAATCAAGCACGTCATACGGGATACAGCATTTCAAGAAACTCTAGCTTCTGATTCTCAGAGGGCTCAACTCGATTCTATGGCATCGGTACCGTGGAAGAGGATCACATATACCGAGGCAGTTGAAGCGCTGCGTCAGGGGCTTGGTGTAGATGCATTCGAATGGGGACAGAACATCTCAGTGGAACAGGAACGATGGTTGGCAGATAATGTTGGGGGCGGACAACCTCTCTTCGTCACAAATTATCCAACGAACCAAAAACCCTTTTATATGCGAGTGAATACGGATGAATCGGACACAACAGGGAGTACAGTGGCCTGTTTCGACCTGCTTGTGCCCAGAGTAGGCGAACTCGTAGGTGGATCGTTGAGAGAGGAGAGAGTAGACTATCTCGAAGCTGCTTTGAACAAACATGGGCTTCCTGCGGATCAGTACGAGTGGTATACTGAACTTAGAAGGTGCGTATCGCTGCTTTCTCTACACCACTTCCGATGCTGATGGTGCATCAGATTCGGTACGACACCTCATGGCGGCTTTGGTCTCGGATTCGAGAGATTTATATCATGGGTTGGTGGATGGGAAAATGTTCGCGAATGCATACCTGCCCCACGTTGGAAAGGTCGCTGCGTCCTTTAAGTCTGCTTCGTTCAACCCGTAATGTATTACGCTCCGAATCATAATTCAACACGATATAGAGATGGGTTTACGCGCCAGGCGCGGGGACGGCTCCGTCTGTTGAGGTGCCTTCTTCAGCCACTGGCTTCTGATTATCCGCCGAAGGATCATAAGTTTGAATCTCAAACTTCAAGTCCTGGCCTTCAAAGACCTCGTGAATAAATTTAGGCTTCCTTCCGGGTACCCATGTCCGTACGTCCAGTATTAGGTACTCGGTGACTTCTCTTGTTTGGACTTGGGGCTCTCGGCGCTGTAGTTCTCCATAAGGACCATTTCGGAAGCTCTCGGTAATAGTCATGGTCTGTGTAGGGTCGATGAGTCGAGAGCCGGCTAGCCTGCGTAGCAACATACCTGAACAGACTCGAATTTGACGAGCATGTTGACGTAAAGACGGTCTCCAGTAAGATATGCTTTGCTGTATGTACCAAAGTAGTCTATGGCTCGTATTGAGAGACATTGAGGGGGATTGATCCAGTGTCCAAACTCCCATTTGTAGTCGACTGGATTCTCTATTTTGCGGCAGTCACTAATGCGTTTAGCGCGCTTCTCGAGTTCAGTGAGATATGTCTTGTCTGCAAAGCGGGCCAGATTCGAGGTTTTACCCCTGAAAAAATCGTCAGTGTGTATACACGGATCATAGTCACGCGTACTCTGAGACGGCGGCATTCATCACCTCGTAGACCTCTGCAGCCTGGAGGAGAATACCCCGCAACGGAGAATTCTCGCCGGCCGAGAGGTCGGTCAATATTGTATCCTCCTTCTTGCGTGCTTTTCTATCCTTCCAATATGATCCCAGTGCCGTTATGTCGCGCTCCGCTAATTTGCCCGCTGGCCAGGTGTAGCCTTCAAACCGTTGGTGTTGGGCCATTTGCAGCATTCTGGACGGCGAGGAAATTAGCTTGAGCAGGCTGGAATGTGTTGTACGTACGCGTCGAGGCTCGCATTGTAGTCTCGAATCCGCCGATTCCAGTGTGCCAGCGCTTTGGGCCCCTTTTCTTTGCGCTCGTTGTAGTATGCGATGGGATTCGGAAAGCTGAGATCCCAGTTTGCTGGACGCAAAAATCGTATGAGGCCACGGATACTCCAATTGTAGGGATTCCAGAGCTTTTTGAAGAAAAACGGCCAGGTCATAATGTCCTGAGGATAGTACGGGATGTACAGCTCCTTCATGTCCGCTGGCCTGTCGGGAACCATGTCGACATCTACTTATGGTCAAATGACTTGTAAATCTGTGAGACTATGAAAACATACTCAGGGTCGGTAAGGGTTGTTCATCGATCATATTCCGTGAAACCCCTCTAGTACCCATTCTGTCAAGCTGAGCAGCACTCTCTCGTTGTTTTTCCTGCATTTCTGACACTTTGGCGGGGTCAGGAGTGCTTGGTAGGAGCGCAGCGTCGCTCGAAGCCATCCGAATTCGAGTGCGCTGGGGTCGAGCGGGATGTATTTCAAAAGTATGCTTGTATATTCGCATTTTTGGATGCATACTGGCAAGCGTTGTCTGTCCAGCAACCCGTGAAGGTCCTGCTACTTGGCGCACGAACATTGTTGGCAGCCAGTTGACAGCGTATCCACTCTGTAGTCCTGTCTTATGAACACAGCTTGCTTTCTTCTACTTGATTTGCTGCTGGCAAGTGCAGCCCACGGCTCGTCAAAGTGTTGGTCGAATCAAAAAGTAACTTGGACTCTTCCTCGTCAGCCTTTCTCCACCAGCCTTTGCTCTACGACCACATATCCATCTAGAAAATGCCCGTACGTCGTCTTGGTCTATCTTATATTCTCATTTCTCCAATGCTGACTGTACACTTGCGCCTTTAACAGCGCTCGCGAGGATCACGACCTGCACCCCGTTCTGCTCCTTCCTCGGCACCTTCTGGATCTCGCTCAGCCTCTAGTGTAGCTGCGCCAGCTCCCCCAGCTCACGCTCCGCCAGCGACGTCGACCGGCCAAAGCCAAGGGCCCGGCATGCTTGCGCAAATGGCAGCGACAGCCGGCAGCGTTGCGGTCGGCTCCACCGTTGGACATGGAATTTCTCACATGCTCTTTGGTGGAGGACGTGCGCAAGAGGCATCCGACGCGGCCCCAGCTGCTTCTCATCAGCAGACTACCGCTGCTGGTGGCAGTTGTGAATTCCAAGCTAAAGGTTCGTGTCGTACTTATGTTTTTTCTTGCATCAGAAACCATGGTTCTTCATTTATAAACCCTCGCTTTCGATTGGGTAACAGTTTGGAATTGAGCCATGGAGACCTGCATGCGCTTATATAATCAAGTTTTAACACGCTCTTCTAGAATTCACCAAGTGCCTCGACGCTACAGGGTCAGACGTCCAGACTTGCAACTGGTTCTTGGAGCAACTGAAAGCTGTGGGTTTGCGGCTTTCTCTATTGATATTATACTAATCATTCATTCAGTGCCAAGCTGCTGCCTCTCGCTACTAGTTCTAGCATAGCTTGGTTTTTGGAGTTGTGTCGCGTTCCGAGGACCGGCATTACTCATCCTTTCTATAGTTTCATCCCGTCAATGAAAGGGTTCACACCATTTTACAACCAGATATGTTCTCAGAACGACGGAAGGGCGAGCTCTTACTGCATAAGGGAACGTGAATAGCGGGTCTGATAGAATACGGGACAGCTTCATCTTCGACTGGGTGATGGCCCATGAGACAATGACATGGATATCTCTATCATTCACAGCGCGGCGTTGCCCCGTGTCGAAGACATTGTCATCTCAAAGTGCGAATGAGCGACCTCGCGCCTTTGCTTAGGTATCGAGATTCACTCTATAACAGGGTTGAGCTGCTATGTGATACAAACGCCCGGATAGCAACTGCCGAATACGAACGGCAGGTTGGCTCGTAACTTGCGCATGAATACACCTCGACCTATAGGAGCCTACCGCCAAACGCACGTGAAGAGCGTCAAGTAGGACGAATAGTAATTAAGGTACATATTGATGGCATGATGGGCTGGACTATCCTCTGATTGGGCCAGTTATGGATCCTGCTCCAAGGAAAATGAAAGTGCTTCTGCGATCAAATCCCGCAGATTCAGTGCAATTTAGGCACGGAGGCCGTTTATATATGCCTGATGCTTCAGGGAAGCTCATTGTGCCGAGAATGCGTAAGTGTATCGCCGACCTCTTGCAATCGGTGCTCAAACCCTCGGAATAGCGTTCCTGCTAGGAAGCTGCGCAACAGGTAGTCCAAACTTTGTTAAACTTCGGAAAGGACCCGACGGCCTCATCTATATCACATGCGGATGATAGTAAGAAGGACACCTCCCTTGGCGTTGGTATTGGCCGCGGATCATTTAGGAGAGTTGGATCGAGTTGCCGTCGGTCCTTCCTCTGTTCAGTCTACTCATCGCTTTTGGAGTCGTTATACCCTCTAGAACGTACCATCTCCATCGTCCAAGACCGATATCCTACCGCTTTCAGAGGGCATATTTTACCGCACAGCGTATAAATCCAGTCGAACCAGTGTGAGGCAGATGCGCAGTTTCCTCCCTGGGTCGGAAAATGGTCCTCTTTGTTGCTCTTGCAGTCCTCTTCGGTGTTGTTACTCTTGCAGTCCCCGGTGTTGCTCCGTTTGCTTCTGCCATAGGCTCCCCATTTGGCTATACACGCTGCGAGTATCTTGGATAATTCTCCTTTCATAAGGTCTTATACTTTGTCAGCTACTACTGGAGGAGCCAGTGGTGTCACCGTTACTCCGACAACCAACGCAGAATTGATCACCTATTTGTCGGATAGCACTGCTTTGTGTTCTATATATGAGGCTTTGATGCCTTTGTTGACAATTTGAATAGCGCACGATCATTTTGACAAAAACATTCGACTTTACCCACTGTACGCCTTCCATATCTGTTGTAGCCTTTATCTAACTCGCCTTAGACCGCTCGACGACTGAGTATATATTGCACTAATTTGGTCGTTTATTGTTGACTCTGGATTAGCACCATCTGCAAACCTTGGTCCTGCTCATAGGTTGTTGCAAGGCTCGCAAGCCTTTGCTGATTGGACCCCGGGACTAATCCTCAGCTCATGATTGATGGTTCCAATCACTGGTGTGATAGCTACGCATGAACCAAAACAACTGGGACGTACTACAATTCGGGAACTAGCACATCCACCAACCGCAAGGTCGGGAGTAACAAGAGAATACTTGGCCAAGGAAGCTCTGCGGGAATGTTTGTGACCAGCTTATTCTTCAGAATGTCTACTGACTACGCCGTAGCAAGGGCATTGGGCTGCGCATCGCTGTACGTATAGGTGTACTAAAGTATCAGGACAGAAATTGACGAAAGTAGGGGTCAAGCAATGTCATTGTCCAAAGTATGTCGAATTAGGATAACAAGGCCCTTCTAACCACCAGTAGATATACATATCACCGACATCAAGTACGTGCACAGGTTGTCAATTGGTTCAGTATGCTGATCCACTTAGTGCGAAGTCAGTACGTACGATTGCACCGACAGGGGACAATTTACAGTTTGTAGTCAGTCTCGACGGCGCTTCCAAAGTTTGGGTACATCATTCAGCAGGAAAATTATAGGTTGCTAATATCATATCCATAGATTGACCACAACCACATCCAAAACATTGGTCGCCAGTTCCTCGTCAAGTATGTCTCCACAGTGATGGAAACGTATTTGACCATACGTCAGTGGATTCAACCCATCTACACAAGTGTCCATCTCCAATGACTACCTTGACGGGCGCGCTACGTACTCGACTGGATGTGACGGCGACCACCATGGGGTTGCACTTTTTTCTGGTATGTTATATGTGCTCGTCAGCTTCTGCCAATACTCAGAGAACCATAGGAACTGGTGATGAAATCACGTTCGCTAGGGTGGGTAGTGCCGTGAGTCGCCTCGCATCAGTGTATCATCTGGCTTCACCTGGGTCCATATCGCCAATAGTAAGTGCGTGGTCAGGCGAAAGATAGTCACTTACAACTATTTAAGACTACTTTGACAAGACAACATTACGGGTCACGCGTTGGTACGTAGTATTCCATAAGCACATACTTTATCTCTCGTTTGGGTACTAGGACTCGGATACAACGGCTGTCGTGCTCGCCGAGGGCAATTACTTCGTACGCCACAATATATTGCACTTTTAAATGAGCTCACAAATTTCGTTCTTTCATCTCCGCCTCTAGAACTCAGTGACCACGCCCTCTGTTTCAGGTAGCGCCGGCAAGGAATACTTTAGCACAACTGCTGCATACGTCTCGACGTGTACCTCTGTACTTGGTCACGCGTGTCAAGCCAACCAACTTGTCTCTTCTGGCTCAGTCTCCGGTGCGGATAGTTCTGTGCTCAACACTTTTGGTCCCGGTAAGCCTGGGTTTCTATCGTGCCCTGTGGCGCAGTCTCTGTTCTGTTTCGACCTAGCTTGGGAAACGGCTGACACTACGATGCATTATATAGAGCCCGCCGCTCTTCGCTACGTTCCGATGGCTGCAAGCACAGTACCCGCGTTTGTTAAGGATAACGCGGGAGTGGGTATAATCCACTAGTCCTTTCGGCCACTAGCTCGTCCCCTGTTTAACCCGAACTTGTGCTTTGAACACGACTTCCCTTTATTTTCCCTTCGCCTCGCTGACCCCATCAAGAACATTACCTGTGGTTTGGGGCACCACTCGGAACATAGTTATTACGATCACTAAGATGACCGAATACGAACGTATCGTAAGAAAGGGCGACTGCCAGGCTCTGTATGCACCGAATTCCGGACCGTACGAGCACTCAGATGCAGAAACCTGAATTTTGGGGACACAAATTCATTCCGTTCAGCTCAGTGACACCCCAAAGAACAGTCGCAAGCCAAAGTCCTGACAGCGTTAAGAAGCTGCAGGAGCCAATCACTCCGCCTTACTTCGCCTCACGTTCGCCTCGTTGAGATTTCTATGTCTATTAGCACTAAGAAGAAGAAAGCCCTTCGGACGCATCGTGTATGTCACTCAGGACATGCATACCATGTCTCTCAGGAGGCAAAATCACTCCCATTGGTGACCAAAATATGCATCTGAGGCGTCTTCATCTCGTACGAGGACATGCTCTGCTCTTCCCCAAAGCCGGTGACCATACCCACGAGGCGATCGAGTGTGGAAGTTTGCTTCTTTGAGGTATCCTATCCTTAGATAATCCGCACTAGATAGTTTTACACCCCTATGAGGTTCCCTCCCTCACGGGTTGAGAGCAGCCCAGCATCGGACGCCGCGCCGGACTTGACAACGGCAGAAGCCTCGGCGAGGCTGGGGGAACGCCGTTGGTGTCGGGTCGGAATCAATTTCATTTTATATCGATCACATGAAATTATACGTCATATTGATTGTACATACTCCCAAGTTACTCAAGGCGATATACGTTATGGAGGCGGAACTAGTCAATTGATATTTCGATCAGTAATCGGCCTCAGTAAGGGTGAATGAGTCAAAACGGGCAAGGCTGCCGGGTGTGAATCAGCGTCCCCAGAAAACAGCTCCTACGCTCTGGACCAGAAGGCCCTGCATAGCTTTTGACGCATTCCTGCTAATTATTTAAGGTATGCATGTCGTTATGTTGGTTGTGAGGGAATTAAATATGCTTCTGGGAGGACTGAACCTTCCTAATCTGCATTGGTATACTATCTTGCACCATATTGAATGCTTCCGTGCTCAATCTCAACACTTGGCTGACATATGCACATCTTTTATACCGCGGGCCGATCTCGTCGGAAGGGTATGCGAACCCCCATGTTTCAAGGCCGGTAAGTTGATCGAAGCGATCGCTTGATTATATCTAGATCATATGACACGTTTAAAGGAGACGGAGGGCTCTTCTAAACCAGTCTCCTTGTGGTTTTGAACTCGGAGCATGCACAGGCGATCGAATGTGATCGAATCTGGTTTCCACTAGGAATGGTGATCGGTTTCATCACTCCTGAGCTATACCGATCACACAAAATTCGAGCGGGGGACGCGGTGGGGCTTTGTCGAAGTAGGCCGGATTCTGGCGCCTTTCTCCAGATGGTGGATTGAATCGAATTCATTAGTCCCCAGATACTTGGATCCGTCTCTACATTACCCCAAAAGCATGCGCTTTTGGCTCAACCTTGGTGGGTTGAGACTAGCGCAGCAGCGAGTGCCATACGTACCGCTTTGTCAGTGCGTCAAGGCGCTGCCTAGCACCGTAGGTCGCTGAGTCGGACAGTTAGCATTGCCCGACCGCGACGCGCAACAGGGAGTGTTCTGGTTGGGTCACCACGAGGTCTTCGTGAGGACTCGTCGGTGGATGCCGCGAGGTCATTTGCTGTGTATCCCGCCTTTATTCATTAGTTCACTTGCTAATGCACTGTCAAATGAATGGCAGTTCGACCAGTACTGAACGTCCACTGCATGCTGAATAGTTGAACGGTTGGATATTTCAATTCATATGAATTACGCGTTGCCGGAATCACAAAGGAGTGGTACAAGCTTAGTTGGGTATGTCATATGTGCGTTGGGAGGCGGCTTGCGGAGGGGAGTTGGCGGCGCTCGTGTGCAGGAGCCGTGTTACAGAACACGATGTCTCGATCAGAGTACAGCGTGCTCGATCATATAAAACTTCGATCGATCAGGGTCGTCACTGTCGCAACTCGCCATCCCGATTTGCAGTTCCGCTCCTTCCACCCCGCCTTCCCTTCAAAGCAACCCACTTCAGTATTCACTCTCATCTCGCATTTTCTTTTTTCATAAACTGTTAGCTTAAGCGTCGATCGCTGGCTATATACCCCTGCTACCTGGTCTACCTCTCAGGGTCTACAACCTTGCTCCTCGAGCATGGACCCCAATCATCCCAACCATGCTCTAGCGCGCACCTCACAACGAAGAGACTCGGCCGCGCAACTACCTGCTGTACGTCAGGTGAGCCCGACAATCGGCCAACCCGGACATTGGAGTGCGCAAATCAGCCACGCTACGATGCACGCAGGTGGGCCCTCTACCATAGATGGGGCCCACCCAAGTCGACCATTTCACTACGCTCTGCCTCAAGGCCATCCCCATGGCCGGATGCACGGGTCTGTCCCTCCGACCCCGTTATACTATCCAGTCCCTGGTATGTATATATGAATAGACTAAATTGTGGTTCGATGACATTCTCGACAGGTCATGCGACAAACTCTCCAGTTCAAATACCTTCGAATCCCCCTCCGTCCACTGCACCCACATCTGGTTCCCCGGCGTCGCCTATGCAGCCCGCAGTGCTTAGTTCAGATCAACAGTACCTTCAGTGGAGTGCTCAAGGGCTGCCAGGCGCGATGCGTTCGATATCTGCTGTCCGCGACGAGCGTGAAGGCTATCAATATCCCGTGAGTGTTTTCGTTCATCACCATCCATCATCCGATATCGTTGATTACGTGGACACGGGCTGACTATCTTATTCGATACCTTAGGTTGAAGTTGCAGCGCCGTCCGCTGCGGCGACGGGCAGCGACGTAGGCGCAATAAGACAACAACGACATCACTCCCTCGGAAATGAACCTTACTCGCTTTATCCACCCCAGCACCAGCAACTTCATCGCCGAGTAGCGTCGTTGCAGCATCCGTATGCGCCGACGGAGACGACAGCGTTCGTATCATACGATGGATCTTCCCAGAGCCAGCAGGATCTTCAACGTCAAGCATATATCCAGCCTCGACCATCCTACCCGCTCCCAGGCCCACATCAATGGTCTCCTCATACTCCACCCACTTCTACCTCCTTTCAAGTCGATATGCTCGCCAGACAACAGAGGCGAGGCAGTTTCGGCCAGTTTGCACATTCTCTACCTTCCTCTGCAATCCCTTCACCAACACAAGCTGCCCCGTCTCCTTCAGCCACATATAGGTTTCTCGGCAGGGAAGGTATGAACATGAGGGAACGAAGCGACAGTATCGCACCACCACCAACAGCATCCTCGTCGTCTTCCTCGGTTGCGAGTGGTATGGTTCATCCTGCAGCACGAATGGCACTCGCCCATCCTGAACTTAGCCCATCTGGCGTACCTTTGGACTATAACCTCCAGAGCTCGGCACTGTTACAAGGCACTGAATCCCCTGCTCTTGGGATTTCCACTGGGCCAACCCAAGAACTCCCCACTGAGGCCGCCGACGAACCGGATTCCAACGCCCAGGCCGCCAAAACAACAACAGGGGGCGGGAGACGCGAGAAACGCAAAGATAGTCGTCCGCACAAGTGTCCGACATGCGCAAAAGGTTTCCCTCGTCCGAGCGCTCTCGAGACGCACATGACAGTTCATTCCGGCGCAAAGCGTACGTATAGTCTCGTCTGCTTATTTGAACACAAACTCACGTCTATATGGCAACTATAGCTTACCCATGCCCGATCAAGACGTGCAACAAGTCGTTTGCTGTTCGTTCCAACGCTCGACGACATCTCAAGACTCATGGTATCAAGATAAAGACACGCGAGCGTCGTAGTCTCGCTACCACAGATGCAAGCACGTCTCTCACAAAGGGAAAGGGGAGGAAAGGTGGTTCCTCGTTGAACAAGGAGCGCGTTTACGAGGATGAAGAGAGGGATACATCTCCGAACAATGATGACAACGACGACGGCCTCGAGTCGGAAGAAGACGGTGACGAGCGAGTAGGCTTACAACCAATTGCATCGACTTCGCGAGCCGCCGTTCACTCGCATTCGACCGCAGCACAGTATAATCTCCCTCTTTTGGCCGATTCTACAACTCCTTCGACGTCTGCACATGCTCAGTCGGCGTACAAGGCTACCTCCTGGGGTGGGACCCAAACGACGAGCGTTGCGCTGACGCGTCCCACTACTCGAAGCAGTGCATTTCGATCTGCACCACATCGTGGCCACGGGAGTGTGCTCACAGACGATCCACTCGGCTTAGCTGGGACGGTGGAGATAGTACGCCAGGAATTTGATGTCCTCCAGCCTCCCCCTCCTTCCTTGGTGACGACTGGTTCGCTCCAGTCAAGCAATCCATCCGCCAATCCTGATACCTACCCCATATCCCTTGATCACAACGAGGCAACACTACGCGGTGAGGATGGTGGCGACGAAACGACGACGAGGAAGGCCGTTCGCCCTGGTGCAGATCGGAGCACTGCTGCCGAACGGCGTACGTCAAGGAGAAGGGAAAGCGGTAAAGGCTCGGAAACGTCCACTAGTATCGCGACTGGGGGAAGCACTGGTGGTGGTGGCGGACACGCGTTGAGGGCGCAGCGCGAGGCCACCGCGAGCGCACGTCGGACGCGTGGTGCCAGTGCTGCATCTTCTCATCGTGCACCAGTTTCCCGACCTGACGTTGCTTCGTCGCATACTGTCGGCGCTGAAGATAGCCCCGAGACTGGTGTTCGTCTTCCAGCGGATGCGACCTCTGTCCATCCGTCTTCACTCGAGGCAATCGAAGTCATCAATCAGTACTCCTCTGCTTCTCATGGTAGGAATGGAGACGATAGACCGTATGATATCGAGGTGCAGGTCGAGGGGGATTGGGGCGGTTCAGAAGGCGTCCTCAACGACCTCTCTGAGAGCGCTTTGCGCAATCTCTATTCCTCTCGACGTGAACCAGACCCAGCTTCCGTAGCTCGTGCCGTTCCATCCTCTGGAGAGATCATCTTGCCGGCCATGGACCAGACTGCGCTTGACAAGCTCATCGCGCCGCCGACACGTTGGAAAACGTTTGAACGCCAGAAGCTGATGCGCGAGAGGTTGAACGAGGAGCTGGATGGAGTCGCTGCTGCCAATTATACCACCATTGCTGCGCCTGGTACGACCACTCTCAGCGTAGGAGGCGTCTCAGGCGTCCTCGACCGCATGCTCGAGTATGCCCACGCAGATCAAGCTGGCATCCTCCCCCCTCGAATGGTCGATTATCCTGTGGTGGGAGGTCCCCACCCCTACACAAACACTGCGGTGTCCTGGCCGGCCTCTTCACTCACGAGAAGCGTGGCAGCACTCAGTGCTTCCATGGACCTGACTCCACCTGCGCTCGTTGGCACCTCGTCGTCCTTTCCAGATACCCACGATGTATTCTCAATCTCGGCACCTGAATGCTTCAACGGACCAGCTCATGCAGAGGAAGCCTTCGGAGGCTACATTCGAACAGATGGAACGCGTGTCCCCCATAGCATGTCTCTCTTCAAGAATGTAGACGCGCTCAAGAACTCGCCTCCATTCGACTTGCTCAACCTTTCCACCGTCGCGTTGGGTGTACCGCTTCCTGGTGAGCTTCGATTCTGATTCTCCCCTTCACCCTTTCTTTATTACTCTTTCTCGATTATTTCATTCTTACTCTTCGTCTTTTTATTTTTCGGTTCTTACTAGTTTCACCTTGCGTTCCACGCCGCATATGTCTCTCTCCTCCTTGTTGACGGTCATGGACTGACCACTCGTACCCATGCTTCGTCTCCACCCGGACTCAATCTCGCTGGCCGAATGTCAACCCTCGATACCCATCCGACTTTATGCTCGTCCGCACCTATATGCACGTATGCAAACCTTTATGCTCACATAGCCGTGCAGCCCAAGACTCCCGCGTTTCCTGGAGACAAAGCGGAAGAACGCGACTCGTTTTCGCCGACGATCGGTTCCAATCCGTACCAGAATGATCAGTTTGTCCTGCGACCCGTCTTACCTGGACCAGCACCTCATGTCAACGCCGCATCACACTTTGCGCTCAAGTCAGCTTCGATCCACAAACGTCCGTCGTCGGCGAGATTGGTGGTGGCGTAGCGTGTTGGTCGAGGCGCCTGGACCAGCTCCCCTGATACCCATACAAGAAAGATCCTGTCTCGCTTCTTGTTACTCTGACCGGTGGTGTGTATTTCTATTTTCTTGTGTAGCTCCTGTCTCCTTGGTCGTTTCGATCTCCCCACGCCCTAGAATATGGTTCGTCTAATCTCGTAGTTGTGTATCTATCGTACTATGTGTAAAATTTATGACCATATGCCCGTATGTTGTCTTGACTTAGATTTCGTAAATTGCGCTGATGCGTTTTGAGTGTACTCTGATTTCTTGCCCGAGAACAGAATTAACATGGCTTTATTTCTAAAAATATCCCTAAACCGACAAATACATTGCTTCTCAGCCGCCCACGACCTGAGGCAATATTGGTCAGCTACGTCAAATCAAACTGGCAGCCTTTACTCTGAATCAGTTAAGATCAAGAATAATCCAGCTGATTAAGAAGCTTCTCAGCAGTAGCGCGGTATGGAAACATAACACGGCCCCCAAATGACCAGCAATCCCCGGTAAGCGGATAGCCAAGCGCCAAATGTAGGCGCCTTGGATACGCAAGGGCTTTTTGTCCCCCGACATGGTACGTGTACACGAGGTATTTGAAAAAAAAATAAGCAGTCGAGCTGCTTTGTTCCCGTTATGTGGCCTATATTTATTCTCCGACAAGAAGAGTGATGGCCGTCAACCCGGACCAATGGCGTTTTCCATCCAACATTTTGGACCCCTACATATTATTTAACAAATTTAAACGTCCTGGAAAGACCGTTGCCCGCCTCAAATTAGTCACGTGATGCCTGCACAAAGATGCTGCAAGACCAATGAATAACACAATATTTAATTGCAATCCAGCAACCTAGAATCTTATTCTCATATCAAAGCCCGTCTCTTCTCGTTCTCGCCCTTCTCTGCATTGCTGAACCTCAGTCCACGAACAGCTCTTGCACTGCCCCACGGTTCGTTTCGTGGAGCTGAGGAATCTAGCAATTGATACGGCAAATAAAGGTGAGTAATAAATTTGAGTTGTCTTATTCAGTGGTAGAGCGCTATTCCAAATTGGGGCCCTCCGGATTGCTGGGGGAACTCCAGCTGCAATGCTGCGATTGTTATATTCGGAGGCTGAAAACTGAAAACAACCGAAAATGGATCCCAGGAGACGCTCTAACTCGAGCATGAGCCCTGATACATCGATTTAGCTGGCGCGGGAACGAACCACAAATTTCTCAGATTACGGGCCCGGAGCCTATCATCGTAGATAATAAAGGTAGTATATTATGACAGTTGTTTGGTATTTGCGGGATGTGCGTTCCGTCCCCGGCTACGCCGAGAGGAGGCGGGGTTGATATGTGGGCAAAAAGCGTAGTTCGCTACACAGCTGGCCTCATCTACCATGAGTAGGTCGCCTGCACGCACTCAGCATGATTTATATAAATAATATCACCCAATACGCCAATCTATGATATCTAGGATTCAGACGGCTATAACTAGCCGGTCGCTCTGTGTGAAGCGTAGAGATGCTCGACGTCGAAAGGACAGAGGGTTTGGATCGCGTTGATGCAGTATAAAATGTCCCGGCGCATCCCGACGAAGTGACGGAGGCCCATTCAAGGGATCGGGTGTCGGCAAAATCTAGATTGGCAGGCACGGATCATCCGATATGCCACGGATTAATTTGACAGACCAATTTAGTATGCGAAAAGTGGATGTACATGGCATATTTTGGCTGTCCTAACTGGCCGACGTAAGCTGAATTCACTTCACTTGTCAGCAAGTTTGGCTTCCAACGGAGCGCATTCTGGAACTTTGCTGACTATGAAACGCCTGTTTAATTTGCGAATGCTCAGTTCCGTGCAGCCGCGCGGTCTCATGAGCGCTAACTCGAAGCACGGGGGCTGGGACAAACAAAGTCAGATCTTGACCTCCACCATATCCAAACACGCCTCGCGCGTCAAGCACGCCTAACAACACAGCGTAAAAAGAACATACCCATAAATATTGCTAAGAATGCACCCCTCTATTGCTTTACAGGCTGCGGAACGCGAAATCGAGGAAGAGGAGGGGCGTGTTCCGCGCGAGTTTCCGACCCTACCACCACCATTCTTGCATTTCGCGCCTCGTTGGCACCAGAAACGACGAACAATGACAGGAGTGCTGGCTGGATACTTTGACCAGCCGCCGCGCAACGCGCCACTCCCCATCCTTCCCGGAGCACATGCCCTGTTGACGAGGACGGCAGCGCCCGCTGTCTCTGAAGAAGATTTAGTGCTACTGGAGAAAGAGAGGCGGAGACTAGAGGCGCTCGAACTCAAGCGTGCGCGCCCAGGGGGCGGCAAGCCGAAGAGGCTCGACTTTGATTCAGTGGATGACGTCGTTGTAGGAGACGTCAAGCGCATACATGATCGCTCATCAATACGTTCAGACTCTCCTTCGACAGATACACGTCTTCCATCTGTCGATTCCACTCCCCCCCTCACCCCCGCAACCACGCCGTCAATTTTGTCCGGTCAGGACGATGTCAGAGTGCATGTAGAGAAGAAGCAGACAGGATTGTCAAAGGGTGGTCGTCCCAGTAACACAAAACCGAGCACAAACAAGTCAAGCACTGTAGCTGCTACGTCGGCCAAGGACGCGTCGGATAATCGTCGCGGACGTAAGAGGAAGCACTCAGAAACGGAGAAACCTATGCAGCGTCCACGGGAGGTCAGAGATACGTCGGAAGGTGCTCGTCAGCGACGAAAGTCGCGCCCTGGTTGGAAAGGCTGGGTGGAGGTGGAAGGTTCACCAGAGCCAAAGCCCAATCTTATTAACCTCGATGTCCCTGTTGAAACTCTGGAGAATAGGACACGCTCGGGCAGAGTGCCATCGAATCTCCCACCAGTAGCTCCCCGCAGATCCAAGGCATCCACAAAAAATTCCGTTCGGACGGATTCGGAAACATTGGCACCCTCTTCGACCGCCACTCCGGCTCCTGCAGATTCTGCGCCCCTAGGTGATTTGACTAGCAATCCACCCAGGGTCGCGGACACAGCAGAAGTCTGACTGAATCCAGCATCTCATGTATACACTCTCTTGCTCTTCATGTACCTGCAGCATAGTTCCCTTCGTTTTGCCTACATTTAGTCACCCAGCTAGCTCTTTTCTATCCAGTCGTTTGATTCGGATCTTGCCTTGAGCACTTTGTGTCTTTGAAGCATTTCTCCTTGCCACGAAGGCCACTCTTAGCGTTGCATTCCACGTCTTGATTATCGAATAGAGCACGACAAGCGCTCAAGAGCCTGGCTTAGTTCGTTTCTAGTGCATGGGCCTGATTGCTAGCGCCACGATGTTCTGGCTGCTGATCTATGTCGCGGCAGAAATTTATTTCTACACCAATGAAGTGCTTTAAATGCAATCACCAACCGAGCTTTGCATGCATCAATGAATTATAAAGACTAGGTCATCACGAACCAGATAAGTGTTCCAAACCAAACAAAAATCGAGTTAGTAGCTTCACTATCTCTTATGCTTTCCTATGCTGCATCTCCCGTCGCTTCTGCTCCCGTCGCTCCATCGCTTCCTCTTTCTCCCTCTTCTTGACCTGAGTCTCACTCACTTCGTTGAGCAACTCTTTTGACCTTTGGAGATGTCTCTTGATGACTGTATCAAACCGCCACTCAAGTTCCTCATCAGATACACCCAATATCTGACGTTCTTGCGCTGCCTCTGCCTTGGCTTCTGTGCTATCTAAAAATGTCGGCATAGTATGATTTGGCATCTCCTCCGGCTCATCCATAACCCATTGACAGTCGAGACCCCATCCCCATTCAGGCGTTCCGCCGAGGTTCTCTTCTTCGGCTGCAGAGCCCCGCCACCATTCGACGAACCATTTGGCCGCCCTGCTGGTATCATGCACGCCTCCTGGAAGTAGGTAGCCCATCCTTGTCGCCAGTACCTGGAGGAATTCCTCTATCGAGTCGGTATACGGAAACACCGGCTGTTTGTTCTTTGGCTTGGACAGCAGGGCCGGGTATGGAGGCGCTTGATAAGATAAAGGTTAGAAAAATTATAATTATGTGCTGGGTGTTACCTTTGGGGTTCATACTGTTGAGTCGGAACAGAAGATATGCTGCCAGCTGTTCGTAGTCAAATAGACTCTCCTTCATTGCCACTTTGACATTTTCAGTATTCTGATAGTGCCTCCCTTTGGGTTACGTACGGATGAGACTTATTTTGACAGCCCGCTCCCTCGCTTCATCGCCGTAGCCAAGGAACGGCAGCATCACTCCAGGCGAGTCGATGGAATAAATCAACGGATCATCACACAGGCGCATACGATTTGATGTCGCACGGGTCATTCCAGGAAGTCGAGAGGTCTTCAAGGCATTTGATCGAGCTAGCTGATTGCTGAGTAAAATGGCGACAAATTATCGTATATACCCACCCCCTTTGATTCCATAACTTCGTAGATGATTTAGAATCGTAGATTTCCCTACGTTCGGCATTCCGACGACGAGCACGTTCAAATGTTGAATTTCTTTGCCATGCGTACGGGCGATATCTGCAAAACTATTAATAATAACGGAAACCATATGCTTCAACGTACCCGTTAGGTGTTTGTGCAGGCTACCCATAGACTTTCCGAGCTTTGCGGTCGTGAAAATAGTCTTATGATCGAAGTGCCGGGATAATGCCCGTTCAAAGGGCTAAAACAAGATATTACGTTTCGTTTCGCTTCATGTTTGTGACTTGACACACCACTACGCCCCACTTCGGAACTAGGTCGACTTTGTTATAGACGACTACACGCTCTACTGGTCCAGCCAGACCACCACCTCTATTTTTTCGCCACTTTTCCAACATCTCTTCAAAGTTTGGATTGATAGAAGTTAAGGGTAGTCGCGCATCCCGTGCTTCTAAGACAACATGTGTATTCGATAGTAGTTGCGGAAGATTTTTTGCGAATAGGGCCATGTGTCCTGGATACCACGAGCTTGCAGGAGGTAACGGCGGTAACTTTGGCACCATGGCGCGAACGGAGAAGTAGAGTAGGAGAGGGTTCGATTGACAAACAAGGCTATTACAATTTCGCTTTTACTTGAGATGTCTTATCAAACTGACCCTTTTCCCACATGCTGAGTATCAAACCCCTGTCCGGTCCAATTTCTCCATTGACGCATTCCTCGTACGCTTCTATGACTTCCTTGACGTTATCCTGCCAAATAGCAGCACCGCTCCACCAAACTCGCTCGATTTGGATCCATTGATGGCATGTCCTCATCAACGCATCCCAGCCGGCAAACTGCAGTTGCGTAATCTCCTTGACGCTAGTATTCGTCCTCCGCACAGCCAACCACTCCGGCATGAAGAACATTTCCAACCGGGAGTTGCTATTAGCGAACGACTCATTCTCCTTTGAGGAGGAGGGATGAGACATTCCCAACGAGACACCTTTGGCGATGTGAGATCCGAATGATTTGAAAACCTTATTGTTAAACTCTTTGTTCCCAGCAACGTCGACATACACCCAACGGGAACCACGTTTTGCTAGTTCGTTGATTTGGTCGTATGTAAAGACTTCGTCATAGAGCCTCAAGCTTTTGGTAAACTCGAGATTGCGTTTGGAAGTCACTCCAACGATACGAGGTTGGGCTGTTCCTCCGGTCCCCGTCCAGTCAGCACCTGCTGGGAGGGCCACTTTGCCATACAGGCGACGGAGATTGAGGACAAAGGCAAGACAGTATGCCGTTTTTGCCGAAGCAGAGGAGATGATGATTCCGTCCGTATCCTTGGCTACCTTGGTCGTATGGAGCCAGTCCTCGCACCAAAATGAGGTCCAGAATAGTGGACGGTAGATCATGAGCTCATCCTCCCTCATGGGATCGTAGAGCGGATCCGCTGCACAGCGTGTGATCTGGTTGTACGGTCTCCTATCTTCAAAGCACTTTAGAGGACACCTTATCACTGGGACATGATACGTGCCTTCTGGGAGATGTGGTCTGGGCACGTAGAAATTGTACTTGTTGACATCATGGTCCACCGGTAGTAAGAGATACCGGGACATTCCTAAATATCCAAATACTCGCTCGCCAACAGAAATGCGTGGATGCGTCGATTGAACGACAGTTGCATAACCCCAGACGGGAATGACTCCATGTGTCTTTGACGACGTAGTGTTCGTATTTGGTGCGTTGTGAAATTCAAAATATCTTGAGAGCGTCAGACTTAGGAACAAGGGGAGACGAGCATTTACCGGAAATGTGGGTCTTCACCAAGCAACCCATAGGTGACATTATTCGCACTAAACCCAAATCTGTCCACCTTTAATAGAACATGGTTTGGCGGGATGATACCACCAACACCCATGCCCTCAACCTGAGAAGACACGACAACCGGCCGAGAGAGGTTCGACGTCGCATCAGAATATAGACCTGAGCCTCGTTTTGGAACACAAAAGGTGAGATTCTGATAGTCTTGGACGCTCGTTGTTTGTTGAGGCATTCTACTCGATGTGGGCTCGACGAGGTCGGGGTTCAAGCGGGGCACCGGCTTTCATTAACCGGTGGGGATAGCACCACATAAGCACGGATCTGAACTGAATACTGTAGAAAAACATGTCTATACAACGCAGAGCCGACCAGACGCCAATCGAATGGCTACAAGAAGAATAATATGCATGAAAACGAGCCCAACAGATATTCTTAAATCTCCTCTTCCATCTTCATCGCCTTCCTGCCAAACATCTAACCCAGCGCAGGCCACCCCAGCAGCTTGAATCCACAAGACCGGATGTAAGCGCTCACAGACCTTTGAGAGCGAAATAATCTTGAGTATGAGGATTATTGTGCGAAGTGTTCTCCATCTCGTTCTTGGTAGACGTGCGTACGCCCGAACTGGGGCGGGAAGAAGAAGATTCGTGAGTGGATCAACAAGGTCCCCATGGGTCGGGGAATGAATCTTGCTGATCAATGGAGAAGATGGACGAGTTTCACCGGTTGATGCTGGGGGCGACTCAGACGGTCGCTTTAGCCTCAGTGTTTCAAGGGGCGAGAGACTCCGTTTCTCTCTAGACGATGATCGCCGTCGAACGACCACTGTACTTTCCCCATGTCTAAGTCTGCTTGGAAGCTCCGGCTAATAGGTTTTTGTCAGTATGGGTAGCGGCGCGGATGATTCGCTTACAGAAGACGAATCCTTTAATGCAAAAAGGACCCTTTCGCTCGTTGGGCGCTCCCTCGGATTGCGATTCAGTAAACTTTCCAAGAGCAACAGAGTAGCCCGCGGTAATCCGCGTCTCTTGCACGTAGAAATCACGTCTGCTGTCGCCTTCCATCCTGGATATGCGAGTACCTCTCGTTCGATCCCGTTCACATCAGAAGGGTCAATTTCCGGATAGGGGAGGCGGAAAAAGATGAGTTTATGAAGAATGATCCCAAGACTCCACATGTCTGACTTGGAGTCGATTTGAAGGAGCTGACCAGTGACAGGGTCTTTTGCCAGGGCTTCAGGAGCAGAGTATTCCACCCTAATATAATGAATACTCCATTATTGAAATCTAGTGTCACTCACGTTCCGGTATTCCCTGAGCGTACACGCGATGTTTGCAACGCGTCTTGAGAGGTTCCGAAATCGGACAACATAGCTCGCTGTCTGTTCGATGTTAGGCAGTCGTGAGAGTGACAATAACAGTGCGTACATGAGGCGATCATCGTCTTTAGTCAAGAGTACATTGCCCAGTTTGAGATCCAGATGAAGAATCGATCGATCATGCTGATACCGGTCAGCCACCACATCCGTTTCTAGAAGAAAGCTTACCAAAAACGCCAATCCAGAGACGATATCGTTGAAAAAGCTCTTGATTTCTTCCGGACTCAAGAGATGGACACCAATAGAGGAAGAGCGTTGCCTTGTACCATTTGTATTCACCGAACCAGAGGCATGGCTCTGCTTTGCAGCCTTGAATGCACGAATACGCGCGGACCGTGTGGACAGATTGGCATCGTCGTCCGCAGTGCCGGATGCTGTCTCGGCGATAATAGTACGCTTGCCCTGACGTGCGTCGATGAGGTCATCCAGTGAGCCGCCTTCGGCCCATTCCATGAGTACGCTACATCGCATCCGTTAGAGCAGGGCATAAATTCTGACAGAGTAACGCACTGGAGTGTGGGTATACTTGGGCCAAAACTCGAGAACCGCGTGGTTTCGAGCCAAGAATGATGGTAGCTGATAATATTGGGATGGCGCAAAGACTCCAAAAGGCGAACCTCTCGAAGGATTCGCAGCAAGTACTCTTGCGAGTGCCCGACGGCAATCTTTTTGACGGCAAAATGACCTGTATGACTTTGTTAAATCCCAATATCCAAGTTTGTCTCCACATACCAAGATAGTTTCCGTTCAGCACATGCTATTTGGCAATCAGTTACGTCCCAAAAACTCGGTAACCAAACGTACCTGACATAGATACACACTCCCATTCGCACCCATTCCAAGCCTCTTCTCCTCTTTGAAAAAGGCAGCAAAATACCCCTGCGCCATGGAATCACGACTAAACCTCGCCTGAGGCGTCCCAGGAACCGAATCCCCCGCTCCAGAGCTAACAGAAGTGACTACTTTAGGCCTGAGCCGTGCCCGATCACCCACACCGGGCGTCGAAGGCATCGAAGGGGCAGGCGACGAAGGTGACAAGAGCGGAGTAGACGATCCCAACGCCATCTCATCCAACGTGCCCGAAAGGAGTTGCGGTCGATTCTGCGTGATAAAATTCGCTTCAAGAAATTGGAAATAATTCGGCGCACGACGCGAAATCACGGCTGCATCTGCCCCATTCGCACCACTGACCGTCGTTGGGAATGTCGGAGGAAGAGGTCGTGCGCAAAATGGACAGAGCGGCATCCCCACCCCTTCTGGACCGGCGGCACCGTTATGCGCATGATGATGCGCAAATGGTATTTCCGAACTCGATGAACGTTGTTGAAGCGCAAAACTACTCTCGTCCAACCGAATCGACTCGTCATAGTCATCTTCTCCACCTTGCGCGAGAAGTGCGGCAGGCCGTTGGGAAGGCGGGAGGGACGGAGGTGCGATGGTAAGCGCATGGGATGTTGGGTTGTATAAAACAAGTTGGTTAGAGGATTCGAGGATGGGGAGCCATGTCGACGGAGGGGCAACAGCCGCAGTGTGAGACGAGGATGAAGGGTGCGAGAGGTCCGGCAACGTTGAAGTGGATTTAAAGGGTGAATGAGGTTGCGAATTTTGTCCTGTTCCTCCTGTAGACTTTCGTGGACTCGACCTGGACGGTCTGGAATCCATTACAACTCTCGCGTAACACTTCTAAGACGCCACTGGAGAAGATTGGTAGTTGAAAACAGCCCTTTTTACGTGTTCAAGGCTTTATAGGTGTGATGGGAGCGTCGAAAAGGCCGTTTGTGCACGGCAGACGAGACACATAACAGGTGTAAGAGGCAAGAAGCTGACCCCATACCTCCACGAACCCCCTCACGGGCGACGATCGTAAAATGCTCAAATACATTGTCACGATGAAAAGTCAATCTTCTTATTCCAGATAGAAAGACATGAAAGCTACGACGGTAGCCCACGACGCATAGCGCAGTAGGCGATCGGAATAAAAGGTCATTTAAATCAATCTCCACGTAATGTCTACAGAAACGTAAAATGGGGTTGGAACAAACACGAGTTTGTATTATGTGCAGAAGTTTAGCTGGGCCTCTAGAAGTGCTCCTTTGCAAAGGTGAACTGAACCGTCGCAGAGCTGGCTTCAATTGCCGCCTCGCGAATCGTCTTGGCAAGCGCCGGAGGTCCACAGAAGTAAGTTCCAACGCGCGTCTTGAGCTGGCTCGAAGCACCAGGGAGGTACTGTCCAGACTCAATCGCCGAGCGAATGTTGCCATAGATCGACTTCCAATCCGGACGACCGTACATTGTGCGCGTGCGGAGGAGCGTCAACGGATCATACTCTGCGCCTGCATCGTTGACGACGATACTCCAGACGGTGTTTTGGTCGAGCTTTTGCGTCAAGTAGAGGTTGATGCGCAAAAAGTTGGGGTCCATTTGCGCCGCCTCGACCTCTTGGAGCAGCGACTGGAACCAACCAAAGCTTGGTGCATCACGGCAGATCCAGAAAAACTCGACGCGGCGGAGCGCACCGAGCCTGCCTCGCTTTTGCCTGTACCAAATGTGCTTGAGAATGCTCGCAAACGGCGTGACACCGATACCAGCACCGACGAGAACGGCCACCTCGGACTTGAAGACATCTTCTGCGGGCGCACCATAGGGACCATCGATGCGGATCATTGGAAGTGGGCGCGTGGCGGCTGCTGGATCCAGCTCGACGAAATCTCCACGACCAGTCATGCCTCCGGCATCCTTACTGTCCTTCTCGGCGGCCTTCATAGCTGCCTGAGTCAGGCTAGCGACGACGCTGGGCGTAGCACCAACGCGCTCTCCAAGAGCCCTCGTGAAGTCACCGACTTGTCTGATATGGACGGACACGTAAGGATCTTCAGGGGCGGACGTGATCGTGAACGGATGCCACTGGAACTTGGAGACTTCTGGGCACTGGAAGAAGAGCCACTGGCCGGCGGTGTACTTGAAGCTGGGCTTGACGATGCGGAATTCCATGGCGCCAGATGGGTGGACGAGAACCTTGCTGAGCTTGGTCTCGCGACGGGCGCGAATTTCACGCCAGACACGCTCGCCAAAGTAGATGATACCGGGCCAGATAAGCGCGCGCCACGACAGGTAGCCGATGCAAATCTTGGGATCATAGAACGGGAACGTGTTCGTAAAGCCGGGTTCTTTGGTTCCACGTACGAAGCATCCGACGGCGTGGGTGTAGAGACCGATCATGAAGAAGAATGCCAAGTGGTGAGTGTACCAAAAGGCCTCGAAGCATTGCTGTCGGACTTTGTGGTGCGCAGTGCTGTACATGATGACCATGATGAACAGCATGGCATGACCGGTGATTCCCGCGGGCTGCCTGTAGTGGATATCGAGCGCGTTTCCGGGACGGATTTCTATAACAACGTCAGTAAAACACGCCTTCTTAGGTCGACGAAGACACGTACGGCGACGCTCGACATTGATAAAGTTGACATAGTGAGCGGTGGTGTGGACCATTGCCCAGAATGCCATCGAATAAGCGACCTGACGATGGAACCAAATGTTTTCGTCGGCGGGGAACAACCAGGTCAACTTGGGACGGATGAGGCGGATAATGTTTCTCAGCATGGGGACGAGGATGAGGAAGCCATCGACCGCGAGTACGAGACCAGCACCACGAGAGACCCAGACGGAGAACCGAAGCGTGTTCAGGCCCTTGAGACCAGGGTTGACGTCCTAGTTGGGTAGGATCAGATCGTGTTGTCAAGTCGAGCGGTCAATCGGCTTCGGGTGCTTACCTGGCTGTACCATCCATAGGCAAAGATAGCGACGTGACCGGGGTACCAGAGGACATTAAACACTGGTAAAAGGTTGCAAATGAGTTCTCCGCGCCCCAGAGTGGGATCAGAACATACAGAGACGGCGGGGGGTGAGGAGTTCTGCTTTGACCCATTCCTGTAGAGCACCCATTATTATGAAAGAGTGATTCTATACGAGAAAAACAAGGAGATGAGCACGCTCTGCCCATACGAACGAGACCAGGTGGACGGACCAAAAAGAGAGCGTAGACCGGCTAGCGGGGAGAGAAAGAGAGGGAGTGTTTAGATGGGCAGTAAATAAATCAAAGAGAGCTGTGAGTGGCCCTATGAGAAATACGAGGTCGAGGCGGAGTACAAGAGGCAATGAACGGCTTGGCCAAATAAAGGCACGTCGTAACCGATCTCCCCGCTTGCATGGCCCACTTGCCAACGCTCGTAGCAACCCCGAAGTACATTCATTTCCTCTCCGATGTCGTTTTCTTTTTGCGCATTTTTATCAACATTTTCAACGACATTGAGCTCTGTAGCAGTGGGACTCCCATCCGCCATGGCTGTGAGCAGCGCCAACGGCAGTGTGAGGCGCCTTCATCAACATCCAACATGGATTAATTCTATCCCCCTAAAAACAGTCCAGTCCATAGGCTAGCCACACACGACAAGTCAAGCCCAAGGCTAGAGCCGGCCAGATCTCCCACACTACTCTTCCTCGTCGCTCCCGACCCCTCCAAGTCCGAGCCGCAACTTTTCTTTACGACCGCTGTTGCCAGCCCCGTCGCCATACTCCATTTTTGTCTTGTACCGCATCTCCTCCACATCCTGCTCACGCTCCGCCCACTCGAGTACCAGATGACGTCCGAGAAGATGTGAATGCCGTAGCTGCCCCATGGCGTTTTCGGCCTCGTTTCGTGTCGCAAAGTCAACAAACGCAAACCCGCGAGACCGCCGGTCGGCACGATTGGGTAACCGCACAGACTTGACTTGTCCATGTGCGCTATGCGGTCCGGTCAATTGGTGATAATGGTAAGAAACCAGATCACGTACCTGAACAACTCCCACAGTTCCTTCTTGGATACCTCGAATGCCAGATTCTTCACAATCAGCTTCGTCCCCTTGGACTTGGAGTGCTTTCCCAGTATACCTCCAGCGTCGCGCTCGACATCCTCTCGACCGCGACCCGCAAAGCTAATCTTGAGCACGTGGCCATCCAGTACTAGACTCCCTGTGCCATTCGCTTGCCTATTGAACCCCTTCATCGCCTTTTGAGCCGCCTCGACATCCTTGAACCCGACAAAGCCAAAGCCCTGGCTCAGGACCTGACCAGGCTTGGACGGATCAGCCTTTGTTGCCACCTTGGCAAACGCAAATGATGGGAGATGACGAAAGATGGATGCGAGCCTTGTTGATGTCGTCGCAAACGACAGGTTGCCGACATGCAACGTCGCACCAGGAGCAGCCAGCTCCTCGTCTTCTTTAATATCTTGATCAATTGACTCTTCGGCAGGCTTTTTCGAATCGAGAGGTGGTCCATCGAATAGTCCTTGCGGGGCCCATTCGAGATAGAGAATCGAGTCCTTGAGCCGCTTATAAGCAAGACCTCTCCATGCATCGCCTGCTTGCTTTCCAGCATCATCTGGAAATTGCACAATAGCGATGGTCCCAGCTGGTGGCATCAGGACCTGCTTCAGACTTCCAAAAGTGCTGAACATTTCATGAAGCTCGCTCGAAGAGGTGCCGTATGGAATGTTTTTGACGAGGATAATCGTTTTCGACCGAGGTATGCGATGTTGGGAGAACAGAGAAAGATCAACGTTGTGCTAGCAACATCAGCAGGCATCCTTAAAGGAAAGAGATCTGGTCACCTGCTCGAGGTATTTCTTCGTCTCCGCGATAATGTGAGTCTCTGCTAGGGCGAGCTTGACCGCCGGTGATCCTCCAACCTCCGAGTCTGGATTGAGGATGTCAGACTTGGCGATGCCCAGTCGATCGGCGATCGAATTGGCTACGGCGTCGCTCTGTATACACGTCAGATAATACTAATTCGTCAATGGAAGCACGCACGTTCATATAGAGTATAGCCCAGTTAAAGTCCTTGCCGCTATTCTCCTTTCTCTTCTGCTCCCGCATTGCTTTGAGTTTCATCGGGTTATTGCTTGCATTAGAGTTCTCTGTCCGTGGAACACGATCGATTGCAGGCAGAATATGGAGTAGTCGGCCTTGAAAGGACGTCTTGTCCAGTGCCTCGTATGCGGCCACCGCATGCGATGCATCCTTGAAGCGAACATATGCAAACCCTTTCGGATTTGACTCTGCATCGACCGGAATATGAACCTGAGAATGCGTGAGTTCTGCGGATGTAAACTGGAGCTATAGAAGATCAGAAATGATTTCTACTATTCTATTTCCCGGTGATCAACATGCTCTTTCGAGTCTGTTGTCCCTATACAGTTTGGCATCCCGCGAGCGACGAGTAATCGCTCTGAACAAAGGAATGACAGACCCACCTGTTCGATAGGGCCAAACGGCGAAAAATGCGCGGTTAATTCATCTTGAGTGCACGAAAAGACGAGGTTTCGGACAAAGAGACGACCGTTGGTCTCAATGGCAGCCCGATTGGCGTCGACGGGAGACACTTGCTGTATATCCAGTCAAAACTCGCACATCGAAGAAGAGGGTGACATACCTCTTCCTCCTTCTTCTCCTCCATCTCTTCATCAGACTGTTCAAACGCCTTGTCCTCAAGCGCCGTCGTACTGGCTTGCATCTTCCGACGCAGCCATTCCATATCAGACAGCTCCTCTTGAGCACCATCCATATCTTCCTCCATCTTTTCCTCGGCTTTCTTTTCAGGCATTTTGCTCTCCTTTTTCTGCGTCTTGGCCGTCTTCACCGGCACAGCGAGCTCGGGTTGCAATTGGTTGTCCGCAGTCCAAGAGGGACCAGCATTGCGCTTTGAGCCCATGACTCTAGTAAACTCTTCTAGCCTTTCTGCCTTGCGCTTTTTCTTTGGATCAAGCTCGTCGACCGCCGAGGTCTGTGCCCCTGCATCAACTTTTCGTCGCTTGGGATTCCGACCTTCGTCACCATTATCCTCCTTTTCGCGAGTCCTCTTGTCTTTAACGTGAATAGGCGCATCTTTAGTGCCCTAATAATTCGATCAACCGCCATCCAACACCAACTCCTCTATACGAGGATCAAAAATGGAAATAGACGTACGGTAACCGTCTCCACGCGCAACTTCGACACGTCCAAGTACGTCTTATCAAAGTATTCCCGCGCGCGCTGGGCCTCTTCCTCCGTCTTGAAACCAAGAAACGCAATACGACGACTCGAGCCATCCTTTTTATGCACGATCCGCACATCCGTGAGATCACCCCACCCTCCTCCACCACCTTTGACGTTTCCCTTTGCGGCGGCGGTTGCAGAAAAATGGTCACGGAGTCGGGGCTCGGTGATGTACGTCGGCAAGTTTTTCACAATCAGTCGTGACCTGTTTGAATGGAGTAGGTGAGTTTGGATCATGTCGAGCGTGGGCGATGGAGGAGAGGCTACTGACACACATTTTTTTTTTCAGTGGCGGAAAGGAAGGTCGCTGCACCACTCTCACCCCACAAAGGTCGGCAATTATGAGAACAGAGTTTGATTTTGGGTATGCGTGTGTGGTAGAAAGGATACAGCATGTGAACAAATTCGTTAAACAGCAAGTGACCCGACGAAAAGCGTGATGCATAAGAGAGGAGTCTCGCTCCTCTGTCGTATAATATCATAGCGAGAGCAAACCCGAGTCTCATTTCTTCTTCAATCCTCTAGACTCTCTACACGCATCCATAGACCACCCTGGGAAACTCCGTTAAGCATCGTGTAGCGAAAAGGAAGAACCGGCAGAAACAAACCTTTGAGTACAAGGTAATACTCGACAGTGGCCAGATTCTCTCCTCTTTAACGCGCTTCATCTGCTTGACATTCGGAATCTCCTCTTGCCATTCTGGGAGCGGCGCAGAGCCCAGAGGCTGATACTCCGGGGCGAGATGGAACTTGAACCTGGGCACTATGAGAGCAAGAAGGAACGAGACTTGGTTGTAAGCGAGGTTGAGACCCAAGCACTGGAGATACTATGAGAACACGTGCTGAGCAAACAGATTCGAGGACATACGATACGTGGACCAGCGTTGAACGGGATAAACTGGAAATTGGTGTGGTACCGCGCAGCCTCCTTTGGGTCGAGCCATCGCTCAGGTCTAAACTCTTCGGCGGTGGGCCCCCACAAGGTCTCGGAGCGCTGAATGAGAAGTGATCTAAGACAAATCATTGAGAATCTTTCCTTGCTAGGCGTTCCTGTGGGTTTCACTCACGAATAACTGATCTGGGTCCCAGCTGGGACGAAGAAGGGACGATTGTCTACGTCCAGACCGCCATTCATTACAGGAACGGTACAATCGTGTACACTCGTCCGGTGATTCAGAGGAACTGAAACGCAATTACGGTCAGTCTCGCGCAGCTGTACGTGACGAAGAGAAGTTCGGGATATCGGAGACACGCAGGGGATCCCCAGGCACATGTGAAGAAGGCAAGGGTGTCCCACAGGGTGGGATATTGACCTCGGCATACCCCGATGATGGAAGGGTGAGAAAATGAATGAAAGAAGCGTACCAGGAGGAAACAAGCGCAGCGTCTCATTGAGAATAGCACGCACTGAGAGAAAAAGGGCATGAGTATCAAGAAACAATGACGGAAAGCGCTCAGGAACACATACTGTACTTCAATTTCTTGAGCATGGTATATGTCGGCGGTGCTTCGGTATCGCCGCATACCTCGAGAATCTCGGTACGCAACTTTGCCTCGACCTCTACAGGTATAGGATAATCAATATACGCCATCATGAAACGGGTTTGGGGTGGGTACGAACCAGGGTGACGGGAGAGCAGGTAGATTGTAAACGTCAGTAATGAACCCATAGAGTCCCTGCCTGCGAGAATGATGTTGAACAATTCATCACGAACAACGACGGGATCTGCCGAGCCGAGGACAAGGTCCCCTCATCAGCCATGTATAATTCGGCCTGGCCCTGTACATACCATCGATGGAGCGCACAAGTTCATCGAGCAGTGATTGCTCGCGAAATTCCAATCTCTCCAAGTCTTCACTATCCAAGGCTTTCTTCTTTTGCGCTGCCTCGACGAGAGGATCGAGAAAGGCATTGACGATTCGCATCTCTTTGGCCATCTTGTTGTCAAAGAGCTCCCATAGTGGCCAAAGCTGCCCACGGACCGTCCTCTGGGCCACAAGAAGCTGCGCACGGCCAAAGGCTACAAAGCATAGCCGGAGAGAATATCAACATCCAACCCAGAAAATGGGAACCGAGGCGAAGAACAACGAGATGGGGGACAGTCTCGTGGAGAACAAAAAGCACCGAACCGAGGTGAATTATCGATCCGAATTGTAAAAAGGGGGAACAAGGGACCGGAGGACGGAGAGGGAGGGTGGTGAACTATCTTGGGAAGAAAAAGGGTCGCGCTGTAGCGCGCACGTACCGGTGATAAAGGCGTCAAAAGGGTCGCCCGTAGACGCTTCATGTGCAGATCCCATGGCACCTAATTGGGCGTGTCCGGCGCGCGGAAGGTGGCCGCGGAGTGTTCCGCTGCATTCACCAAGCATGACCTGAAAAATTGTGTCCATTGTGAAGCGTGAAACGAGGTCTTGAACGTCGAGAACCGGGACGTCGAGCTTGGCTATTTCCCCAAGAAGCTGGACCGTTTGTTCTGGTAGGGCCGGTATGTGCACAATTAAGACGAGTCAATTGCACAGTTTTACGCATGGAGTAAGAGGGACGGTAAGGCGTGGACGGGGTGAATTGGAGAAGAACGTACTGCCATACCGCCAAAAGGTATCAACGTCCGCGGTTCGCTCCTTGGAGAGGTACGGCTTGGTCATTGCACGATGCTATGCAGCGGTGAGCACATGTGAGGCGGCAAGGCATTGAACAAATCACGGCTCTCCATTCGTCCGCGTCTACGGCAAAGATGCCACGGCCAAAAAAGTCGAACAGACGCTCTCTACTCTTCCATCCCTTGTGCCACCCAGCAAAGTTGGTGGCGAGAATTTCTTTAACGATGGCATTGTCCCTTGTAATGATGAGGTCCATTCCGAGCGGACGTAGATTGATCGTATCTGTCTTGTACTCTTCAAACAGCTCGTAGATTCTTTCTCCGACATAGGCCTTGCGAGGTGTTTGCATCAAGCGCAAGAGCAAATCTAGATTGCCTGGCCATTTGCCTCGCGCAATAGGGATGGTTCGTGAGTTGAGGTTGTACGCCTTGAGTTGGTCAGAGTATCGCGTCCAGCGTGCCCGGAGCTGGACGGTGAGGACGATAGCGGACAAGGAGGCTAAGACGAGTTGGGCAACGGAGAAGTTTAAATGGAAACGCCACACGACAGCGAGCACTGTCAACGGCGGCAAGATGAGGGTACGGGCGAGGTGGAGGAGAAAGCGGACTCTCCAGTGCATGTCTTTGAGAGAGTGGTCGAGGGCAAGATCAAAGCGACCTTTAGAAGGGGATGCTGAAATATTGGGAGACCAGGCGGCCGGGTGGGTAACGGAGGGACGGCAAGTGTATGCATATAGAACATGACCTCGGACCAGAAGTCTCAGGACTGCTGCTGTTTCCTCGGCTTCTCGACTTGAAAGGGTCATCAAGATGGCCTCGGGTCAGAGGATGAAACGTGGTGGCTTTGGCGATGTACAGTTGCAGAATCCAACGGGCGTTATGCACTAGCCGTGTGAGTCACGAAACATATGCCGTGACATTGACAGGTCCATTGATATTTCCATGATGAGCTCAGCAGTATGACGTCCAAGATTCCTATGCCGACGTCGTCGACAGTCAACCCCTAGAGCGCTGCCACCAACAACAAGGATTATATATACAGAGGACCAATATATCTACATCCATACAGTTCACATTACGCTTTAAACCCGTGTCAGCTCATTCAGGTCCTCATGTTCTTGTCCTCAGACCTTGACCTATTGCACAAGCATATAGCGTACATATTGACATTAATCATGATTTGGCGTTGGCTCGAACGTTGGTCCAAGAGCGACCACATTGAAAACGGCTAAAGTCCAGTTTGGTTGCACGCAATGGACTCGTCGTCGGCATAGTCAAAAGATGCGGATATTGGAGTCCATGTCGGTTGTTTGGCGGTACCCAGAACAAAAATTTACCAGAAGATTGTACCCAGCCGTCGCGCATAAGTGAGCACTTTTTAAATCCAGGAACTAGGGTGCCCAAAAAAATCCCCTGTGTTTCCTGCATGACACCCAACGATGTAGATGTAGAGGTTTCAGATACCTCATTAAAACCACTGCTTTTGGCATCTAGTAGTGATCGTTAGTCCACACTGTAATCAACAATATCCACGAGCTACACTGACGAGGGTCTGCATGAGGAACCGGATTCTCGCTGTCTATTGGGCTGGAAACCGGCGAGGAGGGGCCAGTGGTAACTGGATCGCCGCAATCTCGCGGTAGCTGCATTGAGGACTGATCCTTGTCTATGTTCCAGAGCCAAATGGTGTTATCAGCCGAGCCAGAGAAAATTTGCAAGCCGTGTGACGAGAATCCGACGGCCAAGATCCCGGTTTGGTATGGCCTCGGAGTGGCTCTCCCAACGGCTCACCACTATTTGCGTCCCAAAGTCGAATCGTCTCATCCCAGGAGCCAGAGACGATTCGTGAGCCGTCTGGCGAGAATCCGACGGCGGTGACCATGTTGGTATGGCCTAGGAGTGGCTCTCCCAACGGCTCACCACTATTTGTGTCCCAAAGTCGAATTGTGTGGCCTCCAGAGCCAGAGACGATTCGTGAGCCGTCTGGCGAGAATCCGACGGCGCTGACCTCGTTGGTATGGCCTTGTAGTGGCTCTCCCAACGGCTCACCACTATTTGCGTCCCAAAGTCGAATTGTGTGGTCGAAAGAGCCAGAGACGATTCGTGAGCCGTCTGGCGAGAATCCGACGGCGGTGACCCCGTTGGTATGGCCTTGTAGTGGCTCTCCCAACGGCTCACCACTATTTGCGTCCCAAAGTCGAATCGTCTCATCCCAAGAGCCAGAGACGATTCGTGAGCCGTCTGGCGAGAATCCGACGGCGGTGACCATGTTGGTATGGCCTCGGAGTGGCTCTCCCAACGGCTCGCCACTATCTGCATCCCAAATTCGAACCGTCTTGTCAGAAGAGCCAGACACAATCCGCGAGCCATCTGGCGAGAATGCAACAGCCTTGACGGTGCCGCTGTGACCTCGGAGGCTTGTCGGCAGACCGGCATACGATTCCTCTAGCCCTTGAGTCACCCTCAGGCTCTCACTATACTCACGTAGACCTTCATTACCTATATTCGACTTTCTCGGAGAGAACGGAAGTGCTGAGACGTAGATATGTGGAGCGCTATCTTGAATTGGCACAGAAAATGCTATCAAGCACCTTCGGATATCGCTCATCCACATCCTAGTCTCTTTGCCGAGCTTGAACTTATGTCAATGGATGAAATTCGTCAGGATAGAATACTCACTGCCCTGTGACCCGCAAGAGCACGCAGACCGCTGATCGCTCGTGGCACCCCTCTAGTGAAGCTCAGAATCTCCATCCAATATAGTGCGTATGAGCTCTGAAGAATGCGCTGGAATTCCTTTTCAAGCTTGCTTCGCCACTTGTCATCCGTTCCCGACAGATGGAACAACCAATGGGAGCTGGCATATCGAAGCTTTCTTGGAATGAACTTTGATACTCTCGCCTCGAGGTCAGAAATCTGTCTGTTAAGATAGAAAGATGACTCGATTTGACATATGTTGAACTTGAGGCCGTCGGTCCGCGACCTGAGGCATTTGAGACACCATGATGCGACTCGACCATGCGCATTGACCACGTCGAGATGGATTCTATTACTACCTCCATCGGCTGTGACATTGGAGCAGCGTCGAAGGTATTCGACGAGGGTGGGATGTCGAAACTGGATCATATTTGTCCCCCTTTCCACACTGAGTACGCTTCCAAGATTTTTGACCAGGCCCGTGACACTCCCCCGTACTCCGACGTGCTTTACAACATCCTCCATGTCGCCGATCGTAAGCGGTTCGAACGCTACAAGGAGTATGGCGAGCATGTGACATAGAACCGTATAAGATTCCTTGTCTGTTCGCTCGAAGACGAGGTCATACACTCCATCTATAGCTCCAGATTCCTCCAAGGACATCAAACGATCATATATGCTCTCAGGGGTGTTTAAGGTCGATTGATTGTTGATCATTCGGCACGCTGTGCTCGCCCAGATGAACAATCCGTTGGCTTTTGCAACCAGTCGCTGTATCTTGTCCTCTGAGAGGATTTGATTGAGCGACTGATGTACATAGATTGCAATATCATCGATGTTATCACGATGTGTGACATCGTGAAGGCGGTCCTCCAACTTGGATTTGATCGAGAGGGACCCCAGTACAGCTTCCATGACAGGATCTGGGCGACTCGTCATGAATATCCGGAGGTTCCTGCACTGTCGAGCCGCTGAAGACAGCGTCTCGACGAGTTCTTTGCGCTGTGGTCCAGACTTGCATTCGTCCACTGCATCGATGACTAGGATTATGCGTTTCTGCCGGACCTGGACGGGACCAGCGATGAGCGCTTGAAATTGCTCGTCGAACGCGCTTCGCATGATAGAGGGATTCTGCGTTACGGCCTGAGAGACGTGTGATGCGAGCTCGGGGATGTATTGAACGAGGTCTCTTGCTATGGTCGAGCAGAGTCTCTCAGTGGTCGAAGCTTCGTTGCTCGCGATAGAGAAGAAGAATTGGCCACCTAGCAATCCCTGCTTCCACCATGATTCCATTGCAGTCATTGCGACTGTGGACTTGCCAGAGCCAGCAATATCACAGAGCCAGAATATCGGCTTCTCCGGATTGTCGTCGTTGGCCCATTCGTAGATCGTCTGGAGGACAGCTTTGCGCGTTCCTTCGAGACAGGTATTGTGGACCGAGGATGGAACAAATGATGCCAATGGAAGTTGAAGTATGGCGGATTTGTCGACTTGAAATAGTTAGCAAGTTTTCCATTGACCATGTTTGGCATACCGTTTGCCAGAATAGCTTTGGCATCTCGTTCGATGGCTTGGACGCGCAAAGCGGTAAAAACTCCCAATGAGCCCTGTTATCCACTATAAGTATGTGAATAAGACCTGATGATGTCCGTACCATGAGTTGCTTGTGCCGGTCGTCGAGACCTTGATTGAATTTACGAATCTCACCCGCATCAACTTTCACCTTGGCAAACGCGGTAAAGAAGCCGAGTTTGCTGCGCTTGCGTTTCTCCTGTAGATTGACGACCGTGTCATGCAGGTCCTCAAGAAATCTAGATCCGTCAACCTATCGAAGCGGATTTAGACTGCCGACGTACTCGACATAATGGATAAGCGGCTGGCTGAACGCCTTGTCGGCGACCCTGCGCTCTGGGGGATATGCCTCGAACACGACGATTTGTTCATCGATTGCGGAGATGTACTCCTTGAGAAGTTTGATGAGATCGTCCCGTTCTTGTTGGTTGCTTTCTATCGCCTGTTCGTTTGCGTCAGATGAAGCCGGATCTGGATGTATGGTTAACTCACCTGGACAATTTCGAGAATCTGTTTTGCTGTTTTACTCGCTGCTTTAAGAGGAGCGAGTACATCCGATATCTCGGCTATGTTGCCTGCTGCGTCGAGGACGACGTTGGCCATATCGTATAGTTTATCGCGCTTGTTTGATGAGGCGCGTATATCAGATGTAGATGCTTGTGGAGATTCATTTGTCCGTGCTTTCTTAGACTTGCTTGACTTTCTGGTTGACATCGTGGAGAGCCGATGGCTCCAAGATGGGTCGGCGTCTATGCAGGAGACACGTGTGGTGGAGAAGACTCCTTGGTTTGGAGCCTACAATAACGCTGAATTCACAGACATTTTGATGCAAAAGTGGACTCGCTGCCGAACCACGGATATGCTTATTGATCGTCTACACAATCGAAAGGCGCCGAGGATGTGACTCTTGTTTGCTTTGCCGTTGGCTGTGTTTCGACGATTGGTCAGCGAGGAGAGTGAATATAAGATGGGAATCGTAGAGTGTGGATATCTGCCACCAACTCCTTGAACTCAGCTTTGAAATGGCTCGCAAACTGTCCGACTTTAAAGCCCTGTCGTTTGATTGCTATGGCACTCTGATCGTACGTAGAAACCTGTCGTGGATTAGTCGTACTGACTAGAGCGACAATCAGGACTGGGAGACGGGGATCTACGAAGCGATCCAGCAATTCTCAGACCGCTTCAATATGGGCACACCCGCAAACCGGTCAGAGCTCATCGAAGCATATCTAGAAGAAGAACATGCAATCGAAGCAGCGGACCCGACAATGGTGTACTCGCAAATCGTCGCAACGGCAATCGAGCGCGTCGTGGGTCGGTATGCATGTCCAGGCGCAGGGAAGTTGAGCGTCGAAGAGTTTAAACGGGCATCCGAGTCGATTCGAAGTTGGCAGCCGTTCCCCGATACGATTGACGCGCTGGCGAGATTGAGCAAGCACTACAAGCTGATCATCTTATCCAACGTGGACAAGACGTCGTTTGGATATACGCGGGCGACGCTGGAGCATGGGTTTGCTTTTGACAAGATTTTGACAGCGGAGGAGATTGGGAGTTATAAGCCGGATGAGCGGAATTTCTTGTATATGCTGAAGACGGCAAAGGACGAGTTTGGGGTGGACAAAGAGCAGGTACTGGTGACGGCGCAGAGCTTGATGCATGACCATGTCCCTGCTAATTCGCTGGGACTGGCGTCGTCGTATATCGCAAGGCGAGAGGCGCACTGTCACGTCGACAATGTGACATATACGTTCAAGTTTTCAACGCTCGGAGAAATGGCAGACGCATTGGAAAAGGAACTCGCGACTTAATGCAGACGGTTGGGAGGGCGAAAGAAAGTCTGTTGTACAAAATACAAAAGCGCAATAGGAATAGATCCACAAAAGCTCGATGCGAGGGAATTTACTTGCCCGCCGACGAGAACTTTGTGACCGACTTGGTTCCCTCGGAGATGGCATGCTTGGACAGTTCACCAGGGAGGATGAGACGGACAGACGTCTGGATCTCGCGTGACGAGATGGTCGACTTCTTGGAGTAGGAAGCAAGTCGCGACGCTTCAGAGGCGATGCGCTCAAAGATATCGTTGACAAACGAGTTGAGAATGGCCATGGCCTTGTTGGAGATACCAGTGTCAGGGTGGACCTGCTTCAACACTGGAGAGCGAGTTAGAAACAAGTTGCTTGTTTGTCCAAAGTGCTTACCCTTGTAGATGTACGAAGAGTAAGTCTCCTTGCGGGAGCGCTTGCGCTTTTTCTTGTCATCACCGCCTGGTGCGGCCTTCTTCGCAGTCCTACCAAGGTGTCAAAAACGCGTCCAAGTTGATTGGACAAGACAAACTCACTTCTTTGCGGCCTTTGCGCCCTCGGTAGACTTTGCTGGGGCCTTTCCACCAACACCAGAAGCGGGGGCTTTGGAGGCAACAGTCGAAGCTGGCTTCGGAGGCATGTTTTGGTTGGTTGGTTGTTTAGTCGATAGAGCTGACGAGTGCTGGCGACGAGGCGGGGGGAGTGAAGTGGGATGAGGAAGGAGTGGGTCGACCGAGACACGGGTATATATATACTCGCCGTGTTCAAACTCCGAACTCGAAATCTTATTTCATGCACGTGATCTGGCCAAACACTGACCAGCCTGCCACCCGCGCGTGGCCAAACAAAGGCCGACTTATAAAGCGCTTCAGAAGTTGACGACGGCTGGATCCCCATCTTGGACTCGTCCACCACCGCTACCACCACCGCGTTTTAAAGCAACAAAACTCTCTCATCAACCATGTCTGGCAAAGGAAAAGGTGGCAAAGTCGGAGGAAAGTCTGGCGGAAAGGCTTCGACTGGTGGTGCTGACGCAAAGGGCGCCTCTCGCTCGTCTCGTGCTGGTCTCCAGGTCAGTTGAATCGAAAATATCAAGATGTATCGTTTGGCTTATACGATTTCGCTCTACAGTTCCCCGTTGGTCGTATCCACCGTATGTTGAAGCGCGGAAACTATGCCCAACGTGTTGGTGCTGGTGCTCCAGTCTACCTCGCGGCTGGTACGTCGCTTTTTACTCGCAATTTTTCCGTCGCTGACATGACTCTAGTCCTCGAATACCTCGCCGCTGAGATTCTCGAACTCGCAGGCAATGCTGCCCGTGATAACAAGAAGCAACGTATCGTCCCACGACACCTTCAGCTCGCCATCCGCAACGACGAGGAATTGAACAAGCTCCTCGGCGACGTCGTCATCTCCCAAGGTGGTGTCGTTCCACATATCGCACCCGAGCTCCTCCCGTCGAAGACCAAGAACTACGAGGAATAGATACTTTACCACTAATTCGTATCTTGTACTTGTACTTGGTCTTGTAATCTTTTTTTCCTCTGGACTTGTTTTTCGTAAGATGGATCATAAAGTATAGCGAGTGCACTACAGAACTGAGCAATCTGAGCATTTTTGCTTCAAATCACAGTCTTCGCCTCGTAGGTGAACAGACGCCGACTGATCTTGGACCCATCCATTCTCCACAATGTCTGCCAGCAAGTCGGCCAAGTCCAAATCACGTACAGATCAGGATCTATCAGGTTCATCTGCTCGAGGAGAGACAAGCAAGAAGGACAGACTAATCGACACCGCGAACCTTGGCCTCGAGGCAGCCGCCACTATATCCGAGAGTTCAGATATACTCGCTCCTCTTAAAGCCGCTTGTAGAACAACAAAGCTGATTCTCGAGGTCATCCAAGTATGTCCACGAGCCTGACTTTATGGCTCTCAGCTAACGAATCCGACAGACCGTACAGCACAACCAAGACGATTGGAATGACGTAATCCAGCGTCTAGAGGAATATATGACCGCCATCGAGAACCAAATTGACTCGTTTGAAAACTATCCACCAGAGGAAAGGGTCGTAGACGAAGCATTTAGCGAACCACTCATTCATTACGTTAGGTACGCGGGCATTTGCACTCATTCTGATAAGTCTAACTTCTTCAGACTGCTCGAAGATTTTCATAGCATGGTCTCCAATATGGGATTCAAACGCAAGCGTACCGGGCTCGGCGCGTTGGCTTCAATCAGCAGAGTGAAAGTGGATGCAGAAACCATTCGTAAATTCCACCGCGATATTGAAGACCGGCATAGGCAATTCATGGTACGAATTTCGTCCATTGTAAAGATAATCTTATCAAGAGAATAGGGGGCGTTGGGACTATTTACCGCATCTCGCTTGCAAGTTGTCGAACGGCATACCAAAGCTATCTTGAAAAATGGTCCGCCAGTGTCTACTTCTGGAAATATACCGTATGCTAACCATTCGAAGTCGATAAATCCGCACTCCAGGACCTTCCATTGGCATCCTTTGTCGCGTCCTCTGTTCACACTACCTGTCTGCAAGGAACCCGTCAGGCCGTTCTTCAGACAATCTCCCATTGGGCCGAAAGTGTGACGGATAAACCGATATTCTGGCTATGCGACATTGCAGGCTCGGGCAAGTCCACCGTTGCGATGTCGGCAACAGCACGGTGGAGAACAGAGGGAATGCTGGGTGGACAATTCTTCTTCTCTATGACCAATAGTGAAGCCTCGACCACGGACAAATTCTGCTCTACCATGGCGAGGGAACTCGCGCAGCATATGCCTGCACTCGCACCGCACATCGCTGAAGCCGTAACAGAGAATCCAGCTATTATGCGAGGCTCATTTGACGAACAGTTTCGTACGCTCGTCACTGATCACCTCCGCCATCGACCAAAGCCTATTATTCTCGTTATCGACGCTATTGACGAATGCAAGTCTGCTGCGCAGCGCAGAGAACTCGTCGAGACTCTGTCTACGGCGGTTCGACAGTGCAGGAACCTCCGGATATTCATGACGAGTCGCCCAGATCCTGTCATTGAAGCTGTACTGGGGTCCCTCTCGATCAAATCCAAGTTGGAGGACCGCCTTCACGATATCACACATCGTGATAACATCGATGATATTGCAATCTATGTACATCAGTCGCTCAATCAAGTCCTCTCAGAGGACAAGATACAGCGACTGGTTGCAAAAGCCAACGGATTGTTCATCTGGGCGAGCACAGCGTGCCGAATGATCAACAATCAATCGACCTTAAACACCCCCGAGAGCATATATGATCGTTTGATGTCCTTGGAGGAATCTGGAGCTATAGATGGAGTGTATGACCTCGTCTTCGAGCGAACAGACAAGGAATCTTATACGGTTCTATGTCACATGCTCGCCATACTCCTTGTAGCGTTCGAACCGCTTACGATCGGCGACATGGAGGATGTTGTAAAGCACGTCGGAGTACGGGGAAGTGTCACGGGCCTGGTCAGGAATCTTGGAAGCGTACTCAGTGTGGAAAGAAGGACAAATGTGATCCAGTTTCGACATCCCACCCTCGTCGAGTATCTTCAACGCTGCTCCAATGTCCCACTCGATGTTGGCCGCAATAGAATCCATCCTGACATCGTGAATGCGCATGGGCAAGTCGCATCGTGGTGTCTCAAATGCCTCAAGTCGCGGACCGACGGCCTCAAGTTCAACATATGCCAGATCGAGTCATCTTTCTACCTCAACAGACAGATTCCTGACCTCGAGGCGAGGGTATCAAAGTTCATTCCAAGAAAGCTTCGTTATGCCAGCTCCCATTGGTTGTTCCATCTGTCGGGAACGGATGACAAGTGGCGAAGCAAGCTTGAAAAGGAATTCCAGTGCATTCTTCAAAGTTCATACGCACTATATTGGATGGAGATTCTGAGCTTCACTAGAGGGGTGCCACGAGCGATCGCTGGTCTACGGGCTCTTGGGCGTCACAGAGCGGTGAGCATTCTATCCTGACGCATTCCATCCATTGAAATAAATTCAAGCTCGATGAAAAGACTAGGATATGGATGAGCGATATCCGAAGGTGCTTGATAGCATTTTCTGTGCCAATTCAAGATAGCGCTCCGCATATCTACATCTCAGCACTTCCGTTTTCTCCGAGAAAGTCGAATATTGGTAATGAAGGTCTACGTGAGTATAGTGAGAGCCTGAGGGTGACTCAAGGGCTAGAGGAATCGTATGCCGGGCTACCGACAAGCCTTCGAGGTCATAGCGGCACCGTCAAGGCTGTTGCATTCTCGCCAGATGGCTCGCGGATTGTGTCTGGCTCTTCTGACAAGACGGTTCGGATTTGGGATGCAGATAGTGGCGAGCCTTTGGGAGAGCCACTCCGAGGCCATACCAACGAGGTCACCGCCGTCGGATTCTCGCCAGACGGCTCACGAATCGTCTCTGGCTCTTGGGATCAGACGATTCGACTTTGGGACGCAAATAGTGGTGAGCCGTTGGGAGAGCCACTCCGAGGCAATACCAACGGGGTCTTGGCCGTCGGATTCTCACCAGACGGCTCACGAATCGTCTCTGGCTCTGGAGACCAGACGATTCGACTTTGGGACGCAAATACTGGTGAGCCGTTGGGAGAGCCACTCCGAGGCCATACCAACATGGTCAGCGCCGTCGGATTCTCGCCAGACGGCTCACGAATCGTCTCTGGCTCTTTGGATGGGACGATTCGACTTTGGGACGCAAATAGTGGTGAGCCGTTGGGAGAGCCACTCCGAGGCCATACCAGCGGGGTCACCGCCGTCGGATTCTCGCCAGACGGCTCACGAATCGTCTCTGGCTCTTGGGATGAGACGATTCGACTTTGGGACGCAAATAGTGGTGAGCCGTTGGGAGAGCCACTCCAAGGCCATACCAACGGGGTCAGCGCCGTCGGATTCTCGCCAGACGGCTCACGAATCGTCTCTGGCTCTTCCGATCAGACGATTCGACTTTGGGACGCAAATAGTGGTGAGCCGTTGGGAGAGCCACTCCGAGGTCATGCCAACGAGGTCACCGCCGTCGGATTCTCGCCAGACGGCTCACGAATCGTCTCTGGCTCTTGGGATCAGACGATTCGACTTTGGGACGCAAATAGTGGTGAGCCGTTGGGAGAGCCACTACAAGGCCATACCAACGGGGTCTTGGCCGTCGGATTCTCGCCAGACGGCTCACGAATCGTCTCTGGCTCTTGGGATGAGACGATTCGACTTTGGGACGCAAATAGTGGTGAGCCGTTGGGAGAGCCACTCCGAGGCCATACCAACGGGGTCAGCGCCGTCGGATTCTCGCCAGACGACTCACGAATCGTCTCTGGCTCTTTGGATGGGACGATTCGACTTTGGGACGCAAATAGTGGTGAGCCGTTGGGAGAGACACTCCGAGGCCATACCAACGGGGTCAGCGCCGTCGCATTTTCGCCAGACGGCTCACGAATCGTCTCTGGCTCTTGGGATGAGACGATTCGACTTTGGGACGCAAATAGTGGTGAGCCGTTGGGAGAGCCACTGAGGCCATACCAACGGGGTCTTGGCCGTCGGATTCTCGCCAGACGGCTCACGAATCGCCTCTGGCTCTTGGGATCAGACGATTCGACTTTGGGACGCAAATAGTGGTGAGCCGTTGGGAGAGCCACTACAAGGCCATACCAACGGGGTAAGCGCCGTCGGATTCTCGCCAGACGGCTCACGAATCGTCTCTGGCTCTTTGGATGGGACGATTCGACTTTGGGACGCCATTAGTGGTGAGCCGTGGGAACGCGATTCCTAGGCCATAACACCCAGGTCAGCGCCGTCGGATTCTCGCCAGACGGCTCACGAATTGTCTCTGGCTCTGGAGACCACATAATTCGACTTTGGGACGCAAATAGTGGTAAGCCGTTGGGAGAGCCACTCCGAGGCCATACCAACGTGGTCACCGCCGTCGGATTCTCGCCAGACGGCTCACGAATCGTCTCTGGCTCTTGGGATGAGACGATTCGACTTTGGGACGCAAATAGTGGTGAGCCGTTGGGAGAGCCACTCCGAGGTCAGACTAACTCGGTCACCGCTGTCGCATTTTCGCCACACGACGCACGAATCACCTCTGCCTCGTTAGATAACACCATTTGGCTATGGAACATACATACCGGTCAACCTTCGGAGCAACTACTGCGAAATCGCAACGATCCGGCTAGCATTTCTCCGTCCCTCCAGGATGGCTTGGGAGTCATTTCCGGCTCAATAAACGACATCCCCCCAGCCTTTCATGCAGAAGTTGGTCAGTATAGTCTGTGCGTATTTCTAATTTAAACGTGTACTAATGATTAACGCTAGATGCCAAAGGCAGTGGCTCTAACGAGGATGATAGAGCCTCTACACCCTCTGTTGTCAAGGAAGAACAACAGGGTCTTCCTTTGAGGATACTTATCCCTGGCTTCAAACAGTGCTCGCTTATGCACGATGGCTGGGTGCAATCTTCTGGTCTAATTCTCTTCTGGGTACCACCAAGCAACCGACATGGACTGCAATACCCGCATCGTCTGACTATCCCGACGACGAGTCCGTTGCGTGCAACTAAACTGGACTTTACCCATTTTCAATGTGGTCGCTCTTGGACCAACGTTCGAACCAATGCCAACTAGTGAATCATTGGTATTGATATGATTATCACAGGGTATACTATTATTTCCAGGTCGAGAGTGCAGTTGTTTGAAAGACGGAACCAATTGAAATGGTAATATTTTGCACTTTGATAGTGCACTTGCGTGGAGTAGCCTTCTCTGTAGACTAAAATGCGGTGAAGAGGAGCCATAGGACCAAGTAAAGCCGTGATCATCTGAAGGTTCCTTTTCATAATACCTTTGCCACCCTCTAAAGTTGGCTGACGACGATGTCCATATCAGACATTGGGATGACATGCTGCTCTGCTTATCGAGAAATTAATTGACACGACGAAATTATTTCGTTGTTGGTGTGACTCGCACGGCTATTGAAAAGCGGGAACGCTTGCTGAGGTGAGGATGAACAACGTAAGATTGGAAGAAGAGTATGAGGGCAAATGGGAAAGGCTGAACGTTAGGCCTTGGTAGCCGAGTAACGGACGGAGAAAAGCTAGCATTCTTCTTATTTAGATGATTATCGATCATTCGAAGCTTTATGTATGCACGAGAGCGTAAGGTGAAGGAGATGAGACAGCGGAGCTGCTACCTCGCTTAGAGAGTGTAGGAGACGAACTAGAGTGTAAGAGACTAGCTAAATACCTCCAAAGGGCCCTGGCTGACTCGCGCCACTCGAGCGCAAGGGCGTTACACTATTAGCGCATAGTCCCCGTCGGATGACACAACTGTACATGACTGAAGACCCCGAGGCCATCTGCCGTTGTTGTGCACAGCCCTTTAGGAGTCCAGAAACCGGGAAAACTGCAGCGATCCTCTTCTGGTCCGCAAGGGTGGTTTGTTGCTTCACGCACTGCAGTGGCGGACGAGTCCGAACTAGAGATGCTTGGTCAGCCCTCCGTCTTATCAAAACACGAATGCCAACGCCAAATCCACTCAGGCGCCGGTGAGCATTCGTCGACGCTCAACAGTGCACCTGTTCCTAGGTATGCAGATGCTGTACGACGCATTCAATTGTCGTACCTACAATTTACGAGTGAACCATGGGATCCACCGCATTTTCTTCTCCTATATAAACTTCAACGAGCTCTGAGTGGCATGTGAATTTTATTTAGAAATCCTCGTCTCCCAATTCTGGTTCCCCTGCCAGTCTGGCATATACAGGCAATCCGACGAACAGGCTCGGGGTGTGATGAGAGTGCCGTGGCAATCAAAGGATAGCATTTAGTCGAGTCAAACAGGTTTGTCGCGCCCCGACATCCGCATCTGATATTCTTGAGCAATCGTGGAAGCACTGCTAACAGCAAAGCCATTAGTAGTCAGATCACCACGGCACCTCTCGATTATGTAGATCAGCAGTAATTATATACATCAGCGAGAACGATAACAAAATAGATCACCAACGTTGCAGCCATCCTGCGTCTAGTCCACTCATCGTCCTCCGATTCGACGGATATGTCGAGTGACTCTCTCTCAAAAGGCCAGCAAGTCGTCGACAGATATCCAGAGGATACGAGAGTTGTTCCGCATGTGAAAAGTTGGGATGCTTCTCCAACGTGCTGGTTGGCAGATTTGTCAGAGACAATATCCACTGAGTGTTTCACCCATTCGCACCTTTTTGCATCAAATGGAATGCCGCTGCCGAGACCAACCACCTTGAACAGTATCTTTGCGGCAACAACCGATCCGGATCGCGGAATGAGGGAAACATTTGGTGCAGAATATGACAACTTCATCGTCGGTTTGAACACCCAAATCTACCGAATGTCAGTATGTGGTTTCTAACCGTCCATCTTACTGACCAGCAACCGCGCCTTTTCTTCTTCTTCATCACATATTACAAACCGATAAGCCCCGTGTACTTGCGATAGTTCCACCATATCTTCTACGACATATGCTGAGAGTGGGATCCGCAACGGTCTACAACCAATATCAGTAAACTCGTCGATGCCGTGGTCTGTACTCACCTCGCGTTTGCAGAGACCGGTCGAGTTGCATACTTTGGAAAGCGGTAGACTATCGTCTCGGTGAGCGGCGACAACTGGCATCGACCGACTGCTGCTCCACAAATACACTGTACACGCATCCAATCGTCGGTAGTCTGCAAAAATGGACGTCAGACACGAATAATAGTCAAGTCGAGTAGAAGAATGTGCTCTCGCTTGTAGCATGCAGAACATTGAACTCTGTCTCAGCATGTTGTTATAGCGAGCGCTAGTCTCTTTCGGACGAGTGGTATCAGCCAAAGCTATGTAGCTGTCGCAAGTCTACTCGCAGCAAGGGCTCCAGAGGAACCACAAACCTCGAATAGACACTTGCGACCACTGGTAGCAGAGCCAGCGAAGGCCTTCTTTGCGTCCTCGGAATAGAAATTCCAACTCACCTTCACCTCTTTGGACGACCTAAGATTCGTTATGATGGTCGCGCTCTCCTCTAAGAGATAATAGCTTCCGCCGATCAAACATTCCTGCCGTCGAGGCCAGAATCCCTCTTGAGCAGCTTCGGAGACCCGCTTCGAAAGGGCCTGGTCATGATGGCAGACCCACGCATCCACCAGCTCCGTCCAATAATCACTCGGCAAGTCGCGATATTGTAGCGAGCCGGTACTGTCATCCGACGTGTGGACGAGCGGTAGCGAACAAGACGAGCAAACAAACGAGCTCGGACTGATGGATCGAAGCTGCGCGGCATCCATCAGTGGAACAGATGAGGCGATCTGAATCGCATCCAGAGACTGCGGAGGAGTGGGTAATTTGATCTCATAGTGCTCTCCCATGGGTGTGATGATATGCTTTCCCGCGAGGACACGCGCTGGTAGGTGGAGTGGAGGAGACCAGCTCGCGTTTTGCTTGACCAGGAATTGGTCACCAGTCAGTAAATTGCCCTCGTCGGATGCACCGCTAGAGCTGGGTACCACTTCGAGCACAATCTGACTAGGCGTGCCCGTGGAATTTGTAATCTTGAAGAGCAAGATGACGACGTTCAATGTTTCCTGATGTTCCGCGACGAAAGAGATGCTGAGACCAACTCGAAAGTTGTCAGATAGACAATCACTTTTGCGATTCTCATACCTTGTGACGGTGAAGTCGCTGCAGTCTGTGACGACGTTGGCGGTGGAGGCATCTGGCGTGACCAAGGCTTGCCCAAAATCCAAGCACCCGCACCAGCAGCGTTCGAGAAACTTTTACTACGTGGCTTTAGTCGTGGCTTCGATTCCTTTCGCTTAATTGCAGAAGACTTGGAGGGCGGGTCCTCGCTTTGACTTTGCGCCATCTTTTGCGATTCTGTGCGTTGTGATTCCTTGACAAACTCGGGGAGTGTCAAAAGAGCGTTTGGGTCGTCGGTTCGATCGCCCTGCAAACCAGGGGGAACGGCTTCTCGAATAAACTCTGGTAACGTCAAAAGAACCTCGGGGTCCTTTATTCGTTGACCCGCTGGCATCAGCACTGCATCCTGGTTGTGCAGTCTACCCGCGTCCGAGTGGGACACAAGCTGCTCGACGAACTGTCGTCTCTGAAATGTCGTTCAGTACGAGTTTAGATCGTCCACACTTGGACCCACCTTTTCATCATCCTCCATTCTCGCTCGTTGCAGTCGTAGCTTCAGGTCATCCGAAAGGACAACTGCTTGATCGTTCATTCTCCGGGATGAAGCTTTGCCAATAAGACTGAGCATACTATCCAACTCTTGCTCCTCGCTCCGTACTTTTCCTTTACCCTTGACACGCGGTTCTTCTGCACCACTCCCACTTCGACTCCGCTGAGCACTCGGCACGTGCTGGGAGCTCGTGCCAGCGATCGCAGCTGCCTCTGCGGCTTTCGAAGCTCGCTCCAGCTGCTCTGCCTTCGTCTTTTTTAACTCGACTCGTTGATTGTGCAGTTGAGGCGCCACGATGTACATCCTGTCAATGGCCATCATAACGCTCTCAAAGTCGAGTCTCATCTTTTCGTCTTGCACACTTCCGGTCGTGCTGAGTCGCGTATGCTGAGCTTGCTCTAGCCGCTTTTCCTTGTGCTTCTCATCAAGATGAAGATCATGCGACATGCGGTACTGAGGCAGCTCAAAATCTGCGTGGTCATATTCGGGTGGTAAGGCCGTATCCCCATGTCGATCCCGCTCGACATAGCTAGCGTCGTCAAGAAATGGGTCCAATGCACGCATACGCCGCCTGCACAAGCGCGAGACCGTCTCGAGATCCTCATCGATTCGCGACCACAGAAGCGCAGCTTCCGTCTCCTCTTGCGTACTCGACGCATTCTCCCTTGAGTCGACATCCTCCGTGTCGGCCCGTTGAGCCTTGAGCGTGCTCACTTGCCTATTGAGATCATCATACACGCTCGACGGTATGGATCCATTTTCGACGAGTGGAGGTTGAACTCCCTTGTTTTGCACCCAGAGCGGCTTGAGCTGCTTCAGACGTTCGACGTGAACGAGAAGCGAGACGAGGGATCGTGATAGTTGCGCTTCTGACTCGCTCATGGTAGTTGACAATGTATGCACGCGAGATTGGAGCTCCCTGAGCACTGAAGGGCCATCCTGCTGCTCCGTGTGTAGTTCGATCATGCCTTCTTCTTCTCCTGCAAGGTTTCGAAGGTTCCCTAAGAGCGTTTGAATCGCCGTTTCGTTTCCTGTGCGATCGTTGAATGGATCATGATGGTCCAGGAATCCAGAGGCAGTCGGGTGCACCGTCGAGGGACTAGGCATGGAATGTCTTCGCGGTGGAATGATAGGTGTCCATTCGAATTGCGGACGGGAAGAGGAAAGAAGCGTGTTCAGAGTGAGGAGGCACGAGTGCTCGAGTTGTGAAATTGACGGGAGGAGGTTTGATGTTTTCTATATGCGAATTAGCGCTTGAAACGCGTTAAATGAGAGTGAGCGGGAGGAGCTGGTGTATCTAGCCGCGGTTCAGCGTGAAACTTACTTGTTCGTGTGATGGCTTGTGACTAGTCGTCGCTACACCACTGTGGATATCATCTTTGGTAATATTAGATGCAGATTGTGCTGGTTTGGATATTGTAGGTTGTGTTTGTGCGTCTGCCGCAACGCGCTCTATACGCGGAAAGGGCGTCGGAATTGATGCAGCAAGTTCGTTCGCATCTCGTGTCGTTGAATTCTCTTGTGCTGTGACTTTCCGCTCTTCGCGAATGAGCGTGGCCATGAACTGCCGCCAGATGAGCGACGCAGTCAGCTCCAAGTCTGATACTCCCGAACGGGAAGCCTTCTTGTCCGGCGGGATTACATTTACAAGTCAGTCAGGTGAATATCTAGTGCAAGGGGTGTATAGGTCTAATTAGGGTCCGGCATAAAACAAATACAGCAAGCGATCAAATCATCTATACTTTCCAGTCTGCTCCGCCCACATCTCCCATCTCTCCAGCTCTTTGTGTACAAGTGGTCCCTTTCGAATCTCGTCGGTAGTCCCAAAGCTTCCCCACTTGCCCATGTCGCCACCGAGCAGGATTTCATCGTCGGGGACACTCTCCAGCCGCTTTAATTCGCGGCGTAGGTATGCCACAAAGGTATAGATGTGCTGGGGCATCTCCACGAGATCTATCCGATCACCACCTGTGGTCTCTTGATTGGCAGTCTCCGGTACAGTGGCTGGACGGTCGAGGCCGGGTGGTAGAGTCTGCTCTCCTTCGACCACCTGAGAACCATCCAGGTTCCATCCTCTGGCATCAAAGATGTTTCGCCATATCGCACCCGCCAACTCCCAATCGCCACCGACGAGCCCTACGTCCAATGAGAGTTGACTGCCATTCCAAAGTTCCCTGTATTCTTTCATGTAGCTCGTGATCGTCCTCTCAGAGATGCGCGGACCCAAGAGAGCACGAAGTCGGTCCTCAATGTCTTGGAAGAAAAAGTCGACTAGGGCTTGAAGAATGTACCGTCCGTGAGGAGATGGGAGAGCTCGTATGCGCACTGTCAATAACCAAACATGCAGATTGGTCATTTGGAACCACGTGTGGAATGTTTGCGGTATGCGACATGCTGCGAAGGCTCAGCATCGAGTTAGACTAGTCTGTTAAGTTGACGCACTATCATATACAAACGCCTGTTCTGCAATGTCTCGCTCGCTACAGGTCATGTAGAATTTCTTGCCGTGTCTGACCGCGTCCGACTGCTTTGCATACAGTCCCATTCCTGTCATAGACAATCAATCAGCAAGAAATAACGCGGAGATGTCGAATAGACACGTACCGTCGTATACAAACTTGACCGCCTTGTATACGCTCGGGTGTCGTCGTAGAAAAGGTGACAGAGCAGACGAATCCGTCCAACTAGACGGTTCATTGTGGTACGGAATCGGTGCATCGTCGCGGACGCCTTCTTCGCTTGCCTCCTGAGACTGCTGCTTTTTTGGCAAACTGGAAGAGTTTGCAGTAGTGTGCTGCACGTGCTGAGTAGATCCTCCTTTTGCAGTTTTGGATGATTCTGGAGGTAAAGTCGATGAGCCCAGCGCAGACGAAGTTGAGAATTGGTTTTTTGCTGCAAGTCGTCGTCCACTGCGGGCTGTAGTGAATGCCTCAGGATGTACGAGAATCCGTCGTCTTGCATTGGCTGAAACGACGCGCATTGCGCAGTGAGTGCTGATGGGGTTCATGGCCAAGAAACTTGAACCGCTCACTCGTCCATCGTTGTCGCTTGTCCACTCGTTGTGCCCACTGCTGGTCTCAATTTCGACAAATAAGCCCTACTGCCGACCGAATACGACACTGTCTGGTCCCTCGGCGCAGCCACGACACACGGAAATGTCACGAAATAGCATCGACGCACGAACTCGTGTGGTCAACGGCAACGAGACGCCTCGTGCAAGCTTTGACAAGCCAAAAGGCAATGGCTCGGCAGTGCTAGACGGCAATGGTGCAAGCGGATCAACACTCGAGCAAGTACAGGCAGAGCTGGAAAGAACAAAGCTCGAAAAGGAGACGCTCGAGGGACAGTATCGTACATTACTCGATAGACTGAGCGATATGAAATCGAAGATTGGAACAAAACTTCAGCAGGATGCAGTGCGTATCATTCGCACATCTGTCTTCTAAAGCCGAGCTGATCATGAATATTCCATACGCTTGAAATAACACTATGCGCATCACATTATGAATTTCCGATCTGAAGGAGGAACTAGAGCGACGAGAGACCTTAATTAGCACACTCACGGCCCAGAACGAGGATCTTCAGAACACCATTGCCTCTCTACACTCCGAGCTTACTTCAAGCAATGCTGAATCAGAGCGTGTCACAAAGGAGCTCGATGCGCTGCGCAATACTCTTCAACAGACGCAACAAGCATCCTCTCGCGCACATTCAACCGAACTGAGTGCTTTGACCAGCGAAGCTCAATCTCTACGTGATCAAGTCAAAGAGAGTCAAGAGTTACTCGAACGCGCAAGGCTAGAAAAGGAGGAATGGGAACGGGTCCTCGTAGACGAGAGAGTGCTCTGTGAACGACTCAGAGGGGATAACTATATCCTCAAACGCGATGCCGAAAATGAACGAGTGGCACGTCAACGATTCGAGGCGGAGAGAGACGAGGAAAGGAAGAGGGCCGATAATCTGGAGGCTGTCCTCAGTGAATTCGAAGCAGGTACGTAAGCGGAATCATCCACAACTTGAGATTGACTGCCGTTTAGGTCAAGAAAGGGCAATCTCAGAACTCAAGGCAACCTACACCGCCCAGATCGATTCACTCACTCAATCCCTCGCCGAGTATAAATCACGGGCATTAAACGCAGAAGTTGAACTCGACTCCAATCAGACGAGTTCCTCTCGAGTCGCCGAATTAGAAAAGGAGCTCAAGGAGAAGAGTATGCTGCTGAACAAGGTCCGACAAGAAGCTGTCACCCTAAATGAGCATCTCATCCAAGCACTACGACGATTACGCAAGTTTTCTGCGGATCCCACCTCGACTGGAGCGGGAAGCAATGGCGCGAATGTTGGACCGTCCTATGTGGATCGTCGGCTTGTCACCAATGTTTTGCTCCAATTTATCACGGCTCCCCGTGCGGATGCAAAACGATTCGAAATGCTGAATCTCCTTGGTGGCATCCTTGGATGGAACGATGATGAGCGACGACAAGCCGGTCTTCAGCGCGGCAGCAGTTCATCGAGTGGTACAAACACTCCAAAAGTGAAACCAAAAAATAATGTAGAAGAGGAAAAGGCGGAAGACGTACGTTTTCATGTTTCCAGGGATGATAATCTCGCTGACGATTCGACAGTCGTTTTCCAAGATGTGGGTCGAGTTCCTCTTGAAAGAGTCTTCGCAAGGAGCATCCTCATCGACTTCACCAGCCGGTCACGGCCACTCGCCCTCAACAGCATACACCCCCTCCAACTATGCACCATCCAGTTATGCCAAGTCGGCATACGCACCGTCCAACGCTCCCAAGTCTACTTATGCGGCATCATCTATTGGAGCACCAAGTCCGACGGAATCTACATACAATCTGCCTCCCCTCCCGTCGCTGCCTGGTGCCGGGGGTAGAAGCACGAGCGGCGCGTATCGATTGCCTAGTCTCAGTAGAGGCTTTAGTGGGAAAAGTGACGGTAACCCGTAATATTTTAGCTGGATGGACACTTTCTTGGTTCTACGCTGTGCCTCTTGTCCTGTTTTATCTCCCACTCTTGGCTTTCTATGTCTCTCATATGTATCATATAACCTCTATAGCTTCCTAAATCGACTCGTCAAGCTGGAAGCTGGCAGCATTTCATTTTGGACTCGCTCTCGTCATGATGAGATCTCGGGAAGCCATAATCGAGTCTAAAAATATATCCGCGGATCATGAAAACAGACGAGATCACAGGCTCCATGTGTCGTCTTCGCCGCTTACGCTCTTGACGCGCGATGGACTGGTTGAATGGAGCGCCATTCCGGCGACCATGCCGTCTGAATAGACCGATAAGGACAGAAGAACACTTTTGTGCAAAACCCGGATCCAACGGCGCGAGCAATGGCCTCCATGTGGTCGTCGTTGTTCGCGCCCTCTTTATCCCGGTGGTATCAATAGGTACCCAGGTAAGTAAATTTATACCATTTCGTAATGGGGGAGTAATAGGTACATGTAGAAGGCTCCCATTTGCTGCCGTATTACGGTCTGCACACGACGTTACCCGCTGCTGCGATGGTATACGGCTTGGTACCTAGGAGTTATATAGAGTTTTTGATGGCATGAAGTTTCTTAGCTCTACCGAACCGCGGTACAAGGGCAAGAAGCAAAGTCATGGATTCATCAGAGATAACAATGGGAATCCTACTCGGTAATACGGCACGCTGGTCCATGTGCAGCACTACGGATGCAAGCTTCTCACCGACGAAGGACCATTCGCACACTCAGTTGCCACTGGATTCCTAATGGACCGTGCACATGAAGACCGTGTCGGTTCTATGCTGTGATGCAAACTCGTGCCTAAACACACTGTGGATGGGGCAAGAGTATATTTATAGTCGTATGAGTAGCTGGGAGGGACGCAATTTCCCTTGGGCTTTCCCTCCCTTTTCACCTCGCATCACAGCGACAACACGCTAGTGGACGTTAAAGAAGTGATGGTCCGACTCACTCACATTTTTACATTCGCAACTTGTGCTACCAGCGTCTTCGCCTCCTTTGCCCGACGAACTGACCCTCAGGCAATCGCCGCCAAGCGTGCTGAAGCCATCAAGAGATTTTCATCCACCATCAAACAACGCGATGAATCAGGATTCCTCAAAGAGCGCGCTCCTTCCACTGGTGTCAAGAATATCACGTTTACCAACCCGGCCGCCAGCCAGTTTTACGTCGATGGGTCGAATTTCCCTCTAGTCGACTTTGACTTTGGCCCGTCGTGGGCTGGACTGTTGCCTATTAGTGGGAGTGCAAATGAGACTCGCAAACTCTTCTTCTGGTTCTTCCCACCTGGTCCGCAAGGTAGCTCGGACGACTTGATTTTCTGGCAAGTATAATCCTTCATAACGTCTTTAGTGTACTCATGAGGTGATAGGACAAATGGCGGTCCGGGATGTTCCTCGCTCGAGGGCGCATTCCAAGAGAACGGGGTGCGTATTATCTATTACCAATATTCTGTACCTGATGATCACATTTAGCCTGTTACTTGGCCCTGGGGAACAGCCAAGCCTGTCCAGAATGAATATAGTTGGACAAACCTTTCGAGCGTTCTCTATGTCGAGCAACCTGTAGGAACAGGTTACTCATTGGGAACTCCAACGGCGCAAGTAGGATTCAAGCCCTTTACCTTTGACCAATCTGACGTCTCTAGAATGAAACAGATGTCGCCGCTCAACTTGTTGGCTTCTTCCAACAGTTCCTCAACGTCTTCAAGGAGCTCAAGGGCAAAAACTTTTACCTCTCTGGCGAGAGCGTGAGTGTCGATTGGACTTGTCTATAGTATCTAACATCTTTTCAGTACGCCGGAATGTATGTGCCTTGTAAGTGTGGCAATTCGGCAAAGTACAGGTTCTAATCTGCTCAAGATATTGCGGACTATATCTACAGCCATCCCAGCGCTTTGGATCTCAAGCTCAAGGGTATCTGGATCGCTGACCGTGAGTGTTTTACATTGTCGAGGTTGACCAACTAAGCTCCCTCCAGCTGTTCTCGGATGGGATGTCGTTCAAAACCAGATTCCTGCCGTCAACTTTGTCCACAAGTATGAAAACGTCTTTGCTTTCAAGTAGGGGTACTCTTTGTACATGAGGATGGCTATTGACTATCGACAGTCAAACATTCATGAAGCAGCTCGACAAGATTAACAAGAAATGCGGATACGACGACTACATGAGCAAATACCTCAAGTATCCTCCCCGAGGCAAGCTTCCACTTCCCGGAAAGTCGGTGGAGTATGATGAGGGATGCGACGTTTGGGACCTCATCTTCGAGGCAGCTCTGCTCATTAACCCAGCATTCAATGTCTACCGCATCTTTGACGTCTGTGAGTGGCATTCAAGAGAGGTTGCGAGTTTCTAATCGCTGTTAGATCCTATTCTGTGGGACGTTCTTGGCTTCCCAGGATCATTCCCCAACGAGCAAACCAAACCGCTGTACTTTGAACGTGCCGACGTCAAGGCAGCCCTCCACGCATCGCCGAACAAGACGTGGGAGGAATGCACGAGCATCGACGTGTTCCCCAACGGTGACAAGAGTCTACCACCCACCTTTACCGTCCTACCCAACGTGATTGAGAAGAGCGAGCGAACGGTCATTGTTCACGGTTTGGCCGACTATGTCCTCATCGCCGAAGGAGCACGAATTGCGCTGCAAAACATGACGTGGGCCGGCAAGCAAGGGTTCCAGTCGCCTTTAAAGACCGACTCGTTTATCGTCGACGGTATCGGCGCATACGGGAACATGCAGTCGGAGAGAAAGCTTACGTATTATGAGATTGTGCTCAGTGGACACATGGTACCACAATTCGCTCCCTGGGTAAGCTGGTTGTTCGGCTCGAGAGGAGGAAGGACAAAATTGACCCGAACTGCAGGCAGGGATTCAGAGCATGCAGTACCTCATGGGCTTCCGCTCAAAGCCTTGAACCTGTTTATTTCTATTGGAATAATATTGAGATATCCATGTGGGTGTCTACCTCTTGTCGGACCGAAGAGGCGTCATCTCGACAAGCGATGCTGTACTGTAGCATCTACCGAGTGTGAATAATGCGAACAACTGAAGCCCCGCTCGTGGGTCCTTGTTGAGGTGGCTCTCGAGGTCTGTGCTGACCGTTGTACATAGCCCGGAAATCACTTGATTCCTGGTGATCGCTCTAGCGCCATTGCTCGCTCTGTGCGATCACTGGGGTAGCTCTCATCCGCGAGTCAAGTGGGATGGCCGCAAAGAGACTAGTACTATGAATGTGCTTATTTTGACGTCGTGGCGTGAATATTCTGTCGATTTATGTGGCCGTCTCTGGGCTCCTGCTCGCGGCACCAGCCCAGAGGGAAGCCTCCCCGAACCCACGCGACAACGACGCGGCCAGTCTGGAGAGGCCTATATGATCCAAATGGGGCTCCAATCGGCCGCTCGAGGACGCTGCTTTTGGTCGTCGTTGGCTTTGCTGCCAATCTTTGCTGCTCCTTGCTTTCTACGCCGACTCCAACCACAAACGCCAAACTGGCTCCAGCGGCGCGCGACGCAGTCTCGCAGATTTCTTCTCGAGTGCATTCTCTAAGGAAGAAGAAGATGGCGACGACAACAGTCACAACAACAGCGACGACGACGGCTGCACCGACGACGAGCCACACGAGGCCAACGAGCCCCTATGCGCGCAGCACAGGCGCGGGCTCCGCGACAGATATCGCGTCGCCTATCGATTCTGCAACGTCATATGGCGGCGCTACTGGCACTGGGACCACAAACGGCACGCTCGTCGAGGCCCCAGTCTATCCACACAACGCAACATTCGAGTACGTACATCTATTGGATCAAAGATACGCATTGCTAATCGATATTTTATGATCATCCATCCTGGCGTGCCTGCAGATCCGACCAATTCGCCGTCACCGTCTCAAGTCCACACCTCGAACTCACATTCCCAAATGGAAATGACGGTGCTATCGTCAAGCTGCCCGTCTTTGGCGCAAAGGACAGCATCGGTGGCACAATCACCTTTAATCCTGCCATGTACCCATCTACCTCAAATGCCAAACTCGTGGTCTCGGTATGCTTTTCTGGTACAATCCCCCCATCTACGCCACTGACGTTTATCAAAGCTAGAGGGAGCCATGTACTGGAGTGAGCCCCGACCGGCCGACTTTCTCCCCAAATCGAAATCAGGCAAAGAACATAAGCGAAGAAGTACCCGAGACCGCGATGATCTCTCCAATATTGCCACCAACCATCCACCGCCCATGCTCGAGCGCAAGCACGTCTTTCTCTACTCGCCACTCAGCATCACCCTGAGCAGCACCACCGACGACGAGTCGTCTGCGACGGGCGTCAGTGGTCCCACTCCCAACTCGGCCTTGGATACCATTTTGCAAAATAGGCAACAGGCGCTCGCAGCTGTGCGCAGGAGAATGTCCTATGGACGTGCAGAGGCGTCTAGACTATTAGAAAAGGCTCGACGTAAGAAGAGCATGGGGACGAGCGGTGCGAATGAAGAGCCCATCTTTGGCTCTGCCGGAATGGGATCGTCGGCACAGCTGTCTGGAAACGCACTGGGACTTGGTGTCGGTGTAGATGGTAGTAATACCAATTTGCCGAATACCGTCACCTCGTCCCCCGAGGCGCAGACGACGGCCGACCCAATGCTCGCAGCCACGCCCTGGGTTAGCAAGACATTTATGTTCCATTCGCCTCTTCAGCAAAAGGATAATGATGGAACGCCACTACGACTACCTCCTTCGGTCGATCTCAAGGCAGAAGCTGCGGAGCACGACAAGGGAAAGACAAAGCTTGTCGAAGATGTTCGAATACAGTACAGGCTTGTGGTCAAATATGAAAGTTCGCTGGCGTCGTTGACCAAAAAGTACGTTTCATTCCGTTTCAATGGATATGTCTCTGACCTGTTGTTCCAGGGTGGAAGTCCCTCTGATTTTCGAACCGGGGTCAGATCCAGAATCGTTTTATGCGACTCCTCAGCCTCCGATCAAATGGAAGGAGACGCCTATGGAGGTTGATAGCAAGCCAGAAGGAATGGCCAAATTACCCTTCCGCGCAATGGTGAGCATAGTTAGGTAGATAACTATCACGCGCTGACAATTTGTAGCTCACACTCCCCAATCCACCCGTCTTTGCTCGAGACTCGGAATCCTTCTTCTTCGTCGCATTTGCCACCACGCCCCAAGACAAGGAATTGGCTTCCATCATCGCCTCGAACGCTCAGATTTCCCTCAACATTACTTGCACATATCGCTTCGACCCACGTCGAGCTGCAGCTCACACTTCCCGATCCTATATCCTCCCAAGAGAGCCAGAACTTCTCAAGATGCGACGCAACACCGAAAACACCGACGATGCATCAGAGGAAAAGTCGGCGACGGTGACGCCCGGAGGCGCGACGGGGCTCAGTCGCGTACGCAGCATTGGTTCCAATGGCTCCAAGTGGGCAGCGACAGTCGGTGCCGCTGGATCGAGTTGGATGCAATCGGCCAAGAATGGTGCCGTGGCTGTTGGTGGGAGTATTGGGAGCGTCGGTGGACGGGCAGCTGCGCTCGCTGCGCTGACGACGACGACGGGGGCCACAAAGGAGGAAAAACTGTGGAAGTGGCAGGATCCACCTGCTTCGCCTCTGAAGCGGCGTAGTCATTCCAGTCGGAAGAGTACGGGGAATGCTAATGATGGTGTTGGGTCTGGGCAGACGACGATTCGACGAATGAGCGGGACGTCGACGCCAAAGCCTGAAGCTGGTGGACGCCCGTCGACGAGTAGCGAGAGGGAAAACGAGAAGCCGTTACCTGTGTTGCCGCCCGTGACGCCCGTGGAGGAACAAGGTGGACGAATCTCGACGCCGCTGCCTGTTGGTGGGTTCAAGGATGATGGAGCGGGTGAGACGACGACGGTGCTCCTCTCGACATCACGCACTGGGTTCCCACATCGGCCCAAAGTCAAGGCGGATCAGTCGAATTTGCCAGAGGGTCTTTGGAAGGGCCAGCTCAATTATCAGTGGTGGATGATTCCGAGCTTGGATCAGGCAGGGTTATCTGTCAAGGTGAGATTCTTTTTGTCTTCGTACTCCTTGATGCTGATGGGTTCTAGTACCATATGGAAGTGATTGTCGAGATTGACGGCATGGTCCTTCGCACAAAGAAGGAATTCAGAATCGTCGAGCCGCATATTGTCCGCAAGGAGGAACGGATACATCAAACTAAAAGAATCGAGCTAGACGCCTTCGTCTAGGTGACGCAAAGGAGAAGAAGTTGCTACTTATTCAACGCAGCGGGATGGCCATAGACGACAGAACATAAATATTCGATATCGCGTTATCGTTCCAATGTCTTCAAGTAGGACGCTGTGTCCAGTGGCAAGGGTTTGAAACCTGTTGCCCGAATTCTCATACCTCGTGCACAAAGCAACGATACAAATGCAGAGGCATTCCTCTCGTAATCTCACGTCGGAAGTGTATGTATTGGATTTCACGATACTCGTCACGAACCTGTATTTATCATGAACAAACGAAAGATGGGATGTAACTCTGGCTACATGGGATCGCGCGAACAGTTTTAGAATGCCTTGGTCTGTTTATTGTTTATCCATGGCTCGGAGCTTCAAAGGAACTACTCACCTCGTCCATGCATGCTTGATACTCCTTCCTAACGTCTGTGAATGATTTGCTGAGCTTCTCAATGTCCGTCGACCTGTACTCCTTCCGAATTATGATTTCAAGGCGTGCTTCAATCGACTCGAATATCGGGTATATCCTTCCCCACCACGACGTGAGCTCGCCGAGACTGTCCTCTAGATCTTTGAGCATGAGAAGTACCGCATTGATCTTGTTGACAGCATCTACACAGATCAGAATCCGTGCAGAATGTTCTGCGAGGAGGCGTGGTTGGTTAATTGGCCCTCAGTTAGGAGCCGACCCTTACCTTCCACCTTCATACCGCTGTATAGGACAAACGTCCTCTTCACTGCTTGGTCCCTAAGAACTTTCTGCGCAGCCGTCTCGCGTTCAATCTCCGTCTTTCTCCCTTTCAGAGATTCGAGAGCCTGGAAATCCATTGTCAAGAGCTAGGATGTTTACGAAACCTTGCTTACCTCGCGTATTCCTTTACGATTGACCTCGAGGGATTCCATAACCTGGGATTGCTTCTTTCTCGCCTTTGAGACATCCTCTAGAATGCGCTCTGTTTCTTGTCGAATCTTATCGAGGGTACACCCGCCACTCGAGAGCGCTTCCATGGCCTTTGCGCCATCAGATGCACATCTGGAGCATATCTCTCTCGCTTCCAACGATAGCTTCAGGGCTGTTGAGAACCCAGTGACATTGTCTTTGACGAGTTCCAGTATTGCTTTGGGGCTTGCGCGGGGTAAGCTACGGAATAGATTAGAAATATGGAGGAGGAGAAATTCATTCTCCCACTCACGACTTCAGTGGCCCCGGCTCGTTTAGCTTGTCGCGACGCATTTGTGACTTGTCGAGGACGGCACTAATGGTAGGCTGCGCAGGGACCATCTTTGGGTGGATGGAAGAACTATCACGATTGTCTGTAATAGTTTGGGCAGTATCATGATCTGGTCGTTACCAAAGGATTATAATTGCGCATGAGCGGCTCGAGCGCAGATTTCCCAGCAAAACGAACAGTACCTCCAGTGCCTTGAGTTATTAGACAGGTGATAAGTAGTAAATATGGTCTCTTGGAGTACGACTTACGACTATCAGCCTGTGATACCTCTTGTGATCTGTGTCAAAAGTGGATAAGTTTCTGCCTCGAATGATGGATACGTTGAACGAACCCCGTTAACGTGACCTTGTTGCGCTGTACTTCTCTGCGCGCCTGAATAGCAGCCGAGTCCTCGTGCCTCATCTTTTGGAACGCTCCCCGTGATGCCTCGACCTTGCTTACTCCTGCTATCTTCAGTTTGGAGAGTTCATTGAAGATACGATCGAGTTCGTCCTGTAGGTTGGATGGATTTGGGCCACTATTGGCAGCTTCAATGTGGTCGTCCAGGTTATTGACAATCCTGCATGAAATGAACAGCTGTCTTTATTCTCATTGCTATAACGCACCCAACAAGGATGGTTACCTGACTAAATAACAGATTCATATTGGAGCTTTTGTCGCCACTGCAAATCTGTTTGGCGAGGTGATAGATGCAATGTTGAGAAGCGAGAGCCAGATGATGAAGTTGAGGCCCGAATAAGCGCGCCTTTTGTGATGCTTGGATGGCCCATTTGGCATGCATCATGGGGAGCCACAGCATAGGCGGGATGGGAGGAGGATCCGAATTCCAGAAGAGATTTCCTGTGAGATGATATTGAGAGGCGTCCCATATGTGGGTGACGCAGAGTATTGGGATGGGTAAGAGTACTGGCCCTGCATCTGAGCGACGAATACTCACCATCCACAAAGGCTTTGGGCGTCTTAGCCGCTCTTGTAAGCATCTGGTTACTAGAGGCCATGATAACGCCAGCGCAGAGTGCGCCACACCTCGAACACGTTCTCGTGCGGGAGGGCCAAACAACCGACGAGCTGCCTCCAGCTGACCTATTCTGAGAGATATCCAAGCACAGCGCCTAGATAGGCACTAGTCGCCATTCCTATTACTGGAATATATCAACTAGCCCACTGTATGATGAATGCAGCCGCTTCTGCGACACTGTGGCCTAATTGCGTCTGATACTCGTCAGTACACCAAATCATCAATTAGCGCTGAGGAATGCCTCCTTGAGCGTCACGAACATATCCGTTACCTATATGTGGCTAATTCAGACATCAGCACCTCGGTTTCCTGTCTGTAATGTCTAATATGTATTGAATTGTATAAAACTCGGCACAATCCTGTGCTTAACATGAACAAAATGAAGATGAGATGCAACTCCACGTCGTTATCGAGGCCGTAAAGCTACAAGAGGTGACCGTCTCAATGTCAAGCTGCCGCATCTATCTCGTCCAACTTCTCCTTGATGTTCCAATATACTTCAAACTCTTCTGGAGTCATCAACTCTTCATCTCCTTCCTTGACGTCTCGCGCCCTAACTTCCTTGCCGGCGACTAAGAACAAAGATCAGCGGATGTATCGCAAAGACTTGTTCGACTTACTCTTCACCCAAGGGTTATACTCCTCCTGTGCAACAGAACTACCTTGAGAGGGTGGTGGCATAGGCGACGCGCTCCGTTCATGAACTTGTTCAGCAAATGAGACTCTCTTTTCCGTTCCATTCAAAGCAAGTCTCTTCGGCTTGTCTGCGGGCGGGACGGGAGTGAGATTCGTCGACGAGATGCCTTCCATCTCTTGACTCGAATCCGAGTCGCTACCCTGCGACGGCGTGTTTCGCGATGCCTCGACAGGTGCTTGAGGGCGCATCTGAGGTGGCAGAGAGCCCGGCTTGTAGTAGCCCGGGATAGGTGGGTATCCTCCAGGTGGTCGATAGCCAGGCATGAGATGACTTGGTGTAACGGAGCCAGGACCCGACGGGAACACCTGCGGTGGATAGCCGTACGGCCGTCCTGGTATCGGAGGATACCCGCCTGGTCCCCATGGTCCAGCTCCATCCCGTCGTGGTAGTTTCATATGCCGTGGATCGCTGCCGTCCTCCTCAAGCTTGCGTTTCGTACCACGAGGAGACCCTTCACCTTCATTGATAAGTCTCTCATAGTATTCCTCGGTGTCTACAAGGAGTCAGCACATGCACCGCCGGTCTGAGGATATCTTACTAAACGTATCAAAGCTCGAGGCCTTTGCTTGCGCTAGTTTAGCCTGAGCATCGAGCTCGGCAAGCAGGGCTTCGTTGTTCGATCTCTGCTCGGCCTGAATCCCGAGCGCCGTCTTGTCTCCGGAAATGGTCGAGGTGGTGTGCCAGGATGGCATGACGTTTTGTCGCCTCTTCTCGTCTGCCGTCTTTTGCTTCTCTCGCTTCTTCTGGTCCTCGTCGTCATCTTCAATGATGTGAATCTCAACTTCTGCCGCTTTTGCTCCGCCAGTAGCAATCTTGAGGCCATCGTCCTCGGCGTTGTTCATAGCACGCTGTGCGGCCATCTGTTCTCGTACATAGCGCGCAACATCGAACCTGCAAAGTCGTTGGTATCAAACGTAATGTGTTAGATGCGTGTACTGACGCAGGGATGACGATTCCTTCAATCTCTCGCAGAGCCTCTCTGATATGCCTTATCTGAACATTGAATCGTTGCATACGATCCTTGCTACCCTGAACCTTTTCAGAGTTTTCGTTGTCAACGACTTCTGTGCCACAAATATCGCAGGCAAAAATATTGAGCATTGGGTCGAACAGTCTGTCGGCATCGAGAGTAGTGAATGATTTTGTACATCTAGGGCACACATAGCCCTTGTTATCGAGATCCTACGACGCCGTCAGCAGCCGCTTTTAGCCTGCATTTTGGGAACCAACCGCTTTAAGTGAATCTTCGATTTGAACTCGCATATTGGTTATTCTCCATTTAACAACGTTGCAAAACTTTTGCAAGTCGATCCAGTAATACTGCTTGCCGACAATGCGGCCTTGGTTCTCCTTCATTTCATTCTGACGATAACTGCAAAGTGGCAGCAGTCAGAGTCCGTTTTGCGAGAGAATAATTTTATTTACGCTTGGACTAATCGATGACTGGTGAGTTTGCCCATCACTCTTGTCAGCTCTTTAACATTGAGCCCAACGCGACCAGCCAGGTCGTCATCACGGAGGCTGAGATTATCCAAAGAACCGTAATTAGCCCTAATATTGTTACGAAGCAGAGAGAGTAGCGCTGTACATATTATTTTTCAGCAGAATGTCCACCAGGATATAGTAATTCGCGTCGTAAAATGAAAGAATGACAGTTGAAATGAGATGCTTCATCGCTGCTTGTTGTTTAATATCAAGCTGCGGGAGTGGTGGGAGCACAGAGGGTGCTGGCGTCGCCATTTGTCGGCGATGGAACAGTCCAAGTTTCCAGCCGCCAAAGCTTGGAGTCGGCCTCTGCCTTTGAACTTTTTCACTCCAGCAAAGAGGATCAAAAAATGTCTCACAGAGGATCAGGAAAGCCATATGGGGTGAGTTTTCATCGTTTACAGTCGGCGCTACTTGTTCTGACATCAGCCGAAGAGAACGTCGAGCGGTCGGGGCCTTCCAGACGGTCAATGGCTGCATGACAAGGCTCCTGGTGCTGAAAGAACGCGTGCTCCACGTGCTCCTGATGCTACCATGGCTCCTGCATCGTCCACTCGACTGCTAGTCGACAATTTGCACTACGAGGTCACGGAGAAGGATTTGGCGGTTCGTTGGACAGCCTCATTCATCTTTTTTAAACTCACATATGTACAGACTCTCTTTGGAGTGTACGGTCCATTCGCCAAACCACCTAGAATCCGGGTATGAGTTCTACAGCCATTACACACCTCCCTTGGCGGCATCTTCTTTGTGATTGTGGCAACATGATTTACCAACCTCTCGGACTCTTTGCATGCATTCGTCGAATGTCTATAGTTTGACAAGAGCGGTCGCTCAACTGGATCCGGCACTGTCACCTTTGAGAATATGGATGACGCAAAGGCGGCACAAAAGGCTCTCAACAAGCAACTTGCAAAGGGTATTGCATTTCTCCCTCTAGACCGTGGGCTTGCATCTGACTCGTTCAACCAGGACAGGAGCTCGCCATCCGTTTTGACCATCAATCCGGCTCAAATGCATCATCACTACTGGCAAGGTTGGACAAGGGATCAACAAAACCTCTCGCCAGCAGGCTAGCCGATTCCCCCAAAGGCACCACAGAGAACCCATCGTCAGTAGATGAGACGATCCTCTGTTCACAAGCTAACTAACCGCCTACAGTCATACAGGAGGTGTAGGGCCACACCGTAGAGGGCGAGGAGGTGCTCGCGGTGCGGCAAACACACCACGGGAGAAAAGACCACACAAGAAGCCGTTGACGGCTGATGATCTGGATAAGGAGTTGGATCAGTATGGGGCCCAAGGCGATGGATCCCAGCCGGCACCACAAGCTGGCCCTGTCTCTGGCCCTTCCACAAAAGCCGTCGAGGAGGACGTCGAAATGTCTTAGGCTATTCATAAACAAGGCCCATGTATCTTTCAGCTATCTCTGATTGCCAAATCTATCCAGTCTCTTTCTCTTGACTACGTATGGTCCATTGACAAGCTTGGGTTCAGTCCTTTGTCGCCGCGAGCCACTTTTCTTTCCTTGAGCTCTCGATACCTCTTGATCGCCTTTTCCCTCTCTATCTCCATCATTCTCCGTTGCTCCGGTGGAACAACGTCTTTCTTTCCAAATGCTTCTCCCTTTTTATCCTTGGCCAAAAGCTTGTCTGCCTTTGCCGTCAGCGTCGAGAGGTCTGGAGGCGCTTGTGCTATATCGTTTAGTCGTTTGGGTGCGCGCGAGTCCAACGATTCAAAGTCAGTCTTGCGTGGTTTCGCTCCTGGTTGCTGGGACGTCGAGGGATGCGTCCGTACATTCTTGGTGACCACCTTTCCTGTGGAGTTTGTCTCTACTGGTGATGGCTGGTTCTCGAGTTTGTCTTTACGTTCGGCTTTCTCGGTCGCCTCTTGTCGTCTCATATTGGCTTGTCCAGCACGAACAGCGGATCGAACGTCGGCGCGCATAGCATCTTCTACGCGACTGTAGATTCCTTAGCTACGTTTCCCAAGAGGCATATTGCTACTCACCGATTGAAATCCCCCAGACTCTCTCCTGGCTGAAGAAAGCAATCAATTATGAGAGTTTAGTCGATAGTGATGTACTTTACCAAGATTTGAAGGGTCTCTTTCTCTGTTTTCCGTTTCTTGCTAGATTTGGTGCTCTCTGCGTCCATCATGCGTGCTTTTGGTTGATTGTTAGTAGATAATTCATCCTCTCGCTTGCGCTTCTTGTTGTACGAGTCACGGAGCATCGAGGCGTTGAGGACGCGAGCTATCGACTTGGGTATTGGCTCGTTTTGTAGCGAGTAGTGGGCTGAACTAGGCACTAAATCTGACCCTCTATGATGTTGAATACCCCATCATCCATAAAAACGCGTCGACGTAGAATGAAGGTGGCAAAGTCAGACGGCAAAACGCGAAAAGCAGCAACGATGCACATTCTCACTTTGCACGACGTTCTTCCTCTCTAACGGATCGTTTTGCCTTTTTATGTGGCATTTCTGGCGAATTCTGTTTTCCAGACTGCAGCAAACGTGGGGATCAAAACTTGACCTCGTCCTTTACTCCTCTCCACGTCGCAGTCTCGTTCGCCCACCTTTATTCTACCCTAAAATGAATTCCTCTCGCATTCTCCGTGTAACTCGAAATGTTTCGCGCTTTGCGCAACCAGTTTCTTCCTTTTCGACGCGCGCTGCCCGCCTTGCTCCTTCGACCTCGCTGCAAAAACTTGCGTCTCCTTCGCATTTTGCTCGAACATTCTCAATCTCACCCGTGCTTTTGCTGACACGGCTAGTACGTCTTGTTTTTCCAATAGTCCCCCAAATTTTTTTCTTGTGCAGAGATGGATGCTCATGCTGACGGTCTCTCTCTCCTTTAATGCCGATTATCAACCTCACGACGTGATTCTGAATCGTTTGCCTCGGTACAGCAAACAAGACGTTGCTGGAAACGCTCACCAGCGAACTCAACCATGAAAAAGAAAATGCCGCAGAGGACCCCGCTGTTCCCGAGTTTATCGAAGAGTTCCAAAAGAGCGGCAACTGGAGCGTGAGTACTCCGATAGGTGACTTTCAAATGGCTGACACACAAGACGTAGATTGAGCAGAAGCCAGGCCATGACGAAGTCTTCCTTGTGAAGAAACACGGAAACGAGACGTCAGTTTTCTCTTCACAATACTTATTTACAACTGACAATCTCGCTCAGGGTTCAAGTCTCGTTTGCTATCTCTGATATTGACAATAGCGAAATGTTCGAAGAGGATTTGTCAGAGGAAGAGGACGTAGATACCGCGTTCCCGGTCCGTTGCTCCATTACTGTCAGCAAGCCATCCGGAGGCGCTCTCGCATTTGAAGCTGTCGCCCAACACGGCATGCTCCAAATCGAAAACGTCGCCTATTACCAGGACGGCAAGCTTGCTACCGAGCTGACGCCAGAGGCCGAATTCAAGCGCCGTGGAACCTATGCTGGTCCCATGTTTGATCATCTCGACCAAAGTCTGCAAGAGGCCTTTGAAGAGTATCTCAAGGCTAGGAAAGTTGATAGTGACTTGGCATTGTTCATCCCAGAGTACGCTGCATGGAAGGAGCAACAGGTTAGTATCTTTTTATTTCACCGCTCACAGGTTTTGCTGACAATATCGACAGGAGTATGTCTCGTGGCTCGACGGCGTCAAAAACTTTGTCCAGGCCTAGACGCCTCTCTCTGCTCCGACACTAGATTACGCATCCATCATGTGCTAATACTCTTATCTACCTGTGTTCTTATCGAGAATTTGTCACGCTGCAAAAATACTTCACCACTTTACGTGCAAACTATGCCCTTAAAGACTCAATTCACTATTAATGGCTACAGTAATTTGAGCAAGTCGGACATGATTCCCATTGCCGTCACAGCAGCTCCAGCTCCGGCACCTTGGACGATCATCGGCCTCGGACTGTAGCGTTTAGTGTGAAACGCGATAATGTTATCAGAACCTTGTAATGATGTCGCAAATGCATGGTTTGCTGGGTACCTGAAATATAATAAGCTCCCTGGGCGACTCAGAAGGTGCTGTACTCACTTTTCTAGCGCAGCTTTAACAACTTTAGCCTGTACGTCAATCACACCGACGTATCGCAGTACTTTCCCCTCTTTCTTTGCTTCTTCACGAAGCTTTTCGAATTCGGCATCATACTCGGGAAGGCGCGCGACGAATTCGTCTCCAGACGTGACGGAAGCGAGCGCGTCTGGGACGAGCGAGGTGATTGAGACGGATTTGTACCCCTCGGGGAGGTGAGATCTGAGTGAGGGGATCATTCGCGACAAGATTGTCAGCTTGCGCGCAACGTCAGCACCGTTGAGGTCGTCGCCTGGGTGTGGTTCCTATTAGCTATTCAGGGATCTGCATGAATACAGTAGGTATTGAAGACGGACTGTATAACCTTTCTCTCGAGCCTGTGCGACAATGGAGGAAAAACTTGGGCCTTCACCCAAGGGGGTGGAGTATTCGTTGAAGATGTAACTCAGCGTTCCGGAAAGGACGCCTTCAATTTTAATGACCTATATTTATCAATGGGCGCTCCAGAGAAGGATCAAATGTACCTCGTCGCCAGAGGCCACCAAGTCCCTGAGAGTGGCAATGATAGGCAAGCCGGCACCAACAGTGCTCTCATTTAAATATTTTCCACCCTCTTTGAACCGACTCGCAAAAATGATATCGTTATACAACTTCAGGCTGGACGAGAATGCCTTTTTGTTGGGTGTAATCACGTCGAACCCTTTCTGGAGGAACGCCGGGTATAGTGATGCAACATAATCAGAAGATGTGTTATCCACTATAACCGTCCTGTGTCTATCGACGATGGTAGACTCAAGAAGACGGGGCAGTTCGGCCAATGCAACTTCTTCACCCTCTCCATCAGCAAGTCGCTGGGAACAGGAGGCAGGATCAAGTCCTTTGCTATCTTCCCTGAGCGCACGTTTCGAATTGGAGGCGTAGATGAGTCGGATGCGCCGGCTGGACAAATCGGATGCGCCGACAAACGCAAGTTGGTTCAGGAATTCTTTTCCAACGAGTCCGACACCAATTACTGCGACATTTAGGGTCGACATTTCCGTGAGTTTGGGAGGGTGAAGGTCAAGTTTTGTTCGTTGCCACTCCGAATCAAGTCGGCCGAGCCGAAGCGACGCGTAGCGTAAAACATGATATTGATGTCATGCCGCAACTATGGTTTGGCTACAAGACTTTCGTCGTCGCCGTAGCGCTCAGCAAACGCTGTAATGCCACCATCGAGGACAAGTGCACAAGACTGAGTTTCATCTATTCCCTGCTTTGCTAGCTCTTCGCGATACCATCCAGCCGCCCTTGGTCCTCTTCCCGTCTCGGTACAACTCTTACAGTGGAATACAACTGTGGGGATCGGCGAGAGTATCTTGGTCACCGTCTCTTTCGTTGGATAGAAAGAGTCGACAGGCAAGTTCAGAGCACCTTTGATGAATACATTCTATGACCTGATGAGCACACATATTGCACGTATAGGGGATACAAACCTCAAAATCTGTCCTTCTGACATCGACGACGAGGTAGTCACGTCCCGCCACTTTGGTCTTGACAAGCTCTGCGAGCTTCTCAGGTGAGATTCTCTGCGTGTCCAAGCGAGGGGTTGGATAGGCTTCATATGGAGAGGGCTCGTGTCCGGCGTTGTGCGAGGTCATGGTGGAGATTAACAGTTGTAGAGACGTTAATCAAAAGGATTGGTATAGCGAACAGTTGTTGGACTCTTGGCATTATTTGCCATCCGCTAGAAGGATGGTGCAATCCATCGTCACCGCCGCACCATTGAATTATCTCGGCGCTCCACACCAGGTATAAAATTATACTGGTATTAGTCGATGACCAATATGTTAGATGGACTGAAGCCTTTTTTTTGAACTTATCACAAGCCTCGTAAACCCTGAGATGAGAGGCAAAGCTTCTCAGGCCAACTTCTGGCTTATCCATTTGGTAATTCAGCACGATAGAATGATGATAACAGAAACAGAATGCACTGAGATAGTTAATGCTGTCACGGCAGGTGTCAAGAAGATGAGGCGCTGACAAATGATAAAGTATGTTCGGAGCGGATCACGAAGAATACATCAAAGTAAGTTCACGCGACAGTGAGGGTGATCAAACGTCCAAAGTCCGACTTGGGATCAGGCGAGAGCAGGTTGAGCCTGTACATGGCTGGCACAGCAGAGATAAATAGGATACCAAGACCACCAGCAGATGTCGCAACAGTTTGTACCTTTACTGTTTCATTGGGTTTAGTGGATCAATTAGATTGAGTCCTTCCTGTGGACGCAGCGGCATACCCAAAATATCCTCCGACTCCGAGCTTGGCCAGGATCCCCTTCCTGGGAGCACCTTGCTCATTTCTTTGATCACTGAGAAGCCAAAAATAACCTGTTTGGTCCATAAAGTATCCCTAGGAGTCAGCGGGAGCCCAGGCGGTTGTGGAGGAGCGGGACGTACACCAAAGAGCCGTCAAAAGGGGTTAGTGTACACTAAAGACATGCCTGAGATCCAAACTATTATATCTAATGAAAACAGGGTCAGTCCACTCAGTCGGTGTTCGAAATCAACAGAACCTGTACACTGCCTAACAAACGCGATGTAAGTTAGTTGTGGAGGTGGTGAGCATCGACCGCGTTGTGAGCTAGCGGCATACCCCAGTCGGTGTTAAAACCAACCGAATGATATATGAGAGGAGCACTCGGCCACTGACGCGTCGATTAAAAGGTGAAGTACGGAAATAATAAGGGGCAAAAGTGAATATATATCGTACATGGTGCTATACTACAATGTTGATGTTGGTCGTGATGCTCCAATGTCTCGTCCTTATCGCGTGGGTTGATTGTTGTGGGGGGAGTTTCTATCGCTTTGGCCTGTTAACAGAGATAATCAGGTGAATTTTTGTAGATAGTTCAACACGCAGCGACAGAAAATGATCCAAAATCGACCGTTTGCCTACAGCGAAGAATTTTGCGAGACATTCAATCTTATTGCGCAAGTATCTTGCCGGGCGTACTCAGACCTCGGATCTACACGCTCGAGGCTAGAGAGACTCTTCAACAGCTGGAGCCGCCGTCCTCCCCATACCCAAAAGGCATACTCGGCATACTCGGCAGAGGTTCAACTAATGGCTCGATTGGGTCAACTGGATACGAACTACCTCCGATGGATACGCAATTTACCCAATCATCGAATGGGCCTTTGTGACCACGGATGCATAGCACTCCAGGACGATCATCACCTGTTGGTCGAATGTCCAGAATACCAAGGGATGAGAGAGGAGACCCAGATGAAAATGTCCAAAGTCACCGAAGAGTTGATGAATCGGCAGGAGGTCAATGTGCATGCACGTACTTATCGGACTGAGCTAGCTAAGTCTATTCTTACCGACAATCAGGCGTGGGCGAGCGGAAAATCACGTTTCTACCTAGGGATGATTCCGAGACTCGAGTCCTACTCGCCAAGGGTGGATGACCCATTGACACAAAGGCGGCATATTCCATGCATTCAATTAACCGGAAGAATTTGGGGATCATTGATGAGGAAACAAGACAAGGAGTGGAGGTCGAGATTCCTATTCACCACCTCACTGAAAGAACAGTGTGCAACTACCTTGTGAAATACCATCTGGGACAAGCAACTGTATGACCCAGCAAACCATCTGCTGCTTTGGCTCACGGAGTCGCAGTTCACGCAGCCTACGATTACAATGGGCGACGATACCGACCACGACGGGGCTGACATGATTGCACAGGTAGTGATTGCACTGTTAGGTGTTGATGCGGCGAAACGCCCTCGACCTCGCTAGGTTCCCTTCCTAGGCTTGACTTTGTCCAGTGCTTTTTCGACTCTCGCGTTTTCTCGATTGGTTATATGGATCTCATTGGGACAAACGAGCACCACCCATTCTAAACGGCCAGCCGCCATCAACGGAAGTCCATTCCATGTTGCCCTCAGACATGCAGTTCAGCCGTCAAAGGCCATTGATGTGTCGTTGATTGATCGCAAGGGAGGGACATTATACATTCTTTCTGAAAGTAATTGCCCACCAACAACAATCTATGTAATACAGGTGTACGCGATACCGTAGGAGTACTTCAATGAGGAACAACGTCGCGTCATTGAGCCGTATCTCATTGGGGTCTTTGCCCCAGTCAGCCTGGATATTGCTCGTGGGCTCGGCACAAAGGGCTGTCCCTACAACTTGTGGCATGCGCTTTATCTCAACAATCTCAAGCCACTGTTGTCCAAAACGTTATTGAGAACCACCAAGCAATGGATCTCGAGCAGATGTCTTTTCATCTACACCATCCCTTTGCCGAATCTCGACTACTCGCCCATGTAATGGCTCGATGAACTTCGCCAGAGTAGCAAGGACGAGTCCCTGATGTATATTCTCTCAGTCCAGAAGCCGTGCCCCCTCGGTCGTACAACGTATGATTGCGTGGATATCTGATCTGTTCAAAGTAGATCCGATACAGATCAAACTCCTTCCGCAGGTAACGGCATACTCTCCAGACGTCAGTACGCATTTCAAAGAACACCTTTTACGGTGCGGTCGTGACGACCAGGCCGTGGTTGGGATGGACAGCAGCAGCCTCCGTCACATCCACTGGTTAACGGCGCCTGAGACAAGTCTCAAATTGCGTCTTAATTTCAGGCTCTGGCCCAAGACTCGTGTGATCATAATTGGCAATCGCAGCTTTGTGAGACGGACGTGGTCGGGTCCCACCCGCGTCGGTAACATCCCATGAGACCTCACTAAGACAATATATGTTTGAGAAAGAGATTGGAAATACTCTGATTTGGTGACTATGAATCACTGGAGAGGGCGGCGCAAACAAGGAATGGTGGCCGAACCCGAATGGGATGTACATTTTAGAGAAAGGTGATAACATGTGCGACCAATTTTGCAGATAGTTCGTTCCCACAGGCCTGGCCTACGTAATTATGAATCGAGACTCTGATCCACACCATTTTCTTGGGACCGTCACATGAAATTAGCCAAGTAGTTTTCAAGGCGGTGGCTAGTCGTTCTTACATATCGGTTAGTAATGAATGTATTAGTCTATTTATTCTTCATGAAACTTCTAGCCCAGACACATGGCTTTGGTCTAGGCAAGTGAGCATATGGACCGTAACGCTCAGCGCTTGAACCGGCTGCAGATGGACCGGAAGTTGTCGTGTGACAAGTTCGGGCGCTCTCTTGAAGCGAGCATCGATTTGGATCCTTGTGAGCCTTGTGAGAGTCGCTCGGATGAAGGTTATAATTTCCCAGGAGGAAGAAAGCGAAGAGAAATGTACATAGTTTGATTCCGAGTTGCTTGGAACCGGCGATTCGGGTGTTCATGTCGGCGTTGGTGGAGCGCAAACTCACCAACTGACGCCATGACGTAGCATACGGATCCAAGGGACCAGCAGCGAGAATCAGCAAAGTGAAATTAATCCTCTTCTCGAAAGGAGAAACTCGTTGCGATTCTCAGGGGACTTGGTCTAGCGATTCGACTGCTTCGCGAAGATTTCATCGCACGACAGGCCCTGGCCACGAAGGATGGCGTAGAAACAAAATGGAAGAGAAGCATACGAAGTGATCTCATCATCTTCTTGATTGGCTGTGAACTCCTCGATGGAGCATGTGCTCCAAGGTGCCTTAGCATATGGACCTCCCCCAAGTTTGCTCGAGCCAGCAGACGACTGAATGGTCAAGATAGAAGGTCAACTGCGGTGTTCTTCTAATTATTACCATACTGATAGGGAGAGCGTGCCGGCCGTCTGCTTTTGCACACGGCGGGCAGTGGCCAGACGAGGGATCCGGCCCCTCAGAACCCCACTCACATGGTATTCTACTTAGCGTGTGGTGTTATATGGAGACTGGACCCATATAACCCGTCCGCCCTTGGAGTTCAAATGGCTTCTTGCCTCTCCCCCCTTCTCTCCTCCCGGCCCCACTATCGTCGTTGACGCATTCGTCCGACAGTTGTTTGCAGTCCTCCTATTAGGAGTCGTACTCACTAGTGGTTTATCTACCTTTATACTCGCCAAGACGCCATGTCTGATTTCGAAACCAAACGCGTGGAACATGAGACCGCAGAGCTCGAGGCAAAGGGCCATATGGGCAGCCAGTCGCATCACGCCGAATCTCCATCGGAAGAAAAGATAGTCGACGAGAAGCGTCGACCGCTAGACGAAGAGGCCGACCATGCGCATGGAGCAAAGGACGACGTTTATGATCCTAACATGTGCGTTTATTCTTATTTCCACTAATTAAATTCTTGATTTCAACATCATTCCTCTGCCACGAGGACCTCCTCCCCCGTCACCCATCAACATTGTCGACTGACAACTCAACAGTCGCGACCCATTCCCAATCGATCCGGATCTACCAGAAGAGACGCACCAACTGACTTTACGTGCCCTGTTGGTTGGAGCACTGCTCGGATGTGTCGGTAAGTCGCTCGGTGCACGCCTTGGCCACCCGCTGATCGCCTGAAAGTTGGCGCGTCGAATATCTATCTCGGATTGAAGACGGGCTTTACTTTCGGCCCACAGCTCTTTGGTGTACGTCCCGCTCCTCCATACCCGCCTGGGTTCCCGCTGACTCCTAGGTATATTTTATGAACTTAACAGGCTATTTTCGGCTTCTCGATCATCAAAGCAATGAGCAAGGCGCTTCCAGGAAGCGGGATCCTGGCCAAGATGGGACTCGGAGGATACTTTGGGTACGCCGCTGCGTCCTCAGAGAGAACTTGATCTAATTGATATATTAGACCCAAGGAAAACGTAACAGTACAAACTGCTGCGACATCTGCTGGTGGTCTTGGTATCCTATTCGTCTCAGCTGTGCCAGCCATGTACAGGCTCAACCTGCTCTCGCCTGATCCCAAGTCGGACTTTGGACGCTTGATCGCGCTCACTGTCGCGTGTGCTTACTTTGGCGTGTTCTTCGTGATCCCTCTCCGAACATACTTTATCATCCGCCAGCGCCTCGTCTTCCCAACACCCACTGCGACCGCATTCACTATCCGCTCTCTGCATTCTGGTCCACATGGAGAGCTAGTTGCGAAGAAGAAATCCAAGGCCCTCGCCGGCTCGCTCTTCTTCTGCTTCGCCTACAAGATCTTGAACGGTTACCTCCCTGGCATCTTCCTTGACTGGTACGTCTTTCCCGGTGTTTAGTTTCCCTATTAATGATTGAATTAGGCACATCGGATGGACGCTCTACCAGCTTGGGTGGTCCGAGGCGATCAAACTCGAAAACTTTGGCTGGATTATCGGTGCGTTTGATGTCAGCATAATATTCATTTGAGCTTATCAGTTTTGTAGAATTCACGCCCGCGTTCTTCGGTGCTGGAATTCTTTCCGGTCTCAATGCTAGTTGGAGCTTCTTCATGGGTAGTGTTCTCGCTTGGGGTATCATCGCTCCGAGCATCGTCAAGACTGGTCAGGCAACTGGCGTCGTCATTGACGAATCCGTGCCAAAGTACATTAGCTACTATAGCATGCGCTTCACGACCGACGAGAGCGGAACCCGCAATGCGCCATCACCTCGCTACTGGCTTCTCTGGCCAGGTGTTTTGATGATGTTGGTGTTCTCATTCTTCGAGGTATGTTCATTTTCCATCTTTTAGAGCTATGATTCGGCCCTAACCAAACGTAGATTGGAATGTCGTCTCGACATGCTTTCTGGACTGCTCTCAAGAGCACCCGTGGTGCTGGAGGTGCATTCAAGCGAATTTTCGCCAAGCGTGACCCCAATGCTGTCCGCGACGAGAACGATCCCGACCCGTCACCACTTGAAGACCGCATCAAGACGTGGTGGTGGGTCAGCGGTGTCATCGTCTCTATCATTATTTCATGTGCTCTCATGGCTACCCAGTTCAGCGTTGGAGTGTGCGTCTTTCCACCTTGTGCCTAGGGTAGGATATTGACATTAGCATAGCGGCGAAACCATCTTGGCCCTTTTGCTCGGTTTCATCTTCTCGTTCATCGGTGTCCAATCTGCAGGTGACACTGACATTAACCCCGTGTCTACTTGCGCCAAGGCTTCTCAGGTATGTACGAGCGTTGTCGAATACACTCAGCACTCATAATCCCGCTCCCCATCACCAACAGCTTGTATTCGGAGGTGTCAGCAAAGGTATTTCTCTCGTTTTCTCATTTCTAAACTCTAATATCTTCTAGGTCAAGGACTCGGCACAAACCAAGCTCAACTCATGAACTTGGTCGCTGGTTCCCTCGCTGCTGGAGCAGCCGCTCAAGCCACCGACATGACCGGAGACCTCAAGACTGGACACCTTCTACGTGCCAAGCCAAAGAACCAGTTTGCGGCTCAGCTGTTCGGCACCACCATTGCCATCTTCTTGAGTGCAGGTCTCTTTGTGCTCTTCACCAAGGCTTCGTACGCACAACACTTACCGAATGAACAAATTGCTAACCCGTCTTTAGTCCCTGCATTATCACTGGTGACCTACCATGCCCATACGGAGCACCGAGTATCAGCGCCTGGGCCGCCGTCGCATTTGCCGTCACGGCTCCCAGCCTGCCCATCCCCGCAAGCTCTGGCTGGACGGCAATTGCACTTGCCATTGTCACTGCGGTTTCCGTCGTCGCCAAGCATCTCTGGCTCCCTCGCAAGTACTGGGTTTGGTTCCCGAACTGGAACGCCGTCGGTCTCGCCTTTGTCGTCCCGCAGCTTCAGTATTCTATTGCCATGGCCTTTGGATCGCTGTTCGCCTACATCTGGGCGAAGAAGGCACCAAAGAACTACGACATGTACGGATTCGCCATTTCGGCAGGCATGTTGGCTGGCGAGGGACTCGGAGGTGTCATGCAGGCGTTGTTGAACGTCGCAGGTGTGATGGGCGAAGGATACGGTCTCGCTGTTGGATGTCCACTGAACCAATTCTGTGGATAAAGGCGCCTCGTTTCCATCGCCAGGTCGACCTCTTTTGTTCAAGGGTCGAAAAGATGACTTCCATTTGGTTTCTGAGGTGTACTTGTAGAGCCGAAATAAAGGTAGCAATCTCCTGCCTGTCTGTACTTTTTCTGAAAGGGTCGAGACCATTGGTCAAATCTTGGACCTCTCCTCTCCTCTTCCTCGACGAGAGAGTTTGTTAGTGATGAACAACCCAAAGAGTGTTGTCGGTGTACTGCCTTCCTGGTTTGCATGCCTTCTTATTTTCATGAACAGGCGTATGGGTGGGCTGTCCTGATCGTCGCCGCGGCCGGAAGCTATTATTTCGCTCGGTTTGTCTCATATTATTACCATTTTGCGTTCTGACACCTGTTAGAAAGGATATAAGCGCGAAACGACTCGAATATGCACGCCAACATCCTCGAGACCCGACAAAGCCGCGTAAGTGTGAGTTATTGGCACGAATGAGTTGATTAATGACCATCTAGTACATGAGATATTAGCGGATTCGCAGAGAAGTGGTGATATAACCTCCAGTAACGCAAAGGGAGGAAGCAGTGGGTGATATCAAACACGCCAAAGCAATTTTGTCACAATTAGACACAGTAATATGCACAGGTGCCCCTGCTTTACATCTCGAATACACTCAGAACGCGCGTTACGAATAGTTTTTTGCAAGATATTCATCAAAGCTCGCCCGGATCAGTTTATTGGTATTTCGCAATACGAGTCTTCCAGCTGCGTGGAGACCCAGCATTCCCATGATGATGAGTGGCCATGCGACAGGAAATACGGGAATGGTGACGATAAAGAAACCACTCCGAACAACTCGACCACGCCAGCGTGAGCAGTACGGTGCTTCTGCCTGCTTCAATGTTCGTTTCTTGCAAAGATTTAGAATTTCTTCCCTGCCGTCCTCGGGCTGTAGAAACCTTCGCGCTAAGTTGGTGAATATCTCTGGGGCAAACCACCAGCAGTTGTGGTATAGAAGACTATAGCTGGGAACCTCTTGATGGACGATTGAAATAAGATGGGCGAGGTCGATGACCCGGGGGGGGAAGATCCTGACGCTGAGCCAACTTGTCGATGGTACGAGGCAATTCAAATCGGGTGCTGGGTGGATTAGTTGGCGTTGGAAATCAGTATAATCTTCGTTGGCCTCATCAAAATTGCAGAATTCACGCCTGCTCCCGGGTGATGTGATAGCAAGTTATTAGGGCTTTATCCCAATGACTCTCCGTAACACCAATATGAAAGTGAAAATTGAATCTGTGAATCAATTGATTGAGAGTACCAACAACGGAAAGGGTTGATGGTGGAGAGTGCTAGCTGGATAGTTTATGCCCACACGCGGCAGGGTGCTAGTCCTGAGGAAGGCAATGAGCGCCGTGTTTGCAACGAGTTTTCGAACCACTTGGACTCCACCTCATCTAAGGACCTTGTTTATGTACGTACATGTTCTCTTAGCTCCTATACGGCAGCGAGGAGCCCCCTAACGGTTTTTAATTGGTAGTGCCGACCGTGTAACCCGTGCGTGAGACATTGAGAACCAAGTCATATTCAACGCATCTGCGATCAACAACTCACAAATCCAATCTTCGAGATGAGCGAAAAGCCACTGACGAGTCAGTCCTCCCAAGATCCCAATGTCGAGCCTGTTCAAGAGGGGACCTCTCCCATATCTCCTCAGCCCAATACACCACCATTCACTGCGTATCTCCAAATCGTCTCGTTCATTGCGACCATCACCATCTCCGTATCGATTTCGGGGAGCCAGGCGTTTGCGACGGGAGATATCTTCTTCGGAACCTCTTTGGATGGCTCAAGCACCGACCCCGCGTCGATTCGCGCACTCCAGTTAACCAAGACTTCTGCAGAATGGTTTGCCTGGGCTGCCGCGACCTCGGCGCTCTCGTTGATGATCACGCTCGTGCTGCAGCTACTTTTGACAGACGAGGTCTTTGTACGGCAAATAACTGCAGGAAAGGGAATTCCGAGGATGATGCTTGCGATTGGTAGTTGGGTTGCTCTGGCCCTGCAGGCGAGCTCGATGGCTCTCATTGCAGAAGCAGTAAAGAGTTTGAACAAACCGAGTGGTGCTATGATGCAGGTAAGTTTAAGACGAGATCACGCGCATGGTTATACTGACCGCCCTTGTAGTGGTGCTTACTAGCTATTGGATTCCCCTCCTTCCTTCTGTACATGTATATCCTGCGCAAGGACCGAAAACGCCGCGATGGTGTACCACATGTTCCATAGTCATACGTTGGGCATACCGACTGGTTGTTCCCAGCCCCTGTAATTTCCCCTCGGCTCTAATGTACACATCTTGTCGAGTATTATAAGCAGTTGATTAATGAATTCATGATAGAGATTGCTGGGATTGTACCTGGCGGCGCCACTTTTATAGCGCTAGTGGGTACACTGACGAGTCGGAATCCAAGGTTGGACCCAGCTATCACCCGGCCTTGGTGGTCCTTGCCATCCAGTTTGGCTCCGCAACGCTCGTAGTCTAGTCGTTGGAGATCTTTATCTATCCAGTGCTCAACCTCCAACCCATCAGTGCCCCCACCTACGCGTATTCCAACATCGGCTTGCCCGACTTTGACGCTAAGACATGCAAGTATGCCGCGCAGAGGATGGCCAAGTGTTTCAGGTCAACACAAATCTCTATGAAATTGCAAAGTAAGCATCCAAATCAGGTCATGGCGCGTGCCGCTCGCGTTCATGTCGACCAGGAATCCAAGCTAATGTTATTTTGTGCTCCTGAACAACCTCTTGCGATGTTATAAATTATGTTTAATCAATGATTGACCTCCTTGAACCGCGCGTTTACACCTCTGGCTCTCAAAGAAAGCCGGCAACGCTGCGGCCACTACTTGCGTCCCTGACGTCTGTGGACCCAAACTCGATGATTATGTTCCTTTCGGACGGACAACAGCTTAGGGAGGATAATCTCAGGGAACTTAGTGGTGAGTTCAGTGTGCTCTGCGTATCCACAAGAGCTCACCATTGCTCAAGGGGCACAGGATCAGACAATCTTTGTCTTTAACAGGGACTACCTTGACCTAGATATTGAAGAGGTCATGGGGACACTCGGAATTCGAGAAGGGGATGGGCTCATACCTAGTGACTCGCTGCAAGGTCCGTGTGTCTCACCAACTCTGACGTTCGCTACTGAACCCAATTTAGAGGACTCTATATCATCCCTCCATACTTCCCAGATACTACAAGACCAGTCGCAGCGGGCTCAGCGACACCAGTCGTATATCTCGGCACTATTCCAGCAAATCCATAGTCAGCATGAAGGTAGCGAATCACTCTGTGCCTATATCTGTATACTTAAGCGAACTCAGCGCTCGCAATCGCAAGCTCCAATCTGGATATGCACATATTTACCTTGAACGAGGCGTGGATTGCGCTCAAGGAGAGTATCGGCTCAGGCTTAGACACACAAGTGCGCGCTCTCAGACCTAAATGACCACTGACTTATATATACCAAGGCCAAGCTGCTTGAAGGCATAGATTACGACCTTGACGCCATCTCACAGTTAGCGGTGCATCCATCCTTTTTAGCTGTGGCTGCGACCAAACCTGGTGCTCCTCCGACGACGCCAAGTAAGGAGAAAGAGGCAGATACTGGTGGTCCAAAGAGTAAAATGCTTGGCGAATACGTCTCGAGAGCAAAGATGAAGGTCGTGGTGGATAGTTGTCGCAAGATTCATCGTGAGCCGTTTCGTTTATTGTCGCTCTCGTCTTATTAAACCTTTCAGTTGAGCTCATGGCCAAATTTCGAAGTGCTCAAAATACGATGGACGATCTTGCGAAGGGAAGCAACGACGTCCGAGCGTCAATCAACACAGATAGGTGAGTCTCCTCCAGCAGTGATCAAGCTTGCACACTGATGGGCGAAGTGCCGTTTCGGAGGCATCCTTGTCAACGAAGAGAGCCATGGATGAAGTCGAACGTCTCGGAGTAATTCTCAACGCATGGAGTGATCTCGACGGTATGGCTCGCAGTACCCTAACGACTTTCTTTTGATTCATAGCAGGGGAAGGAACACAAGAGCAAACCGATGCTGTCCTCAAAGGTAGACTGATTACCCAAGCATCCGGACTTCTTATGACATATTTCGCAGAGATTAAAGCGATTGACCATCGTGTTCGTGAGGAGGTAGTCCTCATAGGCGAGATCAAGGTGCGTTTGCAATGGTTCTACTCGCAGTGTCTCATGCCACCTCGTAGAATCGACATACGCGGCAACTCTTGACTACACTCCGCCAAATATCTACCCTTCAGTCCGCTATCTTTGCCTTACCTAGCACCTTGAGTGCACTTGAGAGCGACATTAGGTATGAGATCACCCTGAGCTCTTATTTTCGGCTACTTAGCTCTGCCCAGGGTAAAAGGCGGCTTCTCGCATCTGCAACGGTTACATGGAATGGCGTTTGCTTACGGGGCTAGTGTCATTGAAGTTGTGCGGCGGCGAGAGTTCGGTTGGTGTTCTGAGACTCACTGTGCTTGTCCCTGACTTGCGATTTAGGAAAGTTTTTCATGCAGCGAGCTCAAGCCATGGCGGAGATCATGGCCAAATTCTCGTACGACGTATCTGGCTTCATTTTACCTTTCTCAATCGTAACAGGTCTTCAGAACGCAAGCGCCGGCAGGTTTACCGTGGAGAGTCCTTATCGTTGCTCCCTTTCGCGACACAAGGAATGGATATGCCAGCTCCGTCTCTGGAAATCTCGACCATGGGAGTGGAAGAAGTTCCCTATGATATCAGTAGAGAGGATGTGGATGGTGAGATGGTGTCTATGCGAGGTTCCTTAGCTGACCGCCCTATGTCCAGCTCTTCTTGAGACCATGCGACAAATTGAGAGGGAGCATGACCCGTTACCTCCAGGTACATCCACCTCAGGATCAGGGCCTCATCATCCTATTAGGGCGACAAGGGAGGCACTCGAAAAGCTTCTAGCCCGTATGGACAGTCTCGAAGCAGATTTTGACAAGATTGCCGAAAAGTCGAGTACGTAACAGCTTGGAGTTCGTTATTCCCTCTAACACTGTTGCAGTCCTCTCCAATGCCCGTTTATCGTACTATAAGCGACGCTGTAGGTCCTCGTTCTTTGCTGTCGCTGTGATGCTGACGTTGATATCAGCCATAAACGAGGCTACGGCATACAACGAAGCATTTGAACAACTTCGCGAGCTGCAGGATCAAAAACAAGCCACTGAGCAAAAATTCTCTGTCGAGCGTGCGAATCTCCAGAACCGCATCCGCGAGCTTGAAGTAGAGAGGCAGCAGCTAAATTCTCAACTTCCCAACCTGGAAACGACGATTGAGCATCTCCAAGCTCTTCTACAACAGGCGCGGAATAATGTAGAGCAAACCCACGCTCGGTACGAAGAAGCGCGGGCTAGGAGCGAGACGTACGAGCAAGACCTACTCCAGCGAAATTCCGAGCTTGGAAAGCTGCTCGACAAGCTTGCTGAAGACGAGCACGCTCAACAAGCGCTTCAGATGGAAAACTTGTCAATGGCGGAAACTATTAAGGCGTATGGAGAGCAGTTGGAAAGGTCGAACACGACAAATGGTGCTCATCTGGAACGTATAGCCGCCATGGAGGAGGACATAGTATCCCTCTCGGAGGAGAACAAGGTCCTCATCCAGCGAGATGAAGAGAATCGACGGCAGATAGATGAGTTGGAAAGGCAACTTAGTGAGGCTCGGCGGGCAGGCGACGAAGCGCAGAGCGCGCTGAAGGACGCTGTCCGTGACCGTGATCGCCTGCTTCGCGATCACCGAGTCGAAGCAGACGGTGATCGAGCCGTTCTCGAACATCGGTTCGCCCAAACACGTTCTGAACTCGACTCGTCTCGCCAACAAGTCACAGCCCTTCAGCAAAAGCTCACCGCGGTCAACACTCAACTTTCTTCGTTCCAATCGCAAAACTCTATCCTGCACAAGGACTTGTCGTCGCTGAGAGAGGAGCTACAGCGCACCGGTCGTGAACTGGCCGCGTCCTCTCAAAGTGAAAACCAGGCTCACCAGAAAGAGAATGCTCTTCGTGCCGAGTTGACATTCGCGAACAATGCTCTTGTGCAACTAGAGGGGAAGATGGAACGCAATGAAAGGATCCTTGCACAAGTCTTCGACGTTGCGATTGCGTTTCGCAATAGCCATGCCAAGGCACTTGCACAAGCGCAAACGATGCTCCGTCCAATAGCAGCGCGGGCAAGTACTGGACCAAATGGGCTAGCAAGCATTGCAGATTCTACTTTCCTTACTCCGACTGGCCAGATTGATGTCGGTAGTCCACGCCAGGGTTCCATCGTCCCTCCACAGGAAAGACCAGCGTCTCCAACGCCAGTCGATCCCTCGGAGCCAAATACTGCTCTTGATATCCTCCGCGAGTTCGATTTGGACGCATTTGCGGAGACGATTGCAAAGACCGGCATGACCATTCGCAAGTGGCAGAAGCAATGCAAAGAGTATAGGGATCGAGCTCGAGGCAAGATTTCGTTTAGAAACTTTCAACGGGGTGATTTGGCGTTGTTCTTACCCACGCGCAACTCGGTGGCGCGGCCATGGGCTGCGTTTAATAGTAAGTCTTTGGATTTCGTGCCACTTGTCTGACGATAGTTCCGTCGTACAGTGTCATTCCCTCATTATTTCCTCAACGCTACCGGTCATATTGCAGAGCAACTGAAGACGCGAGAATGGATAGTAGCGCGGATCACTTCCATCTCAGAAAGGGTAGTAGACAGTAAAGTGTGTCCGAACTCTTTTCTGGTTCTTCTGCTGATCTTGGACAGGATCCTACGAGCAACCCATATGGCCTCGGTAATGGCGTCAAGTACTTTATGCTGGAAGTTGAAGACTGGACTCTCAATACTCCGAGCTCGGTGATCCGACCAAAAGTATCAAAAAGTGCCTCTACGCCCCATAAGCCCATGGGCCAGGTCGAATCATGGCGGGATTCCACCATCCTCTCACAATCACCACCGCAAGCGCTACCTTCCCTTTTCTCTCTCCAGTCGAAACAGGACGCGGACCCAGACATTGCAGAAGGTATCAGTCCGGCTACTGCTCGACCGAGGGCGGCCACCGCTTCAAGTATTGGAGCCGGCCCATCTTCTCTATCTCGGCTGCTTGCGCAAGCCACCAAGGATCCTTCCCCATCAGAGAACAAAATCGTCCAACCGTCACCTCCGTCACCACAGAAACCTCCCGTGGAGGCAAAACCTGGCGTCGGTTCGCTGAAAGAGGAGACCGAAGTTAGAGTGCTCGACGTACCAAAGCCGGAGCCAAAGCTGGAGCCAACGCCAAACCCAAAGCCAGAATCTGTATCATCTGTTCACACTTCAGCGCCAGCGCCTACCGTAGAGTTGCCGGTTGCAACACCCAGTGTTGACAAGCAAGCCTCAACGACAAGCTCGTCGGTTGAAGCCCGTCCCGCTCAACCTCCCATTATATCTCCCCAATTTCGAATGTCCCCGAAAGATTCTCCTCGACCTTCACCAAGGCAACGCCCGGCTTCATTACATATTGCGAGCGGTTCACCACTGGCTATTACTTCCAATGTCAACGTCAAGGGAAGCATACCGGGATCGACAAACGACCCAAATCGGCGAAATGCCTCGGTTCGTTCATCAATGTCATCTACTCGACCGACTTCGTTATTCAAGCGGCCTCCTTTCGCGCTGGCGTCGTCCCCCTCGAAGCCGGTTGTAATGACTCCCGCTGTGACGGATGTCATTACGCCCTCAGTCGACTCCACCTCTCCCTTCCGAGTCTCGTCGGAAAGTCTAGAAAGAAGTCTAATCCAAGAGACACCGTCACCAGCAGACTCTGTAACGGAAGGGATGAACAGTATGTTGCTCGGCCATAACCGGTTCCGTACCACGAGTACCATTACTCCAGCCACTTCAGCTCTCACACAGACTGCAAGAAGCAATCAACCTGTGCCGTCTTCGCCCCTTGCTAGTGTCATTTCCTCCTGGACAGGTTGGAGAAAGAGGCGGAATGACAGTATTGGTACGATTACTGGAAGTGATGCACATATGAGTGCCTCCCAGACTGCCAGAGACCGTAGGTTGGGCGCCTCTGAAAGCGACGCGGAGCGTTTACTTCGCAAGTACAATCCGAGAGAGTGATCTTTGATTTCGAGCAATCATGTTTGTACATAGTATCTCACAGTGCAGATTATCAGTTTCATTGATATCAGGTTGCCAACTGCGACTTGACTTCCACTCGAATAGGCCACCTGGTTGCCGGATGCCTAGCCTGCCATGAAATCTAATTTTCAGGTGCTTTCAAACTTCTTTATTATGTTTTTTCTTGGAATATCCTTGCGCGCTCTATACTGACCTTTTATGCGCGGCGATGGTGGCTTTATGGACGTGACAGTTTTTGAACCTACTTGGAACTGTGTATTCTCAGGGGAATGTCCTTTTCACGCCACTTTCGACATTGCCAGATGGTTCTACAACCGAAAGTTTGATGAGTCCGGTCGGCAACAGGATTAGTGTTTTCGACCTCGTAAAGTTTGTGGAGCTCGGCTCAATGGGTGTGTTTCTTATTTCACTCCTCTAGTAATCGGTCGCGAACCTTGCCACTTCAGACGCGGAAGAATATTGCTCGAATCTCCCTGTCGCCCGACGGTAGGATACTAGTTGTAGTTGACGAAGGTATGTACTTTGGTGCTTTTTCATCCCTACTTATCGTATTTTTCAGATGGCAAAGTGCTTCTGGTCGCACCTACACGCCCTCAAACCCTGTCCTCCATCACTTCAATCTGAAATCGCCAGTCGGTGCGGTAGAGTTTTCTCGGGATGGAAAGTGAGTGAGTGGATTTTGAAGCTATGCACTCGTCATCCTTATACCGAAAAAAGATTCATCGCCTTTTCGACTGAAGCCCTGGTTCATGTCTACAATACACCAAACATTTTGATGAGGGAGTTTGCACCATGGAGGTACGAGGAGTATTTTACCTTTTCCAGCGTAAAGCCTAACGTAGCCAGACTACATCGAACATATGCAGGTCACAGTGGGGAAGTCAATGGTGTGACATGGAGTGGCGATGATAAGTTTGTATGGTTGACCGCTATTTGAGCCCAACTCATCATTTCAGGTTCTTCCTCTCGTTCGGGACCGACCTTACGGCAAAGCTGTTCTCCCTGCAACCAGTTGAAGACTTCAGACCAAAGACGTTTGCCGGGCATCGAGATTCTGTTATTGGTGCCTGGTTTGGTGGACGTTCACAGGACTCGGTATGTCATCTACTTGGATTTGGGCAGTTTCTGACCACAAAGAAGATATATACGGTGTCGCGAGATGGTGCCCTCTTCATTTGGGGAGGAAAACAAGATGAAACCACCGTCGAGGACGAAGAGAGACTTCAAAAGGATCCGCAAAACAGGCTTGGGCATACCAGATGGGGTATTCTCCAGAGGCACTATTTTAATCAACCGAATACCAAGGTATGGACAGCGTTAATGGTAATTGATCTCTTAAGCTTTTGATAGGTCACAAGTGCAGCATTTTATGAGAAAGGAAACCTCCTAGTCGTTGGCTTTGGCAGTGGAGTGTTCAGTCTATGGGAACTTCCATCGTAAGCGGTACATGAACGATTCAACACAAATGGTAACGCCAATATAGATCCACATCTGTGGGTAACGATATCACAAGTATCCATACACTCTCGATATCCAATGAGAGGATAAGTTCTGTCGCCATTAACTCTACTGGGCAATGGCTTGCATTTGGCGCACAAAAACTGGGCCAACTTCTTGTGTGGGAGTGGCAATCACAGTCCTACATCCTCAAGCAACAAGCTCACGCCCATCAATCATCGTCCTCTATATCCCATTCATCCATTACTCACCTCTCCTACTCTTCAACCTCACAGCAGATAGCGACGTCCGGCTCCGACGGCAAAGTCAAACTATGGTCGACCCAATCTGGCTTTTGCTTCGTTACATTTAGCGAGCATAGTGCCAGCGTCACGGGTGTCGAGTTTGCCAAACGTGGGCAAATCATCTTCAGTGCTAGCCTAGACGGGACAGTTCGAGGCTGGGATCTGGTCCGCTACCGCAACTTTCGGACATTTACGTCCCCTACGGAGAGGCCTGTACAATTCAACTGTCTTGCAGTCGATCAGAGTGGCGAGTTGGTGGTCGCAGGCTCCAATGACACTTACGAAATCTTCTTCTGGTCTGTCCAGAGCGGCAAGCTGTTGGACATTCTTACCGGACATACTGGCCCTGTATCCTCTCTCGCGTTTTCCCCTGTAGGAAACACGCTGGCGAGTGGTAGTTGGGACAAGTCGGTACGAATCTGGGATGTCGTCGGAAGAAGCAGAGCCGTAGAGCCCATTTCCATGAACTCTGATGTGCTCGCCGTGTCATATAGGCCAGACGGACGAGAACTCGCTGTAGCCACACTTGATGGTCAGATCGCCTTTTTCGAGGAAGAAACAGGTCGGCAGACGGGTATCATCGATGGGAGGCGAGACATTAGCGGTGGAAGAAGTATCCATGACGGCCTCACCGCACAGAACAATGCCGGAGGCAAGGCATTCAACTCGCTCTCATATAGCGGCGACGGTACATTACTTCTCGCTGGAGGCAACAGCAAGTATGTCTGCCTATACGACATTCGCGAATCAACGTTACTTCGAAAGTTTACAATTTCCGAAAACCTGTCGCTCGATGGCACAGAGGAGATGCTCGACAGCCGTCGTGTCAATTCAGCAGGCATCAACGTCGACGCTCTCGATAATCACGAAGACGACTCAGATGCAGGGGATCGGTTGGCTGGGTCGAAGACACTGCCAGGCGTCATGGGTGGCGATCTCTCAAAGCGCAAATGGAAACCGACCATTCGCACATCATGCATTCGGTTTGCTCCCGATGGGCGTGGTTGGGCAGCAGCAAGCACTGAAGGCCTTTTGCTCTATTCCAACGAAGATCTCGTCACTTTTGATCCATTCGACCTCTCACTCGATTTGACACCACAAAGCACGTTCGAGACGTTGGCGAACAAGGAGTACCTCAAGGCATTGTGCATGGCGATGCGTCTCAACGAAGAAACGCTCGTCACTCGGGTATTTGAAGGTATCCCCACAACGGAGATTCGCTTCGTCGTTGGGAATCTCCCTCTGGGATCTGCGGGTGCAAATGGGTCAGAGACCGCGTACTATCTCAGGAAATTAATGGAGTTGCTCGTCAAGAGAATCGACAAGGGACCGCATCTAGAGTCTGATCTCCGCTGGATCATCGAAATCCTCGAGCGCCATGGGACAATGCTCCGAGGTCGCAGTGGTGGCGACGGGAGTGATTGGGCAGGCGTCTTGCGCGGCCTTGCTCGCGGCATGACAGAGGTTCAAAAGACGGTATCTACACTGTAAGTCTTACTACTAAGCGTTGGCACGGACTAACGATCCGCTCAGTTGTGAAGATAACATCAACACGCTCGAATATCTCATTGACCAATCCATCGTTCACGAACGGTCACGTATGGACATTGATACTTCAGCTTGACAACGAGGTTGTATGCAAAATGATCACTATTGCAAGGAATGCCATTCCATCTCTACTCTGAGCATACAAAGAGAGAAGGCGAGCTCTCGCGACCATCTCAGCTCGTGGCATGAGATCGAACGCGAGACAACGGCGTGAAGGGAGACGAGTAAGGAGTGGATGATGATGAGAAGTCAGAGAGCCCCGAAGTCTCTCGACTCTGGATATGGAAATGAGAGTGAAATGCACGTCCAGAACGAATCGCTGGTACCCGGATGACGCCGGAGAACCAGCGAGAATGTCCGACGATTGCTAATATTGGATATGTTCCCAGGGGATGAGATGGCTAGTGTAACAACAAGCACAAGTCCATGAGAGTTACAACCAGGAAGAAAGCCAAAAATTCGAGCTTTCCGCAGAAGATAAAAGGGCAGTGCCCGATATGATACTGCAAACGAATGGTCAGTCCAAGTCGAGCCTCTGGGACGATGGATACTCACCAAAGGAAGAGGAGGATGGATGGAGTCGTATCACAAGACACGGTCCAAGTGTATCCAATGATGAAGCAGAAGGAGAGAAAAAAGGGTTGAACTGGGTCGGCGTCGGAAAGGAGGACTAGGACCAGTGAGAATGGTGTATTAGGTGTGTGATAGGTATGGAGAAGGGTGTTGGGTTTATTTGGTGCAGCACTTGCGACCACGGCAGCGGGATATTGGTACAGGCGGATGGGTGGAGGAGGGGGTGAGGGAGATGCGATGATGGTGACTTGCTCTGCAGTTGTCGTAATACTACACATAAATTATTACGTGGTTGCGGTCGTGAACCGCGTCTTCTACCAAAGAGTTTGAGACCCAAGAAACTTGAGTTTTGAGACCCAGGCGAGACCTGGACATGATAAAAACAGTTGCCGCGGCGAACGGCGTCACAAGAACCGATGGAAATCTTGATGAAACAGGTTGTTGATGCTTTGATGCAGTTCGAAATGTCGATCTATGAAGGTGGGACTCAGGCGAAACACGCCACGAGTCCATGCAATGGTGAGCGTCGAATGCAGGTGAATGCCAGTGAAGCAGATTGGTCGGATGAATGGTGAGAGCGTACGTGATGAAAAGGTGCTGGAGAGGAAGGATTGGGAAGAAGGGTATCCGATCAAATGCGAATAAGATGCGAAATCCACTACAATGACAAACAACTGCACAGTGAGGACAGAGGAGTGAGGAATGGAGAGGGTGAGAGAGAGGAGAGTGACGTTCGATGGTGCATCGGAGCACGGACCCGATGAAGAATTTTGAGGCTCTCATTTCGCACAGACGCCAGCGGCGTAATACGTGTCGACTGCGTGTGTGATTGGTGATTCCTCGTATTCGTTGAGAGCGTATCCGGTGAAGCTTTTCTTGTTTAATCGAGAGTCGGAGTCGGTAGCAAAAGTGGTGGCACAGATGAGACAGGAGACAGGGTAACCAAAAGGGGGGTTAGCGGTGTCGGTGTCGATCCCAGAGCCAGAAGAGCCGAGCGGCCATGTCAATGGCCTCGTGATGGCTCGAGCAGGGTCGAGGTGTTCAAGGTGGATGGAGAAAAAGTTGGAAAAAGCGAGACGGACAGAAAGCGGTGCTGAGAGACGGAACGCGATGATGAAAAAGGGTGGCCAACGAGAAGGGCACGACAATGTCGAAGAAAAGATAGATGCGGGTAGCGCTTGCAAGGCTAGTCGAAGTGGAGGAGCTTCTATCTTGGTGCACGTAGAGTAACGTCGTTCAAGCAGCGAGTGAATAACCGCGAGAGGTGCGCGTGCGGAGGGCAAAGTCGTCAGACGAGCAGTAGTTGGCGACACTGGCTCGAATGATATTGTTGTAAAACCGGATGCCGTATAAGTGACCAGTAAATGAAATTCCGAATGTCGAGAGCGGCTCGAGAACCTGCTGGGCGAACCTCAGTTAGCCGTTGGCCGAAACGCATCACGGGGCGGATAGTTACCTCATGCAAAGAGACGTCCCAAAAACTTGGGCGCGGGAACGCGCTCTGTTTCGGGCGAGTTGTTGAATGCAGAGCCTGCATATGCTCGCCACGCCTCGGTAGCGCGCTGTACCGCCATGACGTCGCGCACGTCCAATCCAAATAGGTCCGCAACGTCCTCCCTGTACTGCATCATAGAAGAGCGGCCAGGGGAAGAAGAATACGTGGGGACAGATGGCGTCCGGCTATGGGCGGCGTGGACACGGCGGGTAATCGGGATTGGCTTGGAGACGGCGGAAAAGGACGTCGAGGCCTCTGGGGAGGAGCTTGGAGAAGGAGGGCACGAGGAGCTTGATTGAAGCAGAGACATCAAGAGGTCTGGCTCTTGCGAGGGTGGTTGTTGATTGTGAAGGAAAGCTTCAGAGGGGCGGATATCGTATTGCTCTTTGAGCTGGGCGATGGTCGCTGGCGAAAGTCTAGGAAGGTTCTTCACCTCCTCCCAGTTAAAGAGCTCGTTTGGAGAGGGGGTGCGGGAGGGGGTGCCGAATGCACGAGGGGGAGGGGTGGGGTACAGGGAGATCGGCGTCTGAGGTTGCTTCCACACAATAACCTCATCGTCTTCGGCCAATGGGAGCGATTCACTGGAGGCGTCCTGTGCCGAATGCACAGAGGACAAGAGGCTTTCCAAAGAGAACACTGCTTCTTCGACTGGAGCTGGCTTGAACTGTATCGGTATCATCTCAGTTCCATGATGTACGTCTGATAGAGGGAGACTAACCTCGGCAGTGGCCGGCGTAAGGGGAGGCGAGACCGGTAGGACGAGGGTCTTGGATGGCTTGCGGCCATGACCAGTAGTTCCCTTTGGCTTGTTCTTATTCTTCTTGACGCTTGCGCGGTGTGCAGGCGTTGGCGGGGGCGACAAGAGGACGACGGCCGACGAGGGCTTGATGACTCCAGCCTCTGTGACAGCGGCAGCGTTGGTGAGCGTCGACAAAACGTTTGCGTCCACGGTAGAAATATCAGCAATATTGGAAGCTACACCAGCGCTGCTGGGGCGCTTTTGCTTGCGGCGGGTTTGCTGCGGCCGTGGAGGACGATTTGAGCTGGGGCTTGGAGTCCGGAGCTGCACGCTGAGCTTGTCGACAGCGTTGGGAGCGCTCTGAGCATTCTGAGATGGCTTCTCAGATGGATTGAGCGCAGGCAGCCTGCTTGTGGGCCGAGGGGGCGTGGCGAGCGGTTGCGGGAGGTGAATGAGGCCTGGGCGCCGCTGTTTATCTGGAAACTTGGGCGGCATAGACGAATACGAGATGCTAGAAGGCATTGGAAATTGATTTAGATTATTAGGAGTGCGCGACGAGGGCGGACGACGGAAAGGAGGCCAGGTTGACTGGTGGGAGTTGGAGACAGAGTGCAGGACACAAAGCAACGCCCGGCCCCCCGGCGCAAGGCCACTCTCGGTCACACAGAATATTCCAGAAAAAATAGATAACATTATCATCTCTACACAAGCAACATCTTTCGTGGATCCTCGATGTACTCCTTGACGCGCACTGGGTGCCCCATTCACAGTCAGATCGGTCAGGTGGCCATTCGAAATACATACCGAGGAAGGTAACAGCCTCGCGTCCATCGAGCAGGCGATGGTCATAGGTCAAGGCAACCACCATGATTGGGCGAATCACAATTTGTCCGTCCACAACGACCGGCCGTTCCTTGATTGCGTGCATACCTGCAGGGCGTCAGCTAAAGCATCCCAGCCTGAGCCGTCTTCCAAGGACATACCGAGTACGGCAGCTTGAGGCAGGTTAATGATGGGTGTCCCGTACAAGCTTCCGAACACGCCGCCGTTCGAACTAAGAAGCGGCTGTCAGTGGTCCTTCATTACATACGAGCTACACTCACATCGTAAAGGTTCCACCGGCCATGTCCTCAATTGTCAACTTGCCATCTCGAGCCTTTTTGCCCAACGCAGCAATCTCCCGTTCAATGTCGACAAAGTTCATCCCTTCTGCATTCCTGACGACCGGTGTCACGAGCCCTTTGGCGTTGCGACCGCCACGCTGAGGTCGACATAGTCTCGGTAGACGATACTGTCTCCCTCAATCGCCGCATTGGCAACAGGAATTTCCTTGAGCGCGAGGCACGCCGCCTTTGCAAACGCCGACATGAATCCCAACTTGACATCGTGCTTCTTGAGCACCTCGTCCTTGTACAGCTTTCGCATCTCCATGAGCGACGACATGTCAATCTCGTTGAACGTCGTGAGTGATGCCGCCGTATTTTGCGATTCCTTGAGTCGCTCGGCAATGCGTAGACGCATTCGGTTCATCTTGACCTGGTGAACAAACCCTTAGTCGTGCTCGGTAGCAGCGACTCGACCGCACTCACCCTCGTCTCGTTGCGGCTACCAGGGACGGGCGGAGCAGCTGCAGGTGCCGACGGCTTGTCCTCCTTTGGTTTCGGTGGCGGCACTTTTTCGTCCTTGGGTTTCGGTGCAGGCGTTGGAGCCTCTTTTGGTTCTGGTTTCGGTGGCGGAGGCGTAGTAGGCTCTGCAGCCTTTGCATCTTCCTTCTTGTCCGACGGAGGCGTCGGTTCGTCCTTCTTTGGTGGAGGAGCAACCGGTTCTTCCTTGGCTGCCGGCGCAGACGACGCTGGAAAGAGAGGTCAGTTTCGACCAGCGTTTTCCAGAAAAGCCAAACGGCGTACCGCCTCCGCCTTCTCCTGGCTCAATCTTGAACAAGTCTTGACCCACTGTGACAGTGTCTTCCTCTTTTGCTAACAATTCTACAATTTTGCCAGCCTTTGGTGCGTTCACCGAGACGTCAATCTATTTGGAATGTTAGCTGTATTCGATGGAAGACATACGGCGCGCATGTGAATATGCCTCGCACAATACACGTACCTTGTCGGTTTCTATCGTAGCAACTTCCTCGTCTTGTTCTACAGTGTCTCCGACCTGTTTTGTCCACTGTTTTAGGGTACCTTCTGTGATCGACTCTGCCATTTGTGGGACTTTGACAGTCTCAGCTAGATATATTGTTAGTAAACGCTTCAATATACGGAGAGGAGCAAGGGCGGCATAATTCGTAGATAGCTTGCGAACGGGTAACAAGGACGAGACTAGTCGGAATACACTCAATGAACACGTACCAAGTAGCATTCGTGAAGTATGAAGCTGCGAGCGCTGGATCACGGACGCGAACACATCGCTGTTGAGCGTACGGATCCAACAAAAGGCAGATTGTTAGCTCAAATGTCTGTACAGCGAAATGGAAACGATTCCATCATCTTTGAGAGACTTACCGTCTCATAACCAGAGACCTCGCGCATATTCTCAAGGCTGAAGAACGGCTTGACGAAAGCGCAAGCATGCCACGTTTGGACGCCAGCATCGTGAAATATAGCCACCAATAATGAGTGACTACGACGGGTGAAAATGTACGGTCGACGGAATGTCCGAGTTTTGTCGAACCGTCGATGACGAGGTGGAATACAAGATTGAGAAAGCGGGGCTGGGCCACACAAAGTGCAACAAGAATAAGTATAAATCGTATTCTGCCTATGAACTAACGTTGATCTACAGTGCCAACGAAACAGCCAGGGCATCTCCGAAGAGCCACCCAAATTACGATAGGCAGGACCGCCCAGGTTAGAGCCTTGCGAACCATAATCCCAGTTGTCGAGGTGCTGCTATAACGATGCTTCCTGCATTTTTTACGGTCATTTCTCCTCCACATGACGGGAGGGTAGGGTAGAACGGTCACTGCTCCGGACAGCTCGAAAATTGTATGCATCGAGTGATACAATTCGCCTTCGTAGCATTTCCATCTGGAAAAGAGCTGAGATGCCTCCGCCTGTGTTATTGTGAGTGTGCCGGACGTCTTATATTCTTCAAGGATCTTATTTAGCATGAGCTGCTGATTGTCCCAGAAACATTGGAGGCCTATGAGGGACCTGTGAATGGCGACTGTTGCATCCTTGTATTCCTCTAGTGCTTCCTTCCCAGTGTCGAACCAAGAAACCCTTTCCTGGAAAGAGCCAAGTCGTGGAATGTTGTATTTCAGCTCATTTACTGCAAATTGAATCATATGAGACCAAGTCACACCTCAGGAAAGATGCAAAACTCTACCTCTGTTGAGGACAAGTGTAATCCGCCATACTATCAGTCCGACCGCATCAAGCACTCGAAGGAAGCGTGGCCTCTCTCTTTCAAGCCTCTGTCGAGACTCCCGACTGTAACTGGCATCGTAAGGCGTTTCGAGTGGTGGCAAGCCGGTCGAGAGGAGCCTCGTCTTGTCCCTCATCTCCTTGACCGAGGCCGACACAAAGTATAGAAGAGCGCAGAATCTCGCCTTTTCGAGACGTTCTTTGTCACCACAGAGTCTCTGAACATCTTGAGAGACCGTTTGTGCATCGCCCAGGAGTTGAGCAAGCGCGTCCCACTGGTGGTGCAAGCTCTTCCGAAAGGCACGACTAGAGATTTGAGATGCAGTGGATCCAAGGCCTCCTTTGAGATTCATTGCCATCTTTTCTTGCTCAAAGAGGCTCCCCATGGCTTTTTTGATCTGAGCGCGAAGTTCGCCGAGGAAGACCATCAAGTTTGGGTCCTAAAGCGATGAGAGCCACTTCATGTGTGTGATACATTCACCTACTACAGGTTGTGAATTCAAAGAAAGCGCCATAGTCTGGGGGAGGATGTGTTTCAGCTCGTGTACTCCACGTCGCTGTGCGGTTGACGGCACTTTTTATGTGCATGGATTCCAAGCCCAAAGAATCGAGTGAGCTCTTCTCCTCCAATTAAACTCACAAAGCAACGTCCTGGTGTCCGCGCCGCCGCCATTCTCCCCCATTCTTGCTTCGGTCAATCTCATGTTGCGACGTCGCGAGGATACCGGAGAATGGTTAACTGCGGTCTTGATCAGTAATATCTCGCATGCCACGGGTCAGTATGAATTCCGAGCCGTCAGGCCAAATTCTCTATATAAGTATCAGATCTACGTCGTTTCTAATTGTTTCAGATCCATTATGCCCCCCACTACTAGCCACCAAGTTCCTGACCTCCGGAAGCTTGTCGACGGGATGACCAACTTCTGGCAAGACTCCAAGGACTGGCGGCGGTCAGTGGACATTACAATCTCCCTTGTCATTCTATGCTCACCGCTTTTAACAGTAGCGATAGGAACTATATCCAAGACTTTCGTCTTTCTCATTGCAACAACATTTCGCGCTCTCTCAAACTCGCTCAACAAGGCCATCGCCAAGCCAACAAAGCGGCGATTGTTCTCGGTGACCTTGCACAGTGCCCTGGACAAGACATCGTGAAGGCAATGCTTCGAGTCGAGCGAATGAGAGACAATATTGAAAAGATGCATCATGCGCTGTATGATGATCGTGACACGCTCCACCATGTTAGTCAAGACGCATGATTCCTCCTGTGTATGGCTGACTTGTAACCCGAGGTCAAGGTCCGCCTCAGCAGTGAATTAGAGGCGATAAAAATGCAGAAGCACTCGATATCAGTTGCCAAAGTTTCGTCTGAAAACTGGTCCAAGTTCTATGGGATGATGTCTTTTTTGGCGGATAAAGCCTGTCACGTTGACTGGTGTGAACAAAATGGCATTTCGACAGCACCCCTCTTGATCCTTTTCGTCTCCTCACTATTTATACTGGGTTCTTCGCACCTTCAAGACAATGCAGATGCAAAGGTTCGAGGTCAGTATCCTCTCACTCAAAGCCTTTATCATAAAACTAAGCAGAGCACGCCAGAGTATGCCAATCAGAAGCAAACATGCGACGCTACAATGAGGGAGATAGAGAATATGATCAATATTTGCAATAGTTTCGATGCTTACCTTGGACGTCTCATCCAATTCTGGAAAGACGTACATAAAAGCTGGTCCGAGATCCTCAACTGCCTCGAGGGTGGCGCTGAATATGGAAGTATCACTAGGAGATTTGAGATAACGAGGGATACTCTTCGCTCCTACGAGGAAGAGGTATGTGAGCAGGGCCACTTGTTCAATAATCGCTGACCCGTCGGACTAAGGTTGGCCGTCTCGCAGATCAACTTCTCATACCTACACCCGAGTACTGATTCACGCATATCCATGTCAAGATATATTATTTTGTTGGAACAGGGTATATGTGCACCAGAGGAGCTGCGTCGCTTGCTCAACGTTCTCAGTTTTGGGGCTGTACGACCTCGGACAAGTTTGTGTTCTTCGCGGTCTGATTGACCGATCGGCGGACTTTGCGTTCGGGTATACTAAGGGAACGCTAAGCTTAGATCCAACTAACGCAGAACCAGCCTTGACGACCTCCACGAGACGGCTAACATGTCTAAGGGCGCTGTGAGCTCAGTTGGCGCCCTGGTAGGATGTGATCATTACTATGGATATAATTCACACTCAGTCCATGCACAACTTATCCATTCATCCTGGTCCAAAGGCAAACCAGCGCAGTCACACTGCCTCGCAGGTTTATCGAATGCGGTGTAGGGCATCTTCTAATACTGCCTTGCACTTGCTCCTGAATTGTTCACGAATGGTCATAATCGCTGTCCCAGATCAACTTCACAGGATCACCCAGGATCATGCTTCCACCTATGACAGAGACTCCCGACGACGTTCTGCAACAAGTAGTAGAGCACCAGAAAAGGGCGCCTCAGATCCATGATGTCCTTGATGCGAGTCTCAAGACATTTCTACTCCTCGAGCCATGGCTGGCGGCTAGGTGGGCGACCTAAGGAGAAATTGCCGAACTGATCCTCATTTATTGTAGTTCCGAGCACCAAAAGGTGAAAGAGCTATTGCCTAGGATCCGCAATCAGGTCGTGAAGCACTGCGAGACACTGGATGTTTCGCTCATAGCCGCCGAGAGCGGCTGGCACATGGCGGATAATGCAATAACAGTCTTTGGTGAACTCTCGAGTCGCACGGCTTCAGCCGACGATATTCGAGTCAATCGCATTGATTTCAGAGAGATCAGGCCAAACCGGCGAGTCTGTAGCGACCGTTCTGATCGCCGTTAGGTCTGATAGAATAGCGCTGCAGTCTGTACGTGTCACTTTCGCTGATTCCTCTCACTCATGAAATCACGAAAGGCAAAGAAGGAATTGGAAGATACAAGAAACAGAGTAGAGGAAGAAAAGAAGGAACACATAAGGAACATAACTCAAACCCAGACCCATCATCATGGTGTCTCAGGTATGGTCGAGGGCATAGTAAGAAAGATTAAGGGTCGGCCGAAGAATACCTCTTACATCCTCGTCTCCCTTCCTATACTGCTTCCAATCATGGCAGGGCGCATTGATTGGGACGAGCGGATCAAGCATATGAGAGGTCAGTCCTGCAATATGCTCAAATAAAGACTCTTATAAGATCATTACACACAGAACGTGATCACAAATATTATACCTGTGAACAGGCAATCAACCAGCTAGAAGCTGGAATTACTCATATACAATTGCTCGAGCACTATATTGATGGGCTTGCGAGATACTGGGCTGCACTCGACATGACGATGAAAGCAATATCTGTTCGTCTGGAATCACTACAAAAGAACCCTAAATCTCGCATGGCGTTCAGCGATCTGCGCAAAAAGTACGAAGGTATTAAAAAGGATTTCTTCGATTATATGACTGGAGTACGTAAAATATACCATAATTTCAGAGCACTGACTAGCCTGTACAGATTCAGAAGGTTCAGGATTATGTCAAAGCTCAGTTGAAGTGACAACCGATTCCCGAGATGTGTGCAGAGTATCTAAACATGAAAACCAATAAGAATATTTCTCAGAGGCTATGATCATCTGTGCTAGAGAGTCGCTGATATGCGCTAGTCAGAGTCTGAATGTCGATATCCTTAGCTTGGGCATTCGAGAAGCTCTGTCCATATAGAAGTCGTTGAGCCACTTGACAATCTTAAAATGACGCCAGAAATCCGAAAAGCACTCACATGAGGTAGATAGCTCGCGACTCTTTTCTATCGGCCAACCGTAACGGAGTGGCCTGGCCACTGATTGGTTTAGAGTTCTCATTGAATGTGATCTGAACCATATTAATCAGCCATTCCTTATACACCGCATCTCTGTACGCATACGTAAGCCGCTCGGACGATGGGCTGCAGGTGAACCGTCCCCATGAGGACTCCGCCTTCCTGCATATTTACGTGCTTATAAGCCTCTCGGCAGGTTGGCTAGTGACTATCATAAGCAATATGGATGGAGTTCATACCCGTGAAACGAACCTGAATGTATTGGAATTCCTGGAGAGTTGGTTTTTAGTCAGGTATGTGGAGCGATAATGTGTTGCCTGGCTGAATAAATGGGTGAGCCCAATGACTTTATCCGTTCAGAAACCCCATACAAGCAATCATGATAATATCCAAGACAAACTCACAAAAGCAGAAGTATCGCAGCGTGCTGGAGCTTTCGATGAATTCCGCAGAGGAGTGTCGAATAATGGCAGACACGGTCATCAGGGAATTTGACGATCTGATCGCTGGAAGATCAGCTCATTGCAAGATCCAAGACTTCATGATTACACTCGTAGAATGCTCCACGCATATCATAACTACTGTCGAGAAGGCACTTGACGATAGCCGAATCATTCGCCAGAAGCTGTTATCGGTAGGTTCGAGCGTTTGTGTAATTTCTTCGCTCATGCAGTCCTTTCAAGATACATACTTGGCTATCGCAACGAAATGATGGCCTTGAACAAAACACTCGGCCTCAGTCTGGTGACCATGTAATCAAGACACTGGAAGCTGCGAACAGCCGGGCAATCGAATGGGAGGAGCACCTAGAAGACATTACACGGCGCTGGGGTGAAGCCAAGATGCGTATGGAAGCCGTGTTTGGATATATCAAGGCGGTTCAAGACATGCCAAACTCCAAGATGCGACTTGACAGAATAAGAAAACATTATAAAAGCATTAGAGGAGATTTCTGTGACTACAAGGCTGACGTGAGTGATGCATATCAACGTATTCGGAGGATTTCGCTGATTACTAGTAGATGGAAGAGCTTCAACTGAAGTCAAAGATTGTGGCTATTTGAATCTATCTATCACCATATACCCTGGAAATACCCTAGGAGCGCCATCAGAATCACCACAAAGAATACCGCTGCGAGTGAGAAGAGCGTTCCGTCGCCACGCTCGTTACCTGGGTGCGAGGTACCGCGAACGTTCCTTTTACCAGCTCTTGTTGCGCTTATTGTGAGCGCATCGGATACTTTGGTGATGGAATGAATGGCCTTCTCCACTCCACTTTCGTACTGCTTCCACTCGCTCGTCAATTGCACCATCCACGCTTTGTCCTGCGGCTCAAAACCTCGGACTAGCGCCTGTCGACACGCCTGGCAAGCAACGACCTGATCCGACCAGAATTTGGACTGTAGATCCAAGGCGGTTTGAATACCCTCAAGCCCGCAGTTGAGCTCCTTCAGGGCACGTTTGCCTACGCGTTTTGCGTTTGGGTCCTCATAAGGTCTGGAAGACTCGAGAAAATCCTGGGCTCTACTCGGGAGATCAGTCTTGGTTCGCGAGGATCAGGGAAATGGACCAGACAGGCTTTGCGGATCAGCGACTGACCGTAGATGATGCTTGAGCACTTTGAAGTGCTCGATGTACGAAGAAAGAGATTCTAGGTGCTCTTGAGATAATAAACTTGAGGCAGCCTTGAGCTTGACCGCTTCCGCAGACATGTCGTCGAGAGCTTCCTGTACATCAGTCAAGGTAGACTTTCTCATATGCCTTCTTAGATATGCCACATCGGTAGCGAATGCATGCGTCTGACGTAAAATCTGGATCATAATTTCCCACTGTGCCTTGATCGACGTGCGGATGTCGGCAAACCGCCTGGTGTAGCGCCTCCCATTGATTTCATTGAGCGCTACCTGCAAGTCGTAGAGAGACGCCATAGTGATCTCAATCGATGGCACGAGCATTGCCAGTATCTCGAGGATGTCTGCCTATGGTCTGTCAATGGAATGTGGAGTGTATATGGTATCGCTTACAGGACGTTCATCGAGATCCAGAGTTGTTCCGTACGACGAGGTTAGGTCCATGTGCTCATTCACCGAGGCTGGGAGAGGGTCAACTCGTTTCAAGCGCCTCGCGGTAATCGTGCGTGTTTGAAGAGGCACTTGGGAACTCCGACATAGTAAAGTATATAGTAATCAATGACTGCGTACATGCCTCTTCTAATACCATAGCTTCGTGGATCCGGAAAGTGGATGCAATGCAAGCCCCGCGGTAGGGACAGTCGTGAAAAATTAGGCCCGACCAGGACCAGAGTAGTCTGAATTGAGTTTCGTTGTATTGACCAACGAGCCGCATATTGCACTCAAGAGATACTCTTGACATCTAGACACCATTCCTCGTTCACCAAAGGGTTAGCTAAGAGCCTTTACCAGGGTCAAAACTACAGCAGTCCCAAATAGGAATACTCCCGCCGTATCCATCCCTACCTAGCGTTCGACGTGCGGAGCTCCGCCAAACGTGCGCCGCAGCGCCAGGTGAGATAGAAGGATGTCTGTCGATGCAAGTACGAGCACCTCAACCCCAGCGACAATTTCAACACCCGTAATCACAACCCTCCATCTTTGACGACTTCTCTGGGCGATAGTGCGATACGAGAGGCATTTCTGGTTTGTCACAGCGACTGTTGTTCGTCGGGCTCATCGAGAGCCAGTGTATCGAGGTTTGAATACTCAGACCTTAGCCCGCCCCTTGAGAGAGAGACAAACCGTCTCTTGTGCGTGAGGGGCAATGCGGCCTTGGATCTGGTCGAGAACAAGTTGGTGCCCAAACATTGGCAAACATCTGACCTCTTGAGCCAGCCACAACTGGGCAATCTGATCAATGAGCGATATAGTTTCTGCTCTACTCTACGATACTTGGCACGATGGATTGTGGCTATGGCTCCCGTGTCCATTCCAACACCTAGAATGGAATTTTCGCGTTTCCCAATCATTACGGTACTAAATTCCAGGTTGGGAACACAGTACAGTCGAGCCAGTTCTTTGATGTTCATGGAGGTAAACTACAGTCGTATTGCTACCCTTTGGGCTCCATCGTGAATGACCACCCTCGGGCTTCTTTGAGTTTGCTTTTATTGAGCGGATATAATCATATCAAGCGCTGAATACTGCGTAGGTGATCCTTTTGGACCTATGAGCTGGACATTGAACACCTTTCACGTCAAACTGAGCCCAAAAGTTTGGCTTCCAACTCGTGGTGAGACCTTTCGTACTCACTCTGAATTCAAATTTGGTAGGCGCAACGTATGGCCGCATGCTCCGTTCCCTGTTCACGCTTGCTGGTTAAATTGGTGGTGTAGTGTCCATCGCAAGGCTGCCTGCATGAAGCGGCTCTGCATCTGGCCAGATAAACTACGCAGCCTCGCGCTCTGATCCGAAATATAGGTGAGTAACTTCTCGCCAAATATTTCAGAGGATCAAAGGCATGGTCTAGTTTGATTCCCACCTTGCTACAAACCCTGACCATGTCTCCTGCAAAATCCACCGTCATGACCGTCGTTGACAAAGTGCAAACACAACTGGATGAAAGAAACAGTACACAACAAATCTTGGTCGGAATTCAATGCGTATTCCGGACTTTGGAACCTTGGGCCAACGCAGAGTAAGAGGAACCGTATTGATCGGTTATGATGCTGAATCTCTGTAGTACCCCTCACCCAAAGGCAAAATCAGCATTGAACCTCGTCAAAGGAGAGGTCATCAGCTTTTCGCGTTCCCTAGAACACTCGTCAGAGGTGGCACAGTTGTGCTATAATTGCGCAGATAACGGAATAATGATACTAGAAGGCCTAATGGATGAAGATATCACTCTCGACGAGATTCGGCAAGAGACTGAGCGAACTGTTCAAGACGTTACCGAGGCGAAATCGAAACTATCCGGCGTGGTAGACTCTCTTCGGAATAACCGGACTGTAGTGTTCAAGGAAAGTAATGCTATTTGTTCATTTCATTATTGACAATGTTCTTCCAGGCACGACGGTCTCTAGAGGTGGCGACGGCGGACATTGAGGGCGAAAAAGCGGCGCAGAGATTGATTGAGGGCCAGTCAAAGAAGAAGGTCCAAAAAATTACCACCGCGTTGAAAGCTGCACAAGTCATCTCAACCGTGATATTGGTCGCTGCTGCGCCCGTCTGTCCACCATTGCTCATTGTCATACCCATCGTTCTTCCCCTCTTGGAACTCGCGAGTCATGGTCTAATCTCACACGAGGAAAGGAAGGCTGACAGTAAGGAGCCGACTTCTAATTGCTTATTTACTAATCCCGTCTGTTTCATAGTGCGTGATATGCAGCTTGTAAACTGCACAGAGGCCGTCAAGCATATGCAAGAGGCGCTTCACACACTTGAACGCCTAGAAAGAAGTCTTGATTCATTGACTTCGTGGTGGGGGGAGGTGGACATGGTCTTCAGGTCGATTCATGACAACCTAGAGGCTATACGAAAAGAGGTTAACCGCATACGCATTCGGAGGCTGGTCAAATCGTTCACCGAGATTAAGGCGGAGTTCTTACATTATAATATCGGGGTAAGCAATTCTTTTGATAGGTCAACAGTATGTAATAAGCTCCCAAGATTCTCAATATCCAAGACTACTATTCCCGCGACCTAAGGTAACCATCTACCCAACGAGTGTATCGAGATCCGGTTCTGAACATGTCGCCGCCAGTGTAGTCCATGTAGTGAAATATTATCCCTTGATTTTAGAGTGATTTTAGGCCAAAGAATGCCTCTGAATTTGCTGGCTCTCCGCACCTTTTGTTGTTCTGTCGAGCCAGGAGCACGCTCCAAAGTGGATTGCTTCGGAGCGCCATTGACACCCATATCATATTTTGACCGGAGCCAGAACGTCTAAGAGTTTCCGTTCTGTCAAGGTGATCAGATTCTTCGGGATCTCTATTACGCGGCCGGACAACCTTTCCGGAACTCAGATATTGAACATACAGAATCAGTCTCATCATAGCTAGCACTTGGCATCCTCAATCTTTCACTGCCTCCACCTGGTGAAATGGCCGACCTCTGACCAGTGCCACCTCAGTTGGTCACTCGCCGCCGATTAGCTCCTCCTAAATGATTCTGACTGAACTACCGACTCCCTACTTAATCAGCCATTTACTATACACCAATATGTCTATGCGCTGTACGTATTCATCAGTGAACCAGCATCTCCATGAGGCAACCCCGTCCTCGTGGTCATCTCTTTTGGTTATAATCCTGCTCTATGCCTTGGCAGGTCATGCAAGATCCAGAGACTTTTCCATGGCCATTATGAGAGGAAATCATACTCAAAAAACGGGCCAGACAGCAGCTGAAGTCTTGGATAATCGTTTTACAATCAGGTGCGGGAAGCTACAATTCTTTCGCCCCACTAAGACCGTTAACTCCACCCAGGGACCCCGTACGAGCGATAGTAACTAGGATGGGTGTCCAAATACAGAGATATCGCAAGACAATTGATCGTTCTATGAAGGCCGCAGAGAAATGTCGGATACTGGCAGTAACTGTCATTAGGGAGTTTGATGAACTCCTGACTGATAAGGCGCCTCATCACAACATTCGAAACTTCACGAGGATACTCGTGGAATGCTCCGCCGATATTAGCACTGCCGTGGATGAGGCTCTGGAGAATAGCCGAGGTGTTCGCCAGGATCTTCTGTCTGTGAGACTTCGACCATCTTGGATCGGTTCTTTGCTCATGCCTACTTTACAGGTACATGGATGGCTGAAGAATCAAAGAGGACGTCTGGAACAAATTCATCGATCTCAGTCTTGTGGCCACCTATTCAAGGCGCTGGAAGGAGCAATAAACCAGTCGGAATCACTAGAAAACCACCTAGGTAACATCGTCGATCTTTGGACAGCCGCGCAGACGACCATGGATACATTATTTAATCATATTGAGGCGCTCCAGGCCAGGCAGGACTCTACAATGCGGCCACCGAAAATACGAGAGAACTATATTGGTGTCCTAGGAGTCTTTAGCAACCACAAGGTCGAGGTAAGTGATGCGCTCCAGCCCAGTTAGAATTCCGCTGATCGTTAGCAGATGGAAGAACTCAAACTGAGGTCGAAGTACATGATAATCTAAATTTGTCTACTCTGAACGTACAAGCGGTTACCTATACAAGGCAGTATATATTGGCAATACATGATGGAACGAGAAGGGGGAATGAGACAATAACATAGATTGTTGAAATAAACCACACCTCGCTGTAAGACGGAGCTACGCGGGGAGACGGGAAGTTGTTTCATTTTGTATTAACTAGAGGTGTGATTTGGTGAATTGCAAACAAGGAGGATTTACTGGTAACAAGTGAGTGTGTGCGATATGGTTTGTCGTGGCTCGGGACTAAGAAGGATTGCCACTTCGTCCTCTTGCCACATTCGCCCTTGCTACATCCTATCTACTTGAATAGTTCACTGATAACCTATTACCTTCAGAACAACTATCGAACTTCAGACCTGACCTTAACAAACAAGCCGTCTCATTTACTCACTCGAGCAGATATTTGGATCATTGGAGACGTCGGAGTGACCTCCTCTACTTTACGATCCTTGAAACGAGTGACCACGGCTACTGCATAAACCCCTAAATGTGTAGAGTATATAACTTGAGACGACGCGATGCCAAGTGCCTAAGCTGCGACATTGCGAGTTCGATAAACATACAGCGGAATCGGTATATCTGATTGTGGCCAGTAGGGATGCAAGTGTGTTCATCCTCGGTATTGACCGTTGTATGGAACTTGGTGGGCACCTTCAACTGGGATTCTAGCTCTTAGTTTGGTGAATCAAGTAAGTCCCAAGAAATGACGGACTACGCTGGGTTGGATTCTCTCGTATTCACATCAAAATCACACGTGGCATGCGCAAATTATGGCCGCGTGTTCCGATCTTTAACCACGGATATATACTCCACTGGTTAAGTCTATACGGCCGAGTGGCTAGCTATCGCAAGGCTGCCTGCGGGATACGGCTCTGTACCCATGAGTCATAGTCATGTGAGAGCAGTTCCCTGAACTGATCCATCTCAGCAAGATAGCGCAGCCTCAGTCTCTGATCGTATATATGTTTCAGTTCTAGAAAATGATAGGGTGATCAACTTTGATCCTCACGTCTGGTTCCCCAGTTACCCAACTCAACCATGCCTCCCGCAAAATCCGCTGTAATCGCCGTGGTCGACAAAGCTCAAATGCAGCTCGATGAGAGAGGCGATATGCAACAAGTTCTGGACAGAATTCAAGTCGTGTATCAGACCTTGGAACCATGGGCAAACGCAGAGTGCGAGGACCGCATTTATCGGTTATGAAACTGAGCGTCTTTAGCTCTCCCCACCCGAAGGCAAAATCAGCGTTGAACCTAGTCAAGGTCGAAGTCAACAATTTCTCAGCATCCCTAAACCAGTCGTTAGATGCCGCCAAGCTCTGTCATAATTGCGCGGAAAACGGGATAATGATACTAGAAAGTCTAGATAACGACCGTGTCACTCTCGAGGAACTTCGACTAGAAACAGAGATTACTGTTCAGGACGTCAACAAGGCGAAAGCGAAACTATCTGGTGTGGTAGACTCTCTTCGAAACAACCGTACTGGAGTACTCAATGCAAGTAACCTCTCCTATTTAATTTACTATTAACGGCGTATTACAGGCCCGTGAATCTTTAGAGGCGGCGACGAAGGATATCAAAGACGAAAAGGAGACAAAAAAGTTTCTCGAGGGCAAAGCAAAGAAGAAGATTCAAAAAATCTGCACTGGGTTCAAAGCTGCACAAGTCGTCTCAGCCGTGGTTTTGGTCGCTGCTTCGCCAGCCTGTCCCCCATTAATCATCGCCATACCTATCATTCTTCCGCTCTTGGAGCTCGCAAGTCATAACCTTATCTCACATGAAACAAAGAAGATTGAAAGTAAGGAGCCTTCTGATTAATTATAGACTAATCACCTCTATTTCATAGAGCGCAGTGTGGAGCTGGTACATTGTACAGCTGCCGTTGACCAGATACACAACGCCCTTCAAACCCTCGAACGCCTAGAAAACAGCCTTGACTCACTCCTATTCTGGTGGGGACAGATGGAAGAAGTCTTCTTGACGATCCATAACAACCTCGAATCTATCCGAAAAGATATTAAGCGCATGCGCATTAAGAGGTTGATCCAATCGTTCCAAGAGGTCAAGACGGAATTTCTGCAGTATAAACTCAGGGTAGGCAATACCTTCGAGATCCGCGAGTATCCGCTAATTTCTTGTAGATTGTGAAGATCCAAGATTACTATTCGCGTGATCTCAAGTAGCTGGTAACAATGTCCAACAAGATGTATCCGGTTCGCTGTATTGTATGCCAAGATTGGTTGTATTTCGACTGGGAAAGAACTAAATCAGACCAAATAGCTTAGCTAGGACTTTTATACTCTTCTTTATTCTGGCGGATATCATCGTCGAAACGCGGCATTTGTATCACTTTACGGTTCAATTGCTGCATGATGTGCCGCATGGCTTTTGTCCTCTGGCGTCGTGGCGCACAGCCTCATTTTGGACGCAAGTCAGTCCGTACAGGGTCAGGACAGGGCAGGTCGAAGCTATACCATTTAAGTTGGCTTTGTTCACAAGCATAACGTTATTCGCATGGTAGCTGCGAGGCAATACGTGAGGTATAAGGATTGCTAGTTGGCTTGATGCGGTGTCAGATCTCCTATTGCAACAAGCCATGAGCATAGTCGTCAAGACTGTGTACCCAGATTTCGACGTTGCCTTGAAGAATGCCGTCGAATATGCGAGCGTTGGTTTGGACTCTCTGTACAAGCTCTCCAATGCAGCAGCAGTACAACTTGGAAAAGTCTATGACCAGAGACGGGTTCGAGAACATCGGCAGGCCTTCGGGCAGCAGCTAGAGACCTTCGCCTCTACTCTGAGGGATTGCTATGTCTTTGCCGATAACGTCGAGATGCTCCGCGACAACCTTGACACGGCGTCAGCAAAGGAAGTCCGTTCAATCGTGGAGGAAATGGCCACAGCCGGGGAAAGAATTCATTCTATGATCCTCAGGAGCATCAGCGGGCTTCGTCAATACTCCCAGGCTAGCCCTTACGACATTGCCTGGCCCGCAACAGCAAAGAACGCGGGTAGTAAAGGTTCGCCGATACTGTAGGTTAAATATTTTGCTGAGAGATTATAGCACCACCGAACGGCCCGGCGCTTCGAGCCCAGTTTCAGAGCTCGCTACAAGGCCTCCTGACGTCCTTCAACCAAATCTCCGGGTTTTGGAACGATCAGGTGCTTACCTTGAACGCCTTTTTGAGTGGGAAGGATGGCAAATTTGGTCTGACGGCAGACCAAGTTATTACATTGGCAACCAAATGGGCACGCTACTCACCCGTCATTACGGAAACGGTGCATTCTCTTGTCAAAATCTGTGACGCACTCAAAATCGAACCTGGCCGTAGTCAAAGCTCATCATCGACACAGCCGAGACCACTCAAACCATCGGCCACTCCAGCTTCGAAAGCACCGGAGACCACGAGGGCTTCCACGAGACGGATAGAAGGATCTCCCTCCCATCTTATTTCCGATGTCTCTCAGCCATCTCTTCAGCATGTTCCGACCATCCGCGGCAACCCAAGTCTGCCCAATGATCGTTCGGTAGACACCAAAAGGCAGGCGAAACAGGAGTACCACACGGGCCCCAACCTCTCGCCAGCTCTCAAGTTTACTTCTTTTGTCTTTTTCGCATTTGCGCTCGGGCCAAATCTCGCCATGAACCAAAATGAAATCAAGACCGGTATTGCGAAGTATTCATCTCCTCCATCGGTTCGCATATTTCCTTTTGTTAGTCAAGCTCACGCGATAATTTCAGACCAAACGGGGAAGACAAAATCCCCCAAAGTCCACGACATCCGCAGGGAACTCTACAAGTGTCCCACAAGCAAATTCCTCTGCTACAAAGCGCAAGAGTTTATTTGGGCGGTGATGACCGCTCATATGACCTCATCTGCCGTAATTAAAGTTGATATATTGATGCCATGTGGCATTAACCATGGGCGTATGCAGAGTCTATGCATATGTCAAGCGGTTTCTATTGGCACGGAAGCGCGATACAGAAATCAAAAGAATATGTACTTATTTAACATGAAGAACGAGATATTACCCGTGCATCCTACCGGTAAGCAACTCTACTGGCAGCTCGGAGGGCTGGTGTATCTATGCCTCGACAGTTATGAGTTACTCATATTCTGTTTCTTGACGTTTTCTAGCATAGTGAATGTACGGTATATTCCCATGAAATATGTGTTCTTACTCGCAATAATAGAATTTCTTGGATTCGACCATCCCTATCCTTCCTGATGGAGAATATAACCACACGACAGGAGAACAGAGGAGCAGAAAAGGATGTCCATGATATACGAGATTCGCTGAACGGTGGCCGAAATACCACCCAGAAGCCTTCGACAGCGATTGGCGAGCCATCTACAGGGGTCGACGTCGGATATACGAGTCATAATATCAATGAGAACAAGCTTCTAAACCCCATCGAAACACCCGAAACAATCACTGATTGGCTTGAGCATCGCTTTACGCCGGTTCGCGATGTACGATCAGAAGGAAAACCAGTTCTTGCACCTCTAGAATCCGCATATGCGTTGTCAATTAGTGCTCTTCAAGCTTTAAGAGTACGTAAACAGGCAACAGTTCGTCTAAACTGACCGTACTAGGATGTCCACAATAAGGACGCCAGTTGGAGTGATATAATCTCCAACCTTGATACTCATACAACGCAGATGCACAATGATTCAGAGAGATTGGCTCAGAACCGAAGCAGAAGTTTCGGTGACCATGAGCTTTTGCAAGCTATACAGGAGTATATGCAGTGAGCACTCTCCTTGTACTTTGAACTGAGACTAATTTGGCAACAGAATTGTTAAAACGATCATGACCGAAGCAGAAAGCTGTATCCGAACGGCTAGAGAACGTACTGGGCTCCACATCGCACGATTTGGAAGCACACAAATCGACAAGGAGCAGATACCGCATCTCTTAAGAATGGAGGATACAGCATATCAGCGATATAGGGTCCATTCTTACTGCCTAATTGCCAGGCTCAGCTAATTTTATCATAGGTCGCCATCGACAACGCTCTCTCTAGTCAGATTGCAACCTTCGATGCATTCTTCGACCAACTGCGTGGCGAGGTACAGGATACAGTGACTCAAAACTTGCGAGACGAGTGTGAGTATTGATTCTTACTCTGTCAAGCACCCTTATACCATCCAGATAGAGGCCCTGGGTTCGCCATGAGCCTTGCATATGGAACTGAGCTGGAGTTATGTGAACCGGGTACGCGTGTCGACATTCTAGCCAGGATTTCCGAGTGGAGCGACGACGTGGATTGTTCGCAGCAGGTCTTCTGGCTCAATGACGCGGCAGGTACGGGTAAGTCGACGATAGCTGCAACGATGGCCAGATACTGGCAAGGCCAGAGTCGACTTGGAGGACGATTCTTTTTCAGTCCTAATGTAGCGCGCAATCAAGAGATTCGTCATTTCTGCCGAACAGTGGCGGCGGACATCCAACTCAACCATCCACAGCTTGCCTCGACTAGTGAATCTGTTCTCAACCTCGACCCTGAAGCCTCAATGGAGTTTTCCGTCCAGTTCATCCAACTCATCTTGGACCCACTTCGGAGGTTGAAACATGTGGCAGGGTTGTTCCTTGTCATCGACGCGCTGGACAACTGCGAGCCCAAGTCTAGACAACGACTCCTCAACGTGATACTTAAGGAACTCCCGAAAGCTCCACACGTTAAGGTTCTTCTGACCAGTCGGCCACTCACTGATATCAGGGATCGACTCCAATTGCCAGATTTTGTCCACGATGCGCACCTACTCGACATTAATAACCCATCCCACGATGATATTGCACTCTACGTACATGCAAAACTGAACCGACAGCTTAACATCCAGGAGCGAGAGAGGATCATCCAATACTCCGGCGGTCTATTCATCTGGGCCGCGACGTTCTGCAGAGCGTTTAGACGCAGCGATCTCGCCGTGCGGCTCTTAGAGAACTTTTCTCATTCGCAAGTTGCGGATCCGCTCGACGCGCTATATCTTGAGGTTCTCCACCAGGCGCTCGTAGACAAGAGGGCTGAAGATGACTTTCAAAAGGTATTACAAGTGGTCGTTTCTGTCTTTCAACCCATCTCCATCAATACCATCTCGGCTTTATTTCCCAAGGTGGACACGGTCAACGACTTTGTTCAGGATCTCGCCGCCGTGTTCAAGGATGGCCATCCAGATCGCCCAATTAAAGTGCTTCATCCGACTTTTCGGGAGTTCATTGCGTCAAATGAACTTCGAGCAAATGGGTTCCTCGTTCAGATGGAACCGTCGCATTCCATGCTGGCCATTGCCTGCCTAGACATGCTCAGTGAAACACTCAGATACGATATCCTGGAACTTAACTCGGGCTTTGGCATACTTCCGAGAAACGACGAAGTGGCAGACCTAGACGACCGAATCGCAAGGAAGACGTCGCCCGCATTTCGATATGCGACTTCCTACTGGGCATACCACGTCTCTGCCTCTGATGAGGCGTGGTACGACTGGCAGAGAGTGACACTCTTCCTCCGCGAACACTATTTACACTGGATGGAGTTTATGGGATGGCAAGGGACTCTTTCTCATGGAATCCGTGGCCTGGCACACCTTGGAAGCAGAGTCAAGAGAGAGATCTCGAGAGGAGCTTTAATCGTAGGAGAGATTGTCTACATTTTAAACCGAATCGTCTGACATCTATTGCAGAGCCTGGACGATATACTGACAGTACTACATGCGTCTCATTTCTTACTGAGATTCCAAGATATGATTCAAGCAGCTGCGTTGCATGTCTATACAATACCGCCTGGACTCATTCCATCCAGTTCACCTCTCGCAAAGTCGATTAGAACCAAGAATCGCTCGCCTACCGTCGGAATGATTGGTGCAGAACGTCTTGAATGGACAATAGATGCAAAACCACTGGCCCTACCAATCGAAATAACGCATATTTTATTCTCTCCAGACGCGAGTCGTGTAGTCACCAGCGGTGATCACGGTTATCTGCGTTTATGGGATGCGGAAACAGGTGTACTCATCCCCACAGCTTTTACCGCAGTGAATAGATCTCGTGGCCTCGTGCTGGCGGTGGAGTTCTCCCTAGATGGACAATACTTGGCAATTGCCACCGACAGCATGGAGGTCCATCTTCTGGAGGTCTCAAGCGGGGATACTATTTGGAGAAACAAGACACGTCTCGGCGACATACAACTACGAATCGCGGCTATCTGTTTTCTTCCAGACGAGCCATACCTTGCTGTGGTGTTGCACTGTGAAAGGTTTGATAGATTTTTTAAAAGCTACGTGATATTTTATCACGTTGCATCCGGGGAGAGGTCTACCAAAGCTGTAGGACTGTCGGGATTTGTGGACCGCTTCAGGGTATGTCCAAACGGCACTCGTGCAGTGTACACAGTCAGGCGTAACCGCGTCCTCGATTATGTATACCTAGTCGACCTCGTTTCCTACGACGGTTTCGATGACTCCGACGATTATGGCGGATGTATCAAGGTAGCGGACTTTCAACTTGAACCAACGCTGGAACGTGTGATCGATATCTCTGTTGACGGTACCAGATCTGTCATATATGACCCAAATGGTAGGACCCCTCTCATACTTCTTGACTGCAATACAGGCAAGGCTATCATAATGGTAGATCCTGACGAACCACCTTCACCCTGTGTTGTATTCGTCCCGCAAGGAAACCTGATGGCCACTGTTTCGCCACAAGGCTTTGGTATACTCCTACGGGATAAACAAAATGGACGCGTCATCAAACGAATTTGCACGTCTACCAGGTTTGAAAAGATCTGGATCTCGCCTGACTCTCAACGCCTCGCAAGTCATTCAATTGATAAACGGATCAAGGTTTGGAATGTCGGCACGGGTACCGAGCTGCCTAGCTTCTTTACTGGTTACACAAATGCACAGACCATAGATATTTCGCCTAACTGGTGCCGAATTGTGTGTTCAACGGATCTGGAAGCCTCAATTTACGACCTGACACCGACGATCACCGGTCTGAAGACTCGTCCATTGAAATATGCCAGGAGTGGAGAATATGTAGCAAAGATGTCTATGCTCATTTTGCGTACCCACAACCCTGGTGGCCTTACTGTGCTGAGTGCTTGGTCAACATTGACTGGGACGCTGCAGCTTATTGCCACCTTCGGCGAATTTTCCGACCAAAGCCTCATTACCTGTGTCACACCCGATTCTCAGGAGATCCTATGCTGGTCCACACAAGAAGATATATCTATATGCAGCCTTGTCACCTACCGTCGAGAACCGCTATCTCTTCAGAATGTGAGGGGTACCCCTCACGCTGAAAAAGGTACAATACAGTTCTCTTTAGATGGTTCCTTTTTTGCTCTCTTGGTTGTGGACACCCACGTGGACCTCATTCAAATATGGGAATACAAGACGGGTAACCATATCCTTGATACGCGTCATAGCAAAGACACTGTGAACTCTTACACAATCAGTGATACCCATCTGGCCGTGTTCATCTCGGTCAAGATGAACCGCTATGCACCATCTGTTGCTGGAGAGATAAAGATTTACAGGATATCGGATGGAAAGAGAACGGCCTTCCAGAGCGGACTTGATGCCAATATCATGGTTTTTTCTCATCGATCAGACCTGATAGCCATAGCCGATCGAAATTCGTTATACGGATCTGCGATCCTTCAGGTCTGGAGTCTCGAAACATCTCCAGCAAAGCTCATAGGGGAGGCAAAGAGTTATGGAGGAAGCGAGCATCCTCTAGGTTTCTCGAGCGATAGCAAACTCGTCGTTTATGGATCACAGGTCTGGGAGCTGACCCCTAATGGACTTCAGAGTTTCCAGAGTCTAACCACGCCAAAGTCTCTTCTCCACTATCCACACTCCTTCCTTTCCTACACAAATGGTTGGATTCACACAGCATTCCCTGCGGGTCCAATTGTGCCAATTCCAACTGACCTTCATTCACTGTTCACCCGAGGGGGAAAGCGGCTCCAAAAGTGGGCTGCAAATGGGAGTACCATCCTCGTTTGGACCACAAAGCGCGAGCCGATCATATTCGACTTCTCCGAGTTTATGTCACGGTAATTTAGCTTGATAAAGATGCAATTTGACTTTAAGCATCTAAAAGATGTAGATTATGTCTTGGCAATCTTGGAAGGATAATCCTCTCGACTCTCATCAGGGATACGGAGTGTAAATGTAAAAAAGGGCAACGTATAATTTTGCACACGTACACCTAGATTCACATCGCATAAACTTGAAATGTGCCAGCCACCTCCATTGCTAATTGCCAGGCCTGTGACCCTCTTGGAGTTCGCATGCAGTGATTTTGTCCTAACGATGAAAACAGGGTGAGATTCGAGAATTTGGCTTCCAAGGGCTGAGTAAATCCACCTATCCCGTCTCGCAATACGTTCTGCACGCTTCTCATTCGACGACGTGGGCCGGATACCTAAGGCACTTCACATGTTTGAAGACTCAGAAGGGAGAGTAGTCTTGATTCACTCGCTTCGCGGTCCGGAGCGATGGAAATAATCTTCTGGTCAATTCACACATCCTTGAGGCCATTCGAAGAGAGATTGGAACAACGCACATCAGTTAGCTGATCAATCTTTCACCAGTGTTATGGACGAGTCTCGAATATATAAAATTAAGGTAAGTCCTCCATCGAAGGCTTTTGTGTGATGCATAAAAGATATACAGATTTACATGCTTTAGGGCTGCGTTTTGGGCAATTTCTAGTAGCCTTAAGAGATCACATCTTACTCCGGACTTCCTGTATGCCATATATTGGTTCATATCTAAGCAAGACACCACTCTTATACCTACCAAATGTACTTCTTACTAGTTTGTACATCTTTAACCGCGAAATCCTACGGTATACTTGTGTAAGATATTTTACTCTGGATACTTTTGTTCTGAAAGCCATGCCGCGCACTCTAATTCATGAACTGGGTAATAGTACAGATATTTGGAAACTTCTAGACAGGACCAAAACAGTTTGAGACCGTTTGAAATGGGGAAATGATGCCATAAGCGATATGATTTGCCGGAGATCCACGTCGTCAACAGCCTCAAGACGGCCAGACTCTCCCTACATACCGGGTGGCGGCGGCGCGACATGAGTTAAATTACAAAGACTATAGAGACGGGCTAGGACTCTTATAAGAACGATGGCCGATTCGATGCACAGGTGACCCTCCTGCTAGCAGCACCACACAATGAGCGCCGTCATCAAAAGCCTGCGACCAGATCCCGATGTTGACTTGAAGAATACCGTCGAATACGCCAGTATCTGCTTGGACTGTTTGTATAAACTCCCCCAGGCGGCAGCAGCACAACGGGTTGGAACAAACAGTGACCAGCGGCGAGTCCGAGAACATCGGCACACCTTTGAACAACAACTGGAGACCTTTGTCTCCACTCTGAAGGATTGCTATGTCTTTGCAGATAACGTCGGCATGCTCCGCGACAACCTTGACACGGCGTCAGCAAAAGAAGTCCGTTCGGTCGTGGAAGAAATGGCCGTAGCTGGAGAAAGAATCCATTCGCAAGTGCTCGCAAGTATCGCCAGGCTTCATCAGTACTCCCAGACTAGCCCTTACGATACTGTTTGGCCTATGACAGCCAAGAATGATGCCAACGAAGGTTCGTAAATTGCCCAGTTGAAGACACGTAATAAGGAATTATAGCCGCCTTGGACGGTCCAATGCTTCGAACCCAGTTCCGAAACGCAATACAAGGACTCTTGACATCCTTCAACCATATATCCGAGTTCTGGAATGATCAAGCGGTTGCCTTGAAGACCTCCTTAAACGGGAAAGATGGTGAATTCGGTCTCACAGCAGACCAAGCTATCACGCTGGCAGATAGATGGGCACGTCACTCACCTATCATCATGGAGACGGTTCACTCTCTTGTCAAAATCTGTGATGCGCTTACCGTTGAACCCGAGCTCCGGCAAGGCTCTCAACGGCAGACCAGCTTTTCGACCACCTTTACCTCTAGGACACCAGAACAAAGGAAATACACTCCGAGACTGATTGGAGAATCCCCTAATTCCCTCCCTGAAGCAGATCAGTCATCTCAAGGGAGTCGCCCAAGCGCTGGTAGCGAGGGGAGTCGACCTAATAAAGCTCCAACGGCCATTTCTGGAAATAGAAAGGTGCATAAAGCGGACACATGCCCCAGTTTAACACAAGCTATAACGTTTACTTCTCTCGTTCTCTTTGCATGTGCTCTTGGGCCCAATCCCCCCATGACGAGAGATGAAGTTGAGAGAAGGATGCCAAAGTACTCATCTCATCCTCCATCGGTTCGTAGATTCTTCGAAGAGGAGTCCAGCTAACCTAACAATAGAAGATCAAACGGCAGCCACAAAACAAACCACCTACGAGAAACCCTGGAGGTATCTCACGAGCCAAATCTCCTTCAAAAAACAGAAGGAATTTTTGTGGATGGTTCTAACCGATCTATACAAGATGTTATCCTCATCATTTTATGCCTTCTATCTCATAGCCATGCGGCTTCGAAACTATGGATTTATGTTGATTATGCCAATGCCAGACTATTTCTATTGGCTCATAGGAGGCCATACAGAATATTTGATTACCCATAAGGAACAGACATTACCCGTATATCCTACCGACGACGAGAAACTGGACTAGTAGCTCGGAGGGCTGGTTCATCGATCCGTCGAAAAATGAGAAGGGACAGGCGAATCAACTCGCCTTGCCCTCCCACCACCTCGGTCACCATCAACAGACCCATCCATCGATGACCGCCTTCGAACTTCGATAATATTGTGTGCCACCTGATCTGTCGTCGACGTTTGCTGTCGAGACGTGGATGGCGGCGAGGTAGTAAGTATATCCGGATACATTATTGGTGCGATCGGCTCTGAAGTTCTCCCTTTTTCCCGACTCATCTCTCGCTCAGATGATGCGGACATCCAGATTCGGACGGAGCCATCATGCTCGCCAGACGCGAGCATCGGTCTTCGTAAGGCGTAGTTCCAAGCCACGCTCGTCAGGTCGTTTTCTCCCACGTCTTTGTTTCGCAAGGCATGTAAAAGTTGCTAGACAGTCGTCAGGTAAGAACCAGAAGAGAAAGATTAAGCATACTCCGCTTTGACGGTCCCAGAGAAGGATATCGCCGCTCTTTGTTGGGACCATGATAAGCTCGTCGTCTACTCCAGCAAAGTAAGATGGCCCAGCAAAGTCGACATCGTGCTTCGGTAGATAGGTCTGTGCGGGAACCAAGCGCCCGACGCCATTGACAATATCCATTCTCAGTAATTGAGGAGGACCCTAATAAGCTCAGAAGGGCACGGAAACAAACAAGAAAGCGAACCTTGTTCTCTGAACTGACAAGCGCGTATTGACCGCTACGAGAAATGGTGATGTCTCTGACCTCATCAAGCACCGGCACCAAACTGCACAACGTCAGTCAAGCTTTCCTGGAGAATGGATGTTTACGAACCTTTCGACCTTCTTCTCCTTCAGATTGTAGACTAGGCAGATATAAGCTTCTTCAGATACAGAGCTCGGAACACGAACCGACAACGCGCTTTTCGATTTTGGACATTCTCGGTTGCAGGCCACTCTTGGTCTTCGTCAACTCTGCGACTCCGAGCATCCGTTCCTCATCTGGGGTGATGCCGACATCCCAGAGATTGAGGCGGTCAAGTTCATACGTCTCTTGCAATTCGCCATCCAAGCCAAACTGCACCACTTGACTTTCCTCGACGGAAAGGAAGGCTATGATCAATGTGGATCAATAACGCAAAGTCACCGAATCAAGTAGGCAACCTACACTTGCTCGACGGGAACCAACAAACAGATTTGACGACACTGGACGCACGTCGAATGTTATGCTTGCGCACCGCAGTCTGCAAAACTTGAGCGACTGGGGTAGAAGCCGATAATCAAAACTCACTTCGGTCGACCAGACTTGAATCGCGTGCGACTTCTTCGTCAACAACCAGTTACCATCCGGACTCCATGCGACCTGGTTGATAAACCCTTCAGAGACCGCCATAACCTTTCCGCGTTCGACGGCACTATTTGGGTCCGTCGGGACAATATACAAACGTGCCGTGCCATCCCAACCACTCGTGGCGAGCATCTTGCCATTCGGGCTAAACTGCACATGTCGCACTAGTCCGGTATGATCAAATATCGTATGGGTAACTTGAAGCTTTTTCAAAGCAGGCCGTATCGTTCCAATACGAGTCGGTTGCCGTACCACCTCGTTGCTCTTGCCGTCTCCAGTCTCCCGTCGCTTTGCCTGGTCCGCCAAGATGGTCATAGAGCGTGCTGTAGGATTAGACCCAATCGAAGATGTCTCTTTTTGATTATCCGCCACCTTCCACGCAATCTGGCGGAGTTTACTGAGAGCCGGGGGTGGAGGAGCGGGCGGAGCAGTTGACGTGGCGGAAGTATCGATCCTGGTCGTAGAGTCGGAGAGTGCACTTGAAAGTGAAAAGATTCGCGCGGGTGAGCGTACGGGGGACGAGATCCCCACATCGTCTTCGGAAGCCCTATCCAGTCGCGGTGAAGAGACGACGGGGCTGTCCAACGGACTCATTCCCTTCTCCGACAAGTCCAGTGCCGACGGTCTATAGTTGATCGGAGATGGAGAGGCGCTAGCTCGATTGTCACCCCCATTTGCATACGGCAGACCGTCTTCGATAATGCTCTCATCCTGGTTGGGTAAACACGGTGCAAAGAGTCTACGGAATGCGGCAAGTATCCGCCGTGGTATGTAGCGAATGAACCGGACAGGCGGATACCGGATGAAAGACTCCCATTGGTCGCTGAGTACGTCGGAAAGCCATCTGAGTCCATTATGTTTGCTGTAAATCCAGCGCTCAGCGGTGAACCATGCGGACACCGCGAGTAGTCCCATGGTACAGAAACAGGTGAGGACGAGGACAAAGATGGAGACGAGGAAGGGTTGGGTGGCGTAGCAAAAGCACACCAAGCCTGTACTGAATATAGGGTCAGACAGGACGACGAAGGACGAACCGAAATACCTAAACAGTCCAACAGAGATGACCATGAGGACCAAAGGAGATCTTTTGATCCAAATCAACTATCGTACGCTGAATTCCTGCATGGATACCAGAGTCAAAGATACGTACCACCCACCAAGGGACGCGATGTCTTGGGGAACGACTAGGAATGCTGAGAAGTTTACTCAGAGAGAGTCATCGCACTCACTACATCGCCCGCTTCCACGTCAGACCTAGTAGACTGTTGATTGCGGCTGAGATACTGAGGACGAGCGAGCCGAAGAACATCAAGTTGGTGACCCGATCCAATGGTTTCTCCCTTTTATCGAACGAATACTGTGCTGCCGTTGCGGTGACGCCACTGAAAAACGTCGCTATAGTCGACAAGTTGAGCAGATTGTCCCCATTATGCTTCTGCGCGAAGCGTATGGCGGGTACTCCGTTGGCCACAAACTCTTGGAGAGCGCGAGTGATAATATCAAGGTGAAGCGTCATCTCCATGCTGACCCCGTGAACGTATTTTTGGACCGCTTTCCACCGAAATTGGTCTTGGTATTCGGAGAGACAGTCGGCGCGATACTGCAAGTCCATCTCAAAGGCAGTAATGGACTCGTTAAGAGCCTCGTCGACAAACTCGGGAAACTCTTCGAGATGTGTTAAGAATGCTTTGACGTCTCTATTTTTAGGAGGTCAGCTTCCACTTGCACTTGCGTATCCGCCAATTACAAACCTCGAGAGAGCGAATAGCTCGGCTGGCAAGGTATCTAGTTCCGGTGCAACTGTGACGGTGGATCTGCGCAGGAGTAATGCTCTGCTATTGCTACGCGCCCTCGGATTATTCTTGTTCCGCTTCGTTTTAGGCTTGAGCGGTTCAATATCAATGGCCTTGCTTTTGATCTGAGTTGGAAATATGTCCGCAGCGTTTTCGTGGAAGAGTGCTTGAATCGTATGCAGGCGTGTACGGAGTTGATGGGCAGATGCGAGCAAGCCTACAGAGGAACCAAGCTGTCGAGCCGCGGTTTGGAAACTCAGCAGGCCTTGGTCAAGACTACTGATACTCCTGAAGTGCATATGAGCTCGGATCTCTGTGGATGTGACGTCCCTCACTTGTCAAACTTTCGAAACATCTCGGCACCTTCCCTTTCCTCTTTCGATACGTTTTCGCCTGTGTCGACCTCGATGAAGTGGTCTATGAAGAGTTTCAGACGAAATTGTAACAAATAAGATGATTGCAACGCACCCTTTTCTCGCTTCTCCTCGATAGCTATATATGTCATCAGCGTGTGTAGGCTGCTTGACGGAGCAAAGGCGAACCGTGAAGACCGTGGTCATCTTCCTTGAGAGCAGATAGCTCGTCAATGAGTTGTAGGAGTGTGAGCTTGCGCTTTAGTGCGGTTGGGTGTGGGCCTCCTCGCCCGCCAGAGCTCGGAGATGCTGCTCCTGTCCTTCCTGGAGTGCCTGGGATATCTATTGTTCATACGAGGGATTCAAGATGGTAGAATGGCAAGTAATATGCAGACAACATCCGATTTCGATCCAAAGAGAAAAGAAAGATAGCAATATCAGCACACGATGACGAGTATAATCATTAACGTAGAGTTACCATTACGATTCTCCATCTTGCCTTTCTGTGGGGCGTCGAATACCCGTCGAACTTGATATTTGCGCCAGTTTCAGGGCGTGTAGCGTGAATAACTGTCCGATATAGTCGTAAAGCAGCACTTTCCAGCGCGCAGAGTCGTGTTTGTGAGACGTTGCGGTCGTGGTGAGATGCAAACCCAACCGAGTTGTTTGCCGCCAAGCCCATTCGCCTACCTCAAACCGCCAGCGGGTGTTGGACAAGCTGACCTCCATCGACCCCGATTACATAACAAATTGACACTCAGTCAATTCTATTGTCTCTGCTGCCACCAGAACGTGCTTTGGGCCACCTTGGACCGACAAATACAAGCTTGAATGGCCGTAGACCAATCTTTTGCGCGCCTCTATTCATAATGAAGTATCTAATGCAGAATTCGTGCTTTACCACGAAGTTGATCGACCGAGCGCGGCCTATCTTCCCTCTCCGGAGAATCACCTCTATTCTCACGTACGCTCACCGATACAAACAATACTTGTATCTAAATGAGGCTATTTGGCCATTTGAGACTCGGTATTACTCGCCTCGAGTGCCTTACACGGGGTCAAGCCAAAGGTTCAAATTCGGTGGCCCACTTCCGCTTCATTAGCATAAGCGCGTCTACAAAAACATCGGACTAACAGCTTTAAAGTCCGAGGTGGGATAAAAGGGCGCTTGGATAGATGGCGAATCAGTCCCAGGCTCTGACCCCTCCTATGCAGCTACTGTCCACCCTCCTCCTTTTACTAGCCACCTGCACCGCCGTAGTCGTGGCAGGAGGGAGACCTCCACCTCCGCCACCTCCGCCACCAAAACCCATCCCACTCCGATGGGGCGTCCTCGCGTTTCCCAAATACGTCGGCCTCGACGCATACGGGCCCATTGAGATGCTCAACATTGTCAAGTTTCTCACTCCAAACATGACTATTGCCGTCATCGCAGAGACAATGGACCCAGTCCCGGCGCATGTCGTCAACGACCTCGGGGGTCCAGCGACGTTGATGCAGCCTACGCATACCATTTACGACAACGTGACACTAGACGTCCTCCTCATCCCCGGTGGCCCAGGTAGTCGTATCGCCTACAATAACACCAACATCATCAACTATGTCAAGAATGTGTACCCCAAGCTGCAGTATATCGTCTCGGTCTGCACTGGCGCTCAGGTGCTCGCCAAAGCTGGTATCCTTGACGGGAAGCGAGCGACCACGAACAAGTTTAGCTGGGCTGAGATGGTCAGGAGTGGGCCGAACGTGAAATGGGTCCGTCCTTAGATTATTTTTTCTCGACGAGTCTGATATCTATTCAAGCAACCATGCGCTCGTTGGGTGACCGACGGCAATATCTGGACAAGCTCTGGTGTCGCTGCGGGCATCGACTTGACTCATGCGTTCATTAAGAAGATCTTCAGAAATGAAACCCTCGCGGATCGTGCGGCGAACATTCTGGAGATCGAGATTCACAAAGATCCTTCTTGGGATCCGTTCTGCAAGGTTCGTTTTGACAAATGTGCATACAGCATGTACTTATCGCCCCTAAGGTCTGGAACGCCACTATATGAGGCGTAATGTCGACTGCACTCATAAATATGAGTAATAAGAAGCATTTTGATTTCCTGGTCTACTCGAAAAAGGGGACCATATTGCCATGTATCCTCACACGAATCATACTTGGCGTCTCGAAGGGGCTGGGACTATGAACCATAAGCCTCCCATTACAGCCATCATGGCAACAATACTGCCGGCTGTCAGCTTGACCCCGTGCGTCTGGAGCAAACAAGCTTACAGTGGTTGCAATGAGCGAATTCCGAACCGGTTGGCCAATGCACCAGTCATAAAGGGAACGACGGCACCTCCTGTGCCACCGAAACCACTTATCCATCCAATAGACCCAGTCAGCAGCTGAGCGAAAGTTAGCGCAGGTACATTGATCCAAGTTGCTGGCGTACGTGCTGTGGGATATGGCTGTTTCCGTTCAGGTTGGCGCGAGTCAATTTACACTGCCACCTATGTTGAGTGGCCTGTAGCTCTTCCCCACATTATCAGAGGGCAAATAATATTATATCATTAGAATCACTTGATCTGGGTCTACCTTTTGTGAGCACTTTAGGCCTGCATTTCAAACGTGGGATGATTGTCACATTTGGTCACGTCCTAGAGTATTCCCTTGTGTTTGGCAGTAGTGTTTAGTATATGATATTGGAAGTAAATAACTGTATGCTTATGTGGAATGACAGGTTTGTGGTTTACTGGATGTGGGAAGGTTCGACGTCGTTCCAAAAATTTCGACTCTTGGACGCTGTTAGTACTATCAGTCTGCCCTCAATGCCCCAAAGAAGGCTCGAAACACCGTAAAAGCATCAAATATGGTCGCATCTTCTGCTACTGTACTCTCCAAGCGAGGCCTGTTGGCGCAGGTGCTTCAGATCACGCAGACACCTCGTTAAACTCGGTCATCTCGTCAAAAGATCAATATTGATCCTTTGAAGAGTTTCAATAAACCTATAAGAGAAGTGCCTGGTGAGTCAGACGTCATGAAGATACAGGAGAATGCTCACCATGAAGTTTGCACTGTACCTGCAGTCATTCTCCAAAGGAATCATCAGCTCCCATCGGTCAGAGAGCAAGAACATAGTGATTGTCTGACTTCCAAGGGCATACCTGCCTCGAAAGGTGGGATCCATGTGCAGCCCAAGGTGTACAAGACAAGCGTAGAATCACTAGAAGATGACATAGATGAAAAGGATGAAAACTCTGATAACCATCCTGACCTGTATGAGACTGCAAGCGAAGAAGGGGAGACAGCTATGGACCATGCATGGTTCCAGTCACCTTCCTTATCAGACACGTCGAGTGGGATAGAAGAGTTCGTTTTTCAACAGAGAACAGGTCGCCATAAGCTGAAAAAGAACACAACTGACCAGCTAAACCTGGCAAATAGCACTGGTGCGTTTGATTTAAGAGTGTTAGCTACACTAACAAGATGAGATTTAGCTTTTGAAGTCACTATCTGGTTTGTTTTTCAACGCCGCGAGGTGTTGGTCGCAGTCGAGAGCACGGATGACTATGTTGCTGTCAAACGAGCACTTGGACTTGCCATAGGCATTGAAGCTCGTGATTTACGCCCACTACAGTACAAAATTGAGAAGGATCGCAACCAGTCAGCATTCAGGGACTTCAACTCGCAGAGAGATTGGGAGCATATCATTACCTGGGCTCGCAAATATCGACAGTACCAGCTAAATCGAAAAAATGGGACACCAAATGAGTGGTCCGTCCGGATCAGAGAAGCAAGCGGCAGCAACACCCAGGCAGCAATACAAGGAATGGAGAACGTCAGTGCCAAAGCCGGCCAACACATCATCCACAAGATCCACAGAGCAATAGACGAACTGCACAACGATCAAAAGCGTAGACAAGAACTCGTAGAGGCGAGCGATGACGAGACGAGGATCAATCGATCGACTCAGATCACTCTCACGTGGGTCCCAGGTCATGAAGGGATCGAGGGTAACGAAGCAGCGGACGAGGAGGCCAAGAAGGCCATCACAGATGGATCATCCACAGCAGCAACACTCCCACCATGGACGAAGGACACCCTCCCGCAGAATATCTCGGCACTCAGACAGGAACTCAAACTTGCAGCAAGGAAGTCAGCACACGACAAGTGGAAATCTTCAGCACGGTACGACAGGACCAGGCCCATCGACGAGACAATGCCATCCAACAAATATCTCCAAATCACAGACGAGCTAACGAGAGCAGAAGCAGCGGCACTTATTCAGCTACGTACAGGACATATCGGACTGAACAAGCATCTGAACCGCATCAACAGAGCGGATGCACCGTGGTGCCCACACTGTGGAGAGGGAAATGCAGAAAACATAACTCATCTCCTCCACATCTGCCCAGCGTACAATGCAGCGCGAGCCGAATGGGAAGGAGCATTGCGTGAGAAGACGAGAGAACCAGCGGAGATACTAGGGACAAAGGAGGGAATCAAGGAGACGTTGAAGTTTATCAGGAGGGAGGTTGAAGATGGGACGGGAGGATACAAACGGAAGGGAAAGAGAGTAACCAACTCACCAGAGAGACAACGCGTATCGAAACCAAACCAACTTCACAGACAGTCAAGGCGATCGAAAGCAAGCAAAAGTAGCGTAGCAGAGCCACACCCAGAGGGAGATCTCGGCGAGGAGAGCGACAACTGCCTGCCTACAAGGAGATGCACGCGCCAATGAAACCGAGGGTAACCCAGTAAGCGGGCTCCAGTTAGACAATGTGCTATATTGGCGGTGCCACTGCACAATAATACTTAACACAAAAAAAAAAAAAAAAAGCGGCAGCAAGGCAGGGTTCAAGGTGTGTAATTGGTACTATATTGAGCTCGTTCACAACTAATATGACAATTAGGCTGGGAGTACTAGTCATGATCGCAAAAAGAACATAGAGAATATGAGTAAAATAATCAATGCGCCGCGTTTGCCGGCCTCAAAGGAACTTGCCCAGGCTCGTCAATGCAACCAGCATGGTGGCAAATACTGCTGGGTCCCTTGTGGAGGTGATACTGCAGCTTTAACATCCTATGGAATAAACCTCAAGGCCAATCTTCACATCCAGATCACTGATTCCGAGTTTGAGATGTGGCTTGATGAAGTGGTATGTATTGACTGATTGAGTATTACTCCTTAATTGATATTTAATTCTATAGCTTGCAAATAATGCTACAGTTCGCTCTCCTGATACTCTCCTTGCCAGACAAATTGCCCGCCGCTATTCCCAAATGCTTGCAAAAAAGGCTGAGCTATCTCAACCTGTTCCATCAGCCACTAATTCATTCGAAACACCTCGTTTTGCTCGCACATTTACAGCACTTGGTCCACCAACACCTCAACGATTCCTTGCCCGCTCTCAGTCTGTGCCTATTTCTGGCGAGTTAGGTCCATCTGAGAGTAATCGCAGGAGACCTATTGGCTCTGGGAAGAGGCATATTCCCATAAACGAGTGGCTGGCATCACTCAGAGGGCGTATTGAGGGTGATAACACCAACTATCAGGCACTTTTGCAGCCGCTCTTAGCAGAAGATATACAAAGTACATTAGAGATCTGTCTCTTGGGTAAAGAGGGTCTTGTTGGTATTGGCGGCATTGCCAAGGGGACTGCTGCACGACTTGAGGCCTGGGCCCGTGAGGATACTGATCAGAAAATTGGATCCAAGACACACGTAGTATCAATATAGCATCATTTTCTGTATATATCAACTGAATCTACACAATCCCTGCTCGTGCAAACCATGCATATGCCATCCAAGGAGTTGGGTAGAATGTCATCTCATACAGTAGCCAGCGAGCCTGATTTGGGTTATTATTGTCATTCCATGATTCCTTAGCTTCCTCCATATGTCGCCGAATCCATGCTTTCATCCCTGCAAAGCATAATTCGATTGGATTCAGGTCGGGCGAGTATGGTGGAAGGAACTCAATTTGCATACCGCTGTACCAGAATCAGTGAACAATTTTATTTTATATGCTCTATACATACCGTTGCTGAACCATCTGGATCATTTCTGGGTCTTTGTGAATCCGGCAATTGTTGAGAATGATCACAGAGTTTGGAGGATGGTGCTCTGGATCATATTTGTTCATCTTCTCGAGCAATTCTGCAATAAACCGATTAAATCTTTCCATATTGAATGCATCCTCCACGACTTTGACATGGAGAACACCCGAAAGGGAAAGTGCTGGTAGAACAGAGTAACTGAACAATTAGACTGCGAAGTAGAGATTGCACAATGCTCACCTTTTTCTTCTCAAGAAGAATACCTTCTGAAGTGCTCGCTGTCCCCGGAAAGCCCAAGCACGGGTACGTTGGCTTGTACGCTGATCAAAGCGAGATTCATCAACATAGACTCGTTCATGGGGTTTTTAGCGTGAGATTCTATTGAAATATTCAGCTTGACGGTCTATATCTTGCTCTCGGGCTGCCTTGGTAACCTATAATCATAAGTCCCAATACGAAGGCAAGGACTTGGACATGCCTCTTTCATTGTAAGCCCAGCCTTGCGTAAGGATCGATGAATAGTACTGAGAGAGACCAAAACACCCATCCCAGCAAGCAATTCTGCTCGTATTTCATCTAAGTACATGTCCGGCCGTTGCTGAACAAGTCCTAAAATAAACTGGATTTTATGAGCTGCTGACAGGGTATTAGGGCGAAGACAGACCTGAATACAATCATCTGTCATTTTCCGAGGCGAGCCACGACGTTGAGACTCGTTAGAGATGATTTTCTGATCAGAGTGCACTGTTGCAATGATACGCTGGACTGAGCGCCTTCTAATCCCCAGATAGCGTGAAATAGTCTTCGTATCAAGCCTTTCAAGATGCATCTTGACCACCGCATGGCGAAGGTCATTTGAGATGGGCCGTCCGCGCGTCATGGTCCGGTCCAAGATATGAATGACATGACGGCGACGTGAGTTATGCTAATGGACTGATTAATAACACTGTCAGTTGTTTTCTTCAAGTAAGATTCTCACGTCAATGCAATGTGGGCAAGCAATAGAGGACGTCCAAAAGTGGGCCATTCTACCACATTTGATTTTTGCGGCTAAAGTACACCAAACAGAAAGCTTCAAATCTTACAAATATCAGTATTAAGTATCGCTGCACTACGACAACGTGGGGAGGAGATAGGGGCTGCTCAACATATGTGGCTATGTAAAATTCAAAACGCGCCAACCTGAACGGAAACAGCCATAATATGTCCCGCTTGAGACATTACAATAGGGTACATAGGCCCCAGGACCAGTCCCACAAAGGAGACGGCAATCGCGTCGCCAATTAGAGAGGGAACAAACCAGACGACGAATTCGAGTCTGCAAGAAATAAGAGACTAGTTTGTGGCGTAAAGGTGGCGTACCCGATGCCAATGACAGTGTACAAGAACACGACGTTACGCTCCCCAATCTTTCGGTTCACCCATAATAGCAAGACACGGCCCAATGCGAGACCTATACCCATAAGCATGGATAGCAAAGTCGCGCTCACACTCACCTCCAAAGAAACCAGAGCTCACATATCCCGAGGACGGCCCACCTCCTCGCTCGCGGATGATAAACGTCACGATCCAGCCTGGCTCTTAGTCAAAACGTCACGCTGATGCTAAATCATACCTCCAATCGTGACTTCGACCCCGACGTAAACAAAGACGAAGAGGGCCATAACGTGCATGGTTACTTGCTTCATGATCTTAGCGAAGCCGCTAGATTTCTCCTCAGCAACTTCACGTCCTCTGCTAGTTACAGAGTTGGCTTCTGTATCTTGTCTGGACGTCGCCGGGACTAAGCCCATCTCACCCAATATCACTAACAAGCCTGAGTGACAACGAAAGTGACGAGACTTTCACCTCACCATCATACTCTTTCCCGCGGAAGACGAACACAAGCAATGTAAAGCTGACCAGTAGACCGCCTAGTAGCACAAAGTAGTGATACGCCCACTTTCGTCCCGAAAATTGGGCGAATTGGGTGGCGATTAGAGGACCTACCAAGGCGCCACTACCTATAGTATATTATAATCCACGCCCTATACAATAATCAAGGCTTACCGTAGATAGCATGTGCCATCCCCATTTGGGACGAGTTCTTCAGCATCGACATGAATCCATTTCCATGTGCGTTGAGAAGGGCAAGACCGGCTCCGACGAAAAAGTACGCAACGCTATGGCCTAGTGGGCTAAAGGTAACCAGGAAGAAAGAGATACGTACCATACGAGCGGGAATGGTGGCGCAGCGCAGAGGATGGCGTATGAGGCGATTTGTAGGATGGAAGAGACCACAAGCAACTTCATTTGATGTTAATTAATATATAATGTACGCGAAATTGTCACACCTTGGAGAAGTTGATGCGTCCAGAGAGAAAGACATTGAGCACAGAACACAGGACGAAACCCTCCGAACAATCAGTCTTTTCTGAATAGATAATGTAGAACTTACGACGCTATTGCAGATGAAGATGAGCGAAACAATGATAAAGCTAATCTAGATGCGGTTCAGAACAGCGGAAAATGGAGTAACTCGGCCTGCCTTGTAATATCGTTGGTAGACGGGTATGAGAGGCCCCAGTGTACCATCGTTGATGCCATACATGAAGAAGCACCAGAACAGTGAGGCGAGATTGATCTTATATTTCCTCTTAACTGCGTCCTTTATGACATCCTTCTCTCGACTGGTGTCGTCTCCACGGTCAGGGCCCTGTTCAAGCAAAGTAGAGCTCATATAAAGGAAGGAAATGGACAGGAAAGAGTGCTTACAGAGCTTGTCTATGCTAATTAGTTCTTTTTAAACTTGCGAGTTGCCTCGAGCATGCCGACGGCGATTCTTCGGAAACTGACAGCTCCCCGCATACGATTGTGGAGGGTGTCCTGGTGACTAATGCTCATTGAAATACCACTACCCTGGGTTAGAAGACTTCGGGGATTGCGTGCGTGACCGTAGTTCAGTCAAAGATAGGAGGCCGCCGTCACTTTCTCCCGGAAGTTACTTGTGCAGCAGAGTAGAGGGCCATCATCCGGGTCTATAATCGATTATTTATGATGAATTAGTCCGCACGGATGGATAATGAACGCTAATCCACTATACAGCGAATCTTTCTACCACCTTCACTCTTGAGGAGCCGTTTTCCCGTCCACATAAAGATGACCTTGGTACAGAGTGTCCGATCCCATCCATTTTCATCGATCACCTTGTTAAGTAGATCCTTTGCCTCACTGGTCCCGGAAGAAAAGGCATCTCCTGAGTCGCCCACAACGTCTGTTGTTCTCCCGGTGAGATAGTACAACAATGAGGCTGTTAGAATGCGAATAACGTCATCTGGTGTTACCGAGGATGGCCGTGACTTTGAGATAGACTGCAGCATCTGCCTAAGGAAGTGGATTATTCACTAGAGATTGTTCGAAGGCACCACTTACTTAGTCTCTCTAAAGGTCGGTGTCGGTTCTGTTCCATCACCTTTGCTCGCCTCGTACTGATTGCCAGGAACAAGGACATCGCCTGCAATGGACCAGATTTTCGTCTGTACTTTCGGTTAGATCATGGTAGCGATTCGGGTCTACGTACGGTGAAACTACGCATCTTTGATGCATCTTGAGCGGACTCAAGATCGTCCTCCGTGGTCGGACGTTGAATGGTCGCTTGGGGTACAGGTTCTGGACTTTGTAGTGACACATTCCGTTTTTCATCGCTCGATTCATTGGTTAGTGGCTCTTCCACGTTAATTGGACTATCTCCCAGCACATGGTTGTCATCCTCTGGCTCCTGCAGTAGCACAGTTTCGTCTGCATCCTCGGGTTCGACTTCTGCTGATTCGTCATAAGCCTCTTCACCATAGTCGTCGTCATATCCATATGCGCGCGGAGTCTCATTGGAATACTCCTCTTCTGTCCGCGGTGGAGTACGCGCTCCTGAGAAGTCGACGTACGAAGATGAAGATGCGGCCTTCCTTTTCTCCCAGTTTCCAGACGAATCAAGCTTCATTGGAGTTTGTGCCATCAGTTGAGATATGTCCGGCGTGTCCGTCTCCATCAGTAACGAGTTGTCGACTAGATTGAGCCTGTTAAAATCCACAGTTTCGTCTCCATCCGGAGACTTGTCGCGATGACGTAGAGGCCGTGATCTGCCAATAGTCCGCTGGACTATGGGCGAAGACTCGCTCATCATCGAGTCGTCGGCTGCATCAAAATGCCGCGCAGCTTCGGCCTGCATCCTAGCGTTTAACTTTCATATGTAAGAGTGGGCTATATAGACACTGTTGAAGAGTACCTTTTGACGAAGTTTGACATTCTGGTCCTCGAGTTGTCGTATTTCATCTTCAATTTGAGAGAGACGACCCGCTTCGTCATTATCAAGAGCTGCATGTTGCTGGAGAATAATCAGTATAACGCAAAGTTTCAGGGATGGGTGACCACCTTTGGCTTTGCCAGTGAGCGTATTCGCTCTGCCTGAGCTTTATCGTCTTCTATCCATTCCAGAATCTGATTTTTCACGTCTGAAGAGACAGCATTAGGGCTGATATGCCATCAGATCCGGGCAATTGAGGGATGAGAACATACTATAGATCGATGAGCTTTAGCGCTGCGCGCAAGGGAACCTCTGGGTCATTCTCGTCGTCAAATATAGCCGCAACACGCGAGCGACGTGGTTTCCGTCCTTCGCCTTTCTTCAGTGGCGTCGCCACGCCAATCGTTTTTCGCTTGATCTCCATCTTTTCGAGTTCATTGGGTCGATTGAGAGCCGTTTGGTTGACGTCTACATTATAGACCGCTGCCTGCGAGGGATTGGCAGCGCGGATAAAGTCGGTGCTGGGCGCATTCGCGACGGCGTCGACAAAGGCAGCGCTTGTGAGGTGATTGGGTATGTTCGAGGTCTCTGGTTGGTATTGCGCAATCAGAGCGTCTATTCGTTGGAATGGATCCAGAATGCCCATGACAAGGTCAGGAACAATGTGGCAATTGTCCTTGGACGACTCGCGCTTGACCAAAAAAAATTCACCGTCACAGAAAGCTTTAGCTTGTGCATAAATTGCTACTTTCTCGCTGGGGGTGCTATCAAAAACGACGACGCCCATCCCAATTATTAGCGAAGCGGACTAAACGACCGTCGTCTTACCCTGATACAGACTCACGAAAGGGTACTTGCTGCCTTCGACCCACTAGTCTATTATGGAGGTCGAACCCAACGCAATCTACATTGTTCTCTATGCGCGACACGATCAAAAGTTTCATTGGGCGCTCTGCATTGGGATCACAACTACTCGGTTTTGAAGCTTCATGCAGCAAATTTGGTCGGCCCTTGGGCGTTTCAGGAAGTGGAGGAAACGATCACCAATTCCATCAACTGCTGCATAGTCTATAAGCTGGGTAAGCCGAGTTTCTTTCACATCGTCGGTTCCTAACTACTCGAAAGGCATGTTGGATGGTCAGACAACTACCGTTCATGTGAGGGAGATCCTCGAGCGGATTCCCATGGCGATTCCAAAAGGCTCCAAAGAGTCCATGTTCTCCTGTCGTGTATGGGCAAAAGAGGCAATTTATAAACTACACAACGCTCGGATCGTAGACTGTTCGGACGCGGACAAGCTCGAGGAGACCTTGAAAGCATTTGGAGCGGCTCAGTTACCATTAACGGAAGCTGGGAGAGGATATCAAGTCATCAAATCATAATACTTGCACGATTGTGGCATAAATAGCGATACAGAGACATTACATAACCTCTGTCAACCATTTCGTGTCACGCGGCTGTCACATTCCAGATCTGACAAGGATGAGACAGATTTGCAAAGATTAAAAGAGACGCAAACCTTGCAGAAAGGGTCCCAAGAAGGATCCTCGTGGGTCTCGTACTCAATGATATTGGTGGCAAGGTTCGCAAGAGTCACATTGCGCATGCCTTGTTCGACAAAAGCATTGGTCAAGTCAAAACCAGAAGTGACTCCAGAACTGGTCCAAATATTTCCGTCCCTGACCCAGCGAGCGCAAGGAACCTAGACAGGGATGAGCTCGACAATCAGGCGAAACGCAAACACATGCCCATTTTACTCTTGGGCCGGTCTTGATTATATCCTTCCAGCTAAATTTCGACGTCGTCGCCTTCTTACCGTCCAAAATGCCAGCCTTGGCCAAGAATTGTGCACCGGTGCACGTGGAGAGGATATGCTGAAGGGAAGGGTACGTGCGCTTGACATAGTTGATGAGACGTGTATTGTTGAACTGTACAGCACTCTCAGGGCCACCACCAGGCACGAGCAGCACGTCAAGAGGAATATTGTCGTAAATTGTGTGAGTAGGGCGTAGATACGTCCCAGGGACACCAATGTCGGTCAAGGCATGGGAAGGAACAGGATCCATCGTCTCGGCAATAATAGCTATCGTCATGTTGGGGGTCAACATCCTGACGATGTTTAGTATTTCTATGGGCGCAAATGCATCCAGTCCAACAAAGGTAGGATACGCAAGAATCCCCCAGCGGAGTGGGAGGCGCTGCGGATGAGGTGATTGCGGAGTGGCCAACACACTCAGGGTGAGTGCACTTGCTGTAAGGAGCAGGACGAAGGAGCGCATGGGTGGGCGATTCGCGCTTACAATGGATTCGTCTCCCGGGCCCTTTATTGGTTTTCACCGCCGCTCATAGAGTGTGAATCCTTAGTCAGAGATTGTAAAGCGCGGGGCAGGTTCTCCTCATGACCTCGAGCCTCCGATAACCTGATCGTATGGAGGTCGAATGGCTAAATAGCCTCAACCATCTGGGCTAAATATTTCGGACACAACACTCTTCACCACGCGAGAATATGGGCATTTCTCCGGAGGATCGAAATGAGGCCCGGTAGAGCCGTTGAACGGGCACCAATTATGCGCGCGTCAATGTGACGAGATTGGGTGACACCTTGGCAGTCATAATCACGCGCCGTAGTTCCATTTCATTACGAAAGCACTCTGATTTGCCAGTGAAGGCGTCAGACATGCGTTGAAATGGCTTACTTCGAGTCTTTCAATTCTAATGTTCCACCACCTTGTCGTTTGTAAAATGCGTGAATAAGAAGCACGCTAAGAAGCATAGTATGAGAAGCAGTTTGCGGGGTAGTACCCGCCTCATGTAGCTGGCGTGCGTGAATGCAGAGGTCTAGACCTCAGACGCCGAGCGCATCTTGGAGCCATCCATCTTCATACTTTCGCTGTGAGATTCGGATATATCTACTGATACAATTATGAATCCACGAGGATTATCGCCTTCCGGGAGAAGGTCATCAAGCAACGGTCAACAGTTGGACACAGTCATCATGACTCTTGATCTATTTCAAAATGTGTTCGAGGTGTCAGATATACTAGTTCCTTTAAAGGGAGCTGTCCGAGCTACGAAACTGATCCTCGATGCCCGCCAAGTGAGTTGGCGAGATAGATATACCTTTGTCTGATAAATATGACAGGCTGATGACAACAATACAAAAGCTTGGGGCGACCTAAGGCAGCGTTTGGATGACTATATGGCTGCTACCAAGAAGGAAGTCGACCTTTTTGAAAAGTACTCCCCAGAGGAAAGGCGGAGAGATGAATCATTCATCCAACCACTATTCGAGCATGCAGGGTATGTGATCAATCCAAATTTCTCCCAGTAAATTGACCGATACAGATATCTCAAACACATGCGCGATACACTCGCCAAGATGATGGAGAAGCCCAGCAGTAGCAGAATGAACGTCTTTCAAGCATCAAGAATATCTAAGAAGGATGCGAAACTAGTTCGTCAACTGGATCTTGAGATCGAGGAGAGACACAGGGTGTTCACTGTACGGAACTTTTTATTATATACCCATAATCTTATCCACAGAATAGGACCTACTCGCGGCATACCGTCTCCAAGTCGTTGCACGAAGTACAGAGGCTGACGGTAAAATGAAGTTCGAGTGATGACGACGTTGCTCATCTCCTAACTAGAAAAGTCTCTCTTGCTTCAGCTCCCATCGGTCACATTTGTCCCATCCTCGATACACACTGCTTGTATACAAGGAACGCGTCAGATCGTTCTTGAGACTATCTCCCAATGGGCTGATGATGATGAGCCGGGGAAACCAATATTTTGGCTATGCGATGTAGCAGGTTCTGGCAAATCCTCTGTTGCAATGTCCGCATCAGAATCTTGGAGAACGAGGAAAATGCTCGGGGGGCAGTTCTTCTTTTCGATGGGCGACAGCGAAGCGTCGAATACGGAAAGGTTTTGCTCAACTATGGCCAGGGAACTCGCCTATCACATACCTGAACTCGCACCTCACATTGCCAAAGCTATCAAGGGCAATCCGGCTATCATGCGAAGTTCATTTGATGAACAGTTTCGCGCCTTCGTCATCGGTCCACTCCAATATCAGCAAAAGCGCGTGGTCCTAGTCATTGACGCTATCGACGAATGCAAGTCCGGATCGCAGCGGAAGGTACTTCTCGAGATGCTTGCTACAGCTACCCGAGAGAATCGAAACCTCAGGATTTTCATTACAGGTCGACCCGACCCTGTCACTGAAGCAGTTTTGCAGTCGCTATCGATTGCGGCAAAGATGGAAAACCGCCTCCACGATATCAAATACCAGGATAACTTCGACGATATTGCATTATATGTGCATCAGAGGTTAGACGGTGTCCTACCCAAGGAAAAAAGGCAACGACTAATCGAGAAGGCAAACGGGGGCTTCATTCGAGCGGCCACTGTGTGCCGAATGCTCACCGAAGATACCAACATGAATTCACCCGAGAATATATACGATCACTTGATCTCATTGGAGTGGGATGGGCCTATGGAAGACCTCCGGGGTCCCTTCTTCCAGCGCATAGGTTCTAAAGACACCGAATCACGGATTCAAGAGCAGCAACTCGAGCCTATCTCGATCTCTATCCAAGAGGGTCCATTGGAGCAACTGATGCGACTTCGACCGCCTCTAGATCTTACGGGTGAAGTGAGCTTGGATTCCACAACAAAACTGCTACGAAGCGGCAGCTATGCGAATGTATACCCTGTTGAATATCTTGGAGAAAAGGTTAGTTATTTCCCGTCTTTATACGCCATCTGAAACTGCTCCAGGTTGCTATCAAGGTCCTAAAGTTTCGCAGGAGTAAGAACCAAAAAAAACCAAATCGCCATGAGGAACTTTTGACACGCGTGAGCCCAAAACCGTTATTACGTGAACGCTCAAGCTCATATTAAACAGCGCACTGATCGCGAGATTAAAGTGTGGGCAGCATTATCTCATCCTCATATTCTGCCCTTTCTTGGATTCACAACAAATCATGGCGACTTTTGTTCTATGGTGTCACCGGCAAGTGCCTGTTTTGATCGTGTCGTGTTTCTAATGCTCTTGTTAGTGGTGTGAACACGGGCACGCGGAAGCCTACTTGACAACCCAGGAGTCGGTATCATTAGCAGAACGTTTAAGACTAGTAAGCTTTATGTCCTGATAGGCTTATACTTACCCATATAGACGCGGCAAGTGGCGTCGGGATTGCAATATTTACACGGACTCAAAATCATCCATGGCGATCTTAAGCCCGTACGTCTGTCGTCGATGGCGCCGAAGTGGCTGATAACTACTAGAAAAACATTCTTATCGACGACCAGTGCAATGCACTTCTCGCTGATTTTGGTCTTGTAGGCTTAGAGGACGGATGGGGGCCTCGTGGGATGACAACACCTTCTGCGTACATGGGTACAGAGATATATATGGCTCCAGAGGTGTTTGACAACGAGAGCGCAAAGGCGACGAAGGAAAGTGATATTTGGGCTTTTGGGTGCGTGGCACTGGAGGTAGGCTCTTAACATATAGTTGCTCACGCACTGACTACAACCTAAACTAGTTTGTAGAGGAGGTGGAGCCATACCGAAACGTTATTAAGCGCGTCGACTTAAAAGAGGCTCTTTTTTGTGGACAGAAACCAGCGACACAAGGCGATGGGGCAAATGTATCCGCTGGTGTCGAATCCCCTTTCTGGAATCTCCTCAATGCCTGTTGGGACTACGATCCCTGGGTGCGGCCTAGCATAGAGGATATCGTGGTGTGTCTAGACGCCATCGCAAAGAATCATGAATCTTCAACGCCGGAAGAGGTTAAAGGAGGAATTGAAGGGTTATCTTATTCTTGATGTGTGGTCGAGTTTCAATCTTGCTTCGACGTATTGGGTCAAAGTATGCGTTTCACTTGGGTGTATGTTTATTCAATGTATCCACTGGTCCTTGAGCCAAGAGCTCTTTTATTGGCTGACGGAGCTCTTCGAAATATCTGACAATCTGGATTGGTCGAATCAGCACTTTCGCCCATCCATAACAGCACGCCAGACGCAACTTGAACAAAGAGGTTTCTCCCTGTGGGTCTGCGCTTATATGCGGTACTCTCAGTGAAGACCTAGTCGATTTCGTCTTGATCTTTTCTCCTCCACGCGCCCATCCGTTCCAATACGTCACCGAAGATATTTACTTACACAGAACCATATCTTGTGTTTGGCTACGGTGGTTTATTTCCTGGGAGATAGCTCGTCGATCTCATAAACCGTGTCGTCTGCGAGTGCTAAAAGCGACGAGGCTTCGTCCTAACTATCCTTTCTGTCTCACGGATGAGGTTATCACACCACAATGCATCCTTGTAGATCCCGAAAGCGGGTACCCTGTGGGTGTCCTTGACTGGGTGCCTATTTAGGCGTAGCTTCCGGAGTTCACTTACGTGCAGTACATGCGAGTCGAATATGTCGAACGGTGCAACTGTCTTCAAACGGATATTTCCCCAATACCAACAGGAGTTGGAAGTTGAGCAAGCGTCGGTGTTCCTTGGTAACAACTCGAATATAATTGGATATTCCTATGTTCATGTGAATTCTCATCGCCTATGGCCCGTCTGGCTCACAGCCCTTCGCGGAAAATATGCGCGCTGTTGAGTCAGACGCTGTTATGGGACAAACTTGAACCTGCCCACGACCGCTGGAACACCACTGTTATGCAAACTATCGCCATCAACAACTCTCAGAACATTCAATTCGAGATTATCAGCCTCCAGCTCGCTCTTCCAATCGTCCCAGCCCTCGCAGTCAATTTCTCACCGAAAAACTCGTCGACAACAGCCCTCCTACGCTCGCCAGACAAGCAGCTAGATCTAGATCTAGTCTGTAGATACCATCTATCAAATCATGGAGCATAAATCCTACTCGAGCGTGGACACGGTCCTGCTTGCACGCCGGATGAGCAAAATATTGGATCGTCGATTCGTCTCTGCACGTATCGTCGACCGAGGTGCATATGCATCCGTATACCAGCTGATAGAGCATTCATCTGCATCATCACCATCGACCACGGCAGCCAGCGACACCATCTCAGGCGCACGCAGATCAGCCGTCATCGTAAGAATCTCAAGTCGACCAGTGTACAATGACGTCGCTATCGATGAAGAAAGAAAGAAGATCCGTGTATATGTGGGGACGCTCACCCTTATTCATGGTGAGTGATGTGTACTGATAACCGTCGATGTGGACACTGACGCCCTGGCGGTCTAGAATCTGCCCCCAAGCAGGTGCGACGCCGAGTTCCACAGATACTGGCATACGATGCGTCAGAGAGCACGGAATTTGGATTGGGATGGGTCGCGATGACCCGAGTCGCTGGATGTCCAGTGGCAGAATGCTGGTCGGATTTCGGCATGAAGCAGAAGCAGCGCACCATCGAAGACTTGGGAACCCTCACTCGGAAACTCTCACGTTTCATGGTTGCAGACGAGATTGGCTCAATGCTCGCCAACGCCGCTGCCTCTGGCAGCAAGTCAGGCGTCTCGCGCGTCCAGCTCTCGCTCCCTCGCCGAACCGGAGCCAACAATATGCGACCATATCAGTCGCCTCGAATGGGTTCTGGTGGGCACGACTCGGCCAGTTCGTTTATGCGCTGGGCTGTCGAGTCGGAGGTGGCTTTCCTCCGCCAACACCAGAGGCCGGCAGCGCGGTGCTTCAACATGAACATGGTACGACTTAGACAGTGTGGGATGGAGGACGAGATCCCGACCGATGTATCGTTTGCCAGCACGACAAGCGCCGTCTACCGCAAGCAACTGCGAGCGTTGGGTGACCTCGCGCAGACGATCCTGGATGCCGAGGACAAGGAGGATGATCGATTTGTCCTGGCGCATCTTCATCTGTCTCCAGAAAATATTCTCGTCGACGAGGAGACGGGAGCAGTGACTGGTATCGTGGATTGGGAGTTCTCCGGCTTTGTTCCCGAGTGGCTTGCACTCGCGCCACCCACTTGGATTACCAACGAGTCTCTGCCCACATGGTCTGAGGGTGGATGGAAGACGGAAGAGGACGAGTCGCCCTATGGATCCACCGACGAGCTAGAGCAGCTGCGGACGACATGGGTCAGCGCAGTCTCCTGGGACGACCAGAGTCAAACTCAGCACGATGCCTCGGACAAGCGAACGATGTGGAAAGCGTGCTTGAGCGAGTGGCACGAACTAGAACGGGCGTGTGCCTGGGCTCGAGGCGTGGTCACTGTTCGACATCGCTCGGACGATTATCCGCGCAACGACGGTCGAAACGCAATCGACCTATCGTACTCGGATGGGGAGATTCAACGGCCAGCAATCGGACGATGCCCCTCACCGTCGACTGCAGAATCCTCCACTGGTCCCTTAACCCCGATCGAGATGGCCGTACAGCTTCCGCCATGGGTAGCTAGCAACCAAAAGAAAGATGCTCCATTCGTTCCTCCCAGTTGGCAGTACGAGCGGAGTGAAGAGAGTGACGATGGAGACGACGAGGAGAGTGACGAAGAGAGTGTTGTCGAGAACGACATTGACTTTGAGGAGTTTGCCTTGTCGTTTGAGCCACCTCCCTTGCCGCACATGGGTGCGCCAATCGTTCAGCTCACAGCTCCATCACCATGCTCGGAACTCTCTTTCGACATCCCTTCCCCAAAAGTCGAACCACCTCAAAATCCATCGTCGCTCTGCTTTGTTCAAGGGATGAACTCTTCTCTTCCGCCCTCGACGCTGTCTCCCGATTCGATATGGACGGCATTCTGGGAGACTCCACGTGTGGACATCGCACGTGATTTGGACTTTATTGTAGAGCGTGACCAGGATGCAGGCTGGTAGCGTTGTGTTTTAAATCTGCTCTCATTTGCCTATAGACCGTTGAGTGTATCATGTTCCCTTGCATAATCGGTCATTGTGAATCCTCTTGATTCCCTCTATGAAGTTCACTGAAAGGACGTAAGAAAATTCCCAGCGTTCTCTTATTGGGCTTCGAAAAGTGAGAGACTATGCTTGAACCACCAACGAGGCGGCAGCCCTGGCTTCCACTCCAAAATGTACACCATACTAGTCTATCGAAAAAAAGATACTCCTAATGGCTTTTCTGCGACTTTTCCACCTTATCGTATGCACTGAAGTTTGAAAAAGTAGTCAAATGAACATCATATCAAAGTCTATCGGGAACGGGAAAAAATGTCATAGAGCGGGCCATGCGTGCATTATAGAGGCACTGATATCATGCAACGAGTCGGCGAGCCTGAAAAGCAAGTCTGCGAGGCATGCCTAGGTAGTCCCATTCGTAAGATGCTCTGCCGTATCCGCCGTCGTCGCCACAGCCTGATCCTTCTTGACTGAAAATTTATCGATGGCCGTGGCGTAGAGCGCTTTGCCTTGCTCAACGATGGGGCCGATCCTAAGGTCAAGGTAAGCCATGTTTACACTCCTATCCATGAAAGACACGTACCTCTCCTTGATGACAGCACCAACACGAGATGTCTTTTCGCTCAAGGTGACTCCTTCCTCTTGTGATGTCAGAACGCCTTTAATCTCGGCGAGCGTCGAGCTAATTTCATCGGTCAAGGGCTTGAAGGTGGCTTGGATGTGGGCGGGAAGCGAGGCGGTTGTACTCTACAACAGCGTTAGATAGAGTGTTCGACTACGCCCAATGGAGAAGACGTACCTGGACCTTTTCGAGTTCGGTGATGAGGTTGTGGCTTAGTGCATGGACGCGAGCTTGTGCTTCTCTTGTCAACTCGACTCCCTTTCCCTTGTAGGCGGAGATCCCGGCTTGCGCGTTTTGGTACTGAGCGGTGAGGGTGGCATTGATAGATTCAGCTTGCTCGGCAGCCCGTTGACTATGAAAAGACGTCAGTGTGAGAGATGGCGTACATGAGAATGGGGCATCCAACGCGGCCGAAGTGATCGCGTCGAATAAGATTTGGGGATGGGGTGGCCATTACGCCAGAAGTATGCACGTACATGTAAATGTTCTGATTCCTTAGCGTCTTTGCCTGCTCGGTAGTGAGGTCAATGATGTGATCTTTGGCCCCAAACACGAGCTCCTTTGCACGAGTGACCTGGGCCTTATCGGAGATGGCCGTCGAGGTTGAAGCACCAGGCGACGAGAGCGGCGCGGGCTCTGGAGCAACGTGAATTCGCATCAAAAGAGACTCGAGAAGGTCAACAAGGGGTGCGAGACGCTAAGAGAATCCGTCAGATAAGAGGATGAAACGTGCGCGGGTGAGAGTAGACGTACGGCATCAACATCCTTTGCGAGCCCATAGGCTGGCGTTTTGATACGCTCATCAATTGTCTTGTAGGCGACGTTGCGTGCATCCTCTGGGGCCTTCTTGAGGTCATTGTACATCGTCTCGGGGGACGACTCGAACGGATAGGGGAAGCGCGATTGAAGCGTGTCAAGACCTTTGTTCGCATAACCATCTGCAGCCGTGACGATGGGGAGTACTTTTGGGTAGACGGGCGCAGTGACACGGGCAGCGGTATCCAGTGCAGTGTGGGCGAACGCGGTGGATGTCTGGTAGGCGGACTTTGTGTATGGCGAGCTGGAGAGCGTGTTATGGATCGTATCGAGGCTGGAGTGTACCAGCGGGATCTGGAGAACACGCAAGGGGAACGTCAAAGACGGTGGTGCGGACTGTGTTTCTGTAGCCATTGCTTTGAATCACGCTTTGGCTGTAAGTTGTGCTGTAAAGTGCTTATCGGTGCAGAGTGCAGGCGTGGCGAGCTCCAAAGATATAGGCCACCGTCAACTGAACGTGATTGTCGCCTGCCCGTGATTCTGCTGCAGGGCTGCGCACCAGAACTCCGGAGCAAATTCTACAAAATTCAGACAGACTTTCAGTCATTCAACACGACACTTTGGCTTTAGTCTCTCAGTCTTCGGCGCAGCCCCCACGCAGCGGACGAGCTCCGAAGGGTGCTCTCATAGCCGGTTTGTACCGAGGAAAATGAGATGACAAATTTTACATGGGTATATAGATTTTTGTCTGTCTAGGCGGTACCGACTATTGATCTGGAACGGCCGCTCGAGCCCGTCACAGCACACGCGTTACCAAACGTGGTATCAGTTTCACTGAAATCAGTCGCTGATAGCCGACCTGTAGATCCAACCATGCCCGGAGGGACCGACCGTATTTCAGCACCTCGGAACAGCGGTTCGATCACGAGAAGGGGGAGTATCACCCTGATCTCTGAGAAAAAAGACGTAAGCATGATTGTGTGCATTGATAACGGCGTACCTCGGAGTATCGCCTCCAGGGAGCGGCCACAAGCGCATACAGCGTTGGGCCCGAAGCCCGTTGTTCCACGTGGAACAATATGAAAAATTGAGGGTTGAAAAAGAGCCCTCTGTGAAGAGGGGTCCCGTCCCGAATGCATCTTATGGCGGTACCGAGCTTGCTGTTGAGCCTCTACGTCGATTGCAGCATCAGAGCCTTGACTGGGTGTGCCTAGCCATGGCTGAATAGCAAATAGCGAAGATATTGGAAGGCCCCTTGAGATACCAACTCAAGCAACAGGCCACCTGGATCCCAGACGAAATCGCACTACGACCGAGACTCCTAGTGAACCGCCCCTACGCTCCAAATCATAGATGAAAAAGATCATCGCCGACTTAGAGCGCAGACAGCGCTATAGAGTTTTTGGCACTTTGTTGAGCGATATCCTCTCCAAGGTGACCCCCGTACAGGTAGCACGGTGATTTGATTGAGTGCAACACCAGAAAGACAATCCTCTTCGCACACTTCCCATTCTCCCGTTGACCAACACAAAACTCCCTTGACCCTAACGTGCGACACCCTCCTGATAGAAGAGTACGCCATAGCGCCGGACGCGAGCGATCAACCACAGCCGCCAAAGAAGACACTAGACCGAAACCGGGAGCCGTAGCCCGAATGAAGAAGCACGACCAAGATCGACTTCCTATTCGTACGAACCAGCGACCCCGCCCCGGGTGTATTGGATAGCCTGATTGCTGGGAGTCCACCAACGACCTCGTACATCAACTACCTCCAGCTCTGCAACGCGTATGCTCCATAACACACGCTGAACGGCATCCACTCGTCTGGTATGAACAGGTCTCGCATTACCGTGTTCCGAGCGTACGCACTTAGACAAGGCGACGACCAACGATTCTGGAAGTTCGACGAGACAGCTTGCGAGAAAGAGAGCTCGTAAAACCGTATGCTATAATTGGTGTCGCCTGTCGATTCATTGTTGCAGAGCTATCGGCAATGAGCCATTGGATGCGATAGTCGTCCTCTTGGGGCATATCAAGACGTATCCAGGCATCTAAGAGCCATTCGAGAGCCATAGAAAGGCCTAACAGTTGTCTCGTCCACTAGCCGCGGACGTGGGCGAGATCAAGATGGATGGGCGTTGGCGCCTGGCAAGAGGTGCTTGAGGGTTCAGAGTATGCAAATCAATTTGAATGAAGCTAGATTAGTCAAAAATAGATATAAATGTACAATAGAGTCGTCTTGGGTAAGACGGGATCGAAAAATTACGGAGGAACCCTTCCGTGAAGGGCGAACTCGGTCTCGACATCTTCTACAACTAACATGATAGCACAAGCGAATCCTCTGCGCCACTCGCGAACACCAGAGCCACGAAACGGGGGATAGAATGATCGTTCTAACATATTCCCCGGGACCCTGATACGCGGTTAGTCCTCCCAGGAGAACACCAAACAGGCATGGGCGTGAGCGACCGACTTGCGTAAGACTTGAGAGAGAAGATGTCGAGTGGCCGAGATCGACGACCATATTGTCAAATGGCGAGAGCGCAGAGTTCCGAAGAGTCTGACTCTCTATGCGTATTGGCATTAGTCGTTGTTGCAACATCGTCAAAACACGCTCTTCGTGTTTATCTCCATCCAACGCATCCAGTAAGTGTGACCTCGTACATCAATATCCACATCCAGCAAACAGCCTCCGCACCAGCCGTCGACGATTCCTCTGGCGTTGTAGGACACTGCTCGCCAACGGATCCTTACCAGAGACCCCGTCGAGGCCAGTTTTCGATCGTCGCACGCTTGCGCAGTGTTCAGATCAGACGTGCGTTCTCCCCAACCAACCGCCAGCGACCCGTTGAAGAACGCTGGACAGCGGCGAGACTACTTGCACGCCCCGGAGCGATAGCTCCTTATAAGCCCCCGGTTACACAATTCGCCTGGCATTTGGTTTCATCGTTCTGCTTTCCTTTGGCCAAAATCTTAGGTCAGCATTTCTTTCGTCTATTCACTGCTTTACTTTGACACAAAGTCGTGGGTTCAGCTTTCGTCTGTACCCATCATTGGCTTACTTGCCGCCCACACCCTCGAAACGAGCTGAGCAAACGTTGGCCTCTGATGAATCCAGTTTATCCAGCGTGAAGAACGTTGCCAGTTGGAGATCTTGATTGTTCTCTTGAATGGCAAAGGTGGATGGAAAGATGCCGAAAAATATGTTGCAGCCTGCGAGATGAAGCAACTTGATCGAGCACCATATTGCTGAGACGGCGGCAATCCAACCGTCTCAGAGGATGACTGAGCTGAATGTGAGACTGCCCTCTGCCTTGCGATGAAGGAGAGGATGCGCTGTGCAAGACACGGCGGTTGGATGCGATGGTCCCTGGCGCGTGGAGAGTAAATAATGGCATGTCCAATGGCATTTGGCTAGCTGTCGAGCATGCCGACGGTGTCGCGACTGAACCTGCCGACGAGGGCGGGTCCAGATGGGTTGGCAACCTTGGACCTCACAAATGAAATGGCAAGACCCAAATTATGTTTGAAACTAGAGCGGGAATAGACACAATTTGATGACTATGAGCCATTATCAAGGCCGACGCCACGAAACACGATGGGAATCGTGAGATGAACCCAGCAAAATGGCCATGGAATCTGTCCCTGCCGACGCTGCTAGCCGACACACTGCAGAAGTCGTCGACGAGCACTCCTCTCTGTCCATCTGGGACATCACACACACACTGTGGATGACACAGAAGCCCCTTGTCAAAATTCAGACGTAGTTACACTTCAAGAAAGTGTCATTTGTAACCAAATCATATTGAATCCGTGGCGAAAGTCTCCGAGTCAAGTAGCCTAAAGGTTTATCCCGACATATTTGAGATCATGAAGTACGGCGGAGAAGATGACGACCAGTGTTGATCGGACCTTTAAAGGCGTCTGATTGTTGGGCTGTCAACGTCGCTTCTTTCGTCCATCCCTGAAGGCTTGGCCATCGAGTAGCCAGGACGTTACATCTTCTCACGATCTGGAGAAAAAGGAACGTGGGTGCAATACTCGTTGCAACTACACAGTCTGTTGCTTGAAACCATTAGGAGCTATGGCCCATCCTCCAAGGGCCGTTTGATTCGGCACCCAGGCCTCCTTCACTTCCGACATTCTCGCTACAACCGTTTCGTATTCGGCGACTAAATGCTTCGAAGCCCGCCCAGCCAGCTGCTCTCCTTCTCTCGCTCGGGCTCCCAAGGTACGAGTGGTAGACACCTCGAGCAGAGAACCCCCTGAAGTCTCCAAGCACAGATATAAACTCCCGGTTTCTCTCCCTCTGTCCGAACTTCAACCTCTTGCTCTCTTCCCTTCGACCAGCAACTGTCCTCCCAAGCCATCAGCTGCTCCTTTCCAGCACTCACACGATGGCACCCGTGTTCTCGCTCCTCTCGACATTCACGCTCTTTACGGCTCTCGCCACTTCGGTGGTCGCTAACCCTTCTGCGGGTGCAAACCACGTCAGACGTCAGGATCCTTCTACTGAGGAACTCGTTCCCTTCCTCGACTACGAAGCCATCAAGCAGGCTGCAGACGCTGCCCTCACCGAGGACCTCGAGCGCCGAGGACTCGTCGAGCCTGGTACCGCTGCGAAGAAGCGTTCTCTCCTCCCTACTTGCCCACGCGTGTCCGTCCGCAAGGAATGGCGTAAACTCACCAAGGCGGAGAAGAGGGCGTACATCAAGGCAACAAAGTGCCTTCAGTCCAAGCCAGACTATGGCATTTCGCCCATCTCTGATAAGTGAGTATTTGGGTTAGTAACTATATAACTGGGCGCTCATGACCTGCCTTTAGGATGTACGATGCCTTTGTCTACGTCAGTCACCATCAAGTCTTCAAAGCCACTTCTAATCGTCCTGTAGATCCACGAGAACAACTGGTTCGGTTTCCACGCTACTGCCTCTGTATGTGTCTATTTTGGCAATTTTTTCCCTGCTTACTCTTGCCCAGTTCCCAGTGTGGCACCGTTGGTTCGTCTGGCTCCGTGAAGTCACCCTTCGTGAGCAATGCGGATATTCTGGTCCTACCCCGTATGTCGTCACTCTAAAGTCTTGCCAGTACTCATCTTTGACAGGTACTGGAACTACACCATGGACTACAAAGACCTCTTTGCCTCGCCCTTCTTCACCGAGCCCGAGACTGGCTTTGGCACCCACGGAACTGTTCCCTACGAGGCCATGACTGGCGCTACGGGATACAAAGTCGACAATGGCGCCTTTGCCAACCTTTTCGTAAGTCACGGTCGCTAATTCCCAAAGTACCGCTTACCAATTTACTAGGTCAATCTTCCCGAGCCTCACTACCTCACCCGCAACTTTACACTCTGGAAAGATAGCGATCCAAACCAGCAGTACGGCAAAGCCTTTGGCAACTGGGTTTCGCCCCAGCAGGTCCAGACGACGCTCGCCGCACAGACGTTCTGGGACTTTGAAAAGGTTCTCGATGGTATTGGCGCACCCATGTCCCTCGGTGTCCATAACACCGTCCACTTTAACAACAATGGTGATTGGTACGGACCAGGATGGCTTGCCAATACCAAGTACTTCCCCTTCGCGAGCACGGCTCCTAATGATCCTGCATTCTTCCCTCACCACGCTGTACGTCGTCTTCTTGCAGAAGAGAATGTTTTGCTGATTGATTCTTGATAGTATGTCGACGCCGTGTTCTGGAAGTGGCAGCAAGCCCCCGGACATCAGTACGACTATGGAGGAAGCACAAACATCTCCGACCCAACACAGAACGACGCCAAAATTACCGACTTGCTGCCGTTCTCTGGCTTCGGGCCTGATATCCCCGTTGCGCTCACGCTCAGGACGGAGGCTTTCCCACTCTGCTATACCTACTCGTTCTAGGATGGCGCAATGCTGCGTCCTACAGTAGGCTCGGAGGACTGTTGCTGATTAAATATGACTAACTGCGTCACTCATTTTTAACATAAACCACATTATCAACGTCTTTTTTGCAATATAATATCGTCTTTCCTTGGAGCTAGACTCAGTCACCGCCTAAGTGGAATCAGAAAACAGCGCGAAATGGAAATGAATGGTACGGACCACCTTCGTCCTCACCGCCAACGTCGTCGTCTGCATATCGCTCATCGTCGTCAAAGTAGTTTTGGACGTAATCGTCGTCGCCATACTCTTCTTGGTCGTCGTCGTAGTCCCCCGTTTCTTCGCCCTCTTCAAACGCCTGTTGGATGATCAGCGTCATGAAGCATAAATTAGCATTTCTTCACCTCTGCGGGCTTGTCTTCTTCGTCACCTTCTTCACGCTCCTGGTTCTCCAATGCATCCAAGTTTAGCTTGGCTGTCATCTTTGGCCGCCTCTTGGTCTTCTGCTTTGGAGCTAGAGCAACATGAGATCAACAAACCGGCTCAAGGCAGAGCATACCGTCTCGGCCTTCAAAGTATTGATCCCAGATCGCTTTTGGGAACATCTTTCGGTCCAAATTTGATGCATCGAGGGTTGGATGCTTCACAGTTGTAATATTGTAACGATCCGAGTAGCGCGCAACGCGATCTATAGGGCACCTAGTCAGAAAACGACTGTAGCAGGGCAGTATCAAACAGACTCGTCTTGTCGGCTTTACTTGTATCAATGAGATAGTAGGGAGATTTGCGAAAACGTTCGGCAAATCCATCTTGATACTTGCAGACCAACCGCTCCTTTTCAGTGACATTTGTGAGCGCCGGGAGGTCATCGTAAGCCTACTTTCCACACGTCAGTCTATCTTTATTTCAATTTCTCGTAGAAATACTCGAAACTAGACTTACAGGATACAATGGCGCCGGCTCTCGAGCCTGTGATGCCGCTAGCATATCCTCAAATGAAAACCCCGCTGGGAGCGCATTGGATCCTCCTCTCCCACGTCCAGAGCCTCTTCCAGCACCTCCACCCCGTCCGCGAGACATGGTTTGTTGCAAAAGTTTACAAGGCGGCGATGCCCAAGTTTCTCTTCCAACCATGTCCGGAGCCGCACCAATGACCACGCCAGCAGCAGTCCCAGAAGGGGTTTATATGCTCGAGCAGCCATTTTTACGCGTATGAGAGCTCTGGATGCGTCAAATTTTGACTAATCCGAAGCCTGTAGGCACCGAATGAGAGTTTGAGGCGCCAGTTTCGAGCTATGCAAAAGCACGTCGAGAGAGATATGACAGGGTTGAAGAATAATGCCCGCGAACTGTCCAAGAAGGGCGGACAAAGTCAGCAGGATGCAATTGCCGCGTTGGACGCGATGATTGCCAAAGTCGAGGGGTTGAAGCAGAAGGTATGCATTTCTAGAAACTCGAAAGAAACCAAAGTACTGATTAACAATCAGTTGTCCGACGTGCACGAGAAGGGAACAACTCCGAATATTGCCGCTTTACGAAGCCGGTCTCACCATTTAGATGAACTGGAAAAAATGGATGAGAGCGAGCAAGAACTTTGGATGGATACCCGCTTAGACCGCTGGCTTGTCGACTGGAGCCTACGGCACGGCCATGCGCGAACCGCCGCCGCGATAGCTGAACAGCGCAAAATTGAGGTCTGATCAACGTGAAACTTGTGCTCTCTCTCATCTCTAGTCCAGGATTTTGTCGATACTTCTCTATTCGCCGAGGTTACCCGCATCGAGCAAGCTCTCGCAGCCAAAAGCTGCACCGAGGCCCTAGCATGGTGTAGCGACAACAAGAATGCACTGAGAAAGAACAAGGTTAGCTGAAATTTCTCTCTCCCAACTGTTCTGATCTATTTTAGTGCACCCTCGAGTTTGAACTCCGGCTGCAGGAATTTATCGAGCTAGCCCGAAATGAAAAGTCAATGGAAGCATTCGTCTACTGGAGGAAGCATCTTCAGCCATGGCAAGAAACCCATCTTGCGCGAATCCAGCAAGCCGCCGGACTCCTCGCGATGAGCCCGTCTCGGAAATGCAAATCTTACCAGGTATGTCTGATCTCTTCTGAGTCTAGTTAAAGCGCTAAACCACCTACAGAAATACTACAGCGAGCAACGATGGACGGCCCTTGTCCATTTCTTCCGAAAGGCGATATACCAGCTCCATGCGCTCCCGTCTGATCCATTGCTATATTATGCGCTCTCTGCGGGGCTCACATCCCTCAAAGTATCAGCATGCACAGACGAGACATGCTACAACGTCGATTGCCCCGTCTGCGATGCGTCAGGCTCGGTGTGCTTGCAAAGGAGGTTCCGTTCAGTCACCACGGGAATTCGACGATTGTCTGTCGGATAAGTGGTAAAATAATGAACGAAGACAACCCACCGCTGGCCTTTTCGAATGGGAATGTCTATTCTTCCGAGGTACGCTACGCCACGGATGCAGGACGTTTACTAACCTCTTTCGAGGCACTGAAGGAGATGGCAGCAAAGCACAATGGAAAGGTCAAGTGTCCTCGCACAGGAATAGAACAGGAATTGTCAAGCCTCCAAAAGGTGTACATCACATGAGCATTCTGTGCTCTCATCAGTTTATTTCACCCTTTGTATCAGTTTGAATCATTCGTGTATTATAAGAACAAATGCGACACTACTTGCTTCGAATCAGAGCACAGGAGTTGGATCCTCAACGCAGGTTGCAAGCGTTGTTGAGAGTTGGATCTTCACCTTGTTGGAAGGCTTTCCATTTGATCTGAGAGTTGGATCCGAGATGGTTACTCATAGAGTATGGGAGTTGGATCCCGCTCGAGATCGAGAGTTGGATCAGCGATACCGAAACAAGCGCCTGTGCGTTGGAGCAGCAGCGCATCTATAACATCTATCTTTACAACCTCCGTCCTGTGAAGCCATTCAAGCCAGATTTGCCGACTTTCCCTGCTCCACAATGGCGCTCTCCGCGGCACGGAGCGCATTCTCAATCCACCCAATTAACACTTCCGTCTTCTCCAGCCCAACGCTAACTCGGACCAAATAAGGATCCACACCGTAACCTCTCGCCCAATCCAGCTCGGTATAGTGAGCCAGAATGACGAATGGACAGGCCAGGGTGAAGTTTGTGCCAAGACTGGGCCCCTTTTCACAACCCAGTGCATCGAAAAAGGCGCGTGCCGCAGCCTCAGATGTAAATGTGACTGAAAAAAGTCCTCCGAATCCGCCTTGGGGTGTCTTGAGACTATTGTAAAGATCGGTAGTAATCCATTTTGGATAGTAGAGTTTCTTAATGACGGGTATTTTGGTGACTGTAAGCGATTTGCCTTCAGACGAGGCCGCACCGTCGAGGGAATGAGCGTAGAGCAAATCACAGACGTCTTCGGCGTTTTGATTGATCTTGTATACGCGTGACTTAAAGTTGCGAGAGTTGCGCTCCAGGAAGAGCGCGTCCTCGCCCCAGTATGTGTCCTCGTAAAACGACTCGAGAACCGGGCGGAGCCTTCGGTAGAACTGTCCTTGCGGATTGAGTATGAGCCTGTGAAAGAAATCAACATGGACTCTTCTGCGTTGAAGTAAACTCACCCTCCGCCCATCACATTTGTCTCTCCACTGAATACCTTGGTGAGCGAACTGCATACCACGTCTGCATATGGCAAGACCTCTACATTCGCAAAGTTTCCGACAGTCTCGTCAACCACCAACGCAAACTTGTACTCATCCGCCAGCAATCGGAGGCGAGCGAGGTCGGGTGTGCGCAGGAGAGGATTCGAGGTACATTCGCAGAACAGCGCGAGAATCGGGGATCCAGCTTCCTGCTGAGTCTTGAGGAGTACCTCAAGTTCCTCGAACTCATCACCATGACCGAAAAAGAAACATCCGGGGCCCCATTTCTGGAGGATCTTGAGGGTATCCACATAAGGGAACCTAAAGGAGGAAAACTGTCAGCTCATGAGATTTTATACCTAAGAAATTGAACACACCCCCAGCAGATACTCTTTCGATCGCCCAAGGCTTTGAGGAGGAGCTGGTGTGTGTGCCATATCGCACACATTCCACCAGGGAACAAGAAGACATCGTCCGCTGAGAGATTTGCGACTCGACGCGTGCTAGGTCCGACCATGCCTACACTACATCAGCCATTGGGACTCAACGACGTTGAAAAACTCACCTGGTTGGCATGTCTGCCCGTTCCTGCACTCTGAAATTACTCCGGCGATGCGCTCCCTCAATGTTCTTTTGGCTTCCTTTACCGCCAACGCGGGGAGATTCCGCCCGTATCTCTCCTCGAGATAGCTGGTCTCCTCCTCACGCACCGCCTCTCTCTTGCGGTCAGCATCACTAAGGACAGGACTCGATAAAGACGAGCGACTCTTTGCAGAGTAATGCCTGTTCCTGCCGCGGAGCGAGGCTTCTTTGGCCGACGCGAGTAACTCATCTTTGGACATGGTCTGTTGTTCGAGCAACTGAAGACAGTGCTCCGCAAGGCGACTGGATATTCCAGTTCCAGTGTGTTGCCAAAATGCTTTGGCTAGTCCCCATTGCTCCTGTTTGAAGAGCACGATGTGGAGGTCTCCACATAGCACTGGTCGTTCAGTTGCCCCTGCATTGCTAGTGGGTGATGGACCGGACTTGACTCCATTGGACGTGGTACGTTGTCCAGTGACCACGGGAGACGATACGCCGGCTCTTGTAGATGTGACCCTGGCTTCAGGGGGAGAGATGTAAAACTGAACGATACGAACAGTGGCTTTGGGTTCATTTCGTATGATGAAGTCACGGCATGAGTTAGCGTATTTATCGCATGGGAAGAGCATTGCTCGTTCGTCCAGGCCAAACTTTGCTTCACACATTGCCGAGAGCTATCAAGAAAGGAACACAATATGTGATGTCAGTGAAAACTTGAAAATGAGTATCTGGGAAAGCGGTTGACGCACCTTCTGGATGGAACGATGGATGAAAAAGCGAGGGTAGCCTGTCTTCATCACATCGACAACCCGTGGGGCTCCTTCTTCGTAATCGACATTGTCCTGCCACGTCGGAAGCGAGACAGAGACAGCATGTGGGAGGAAGGACGGCACAGGAGATCCGAGAGGCGACGCTGCCACGATGGATAGAGTCGACGTTGACATTGCTTCTGCTTCACGGACGGTTGATGCTCGTTTATCGTGGAAACTGGGAGATCCCAGGAAGGAGTCTAGTTGGGAGGTCTGCTGGAGACGAGATAAATATGCGTGACTGGGTCGGGTAGTGGTGGAGGAAGAAAAGTCGGCTCGGCCGATCGCCACCAGCCACCGGAATCCGGTACTGCATTCATTTACGTAGGTCTTCATATAATCTATGACGCTTCTTCAGAGTTTAATCAGTATAGAGACGGGTCAGATGCGACGAACCAGGTCTTTCCAATGCAAACACTCAGCTGCTCGGTCGCTCTCGTGGGTCTTTGGGAGACCTATTGGCTCCATCTTTAGGATACAGACATATGAGAACCTACCAAGACACGAATTATCCACGAAATAAAGCACCTGCCAGCGCCGGGACCGACGGAAGGGGTGAATTCGGCAACCAAACCGTAGTTGGCGCATAACTGTATACGCCACGCGTGAACTAGTAAGTTTAATCTAAACTCTCATCGCTGAAAGAGGGCAAAAGGTCCAGAAGCCTGCCTCCGTCTCCTTGGCTTGGGGGGTGATTGCGCGATATGAGAACAGAATGATCTGCTATGGCGTCAATTAGTCTTTGAATTGGCACAATCGTGCCGTCGTCACTGGCCTTGTGGCGGCCAATAAGCGGTCGAGGCTTTGAATCGCTTTGGTAAACAAGCGCTAACCATAAAGGCACGAGACCTACCTTATAACATAAATAAAGCACTCTTATACAACCGATAGATTGTGCCATGTGCCTTTTTGTGTCACATGATGGCCCCGCTTTAGATTATTCGAGCAGCGGAGCTTCTTGAGAAACAGTGGATGATGGAATCTATCTCAGCGAGATTTCTACTTTCTTGCGAGTGGTTTAACTAGGATTGCATGAAAGGCAACAGCAAAGGGCGTGATATCCCGGGCGCACCCGCAGAGATAAGACCCTAATCGATGTAGTAGAAGCTTGGCTTCAAGATTATTTTGGAAAATTATTTGATATATATACGCATCTGTGTTCGAGAGGTGTGCCCAAATTACAGCCTCTGCATCGTCTGCCTCGCGAATAGTAACCTTACTGGACAACAGGGTGATATCTGGCACATCAAGAAGGATCCTTTAGCTTCAAAGGCAGATTCAAATAGCGAGGCAGAGATTTATATCCGCAGGAACTACACCTCTGGCTTGACCATCTTTTCCTGCTCCATCATGGCAGCTTCCGCAGCACAAAGTGCATTCTCAATCCAACCAATCACCTTCTCCGTCTCTTCCAAACCGACGCTGAGTCGAACTAGATAAGGATCCACGCCGTATCCTCTTGCCCATTCCAACTCGGCCCAGTGTGCAAGAACGGCAAATGGACAAGCGAGCGTAAAGTTTGTGCCCAGACTAGGCCCCTTTTCGCAACCTAGTGCATTGTAAAACGCGACTGCCGCGGTGTCACAGGTAAATGTCACGGAGAAGAGACCTCCAAAGCCACCTTTGGGTGTCTTGAAGCTGTTGTAAAGGTCGGGGGTGATCCATTTTGGATAATATATTTTCTTGATGACTGGGACTTTGGTGATGGTGAGGGACGACGTGGGTTGGCAGTTGGACGGATTCTGTCCTTCAAAGGAATGAGCGTAGAGCAGGTCACAGACGGCTTCGGCAGTTTCGTTGATCTTATATACTCGTGATTTGAAGTCGCGAGAGTTGCGCTCGAGGACGAGTGCATCTTCACCCCAAAATGTGTCCTCGTAAGAGGACTCTAGGATCGGACGAAGCCTTTGATAGAACAATCCTTGCGGGTTAAGTATCAGGCTACGAAAGTGTCAAGGCAAGGGCGTTTTGAGTTCAAAGAACGCACCCGCCAGCCATGACGTTTGCTGCCCCACTAAATACCTTTGTAAATGAGGTACAGACCACATCTGCATACGGTAAAACGTGTACGTTTGCATAATTGCCGACAGTGTCGTCGACGACGATCGCAAACTCGTACTCGTCTGCCAAGGCACGGAGGCGAGCGAAATCAGCAGTTCGCAAGAGAGGATTCGACGGACATTCGCAAAAGAGAGAAAGGATAGAGTCCCTGCTTCCTTCTGAGTCTTTAATAGCGCCTCGAGCTCCTCAAATTCGTCTCCATGCCCGAAGAGGAAGCATCCAGGGCCCCATTTCTGGAGAATTTTGAGCGTGTCAACGTATGGGAACCTAAAACAGATTGGGTCAGTTCAGTTGGCGATGAGACTTGAACATACCCCCAGCAGACGCTCTTTTGGTCACCGAGTACCTTGAGGAGGAGCTGGTGCGTATGCCATATAGCACACATTCCACTAGGAAACAAGAATACATCCTCTGGCGAAAGGTTTGGGACTCGACGTGTCCTAGAACTGGATCCCCCTGTGAGGTATAAGCTTTCCAACGCCTTCAAGGTTTAAATGCTTTACCATCCGGATAGGTCTTTTCGTTTGGTTCCAGAACATCCTCTGTAATTAACCCAACGATGCGCTCCCGGATGTCGTTTCGCTTCGTCGACTCCTAAAGGAGAGGAATCCTGCTCATATTTCTGAATATAGAGATCCTTCGTCGTTCATTTCGTCCTTCTCGCGGTCGAGACCATTTGGAATGACGCTCGATGCTTCTGGGAGACCCTTTGCGGAGTGGGACTGGTTTTCGCCATGGACGGAGGATTCTTCAGAGGCAGCCGACCCATTTACATTAGAGGCATTTGGATCAAGCAGATGAAGACATTGTTCCACGAGACGACTTGAGATACCCATCCCGGTATGCTGCCAAAAGGCTCTGGCCAGGCTCCATTGCTCTTGCTTGAAGAGTACGACGTAAACATCGATGCCATGTACCAATTGTCTGTTTATTTCTTCTTTTTTGAGCGATGTTGGTGCTGAAATGGTAGTTGACTGGGTACCAGGGGGACAAATGTGAAACTGCACAATGCGGACGCTAGCGTTGGGTTCGTTGCGTAAGATAAAGTCGCTACATGCGTTGGCATATGTGCTACAAGGGAAGAGCATTGCACGCTCCTCTTGACCAAGCTTGCGTTCGCACATGCTGGCAAGCTAGATAGGTGAGTGGATTGGATGGTGAGTAGGAGCTGACGCACCTTTTGAACTGAACGATGGATGAAAAAGCGAGGGTAGCCTGTTTTCATCGCGTCGATGACTCGGGGTACATATTCTTGGTAATCCACATTGTCCTGCCATGCTGGAAGCGATACAGAGACAGCGTGTGGTGCAAAGGGCAAAGGGCGTCCGAGGGGTGACGCTGCGACGAGAGGTGTCACGGTCGACGTCGACATTATGGCTTTGGGCTGCTAACGTCTGCCTTTTTGTAAAGTCGGGGAGAGTCCACAAGAGAGTTGGCTCAACATCTTTTGGAAAACGAGATAAATATACCCGGGTGGGACGGGTGGTGGCTTGACATTGTGTCAAAATCACTCTGCCAGTATTGAGTATTAGATGGGTCGAGGTGTCAACATCCTTAAGGGAGTCCAGACTGTCTGCATTCCATCGCATTTCGGCGTCTTGAAGCCTTGAGCGTCTCGGAGAGAGAGGGAGATGGGTTCTAGTAGTCAAACAAGATATGTTTTGAACTAAGAGGGCAAATAACAATCTGTTTCTAGTCGGTAGCCAAGGGCTTATATAGTCGAGATCAGAATGACGTATCGTGTACGGTGGCAGCCAATAGAGTTGCCACTGCTCCATCTGCGACTTTTAGGTTTAATCTAGGAGCGCGATCACTTATAGAAGACTGATCCGACGCCGAGGATGACTTGTCGTATGGACCCAAGGAACCGTCCACAAGGAGGCTGCCGGGGGATCAGCTGCACATTCAACCCCAGAAAATGAATCTCCATGCAGGCCTGGCGTAATTTGACTGCTTCGGAGGCGAACCTGGTGCGGCGCCCTCGTTTGGCAATCTCGGACTTGGTCCCATCCCGTCTTGGGTTGCCTAGGCGGCTGATCTCTTATCCCCCGGCAGATTTTCGCCCTTGTCAAGTTGTTCAGGGGCGTCTATATCTGGGTTTCGTCGAGGAAACAACATCAGAAGCTCTGCAAGTCATGCCTCGGCGAAGGATCAGCACCAGTCATATGATGTACCAGAAGCCTCATGGAAGCCATATCTTCTAAGTCCAATCCTCGTCTTCCACTGCAGACGTCCCTCCTATTGCCTCGATGTAATCAACTTGACTCTAGGCACCGCCGGGCGTCAAATCCCCCTTGACAGTCGGCTTCCGTGCCCAGAAATCAAGCCCATGCGTCTGTCATTTCTATCCCTCATACAAAAGGCGTGGATGGTTACCTGTCGCCCCCTCACTCCACCCAGCTCACCCATATACCATCTGTACTGTAACCTTGCTCCTGCTCGTGGATCCCTCGTTCGGAGACCAACTCGGTGACCCCGGTACTCTCTTCAGGGCCTTGTCGTCAAACCACTAGACGACCTCTTTTATCCTCAGTAACCGCTGACCGAATGGTAACATACGAAGAGGAGACACTGGCCAAACTTGGCATCTCTTTGCAAGATCTAGAGCTCTTTGTATCTCGTTCAAAGGCAGGCCAATACGTATGTATATCGTTCTAGTAGGCGGAGCTATGGCTAATCCTGCATGTTTCGATAGCTTCTCGTTGCGGGGATTGCCCTTCTCATCTACGATTGGTTCTGTACGGCGTCAGTCCATCGTGGCTATTAACCGTGATCTAAAAGTCTCACCTCTCATCGTAGTGAAGACGAATGGAACTACATGTGGAAACAGAAACCACGTCTACGCACCGTCAAGGTCCTGTTCGCTCTGGTAAGTTTCTCCTCCTGCGGCGGACAGGAATCGCCGGTAGAAATCACACGAGAACCTCGCATTCCTCCAATCGACCTGTTTCGACATGACATTGACACCCCAAACTAGAACCGCTATCTTCCCTTGTTCACCCTGTCTGCACGCTTCAGCGTGTTCTCTCGGGCCATCCATAACCCACTTGTACGTCCTGGTTGCTATCTATTCAGATCACCCTTGATGCTCATGTCCAACGACCTGTCGCATGCCGCTTTTCGCCGATACTCGTCGTGCCTGGATGCCATTCCCGACTCTATTTCGCCCTCCACCCACTCGACTCGCATTCGTAATTCACGCGTTACGGGTTCCCCCATATCTCGACGGCCCTCTTCCGGAACCATAAAGGAGTACGTATCGCCACATCCGAAGATGTGTCTCCGAGGCCTCGTTTACTGATCGAAACCTTAACTAGTTGCAACTTTCGACTCCTCAGCACGACCGGATTCACGGGTGTGGTGCGTATTCCCATTCTTATCTCTATTTCTGGCATTTCTAGCGATGATTCTGACGGTTGGACAAATAGATCAACGTCGCTGTCGTCGAGATCATTCTTCTATTGCGCGTGTGGGTTATCTATTCCCGCAATAAATGGGTAGGCATTGCGCTATGGTCGTTTTACGCCGTCGCCCTCGCGTTGGCTCTTGCCGTAAAGTATCTCCAACCCCACGTATGTCTCATCTCGCCACCTTCTTTGTTCCATGTGGCTTATTGCGCACACAGACAAACCTCCCCTTTGTTCGACCGCGTGGGTCCATCCTCCTTAGCAGCAATTGAATGCGAAGCTTACTCTCAATAGCATCATATGGTGAAAATGGTTGCTCGAAACCGGCGCCCGGGGAGATGTTCTTCATTTACGGGATTGTCTGCATTGCAGAGGTGAGTATAATTCACCTTCCATGTCGTTGTTTGATGACATATTTGTAGAGCATCTTCTTCTCCATGCTAATCTACAAAGCATGGGAAAAGTCACGGAGTGCAGCTCGAACGCCAATCTTGACTGCTTTGCTCAAACAGTGAGAATTTCCATTTTTCGTTCTGCGTGGGACTCATAACAATGTAGAGGAACATTTTACTACTTTATCGTACTGAGTACGTTTGAACCCTCTCCCTCAGCTAATTGCGCTGACTTGACGCAGTGATCCTTGCCGTCACAATGTTGGCACCGTTTGCCGGCGGCGTGAGTATGAGTTCATGAATTCAGGACTATAGACTAATTTTATTATTAGATGTACTTTCCTCTCGCAAACGGCCTCATTATCGTCCCCATCACATCAGTCGCTTGCACACGCCTCGTACTCTCCCTCCGCGGAATGGTCACCTCGCAAGAAGTCGTGAGAGGATCCCAAATGGGACTTTCTAATTCTCGTATCGGCGCCTCGAGTTCCAATTCCCACTCGCGAGGGCTCAGTGGTGGGGTTGGGAGTGGTGGGGGCATGGTCGTACTCCCTCGTGGTGCGGGCGCAGGTGTTGTGATTACAGGAACTGGAAGTCGTAGCTCCGTGTTCCCATCGAGCAATACACAGTCACACTCATCGGGTCAGACCAAATCCCATCAAAGTACTACCGACAATGATGCGATTGCTCTTCATACCAAGACCAAGGAGGACTTTATGGAGGAGGAGAACGACAAAGATGAAGAGTATGCCCTTCCCACTCTCAATCATGCCTATACGAATCGTCTTCATACTCCAGAAGACGAAGAGAGAAGAGGTGCATTGTACCCACCCCAACGCACACTATCGCCTCATACACCGATGCGGCGATTATCTTGGACGCAAAAAAACACTCCCATGCCACCCAGTGCCCCTGTTCATATCCACCGACAGACTACGGTGACCATATTTGAAGACAATAATGCCTATGAAGCCACCGGTAGGCGCTTCAACGATGTGGGATCCGGAACGCGACCTTTGCAAACCCGACGATCTAATAGCGCAAGTGGAGATATCGGACAGGGTAGTCTCCTGGGATCATCCGCTAATGGTGGTCGCTCGAATAGCTCTGAAGTTTACAGCTCCCAACGACGTCCTGCAACTGCAGACACAGGGAGAAGCCGCCAGAGGGAGAGAGATATGTTGGAGTACCACGAACCCGTCTCGATTCATCCACTCATGCCATCACCACGTTTGTCATAATGGTTCCTCTGTATCCGCTCGTATTCTTTCTCCATTATCCCTCGGGTTTATGTAAAAAAAAAAAAACTGCGTCATATAATGCGATGTGCCATCTCCTCTATATAGCTCGAAACCAGTGGAGCAGCCATAGAAATAACGCGGTCAGGTAACAATGTACGACGCGCCACAGCGCAGGTACCTTTGATGGCCGGTATGCAGAACTACCCAGGTGGGAAAGTCGACCCATCTCATAACAGTACCACATGGTATTGACACTGGCGCCTGCTAGTTTTGAAATGGACAGCTTGGGCAAGGTTGGTTCGAAGGGAGTTGGGACGTGGGCCGAGGGGCAACTAGAGTCCATGAGGTAGCGTGGATAGTCTGGGAGTACGACAGATGGTCTGGCGAGGCCTATGAGTGAGGCGTGTTGGTTGTGGAGCACGGCCGCAATAGATGATCGCCCTCGTAGCGAGCCCGTCAACAGGATAAGAGGCGGCTTATACGAGTTGGATACTAGAAGTTTGGGGGGCTTGGATACTGCTTCATTCGCAAGCCGTGCAAACTGCGAGAAAAAGGCTTGACGTTTGGAAGCCATGAATTCTAAAGGAGCGACGTCAAGCGAAGGGATCCAGATAGTAGAGAAGCGCATACCAGGATTCTCATAATCTCCGCCACTAATCTCTATCATGTCAAACATTTGCCACGCTGCTATCTCCTTGATGTGTTCGAGGCTTTGATCTTCAGTCAAGCCACCCTCGACATAATCCGCAGCATTCAACTTCACAGAAAGGATAAATGTCGGCGGAACAATTGCACGGATTCGTTTGACGATTCTGTGTAGGAAATGAAGGGGATTCGAGTACGCATCGGTCCGCTGATTCGTCTTGACGGAGTGAGCCCATGTAGGGACGAATGATGACGCGTACCTTTGGTGATATAAATTGAGTGATGAGATAACCGTGCGACCCATGGAGTTGGACGCCGTCAAAACCTGCCTCTAAAGCGATTTTCGCACCGAATACAAACTGCTCTATCGCCATTTCTATGTCTGTTTCATCCATGACCTTTGGCTCCTGGAACAAGGCCCAGTAGAGAGCTTTTGAAATGAAAGGCTCCGAGAGGCTATCGCCGACTTTCCTCGCGCTGGGAGCCAAAGGACGCGACCAAGGCCACCTACCCCCAATGAAGCGAGGTGACTGTCGACCCACATGACAAAGCTGCATGATTACGACTGCCGGCTGCTCATTTGACGGACAAGCATGGCTTGCAATTGCTAGTTGCGTCCACGGTGCAATGTCGTACTGAGATCCGAGACGAGGTATGCAGAGATCGGCACCAAGACCAAGATGGTCTGGGGCGACTTGGACATTGCCGGTGATAATCATGCCCCATCCGCCTTGGGCCCAGGTAGAGTAAAGCGCGAGGTGCCGATAATTAGGAGGTCCAGACCCTAGTTTTGCCAAGTGTTCATACATTGCAACCTGTTTTGAGCCCGTGAATCACCAGTCTGAGAAATTTTAGGGAGTAATGCACCTTGACAAGGCGGTTTTGAACTCGAATTCCACATGGAAGTTGGACCTGTGATGCGATGATTTCTGCATCCAGCTCATCTATGCGCAGTATAAGTGAACGGGTAAACCTAGGTCTGAGCAAATTCGTCACCTTGAGAGATATGCATGCTAAATAAGGATATCCTTGATGTTATGAACAATTAAGTAGTAGATAAATAGGTGTGGTCAATCGCAGAACCCCTCGAGGAATGTGTGCGGGGCAAGGGAGGGAGCAACCTGTTCTTGACCTCGCCCACAGGCGGCCCGCATGGAGAACCAGGCTGGCCAGCTACTGACTCCTCCCGCAGCAGATAACACGTTCTTGAGACCAGGATCCGAATTCGACGCTGGTCTCAATGCATCCACCGCATGGACAGAGCATCTCGAGAGGACATCAACCTACCAATCCGTCTCTGATGATGAGAAAGAGCCGGTACCAGAAGGAAGACCAGCAAGAGCGTTGTATGATTTCGAAGGGAGGGCCGATTTCCGTGAACTGTGAGCAAGTTCGCCCGCCAGTGGGTCGCTGTGGCTCTGATTCTTGGCCACTGCCAGAACTATGAAAGCTGGAGACAATATTATTGTACTCAAGGAGAGTCTACCAGACGGTTGGAGTCTTGTGACGATCGATGGTGAAGCCGGACTAGTCCCAGCTACATATTATACTGTGAGCGAGCGCAGTTTTCATTCTTAGCCTGCATTCCTTTGCAATCATCAACTTTGGTACTGATAACTTTAGTTTACGACAGATTTCACAACATTACACAAGAAAGACGGCTCAAATAACACAATAGGCCCGAACGACTCTACACCACGGTCGACAACGCCACCCCCGCTTGCGAATCAACGAACAGGAGAATGGACATATGGCCTCCCAAACTTCCGCCAGAGTCTACTGGGTGGCAAAAGCCTGAACCGGTTCTCAAGCTTCGTCACCTCTGGCGCAGAGGAATGGGTTCTTCATGGATCTGCACAAGACATTGGTCCCACTTCTCCTTCGCACGTCTCGCCTCGACATGAACGAGAGCTCACCGACGCCGAGCAAGAGGAAGAACGAATCCAAGCCGAAGCGTCGCAAGAAGCTGATCAGCATTTTGTCGATGAAGGTCCAGTTTGGAAACCAAAGCTTCCAGAATTCAAGGTGTTGGTGCACTCGCCCTCCAAGCGCTCGTCAACACTCTCCGGCTCGTACACTGTATACACTGTCACATCCGTTTTCATATCCCCGCCGGAGGGGATAGAGAAAGACGAGGAAGAAGAGGACGAGCCACCCGGCTCTCCGAAGCGCATATCCGTTCATCGTCGATTCTCACATTTCGTTTTCCTGCATACTGCTCTTACCAAGCGACTACCTGGAATCGCACTACCTCCACTTCCGGAGAAGCAGTACGCTGGTCGATTCAGCGAAGACTTTGTCGAAGCACGACGCGGCGACCTCGAGCGCTACTTGAACCGGGTCATTCGCCATCCTATTGCCCGCTATGCTGAAGTTTTGACCTTCTTCCTCAGTTGCGAGAGCGAGATTGTAAGTTCTGCTGATTGGAAACCCTTGCTTACCCATTTCAAAGGAGTGGCGAAAGAGGCTCCCGCATCATCTTGCCCTCCCACCAGCGGGTCCTCAGTTCTATGCCAAGGTCTTCCATCCTGCTTTCAATCTAGACGCAGAAGATGCAGCCGAGTCGGTCGAAAGGTTCAGTCGACATCTCAAGGCAGTCGGAAAGGGCGTCCAAGGCCTTCGCGGTATGTTTACTAGTCTAAGGATGGCTCGCATGGGTAAATCAATATCGTGATCCTCGGCAAATCTGACGAGTGACGCTGCAGAACTTGCAAGATACCAGCGGTTATTCTCGTATTCACTCATGTCACTGATCACGTCAACCCCTCTTGCAACTCCGCAAATTTCGCAAAACAACGGGAATCTGGAGGACGAGGAAGAAGAGGAGGATACCTCGAGAGCTGGCTTGCTGAATGCCGAAGGAGCGTGGTGCTGGCGAGAGCACTGCGATGGTCAGTCTCAGATGTTTCCATTCATCTTCTAACTCACTACAGAGTGCCTAAGACTGACCAAAGCGATACAAAAGACGGCAGAAGCACTGCAAACGATTGCAGATCTTCAAGAGGACAATGTATTTAGTCGTTGCTTGCCAATGCAAGTACTGACTATGCATAGGCTAAACGAACACAGTTAGTGACACATGAATCGCTCAAGGATGTTGCCCACCCTGCAGTTTTATACGCCGTAAGTGTCGTCGACCTTTCGTCACATCTTGCTAACATTTCGTAGCCCGTGATTGACACTCATAAGTCGACCCTGTCCCGATACAAGAGTGCCCTGAAGAACGCCGAACCTGTGGACGAGATATCCGGGAGATGCGAGACGGTCCTCAATACGACCATGTCTGAATTCTCAACCTACCACAGTCAAAAGCAGGAGGACTTTGAGCGACTGACATTGGAACATCTCAATGGGGAAATTGAGCTGTACACGAACATACTCGAGCGATTACAGGCAGCAAAAGCCGCTTTCTATTCACCAGATTGGGATGAGCTATCGGCTGCGCGCTCGGGCCCACGACAGCCGTCAAGACTCGAACGAGATCTTTCCGCTGTCGATCCAGGACAGGCAGAGTTGCGACGACTGCTCGGAACGGGACGAGAGCAAGGGTTGACGAGACGTTGGTTGAGCCGGCACCTCATGTATGGGATAGTGCTCCGATGAGGCCGGTGAGCGTTGCGATACAGGAAGGCGTTGGTATGTTGTTCGGAGGGTCTTCGGTGGCGAGTTTGTACGGTCGAACGAGCGTTTTTGGCAAGTTTTGGTAGTCAATCCTGTAGGATGTACTTGATTATGAGATGTTACTGAGCTCTGGTTGAACAACTTGAACGTATCAATGGGCTTGACAGGTTGCTGGTGGCAGTGATCGCGCTTTGGACTCAAAAATTAGCATGAACCTCCTCGAACGACTGAGGTCTTGGTTACTCAAGTCACGACATTTCAGCCTCAAGCGTACGTAGTGTTACTGTTAACTATTTATCGATATTTTATGCCTTGTAGCTCCTCCGAAACGCAAAGGACCGACACTTCCGACCGAGTTACTGATACTTATCGTGACCTATGTTGACAAGAAGGACCTGCGCTCGCTTACGAGAGTGTCTCGAACCTTTTCGCTTGTAGCACAACCCGTCTGCTGGCAGAAATACGCCTAATGGGATGGAAGTGCTACCCAGACCAGGTGCGCTTCTTGCAGACGGTACAGACGTCGAGGATCGCGTCGTACATTACCAGACTTGAAATCAAACTATGGGCCGCCAAAACTTGTCGACGAGGCGGAACCGAGGCCGATCGGCGCTGCGGGTGTGACAGACTCGACGCCTTGCTTGGAGAGGCCCTGATGCACCTTCCAAAGCTACAGGACCTAGACATCTACTGTGTCCTCTGTTTGAGTATGGCCGAGACGGCGGTCGGAAGGCATTCTTATCTCGCCAACGGTCCATTTCAGCTGCGCCGGTCGACGGTCCATTGTCACTGCAATAGCCCAAATGAAGACAACAAGTTCACTAGGATACTTAGGGCGCCGTGTATGCGGACGGTAACCTATCTGTCGTGGAGGATCAATTCACTAGACGGATTCCAAATCGAGGACATCCCGCCGAACGTCGCTACACTCGATATACACGACATGAATCTGTCCATGGCCACCCTCGCTCACCGAAACATATCACGTGTTACATCCACGGTCTCACCGGAGATATTCAGAGGGATCGTCGCGCACGCTTCAACTCTGAAGCTTACGTATCTGAGCTTCCACGACGTTCATGTGGAGCTGATGTGCTCGATGCGTCTGTTCCCGGACACGTTTCGTAATCTCCGCCATCTGGGTCGCATTGTATTGCGACAGGCTGGGGTAAGTCGTCTCCTATCTCACCCTTACCTCCCGCTCATGGCTGCAGAAACATGAGATTATCTCGGCACTGGCCGACTTCTCGATGCTACGCCGCCTCGAGTCGCTCGACATTACCGGCCTCTTTGATAGTCGTTTCCCCGACCCCTGGACTTCTTCACTGCTTCAGGAGATGATATTTCTGCACAAAAATCTTCGAAAGGTGCATATTGACGGTACATATCGACATATTTGGATTCTTCGGGATGGTTGGGTACGAGAACAGCCTTCTCGTGTGTATACTTGCTGGGATATGATCAACGGCGACTGGGACGATATCTGAGAATATCAATGTACATACTTTTTGACGTATCTATAGGACTGGCGTAATAGCTTGCAGGCTCGCGAACACGGAGCCGCGTCTAGGCTCTCCACACACGTTTGCTTGGCTTTCGCTCATCGGTTCTGAACTTGGTCCCGACCACCAGACGTGCTTTTATCCTCATTCATTTGTATTAGTATATTCTTCAAGTCCCCTACACGTAGAACGAAGACTTCTCTGCGCTACGGCATATTCGAACCGCTATGACGCGCACCGTCTCGGAGGGCCCAAAAGACACGACGTTGCCATTGTTGAAGACAGTTTTCCAGGTATAATCACTACTCTATATACGGTGAATTTATTGACAAACGAATCCAGTCCATTCTCGAAGTGTTTATCCTTTGTTTCGCTGGATGGTAAGTGTCAGCGCTCTTCCGAGGGTCGTTCTGACATCCGATAAGGATTCTTGCAAGGAGAAATCTGCTTGACAAGAAGACACAAAAGGTTTGTCCTGCGCTTGAGCTCTGACTTGTGCTAATGATCGACGAATTCACTTAGAAATTAAACATCCTCAATATCAATCTATTCACGCCCGCACTCCTCTTCTCCAAAGTCGCATTCTTCCTATCTCCGGCAAAGCTAAAGGAGCTGTGGATTGTGCCACTCATTTTCGTGATTGTCACCCTCACAAGCTGGGCCGTCAGCTGGGGTCTTGCGAAAGCATGTCGACTGAAGAGATCTCAGAGGTATGAATCACTGTAGACCGAGTGCATTCTCCGCGCTGAGCCCGTTCTCTATAGGTCGTTTGCCATTGCCGCGTCCATGTTTATGAACTCGAACTCGCTCCCAATTGCTCTCATGCAGTCCTTGGTCGTCACTGTTCACGGATTAAAGTGGGGCAAGGACGATACTCGTGATGGAATGCTCGGTCGCGCACTTACGTATCTCGTCTTGCATTCGACTCTCGGAATGATGCTACGATGGAGCTACGGTGTCAAGCTTCTCGCCCAAGCAGACGACGAACCAGAAGTTGCGCCTGCCCCGCCAACACCAATTGTTCACTCGCCGTCAGAATCGAGCGAGCGGTCTCCACTCCTAGCAGACACGATGCATCGCCGAGATTACTCGAGTACGACGCTACGTTCTCAAGTCTCTACTACTTCAACGGGCGATGAAGGGGTTGAGAGCACAGATACACTCACTGCTGCGGACCGCTTTAGACAATCGATGAAGCAGCGATCCAGTGGCTCTATCCCTCCGCCGGCTGAACCAGTAGGCCTACCACGGCCACTCGCAATGCCATTTGCTCGCCCACCACTGGTCAATAAACAGTCTCATTTCTTCTATTCCTTCCCTAACACCCCTAATATGTCACATACATCCCTACCGGTTTCTCGAATTCAGTCACCACCGCCGGTGGCTCCTTCTGCTCCGGCTCCTGTGTCCAAGTTGCGTATGACACTGTCCAACGTAGTAGCATCGACCAAAGTTCGGATGGCACGCTTTTGGAAAGGATTCAAAGAGTTTATGACACCTCCACTCTATTCTGCATTGGCGTCTCTGATTGTCGCATGCATTCCCCCTCTCCAACACACGTTGGACGTGCATATGCAGCCCGTCAAGGGAGCAATCAACATGGCCGGAAATTGTTCCATTCCTATCACGCTTGTCGTGCTCGGCGGATACTTCTGGAGAGGAGAGGGCACCGACGAGGCGAGTGAACCAGCCGATCGGCTGAAAACGGACCTCCCGCAACAGCGTACCACAATGGTACCAGAACGTTCAAGGGCAGATGGAGGGGTAGAACATAGAGCGATGAGTCGACCGGTCAGCGATGCAACGACGCTCGTTGGCGCCAGCACCTCGTCAACCGGTGTGTCGTGGGAGGGGCTGAAAAAGCGTTTCAAGGCGGCGAAGAGTTCGAATCATCTCGACTCTGACGCAACTGGAGAGGAGAATGGCGTAGATGGCTCGATCCCACGGCCCATAATGACGAGGAAAGGCGAACACAAGGGTGAGGCGCGGACCGTGTTGGTGGCGATACTCAGTCGAATGATCATCACCCCAATGATCATTCTTCCAATCATGGCACTGGTGATGACTCAAACGACTATGCGGCTATTCGATGAGTGAGTCTAATCTGCTTACCCGGACTGAATCTCGATTGCGCTGGTCAGGACTTTTGGGCCGTGCCTCCGAGCCAGTCTCTTTTCTTATCAGACGTGCGATCTGTATGCTGACTCGATATACAGCCCTGTGTTCGTGGTTGCAAACGTCCTTTTCGTGTCCAGCCCTCCTGCATTGACGCTAGCACAGGTTCGTGTCCCCAATCTGAGACAAATGACATTTAGTGCTGACCAGTCTCCTTTATTCAAACCGTGGTACCCTCTGCCCTTGATTCGCTGTTCGGAACAGATTACACAAGCAGCATCTGGTGATGCATTTGAGCGTCTTATCAGCAAGACGATATTCTGGTCATATTGTGTGGTGACACCCATCACCACTATTATATACGTCTTCCTTGGAATGGAGCTTTCGAGGCTCTAGAGCGCCGGCGGTCGGAGGAATGATTGCCTCGTGCCTTCGTCTTTCATCGCAAAGGACACCCACCCCTATTGATTGACAGGAGGAACCGACGGAACGGCTCGAGTGTGTTCCTTCTCCCGCCCGATGCGCACCCATGCATGGGATGGACGATGAACCAGTTTTCTGTTTAATGTATACCGACGCCCCTCAAACGATCTCATCTCGGTTGGCTTTACGGGACTGAGGAGCTCTGTGCGCGCGCACCTTTCAGGGCTAAAATTTCACATCATCAAATCGGAAACACCGGCACCCTGTTGGACGCGTGGCGAAGGAGCGTAGCGCGCAGAAAAAGCAAACACGGTGGTTCGGATCGCGCACATCCACCCACCTGGACCGGTGCGAAGAATCCTTATCGGTCGGGTGCACCATACCTCCACCCAGCGTTGCCTGTTTCTCTGTTTTGGAACCATGATTCATCTGATGGGATGGGGGGATGGAGAAACTCGCCATGGTGGACCGGAGAAATGCATGGATCGGGCTATTAGATGTTTGTTAGTGCCTCAAGGCGATGGGATGGCAGTGGCGTAGGGTATGGGATGGTCAGCTTATCGGGATAAAATCTTTCTCTGGCCCTGTCGGGGTTATCGACCGCTATCAAAGTTGACAAGGTCCTTGCTCGGATTACAGACCGCATATGATATCCGTAGAGTCGCCGGACGTTTGTTTCTTGGTCTGGTTTGCTATCGGTTGTAGTGATTCCTAGATACCTCTTAGACTAGACTTGTTATTTGTGCACAAATGCCGAGACTGGCCGGATGACGTCGTGACGGTGAACAAGGCAAACGACCAGTCCAACCTTTGGCATCGCAACAAATTCCTCTCGACGGCTCCACACTCCGGATCTCCAATTGCTCCCAAACTTGGACCCCGCGCCGCCCTCGACGCCCGCCAGTCCGCCAGTCCGCCAGTGACGACGGCAAAACGGCATTTTAAACAAGCGTATCGAGTCGACAGGAAACCGCGGCCAATCCACGAGCACACAGCGATCAGTAAAGCCGACCCCAGATCGCAGGCTGAAGCACGCTGCGACCTCGGAACGAGTACTGAGTGAGCACACAGTGATTCCAGACTCTTCTGTGGATATTTAGTGGATTCTACGTCTGTTGCCCCCGTAGCCAGATCATCTCTGCCCGCCACCACCGTCTACGCTCGTGATTTTGCTGCACACCAGGCATCTCGTGCAGCGTGCAGTACATATAACAAACACCCAGAAAATTCCATGTACGTCCCTCTTTCTCGTGCCCAGCAAGGCCAAGCGGCTAACAAACAGTCTCTCTCTCTCTCTTTTGCCCAAAAATTTTTAGTCAGGCTAAATCTCTGACGAGGGCAATGGCAGCGTCCTTTCGATCAGATTCGGTTCGTAGTCATTTATTTTGCGCCCTTTTGCGTGACGCCGTCGCTGACGTTGAGGACGCTTGTCCACTTGCTTCACACAGCCAGCTGCCACAGCCAGGAGTGCCTCGCCCAGCAGGGATATTCCTTCAGATGAGACAATAGAGCAAGTCATCCAACAAGCCACGGCAAACGCGAGGGCTGCAAACGGTGGCCGCTCTCCAGTCATTGGCCGTGACACTCGCACACAGTTGTTTGTAGGAAACGTGCGTCGGCATCCAAGCATGGGCCATCGGATCATCTATTGACTCTCTTGTTTAGCTACCGTATAGAGTTCGATGGCAGGACCTCAAGGATCTCTTCCGAAAGGCTGGAGGCACCGTCCTCCGAGCAGATGTCTCTCTCGGACCCGATAATCGCAGTCGAGGTTATGGAACCGTTTTGCTGGCTTCTGCAGAGGACGCCGGCCGTGCCATTGGTAAGTCGGCTCGCTATTTTGCTTTGTACGTTATGCGAAGACTTCCGCTTCTAACCTGGCGCTTATAGACATGTTCAACGGCTACGTCTGGCAGACGCGTACCCTCGAAGTTCGACCGGACAGACTGCCCAACGACTTTGACCTTTCGGCTGCGGCTCAGATAGGCAAACTACCGACGTCTCAAGTACTTCCTTATGCCACCGCGACTACTGCAACTTCTTCTACGTTTTCATATGCAATGCCTGCACCGCAAGCATCCGTGGCTTCGACCGTCATTCCCTGCTGCTGCTGCTGCTGCGGGATTGACTGCACCTCTGACTCAAGCACATAATGCACTTTCACTTACTCAACAAGGCTTGTCTTTGAGCTCTGCCAATGCAACGTCGATGCCTGACCCAATGGTCTACCCGGATTCAGCCCGCTCTAGCCTTCTCGGAGACATTTCGCGATCTCCGACGGCGTTCAAAGCTCCATCCGCCTCATCGAAACCTGTAGCTCTACCAGATGCACTCGCACCATCGGTAGCGACGTCATCCTTTGGGCAAAGCAGTTTACCCGTTGGTGCAACGACGTCTCACGATGCCTCTACTCGAACGGTTCATATCACCAATGTCAGTCCATCTATTCTCGTTTCTCTATCAGCCATTGATCGGATCATAGTGGCCATCTCAATACAATGCTCTTCAGCTAGAGCAAGAGTTTCAGAGCATCGGCAAGATTATCAAGGTTGAAGTACGGCCACCAAGTCGACTTGAGAGCAAATGTCACGCATTTGTCATCTACTCCAGCGATCATGAAGCGAAACAAGCCGTGGCCAAGTATAATGGGTATGTCGCCATCGTTTAATGCGTCCCTCTTCCCAAGATCCCCGGCGGCTATCACATTGTCCCCGAGGAGTCATATTTCGGTGACTAATCTGACATTTTTATTCGATCTGAAAATAGGGTTGAACTCTTGGGACGTGCCTTGGTGCTCCAGATTGGGAACGGTGATCAATTATTGCTCAGCCAGCCGCCTGCAAATGCCTTTCAAACGCAGCGTGCAGAGGAAATGCCATCAGCTGTGACTGCGACTGCGACTGCGACTGCGACTGTCTCTGCCGTACCAGGCGCTCCGCTACACCCGGCGATGCCTACCCAGTCGGAGAACCCTTACAGTTATGGTTACTTTGCCATGTCACCTCCAATGGCTTCTGGTTATGTCGTCGCCTCACCTCCTGGATCGCCCTATGAGCAATATCCGCCACCCATGGCGTACCTTCCGATTGCTGCTTCTCCTTCCACGGCATATCCACCCCCGCTTGGCGCCAACGTCTATGGCTATTCGACATGGCATCATCCTCCCTCGCCAACGAGAGCAACAAACGGAAACGCGCCACCATCCGCCGCGAATGCTACCACCGCACAAGCTGCGACGGCCGCGGGTACTTCTTCTACTAGTCCAACAGCCTCGACGGGTTCACTCAGAAACCCACCTCCTGGGACGATCTCTCTTCCAGGTCCTGGCCTTGGCGCGTTTCCTCAGCCCCAGCTTTCGCCCATGCATGGTCTCCCTCCCATTACACCGTCGATACCTTCTTTCCGCTTTATGCAGCCACTACCCACACCACCTGTTCAAGGGCCATTTGCAAGTATGGGTGCCTATTCGCCCGTCACGCAAGCTCCACCGGGTTTCTATAGCTCGACGAGCCCATATTTCAACCTCTCGCCTGGTCCTACCGTTCACTATCATCGTGATGCCAATGCCATTGCGAATAATGGCGTGATTGGTTCTGGAGTTGGTATGCTACCCAGTGGGTTGGCTCCGAGTAGCATGATGGGATCGGCGATGATCAACGCGAATGGCCAAGTCACACCCTATTTCGATTTGACGGCTGCCACTGTCGGATCGGAGGCTCCAGATTATTTCCCTCCTATGCCCATCACGGCATCTCTCACTGGCGCTCTGCAAACGATGAACCTTGGAGGTACCAGTTTGCATCGACCGACGGCGTCGCTGGGAGGACACGTCGAGCGCGAGCGAGGGTAGTATCAAGGGCGGTTCTGGTTCGGATACTACAGCATCCAAACTCGACGAAGAGCCACAATTTCTCGAACCCGTGGGAGTCGGAAGAGACGGATTCCCGACACTTTCCGCCAGGCCTGAGAGCATCCCCGACGGGCCGAACGAAGGGGTCAGTCGGACAGGCCTTACCGATTGGGTGACGACTCCAGAGGATCTACCCAACAATGCGAGCATCAAATCTCTGAAGCAATCACCACCAGCAACTTCAAAGCCACCGCTCGAGCGCTCCATCTCGGATGGTCCAAAGTCGACGACGAGTAGCACTGGTTCCAAACCCTTTACTCCGACCGGTAGTGTGGTAGCGACTGCTGGAAGTGCATCTCCAGGTAGTCCAGGAACAGGACCGACGCATTCTGCCAGCAAAAAGCCGAAGCTCAACCTCGGCTCGATGCCTCGATTCTCGCCTCCTATAAACCTGATGCAGGGCTACACCTCGATGGCAATTGGAACGCACAATACTGGCGGGGGTGGAACGGCGGTGAGTAGTGCGGGTGTGACGAGATCGCCGAGCACTGCAGTCGAACCGTTTGTTTACCGTGGTCACGGTGGGATCTCTGCTGGCGGAACAGCGCCCTCTTCGTCGTCTGGTTCGATGGTGTACATGTCGACGTCTGGTCTGCCAGGGAGCGGTGGGCAAACCTCCACACTCGCAAACGCCAATGCGAATGCGGGCTTTGCGGCCGCACTTGGGATGAATTCGGGTGCCCTAAAGGTGAATGGGACACCGAATGGATTCAGGGACTCGCTTGCTATCGAAAGCGATGCGGGCGGAATGCGCAGGGCCAGTTGGACGGAAGATGCGTCCAGACGGCAGTCCATCATCAAGGAGCTCCAGACGGTCAATGTCGGTGATGGTGCATGAGCATCGATTAAGGGGGATAGGATATATTCTTCTGCTGTGCATTTTCTTTTTCTACTTATTTATCTCTTTCTGGTTCGTTTTCTCTTCTTATCTGTGGCGCCGCACATTGCTGACGTTTATATTGGTGGCTCCTTAGGCAGAACCCACTACATGCATCTGAATTTAAAAACAAGATACCCAGTGCAGGCTACCACGGACCGGCCCCGAAATCTCCCAAGCGTTTTTTGTATGTGAATCGAAATTCCCACATGATGCACCCAAAAGTCTTCGAAATACGTTGGCCCTTTTTTTTTCATCGCATTATACATCTCCTTTGCTACCCACAAAAACCTTTTTCATCTCATCACGACGCATACGTTGCTATTCTACGGTCATCGGCGGCGTCAAGTGCTGCCCCCGCCGTATTCCCTCTCTCCCTTTCTCCATCATTCGTCTTGCCCCTTGTCCTGCTTTGTGTCGATATAGCTCCGCCGTCGTCTCGTCTTTTCCTGTTTTGTCCCGCCCCTGACCTTGCTTGTTCACATACTAGAGCTTGTTTCTGTGCATCGTAGATGGCGGCTCGCCATTGCGCAATCTATTGGGATTCTCTGACTCGACCTCTCTTGGAGTGCGAAGGTTTTATACGGGGAATGCTGTGTTATAAACAAGGGCGAGCAGCTCGGTGCAGTTTAAGGCGATTTACAATCTTGGGTGAGCAAGAGGTACCCAGAAAATGCAGGCTATACTCTGGCATGGCACCATCTTCCACAGTATGAAAAGGACGCTTTAGAACCGCTTTATCCAGTGAGACGAATCATTTCATCCTTGAAATTTCTGACATGTGTAGATGCCTGAAAATATTCGTGAAGCTACGATGCGCAGCGGACTGGATGTCGTCGTCAAGCGCGTCAAACATCGCGCAGAGGTAGATATCTTGAAGCACCTCAAACAGTATGGAGGAGCGTACAATCACATAATTTAACTGTTGGATTTGCTGGACTTCGAGGACCACTGGCTGATAGTCATGCCGGATCACGTTCCGCTCCGTCTGGTTTTATACCGCTTGTCAGAAGCTCCAATCGTCTACTCGTTTCAGAAGAAGTTCCTCGAGGACGTAGCCTTTATGCATGTTAACAAGGTCGGCCATCTTGATCTCAAGCTGGGTAACATTGTCATCGACATTTCCCCCAAATCCATGTCCAGAGGTTCAGGGTCACTATACATTATCGACTTTGGAGTAGCTGAGAGGGGTGCAACAACAAGGAGTGTTATAGAGGACGTGTGTGGGACGAGAGGATGGAGGGCGCCAGAGATCCTAAAGGGTGTTGCGGAACGCGGTGAAATTTATGCAGGAAGAGTAAGAATTGACATAATGGCTCACATGCGCCACGTCCAGAAGCTGACGCGCCACCATAGACTGGTCCGCTCGACGGTAGCGGACCATACGGTGTCGCATATGGCCGACGACCTCTCGCTACCGTACGGAGCCGAAGTAAATAGAATGTTAATTATGGGTGGGGTTAGGGTCGACGAGGATTCGACGTCGACACCTCGTCATCCGTCCGCTACTCCGCACCAGCCAATCGTCTCCCATCCCCTATGCCCTCTGCCCGCTGACTCTTATATCCGTTTGATATCCGTAGATATTGCAAATGACTCGATGGGGGTCTCGAAACAGTATATAAGGACCGATTTTCGCGTGTACATTGCGCTAGTTCTGAATCTGCTTTCGTTCCGTTCTAACCCTCTCGCAAACTCTCTTTTAGTAATATAATCACTACGTGAGTTGTACATTCCCACCCGGGCCTTCCACCTGTCAGACGAACCGCCACGCGATTCGTAACAAGGGGTCAAAGCTGGAACCCCATCCTGGCTGATAGATGGGCATGTGGAAAGATGCTACTCTTTCTCAGCGAGAAAATTAAATGACCATCACCCGTCCATGATCTTGTGCGACGATTGATGAACGACGAACCGCAAGCACGACCAGGAATTGACCACGTTCTGGAGCAGATGTTTAGTGTTGCGTGATCTCAACATCCACAGGCTATTGAGCAGCCGGGAACCAGATTCATTCAACTGTTTCTTTATGATCGATATCAATAGTCGTTGCGAAACTCCGCGTCAAGAAGACATGGCGCGTAAAGATCCAATGCGGAGATTTCTGAATAAGAATCTCGGTCTTCCCTCAATTGGACGTCCTCTATGAATGCATCATTGAACCGCTCGAATGCAACTTCATTCAGTGACATGGGCTAAACAAGAGTGTTTGGTCTCCGCTCACCGACAAAGGAGTGGACTGTTTGTGGCATTATCATGAATTAGGCATTCAACTTACGGCTCAAAGTTTGAGTTCACGGGCGTGAGATCTTGGTGTCAGAATGTCCGATATAGCATATCCTTGGTACTTCAGTCATTAATAAACCACGCCAAAATTCTCATATAAGAACCGCCAAGGTATCGGTATCAACAACCTCGTGACACTGGGACCCTCTAATACACAAAATTAGCGCCTCTTCAACGGCTCTAACGGTCATCACATCCACCCTCCGGAGAACTCCCCATATTCTTGCGTGGCAAGCAGCACAATATCCTGGCCTCCCAATTTCGCATACCGACCCTGTATGAGGCCATTTGGCTATTCGATTCTCTAAACTGGCTTACAAACCAGCTTCTATGAAACGAGAGATCACGGGGGTAAATCTGGCTTCGAGATGCGTCAAGAGTTGCCGAAGCTCTGTGTCAAGCTGGAATCGCATCTCAGTCTCAACGGGTAGAGCATATAAGCCCCTGGAGAGCGTAGGTCAGTACGACAAGTCGTCTTACCCATCATGCATTCTCTAAACTTGATTGGTCTACTCACTTTACTTGCCACAGCATTCGCCACCCCTGAATCCCACCCGCCTGGACCACCTCATCCCCCACCTCCTCAACGGCCCATTCCACTGCGCTGGGGAATCCTTGGATTCCCGAAGTTTGTTGGCTTGGACGCATATGGACCCATCGAAATGCTCAACATTGTCAAAACTCTCACTCCCAATATGACGTTGGCCATTATCGCTGAAACAATGGATCCGATCCCCACACATGTCTTAGGCGATCTAGGGGGACCAATAACGCTCATGAAACCGACTCATACTATCTACGATAAAACCCCCCTTGATGTATTGCTCATCCCCGGTGGTCCTGGAAGTCGCATAGCCTATAACAATACGAACCTCATCAATTATGTCAAGAACGTGTATCCGTCTCTCCAGTACATTCTCTCGACGTGTACTGGTGCTCAAATCTTGGCAAAGGCTGGAATACTCGACGGCAAAAGAGCGACGACGGCAAAGTTTAGCTGGAACGAGATGGTCAAGAGTGGACCCAAAGTCAAATGGGCGAGTGCTGTCTTTCTTACGTCTCCCAATAGCTAATGAACCTAGGTACCATGCGCTCGCTGGGTCAAGGACGGCAATATTTGGACGAGCTCTGGTGTCTCGGCAGGCATTGATCTCACCTATGCTTTCGTCGCAGAGGCGATGCGTAACGAAACGTTGGCTGAACGTGCAGCCAACATTATTGAGATTGAGATTCACAAAGATTCGTCTTGGGATCCTTTCTGCGCGGTCAGTGTTCTCTGACGTTGAACGTCTGGATAATCTAACGACATACAGATTTGGAACGTGACCTCGACGTGATCCATGGTACTGGATGATGGATATACAAGATGTAGATAGCACTTTGCCTGATTTTATTGGGATGAACTATGGAATTGTACAGTGAGATCCACGCTATAGTTGAGCAACCGAAGTAGGGGAGTGAGCTTGGTCGAAACTTTGCCCTGACCAGCTCGAGCCAAATTTCGCAATGGCTTTGCCAGCTCGCGTTCAAGTCAGATAGGCTATGATTCGAAGACGAGACATGGTTTATGGATAAAGCTTCACGGTGCAGTCCCACTGGAACTACTTTGACGGTGGCAACTCGCCTGAATGTTGAAAGCGGGTGAGAAACCATCTTCCTACTCACAATGATGACTCTCTACACATTTTCAAACTAGAGTATATGAGCCAAGTGCCCTGATCTCGTTTTTTAATCGCTGATCCTGCCCCTCTTTTTCTCCCTTTATGCTCACAAGCTGACCTCTTCTCTGTCTTCAGGGCGTAAATTATAGATATCATATCGTCATTACACATTTTCGTCGAGTTTCAGTGAGTATTTACGTCCTCTTTTCGTCCAAGGATGTTACTTGGAGTTACCGCCTGAATCTCTTTTCGGAGCCTTGACGACATCTCCATGGCTGTTTGTACTTATAATTTGACTGAACCTCTTCGCGTATCCCGAGTTCTGTACTGACACCTCGAACAGATATTCTCAAACCTTGTAGCCATCGTTATGGATATGACTGTACGTGATCGTTTACTTCATTACCATCACCTCTATGATGTCTTTACACGACGGTCTTCGTACATCCATGCACGAAAATGCCCGCCACAGCTCAAACTTCGGGCACCCTCTCTGATCCTTCTCTTCCTACATCCACATCGTACTGAAGCATGATATACAGGCTCTGGGGTCCCATCGAGTTGTATCATATCTTGGTGTCATAGGCATTGATTGCAATCAATCTCGTTTATCCTACATTGCATCGATTACCATGAGGCTTAATGACCGCCCATACCCGTGATTCCAACCTCGTCGCGGATCTTTGCAATCTCATGCGGACTAAGGTTGACCTTTGCGCTTCTCAAAAACTCTTCAAATGCCGTGTCCGCATCCCCAGGTCTTCCACCCGCATCGGTACCAAACCGCTTCTCCAAAAACGCCCTCAGATCTTTCCAAAACTGTGGACTCGACATGGTCTGATGGTATGCACTCTCGTCTTGTGTAGCCACGAGGGGCAACGGGATGCTCGCGAGGTCGATTGGGATGGCGTTGCTCGACGAGATGATAGGCGACGCGGTGAGTGGGACGTGTGCGAGTGGGTCCGCCGCGAGTGCTATGGGTTGGAGGAGAGGTGTCGTGCCCGCGGCGGGTGTACCAGCAGGTGAGAGTGTCACTGCTGGGATATCCGACACACGTCGTTTGTGCCCTGGAGCTGTAATGGACGCCCCGAGGCTTGGTGATGCCACGGGTGGAACGGGGTCGCGATCCGCTGCGGTGATGTCCATCGTGGGCGCAGAGGCTGTCGTGGGCGCTGGCGTTTCGGACGTGGTCGTTGGTTTGTTGCTCATCATTACGGTGATTACGCTTCCGTCTTTGATGTCGTAGTCTTTGACGAGTTTGGTGTCGACGAGGGCCTTTCCTTTGAGCAAGAGCTTTTGCTGGGCGGGAGTCGCACCGGAGAGTGGTGAGGATGCTTGAGCGGCGAGAAGATTTTTGAGGGAGAGGATAGAGTCTGCTGGTTGAACCGGGAGGGTCACTGGTTATATAGAGAATCAGAAGATGGGCGCTGGTAGAAAACTGAGGCGAGACGTACCGGAATATGCAGGTTTGAGAGATTTAAAGGTGAGGTTGAGAACGTCTGTGTGTCCGTGTCAGAGAGCGGTGATCGATGATCCAGAGGGAGGGACAAACCAGCGAGGCTGGTGGCAGAGCTCACAGCCTTTTCTGGCGGAGGAAGAACGTCGAGCTGGAGAATAAAGATGTTAGTAAGAGTGCATCTGCAGCATCCAGACCATAATCAACCAGTGGCTACACGACGATCTAGCCGGCGGCAGAGCATTACGAGCAGATGTAATGTATCTACGCAAGCAATAGAGCTGTGGTTGATGAGATGTAACTCACTCCAAAGACGGAGATGCGCGCGGGGAGGTACTGTGGCGGCGCCTGATAGGAATCGGAAAAGACGACGGGGAGCGATTTGAGAGATTCAATATGCGACCTGAAAATCGCCTCGTCGACGGCGTTTGTGCTGTTTGTGCTCGACGGTGCAGTCGTGGTCGAGGTCATTCCTTGTTTTACCCACTCTCTGGACCCGACCACGACTTTGTTAGACTAGAAGATTGCCACAGAAAGCAACGAATGAGTGTAGGATCTCTATTTATTCCCGCCATTTTCCTGCTAATCGCTTTCTAACGATAACAGTCCGGCTACGGCATCAACGGCGGTACATATCCCCCCGACAACCCTTGAGAAGACTGTTTTGCTCATAAATGTTGCAGGACAGAGTCGTTGCTTTCCTTTTTGGCAGGCCGTTGTCAAAGTATGCCGTCGACGGGTTAGTTTCGACCTGCTGGCTGACGGTTCTGCAGTGCTATGCTGAAACGGATCGACCTGGGAAATGCACACTATTCAAAGAAGACTATAACGAATGTCTTCACCATCGCAAAGCGGTCAGTATCCGTAATAACTCGTGTTTGACGTATCTTTTCCCTTCACCTAGTCCTCTGTTCTAACCCGTATATATGGCCTATTACTCAACATCTAATATTTTGTTGTTTGCAGCGCGCAAGAGAACAAGCCATCAGACGCGAGTTTCAAAAGCTCCAAGCAGAAGGTGTCGCAGAGATGAAGCGACAGGCAGAGATTAACAAGTCGCTGGGAGCTGCTGGTGCCCTGAACGTCTCACTTCTTGAGCGTACAGTGGCCAAGGCCTCTACCGTCGGTGGAAAGTCTGGCGTGCCCAAGGAGTCGTATGTACTCGAGGAAAAGGACGGCAAGTTTATCTTGCATCCTCGTAAAGAAGAGGCTCAGCGACCAGCTGCAAACCGGGTAGACTGGGGAGTTTTGCAATAGAGCTCAATGTCCACAGCCCATTCCTCCACCGAATCTATCTTTATTTCATATGGATAACGTACTTGAAGTATTTCGGGTGTGTCCTATCGATTCCTAGTGGCCTTGCTCGTGAGAGTGGACATGCGTGCATACCAAGTGGGTGTATCAATAGCTGGTCAAGTTCCAACTGCGGCAGCTATGACAAAAAGATCCTCGTCGCTCCTGAGTTAACCTGTCGGAATGTGCAAAACGCCACAACATGCAGGACAAAACGAACACGAGATGCGTAATTACGCTCTCAACTCGAAAGCAGTGAGGCTATTTGGTCCATACAACTCGTGTAAAGCGGGAGGCGTGGCTGGCATGAGGAGAGGCATCCAAGCGTGTTCCAAACTTGAGCTCGACCGCTTTCCTCCTCGAGGCGCGATGCCAATTCCAACGCGCCGTTGAGAGAAAACTGCCTAATTATCGTTATAAAACCGCAAGGCGAGCAGATTGTAACCGCACTTCCTTATCGTTGTGCCTTTTTCGCCTTCTTCTCGGTGCCTTGCTCATAGCCCATTCTTGCAGAAAGTTTTATCAAAGACTATTACCGATGACTAGTTCACGCTATCCTTTGCCGAAAGACACGAACGCGGGGGGGTGGGGTGCCGTTGCACAACCGTTTTACATTCTCTCCATCGTCGTCGGCGGGTTAATTCTTGGGTCTGTGACCGCGCTATCTCTACGGGGATGCTTTAGAAGGAGGGAATATAGGAGGCGATTCATTCGGGCCGTTGACAGTGGCCACGCGCGGGTTACGTTTACGGTCGACCAAGGGACAGAGGAGCAGCGACGATCTGGCAAGAAGGTTCATCCTAATCAGAAACCCGTCATGGAGGAAAAGATGCTGGACATCCGAGGGAGTCCCACGAAACGCAATGGTTTGAGCTTGCCACAGACATTGGCAAGTAGCACGCATTCGTTCGAGGATCTAATACTGACATCTTTACAGCCATTATCTTTGACATTACTCCCAAGTTCGTTGATCCCTCCAGACGGATATTTGTTACACCTATTGCGGACGCCATCATTTTTCACGTCGAATGTGCGCTCGCGCGTCCAGATTGCTCGATACCTTCGCTCCAACAACCGCAATCCTCTTGGAGCACCTGAACTGCCCGAAGGGCAACGAGGGCACCCGAGCTCTCTTCCCGTACAAGTGGCCTATGTGATCGCCATGCCGTCGGAAACTAGGAGAGAGAAACGTGTCCGTGGCACAGTGCATGACTCGGCTCCTCCCGTTGCGGGCCAGGAACTGTGCGTTGGTGCATTATCAGTACTCTGGAGACTCTCCGATGTCTCCAAAGATGAGTGGGAACTTTTGGAGGTGTCGAAGGTGAACCAAGAGGCTATGGAAGAGGAGTATGACGATATGGCATCTACTATTCGCACGCGACGTACTCGACTGGAAGATTTAGGTCCAGCACCGTCGATGATATCCTCTCAACGACCATACGACAACGAAATAGGTGACTACGAGTCGTCTTATCTTCCACGCTCCTATCTCCCTTCAGAGGCTTCTGTCTACGAGGAGTCATATCAGCCATCCTTGCAGGTTACAGACCCCCTGGGCTCAATACAGGGCCACAACGAGCCGTCTATCGATATATCGATATCACATTCCTATGTGTCCTCGCAGGATCGAGCTTACCTCGCGCCACCACCGCCTCGTTCGCTCCACAGCTCGAACCGGTCGATTCGCTTTGAAGACGAGTCATATAGAGCACCGAGTGAACATTCGGCGCAGATAACGATGGATTCACGAGTTTTGACGCATCTCCCGGACATACGCGTTACAGTTGACCCACCTCCATCAGATTCTCTGTCACCAACGACGACGAGTACTGAGGTTGGAGAAGTGGATTATGATGCGGATGAGGAACGAAATAAGACGATTCGACGTAGAGCTACGTGATGGCTCCTTAGATCTGTATTCTTTGACCTTGTAGTAGTAGTGGCAATGCCTGCATCTTGCCTTCTAGTCTATCTCGCATCGTGACTTCTAGTATCACTGTCTATATACGCACTTTCTTGCAGCTACGCTCTTGAACTTGGCATGTCCGTTGGTGTTTCCAACCTTGCACCCAACCATTCTCGCAGATGACCAGGGATTGTATCAGAATATACGTCAATGTCGATTCCCTTGCGCGGAAGGGGTCCGTGGTAAACTAATTCATGAATACCGAGGCCTCTATGTGCGGCTACGTCCGAAATATCTGGAGAAGAGTACTTCTAAACCCTTTCATCGATACAAATAAGTCAAATATTGGATTTTTAATGGCCCGGGATGGTCTCTAACTAGGCGAACAAGGCTCCCCGACGGTCGGCAAATGCAATATGACAGGCACCCACGGGCGAAACGGAGCGCGGTTCGACACTATAACCGTGAACACAAAGCGGAGAATCTTGACCGTACGCCTTGTGCCGGATTAGTTTGGCTTGTCTTCTCACGAAATGGGCGCGAATGAAGCCATCATTCTCCGTGAGGGCGAGCTCGTAAGTCTCATATTCGACCTCACTAAACAGAGACTAGCCATCAATTTGGCGCCAGTCGTAGATCTCGGATGCGGTCGTTGATGATGGATGGGTCTCGAGAGCGGACGCCGGGAGCGTAGCCAGTACGTATGCTGTACAGTCGAAGCCTCCCATTGACAACGAGCGCACCAATAGTTTGGCTATGCTCAATTGACAGGACCTTATTTTATCTACGCTATCGCGATTGGGATAGGCTACCCGCCAATGTTTGAGATGACCCGCGAAGTCGCTCGACATTAGTGTCCACGGTGACGCTCATATTGAGCCTCTACTTCTCACATGAGGTGACCGCCGTCGACAAGCCCGCCGCTTTGATTCCGAAGGTGGACAGAGGCTAGTGTGGACGGGGACTCGGGTGGCCTGTAGTCGGAGAAATATTTGTTAATTGAAACCCTCGGTAAGAGTGATACAGAATCTAATTTGGCTGGCGTAACTGACGTGCCCGTGAAAGTGACTCATAAACTTGAAAGATCGGCAGGCCGACCTCGTGAGATTCTCGGGGTTGCACGCGTTATGTCCTTCCGCCCTCGCAACATGTTCTATCTATTCAAAGTGCCTCCTTGGTGACGCGGAATGAAAGCGGATTCAGCTCACAGGGCGCGCCAGCCCATGCCCTTTGCCACTCGGACCCGTTCCTCGCAAACAACGGCCATGTGTATGCTCATATCCCAAGTAATATTCCTCAGTCACCATCCATATATGCCGTCACGCCCACATATCGAGTATCGAAATAGCATCTCTGGCAAGATATAAGTCAGACGGCTGGACGCTGCCGCTGCTCGACAACAAATCCTACACTCCTCTCATTTCTTGCACACTCTTTCATGGCGTCTCAGCGAGGTCGGAAATCTCCCACGAGCAAAGGGACTCAAGCACCTAGCGGCGCTACTTGTGCCGAATGCCGGCGACTCAAGGTAGCCCTCCTTTCTCTTCCGCTTGACTCGCTCACAATGTACAGATTCGTTGCGATCGCAAAGTTCCTTGCGGCCAATGCACGCGACGGAACTGTGCCAGCATCTGCCCAGATGGCCAACTTGTGCCAGGTACGCCCTCTATGACCCTGCGCTGAATGATATTCACTATCGTTTTAGCTCATGGTAATGGCAGTAATAGATTACTTGGTCAGGTTCCGGCAAACATCGATGCGATTTCACGCAGACTGGACCTGTTTTCCGAACGTATCCGAGAACTCGAAGGTGCTTTGCAGGCCGCCCACGCTCGAACGGAGCAAAGCCCGCATCCATTGCTAGCTGATGATCTAGTACGACTCAGCAAAGAAGCAGATCAAGAGATGGAAGAGGAACCGACCTCCAATGCCGTTGGAACAGAGGAAACGACAACTCTATCCTTTGGATCTCTGCTGCCAAACTCCGAGGGTGGAACTCGGTATCTCGGACCAGGCGCTGCGTCTTCTTGGATCCTTCATGTGCGTGCTCTCTCAGCGACCCGCAATCTGCTGACCCAGATACAGAATGAGTTCAAAACGAGTCCGGACTTTGAACAAGCTATCAGCATCCCTACCACGCTCCTCTCACCGACCTCTCTATCACAACTACGCAGTCAAATCGAAGCCTATATTCCAAACGAAGATGGATTACGTGGATTTTGTCATTCGTACTTCAAATACTCGCTCTCATTGTGAGTCGAAATACCCAAGCAATTGGGCCATTTTTCATCTCCTTCCACAGATTCCAACCCCTTACGCCGTCATTCATGACCCAATTGATTTCAACGCCCATTAGGCAGCTTACAACCTCCCGCCTTGGTCTTTTGCTCATCGTCATGGGTCTCGCTGCTCAACTCGACCCTCACAGGCCAGCCAACTGGCTCCAACCGTCGCTTTACTTTACCCTTTCACGTACATGCCTCGTCCTGGAAGACGTCTCTATCAATGTTTCTCTCGAGTTGGTCGAAGTCATTGGCCTCCAAGCCCTATTTTTACTTCATCATGACGCCACAGCGGTTCCGGAGCGTTCGTGGATCGCAGTTGGTCAAGCTATGAAATACGCTCAAGCTGTGAGTACGACTCGGCTCATTTCAACCCTTTTACTCATTCATGCCACAGATGGGACTCCGTTAGTTGCTGCCAGTTGATTCAGTCGAGATCTAACCTTGTGATAGACCGTGATTCTAAACATTGGAAGCTAACGGAAGAGAGTGCTCAGAGAGTGAGTATTGTCTATTTCATCCAGTCCCAAGCTGACAGCGAGGCAGAGGAGAAGAACATTTTACGAGCTCTGGACGTTTGATATATTCCTGGTACGCGCCTTTGGTCCCTGTCTTTCGTCGCTCATGCGGTTTCAAGAGCGCTCATCTCGGACGACCACCGTCATTGAACCGGTTCCAGGTTGATTGCGAAATGCCCATGGATGACTTGACGTCATTGGGAGAAAATCCATACTGTACGTTCTCATTCATACCACGATCGACGCGTCGCTAAGATATCCTTTACAGTCTACCGCTGGAAACACCAATTGTAAGCCTATGCACGATTTCGTTGACTAGATCTCACCTCTTCTCAGTGGCTCCACCATCTTGCTCGAGCTCGCAACGACTGCGTTGTCTTCTTCTCAAGTGCCTGGCTATGCCTTTATCATATCGCTCGACAAGCAACTTCGAGCCACACCACTACCGGAAAAGTTCACTTCAAACCCATGTATGGCAGTGGATACCGACAATTACCCACAATTCTCTCTCCGACTGCAAGAGCACGAGGTCCACCTCATCCAACAATATACCCTCATCATTCTTCACCGACCCTTCTTTGCTCGAGCACTGCTCGACTCGAAGAATGATCTTTTCAAACATCGGTTCCTTCGCTCGGTGATGACAGTCCACGACAGCTCTCGGAACATTGTGCGCCATATTCTATGGCTTGCTCACAACGAGCCAGCATCTCTTCGGTCTTTGACGCATTGGCCTCTCTACATGATGTGTAGCTTGGTAAGTCATCCCCTTCTCGCAATAATCATGGCTCTTATGCGTACAAGGTCTCTCTTGGCGCGTTGGTGGTCAAAGAGCCTCTCTGCACTCTTGCTGCCGCGGCATTTCAATCGCTAGAGGAGGGTTGCAATTATCTTTCAGGTTTGGATAAAACATCTCCGGCCACGAAGCAGGTAGCTATAGGCGGTTGATCTAATCCAAGTTGCTGACGCGCTCCTAGGTTCTTCAACGACTCTATACGTCTGCAAAGCGGTCACTCCACCAGGAAGAAGGGCAGGCGTCATCACCTGGCTATCATCCGCACAACGGCAGACTGAGCCTGTCGGTCTCCTCTCAAGCACCCTCCCCTCACAGAATGGACGGCGTCGTGTTCTCCTCACCATCGCCATCCCTTTCCATCTCCTCTGCAGTATCTCCAAACTCGGCACACTCTCGAGTTCCTTCTATCAACACACCACGCGACCTGTCGCAAACGCTACAGACTCCGACCCAATGGGTCTTTGATGACACGATGAGGGTTGAGTCCCAAAACGACCGCGCTGGTCCTCTACACCACACTCTCTACACGAACACGCCACCATACCGGAGTCCAATTGCGACTTTCAGTCCCCAAGAGACTGTCCAGAGCGGCTCTTCGCCCACCACGCACAATATACCTGGTTTTCATTCGACGACTCCTTCGGACACTTTTGATAGTCAGTCTTGGTCTCATTTCTTGTCTAGCATCGGACTTTAGTCTATACTCTCCGGACACTGCAGGCTGGTACTCACGGACATTACATGTAGTTGATAGATATAACAAGAAATTCATTAGATACCGTGAATTGGGGGTGGTCGCTGTAAGCCAGGTGGTCATCCATCTCTTGTCCGCTACCAAAACTCCACGTACTCGCCGTTGTTGAACAGCACAACCGCTCTCGATAATCCATCATGTCTGCAATGGTTCTTGACAAATCCCTCGACGCTGTATGCAACGTTTTCCATCGCTGACCGGCTCTGCACGCGTCTCTCCGTTCCAAAATGTTGACGACCCACCCGCCCGCCAGATCATCGCCGAGAAAAAGGGTAACCGCCGCAAAACTGGTCCTCGTCGCTCAAACCCAAACTCTGCAAAGGCAAAGCTCGTTGGCAAGGGCGGTATGCCTGCTGTCCAGGCAAAGCGCCGCGCTGCCGCTACAGCTGCAGTCCCTGCCCCAGCTCCAGTCGCTGCTAGCTCCAACTCGACTTCTACAAAGATTATTGTCTCTAACCTTCCTCAAGACGTGACCGAGGCCCAAATCAAGGTTTGTCATCCTTTTCGAGAATGTCAGCGTGGGCTCACCTTTATATGACAGGAACTCTTTAATACGACCGTCGGTCCTACCAAGTCTTGCATCCTCCAGTACAACGCTCAAGGCAAATCGTCTGGCCATGCGACGGTCATCTTCCGCGAGGCGGGCTCTGCCCAAAAGGCATTTGATCAGTACAACAACAGACTCATCGATGGCAGTCAGTGTCACATCTCAATTTTCTCTTCCCTCTCGCAGAGCCTTCAAGCACTCTAGTCGGGTCCGGTGAACCCAAACTCCGAGAATCTACTCGTGAGTCCGGGCGTGGTACATGACTCTACGAGACCCAGCAAGGACACTACGCTGATCCTGGTCGCTGTCTGTACCTGATGGCGAACAACGAGTGAGGCATGGCACTCTGGTTGTTTGTAGTTCTGCGAATGCTCCTCTAACCACCGTGTGACGGACACGGCCTCGAGTTGAGCTCCAGACTAGCTTTTTGACTGTCCGAAATGGAGTACGGACACTTGCCCGTCGCTTGATCGCGTGTGGCTCCCACAAAAAGCCCATCCTCGCCACGCATTACTAGCGTTAGGGGGAACCGACGATTAGGGGTGCAATACTTGTGCACCTACGGGACGAAGCTCTGCATATTCTCAACTCAGTTCCGGCAATGTGTAGGACGACCAGACTGATCATGGTATTCTTTTCTCCCCCTTTTCATTTTGCCCAACAGAACGCGCGATGAGGATTGAAATTGTGGTCGACCCCGGCAAGCAGCCTCTTGTCAACCGAGTTGCTGCTCCCAAGCCGGCTGCTCAACCTTCGACTGCCGCTGCTGCAGGAAGTGGAGGCGCTCCCAGGTTTGTCTATTTAGATTCTCACCGCCAAAGTCTTATCAACTCTCAGAGCTGCCGCTGGTGGTCGTCGTGGACGCGGACGAGGTCGTGGAGGCGCCACTGCATCGACGAGGCGTCCCAAGAAGACTGCGGAAGATCTTGACGCGGAGATGGCTGTACGTATGGCAAATTCTATCCGCTCTGTTGCTCACTCCTCACAGGACTATACCAAGGGAGGAAATACGACCGCAACCACGACTGCTTAGGGCTGCGTGTGATAGTTTCGGATCGAATCGCTTTTTAAGTCTGCCGTATTGTGCTCTTATGCGTATGATGTTCTGTAGTCGTACTATACACTGCTCTCTCGGTTACATCGGGTTTCTATGAATCGAGAGGACGAATGTTTGGAATCGGACCCAGCGGAATGACGCGGGTCGGGTTGATGTGTGGATGCGACCAGTAATCTAGCGACTGATGAGCTCAATGTAAAATTTGGGAGGCAAGACTTACAGTGCGTTTTGATGTGCTCGAAATCGGTCGTATCCTTGAACGCAGGATAGTTCCAGTACAGGTTTTGCAACCACTTGTGGATGAGCGGGTACCCATCACGGATGGTGCGATAGTTGCACTTGAAATGGCCGTGGTAGACTGGATCAAAGCGAACAATTGTCGTACAATCGAATATCCGATTCCGTGAGCCTGTCACTGATGAGGAAGTATTCGCCCTTGGAGTTTGCGTTTTGCGACTTTTGGGATTCGAAAATCTTTTCGACTCGGTCGAGCGAGTCGAAGAGTTTGGTCACGGCATCTTCATATGCCGATTGAGAGGTTGCAAAGCCGGAGCGGTAGACGCCATCTACACCACATTTGTCAGTAATGCTGACTCGAAGCAAGTGAATAGACGTACTGTTGATGGTTGGGTACACCCATTCGTGCGACTTTTCGATTTCGTCTCGCAGATTCTCTGGGTAGAGGTCGAGACTGGCTTGTTCGGGGGCGATCATATCATTAAAGGCCGTGTTAAACATGCGGAGAATCTCAGAGGATTCATTGTTGACGATGGACTGAGACTTGGTGTCGAAGAGGACGGGCACGGTGAACCTTTCATTATGGCGACGTCAGGCATGACCGACGCCGAGAATAGAAGAAACTGACGCACTTTCCATCGTATTCGGGTTGTACTTTGAGATAGATGTCCTTGACGTGCTGCGCACCCATGATCCCTCCATCGTCTGTCGCGCCAGGGAACTCGTCCGCGTTCTTGAATGGCCAACCGTTGGAGCCCATGTGGGGAGATACAACACTCAGGGAGACAATATCTTCCAGTCCCTTGAGTTTTCGCGTGATGAGTGTACGATGAGCCCATGGACAGGCGTAAGAGACAATCAAATGATAGCGACCTAACCGCTTTTCAGTAAAGAGAATGCCGAGTTAGAGAGAAAACGTACCCGCTTCAGGCTCATACTTGCCGCCCTTTTCGATCCAGTTACGAAACGACGACGGACGACGGTTGTAGCTACCGTCTTTTTCCATCTTGGACTTTGAGATGTCCGACATGTTCGATACGTCGCGTGCTCCAATGTTGCTGTTGTTTTCGGCCATGGTATACCTGCGTATGTGATGTCGTAGTGGTGGAGTTGCGACTCTTGGGCTGGATGCGTTGTGCGTAAACGATCTGGAAGTGAGGATATATGTTCTCAAGAGAATCGGTGTTGAGCGCAGGGAGGAGGGAGAGACCAAGATGCGCATGCCACCGAGCCACTCCTGCGCAGAGTTTATGACCAATCGTCGACGAGGCCGCCCATCCCCGTCTACGGCGGAGGACATCAAAGGGCCAATAAGATGCAATAATCAGTGGTCAACAGCTCAGATATCAGGTGACTGGCGAGCCTCGTCCAGCGAGACCCCATTGGCAAAATAGTTTGTGGTCTGAATATTGCGTAACCTAATCAAGCTATTAGGGTACCAGAGTCGTAGTTCTCAGCCGTCATCACAGAGTGAGTTCCATTTAGTCTCCACGTCCACCAAAGCCCCAGCGATCCTTCTCACTAACACCCTTCTAGAATAAGCACAGAATCAGAAAGAAATCTGGGCTTGCTCGAGATGACAGATGACTCCGGAACTTGCCTATTCGGTGAAAAGATCTCGCCAGCATCTCGGCCTTGCGGCGATCAGCCAACCAAAGATCTCGAATAATCAAATGGACATACTCCCCGATCAAACTGACAGCAAGTGGCACTAGCAGGACGTTGGCTCGCATTGTCTGGACCGTTCTCGCCACTCTCTTAGCGCCGCAACGCCGGTGATAAAATCACGAGTAATGCTTGCCCACGACCTTCTCCTTCGCGAATAGCTTTCAATACTTGTTCACGCCTGACGAACATTCTGCACCCCGCAAATCTGTCTCCGCACTTCGAGATGGACAGATCTGCATCCCTTGTCCTTTCAAAGAGCGGAAAGTCGTCAGCTAAAAACACGAATCAAAGCTGGATGATCTCGGCTTCCTGGAAATTGACCCTGGAACCAATCCTATCGTCGAGTAAGCCACTCACTCCCGCGGTTGCTCGTCGCTGAGCGCGCCTGTACCTTCTGCAGCATCGTCGCTATCCATGGATTGCAAGGACACAGAGAGAAGACCTGGACGACGGACGATGAAATTTGTTGGCTCCGCCACTTTTTGCCTTCCGACTTCCCCAACGTCCGGGTCCTCAGTTACGGCTATGATGCCGACGTCCGCAGTCGAGAATGCGTATCAACTCAGACGTTGAGTCGACATGCCGAAGGGCTCGCCATGGCACTCGTACGGATACGGAAGAATGCTCCTCGGGTGAGTCAGTCTCCAATGGCGGGGCACTATCTAAACAATAAATAGCGTCCCTGTATTTTTATTGCGTACGATATAGGAGGGATCATTCTCAAATCGGTTTGTACCACTATCTATTGACAGCAGCTGCTGACGCTCTCGCAGGCTCTAGTCCTCTGTCATAATCAAAACCTGGATTCTAATGGTGAACTCAGGGATATCTTAGTATCGACCTATGGGGTCCTATTCTTTGGGACTCCACACTTCGGTCTCGAAGGCATCACATTCCACGAAGCAATGAACCGCGTGGTCTCGGTGTATTTGGAGACGACAGACATTATCCTCAAAAATATTCGGCCTAATTCGACGGAGCTTGAGGACATACAACGTCTATATGTCGCGGCAAGTGAAAAGATTAACAGCATATTCTTCTGTGAAGGGTATGCAACGTCGGGCATCAAGAACAAAGGAGAACCAGTAGGTACTGTCTAATTAACGACAAGGCATTGACGGAATGACAGAACGTACCATATCATTCAGGTGTCATTGTAGGCGACCGCAACGCGACCAGAGTTGTCCTTCATGCGAATCACCGCGATCTGGTCCGATTCTCATCGAAGGAGAGTGAAAACTATAAGATGGTTCACTTCCATCTCAGAGACTACGTCGACAATGCACCTGCGGCAGTGCTTAAGAAATGGATCAAAGAGGACGGACTTCGCAGTGAGTAGCCATTCTATCACTTCTACTTGGCTAAGCAATGTGAAGATGGGGCGAAAGGAGAATCTGAAGAGGTTATGCTGCCGAAAGCTCGTCCACCGCTCTCAAGAAGTTACGTCGAACGAAGGAGAATCGAGTCCCTTATTACCCAGAAATTACTTCCGGAGAGTCGCGGGAAGCATCAACCGCGGTGTATACTACATGGAATCGGAGGGTCAGGAAAAACCCAGCTCGCAATAAACTGGATTCAGGAGCACGAAAGCAGGTGGGAAGTACGGGTACCATTCGAGCAATCTTTGATCTTTGTCTAGTTTTAATCGAGTGATCGTCGTTGACGCTTCCAGTCAAACACAGTTGGAGGCGGATTTGGAGCGATCAATTCGGTCGTTAGGCCCAGAATATAGCAGGATGACGTGGAAGGATGCAGTCGCATATCTAGATGGCAAAGAGAAACGCTGGCTGCTATTTTTCGACAACGCCGATTCGCCAGAACTCGAGCTCCATCCATACCTTCCCAGCTCCATTCACGGAGCAATTCTCATCACTACGAGAAACAGTGATCCATCAAGTACGCTCCAGATGGAGCCATTCCGATTAAAGATCTAGAAGAGGGTGAAGCAGTAACTCTTCTCCATACGACTGCCAATGTCGCACCTACATCTGATGCCCACTCTGTCGAGATTGTTCAAGAGCTGGGGTTGTTGGCGCTCGCAATTAGTCAAGCAGGCGTGTTCATTCGCCGTACGCGGCGACTCGATACGTACCTGGACACCTTTAGTCGGCATCGGAATCGACTTTTGCGCAGGCAGCTAGATCTTGGCACAGATTACACAGCGTCAACATATACCGCATTCGACTTGTCCTTTGACATTTTACCGGCAAGAACACAGGAGTTCCTGAAGCTATGTGCATTCCTTCACCACTCGCAAATCCCGATAGACATGTTTGAACGGTCATCACGCCTCGGATTTAGTACATACACAGTCCGGGAAAACCTTCCCCCACCGGAGAGTGACAAAGCCTTCATTTTGGACCTCCAGGGGGTCCTGGACTCCACGTGGGATGAGGTTACATTCCAAGACATCATCGACTCCGCTTCACAAGCGTCGTACATCAACGTTTCGACCGACGGTTTATTCTACACGGTTCATCCGCTCCTTCAGACGTATATCAAGGATCGTCTTGGCGAAGAGGAGAATCGACACTATATGCGGACGACACGACAACTCCTACTGGGTGCTATTCGCCCTTTCGAGGATAGCAATGTGCGGTTCTGGCAACTGCTTCCTCACGTTGACAGCATCCCTCGGTCGATGCAATCGGAGAATGTGGCACACGCATTGGCGTTTTGTGAGCTCTACAAGTCTTTGGGGAACTGGAAGGCGTGTCAAGAGTTGTTGGAGCCCGCGGTTTCTCAACTCGATCGAACTGTCGAAGGCAAGGCGGATGAAGACTCGCTATATGTCATGAGTCAACTAGCGGATGCGCTCCAGCGTGATAGTCAATGGAACGAAGCGGAAAAATTGAGGAGAGAGATACTCACTTTGCGACTCGAGATGTGTGGACAACGTCATCCAGACAGCATCTCGGCAATGAGCAATCTCGCAGAAACATTGTCAAGGTGTGGTCGGCTGGAGGAGGCGGAGAAGATGGAACGAGAGGTCCTCGCTTTTCGACTTGAGACCTCCGGGCCAAGGCACCTAGATACTGTTTCGGCAACCAAGAGCCTCGCTGCTACATTGTGGAGGCGTCGCCAGTTCAAGGAAGCCGAGCAGATGGGCAGAGAGGTACTCGCTTTGCGGTTCGAGATCCTTGGGAAGCGGCATCCCGAAACGATCTCGGCCATCAACAGCCTAGCCGTTATACTGTATAGCCGTGGTCAGTTGGACGAGGCTGAAAAGCTGGAGCGAGAGGTACTGGATTTGCGGTTAGAGATACTTGGTAAACGACATCCAGATACTATCTCAGCGCTAGATAACCTTGCGATTACACTCTCTGATCTCGGCCAGTTTGACAAAGCTGAAAAGATGGGGAGAGAGGTACTTGCTTCTCGGCTCGAGCTTCTTGGAGGACGGCATCTAGATACTATCTCGGCGATGCATAACCTTGCCGTTACACTGGAGAAGCGTGGTCAGTTGGACGAGGCAGAAAAGCTGGAGCGAGATGTACTCGCGTTGCGGCTCGAGATCCTTGGAAAACGACACCTGGAAACCATATTGGCAATGGGAAACCTTGCCGTTACACTGGGGGAGCGTGGCCAACTGGAGGAAGCCGAAAAGATGAGGCGGGAGGTACTTGCTTTGCAGCTTGAGACTCACGGACAGCGTCATCTGGATACCATATCGGCGATGAGCAGCCTTGCCGTTACACTCTATGACCGTGGTCAGTTGGACGAGGCAGAAAAGCTGGAGCGAGATGTACTCACTTTACGGCTCGAGATCCTTGGAAAACGACACCTGGATACCATATCGGCAATGGGAAACCTTGCCGTTACACTGGAGAAGCGTGGCCAACTGGAGGAAACCGAAAAGCTGGAGCGAGATGTACTCGCGGTGCGGCTCGAGATCCTTGGAAAACGACACCTGGATACCATATCGGCAATGGGAAACCTTGCCATTACACTGGAGAAGCGTGGCCAACTGGAGGAAGCCGAAAAGATGAGGCGGGAGGTACTTGCTTTGCAGCTTGAGACTCACGGACAGCGTCATCTGGATACCATCTCGGCGATGAGCAGCCTTGCCGTTACACTCTATAACCGTGGTCAGTTGGACGAGGCAGAAAAGCTGGAGCGAGATGTACTCGCGGTGCGGCTCGAGATCCTTGGAAAACGACACCTGGATACCATATCGGCAATGGGAAACCTTGCCGTTACACTGGGGAAGCGTGGTCAGTTGGACGAGGCAGAAAAGCTGGGGCGAGATGTACTCGCGGTGCAGCTCGAGATCCTTGGAGAACGACACCTGGATACCATATCGGCAATGGAAAACCTTGCCGTTACACTGGGGGAAGCGTGGCCAACTGGAGGAAGCCGAAAAGATGAGGCGGGAGGTACTTGCTTTGCAGCTTGAGACACACGGACAGCGTCATCTGGATACCATATCGGCAATGGGAAACCTTGCCGTTACACTGGGGAAGCGTGGTCAGTTGGACGAGGCAGAAAAGCTGGGGCGAGATGTACTCGCGGTGCAGCTCGAGATCCTTGGAGAACGACACCTGGATACCATATCGGCAATGGAAAACCTTGCCGTTACACTGGGAAGCGTGGCCAACTGGAGGAAGCCGAAAAGATGAGGCGGGAGGTACTTGCTTTGCAGCTTGAGACTCACGGACAGCGTCATCTGGATACCATATCGGCGATGAGCAGCCTTGCCGTTACACTCTATGACCGTGGTCAGTTGGACGAGGCAGAAAAGCTGGAGCGAGATGTACTCACTTTACGGCTCGAGATCCTTGGAAAACGACACCTGGATACCATATCGGCAATGGGAAACCTTGCCGTTACACTGGAGAAGCGTGGCCAACTGGAGGAAACCGAAAAGCTGGAGCGAGATGTACTCGCGGTGCGGCTCGAGATCCTTGGAAAACGACACCTGGATACCATATCTGCAATGGGAAACCTTGCCATTACACTGGAGAAGCGTGGCCAACTGGAGGAAGCCGAAAAGATGAGGCGGGAGGTACTTGCTTTGCAGCTTGAGACTCACGGACAGCGTCATCTGGATACCATCTCGGCGATGAGCAGCCTTGCCGTTACACTCCATAACCGTGGTCAGTTGGACGAGGCAGAAAAGCTTGAGCGAGATGTACTCGCGGCGCGGCTCGAGATCCTTGGAAAACGACACCTGGATACCATATCGGCAATGGGAAACCTTGCCGTTACACTGGGGAAGCGTGGTCAGTTGGACGAGGCAGAAAAGCTGGGGCGAGATGTACTCGCGGTGCAGCTCGAGATCCTTGGAGAACGACACCTGGATACCATATCGGCAATGGAAAACCTTGCCGTTACACTGGGGGAAGCGTGGCCAACTGGAGGAAGCCGAAAAGATGAGGCGGGAGGTACTTGCTTTGCAGCTTGAGACACACGGACAGCGTCATCTGGATACCATATCGGCAATGGGAAACCTTGCCGTTACACTGGGGAAGCGTGGTCAGTTGGACGAGGCAGAAAAGCTGGGGCGAGATGTACTCGCGGTGCAGCTCGAGATCCTTGGAAAACGACACCTGGATACCATATCGGCAATGGAAAACCTTGCCGTTACACTGGAGAAGCGTGGCCAACTGGAGGAAACCGAAACGCTGGAGCGAGATGTACTCGCGGTGCGGCTCGAGATCCTTGGAAAACGACACCTGGATACCATATCGGCAATGGGAAACCTTGCCATTACACTGGAGAAGCGTGGCCAACTGGAGGAAGCCGAAAAGATGAGGCGGGAGGTACTTGCTTTGCAGCTTGAGACTCACGGACAGCGTCATCTGGATACCATATCGGCGATGAGCAGCCTTGCCGTTACACTCTATAACTGTGGTCAGTTGGACGAGGCAGAGAAGCTGGAGCGAGATGTACTCGCATTGCGGCTCGAGATCCTTGGAAAACGACACCTGGATACCATCTCGGCGATGCATAACCTTGCCGCTACCCTCTGCGATAGCGGTCTGTTGGACGAGGCAGAAAAGCTGGAGCGAGATGTACTCGCGTTGCGGCTCGAGATCCTTGGAAAACGACACCTGAATACTATCTCAGCGATGAGTAACCTTGCAGTTACACTCAGCGATCGCGGGCAGTTTGACAAGGCCGAAACAATGCAGCGCGAGGTGCTTGCATTGCTACTCGAGACACTTGGGCTGCAAAGTCCGGAAAATATCTCAGCAATGAGCGATCTTGCCGCTATACTCCACAAGCGTCGTGAGTGGGGCGAGGTGGAAACGATGCAGCGGGAAATACTGGCCTTGCGGCTCAAGATTCTCGGACGAAGCCATCTAGACACTATCTCAACAATGGCCAATCTTGCTAGTGCACTCTACTGGCTTGGTCGGTTAGATGAGGCTGAAGGGATAGAGCGAGAGGTGCTTGCCTTGCGACAGGAGCTGCTTGGACAGGACCACGTAGACACTATCTCGGCAGTGAATAATCTCGCCGCTACACTGCGCGGCCGTGGTCAGCTGGAAGAGGCTGCAAAGTTGCAGCGACAGGTACGTACTCCCCTTATGCCCAGACTCTCTGAATGAGCCAAGCCTTTCAGCTCCTCGTTTGATCCTGAAATAACATTCTCAAGTCAACTTGAAGAATCTCGAGGTCTCACGTGAGAGGCCCAAAGGTGATACCTGAGGTGGTTGGCATGGGAGCACGTTATGTCCCAGTAATTTCTTAATCTCGTACCGGTTCATTGTCACATCTCTTCTTATTTTTCGAATGGATCATCCAAGCTATTATGCATTTGCTGCGTGGCTTGTAGGTCATTAGATCGTTATTGACTTATCTACACCGCGCCTTTTTTACAGACCAGAGAAATTGACGTCTTGAGAACGAAGAAAACCTTGATTGCCTTTTCCACAACGAAAACGGTGCAAGCAGGACCATGCAAACTACGACAGCCGTCGCAGGTACCCTGACTTTCAAGGGTTTCCTCGACTTCTTTTTCTTTGGCCTCAATCCAGCACATCTGCGTCGTCCAACAAGATAGATAGGCGCAATACTCCGGGATCAATGGCGGAGAATGGGAAGTCGACCCCAGGGAGTTGATGAACCCCGGTGCATCTAATGGTTCTTCTCGTCAAAAATGTGCATTTGAGAGTGCTCACCGATGCTATAAATGCGATTAGGTGAATCACTGGGAGATTGGTTATCTCCAACAAGGTGAATGATTCGTCCGCGGCGGAGGAATGCGCATACAGAGCAACCGTTAATCCGAACTGATTACCATGGTCAGTTCATGTTTTCCAAGTGCATAATAAGTATGTCTAGCGTGTTGATGTCGAGGCGGCTCAGACGCAAGTGGTGCGCGGTATTGGACTTGGCTCTCAAGGTAAATTTGTGAGCTTGGTAAGGAACCTCGAGTGTATATCCTCTATGGCGAAGTCAGCTGCTACTTCGACAGGGCGGAACTTAGGGCTTACCCCGAATCCGTCCATCCTCCCTTCGTTGGTTCTTTCTACGTCCTCATTGAGTAGAGATAGTGTGATTCGCATGCGAGAGGCGTATAATGCGCCTGGGTTGCTCGCTGGGCGCCCACCTGTTGGGTTCAGCGGCTGACAGAAAAGGTTTCCGAGGTCGTGCGGTTCTAGTTGGTCGACCAGTAATGTAGTTGAGTACTAGGAATGAAATAGCACCATTAGAGCCACCTCATCTATGAAATTTGAGGTCTCGTCCGTTCACGAATCCAGGGTTGACTCTTGGCACCAAAACGGAGTATCCAGAGATAATTTGTGTAGTTGTTGAGTCATATCTATTCAATTACGAATCAGGCCCCCGGACGCCTGCCCCAATTTGAACCTCGAATGGTTTCCAATCCTCTGCGCTGGCAACATGGCGCTCGTCGACGGCCCGCTGAGGACTTGTTCGGAATGACGCATCGACCTCTCAATCATGGCTGCCTCGTGTGATGAACGGACTCCCCTCAGTCGGATGCAAGTCCCGAGACTTGATGCATCGGTCAGGCAGAGTCTGGTGCTGCAACAGTATTCTTGTGACAGGCCACGGGGTCGTTTGATACTAGTCATGGACCATCAGACAGGCAGAAGCATAGACACGAGGGGTCAGAGTCATGGTCAATCGTTGACGAGGCCGCCGAGGACATCAAAGGGCCAATAAAATGCAATTATCAGCGGTCAACAGCTTAGATATAGGTGACTGGCGAGCGACACTCCAGAGATTTGACAGGACAGTTTTGGTCTGAATGTTGCCAGGCCTAATCAAGCTATTTATGGTGTGGTAATTCTCACGACGACTTGCTCTCCACCTCTCGCCCAACCCAGTAAAATTCTCATGAGTGGTGCTTTATCGTAGTCACAGAAGAATAAAAAAGTCTAGGGTTTCTTGGGACGGCAGTTGATTTCCGACCTTGCCTCCAATGTCCGATCAAAAAGGTCTCGGCAGCACCTCGACTTGCAGCGATCATCCAACCAAAGATACCGAATACACAAATGGACATAGTCACTGATCGAAGTTGCCGTAAACGGCATCAGCAGAGACGTTGGCTCGCATTGTCTGGACCGTTCTCGCCACCCTCTTAGCGCCGTGCAACGCTAGTGATAAAGCCACGAGCGTTGCTTGTCCTGGACCTTCTTCGCGAAGTGCTCAATACTCATTCACGCTTGAAGAACGTCCTGCGCTCCGCAACATCGTCTCCGCAGGCCGATATGGACAGATCTACACCTGTTCTAGTCTCAAAGAGCGGAAAGTCGTCAGATTCAAAGCCTGGGTCAAAGTTAGATGATCTTGGGTTCCTTGAACTTGTTCCTGGAAATGATCCTATTGTCTATTGTCGAGTAAGTCCTCCCACCTTCTACGGCTTGCCCCACGCTGAGCGTCCCTGCTCCCCTTTGCAGTATTGTCGCTATACACGGCCTGCAAGGTCACAGGGAGAAGTCGTGGATGACGGACGACGGAGTTTGTTGGCTACGACACCTTTTGCCCTCCGACTTGCCCAATGTCCGAATCCTCAGCTATGGATATGATGCCGACACCCGCAGTCGAGAGTGCGTATCGACTCAGACTTTGGGTCGACATGCTGATGGGTTCGCCTATGCACTCTCGAGGGAACGAAAAGACGCTCCTCGGGTAAGTTGGCCCCTAATGGCTGAGGACTATCTGAACGAGGTTTAGCGTCCTATTATTTTCGTTGCACACGACGTAGGAGGTATAGTTCTCAAATCGGTTTGTACCATCAAATTCGATAGATGGCTGCTGAAGTTCTCGTAGGCCTTGGTCATCTGTCATAACCAGAATCTGGATTCGGATTGTCAACTTCGGAACATTCTAGTATCCACACATGGAATTCTTTTCTTCGGGACTCCTCACTTCGGCCTTGAAGGCACCACCTACCATGAAGTGCTCAATCGCTTGGCGTCGGTGTACATGGAGACGACAAACATAATCCTCAAAGATCTAGAGGATTATTCGAGTGAACTCGAGCATATACAGCGTCTGTACGCGTCTGCAAGTGAGAAGATCAGCAGCATATTTTTCTGTGAAGAGTATGCAACGTCGGGCATCAGTAATCTAAGCGAAGTGGTGGGTATATATTTATCTATGGAATAAAGCTGACGCAGGGATAGAATGTCCCACATCACAAGGCCATTATCGCTGGCGACCGCAACGCGACGACAATTGTTCTTCACGCGAATCACCGCAATTTAGTCCGATTTACATCCAAAGGGAACGACAACTATAGGACAGTTCGCTACCATCTCGAAGCCTACGTCGACCACGGGCCGGAGGCTGTGTGCAAGGAATGGGTCAGAGAGGACGATTGCCGCAGTTCGTGGCCACTCCATCATTCTCTATTTAGCTGATCGGCGTGTAGATGCGGCCAAGGGAAAATCTGCCCCTGAACCGGGCGTGATGCCGAAACCTCGTCCAGTCCCGTCAAGGACCTACATTGAACGAAAGAATATCGAATATCTCATCACACAGAAGCTGCTACAGACAGGTCAGGGGAAACGTCAACCACGGTGCATATTATATGGACTCGGGGGGTCAGGAAAGACCCAGCTCGCGACGAAATGGATCCAGGATCACGAACACAAGTACGGATTGTGAGCATCATCTAAATAGTGCCTGACTTTCTTTCTCTAGTTTCAGTCGGGTGATTTTCGTCGACGCTTCCAGCCAACAGCATCTAGAGGCGGATTTGGAGCGGTCCATTCGCTCCTTAGGCCCGGAGTACGCTAAGATGACGTGGAATGACGCAGTTGCGTATCTCGACGGCAAGGAGAAAGGTTGGCTACTATTCTTTGACAACGCCGATTCGGAAAAGCTCGAACTTCGTCCATACCTCCCTGGTAGTGTTCACGGAACCATTTTGATTACCACAAGAAACGCTCACTGTAACAAATACGCTCGGGATGGTGCAGTCCATGTCGGCGATCTGGAGGACAACGAGGCCGTGAACCTTCTCCACACAATTGCCAACGTCGCACCTGCGTCCGATGTTGAATCTCTCAAGATTGTTCGGGAGCTGGGTATGCTTGCGCTGGCAATTACCCAAGCCGGAGCATATATTGGCAACACTCGGCGCCTCGATACGTATCTGGACACATTCCATGAGCATCGAGATCAACTTCTACGTAGCAAGCCAGAAATTGACGCGGAATACGCGTTCTCGACATACGCCGCCTTCGATCTGTTCTTCAAAAACCTCCCAGAAAATACACAGGAGCTCCTCAAACTGTGTGCATCCCTCCACTACTCGCTGATTCCAATAGACCTATTTAGGCGGTCAATACAATCCGAATTTAGCGCATACTCGGTCCGGAATAGCCTTCCCCCTCCCGAGAGTGACCAGACTATCATTTCGAGGCTCATAAAAATTCCTGGGTCCACGTGGAATGAGGTTGCATTCCAGAGGATTGTCGACCCAGCATCGCATGGGTCGTTTATCAGTATTTCATCCGACGGCCTATTCTACACGTTTCATCCACTGTTTCAGATGTATCTCAAGGATCGTCTTGGAGGAGAAGAGGGTCGATGTTATGCACGCATGACCGCACAACTCCTCCTAGGTGCTATCCGGCCCATTAAAGATAGCAATGCGTGGTCTTGGCAACTGCTTCCTCATGTCGACAGAATTCCTCGATCGGTACAATTGGAGAGCGTGGCGCACGCATTGGCGTTCCACGAACTTTATAACTCTGTGGGGAACTGGAAGGCGTGTCAAGAGCTGTTGGAGCCTGCACTTACCCAGCTTGGTCAAAACGAAGGCCAGAGGAATGAAGATTCACTATTTGTTATCAGCCGACTAGCCGATGCGCTGCAACGTGACGGTCAGTTGTCCAGAGCGGAAAAGATGCAACGTGATGTGCTTGCATTACGGCTCGAGATCCACGGAGAATGGCATCTAGATACCATCTCAGCAATGAGCAACCTTGCAGATACATTATCAAGGAGTGGTCAGTTGGACAAAGCCGAAACGATGGCGCGAAAGGTACTCACATTGCGGCTCGAGATCCTTGGTCAACGGCACCCAGACACCATCTCGGCAACCAGGAATGTCGCTGCTACATTATACAGGCGTGGCCAGCTCGAAGAGGCTGAAAAGATGGAGCGAGAAGTACTTACCCAACGGGTCGAGATACTTGGAAAACGGCATCCAGATACCATATCAGCGATGAATAGCCTTGCCGCTACATTACACAAGGGTGGTCAGTTGGATGAGGCTGAAAAGCTGATACGGGAGGTGCTTGCTTTGCGGCTCGAAATCCTTGGAAAACGCCATCCAGATACTATCGTGGCAGTAAACAACCTTGCTACAACTTTATGGAAGTGTGGTCAGTGGGACGAGGCTGAAAAGATGGAGCGAGAGGTACTCGCGTTGCAGACGGAGATACTTGGACGACGGCATCTTGACACTATCTCGGCGTTGCATAACCTTGCGGTCACAGTCCGCGATCGCGGTCAGCTGGACGAGGCCGAAAAGATGGAGCGAGAAGCACTTGCTTTGCGGCTCGAGATCCTTGGAAGAAAAAATATCGATACGATTTCGACGATGGGGAATCTTGCCATTACACTGTCCAACCGTGGCGATTTACATGAGGCCGAAACCTTGGAGCGAGAGGTGCTTGCTTTGCGGCTCGAGATCCTTGGAAGAAGAAATCTAGATACTATCTCGGCGATGCGCAATCTTGCCATCACACTGTATAACCGTGGTCAGCTGGACGAGGCTGAAAAGCTGGAGCGAGATGTACTCGCACTGCGGCTCGAGATACTTGGACAACAGCATAAAGACACGATAATGGTCATGAGGGACCTCGCTCTTACATTGTATAGGCGTAGTCAGAGGGACGGGGCCGAAAAGATAGAGCAAGGGGTAAAATCATTGTTACCCAGAATCCTTGGACGACGCAAGGCTCTCCGTGCCTTATCCCATTCTCTTTTTATACTTCAGAAGTCTGGTCAGCTCGAGGAATCCGCAAATCTCCTACGAGAGGCCATGAAGCTACGGCGCGAGGTCCCTGGTGAAGAAACTCCCAATACCTCGGAGTTGGAATCGCTTCTCGAGCTCGTTATGGCGGAGAAATCTCATCATGGCTCTCGTAGGAGACCTTTGACCAGATACTTGCCTGTGCTATTTTCATGAATGATTTGGTCCTTGTTTGTCATGTAGACTGCTTTCGATTCTAATCGTCAAGTATTGTAGAATCAATTAATACAGCACTACGAAATTCGCTCTTTGAACGAACAGGAATTATCTATCGCAGGATTTGCAACATGTCTCTCGCCACTGTTTTCGTTCGACACCCTCAATGCATTTGTTTCAGCCAAACAATGCGCGTAGGTGTGTAAGGACCTGAATTCAACCGCAGTGAGTGCGAATCACTCTGGTTACGGCCAAAAATCAGTTGCATTGATCCTCTTTACAATCGAATCCTGCAAGCGGACAGATCTTCTCATGTATATGTCTAGTGGCGAGTGATTTGTCGATGTTATGAGCCCAATTATGTGAATCGCGGAGTCGTTGGTCATCTTTGATGCTGAGAACAAGATAAGGAGTTGATCAGAGAATAAAGTAGGTGCATGCCGAACGTTCATTCAGCCGAGTTGATGAGCATCCTCAATTGATCTTCTCTAAATGCATAGTAACTATGTTCGGTGTGTTGAGGTCGGGATAGCTCAAATGCAAGTAGGGCGTGGTATTGGACTTGGTTGTCAACGGTAAAGTTATGAACGTGGGAGAGTGCCTCCAAGCGTGAATGTGCATTTCTGGATCGAAGTCGGTATTGCTGTGAGAGGACTGAACTGGAAGCTCACCTTGAATTCATCTCTCCGTTACCCATTCTCATTCGTCTTCTCGTCTGCGCCCCGCATTTAAAGGTGAGAGCAGTGTTGACATGCTAGATGTATATTTTGTGATTCATTCGTCCGCTGGTGCGCCCCATCTATTGGGTTCAGAAGTCGACAGAGGGGCTTTCCGCGTCGGACACGAATTAAACATCGAGTGGGTGCCCATCCCGCGCGTTGGCAAGAGTATGCTCTTCGATGCCCCGTTGAGTACTTATTTGAAAAGGTGCATCCATCTCTCAACCACGGTTGCCTCGTATGATGAACAGTATCCCTATGTATGCCTTAATCCCGTGCTCCGTCGAAGGGATTGGGGTATTCGTCTGGCGTAATGGTTTACTGGAGCACCGATATTCTTGAATCTTGCCACGCAAGCCGTTCAAACTCCCTGAGATAGGCAACCACGGCGATATGACAAGAATGCGCCGGAAAACCCACTGAAGCGACAGTTTTTGGGTAGCGTGAGATAGTAAGGTTGAACTCTTTGCTCTGCTACGTTTCTTGTAGACGTTGATGTTCCATGGTGCGATGGATGGGGCTAAAGTGGAATGGATCACTGCCACTGGCCGGTACACCGATATTTATTGATATATGCAGTGGTCATTGTCCTTCTGAATATCTGTGAACTGGATCATCTGGGGTGTTCGCAGAGATAGACACGACTGACTTGAAGACGCTGAGCTGGTATTTGGGTGGTCTAATACTCGCGACTGGCGAGGCAGAGTCGACCACGTCTCTATCGGAGAAGCCCAGATCTTCTCGACTCTCGGCAGACTAGCAGCTCAAACTTGGCCCGGCCCATCACGCCGCCGAAAGTGAATTCGACTCGCACAGGAATATACAAGGACAACAAACTTACCTGACGTCGATAATTGGCCTTTTGTGTTGGCACTTGCAGGTTGTGCCTCTGTGCCATTCTCTACTGTTGCAGTTGTTGGCTGCAGCACATTTCAGTTCATTCCGTCATGGCATTCTACTCGATTGCTCTACTCTCTATAGCATGCTCTATCATTCTGTTCAGGGTGGGGATCGACCAGTACATGCCGCTTCTCGTTTCGAACACTAGCGCCGGGTCGACTTCGAAGCCCCAATCAAAGCTAGAAGAATTTGGATTCCTAGAAATCTCCTCCGGAATTAATCCTATTGTCGAGTAAGCCACTCACTTTCTGCAGGTGCTCGCCGCTGAGCGCGCCTCTGCCCACTGCAGTATTATCGCTATCCATGGCTTGCAAGGTCACAGAGAGAAGACCTGGACGACAGATGATGGAGTGTTTTGGTTACGTGACCTCTTGCCTTCAGACTTGTCCAACGCCCGAGTCCTCAGCTATGGATACGATGCCGACATCCGCAGTCGCGAATGTGTATCAACTCAAACGATGAGTCGGCATGCAGAAGGGTTCGCCAATGCACTCTCACGGGTCCGGAAAGACGCTCCTCGTGTAAGTACGCCTCTCTTGAACGGCTGATCGTTCTCTCAACAACGACTAGCGCCCCATTATCTTTGTCGCACACGACATAGGAGGTATTATCCTCAAATGGGTTCGTAGCACTCGACTCCAAGAGCCGGCAACTGACATCCCGCTCTGGTAGACACTGGTTATCTGCCACAATCAAAGGTTGGAATCCAAGGGTCACCTTCGGGATATTCTCGTTTCGACACATGGGATCCTGTTCTTCGGGACTCCACACTTTGGCGTCGAGGGAACGACTTTCCTTCGAGGGAATCAATTTTATACTGTCCGTGTACATGGCGACAACAGACGCTATTCTCAAAGATCTGCGATCTCATTCGACAGAACTCGAGAACATACAGCGATTCTGGGTCGCGGCCAGCGAGAAGATTAGTATCATCTTCTTCTGCGAAGGTTATGCGATGGCCGATGTCGGGAATCGAGGAGAACTTGTGAGTTGGTTGGTACTCGAGTATTATATCTTACAAAATTACAGAATGTTCCATATTACTCGGCTACTATCGCCGGGGACCGCGATGCGGCGACAATCGTACTTCATGCAAATCATCGCAATTTGGTCCGATTCTCATCCAAAGAGAATGACAACTACATCACGGTCCATTACTATCTCAAAGAGTACATCAATAATGCGCCTTTGACAGTGCAAAAGAAATGGAATAAAGAAGACGAACTTCGCAGTCAGTATCCAATATCCCATCTCTAATTCGCTGATGGAGAGGCAGATACAGCAAAGGGAGAATCCGAAGAGTCCATGACGCCAAAACCCCGTCCACTCCTGTCAAGAACTTACATCGAAAGAAAACGAATCGAGTCCCTCATTACAAAGAAGCTGCTTCCAGAGAGTCGCGGAAAGCATCAACCACGATGTATACTATATGGACTTGGAGGGGCGGGCAAGACTCAGCTCGCAACGAACTGGATTCAGGGACACGAAGAGGAGTACGTCATATGGTGACTATTTGGACAGCCCCTAATCCCTGGTCAGGTTTACTCGAGTGATCATGGTCGATGCCTCCAGCCAATCGCAGTTGGAAGCGGACTTAGCACGGTCAATTCGTTCGTTGGGTCCGGAATATAGCAAGATGACGTGGAAGGATGCGGTGGCATATCTTGATGGAAAGGAGAAAGGCTGGTTGCTATACGTCGACAACGCCGACTCGCCAGAACTCGACCTCCTTCCATATCTCCCCCGTTCTATTCATGGGGCAACTCTGATTACCACAAGGAACGTCGGGTGCGTCAACTACGCTCCTGACGGTGCGGTTCATGTCGGTGGTCTCGAGGAGAGCGAGGCGGTGAATCTTCTGCATACAACCGCCAACATCACCCCTACCTCGGACGTCGAATCTCTCGAGATTGCTCGTGAGCTAGGGATGCTGGCGCTTGCCATTACGCAAGCCGGAGCGTTTATTCGCAAGACGCGCAGCCTCCATACGTACCTCGAAACATTTCGTCAGTATCGAGATCGACTCCTACGCAAGCAGCCCGACATTGGCACGGAGTACGCTTTCTCCACATATACCGCATTCGACCTATCCTTTAACGAGCTACCGGCAAATACGCAAGACTTCCTGAAGCTTTGCGCATTTCTTCACCACTCATTGATTCCAAAGGACCTGTTCAAGCGGTCAATCAGCTCCGGCTTTACCACATACACAGTCAGGGACAGTCTCCCCCCGCCAGAGAGTGACAAGACTTTCATCTCGAACCTGCGGTTCTTAGGCCCCAATTGGAATGAGATTACATTCCAGGAGATTGTGGACTCGGCGTCGCAAGCGTCATTTATCGACGTTTCGAGCGACGGCTCATTCTACATGGTTCACCCTCTACTTCAGATGTATATCAAGGATCGTCTTGGTGAAGAAGAGAATCGACGCTATATGCACACGACAGCACAACTGTTACTGGGTGCCATCCGGCCTGTTGAGGATAGCAATGAGTGGTTCTGGCAGCTGCTCCCTCACGTCGACAGCATCCCTCGGTCGGTGCAGTCAGAGAGCGTGGCACGCGGATTGGCGTTCCACGAACTTTATTACTCTTTGGGGAACTGGAAGGCTTGCCGAGAGCTGTTGGAAGCCGCACTTCCACGATGTGATTGGCGGAAGGCAAACGGGACGAAGGCTCACTATTTGTGATGGGGGAACTTGCCGATTTGCTGTGGAAGGATGGCCAGTTCGACAAGGCCGAAAAGATGGAGCGTGAGGTACTCGACTTGCTGCTCGAGATACTTGGACCACGCCACCCGGACACCATTTCGGCAGTGGGCAACCTTGCAAACATAGTGTCTGACCGTGGTCGGTTGGACGAGGCTGAGAAGATGCTGCGTGAGGTACTCGACTTGCGGCTCAAGATACTTGGACCACGCCACCTGGACACCATCTCGGCAATGCACAGCCTCGCAAATACACTATCTGGCCGTGGTCGGTTGGACAAGGCCGAAAAGATAGAGCGTGAGGTACTCGACTTGCGGCTCGAGATACTTGGACCACGCCACCCGGACACCATTATGGCAATGGGCAACCTCGCTTCTACACTGTCTGACCGTGGTCGGTTGGACGAGGCCGAGAAGATGAAGCGTGAGGTACTCGACTTGCGGCTCGAGATACTTGGACCACGCCACCCGGACACCATTGTAGCAATGCACAATCTCGCAAACACACTGTCTGAGCGTGGTCGGTTGGACGAGGCCGAAAAGATGGAGTGTGAGGTGCTCGATTTGCGGCTCGAGATACTTGGGCCACGCCACCCAGACACCATTATGGCAATGGGCAACCTCGCTTCTACACTGTCTGACCGTGGTCGGTTGGACGAGGCCGAAAAGATGGAGCGTGAGGTACTCGACTTGTGGCTCGAGATACTTGGACCACGCCACCCGGACACCATTATGGCAGTGAATAACCTCGCAAATACACTGTATGATCGTGGTCGGCTGGACGAGGCTGAGAAGATGCAGCGTGAGGTACTCGATCTGCGGCTCGAGATACTTGGACCACGCCACCCAGGCACCATTTCGGCAATGCACAACCTTGCAAATACACTGTCTCACCGTGGTCGGCTGGACGAGGCTGAGAAGATGCAGCGTGAGGTACTCGATCTGCGGCTCGAGATACTTGGACGACGCCACCCGGGCACCATTTCGGCAATGAACAACCTTGCAAGCACACTGTCTCACCAAGGTCGGTTGGAAGAGGCTGAGAAGATGCAGCGTGAGGTACTCAACCTGCGGCTTGAGATACTTGGACCACGCCACCCAGCTACCATTGCAACAATGAGCAACATAGCTTCTATACTGTCAGTCCGTGGTCGGTTGGACGAGGCAGAGAAAACGCAGCGTGAGGTACTCAATTTCCAGCTCGAGATACTTGGTCCACGCCACCCAGACACCATTTCGGCAATGATCAACCTCGCTTCTACACTGTTCAAGCGTGGTCATCTGGCTACCTCGTCCAGTCCTTCCGCAATGTTTCATGAGTCTGGTTGGCTTCGTGAAGCCAGAAACCTTCTGCAAGAGGTCGTGAATCTATGCGTTGAGGTATTGGGCGAAGATCATCCTACTACTTTGAAATCCAAGATGTTTCTCAAGCATATTATTTCCAAGCAATCTCGGGCCTCGTAGGCGTGTATTCCGATTCTTTTCCTTTTTATCTTAATTAATGTATTTCAACTGTCATTCTACTTGTTATGCGAGCATGCGCAGAACTGTTCCCAATTCTCCGTGCACGATTGAATCTGATATCCTGAGCATTGGGACCGCGAGCACCCAACGTACTGTATACCTTTTGAGCAGCGTCCAACTGTCTTGCCATTGAAAGTGCTTTCCGCCTTAGTTGCACTTCTCCATCACACTTACCCAGCTCCCTCGGCCAACTAATCAAGGCATGTGAGTATAAGATCCAGGTATCAATAGTGGATCTTTCAGAATCATTTGATCTCAACTAGATGAATAGCGAAACTATCTATCTTTCCAGCTAAAATTTGTGCGAGGATTCGTCCACAACTGCATCTTCAGGCCAACCGTTCGTCTACACGTTCCTAAAATGGAGCAAAGTGCACCTGAACTGGTGTGCCTAGCAAGCCAGGATCATATTTCATTTCATCTTCTTCTCTCTTCTCTCCTTGATCCAACCCTTTACCAGCTTCAGTTCCATTACGATGAACGACATCGACGCAGGGGCGAAAAGCATGTAGATCGCATACTTGTGCTCTGCGGAGAAGTAGAGTTGTGCAACCATTCCTAGGTTGAAGAATGCCCGAGAAGAATATTCCAGAGCTCGACGTGCGTTCGCAGAACGCTCAGAGACATTTCCGACATAACTACTCTGTATCTACGACAATTTTCGTCAGAGCTTGGATCCAAACACGAAGGAATAAGGGAGGTATGTACAGACTCAGTTCCTCCAGGGACTGAAGCACGTCGTCCCGCACGTCTCGACCAACCGGCATATTGTCAAGCTGATCAATGGGTTTGGCGATGCTTGTGAGTGTTTGGATGCTGCCCTCTGCATTCTCTCGCGACCTCTTCCTAAGGAGTGCGTCCACCTGTCATTCGGACAGCGAATCACTATGAGTCTCAGCGAACTTCACATTCAATGGAAGCGCGGGGACACCCAGTAGGATGAGGAGCTGGGTGCGGAACGTGGAGAAGACCTGGTTTTCTGTGAGCGCATAGAATCCTGGAAGGACCTGATTGTTCATCAACACCACCCCGCCCCACTGAGGGATGTTGAAGCCCGATGCATCTAGCGGGCGATGATTCTTCTCGTCGTATATGTGCATTGGCGAGTGATTCATAGATGGGATGAATGCGATTAGGTGAATCACGGGGCCGTTGGTTATCCTTGATGCTGGCAACGAGGTGGGTGATCCGTCAGAGGTGAAGAAATGCCCGTACAAAGTATCCGTTCAGCTGAGTAGATATATATCTTCAGTTCATCCCTTCCTAGCGCATAATAGCTATGATCCGCGCCACTCGGGCGCGAGGGCGTTATGATATTCGGTCTGCTGATATTGAGGCAGCTCAAACGCAAGTGGGGCGTGGTATTGGACTTGGCTATCAACGGTAGAGTTGTGAACGTGAGAGAGTGCCTCCAAGGGTGAATGTGCATCTCCTAGATCGAAGTCAGTATTGCTGTGAGAGGACCGAAGTGGAAGCTCACCTTGAATTCATTTCTCCGTTGCCCATTCTCATTCGCCTTCTTGTCTGCGCCCCGCATTTAAAGTGAGAGCAGTATTTGCATGCTGGATACATGCTTTGTGATTCAGTCGTCCGCTGGTGCGCCCCAGTCTATTGGATTCAGAAGTTGACAGAGGGGCTTTCCGGGGTCATATGTGTATTTGGGCAACCAGAGATGCGATTGAATACTAGAACTAGAGTTAGCACAATCAGAGCCGCTCAACCCATGAAACTCGAAGTTTCATCCCTTCACAACGTTATACTCGTGGCCGTCTTGATACATCGAAACAGAATATCCCGAATCGTGTTTCTCCCAAGGTGACCACATCAGACCTATTGACGCGTCGGACACGAATTAAACATCGAGTGGGTGCCAATCCCGCGCGTTGGCAAGAGTATGCTCTTCGATGCCCCGTTGAGTACTTATTTGAAAAGGTGCATCCATCTCTCAACCACGGTTGCCTCGTATGATGAACAGTATCCGCTATGTATGCCTTAATCCCGTGCTCCGTCGAAGGGATTGGGGTATTCGTCTGGCGTAATGGTTTACTGGAGCACCGATATTCTTGAATCTTGCCACCCAAGCCGTTCAAACTCCCTGAGATAGGCAACCATGGCGATATGACAAGAATGCGTCGGAAAACCCACTGAAGCGACAGTTTTTGGGTAGCGTGAGATAGTAAGGTTGAACTCTTTGCTCTGCTACATTTCTTGTAGACGTTGATGTCCCATGGTGCGATGGATGGGGCCAAAGTGGAATGGGTCACTGCCACTGGCCGGTACACCGATATTTATTGATATATGCAGTGGTCATTGTCCTTCTGAATATCTGTGAACTGGATCATCTGGGGTGTTCGCAGAGAACAGAGATAGACACAGCTGACTTGAGGACACTGAGCTGGTATTTGGGTGGCCCAATACTCACGACTGGCGAGGCAGAGTCGACCACGTCTTTATCGGAGAAGCCTAGGTCTTCTCGACTCTCGGCAGACTAGCAGCTCAAACTTGGCCCGGCCCATCACGCCGCCGAAAGTGAATTCGATTCACACAGGAATATACAAGGATAGCACGCTTACCTGACGTCGACAATTGGCCTTTTTGCGTCGGCACTGGCACGCTGTGCCTCTGTGCCATTCTATACTGTTGCAGTTGTTGGTTACAGCACATTTCAGTCCATTCCGTCATGGCATTCTACTCGATTGCTCTACTCTCTATAGCATGCTCTATCATTCTGCTTAGGGCGGGGATAGACCAGTACATGCCTCTTCTCGTTTCGAGCACTAGCGCCGTGTCGACGTCGAAGCCCCAATCAAAGCTAGAAGAATTCGGATTCCTAGAAATTTCCGCCGGAACTAATCCTATTGTCGAGTAAGCCACTCACCTATTATGTGTGCTTGCCGCTGAGCGCGCTTTTGCCCACTGCAGTATTATCGCTATCCATGGCTTGCAAGGTCACAGAGAGAAGACCTGGACAACAGATGATGGAGTGTTTTGGCTACGCGACCTCTTGCCTTCCGACTTGTCCAACGCCCGAGTCCTCAGCTATGGATACGATGCCGACACCCGCAGTCGCGAATGTGTATCAACTCAAACGATGAGTCGGCATGCAGAAGGGTTCGCCAATGCGCTCTCACGGGTCCGGAAAGATGCTCCTCGTGTAAGTGCGCCTCTCTTGAACGGCTGATCGTTCTCTCAACAACGACTAGCGCCCCATTATCTTTGTCGCACACGACATAGGAGGTATTATCCTCAAATGGGTTTGTAGCACTCGACTCCAAGAGCCGGCAACTGACATCCCGCTCTGGTAGACACTGGTTATCTGCCACAATCAAAGGTTGGAATCCAAAGGTCACCTTCGGGATATTCTCGTTTCGACACATGGGATCCTTTTCTTCGGAACTCCACACTTTGGCGTCGAGGGAACCACTTTCCTCGAGGGAATCAATTTTATACTGTCCGTATACATGGCGACAACAGACGCTATTCTCAAAGATCTGCGATCTCATTCGACAGAACTCGAGAACATACAGCGATTCTGGGTCGCGGCCAGCGAGAAGATTAGTATCATCTTCTTCTGCGAAGGTTATGCGATGGCCGGTGTCGGGAATCGAGGAGAACTTGTGAGTTGGTTGGTACTCGAGTATTATATCTTACAATATTACAGAATGTTCCATATTACTCGGCTACTATCGCCGGGGACCGCAATGCGGCGACAATCGTACTTCATGCAAATCATCGCAATTTGGTCCGATTCTCATCCAAAGAGAATGACAACTACATCACGGTCCATTACTATCTCAAAGAGTACATCAATAATGCGCCTTTGACAGTGCAAAAGAAATGGAATAAAGAAGACGAACTTCGCAGTCAGTATCCAATATCCCATCTCTAATTCGCTGATGGTGAGGCAGATACAGCAAAGGGAGAATCCGAAGAGTCCATGACGCCAAAACCCCGTCCACTCCTGTCAAGAACTTACATCGAAAGAAAAGGAATCGAGTCCCTCATTACGAAGAAGCTGCTTCCAGAGAGTCGCGGAAAGCATCAACCACGGTGTATACTATATGGACTTGGAGGGGCGGGCAAGACTCAGCTCGCAACGAACTGGGTTCAGGAACACGAAGACGAGTACGTCATATGGTGACTATTTGGACAGCTCATAATCCCTGGTCAGGTTTACTCGAGTGATCATGGTCGATGCCTCCAGCCAATCGCAGTTGGAAGCGGATTTAGCACGGTCAATTCGCTCGTTGGGTCCGGAATATAGCAAGATGACGTGGAAGGATGCGGTGGCATATCTTGATGGAAAGGAGAAAGGCTGGTTACTATATGTCGACAACGCCGACTCGCCAGAACTCGACCTCCTTCCATATCTCCCCCATTCTATTCACGGGGCAACTCTGATTACCACAAGGAACGTCGGGTGCGTCAACTACGCTCCTGATGGTGCGGTTCATGTCGGTGGTCTCGAGGAGAGCGAGGCGGTGAATCTTCTGCATACAACGGCCAACATCACCCCTACCTCGGACGTCGAATCTCTGGAGATTGTTCGCGAGCTAGGGATGCTGGCGCTTGCAATTACGCAAGCCGGTGCGTATATTCGCAAGACGCGCAGCTTAGATACGTACCTCGAAACATTTCGTCAGTACCGAGATCGACTCCTACGCAAGCAGCCCGACATTGGCACGGAGTACGCTTTCTCCACATATACCGCATTCGACCTATCCTTTAACGAGCTACCGGCAAATACGCAAGACTTCCTGAAGCTTTGCGCATTTCTTCACCACTCATTGATTCCAAAGGACCTGTTTAAGCAATCAATAGGCTCTGGCTTTACCACATACACAGTCAGGGACAGTCTCCCCCCTCCAGAGAGTGACAAGACTTTCATCTCGAACCTGCGGTTCTTGGGCCGCAAGTGGGATGAGATTACATTCCAGGAGATTGTGGACTCGGCGTCGCAAGCGTCATTTATCGACGTTTCGACCGACGGGTCATTCTACACGGTTCACCCTCTACTTCAGATGTATATCAAGGACCGTCTGGCTGAAGAGGGGAACCGACGCTATATGCGCATGACAGTACAATTGCTACTGGGTGCCATCCGGCCTGTGAAGGATAGCAATGAGTGGTTCTGGCAACTACTACCCCACGTCGACAGCATCCCTCGATCAGTGCAGTCAGAGAGCGTGGCACACGCATTGGCATTCTACAAGCTTTATTACTCTTTGGGGCGCTGGAAAGCGTGCCAAGAGCTATTAGAACCTGTGCTTTCACGATTTGATTGCGCCGAGGGTAAACGGGACAAAGAATCAGTATTTGTGATGGACCAGCTTGCCGATTTGCTGTGGAAGGATGGTCAGTTGGGCCGGGCCGAAAATATGCAGCGTGAGGTACTCGACTGGCGGCTCGAGATACTCGGACGACGCCACCCAAGCACCATTTCGGCGATGAACAACCTCGCTTCTATACAGTATCACCGTGGTCGGTTGGACGAGGCTGAGAAGATGCAGCGTGAGGTACTCGATCTGCAGCTCGAGATACTTGGACCACGCCACCCAGACACCATTTCGGCAGTGCATAACCTCGCAAATACAGTGTCTGACCGTGGTCAGTTGGACGAGGCTGAGAAGATGCGGGGTGAGGTACTCGACTTGCAGCTCGAGATACTTGGACGACGTCACCCAGACACCATTATGGCAATGAGCAACCTCGCAAATACGCTGTCTAACCGTGGTCAGTGGGACGATGCTGAGAAGATGCGGCGCGAGATACTCGACCTGCGGCTCGAGATACTTGGGCCACACCACCCAGACACCATTTCGGCAATGGGCAACCTCGCAAATACACTCTCTGACTGTGGTCGGCTGGACGAAGCTGAGAAGATGCAGCGTGAGGTACTCGAATTGCGGCTCAAGATGCTTGGAACACGCCACCCAGAGACCATTATGGCGATGAACAACCTCGCAAATACACTGTCCGACCGTGGTCATCTGGACGAGGCTGAGAAGATGCGGCGTGAGATACTCGATCTGCGGCTCGAGGTACTTGGACCACGCCACCCAGACACCATTATGGCAGTGAATAACCTCGCAAATACACTGTATGATCGTGGTCGGCTGGACGAGGCTGAGAAGATGCAGCGTGAGGTACTCGATCTGCGGCTCGAGATACTTGGACCACGCCACCCAGGCACCATTTCGGCAATGCACAACCTCGCAAATACGCTGTCTCACCGTGGTCGGCTGGACAAGGCTGAGAAGATGCAGCGTGAGGTACTCGACTTGCGGCTCGAGATACTTGGACGACGCCACCCAGGCACTATTTCAGCAATGAACAACCTTTCAAGCACACTGTCTCACCAAGGTCGGTTGGACGAGGCTGAGAAGATGCAGCGTGAGGTACTCGATCTGCAGCTCGAGATACTTGGACCACGCCACCCAGCTACCATTGCAACAATGAGCAACATAGCTTCTATACTGTCAGTCCGTGGTCGGTTGGACGAGGCAGAGAAAATACAGCGTGAGGTACTCAATTTCCAGCTCGAGATACTTGGTCCACGCCACCCAGACACTATTTCGGCAATGATCAACCTCGCTTCTACACTGTTCAAGCGTGGTCATCTGGCTACCTCGTCCAGTCCTTCCTCAATGTTTCATGAGTCTGGTTGGCTTTGGGAAGCCAGAAACCTCCTGCAAGAGGTCGTGAATCTATGCGTTGAGGTCTTGGGCGAAGATCATCCTACTACTTTGAAATCCAAGGTGTTTCTCAAGCATATTATTTCCGAGCAATCTCGGGCCTCGTAGGCGTGTATTCCGATTCCTTTCCTTTTATCTTAATTGATATGTTTCAACTGTCATTCTACTTGTTATGCGAGCATACACATAACTATTTCCCATTTCTCACTACACGATTGAATCTGATATCCTGAGCTTCGGGACTGTAAGCACACCCACGTATTGTCTATTTTTTTGAGCGGTGTCCAACTATCTTACCGCTTAACATATTTCCTCTGTTTGCTCCATTTCTTCACCCTCTGTACATCTCTCTCCGCCAAATACTGAAGGCGTGTGAGGATAAGATCCGGGCACCAATTATAGATCTTCCAAAATTATTCTGTCTAATCTGGATGAGTAGTGAGATTCTGCATCTTTCCAACTCCATTTCCTGCGCGAAGATAGAGATCATAAATGCATTTTCGGGCCCACTATTAGTCTACACGTTCCGAAAATGAAACAGTGCGACTGAGGTGGTGTGAGGAGCTGGGCGCGGAACGTGGAGAAGATCTGGGTTTGAGTGAACGCATGTAATCCTGGAAGGACCTAATTGTTCATCAACACCACTCCGCCCCACCGAGGGATGATGAAGCCCAGTGCGTCTAGCGGGCGATGATTCTTCTCGTCGTATATGTGCATTGGTGAGTGATTTCAGACGAGATGAATGCGATTAGGTGAATCACGGGGTCGTTGGTTATCTTTGATGCTGGCGACGAGGTGGGTGATCCGTCAGAGGTGAAGGAATGCGCGTACAGAGTTTCCATTCAGCTGAGTTGATAAATACCTCCAGTTAGCCCTCGTACAGAGCATAATAACTATGTTCAGTCTGTTGACGTCGAGGTGGCGCAAAAGCAGGTGGTGCATGGTATTGGACCTGGCTCTCAATAGTGAAGTGGTGAACTTGAGAAAGAGCTTGAAAGATCGGATGTATACTCTCTAAGTCGAAGTCAGCTGTTATATCGAGAGGACCATGCTTGGTCCTTACCCTGCATCAATCTCTCTGCTGCCTATCCTCGTTTCGTGGTCTCGGTTGTGACCTCGTTTAATAGGGATAGAGATAATCGTGTATTAGAGGCATATTGTGTGACTCGGTTGTCTGCCGGACGCCCAGCTGTTGGGTTCAGAAGACGATAGAGCTTTCCGAGGTCGTGTGCATCTAGTTTTGCGTTGAATTACTCGATCGCGTACGGGAACTGGCACCATACTGTTAGGACTGTTTGGTCCGTGAAATTCGAGATTTCGTCCGTTCACGACGTTGTACGGCTGACGGTCTTGACGCATCGAAACAGAGTATCCAGAGGCGACTCCTGCGGATTTTGAGTCATTAAACGTCTCAAATGTGATTATATTGTACATTCCGACGTGCTGGACACGATTTGAACCTCGAATGATCGCCAATCCTCTGCGCTGGCGACCCGGCACTCTTCGATGGCATGCTGAACGCTCCTTTGAGAAGATGCATTCATCTCTTGACCATGACGGTCTTGTATGGCGCCTGGTATCCGCTCTGTAAACTATCTTGTGTCAATTCATTGAAAGTGTCGGAGTCTCGTGTCAAGGCATACCTCGGAAATAGTCTGCTGCTGTACAAGAATTCTTGAAACTGGCAATGGAAGTCGCTGTATGCTGGTCATGCTCCACCAGATGGGTAAACACGCCAATACGACAGCCCAGTACGCCAGCAAAATCCGCTGGAGCAGTTGACTCTCCTGGTGTGAGACGGCAGGAAATTGAATTTCTTGCCGCTCCATTCTGGCTTCGCACGGTCGTCTCGTCTTGTCGGACTGTATTTCATTGTCGTGATGGACAGGACCAAAATTGGATGCATTGAGTCTCCAATTGGACTCGATCATGGCCGCTAAATGGCGTCGCCTAGTTGGTTACTGCTGTGGGTAATGGACTATGGCCACATTTGTTGAACTGCCATGACGAAGTGGCCGCTGTCCATATTTTGTATCCGAGCAAACGAGTCACTCAAAGAATGAACACTAGGAGATTCGATTTGGAGCACACAAACACTCGCGTAGGGCTACCGGCGAGACACCTAAGAGGGACATCTCTCAGAGTATCTCAGGGCAGTCGCATTCGTCGGGTCGCTGATACTCCTGGGTTTCACTTCGTCGAAGTGGAAGGACCAACCAAGCTGGGTCTTACCATTCTGTAAGCTGGCAAGGAGAATGGCAATTCGTGCCAGCCTCTAGCGCCTCGTTGCAAAGACATGACTGCTGCTTGTCCTCGACCATCTCCTCCCTGAATAGTGCCCAATACTCGTTCACGATTGGAGAATACTCTGCATCCCACCCATTCACCCTCGCAGGTCGTCATGGACCAATCTAGACTTTTGGCTTCAGAAAGCCGCAAGCCGTCACCTTCAAATCAACATTCAAAGCTAGATCATCTTGGATTCCTCGAGGTTACACCTGGAAATGATCCTACAGTCGAGTAAGCTGCTCACTTTCTACACGTGCTCGCCGCTGAGCATACCTCTGCCTACTGCAGTATTGTCGCTATTCATGGCCTGCAAGGACATAGAGAGAAGACGTGGACGACGGACAAGGGAGTGTGTTGGCTACGTGACTTCTTGCCTTTCGACTTGCCCAATGCCCGAATCCTCAGCTGTGGATACGATGCCGACACCCGCAGTCAGGAATGCGTATCAACTCAGACTATTGCTCGACATGCTCAAGGGCTCGCCAATGCACTCTCACGGATACGGAACGATGCTCCTCGTGTGAGTCGGTCTCTAACGGTTGGACCCTGCCTGATCAACGACCAGCGCCCCATCGTCTTCATTGCGCACGACATCGGAGGTATCATTCTCAAATCGGTTTGTAAAAGTACTGTCGATGGATACCAGCCACTGACGCGTGCATAGGCCCTGGTCATCTGTCATAATCAGAACTTGGAATCCAGTGGTGAACTTCGGAACACTCTAGTATCAACACATGGGATTTTATTCTTTGGAACCCCACACTCCGGTCTCGAAGGCAGTGGTTTCCGGGAAGTAATCAATCGCTGGGCATCCGTGTACATGGAGACGGCAGACGTGATCCTGAAAGACCTTCGAGAACATTCGAGCGAGCTTGAGAATACACAGCGTCTGTATGTCGCGGCAAGCGAGAAGTTCAGCAGCATATTCTTCTGCGAAGAGTATGCAACATCTGGCATCAAGAATCAAGGTGAAATAGTGAGTATACTCATATCCAAGGATCAGATATTGATAGAACGGCAGAATGTCCCACATCATTCGGCCATTGTTCCCGGTGATCGCAACGCGAGGACAATCGTTCTTCACGCGAATCATCGCAATCTGGTCCGATTCTCATCCAGGGAGAGTGATGACTATAAGACGGTCCATTTCTATCTTAAAGCCTACGTCGACAGTGCGCCCGCGACAGTGAGCAAGCAATGGGTCAAAGAGAACGAACTTCGCAGTCAGTATCCAACATATCATCTCTAATTCGCTGATGGAAATGCAGATACAGCAAAGGGAGAATCCGAAGAGGCCATGATACCGAAACCGCGTCCACCTCTGTCAAGAAGTTACATCGAAAGAAAAGAAATTGAATCCCTCATTACGAAGAAGCTGCTTCCAGAGAGACGTGGAAAGCATCAACCACGGTGTATACTATATGGACTTGGAGGGCGGGCAAGACTCAGCTGGAAAGGAACTGGATTCAGGAACGGACACAGTACCATATACGTTACACTACTGGATAGTCTCAAATCCTCTCAATCATGGTCATGCCTACTCAGTGATCATGGTCGACCACCTCCAGCCAATCAAAGTTGGAATGGATTTGAACACGGTCAATGCCTCCCCAGCCCATGCCATATGATGGAAGGATGGACCTGGCGTATCTGATGGAATGTGCTGGTTACTACGCCTCGACGCCAACCGACCGCCAAACTCCCTCCTTCCATACTCCCTGTTCTATCTCAAATCCCGACTCATTACAACAAACGCACGCGTCAAATACGCTCCACACGTTGCGGTTCATGTCAGTGGTCTCGAGGAGAGCGAGGCGGTGAATCTTCTGCATACAATCGCCAACATCACCCCTACCTCGGACGTCGAATCTCTGGAGATTGTTCGCGAGCTAGGGATGCTGGCGCTTGCCATTACGCAAGCCGGAGCGTTTATTCGCAAGACGCGCAACCTCCATACGTACCTCGAAACATTTCGTCAGTATCGAGATCGACTCCTACGCGAGCAGCCCGACATTGGCACGGAGTACGCTTTCTCCACATACACCGCATTCGACCTATCCTTTAACGAGCTGCCGGCAAATACGCAAGACTTCCTGAGACTTTGCGCATTCCTCCATCCCTCATTGATTCCAAAGGACCTGTTTAGGCGGTCAATCAGCTCTGGCTTTACCACATACATTGTCAGGGACAGTCTCCCCCCACCAGAGAGTGACAAGACTTTCATCTCGAACCTGCAGTTCTTAGGCCCCAAGTGGGATGAGATTACATTCCAGAAGATTGTGGACTCGGCGTCGCAAGCGTCGTTTATCGACGTTTCGACCGACGGGTCATTCTACACGGTTCACCCTCTACTTCAGATGTACCTCAAGGATCGTCTTGGTGAAGAAGAGAATCGACGCTATATGCACACGACAGCACAACTGTTACTGGGTGCCATCCGGCCTGTTGAGGATAGCAATGAGTGGTTCTGGCAGCTGCTTCCTCACGTCGACAGCATCCCTCGGTTGGTGCAGTCAGAGTGCGTGGCACGCGGACTGGCGTTCCACGAACTTTATTACTCTTTGGGGAACTGGAACGCTTGCCGAGAGCTGTTGGAAGCCACATTTCCACGATGTGATTGGGCGGAAGGCAAACGGGACAAAGACTCACTATTTCTGATGTGGAAACTTGCCGATTTGCTGCGCAAGGATGGTCAGTTAGACAAGGCCGAAAAGATGCAGCGTGAGGTACTCGATCTGCAGCTCGAGATACTTGGACCACGCCACCCAGACACCATTTCGGCAATGGGCAACCTCGCTTCTACACTGTCTGACCGTGGTCGGTTGGACGAGGCTGAGAAGATGATGCGTGAGGTACTCGACTTGCGGCTCGAGATCCTTGGACCACGCCACCCAGACACCATTTCGGCAATGGGCAACCTCGCTTCTACACTGTCTGACCGTGGTCGGTTGGACGAGGCCGAGAAGATGAAGCGTGAGGTACTCGAGTTGCGGCTCGAGATACTTGGACCACGCCACCCAGACACCATCAAGGCAATGAACAACCTCGCAAACACACTGTCTGACCGTGGTCGGTTGGACGAGACCGAGAAGATGAAGCGTGAGGTACTCGATCTGCAGCTCGAGATACTTGGACCACGCCACCCAGATACCATTTTGGCAATGGGCAACCTCGCAAACACACTGTCTGACCGTGGTCGGTTGGACGAGGCTGAGAAGATGATGCGTGAGGTACTCGACTTGCGGCTCGAGATCCTTGGACCACGCCACCCAGACACCATTATGGCAATGGGCAACCTCGCAAACACACTGTCTGACCGTGGTCGGTTGGACGAGGCCGAGAAGATGATGCGTGAGGTACTCGATCTGCAGCTCGAGATACTTGGACCACGCCACCCAGACACCATTTTGGCAATGGGCAACCTCGCAAACACACTGTCTGACCGTGGTCGGTTGGACGAGGCTGAGAAGATGATGCGTGAGGTACTCGACTTGCGGCTCGAGATACTTGGACCACGCCACCCAGACACCATTTCGGCAATGAACAACCTCGCTTCTACACTGTCTGACCGTGGTCGGTTGGACGAGGCCGAGAAAATGATGCGTGAGGTACTCGACTTGCGGCTCGAGATACTTGGACCACGCCACCCAGACACCATTTTGGCAATGGGCAACCTCGCAAACACACTGTCTGACCGTGGTCGGTTGGACGAGGCTGAGAAGATGATGCGTGAGGTACTCGACTTGCGGCTCGAGATACTTGGACCACGCCACCCAGACACCATTTCGGCAATGAACAACCTCGCTTCTACACTGTCTGACCGTGGTCGGTTGGACGAGGCCGAGAAGATGAAGGGTGAGGTACTCGACTTGCGGCTCGAGATACTTGGACCACGCCACCCAGACACCATTTCGGCAATGTACAATCTCGCAAACACACTGTCTGACCGTGGTCGGTTGGACGAGGCCGAGAAGATGATGCGTGAGGTACTCGACTTGCGGCTCGAGATACTTGGACCACGCCACCCACACACCATTTCGGCAATGGGCAACCTCGCTTCTGCACTGTCTGACCGTGGTCGGTTGGACGAGGCCGAGAAGATGATGCGTGAGGTACTCGACTTGCGGCTCGAGATACTTGGACCACGCCACCCAGACACCATTTCGGCAATGAACAACCTCGCAAACACACTGTCTGACCGTGGTCGGTTGGACGAGGCCGAGAAAATGATGCGTGAGGTACTCGACTTGCAGCTCGAGATCCTTGGACCACGCCACCCAGACACCATCAAGGCAATGGGCAACCTCGCAAACACACTGTCTGACCGTGGTCGGTTGGACGAGGCTGAGAAGATGGAGCGTGAGGTACTCGACTTGCGGCTCGACATACTTGGACCCCGCCACTCGGACACCATTTCGGCAATGTACAATCTCGGTTTCACACTGTTCGAGTGTGCTCAGCTGCACAATGCCCAAAAACGAAAACCTCCGGTGACGCTAAAGATCTTTGCAAGAGGTCATCTGGCTACCTCCTCCAGTCCTTCCGAAATGTTTGGCAAGTCTGATTGGCTTCAGGAAGCCAGAAACCTCCTGCAAGAGGTCGTGAATCTACGCGTTGAGGTATTGGGCGAAGATCATCCCAATACTTTGAAATCCAAGATGTTTCTCGAGCGTATCATTTCCAAGCAATCTCGTGAGCCTCGTAGGCGTGCATCCCGATTCCTTTCCTTTTTATCATAATTAATGTATTTCAACTGTCATTCTACTTGTTATGCGAGCATGTATGTAAATATTCCCAATTTTCTCGGCGCGATTGAATCTGATATCCTGAGCTTCGAAACCGCGAGTACGCCCAATGTACTGAATACCTTTTGAGCGGTGTCCAACCGTCTTGCCGTTCAAAATGCTTTCTTCCTTTGTTACACTTCTTCGTCACACTTGTGCAGCTCCCTTGGCCAACTAATCAAGGCGTGTGAGTACTGAAGGGCCCTCCGGGCGGACCCCTGACCTTTATGTCCTTTTGGGCTCGACGATTTATCGCGAAATATACGTTATACACACAACTCGTGTGGGACCCCCTAGACGCTCGCAATGAACAGGGAGGAGGGGTGTGAACGAAATAGGAGATTTCATCAGAGACCTAAATGACAAACAAAAGCAGTCACGTCCTCTGGGTCTAGGAGGAGACAGAGCACGTAGGCGGAGATTGTAAGGGGCACTAAGACTATGGGCCTGAGTCTTCAGTCCTCTTTCCGTTGATCTGCTGGAGCTCGCGCTCAGGTGCATAGGAGTAAGCTGTTTGTCAAAAGAACGTAAAATTTCAGCTGGTGATACGCTCATAATACTCAAGGGAGCAACGTCTCTCCTGGAAACAACAGATGCATGCAAATTCAACGGATAACGAGTGACATAAACGTCTCTGACCGGTGAACGGAGCGCAGAGGCTCGTGTGAAACGACATTGGAATGCCCGCGTGGTATACAGGCAGCGCCGGCAACACCTACAGGCAGTCAGAGTAAGTCCAGGAGTATCAAGAGGTCCGACGCACCTTGAGGTGGCAAATTAGATACCTTTACAGGAAAAAAAGTGAGCGGTGAGTAGACTTCAAAGCCAAACTGAACGTGTTCGAGCGGGAGGGTGTTGTCTCGGGAGTGTCAGTACAATCCATAGTGATAGGGAGAACGTACTAGTGAGAGTCTGTCACGTGTAACAAAACTCAATGAATTGGGTGAGGTGGCCCAGACGTTTGTCAATATTTCCAGTCAGATGAATGTGGCGAGCCAGAGTGTCGGGTGCCAGGGAAGCTAATGGCAGCATTGCTGCTTCCCTCGTATGCAGAAGCATTGAAAGATACTGATAGAGCCCCGGATTGTTGAACGAAGGGTGGGCAAGCTTGACTCGCCTTTCGGCATCGGGGCTGAAGTCAAGAAACCGGGGAGGATAGGCCAAGAAGCTGCGGTCAGCCTGTACAATTAGCTGACAAAGTTCACTGATATGCACAGAGCAAGAATGGACGGGAGGAGGAAGTGAGTCAGCCAACAAAGACTTAGGATAGGCTCGAGCGGGCCTTTCAAGTGGCCGCCGCAGTTTGACGAGGAGCCAAATATTAGGTAAAAATCGTGCAGACATTTCAATTACTCTGCCTGGTGAGGGCCTGTCAGACCCTTCCCTCCACTTCGTTACGGTCAGGGGATAAAGTCCGATCAATAGCAGATATTTTGAACCATTCCGTCTCAACTAGATGAATAGCGCACTTATCTATCTTCCCAGCTAAAAGTTGAGTGAGGATGCGTCCAAAAATGTATTTTCAGGCCAAATGTTCGTCTAAACGTTCCGACAATGGAATAATATGTGCTAAAGTAGCGTACCTAGCAAGCCAAACTCACACTTCATTCTATCTTCTTCTCCGTTCTCTTTTTGATCCAACCCTTTGCCATCTTCAAACCTGTTACAATAAGCGGCATCGACGCGGGGGCAAAGAGCATATAGATTGCATACTTGTGCTCTGCGGGGAAGTAGAGTTGCCAGACCATTCCCGGGTTGAATAATCCCCGAAAGAACATTCCGGGGCTCGACATGAGTTCGCAAAACGATCGGAGACACTCCCGCCGTTACTACTCCGTATCTACGACAATTTTCGTCAGAAATTGGATCCATACACAAATTTATGAGGAGGTACGTACAGACTCGAGTTCCTCAAATCACGGAAGTACGTCGTCCCGCAGGGGATCGACCAACCGGCATATTTTCAAGCTGATCAACGAGCTTGACAATGCTTGTGAGTGCTTGGATGCTGCCCTCTGCATTCTCTCGCGTCCTCATCCTCAGGAGTGCGTCCACTTGCCATTCGGACAAAGAAACACTATGAGTTTCTGCGAACTTCACATTCGATGGAAGGGTGAGGACACCCAGTAAGGTGAGGAGCTGAGTGCGGAATATGGAGAAAACTTGGGTTTCTGCGAGTGCATGAGATCCTGGAAGGACTTGATTGTTCATCAGCACGACCCCGCCCCACTGAGGGATGATGAAGCCCGGTGCGTCCAATGGGTGATGATTCTTCTCGTCGTATATATGCATTGGCGAGTGGCTTGTAGATGGGATGAATGCGATTAGGTGAATCACGGGGTCGTTGGTTATCTTTGATGCTGGCAACGAGGTGAGTGATCCGTCAGAGGTGAAGGAACGCGCATACAGAGCGTCCATTCAGCCGAGTTGATAAATATCTTCAGTTCGTCTTCGCCCAGAGCATAGTAATCATGTTCGCCCTGTTGACGTCGAGGTGGCTCAAAAAAAGCCAGTGGTGCATGGTATTGGACCTGGCTCTCAATAGTGAAGTTGTAAACTTGAGAAAGAGCCTCCAAGATCGGATGCATATTCTCTAAGTCGAAGTCAGCTGTTATATCGAGAGGACCATGCTTGGTCCTTACCCTGGATCAATCTCTCTGCATTGAGTCTCCAATTGGACTCGATCATGGCCGCTAAATGGCGTCGCCTAGTTGGTTCCTGCTGTGGGTAATGGACTATGGCCACATTTGTTGAACTGCCATGACGAAGTGGCCGCTGTCCATATTTTGTATCCGAGCAAACGAGTCACTCAAAGAATGAACACTAGGAGATTCGATTTGGAGCACCCAAACACTCGCGTAGGGTTACCGGCGAGACACCTAAGAGGGACATCTCTCAGAGTATATCAGGGCAGTCGCATTCGTCGGGTCGCTGATACTCCTGGGTTTCACTTGGTCGAAGTGGAAGGACCAACCAAGCTGGGTCTTACCATTCTGTAAGCTGGCAAGGAGAATGGCAATTCGTGCCAGCCTCTAGCGCCTCGTTGCAAAGACATGACTGCTGCTTGTCCTCGACCATCTCCTCCCTGAATAGTGCCCAATACTCGTTCACGATTGGAGAATACTCTGCATCCCACCCATTCACCCTCGCAGGTCGTCATGGACCAATCTAGACTTTTGGCTTCAGAAAGCCGCAAGCCGTCACCTTCGAATCAGCATTCAAAGCTAGATCATCTTGGATTCCTCGAGGTTACACCTGGAAATGATCCTACAGTCGAGTAAACCGTTCACTTTCTACACGTGCTCGCCGCTGAGCATACCTCTGCCTACTGCAGTATTGTCGCTATTCATGGCCTGCAAGGACATAGAGAGAAGACGTGGACGACGGACAAGGGAGTGTGTTGGCTACGTGACTTCTTGCCTTCCGACTTGCCCAATGCCCGAATCCTCAGCTATGGATACGATGCCGATACCCGCAGTCAGGAATGCGTATCAACTCAGACTATTGCTCGACATGCTCAAGGGCTCGCTAATGCACTCTCACGGATACGGAACGACGCTCCTCGTGTGAGTCGGTCTCTAACGGTTGGACCCTGCCTGATCAACGACCAGCGCCCCATCGTCTTCATTGCGCACGACATCGGAGGTATCATTCTCAAATCGGTTTGTAAAAGTACTGTCGATGGATACCAGCCACTGACGCGTGCATAGGCCCTGGTCATCTGTCATAATCAGAACCTGGAATCCAGTGGTGAACTTCGGAACACTCTAGTATCAACACATGGGATTTTATTCTTTGGAACCCCACACTCCGGTCTCGAAGGCAGTAGTTTCCGGGAAGTAATCAATCGCTGGGCATCCGTGTACATGGAGACGACAGACGTGATCCTGAAAGACCTTCGAGAACACTCGAGCGAGCTTGAGAATACACAGCGTCTGTATGTCGCGGCAAGCGAGAAGTTCAGCAGCATATTCTTCTGCGAAGAGTATGCAACATCTGGCATCAAGAATCAAGGTGAAATAGTGAGTATACTCATATCCAAGGATCAAATATTGATAGAACGGCAGAACGTCCCACATCATTCGGCCATTGTTCCCGGTGACCGCAACGCGAGGACAATCGTTCTTCACGCGAATCATCGCAATCTGGTCCGATTCTCATCCAGGGAGAGTGATGACTATAAGACGGTCCATTTCTATCTTAAAGCCTACGTCGACAGTGCGCCGGCGACAGTGAGCAAGCAATGGGTCAAAGAGAACGAACTTCGCAGTCAGTATCCAACATATCATCTCTACTTCGCTGATGGAAATGCAGATACAGCAAAGGGAGAATCCGAAGAGGCCATGATGCCGAAACCGCGTCCACCTCTGTCAAGAAGTTACATCGAAAGAAAAGAAATTGAGTCCCTCATTACGAAGAAGCTGCTTCCAGAGAGTCGCGGAAAGCATCAACCACGGTGTATACTATATGGACTTGGAGGGGCGGGCAAGACTCAGCTCGCAACGAACTGGATTCAGGAGCACGAAGCCAAGTACGTCATATGGTGGCTATCTGGACAGTCTCTAATCCCTGGTCAGGTTTACTCGAGTGATCATGGTCGATGCCTCCAGCCAATCACAGTTGGAGGCGGATTTGGAACTGTCAATTCGCTCCTTAGGCCAGGGGTATAGCAAGATGACGTGGAAGGATGCATTCGCGTATCTCGACGGAAAGGAGAAAGGCTGGTTACTATACATCGACAACGCCGACTCGCCAGAACTCGACCTTTTTCCATATCTCCCCCGTTCTATTCACGGGGCAACTCTGATTACCACAAGGAACAGCGGGTGCGTCAAATACGCTCCCGACGATGCGGTTCATGTCGGTGGTCTCGAGGAGAGCGAGGCGGTGAATCTTCTGCATACAATCGCCAACATCACCCCTACCTCGGACGTCGAATCTCTGGAGATTGTTCGCGAGCTAGGGATGCTGGCGCTTGCCATTACGCAAGCCGGAGCGTATATTCGCAAGACGCGCAGCCTCCATACGTACCTCGAAACATTTCATCAGTATCGAGATCGACTCCTACGCAAACAGCCCGACATTGGCACGGAGTACGCTTTCTCCACATATACCGCATTCGACCTATCCTTTAACGAGCTACCGGCAAATACACAAGACTTCCTGAAGCTTTGCGCATTTCTTCACCACTCATTGATTCCAAAGGACCTGTTTAAGCAATCAATAAGCTCTGGCTTTACCACATACACAGTCAGGGACAGTCTCCCCCCTCCAGAGAGTGACAAGACTTTCATCTCGAACCTGCGGTTCTTGGGCTCCAAGTGGGATGAGATTACATTCCAGGAGATTGTGGACTCGGCGTCGCAAGCGTCATTTATCGACGTTTCGACCGACGGGTCATTCTACACAGTTCACCCTCTACTTCAGATGTACATCAAGGATCGTCTGGGTGAAGAAGAGAATCGACGCTATATGCACACGACAGCACAACTGTTACTGGGTGCCATCCGGCCTGTTGAGGATAGCAATGAGTGGTTCTGGCAGCTGCTCCCTCACGTCGACAGCATCCCTCGGTCGGTGCAGTCAGAGAGCGTGGCACGCGGATTGGCGTTCCACGAACTTTATTACTCTTTGGGGAACTGGAAGGCATGCCAAAAGCTGTTGGAAGCCGCACTTCCACGATGTGATTCGGCGGAAGGCAAACGGGACGAAGACTCACTATTTCTGATGTGGAAACTTGCCGGTTTGCTGCGGAAGGATGGTCAGTTAGACAAGGCCGAGAAGATGCAGCGTGAGGTACTCGACTTGCAGCTCGAGATCCTTGGACCACGCCACCCAGACACCATTAAGGCAATGGGCAACCTCGCTTCTACACTGTCTGACCGTGGTCGGTTGGACGAGGCTGAGAAGATGGAGCGTGAGGTACTCGACTTGCTGCTCGAGATCCTTGGACCACGCCACCCAGACACCATTAAGGCAATGAACAACCTCGCTTCTACACTGTCTGACCGTGGTCGGTTGGACGAGGCCGAGAAGATGAAGCGTGAGGTACTCGACTTGCGGCTCGAGATACTTGGACCACGCCACCCAGACACCATTATGGCAATGAACAACCTCGCTTCTACACTGTCTGACCGTGGTCGGTTGGACGAGGCTGAGAAGATGATGCGTGAGGTACTCGACTTGCAGCTCGAGATACTTGGACCACGCCACCCAGACACCATCAAGGCAATGGGCAACCTCGCAAACACACTGTCTGACCGTGGTCGGTTGGACGAGGCCGAGAAGATGATGCGTGAGGTACTCGACTTGCGGCTCGAGATACTTGGACCACGCCACCCAGACACCATCAAGGCAATGAACAACCTCGCTTCTACACTGTCTGACCGTGGTCGGTTGGACGAGGCCGAGAAGATGAAGCGTGAGGTACTCGACTTGCGGCTCGAGATACTTGGACCACGCCACCCAGACACCATTTCGGCAATGGGCAACCTCGCTTCTACACTGTCTGACCGTGGTCGGTTGGACGAGGCCGAGAAGATGAAGCGTGAGGTACTCGACTTGCGGCTCGAGATACTTGGACCACGCCACCCAGACACCATTATGGCAATGGGCAACCTCGCAAACACACTGTCTGACCGTGGTCGGTTGGACGAGGCCGAGAAGATGGAGCGTGAGGTACTCGAGTTGCGGCTCGAGATACTTGGACCACGCCACCCAGACACCATTATGGCAATGGGCAACCTCGCAAACACACTGTCTGACCGTGGTCGGTTGGACGAGGCTGAGAAGATGGAGCGTGAGGTACTCGACTTGCGGCTCGACATACTTGGACCCCGCCACTTGGACACCATTTGGGCAATGTACAATCTCGGTTTCACACTGTTCAAGTGTGCTCAGCTGCACAATGCCCAAAAACGAAAACCTCCGGTGACGCTAAAGATCTTTGCAAGAGGTCATCTGGCTACCTCCTCCAGTCCTTCCGAAATGTTTGGCAAGTCTGATTGGCTTCAGGAGGCCAGAAACCTCCTGCAAGAGGTCGTGAATCTATGCGTTGAGGTATTGGGCGAAGATCATCCCAATACTTTGAAATCCAAGATGTTTCTCGAGCGTATCATTTCCAAGCAATCTCGTGAGCCTCGTAGGCGTGCATCCCGATTCCTTTTCTTTTTATCATAATTAATGTATTTCAACTGTTATTCTACTTGTTATGCGAGCATGTATGTAAATATTCCCAATTTTCTCGGTGCGATTGAATCTGATATCCTGAGCTTCGAAACCGCGTGTACGCCCAATGTGCTGGATACCTTTTGAGCGGTGTCCAACCGTCTGGCCGTTCAAAATGCTTTCTTCCTTTGTTACACTTCTTCGTCATACTTGTGCAGCTCCCTTGGCCAACTAATCAAGGCGTGTGAGTACTGAAGGACCCTCCGGGCGGACCCCTGACCTTTATGTCCTTTTGAGCTCGACGATTTATCGCGAAATATACGTTATACACACAATTCATGTAGGGCCCCCTAGACACTCGCAATAAACAAGGAGGAGGGGTGTGAACGAAATAGGAGCTTTCATCAGAAACCTAAATGACAAACAAAAGCAATCGCGCCATCCGGATCCAGGAGGAGACAGAGCACGTAGGCGGAGATTGTGAGGGGCACTAAGACTATGGACCCGAGTCTTCAGTCCTCTTTCTGTTGATCTGCTGGAGCTCGCACTCCGGTGCATAGGAGTAAGCTGTTTGACAAAAGAACGTAAAGTTTCAGTTGGTGATACGCTCACAATGCTCAAGGGAGCAACGTCTCTCCTGGAAACAACAGATGCATGCAAATTCAACGGATAACGAGTGACATAAACGTCTCTGACCGGTGAAAGGGAGCGCAGAGGCTCGTGTGAAACGACATTGGAATGCCCGCGGGGTATACAGGCAGCGCCGGCAACACCTACAGGCAGTCAGAGTAAGTCCAGGAGTATCAAGAGGTCCGACGCACCTTGAGGTGGCAAATTAGATAGCTTTACAGGAGAAAAAGTCAGCGGTGAGTAGACTTCAAAGCCAAACTGAACGTGTTCGAGCGGGAGGGTGTTGTCTCGGGAGTGTCAGTACAATCCATAGTGATAGGGAGAACGTACTGGTGAGAGTCTGTCGCGTGTAACAAAACTCAATGAATTGGGTGAGGTGGCCCAGATGTTTGTCAATATTTCCAGTCAGATGAATGTGGCGAGCCAGAGTGTCGGGTGCCAGGGAAGCTAATGGCAGCATTGCTGCTTCCTCGTATGCAGAAGCATTAAAAGATACTGATAGAGCCCCGAATTGTTGAACGAAGGGTGGGCAAGTTTGACTCGCCTTTCGGCATCGGGGCTGAAGTCAAGAAACCGGGGAGGATAGGCCAAGAAGCTGCGGTCAGCCTGTACAATTAGCTGACAAAGTTCACTTATATGCATTGGGAGCGCAAAGGTCGGACGGGAGGCCAGTGAGCTCGGGCCAACAAAGAGTTAGGATAAAGGCTCGAGCGGGCCTTTCAAGTGGCCGCCGCAGTTTGACGAGGAGCCAAATATTAGGTAAAAATCGTGCAGGCATTTCAATTACTCTGCCTGGTGAGGGCCTGTCAGACCCTTCCCTCCACTTCGTTACGGTCAGGGGATAAAATCCGATCAATAGCAGATATTTTGAACCATTCCGTCTAAACTAGGTGAATTGCGCAATTATCTATCTTCCCAGCTGAAATCTGCGCGAGGATGCGTCTACAAATGTGCTTTTAGGTCAACTGTTCGTCTAAACCCTCCGACAATGGAATTATATGTGCTAAAGTAGCGTACCTAGCAAGCCAGACTCATACTTCATTCTATCTTCTTCTCCCTTCTCTTCCTGAACCAACCCTTTGCCATCTTCAAACCTGTTACGATAAGCGGCATCGATGCAGGGGCGAAGAGCATGTAGATGGCATACTTGTGCTCTGCGGGGAAGTAGAGTTGTCCAACCATTCCGGGATTGAAGAATGCCCGAGAAGAGTATTCCAGAGCTCGACGTGAGTTCGCGAAACGCTCGGAGGCATTCCCGCCATTAGTACTCTGTATCTACGAGGATTTTCGTCACAACTCGGATCCAGATTATGCAAGTGAGAAAGCAAGGTACGTACAAACTCGAGTTCCTCCAGCGACCGAAGCACGTCGTCCCGCACATCTGGACCAACCGGCATATTTTCAAGCTGATCAACGAGCTTGACGATGCTTGTGAGTGCTTGGATGCTGCCCTCTGCATTCTCTCGCGTTCTTTTCCTCAGGAGTGCGTCCACTTGCCATTCGGACAACGAACCACTATGAGTCTCAGCGAACTTCACATTCGATGGAAGCGCGGGGACACCCAGTAGGGTGAGGAGCTGGGTGCGGAACGTGGAGAAGGCCTGGGTTTCTGTGAGCGCATGGAATCCTGAAAGGACCTGATTGTTCATCAACACCACCCCGCCCCACTGAGGGATGATGAAGCCCGGTGCGTCTAGCGGGCGATGATTCTTCTCGTCGTAGATGTGCATTGGCGAGTGATTCATAGATGGGATGAATGCGATTAGGTGAATCACGGGGTCGTTGGTTATCTTTGATGCTGGCAACGAGGTGAGTGATCCGTCAGAGGTGAAGGAACGCGCATACAGAGCGTCCATTCAGCCGAGTTGATAAATATCTTCAGTTCGTCTTCGCCCAGAGAATAGTAATCATGTTCGCCCTGTTGACGTCGAGGTGGCTCAAAAGCCAGTGGCGCATGGTATTGGACCTGGCTCTCAATAGTGAAGTTGTGAACTTGAGAAAGAGCCTCCAAGATTGGATGTATATTCTCTAAGTCGAAGTCAGCTGTTATTTCGAGGACTAAACTTGGTGCTTACCCTGGATCAGTCTCTCTGCTCCCCATCCTCGTTTCGTAGTCTGGGTTGCGTCTTCATTTAATAGAGATAGTGATATTCGTATGTTCGAGGCATATTGTGTGACCCGATTGTCTGCCGGACGCCCAGCTGTTGGGTTCAGAAGCTGACAGAGGAGCTTTCCGAGGTCGTGTGCGTCTAGTTGTGCGTTAAATTATTCAATCAAGTACGAGGTCTGGCATCATACCATTAGCGCTACTTTTCCCATGAAAATCGAGGTTTCGTCCGTTCACGACGTGGTACAGCTGACCGTCTTGACGCACCGAAACAGAGTATCCAGAGACGACTCCTGCGGATTTTGAGCCAAGAAAAGTCTCAAATGTGATTATATTGTACCTTCCGACGTGCTGGACACGATTTGAACCTCGAATGATCGCCAATCCTCTGCGCTGGCGACCCGGCATTCGTCGATGGCATGCTGAACGCTCCTTTGAAAAGATGCATCCACCTCTTGACCATGATGGTCCTGTATGGCGACTGGTATCCGCTCTGTAAACTATCTTGTGTCAATTCATTGAAAGTGTCGGAGTCTCGTGTCAAGGCATACCTCGGAAATAGTCTGCTGCTGTACAAGAATTCTTGAAACTGGCAATGGAAGTCGCTGTATGCTGGTCATGCTCCACCAGATGGGTAAACACGCCAATACAACAGCCCAGTACGCCAGCAAAATCCGCTGGAGCAGTCGACTCTCCTGGTGTGAGACGGCAGGAAGTTGGACTTGGTCCTCTGCTACATTCTCTCTTTGTTCCGTGGTCTCATCCTGTCGCACGTCGTGTTCCATGTCGTGACGGACGAGACCAAACTGTGATGTATTGAATAATCTCTTGAACCTAATCACGGCCACCGAATGGTACTGCCAACATTCAGACCAAGTGCTGCGAGGACACGGTTCTCCAATGAAAAGTACAATGCCGTAGAGAATGCACTGGGCGTCGAGCTCGCGCACATCCTCCAGACAAAAGACCAGCAAGATGTCCTCTCCTCGGTCCGCTTCCTAGAAGCATTCTTCGAGGATATTGCCATGACTTCGATTAGTCCGCACCTCAATAACGAGACAGTGGATGAGCAACTCCTTCGCAAAGCGTATCAACTCTTCGAGGCCATCGCCCTTCGCGATTCCGCGAGAGTGCGAACGTCTACAATCGTAGATGCGATTCTTTCATCACAAGGGAGAAAGTATGACGAACTCGACGCCAGCCTCCAGCGGACACTCACAATCGAACGCTGCCAGGAACTCTTGACGGGTGTGAATGGTATCGTTCAAACTTGCTTCGGAGCACGAGTTCCTCCAACGCAAACGTTGACATCCCTTCATCGCATCCTACACGTCCTCGCCGCCATTCTTCGCACCAAAAACCTCCTCGATAATGGCGGCTTTTCTCTCGCCTAACAATACAAAGGGCCTCTCATATCTCATGCAGATCTATGATACGATTCTACCAAGCATACGAGGCTCGCTTCCCGGCACACCCGAGCACTCGGACTGGGGGGCGACTTGGCTCAGAATCAAGATCTGCATCCTCGACATCCTACACGACTGTGTCACGTACCTCGTTGATAACGCATCTTCGAGGGAGCTACTCCTCGACACGATGATGAATTTGACCAAGGCGACGAGGAACGGCAATACTCAAACGGCGGCACTTCTCGACTCGCCATTACTGGTCGACTATGAAAACCTCTTTGCATTTTCCGCCATCCTGGATAGTCTCGGTGTCCAGTCTGACGATATGAAGATTCGCCATCTGACCCAGATTTTCCTTCCGTATGGAGAGAACGTTCACATGGAGTCCGCTATACTGCAAACTCTCTTCCATGACGCGGATGTGGAGAAGACACCGTTGGCGAGGACAAGAGACTTTCCCCCGACGACAACGAAGGGCAAAGGACGAGCTACCCAGGCACAGGTGAGTATATTTTCATGTTCTAGACATATTGGGTGACAATTATGTAGGTAGAAGATGAAAGCAGGATTGAGGAAGTCATCGTGCACGTTTTAGAGATCCTACCTGACCAAGATCCCGAATTCCTAAGGCGTTGCCTCCAACACCCCACGTATCGAGGTGAAGATGGCAAGGACAAGCTAATTGCCTCGCTCTTGGATGGGTCGATCCCGATTGAACTCATGGACGCCGCCGAACCCTCTGGGCAATCTACTGTCATAGACGCGTCGATGGAAGCCGTGGAGAAAAGACGCAACGTGTTTGATGACCAACTCATCGATTTGTCAAGTCTGAGGATAGGGAAGAAGCGGCAAGTCCTACTCCTGCGGGTTTCACAAGAGTGAAAGTTGACATTCCCACAGTGATAATGCAGACGAGATGATGCAAGATAAATCATGGATACAAGAGATGAAAGCAGAGATTATGCGACGAGCTGAAGTGACTTCGGACGACGAGGAAGAGATGGATCGTCAACGCGGCTCACGCAAGACACCGTATGAGTACGAAGACGACGATCAATTTGATGAGCTGGATGACTCTGTTGGAAATGTCAGCGTTGCAGGGGACGGAGAAGAGAGCGATGCATCGGACGATGAGCCAGTGAGTTTGGTATCATCTCTCCTTGGCCGTGCTCATGAATCTATAGGATACAAATAAGATCGAGACGATATTGGAGCTTGCCTACATTAACGATCCAAAGGTCTTCGATCGTGATTCGGCAACAAGAAAGTCCAAGGAGAGGGCGGACTTGAGCGCCAAGACAGGTCAGTGATGTAGCCTCGTAAAATGAAACTGAAAGCTGATCGCGGACAGGCTGGAGCCACGAGCAACTTGAGGGGTGGCGTATCGTGCTCGAACGCAACGTACGTATCCAGACCACACTTTAGAAGGGTTTATAACTGTTCTGTAGCCCCGAAAGAACAAGATCCTTCAAAAGCATGAGTTTAGAGGGAACAAGGCACTCCATCCTGTGGACGGGATCAACGAAGCTGGTCCTTCACGGCGGGGTGGGGAATCTCATTCACAGCTCAAAGGCGAAACGGGCTCTCATCACCCACGAGAACAAGCGCAAGCTCAAGGGGGAGAGCCACGAGGAAAGGCTAGAGGAGGTGGCAGTCGAGGCCGTGGCCGTGGACGCGGGTCAGGTGGAGACGAGAACACAGCGCGTGATAGGGCATGGAAAGAGCGGAACAAGAATCGAGCTCGTGGGCGTGGTCACGATAAGAAAATGGCTCGGGGAGCTCCTGCGGAGACATGACCTCGATAATCTGCTCATTAACAAAGATTCATGTCAAGTGCTCCGAGGCAACCGTTCTCAAATGAAATTTGTGAAAGTGGGAGAGTACTTGGACCAGACCACAACGATGAGCGAACAGCCAGCTTCGGATCCTCCGCCACCACTCTTGTATTCGATGCGCGAGGAATGGAAAGGCGTGCAGCCACTAGATCAGAGCGACCTGACAAACCCGCTCGTGCCCATCTTCTACCCACCCGAATGTCCGTACGAATTAGCTTGCGTGGATAGACCGAATAAAACATCATTACAGACAAGGATGCAATGGATTACTTCCGTGGGATTGTTGCAAAGGGAGAAAAGTCGCAGCGCGTGCTCGAGCTCACAGAGCATATCATCCGCATGAATCCGGCACATTACACCGTCTGGTTCGTCTATAATTACAAGCCAGCGAACTTGATTGACGTGATTGGATATAGGCAGTACCGATACGATACACTCCTTGAACTAGAGGCGCCGTTGGACAAAGAGTTGGCGCTGATGGACGAGCTCGCATTGACAAACATGAAGTTTTATCAAGTATGGCACCATCGCAAGCTACTCCTCCTCAAATACGCACAACCAGCAGCAGAGCTCAGCTTCATCTCCAAAGTCCTCGCCGTCGATTCAAAGAACTATCACACATGGGCCTATCGTCAGTGGCTTCTCGCGCACTTTGATCAAGAAGATTTGTGGAGCCTAGAGTTGCCATCCGTCGAGTTGCTCCTCCAAGAAGACGTGAGGAACAATTCAGCGTGGCATCATCGCTTCTTTGTCGTCTTTGATTCTGGTGTGAGAGAGGGAGACGAAGACAGGGAGCAGGTTCTCAGGAGGGAAATTAATTTCACCAAGCAGAAGATTGCGGTCGCGCCAAATAACCTCTCTGCGTGGAATTACCTCCGAGGTATCTTAGATCGCGTGGAGGTCAAGTATGCTACTCTCAAGGACTTTGTAGTACTGTATACGACTCCAAGAGAGGAGAGACCTGTTGTAGAGGAGGAAGTATTGGATTTAGACAACCCACGGCCGTCGTCGTCAGCGTCGTTGCCCTGTGCTCTCGCGATTGAATTCCTGGCTGACATTTGCCTGGAAGAGGGAGATACAACCAAGGCGGCAGAGGTGCGTATCATTGTCGTTGTTAATTCCATGTCTCATGCACAGTAGCTTTTTACTAGTCTGGCAGAGGAACACGACACGATGAGAAAGCGGTACGTATGATTTAACGCGGCATCATCAAGCTAATTTATGAACAGATACTGGGACTATCGTGTAAAAGAGTGTCTGGGTACGCAGTCGACACGTACATAGCTCTCGGCTCGCGTATACTGCGACGAGTGATTTATCTACGAGTGAAAGTTACGAATCTACCCGCATAAGTCCTCTCAGCACATCTTTCACGGCCTCCAAGTCGGCCCCATCATCCATGTACCCCGTCATCCAATTTGAAACAGCAATCCTCACGGCGCCACCCATCATCTGCCGAGTACGCACCAGGGGAGACGTACAACTTTTTGGTGGCGTTGACGTCACGGATGAGCGTAGCAGTGCCTTTGTTACCACGATGAGTAGAGCGACGATAAGCCGTAGGGACATCGTCGGTGTCTTTTGGTCGGAAGAGGACAACGTTGAGCGGCACCATCTTCTTCTCGCCTTGTTCTTCTTTCGAACTCGTTCCTTCTGAAACCTTGACGTCGCGGAGATTGAGGACTTCGAACCACTTCCCGCCACCATTTTCTTCAGAACACATCCACTCTGATAGGTTCCGTGCAAACTGGACATTTCGGCGGACGATATCGACATACCCTTGGCGACCCATAGCAAGGAGGGCGGCGTATAGAGGCAACGCGATGAACCGGCGCGAGTTTTCGATGTTGGTATGCAGCGGAGAAGGGACGGTGGTCGTCCACTCCAAGTCCAGGTTTTCATTGGAGGAGTGAGAAGTGGATAGATATGCCGGCACTGCGCCGCTACCCGCGAGGATAGAAGTGAGCAGTTGTCGTGAGCGGCAATAGAAGATGCCGCATGCATAGGGGACGTTGAACCACTTGTGTCCTTCCGAGACTTGTCAATTGTGAACTTTTCACCACGCAAGGAGAGAGTACCGTCAGATGTAAGGCTGTCGGCCTGTGCCATCCACTCGCTAATGTGTGCGTATTCGGGTAACAAACACGCCATTGCACCAAACGCGGCGTCGACGTGCAACCACACACCATATCGATCACACACATCACGTACTCCAGTCAAATCTGTAAAGTCGCCCTAGACCCAGCTTCAGCTTTTGTACTCCGGCTCAGGCGACATACAGTGTTGACTTCTGCAAAGCTGACGACGACAATGGTCGCTACTTTCTTTCCTTGGACCGTGGATGCCTTGAGCTCGTCTTCTAGGGCTTGAGCGAATGGGCGAATTGTATGTTCCAGGCTTTTGACATTGCGTCTCCCGATGCCAACGAGGGCTGCGGCTTTTTCGATGCTAGCGTGATGTCGGTCGGTGAGAACGCGGATTGTGATATTTGGAGGAATCCCGTCGTCTCCTGTACTGTATGATGAATTTGAGAGGGCGTGTTGGATCGCTGCGTCACGACCGCATGCTACCGAAGGGTCAATATAGTAGTAGAGTAGAAAGATGGGCTTACCAAGTCCGAGGACATTGCTCCCTGTAGCGCCGGTCGTCAAGGATCCTACAGCGAATGTCTCGCGGGGAATGTTGAAGAGGTCGAGGATGAGCAGGAGCGTCTTGTGTTCAAGGGCGGTACAAATTGTCTCATCCTTTGGATCGAGATCTAGATATGCTCATAAGTATGGAATATGCGTACTGGTAGATGAACTTGGACGTTTTGATCAAAGATGGTGGTGAGAATGTCTGCGCACTGAATTGCTGTTAGTAGAAAGTAGACGAAAGAGTAGAATACATACCTGTGCAGCAGGAAGTGCACCACCTGTTACGAATCCGAAGAATCTGGTTGGGTCAGTCAAGTCGAGGGATGGAAAGGAGGCATACCGAGGTCCACTAGCGCCTCTTGCGAGACCAGATGCAATATCTTGAAGTAGATGCGCAAGGACAGTATTTGTAGACCATCCCTCTTCCGGCACTACATTGACGAGTGCGCGTGCAGCAGTGACAATATCAGCTTTTGGTGCAGTGACAGGGACGTTTGATCGTAAATGGTCGATGATCACGTGTTTATGATCTGATTCAGATGCATCGTTGGAGAAAAGGGCAACAAGGTGGGGTAGAAGATCCATCTATTTGCGCCCTGTGCTGTTGATAAACCTGATCATCCATTACGCCCCTTTGTGTATGCTCATTAGCCCCCTCAGGCGACAGTTTCAACGACATATCAACACCAAAAGTCTTGTCAACATTGTATCAACCATGGCCTGGATTTCAAGCGGTGATACCAATGAAGAACTCGTCAACAATATGCAAAAGCGCGGGCTAATCCGGAGTGATGTCGTCGCAGAGGTATACAAGCTGTAGACTAATATACTGTGAGTACTTGTATAACGGTGTTATAGGCCATGAAGCGCGTCGACCGTGCAAACTATGTCCGTCTCAAGGGATATGCGTACGATGATGCACCTCAGTACGTCCTATATTGCATGTAGACTTGGTATACTCACTATTGTAGAACAATTGGGCACGGTGCAACCATTTCAGCGCCACATATGCACGCTCACGCATCCGAGTATCTCCTCCCTTGGATCCATCCAGACGCACACATTCTCGATGTAGGCAGTGGCTCTGGATACACTGTTGCCGTCTTTCATCATCTTATCAAGACGACTTCGTCGGCAAGGACCAAAGGGACCGTAACCCCTTCGGCAATCTCACCAGGCAAAGTTGTTGGGATTGAGCACATTCGTGCGCTTGTCGATTGGTCTGTCGGGAATCTCAAGAGTGATGGGTTGGGGGGTGCGTTGGACAAGGGGGAGATTGTCATGGTCACGGGTGATGGTCGAAAGGGTGGGTACTCCTGCGCCAGGTTTATTGTCTGATAACGGAGAATCTAGGATGGGCCGCCGGTGCGCCGTACGACGTTATTCATGTCGGGGCGGCAGCTCCCGAAATCCCCCAAGCACTGATCGATATGCTGAAAGCACCAGGAAGGTATGTAAATTTCGGTCTTTCCCTTTCCTTACAAAGGCTAAAGGGAATAACTTCTGGGTAGAATGTTCATCCCTGTCGGACCAGATGGCGGTGACCAGGATATATGGACGGTGGACAAGGATGCCGAGGGAAATGTGAAGAAGACACGATTGTTTGGAGTCCGAGTATGTGCTCTCAAACGTGTTTCGCCATCTCACCTCTTTATCAGTACGTGCCGTTGACCGACGAAGCGACGCAGACGGGATCGAGGTACTGAGCCCGTCGGCATTACTGCAAGTAGCTGTAATAAATATGTACGACCCACGTTTGCCCAATCGATGTATTGTCCGTTGATTCGCCGCCTTTTCGACGTTGCGGCCCAAATATGGCAGTTGCGACGATGACGCAGAATCGAAACCTTCGTTGGACCCGACGATATAAGATCCCCCCGAGGACCTTGTAAGCCATCTGCACGCAGACATGGACCACAACTATCCCAGCGAATACTCGCTCGACATCCAGGGCGAGACGAGTCAAGAGTCGACCCTCGCAGGTGTTCGCGCCGTCGTGGCCCAGCTCGAGGACGATCTAAAGGCCAGAGGGACAAAACTCAGCGGACGAATTATCCACGTCACGCATTATCTGCCCATCATCACCTCGCTCAGAGCTCCCGCCACCGCAACCGACAGCGCAGATGCTCCGGGTGCACCAGCGAGCCCTCCAAAGACGCCCGTCAAGGATATCGTATCCCTCGAGGCCGAAAAGGCGCACAAAACTGGTCAGTAGTCCTTGCATTTGTTGGGGGATTTGGGGGGTGGCATCAGCCGCCGGCTTTTTTGGCTGATCGAGGATATTGACTAGTATGGATATAGTGAATCCTCCAGAAGAGACTATTCTCTCGCCGACAGTCAATGACAGCAATCCGACGCTTTCGATAAACTCAAACTCGAAATGGCAGCTCGCTCCCCGTAGAGGCCACACAGCCATGATCTCCGGCATCCGATCCTTGTGCGCCACCCACGAACAAGTCATTCTCGCTTGGACAGGCGACATTGAGACCACGCCGACACCAGGCTCGAGTCAGCGCCGTGCTGTCCCAACGAGCACTCTGACGGATGAAGACAAAAAGGAGATTACCACAGAGATTACAAACTACCAGTCCGTTTTGGATGGTGGTGAGGGCAAGCAGAAGATTAACTACGTCCCAGTCTTCTTGGACGACAAGATTGCACACGGACACTACGAGGGGTATTGCAAGACCAGTACGTCCTACAGAGTTTCCATAGTAATTGATCGAATCCTTTGTAGCCCTCTGGCCACTCTTCCACTACCTCCTCTGGCAAGACGTTGCAAAGGAAGTCACCCCCGAATCTGAGCACTGGACCGCCTACTTGCGCGCCAATGAGGCCTATGCAGAGAAACTAGCAGAGATTTACCAGCCAGGAGATCTCATCTGGGTACACGATTACCATTTGCTCCTCCTCCCAAGAATCTTCAAGAGCTACTCCAAGACGACGGCAGATGCCTATGTTGGCCTGTTCGTCCACACGCCTTTCCCTAGTTCAGAGGTGTTCGCTGCTTGCCGAGTGAGTTCCTTGATGTACCTCGGACGCTAGATTGCTCATCCTCATGCAGGACGTCGCGAAATCTTGGACGGCATGCTCGGTGCTAACCTTGTCGTGTTCCAAAAGTTTTCGTATGGACGCCACTTTGGTTCGTCGTGCGTTCGTGTCTGCGGATACGAGAGCGTGCATGGAGGAATCGATGTCGCAGGTCAGATTACGCGCATCTTGCATTGCTCTGTCGGAGTAGATGCAGATCGCATCCATCAGGACGTGTACGTGATTACTTGTAGCAGTGCGCCCCTCTTACGCTATTCCAGACTGCGTCCCGGTGTCGCGCCCAAACTCGCCACGCTTCGCTCGCTCTACGAGGGCAAGAAGATCATCATTGCCCGCGACAAGCTCGACGTCGTCAAGGGAATCGTCCAAAAGCTCAAGGCGTTTGAACGCCTCCTCAAGGACTATCCACAGTGGCGTGGAAACGTTGTCATGATCCAGGTCACATCTCCTAGTTTGACCGATGAGCCCAAGCTTGAGAGACAGGTTTCCGAGTTGGTCGCGCACATTAACGGCGATTATGGTAGCTTGGACTTTATCCCAGTCCATCATTAGTACGTCTTTTCCGACAAGACTGAGGGAGACGGGAAACCTGACGTCTTTCAGCCACCAGACGATCAAAAAGGACGACTTTTACGCGCTCTTGTCTGTCGCCGACCTCGCACTCATCACGCCGTTGCGTGACGGTATGAACACGACATCGATGGAATACGTCATTTGTCAACAGAATACGAACAAGGCACCGCTCATCTTATCCGAATTCATGGGTATCTCGCATACCATGTCAGATGCATTGTAAGTCTCATCTCCGTCGTCACCTCTTTCCATCGCATCTCTATACATTGTTATCTCTGCGCCACATCCTGCTCACCTCGCCCGCGCTACATTTTTTCTTGCCCTTTCGGCTGCGCTTTTGTGCGCTTTCGGAGTGGCGTCGATCACAAAAACGCACGTGCTGATTTGAACTGATAGGCAGATCAATCCGTGGGACCTTGGTGTGAGTTGGTTTTTTGACCCTTTTTCCCGATTTCTCTCCCTGGGCGCAATCTTTGGCGCACTTTTCCGCTTTTGGCGGCCACGCGCACATCTTTGACACCATCGCGATTGGCCCGTTCTTTTGTTGGCTCATAATCCTTCCGAAAACGTGTTTGATTGGCGACTGACGTTGTTTCTTCTCACCCTTTTTGGGCCCGGCCAATCCCCCAAATCCATCTGCCCAACATCAACCGTCGTTATCGGCGCTTTATCTTTTTTGCCATCATCGCACGATGGAATGTATAGGGTGTCGCGGCAATGATAAACCGCGGGTTGCTGATGCCTGAAGAAGAGCGAGCGTCGCGCCAGGCTGCACTTTACAAGGTTGTGACGACGCACACTTCTCATACCTGGGCCGCTATCCTCGTCAGAATGTTACTCTCGCAGATTGGAACCGAGAATACGGCGCACCAGACGCCATACATGGACCAGAGCGCGCTCGAGACGGCGTACAAGACCGCCAAACGGCGATTGCTCCTCTTTGATTATGACGTGGGTTTTCTTTTTTGGAAGGTTAGAGATGACTTGACTAATCCTGTTGCTGAATAGGGCACCCTTACGCCCATCGTCAAAGTCCCCAGCATGGCCGTCCCATCCGAGGCGACGCTCCAGGCTCTGCAAAAGTTGTCCGAAGATCCGAGGAATTTGGTTTACATTATTTCCGGACGTGACAGTGGATTCCTCGAGCATCATCTTGGACACTTGAAGAATGTCGGCTTCTCGGCGGAACACGGATCGTTTATCCGCGAGCCTGGGACGACAAAATGGACGAATTTGACCGAGACGTTGGACATGACTTGGATGCAAGAGGTCGAGGAGCTGTTTGAGTATTATACCGAGGTGCGTTGAGCAAAAAGATGGGGATGATTGGTTGATGTGTGGTTTAGAGGACGACGGGAAGCTTTGTCGAGATGAAGAAGAGCTCGATTACGTGGCATTATCGTGCGGCTGATCCCGAGTGGGGGTATGTAATCTTTCAGACTTCGCTTATGGTATGCTGATGGGAGATTTAGATCGTTCCAGTGCAAGCAATGTCTCGACTTGTTGGAGAACAACTTGGTGGCCAAGAGGCCGATTGAAGGTATACTCTTGTCGCTTGTAATAAGCATAGCTGACAGTGTATAGTCTTGGTTGGCAAGAAGAACCTCGAAGTCCGACCAATTGCCGTCAACAAGGGCGAGATTGTCAAGCGAATCTTGTACAGGAACCCCAATGCCGAGTTTGTCTTCTGCGCTGGTGACGACAAGGTCCGTTTACGACTTGTTATCGTGATGAAAAGCTGACGAATATCAAAGACGGACGAAGACATGTTCCGTGCTCTTTGTACGCTTTTCCCTGTCGGCACAACCCAAGGTGTCATGCAGCCGCCCGAGTCTGCCAAACTGATCGACGGCGAGGAAGCTACCAAAGACGCCGTGACACTCTCGCTCACGCAGCAAGGACTGTTTTCGACAACTGTGGGCCACCCAAGTAAGAAGACGCTCGCGGCCTGGCATGTGACGTCTGCGGACGAAGTCGTAGATGCGATGCTCAAGCTTGTCGGTCTCCCGATTCCGAAGCGGATTCCAGTCCTTGGTGTGGATACGCCAATTCGCACGCCTGGTATCGAGCACCCAAATCCGCATCTATAACCGTGATACCTCCGACCTGAATCCTTGATTTCCCCCCTCCTGCTCTTCTTCTGGCCACCGTTCTTTCTCGAGAGGCGACTCGTCGACCTTGCTCGCCCTTTCTTTTACAACCCTCGACCGCCACACCTCAGCCCCTGTTTCTCCCATAGTCAGAAAGCAGACTGACGTCTATGAGCGTCGTGCAGATTGTATCATATAGGTTAGATAGACAATGCCCCCAAAAACATGTGATTTGACCCAAACCATTTGGGTGACGAGATGTTCTGAGAGCTGATTAGAGTTGGAGAATATTAATCGAAAATTTTGACGTTAATTGTTAAACTCGCCGACGTCGAATTGAACGGTGGCCCTTGCACCAAGCGAAAAGAGCACTTTCACATCGGACCTCGACTTTGGCCGCGCCCGTTACCGACACCAGCGCACTCAACGGGCACATCACCATCTAGAATAGCGATATCAAAATCAATCTCGGTGTTGGGTCCTTCCGTGGGCCCCCTTTTGAAACTGAAGGCTCATGCAACGAGACAACGGCCAACGCAACCCGCCTTCATTTCCGCCCAGATATGAGTCAAAGTCTACTACTCCATATAATCATGATGTGAACATGATTCGCGAAGGCCAAACGTATCCACGACAGGATTATGCAGATTCACGGCCGGTGCGCATCCTGTTTACCACAAGTGCTCGGGTGAAATTTTAAATGTGTATTACGTAGCGTGGGAGAGACGTGATGAGTCCGTCGCTTGGACGGTATGAGCGTGAGTGGGCTCCAACGAACCGGGACACGCATTACACGGCATCACCAACGCAAAGATACGATAGCCCGCATATGGGTTCGTTTCATCGGACTCGTTCTTTTGATATTCCGCCTAGTCACCGCCTTCAAACTCGCGAGCGCGAGGCGTCGCCCCGTAGAGAATATGTTACCCCAAGTAGGAGGCCCCATTATGAAGACATGGTGTCGATAGAAGATAGATTTGACTCGAGGTATAGTTTAGTATCAAGTATTCCTGTTGAGGATGATTGATTTGCTTATTTCTAGACGACATCCTCCTTTGCCAGCATCGCCCTATGAGCGACCAGCATCCTCGCGCATCGAAAGACCATATCGTCGCTACACTGAGTCACGGGATGCGCCTTGGGACCGTGACCAACGACCACACGGGTCCTCCAATAGCTCGCCTGTGCGCACTGGCTCGTTTCACAGGTCACCACCTACCTTTCACGACAGTCCTGTGCCCAATCATGTGGACCATCTACCTCCCCGATCTCGTTCATCAACACTGAGAGAAATCTTGCATTCACCTCAGAACCAAACACCGAGACGCACCGATTTTGAGCCTGTTCATTCTGATTCGCGTTCGGTCCCGCGGCCGAACCAACTCGTGTCACAGTTTCCGACTGGAACGTACAAACGACCAGAAGTCGATCGAAGCATGAATGACAACCCACCGCCAACTGCTTTGTCACGTTCATCCGATGCGTTAGATACCTCATCTGGGTTTGGTTCTGCTCGGTATCCATCGTCGCGACCTCCTGATGGATCGCCGCCAAAGACGTATTCTGCTCCGCAACGCACACAGCCACAGACTCCCGAGAGTGCTCCTGTTACCCGCCCACCACCGCCATCGTCACCTCGTCAACAATCTAGGGAGGAAGCTACCGACAATGCCAACGCATCTACTCCACGAGTACTGTCCCTGAGAGAGTCTCGACCGTCGCATGTCAAACCAAAGGAATACACAGGCTCGCAAAAATCTTTTTCCAAACCCGCGTTTCCGCGCACGCATGAAGGAGGCCTTGAGGATATGCGAAAGATGTTCAATGCTCTTACGCGACCCCCAATCCTGACACCTCGTATACATGGAAACCATTGGACTCCCAGGCGATGGGGACCCAAGGATACAAATTTTCGTTTTCCCGCAAAGGAGAATATTCCGAGTACGGTAGTAGATGCGGAGCAAACCTTACAAAACGCGGCGCCTGCTCGTCAAGATGAGACTGTTGTTGGCTCGGACGCTGGGTCTAAACCTCCTCGCCTCACGATTGATACCATCATGAAAGCCCAAAATTCGGATGACGAAGGCGTGGTTAGCAAACTTTTCGAATGTCTTTGCTTCTTACTAATTGTGGGCGGTAGACCAATGAGTACGAAGACTCGAGTATCCAGTCAAGCTGCAACGAAAGTCCCCCACCATCTGCACCTCCTCAGATGGTTTCCTGGCAAGGTGCAAGCCTTGGACCACGGGACGCGTTGATTCGAATCTTCGTCAACGAAGCGCAATACCAACAAACCGTTATTGATACACTCAAGGAGTCTGTCCAGCGGACCAACGAGGCCATAGCCAAATCTCATGCACCCTCGCAAAAAGGTCCCATCTTTGAGCACAAGGCACCACAACGGCCCATCATTCCGCACGCATCTATTAAAGCGGCATTGGTTAAGCGACTACAGTGGCAAGAATTCGAGCTCAACTCACGGATCAGGCGCGCTAAGCAGGAGTATCAAGCGCGGGCAAAGAGGTGGCAGGAGCATTGCAAGATGCTGGACGCACAAAATCCGCCCGATGAACCCCCTCCACCTACCATTCTCGAGACGCCATTAACCAGTCGCACTGGTCGAAGACGGGGCGGTGTTTCGGATATGATGTACTCCGAGTTTGACCTCGAGCAGTTCATGCAAAAGCAAGCAGAAAATGACAAGGTGGATGCAGAGCTGCTCGGTCGGACGAATGCCGCCGAGATTCCGGACATGATTGCAGTCACGCCTGCTTGTCATAGCGCCTACAGATTTGATGATACGAATCGAATCGTATACGACCCCAACGACTTTTACGACTATTGGGTCAAGGATGCGTGGACGGAAGAGGAGGAGAAGGTATTTTTCCAACTGCTCAACGAAGTTGGGAAGAAGTTTGGTACGATTGCGTCGCACCCGACTCTCAAGCACAAGACAGTACAGGATTGCGTCCGGTTTTATTACCGCGAAAAAGCCGACGACAAGTACCGAGCATTGGCGCAAGGAACCGGCAAGAAGAAGGGGAAAAGACATGAAAGCGCGTCCGCGAGTGGCGTCGGAGGTCTATTGGGCGATATTCGCGCAGAGGAGAAGAAGGGCCACGCACTGGTAGCCGAAGAGGACGAGAACAACGAGAGCTCTGATTCAGCCTATGAACAGGAAGAGCAGAGTAGAAGGGGCCGTGGGCGAGGGAGAGGGAGAGGGCGGGGACGAGGGGGGTGGCGAGGACGAGGCCGTGGAGCCGCTGCGGCAGCGGCAATGGTTGTTGTTGGTAATACAACTACGACTCTTATCTCCACCACAGACGTCGCTGTTGGAGTAGCAAAGGAGGACGTCCCAACCATTGTCGCCGATGAAATGACTCGCGAGGAATCTCTCCCGCCTGGCCTTGGAGAATTGCTTATACCCGGTGAAACTGACCGAGAGACACCTCCATCTGCATTGCCATTGGTCGACATTGACAAGTTGGCTTTGGCTCGAGCGCAACCTGGTCCCAACGCGCGCAAACGCAAAATTCGGGTGGATGAGGCGGAACCTGATGGTCCTGTTGGGGACAATGGTAGCAAACCAGCAGAAAAGAAGAAAACTATATCCTCCTATTGGACCGTTGCCGACAAGACGAGAATGCGAGAACTCATCGAGCAACATGGCGACGACTACGAGGCCATATCTCTATGTGTCAGCCAGAAGAGTGCCGCACAAGTACGCAATTATATCAGGAACAACGCCGACCTGTATAATTTCTTGAAAGCGGTGATGGACTCGAGGAGAATGATGCTGGCGAGCCAGGCGCGGCAAGGGAATGGGGAAGAATAACCGTTTTATGTACTTTTAATGTACTTAGGAGCATTGTAATCCGGGAAATTTGCATACCCATGATTGAGATCCAACATTCATCTGACCTGAACACCCCTGTTCGATAGTGGTAGAACCAGAGAAAGTGTGCACTGTATTTCTCTTGATTGCATTTCCCGGCTACCTTCAGCGAGTCGAGGTGGAATTAAGTGATCAATATGTAAGCAAGTTCCCTTTTTGCAAGGCCTTAATCGTATCTTGGTCGCCACCAAATCCGCGGTAAAAATGGCGGATGAGCAGGAGCAGTATCAACTTTTCTTCACTGATAAGGATTATCCAGAGAGTATTGCTGCCGTCACTATCTCAAAGTTTGCGGTTGCTGCTTCACTCCAACAACAAATCCAATCATTGTACCCTCGTTACAAGGCGATACCCTGGTTCAATCTCCAATGATTCCAGGTGGATATCAGTCTTTCAAAGAGTACAGCTCTCTATGATCTCCGACCACTTATCAGCAAGAAATTTGGCACGGCGCATCCCACGCTCTTGTCACCACTCACCATTGGGACATATTACACATCAAAGTCTCCCGAATAAATGCTACATATCATCGCTGTGTGTTCCGGGGGATCCCCAGGAAAACATTTGTGAAGCCACTATAGGCATGTCATTGTCAAGCAGGTCAAATATCGCGCGGATAGATATTCTGCAGCATCTAAAACACTACGGAGGAGCGCTTGAGTAGATCATTGAGTTGGTAGATGTATTCGAAATTCGCACTCGTTGGCTGATAACTTTGGTCTCCAGCCGACGGATAACATCGTTGTTGACTTTTTGGGGCGACATACATAATTAAATTGAAAGGAGAAATTTACCTTATCGACTTTGGGACCGCGGAGATGCACATGACGGTAAGTAAGATGATGCATGAGTTATGTAGGACGCAAGGTTAGGGGCACCCAGAAATTGAACTTGGTTAATGTTGAGGCCCTATTCTCGCGGATAAATGGGCATGTGGAAAGATATTGCTCTACCTTGGCGAGCGAGTCAGTAGACCTCACGCGTACAGGATCTTCGTGCAAGGGGCGATGGACGACCTTTACGCTCGAACTCCTTCTAATATCTCTGAATACATGTTTATTCTGCGGCCTGCTACTCAATTAAGGGTAAGCATGACCATGACTAGCTTAATGCGCGCTTCGTTAGGCCAGCTGGTCCCTTTGTTCGAGTCCTGCGATGACCTGGTTTGCAAATGTGTACAGTGAATGCCCGGCACCAAGCGTCTCCATCACTAACTGTCTGCCTGCATATGCGCCTTGTAAGTCTCGTTGCATGCTTGCCAAGTTCAGTATGGATCGAAAGTAGATAACTTGGGTCATTCCCAAGTGTTTCTTCACCAACGCAAGTGTCTCTTGCTGTAGTCGAATCGCCTCATCAGTCTTCCCTTGAGGCTGATACGTTGCAACGAGGTTAATGGCTGTACAGAAAGTATCGTAATGATCTTCGCCCAAAACCTTGCGTTGTTGTTCGAGTAGTTGTTCCTCCAACTTTTCGGAATCATCCAAGCGACCAGCTGCATAATACGCCAAGGCTAGACTTGACGATGCCCGAAGAGTATCCCTATCTTCCGGCCCTAGAACCTTCCGGTGACGCTCCACCACTTGCTGCCAGAGCTTGACACTCTCTTCGTAGTTTTTAAGGTTATGGTAACAACTGGCGACCATTGCGATGGCGACTGTTGTATCAATGCTACCGCGTCCTTTTTTCTTGGATAGTTCCGCGAGTTGCCGTTCTGCAAAAGGGAGCGCTTGGTCAGCACCCTCGAGGCAGAGCGTTTGCACCAGATAACACTTCTCGTTCGAGTGTAATTTGGGCCAGAATGAGATAAAATGCTTAGCGTTGGGGAGTTGATAGCGACTCAAGCTCCCTGGCAGTACCGGCGAACTCGAGAGTAGACGAGCAGCCGCCTCGAACTCGAACGTTGACTTTCTTATCAAACTTGGCTTGGATCCAGCCACGAGTGAGAGAGTGCATGGAAACGAGAAGTGTGGATCCAAGATCGACAACTGTAATGAGTGCGTAATTTTGCAGTAGGGTAAATGTGGCTCGAAGGATGTCTTCGTCCCACGTTGCATCGCCAATGAATATTTCCTCGAGAAGATTTGTAAGAGTCTGATACTTCAAAGACGGCTTGGAAGATCTAAAGTATCTGGGAGAAAGCTTGACCTTAAGCCCATCCAGTATAACCTGAAGAGGAAATTGCGCACGATAGAATGAAAGTAAATGAACCAGCTTCTGCACTCGTAGTGAGAGCTGGACGCAGGTCAAGTCGAGAGCCGCATATGCGGGCACGACGCGCATGTCACGGTTATACAGTGCGGTAGATTCCAAGAGGCATTTTTTGCTGGTTTGAAGGAGGTCGAGGTAGCGAGTGGGAGTGCACGAAGACTCGCGCATATAGCTCGCCGCTTGTCTGAGTGCGATAGGATGGCAAGCCAGTAGGTCTGCAATCTTATGCAGAGTCGTGGCTTCTGATGGTGGAGGCAAAGTCGACCCAAACGGTCCTTGGGAGAGCATCTCTGTCGACTCGTCGATGGTCATTGGGCCCAGAGGGATATGAGTATCGGGATATGAGTATCGGGATACATGGTGCCTAGAGAGTGATTGCAGCTTGTGACGAGAATAAAGCCATGATCGCAAGAGGGAATAAACTTTTTAAGATCGAGCTTTGGATCGTCGACGCCATCCAGAATAACCAAGCGAGTCTCGTCATTCCGTCGTTGAGTAAGAAACTGAAGTGCTTCTTCCAGCGACTTGGGATTTTCGTTGATGCCGAGAGAACGGATACCTGTCGTCAACCCGTCGCAAATTGTCTCCTCCGACGCTCCGTCGATGAAAAAGACAGATGAAAAGCTGTTGCAACGTCAGATTAATCCTAAAGAGCACGTAAGATACGCTTTTTGAAGTGGCTTCTGGCGAATTTGAGTGCAAGTTGAGTCTTTCCTATTCCTTCGAGTCCTGTGACGACAGCCACTCGCTGCTGGCCGCGATAGTGAGCTCCGAATAAAACTTCATTCAACAATGACCATGGGCCTTCTCGTGTCACAAAGTCGTTGAATAGAGGAGGGAATGATATCGGCAGAGTTTCGCACCCTAGGTGCCTTCCTATTGCCACTGTTCAGGGTGGTAGGATGGACAGTATGGATACTCACCAAGCTTGTACAGCGAGACAGTATCCCTCCGAGTCCTCAAGCGTCGTAAACAGCGATGAAGATTCTCTTGAAGGGAGTTCTCTTCCATATATGCCTTGACAATTGCAGTGGGAGAAGAATCTTCGCTTTTGGCCGTAAAGCCACGGGGAACACTAAAGCGGTGATAGATCTTGAAATTACCGATCTGTTCCAATATATCCCTACCCTTCTTGTCTTCACCAGTGCAGAGTTGGTTGAAGAACTCAGTTGCTTGCTCGGTCAGTTGTATAGTGGGGGAAATGGCCACCCCCTCGTTGGTTCCAAGGTTAAGTATGCAACCTATTAGTTGTTCCCTTCCCAACTCTTCGATAGCTTGTTCCATGAACAGGCGAAAGGGGTTGCTATATCTGCGGTCTGCGCTGATGATGGGCGTCACAGTATTTGCTTGCTTGAGAATATATGGCAAGAATAAAGGCAGCGAGGAGCAAGTCGAAAGTGCTGCGTCGATGATTGTCACACCTCCGAGGTCGTTGGCCGGTGAGCTGGGGTTGTGAAGTATAATAGAGGGTCCAGAGTCACCCGAACGTAGCAATGGTACAAGGCTTGTCCTTTCGGTTAGTTCGCAATATATATAGAAGGGGAGACGTACAACTTGCAACCTTTGCTACGTCCGTCGTTGTACAGGCGCGAAGTGGTTGACATCCCGAATGAAGTTAAAGCTTCCTCCAAGATGAGCCGAAGACTTTGGAGACGTTCCTCGGACGAAACCTCAGTGTCATAGAAGCCGCTTTCGAACACTTTAACGAGTAGGTCTCTCATTTCCGAGACAGTGAAGTCTAAAACTGCAAATAAGATGGCAACCAGTTTTCTAATATGTCAGGAAATAGTGACCAAAAGCGAACAATATTACCCTGCGATCCCAGAAGCCGAGATCACATCGAATATCCCAGATGGACGGTTTGGAAGATTGTCCAAACCGTCGTTGTGGTATTTACTCAGCATAAGATCCAGCATCTCCATTTGGAAAACTGCGGATGGCCCTCCAGCGTCTATCAGAGCGCTCAGCGTCTCGAAATCCAGCCGTATTCTGTCTCACCAACGACGAGAACATTGAGCGGCCTACTCTTCTCGGATTTAATATTCATCCTTGTCGTGGTTGAGGTGCTGGATGGAGCCCAACGGCGTCAATTATGCGAAGCACTCGGCGGGCTAACACTCGAGGTTTGAGGATGACAGTTAGATAAATATACACTAAAATAGGGGAGTCAAGGTCAGAAGACTTGCCATCTTCGTGGATGAAGATCGAGTGAGGCCGAGCCCGAGGATTTCATCGGTCTTCTCCGAACAGAACCCTTGGTTTGCTTGGCTAGATCAATATACCGCCATAAATAAACATTTCTAATGGAAGGGCTCTTCGTAAGTCAAGTAGTGACCAAGATGCGCGGCAGCCAAACTTGGACTAGACCCTTGACATCGCGCGAACACGTAGTTTTGACCCCACCATGTCGAGCCTCGCGAAAGCATGGGCGAAATGGAAGACATTGATACAAGGTCAGTCTATAGGCACTCCAGAAGCGTCAATTTCACTCACTATCCCTCAGCAAAAGTCACCTCCAACCGAAACGAACTTCCCCCCGCAGTGTCAGTGCCTCGGCGTACACTCGGATCAGAATGGAGAGGTAGCGACACATTCTCTTTTGGGCATTTCTTTAAGGCTATTATTGATTCTTTGTGCAGACTTCATGATCACCTTTAGCGCCTCGCGTAACCCCCATGCTCCGCCGCCAAAGCCTCCACTTTCGGATATACATCTACCCATAGAGGTATGGGAAGAAGTTATAGCGTATGTCATCAAGCTCAGAGACTTGGCCGCGCTGGCAAGGACCTGCAAACTTCTTCACTATCTTTCGGAGCTGCGTCTCTACCGGCATCTGGAGGTTGAAACGACCACGACCAACTGGTTCTACCCACCAAAGTTATTTGGTCTATACCACACTCTACAATCTAACGCCCGCATTGGCCAACTAGTAACGCAATGCTATATCGTCCACAAGAGCGAGCGTCTTTGCCCTACATCCCGGCGTCATCTCGGAGAGACGGCTCCATGTAGCTGTACCTCACTCGATTCACAACTTGGCGCAGCACTCCTGGCCCTTCCTTTGCTCAAGGTCCTGCGCATAGACTGCAGACTATGCACGACAATGGGCAGTGAAAGACATCAGTATCTGTCTAGGCTACCCACCCGTACCCTACTGGAGCTAGAGCTTCAGTGTCAATGTAGTATTGTCCGCTCCCAGCTACAGGCCAGCATCCTCTCCTCTCCAGCCGTCGCAACTGTCATCGCCTTTCGTATATCAACTATGCCAGAATTCGATCTCGACCCGATGGACAGGTCAAAGGTTCCTCTCCCAGCACTCTCAACGCTCAAGGTAGTCAACCATGATGAAAGCCAGCTCATGGAGGCGATTATATCACAAACACCAGTTAGCGCCGTCCTATGTACCAATATTAGAGGTGGTCTAGTGTTGAAAACGGACGAAAGCCGACTAGCTCCCGCCCTCTTGCGATCACCGGGCACACTTGAAACACTATTTATGGGGAATGTGGGACCATGGCTAATGCATCAATTAGCTCGCAACCCGAGTCCATACTCGGCATTGCGTTCACTGGGTAGCATAAATTTGAGGAACATCGCGGTCAGTATAATCTGACTTCTGTCCACCTTGCGTATGCTTAACGTACATTAGTCAGTCGCCAACGATGAAATCGGACAGATAGTGGCGATCATAGCCGCTCTACCAAGGCTGGAAAGTCTGGAGGTATCCTACTCAAACTATAGCAGATATAACGCTCGGTATATTGACGAAGATTTCCTTCATTTCTTAACCACGCAACAAAGTCAACTTCGGCGCATCTATATTGTCTGGCGCGACTTTGAGAGCGACGACAGGGCAATTCCGTCGTTTCAACTGAATATGGATTCGAGAGGTTCGTGGCACCGGGACAATGTACCGTACCTCAGATATTGGGAGTTGGTGCTACAAGAGAGTATCAGCCGGAGAGAAAGTCAAATTGTAGATGACAATAAATAAATTAGAAACTCATTTTAATCTCAAACAAAAGTGGATTCAGACAACGAGCCGCTGAAGGGAGCTGAGTCTTGTCTTTATTTAGTCGGTGGTCGATGGCTTGCCCTCTGCCATAATCCGGGAGCTCTCGACGTCGTTTGGAGTGAGATTCTGGTAGCCAGAAAATAAAAGGAGCCATTTTTACGGTCCATATTCTATTTTCCAAGGACAAGCAGCCCATTTGGTTCCAATTTGGACGAGGCGTCAAAGGACGGGACGCCATTTGACATTCTAATTGTCTTTATCCTTCTTCCCTTGGGACAATTGTTGTGATTGAACCCCATGGAGGACCCTCAGCAATCCCCTTCAACCCTGGAATACGAATTGTGCACGCTCATTCCGCAGTTTCACTCAAGCCCAAGCGCGTCAAGCGGAAAAGTCTCAATCAGCTGTGTACAGGCGATAGGCGAGAAGCTTCAAATATCTTTCTTTATCAATTTTGACACCTTGACAGGCCAGAACATTTATCTCGGTTGCTCAAATGGTTCGTTGCAGCGGTATGTCCTCGAGGAAAGTGCAGATGGAGTAAGTCATAAAATGCCATCTTAACGGTGATCCTCAAGAATTTTCAGACATTTCAATACTCCCTCGCATCAGAGTTTATGCTCTCAACGAGGGCATCGATTGACTCCATCCAGCTGGCACCGACATTATCGAAAGCAATCGTTCTATCCAAGGACCAGATCTTCTTCCTATCACTGCCGACTCTGGAGCTCATTCCACCAGAGGTGATGCGGACCATCCCACAGGCATTAGGCTTCGCGATCAACGAGACCCCCGCTGCTCAGGAACCCGTTCGCCTAATAGTTCTTAAAAGAGCCTCTATTGGGTTTTACGACCTTGGAAACAAGACGCGCTTTCTCAAAGTAGTCCTCTCCTCCCATTAATGACTTCTGAAACTGATAATGGCTCAGGAAGTCCGAATTTCTTCACTAGCGGCGCGACAAGCCGGAAGTAGTCTGTGTTTTGCCGATACGGAGAACTACAATATTCTCAATATAGCGACATCCAGCAACCTCGCTGTTCATCCAATTTCGATAGTGGAGACGTGGAAAATCCTTCCCATTGTGGAGGTTTCCAAGGAGAACGAGTACCTTATCGTCGCTTGCACGGGAACCTCTGACGACCATGCGAAAGTCTACTGTATGGCGCTGTTCATTAGCGGTACGGGCGAGCCAACCAGGAATCCAATGGAACTAGAACAACCGGACGCCATCTGCGTCGATAAGGAGCTTGTTATCTCCCTCCATACAGTGCACTCCTCCACCAAGGATATATCGATAGTGCAAGTCCGAGCTATCGGGGAGTCGAAGACATTTCAGACCATTCACCCGCCACCCTCTGGTGAAGATCGAGTCAGACTGCTCTCGCTTGCTCGATCTGGTTTCGCTGCGCCGGTAAATTCAAGGCAGGACAAACTTCTCATGACCACCATTCCGCTCTTCGAGTCATTGACAACAAGAAAGTCCCTTCCTCGATCGTCTCAAGACGGAAAGGACGGCTTCGAAGAACCAGCTGGAAGTGGTCTAACGCCTCCCCCTACTCCTACTCCAAGCGCATCCAATGGTTCTGTCCGACAGCGAAACCATCCAAGGAATCGAAGTAACTCCCGTGGTCAATCTGTCCAGCCCTCTTCATCTTCTCGAGCGCTACCGTCTGCACACATCCTTCTCGCCACATCACAAGCGGTCCACGCTCTGCTTCCCTCCACGCTCATCTCGCAAGTGGAAGGGTTGTTGAACCAGGGGAAAGTGAATGATGCTGCCGCGCTTTTGTCCAAGTCTTATGCCAAAAATGCCAAAAACGAGGCTTTGGTGAGATATGTGGAATAGCTCCATTCTCATGCTCATCTTTTGTAGACATCTGACTTCCGATACCTTAATCAACGAATTGGGATCTGCTATCTCCATCAGACGGCGTTTGAAGCCGCAGGTAATGCGTTCTTCAGAGGAGATATGGACCCTCGCTGGCTTATTGGCCTATGGACGGAATGGAGAGAACTTGCAACTCGACTGTCCTTTGGCGCTGCGGGAGATACCAGCGAGCCAATTCATATCGAGATCTTTTCTGGGCTGGAGAAGGAATTGACGACTCTGAAAGGCCTAACCATACAGCAAATAGGTTCGTGATTGATTTTCTTTAGTCTCACCCTACCGCTCAACGCCACCGAACCATGCACAAATGTTATTGTTCCGCATCAAATCGATTTTGACTGACATTTAGTGACCGATTCGATAGTCACGAACTATTCTCCACATTTGGGAACTCCAAACGCCCTGTCCACTGCTGGAAAAGAGCTCGAGTCTACATTGAGGTGGAGTGCGAGAGAGATGCTTGTCAAGTACTTGCGCAAGTATCGAACAAAGCGGAGCTACCTCGAATCACCAACTGGGATATATGCCGACAAAACAATCAACAAGGTACATACTCTCTATTGCCACGCTCAGCGTCTCACTTTAGTAGATTGTAGACACAGTCTCTGTAATGCTCTATGCCTCTACCGAAGATTCCGAAGAGCTGCAGGAGCTGCGCCTCCTTGTAGACGAATCGCCGTTCCTCGATATTGAAGATGTGAAAGACGTTCTCATCACGAACCATCATATCGCTTCAATAGCTCGGGTATATGAGAAGAAAAACGATCGCGCCGCATTACTGGACCTATACATCAAGCTCGCAGATGGCATACTCAAGGACGAATCAATCTCTGATCCAGTGGAGCGAATAAAATGCTGCTTGCCTCCAGCAATGATTGGAAGTCATTACAGAAACACTGCCTTTGGCTACTCAAACGTGATAGCGAAAGCGCTCTCGGGGTTTGTTCACTGCTAGCTAGCTCTTGAAGAGACTAACTCTATTACAGCTTCTCATCTCTTCCGAGGCCAAACGCCCAAGGACAAGTCCAGAGGATATTCTGCTCCTTGCGCAGATACACGAGGTCGACCCTGGGTCTAGCCTTCGTTTCCTCGAGTATTTGGTGCTCCAGAAGCGTATTCAAGAAGCATCACTACACACTCAACTGGTTTTCCGCCATCTCGATGGCATCCTTTATGACCTCGAGGATCCAGAAGTCGTCAAAGAGCAAGCAAAACTTGGCCAAGAGTATGCGTCATTGGTCAACGATGAATCAGAGGGTTCAGAGCCAATGTCCTTCCCCTGGTACCTGGCATTCAAAACACAAGATTCCGAGCATAAGAAGGCACGCCTAAAACTAGACATGATGCTCCAAGGGTCGACCATTTACGACTTGGAGGCTGTCCAGAGAAAGATTCGCTTAACAACCCGGGAGGTCAAGAGTTTGCTATCGTTAGAAGTCGCTATTCTGGAGGCAAAGGTACGTCTTGCGCGAGCAGCCGGTCAACAGATAATGAATAGTCCATCAGGCCTGCAACCATAAAGTCGCGCTTTCGATTCTAGTGAACGATCTACACGACTTCGTGAGCGCGGAAGCGTACTGTGCTCTCGGCGGAGGACGGGTGATTACACCAAAGCTCGCAGCGGCCATTGGTGATCGACTCAGCTTACCCGAATGGGCGGCACTTGTCCTTGATCTGGATTCGTCTTCTGGCTCTGCAACCCCAGGCGCAGTGGCTGTCCTCAGGAGACATGGCTCCGGTCACGGTTCTGGAGCGAACACACCGCTGCAAAGACAGGCGGGACCAGAAGGGACAAAAGCAGTCGAGCTCACAAAGATGCTCCTCGAAGTCTACATGGGCACTGGTGAATCACGGGCCAAGGAAGCGAGCATGCTGCTCAACGCGCAGGCTGCCAACTTTTCGGATGAAGAGGTGCATGCTCCCAATTGTTCCTGGACGATTACTGACGTCAAATACAGATGATTCCTCAGATGCCGGACAGTTGGCCACTCGAGCTCGTCTACTCATTCGTCGAGCGTTCGTGGCGGCGCTCGCTTCACGCGGGTTTCGAAGGTCAAATATTGAAGCAGCTCAGTGCTGCAGAGAATCTCCAGGCAAGTGACGAATCATATCATGAACCTATACTGACGCGTTTAGACTTCGGAACTCTTCTTTGAGGTTTCCGCCGCAGCAGGTGCGATGATCGAGGAGTCTACAGACGTAACTTCGCCACCAGATGTTACTCAATCTGGTGGTGACGAAGGAGTCGATGAACCCAACGAGCCATCGACTTCGTATGGCGCTCGCAAGGAGTGGGCGTCCACAGAGCACAAGATACCCGCACTTGGGTCCAAGGAGAAGGAGCTCCCGCATCCGCCGAGTACGGACGAACGTACCGACATTGCTACATGATCCTCATGGAGTGGACGTTTGATACTCTAGAATTTTTAATCACGCATCGTCTGTATCATCTGTGTAGTCATGTTTGATATTCAAATTCTCTTCTACTCGATCATCCAAAAGAAGACCGCCGTGCTCTGAATCCGTTGGGCGGATCCGAGCCATCCAAACCCAGCATTTCCAACAAGAGCGAGTTTTGTGCCTTTCGTCCATCCCGGTGCTCCCAAGCATGATGTAATGTCGACCGACATCGTTGCTTGACCTCTCGATCCACGTCCCACACACTACTCGGGACAAAGGCCTGTGTCTCTCCAATGTTTGTATCTCCAACTGAGTATCCACCAAAGCTAAACGGCAAGCCCATGTTCGAGGTACTGAATGGCGAGAGTAATGGGGAGATGGGAGAGCGCATCTGGCCCGGCTGCATCATGGAATTTGCATTTGTCGGAGTCCGTGGAAGATCTCCTTTCATATCACCACCACCCCGACTGCTATTGCTGCCAGGTAGACTCGAAAGTGTAGACGTAGACGATACGCTCTCAGGTCGAGAGCGTGACCACATTCGACTGGTGCCACTACTCGCATTCGTCGCCGTGCTCGTGCTCGTATTTGCAGTGCTCCCGTTTGCCGTATGGAATCTTCTGCCGCCTCCGGCAGCGACTTTGGATCCAGAGGCCATTGGAACGGCAACGGCGTGCCAGGGTGACATACTGGCCAGTCTTCGTGTCTCCAGTGGTGCCTTTTTGCGTCGGGGGAATGACAACGGGAAGACGGTCTTTGCGTACCGTGCCATGGGCGGGAGAATGGGCAACGCGAGCGGTATAGGTCGGATCATTTGTGAGACATGGGTTGTAGGTGAATTAGGGGCCGTATCATCTGCGGGAGCAGAATCAGGAGGTGGGTCAAACGTCGCAAGCCGTCTTTCCCAAAGCACGCGGTTCTCTGCACAGTCCTTTGCAATCGGGGATAGACCTAAAGGGTGGCAGTCAACGACATGTTTATATCACGTTGCCGACGTACCATCGAGAACGGCAGATACAGCATCAAAGAGAGGCTGAGTGAAGAGCTTGATAAAGCTAATCTGACCAACGCATTGCACTTTTTCGTTGGCATCAGCCGCGACAGAAACCGGCAATCCGAGGTGCCGTTCCAAGAGCGCCTGGGCTGCCCATTCTTCCAAGAGAACGGTGGACCAGTGCCGAGAAATGTGATGCGGGCGACACTGCCCCGACAATTAGTTTTACACCCGATGATCTGAAGGGAGATGACTGACTGGATTGGATATATCGGCACATTTCATGATCGCCTGACACAGAAACATGCGGTCCTCCCGATCTGCAATCTCTGGAGAGCGGAACAGCCCCTCTCCACCATCCTCATTCTCACCACCGACATCGCCCTGGGGCGGGGGCACAAGACTGGCACGACGACGGTTCTCTTCTGTATCGGGCTCAACTGTCCAGGTGCCGTTGCCGCTAGGATTGAGCACCAGCTCCGGCGCTTCATCCGTATGGGTCTCGCTGGAGGCATCGTCCCCGCCTCCATCGAGCGTCTGTGCGGTCGTTGATGTCGTGTTGCCACGTGCCGCAGAAGTTGCAGCTTGTTGCATCTGCAATGCATATCGCGTTCGGGTTTTGCGTTCCTTCATGGCACGTTGAAAGCCTTCGAGCCATTGAAAGTGCCAGCTCATATCCGTCGCAAGGACAGTCCCTTTGGACATGAGCAATCGAAAGCGCTTACAGTGACCTCACACTCACCCACGACCAGCCTCCGCCCTTCTCTTCCCTCGGGCGTTTGAGTGGTGATCAGATGCTCCATCCCATACTTTTTCAATAACCTCAACAGTAAAGTGCAATGCATCTTCTCCAATGCAGATTTGTCTTCATAGAGCTTCGATAATGGCGTCTGAGCATTTTTCTGCATAATTCCATCGTCAGCATCACCAAGCAGGCTACTGATATACTCACTAGGAATGCATTGCCATTCCCAGGATGGCCTACATCATGCCCAATCGCAGCCAAACATAAAACGAAAAGCTCCGCGTCATTCAAGAGGGAAAGGGCACTAGGGCCCCTCTTCTTCTTCGACTCGGCTCCATCATAACCAGCATTGAACCGCGACGCAGCACGTACACGCCACGCACCATCAACGCTGACCTCCCAATCCGCTTGCGCCTGTACATCTTGCTCCTCGAGCAACGGAACCCTCCCCTCGTTCTTCAAAAAGGTCCAAACAGCTTGGAGAACATCCAGCGCGTGCACAAAACTGTGGTACCGATTCTCTTTACGGTAGAGTCTCTGGAGGCTCTGGACAAATGGCGCAATGTCCTCTTTTACCCGAATAGAACCAAGACTTGCAAGTGGGATCCGAGTATTCCCGCTGGCTGCGCTTTCAGATATAGGGCTGGTCGTCAGAGGCGAGACCTTGAACGCGGAGAGAAGCGTGGAGAACATGAGGATGACACAGTTTGCTGCGTCATTTGGGGAGAGTAGGAATGGCTCAAAGTGCCACGATGAGAGAAGATTGAGCAATCGTGTTGCGTTTCGTGGAGAGGGTGGTACAAGCTGAAGTGGCCCGTTGGGAGAGTGACTTGGTGGAGACGGAGAGGGCGCTCGCCCCGGGTCAACTTTGGCTGACAAGGGTTGGAGTTGATATCCAGCGTTGGTAACGGAAAAGGGGACCCCCTCTGGATAGTGCTGCGAAAGCGGCGAAGCAGAAGGAGAGGACGTAAAAGCCGATGAGTTGGAAAGAGTTTGCTGATGGCGCATCGAATTTCCGTTTGGTGCGAATGAGGCCAAGGTGGCATTTTCCAACGCAGCAATCGAGTGGAGGTGCATAGAGAGTACCAAATTGGCGTGTCTAGACGAGACTTTGTCAGCTGTATCCGACTACAAGAGCGAGTGAGAAACGCACTCTAATTCGCCCCCCTCGTCAAACGCAGGTACGCTTTTTCGCCTCTTGGACGTCGTGGCAGTAATGGTATCCCGCTGTTCGCCAAATGGGGAAGAGCCCTGGGGAGCCGTATCCCACCCAGCCCAGCCACTCCCAGTAGTCGCTCTCCAATCAAGTTCACGAGGAGCCGAATCAAAGGCCATGGAATCAGATGATCGAGTAAATGAGTTGATGGACAGCGCCAATCCGCCTAAATCAACACTCGCTCTGCGTTCTGTGACGCCCGCGAGGTGGGGGAACCCACGCGCCCCAAGGCTGTCGGCGAGTGAAAGGTGGGGTGCGCTGTCAAGAATAGGGTGAGAAGTATCCATGGGTGAAAACCCTTCGCGTTCGTGGGACTGGATTTCTGGCGCTTGTCGTCTAGAGGCTCGCAAATGGTGGTCGACTGGTGCCGAGGAAGTAAAAGGGGCCTGAAACGCTGGCTGTGGCGTTTCGTGCAATTCTTGTTCAGCGTTGTCCGAGTGGTGGTCGGGTGCTAGCTCAGATAAGCTATGCGGGGGTCTGGTCGAATGCATGTATGCATGTCGCTCAAGGGCCTGGAAACATTTAGCGGGAATCAATACCAAATACCACACACACAGAGCTAACGGCCCGTTTGACAGAGTCGGGCGTAAATGGGGGGCACAAGAGTCCGTGAGCGCCGCTCTTGAACGCGGCAATTGCAATCTCATCTGGAAGATGAACATTTTCAGAGTACACTGTGCATAATTAGTATGACATTTGACTACTGGAAGACCAAGCGTACACATGATGGCCACCTCTTGCTTCAAATCAACCCCTTCGTTGGCTTTTGCGGCCTGTAAGCGTGCGATAACGGTATACAATGGTGCGAGGGCGCGCTGGATTGACTGAGGGGTTGGTGTGGCATTGGGAGGGAAGCAGACCGAGGATGGAGTTGTAGAAAGTTCTTGCGGAATGTAGTCTTCGAGTTGGACAAGTAATACAAGTGGTCGGGCCGCAGGAAGGGGCAGAAGCTGAGGCTGGATTTGGACTGTTTTTTCAAGGTCCAAGGAATAATGTTATAGGTGTTCAAATGGTGAGATGGATAGTTGGTGCAGTGGATTGATGGTAGATAATGAAAATGCGACGTAAATCAGCAAAGACTTGTTCGGCGCGCTGTAGAGAGAAAAACTGACCGATAGCCTGACTGGACAAGCCGAGAACGAGGGAATGGGGCACATCGAGCGAGGCATGCATCGTCGTGGACGTGCGCTGCCGTCGATTAGTGGCCGCGGCAGCAACAGACGTCGAATGGTGCAGCGACGGCGAAGAGTTGCTGGTCGTGCTTGCTCTGCTGTTCCACGGTTGCTCCGGCGCCGTTCCATCGCTGCTCGGGGCCACGAGCGACGGCGTCAGCGAGGTGCGTCGAGCGGCCGCGGTCGAGAGAACGTCTTTTTGCTCGATGAGGACAGTAACAGCGCCCCAGCGGTCACGCAGCGTCAGGCTGTCATTATTGCGAGAGCTTTCGGACGACATGAACCCACAGCGGCAGGGTCCAACACGTGAGTTTCTCGCACGCGATTGATGGGCCCGCCCGAGGATCAATGTACACGTTGTCCGCACGCGATAGTACATTATTATCCCCGATGCCGATGAACAAATCCAGCAGATTTCAAAATCTGTCTCGCATCAGATGCCATACTGGTCATTGCACGGCTAAAGAGGCACCCGCTGCGCCACCCTACAATACTCTAAATTCCAGCTTGTGACGCACCAGTGAAATGCTTGCTTTGTCGACGGCGGCTCTGTTGGCGTTTGTGCCATTGGCGCCGCTGGTACAAAGGCCTTTACCTAAACTAAATCCAGCGCAACCGTAGACACTTTGTACTCGAAAGTACATTATTTTCCGCTCTTTGTCTCGACTCATCAGGCCAGGTGAGAGCAGCAAGCCAACAGTCGAGCATGGGATGGGCAGGTTCAGACATTGTCCTAGAATTGATTGTGGCGGGTAGACCTGGGTAAACGCCATGAGGCAAGACATTAGGGGACTAGCCATCCTATCGACGATTGAAACCCAACCCCGACCACACAACAGCTTGAGCACCATCCCAACCTCACTATAACATGTCTTCTCACCACAGTAGAGCTCTCTCGAGTGACAGTAATTGCACCGATGGCGGCTACACGTCTGGACAACCCCGCGACTCTGGCCCAGTCGGTAGAGGCCTCGACACGATCTCTCGTACATCGAATGGATCGAATAACATCTATGTAAGTATTATATCTCGATATTATGGCCCTCCCGCCCCTCCAACCTGGCCAAAAGGCATTGGTCGGCTGGTACGGCTGGTGTTGTGGTTTCCGCCCTTGGTCGAATCCCGCTGACGGGCACGCCCTCATTTGCATCTAGAATAACATCTCTTTCAAAGAGATTGAGGAGTCTCTCCTTCTCGTATACCCTTGGCCCAAGATTAGTCAAGAACTGCCCAACTGCACAAAGACGCGCCTGGTCATCCACGCGCCCGACCAACCTCTCACGTTCAACCTCGTCGTCCCCAAAATTGTCGAGCGTTTTCATCTTCGCACCGCTCATCCCTCTGACCTGATCCACATCCAACTCCCCGGCCAAACGATGGACAAGGTCACAATCGAAACGCCCAGAAATGCCTCAATGGAAGCAATAGATGCAGACCTCTGCCATCTCTTGGATTCAGGCAGGCTCACTCGTTTCGCGTCCAAGCTAGTCGTGCTCTTGTCCATCAAGGCCAGCCCGCCTACCTACATTAGGCTCATTCAGGAGACATGTCGCAGTGCCGAGAAGCTTCGTATTGTCATGGTACCAGGACTCGACATGAAGGCGATCATCAGGACGTTTGCGGTACCCAACCACTATGGACTTTGGCTGGCCACTACGGTTAAGCACGTGGAGATTGACGCAAGGATACTTTCCAAACCGAGGTTGAAGAACTTAGGCCCGCCGCTACGGTCACTGCGGAGACGCGTACCCGCCTCCATAGCGCGTTTACGATTTCCATCCTTGGACACTAGTCATACAAGCTCAAACTGTCCCAGAAGCTTTGCAGGCTTTCTAAATGCCTAATAAATACTGTTTTTCTACTTTCATATCTATTTCTGTAAGCTAAAAGCGAGAGGGATACGGGGATGAGACTGAAGATGACCCCGAGTTGCGGCGTAGATGCCTCTCTCAGTTGGAGGCCCACGATCCTGTGCCACTGACAGGATTGAGAACTTCGTGCGATGTTCACCGGCCTCTCCGATGACTTTACTACGAAAGCAGGTGCTTGAATAAAGAAGCACTCGATGTATGCATGGGACGCCCAGAATATCGGCCTTCCCCTTTCGACGCCGAGAAGTGGCTTATAGAGCAGCTTGATTTGTGGTTAGAGTTGCACCGGTGCGTTCTTGTCTGTCTTCCCGAACCATTGCTTAAATGGATGGAGTGGCATGCAATCCACAGTCGTCAGAGTACATTCTGCCTCTCGAATGAGACAAGTCGACCTATAGCGCGTTAAATTTTGTTCATAGTTACGTCTAATGATCTCATTCGTAGTTTTAAACCCTGGTATCGTCATCTTTAGTGAAGATTCTAGCAACCGAATCCATTCTGCTAGTCAATAAGGGTAGTCTATGTACAAGGAGTACTTCCATATCCGAGAGGTAGGAGCATTAAGAGAGACGCCGGTCGTCTACCTTCCAATCGACCTGCTCGTGCCGTTGTCCGCTTTCGTTGAGATTCGAATTCGGTCCAAGTACAACGGCTCGACCAGGTCGTCGTACAAAGATACCGTCTCCAGCCGCATGCAAAGTAGGCGACTCCGTCGTCGAAGGTCTCGCTTCAACCCGCCGATTCTCTTCATGGTCCCGACCACTCGCAGACCGTGAAGGCCGATGAGCCCTCCAGCGTATGGTGGAGAAGAGCGATTGGCTCGAAGGCTCGGGCCCGCCGCCTTCACCTCGTCTCTCCGTCGTCCTTGGTCTTTCCAATGGTTGCGAATGAGCCCTTGACCTAGTTCTCGGCGATACATTCGATCCAAACCCCGCAAGAGGTGGCCCTACTCTTCCTACTCTCGAGGTATACGGTGGTACTTCGCCTCGTGCTTCGGCCACGAATACAGCTTGCAGGGCGTCAGGGTCGGCGAGACTCTTGACCTGCTTCCATTCGCCCTTGTTGGTGACGAGCAATATCGCGCTGAGCAGCAGGTTTTCTAGTAAAACCTCTTTGCTGACAATGTCTACTCCAGATGCACATGCACCCGACGATGGAGCAGGGATAGAGGCGTAGACGGGTGGGAAGAGTGCCAGTTCGTGGTGAAGAAGTCCGAGCTGAGGTGGTGCGAATCGAGCGAGAAGCGTCGGAGGAGCGGGGCGGATAAGAGTGGTGAGATGATCGCGCGAACTTTCGAGGTGGATGGTGAGAGGGTGTCATGTGCGGCTCCGAATGATTGCCTATGTGAGCTCTCATCGGCCAGCGGAACAGATTCGACATCCAAGGGTGGCAGAGGAGGTCGAGATGACAGATCGTCCAGAAGTTGAGGGTGAAACCCGGTCGAAGGGGGAACGGTCGAAGCCGCGAATGAGGGAACAGTCCCCACGTTACGTGACGCTTCTCTGGCAAATCCTCCAGAAAGTGCTCGTAACGATGTGGGGTCGGTTGTCGTGATCTGGGGTGGCTGAGTGGAGGTGGCAGGGCTCGCTGCAACGCATCGCCAAATCTTCCACATTTCGTGGTAGGAGGTCGACTGAGAGCGCGCATAGATTCCATCGCTCGTACTTGCATTCTCATTTCCCGACTTCCACTTGTACTCTGCCTCGTCGACACTAAAGACTTTTGAGCTGCACATGTCAGATATGGACTCGCAAAGTGAGAGAAAGAATACCGACTCGGAGTTGAACCACCCTTTTCCCTTGCGCAGAAATTCGCCCGCGCGCATTACTCGTCCACCATGACTGACCATGATTGCTTTCTTCGTCTGGCCGCTGACATTTCTCAGTGAGCCATCACCGACGACATTACTAGTCTGGACTGAATACTCCCAACCAATCTTTGCGACCGGTGCGAGCTGCCCATCTCGTCTGACCTTCCAGAGACATGTCTCGTGGGCGGCGTCGGTGGTGGTGGCGTATACCGCCCGTCTGGAGCGCTTGCTGACGAATACGGTATCGAGAATAGATGGTGGATGGCTGTTGGGTCGTAGCACAAATGTGTCCACGGGCCCAGCTGCGTAGGTGTGCGCTGCTTCTGATATTGTGAACGGCGGGACACTAGGCATACGACGATCAGTTTCAGGTAACCGGCAGGGGTATATTTCTATGAAGTGTCAGAAAAGCATGTTAAAACCGCAGTAACATACCTGCCGTACAATCGATTACGACTGTAGATATTTTTTGTAATAATTCACTGGGGGCGAAACAAGCTAGGTCTTCCGGGAGCAGCTTGTGCGAGGCCTGTGTGATATATATATGACCAGAGAGAATATCAATACCGTCCAGAATCCACAAAAGCCCTCTGTACGCAGTTCAAAGGATGCGAACGGACTCCAAGCTGCGTTCCGCGTTTCCTAATGAATTTGTTCGTCTTCCGAATTCGATTTTACACGCTTGAGGCGCTCATCATATGGTTCAGAAGCCTCCGCGAATGCATAACCCAAATGGTCGAATTCCAAGCGTGAAAGCGAGTCAATTACTCAGAGGTTCTACCGAGCGATGTTTCGGCAACTACTACGGCGACGTCCTTCGCAACAGCAACGGTGTAATATTTAATAAGCATACGGATGTAAATCTACTCTCGGGCTTGGGTCGCTTCTCCCTAATCGCATAGATGACGACGTAAAAGGCGATCGCACTCGTCCACCAGAAGCATTATACTCGTCCAATTCTGTAGGGCGCCGAGAGTGTGTCAATGCATCCGCAAGCGTAAAGACAGCGGCTTCTGAACCCCGAACGTCCCGATCCTTCGTCTTCCTCGAGGCCTTGCTTAGCTTCTTTCTGCTCGATGGTTCAAGAAGTTTCTTTCTCGAGCCCGTCTCCTCCTCCCTTAGAGTCCGGGAGAGGTCCACAGACGGCCCGCGACCCTCGCCTTGCGCCTTTGAGTCTATGGACTCCTGAAAGGGAAGAAGGGGAAGAACCGGTAGCGGCCTCTTTCCTGTCAGCTCCTCGCCAAACGAGTCCGCGCCCGCACCATCCCTCTTCACCAGCTGAATCCCACCAAGCTCGATTGAATCAACCTTCTCCCGTGTACATCTCTCCGTCGAAGATGTCTCAAGAGGCGAACGGAACATGGCCCATTCGTCTATGAGACGGGTAGTCCGTATTCGACGGCGGTTCCACCACCACTCTCGCTCTTCTCGCATTGAGGACGTAGTCGATGTCACCGTAGAACGATGCTTGGACGACCGGGAATTGCCCTGCGACGATTTAGTTGAAGTCTGCTTGGAGAGAGTTTGCCTTGAGAAGCGAGAGTCGGGTGAGGTCATTTCCTCCATCGCCAGCCCTTTTGCCCTTTTCCCCAGTACGTATTCGATGTCTCGCCTCTTCTGAAAGGAGCAGTGGTGGTTGTGGATGATTTGGTAGATACAAGTTGGCCGAAAGATGATACCGCGATGCACCCAGAGCTACAAATTCTTCCAAGCTGGGTGAAAGTGGCAACGACAGGGGTTGACTTTGCCTTTTCGTTGCGGACAGTTCTGTCCGATGATGAACCACGATACTGGGTGTTGAACGTCCAGATATCGATAGTTCCGGAGAAGCGAACGGATGGTCTCTGTAGGATTGAATGCCTGGCCCGAGACGGAAAGTCGTTCCCGTCCTCTCCTGCAAGTAGCCTACAGCTTCGTGCTTCTCTCCCAAGCTCGATACTGAAACATGTTCCTCGACAGAGTGCTGGGTTCTTCTAATCGCTCGTCTTCGGTAAGCCAAGCAGAGAGCCAGTGCGGCGACGAGGAGCAAGCCTGCGGCGGTGAACAGGCCAGCCATTGCACCTTTGTTACGAAAGAAGCTATCCATAGTCACTATCTGTACATCTTGCTTGATCGAGATATACTCACGCATGGGCCGCATGGTTCAATGCCGAATCGTTGTTTGGGCCGTCTGGCTGCGAAGATTCGGCCACGATAGAGTTTGTCAGGGTCGTGGAAAAGGAACTAGGTGTAGATAATGTAAAGTCGAATCCACTAGAGTGAGGAATGGTTAGCAGGGGTTACTATCCAGGCAGCCCTATCGGACATACGAGAGAATCGTGACAGGGCGTGACATGGAGATTTGGCGAACAGCGAGCATCTTCCACCGTCGTGAATCGTTTTGCCTCTCTGAGCGAAATCAGCAGAGCAGTGGTCCCAGATGTCGCCCCCAAACGCGACGGCGGAGTCCAACGACGAGACAAACAGTCCAATTATCTATAATTACTCATGTGTCGATGTGACTGCCAGCGTTTACAGTTTGTGGGAGTATTGCGCCGCATCGCCTGTCGATCAGAGGACTGCTTTGGCCCCCATCTCCGTTCGAAAAGGAGTTCTCTAGCAAAGGCTCAAGAGGCAACCAATCACATGGTTGAGTTGGACGACAAGGACAGGTAACCACGCTTTGGCATTGATGCTGTTGCCAATGGAGTAGGGTTCAAGTTTCAAGCGATGACAAAAGTACAAGTAAATCGATACAGAAAGCAAAACCTAGATACAAATCTCGAAGGAGGTCTAGAAACTAGAGGCTCAGGCTTCAGTGGCGACTACGCGTTGGGCTAATATGTGCCTCTGGTAGCGGAGAAAGAGTCTCATTCGCCGACGGATCCTCCTCCAATGAACCAAGACTGGACGTCCTCGCGACAAACGCAGAACGTGTCTTTGGTGGGCGCGGTGTGCCGATAGAATTAGAGACCAACCGAGAGCCCCAAGTAGCCTCGTTCAAATGAGACCACGAATTGGTTACTGGATTGAACTGCATCGCCGAGTGTGGCTCAATAGGCCCCTGCGTGGGGGGATTCTGCAGATGATGAGTGAACAGCACTGTACGAACGAGTTGAACATACCGCAAAGTCGAGCGCTACAAACGAGTGAACGTCCTTGTATTCACGCACGGCAAAAGGCGAAAGTCCATCTCGCCTATTGAGGGAGAAGAGTGCAGAGACTGCGAGGTTCAACGCGGCGAGACTGATGTATTCGCTCGCTACAAGGTCTTGCTTCTCATAGACGGCAGCAAGAACGAGCGAGACCAGTGCAAATACGAGCGAAGACGAGGCGGATTCGAGCAGAGTATCACCCAGCGTTGTGAAATTGAATTGCGTTGACCTATGCAGAATCGGTAACGAGTTCTTCAGAAGCTTTAATGGATACGCACCGAAATTCAAGTTGTCTGTATAACGTGCACGCGGTGAACCCACCATTGGCGACAATATACGTCGCAATAGAGGTTACTTGAAGCAGTGCAGAATCATTCGTGCGGTACATGCGACGTCCGATATTCTGGTTGAAACGTAAGCATCGACCCAAGGCGATAACCGAGACCGTACAAAGACACTGAGAGCAATGAATGCACTCGTTGAGATCAGAATGACTCCGACAGTCCAGAGATTCTTAAATTTGGACCCATGAGCTTTCGCGAGCAACGCTCCGCCGAGCAGGGTAATAATGAGGGTCTACAGGCGAGTAAGCAACCAGCAGATGAGCATGAGAATGACAAACCAAGATCTCTGTCGAGGCTTGTAGTCTGAGCATAGTCAAAGAGGACCATGAATCTGCCTGAACAAGGATCGTCCAGGCAATCACCCATAGAAGCGCCATTTGGGCTAGTACGACCACGAACAAAAGTCCGACGCTCCAATGAGTTGATATATCCTTGCGTCTTACAGTTCTCGCAACGCGGATGTAACGTCTAGCTTGCGAGAGAATGAAGCCTGTCAAAGTCATTAGATGGTGGTAGGTACATCTTGAAGTGCTTACCAAGGACAAGAGACGAAAACACTGTCGAGAGGAGGATCGCTACAGAGTAACGATTGCCCTTTTCAACGACGGTCTGAGGCGGATACGCAAACTCGATAGACGACGACATGATAAACTTGAGTGGTCGAAAACGAAAGAAAATGGCCCTCTTTATAGCAGAGAGTATCGAAAGGCGATGTAGTTCACGGGACGAGCATCGTGTCAGCCGAGCTCGCCATCTCGACGTCGAAGAGATCGGCGGTCAAAGTGAAACATTGCACTGCAACATCATCCGACAAGCTAGAGGCGTCCAACGCCGCCATCTCTGTCGACGTCGAGTCCAAATTGCTGCCGCTGGTTCGACTCTGCACAAACGACGAGAGCCCCACGGTCCATCCCTGAAACCGAAATTACCAACAAGTCTAAAAGTTTATCTAAGATTGTTTTGCACGTTTCTTCTCCGATTTCGATGGCGAGTTGACACACCCAGCCTCCGACGTACATCTTCGATCCGCCGCTGTCCTCCTGGCGCTTCCTTTGCAAATGTCGACATCTCGGCGGGGTGACGAGAGCGAGTTGAGTGTTGTCTTTGTCGTTCCCACGATGCGTCATGATTTCGTCACTCGATGTATCGACAGAGAGAGCTGATGCCAAAATACCACAACTTACCCCTGACCTGGATAAGTCAACTTATCCTAGACTTATTTTCTAGCGGAGAAACAAATCGTCACTTGTCATGTGCGCGCTCCCCCTCAGCTCCACTCCACACTATTGCCGAGACTGGAAAGTCCCGAATGACTATTTACGTTAATGGCGGCCTCGCCCTGCCAACGATTCCAAGCAAAAGGCTTGGTCACCAGTCCAGTCTCGACCCAGATCAAGGGCTGGCTGGGTTGGTTCAAAGCCCCACACATATGAAAGGGCAACCGAACGTGTTGTGCTAATAGTGTCATCTATGAACGACTCTGGACCCTGGTGGCGCAGTCTCCTCGATTAGGAGTGGCATCTGAGACGAGACAGGCTCCTCTTGACGATACGAGTGTACACTCTCGTCGTAGATTATATGAGAATATGTATTTGAACAATGTAGAATGATCAATGGCAATGGTTCAGCGCCTAGCGGGAGCCAAATGCTCCTCCACGCATCCCTGTAGGGACTGACACGCACCCAAAGAGCAGTTTACACGACAAGATTTGTAGTATAAATAACCTTCTAGCTCACCCAGACAGCCTCCCTGCCGGTCCACGATGTACCCTATTCTCCACCTCGCAGCACAACAGCCTCCACGAAGTGTATTCCAAACAGCCCTCAAAGGAGCCAATTGAGCGCCAAAGGGGTATGGGTCTAGCAACAGAGAAACACGGGCGCAAAGCCTTATCTCTCGAACCCCCCCTGGCCGTGTTCGGCATACACCCAGACCGACAGCATCACACAAATACGAATTCGAGTACCGTCCCCCAAAAAACCGCAATCTACATTCGTATTCTCAGCCAGGGTGCAAGGGACATTTCCACGCTGTGAACGAGTTTTCTCAATACGAAGCACCGAGATAAGTCTTGCTATGCAAAACGTTATACCATATCTCCTTATCATATAAACGCCGAGGCCGGGGGACGTGTGGGAGATAGGAGCTCTGGTGCGCACCGACCGCTCCCCGCTCAACGCGACCCCCCTCGAAACGAGACCAAACCTAATGAGACCAAACGATTCACCATGTGTATTCGTCGTTTTTGACGCGCGGTTGCCACGCATACCATTATTGTCGATCTCCTTTTTGACCGCCAATAGCTCAGAGTGGCTGTGACGAGCGAGGTTTTTTCAAGGGGTTATTTGGCCAAATGTGTAGGTGTGGATTCGGAATAGGACGATAAGCGTAATGCCGGGTTCAGAGCCTAGACACGTCCAGACATAGAACTGTATACGATCCAAATTTGACCCTTACTCCGCCGAAGGAGAAGGGGAAAGGGGAGAGGGAGGGGGACTGCTTGGTCAAAGTCTGCAAGGGTTCTCAACGAAATGGCGCAAGCACGCAAAGATGCGCGTATCTCGTCTCGTCGAAAAAAAAAAACAAAGTAACAAGGAGAGCGACATGGGGCGGAACGCCACCCGTCTCACCCGTACTAGCCTCACCCATAACGCACGTTTACGCCACTCGAGTTGACGACGACGACGAGGAGCGCTTTATTAAGAGTCAAACGTGCAGCAGACGTGGTCTATTCCGTGTAGTGATGATACAAGAAACCCGGTACGAACGCATGTTTGTTATCTGTGTGCCACGCCACGGTGGTCGGATTAGAGAGAAGAACCGATAAGACCCAGAGGAAACGTGAATGATAATTTGATTTTCGTGTTGATTGCATGTGCGTAAGAATAACAGGTGAGAAGGACGAATGGGGAACCCAGAGAAGATGTGACGAGATGTGAACACGACGAGTTGCACGACGACGGAAGACAGAATGCGCGAAGACGAATGAAAAACCAAGTGACTAATTTTTGTGAACCCAGTGTTTTGAAGGAGGGGGGGGGGTGGGCCTCCAGTCCTACGAGGCTCTCCTGAGCCCCTTTCGACCACGATCACGACCCCTATCTTCCTCTTCATCTTCCTCACCCCACCTCGTAGCCACACGCGAATGAGAATAAGCAGCGAGACCATAATCGGCCTCGCTCTCTACTTGGCGTGCCGAGGGTTCTTCGACGAGGGGGACATTACGACGGAGGGCAATTGCAATCCCCGAAGGAGGGTTACGACCACTGCCTCCAACGCTTTTACGTCCAATCCCTCTTCCGCGCTCGGCAGAAGGAGACGAAGGTGCGTTTTCGGAAGAGGGACCAATGGTGAAACGTGCTGCACTACGAGGATGGTGATTTTCCCTGTGACCTTCTTTTCCTTCGAAATGACGTCTGGCACTAGGGCCAAGGAGGATCATGGGTGCGAGGGTGGCGGGGTCGATGCGGAGAGGTTTTCCTTGTCAAAGGCTGGATGGATAGTGGAAGAAGACGAGGCGAGGGAGGGATTGTAGAGTTGTTGGCTGCTTGACGAGTACGAGGAAGAAGACAGAGGCGGGTTGACGGTAGATGCAGAGGGGACTGGCTGCATAGCTGCACGAATGGCAGAACTGGGGACTGGGGAGGACGCGAGATGATAAGGTCCAAAGTTGACGTGGGCAAGCAAGCTCTCTGCAATCGTCTGGAGTTCTGCGCGTGTGTATGACGACTCGTTTGTGGGTGAGACTGGAGCCACTGGTCAGCTTTTAACAGTGTAGTGTATTGCCAATGTTGACTAACCTGGTGAAAATGCCGACGACGACGAGCTTCGTGCTCTGGTGTTGGTGGAAATGGAGATTGGCCCACGGAGGCTGCCGGCGTTTGTCGTCGTCAGAATCGGCGGCGGGGATGTCGCCTCTGGATGGTCAAGGCCTGTAGAGCTGCTGGACCTGCTTATCCGTGCTGCTGTGGCTGCATGGTGGTGGTGATGATGGTGATGGTGGGCCATGCTCGTCGATGCAGACCGCGACGTCGACGAGGCACTAGTCGCAAGGCGGCGAGTATACGTGTGCATTATCTGGCTCAGAGTTGTTTGTCTACGCTCAGACGTAGACACTTTGGTAGAGTTTCAAAGGAACACCAGACGGGGGAGGGAATGCAGGGCTCTCACTAAAATCCTCTTGGGTCCTTTTATGTCCCGTCTGGAAAGTGCCGAGACAAGACGCCATCCACATACGGCATTCCAAATTCCCGTCCCCCCCCTTTTATTTTCCACTTTATTTTCTTTGTTTGGCCATACAAATTATAATTATTATTATATTCTCGGCCTCTTCAACGGCCACCAACCTTGAATATGCGCCCCCCCCGCCTTGCTGGTCACCGACGCTCAGAGACTGTCCTCTGAGAAGCATATTGACTGGAATTAACAGAAGAGAGTACTGGGATACGTAACGACCGCGAATGTCACTCCGGCCGCGGCAATCTCCGACGGCCAACCAACCCATCTCGTACGCTAATCCTCTTGTTATTCCTTTTCCCCCCGCAACTTCCGTTATGTTCCCCCCAGATTCGCCACGCCGACGGCCTCGGTCCAGTTTCCCCACAAACACCGGTCCTTGGCTTTTAGACGGCGGACGGTCTCACACTCTGGCCCGGTGTAGACCACCGCATGGTATACCAGGTTTATTTTATTTTTCTAGGTACCCGTAATCTGTTGTAATTATACCCACGAACATGCGTCTGTCCTCGCCGCCCCCGCATTCCAGCACGGGTGGCGAGGCGGAGAGGCGATCCCTCGAGGAAACTTTTCAACGACTGGAAAATTTTCACATCTGGGGAATTGAAAACGAGATTGTGGGGGATTTACATCGCACATGACTTTTGCCGTAAAGATTCTCGTTGGACAAAGGACTCGATCCTCCATACGGTCAAATCCGACGTCAATCTTACTTGCTAGAGCCATCATGCAATGAGGCTTCGAATTTGAGCGAGCCGTTCGACGCGAGGCCGCTCAGCTGATCCCGCTTGTCCTGATCCGCTTTGCTTTCGACGAATAGATTCGCCCATGGTCAAACGGACACCCATTTGCTCAAATTGGGTTAAACGCTCATGCAAGATCACTTGACTCGCGTCCATCCGGCAAAATCGTTGTTTCGTCGTCTTGTTTCGCTCGACAGCTCGAGGTGTTTTCGCTACAAGTGATGCTCGTTTCAGAAAGCATACCTCGTACGACGGGCTTTACTCGAGCGCTCATGGAGAGCTAGCTTGCTCCGGTCGTGGCGCCCAATCATCTCGACTAGTCCAATTACGACACCTCTAATGATGCTTTTGAACGCCCGTACGTTTAAACCATTCGCACAAAGTACCAGATTCAGCGACTCGAGCGGAAATTCACGTCAAACGCCTCCATCATCCCCCCCGCCGCGCCACACACAAAAAGAAAAAAGAGCAAGTTGAACATCGACAAAGCAAACGGCGATAGTTCCAAAACAAGCTCTTATTTCCTCAATCGGCGATGGCCGTCCAGATTTGAATTGGGGAGCCATCGGCCGTTTTTGGTGGTGGTGGTGGAGTACACCTCGAATCGTCCAGCCCGCATTTCGAGGTGGATTCCGTCATGGAAACTGTGCAAAGCGCATGTGGCGTGTAGATAGTGCGTTATATCATCTGAAAACTATCGCTCTATGACGCCGCTCAAAAGTGGCGACCCATGACGAACCGTCGCCAAGCTGCTAGGGCAGTGGGTGGGATGGACTGACTCGAAACAATTAGGCGTGATAACCTCGCGCGAGTGAATGTAAGATAGAGCTGTGGGATAAACGAGTGTCGGTATAGCCTGGAGTTGCGTTGGAGCCGCACACATTTGTTCAGGTATTGGCGAGCTCGTTACGGCATTCTCCAATATCAATCGTCATATCCTCCAACGATAGCACAGACTGATGTAGTCGTGGCGAAAACAGACGCGTTTGTCCCGCCACAAGTGACGAGGATGGCGAACGATTTGCACAACCCTGGTCAGGTCTAATCACAAAATCGTCAATTCAAAAGATAACTAACTGAAATGACTCTGCTGTACGTAAAAAGCGCAGTCGCCCCACGCAAATGACGCGACATGGCGAAATTGCCTTCTTGTATGACTCGTCATATAACCCCCACTTATCGATATTGATATCTCCCTTTTTTTTTCTAATTGCACCGGTTTTGAGCAAATCTCGAAACGCTGAGAACGTGTTGGTAACGCTCGCCTAGTTGGCGTCCGTCCGTTCGGACGACCTGGGTAGTGTTCGATTTTGACCGCTTAGCCGAGCGGCGACAACGACACGTTGAATAAATCCGGATCTGCACCCGGTTTCCGTTTCAGGAGTGGACAATCCCACCTAACGGCAGACAGAGGAAAAAAATTTTTTTTCTTTGGTGTCACTTGCCTCAATGAGCCACCGCCTCCGCTCTGATTGCCTGCTCGGTTGGTGGCGAGCTGAGCGCTCGAGCACTAGTGAAGCGAGGTTGCCGTAATCTCTCCCCGAACAAGCAATCACCGCGAATGATCACCGGTGGAAGGAAAATCTTCTCTCGAGTGTACACTGCCAAACATTTGGGTTCTCCAGCAATACGTCAATGCGTGGTAATGGTCTGTAGGGTAGGACATGTTTAGGTGATGCGACACATGTGTCTGCAAGAAAAACGTCTGTAGAGAACAGGGAAAGGCGAGACGATGACGGCAGAGAACGTGCTTACCCGTCTCTGACTTGAATGGTACCCGCCCAGCGTGGACCGTGCGTGCGCCGTCCGAGGGCGCCCAAGGAACAAAACCCCAACAACAAGCGACGGCCGACGGCGATTTATTCGAACATCCTTTGTCCTTTTTCCCGTCGCCGTCGTGTCAAAAATCTCGTTTGCATTAACAATGTCGCAGTGTCATGACACTTGGTCCACGATGTGGCCGAACGACGAATGCGAGGCCAGTAAAAGTTGCCGTGTCGACGAGGGCTGGACCCGCTTCCAAAGGTTATCGCTTATTCCTTGCAGCATACATAACCTGTGCCGTACTTTGTTGCAGAGAAACCGGTGTCTTTGTCTCGACTTGGCGCCTTTGGGAAAACCAAAGGTCCCAGAACACGTTCATTACGCCCAGCTCTCGCATGTGCGACAAGCCGAAAACAAGTCTTCGTGGATGCCGACCGTCTCCAATGCGGGAAACGTGCGCGAACACCAGTTCCCATAGAGGGGAAGGGGTAGACCATTCCGCAACTGTGCAGTCTAGAATAACTATAACCGAAGGTGATGATGTAAAATCGGCGGAAGAACGAGAGACCAACCGAGCGGTGTCTTCTGCCCCTCCGCTGCCCTAGGTTGCCGAAAAAAGGTCTCGAGTGGTCCTCCTGATGACATGCGGGGAAAGCCGTTGGATTGCATATTCGGCGACTATGCGAGGCGATGTTGAGAGCATATGGTATAGTCATGCCGTACCTCGCCGTCATATCAACGTCTGTTGTCCGTGTGAGTGGGACCATGTCGTTAGAGTTAGATGGCCGGAGGGCAATACGGCAAGCTGCGACCTTTTGATCGTTAAAATGATCGGATCGTTGGCTGCTTCTGGTAGGGTCGAAGACGACATACGTGTCCGAGGACTATGCACATCCAATTTGCCAGCCGTACCCCGTGGGTGGGGGCAAGTTGTGAACCCGGTCGGTCACTACAACTCCCAACTGAGATCAGGGTAAGGGCACTGGTGACGCTGTCCTGGTATCTGGGCGTAAATGGGGCCCCCAAAGCTTTACGCCGAAGGGGTTGCGAAGAATACCGAGTAACTATGGTTGTAAACGCCACTTCATAATGAGTTGAGGAACCCAATCGATAATAACCTAAATCTTTTACAATGGGCTACCACCTACGCCTTGGATTTTGGCTAAAAGACCGGAGGAAGTCAGCTTAGGGGGAAGAGGGACATCCAACGTACCATCACCTCCTTGTCAGTAACCTGTCGAACAAAGATGCTGACTCGGCCATTCTCTGGAGCTCGCGCACCCTCCTGACCCTTATCCCACCCATAGCTCACCCCAATGGCCAGCTTGCTCCCTGCTGCATTGAAAGAAATTGCATTGACGGCATTGTGATACTGTGGATACTGGCGTAGTCGCTTCTTTGCCGTATGATCCCATATCGACACCAGACCATCTGAGCCGGCCGACGCAAACGTATGATGGCTACACGCAGACATCAGTCGTGAGTAAGAAACGTCATGCGGCGTACATTGGATGAAATGCGAGCGAGTTGACCGGCCAGACGTGATCGTTCCCATCAATCGTCTGACGATGGCACTTGAAGGCATACTTCTTCGCCTGAACTGCAGGTGACATGTCAAAATACTCGACAGCAACACGTCCTTCAATGGAAGCAATGGCAAACCCTAATCACGCTCAGTCGAGTGGGACAAGCGATCCAAGACTCTCACCTTCACCGCTGGGCATGCAGGCCAATGCCCTTGTCATGAATCTCAAACTACTTTCTCGCTCTTGCGTAGGCTTTTCCATCTTGCGGACGTCGTAAATGTTGATCTTTCGACCTCCCATGGCGACAACAAGGGTGTTGCCTACAGAGTCCATGTGGTAGACACGTTCCGGTAGATCGTAAGAAGCCACCTTTGGCGTCGCTGATCGCGGGTCATGGACGGCGAGTGTCGCATCCCACGACCCAGTGATGATGTTATCTACGGTACATCAGATAAAGCTTTTAGAGACATGGTTTCACTTACTTGTCACTTGTGAGTATATCAGACTCGATATCGGACGAGAATGAGTGCTCAACACCCGGAATTCTTCTTGTTGCAGATCCCACCTAGTTGGACGTTGGAAATCGAGGTCCTATTAGAGCGAAATCACCCACATCCTCAGCCACGTATCCAGTCCTCCACTGAATACGCTTCTCCCATCTGGAGAAAAACATGCACCGAGTACGGCTGCCTTATGGTCAAACTTGGCGAGCTGCTTGTTCGCATCTGTATCGTATAGTCGTAGACTCTGTCCTAAAGATTACAGTGATGCATATATGGCGATAGTGAAGCCGTACACTGTCCCACGAGCCCACAAGAAGATTCTTTTGATCCACGGTTGACCATGCTAAGCACGCTATGCCGTCTGTTGGCGTCGTTTCGAGTTCAAGTTCTACAAGGAACGTCATTCAACAACTTTTGTGCGCTATCCAGTTGCTCTTGCCTTTGTCGGCCATCGTCAAGGTCGAGCGCAACCTTTGACCTCTTCCTCGTCATTTTCCTCTGAAACGCAATCAAGATATCCTTACCGAGACTATTCAAGTTGCATCGCGCTTTGGCCATAAAGGTCTGACTCGTCACTTTCGAGAAATCTATACCAGGGTATATGGGAGGACTCGCAGCTATTCTGTTGGCGGAAGACCTCTTTCATGTACATATTTTCTCTCAATCTATCTGTTTCCATCTGTTTAGCCGGCCCGCAGACGGTGAAAGTGGTATCGAGGCTTCGACTTCCCCTCGTCTGTATATTTCATTCTAGGTGGTGCAGAAAACCCCTGAACATCCAGGTTTTGGTCGTCTCCTATGTTCTGGAAGCGAAAGAAACAAGCTGGAAATGAGCATACCGGTTGGGATGCTCTTCTCAGCGCTCAACAACAAACTGATAGATACTGCAGTGACGATTGTGTCTCCTCCAAGCAACCCAACTGTTCTTCCGGACGAAATCATCCTCGAAATCTTTCAGCCTCTCCGAAGCGAGGCGCTTTCTCATCAAACTCTCGCAAGTCTGCCGATATTTCCTATGCATCACCGAATTTTGGCTCTACAATTCGATTCAAATCGACCTCGAGCGTCATCCACCCATCCCCCGCCGAGCTCTTCTGCGTCTGTCTGCCTCGCTTACCGTACCGCGAATCACGCGTATTGTTACAGTGCTTCATCTCTACCTTGCCAACTGGCTTCTGTGCCCACAACGTATCATCGCCAATAACCTGATGGAGCAAGACGGGGACACAACGTGCCGCTGTGATGAGATTGACGATGCATTCGGAAGCGCACTCACTGCGCTTGATCAGTTGGAATCCTTGAGACTATACTGCAACTTGTGCTACGACCCACGCACGAGTAATCGGCATCGGTCCCTCGCACGCCTCGGCTCTCGACAATTGAAAGAGTTTGTCTTCCGTTGCAATTGCGTCATCTTGTGCAAATGGAACTCGTCGGAAATAGTCACCCAGGATGCAATCAACGGGGTCGAGGCTTTCAGTCTCGAATGGACGCTGAGGGTCAAGGTACCCTTCCACCCGCGGATCCTCCAGCAAAATAGCAAAATACTCAAAAATATCACAACCCTCAATTATAATCGTGCACCGCATTGCAAAGCACTGGTAGAAACGCGTAGCATCACCCGTCTCGTTGTATCCGTCGCAGGTGCACTCGCATACAGGCCTGAGTTTGACGGTCTTCACGATATATTATCAACTTCTGGAAGGCATCTGACCCATTTCTACATGGGAGATGTTGGAAACTGGTTGCAGCGATCGTTGTCGCTTGATATAAGCCCCTACCGGACCTTAGAAGTCCTCGGGGTTCTCCTCGTACCCGTATGGCAGGTATGTGACGCTTAATCCTCTGCCTTCTCTAATGAACGATAGGCGGATGCAATACTTCACGCGGTTGAGGTTCTCTCGCCACTCAAGTTACTCCGGACACTAGAGTTTTTTGGGCAAACCGAACGATCACCCCTTCCAGGAGATGTGCTGCAGACTTTGACTGAACGTCATCCCCAGCTGCAGAAAGTCTATCTTCAGTTCTCAGTATGGCGTCCGCAGTCCGCTGCAGTGGAGGTCGTTTGGGAACGAGAGGAGTCGGATTGGACATTTCGGGATATTGAAACGATACATTGGTGGGACATTGTACGAAAAGTTGGCCACTGATTTGACAAAGGGATATCTGGACCTGTGGCTCTCTATGAATACAGCTATATCTCAGCCCGTGGCTTCCTCTCTGGCTTCCAGAACAAAGCTATTGATGTCTCCGTTGATCATCTGTCATGGCTCAAAGACGTAAACCCGTCTTTGCCACATAGTGGTTAGGTGCCAGATGCAGTCATCAATTCCAGTCAGAACCACAAGTCGTAATCTTAGCAACCTGTCTCTCATCCTATCTATGATCTCCTTCTCCGATGCTTGATGGACCGCTACCCGATGATAGCTTTTCAAAGTAGCTGAAGTCACAGTACTAGACATAGTAGCCATCCTCATGCTAGCTCTTCTGTGGATAAGAACCATTTTTGATACTACCGTGGGTTCTTTGAAATGGAGCCGTCCTAAATGCTGTAGTCTTTGTAGCTTCGAAGCGAATGCACCAGGGCATCACTCACTATGTTGATATGTGTGAGATGTATTCTCCAAAGCCGAGAAGGACAGAGGACAGACTCTCCTGCTGACGATAATCGTCTCGGGGCAAACGAGCGGTGATTATGGGATTTACGAATTTTAGGATTAGATGAGTATTCAACTTTAAAAGCTCATGCTATCGGAGAAAGGAGATTATCCAGTCCACCGCTGAGGAGCCTCCATCCTCTCAATGAGTCCCTACTTCGTTCTTGTCGCACCCAGGTCGACGTTCGACACCAAATCCACTCGCTGATACCGTTGGGGATCACCAAGCGTAGCTTCGGAAAAGTGCCTTGAATAGAATCGATCATTCTCCTTTGGTCAGTGTAATTTCGTTCGTGTTTGTCGTGGAAGCGTAATGATTCGAGCGTTTGAGCTAGGGCGCGAAATCCCTCCAAATTGTAGGGTAGCCTGAGACTCTGGGCGAAGAGGTCATCAAGAAGTATTCGAGAATTTCAGTCCGTACATACCGTATCGGAGTCGGGAAGAAGGCAGCCAAGATGCCTCAGGTTCTTCAGACTTGGGCTGATAGTCGCTATCCACGTTTGGTGTGACGGGTAACTGAATTCGATGTCCAGATAGGTGATGTTTTCTGCATGTCTCCTAATTTGCCCATAGAGCGCCTGGTCCAGGAAGGACGAGCCCAAACGACGCACGGGGCGTTGGTCCAGAAGCCAACCGATTTCTGTAGGCATTTCTAGCCAAATCGAGACTAAGTTTGGCACGATATCGCTACGCTGTCCTGGGGTTGGAATGGGCTGCGCTCCTTGAGCTCCGGGAAGTATCTGTTCCCAGCAGAGATGATTCAGGCTTTGCATGCAAGGCGCGGATAGAACGTGAATAGGATCGAGAGGCGCGCCTCCCAAGCATGAGCATACTAGCCGCAATCTCTGAAGCTGTCGAGACGAGAGATTGGCAAGGTACGTATGTTTCGCGTGATGCGCTGAGCACCGAACTTCCAGTGATTGAAGATTGGACAATTGCGTCACCGCGTCTCCCAACATACTTTCCCACTGAAGACAGTCGCAATTCCACCTCCCCCGAAGACCGAGCAGCGTTTCACAAGTGTATAGAGGGTTGAGTACGAGGGATAGGGACACAACGAGTCTGGAGTATTCAGGGAGGGAAATTGTTGCGCATAGGCTTCGATAAGCTCCCATTGATTGCGGACGACCCGGACGGAGGTCGAGCGAGGTATACGCTATTCGCCTAGTGAGGTGGTAAAAGGTGCGTGAAACGCCGCATAGTGCCATGAGAGTCGCGAAAGCATCGACGTAAGAGATGATATATTCCCAAAGTTCTACAGGCAGTTGAAGGGGTCCGTTTGGGTTGGTTTGACGAGTAACTGAACAACGGAATTGAGATAGAACGCAAATTAGGGCAAAAAGATGTCACATACCCTGCCTCTTCTGCGTGTGCAGAGGTCTCTGAAGGAAACGGGGGACGAGGTGCATTCTGAATTGTCGGCGTCTATCTCTCATCCGACCCCGCGCATCTGATGTATTCGGCAATCCTCAGGAATGAGCAATATCATAGCGAATATTGACTAGTAACGCACGAAAACAATCGGTAAGCCACCTTGTTGCGTAGAAGCCTGGTGGGTCAGACAGGCAAAACTGCCTCGATATCTCCATTTGTCATCTGCCAGTCCGGAATCTGCACCTCCTTCCAGTCGTCCAAGGTACAGAAATACCGTCTGGTCCAACGACTAGTGTTGATGCCAGTAAGAGCGACATGCGAATTTTGGAAATGTCAGCTGGCGCGTATTGTAGATACTGTCAAAAACTCGGGAACTCCTGGATAAATTAATATCTGGGGTGTTATTAATTTCCAGGAGACAAATTCCTGGCTCACATAATCTTGACCTCGACCACATTCGCACGATGGCAGGCGAACAATATGAGATCTTCTTCAAAGAGAAAGGGTATCCTGGGGTTGCGAATTACGTCTTCATCTCGAAATCTGCGAAGGTTGCCGCGCTCAAACGTCAAATCCAATCATCACGATCTCGTTTCAAGCATATACTCTTGTCTGATGTCAAACTGTTTCAAGTAGATGTACCGAATACAGGAAATATAGACCAGGAAATCGAGGCAAAAATGAACAACTCGGAGCCACCGCTCCAGTCGCTCAACCCAACCCGTCCCATTACCCACTACTACCCATCAAACCCTGCTGAGGGAACAATACATATTGCTGTTGTGTATCCAGAACTCTCCCAGGTCGCAGGTAAGCGACTTCCCTCATAGGCCTAGAAATTTGTCCGGTTCGTTTATTGGCTCATCTGATGTATTTCTGCTTACAGCCAACCGTGCGCATGATTTATCGGCCAATTATCAATCAAATATCTCGCCTAGAGTGAGATTGAGCACTGCTCAAAGGCAAATCACAGACTTTTTGGACGGAATTCGTGCCGAAATAAAAATCTTTTTGCAGTCCGTGCCGCATTTTGATTTTTGGGCCCCGCCCGATCATGTCGAACCCGAAATCCGAATTTTCTATGAAAAGCTGAAGATACCAATGGTAAATGGCAAACCAAGCTTATTGCTGCACAATCTCGGCACCCATCATAAGCTGACAAAGGACGTGTTTACAAAGCCCAAAGTGTAAGGACTCTGGCAACATGTTATTGTCTGCTCATTTGAACTCCTAGTGTTCTATGCAATGCCTCTGGATCTGGGAAGACACGAGTACTCTTCGATGGACTTTCGACCCGTTGGGGATTTTATCTCGCCGTCGAACCAACCTTGGATGAGATTGGATCCACAGACGTTATGTACACAATGGAACATGTAGCAGGGAAACCAGGATGGAGAGGGAACGTTTTTGATGGCGTACTTAGACCTAGTGTCAGAATTTCCCGAAGTCAGGCCAACGAGCGTATTGTACAGCTGGGCCTATCTCGTATTCTACTCGCCAGATGGAGCATTCTCAAGATCTTCATCGAGGTCGCCAAGGACCATTTTGGCTCGCTACCCCCGGACATCCAAAGGAGTTGGCTCCTGTTCCAAATTCTCTCCCCAACTCGAGATATTTTCCCGAAATTTATTGAAGAGTGTCTTAGGGGGGTCGACACACTTGAGGAAAACTCTCTTTGGCCTGTCGATGTCCTCGATGACAGAAAAACTCCATTCTATTATGTCTTGGACGAAGTACAAATCGCTGGAGCAGCCCTTCTGGGATCTTTTTCAAACTCTACCGGTTTGAAGGAAAGAACTCTCCTTCGACCTCTCATCCAACAGCTTACTGCCACCCAACCAAGACGTGCGATAGACAATGCCCCTCATGTTATTATATCTGGTACCGGGTTCTCACTCCACGACATCGAGACAACGGTCAGGTCCGCGGTTGCAGTGCCCTCTGAATGGCATATTCATCATTTGATGGAAGACCTCTCGGATCAAAAGGACCAGGAGGCATACATACGGCAGTATCTCCCAGAGAGTTTTCTCACCTCGAGTGTTGGACGCGAATTGATGAAACTGATGTGGGAATCGTGTCGGGGAAGGTCAGTGGTGGTAATATATACACTCCAAGATATGCGCTGATGTACCGCAGACACCGATTTACAGCTACACTGATTCAGCTACTACTCCTCGGCCAGTGGCTCTTACATGGTCCAGCTTCTCCACTCTCAATCTTGAAACGGTACATCCAGGCACTTACTGGGTGTGACCCGCTCAATTATAATCAGCAATTGCTCTCACAGGAGCCTTATGTCGAACCAATTATGATCAAGTCATTCAATTGGGACAAACTAGATGGAGGCATGTTACGATACTCATCTACCATTAAGTCTAACTCTTTATTTCAGAGCCATCACTGAAGTTACACCTCGTAATCTGCCTCTACAGATGGCTCACGCTTGGGAAACCATTAATCATGGACGATGACAAAAAGCCGCTTGTCGAGTGTGGGCTTGGAAGGTTCATCTCTACAAAGCAGATAGATGACTCCCAGCGATTGGTTAGCATTGGAGAACCGTTGGCATTGGTCAGCATCTGTCGACATATCATGGATGGTCCATCACTTTCATCACTCATACGTATTCATCTTGAACTTAACCCTGGCAAGGGATTCGAAGTACTTGTGATGGTGGCCCTGACCCAACTTCTGCAAAACCAATTCTCCATGGAAAATCTCTTCGACTTCCATCAAGAACGGCCACAATGGTCTTCCTTGACGGCGCAGATCCTTTTACAAACAGCAGGCGTCCATACCGACTATGACAGCATCTTACATGATCGCATCTTCAATGACCAAGGGCTACCATTTGAAGCCAAGACCCCGGAGGACGTCATCAATTGGCTCACAATGGATACCTCACCTGCCTGGTGTATACCAGATCAGAGTATGGGGCCTGATTTGATGACCCGAGTCAAGCTCAGCAATGGTGGTACCATTTTGATTGCCATCCAAGCAAAATGTTGGGGGATTGGAGGCTCAGACAAAGCTATGCTTTCCAAAGACACGACCGAACATGCAATCTGGTCAGTGACGCCGTCAGAGTGGTTCTCTAGTACTGTGCGTGATTTCTCGACGGCTTTATCATTTTCCTGACTTTGATGCAGATAAATTCAAATATGAAGCCGGCAACACTGAAGGAAAAACTAAGCAAATCACTGCAATGCTCTTGGAGGTTGAAAAGCATGAGATGCTTCGAGTTGTTGCGGCCCTTCCGTTGGTTCCCAACCTGGAACCAAAGAATCAGGCAGTCAACGCTGCGATTTCGGCACACAAAAGCCCTCTTGCGACGATAGGGATAGATACTATTGCCGCCGCTTTTTCTCAAATCTCAAATGGGCAGGACGTGGTCCGTGTACTGAAGAGAAGACGAGATGAAGACACATTGAGGCCAGTTCAGAGTAAGAAAGCAAGACGCTAACCATTCTAGCTCCACCGAGAATATCTTCTGAACGTAATAAAGTGGAGAAGGGCTAGTACCTTACTGTGAAGGAATTCTGCGCGATGTCTGGTAGAAGCCTTGGTCGCTACTGTTTTTATCAGAGGTCTAGCAATGCATTAATTTGCTATAGAGCAACTACATGAGCACTAAACCTATCCAAACAACTTTGGAGTTGGAATCGATACCATTTCAGAGGAGGGAATAGTTCTGAGGACGGGCGATGCAAGTGATTATGTGAATGAGACGGTGAGCCCTTGTGCTCAATTCTGATTCATGTGTTGTCCCTTGCCCTTCGAAGCGCAAAGGGGTGCGGAGGAAGTCGTGAGGTAAGAGTGTCACACGCGGGCCTTCGAGGCTTGCTAAGTACGACAGGTCGATCGCATTTCGGCCACTGGTACGTAGAAGATCGTCCATCGGATGTCAACAGATGACCACACCTCACGCCAACTCGAGTTCGCGTCACTCGCTCAGGTACGCTTTCCACATCACTCGATTGTCCGAGGCGTTGTGCTAAGCTTGAATCTGGTCGTTCCAAGCTGCCGCCTTGACCCATGTCGTTCGCAACTGCCGAGTTCATCCATGAATCTAGAGGCTGACTCGTCCTCCAGTGTCTTCCATCTGCCCTACAACAGTGCGGGTGGAGATTCTCTGGCAAGCCCAGTGGGTGGTGCGAGTGACTCTGGGACGAAGCACGAAAACCCCCCGCCGACGATACCGTCACTGCTTCCATCTCTTCATCGAAGAGAATTTTCTCTGGCGATAGATGAAGACGCGAGAGAATAAATCGATCATTTCCATTATCCTCGGCATCTAGGATAGTCTGCGTTAGGTCACCTAACGCTTGCAATTACTTGCGGTAGACAGTGCTTGTCGTGCTGGAAAACAATATATCCTTCGGAATATTGACCTCCATCCCGCATTGTCGAAGTCGCAACATGTTCCTGTTGAATTATTGCACAGCGGGCTTCCGATGTTGGCGGACGAAGGCACCTCCGATTCAACCGCCCAGTGCATAAACGAGCTGGCAGAGTCGTGTCGGCCAGAGCTCATTCGAGAATATCGATATAGTCGCATAGTTTTGCCTCCTGTTCGGCGGAGGAGCCAGAGTTGGACGCGCGAGACGCGAGACGCGCCACCGGAGGGAGCGGCATTGGAGAGCATTGAACCGCTTTGATTTATAACCAATAGCCGTACGAGACTTTGATAACGGTCTGCTTGTGCTTCAGCAGAAATCTGACGGGGAATTCCACTACTGGGCATCGATCGCGACCTGTCTCTGACGCATCGTATGCTAATGATTGGAGTACTTAGTATCGTATATGCATAGGTGCAGGTTCTAGATTAGCCAGGGAGTCAGTATTCATATTGCCGCCGCTCAGTATACATCTCTCACCATCAATAAGAGCAAGTGTGCCCGCACGAATCTTCTTTCATTCTTCACCAAGAGATGCTTTATGATATACTCGCCTGCTCGAGATTCTGACGAAAACGGCTTTTCTATAACGGCATATTTGCATGCGCTTGAGAAGGTGTCCGTGGTCGACGATGATGATGTAGATGGATGCTCTTTCAGCTGGTGGCTGGGCAGGCGGAAGCCTGATTCATTCGAATGCTTCTGTATGATCGACATCTATCGTTGTTGCGAAATTCCCGTGAAGCTCGACAAGCATGTCAAGAACACATCGAGCGCAAAACTCTGATGCGGAAACTTCTGAGCAGGATTCCTGATGAGCCACTCGAATGCAATACCGTTCGCCGACAAAGGGGCTGATTATTCTTGGAACTATCATGAATTGTGCATGTTATGTATGTACTCTACCCATGACTCAAGGTTTGAATTCACATTCATGGGCTCTCGGGTCAAAACGAATGCAACGCACGCGACTCGTCCTGAGCATTCATGTCAGTAGACGATGACAATGTATGATCTATCGTCCATTCCTTTCTTCCTGGCCGAGATGGGTTTTTTTACTTCACCTCTTGCGGATAAGGTGCATTCCGATGAGTTTATGAAAAACGGGTTGACCGTCATTCTCGCCGAGCAGCCTCAGAGCACGTTTATGACAATCTTTGTGATGTACCAAATAGGAACAAGGGTGTCCGATCAGGTACGACGACTATATTCGGAGCGGCGCGATCCAAGTAATTTACAGGCCAAACCACTCGAGGACTTGAGCAGCCTGGAGTTGAATATCGTGTGGTACTCCTTGTGCAGAGATACCAGAGACGTTTGGTCCATAATCGTAGCGTGTCCATCCACTGAAGATGTAATTGGTCGTGGTCTTAGTCGGCGTGGTGCTCACACCGTGTACGTTGGTCCATTGCTTGACCTCTTCGCCAAAGTTGGTATAGTAAAGCACTTGGTCATTCGTTCCGTGCCAGAATTGCATCTTTGGTCGCTTGCCCGTGTAACCTGGGTACGCGCCGCGCACAATATCTCCCCATTGCTGGGCCGTCTTGACGACCGTACCAGTGGCACAGGCAGCATTCCAAGAATCGGGGCCCTGGAAGCACGCGAATCTTGGGAAGGAGTGTTAGACTCTTTATCGGCATAAGGGTAGTATAACTCACGGAACGCCCGCATTGGCTGAGCCTGCTGCGAAAACGTCTACGCAGCGTCAGATAAGCGATGCAACTCAAGAGTTTTCACATACCAGGATAGGCTCCGATCAGTACATTGGTCATCATAGCCCCTGAACTCGTCCCGACTGCGAAGATGCGCGACGTATCCACATTGAACTGTGGGATGGTCCATCGCACAGCAGAAACGATACCCAGAGAGTCTCCTCCACCATTGTGACTATCCAAGTTAGATGAAGTGCAGCAGAAAAATCGTAGCACTCACGTCAAAGTCTCGTTTGTGTGCACATCCCAGCAACCATCGCTGTTGGGAGTTTGCGGGTAGATGACGATAAAGCCCTTTTGATCAGCAAGATACTTGAACTGGGTCCCGGTATAGAAAGCGTTGGCATCGCCATGACACCAGTGAAGTCCAACGATAAGAGCAGGTTTGGCGGCGAGATTTTGTGGGACATAGATCCACGCGCGGACACCCGTAGGATTCGTGCCAAAGTTGGTAATCTCGGTGTATGTCGCCCGAGGGATGTTGTTGGTCCCAGTCGGTGTTGCAGAGCTCGAAGTGGATGTCGTCTTTGAAGTGGATGATGAAGTTTTGAGGTAGATGATGAAGTGGATGTCGAACTTCGCGAGCTTGACGTAGAGGAAGCAGTGGAAGTCGAAGGAGCAGGTAGGCACTGGGAATACCAAGGATTGGAGTAGACACAAGTGTACCCAGCGACGCAAGTCGTCTCCCCTGTGTAAGTCTGTCCTCCACTAGTAAAATGTCAACAACTGTCATTATAAGGAGACGAAGAATCCATGAACCATTGACCCCATGCTCCCACAGCTGCTTGCGCAATGGCGGCGTTGACGAGGATAGTTAACGTGGTAAGAATGCGTGGTGAAATCATCTTGGTCGACATGAAACGAACGGGGGGAGACCTTTCCAGTAGCAACCAGCGCATTATATACAGGAGAGCAACCAAACGGGCCGCTTACCAGATATCCCGTGGCATGACCGTATATCTCCCGTGCGCATACTGTCGGACAGTGACAGACACGTACCTGGAATGTGAATTCATCGGGCGGCCTCTGGGCGGAACCTGATGACTGGATCTGCCCAGGAGGCACAGAGTGGTTGAATGGGAAGAAATCGCAAACTAAGGCATTGCCTGTGAGTTTCACAGACCAATCATAGCTACTGCCGAATCGTCGGAGAAAGATCGTCAGAGCCTGGTGCCGCTTCGCTTGAGCGGTAGTCAATCCGGTGGGGTATTCGCTACTTGTTTCACATGTTTAAGAGAATGGTATTCCTGGGACCAGAGGTAGTAATACACTGGCGGAGCTATATGAGAAGACATTCTCAAGAGTTGGCAAACGTACGTATGTTATACATGCCCGAGCATGTTCAAATACGAGTCTTTTCAACATCGTAGTGTGTTATGGACTTGCAGGCCCAATATTGTCCGTAGCCGGAGGACTTGCTGGGGTACCAGGTACTGGAGTCATCGAGGTGCTGCTGCTTGCGGAAACAATTGGCGTATTGGCAGTGATGTTCATGCGTTCCATACTCGCAGCCAAGCTTCCTTCCTTTCCACCGCCAACGATGTAGCGCAGTACGTCACTCAATGTGATCATTCCGGCGAGCTTGCCCTTGTTCGGACCTTCGCCTTCAACGACGACGAGACGGTGACATCTTTGGGCCTTGATAAACTCGAGGAAGCTTGCCAAGTGAGTCCGAAGAAGTGCATGTGACTGCACCAGGGAACTCGGCTGAGCGCTGGGCCAAGGCTGAGCGGATTGAAAGATCCAGCTTGGTGTATGTACCAGAGCGTACAAGGGTCTGAAGAGTCATGGGTCACTATGCCTTTGATACGCCAAGTCGAAACATACCGTGACATCGACAGTCTCGTAGAGGTTTATAACTACACCATTCTCGTCCAAGATGGGCACCGCACTGATACCTCTCTGGGAGAACATATGTACGACATGGAAAACAGTTGTATCCATGGTTGCAGTCGCAAGTGGATAATAGGGATCATCCGGCTTGGGGTCGATGTAGGTCCCAATACCCAGAGCACGGAGAGACATGTGCAGACTGGCGATTTCTTTGCACTATAGGATCAATTGTCAGCCACTAACCCTTAGAATCAGCAGGTAACGCACGTTATTAGCAATGAACTTCAAGACGCGGTATTGGGTCAATACGGAGACGATGAGTTCCATTCCGGAAGCCGAGTCGTGGTCGATTAATGGAAGTCGTCGAGCATGTGTTTGAAGCAGCTGCTTGCATGCGTCGAATAAAGGTCGGGTCGGGTGAATATGATTGAGCGGTGGCGGCGGGACGTTGAGTTCCTTTTCGATATCTGGATATGTGGAACCATTAGCACACCAACGTCTTCCACTGAAGAATGACCAGATTCTTACCGCGGATACTCTCGATGCGGAAAGTTTCGACATCCGCCGATGCTGTTTCGAACGTCTCCGCTTTGAGATAGTACCACTGAATCAGATGGATAATGTCCAAGAGTGTGAGCATGCCCGCAAAGGCCCAGTTTTTTTGGTTGTACACGGGACAAGACACGACGCCCGCCTGATGCATGATATTGAGCGCCTGTTTGACGGGCAGCTTGCTGTCGAGCACGACGAGTCGATAGCTGAGCGGGAATACATCGTAGGTCGAGCGAGACTTGAGAAACGAGCGTATTTTGTTCAACGCGTCCTGATGCCCATCAAAATGGGCAGCGACAGATCCCGAGCGTGCGCGTCTCTGCGATATTTTGCGATTCTTTTTCAGATTCTGAGGTGGAGACGTTGGTGTCTCGTGCGTGGCCATGATCGCAGTCGGAGATGAGGGTGGCGGTCGGGTTCAAGTTAGTTGATGATCAACCATTGGTATTATCATGACTATGTATATTTTATATCGTGTCTGAGCATACAAAAAAACTCGGAAGGACAGTCTGGAACAGACTTGGACCTCGCCACCATCTCCTTCGATGCCACCAAAGAAAAAGCAAGCCACTGGAGGCGCACAGGGTGCGAAGAAAGCTTCTGGCTCCTCTGCTGGACCGTCGAAGAAGGCAGCAGCTGCAGGCGGAAGCCGCGCGGCGAATGATAGCAGTGAAGCTGGCCCAGTAAGGTCCCGTGTTTACACAACGACCCCTCTAATAACCATCCTACTACTCAGTCGAAGCTCAAGGCTGCAAACGCAGTCAATGTTCGACATATTCTGTGCGAGAAGCACTCAAGAGCCACGGAAGCACTAGAAAAACTACAAGTACGGATAGAAGCTCATTGGATATAACAACCATTCATCTTGTACAGGCGGGCGAACGGTTCGACAAGGTAGCACAAGAATACTCTGAAGACAAGGCAAAAGGTACGCCCTCCTGGCGAAATTTTGACTGTTACTCATCGTATTCATAGCTGGAGGCTCCCTGGGATGGCAAGCACGCGGTTCAATGGTCGGCCCCTTCCAGGAAGTCGCCTTTGCTCTGGAGCCCTCGACGGTTGATAGGCCCAAGATCTCTGGACTGGTGAAGACGAACTTTGGCTACCATATCATTATGGTGGAGGGACGCAGATAGGCAGCTCGTGTAGCCACTCGATGTAAATTAGCGGAAACTTGACAGGTCTATTTGATGCAATTAGTTGGTTCGATAGATGGATTATCACCTCCTCAGCGGTTCTGAGAAAGCCCAAAGAAACCTCTGTTCACATAACTATATAGCATAGAGAGGATGTTCCCAAAATCAGGAGCTGCTCCCGGACTGTCGTCCCAACATCCACCTAGAAGTCACTTACGTTTCAAGCGCCATCTAAACAGTGAACCTTGACTGGCCCCTTTCGAGAACACCACGCATTCGGGAGCCATTCGTCGCTCGATGATACAGTTCAACTCGGCACCCACTCCATGGTCTCATTCGAGCCAGACGAGGCTTTGGTTCGTGCCATGCTACTCGCTCTACCTTGTTCGGGATGATGTTGCCTTGGTTCATTGGAGGAGCTTTCCTCGGTAAATGTTCAGAATTCTAAGACTCTCGGCTAGCACGAGGCTCATGTGAGGCCAAAATGGGCGTCCTTTCTAAATCTGCTTCCTGTATCCAACCTTGAACCTGAACTCCACTTCGTCCACGCCGACCACGCGAGTTCGTCACGAATCGGAAGCAATGGCATAATCGATAATCGAACGACCACTAGGCTCGAATTGACGTGCACTTCGTCAATAAAGGATGCATGGTTACCGAGGTTACTCTGCTTTGGTGCCCTACGCGCGCATTTCATTGGTCGAATTTGTTGGATCTGGCTACGGAGATGCCGTTTCAGGTGGAGACGAGGCCAAGCAGTCCTCCAATCGGGTGGGCGGTCGGATATAATTCCGTATCTCAAGGCTGCAAAGGGTGGCCGTCACATCGACACCTGATGAGTAATTATACATAATGAATCGCGTGAGTGGTCGCCTGTCTCACCTTTACGGTACAAAACCACATCTTGGACTCCTCCGTGAACTTGTCACAAGAGTCGGAGCAGTTGAAGATTGGAGGATGCTGGTTGCTCGTCAGACTCAAGCTTTACGTGCTGTATCGATTCTCCCGTACGTCCGAATTAATTGGCCTCTCATATTTCCGCTAAGCTCCCGTCTAGTGAATTCAAGGGTATACTTAATACATCCAACTCCCTTTTCACGAACATAACGAACACTGTCACTGCCAAAACGCTGGAGCCGGACCACTCCAGCGACGATTCGACATTGAACAACGCGGCCCGCGCGTGAGTATACCTTCACACCGCCTCTCGCAAATAATCAAAGTTTAAAGCTTTTTTCACAATACAGGTGCAATGGCAGGCCTCTTCAGTGCCGCTGGTCTTCTTGTCATTGCGGGAGTGGCCATCTGCTTTGCTTACCGAAGATCCAAGCGAAATATCAAATTCTGTGCACATGAACGCGTTGTAGAAGGGGAACTTACGGGGAAGGATGAAGAAAGATGCCATCTACAAAGGAGGACGGGAACGACATCCCCATGGGCCAGTCACTCAATTTCGCAGATACAATCCTTTCGCTTCTCCAGAGCTATTGAGATCTGGACATCTGCCCACCCGGATTCCGGCTCAACGCCGGACAGAAGTGCCCGCAACTGAAAGCGGCAGCCAACCACCGGTGCTCCCCCTCTCGCCACCCTTGGACGAGCCCGCGGCTTTAAGTACCTCACGTTATCATTTTTCAACCAACCCGGGTCTACCGAATTACACACAGTCACCTCCATTGATTCCGCAAGATGCCATACATTGGATACGGAAGGGAGAGAAAGGCAAAGGACGGGTGACACAGGATATGACCCCACTCGAATTTCTTCCCTCGTGTCGATCCCTCTCGAAAGATGCTTCGTCCAAATCGTCACGGTCCCGAACATGGTCGTCTCAGCACGAGTTCGTGGCCATATCGACTTTGAGGTCCAAGGACTATTCGCTTACGTCCTCAACACGGGAACGACTAGAACGGTGGAACTCCAGCCAAACATGGGCCAATCGCGACGGATTTGAATGGGCCATGTTCGGTCGACCTCCTGAGGCAACTTCGACAGGGATGCATACGCGGGGGAATGTGGATTCGAACGATTCTGGTGCGACTCAGCTGATCGAGAAGGATGGAGAGGTGGCGCTCTCGTTTAACAAGGAGCCTACCGGGAAGAGACAGCTGCCGGTTCTTCCTCTTCTTAGCTTTCAAAGGCTAATAGAGCCAATGGAGGAAGCCGAGGATTCTGGGGCACGTACGAGCTTCTCACAAGCTTCAAGGGAGAAGGTGGGCTCGAGGACAGTGCTTCCTGATTCATCGAAGCCACGCAAAGGCTCGAAGACGGATTGCGACGCTCGGGGCTCAGACGCCATCTTCACATTTGCGGATGCACTGACATACTCACCGAATAGTACGGAATTGGAAGAGTTCAACGCCTCTTGGGGACAAGAACGATCGCCTTTCACACCGTCACGATCTATCTATGCGCAAATAGGGAGACACGATTCGAGCCCGAAATTGGACTTACATCCGTATGCCCGTTAATATACGCCGTTTTTCTTGCGAAGTATGCCTCAGTAGTTGGCGAACAGCTCTCGGTAGAACCTCTGGGCAATAAGCTCGCTTTCAATCTTGGAATAGAGCATTTGAGTAGTGCATCCGCGGCGGCTTCTGAGCCATATTCAAGCGCGTAAATTCGAAAAAAGGCGAACGAGCTCATTAGGAAGCACATTATGCAACTCGAAGTCTGTTCGCACCCCTTGAACAGAGCCTTTCGGTGAGTTCTCCCCGCCATTCGAATTTCCTCTGATCTACATATATACTTGAGACATTTCAGGCTGCTCTTGGAAAGCTCAGGTCTCCTCGCGCGTCGGCCAGCCGTTATAGACATATTTACCGCCATAATTCATCGCACGGTAGTGGGATGTCGCCACAAGTCGACCGTCAATATCTGATGCCTCATAGGAGTATACCTGCGCTGAAGCCTACCTAAATACCGGAACAGATCACTTTCCCCCTTATGTCCAGCGTCCCACCGATCACAACATCGGAAGCAGCAAGTACCGACCCAGATGTACCCGTGGATACGTTTGTGCTGCGCCCCAACCACCAACCGCCATCTATTCTCGATACTGTATTTGTCAGCAAGCGTTCCAAGCGAGCAGTGTATGCTACCACTACAGACGCTAATCACAAAACATGCCTCTGGAAGGTTAGACGAGATGGACAGCTTGAACTCGTCGCAAGTATTGGTTGGGAGTGTTCAGTCCAAACCAGTAATGCCATTGGCCAAGACTCGCTCGGGAATATGAGCAGCCAGGTAAAGAATGTAGTGATGGTCAATTATGGTGGACGAGCAATGCAAGCGGGCGAATTTCTGCGCAAGGGAACAGGGTGGTTACATTCTAAGTGCGTATTAGTCTATGATTCCTACTCATGCGCGACTTACGTACGTAGCTCAAAGGCGTTCAGTGTCGACAAGATCGAGTACAAATGGAAGTCGGGTAACGGGATTGTAAATACCCACGATGGGGTAGATTCACACCACCAATCTCTGTTCTGCAACGATATGTGGAAGATTTGGCGATGTGTCGTTGCGAGCCCTGGCATCTCCAATGCCCACCCGCACCCAAGAATGGCGAGAGTGAATAGTGGCATAGGGGATCATGCAATGTCACGAGCACTCACAGATGAGTCTATTTGCAACGAAAGATGTGCAGAGCCACCGCGGAATATGGGCGATCCTCCCTTGTCGACTGGATATCCATCACCTCTAGCTAATCTTTCGCTTTCCAGTCCGCTTACGCGATCTACGGCTGATTCGGGTACAAAAATCGGGCCGAATCCATATCGAAAATCTTCAGAATCATTTGGAGCTCCCATTCCGCCATCCACCTCAAAAGCTCGCGGCATGATCTCCCTTCTATTTTTTCCTGCTCCCTCGACCCTCCTCGCTCGGTTCGTACCCCCTCAAGTTGGGCTTATTCACCATGAACTGGCACTCTTCTCGCCTCTCTACGCCTCCATTCCCGTTCCCTCGTCGAGTCCGTACGCATCTAGAGGGGATATCGAGAGTAACACTAAGCTCCTCGAGAATTTGCTTGTCAGCGCTATACTTCTAGTGACGGGCAAAGGAGAGTGGAGACAGGTCAAGAGTTTGGCTGATCCCGACGCTCTACAAGCGGTGTTTATGGCCGAAGCCCGAGGCGATCTTCCACCATATACGTCAAGAGTAGGGAGAATCCGACCGCCTCATATGGCGTTTAGATCAGACGCATCACGGATGAACAGGTCGAGGGAACCTGAATCAGTGCAAAGACCACGGACAACATGAGGACGGCGCGAACGTGGTACAGAACAGGTCATAAGTGGTCTTACTGTTTAGCAAACCTTATACAGATGTCTATTCACTTTCCAGAGTAATTGCCGGGCGTCAGCAAGACAATCAGCGCACGTTAAAGAAGTAGATTTCGCTAATTTCGATGGCGTGTATGAGCAACCAAGGTGAATTGAGTGGAATGAAGGTACAGGGATTCATTCTTCACTACTATGCGGTGATATTCGCATTGAGCAAAGTCCCAAATTCCCTCGATAAGCTAGTATGTGTAGCACATTGGCCAATTTTCCGTCTTGAGCTACTCAAATGTCAGGAAACATCTAGAAATGAGACACATATAATACCGTAAGGTTAACCGGCGGATTGGGCCCCAGTCCTATGTATTCATATGAGTCACGGATGGCCGTATCGGAATGCAACTGACCGTAGAAAGGCAGAATATCCGTTGCTTTCGCACTGTTGTCCGTTGGATCGAACCACGGGAAGTTTCCGTTGAAAAGCCATTGCTTGCCGGGCTTTTGCTGCCACGACCAGAACACTTGATCCACATACTACCAGGCGTGAGTTCTTGTTCGATTCAAGAGTTGGATCTTTACCGCGTGATGAATCCAAAAGATTCTGTTCAGTAGTTAGAGACTCGAAGATGACATGGAGCCGACCACTCACGGATCATTGGGAGCAACAGCGATTTGAGGGAACCACTGAGTATTATTCATCCTGAACGAGTCAGCCACAAAAAGTCACAAGGAACCTGAATGCATACCAGCCAGGTCCGGTCCAGTCTCCCATGCTGAAGAAATGAGGTGAATTATGGATTCCAAAGTGCAGTGGGTTATCGAAGCCTTCGATTATCGCTTCAAGATCGGAAAACTTGTCGGCAGACAACGCCCTTGTGACAGCAGCCGGAGAACTAATAACGGTTAAATGTCAGATCTGGATATTGCTCGACGGGATTACGCTCACAATGATTCACCGAGAGCGATACCGTACTGCCTAGTTGGGTCGAGAGTTTTCCATGCCGAGAAATTCCGAGTAAGATAATGGTTCACAGGGATGTTGAGCTACTTTGCGTGAGACTCCTGGGTACCGCTGTCGGTATGGGAGCGTACCTTCATGTTGGCAAAGGCTCCGTTATCAACTTTGTAGCCGACAAGACCCGAAACGTTGACGGCAGTGCGGCCATGCGAGCCGAAGCCAATGTTTGGATCGCTGGAGAAGATCGGCGACTCCAAGAGGTTCTTGTAGTCGGCGGTATAGTTCCAGTAGCTGAGAAGTGGTTAGTATGCGGCCGAGTTCACCACTAGCACGTACGGAACTGGCCCATGGTAACCGCAAACTTTCTCCATTGCTTCGGAATGAATCCATACGAACCATCTATGCCAAGGCATGAACTAAGAAGGGAGTTAATAAGAAAAAAATCGCTGTGAAAGCGAGATACCCAGGCGTTCAGATGGTAGTCGGTCCAATTCGTCGTGTGGACCTAGAGGATCTAAGAACTCTTTTCGTGGGTTCAGAATTTTGGTATCTTACCCATACGAATGCATCGTAGAGACTTGAGAAGTTTTAGCACATCCCGAATGAGGACTGAAGCTGATACGAACTTTGGGTACTGTGGAGAAATGCCAAAGTCTGGCTTCTTCTGGAGACACTTGAGAGACTGCATGTAGTCCTTCTTCTGACCATAGGTCAGCTTGCGCCATTCGATGCGCTTCTTGATGCTCTTGCACTTGGGGACGCGCTGGCCATGGGCAAGGGGCTTGCCAACCGCTTGAGCCGACGCCGCTGCCATACCAGGATAGTCGACAAAAGGAACGATAGGATTGGCTGCGTCTAAGGAGCCAGATTGGGCGTGGGTGCCATGAGCCGCTAGAAGGGCCTGGACGACGAGGAGACTGCTGGAAACGAGAGAGAGGAGTCCCGGCATTTTCGAACTGCCTGGGGGATTCGAGAGCAAAGTTCTAGGGATCTTTTGTCGAAACTGAGGGGCTTATAAGCCCTCATCAATGGAAGGCAGATGGGATGGCGTTCCTCAGTTTCGAAATCTTTTGCTAGTCTATGTCGAAGTCTTGGCTTCTTGGTGAACAAATCCCTCTTCTGTTGCTCGTCCGACACCGCCGGAAGAGTTGATCGTAGAAACCGGACTATTTCCGCGTCAGAAAGATAAATAATGTCCTCTTTACGTAAATATGAGCGCCAGGAACAATGCAGGGGGGCCATAGATTGATCCTTGGCCAGCAGCTTTATCCCGTTCAACACGGCCCCGGGCTGAAATGGATATTCCTCGCAAGAAAAGTGTAGCGTCTCGAGCGTCAAGCGAGATGACTACAATTGATCAGAATACAATCACATGTATAGACGGGTTATACCTTAGATCAACGGTAATAGAACTCGTTGGGCGCCTTATCTTGGAGGGTGTGGGGACATGTTCTTGTCAATGCAAATTGCCAAGCGGTATCTTCGTACATAGAGGTTCACTCTCACGAGGGGTGGGAGACTAGAGTCGAGATGTAGACAGGTACGCGTTGGTCCCTCCATGAGAGACATTGTCAGCTAAGGCAGGTTAAGATCCATGTCAGTTGTACTGAGTACAGTGATAGGAGGTAGGACCAGGGTGATATTGCACCCGATCCAGGACCCTCTACGGGGACCAAGTTGATCAGAAAAACGAAACGCGTTTTGGAGGATTGTGGGATCTTTGTGTACAGACGTAAGAAGACTATTGACAAAGAACCTAACAGACTGCGTGGTGCACAGCCATCCTACCGCGGTTCAAAGGCAGCACAGGGAGTGAATTCTAAGAGTTGATGCCGACGATGCGAGCATAGACCGGCTATTTGTCTCCATTGGCTTGATATATATATAACCGCATGCTTCCAAAATCTTCAGAGGATGCAGAACCGAATTGTCGGAAGAAGTAGACGGGTTCAAGACACATTGCCACTTTCACCCTGAGCGCGCGCTCCATGATCCAAACGCATAAAACTCGAAACATGAAGCGCTACAAACTTTGAATTTACTTTCTAAATGTCCAAGAGGAAGCGGTACCAAAAAGTGGTGAATTCAAGTTGGACCATTGACAACACCGACGCCAACTGGGAGTAAGCGCACAAAATGGATGTCGATCACGATATCAGCAGAAGGGACGACGAGGATGACCGTTCGAAGGAGAAAGAACGCAGGAGCGACCGAGAAAGACGCGACCCACGACGCGACCGCTCTCGTAAGCCAATTTCTCTTTTGATCCATTTCATGACTTTGCAAACTTAGTCTTGTTATAGCTCGTCGTAGGAGTGATACGTATGGTGATGAAGACCGCCGAGATAGAGACGTATGTCTTGTTATCTCCCCGTGGCTTGGAGTAACCGCACGCTAACATATACTCTCGTACTTATATACAACTTTACATACTCATACAGCGCAGACGCTCTCGCTCACGTAGCTCTCGCAGACGTTCTGCGTCACCTGGTCGAAGCAAACGCCGCCACCGCTCGCGCTCGCGCTCAAGATCTCGTTCTCGCTCACGTCGAGACACGTACAGTAGTGGACGCGATAGACGGGACTCGTACAGCGGACGCGACCGTGAATATAGCAGCGGCAAAGAGGCTCCATTTTCAAGGTCGCTCGGTGGTCCGATCAACGCAGACCCCGAAGAGGCAGTCGAGTTTGCGAAAATTAGCAAGCGCGAGAACCGCGTCTATGTGGGCAACCTGGCTTACGACGTCAAGTATGGGGATTTGATCGAGTTTATGCGGGGAGGTTAGTCGAGTAGGCCATTCTCATCTTCAACACACTCTATCTGGGCCCACTTTTCACCCCCTCTTCTTGCTCCTTTGATGTGCAACTTGGCCAATAATGGTAGACGTCGGAGGCGTTGAGAGGCGTTGCGATGTGGTGTGGTGGGGCGCTGTTGCTTTTTGGACTGGCTGTGGTTTAGAGGATTGGACATTGATGGTTTGGTTTGCGCAGCTGGAGAAGTCTTGTTCGCCGAAGTGCTCGTCACGCCCTCTGGACAGTCGAAAGGATGCGGGTGTGTGCTGTGCGCCTAGTCTCTCTATTGCTCACTCACTCTTCTTAGGATCGTCGAGTTTGCCACGGCGGAAGAAGCCCAGCGAGCTATCAAAGAGCTTTCCGAGACGGTTTTCTTGGGACGGCCCGTGTATCTCCGCGAGGTAAGTTGATACCATAAACTCACCGAGGCTTTTGGCTGAATAGATGATAGGATCGCGAGGCCGAATCGCGCTTTGGTGCGACACCCGTACCCGGAAAGATTGGAGCAGCAATGGCTGGCAATGGAAATGTACCACCTCCACGTGGATACAATGGTGGTGCAGCAAATCCAGGAAACCAGCTCTACGTTGGAAACGTACGCTCATGTTTTGGGTCCTTACCTTCAATTCTTACGAATTCTAGCTACCGTATCAAGCTGGGTGGCAAGACCTCAAGGATTTGTTCCGAAATGCAGGCAACATTGTGCGAGCGGACATTAACATTGGTATCGATGGGCGTGCCAAGGGGAGTGGCACAGTCGTCTTCGAGACGGCAAAGGATGCGCAGTCTGCGATTTGTAGGTCTATTCTCTTTAGGAAGGTGCGGCACTGAGCATATCTTTCTAGCGATGTATCATGGCTACGAATGGTATGGACGAACTCTGGAAGTACGCGAGGTGAGCTTAGACTACCATTCACGGCTTCACTCTCGAGGCTCATCGTTACTGTAGGACCGCTATGCTGGCTTACACGGCTCGCGCGGACGTGGTGCGCCTCGCGGACTTGGCCGTGGCTTCTCATCTCGCGGTGCGCCTGGCGGCGGGTATGGAAGAGGTGGAGGTGGCGGATTCGGACGAGGTGGTCCAGGTGGCGGCGGACGGTCATCCGGAGACCTTTATCAGGACTATTCCGGACCGAGTGGAGATCGCGGTGAACGTGGAGGAGGGTACGCAAACCTGCCGCCAAGTCAACAGATTATGGTTCGCAACGTGAGTTTTTATTCCATTCCCCGATGTCATCTCGCCATCGATTGTCGGTCCCCGACCTGCAAGGCCACATTCCCAGCCTGTCAAGAGTTTGACATGACAGAATTGAGTACTGACGTTGAATACAGTTACCCTGGTCGACAGCCAATGAGGATCTAGTCGAGCTATTCGAGACGACCGGACACGTCGAGCTCGCTGAAATCTTGTACGATGGCACGCGATCCAAAGGTTCTGGGGTTGTGCAGTTTACGCATGTGGAAGAGGCAGAGACGGCAATTGGTACGTGTCCACATTTTTACGTTTAGGGGGCTGAGCAATGACGGATTATGTGCAGCCAAATTTAGCGGCTACACGTATGGTGGAAGACCTCTTGGTGGGTTTCTGTGTTCTGATGAGGGTGGGCCTGGGCGCTGATGGCTAAAATCTAGATGTGTCCTTCAACGACCGCTGGCATCATTTTACGCCGACTGCTGCGAAGGGAACGATGTGATTTGGTTGTATTTGAAGAGATTTCAAAAGCCTTGAGCAATTATGTGATTGCACGTCAGCGTCCGTGAGAGGCGGGAGTTTGTGAGGCTGGGCTTTGCGAAGTGTCTAGAACCCTGATGAATTGCGCATTTGGCACGTCAGCGGACGTGATTAGATAATCCCGGTGGTATATTATATGCCAATCCCTGGCCAGCTCGACGCCTTGACCACGTCTCCCACTGCCCGTCACCGCGCCGCATCCATTTGGTGTTGTTGGACTCACCGACATGAGCTCACGATCATCCGTCTACTCTGGTAAGAGCACTCTGTGTCCACCAACGGGTTCTCCGAGGCTGACTTGCTGGAAAAGACAGCTCGAGGGTCTACACGCCCGACATGCTCCTCCAACTTGGTTCAATACTGTCCTCTGCTCAGACAGACTTGGCCCTTGGTAGTTCAGCAAGCTCGACTCGGCCGTCGAGCGGGGCATTTACTCCCGAGGTGCTCTCTGCTGCGCTCGAGCATTTCCCAGACATTTCCAACGCAGATGCTGTGCACGAACAAGACACGCTGGAAGAAGAGGAAGATGGATTTGTCTATGGCCACTGCGACATTCGTCCAGACCTCGATCCATTCCTCGTGGACCAACTCTCCGAAGCGGTTCACACGGCCCTCTCCAACTCGTATGCCGATACGCAGATTACGGAAATTCTCGAGCCTGTCGTAATGGAACCCAAGCCACGCCCACGTCCCTTTACATACGCAAAGAGAACAGAAGCCCTCTTCGGGGATCGAAGGCCAGCCAATCCTCGCTCCTCTTGGACTCCTTCGCGCCCTGTTCCTGCTCACGGTGGAGCCTTTAATCAACACGCGCAGTCGTATGCATACACTCGTGGGAACCCGCGTCCACCCATCAGCAAAGCGGACACAGTCACATCCTGGCGCAGACTCGACGATGGTCTCAAATATAGTTGGAATGACGCCACGGGAGGCTACGTGGTCGTTGCAGCCTGATTCCTCATAGACTTCGCATCTTCACCACTTCTACCCCCGAGGGTTCATAGTGTATGATCCTCAACGTTTTTAGAAATAGATTTGTACTAGTCTGCCATCAATCCAATTCTGCATGACATCATATACACTTCTCTACATCCTCTCTAACGGGGTCAGACTCAGTAACCTCATAGCCGCACCCAAAACGGCACGAGCCAACAAGAACAACCACATCCTCGCTTTGGCCTTTTCCCGATCACTCTCCCCTTTGACAAGGAGAACGTCCCATGCACTGCTAATCGAATGCGCCAGCTTCATCGCATACGTGATGATTCCACTCGGCTCACGCGTCTTGAGTGCCGTTCGCACCGCGTCGGGGTACATCCCCAATTGGAAGATGATGTCGCGTGCTTTCGGCTCGGTCAGGTGCGCAAAGTTGATCGACGAGAGGTCTGGGAGGGGCATGAGGTCGGGGTTTTTGCGTTCAATCGACGATAGTCGGACGTGAGCGTATTGTAGATATGGACCCGTGTCACCCTCGAAACTCGTCATACGACTCCAATTAAACGCATAGTTGTTGATCCTACAAGGGAATCAGGTTTCCTTCGCATAACCGCGTAAGAGAATGCGCACCGTTTGGCTTGCATATCCTGGACCTTGATCGCCGTGATACCCACTTCACGCGCGACATACTCTGGGTCCTCAATCTGCTTAAACTTTTCCTCATTCTTCATCATCTGCTCCATCATCACGTCGGCACTTTCTTTGATAATCTGGTTCAAAAAGACGGCCGTCCCTTTGCGCGTGCTCATCCCCGTCACCAGGCCATAGTTGATATGTTCGAGACGAGGCGCCCACTCAAAGCCCATGAGCGACAGAATCTTGAAGAATTGGGCTAGGTGCAAATCTTGCTGGGATGCCACGACGTAGATCATCTTGTCAAAGTGATACTTTTCCCATCGCTCAATCGCACCAATAATGTCACGCGTCAGGTACATTGTTGTTCCATCTGTCGACCATGAGCTCCTCTTCCTGCTCGAGAGAGGTAGACTCACCCTTTTTGAGGAGGATAGCTTTCCCGAGCTTCCATTGCTCCAAATCGACGAGTTTAGCGCCCTTGGAATCCGAAACGAGGCCCATATCCTCGAGTTGCTTGACCATTTCGAGCTGACGGGCATAGCTGACCATGCTCTCGCCGAGATACTCGTCAAACTGAACGTTGAGTGTCTTGTACTGCTGTTCGTACTGCTCAATCGAGTATTTCCGCCATTTGCGCCAGTTGACCAAACTCTCCTCGTCACCACTTTCCATTCGCTTAAAGTACGCCCGCGCAGCAGCGTCGACTTGACTCTCCTGCTTTCCTCACCTTCTTCTTCTACCTCTTCCTTTTCCAGGTCGTCTGGTTTGGAAGTGGCAGCAGCGGCAGACGGATCTGCTTGCTCGGGTTTCGGTGCCTTCTTTTCGAGTTCCTCCTTTTCGGCTTTGAGGTCCTGGTTGATTTTGACGTAGACGTTGTAGAGATGTTTAATCGGATCGCGTTCCATCTCCGCCTCGTCTCCATATTTTTCGTATCCGACGGCGATCAAGCCAAATTGCTTGCCCCAGTCGCCAAGATAGTTGAGCGACACGACCTCGTGTCCACATGCTTTGTACAGGTTGGTAAGAAACGCGCCGATAATGGTCGACCGTAGGTGTCCAACGTGAAACTCTTTTGCAATGTTTGGCGAGCTGTACTCTACGTCCTCCGTTAGTATTCGTCTAAATGGAATAAAGAGACCGACCGATGAGAACCTTTTTGCCCTTGCCTACATCACTATGACCATATTCTCCTTGACCACTGCTCGTCTTGTTGGTCAATTCATCAACCTGCCCTAGAATCTGACGAGCGAGATTCTCCGAGTGGCATTTGAACGTCAAGAATCCGCCATTAACGTCGACGCTCTCTACCCACTCATCCGCTACAAACGCCTCTTTGAAGCGCGCGCCGTGGTCCGCGGGCTTGCCGCCCAATTTGAATCGCATGAGCGCGACGGTGAAATCAGAGTCCTTTTTACTATAATCTACACCCTCGTAGGCCTTTTCAAGTGGGATGGATGGAAAGACGCGGCTGATTTGCGACGCGATGGCCGTTCGAAACGCGTCCATTACGCATCGGTGCGGCTCTGTACCTGCAATTGCGGGTAATTGTCCCTGGATGATGGGTGGGTTTGTTGGTGGTGGTGTGGACATTTTCCGTTGGTGCGAGCGAGAGAGGTCGCCGGGGGGTCGAGAAGAGAGTTGGACTCGCCACCGAGTCAGCGGCCCAGGCCGGAGTATGCGAAAAAGAATAATGGCGATAAGATTCGGCGATTGGCGGGCGAATCGAGTCAGACGTGATCCCTGGGACCAATCAGGGAGAGGCTTTGGTTGGGCCTCAACCCGCCACCGTTCAACAAACCCTTCATTAGCATATAGACGATATCAAAACTTGTAAATTACTCGTAGGTGCGCATATAGACTGGGTACATTCTAGCCTAGGTCATGGAGAAAGATTCCAACGTAAAAAATCCTGAACTTTGCTTATTAAATCAATGGACCGAAACGAGAAGTGCCTTGTTCCACAATGCCTGAACCGCCGTCCAATACCGTTCCGGATCAGACCTCATATGCGCTACATGCGGCGAGTCATCAAAGACTAGTCTTGTCACATCCTGACCCATCGTCTCTGCCTTTTCAGTGTGGGCCTGAACTTGCTTGTACGGCACCGACCGGTCCGTCTTGCTGTATACGTAGAGGAATGGCGTCGTCTTGTTCGTCCAGGGAAGCCAATTCGGCGAACAGATGGCCTTGCGAATGATATCGTGCATGCGCACGGGAACTAGGCGAAGCAGGACCGCAACGGCCTGGACAATGCCAATGGCAAACAAGAACACCCAGCGTAAGATGGGGTTCGCAATAGTGTGGTTGAAGACGTAAATCGCACTGCGAATGTCATCTCCGCCTGGCGTCGAGTCGAGGACCATAGCAGAGGTAATAACGTTGGTAGCCTCTTTCTTCAGAATCTGGGAGAGATAGTTAAGTTGGCATGCACCACCTGTTAACTGTTGAGTCTACAAATGCACAAATGAGGAAAGCCTACCGTTGGAGAGTGCATGGACGAGGATTCGGTGTTTTGTAGGTGCGCTACCAACGACTCCAAGATTTCTCAACAGAGGCAGTATCGGTCGGAGTCGGTTCCGCTGTGATGTCGTTAATGTGGGAAACGTCGACGAAGGCAGAGAGGACGAACCAAGACGAATTTGGGCAAAATGAAAAGATCTGCTCTGCTTTGCACTACTATCTGATTTGAATATGGGAACATGACACGGTATCCCGCGCTAAACTTGGCGACATGAGCGAGTTTGCCGTCCACTGCAAAGCGTCAGAAAAGCGCAAAGATTAAATATGCAAACTTACTCCATCCAAAGATCAATATCAGTCTGTGAAGAGGATTAGAATCGCCCTATATACGTGTCTCGTCCGCAATCAACGTACGACGGGTCGGTCGAATCTACTGGACGAGCTGATTCGTTTCCCTGCACAAACCAGATGCCTGGAGCAATCTTCTGGAGACCATATTTCTCCGCAGGAGATAATTCCTTGCTCGCACTCATAATTTACGGGGTTTGGGGAGGTCAGCGTTGATGGTAAGAACAGTCCGATACATCGGAGGTCGGCATCCGGCTAGTGGACTTGCGTGCAAATTTCACGTGAGAATTACCGGGTTCAGTTTGTCAGTTATTGCGGGTTCGCTCAACAAGCAATCATAAAGTGGGCTGTAAGTCGAGGGATCCGGCGTCTATTAGGGCTCACTGTTGATCACGAACTCAATTGATTTCAGCTGACGTACGTGATGGACACCTAACCAAAGGCGGAAGCTGGTTGAACGTATCTTGACCCCTTCCTTGATTCCCACTACAAGATCTGATAGCCATCCGCAAGCGAAAAGGTGGATTTGACGAAACAGTATGCAAGAATTCTGAGCACATGTTCATCTTGCTCTCCGAGATTTGAACGTATGGGGTAGCGAGCCGCAGAGCGAGTTTCTCGGACGGCAATTAATGGTAATCGCACACCCGAAAGATGTCTTTTACGAGTTCCTGTCAAGCTCTGTGGAGGAAGCGTGTCGACGGCTATAGATCATGGGCTCAAAGTGTATATTGACTCCTGGATCTTGAATCATGAGGTGGAAGACGGTGGCATTTTAGGTCGACATTGGCGCCAAATACTGTATTCACGTCAATAGATTGGGCTAGGGCCACCGAGTGGGCCGGATGTTTTCTGTCAATATTGGGGTGTCTACAAGCATCAAAGAAGAACATGCTGTGTCCAGCTTTGTAGTCGCCGCCGGTTGAAAACAGTATATATGCCTCGTGTTCGATACCACGCTTGTCCTCGACCCCGACCTAGCTCTCAGCATGTTGGGTCTCCCATCCTTCGTGTTCATTGGACTCGTCGTTGCCCAAGCTCTACTGGCGGTGCGCAGCGTTCAAGCAGACAACGACTCTTTGTACCACAATGGTCCTAGGGTTCCATTCGTCGATTATCCCGGTATGGCAGCCGCGTCAGCTCAGGCCATCGGCGAGCCTCTTCCCTATGGCCAGCATGTCCCCGAGTGCAAAGCCGTGAAGAAGCGCGTCGAATGGCGCACCCTGACGTATGACCAGAAGAAGGACTATATGCGGGCGATCAAGTGTCTCCAGAACAAGCCAGACTACGGCATTTCCCCTCAATATCCCACGTTTGTCCTATTTTCGACTTTATTTAGCGTGTTTTGATATCTCTCAAGTCTCTACGATGCATTTGTATGGGTAAGAGACTGAAATCTCCCAACATTAGGATCGAGTCCTCAAGTCATTCTAGGTCCACACGACGAATTGGACGGACTATCATCTCAATGCCTGGGTATTAGAGTTCTAACTCTGTATTATTCTTACTCACACCTTTCTAGTTCATGCCCTGGCATAGATGGTTCGTCTGGATCCATTCCGAAGCAATGGAGAAGGTTTGCGATTACTCTGGACCGGTTCCGTATGTGCCATCGATAATACGAGTCTACACTCTGACGATATGGTTAGCTACTGGAACTACACCGCCGACTATCAAAACTTCTTGGAGTCTCCGATCTTCTCCAGCGATCCGAACATTGGTTTTGGCTCGCATGGCAATACAGCTGTCAACGTATCAGGACTCATCGGCTTCAAAGTCGACAATGGTGCCTTTGCCAATATGAAGGTACGCTTTCATCCCAACAGCAGTCCTTCGCTCACGACGCCTAGGTCAACATCCCCGTGACGCATTACCTTACTCGCAACTTCTCGGCATGGAAGACGCTTGACCCAACTGGTCAATACGGCGTCGCTTTTGGAGAGACATTGTAAGAATCGTCCACCAACTTTCGGACTCGGCGCTCATCTACCTTCTAGCTCTCCCGCTGCCGTCGCTAGGGCATTGTCTTCAAACAAATTCTCCGACCTAGAGGCTGCCATCGAAGGATTCGATAATACGCTACACCTTGGGATCCACAACTCGCCCCATTTCTTCAGCAGCGGCGATTGGACTGGACCTTTCTGGTGCGCGATATTCACCCTCCTCCAGCATGCCAAGATTAACTTCGACACAGGACAAACAATACGCAGTGGTTCCCTCAGATCGCTGTGGCTCCCAACGACCCGTGAGTCGAGTCTACGTATAGCTTGATGTCTCTTATCGCCAAACAGAATCTTTTGGATTCACCACGCAGTAAAGATACAACACTTAAAGCGGCCAAATACTCACGCTTCGCAGTATGTCGATCAAGTGTTCTGGTCGTGGCAGCAGAAGCCCGGCAAGCAATGGCTGTTCAACGGAAATATTCCATGGGACGATCCGACGGACAACAGTGCAAAAGCGACGGACCGCCTGCCATTCTTTGGTTTGTCTAATGTGCGCCAATCTACCTGTGACTGACATTCGAAAAGGACTCGGACCTAATCCGCCCATAAACCTCACTGTGCGTTCATAAATCGACGTGAGGTCGTTTCTGACACGTTCAAAGTTAAAGACGGAAAACTGGCCCATGTGTTACACGTACTAGTCAAGCAAGCAAATTCATTTCAAAACCCGTTGATATATCCTATCTCCAAGACAACAGAAAGTAAACATAGTCTAGTGCTTGGGTATCAACGAGTACAATCTGCACGGAGGATACGAATAAATGGACTATTCTCTGACTAAGAATTGATGGGTGGGACATTGGTGAATGAAGTCATCGGATTGTTTAGACACGATGTCTTCAAGAAGCGCCTGTGGGACTCGAGTGTGCTTGTGGTCCTCACCAAACACTGCAATACGTGGTTCCATGGTCTCTCGCAGGAGTTTTTTGGCTTCCTCCAGCTGATTCCGCCTGTATAGCATAAGACATAGATTATATGAAATGTCAAGGGTGCGAGGATGCTGTTGTCCAAGTATTTCAAGGCCCAAAGCGAGTGCCTCCCGTTGCATCCGTTCCGCGTCGTCCACCTGACCACGGTCGTAGAGTATAGCAGCAAGGCTGTGCATTACAAGGAGAGTGTCAGGATGGCGTGCTCCAAGGATTTCGCGCCGTAGAGAAAGTGCTTCTCGCTGCATTCTCTCTGACTCGTCCAATTGTCCGCATTTGTACAATGTGACGGCGAGCTGGGACATTGTCAAGATGGTATATGAATGTCGTTCACCCAGGATCTCAAGCCGGAGAGTGAGGACCTGTCGTTGCATCTTTTCGGCCTTGACCCATTTGCCACGGTTAGCTAAGTTTGCCGCAAGATAGTTCATTGCTGTGATGGTATCTGGATGGCGTCGTCCAAGGATCTCAAGCCGCAGAGTAAGCACTTCTCGTTCCATCTCTTCGACCTCGACCCACTGATCACGCTCACTCAAGGTGACTGCGAGGCTGCTCATTATCGTGATTGTTTTTGGGTGGCGCGGTCCAAGGATCTCCAGCCACAGAGCAAGCACTTCTCGTTTTATCTTTTCAGCCTCGACCCACTGACCACGCTCACTCAAGGTGATTGCGAGGTTGTTCATTGCCACGATTGTGGCTGAATGGCGTCGTCCAAGGATCTCCAGCCACAGAGCAAGCACTTCTCGTTTCATTTTTTCGGCCTCGACCCACTGACCACGCTCACTCAAGGTGATTGCGAGGTTGTTCATTGCCACGATTGTGTCTGGGTGGCGTTCTCCAAGAATCTCCAACCGCAGAGCAAAAACGTCTCGTTTCATCTTTTCGGCCTCGACCCACTGACCACGCTTATGCAAGGTGAGTGCGAGGTTGCTCATTGCCGTGATTGTGTCTGGGTGGCGTGCTCCAAGGATCTCTAACCGAGAGCAAAAACGTCTCGTTTCATCTTTTCGACCTCGACCCACTGACCACGCCCACTCAAGGTGAGTGCGAGGTTGCTCATTGCCGTGACTGTGTCTGGGTGGCGTGCTCCAAGGATCTCCAGATGCAGATTGAGCACCTCTCGTTGCATCGTTTCGGCCTCGACCCACTGACCACGCTCACTCAAGGTGATTGCGAGGTTGTTCATTGCCACGATTGTGTCTGGATGGCGTTCTCCAAGGATCTCTAGCCGCAGAGCAAGCACTTCTCGTTCCATTCTTTCCGCATCATCCAATCTCCCACATTTATATACCGTAATGGCAAGTTTGTTCATGAGCCATATTGAATCTTGATGCCTTCCGCCTTTAGCTCGGCAAAGTTGTGGAAGGGTAGACTCCAATAACTCTCGACACGAGTTCCAGTCACCTAGTGACTCATAGAACATGTGAAATCCCAACGCATGGGCCACGTCTTCCAATTGCGTGGACCGCAGCATGCTGTTGGCGTGTGGGAGCAGCTGCCAATGCTGCACATTGCTATCCTGGACTGGTCGGATCGCACCGAGTAGGAGTTGAATTGCCATACGCATATAGCGCTGATTCTCCCCTTTGCCAAGGTGGTCCTTGATATACACTTGAAGGAGAGGGTGGACGGTGTAGAATAGTCCGTCGCTCGAAACGTCAATAAAGGATGCGTAAGTGGCTGGTTCAACTAGCCTCTGGAACTCCAGCTCATCCCACGTTGAGCCTAGAAGCTCTTCGAGTTTGGAGGCGAATGCCTTATCACTCTCTGGTGGGGGACAGCTCTCTAAGACGGTGTGCGTAGTGAAACTGGATCCTATGGACTGTTCAAACAGAGCAATTGGAATGACCAAGTGGTGAAAAAATGCGCAGAGGTTCAAGAACTGCCGTGTCTTCATTGGGAGATGCTTGAAAGATAGATCGAACGCGGCGTACGTTGACGAATTGTACTCGCTGCCGATATGCGGTTGCTCTCGCAGAAGTTCCTCGTGGTGCTTACGAAACGTGTCAAGGTACGTATCGAGGCGCCGTGTCTTGCGAATGTATGCTCCTGCCTGAGTAATCGCAACAGCCAGCATGCCGAGCTCTCTGACGATTTCGAGCGACGCAGTATCGGATTGAGGGGCGATGTTGGCGATCCTATGAAGGAGCTTCACCGCCTCGCTCTCCTCGAGATTACCGACAGGGACTGCACCATCGAGAGCATAGCCAACAGATGCATTATTCCGCGTCGTAATGAGGACCGCCCCTTCAGTTGAAGAGGGGAGGTATGGGCTGAGATTGACATCTGGCGAGTCGGCGTTGTCTAGGAACAACAACCATCCTTTTTCCTTTCCGTCAAGGTATGCTACCGCATCCTTCCAGGTCATCTTGCTATATTCCGGACCTAAACAGCGAATGGACTGCTCTAAGTCTTTCTCCAACTGTCCTTGACTAGAAGCGTCGATAAAGATCACACGGGTGAACCTGGTAAAGATTAGAGAGCCTCAAGTGGCGAAAGTTTCGTACCTGCTCTCGTTCTCTCGAATCCAATTGGTGGCAAGCTGAGTCTTCCCCGCCCCTCCGATCCCCTGTAATATACACCGTGGTTGATGCCGCACAGGTTCCGCCGGAAGGATACTCTGGGTGATTAGGGATTGAATTCTTGGTCTATCAACGTAGTGTGAAACCGCTGGACGAGGCTTTGGCAAAACGATCTCGTTAGACGGCATGTTCCCTGCGTTCGCCAGGGCTGATGATAACTCAGTAATGGATAGTAACATGGTTGATCGACGAACCTCGATAGGCATCCTCCGTGGACCATTTTCTCGTCACTGCAGTGACAGATCCTGCAACATATTGCTTGATGTACGAACAAACAGTCCTATAGTTCGCATCCTCTGTATCCGAGAACTTGACCATCTCACAATGATCTGCGTCTAGTGCCTCTTCCTTTGCGCCACCATCCCCGGTGACTGTAGCGGAGTGACGCGGTACAATCTACCCACGTTAGAGTTGAAAGAACCGAAATCAATTGTACTCACCAGTAGGCGCTTGCCGCCAACAATCGGTGTCGCATACACTTCGTAGAACAGGACCGTTTCGATCTCCTTGCTAGCCGAGGTATATAGGCCCTGTATATTCTCTAATGCTGGTGAATTCTCCCTAAGATGCTGGAGAACATCATTTGTTGTCCTCGTGTATACCGATAAAAGCCTGTTCAGAGTGTGGAAAAGCTCGACGCCTTTGACACCAGAGTGAGGAGTTCCGAAGAATAGGACGGCATGGGTGGACGCCAATATATCCCGCAGTTGAGTCTTCGAGCCCATAACCTCGTTGTGACAGAGAACAAGGGCCTGGATAACTATCAGAGCAAGCATTTGCGTACCAGGGTAGAATACCTGTTTGAGCACAATACCTCCCAAGCTGTGAGCAATGAAAATAATTGGTCGCTGTAGTAGTTCAAAGGAAGTTCGAGAGAAGTCCGAAGAAGTATGGCCCTTCGACTCACACGTGGATTATCACCGCGCTCCCGTGAGAGAGATTTGACAAGCTTGTCCGCATGTTGATATATCGTCTGCGTCGATACACATTCTCGGCTCCGGGTATCAGCGTCATAGCCGTATACGAGGATTCGGGCGTTGGGTATGTCGGATGAGAGGAGATCGCGAAGCCACAAGGTACCATTCTCAGCCGTCCATGTCTTCTCCCTATGGCCATCCAAGCCATGGATGGCAATAATGCTGATATTATAAGCTCGTGGCCGAGCGCGAACCAGAGATAAGGCTACTCACTCGACTATAGGATCAATCCCAGGTACTAGTTCAAGAAAGCCAAAGTGATTCGTCTTTGATTTGGTTCGCGTGGTTGATGGCTTGTTGAGATCCGATTCTGGAATGGGTGCTGCTTGGTTGGGCAACGTTTGCGAGGACCGTTTAAAAGTACGAAGCCTTCCTTTCAACCGCGAGATAATACTTCCCATATTTCTTGTTCGAAATGGTTGGGACCAGGAGCTGGTTGTTTGCAGAATGGCCAGGCGTTAAACGGCCGTTTAGTGGCAGAGGAGTGTGGCAAGGAGAGCCGAGACCTCTCCGGGCGCTATTTGGAGTATTATGTGAATAAAAGGCTATATTCTAATGATTGATGAATTCTGTACGTAGTCAGCGGCGGTTGGCGTCCAAGAGTGCAGCCACCTCTTGGACACCACGTCATCGTCGCTATAAGCACGACATGAGCCAGCCATTGAGCCATGGGTGAGGCTTTCACTTGGCCTAAAGTCTCCACAGAGAGTGCTAGGTTCAGTGTGGTTCTCAAATCCGGCTGTATATACCTAGGAACAGCTTGTTTGCAAGCGTGAAGATGAGGAGTGTGGAAGGAAGTTGATACAAATCAATTGCGGCGGTAAAATAAAGACTCATCGTTGAGATTTGTCAAGCGGGGTGGAAACCAAGCATAGCAGGCGTGTAAATGCATTCGGAGTGCGTGGCTAACGGAGCCTATGCGCATGATAGGATTTATCAATTAGGATGTCGCGGACGTCTATGCGCCCGAGGCCCGTTAGCGTCGAGTCTCGTGCCTCGCAGCCCCGACAGGATAATTGGCAGTACGAAGACTGTATCAATGGCATCGGGCAGATGTAAATCCCAGAGTGTGACGGAAGCATTCGAGGATCCCCATTCGTACTTGTCAGAATGAAACCGCCGCGAGCAAGGCAGAATATCGCGAATAGCAGGATGAAGATCGATCTTATACTCATATATGAGCGTAAGTGCGGCCATAAATGCGGAGAAAACTACTAGGCACAATGGCAATCGCGCTGAACCCTCCAAGTCGCGTTGCACTCGTCGGCAAGTCGACAAACCTCCAGCTTGCTGAAGAAAAAGACACACTCTGTAATCGTCGATCACATTCGGGCAGACGGAATGATCGAGGTGGACGACGGCAACCTTGAACTCTCCCTCACCCATCTGCGAAAACTTTGCTCTCTCCGGAAGCCTTCGTTCCCGCCAGAGCAGAGTCTGTCCTTCTACACTCCTGACAGCCCCTTTCTCGACAGGCTCGACCAAAGAGAAACGACATATACATGGCCGCTTTGTCCGTTCCACGCATTCCTCCCCCAAAAAGCGAACTTCCGTACCCTCCAATACACAGAAATGCCAAATTTGTGATTCTCTCGGATTGTGAGTTGCGCGTTGCTGCCCACGCTTCATGTCCGGGTGACTGATCCACGTTGGCAGGGGATGGTAAGTTATAGAGGCTCCTTTTGTGCGTATCAAACGCTAAGAGAGGAAATAAGGGACGATCACGTCGTTTGATTCGAATGGTACGTTCCTCCTGGGTGTAGGCTGGGAACTAACGCCTCGATAGATCGTAAGTCCTGATCACCAACCATCGGCACCCTTTCTCACTCAGCAATCCTTTAGATTTAACAGACAATTATGGCTTTGGGAACCAGCGACGGTCGGTAGTTCGGGCCGGTTCTTGCAATTTCCACTCAAATAGATGCAGGCGCGAATTGAACTTGGAGATTCTTGACGGGAAAATCACCTTTAGGTGAATTTCAGTGGAATTTCTGTACAAATAACGGCTAATCATCTGCAGAGATGCCTTTCGTGATATGCTAGCAAGCATTCCACTCCCATTTGAGGAATGCAAAGAGATTCTCAAACGAGACATCAAGCTAGATCCAGGCTTTGCTCAGTTTTACGCATGGTGCAAGTCTGCTGACATACCCTTTGTCATTGTTTCGAGGTACTCGCAAATTTCTTACGATATGCAGTGCTTGACTTGGGATTAGTGGAATGGAACCGCTCATTCGAGCGGTCCTTGTCAATCTCATCGGCGAAGAAGATGCAGCGAGCATCGACATCATTTCCAACGATGTCATGACGGATGAAACAGGTCGCTGGCGTATCAAGTATCGTCATCCGGACAGGCGAGTCCTGTGTTTGAATTTGCGTGCTCGCTACGATGCTAATCAAGAGTAGCGGATTCGGACATGACAAGTCTCAAGCGATTCTCCCATATCGTCAACTGGATTCACCGCCAGTACTGTTCTTCTTTGGCGACGGCGTCTCAGGCGAGTCAATCTCTCCTCTCACCGTCACCCGTTTCTTCTATCCGCTTGGTGGATGGACACCGCCAAATATGGAGCTCCACATCCACATACCATCCTCATGGAGCAGCAGAGCTCCGTCTCCCCACTTGACATCAGCCCTCCTTGTTTCCTCATCTATGTCACCTGACTGACTAGATTTCGCCCCTGCATTCGACGCGATAATGCGTCTCGACTTCATCGTTTCCGCCTACAACCGACATTCTGCCTCACCTCACTACGGTACCCCACAATGTGTATGGCCACATCCCTATGTGACATACACTCGCACCAACTTGAACACGGGATACCAATCACGCTTACATTCCAACCTTGCGTTGCGACTGTGGATGTGGGTGGATGGCTGACCTGGATTGACGTTCCAACGCACTTCATGGCGTATACCGTGATGGTTATCGTAAACCCTTACTATTGGTGGGTAATGTCTCGGCCTCTCTATGATATCCACTCGATCCATTCGTTGCGCGGGGTTGAATACGATCGTTGCATTGCCCGTTCGCCGTATGACTGGCACGTTGCACTACGGATGTACCCTATTGGGCATTTCAATCGACGCTGTGCGCCTATCCATCTATCGCCTCCCGCTGGGCTGTTCTCGCTACTACAAACGTCTTGCGCCTATCTCTGACCAACACGATGTTTCTGATGAGCTAACGTGTTTATGTGTAGATATAATTGGCTTCCAACATGCGGTTCTCGGTCATTACGCCCAACCATGTCGATCACATGATTGGTTCACGTACTCGACTCGGCTTCTTCCTTTCCTGGGTGAGGATAACCGTTTGCCTACGACTTGCCGCACCCGTTCGTCGAGGCATTTTCGGTCACGCCCCTTGGTGCTCCGCTACGAACCCCAAACCCCTTCACCCTGGCCCAATTGTTCGTGACCTGAATGCGGTTATCATGGTCGGCTTGTACAAATCACGGGCTGCTGACCGCCGGGAATGGGTATGATTCCGGGTTGGAACGGGTCGTATCATTCACTTGATAAACGCCACGAATGGATTTTGTGGTGCCATCTAACGGACAACCTCGTCATCGCCCTTCGAAACACGCTACATGCTGCAAATTGGATTATGGATGACAGATATGTCCGCCGCGGCACACGCAGATGTGCTTTTTGTCAAGATCAAGGAGAACGGAGAGAGCGACTTGGCAAAGTACTGTGAAACCCGTGGCATTCCGCACATCCTGTTCAACGATTTTGCGGAAGCCTTACCTGTTGTCCGCGGCGTCGTAGAAGGGACGGAGAGTGTCCACGGCGCCCAGTTGATTAAGGACATCCGCAAGACAACGGGTGAGCCCATGTGAGCGGCTCGAAGTTTCGTTAGGAAGAGCGGTGGAATGTCAAGGTTAACCTGGAGGGTCGCGTGAGGGACACATGGCGTTGCGTTGCTGGCAAGAAATGTGATCTGATAATCAAGCTGTACGCTGATACACGCGGTGGACCGACGGTCGAAATGAGATGGTAGCTAATCTTTACTTTCGCGAAATCGACGCATTCGTGAGTATATCCGATTGTGAGTTTCCTTCCGAGCGGTTCGGCACTGTTGCTTAGCCTGGCGTTCATACAGGTACGCACAGTTTTTTCAGCCCTGCAATAAGCTCCGAATAAAATCATTTTGGAAAAGGCTCGATTCTTAGCCCTTTGGGCGAGACTTCCGTCGCATTCATTTAAAAGACCCGTTCTGAGCCGTGATGTCTCCTTACTTCTCCCCCCGCCACGACCACTTGGTTGCTCTCTTCCTTAACTCCCTCTTCGCCTTTGATCTTCTTGCTCGTCCTTTGCTCCCAAACACTACGCTTCTTGCAACTCTCCGCCCTCTACGCCTACCCAAGTTTTTTCTGCACAATGCCACTCATCCTCGTTCGTGACGGTCGCGCACTCGACGAGACGTCTGACATGATTGACGATGGTACGTCTCACTCTTACAAACGCCCCCATGGTTCCTCTCATTCGGCTCTGTCACTCTCGGGCATTCACGGATACTGACACACGTTTGTCTCTCGCTACGACGCTCACTTTGGCTATGCTAGTCAATGTTCTCCGCCCTCGTATCCTCGCAGCCAAGTCGTCAACAGCCACGACCAGCAGCGCCATGGTAGCCCACCAACGATCGTCATGGACGGCCTCGAATTCGACGAGGAACCTGGTTCTGGTGCTGGATTGTGTGACTTTACGCCCGACGTTACGCCGTTTCATTCCCGACCAGTTTCGCCGACCCTGAGCGTGCGCACGAATGTCACCAACACGGCCGGTGTGATCGACGACCAAGTACAAGCCACCTCTAGTCCCAGCCTCGTTGCGCACGAACTGAACGAGGTAGAGGATGGCGAACCAGCGCCCATGACAAACGAGGAGGGCAAAGTGTTCCGCGATTATGCCAATGCGTGTGACCGTGTCAAGATGTTCTATGCAGAGCAACACGCGAAGCAGACGATGGAATACAACCTTGCCGCTCGTGAACATTTCCACACCCGCGAGAAGCTCAAGATGAGCGTCTGGGAGGCCATGGAAATGCTGGACACGCTCGTTGATGACAGTGATCCTGACGTACGCTCCCCATTCTTTTTCTATTAGATATTGGGCTCACTCTAGACAGACGTCGCTGTCGCAAATTGAGCATCTCCTCCAAACGGCAGAAGCCATCCGACGTGACGGCAAGCCTGACGTGCGTACTGCCTATACTCATTTATTACGTCTCTCACGTCGCCACAGTGGATGCAACTCGTGGGCCTTGTGCACGACCTCGGCAAACTCCTCTTCTTCCTAGGCGCCAAAGGTCAATGGGACGTCGTCGGTGACACGTTCCCAGTCGGCTGTGCCTTTTCTCAGTCAAACATCTACGCCGAGACATTCGCGGCCAACCCCGACTCGAAGCATCCACTCTACTCCACGAAGTGCGGCGTCTACGAGCCAGGATGCGGACTGGAAAACCTCATCATGTCCTGGGGACACGACGAGTACATGTACCTGGTCGCCAAGAAGTATAGTCGGCTGCCGCGTGAGGGTTTGGCCATGATTCGCTTCCATTCATTTTACCCGTAAGTCATCTCGGATCTTAATCTGTTGCACCTCCAGACTCTGACATGCTCGTTTCTGATAGGTGGCATCGCGAGAATGGATATATGCACTTGATGAAGCCCGAGGATGATGAGCTGCTTGCCGCGGTTCGCGACTTCAATCCATATGATTTGTACTCCAAGGCAGACGAGCCTATTCGCGTCGAGAATGTCAAGAAGTACTATCAGGGGCTGATCAGCAAGTACTTCGATGATGTCGTTGAGTGGTAGAGACCGCTGGTTCACGACGGATGGAGACAATCTATGCCACGCCCTGCTGACGACCTTGGGCAATCTATGTCTTATCATTTGGCAAACCGCAGTGCAACAAACAAGCAAAGAGACAAGAAGACATTATTTACAACACCTTATTTACCGCTTCGTGTTCTGATCTGCACGTACTTATTCTCATTTAATCCATGATATCCCGCATCACCCTGTTACCCATATCCAATACTTCGAATACCCTATTCTATCCGCGCTACATGTCCACCCCTAATCTGTTTCGTTCTCTTCCCTCGAACGCAGGTGCGTTTCGGGGTCGAGATGTTTTTTATTTTTAGAGCCCTTTGCTATTCATGAGAGTAGCGATAAATAGATTATCTTTAACATTCTGCGAGTTCACTGAGTGGTATCAACTCCTGCTCCTGACCTTGACGGTCCGGGTTGTCCGATGGGCCAAGACGACTTTTGGACAGAATTTGGGCGGATCTAGGGATTAGTTTCCCGTTTGTGCGGCATGTCGGCTCTCCACGGCCGTCCTCTCAAAGCTCCGAGGCCTCGTGATTGGCGTTCGTCCTAGCTGCTGAGTCAGTCGACCGTTCAAATAGCCCGATAGCTCAAGTAGAGCACTTTTGTCCATCGTTTGATCGACTCCCCTTCATCGTCCAATGAGTTCTTCTGCAATCGAGCTAAACAAGCTATCGAGCTTAGCCTCGACAAAGCTTGATGATTCGCTCGAGGTAGCGACTCGAATGCCACTCCCACCTTCGACATCGACCGTTTATCTCGACCGAACGCGCACCGTCGCGACCTTAGACTATTCATGCAATGATACAGGTAGCCAAAATATTGCGAGATTGCCACCTACAGACCGTGGATTCGACGCATGGACGTTTGTGAGTGAACCGGTTCTAGTACCTTTTCCGATTTTGTCGTTGACCTGGGCGGTGCACGCTAGCTCGTCGCTGCGTTTTGCGTAGAGACGATTGTGTGGGGTTTTCCCAGCGCCTTTGGTGTCTTCCTCGACGCATACTTGCGTGATGCTCGGTTTGCCAACCAACCGCACGCAGACACTCTGCTTCCGCTCATTGGTAACCTGACATCGGGAATCTTGTATTGTACCGGTATGTTCGCCAGTGGGTTTAATTGAAAAAGCTTAAACTCCCAATTAGGGCCGTTTGTGTATCCAATTATTTACCGGTATCCTCGGTCCCGCAGGCCGGCAATGTGGCTGGGTAGTGCGATCTGTTTTGGCAGTTTGATGGCAGCGAGTTATACTACCAAGGTAACGACTACCGTTTGAGGGTTTCAGCTATTCACCTACCCAGGTAACCAATCTTGTCGCGTACCAGGGAGTCCTCTACGCGTTGGGAGGAGGTTCGTAATGCCCTTTACCCAGACGCCTACTCAAACTTTTACAGTATTGCTCTCCCATCCATGCCTCTCCTATACATCCGAATGGTTTGTCGAAAGGCGTGGGTTGGCGTATGGTGCGATCTACGCCGGCACAGCAGTAGGCGGCTTGTTACTTCCGCTACTTCTCCCGAGTCTCATTGAGAAACGAGGATCAGCTGTCGCACTCAGGATCACCGCCATCGTGTTTGCGGCCTTTCTCCTCCCCTCTTTACCGTTTCTGAAAGGAAGACTACCGGAATCCAGAATTCACGGACCATCTACTCGCTCATCGTCGGAACCCAAGTGGTACAAGGATGCCGGCTTCGTCGTCGTCGTTGTCATCAATACGTTGCAAGGATTTGGTAGGTCTCGATTAGAGCTCTACCAATACTTTCTTACCACCCCATAGGATACTTTGTTCCTATTCTTTGGCTACCCAGTGCGTTCTCATGCGTCATTTCTGCGCAGTGACCGATCTTTGAGTAGCGTTTGCAAGTGAACTCAAACTCAGCGCGACGAACGCGTCGCTTGCCTTGGCAGTTCTCAACGGTATGTGCCCAGCCACCAGACGTCCTACCTCACTGACAAATGACCTAGGTTCCTCGGTCATTGGTCGACTCGGGATTGGCGTTCTCTCAGACGCTATTGACCCTTGGCTACTCGCACTCTCAACATTGTTCGGGAGTTGCCTTACTACTTTCGTCCTCTGGGGTGTCCTTAGCTATACCCTCGGCGGATTAATTAGCTTCGGGCTCTTCTACGGCTTGGTAGCAGGAGGCTGGTCAAGTTTGTGGACAGGATTCATTCGTCCTATTTCTCGTACGTCTCTAATATCTCCCTCATTCGGCAACTAATAATCCGTAGCTGAGGATCCCAAAGTAGCCACCAAGCTGACTGGATACCTCATGCTCTCTCGAGGATTAGGCAATATTCTCTCGACCCCTATCTCCGCAGCACTGGCGAGTAGACATTTCGAACATGCTTCGACATTTTCTCGTGGAAGACTCGGCTTCGACGTTGGCGGTGGACGATTTGAAAAGATGATTATCTATACTGGGACTTGCTTTGCCGGAGCGACAATATTGGCCGGGTCGGGGTGGTTTATCGAGAAGAGTCGAGGGAATAGGAAGGGTGAGAGGTTAGATTGAGTTCCTGAGTCTAAATTGCCAGATCCACCGTCCAAATGTATCCAAAATTGCTCCTATAATGAGATTTTGTGCTACGGTCGTTGGTTTACGGATACAGTCAAGACCAATAAACAAATCTGAACTTATGGAGTCAATAATTTCATCAAAACGTGAAGCGGATATTGATTGAGAGCACGATGTGTTTAAATGGGACGCATGGACAAAGCCAAACTCTCCTGAGCCAGCACGAGCACGGTAGAATGACTACCTTGCCTCCCTGCTCTTCTTTTCGTGGGGCTATAGTTCAGCCCGAGTCATTGGATAGACCCACGGGACTTGGAAAACACTTTAGACTGATTTAGGCATTGGTGCCCTGCCTGTGCGGCATGTCAGCTATCTACGGCCGTCCTCTAAAAGCTCTGGAGTCTTGTGATTGGTACTCCTCGTCGACGCTGAGTCAGTAGAATCCACTGCGCATTGTTCAAATGCCTGTGATAGCGTTTTCGTCCCCTCTTTGATCGTCTTCCCATCCTCATCCAATGAGCTCCTCTGCAATCGAACTAAAAAAGCTATCGAGCTCCGTCTCGACAAAGCTTGACGATTCGCTCGAGGTAGCGACTCGGCTGCCGCTCCCACCCTCTATTTCGACCGTCTATCTCGACCGAACGCGCACCATCACGACCATAAGCGACCCTTACAACGAAACAAGAAGTCAAAACATCGTTACCCTACCTCCCACGGATGGCGGCTTCGGTGCGTGGACATTTGTGAGTGGACCGGCTCCAATATAGCTCGTCCGACGATCTCGTTGACGGGCCTTCTCGGGCGGTGCACGCTAGCTCGCAGCCGCATTTTGCGTGGAGACGATTGTGTGGGGTTTCCCAAGCGCCTTTGGTGTCTTCCTCAATGCATACTTGCGTGATGCTCGGTTTGCCAACCAGCCGCACGCAGATACTCTACTCCCACTCATTGGTAACCTCTCGTCAGGGATCATATATTGCGCCGGTATGTTCGCCCAGTGATGTGGTTGAATGAGCTTACAATTGCCTAGGGCCGTTGTGTACCCAATTATCTACCGTTACCCTCGGTGCCGCAGGCCGGCAATGTGGTTGGGTTGTCTCATTTGTTTTGCCAGCCTGATGGCAGCGAGTTATACTACCCAGGTAACGAATACCTCGAGGTATTCAGGCTTGCTCACGCTTTCAGGTCACGAATCTTGTCGCATACCAGGGAGTGCTCTATTCATTGGGAGGAGGTCCGTACTACCATTCAACCCGACACCCCCTCAGTTCCTTACAGTACTCCTCCATCATCCGTGAACATCCTATACTTCCGAATGGTTCGTTACGAGGCGTGGGTTGGCGAACGGAGTAATCTACGCCGGAACAGCCGTAGGGGGCTTGTTGCTCCCACTACTTCTCCCAAGTCTCATTGAGAAACGTGGATCATCCGTCGCACTTCGAATTACTGCTATTGTGTTCGCGGCCTTTCTCCCTGCTTTGCTGTTTTTGAAGAGGAGATTACCGGTATCCAAGATCCATGGTCCAGTTGCTCGCTCACCATTGGAACCAACTGGTTCAAGGAACCGAGCTTCATTCTCCTTGTAATCGTCAACACGCTCCAAGGGTTTGGTAGGTCGGCCACCACACCACTCGCAGATTCTTACTCCTTCGTAGGATACTTTGTTCCTATTCTTTGGCTTCCAAGTATGCGACCATATATTGTCTTATACGAGTGACTGATCTCGCTCAGCCTTCGCAAGTGAACTGAAATTGAGCGCAACAAACGCATCGCTCGCCTTGGCAGTTCTCAACGGTGTGTATTCATGCCGAAAGACCCACAGTACGCTGAAGAAATGACTAGGTTCTTCAGTCATTGGCCGACTCGGAACTGGCGTGCTCTCAGACGCTATTGACCCTTGGCTGCTCGCACTCTCGACATTGTTCGGGAGCTGCCTTACCACTTTTGTCCTCTGGGGTGCCCTTAGCTATACTCTTGGAGGCTTGATTAGCTTCGGGCTCTTCTACGGCTTGGTAGCAGGAGGCTGGTCAAGTTTGTGGACAGGGTTCATTCGCCCTATTTCTCGTATGTTTCCTGTCTCTCTGTCCTGTGGCTGACCACTCATAGCCGAGGACCCCAAAGTAGCGACTAAAATGATTGGATACCTCATGCTCTCTCGAGGATTAGGCAATATTCTCTCGACCCCCATCTCTGCAGCATTGGCGAGTAGGCGTCTCGAGCATAGCTCCGCGTTCTCTCATGGAAGACTGGGATTCGATGTTGGAGATGGCCCCTTCGAAAAAGTCATCATCTATGCTGGGACTTGCTTTGCCGGAGCGACGATAATGGCGGGTTCAGGATGGTTTATCGAAAAGACGAGAGGAAATAAGAAGAGTGAACGGTTACATTAAAGTCTTGATATATACATCGCCTAATACTGCATTCCCATAATGAGATTTACTCCCTTACCAGCGCAATTTATTGAAGAATGCATTGCCCTGTTGGCACTAAGATGGTGACACGCTTGAGTTTGGAGGAAGGAATCGAGAGTTCTATAAGTACGTGAAGCGACACATTATTTACAATGAGTTGGGAATGCGCAGCGTTCGAACGCGACGTCCTTTAGGCCCACATTGCCTTGAACTTTTCGTTAAAGTCCTTTTGAAGGTGCCAGAACACCTCATACACCTTCCAGTCCTTCATGCTAACATGGTCCGGCTTGACAATGTCAATCTCTCCTGAACCAGCACCGACCCCCAGAGCCTCTGCTTCATCTCCTCGCTCCTTTTCTAGCGGCACACCATGGGACGCCTGTGGTCCAGAAGGTGCAATCGCCTCGTCCTTTTCCAAGTCTGCCGCCCAGTCATCCTGGACTGTGGTGGTAGCTGCAGCCACGGCGACTGATTCACCGGCAACAGACGTAAGATCGTCCTCACCGCGCGCGCCTTTGAGCATAAGGTCCTTGATGGCGGTCACCATACCGTCGAGCGCCTGCGAAAAGTCGAGAAGTAGGTACCAAATCTGGCTCTTCTCAATCCTGTTCGCATCAACCAGGGGTTTGTCTTGACCGTGACTGTAAAAGTCGAGAAGATAGGCGTTGAGGTATCGACCAGGAGAATCAGACGATGGGGTGAAAAGGTCGAGCGATGGGAGGACGTGTTTGGTGAGATAGAGTCCGTGTCGCGTTGTCCGAGACAATTCGTCGACATTGCTATAGACATCACCGTGTCCGGATGTCGCGACAAATGCCGATCGACTTCGGACTGTGACACGAGATCGCTTGAGGCTTTGGACGAACGTCGAAGAAGAGGGTGTTGATGTCGCTTCAACAGTCCTCTCGCTGAATGGCAATACGTTATCCACTCCAAGGGAGTCTCTATGCTGGATAGAGTACATCACAGCACATTCTGTAAAGACCTGGAGGACCTCGTCGTTGTATGCCTTGAGAATCTTGTAGGCTTCCTCATCAATGTCGGAAAGGATAACCTTGGACGGGGTCCGGTTGTTCCTGGTAAAGGCTTCTTGGTCAAAATTGACTTTTGATAGATACTGGCGGCAGAAGAGGTACGAAAGAATGTGCATCAAGTCGCGTTTGGCGTCGATTAGATTGTTGTTGCAAATCTTGTGAATATACCCTTCACGAAGAAGAGCAAGAATTGCAAGGTTGGCGGGCTCATTGGTATAGAGGAAGGAGGCGAAATTGAACCATGGGTGGAGCGGGTTACCGACCGAGTCGATCACTTGGGCACGAATGAGCAACTCGATGGAGAAGCGCATGTTGTAGAGACTTTGCGACCGGCTAATGTTGGAACCGACGGTGAGACTGTCGAGCTTTAACAGGTCTTGGATCGCGTTGGTTGCACTTGGCGCATTACCAGAGTCGGTAAGGAGACTGATGAGCCGAAGAGAAAGCGTCGGGGTCAATGGATAGTTGCCACGGAGCGCAGGCAGACGCGACAGAACGACTTGCTTCACCCTCTCGTTGGGTAGGCCATAGAATATGACCTTTCCAAGCTACAATATCGATAAGAAAGACGTAAGATGCATATCCCAACCACATACCAAGTCGAAGCCACGACGACCAGCTCGACCGGCGCACTGACGGTACATAAGAGCCGTCAACGCAGGAGAGTCTCCACAGAAGATGGATGCCTTAGCGGGCATATTAACACCCAGCGCAAGCTCTTCCGTCGAAACAACCACGCGACAAAAACCAATGCGGAACAAACTAAAGATTATGAGAAAAGGAGCCATCTATGATAGATAGAGTCGCACCTTTCGACCAAAACTCGGTAGCCCTTTGGGAGACCTGAATGATGAACGGCGATTCCTCGACGCAAGCACTCGAGAAGGAAGCGCGGAGTGGTCGAGTATTTCTCGAGGTTCTTGATATCCTCATCCAACTCGCTAGCAGAGTATCGAGTACCCCAGTTGATGAACGAAAACTCCTCTGATGGTGCATCCGGGTCAAAGTTCGCATAAATAGCTAGTGGGCTCGTGTCCACTGCAGCCGCATTCTGGAGTCGCTCCATCTTGTCCCCTTCAGCCTTTTCTTTCTTCAACGCCGCCCGCTGGGCTGCCTTTTCTCTCTCCTTGGCTCCAGCTTCCCAAGCCTGCCAACCTTTGATCTTCTTTTCCCATTCTGGACTGTGCTTGCGCCACTCGGTTTCATCTTTCTTCAGTTTCTCGAGGATGGCCCTGGCAATCGCTTCCACGGAATAGCGATCAAAGTGGAACAAAAGAGCGGGCTGGATGGGAGAATTAGAGGACAAAAGAAGGATGCAGGCATTGCTTACCAAGTCGCCTTCGGCATGAAGGTCTGCGAGCAGGTTGACGAGATTGCCATAGAACATGTCACTGTTCTGTAAGGCCTGCTCGGACTCTGGCTTGCCAACTTCCTTGTCGGTGAGACTTTTTACAACCTTTTGAATCGTGCTAGTGGGCTCATGCGCGTCGTCTTCCTTTAGCCACTTGGTGAGTACCGCTTTGAGCTTTTCCTCATACTTGATCACGTCCGCCTGCTGCAAAAACTCTCCCGCCTTGTTCTGCTTTTCAAAGAATTTCGTTGGCTTGAGTTTGGCGAGCGCTGGGTCATCCGAGTGGTCGGACATGGCCTTGTAGAGGGTTGCGCAGTCACGAGCCTCGAGAGCGAGGTCAGATGGCAGCTCGGTAATACCAGGGCGAATAAAGGAGATTGGATGAAGGAATCGCATTTGTTGTGTCGCTTTGTGATCGTGAAGGCCATCGAAGTCGTCCGGATTCGGATCAATGTTGTACATAAACTTGCGAAGGTGCGAGTAACGATGGTGGTGCTGGACCAGCGAGTGGGTGTGGCCATGGGCTTCTTGAACAGATTTAAGCCACTAAGCGAGAGTCAATGGGCTGGTGACGATATAAGAAGCCACAAACCTCGTTGAAAGCGTCTGCATCACCGACAGTTGCAGAAAGTCCGATGATAGGGCATCTTGAGAGCAAGAGAATCTGCTCCCAAACTCCACCGGGTTGGCTCCCAAGGGTATGAATCTCATCGAGGATGATACGCTTGATTCTGGGAGCCCAGACTTTTGCAAGCTCGGGAGAGAGCAGCATGAACGCGAGCATCCTGGATACCGTTACACATCAATCTTTTGGTATTGCGAGGAAGTGACGTACTCTGGCACAGTAACGAGAATCTGACACGTCTGAGGATTGTTAAGACGAATATCGGCAGTGTGAATTGCCCAGCACGATCTTCCTTTCATATCCTTTCGGTATCGAGCGTAGACTTCTGCTGTGATCTACAAAGGATAAGCGACGACATAAGACCTGGGCACCGACCGACCTGCGTGACGAGGGCCTTGGTAGGAGCGACGTATACCAGAATGCCATCATCCGAGGTCGTAAGGACCTTCTTCATCGCATAGTACGAAATGAACGTCTTTCCCGCACTGAACCACGAGTAAGTTTTGCTGCTTCATTCCTAGAAGTCGCTTACCTTGTAGGAGCGACAACAAGGACGCTCTCATCTCGATCAAGCTTGTCGAGAACGTCGCGCTGCCACTTGTCGGGTTCAAACTTGACACGATCATCGGGCTTGCTATCGAATGAGCGATCCATGTGCTCTCCAAACGCCCTTAGTTGCCAGTCAACTGGATGTTCCGTTATGGCCATCCACGGATATGCATTGACTTCGGTGCCTTTCACTTGGTCAGATTATAGTGTAGAGACAAGAAGCATATATCTCTCACCCGCTTCAGGCCCAGTCAAAATCTTCTTGTAAAACTTGATAAAGTCCCAGTCAAGCTTCTTGTCCTTGACGTCTTTGGAAGGCCGTTGGATGATTTGGACGTAGTCATCAAAACCGAGCGCTTCCATCACGCTCCACAAACACTTGACCATTGTCGGAGTCAGGACATCTTGATACTGCTTCATCCCCCTGACCATCTTGACCAATCGGATGATGTACCCATCCTTGACTTTCGGATTTTCGCCATCGGGATTTTCAATCCAATGCCAGCACTCGCAATTGATGCGATACAGCCAAACGTTGGCCGCCAACGTCGGATCCGCTTCCATCCGCTTATTATTCTTGAGCTGCAAGTCCAGCATCTCGATACGCCCACTGAGCTCTTCGATATTCTTCAGCTCTTCGAGTCGAGATTTCCACCACGCCTCGCCATCCGTCACCGCCTTGGCCTTTTTCTGGGACTCAATTTGCATGCGTAACTTGTCCGCTGACTTCATCGGTGGTTCCTTCTTTCCTTTTGCTCCCTTTCCTTTGGCGGCTTGCGATGCCTGAGCAGAGCTCTGGGCTGAAGGAGTCGCTGCGGGCTGCCCTTTTCGTCCCTTTGCTCCTTTCACTTCGGGGGTATCAGGACGAGAAGCAGCCTTCAAAGCCGAGCCAGTCGCCCATTGGGATCCAACGACATTGCCCACAGGCGGGATCACTTCTGCTTCGAGTTTAGCACCTTTGGCGCCCGTCAAACTGTTGGCTTGACGCTCAATATGCACCATAGAGCGCTGATTCGAGCGAAGGAGCTTCATCATTCCCTTTTTGTCCTTTGGCTTTGGTGGCTCGCCTCCCAAATGTCTCGGAATAGGCGACCGGTAGGTATGATGACGTCGCGTTCGCGCGAAGATGCTGTCCTCGAATTCGTAGAGAGGTTCAGGTACCCCTCCAAACTCATCAGCTGGAATAGTTGGCACATCGACCTCGGAGAGTACCTCTTGGAGAACGGGTGCCTCGAAGGAGTAGAGGGAAAACTCTTGGAACACTTTTTGTTCCTGGAGCTGCCGAGTGCCGCCACTCTTCTGCGCCAACTGCGCCAATACGCCAAAATCTACCGGTTGTAGACCAAGTTCTTTCCACTTCTCCGTGAGTGATGCATAAACGCCGCCTCCTAGGACTTGGGATGGTTGGGTATCCGAGAATAGGATATTCGCGAGTAGGAGGGAAAATATTCGGCCATCTACTAGCGGTGGTTCGTCGACGTCTTCAGGTATTGTAGCCTCGAGTGACGCAAAGAGACCTGGGAGAAACCCTTCGGTTATCAGTTTTACTAAACCGGACGGTAATGTCGACGGTGGTTGCGAGCGAAGATCTAGATCGATGGTATCGAGGAGTTTGACGTGGGCGAGGAATGTAAAGAGGAGAGCGAGCTGAGGAGGCGTGGGCGAGCTGGTGAGCTCGGAGAGGTAGTGTTTTATCGCGGCTTCCGGCCAGCCTTGAATATCCTCTGCCTTTTCCACTCTTCCTCGTCTTCATCATCGGCATCGACTGGCATAAGCTCGTCAAGAGCTTCTCGCGCCTCACCGACGGCCTTGTAGAACTCTCGGGAGAGGTTCGTTTGGGGTTGTCGATCGTATAGAAATGTATTTGCCTTTATATTCGTTAGGAAATTTTCGCTGGAGTAGGGATCCTCTATACCTGTGAATCTCGAAAATCCATTTCTTGCAACGACGCAAGAAGGAGCCCTTCATCATGGATATACTTGATGAACACTCTATGGAGTAGATTTGCGGCAGGGAGGGAGTCATCCGACTCTGGTAGGGCCACGGAATGATCACTGCTCAAAATGAACAAGGGCTATAGGGGGAACGCGTCAACTTTCCGCGTCATCTGAATATTGAAACCATGTACCTTGTTGAAGAAGACATACTCCTTCCATCGCTTGTCGCGAGTATCGGTGAATTCGTGAACTTCCACTTCCAAACTGTGAATGTACGCTTTGAGCGTCTTGTGCGCCAGTGATCTCGATGATGCGATCCAGGCATTGCCAGATGTGCCAATGGCCAATGGGCGATTTGCTGTATGAATTCAAAGACGCCAAAGGTGGCGTAGTCAGCGCTATGGCCGGGGCCTTTGGCACGAGATGGAGCTCACATTCAAAGAAAGCGATGTGAAACTCTGCTCCACGTTTCCTTAGATTGTCTAGAATAGATTCCACGCTATAAAAGGCGTGTAAAATCTGCCAATCGCAGGCTGTACCAAGGTAGATGTCATCAGCACTCGCTTTTAGCGATCTACAGACGCCTTGAAAAGTCGCGTACAGTCTTTTCTGCCGAGTTCAAGGAGAGGATCGTCGAGGACGGTCTGGATAAGGGCGTCGCCATCGACCAAGAAGAGCTCTTTGCCGGCGTATGATCCAATGATATCGACCCAGCGAGGCTTGAGAGACGTGAACCATTTCTTATTGAGCTCTTCGAGGGCGTCTGGGATAGTCAGTGCAGCTGCCATCCCGCGCTTTTTTGGAGGCGGTCGGTGGCGGTAAGGGCCAAGGGTTGCTCCCGACCAAACTTTACCAATTAGGAGTGGCTGGCCTACAACATTACTCTGGATGGCATTCAGTCAGGAGTGTACAATTCCACAGAATAGGGACTTGGGGGTGCGCGGATATTCTGTTTCGCCAATCAGCGCCCGTGGAAAGTGACAGAGACCCTGTCGTCTTTCATCTGGTTTACTCCACCGACAGCTTTGCCTGTGGCAACGATGAAGCGTATCCGCCGAATCCTCTGCTGTGACTGCCAGAAAGACGTCGAAAATGTCGCACGACAGACCTCCAAGGACGGAAATGATGCCAGTATCACACCTAACAATAAGTTTACCTTGAAAGATGACCACAAGGCGGTCAACGACGCTTCAAAGGACCCCAACTCGGATGCCAGCAAGCAACGCAATATAGAGCGCGCGCACGAGGTTTTGATGACACTCAAAGAGGTCTCTGAACTATCAGAATTCTTAGGCCCGCTCAAACTTATCAGTGGGATGGTCGGCAAAGGGCTCGAGCTAAAGATGGTATGGTGTCTGCGGCAGAAAGTGATACTAGCTCACGGATTGTAGGCTAGTGTCCGCAATAAGTCGGCGTGGTCATCCCTAAAGTTGACCCTCGAACGTCACATTGCAGTTTTCGAGCAGCAACGCCAGCTACTCGCAGACGGCGATAAACGACAGAATCAAAACATAATCGGGATCTTGGATGAATACACTTCGTTAGTAGACTTATTCTTCGATTCGCCGCCACCTCAATTTTGTTAGCGCTCTTACAGACATCCTCGCACAAGTCCTGGAAGGGATGGGCATCTCAGAGTCAGACGTTCCTCCCGGGATGAGATCTATATTTCAATCTCTCCAAAGAAAAATTCGAAAGATTGGTACAGCAGGTACCGAAGCGGATCAAATCGCTGGACTATTAAATGAGCTCGATGCCATTTTCAAGCGGCTCAGCGTAAGCTCACATTTTTGCACGAAGATGGACTTAAATTCCGGCATAGGTTTCTCTTGGCTTCCATGCTGCAGTGGAACTGCAGGCAATTCGTTTCCAGCTCAACCAAGATGACAGAGCGAGAGTCTTATCGAAGGTTGTTAGCCTTGGGGATCATTTGCAGAATATCACCGGAGCGGTTCCAGTGGACACTGGCGTCGACCTACTACTCCAGGCCTTTCCAATGTTACAAGCCATCCTTCTAGTGAGTGATGTGGGGGCCTCATCACCAACTATTGATACCTCGATAGACTGGAAATTCGAATGAAAGTGTACTAAAGCTTCACGATATCCTCGGTGAACATCAGAAGACGCTCACCCTGCTCCTAAAGCAGTATGTGCGAGCTGATCTAGCGCCCGACGCTGACAGCCCACTCCCACAACGATTGATCGAGTACACGCAGTAGGAGCCGTACGATACTTTGATCATAGGGGGTCCTGACGGTCTCACCAGCGAGCTCCAAGTCAGCGTCGTTTCGGTGCTCATACTCTACGGCATAGCACCTCAAGAAGTCTCGCTTTCGTCTCCCACTTTTTCAAACGCCGTTGGCTTGACGTCAAATGATTCAGAATGGATACAGCTTCAGTCGGCACTTGAACGCATTTCGGTATTGCCCCTACTACACTATGAACTAGACAACTGACGGCATCTAGATTGCATTCTTTGCATATCTTGAGCCTGTTCTGCGTGCTGGAATTAGGCCAAAGAAGCAGGCACTGCGGCGTTACTCCACCAGAATCGATGGTCCGTTAAGACTGATTCATATATGAAATACTGACTGCGAACAGATGGGAAGGATATTTCACCGTTCGGAAGACAACACGCAGAATGTCTCGAGGGAACGCGAGCAAAATCGCTTCAAGAGATTGAGACTTGGGCAAGCCAGTCGTCTCCCTCATCCCGTATATACTATCTCTGTGATCAGGCAGGTACGGGTAAATCGACGATTGCACATACGATTGCCAACACCTGGGAGCGGGAAGGCCGACTCGCTGCGCGATTCTTCTTCTCTCGAGGAACCGCACGGACGTCAACCGGCAGCGATTTGTGCTATTATATCGCTCTTAATTTGATGGAGAGATACACACAACTCAGGAGGGATCTCGAGAACACGATATCGAGTGCAATTTCTCGAGACCAGCCCATACCCGTACAGTGGAAGATTTTCGTTGCGGGTCCCCTCGCATCTATTCAAACTTCGAACCCCAATATAATCGTCGTGGACGCCCTCGACGAGTGTGACAGCGGGCGTGAGGATGTACTCCGGTGTATACTCTCTACGTTTGGTCATACTTCCACTGTGGCATCTTCATTTCGATTCTTCTTCACCACACGGCCCAACCAGGATCTTCACATCCTAAACAATCAAGTGGCCGTCATCAGCACCCTCCAACAAACGATCGAGCAGCAAAGGCAAACCGAAGCCGACATTCATCACTATATACTCCACCAATTCTCAAAGTTAAACACAGCTGGTCTAGCAGCCAATGCAGCAGGTAGACTAGCAGCACACTCCCGAGGCCTCTTCATCTTTGCCTCCACCGCATGCTCGATGCTCAAAAGATCCATCGACCCAGTAGCTACATTGAATTTCATCCTCTCAGATGGAGAGTTCACGGGGCTAGATGGCATCTATCGAGGTATCCTGACCCGAGCCATACCCAATGAACCGGGATCCCATGAAGCGGTTCAACAGATTCTCTCAGTCATCCTCGCGACTCAAGAAACCTTGTCGCGTGAAACGATTGAGGCTCTTTCGGTCAACCCGCATGCGACGCGACGGACGCTCGAGCAGCTAGGGAGCGTGATTAGTAATGGGGAGAAGGACGAATTGGTATATATCATTCATCCAACCTTTCGCGAATTCCTCCTCCACGCAAGTCGCTCCAAGCAGTTTGCAGTGAATATCCATGTTGGCCATCGTATCCTCGCCCGTCGCTCGCTTCAACTTTTGCACGATCACCTTCAAGTAGATATTTGTCACGTTTTCAAACCGGGCCTACCATTCCCCCTTCGCAAAGATGTCGACAATCTTGAAGGGAGATTGGTGGAGTACACTACTCCCGAACTTCGCTACGCAGCATCGTACGGAATGGCGCATGCAATTGTCGCTCTTTATCTCACTGACGTCTATAAGATGGTGAGACAGGTGTTTATGACTCGCCTACTCGCTTGGATCGAACTCGTCAGCATCCTCGATAATGTGCCTGCGGCGATGTTTGGAACCAAAAGTCTATTGGAAGCGTTAAAAGCCGTTAACAAGTTACCTGAATTTGTCTCGGTGCGTGATCATAAGCTCGCGTATGTTCAAGGCTCATGAATGTGCAGGAGAGTGCGGATGTCGAGCGCTGTGCCGACATTTTACAATTTTTTCGTACAAATCAAGGCATTATCCAGGCGTCTCATTTGCACGTCTACACCTCTGCCATGCTGTTCTATCCGCGAGATAGTCATATATCGCGACGATACTTCACGGCTGTCCAATTCCCCCTTCCTATCCTACGCGCATCGATCAAGCACACAGTGCAGGGGCTGCTTGTCCTTCGTGGCCATACAGATGATATCGTATGCGTCACATTTTCTCCAGACGGTCGTAGAATCGCATCCGGATCTCGCGACCACATTGTTCAGATCTGGGCAGCAGATACCGGCGCATTACTTCGAACCCTCCACGAATGTCATCGGTCGATTCTGGCATTACTTTTCATCCCTAACACGCGGTACCTTCTCGTCGCTTCCGACGATGGCACGGTGCGCCAATGGAATCTCCAGCCAGATCAACCAACTGGAGAATTATGGTTCAGTCATTCTGCACCAGTCATATCTCTCTTGTTCTGCGAAAGCAGACAAGAAGTTATTTGCGCTAGTATCGATGGCAAATTGTTTGGGTTACGGCGCGAAAGTCAATGTGTGAGCTGGGTTCTTGCGGGTGACGATGTCGAGAACGCTGGTTCGATTGCGTTGTCAAGCGATGGAAAGTACCTCGTAAAGGCTTCCCAGCCCTCTCTCCATGTCTGGGATTTGTCACAAACCTCCGCTCAACCCATATCGTGCCTAGTGCAGCTCTCTTCCGTGGAAGCAGACTCTATTAGAGGCATTCGCGCCGTGTTTATCCCGGATTCTCACAGCCTCGTAATAGCGTCGGAATCAAAGACGATGAAGGCTTGGGATCTTGACACAGGAGCGTTGCTCTGGGCACGCGATGCTGATGCCACCCTCGTGTCTGTCCTGGGAGACCGGAAGAGAATCTTGTTTGTTACCGAAAGCCATCCTAGTGTCCTTCGACTATGGGATGCTGAGGAAAAGGAGGGCCCGCGTGCATTTCATGGACATACAGGTGCCATCACGAGTATTGCGACCTCAAATGGCGAAAATAAGCAGTCATTCGTTTCCGGTTCTCAAGATGGCACCACTCGAGTCTGGGACGCGAACACTTTTCTCTGCGACGACGGTCCCGCTCAGGACGAGCAGTCGAGGATTGTTTCGCTCGCCCTCTCTAAGGACGGGCTATCCTTGCTCTTGACGAACGAGCATAATAGAATTCAATTGTGGAGAGCAGACGGGGATGGGATGGAAATGGAACGCGTCGTCCACCTTCGGTGCCCGCGGGATTGCGCATCGTTGGACTACAGGACCGCAAGCTTTCATCCTGTTCACCCATATCTAGTAGTCTCCATTTCTGAAGAAAGCTCGCTAGTCGTTTACGATCTGCATACCAGCGAGTTTATCTACCGAATCGACCTACAAGCGGATTCACAAGACCTCGATTCAATCAACCATATTACCTTTTCATCAGACGGAAGCCTGATGGCACTGACACATTCATTGCTCATCTCCATATGGCGTATCGACGACATCCTCACTAGTCAACCAACGCTTCTCTACTCCGACCAAGCGACCAAAATGGCTGAAGGACCCATATCGTCGATTTTCCATCCCAGTAACCAATATATTGTATCATGCCACCAAGCATGGCAGATTCCGACTCCTGCCTCGTCGATGCTTTCGGCCCAAAGGACAGTGAGGCCGTCAACAGGTTTCGAACGGTTGAAGGGCGATGAACTGGAGCGTGTTCTGTCGGAAGCACATCCAATTCGTATCCGCTGGGATCATGCACATCAGCTCAACTGGATCGATCTTGGCCAGCCCGTCCGCCAATCGATTGCAATCCCCGTCGACTTTGTGATCACTGCCACGACATTTGCAGTCGACAAGGTTGCGTTTGGGTCCAAAGACGGTCGAGTTGTTGTTCTCGATGCCTCCCCGATCCTCGATAGGTCAGACTCTCTTGTACAGTAGCCTTTGTAATCAAAGCTCAGTCGTTCCTATATCTCAATTCGAGTTCGCAGTGATACAATGAGATTGGTTTGAATCTTCTTCTTTCAGCTTTTGTATACATGCGATGTCCCGTATGCCTAGACATACCATCGAATCGTAATGTCCAACCTACCAAAACCAAGATGGCCGAACCGGTTCGAGTGCGGAAAGAGAGTGAAAGAAGGGAGGAGAGACTGTACATCGAGTTGGATCTTGTATCGAGGATATGGATCTGAGAGCGGAGAAATTACATAGGAGTTGGATCCTAGAGGACGACGGGCATGAAAGACGACCGACAAGTGGTCACCAGCTTGACGAGGCCCTAAATAGCGGCAATAACGGAGCTACTCCCTGGGACATAGGAGTATTAGATCGAGGTCGCTGCTCCGCGCTTTCGCTTGCCAGTCGCCGGCGGCGCAGGTACAGAGGTCGAGCCAGCGGGTGCAGAGGAGGACCCTCCCGTCGAGGACGTGATGACGGCGCCCTTGGCCTTGAGAACTTGAACGAGCTCATCAATGTCAATCACATTGCCTTGCGCCCCGAGTGCGGCACCAATGGCACTCCCAGCACTCTCCACAACGCCATTGGCAGGCGACGTAATCTGGCTCTGTGGGACACTCTCCTCGCCCGTCGTGGCGCCTACGACGAGGCTCTTGAGCCACTGATTCTCCTTACGTAAGCTCTCGCACTCGCGCTCGAGGTCCGTAACGCGCTCTTCGAGCTCCTTCGCACGCTTCTCCATCGCGGCCTCGCGCTCCTTTTTCTTCAACCTGAATCGCGCACTCGCGAGCGTATTTCGTCGTCGCTTGTCCTCGGCCGGAGAGAGGGCAGGGCCGCCCGACGTCTTGCCGTCGTGCATGTCCTCTCCATTTGGCATGTCCTCATCCTCGTCCAGGTGGTGATCCAAATTATGATCTCCTGCGATCCCAAATCCGCCAGGTGGTCGTCTCACTTTGGCCCTTTTGGATGGTGGTGGGTTGATCGCCGTCGTCGCTGGATCGATTGTTGTGGCGGGGGGAATGGTCTGGACTGGTCGAGCTTGCTGCTGGTGCTGCTGCTTCGCTTTTGCGTCCATACCGCGGAGAGTCAGAGGCGGGAGACCGGTTCCCGGCGAAGACCCGAATCGACTTCCCTGTCCAAGATTCTGAAGCAGAGGATCGAGCATCGGACTTTCGACGCTGTCAGCAACTGGTGAGGCTGTGAAAAGCTGATCCGCAGAGTTCGGAGGGTAGATACCCCAGGCAAGCAAATCGTCCATTGAGTGTGCGTGGGCAGCCGCAAAAAGGGTGGCTTGCTGCTGTTTTGCTCTCTCGTATGCAGCAGAGGCTGTCGAGTCTTGCTGAGAGACTGCGGCGCCGACATTTCCAAAGAACGAGAGGTCGGACAGATGCGGGTTGAGCGCCTTGTGGCGACTCTTGGATGCAGTATCCCGCTCAGGTGCGAATACCAATTCTTCTGGAATCGAATTGAACTGGAGGTTTGTCCACATCTGCAGCTGCGCCTCGAGATCGCGGTGCATATTCGATTCAGTGCTCGCTGGGCTTAATTCTGCATCATCCTGCAGTTTGTTGAGTCCTAAGAAGCGCAGAGTTGAGCAAGCTGTCGATAATCTAAAGATAAAAAGAGACTGCTGGTGCCCAAACGGCCACACCGTACAGACACACACCTGTAATGGACGATTCCTCGCTCATTTTTAGAGATTATCAGTGATATCCCGGCGAGTTTGGATCCTTCTGGGGTGACCGTCGAACGAGCGGCTTACAGTAGTCAGCTCCAAAGCTTGTTCAGCACAAAGCAACAGCTGGCCCGGGATGACTCCGGGTATAAGCCATCACGCCATTCAGCCTCAAGACCGCGCAAGGCTTATCGGAAACTATCACTGGCCAACGTAGCGATTGACAGTGGGGAGTGCACTAAAATATAGGATACAGTAAGTACGTAAACCGACGATTCTAGGAGCATCTCCTTCATGCGGTGGGTGGTTCAGCATAGCGCACAGCAGCCGTCTTGAGAATCTTCAACACCTCCTTTTGCGGACTGGATCATCACTGAGCTTGACTGTGCCGTCCACCAGCTTTGCGAGATACGCCAAGTCGACTTGCGCCGTAACAGGCACACGCCCCACAGTCCGACCAGCGAGTCGTTCTGCAAACTGTCGAGCAAAGTCCTTGGACACGACATCTGCTCGCTCTACAACGTCCTTTGGAACACCGGCAAGGCTGGCAACGTGTGTTCCAAACGACGACGGTGCGACCCCTTCGACTAGCTTGTATAGCCAAATGAGCTAGAAGAGCGGTTAGCCAATTCATAGAATCGCCTCTAACGTACCTCTCGGTTCTCGTCATCAAAGCCCGTGGCCATGTGCATCATACTGATATTCTGGTGGTACGCATAGTCGTTTGTCAACGTAGAATAGTGAGTTGCAAAGAAGGAGAGTGCAAGAGTATGCGTGGCGAGGTGATGTAAAACTGCACCAGCGATCGCGATGCCGTCAAACGTCGAAGTGCCGCGACCGAGCTCGTCAAGGATGACAAGTGATTTGGGCGTGGCTTCGCGCAGAATCTTGCAGCATTCGTCTAGTTCTACCTTGAACGTAGAAGAGTTGGAAAACATATTGTCGTATGCACCCATGCGAGTGAGAATAGCGTCGACTGGTGACAGTCTAGCAGACATGAGGCCCAATTCGGCAAAAGGAACATAGCTCACTTTGCTCCTGTTGCTGGGACATACATTCCAAGCTGTGCCATAATCACACCGACACATGTTTGGCGCATCAATGTGCTCTTGCCTTTCGGGTATGAGCCTAGACTTCGCAGAAATAAGCGTACTGACCAGCCATGTTCGGTCCTGTAAGAAGCATGATCCTCTGCTTGCCGTCGCTTCCCATCTTGACATCATTGGCAATAAAGTCGGCCCCTCCTTTCGCTCCCAAAGCCATAGCGATGCCAGGATGACGAAGCTCTTCAAAATCGACAAACGCTTTATCACTCTGCACAAACTCTGGTCGACAACTCGGACTTCCGATAGCCGCAGACGCCTTGGCGAGACTGAGCAGACAATCCAACTCGGCCGTCACCCGTACAGTCCGCAACCAAACGTCGCGATCGGCATCAAATGCTGCATAAAGCCGAGACGTGAACCCCTTGACAACCGTCTTCATCGTCTCTCGCGCCTCTTTTAGCTTTCGAATCGGACCCGCAAAGTCGGGCACCATGAACCGCGCCTTTGCCTTGGTATCATTTTGCTTCTGCCAGTCCTTTGGAACCGACTTTTTGTCTGGTGCGTTAACTTGTACGAGGTAAATATCCTTTGTCCCAGTCGCACTGTGCCAAAACTCGAGTTTGATACTAAGGAGTGTAAGTAAAGACCAATGAACGCCTGAAGAACGCACTCTAGCTTCTTAGCGAGTCTCGCAAGTCGCTGCTCCAAATCTGTTTCAATGTCATGGATCTCCTTTGCGATCGTGTCGTATTCTTCATCAACTCCATCCTCAGGGATGAGCTCAAAGTTGTCGTTAGAAGGCGGAACGAACATCCCTCGAACAGCCTTTAGGTACGGCTTGAGGTCGTGTGCCGATCGGAGCAAGCCAGCGACGGTCTGTGTGTCAAAGCAGGACGCTTTTTCGGCCAAGCCACTGAGCCCATTGTTAAGTTTCTTAAAGGACTGGAAACTGGTAAGCATTACATCGCTAAGAGACTCAATGACGAACCTCGAGAACTTTGAGAAAGTCTTTGACTTTGCAGGTCCCAGCATGGATGCGCGAGACGATACGCTCAAGGTCTGGCATACCACGCACGAGGTCCGTGAACTCCTTTTCAAACGTATCGTGTCGCATGAGATCCTCTACAGCATCAAGTCTGTACGGACGTGAGCTGGGGCACGGGTTGACCAAAAACGTCTTACCGATCGTTGATCTGCTTGATTTCGCGAAGAGGGGTGCAAAGCCAGATCCTAAACAGACGCTTGCCTGCATATTAGTTAGGATATGTGCCAATTTATAGGTTAAGGTACGCACCAAAAGGGGTCACGCAGCGACCGAGCAGCTTGAGCAACGTCCCGTCGTCGGAGCCATCACTGTTCATCAAAACCTTTTATCGACCATGAGTCAAGTCAGCCGCATATAGCGTCTAACCGTACCTCGATATGCGCCAATGTCTGCCCGTCCAGCACCAATCCTTCACCACGGCGCATCGGGTCGTAAATGTTGAAGTTCTTGGCCGAGAGCAGGGCAGCGTCGATATTGAGGGTACGAAGATACCTATCCGCTCTTCTTCAGAGCCACTCTATCGAAGAAATCATACTCACCAGATCATGGCTCCTAAAGCAATAATAGGCGCCTCCTCTCCTATCATGGATCGAATAGCTTCTGGCATACCAGCGCCTGAGCCATCGTCGTCATCCTCCGGTGACGGATATAGACTCGATAGTTCCTTGAGAGTCGTCTGATAGTCGAAGCCTTCTACGGGCCGCAAAGATGTGATGGCGCAGCTTCCCGGGAGGACGTTTTTGAGCAAGCGATTGGTTGAGACGGAAAGATTGCCCTATATGACAGTAAGTTCTTGCTTGTACACAGAAAAGTTGTGCCATGCCTTGCTGACGATGACCTCCTTGGGTCTTAACTGCCGCAAGAGAGTCTCCATCCTAGTCCGACACACGTCGTCTTCAAAAGAGCAAAGTTTAAACTCCGAGGTCGAGCTGTCGAGAATCGCAAAGCCAAACTTGCTTTCCCCTTGTTCCTTGAGAGCCGTCAACGATTGTTCATTCTGAGCAGCAGACAGTCTCACCCGAATGGAAACACAGTGACTAGCCTCTTCGTCGATAAGATACTCGCCGTCCATCAGCGTTCCCGTCGTGAAGACCTTGTTCAAAACGCGTTTTACGAGTTCCTTTCCTTTGCCTTTTGAAACTCAGTCAAGGGCGTATATATCTCGGCAGATTCTCACCCTTTCCAGCGCCAGCCGCGGCTCGCATTTCTGCACCGATGCTCGTCTCGGCTTGCTCGACCTTGCCAACTTTGTACCCTCTTGCGAGAAACTTGTTCGCCCAAAAGTCAAAACTGGATTCTGGCACGCCAACCATCGACATCTTGACGCGTGACGTGAGCTTGAGGTCGAAGAGCTGGTGACCGATTCGGGCGTCGTCCTCATAAAGCTCGTAGAATTTTCTGCGAACAATCAATAGGAGTATCTAGATGTGATACACGCGTACCCCTTTTGAAAGAACAATATCTGAACCTAGGTGAGTGGCGGTCGGTTGCTTGTCATCGTGGACTCACTGTATCATAATGATCTCGCTTGATCTCCCAAAACTAGCCAAGTGATGAGTTGATGATGGTGATTTACTGGAGAGCATCACCTGAGTTTCGAATGGGGTAAACTCCTTCCACGCCTCTTTGGGAATGTATAGGGAACGAGGATCGTAACCTTCGTCAGTCGGCCTCCGATTATCTTTCTAACAGACGTCAACAGAAGAAGATCTGAAAAGAAACATAACATACATCGCGAACGTCTTCGAGGAAACCATATGGCTTCTCTTCCTTTTCCTTTTCCTGTTTTTGATTCTGGATTCTCTGCTCTGCCGCGGTAAGCATGCCGTAGCCACTGTTATTCGAAGATGCATTGTGTGAAATGGAAGGACGAGGCGCCTTGGCGCGTGCTTTGCTCTTTACGGGCTGCGAATCTTCCTCGTCGCTGGTTCGAAGGGATGACTTGGACTTGGAATTTTTGAGCGATTTGGACTTGGAGAGACCAAGGTCTTCGTCAGATACGTTAAAATCGAGCACGACCGGCTCGTCTTCTTCCTCTTCGTCATCTGGAACGATAAAGTCGTCGTCGGCAGTCGAAGTCTTGCGGCGCTTCGTCGGACGCGCCACTTGTATTGTTGTATCAGTATTAACAGCGTGAGAGCTTTTAACTACGTACGAGCCTTGCCCTTTTTCCCGGTATTCACGTCGTCGCTTGACCCTGCATCGAATTGGGAGAGATCTACGCTCTTCCTTTTGACACTGTGCGCGCGCTTGGTAGCATTATTCGTGCCGTCTTCAGAGTCGGAATCAACAGTCAGAGCATGCTTGCGTTTGAGGCGTGTCTAAGCGAAAATGGCGTTGTTAGCATCCTGAAATGTGGAACACGACGCGGAGATTGAAACTAACAGGACGAATATCCTCTTCTTCATCTTCTTCCATACCGTCGAGATCCATAACTTCGCTCGCTGGGGGTGTTTCGCGTGACGCCGTGCTCGCCCTTGAACGCGCGTCGCTAGCGACACTACGAGAAGACGAGAGGGCAAAGGAGTTTAGCGGGGATTCATCTCGGTCATCTTGACCACGCGAAGATAACGAGGATCGAACTTTCTGGTCCTGGTTAGACCCAGAGCTGCTCGATGTTGGCTGCTTTGCCAAAGATTTGGCATCCTTTGAATCTGAACTTGGTAGAGTCGAGCTTGACGTGCTGTTCGTTGCCGTCTTTGGCTTTGGAGCACTTCCCGTATTTTTGTTAGCAGTCTCGTCTGCTTGTCCCTGTTTTGGTTTTGACAAGAAGAACTCGAGTGTGCGTTGTTTTGGCTGTTGTTTCGACATTGCGAGAGGATACGGTCAAGCGGTCAAGACGCGTCAATCGAGGCGCGTTCCAAACTCCGCTCACCTCTTGGACCCTTCCATCTAAAGGCAAATGGCAGCAAACGACGTGTGAATGATATTTAGTCATACTAATCAGTCAAACTCTAATCCCTTGCAGCGCAATGGCGACGGAACAACAGGCAGATCCAAAATCGCCAGAAGTGATGTCCGCCTTTTACAGTCGACTATACCCATTCAAATCCCTCTATACATGGCTTTCACATACACCAGTTCCCATCTCCACAAAGGACGCCGGCGTTCCAAAGAGCAGCACCAATTGGACCCATCGCGAGTTTGCATTCACCCTCCAAAACGACGCGTACCTTCGCTACAATAGTTTCCAGGAGGTGGACGATCTCAAGAAGCAAATCATGAGGCTCATCCCCAGTCGATTCGAAATTGGTGCAGTCTACAACGCCAGGGTCAGTAATTTCAGTCCCTGCAGGCGTATCTAACAAACTTTATCCAGCCCAAAGATAAGAAGACGCTCCCTGCTTCAGCACTTCAACCTTTGCGCAGAGAATTGGTCTTCGATATTGATATGACCGACTACGACGCAATCCGTACTTGCTGTACTGGAGGAGCCATCTGTCGCCGCTGTTGGGCCTTCATATCTGCTGCGGTGAGCGTGCTAGACACGACATTGCGTCGGGATTTTGGTTATCAGTAAGCCAACCACTCTTTCGAGCCTCCTTATCCTGACTCGTCCGATAGACTCCTCCTATGGGTCTATTCAGGTCGACGTGGTATTCACTGCTGGGTATCGGATGAATCTGCCATGGTCCTGACGGACGACCAACGCCGAGCGATCATGGGCTGGCTGGAAGTCGTCAAAGGAGGCAAAGACATGGTCAAAAAGGTCAACGTTCGCGTAGCTGGTGAACACTCATATCCCTTCACTCGTCCTTCACTGATCGCGCAATCTCATTAGGCGGGCTTCCACCATCGTTGCAATCCTCTCTGGATATCCTGAACGAGAATCACTTTATGCCCATCGTCTTAGAAGACCAAGATTGCTTCGGATCTCGTCAAGGATGGGAAACCCTTCTCGAGCTGTTGCCCGACCGTGAAGTTGTAAGCAACCTTCGGAAGAAATGGGAAGATGAGGATGAGGACGACTACAGTTCGAAAGAACAGAGCATCAGCGAAAGAAGGTGGAACGACCTCAGACGAGAGGTCAAAGCTGTAGCCAAGGGGTCGACTCGAAGGGTAAGTACCCATCCCGGTCCCTGCTTCAAACTCAGAAAAAGAACAGGCCGCGCTCATGGCCGCTATGGAGGATATTGTTCTACAATACACCTATCCAAGGATTGATGCTGAAGTCACCAAGCACCGAAACCATCTTCTCAAAGCGCCTTTTTGCATTCATCCCTCTACAGGTCAGCATCTTCTTATCATCCTCTACCAGTACGCTAAATCAGACTAGGACGAGTTTGTGTTCCTGTTGACCCAAAAATGGTCAAAGACTTTGTCCCCGAGGACGTACCAACCGTGGGTCAGCTCCTGGGAGAACTAGATGCTCTAGGAACCAAAACCGAAGATCCGAGCACGCTCAACTGGGAGCACACGTCACTCAAGCCATACGTCGACATGATGGACGAACATAATCGTAGAATACTTCAAGCAGAACGGGAGCGCAAGCAAGGTAGAGACAGTCACCCATCGCACTACCATTCTCATAATTCTTCAGCCGAGAATCGTAAAGACATGAGCTGGTAAAGCCTTTGTGCTTACATTCAAGAGTGGGACAGACCGAGCTGCATACATTATGGTTGCTACACCGCTCAGTCCTGGATTAACCGCGCAGATGTGCTTCACCTGTAGAATCTCAAAGTCTAATCAGTATCAAAATGTAATAATAAGCTGAGAGCATGAGAGCAACCGCGCACACGCCTTGAGCATTGATGAAATGACAAGCAGACGCTGCGTCAAGGTGGAGGCATATGAGCAATATGCAATGAACGGGAAGCGGAAAATAAAATACGATGCGCCTCTTTGTTATATTTATTTTTTCATTCCAGCCTGGCGTGCTTTGAGAGCCTTTGCCCGCAGAACCTTTTCTTTGGCCTCGCTCTCAAGCCGGTCAAGGTCGACTCCTTGACTGCCCTATAGTGGTTATCAACAATGTACGAGAATAAAACAAGAAAAACGCACGTCCATGTCCATATCCGCCTTGGCCGGTGTCCTACTTCTCGAGCGAGACGAAGCAACCGAACGCGATGGCGACTCGCGCTTCATAGGAGGAGTCGCCGAGAGAGAGCGACGTTTTCGCGGTGGAGAGCTAGACCGAGTTCTGGACCGCCCCTTTCCACCTTGGTACCGTCGTGGCGGGCTTCTGTCGCGGGTACGCGAATGCTCGCGCTTGACCTTCTTGGGAGAATTGCGATCGACCGACATGGACGAACGAGAGGAGGATCTTCCCTTTCGTTTTCTTGGCAGCGAGCTCCTGGATCCTGAGCGTGACCGCGAGTACCTGGAGTATTTTCCCCCTCTCCTGGGTGGAGACCTTGATCTTGATCTACTAGAGGACGCTCTACTATCCCTGCTACGTGATCTATAGCGACGCCGAGGGGAAGGTGAGCGATAGCCACGTCTAGGAGGTGAACGAGACCGAGATCTTCCACCAATATCGTGACGCCTTCCAGGTGGGCTCCTAGAGCGTCGTCCAAGCGGACTCCTAGAGCGTCGTCCAGGTGGACTCCTAGAACGTCTATCCGGGGAAAATCTCCTCCTTGGTGGAGGTCCATCGTATCGCCCACCACCTCGTCCTCGGAATCCACGTCCTCGCCGCTCGCCTCCCCTACCTCCTCTATCTCCGAAATCTCTGCCACGACCTCTATTTTCGTAGCCACCTCGGTGCCCATAGTCTCTGTTCCCGCCTTCAGAAGGACCCTGGTCGAAACGAGATGTTCGGTCTCCTCCGCCAGCCATGAATTTTGCCTTTTGTTCGTCGATCATCGATTGTGGGATTCCATGAGGATTACTTTGCGCGTCAAGGAGCAGTTTCCACAACTCGGACATGAAAACAGGCGCATTTTTATTCAGAAAGCCTTGAACTTGAATCTGAATCTTACGAGGATCTGGCATCTTTCACGACATGTTTAGTATGATCCTGAATACACTTCAAAGACGCACTGGGTTCTCCTTGTCCTCCAAAAGTCCGACGATCATCGACGCAACGATTTCATCCTCAAATCCGTTGAGCTCTGTGAAACGAGTGTTGATCCATGGCTTGAGAACTTCTAATTTGACTTTTCTCATGTCCACCTACGTCCGAAGCGAGAATAATTAGCCGTGTTGAGGTTGTTCGCAGCGCACGAGCACACCTTTTTCTCGAATTCAGGTGGGAACCGCAGCGTCTTCAGCAACTTGAGCTCCTTGTCGGAGAATCTGCTGTCAGAGTTGACATTGGTTCCGCGGAAGAAGCCAGCGTCTGCCATCTTGAAATTGGAGCTGTAGAGGAGACCAAGTTTGGTGTCCACTCTGCCCGTCAGAGAAGCAACTGGTTACGCCCGTTTATCTTCCAGATATATATTCCTATGTGGTTTTTACGTGTTTGTCCTGCAATGCATCACAATCCTCTAGTTCTCCCCGCTCTGCCCTGTTCGACCAACCATCCCGATCCAGCCATTACCGTCGCACCTGCAAAGCACATCCCGGCATATATAATCACATTCTCAAACTTTCCTCCCCCGACGTCGAACCCTAGGCGGGCATGCATCGAGGAAGCGTTCTGCTTTGTCAGTGCAGTGGAGATGGGTGTCGAGAGGATATTCCCAACACCTGTAGAGAGCATCATATAGCCAATGAACTTGGTGGCTAACTTTGGATCATCGGCTGAGTCCTGTCAGTAGACGTGCAGTACATCTTAGCCACTCACGCGAGATGGGCCGGATGAAGCCATTCCACATACTGGTCCATCCCCCGGCAATTAAACCATAGACGAATCCGAACGCAATTAGCCCACCCAAAGTGTGGCTTAGGACCCCCCAGAGAATAAATGTGGCGAGACAGCTCCCAAGTAGCGTAGAGAGCGCCAATATCCAGGGGTCTATGATATCCGAGAGGGTCCCAGCTCCAAGTCGACCAATAACAGATGAGCCTAGGTGCGTTCATTTACAATGTCACTGGAAGAGCATTCACGCACCATTGAGAACAGCAAGCGCAATCGATGCATTGGTAGCGCTCAACTTCATCTCCGTGGCGAATGCTGCAGGGCCATAGGTGCTGATTTTGGAACTATTTACGAAGGTGCTTACTTGGAAGCCAAACCAGTGGTACGAAATATCCTGTGGAAAGTCAACGACGAGCACCACAGATATGGACACATAGACCGAATCCTTGAAATGTATTCATTCCCAGTGCAACATGAAATCCTGGATTCCTGAATAGCCTTCCCGAGACCGACCGAGTCGAAGGGCCTTGGACTCTTGCTGGTGGTAGACGTCCCTTGAGAAATGGCAAGGCAGGCAAGAGGAATGCGCCAACAACAATAGCGAGCATACGTAGAGCCTTTGCCGCCCCTTGACGCTCAATAACGCTTGGAAGTATCAGCGGGAGAATCAAGCCTCCGACGGCCGTCCCCGCGTAGATTACGCCGTTGGCAAACCCACGCCGTACAACGAACCATTCGGATGTATACGAGAGGCATGGATTGTAGAGCAGCACTGTGCAAAAGAGATCAGCGCTGCAAGGGTTGACTAGGCTGCACGAACCTCCTCCTAAAGCGTAAAGAATGCCTTGGTAAAATACTAGGTAGCGAATCTATCTTCCTTGAGTGACAGTTGAATTGGCGCTGGATATGGGACAAACATCAGTAGTAAAGCTGGCTGCAAAGAGGCTCGTAAAACATATGGCAGCCCCGAGATACATCGCATGTTGTCTCCACTGAGGGTACCGATACATCACAGCATGTGCGAACGGACCTATATAGAATTGGAACATAACTAGATGGAGGGAGGAAGCACACCTGCACAGAACATGATACCAGACGTAAGGTTTCCAGTGAGTGGCAATAGGGAACGCGCGTTGCGTTGGTTTGCGAAGCGAGGATCACGCAAATATGCATCTAGAAAGACACCAAATGCACTAGGAAACCCCCAAACAATCGTTTCCGCAAAGAAGCACGCCACCAGCTGCAATGGGTCAAAATCAGAGCAGCGTGTTCGCTGGATAACTTACGAAAGACCAAGCGCCAAATCCATGGTCAACAGGAGGTAGCTCTGTAACGTGTTGGCTATCTTCTGGTCTAGTCGAAATAGCTTCGTCGCCGCGGTCTGGCCCCACGCCTGAAGCCAGCTGTCTGGTCGTCGCTAGTTGAATAGCTTCGCCCTCATGCGAATGTTCGGCAGGTTTGACTCTCTTTGGCTCTGTAAGATGCACAAAACTCATGCCAGGAAGCGCCTCGTGAAGGAGGAGAGCAGGTTTCCTGACTCGGAGTTGCCTCGACACGGCCGCGCATGTCCGACAGGGAGCATTCTCGAGATTAGGTCAAAAGGTGTGTTCTGTGACCTTCTCAGGTGTGTTCTGAGTCTGGAGTTGGTGATAGACAGGACAAGGAGGCAATCTTACTTGCTACACATGCACGCTATAAACAGAGAAAGGCATAGATGTCAGGTCTTAGTTACGAACATGAGGGATCATATGTTTAGGAACTATTGAGTTGACTGAGGCGAACAAGGGCCGAAATCTCTTCTGGACAAGTTGCCTTGCACAGTGAGTAGAATTATGACTTTTTATCCGCGAGAGGCGTAGCAGGCTTGTCAAACTCGACGATGCGACCTTTGTCGAGGACCATGACCTATATAAAAATGAGAATATATCCGGATTTTGCACAATTCTGCCCAACCTTGTCATAATCGATGATAGTACGGATACGATGCGCGATTCTGCCAAAATGTCAACCATGGGATAAAAACGGGCAAGCAGTTGCCTACGTCAAGATGGTACTGTCGGCAAATTCGCTGCGAAGAATATTAAACCAAACCAAACCAACCGCAGATAGTTCGGTGGCGGTCAATGAGGCAAGGAAGGGCATGTCCAAGGGGGTCGAAGCCATCAACAAGTCAATCAAGAAGCTTCAGAGGTCCCAAGATGCAACCTCGGAAGAGGTCGGCAACCTGCGACACGAGGTGGAACATCAGCGGAGCATTCAGCTCAGAACCACGTACGCTATAACGAATACACTCACACATTCCAGACGTGAACATGACCTGGCCAACCGCATTCGAGATCAACAGGGGTACCTAAACAGCCTACAGCTGCGCCTTCTGGCTCTCCCAGCCAAAGACAGGAAATCCGAAGACAACCAGAGGATGATTGAAGAGGCAAAAGTAAAGCTCGACCATCTCCAGGAGCAAGAGAAAGCGCTCTCTCAGGCCGGTCTCCTCCTGATCGAGGACATCCCGGGGAAGCGAGCTTCGCCATCGCAAATAGATGAGGATCGAACCAATGAAAGACGAAGGACCCCATTGTGTCATATTTAACCAGTTTTCTCACCACCTAGGTCGTCCATCCACTCCCCGAGTCACGCTTGTCGGTTCCATGCGCTCAATGAAGGTTTTTTTGGCCTCCAATCCATAAAATTCACTAATTATGTACTAGAGAAAGGGGTTTGAATTATTTATGTTCACCAAGACGGGATCCCCTGTCTTTGCCACTTCCCCCGGTCAACCATTCGGCCCAAGCGACCACAGACATAGGCGATATACCAACTAAATTCTCACCGAGTCATTGATTTGCGACCTTCTGCATGCCGACGATACCGCATCCGGCCCAGGTTCGACTTTGCGTCTTGCTCAGCCCGTCAAATATTCAAGCTCCCCTTCCCGGCGGGTTCGAACATTGTGTCGATTTCAAGCTATCTTATATAGTTAAATCGATATCCTAACTGCAAGGGGACTCTCTACGTTGAAGGCGACCCTCCTCGGCCCTCCCACCTGTCCAGCATGTCTTGAGCGTCTTGGGAGTTATTCATGTGTACGACTGATATGCAATATCCATTCCATTGACCTTATCCATGTGATTTGAGCAAACGAGATTCAGTATCCCCAACTACTGAAACTGTCAGCCACCGGGTACTGAAATTCAGTATCCTATTTTCACTAGTGCGTTGTGGGTGTATGCATGATGAAAGAAGACGAGTCGCCGAATGAATACATGGGTAAATTGGAGCAGTTTTGGACGGCATGGCTCAAGGCAGTCGCTTGTGGCGACCAGAGTCAAATTCGGTACAATGACTCAAACAACCGAACGATTTGGAAAGCGAGCGAGTGGCGCGAACTCGGGTGGGCGTGTACCTGGGCCCGATATGTGGTCACCCTTTGACATCGAGTAGGCGGTTTCTACAGACCAGTGGTCGAAGTGAGATGGACCTGTAGTACTCAGACAGTGAGCTTCGACCGCCATAGATTGGCCAAAGCCTCCCCGTCGACTACTGAATCGTCCACTAGGCCTCAAACTCTGACTGAAGGAGCCACCAACAGAAAGTTGCTCTGTTCGTGTCTCTGTATTGGCAGTACGAGCGGAGCGACGAGAGTGATGAAGAGTGGGTCGTTGAGAACAATATAGGCTTTGAAGGGTTTGCCTCGTCGGATGAGCTACTTCCATTGCAGCACATCAGCCCACGAATCTTTCGGCTTACGGCTCCGTCATCACGCTCGGAGACTTCTTCGACGTTACTTGCACCGGATTCAACATTTCCTTGTCGTCCCTCCGCTTCGTTCAAGAATGAACTTTCTTCTTCCGCCGTCGACCCAGTCTTCCGAGTCGATACGGATGTCATACTCGTAAACTGCATGCGGTCCCTACATGCGGTTGGGCTTTGTGCGCGTGACCAAGATGCAGGCTGGTACTGTTAGCGCCATTTCCATGTCATAGATTAGCCTTCGCTTGCCTATAGATCGTTTGTGTATCACACCTCTATCCTGCTTTCTATAATGTCGCTATTATGTCTCTCTACGCCACGTAGAAGTCAGCTGCTTTTCAGTAGCTCGCTGTTTAGCAACCCCGAATACACAACAAGTCGGTGACGATCCTATTGTGCACTATTACGAGAGTGTCCTATGTACAACTCACACTGACTGACCGCATGAAAGTTTCGAGGATTTCTCCTCGTCACGCACGTCGTAAACGTACCCGTGACTCTCGTTACCCATTCTATACCACTTTCTTACCATTCTCTTTATAGCCTCCATTGCATCTACCCTTGTAGCGACGGCGTTGGCACATGCCTAGTTTCCCATCGCTCTTTCCTCGTTCCAATGTTTATCCTTGCTATATAAGACGCTATGTACATGTCTTAACTAGCAGGCTCTCCTGTACCCTCCCACGTCGATACCCTCCGTCGATAAACGGGTTTAGACTGGTGAACACGCTCGCGCCATCGAACGAGACAAGGCGATACGAACACAAAGCGTCGCGATATACACGGACGGCTCAGGGATGGAAGGCAAGATAGGCGCAGCGGCGGTCCTCTACCAAGACGGCCGTCGAGTCAAAGCAATCCGTCATCTGCTTGGCAAAGACATGGAGCACACGGTGCACGAGGGAGAACTAGTGGGTATAGCACTAGGCCTTCACCTCGCCAAGGAAGCGCGAGGACCCATTGCGAGGATCAACATCAGTCTGGACAACCAAGTGGCAATCCAGAGTGTGGCACAATGTAGCGCCAAGGCTGGGCAGCACATAAATGCCACCGTCCGAAGAGAGATTACAGCCCTAAGAGCCGAACAGGAAAGGAGAGAGCTAGCAGAGTCAAGTGACGACGCGCTAAGCGATAGAGTCACCTCGCGAATGGAACTCATGTGGTTACCAGGTCACGAAGCAGCGGAAGGAAACGAAGCAGCGGACAAAGAAGCAAAAAAGGCAATCACGGAAGGCACAAGCAGCCGTGACGACCTCCCAGGTTGGCTACGACACTCTCTCCCGGCAAACCTATCGGCAGTAAAGCAAGAACTCAAGAGGATAACGAAGACAGAAGCGCGAGACAGACGGAGGGAATCCAGGAGATTCAAGCGAGCAGCCAAGATCGACGAGACCATGCCATCGGGAAAATACCTGGCACTCACGGACGGACTCACCAGGAGAGAAGCAGCGTTGTTAACTCAGCTACTTACAGGTCACACATGTCTCAATGGTCATGTGAATCGCATCAACAGAGCAGAGACGCCATGGTGCCCGCACTGTGGCGAAAGGAATTACGAAACCCTGACGCATGTGCTCTACATATGCCCCAAGTACCTTTAAGCAAGAAGCGAATGGGAGAGAACCCTACGAGAGAGAACAGAAGACCTCTCAGAGGTCTTAGGGACCAGCGACGGGATCAAGCAAACGTTCAAATTCCTTAGGAGAACCGGGAGATGGAGAACAGGAGGGACGAAGGAGAAAGACTAAGCAGTGGCAAAAATCGACGAAACAACGCAACGAGCTACGATACCAAGCGAAACTAATGGAGAACCACGCGAAAGGAAGTGTAGCAATAGACATGGTCACGCCCAGAGGGGGAACCTAGAGAGGACGAGACCGATCACCTGCCTGCGAGGAGTCGCCTCATCTTAGGACACTAGGGATAACCCAGTAAGCGGACTACTCGATAGAATGATGTGCTATATTAGCAACGCCACTGCACAATAATACCTACCCCCCCCAAAAAAAAAGAAAAGAAAAGAAAGAAAGAAAAAAGAAAAAGAACACGCTCGCCCCTGCTAAGTATTACTTACTTGGTCTCGCATAGCCCACGTACTGGTGAGTTCTCTCTGTGAACCTCACACCGCAATTGAAGACGTTACTGACAACGGATCGTAAAGTGGTCAAACTCAATAGGAATTTTTGTTGAGTAAACAATACAGGAAGGAAATACCTGGTGCAGTAAAGCTAAGGACGAGTTGTGAAAAGCTGCAGGTTCAACGCCCAGCCAGTTAGCTCATTTTCGAACTTTTTGTGGAGTCGCTGTATGTCTTGCCTTCTTAGGTTGTACCTTCTTCATCTGAGATGACCCCGAGGTTTCTTCATCTCGTCCCCTCTTCAGAACACGCAGTACGTCACGCCCCTTTGGGATTTGAGAGAATGCCTCGGCGATACGAGCTATTCCAATCGTCGCAAGAAGGCTTTTGTCCGCTTCGATTGCGTCCTTGACTGCTCGAGTTGTTGAATTCAGGTCAGGAACCAACGGGAGCGCCACAACGACTCGAAGTAACTCATACTTTCCGATCTCTCGGAGCATGGCATGGATTTTCTTAGATTGCTTGTTCTGTGTTGCTTGTTTCATGTTTGAAGTTATCTGGATCGAGGTCAAGAAATGATATAGACGTCAAGAAATCACTCACGGTACCGGAGAACCACGTTGAGGGCGTTACAGACAGGATCGCATGCGCGGTCGCGTCTGCTGGAAGGAAACGTCTTTCTGAGGACTCGATTTCCCAACACTTCGCTTGGACAACGATCAAAACAGTGCTACCATTACTGAGCTTGACTCGGGTCAGGAGATCCGGTCCCATTTTATGGCCTGGTATACACCAAGCAGCCAAGGAATCGCTTGTTAACCACTTGATCACGCCTTCGGGATCTTTGGCCCGAAGTGGCAGAACTTGGTCATTGAAGGTCGCGTCGTGCAAGATACTGTCATAGTCGATAAGGAGACCGCCTGCCATGGAAACGATCTGCGCCGTCAAGCCAGACCATTCTGGCTGCCTTTGATGGAAATCGAACAAACTTTCCATGGAGACTTGGTTTTGAAGTCGGGTCAGAGCCACCATCACAAGCGCTTCAAATCCGTCGCCAGGGTTAAATTCGAGATGAGTAAGGATCACTGTCGCGAGCGATGCATCGCCCAGAATGTGTCGACAAATGCTAGTCAATGCCAAGGGCTCGCCAATGCTGATCGATCGTTGAGTGGAATTTATCTGTTTGGCTGTAGCGATGAAGCTCCCCAGGCCATACTCGACGATTGCCCTTTGGTCATCCTTCATGATCACTGGTTCCCTCGTGTGAGCCACCTGTAAATGCTGAATAAAAGGCTAATCTTGAGTGACAGGTCTAGACTAAAAGTCAGACCTCGTAGTAGGTGGCTAGAGAGCAACGTGCTACTGTTGAGCTTGTCCCATTTGAACGAGAGAAGAAACATTGACCCGACTCGAGCCTCTCGTGAGACCAGCTCCCTATTGTAATTGAGGGGCTGACTCCCAGTAAGAGCGGAAACGTATTCAATCATCCACGAGAGTGGAGAGGCGGGATCATGGTGGAGCCACAGCTCGACGAATAGTTGCTCAAGTAATTCTGCTGTAAATCGGGGTCTAAGTCGCATTAAAACATGTTCTGGAATGCATGAATGCCCCACAGACCTTCCTCGACACCATTCCCACATGAGTTTGATAAATTCACGACCAACATCGGAGGCGAGAAATGATGGTGGAAGATACTGCCGTATGTATTCTTCTTGGTCCTTTTGATTTGAAAAGTCTTCCATACGATGATGAATGTGCCAGCCAGTGGGCCTCGCAACACCAGCGCTGACCACCTTATCGATTGTCTCCAGTGAGAAGCCCGTACCAGACACGATAATATGGTGCTTTGGGTATGTAGCGAGCTGCTGGATTAGGGGTCGAAGGTAAGGTCTTTTCTTTGAACCGTCCTGGTTTGAAAAGCAACCCATATAGGCCGCTCCGGCAGCTTGAACTTCATCTAGGATGTAATAGAATCAGCTATCCTCGTCATCTAAAACATCTTTAGGCCAAAGCGATTCTTCTTCGATTGTATTGACACCTGCAAGGTACTCTTTGATGAAACGCAGGAAAACATCGTTTGTCGAGGGGAGTATTTGGAATAAGAGCCAGGTCCGTTGAATGTCTGGAGGTAGCGACCCATGACATTTCTTGGCTTCATCGATAAAGATTTTCAAGAGGTTCCACCGGGCTAGGAGTATACGCGATACGCCTATTTTTACGATCATTTCGTTAATTTTGCTTCGGTTCTGTATGTCATGAGGGTCTGAAGCCCCGGAAAAGACGTCGCCTATCCATTCAGGTTTTCCCGTGACGGTCTCCATTGTGTAATTGAGATCTGTCGATCCAAAGCCATCTTGGGCGTCAGAAGTGATATAGAAGCCCCAGAGACTTGAAAGCCCATCGAAAAGTACGCGGGTCTTTCCAGACCCGGATGTGTTGCACAGAATACTAGGAATGCGAGTGAGCATATGGTAACGCGTCGCCAAAGTATTACACTCTGGACTCAGTAAAAACATCCCGCGTCAGTTTGCGGTCCTTTCCAAGATTGTGGAGTAATAATCTAGGTTCGCCGCCCACCACTGGTATCCTTAATTTCTCATAGAAACTCCGAATTTCGGGGTCTACGTGATTGGGTGGAACCCAGATATCAAGGTTAACCCCGGATTCCAAAAAGGTTTTGACTCGAGGGCGGAGGTCCTCCAAAAAGTTGGCGATCTGGTTGTGGGCAGTGTTGAAGCTCACACTAGGCGAGATATTCGACTTATACTGTAACACCCTTGTGCCCGAGTGGCACGGGTCAGCCAGAGTCGCCTGGAGCTAGATAGCTAGTTTCTTACACTCTGGTTAGTCTCTTACACTCTCTAAGCGGCGCAGCAGCTCCGCTCTGTCTCATCTCCCTCACTCTCGTTTCAACTCCATCCTTTCCGCGTTTCGTCTCGCGCTCTCGCGCGTATATAAAGCCTCTAATAATCGATAATCATGTACAGAAGAAGAATTCCAGCTATTTTCCCGTTCATCGCTCGCCTATCGAGGCCTAAGACTCGTATTTCCCGCTCGCCCCCATTCCCTTCTTCCAATCTACCGTCACTCATCCTCGCCTCAACAAGCGTTCTCGCTTTTCAATACTCTGCTGGTGACTCCTGCAAGGGGTTGGCTATAAGCCGAAGTAAATCAGATGACCTAATCAACGCGGCGGGTAGATTTCTAAGCTTGAAGGAAGCACTTACCCGCATCTTTAGGGGGCTCTGAGAACACCATAGCGATATGTATCAGTCCTCGGGCAGGTTCTGATGCATAGTAGTAGGAAATGGGTTGACTTATGTCGAGCGGATCAGGCAATGACCCCAATTATTCATTCTTGCCTCGATCTGTTGGTTTGCATCGCTTGTGTTTGGTATGTCTACTTGAAATAGCTTGAAATCCGTCGGGCAGACGTTCTTATAGCGCGGGTGAGTCGCCAGGATTCGTTGTTTGAGTGCGTAAATCGGCGTAGATTTCGAGATTAAAACGTGACCTGCGTCTCCCGAATATTCTTTTTCTTTGAACAAGATCAAATATTCTTTGCCTGCCATCGTGTGATTATGATCGAGTTCAAGGTGCAGCCGCTGGACTTCGACTCGATGAGGCGCAGTGTTAACGGGATAGAAAGGGAGTACAAGATTCTCATAGAATGATTTATTCGAGATATATGTAGATTATCGTGTTCTCCCCACTTTACCTTGCTGGACCAACCATCTCGACCCAGCCATGACCGTCGCTGCTGCAAAGCATGCCCCTGCATAGAGGATGGCATTCTCAAACTTTCCTCCTCCGACAGCGAACCCCATGCACGTACGCGAGGGGAAACGTTCTCTTTTGTCAACGCCGTAGAGATTGGAGTGGAGAGAATGTTTCCAATGCCCGTGGAGAGCATCATGTACCCAATAAACTTGGTACCCAGCTTTGGGTCATCAGCTGCGTCCTTTCAGCAGAAATGCGGCACATCATCTCAGACACTCACGCGAGATGGGTCAGATGAAGCCATTCCACATGCTGGTCCATCCAGCAGCAATTAGCCCATAGACGAAGCCAAACGCAATCACCCCGCCCAAACTGTGGCTTAAGGCACCCCAGAGAATGAATGTTGCAAGGCAACTTCCGAGTAGTGTGGACAGTGCCAATATCCAGGGTTCAATGATGTTGGAAAGAGTCCCGGCTCCCAGTCGACCAATAACAGATGACCCTGGATATACATTCGGCTGGTGTTTCTACTGCAGGGGCATCCACTCACCGTTGAGAACAGCGCGCGCGATCGATGCGTTGGTAGCGCCTAACTTCATATCCATGGCAAAGGCTGTAGGGCCATGAGGCTTGAACTTGGAACTTATTACGAGGATGCTTACTCGGAAGCCAGACCAGAGGTACGAAATATCTTGCAGAGCGTGAATGACGAGCGACGGTGCCGAGATAGACGTATATACCGAATCCTTGAAATGTATTCATCCCCAGCGCAACATGAATTCCTGAATTCCTGAATAGCCTTCCTGATATTGACCGAGTCGAAGGGTCCTGGACTGTAGGCTCGCGCGTCTGCTCTGTACGACGCTGCTACCTCGTGCGAATCAAGGATTATTCTTCATCGCTTTAGTCCTTGTCCTAGTTACCATCTCCATTCGCTACATTGTTCTCGTTCTGTCACTTACGGTCCTCTGACCGTCGTCACTCTTTTACCCCTATACCTGAGTCAGATGCCTTCCGCTCGTCCCGATTTACATCCTCAATTCCTCCATTCCTTCCGATCTATTTCCACATTCTCTATATAGCCCGTAGTACTTGACCGTTCTCTGATCAGGAGAGTAGATTTGTACTCCCTTGTAACCGTCCTCAATATACACGCGTTACACAGGTTCTTTTCGTCTAAAGTCGATTTTATTCATCGTTCCTCGAATACAAAGTCTCGACTCGACGTTCACAACGTCTTCACTCTCACCAAAAACCTCACATGGACTCTGGCCGGTGGTAGACGTCCCTTGAGAAATGGCAACGCCGGCAAGAGGAATACACCAACAACAATCGAGAGGATACGCAAAGTCCTTGCTGCTCCGTGACCCTCAATGACGCTCGGAAGTATTAGTGGGAGAATCAAAACCCCGACAGCGGTCCCGGCATATATCACGCCGTTGGCAAAACCACGCCGTACCACGAACCATTCAGAGGTAAATGAGAGGCGCGGGTTGTAGAGTAGGACTGTGAGAGTAAGATCAATGGTGTAAGGAATGCACTAGCGGCTGGAGAGATACCTCCTCCTAACGTGTAGAGAACGCCTTGGTAAAACACCAAATAGTGAATCTATCTAGACTAAGTGACGAATGAATTGTAATCAACCAAGTCACGAACGTCGGAAGTAAAGCTGGCTGCAAAGAGGCTTGTAAAGCAAACAGCGGCCCGAGATACATCGCCTGCTGTCTCCACTGTGGGTACCGTTGTAACGTTTTGATTCTCTTCTGGCCCAGCTGAGCTGGATTCGTGACCGCTGCCTGTTCCCAGTCCTGAAGTCGATAGCCTAGTCGCCGCTAGCTCAATAGCGTCACCCCCCGTGCAAAAATTTGACCTCTGAGACTCGCTTTTGCTCTGTGATATCCAAAAAAAGAACTCATATGGAGAAGGTATTACGTGAGAAGGGGAACAGGTTCCTGACTCAAGGTTGTCTCGACACGGCCGCGCATGTCCAACAGAGAGCATTCTCGAAAGTAGGTCAAAAAGAGCGTTCTGTGACCTTCTCAGGTGTGGTCTGAGTCTGGAGTTGGTCATAGACGGGACAAGAAGGCGTTCTTATTTGCTACACATGCACGCTATAAACAAGGAAAGGTATAGTGTCAAATTGTAGTTATGAACGTGAGGGATCATATGTTTAGGAACTATTGAGTTGACTGAGGCGAACAAGGGCCGAAAACTCTTCTGGACCAGTTGCCTTGCACAGTGAGTAGAATTGCGACTTTTTATCCGCGAGAAGCGTGGCAGGCTTGTCATACTCGACGATGCGACCTTTATCGAGGACCATGACCTATACAAAATGAGAATTTATCCGGATTTTGCACAATTCTGCCCAACCTTGTCATAATCGATGATAGTACGGATGCGATGCGCGATTCTGCCAAAATGTCAACTATAGGATAAAAACGGGCAGACAATTGCCTACGTCAAGATGGTACTGTCGGCGAATTCGCTGTGAAGAATATTAGCGAGGTGATATACGGTGTGGTACAGACACGCACTGCCGGATAGTTTTCCCAATCAACTCATCAGTGGCATAGTCAACACTATCAAAGTTAGTCACAGATGTATGTTTCAAGAGAACTCACCTAGCAGTCGCTTCATCCATAAAGAGAATTTTGGTGCGCTTGAGAATGGCACGAGCCATACTGGAAAGTCTTAGCTATATGATCATGCGATGTCGCCGTACGTACCAGATGAGTTGCTTTTCTCCAGCTGAAAAGTTTTCCCCGCCTTCAGAGACAGGCGAATCAAGGTTTTTGAAGACATTCTCGTTGACTTCCTCTTCATTATCAACCGGAGTATCATCCTCTGATGGTATAAGATGGACACGGCGCAGGGCCTCATACTGAAACGCGTAAGTCAGAGGTAAGAGGGAGAATGGATGTCAACTCACAATCTCAACATCTTCGTATTCTTCAAAGATATCTAATGTGGTCCGCAACGTACCACTTAGAATAGTAGGATCCTCTGCTTGGTGGTAAGACGATGACGTGCCTAAGTAAGATGGCACGAACGAGGAATGATTGTCAATCGACTTCGGAGATCCGTCAATCCAACGCGAGAGATGTCGATGCCATCTATGAAAATTTTGCCCTCGGAGGCCTCTACAAACCGGAAGAATGACTGCGCCAAAGTACTCTTTCCGCCTTTTTAAACCATGAGTAAATGATCAATTATACTTTATAGTATACTCACTGCCGGTTCTTCCCAGAATGCCAACCTTTTCTCCCGGTGAAATGGAAAAGTTCAAGTCGTGCAGGACATCGGGAAGATTTTGCTGAGGCTCATTAAGCAAAGTTCTACAGCTTACGAAGAACTCACGGCATAGCGAATAGATAAGTCCTCGACTTCTATGGCTCCGGAGGAAGGCCACGATGCGGGAGGACGAGGTTCGATGAACTCGGGAGGTTCTTGCTCTAATTCAGAAAACTCTTTGACACGCTCGACCTGTGGGTGTCTAAGAGCGGATAGCGTTCGGAATGGGAGGACTCACTGCAACCATCGACTGCTCCAGACTGACAAATCGACGGACGAGGAAGAGAATATCTCCGGTCAGCCCAAGAATAAAGGTCATGGCAAGTCCACCAAACGAAGCGTCGATGGATCTGTTGAGCAAGATGACCACGGACGTGATTCCGATAATGACTGATGAGAGCATATTGAAGCGAACACTGATCCATCGATTCACTATGCGAAAATGAGGACTGAAATAACTAGAAAGGAGAGACACATACCGCCCCATAGCCAGTAATATGGTCTGAAAAGACGTCAGTATCTGGTCTAGTTTTCAAACTAGCTACATACGAAGCATTCTACGGATTCGTGAGTCTATTATTCGCTGGTCGTTGAGGGAAAACGTACTGTGTCAACGCAACGAAGCATATCGCGTAGGAATTTGCTAGACGCTCCGAAGGCCCGCACGATAGAAGCCCCAGTGATGGCTTCATTATAGACAGAATAGAGTGGCGAACGCGATACAGAATCTGTGGAATATCTAAGAAAGAAAGATGGAGCCGGCAAGACGTACCAAGACGGCGCATGTCCCTGGCAGTCTGTCCATATACTCTGGCGACCTCAAAGTAAAAGATGGAGAGGATGACGAATGCCAGTAGGAACGGCCACCCTCCTACGTATGTAACAGTGACAATGGTTGTGACGAGCGATGCACCGTTGAAAACACTTTCAAGGGTATGAGGCCACATCAACGCTTCAATCCTGAAACGCACCTTCGTCCAAAGTTGTCCGCGAGAGAAGAATCGATTCCTTCAAAGTCCTTTCCAAAGCGGTTGAGAAGTCTTCCGCGATTCGTAGTGTCATGGAAGCGAATAGGTGCAAACAAAACAGACTGGAGGAGGCGTTTGTGCAAGGTGTCCGAAGCATGGATGGATCCACGGTCTATGGGATGGTTAGAATCAGTGAGGCAACCTGGATATCAACGCAAACAGAGGACAAAGAAGCGTAGAGTGAAAACGACAAGGCCAGCGATTGCAATCTTTGAGAAGGTCAGAAGGTCCTGCAGGCAACGTCCCACGTACCAGAGCATAAATTCGAATGTAATATATAGGCAAGTGAGACGTATCTCCTCGATTCACAGCGCCGGACCAGACCCTATCACCATCAGTCAATGATCTGGGTGAACAGGCGATCCACATACTTGATCCAACCGTTCTCCGCTACCGGTGAGAGAGACGCAACGACAAGCGCAAGAAGGAAGATTCCCCAAAACACCTTTCCTCCAGAAGCACCGACGTATTCTTTCCAAACGTCTCGTCCAATCCGCCCGACTGCGCGAGCTTCATCCTCGACGAGTTTCCGAGGGGCCTTTTCCTTTTTTTTGGTCATCACGGGTTGTGCGCTCTCCTGTGCGTCCTTGACTGGTTCCTTTTCGGCGTCCAGTACTTCTTCAATGGCCGTTTCCGCTGTCATTTCGTCCCCAGCGTCGAGAGTTTTGTGTTTAGATTGAACCAGGGTATCAATAATGGAGGACTGCATGAAGGCGTTTGCGTCGCCCTGGTACAACAGCTTGCCCTTCTCGAGAGCCACCTAACCTATAGTGAGCCAGGCATCCAACAAGGGCCCGAATTACGCACGATATACTTTGCTTTTGGAGCACAGAGCTGGATGTGGTGGGATACGAGAATCACCGTGCGCCCTTCTACCAGTGGGCCTTTTAGACATTTCTCGTACAAGTGATGCGCCGTGTGAGCATCGACTAGCAGAGAGTCAGGACCTGTTTAGAGCGGATAATGCGACATACCCGCTGAAAGCACATCATCGAGCAGCAGGACAGACGCCCGGGAATAGATAGCTCGCTGCCATTGCGTCAATAAAAGGAACGTAAGTGTTTAAAAGACCTACAGCGAGGCTGACTCGGGCTTTCTGACCACCACTGAGGTTTACCTAGGAAGAGTTGAGGAGAGATCTCGACCCCTGTTAAATTACCGACCCCGCGTTCTCCAATTTCACTCTCATCTCCATCTTCGAGTATTGCAAGGTCCGTTAGCAGCGCGCAAGCCTAGAAAAAGTGTTAACACTCAACCGGCGGACAGCGGGACCACAAACCTCGAGTGTAGCTTGGTACCGCTCTGCATTGAACGGCAGGTTGAATAAAATGTTCTCCTTGATAGACGCATTCTGCAACCATGCAACCTGTGGTACATAGGCGCACATATTTGGAATGATCCACTCTTCGTCCTCGGCGACTGCCATGAGAGTTGCAACTGCATCCGGCGGCGACCGTGGACAAAGGAGTTGACCGGACAACACATCTGCCTCTCCAAGGAGGGCGAGTAGTAAAAGTGTTTTCCCAGACCCAAGCTTGCCGCAAATGAGTGAGAGTTCGCCTTCTGGGAAGTCGAGGGTGAGGTCAAGCAGCACAAAGCGCCGTCTCGGCGTGCTAGCCGAGGAACTCGAAGTGGAAGCGCGACCAATGATGGCAGGGGTGCTGGAACCAGTAGCCGCTGCACTTCCCACACGATCTTGTGGCCAGGTGATCGTCGCAGAATTCAGGGAGATGCGAGAGTCTTGTTCATGAAGAGGTGGCACAGAAGAAACTTCTTGTGTCGCCAAATATTTCGCAATGCGGCGAAGGGAGACCATGCTTTGCAAAACATTGATAAAGGTCTCTGGTAGGACGCCAAGTGCAAAACGCAGCTCGTTGAATACCGTGAGCTAAGAGACGTGTAAGAGTTAATGAGCGAGAGAGCGCATGACACATACTGCCGTGAATGCAATTGAGGGTGTTAACGGCAGCTTCCGTATGACAGTGTAATGCCAGAATGAAACCACCGTAGTCAGAATTGGAGAGAGTTGCCTAAATGAGGTGAGCGTTGAATACCAAGAGCCCGTTGAAAACATGCCATGTCGCATTGAACAGAGTCTACACGAGATGAGTCCATTTCATAAGGAAAGAGCGATATGAGCCTACCTCAATCACATAGTTACGCCATTGATGCGCCAATTCACGATCACGGACCTTGAGAACTCGCTTCTCAAAGCTCCTTTCCCAAGCCATGAACTGGTCTTATGAGTCATCGGTCAATAGTCGTAGGTTTCTCATACCTTGAGCATCCGTATGCCACCAAGGAGCTATAATGCGTCAGATCTATAGTAGAAGGAACTGTGTTGATTCACCTCGTTCATCAAGGCAACACGTTCATCTCGAGCCTTCATGAGATCGTCCTGTGCCTTGACGACTAGGAAAAGGGTTAAATGTCGTCCAAATGGATGAATGTCATGCGCACCGATTTTGCTTGCCCAGTGATTGATCGGCATGAATACTACCAAACGCAATCAATCGCCGGTCAGCCTGAGGGTCAAGAAATGCTTACGAAGACTGGCACCAAGGCCCCAGAATGTCGATACACCAAGGAGGGTGTACAGAAAGTATCCACCAATGACAATCTCAATGGGACTGTCGACAAGGGAAAACAGATGCCAGGAAAAGTCGGAAACACGATCGACGTCTGTAGTCATGAGCGTCATAACCTGTGCCTTTGATGAAAACTCTTCCTCGTCCGACGTAGACGCGTTCTTGACGGGTGGCGTCGCCTCGCTGGCATTGACCGCTGTCGTAGTCCCCGTTGTCGCTGTTGGTGCCGTAGAATGACCTGCGGTCGTTGGTGCATCGCTTGTGCCGTTTGATGCACTGTTCGTCCCTGCCGTTCTGGAGGCAGCACCAGTGTCTTCAGTTTTCTTTTTCTCTTCAGAGTCGGTAGAAGCCGTTCCGGGCAGGTTCTTTCGGACGAGAGTTTTAGCGAATAGCATTGTGTTCAGCTGGATCTTAAACTTGAGCTGGACAACAGTTGTTGAGATTGACCAAAGTTGTCCAGTAAGTACTGGAGAATACGCATAAGCCTTTGTTAGACGGAAAGAAGGAAATACATACAATACATTGCTGCTGTTGTTCCGAAGAGGCCAGCGCAATAAACCCACGCCCATCCGTCACTGACCATCGCCTGGATGGTCTGGTTTGATGCTCGTCCTCCTCGATCTGGATCGTCCTCCAGGTAGGCAATGAAGCGCTTGAAGAAGAAGGCTGGTGTGTAGAACATCAGCGCAGACGCTGCAGCGAGACCAATCTCCAAAAGCAAGACAGTGCGGTTTGCCTTCCAAAGTTGCGCAATGAGGTCCATAGGGGAGTTCTTTGACGTCTTGAATGAGAACGGTGCAAACGTTCTCTTTTGCGTGATGGACGGGAATCGGTTTTCGAGTGCAGGGAACTTGCGGACGAAGAGGTGGGCGAACGGGACGTGCAATGTAAAGCGGATCCGAGAGAAGACACCTTTGGGTTCTTCTGTTGAAGAGCGTAAACGGCCGTATGACTGTTGCAGCTTTCGCATCCTCGAGTATATCCAAGTTGCCCGCATGTATGCCGGTAGGATAGGCAAGTCTGCAATCTCAAGGGAAGTAGCTGTGTAGCCCAGCATGACGACGGACGTCGTATAGTCGAAGAACATGATGCCTTGCTCGGCGTCAGCATCCAGCCAGCCTTCTCTGGTATACAAGCTACTCACCCCAGACACTGCTTGCTACCAATGAGCAAACGTTTGGCTCCTGTTTCCCTGAATGCACTTGTCCGCCAGTGCTAGTACCCTGATTTCGCTCTTTGGCGGCAACTTCGATAGACTTGAGAGTATATACTCTCTCAGGGGGGAAGTATCGTTCAGGACCGCGTCGCATGAAGATGACGATAAGCATCGATATTGTCGTCAACACCAGGGAGGCAAACCAGAAACCATAGACCTCTTCTTCGTCTTGGTCTTCTAAATGATTCCTTTTGTAGAGTTGAATGATAAACTTTGGGTCGACATTGACGAGCGACGGTTTCGCCAGAATGGTCGAGATATGGATAGTTCCATCGTTTGGAACGAGCAAGCTGATACATTGTGCCACCGTGGATAAAGTCAGCAGTGCGGACATGTGGACGACAATCGGCCAGTGCTCATCCACGTTGGAGGAAGAGACGGTTGAGATTGAAAGGCCGATAAGATATGTCGTGAAGACGAGGTGCAGAATAGCCGGGATGATGGAGTAGATGGGTGACGAAGGATGTGTGATGAGTGTATATCCCAGTGAGACTGCGTGGTTGACGAATAGCATACATAACACTGCGAGTAGGATCAGTTTTGTGACGCGAACCTAGTAAGAGTCAACATGTCGGGATTCGCGATGAAAAGGTGAGGACCTTGCGCCAGAATGCATCCTCATCAAGTGTCTCTCCATCAATGACGTCTTCAGGTGAGACAATGTCGAATGGATCCTTTTCGCCGGCGAGCTCGTTCTCGTCGTTGGCACTTAGGAGGTCGTTTTCCCCATCAAACTCGCTGAAATGGATTGAGCACGGTCCCAAGTTATTAAGAGAGTGGAGACCTATCATATCTTGATATTGGAAGAGCCACGTCGCGCTTCGTCTTGACGTGCGAGGGAGCAATGACTGCAAGGCTGAACGCTGCGGCACCAAGAAGACCCGCAGAGAAATGGATTTGGAATGGGAACATATTTTATCCACCTTGTGCTGGACGAATCTTGTGAGAGCAGGACGCAAAACGCGAATGGTCGGGTCGAGGCTCGCCAGCCCAGAGGCGTCCTTCTTAAACGGCCGTCTAGTCAGAGTCAGAAGATAAAGTTGGAGCCGGAACTCGACCGCAGGAGGAATGCAAAAAGGCGAGGTCGAAGGGACTGCCATCTGTTTGTTGCGAGGCGCTAAGCTGCTTTCCACATGGGCCGTCTCGGAAGCGGCGCCGTCTGATGACAAATACACAGGGATGATGACTCTGCTCATGGTATGAATACAGTTCAAACAAAGAACCAATAAGCGACCAACGGCGACAAGCCAGCTGCAGCATTTCCAGTCAGCTTGGTTTATTATCTCGCTAGCGAGAATCCTGACCAAAGATCGTACTCTCATAGTCAACATACTTGATACGGAAGGATCCCAACGAATATACATGCATTAAATGTGAACTGTAATGGGATCAGGGCCTATCTACGCTTCGTTTCTTTTTCATCCATCTTATTTCTCACATCCAAACGAGATCTATCACGCTCTCGCGAGCGAGATGGACGCGTTATTCATCGTCACTACCCATAATGAATGGAGCCTTTGCGGGTTTCATCGATCCCTCGTATTCATTCTCCGTGAGATCTTCAGCCTCTGAATCCAGATGTATCGTTTCTGTGTCATCCATCTCACCAGAGGCCTCGCGCGTTTGGCAGCTCGACAAGTTCTTTGGTTCCTGGAGAAACATTGAGAAGTCGAGTCCTTTCTTCTTATAACCATTGATTGCTCCGTTGCTCTTGATGTATGGCCTCAGATGTGATGCCCAGTACCGCCGCCAGGCGCATGGAGTGCGACGCCGTCCATATTCAGACTGCCGGGGTTAGTCACGTTGGTAAATATGACGAAATAGAGCCTACGTTTTCGACCCAGTGCTTCCAATACTCGTCCGAATTCTTGAAAGAAGAAAAAGGATGGACCTTCACCCACTGAGCGAGTGCGTCTATCTCAGCCTGCGTATATGGCAGTTGCGATTTCCCTTGAATCTTGGGTTTCAGACTCGCTCTATGCTTCGAAGGGGCTGGGAGAGGGATCCGGGAGCCAGTCACAATCAGGGTTTGCATCTTTGAGCTTGGCTGACTTCGCCCTTGCTGAATAGAAGTATCAGAGAGGGAACAAATATCGAGAGTATTTATATATCTGAATTCACCTGTAAGACATCATTTGCTGTGTCAAGTGGGCCGTGGAGGGTTGACGTATCAGTTGAGTCGATCGCAAGTTCTTGAGATAAAGGCAATAAGATCACAGAGCTATCATCCGTTGTATTGGTTGATAGAGTCCAAGCTTGAGGCGGTCTCCGCGGTGCACCCCATTGAACGGTGGGTGAGAACGACCGACGCTCGAGCTACTGTCCTCTTCTGGTACAGTCTTGTCAAACAAACGACTGATTTCATGCTTGGCTAGTTGTGACTGCGTGACCTCCCTTCTGATACCCTGCGCAGCGGTGTCGACTGGGAGTGGAAACCCCGCATGCAGCTCCCGAAGGGTCTTTGCATCAGTGGGAAGCTATTTTGGCACTGTGAGGCTTTCACCAGAACCAGAATACCGATCAAGTTCATACCTCGATAGGAAGCTCCGCGCAAATATCAGCATCGCTGGATTCTGATGCCGAATATCTCTCAGGGGAAGAAGGGGGTCTTCGGACTTCATGGGTGTCCTTTATCTCTGTGGAGACTTGGGGGGCTTCAGCGCCTCTCTGGTATAGATGCCATGGTAGGAGTCTACCCTGCGCTTCGCTGTCCCATAGCCAGGATGAGTCGAGGGCAATGCGCCCTTGACTCGACAGCTCGACCCCTAACTGGGTTCCTGCCAGCGAGCCCGAGACGATGTGGTAATCCGGCAGGCTTGACCGTTTCACAACACACCCCCCATTCCTCTGTGCGAATTTGGCTACAGTCAGCAATTTTTGGGGTCTTGTCTGTCAAACAGCCCTCACAACAATCAGTTTTTTGAGTGCTTGGTGTTCTGGAACATCGGGCTCAACTGTGAGCCAGATGCTCCGTCCGTCCTCACGTCGAAGTAGCCTATGTGACATCAAAACTAGGATAAAAAAGGACATGTTAGTACGATGGTGACTCCAAGTACATGCTGACACGGAAAGCGCTTTCTGCGCAACAGGCGAGACTTACCAACCACTTTTATGATCAACAAGAGGCAAACTCAGCTGCAAAACCCAGGCTTGAATGTCAGCAGCTATAGTCTCACCAGCGGGGGGGCGTGGACGGATCCAAGTAGGTTGCCCATGCATCACCACGTTTCAACCTAGCGCGGATCTAGAATGTACACGTGGCCTTGCATCGCATATGGCATGGAATTCGGATGCTCGTTTGACCCCATGCAGTTGCCCTGGTATCCTAGAGATTCGGTCCTTAAAAGGCAGCGTACAAAACAGCGTGTAATTTATCTGAACATCACATGTGTTTCAATCAGTTCAAGATTACACGTCATGCCACCGCCTTTCAGCGATCGGCTTTATACAACAAGAAATGCAGGCCAAACTATGGTGGTGTCCTGCTCTCATCAATCTCCGACGTGCCCTCCAACGTGCGCCACGCAAACTACATCGAGCACGAAATCAAGAGGAGGAGCTGGCAGCAGCAGAGGAGATGCGAACCGACAAGTGCACCAACCCAGCGGCAGCACGAGTGCCAACTCTGCAACTAGGATCAACAAGCGCATCGACAAACTCCCAAAAGTCACTCCTCTTCCAGCAAGTACTCTTCCCACCTCCACCAGTTGCTCACCTGGACGACATCAACAATACAGCCTATGACGAACCACTCGAAGACTTTGTCATTCGGGAGAAAGAAGTGCTCAACACTATCTTCCAATTCCCGGCCTACAAAGCCCCTGACCGTCCGGAGTCATCAACGCTGCCATCGAAGCGCTCGGCCATCAACTCGCCCCTATCATCACCAACAGTGTCAACGCAAGCCTTCGGCTGGGCCACTACCCGTCAGGCTGGAAGCACTCCATGACGGTAGTCATTCGGAAGCCAGGGAAACCCGACTACACAGTACCCAAGGCCTACCGGCCCATTGCGCTAGAAGAGGCCCTCAGCAGCGTCTGCGAAGCAGTCCTCTCACGCAAGCTCTCCCAGCTCGCTGAGACTGCCAACCTCCTCCCTCAAATGCAATTCGGCGCAAGATCGGGACGTACAACTACCGACGCCATCCTATCTCTGACCAAATGGTGAAAGATACCCAACGAGTAGGAGAAGTCACCTCCATTCTCAACCTTGACATCGCTCAAGCCCTCACTAACGTCAACGCAGTACGACTATGCCACAATCTGCGACGTAGAAGAGTGCCGACAAACTTCAATGGTCAATCTAATTTCCAACTTCCTTGAGGATAGGACAACATGCTTGGTCTTTGACGACCACAAGTCCGACACCTTCGAAGCAAGCAATGGATTCTCCCAAGGGTCGGCGCTCAGTCCACTTTTATACAAATTCTACGCGGCAGATCTCCTTGATATCGCTGGCCCTTCACCCCCAAGAGGCGTCCCAGAACACTTGTCTGCGCCTCTGTAAACGATACCTCCCTTGCATTCTCCTCCCCATCATTCAAGGAGAATGTCGAAATGCTCGAAGCCCTTGCACCACGAGCAGTAACATGGGGGCAGCAGCACACAAGCCAGTTCGACCCGAGCAAGTTCACTCTTGTTCACATTCTCACAAAACAAGCCGCCAAGACCAAACCTGACCAGACACTACCAGTGAAGGTTGGAGACGTCACCATAAAGCCAGTTGAATCAGCTCGGCTATTAGGTGTCACGATCGACCGTCACCTAGACTGAAAGGCTCATGTGGACGCTATGACAGCAAAAGGCACGGCTACGGTGCTCACCATTAGCAGACTGGCCAAAACGTCATATGGCATTCACCCCAAACACGCTCTCACACTTTACCGGTCCATAGCTCTGTCGAGAATGACGTACGGATTAGTAGCGTGGTATAACCCTATTCGGGCGGTACCAGGAGCCAAACGACGCATGGGCTCTATTGGCTTTGCCACCAAACCTGGACGCGTTCAGAGACTAGCAGCAACACTAGTCACTGGTGGCCTTAGGACAACAGCCACCACCGCTCTCGAGTACCACGCAAACCTCCCTCCTATCATCCTCACACTCAATCATATTGTCCACAATGCCGCTACTCGTCTCGTAACCCCTCCTCCCAGTCACCCTCTTCATGCCCCCTGGAATTCGACTAGAGGAACCCCCCTGAAGCACCTCACCACTATACATCGCCTCAAGAGCGCCCTTCCACACCTCAGAAACCTCGAGACCATCGGTCCAGGTCTAGCAGATGACGGATGGAGCTCCTCAGCGAACGTAAAGATCGCTAAGTCAAAGGACGAAGCCATTCAATTTGCGACGTCTAGACCAGAAGAGGAGCTGACTATCTTCTGCGATGGGTCGGGATACCGTGGCGGGATCGGAGGTGCTGTGGTGACAAAAGTAGGAGAGTGTAACGTTTAGCCGTGGGAAAATGGAACAACCGGATTCGCACCGACTTAGCCGTCAGACCACTAGATTATAGTATCCCTCTTTTCCCTCTAAAGCGTCACAGTTCCTATGACCCCGGTTACTCAGGTATTCCTAACCTGGTCGGCCGGGCTCTGAGCTGTAAGGTGAGCCAATCCTTACAGAGAGAAACAGCTCACAAGGCAATATCATGTTGGACCTGACGTCGAGCATACTGTCTTTGAGGGGGAAGTTGTGGGCATCATCCTAGCTGCCGACATTGTCAAGGAGCTCGAACATGTGTTAAAGACGATACCCACGTCTTTCTGACTGGCGGAGTCCCGAGTAGGGTCACGACAGGTCTAGCAATGGTTTACTTTAGATTATTCCTCGACGTGAGGTACTTAGTTACTGTAATATGACGCGTAAACTGGGCGAGGGAGTCAGATATCAGACTAGCGAATGTTACATGGAAAATCAGGTCCTTTTATACCTTTCGATAAGCTTATGTAAGCATTATTTCGGAACCAGTAGTCGGTAGCGGGACTACGTTGGAGGGCATAGGGTTGGCGGGAGTTGGAGGAAGGGACAAGAGGAGTCCGAGACGAGACAGCGATCCGACATCTTATATCATGTCATCTATATAACGAGTCACCTATAGAGATGACTCTTGATACGGGCGAGTCGTGCGCAGCCGTCCACATACAAGCTCCCGCTCGTAGTGGCCAAAGCTGGCCACGGCCGGCCGCGCATCGTGAGTCAGGTAAGTGACTATCCTCGTTCTTCGTGACTCATACTGATATATACGAGTCCTCCAGATGACGTGGGTCTTGCGGGCTGGTCCGTAACATGGAGTCGGCGCTCGTTTCCCGACGGCGCTCACATCCACTGTTCTCTTTACAGTCTAATTTGCCCCACCGTCTCTTCTCAAACCCTCACATGATTGTCTGGGGATGTTCTAACCAGGGGACCATGCTCATACCCTTCACTTTGCATCGTTTCCGCATCATTTCCAGCTCCTTGTAGTTTCTCTGCTTCTTCGTTCAATTTTGGTTACTTAATCTCTATTGAGGGTTCTCATCTGCTGAGGATGAACTTCTTCCGCGTCTGGCTCATCCTTATTTACAGGAGAAGCCCACTGCGCATAAAAAAGACAGCCCTGCAATCACTACCATACGAATCTCATGTCAGTTGAAAGGGCTCCCAATATCGCAGAGGCTTACTCGCTTGCCTTGATATGAAGATCGACGAACCGTGGATTCAAGCTTGTGTTTGTGGGGTGTTCATGGTATTGACCTAGCATAATTAGCCGATATAAGGCGCAGGTGAGAGAAGATCAGGACAATTGAACACATCGCTGATATTTTGGCAGAGTTTCAAAGCGTGTCAAGCGCGTTAAGAAAGCTGACAAATGATGACCCTTCATGAGCACATTGAATCACTTATATGTGCATTATAGACCCCCAGCATCACTATGGGTCCTCAAGGTGTCTTTACAGGGTGCTCGCTTGCATGAGACTATATAATTATTGTTTTCCCAGGCACTATAGATGCCAGATAATTATATGGAAAGGGGAGGAACTTCGATAACTACAGCAATTAGATTTGGCCTTCGAGTGCACTGACAATCACATCCTCGTAGCTGGTCAACAACTCGCACAAGCGCAATGCTGTCGGGCGGGAAGAAGGATCAAGACGCCAGCACCATTCCAGTATCTCCCATAGTACATTTACACCGTCAATCGGGGCGGATGACGAAGTGATTTTGGATGAATATGCGGTTATCGGCCGATATGCGGGTGGAATTCCGCGACGAATGTCATAGAATATCTGGCCCTGGAAATTGTGTAGACGATTCGCATAGGGTAAAGTCGAGTAGATAAACTATTGCAGGTCAGTACTGGCATCAGACAAGTGAAGGACACGGGTCGAGTATTGTAAAGCGATGAACATACCTCGAATCCGATGCACCCGACCGCAAACACGTCCGCGGCCATGGTAGGTTTAGAAGGACGGTTTGGATCAACCTGTTCGGGGGCGAGGTATCGCGGTGTACCCGAATGCGGCGTTGTGGTATTGATTTTACAAAACCACGAACATATTTCGTCGCCCTTATACTCATTTCTTGAAGATGACCCGTCATCGATCAAGAACCGTGCAAGCCCAAGGTCGCAAATCATCGGCCTTCCGTCTTTGGCGATCAGTACATTCGGCTGGCCGCAGACACTCAGCAGATGCAATGAAGGACTTGAAGGAAAACGCACGGGTTTCATGTCTCCGTGCGCAATCTGCGGTGATTGCGAATGCAGATAAGCAAGTCCATCCAAGACACCTCGCCACTGAGTGACTGTTAGTATACATACATATTTTAACCTATCAACACTCACTAGACGATATCGCTCCAAGGGCAAAAGATTGTAGCCGTGGACCAATTGCGCAGCGTTACCATTCGGACACCACTGTGGACGCTCAGTATGGCTTTTCAATATACATATGCAATCTCACCGGCGTGACGATTCCACCAAACGGACCAAACCCATCGCCCTCCACAATGCCGTATACAGGGAGGATATTTGGATGGTGGAGACTCATTCCTGTCGTGACCTCACGACGACGTCTCTGGAGCGATATGCAGCTCAACCTCTTCCGTACTTCATGACGCACCCGCCGTATCGAATGAGGAGACCCGACAGCTCGAACGATCTTTATGGCGACCTATGCGGCATTTGATCAGCAGATCTCGCCCCAAAAAACAAGATAAATACATCTTTTTCGTCATCCCCTTCCTTGTAGACACCTTGAAAGACGGCCGAATACGGGCCATCGTAGACTTGCCGCGACGGATGTAAATGCACGCAACCCGTGAGATTTCTCTCTTGAGTATTCTGCGGGGAAGAATTATGGAGGCTCGAATTGTCAGGGGCGTCGCTGGCGGAAGGAGAGTGGCTGACGGTCGCGTGGGCGGCGAGAGTAGTCATAGATAGAGGATGAGTCTGATCCTCGAGGTCGACCTCGGTTACGGATATACGGGGAGTGGTAATATCAACGTATTGAGCCAAATCCCTGAACGAGCCATGATCATCTTCAAGGTCGCCGTCTACGCTCTCAAAAGAAGTTGCCATCAGGCTCTGTGATTGAGCAGGCTTCTTATGAGAAATATAAGACGCGTTGCCCGTGATTGAGCCTGGGGAACCGCTCCCTTGTGTGAATGGAGAGGGTGCTGGATCGAGATTGAGCGGTAAAGAGACTCGAGAGCCACGTAGCGAGTACTTGAAGGCTCTTTGCAGCTTGACCACTGGACGAATAAGCCTGTTGATTACACGTTGTAGACGAGTGAAGCGAGAGACTGTTTGCTCCATGTCGCTTTCATCACCGTCGTTCTTAGAGTCTCTGGCGCCAGCACAACGTCGACTTTGAGACTTTTTCGACCATTTAAATGAGCTTTCGAGAAATTAAATGAACGGTGAAAGTAGTGAACTGACCGGATGAGCAGGATACCGTCGTTGGCTCATCGACAGTGTGGTACCAGGAGCAAGTAGGCTGGCGTCTTCAGCATAATGTCAGAAAAAGTTTAGATTGACATTCACCGTTGTTTGTAGGCGTTTTTCCCGATGAAAGCGCGGGCTGCCAACTGTGGATCCGTGGCTCCGGAGCTCCGAAAGCAGACATGACGAGCCTGAATGCAAGCATTGCATCTGGCAGAACTCGGATTTCGTAAACACTCGAAGATGCGCACGTAGCTAACCCTTCAAGTCAGAGGTACTCACCACGTGACACGGGCACCTGGCATTGCCGGCTGGCCGCGTCGGGTTGCATCTTCTTGCATAATCAGAGAAATGTCAGGTTACCCGTGCGGGGAGCGGTCTCGGAGTTGAGAGCGGTTGGCCGTTTGCTCTCTGGCTTAAAAGGTGGAGACCGCTGAACCGCGGTCGATTTGATTGGTGGTTGAAAGGGTATCGGCATTGCCGCTATCTATTGAGGATAGGGCGGACATGAGGGCTGGGGTACTCATAGGAGTCCGCAACACTCCTTGGGATATTATCATTGCTGACGAGAGTAGCGTTGGAGCGAAGATAGATGTCGAAGCGTTGCGTGGTTGATGCTGAAAAGGGTTGGTCGATGTTATTGGATGAGAGCATTTAGGATCAAATGTAGAAGTGGGACTATCAGGTGGAAATATTTTGATTGGTAATCGAAAGGGTGTTTGCCCGGCCGCCACCCTACGTCTGCGGGGCATATCCGGATACCGATAGGGGCAGTTGAAAAGGGTCGCAGTGCCTTGGCACTCGGCGCCCCTTTAGCAAAGAAGAGGATATGTCAACTTTTCCGAAACAAACTATTCGAGAAATCACCTCATGGACAAAGAAGCCACAATTAGAATGAGATGGGGTATTATTCTAGAGTATGGCAAGTTCAAAAATCTATCCAAAGGCACCTCATTTGCTCGCCTCACCTACTTCTCTAACAATACAGGCGCCATGGGGTGATGCCCGCGGAAACCCGGCCGACCCGGATAGGCGGCATTCACTCCAAGTTCCTCTTAGATATGGAGAAGAACGTTGCACCTAGTAATACCACAGGTGAGGGTCTCATCCTAGGAGATCGGCAGTGGACTCACTTAGCAATATGCTCGCTTCGTGCAGGTGCACCCATATTGATCTTGTCAATACCGGGAGCCACACGAAATCGGGAATGACCGTGTTCTCAGTCTCACCCGAGCGGTGGGAGACCATGATGCCCCATCCGCGTAACTAACTAAGCTGGGCGCTGTAGATGTTGATTAATACCAGATTAAATGTTGTCGCGACGAGTTCATGAATCTCTGCGCCATGCCTCCATGGGGAAGTCTCGTGAAACAGGATCCTGGAGTATTTTGTCTGAAAAGCGAGATATAGGAGAAGATTCATAGGAGTGCATGTGCAATTGAAGGCCATTTAGGGTGAGATAAAATCTACTTCTTTACGGCAGCACGCATACGCGGTAGGCAAGAACACAATCTCCTCCAGAGTCTGAGTGAGACTGGAGTTGTTGGTGTATATAAATCAAACTATAATACTGTCTCGCATTTAGACGCATTGGCGCGTATCAGTTTTATCTCGCTATCATCGTTCAGCTGTTCAATATTCTCCTAGAACGTCACCACCGTCCCATACCTCGAGCTTTACCTGTTCACGTATCCCTAAACACCAGCCAACGACTCCGATATGGCTCGTGGATAGTTCCTGAGCACAATAACGGGGCTATACAACCAAGGAGATTGTCACGGTTGTGACTTAGTGCCATCCTCCTGAACATCTCTTGCCTTGATGTCTGCGAGGAGTTGAGCGACGCCAATGGGTGGCTCATATCTCACTTGTGTCAGTCAGGTACAACAGGAATTCCTGAGCCGGCACTAGGTGCTGGGTGTGTATTCTTGAGCTGGCACGCTTGCCGGCAGTCAGATATTCCCGACCAGGCATAATTCTTAATTGAAACGATACAATCACAAAAGACACCGGGGACTTGCCAGCGGTCGTAGATCTTGCTTGATGGCATACACTGTGGCCAGTGGTATGAGGTAGTGCCGGCAGATCCAAAAACACATATCCTTGCTGTGTCAGGGCGATGGCAAATTTGACCTCTACCCCTGTGTACTCTGGAGCATAGAGGGATTCATTAAATAATCGTTCAGATGCATATATTAAGATAAAAAAGCTAGGAGACAACTCTAAGAGCCAGTTGGCTAAAGTCGCTCATATGCTGGCACACTATGAGTCAAAGATAGACAACTGCCGGCAGGCTGAAACACTTATGGGTACAGGACCCGTGCTCAATTATAAGTGCTATGGCTATATTAAGTACTAATAAACTTTATTTTCTCCTATTAGGATCCATAGAGAAGGTCAAATCCTACTATGAAGGAAATGCCGGCAACCATGTAATTCTTGATACGTGCACGCCAGCTCAGAGCAGGATAAAATCACAGTATGACATATAGGTAATTTGTGTCATAAATACCTCAAATACTATACGATGGCTTAACCACCCTTTAATTTATCTTCATTGTTTAGTTGGCCAGTGGCTATTCATCGTTTTTCAGTGCCGGCATCTGAGATTTGTGGGCACCTCACGTCAGTGGGTAAGTGTTTGGGAGGTCAAACATGCATATTATGTACCTAATGCTGATATAAAGTCTCCAGAAACTCTTCTCTTCTAGTCATTTGCTGACTTCAGCATATGCCAGCACCCATCTATTCAGCAATGTGCACGTGCCAGTAAGGGTGTCTCTAAAGACGTGCAATTGCCGGCAGCTCTGGTTCCATATAAACATAATTGCCAGCAACCGTATTCCAAAGTATTTGTGGCTTCCGGGCTACGAGTGCGTCGCTCATTCTTGGTTGGCTATGCTTGTAAGCGTATCTGAGGGTCATGTATATGTAGATGGTTAGGATATATGCAGGGTTTTGGTGAATACGCGCGCTATCCGTTTGTGTGGGCGAGCGTAGGCGATTGGCAGGCACGGGTGGGCGAGAATACAATGAACTAGCAACAAGTTGTGAAGTGAGAGGAAGAGCATGCCGAGGTTGCCGATCGACACCACACGGAAGCACCTGGCGATAGTATTGTCGGGCGAATAGTCGTTTGTTCCGAACGGAATCGCGCACGTACATGAACGGTCCTGTTGGGTATGATGGGAGTGGATGAGGTTGTATGCGGGGCAGGTGGGATGGTTAAGGCATTGGGATTACACACGGGAAGTGTGGATGAAGCGGCGGGAGACAAGTTAGTGGGCTTATGTGGCTTACCGAGCACCTCCGCCTCCTCGTTCGCTCCTTCTCATAGCCCTTAGAGGACCTACGACCCTCAGCCCAGGAAATGCTGACAACTATAGGCAGCGCTAGCTTCTAGTAGACATGGTTGCCAGCAGTTGTACCTCACAATATTTATGATTGCCACCAATTTTATCTCCAAGGGTATGTGATTGACGGGGATTGTACATCTCACTATGTACGATTGCCGGCAGCCTTCTCTCCAAGTAAACAAAATTGCCGGCAACCTGGTCCCCAAGTATTTGTGACTGCTGGAGATTTCATCTTCCAGTATGCACATCTGCTGGCAATCATACCCCTAAGCTGATTTATCTCGTTGTATCTTGATTTGTGTATCAATTTAAACATCATGAATTCCTATATTCGCTCAAGATGTGCAAACCTATCAACACAGGCCTGCATCTCAGCAGCAAGCCTTGAATAGTATTCCACCATGGACCATGCATGGGCATTTTCCCCGGGTTGCATCTCGGGTTGCATGGCACGCATTGACCAGAAATGCTCCATATGGTGGAACGAATTCTTTGTAAAACCAAATTCGGCCCACACGAGGCTCCTTTCCTCATCCCAACGATCAAAGTTGACCTTTGTCTCAAGATATTGTACTCGTAAGACTACCAAAGGGACGTTCTGAGTGAGTGAGGCTCAATGAATCTTATCAGACCTCATACCTTCCTCGAGCCAGCTTTCGCCTCTATTGACTTGCTCGCCTAACTCCCGAACCTGCCAGATCCAAGATAGATTTGTGGTGCAAACAGAAATATCGAGAGAGGCACCTGGAACTCCAACATGTCGCTTGTCGGGCATGAGAACACTGTCGAGGTAGCTGCTTACAACCCACGTCTCTTCAAAAGAGATTCCTCCATTCCGCTTCTAGCCAACTCCCCCGCAAAACGATCAGTTGTGAGTGTGAGTGACTTGCTCGACGACGAACCTCCGGAGACGGTCTTTTCTGGTATGCGACACCACCATATGGTGTCGCATATGGCCGACGACCTCTCGCTACCACACGGAACCAAAGTAAATCGAATGTTAATCATGGGTAGGGTTGGGATCGACGAGCATTTGGCATCAACACCTCGTCATCCATCCGCTACTCCGCACCAGCCAATTGTCTCCCATCCCCTATGCCCTCTGCTCGCTGACTCTCCTATCTGTTGGTATCTGTAGATATTGCCAATGACTCAATACGGGTCTCGAAATAGTATACAAGGTCCGAGTTTCGTGTGTACATTTTGCAAGTTCTGAATCTGCTTTCGTTCCATTCTAACACCCTCGCAAACCCTTGCTTAGTAATATATCAACTACGTGAGTTATATATTCCCACTCGGGCGTTCCACTTGTCAGACGAACCGCCGCGCGATTTGTAACACTCTGGCACCTCGGAAGGATGGTCTCGTACGCCCAGCGGGTGCCCGGACAGTTGAAATATAAAAAATAAATCCTGTATTCAGACCTGATATGCATTTTTCCACATTTTCACTGTCGAGGTTCCGGCTTATACAACAAGTTTGCTCAAAAGGCAATGAAATGTAGACGCACGTAGTGAAACTGAGTGTGTTTAACACGTTGGTATTGCCAAAAGAATGCATCTCACACTTTGCAAAATCTGCCTCGAGGCCTGGTCCAGAATCTGTTAGTTTGTTAGTTTATACATTACATTCTTAGCTTGTATTATCTTTCACCCGTAACGCCGGTGGCGGTGGTCCCTCACTCGGTTAATCTACGACCGCAGTGAGGTAAGACCACCGACTCTCTCATGCGATCGTCCCTCACGCTCCATACTAGCTAATTAGACGCTGTCTATCAGGTAGTGTATTACACTCGGTTAATCTACGACCGCAGTGAGCTAATTAGACGTTGTCTATCAGGTGGCTAACAGAATCCAAACCCAAAACAGTGGCTCTCTATCCTATAGATTAGATGTTTGAAATCTGACTAGGCTACGAATTCGAGATGGAATCCGCCGGAACAAGGTGGGGATCGAGCGCAAGAAATTGGAAGTGGATACCTCATGCTTGGGGCAATCCACCCGTCCTGGGCCTCTCGACAGGCAATAGATGGCCAAATGTGGAAACCGGAGACCATGAATTTCAGACATTTGCGTGGTCCCGCGGCCTGACAATGACCGACAAAGATGGAGCCTCCTCCATCCAGCAGTCGGCCAAAGAGAGTGAGTGCGATCAAGTCTGAACAAATGTCACGGTCTTCGACACCACTTGCAGTGTTCTCAAATACAGAGCTGAAAGCCCCTTGACCGCAGGAAGCCATCCTGCATTTGCTGACCGAAGGCTGCAAAGAGAGTGAGACCCTCTCGCATGAGTTCATCCAGTTGCTGTCTGTAATCTCTAGCCAACTCTGTGAGGGGCGACCAGGATATGTCGTTATATATTGGCCAGCGTTGCCAGCACCTTGGATAGCGACAGGTAGGCCTGGTTGTCTCAGCCCTGCCTCAAGCTGACGTCTCCGAACTGTACGAGCAGAGACCTTGACAACTGGAGCATGTCCGCAGGGCGTCGGAGCTCCGTGGCAACAATGAGAAACTCGTGCTCGATCTCGATTCTCGGGCGACCTCTCCGGCCTGTGCGAACAATGTGGGTTAAAACTTGAGCGGGGCGAACATCGGGACGGTCCAAGATTGCAGCTATCTTCTCGCGGAGATTACATTCAAGGAAATCCAAGTTTTCCAGAAGATAATCAAGATTATCCTGAGGAATGACTTGGCGATGCTATTCTGAATGAGATAAATATGACTGGTCTGGACTTTACTCGCCTCGTTGACCGCCTGTTACAATCGTAGAGTAGACGCCTCGCGAGCACGCAAGACCATTAAATTCCCTTGTTGAGTAAGAAATGTGGTCCGTATTTGGTTGCATAGGTCGAAGTATGCACCCATTAGAGCATCCCCTCTAGCCTGTCCCCCTGGTTCGGCCATGGTTGGGTCCAAAAATAAGCGCAGTTATGTGACAAACGAAAAACGAGCTCGATTTGGCAATGAGGCCGCCTTAGAATTGAATTCGAAGTCAGACACATGGTCTGTCACGACCACAGTCACGAATTGTCACGAATTATCATTAATTGTCACGAACATTGTCACGAATTATCACGAATTGTCACGAATTGTCATGAATTGTCACGACTTGTCACGAATTGTCACGAACACTGTCACGAATTATCACGGATTGTCACGAATTGTCACGAATTATCACGAATTGTCACGATCTTTCACGAGGTTTCCAAGTCAAGCCTGTATTTTTGTCCAAGTAGGCAGCCCAAACGCACTGGCCAGATGCTGCTCAAACACAGGCTTTTGTTCCGGATCTAAGGGGACCACGGAGCTCGCTATTGTCGTTCCTCGTCATCCATCACCTTCCCTGGATCGTACTCTTCGGCGCTCTGGTAGCCGGACAACTACTCGGTGGCCAAGTTTGGCACATTTGACGGTCCCGAAATGTGAAATTCAAAGGCCCGGACGAGTAGAACGATTGGGCGGAAGTGGAAACACCCTGAGAGGATCATCACACTCGTATTAGGCTGCTATGACGATCTGTTCGAGTCGGCTTTGACGTCGAATTGAGGTCGGTGTTGTCTGATGAGGGGGGAAGGATGAGGTTGGCGGCACTGGTGATCGGAATGATGGGGTTTTCATCAGAATGGTGGCGTTGTTCCTCCGGTTGCCGGTGCAGGTGAAAAGGATTCATCTCAGTTCGTGGTGCCTCCGGGAGCGATCGTTTAGTCGAATTTGTGGTACTATTCGCATTCTCCATTGGTGTGATAGGACTCGATGCTCCTGAACTGCGCATGTAAGGAGGGAGAAGCACTGTATTCGGGTGTCGAAGAAGCAAGAATTGTATCCCTTGAGTCCGCTGGGCTGACGGAATCCGGGGGAGGGAGAGAAAGGGGTTTGGCGTGGCGTGTGTAGGTTCACCCGAGCCATGCCTCGCCGATTGCGAGCTTCGCGGCGTTTTTAACCATGTCAAGCTGCTCATTTGATTCGTAATACTGGTGCCTGAGACGACGGGGAAAGTTCTTGTCATGCTGGTCTCGTTTCTCTGGACGCTTGCCTAGGCCCAGGCTCTGATTTGAGCAAGCTTGTGAGTCAGGTATATTGGGCGTCACAGCGGATGCCCCAGGAGCAATGCGATAGTGAGTCCTGCTTGTAATATTGGGACCCCACCTAGATCCCTTCGGGAGGATTAGCAACGTCGAGGCCAGAGAGGAAAGCGCTCACTGAAAGCACGGCCGCGATCTCATACTGACTCATATCGGTGCAAGTCGACGAACGGTCGGAGCTATCGTCGAGGGTGACTTGGGGATTGGCATCATAGCGAAAGGATGCATTGCAGGCGGATGCAATCACATTCCGCCGATCCAGAGGTGTCAGTGGTGACCATATAAGCGACTGCTCGAGGGGATGTCGTTCCCAAGCTTGATTCATGTCGCCCCACCTGGAGACAGGCTCGGCTGCCCCTCTTCAGCGTTTTTTGAGACCAAGAAGAGGAGTATAGACATTTCCACCCACCGATATCCTTATCCGGCGTGAGCCGACCGCGGATTGATCAATCATTGGCAGGCGTTTCATGCGGGTAGGATGAGACACGCGGGTTGGACTCGATATACTCTACTAGAGCACTATTATCGCAGTTTTTAGTGGCCGGGCTTGCGTCTCGACGTCATTGAATGCTCGAACTGCATCCACGGCACTTTTCCAACGGCGTGAGAGGGATAACACCGAAAAGTCTGCACTTGCGTACAGAAAGGTCGATGTGCACCACTCGCAGCCCAGGAACAAGAGCCCAGAATTGCCAGCACGTGTAGGACATGTCTGGCAAAGGGCCCTGTTCCCCACGCCGAGGGATGACTGCAAGATGTTCGACTGAAAGTGTGCTCAATGTGAGATAGCATAGATGGCTGGCAAGCGTCACTCACACGACCGCGATGATATGAACATCTCCAACCTGTATTTACAACTTGGAGCCGCGGAAGGATCTTTGTTTCCAGGATGAGATGCGCTAGATTCTACGGGTACGAACCATCAGAGATTTGATCTCGAGTAAATGGGAGGACCCTGTACCGCGAAAAGAGTGCCCAGGCCGCCGCATCTCGTCGAACCCGCAGGGCTGGATGACCAAGCCACTCGGAGGTCCGTATACTGGTGCTGTAGACTTGTCAGCACCGAGGACTATCATACTTTCATCCCGGAGCGCTGTTGCCCGGGCCGTAGAAGAGGCTGGGTGGGGCGGACCGAACATCCGTGGACGATGCATAAAACGCGGCTTGGCCTCGTCCACAATCCTCCAACCCTCCTCTCAAACTCACAATGGCGGTAAAAGCACCAACTGTCAAGCTCAATAATGGTCTCGAAATGCCCATCATCGGGCTCGGTCAGTCCTCACTCCTGACGACATGACGCAGGACTGATGGTCAATATAGGAACATGGCAATCACCAAAAGATCAGGTCATTGCGGCAGTAGAATATGCACTCAAAGAGGGTGGATATAGGCACATTGACTGTGCATTCGTACGTCCTCGCTCGTCGGCGTTTCCGCCACTAACCACTGACGGCAGGCGTACGGTAACGAAGATGCAGTCGGTGAGGGGATTCGACGATCCGGCGTTCCACGGGAAGAGATCTGGGTCACATCAAAGGCATGGCCTACATATCTCAACCGCGTCGAAGAGTGTCTCGACCAGACATTATCCAACCTCGGACTCGACTATCTCGACCGTACGTACTCCAAGCTCATAAACTCTCTTTTTCACATCTTTTAGTCTATCTCATTCACTGGCCCATACATCTAAACCCATCGGGTAACAATCACCTCTTCCCGACCCTCCCAAACGGCGTACGAGACGTGATCCACGACTGGCCACTTTCCGAAACCTGGTCACAGATGGAATCCCTCGTCAAAAAGGGCAAAGTTCGCTCCATCGGCGTCTCCAACTTTTCCGAACTCAAGCTCAATGAGATTCTACCGACTGCCACCATTATCCCCGCGGTCAACCAACTCGAGCTTCACGTGTACAACCCACAAAAAAAGTTGCTCAAGTTTATGGAAGAAAAGGGAATCAAGCCTCAGGCGTACAGTCCACTCGGCAGCTCAAAGTCACCCTTGATGGCCGACGAGACGGTGGTCCAGATTGCGAATGCCAAAGGTGTAGAACCGAGTGCAGTTCTTCTCGCCTATTTGGGTACGTTCATCCTTATACATTGGCCAACAACTCACCTTTTTCGACAGTCGCAAAGGGGATCACAGCGCTGCCCAAGTCTGTCACTCCTCAGCGTATTGCAGACAATTTGTCCAAGACGATCAGCGTATCGTTTACTCCCGAGGAATTCGAGCAGCTGGATACGCTTGCGGAAAATGGAAAGCAGCAGCGCTTCATCAAGCCTCCCTGGCCAGTCAAACTTGGATTCGAGGACTGGATCTAGATGCTAAGTCGTGTATTCATCTCTCCTTGAATCGAATCGCCTGCCGTCTATCTATATCTTTTTTCGCGCTATTTATTCTGAGTCGCTCGGCTATATATGGCGCCTTACTATGATCTGCCTAACGTAATTTTGATCCGGAGAATATCTTTCGAATAGTTTACGAATTAGGTAGGAAGCAGGCGACCCAACATTGGCAAACAAAGCAAGCACCTTGTCTCCGACGTCAACCTTTTGATCACTATCAACGACGTCAGTAAAGGAGACGCTACTTCCAAAGCAAACATGAACTCGCGTCGTAACGTTGGATTCTCGTCGCGAAGACCGTTGCCTACGATCAACGAAGCGCCATCGACCTCACAACCCAGCACATCGCCCAATACGAACCCCCATACGTCAAATAGCAGCGTCTCTAGTAGTCTAGAGAGGAATTCGAGTGGAGGGACATACGGCAGCGCACCATTTGCTCGCACAAAATCTTCGCCAAACACGCAAAGTAGGCCAAATGCGAGTGGAAGAACAGCTTCGAGTCCACTCTTGTCGACACCAATGGTCAAACCACGCCCACGCACGTCGAAAACATCGCAGAAGCACGTTCAACTCCCCACGGCCGCGCAAGATGCACCTCTCCCTGCGATCCTCGAATCACCAGACCGTTTACGAATACGAAGTGATGGCGAAGATGACGCGAATGAGTTTGGTACGCCTATTGGGGAAGGCGAAGAGGAGTGGGGTGGGGAGAGGGACGGCGAGGAGAGGAGGGGTCGACATTTTGGTGTCAAGGGAAGTCATCCTTCGGGACAAGGAATGGGGGTCGTAGAGGATGATATTTGGAAACGCACATTGGGCGAAACCCTCACGCCAGAGCAGCGTGACCAGATGGGCTACCAGCGCTTGACGGCGTATTATTGTGCGGATGAGCTCCGCATGAGTCTGCTTAGTACATTTCTCAAGCGAGAGCATGCGGTTTCCCCACGGTCAGACTCACCTTGGCGTAGTTCAGTCATACTGACGCACTGGATAGACTCTATGACGACGCGATCTATGCACTATATCATCTTCCGCTTCTACCGGGATATCAACCAAACGTCAACATTCGCTCTTGTATCACCGACAAGGCGGCTCAAGCCAAGCTCGTCCTCTCGCTTATCACAGAAGCCGAAGAGAGTGGGTACAACGAAGCCTACTTTCCTTCGAGTGTCCTGTGAGTACTCTCCACTTATTCCTTCATAACTATGGCGGTCTCGACTGATTGGCGTGGTGTAGAGCGAACGTGTCAACAGGAAGTGGAACCACCACACCCGTGAACCGCGATGGGTTTATCGACACGGCCATCCCGCCCGCTGCAAATCTCAACACTCTTCTCGCCTCAAAGGCTCTCCATCGAGATCATGGGACGTTTTCGACGCAAAGAGACCCCGGGATACGCTCTTCACCTGCTCTCTCCTCACATGCCAAGAGACGGTTTCCAAGGGCGCATATTGCGCAACGAAGGCTCTTAGGTGTCGAAGATCATCCCGTTGCTGAAGCCATCTTCTTTCGGTGCGGCGTACCCCTTGTCCGTAACTACTCCCGAGACGTACGACTGACGTGAGGTCACAGGTATGGAGTGGTCGTGTTCTTTGGCTTTACACAACACAATGAGCTTGATATCTTGGACGACCTCATCAAGCAGGGTGTCATGATCGGAGAAAAGAAGAGTGGCGAGAAAAAACAATACGAGATTGAAAGCTTTCATTTCGAATATGACCCTGCGGCCCCGACTCCGAGGATATACAACGACTTCTTTAGTGAGTTCTGGCTTATTCACGTCATTCTCGTCGGGTGCTCACCACTGCTACTCCTCTTCATATTCCCTCGCGTCTCCTAACTGATCCTAGCGTTCAAATCCCCCTCACATTTGCTCAAGCTGGCCATCGCCCACGCGATTGCCCAGTCTACGGTGCTATCAACGCATGAGACAGCATCGTCGAATCTGCTATCCTCGCCTCTCACACAGTCGATTCTCACTCAACTCACAACGAGCGGAATCATCAAGATGAAACGAAGGGTGGCGTTGCGCTTGACAGGTGAGTGGCGTGCTGTCATTCCTTCTTCTTGGATTAGTCGCCTGTCTGTCTCGACTATACTTATACGTTCCCAGGCCAGTTATTTCAGATGCGACAAAATGTCAACCTGTCGTCCAATGTCTTGGACGTTCCTGAGCTGTTCTGGTCAGAGGCGTCGCTCAAGGGTCTCTACGATGCCGTGAGAGAGTATCTAGAAGTCGATAAGCGTGTGAAGAGCCTAAATGAAAAGTTGGCGGGTATTGGAGATTTGGTACGTTAATATTTATTGCCTAGGCTCGAATGCTGATTTCTACATAGCTTGATGTTATCCACGATCATTTGAATAACGACGCTATGGAGCGGATAACACTCATTATCATCTGGTATCCGTACTGGATTTCCATAGACGCGGTGCTGATACAAGGAATAGGTTGATCGTAGTGGCGTGTTTGGTCGAAGTGGTAAATACATGCCCTACATATCGCGGTCAATGCGAGTTCAAGTGGGCCTTTACTGACGATGGGCTTTAGGGTGAGCTCATGGCCCGATGGATTCTCGCGGCTTCGGCATCGTCAAGACTCCGGGCTCAAATTCTGGCGAACCGCGAGCAGGTACTGAAGATACTTGAGAATGCGAATGTGTAGTATGCTGCACTTGTCGTACAAGAAGGATAAATGGCGCTTGGGCGCAATTATAGTTGAGTCGTGTTCATATAGATCCCGGTGTAGACAATGTCGTCGCTCCCGGTGTAACCATAGTTCATCTCGCCCAACGGAGTATACAGAGCGTCGCGAAACCCAAAAGCGCCTCGTCAGCGAAGCTTCTCATGAGAAATAATATATCAAAAGAGAGTTTTACATTATCCGATACGGCATAGCGTCGTAATCTGTATCAAAATTTACTCATGCCTCATAAGGACGACGACTTTCTCCTGCTTTTATGAGCTACGACCAGCGGCCCGCAGCATGCGATTGACGCTGGGGCTATATGACATTCCCAATAAGGAGATTTTCTGAAATTTGTCGCGTTATAGACTCTGTCTGACTTTGAATATCGACGCACGCACGACGAACCCCGACCCTGCCTAGGACGAGCAAGCGTGCGACGAGCTTAGACATCAATGTAGCCTCAAGAGTACAGAGCGTTAGATGTTCCTTCCGATCCCAAATAAAGCGAAAAGCTCCAAAGACTACAACTACAATGACTCCATTGGACTCAAGCCATTCACATCGATACCTAGTCCTTTTTTTATCCAACTTCTGTATGGATATTGACTGCGTATGTACTGTAACGCCCTCGCGCCCGAGTAGCACGGGCCAGCCAGAGTCCCCCGGAGCTAGGTAGCTAGCTTCTTACACTCAGGTTAGTCTATTATACTCTATAAGCAGCGCAACAGCTCCGCTCTATTTCATCTCTCTCACTTTGGTTTCGACCCCATCCTTCCCGCGTTTCGTCTCGCGCTCTCGCGCGCATATAAAGCTTGTAATAATCGACAATAATGTGCATAAGAAGAATTCCAACTACTTTCCCTTTCATCGCTCGCCTGTCGAGGCCTATTTCCCTCTCGCCCCCATTCCCTTCTTCCAATCTCCCGTTATTCATCCTCGCCGCAACAAGCTTTCACGCTTTTCAGTACTCATAGTGTTCAACAGGGCACCGAGGCAAGATAACAGCCATGTTCAAGGTCACGGCCGGGGTGGAAATGTACCATGCTAGGTGTAGGCTCGCGTGTCTACTCTGTACGACGCTTCTACCTCGTGCGAATCAAGGACTTTTCTTCATCGCTTTGGTCCTTGTCCTAGTTATTATCTCCATTCGCTGCATTGTTCTCGTTCTGTCCCTTACAGCCCTCTGACCGTCGTCACTCCTTTGCCCCTATACCTGAGTCAGATGCCTTCCGCTCGTCCCGATTTACATCCTCAATTCCTCCATTCCTTCCGATATATTTCCACGTTCTCTATATAGCTCGTAGTACTTGACTGTTCTCCGATCCCAGGAGTAGACTTGTACTCCCTTGTAACCGTCCTCAATATACACGCGTTACATAGGTTCTTTTTCGTCTAAAGTCGAATTTATTCATTATTCCTCGAATACAAAGTCTCGACTCGACGTTCATAACGTCTTTGTTAGCATAGCTAGTTATTTTTATTCACGCTCACTTGGAGTGTCTCGCCGATGGCGGTGCTACCTCACTCGGTTTGTTAACGAACACCGTTTGAGGTATGCTCACTGATCGCTTACACGCCACCGGAATACTCATAAAATTACACTAACTAAATTCCATTGTTCGTTAGGTAGTGTATTTGACTCGGTTTGCTAACGAACACCGTTTGAGCTAACTTCCATTGTTCGTTAGCCAATAGTCTTCACTCTCACCAAAAACCTTACACTAGGCTTGCCAGGGCGGGGTGCGGGCGCGACGAACAAGGAGTGATTATCATTCCAAGTTTAAAGTGATGAGTGCGACTAGCCTCATTCATTGGAAAGCATTGACTACAAGGTCGATAATCTTCGTCCACACCCCCAGAGCCATCAGTCGGCCTGTGCTTCGTCCCGGTGGTCGTGTCTCCATCTCAAGCGTAGAGCAGCCTCCAAAAGTCTGAAAGATCGCTGGGCCACCTTCTGGGCCGCAGATGATGCCCTGCAGGGCCGGCGGTCACAGCGCTCAGTCGAATTAGCTGGTCGGGGTTTGAGCTCACCCAAAGTCCGACTGGACCGTTCAAATCAACTAGGGCGAAATTGACCTAACCGGTCCCTTGTTGATTTGACTGGGTCGATATGAACAGGTCCCAAGTTGTTTTTTGACAAACTTTTTGTCCAAACTGGCGATTGGCCCCATCGCGATGCTTTGAGTAGAACGCAATAAAACCCAGAATGATCTTACAGCACGCGCAATATTGCAAAGAGACCTCAATATCGCAGCCTATCTATTGCCACTCCGGATCATCGTGGTGGTGCTGAGATCCCAGAAATACCCTTTATATCACAAAGATCGTTATTAATACATTGTAAGTATAATCAGCAGCAACAACAGAGAATGGTTGTGGCCCCTCGCTTTGCAACAGTAAGGAACGGCACAAGACCTGGTACTATCCTCTTCTGGAACCGACATGAATGACGATTAAATACTAATTTTATGCAATGTATACGAAATTTGAAGCCCTATATGAAACTGCCTTGACACCTTAAATTTCTTGCCTTGCTCTGGGTAATTTCGAGCCCAGACCACAAAATACACGTTGGGCGGGCCCAGTCAGAACAACTAGGGCAAATCCGACCCAAACTTTCCTGTCGGTTCGACTGGGACCCAACCAAGGCAACCGGGCTTGATCAAATCGACTAGGCGCTGTGACCGCATTGGGATGTACGTGTAACGTTTAGCCGTGGGAAAATGGAACAAGCCGGATTCGCACCGACTTAGCCGTCAGACCACTAGACTATAGTGTCCCTCTTTTCCCTCTAAAGCATCACAGTACCTATGACCCCCGTTGCTCAGGTATTCCTAACCTGGTCGGCCGGGCTCTGACCTGTAAGGTGAGCCAATCCTTACAGTACGGGTCCTCCATGCGGCTTGTCCCTGGCCCCTTCGCCCCCCGCCTGCACAGAGGGCTGAATCTAGGACGAAAGCAATAGATGGTTAATCTTAAGATGAAAATGAATGGTAAACCTTATCTCGCAGTAACGACGAGCACCTATGTCAGCTGATTGGTCTAGGGACGCACAAGCGGAGACATACCGCGCCATATGTTGCACATGCATTGGCAGCCTCGTTCCACTCACCTGGAATATGGAGAAACTGGACGAAAAGTCCGCGCCGTTCCCAATCTTCTGGTTTGTCAAGAAGTATGGTCCAAAGATCCTGATTTTTGATGGCATCTCTAGATGATGTGGTCCACCAGTTGGTTTCCGCTTTTCTACCCGTTCGGTCGCACCTTTGAAGACATAGTCTGAATCGGTCGTGATGACTAGGCGGCAGAATCCCTCGCCGGGCAAGAAGCGGATAGTAAGTGCGCCAATAGCCGCACGGAGCTCAGCTCTGTTGGAAGTAGGCCCATGGCCCAGTGGTGAACGCTCCGGCATCAGCCTGTTTGTCTTTGGGCGCAGATCCGTCGGTAAAGACAAGGAGCAAGGGCTCGAACTCGTTGTTGGTGTGGGCCCAGCGCGCACAGGTCGATATACATATTGGGGGAGGGATTGCGGAGGGAAAACAGGAACACACAACTCGATTCATGCACCGAGATTGTCGAAGGCAGAGGATGCAGGTGAACGGCATCTGCTTCTGAATGTCAATATGTTCTAACGCCTTGTTGCTGGTTCGCCGCGCCGATCCGTAGATCCGTGGAGTTTTTATTGAAGCATATTTATGTTGAGAACTCTTGACATAGTAAGATTTGGCGAGGTAGGACTGGAATCGACGGTCAGGTGAGAGGAACGCGCAAATTTTGTCCCGTTGCCCATAGGCGACAGTAAAGACGGGGCGGCAGGAAAGTGGTTGAAAAGACTCAAGTCATACCGTATGTTCCAGGAAGCAAAGGAGCACATGGTCGCGAACGAGAGCCGAGAAAGGACGTTCAACAATTCAGAGGCAAGAGTCAACAAACGGGCCACCATATCCTTTGCATCCGAGGACAGCCCCCTTCTGGAACCATTGTCGTATGTGATGACGTCATGGAATCCCGAATCGATGACGTCAGCTGCGCATAAAGGCGTCCGAGTCAAACTTAACTTGTGCAGAGTTGGTGTCTGGAATCCAGGAGGCGCGAATAAACCTCAAATCTGTGCCGATGAATGTCATTTCCAGAAACTAGGTTTTTGCAGTTACGACCGAATTGCACAGCCACAGCCACAGCCAAGCCGAGGTCGCAAAAATAAAAACATGGAGTAGAAACACAATTAATATTGGAAGATTACATTGCCTTCGCCCTCTCAAGCTTTTCCATGATTGTATGAAGTAAACAGAGATGACCATTGCACCGCTTAGAGGCAGCTTGAGTCCTGGTTAGTCCTTATATTTCTACCTCGAATTGCCGCACTGTTTTTGGGAATACCGGCGTCGAGGGAGGAGTATTTACCGAGTCTCCTCATGGGCTGTCCTTGCGTTGCTCGTTTGGCCGCTGCGTCAGCATTATCATTGCCTTGGACGTCACTATGTCCCGGGACCCATGATGGTGATGGATAGGTGGGGTCTTGCCTGTAAGATGCTCTCAATGGCAGCCTGTGCCTCGTGGATGAGTTGTTGGTCGCTTTGTTGTCGTCTCGTTATTGCTTGTATAGCTGCTTGGTTGTCGAGCAGTATGTTGGCTGTTGTGGCATGTTGTTACGGACCAGCCCGCAAGACCCATGTCATCTGGATGACTCGTATATGTCAGTATGAGTCACGAAGAACGAGGATAGTCACTTACCTGACTCACGATGCGCGGCCGGCCGTGGCCAGCTTTGGCCACTACGAGCGGGAGCTTGTATGTGGACGGCTGCGCACGACTCGCCCGTATCAAGAGTCATCTCTATACGTGACTCGTTATATAGATGACATGATATAAGATGTCGGATCGCTGTCTCGTCTCGGACTCCTCTTGTCCCTTCCTCCAACTCCCGCCAACCCTATGCCCTCCAACGTAGTCCCGCTACCGACTACTGGTTCCGAAATAATGCTTACATAAGCTTATCGAAAGGTATAAAAGGACCCGATTTTCCATGTAACATTCGCTAGTCTGATATCTGACTCCCTCGCCCAGTTTACGCGTCATATTACAGTAACTAAGTACCTCACTTCGAGGAATAATCTAAAGTAAACCATTACTAGACCTGTCGTGACCCTACTCGGGACTCCGCCAGTCAGAAAGACGTGGGTATCGTCTTTAACAAGAAGTCAAACCGCGAAGCGGCAGCAAGCGCCGAGTCGTGCGGATTTACGGAATTGAAATGTCCTCAATGTGTTTGTCTCAGAGCGCGAAAATGATTGCTCATTGTCCATATTTCAAGTCTAGGGTGAGCCCGTCGAGAATTTAGGTCTCGAATTAGTTCATAAGATACAATTAGCGTCAAGTAAGAAATCAACTTGAGTAACACGTCACCCACGGGTGGTGAATGTCACCCGCACTTGCCCTCGACTTGACCGCTTCCTCGAACATGTCGCACCACTCGCAATATCAGAGGAACGACGTATTCGGGCCCTCACATGTGTAGTAGGTACACGTGAGTTCGCCAGAGCGACTACTGTCCGTTCACCATTCTAAACCAGCGATAGACAGAGCGCTCACAGGATCATAGATGGTCAGGCTTTCAATAGCTTTTGCCCTTTCCCGTCCTATAATCTCACTCGGCTGACTTTTTTGTATGAGAAATTCGTCACATGAATATCCCGCTTCAGATGGCTCCTCCAATTGCCGGTTTCGATAGGTAACTTTTCATGATCGATTGACTTTGATTATGAATATTCATTTACCGAGTCTTTGCTACAGAAGACGTATGTGATATGCGATGTAAAGCTAAAGGGTAAACAAACGCGGTGAGCGCGCAAGGCAATTACCTCTGAATTGTCAGTACAATCTGCTGGCAGAGAACGGGCGTCTCCAAAAATGCTATTCTCGTTGGATCCGGTCAGTCAAGGCGCATGGGCCAACACTGAATCTGCATGATTCAAGGGCCCTGCTCCTGGCAATAGAATACTGAGTGCCCAACACACTGCCAAGTCACTCAAGAATAGCTCAAGCGAGGCTTCTCAGGGCCTTGCTTCTCATTCTACCGAGCCGGCTTTTTCGAAGAAGTGCATTGAAGCGAGGATTGTGGCTGAGTTGTGCATTGCTGCACCATGGTATACGTCTGGAGAGCACCCTGCAGCTGATAGCCACGACTTTGGGACCATGTGTATAAACTTCCAAGCGTGACTCCTAGGCAGCCCAAACTGCAACTCCCGGGCTTCTCGTCTCCCTGACCAGAGGAGACAGAGGAGCACACAAAACCTTCATTTTCTTCATACAAGACTACTCCAACCGACAGAACAAGCAGCAGACGCTGATCGCATGTAATGTGTGGGACGTCCGACTTTGGATGTTATCCGCAACTTTTGACCGCTAAATTGAGCTCCAGCCACGTATCCAAACCAGACACAGACCGCATAGATCTTCAGAGGTCTATGTTACGCGTCGATCTGTGCACCAACCATGCTTCTGGGACGTCACAGAGCCGCTGACCAACGGCGTGTTAAAAACGAGCGGCGTTAGAGACTCACTGTATGTACCAATAATAATCCCTTGCTGACATAAACTGAAAACATCCGCACGTTTTTCACTGCACCTGCCCTACAAGGCTCTGTCGCTCTTCAAACGACAAGGCAACCTCCTCCCATCACACGCTGCCCTGACGTCATCGCGGTCCTGAATGGCACAGACACAAAGAGTCGAATCACTGGCAAGACGATCACTCGCAGGCCTCGCCTGCGCGAGGCGGTCAGCGAGCTCATACGCCCAGCCGATAGGGTCAAGATTGCAGTCAACAATTGGATACACGACTCCCATGCCTCGCAAAATGATCCTCATATCACGTCTTCGCAACCTATCGCCGATCAAACCAACTCCCAACGACAGACTGCATCCGCCCAGACCACCACTCGACCACGAGCAATAGGAGAATTCCGATCTCTGTGTACGGGAACTTATCCCAACCAGATGATGACCCGCATCTTACACTCAAGCAGCCACCCGTGGGGACTCATCCTGCCTTTCCCATGAACAGACCCGAAAAGCTTGGAGATTTCATCTGTTCTCCTTCTATGCACTCCCTCTTCGATGCGTCGACGCTCGTCCACTCTCATGGTGCGATCACGGATCACCTTACAAGCACACCAAGCCAATCGCCGACTAGCCGAGGATGGAACTTCACGGGCTTGGTACGTAGAGATACATCGCGAAAGGTTTGCGAGGGCCCGTATTCGATCAAGGCATCTATTAGAAGGAGGATGGCGATGAAGATGTACGTCTGTCCTTTGTCGGTTTAATACCATTGACCAGGTGACACGCAGGTCGCCACCAAAGTCGTTAGGCGGATTGGACCTCATCATGCGATACGAGGGGTACGTAGACCCACGCACCCATCCGATACCGAGTTGGATCCGCCTTTGGCCGACGGTTTGGCCACCCTGTGGGACATTTTTCGAGCGGTGCTCGGACCGTGATCCCCGATGTCACCCTACTGCCTCTGAATTGCGTGAATGGTTAACCGAGTGCGAGGATGCGATCGTCAATAAGCTTGAGGATAAAACGTAGAAGAAACCTTTATTCCCCAGCCAAGCCTCAACCCTTTCCTCTTTTTTTCGGACCGTTCTCTGTGCGGTCGCCTTACTGTTTGCGAGATGCCTTAATTTACGTTGTCTCTAACTTACTCGTCAAGGGTCCGGCGTGGATAGACACCGTGTTTCTTTAGACTCTGTCTGTATTTTTCTCAGCGGTAATATCAATAATTATCTGTACAATCCGAGAAAATTTGCATTGGCATCAGACAGGCATCATGCGAATCGGCCGTCGGTTCTGTGGTTGAGGGGCTCAGTCAAAACTGAGGCGTGGCGCGGCGTCAAGCATATGTCGAGTCAAGAGATACAAAGACTGATATCACACACACACATATATATATATATATATGTATCTAGAACAATAAGTCTATCCTTACGTAACGGTGATGCCACCTGATCAGAGAAAGTCGTGCTCCAATGAGGAGACGTCGGAGGATCATACATTATCCAAGAATCTGATTGGGACACAAACCCTGTGGTAGGATCCGTGGTGGAGAACTGGGTTATCCATTCATTAAATGGAATGCTCGTGCCAGTCAGGGGAACAGTGGAACTTGTTGTCTCGGAGAAGCTCGATCAATTTAAGAGATGTAGATTGGTTTCTTATCTTTAAATTAATTGACTTTGAGGACGAAACGAGGGAGCAAAGCAGTTGAAAAAGAATTTCTACGAAAATCACTCCAAATGAACAATACTGTGCGGATCCCTTGACGTCCGTCTCGAGATCGATTTTGGGCCATAAATCCTAGGATAGATTGAGAGCTTGATCGTACAGTTGGCTGATGATTGGCAGGGTGAATTCACAGTGGGTAGTAGGAGATGATCGACTATTGGGGCCCGGATCAGTCGCAATAACCAACAAACTACAGGCCGTCCAGCGCAGAGCAACAATCGGCATCACCGGCGCACTCAGAACGACCGCGGGCGACACACTCGACGCTCACGCCGTTGCACAATCCCAACCATTGACGCGATCATTGACCCAGCTGAAGAGCGGAAAGTCGGACATCATGTCCTCATTGGAGCCTAATTACTATATACCCCTTTACTTATTTATCATAATCTGAGGGAAATACTGAAGTAAGCGCGTTGCCGTCTCTTCGCCATCTGCAAGTCAAGTCGGAGTTTGCGGAGCATCCTGGGGTATGTGGAATCATCCATACCACCGCATGCACTGTTATCTCCTCCAGTATCTTGCAAGCTGAATCATCTCCGCAGCTAAGGGTCCTGACACATGGGGCGGCAGGTGGCGACCTGTCCGATGTGCGTTGGACGTGATGACTCGCCTCAGCACGAAAACACCATCTGTTTTCCTTCTGATATTGGTTTGTTTATCCAAACGAGTGCCATCCCATTCGCCCTGTACTCTTAGGTGCTCGTTGGATGCTCGTCGTTTTTACCTCTTCACGAGGAGAGTAAGAGCGAGACTGAGACCGCCCGTCCGATTCTGTCACTATATTTGGGGCTCTGGTGAGCTCGCGATATACAGGAGCTTAATAGGCCCAGTGATATTGGCAATCGCATTGCCCTGTTCCTCGCGGTCGCTTTTGTTGCTGTCAGCGTCCTCCTCTTCCTCGTTTAGGTCGCTGCGCCCCTCATTGGACTGGGCGATCACGTTGACTGGATAAAGACTTACCATGACTTCAATCGATTCAGCGAACAAGCCACCAGCTTTTATGTGTGATTGATTTCCAAGACGTTGACACCAAAAATTTGTTTGCGTGGTAGCTGCAAGGATATTCGGAATCGAGCCGCCATGTGGCAGCTCAACGCTGGGATCGTGGAAAATCGACTTCAAATAAGGTCAATCGCAATTTTGACCGTTGAATCGACACCCTAGATATAAATGTCTGCATCTTGTTCAGCTCGCCAAGGGGGAAAACTAAGAGCATTTATTTTGTAGATATTTGGATATATAGCAAGAACATTGTCTAGAACGCAAGCTGCGCGCATTGACCAAGAAATCATTGACCATGCATCTACGCCACGCGGGTAACAAACGTAGTCGTACGCGTAACAGGCGTCGCATAGCTCGTGATAACGGTGGTAGGCTGAGCATCATATGCCGTGGTCGTGTAGGGCGTGTAGTTGACCACTGTCGTCGTATAAGCACCAACGACGGTTGTAGAGCCAGGTGCTGCAGACGGGTAAGGAGAGTCGGTCGTATACGCGCCAATGTCCACTGAGCTCGTTGTCACTGGGATGAACCCAGTCGTCGGGGACGTGAGCGTTTGGTAGTCGACGATCGTCGTGGTCACGACTTCAATGTCTTCTGAATTGGTAGAGAATGTGTCAACGGCGATGGATGTCGTTGGGACTGGATAGGTCGCCACGGATGTGGTTGTGAGAAAGTCGATATCGCTTCCGGTGAGCGTAATGAGGCTTGGGGAAGGAATGCTCGTGGTAAAAAGTTGAGGAGAGCCAGTGGTCGTAGTGTATGGCCTGGCGATTGTAGTGAGGATCACCACGGGCTGGTAATCTGTGGTGAAGGGATCGGCAAAACTCGTCGTGCTAGTGTAGATGGACAATGTGAAGCTTGTGCGAGTGAATGTAATAGGAACCAAGGCAGTGCCTGTACCAGGTTGGTACACTGTCGTCGTTTGAGTAACCGGGAAGTATTCCGTAGTTGAACCTGTGAGGGGGACATCCACAGTCGCCGTACCAGTGAGAGGTACTGGATAGCTCGTAGACTCGATGACTGGTACAACAAGGGTGGTGCTTGTCGTGACCATGCTAATACCACAGTGCACCGAAATGCACCGATGTGCACCGGAGAATGCACTAGAGTACACCAATATGCACTAAGTCGCACTAAGTTGCACCAATTTGCACCTAACTGCACCGATTTGAACCAACTACACATAAGTTCTGATGAATTCTGTCCGAGTTTGCTCTCCATATACTTTCTCCGTTTCTGATTGCTTTGACCGCTATGATCATTGCCACCATTGCATTGGTGGACCTGGAAAGACGCTTGGTGCTTGCCTTCAGGGCGCAGCGCTTCACCATCCTCGCACAATTTCTCCGTACTAGGTTCACTTCTCATTCATATTCTTCTTGTTAGGTACCCTAACAATTCACCTCCATGCGTCATCGACCTTCCAAGCCGCATCTTTGTTCCATCTCCATTTTGCTTGTCAATATTGTCTCACGGATCCCCTTTTTTGCTCTTCAGAATCTCCTTACATCTCCCTCGTTTTCACTGACGAGCGCCTATCTAAACTGCCTGTATTTTTGGTAGTTTTCTGCATGTTGTTCTTTCCGCGTTCCAAAGTCCCTCTCATCGTCGTTTCCCACCTCTCTTTGTCTCCATCCCACTGAAACCTCCAGCCCATCACTTACACGTTCACCGCAGCTTCAACTCAATTCGCGAGAGAGTTGCCAATAACGAAATCCGCGTTGCTCATGTCCATGTCCCTGAACCCGTCAATGTCGCGGACATCTTCACCAAGCCACTAGACTGTGTCAAGTTTGAACAGTTTGTCAAAATGCTTGGCGTGATTCCTCATCCCTATGTCCATGCGTAGTTCACAAGCTAAAGTCATACGGTCAGGGGGTCGTCGTGTCGAAGGTTTCCCTTTGAATCTTGGCGCTCATTGGTTAGATTAGGCCAAACATGATAATTCCCTTTGTATCTAGTCTATTTTGGGGATGCATGACGACGGTGTGGCTGGACCTTACTGGTCTTGCCTCTCACCTCACGCGCCCTGGTACGCATTAACAGAAGCCTCATTGGTCACTCCATTCACAGTGCTCTCAGAGAACAAGTAGTTGACGGCAAATCGGACAGTATTCAATCTTATTCGTCACTTTTCACATGCTCAAAGACCCAAAGCGCCTCTGGAGTAAAATGCGTGGGGACATTCTTGTTCTCATCGTCCGAAGGCTCCCTATTGAGCTTCACCTACGAAATGATCAGTCTTTAGATCATTGAGGAGCGCAATGTGCTTACGGGTTCCTTCTTGTCGGCGCTGCAAAGCTCCCAGTGACCCTTTCTTCCTGGCTCATAGATGCTAGAGTAAGATTATGAGATTTAGATGATGGTGACCAAAGGAGTAACATACGCATAAAGGATGCGAGGATCCGATCCGATCAAAACTGGCTGCAGGAACCAGTGAACACCTTGAATGGAAGGATTCTCTACGCTGATATAGAAACGCTTGGAGACCTCGGTGACTGGGCCTCCAATGATAGCAGGTGCTCCGGGTTCAACAGTCTGGAGGGTATGCGAATTGTCAGAATTGAGAGTAACGTTCCACTGCATATTTATCAGACGGCACAGGTCGCAATCTTTGTCAGAACGTACGACGAGCTCCTCGGACTTTGAGTTGCCTTTGGCTCCCAATGCACCCTCGTCGTCGCGGATGGCTCCAAACTTGACATTTCTGATTCTGTATTTTCCAGAGTTGACGATGGGAATAAGAGCCATTGTGGAATGTGTAGTCGAGGGGGGTTCCTATGTGACACAGAGCAGCAATATCCAAAGTCTTCGTGCTTTTATAGACTTAAGAATCGCTATAGTATGGCTAGACCACATTTTGCGAGCGCCATGCTCCCGTCCTCTTCAATTTCCCACACCTGGCGCCGAAAAGAGAGGCTGCATTCATCTTAAGCCACAGAGCCGCGTGATTGCCTTGGCAATCTTGTCCTATATTCAAAGTTCTTTGGAAGGTAGTTCTCGTAGACTTTGAGATCCAGTAAGCAATTTTGGTCATGTAACCTCTACGAAATGCTTACATGATACATATTGGTAGTGCTGGATGCTGGCGATGCTGGCAGCTGTCAAGGGACTCACCCGGGGCCGATGCACCTCCGTAGGCCTTTGCACCATTTCAATAGCCCAGTCGTTGTAGGATGATTTACTCCGACCATCCGTCCTCTCACTTTGCGCACCCACTTGGGTGCCTGGCTGTTAGCGCCAATAGAGTGCCAGTTACCGGGAATGGTCTAGATTGGTTGAATCCATGACTTGCGCTTCGGCTTCTCCCAATTGTTGACACTACAGATGATACTGTGGATAGAAGAGTCCCCCATCACAACTTCGCTGTTTTTGCAGGGGATCATTGTAAGAAAGTGCCTAAATTCGCTACGGCTTTTGCTTGTTCCTGGTTCAGCCCTCTTGTTGTCTTGAATGTCGTGTGCTGATGATAAATTATATCTTCAAAGAGTAGAATTTCGTAACCTGTTGTCGTGTAGGCTTAATGTTCTGGTATGAATGTAGGGAAACTGCTGCTCGGGACGGGCTTAATAGGGGCAATGGTTCTATTCAGCTGGACATACATGCAGATAGCTATGATCAACCTTGAGATGGCACCCTTGCCCTTGCTGACAATCGCGAAGGCCGGAGCCAGCATTTGGTACGTACCAGTTCACGGAGTACACGTTTAGCGTGGGATTGACCAGTACCGGTAGTATGACAGGAGATAGCACTGTATCTCTTCAGTGACTTCATCGGGGCAAAGACGGTCGCCTTGTGGTCCCAAGTGGAAGCAAGGCGACTTCTCTGGAGAGCAGAGCCTTTCATCGGCAGTATACCACGTACTTAGGTCTGCAGTTTGAGTTGAACTCGATATAGAAGTGCGACTTTGCAGGAAGATGGTGATCAAGATTCCCTTGACGTGAGCCTCGCTTGATTTATGACACACTCGCACTCACATTGTATACGAAGGCAAGTATACAGTACTATTTGACCACCAACGTGGTAAGCGACCTCTCTCAACCAATCCAATGGGACCTTCGTCAATAGTTTATTGGATCATTAGTCCAGCCATTCATTGGTCTAGCCAGCAGAGTCCCCTCCAAGGTCTTACTAGTAGTACAGGCATCTGGCATTGCCAGCTGGTCGCGTCGGGTCGTATCTTCTTGCATAATCAGGGAAACGTTAGGCTACCCGTGCCGGGAAAGGCCCCGGAGTTGAGGGCGGTTGGCCGTTTGCTCTTTGGCTTAAAAGACGGAGAATGCTAAACTGCGGTCGATTTGATTGGTGGTCGAGAAGGTATCCGCATTGCTGCTATCTGTTGAGGATAGGGCCTTTATGGGGGTTAGGGTGCTCATAGGAGTCCGCACCACTCCTTAGGAGGTTATCATTGCTGACAAGAGTAGTATTGGAGCGAAGATAGGTGCCGAAGAGTTGCGTGGTTGATCCTGAAAAGGGTTGGTCGATGTTATTGGATGAAAGCCTCTAGGAAAATGAATGCTCTTCTTTGAACTGGAATAAGTCGGGAACATTTCGCATCTGACACGCACTGACTGTCAATCAAGTAACAGATGGTCGAGACCCAACGTGAGTATACTTGATACTGAGTCGGACAAGACGGCATATCGAATCTCCGAACACTCGCCTAGGAACCCCTCGCAGGCAGGCAGCTGTCGCTCTCCTCGCTGAGATCCCCCTCTGTGTGGCCCTACTACGCTACTTTTGCTTCCTTTTGAACGCCTTGAATGCTTGTGAAGTTGGTTTTGGTTTGGTGCGCGTTGTCACTCTGGTGAGTTGATTACTCCCTTTCCCTTCTGCCTGTAACCTCCCGTCCCATCTTCAGACGGCCCATCCTCCTGATAAACTTCAGTGTCTCATTGACTCCCTCCTTTGTCCCAAGTATCTCCGATAGCTCTCTCGTCTTCTCCCTCAGCGCTCCTTCCCATTCAGCTCGTGCTGCATTGTATGCAGGGCAGATGTGGAGGAGATGGGTCACGTTTTCTGCGTTTCCCTCTCCGCAGTGTGGGCACCATGGTGCGTCGGCTCTGTTGATGCGATTCAGGTGCTTGTTCAGTCCGATATATCCTGTACGCAGCTGAATAAGTATTGCTGCCTCTGCTCTCATTAGCTCGTCTGTGATTTGGAGGTATTTGCTGGATGGCATTGATTCATCGATGGTCTTGGTTCTGTTGTACTGTGCCGATGATGTCCACTTATTGCGTGCTGACTTCTTTGCTGCAAGTTTGAGCTCCTGTCTAAGTGCCGAGATATTCCGTGGAAGGGCGTCCTTCATCCATGGTGGGAGTATTTCCGCTGTTGATGATCCGTCTGTGATGGCCTTCTTGGCCTCTTCGTCCTCTGTTTCGTTTCCTTTGATCCCTTCGTGACCTGGTGTCCACGTGAGGGAGGCCTTATATACCTATTCTAAGTGGCAGTGAGACTGGGCCCACAGCTGGAGCACTGTGAGCCCAGTTACATTACTAAGCTTGACATGAAATGAGATTGAAGGATGGCAAGTGTATTTGGGCATGGGTATGACTAGGGCTGCCGCAGCATAATTCTTACCTAGTCATTTTAGGGAGTCTGTCAAATTCTATGAAAATTGGGATAAGGGAACAGTGGAGCTGGAGGCGAGTCTAAACAATATTTGTGAATCATACTTGTGTATCAGCTATCCCACGTCCCAGAATGGCACCACTTCCAAGTCCTCCTCAGAGGAGCCAGCTTGCAAGGATTCTACTCAAATGAATGAAGAAGACATGGAGAATCATGGAAACAAAGAAGACGGCAATACAGATGGCAAAAGTAGTGACAGCCCAGAGAGCAAAAGTGAGGCCGAAGATCCAACGCCACCAGCAGCCACCTCCAAACCCATCTCCACGCCAACCCAACCAAGACAAGGCTTCAGCATTGATCGTGAGCCGGGATCCAATGACAAACCTGATGCACGTGGTGCCAGTGCACTGGCAAGCATGGCCGCCGTCAACAGAAGCCAAGTGTGTAGATGTCGCTATTCTTGCATATGCTCATTGGTCGACATGCACAAGTGGCCAAGTTGATCAAAGTGAGGGTGGCCAATCCAATGTTATCCAACTCGCTACAGATTCAAGATGCACAGACAATAAAGAAGTCAAAGTCGAAGTCCAGGAAGGGAAAAGAGAAGGCTATCAAGAATCAGAAGAGACAGACGACAGCTCACCTAAAACTGTATGTACCCTTATCTGAACTTGTTGAAGGTCTACCTTTTAACCACCAATCTTCTAGGAGATAAAGCAAAAGGGTCAAGCTGCTGCTTCTACCTCATGTATACGTCTCTTCCAACCATTGCTTACTTGTCTGATCACTCGGCATATGTACATGTACTCATTTGTCTGCAGACTAAAGCTCTAAAGGAAAAAGAACTAGAGAAGGAAAAATTACGTCAATTTATTGAATAAACTACAACTACTGATGATATACACCTATTCAGGGGGTCAAAAGCTCGTGAGAAAGTACGTTTCTCATAGTTCCACTCTAACTATTGCTGATCATCTACAAGCTTCCTCGTGATGAAGAGGATATTGAATCCGACCCGACCCGAAAGAGAGCAAAAAAGGTTGCACATGCGGTCCATTCACCTGAGAGGGTCCAACCTCCCCACCGCAAGCCTTGAAAGAGCGTTCCCAAACCCGAACCCTTTCATGTACCTTACAATAGATGACAATTGCGATTTACAGTGTGCGTTCACAGTTTGTTGTAAGGGAGCAAAACTGGACCTGAGATCAACCTGGAACTGGATCCATTGCACCCAGTGGCCATTTTTCACCCAGTTCCATCGTGGTGGGCTGGACCTGGACAGCGCCGGCTACATGGATCAATCCAGTGTGTCATACTGGTATACCAGTGTGATATATTGGAGCAGAATGGAAATGGTTCGAGTCCAGTGCGGTAGTCCTCGTTCCCACAGTGCTTCCTGCCTCAAATAGTTACTGGTACACAATATTTACAGTATTAGAATCGAGGAATCTATTCAAATTCGATATAACGTACATTGTAGCGCTAGGCCGACACCTTGTGAGTTGGTCCTAACGCAGTTCGGCTGATAGCACAATCTAGACGTATTGGGATCAATCCGGACGACGTATATCAACTCAATAGGCTATTTCGTATCATCAAGGCACTCTTTGAGCACCTTTACTGACATTAAGCCATACAAGCTGTGCTGGCGTAGCCGGTCGATATGGAATGATTTAGCTAAAAAGTACGCCTTGGATTACTCTATATTACTCAGTACCGACCCTCCAAGGTGGGAGGAAAACATATCAAACCCTTCTGAGGATACTCTCAGCGTTTTCTGACGAGTTTTGACGTGCATAATACCGCTGGTTGATGAGCTCTAGTGTTTTAGGATTCTTGTGTAACTAGCAGTTATCCAGTACAATTAAAAACCTCGAATTATACACTATTGGATCGTATGGGATCATGCGAGCAAGTAATAAGTGCTCAATGAAGCGATGGAAGCTGCCATAATGCCTGGCATAGTTGCGAGATGTATGAGACCACCGTGAGGCGGATTTATGACGGCTGAGCCGAAAGAGGTGCGGAGAACTGGGGCTAGCTCCAAATAGTAAATGTAGGCAGTGTACCAGAGGATGCCAAAGACGGTCATATATGGATAATATAAAAATCCATATACAAACGTAACACCACTACCGATCATGCGGTGAGTGAAGCTCGGCCTATAATATGGCCGGAGAGAAGTTTTTGAAACGAATTACGTGTAGATTGGACATCTCTCTTCGTGATGAGAACATACTCCACTCTTTGCGTGACACAGACAGTCCACAGGAACCAATACCAGTGGGATGCATCCAACGTATCGCCCTTGTCAAGGTAACCCATGAAAGCTACCGTATAGAGATCAGCACTTGATCTGCAGTAAGGGACTGACCCCTTGTGCAAAATGGAGCTTTTCAAGGTGAAGGCACCTCCTAGGACCATTCAGGGATCGTAGCATGCACGAAGTCCAGAAGGGGTCATTCGCTTCTTGGCTGGAGATCAGAGGTCTCGCCTTGCTGCGGCGAGAAAGGCGGCCTGGTAGCCGCTGTAAATAAAATATAATTACAATGATGAGTTATTCCACGGGCCTTTCGAACGCTGTGGTCGCTACCCAGAGGAGAGACAACGCTGGTGAAATTGGTTAGGTTCCGCCACTGCGACGTCGTCATCGAATACCGCCCGAAATCAGCATGGGCGACACAGAGAGTGGCTGAAAAATCGCTCACCCACCTCAACCCCTTTTTGGTTATGCTCTCAGGGCAGGCGTGGCATGCGGCCAATCAGGATAACCTGGCTGGATGGCACAGTCAGACAATCGAGAGTCGCAGCAGAACGTCGCACCACGTCGAAGATGACGATTTGAGTCCCCCCATAGTCGCAGCGGAGTGGTGAAATAGCATTTCAGGCACATGCAATAGGGTCTGATTGATGAATCCCCAAGACTTTAGCCCTAAGTGAATGTGTATCGCAGAAAACGTAAAGTAGAAGATGCGCCGATATGAGAAAATACCAGGTCGTGCGCCTTCAATACTGACTCCGGGGGTGGACATGTAGAAATAAGCGCCATATCCAATTTGATATATACATAAGCGCCATATCCAATTTGATGTATACATAAGCGCCAATGAGGTCAGACGAGTCTTTATTTTGATGCCGAAGCTATATCCAGGTATCAAAATCCACCTTTTAAGGATGTGAATTCAAGCTATAGAGATGGACGACACAGACAGATACAGCTACCTAGACTGCATCTAGGCTACCTGGGAGACTATTGTAGCGTTTGGAGGGGGTGAAGTCGATTTGTGCCAGTTGAGACTATGTGTTCGGAGAACGACAGATAAAGTCAAATCAGACATGGATCGCCGGCATAAGTCACGTAATGTTCACCACTACAGACTAGGTAGTACAGTCTACTCCTCTTTTACTCCTGCTTCAAGTAACTAGACTGCTTGGTCTCAAATAGACAGAATGAGAGTGTTTACGCTCAGAAAAACTCTCCAAAGACGGGAACCGGAAAAAGGGGACGAAAGCTGACTGCCAGAAAGGGACTAAACCAGTGGCAACGGTCAGTCGACCCATGCGTTGTAAGAACTATGAGTATCATAGCCGGGAAAATGATTAATGACATGAAAAGCCGTCCGGGGTTTGTACGTTTCCGTAAACTCGCCCAGGGCTGGCGCACGAGCCTACAACTGGCGCCTGTTTCGAAAGTAATAGGCGTGGCCGCTGCTGCCAGGAGGAAATGACACAATACAATATATCACAATATGAGGCGGCGTCAATGCGGACTGCTCCCTATAAAGAGCACCAGCTCATCGACCATCGCATCATCTCAGACTGGGTCTCACCTTCACTTATATAACTCAATCACTTACTTTTCAGACCGTCTCTGACCTTCACTTTCATCTACTCTTTCTTTCTCTTCTTTTGCAACTTGTTCAGCATGCGCGTCGGTTTCTATGCCCTCCTTTTTACTTCGGCTGCACTCTTGGTGTCCGCTGCTCCGCTTCCAGGGTACGTCCGGATGCGAGGAATGCGACTGTCTGCTCACATGTTTCTCCTTCAATCAGCGAAGTTGATTGGAGAAGCCTGGTGGCAAGCCATCAAAGAACAGCGGACGAGCATCGAACCCAAGCACGTTATCATGCAGCACAATGGCACATACACTCCGACCACCTCGACCAGGCGACACAAAGGTCTGTACGATAAACAAATCAAAGAATATGCCCGGGAATGGTGTGCTGACCACTAGATAGAGGTGAAACAGACGCCGTTGCGAAGCACCAGGCGGCGGTAGCTTACCATGATCAGAAATGGGCGCATCATATGGACAGATTCAATCACCACACGCAGCAAGCGGAGCATTTGCGTCAGTTCATCGGGACTCGGAGTATAGAAGAGTTAGATTAGAGGATGCATCTCGTAGTGTCCAGAATATAGCCGAATCTGCGCATGAATGTATATATATATATATATATATCTGCAGACGTCAATACTGCTGTACTAGGTTGGTACACTGTCGTCGTTTGAGTAGCCGGGAAGTATTCCGTAGTTGAACCTGTGAGGAGAACGTCCGCCGTCGTCGTACCAGTGAGAGGTACTGGATAGCTCGTAGATCCGGAAACTGGTACAACGAGGGTGGTGCTTGTTGTGACCGGGGTGTACACGGTAGAGGTCAGAGTGACATCACCGACCACCACTTCAGTCGTCGTGTACGGAATCACATCTGTTGTAGTGACTGTGATAGGAACCGGAATAGTGGTCGTGTACGTTGCAGGCGCGACAATGGCCGCTGTGCCGGTCACTGGCTGGTTGTACGACCCAGTTCCAGTGACGAGCGTTGTACGCGTGGCCACCGTGGCGTAGGTTTGCACTACATTTGTTGTGGTTGTATAGGCTGTGACGACGGTGGTACTCCTAGGAGCCTTTTCGTATACACCAAGACCAAGAACACCACCGCAAATCTCCGTGAGGAAGGCACCTACGACGCCTTAGTATATAAGAGCAAAGAGGACGCAACAGCTTACCAGAGCACGGGATAATGCATCGACCGTCCCAAGCAATATCCGACGGCTTTGTGTTTCCGCACCAGCATTCGAAACCGTTTTCGACACCTGCGTAGTGATATCTTTAGAACCGCACTCATCCAAGCATTTCTATACAGTGAATAGTGATTGGAGTAAGAGCACGCGCACAGGAAGAGCCTGTAAGGAGTCTGCTTAGTGGCGCTGGATGGTATAAACGAGACGAACCCGGTTGAAAAGGCTATCCCTGTAGCAGCCTTGATATGTCCAATCCTCATAGCTGTTGACGGTCTGAGGTACTCGACGGTTGAGAACGTTGTCGGCTCGGGCGCCGGAGAGCAACGAGAGAATCAGCAAAAGAGGGAAGAGAGAGTAACATTCGGGGAGTCTTGAAGATGGAAACTCGAGCGATGGTCGTCCCTTAAAGGCAGAAGCAAAGGCGCGCCTTGTAATCAAATAGGGGGGACCGTGCTGACACCCACCAGAGCTCCTGCAAAATGCGAGTTTCAGACATCAAATGCTGCCTCTGTATTCTCCCTTCTCACGAGTGCGATGATGATATAAGCAAACGCCTTGAAGTTTTCCTTCCGAAGCACTATGCCAAGGTCTGCAGGCCAGCACTCTTGGAAATGTCGCAGGAGACGGCGTGCCAATGTGCAAGTGGATTTGATCGGCCGCAATACGCTGGGGTTTGTGCCTTGCGCATGGGCCATGCGGGGGTCAGTTATCGCAGGTCAGAGATGTTATACGCTGTAGGTTTAGATTTGCGTGTTTTAGCTCGCGTTCTTCTGCATTCGGACACTATCCGCAGGTTTCAGGACCGCAAGACGACTGTTGTCGATGAACCGCGTGCCACCTCTTATGGTTACGATAAGGGACACCTCGACACTGTTCGGAGCTGCTTTCAGGTGACATCAGTCCTCTGTATTGGTGGCGTGAGAGCACACTGAACCCACTTTGAGTGAACTCGTCCGGCGCTGAATCAGTCCAAGCCGAAAGGCAGCCATTGGTGCAGTCGTGATACCGAAGAGCTGTCAGTCGCATTAGAGATATCTTTCTGTGGCCAGGAGCAAGACGAAACGGAGCGCCTAGTTGTGTTCTCACCTTCCAGCACTTGTACATTCAATAGTTATTATTGATGGTTGAAAGATCACTAGACACGTTTTCGATCTCCATCAGGGTAGTCCTTTCGGCGCTCCAGAAAATGAAGAACCGCTCAGTGCTGTTGGACTGTGATCCCAGATGATGTAAATGTTTGATATTGATAATAAAGTGTCGATAATTTGCTCGGGGTTATTCTTGCCGCAGTTGTCAACGGGTCCAAGTTTAGTTTCTTCCACCACCGACCTTTTGGCACGCGTCTCTTCGGAGCAGCCGCGATGAGTGGCTACTACGCGCCTCCAACGCAGCCTGGATACGCAAATCTTCATCAGACGGCGTATGGACAGCCAATGCAGTACGCATCGCCGCCCAACACGGTCGATCCAAACACGTTGCAAGCGCAAAACCCACAACAGTCGGTTTAGTACGTATGGTTACACTCTTATAGCTGTCTACGCGTCGGATGCTGATGATTAGAAACGCAGCGGGTGGAATCAGACAACAAATTATCAAGCATATCTCCAGCAGCAGCCACCCGCCTCTCCCGTTGGACCGCCAAATGGATACTATGGGATGCAGAATGCAATGTCATTGTCGACGAATCCAGCTGCCACAGCCAATAACCGACCATTGCCTCTCCCGAGTCCAGGCGCACCAGCTCCCGGTCCAGCCAGCCCAGTGTACGCGTCTCCACCACAGTTTAATCCACCAGTAAACAACCAGCAGACTGGATACTTTCCGAATCCCTCGCCAGCGTACCCTTATCACCAGCAACAACCCGTTTCTCAACCTCCAGTCACCGTTCCTCCGAGCCAACCACACCAGACCGCAGATGAGGCGAAGCGTGCGCTATATGAACGCGCGAGAATGAGTGCAATGAACACGGCACGTCGGTCTGCGACGCTTCCCACATCGGAATTAACGTCGGCTGAAGAAGCGAAGCGACTTCTATATGAAAAGGCTCAAAGGATGACATCACACGCGCAACAAAGAGGTGTTGGACATCCTATGTGGGCGGCGTCTCAAGTACAACCACAACAACAGGCTTATGCGGCCCATCCAATGGGAGCAGCAAATGTGCCACAAGGTGGATCATTTGATAATTCGACTTGGTCGCAAAGTGTGATGCAGGGTTATCCACCTCAGCAAGGTGTATCTACGATGCAGCCTACGCACCACGCACATGCTCTCCCTCCGGCTCAGAGGTCCTACCATCAACAGGGTCAGTACTCGGCTCAGTACGTTCCAACCGGTCACGTTGCGAGTCTGATCAATGGGATTCAAAATCAAAGCCAGAGTCCCTATGGATCGTATACGCAAGCGGCGATGCCCTCTGTAAGCCCGACGGAAGACGTTCCGCCTCCACCGCCACCAAAGAGTACTTCGCCTACCACGCGAAGCGGGACCTCTCCGTCTGGTAGCGGAATAACAAAACGCGCACTTCCTGCCTCACCGTCGCTTCCACCTGCAATTCCATCACAAACCCAAGGAAGACAGCCTTCACCCTTTCAGCACCAGAGTACGCAATCCCTGCCTACACTCTCAACATTCGCGGTGCAAAATGTAGGGAGCTCAGGAACGCCGAGTCCTGCTACACCAATCGGAAGTGCGAATGGGAGCACGAGTCCAACCAAACGCTCTCTACCTGCGGCACCGGGAGCTGGCGGTATCACTATTGCACCTGGTACATCCTTTTCGCCGCCTCCGGTGAACAGAGGATCAACATTGCCGTCTTTGATGCAAAGCTCTTCATTCCAGCTACCAGCTTCGCCTACGGCGAGTCACCCACCTTCCTCGTCTCCTAATCAAACCACACCGACTTCAAACTCCTTCCCTGCGAATGTCAACGTCAACTCGAGCTCATCATCGCAATTACCCAGCACAAATGCAACGGATAATCGCGCATCTACACCCTCTCAGGAGGTTCCTACTTCTGCTCCATCGTCTTATGCGTCCGCACGCTCGACCTTTTCATTTGCGGGACCGACGAATCCGCCGTACTCAGCGCCGTCAAGTAGCCCACCGCCTACAGGAGCTCCGAGGAGTACAATCTCAGAAGGCGGAGCGATGGCGAGGAACGATACTGGCGGGAGTGCGAGTGGTAGTGAGGATAAGCGACCTCTGTGGAAGCGGATGGCCGCTGCTGCTGGTGGAGCAGGTCCGATTGGATCCAGACCGAAGAGTGTATTTGGGCAGCATCGGGTCAGTGCGAGTTTCAGCGGAGAGCCGTCAAATAGTGCGCCTGCAGAGAAAGCGGAAAAGGTTGATGTAAAAAAGGGAGAGGATGGGGAGGGGAAGACTACCACTACTGAAGAGAAGCAGACGAATGGCGGTCGAGTGGAAGCGTCGAGTCAGGGTCCGGCATCAACACCTCCGTCAACTGTAAGGTCACCACCTCCAACAGCACCCTCTGCAGCACCCCTCTCGTCACTCCCATCGACGAGTCCCTCATCGATGCAACCATCCTCAAGCACTGTTCCAGTGATGCCGCCGTCAAGTGCACCTAGCGCGACTACTGCGCCCAGAAGACCACCTCTCCCAGTGAATCCGTCCGGATCCAATATCCCTCTCAATCTCCATGGAGCTTCCGCTTCCCAGATCCCCCAAATATCCCAGGTGGCGAAAGCGAGACCTGTTCCTACGCCTCCGACGACGGGTGTAGTGCCAGGCCATCCCGTGGTTCCATCTCAGCCATCTCCCTCTGCGCATAGTGTATCCACGGCTTCTATCTCTGCGCCACCACCTTCTGTACCAGCAACTCAACAGCCGCAACAGATTCGGTATATTCAAACGCAACCAAAAGGACCTGACGCCAAGCCAGCGCCTGCCCCGACTCCCGCGTCTAATCAGGCCAGGACACCAGCGTCGACCTCGAATCATTCCAGAACACAGAGCGTACCCGCGACTGCTCCAACTCCACCATCGCGGCCACAAACGACACCTCTTCCGGTCTCTATTCCCGAGAGAAACGAGGCTTCGAGTTCCCAGAGCAAGACTCCAATCGATGCGAATCCACCAAAGCCACGCGTACTCCAAAAGAAGCGACCAGAGGAAAAGACCAAACAGCAGCCACACTCGAGCTTTACGACACCGCGATATCAAGTTCCGTTGAAGCCTGCTGCAGACGAGATGCCGACTAGACCTGCCGCAACTACGAGTGCTAGCCCTGCGCCCCCGAAAAGACCAGCGAGTGCAGGTAGCGCCCGTACAACAGCCAGTGCTGGTGGTAGCGGCGAATCACCACAAATCTCAATGGCACTGCGCTTTGCGAGTCAGGACTTGGTCAAGCAGGTCAAGAAGGATAAAGACTGGGCCAAATGGGCGCTCGTAACTGGTCATCAAGTGGCAACAAACCCCGTGCCAATCGATGGCATCGAGAGAACGGAGAGTGGAAGGAAGAAAAGGAGGAGCATGTCTACGGGCGCGGTGGAACGGGTTGATTTGGACGATGAACCACCCAGGCCGAAGAGCGTGGTCATTGGAGGGGATCGAAAAGCAGCGGTCGAGCAAGCTCCCCCTGCAATATATACAGGCCATGAACGGGATCGCTCACAAGACGTCCCACTTCCGCAGCAGCCTATCAAGAGTGTTCACGCTTCATCCGCCATGGACGGCGCTGTCCTCGTCAACACGCCAAACGGTATGCGGAGAGGCGGAGCACGACCTATGCCTTCTTCTCGACCGACATCCTGGCATAATTCTCGCGTAAGATCAGGATCACTTGACGATGGTGTGAATACCGTCAAGGATTTCCCTCAGTATCGACCGTCGTATACGGATTCCGACTCGGATGACACCAACGATGGACATGGTGGGAGCGCAAATAGGACGATCACAATGTCTGGGCCGGCACCGCAGATTAGTGTCACTCATCATGATGCTGGATCCGTTCCAAACGCCCGAGCAAGGTCGGGGTCGAGTCCCGTGCCGACACCTCCTGCTGTGGTGGTCCCCTCCATCAACATTGATGGCGCCGACGATGATGATGGTCCACCAGCGATCACAATCACCATCGACGAGCCAAGCTCGCAGTCTACGCCCGCTCCCAATGTGCCCGTGTTCTCCTTTAGCGGTCCGGACGACGAACCAAGTACTTCTTCCGCGCCCGTACAATCTCCTGAGGGCAAAGAAAAGAAGAAGAAGAAATTGCACAAGCGCGAGAAGAGTGTCAAGGAGGAAGAGGACGAGAGAGAGCGCCTAAGGCAGTTGGCAAGGACTCGACCGCTGCCGCCGAAGATTAAGAAGAATTCTATTCGATGCGGAAAATGCGATAAGAATATCATGGGAAGAATTGTGAGCGCCATGAATGCGCGGTGGCATCCCGAGTGCTTTAGGTACGTTTATATTTTGGTGTCAGTACAGTCTTTGACCTTTTTGAAGATGTACTGTGTGCGAGACGTTCCTCGAGCACGTTAGTAGCTACGAGCACGATGATAGGCCGTACTGCCATCTGGACTATCACGAGGTGGGTAGTGTCTAAGGCCGTGGAAATATGTTAATATGAACGTAGCTTTTCGCTCCTCGGTGCTACCATTGCAAAACTCCCATCATGGAAGAGCACTTTATCACACTCGACGACGAGGCGCTCGGCAAACGCACCTATCATGAACAACACTTTTTCTGCGCAGAGTGTGGAGATCCGTTCCTTGCACCGAAGCAACAGCGAAGGACAAAGATGCTCGAGAACGGAACGATTCAAAGTATGTGGGCACCTATCAGAATGTTGCCGGGAGGCTGACTAGTGTATAGTCTTGGATCAGGAAGATGACGTTGGATTCACGGTGTACAAGGGTCACGCTTATTGTGAGGCTTGCCACGTCCGACTTCGTATGCCGAAATGCAAGCGCTGCAAGAAGAGTATCCGCCCTGGTGACCAAGCCATTGAGGCGATGGGTGGAAAATGGTGTTGGAGCTGTTTCACTTGCGAGGTTTGTCCATTCTTTGTTTCTGTCATCTCGGATTGACACGCCTCCCCGTAGCGCTGTCGCAAACCCTTTGAAGATCCGCAGTTTTATGAACACGAGAAAAAACCATATTGCCATCAATGCTATGGAATCATTCTTGTCAACCAATTCGACTAACATGCCACTCCAATGTAACACTCTTCTCCGATCATTCATGGTGTATTCTCGCTACCTCATGCGTATCCGATTACTGTTAATCACAAATGTATAGTCGGTGAATGGTGATTAGAAGGTGATACGCGACAAAAATACTAGCTCAACGTGCAACTCGAAGATACCCTCCGAGAGGGTTGGCGTGGGCGGCGTCTACTTTGACGCTGGTGGGGTTGGCAATGTAGCCGGAGGTGTCGTAGAACCCTGAGGATTCTGAGGCTGTTCCCCTGGGCGACCAGCAAGACCAAACTGGTGGCTCAGCACCCCCAGCATCCCGCCTTCCATCATAGCCTTTAGGAGCCCATTAGATTTCATGGGTGACGCGCGAGTAAAGGAGACCTTGCCTTCATCTGAGCTTCTTGTTCTGCTTTCCTCAGGCGGTCGAGCTCTGGTTTTTGGCGTGCAAGTTCTGCTTGCATTAGCTTGTAGCCACGCTGTGCGGCAGCACGTTGCTCCTCGAGAAGTGTGCGTGGTGGCTGGTTGGCCTGTGGGTGTGTCGTTAAAGTGCATTTCGATCATCAAAGTTTGTGACGAACAGTTCCGGTAACGCGACCCAATGACCAGCCCATTTTTTGTCTTTCTTGCCAGTTCTTGATCGAGCGCTCCTTGTTGAGTGCCTCTATCTGTTCTTGGGTCAGGCTTGAACGAGTGGTCGAGAAGAAGTTACCTTGGCGTACTCTTTTGGAATATCCTTGTTGTGGTATTCCTTTACAACGTTGCGAACGTCGGGCACTTGGTAGATGACGAGCGCTGGGCAATGTTAGTAGCAAGTCTTGAGAGCTAGTTGACAACGTACACTCGAGAAAGGGAATGAGACCGATCAATCCAGCGTCGCCGTCGGCATTGTCTCCTGTACCAGGTTTACCAGGTTTCCACTTTGGCACAATGATCGCATTATCCGGTTGGAGCTCATATCGATCAGCGACGGTGTCAATGGCGACAACTTTGGAGAGGTCGCGGTTGAGGTAGCTGAGATCTTTGACAATGTGAGTCTTGTACGTGCGCGTAGCCTCTCGGTAAAGTTGATAGGTCGCGTAATAGGAGAATGGGTCCACTTGCTCCATGATGGGCAGGGCGGTGTACCAATTCTGGGTTGTGAAGATGACAATTTCGTAGAATTGGGAAAGGTAGCCGAGGAAGTACTCTGCGCCTGGTCTCTTTGCTGTTCGCCAGCCGTTTTGTCGCTAGGTGAGCATGAGTCAAAGTCTTTGAGAAATGCACTAGGTACGCACATCCCACACACTGGAGATGAGCAGGTCGTCAATGCTGATGACCAAAGTGTAGGGCGATTGCTCGGGCGTATGGTCGGGCAGCAGCTTTTCGCTAATCGGTTTCTCAAAGAGCTATAGACAGTGATTCAGCTCTAGACACATAAAAGCGGGAAAGCGGCGTACGTCGAGCATCTTGAGTGTGTTTTTGTTGGAACGAGCTATCCATGCACGGATTCCTGGCTCGGCCTATGATACAATAACAAATAGCTTAGCGAGAGAAAGAAGAATGAAACGAGTGTAATACCTTTGGATCGTCGTCCCATCCATTGTACACCCACGAGCCGACCAAAAACCCAACGAAACCGATGGTGCCGGCCCACGCCAGACGCCTTTTCCGTCGTTCTATACTACTCATGCTATTCTTTGCACTTTTCGCTCCTGTGCGCATGCGTCGTGCATCTCCGGTCGAGGGTGTTGAGCCATCTGTGATGAGCGAGGGCGAATCTGATGTGCCGTCTAGTTTTTCTTGGGGTTCAAAGTCTAGCGAGGCGAATGCTTGTCGTACGCGGGGAGTCGACGGCAAGGGAGCGTCAGTTGCATCACTCGATGGTGACGAGTTCGAGGGCTGGCTTGACGTATCAGTTGAAGGTGTATTTTTTCCGTCTGGATTCTCTTGACTGTTCTTTACAGCGAATCCCCGCCGTCGTTGGTGAAAAATGTGCGAAGAGGTAGTGTTAGCAAGCACATGGGCGCGTCGTGGGAATGAACGAAGAGAAGACGACGACGAGCGTAGTGTGAACAGAGCCAGTGATGCCATGGAGCCCAGCAGAGGAATCCAGTGGTGGTGGTGGAGGCCAGAAGGGTTGGTCTCGACCTCTTCCAACAAATAGTATTCATGAGTGGATCAACACCGTCTAGACGACCTCAGGAGCCCGTCAACGCACAGATTCCAGGCAATCATCGCTCGCCCATGTCAATACTGGCTCAGTAGATGGCTTTGGAGTGTACAATGAGCAGCATCCTCTTTCGCCCACTGAAGACGGCTTTATAACTACATCGGATGTCTCTCAGGGCAGTGGCTTATCCCGTAGCACAAACAGACGCGTCAATCGTCGCCCACTCCGAAATTTCACAACGGGATCGGCGACTTCTTCAGAACCTCATCCACCTTCAATCTCCCGTACAGGTGAGCATCCAAAGAAATCTAGTCTCTTTCTGATGGCTGTTCCAGATGAGGCCAGCATGGTGAATACGCCTGCTCGAAGCAATAGCGACTTTGTTCCCTACTTTGAAAATAGTACTGGAGAAATTTACACTTCACCCACGCACAGCACTACGTCCTTTCAGACCGGAAACAACCACTCCTACGCATCTATGGTGCCTCACAAAGGTCGGGAACAAAACAGTTTATCGCCACCCTCGTCTCTAGCGCACCCAATTGCATCCAACTCTGCAATCAGGGCTCCCCCACGCAAGTCATCCATGCCGTTGGAACCTCCTTCAGGTCAAGGCTCTACCCCTCCAGTTCCGACAGGACCCCACCTTATCTCCTCCAAGTACGACTATTCCGCTCATACAGATGCACCACAAAAGACCAAAGAAGTCCCTCGACCTAGTCAATCTGAAAGCAACGTCTATGCATCCGTCCCTCCACCCCCACCGTTACCAGTGACGGAAACCACGATCCCACAATCATCTTCACGTCGTAGATGGGCGACAATCCGCAGCGCTGTGCGACAGACGCCAGAGGCCAGTCCTGCACCCTCCGAGGTTCCTCTTCCTCCTACGATCCAAGTAGAGACGCATTCACATTCGAATACCAGTCACGGTACCACCCTCAAAGTGACACCCGCCGCATCATCCATCTCAACAACCTCGCTTCACAACGCTGCAGCAGGGTTTTCCATCCCCCGTACAGGGTCCGCACTCTCCCATCTTTCAGAGAATAACCTTGCACCACCAACTCGTCACGGCACGAGTACCTCACATGCATCCCCTGCCATGTCCTCTCTTTCTCTTTCATCGGGTCACATAGGCCCAGACTCGACTCACACTGGTGCGATGTACGCCTCTCGCTCTGCAAAAGCAGTAGCAAACTTTCGAAACGCGGTCGACCAAGCGATGAGCGGCGCGAGGTCCAATGTTGCTGTTATGGGCACCAGCTTTGGGAATTTGGCTGTATTTGGGGGTACATCGAATGCGACGAGAAAGGACCCGACGGCGAGTGCGGTTATCGTCAACGCCATCAAGGCGGAGAACGAGTCCCAGTTTGCAAGAGATGTCTATGGGATCTGCATGGCGGCTAGGTTGGGACAGGGCCATCGTGCTCATGCCACGGATACGGTCAAGTCTATAGACATTCTGCAAAACCCTGCTGCGATAGGATTCGCCCCCGTGATGGGTTTGGGCTCCACCAATGTTGGTGCTTTCAAACGAGTTGGACGAAAGGCAGCCTCTGAGGGCGTCAGCGGCGTCTCAGAGAGCGAGGGAACCCAAGCTAGTTCAGCAACCTCTTTCGAAGCGCTCCGTTCGCTTCATCATCTCATCGCCAACACCATTTCGTCTAAATCACAAACCAACACATCCCACATCCCACACCACTCACTCGTTTTATCGACTCTGCTCCAGCCGTTTGTTTTATCGAGCCAGCCAAAGGCCGCAACGCGCGGCAAGACCGACGACGAGTTTCGATCTCTCATCGAGTCGGAGCGGAGAAAGGCCGAGGAGAATGACCGGTGGATTGCGCTCGAAACATTTGAGCTCGTCGTCAGGCGTTGGAAGCCTTATGGTCCGATGGATCAGGTCGGCCGCTGGATGTGGTGCTGTTATGCGGCCAAGGGTGAAGGTTCCATCAGAATTGGTGCCAAGATGAGGGAACGCATACTATTGACGCTGGAGCAGTTACTCCAAGAGCAACCGACGGTGACCATGTCTCCCAAGCCACAGACTCGCGAGCTTGGAGGATTGGGATTGGGCATCGGCCTCAACGCAATGCAAGCTGGAGCCGCTCCCGATAATATCCGGCGAACATATTCGACTCGGTCGCCTTCACGCAATCCTAGGGTGCTGCAATCCCTCCTTCAAGCGCTATACAGTATCCTCCCATCATCCGGTCTCCGCGGTGATATAGATAGAGATAGAAGTATCCTAGACCGTATAATCGAAAACCTCGAGTCGAATCGAGCTGGATATATTCCACTCGAGGCAGAGGATCTCGAGGGCGAGTATGCGGTTCAAGGCTTCACAGGCCCGGATAACGAAATTGCGCGAGGGTGTCTCGTCGTCGAGGCCCTCACCAAGTTGATCGAGACGGGCGAGGAAGATGCCAAATTCTGGCTTATTGGCAACCTACTCGAGGTATGGCTCCTCCAGGCGACGTCTGCGTGCTCTAATGTGCCCCTTTAGAATGTCTGGATACGAAACTTTTTCGCTGGTCGAAGCTCGACGTCTTCTCTTCGGATTGCTGCCCGATGTAGGAAAATCTCTGGCATTCTACGCATGAGCCTCCACCTCATTCGAGAAACATGCACCGACGAAGGAGCCCAACAAAATAGTCTGCATTTCCAGAATTCGTGCTCGACTATCTTTTCTCTCCTCAGAGAACATGTTCTTCCCGAAATCGTGGAACTAGCGCAAGATATTGGCTATGTGCATCATACGATGCCAGAAGGCTCGCAGAATGAAGGAGACGCGAAAAAGCACGATTTCCAAGCGATTTCCAGATTATTATACGCACAGTCGGTGACATTGACTTTGGAAATGCTGAGAATCCCGGCGGAGGCGTATCGAGCGCAGCTCTTGGTAGAGAAATGGCTCGCAGACGCCCAAGGATGGAAGCCGCACGTTGAGGCTGCACTAAGGGATATTGTGGGTCTGTCGTCTCCGCGCTGTCAATACTCACCGGCTATAGATCGTTACAGCCGACTGGAAAGTCGTGGTCCAAAATGTCAATAACATGCGCAAGGCTTGGCCTGGTAGCAGTACGGCATTCCCAGCCAGTATAGTTATTCCATTAATATTCGAGGTAACGCCTTCATCTTGCGGTGGTCATCTTTTGCTGACTTGATTAATAGCGCATATCTAGCTCTCCAGCAAGTCCGCCATCACTCGTCAAAGCATTGCTCGCGGATCTTTCCCATCACTACCCTCGCATCTTTTTCGCACCTCTCTTCCAATGTGCTCGGTCCAACAACGTATCAACCGTGTCCACCCATCTACGAACGCTGGTTTCTATTGGCCGCATCTTCCCAGCTTTATGGACGACAGATGCCGAGATGATGTGCATTGCACTCATGAATGAGCCAGGAATCGCGGGATCCAGCGCAGTGAGTAGTGCCAAAGGAAAGGGACGAGATGGCGATCCGCCGAAATGGGGGACTGCCAGATTAGGTCAATGCGTTTTGTTCCTCGAAATGATCTACTTTGTTCGCGACCTACGTCTACAGAGGGAAGTTTCGGTACGCCGATGTGTTCTTTCCTTGTAACTGGCTGAGCGAAGGAATTAGGATTCTACGTCGACACCCTCAGACGTGGTTAGTTATCTTCTCGCGCTCGAGGCTCGTGTTGCTGTCTTGCTTGATGCCAAGGTACGAGTTGATCGTGCCTCTACCCTGCTAACCTTGCGCTTCAGGAAGCGGCTATCCTTCGACCTTTTTCCATGAGACTCCTTATAGTCTCGTTGTTGTTCGAGATACGCTTATATACGCGATCTCTCAAGCCGTAAGAGCACTTTATTGAGGGTGACCCTTAGTTAACAACGGATAGGGCGGTCTGGCTTCCCAAAGTTATAGCATGGGGATGTAGTGCTCACGTCGGGGCTATGATATTTGCTCTTGTAACAGCCGAGGAAGGGTACGTGGGTTCAGTCTGTTGAATCATCTCCTAATACTCGTGTTAGAGAGGCGCCGTCCACCCTTCGTGGCTGGACTCCCGTCACTGAAGAAACATTTTCGGAGGTGGAGGAGACACTTGGTGGTATCCGAGCAATCTATACTGCATGCTGGCTCGAGCTACCAGTCACTCCAAAGGTACCTCTGCAATATATCGCTGTGGTCTCGCTGAAGGTATTCCTAGAACCCCCATGGAATCGGAAAGGATGATAGAAATCCGAGCGTGCCTGGAAAATCGACGGAGCTGGAAAGGAGCTTGACACTTCTCGCATCGCTGGATCGTCCGGCTCTCGCCATATTCAAGCTTCTGGTCGCTGTTTCAGGAATTCTACACTCTGAGCACTTCGTTGAGCTCGGACCAATCCTTTGGAGTCAGCACCTCGATGGCGCAGACCCGAGCGCACTTGGTTCGGTGAGGAGATTTCGGTTGCCGTCACTTTTTCTCAACAATCTTAGGTCGCATATCTGATTATGCAAAGCGCCGAGAAAGGCAGGAAGTCAAGCGTGGCCAGAGCGATCTATCAAGATTTGAACTCGTAAGTTCAGTTTTGTTTGTTGTTTCCGTGATTAACATCTTAACAGTGACTCCGAGTCCGTTCAAGCAAAAGCTATTGACAGAATTGCGAGATTATTCAGCTGGCGATATCAAATCCTGACACAGACAATCCTCACCGACCGCTCACACCGCCGGCCATTTAAAGGGGCTCGCCAACCCTTGTCTTTTGTGCCGACCGACATTGGATCGATACACTTTATTCCAGATAGATCGCATACCGTCGATCGGGTTCAATTTGCTTCCACCCTACCATCTGATATTCGTAGACGGCTGATAGAACTTGGCTGGGACAAGGATGAGACGTCTATCGACCGCAATCCGGCGAAGGATATGGCTCCACTTTCTGTCGCACCTTCGGATCGCCTTACCGTGCAAGGGGGTCCCGCACCATTGATCGAGGTCAACGATTCGACGACCAAGGGTCTGTTACGCCGAAAGTCGAGCGGAGGGGGGCAAGGAGGCAATAAGAAGAAACCGGTCTTCGTGCCAGAGCTTGCCGCTCTTCTTGCGGTGGTTTTAAAACTCTCCACGTCATCCAACCTGGAACTCTCGAACAGTGCTCGAAACCTTCTGCTGGAGGTCCTCCGAGACGATCCGGGAATTTTTGCTCGGCCCCACCTCGAACATCTCCTCGACGATCCCCGAGCGATTTTGCAACTCGATGAATCTATGCATCTGCAAGCTAGGATGCCTGCCGCGCTCTCCCATCTTATCTTCAATCACTTTGCCGGAGTACTGAAACACTTGGCTCGGGTACAGTCGCTAGAGAATCCTCTAGTGCTGTATGCATACAGTATGCCCTCTATTGCGCATACGGCCGCGCACGTGAGCGGTATCTCCATCCGTGAACTCAAGCGAGCAAAGCTGGATCAAATTATGCTGCCCTCCGGTTCCCTGTGGTTCACAGATAGCATGCTTCCTGGGCCCATGTTCCCACGTGGTCTGGCCGGACCAGCGACGCCCTTTGAGCTACTACCGCCCTCGCTCGTTGCGATCACAATGGTCAGGACAGCCCAGAACATGATGCTCACCAATCTCCTGAAAAGAGATTCGAAGGAAGTTCACACAATTCGTAAAATGTTTACCAACTTCACTTTACCTGCTCTGACGAAAGAGGTTGGTTTCGCTGAGAAACAACAAATTTCGCGTTTTCTGCCTCTGGATGCCTCCGCTCTCAGTTTGAAGCCACTCACAAACGACGAAGTCAACGTTCGCCTCATCTCTCTTGCGTTGGCGCGCTCCCACTTGGTACTGGTTGCTCAAATCTTTCGCTGTCTCAGCCCGCAAACAAACGATGTCCAGGAGGTATTCCAGCTACTGGATACCGTGAATCAAATTCTTATTGCCCACGGTGGCGATACTGGGATTGTCTCGCATGCTATGATAGGTTAGTCGCTCCCATCAATCCTTCACTGCTTGACGATCATCTACAGCTTACATGCTGGCTATGGCGAGATTCCGCAGGTTGTTTTCGTCGAATGGAGGTTTTGTTCTCATTATGCCTGCCGTTTGGAAGACGTACTGCGATTCTGAAGGAGGGAGCAAGGCCATCAGGGGTGCCATAGAATATGCCGCCAATCGATTCAACGCCATTCATACGGATACATTCATCTTCCAAGCCGTAGATGCAGCCGCTTCCATGGTTGCACATCCATCTCTGTTGGCCCCAGAGAGCTTTGCGAGGAACGTCGCAACCTTGATATCATCTCTGGGCGCGTCCTTCAGAGGGGAAATAAATGCGGGTGGTATTCAGAATGCCACAAGATCTGATGAAAGGGACGCAATGCTTACTCGGCTCAATGAGCCTGAAGTGCTCATCAGCGCGGCCGAGGGACAAGGCAACATGAGTGCCATGGTCGACGAATTTGGAGGAAGGGTATTTTCACAGGAAAACGTTGCGCGACTGCTACTCACTGTAATTGCGGACGACCCTACCATTGTTCGAGCAGAAAACTTTCTCAAGCTTTTCCGCTTTATCACACCAAGTTTGTACGACAACTCCATGCAGGCTAGAACTGTCATCCGGGAAGGCATTGATGCGCTTGGGAGAACCGTTTTTGCGCGCTCGTGGACACCACGAACGGAGGTGCGAGCGGCACAAGGCGAATCAGGGGCCAATGTACCAGACATGCGCTCCACACAGCCCACTGCCGAATTCAGCTCCGCACGACTTCTCGCCAAAGCAACCGCGCCGAGCAGCCTCCACTCGATGAGACAAGACTATCTTCAACTCATTGTTGCGTACACCAAAGCAGGTGGACAGCTCCCCACCGACGTCGCTCGACGTGCTGTCGAAATGGTCAAGAGCATCCTGCGCGAAAGCCCAAGCTCAATCACGAACAATGTCGCAATGTTCTTGCGAGAGTTCGCAGACTCATCTCTTCTCAAGCCTGGAAAGGCTGTGACATCCCAAGAAGCAATCGCTCTCCTAGGGGAAATACCAGTCCTTGTGCACCAGTATGGCCTCGCCGTCGACTTCTCGGGGATTTTCGAGGTTCTTACTCGAATGTGCTCCGAGGACCGATTTATTGCAGACCACGGCTTTAATCGCATGGTCGTCTCTGGTTTTTTCAGGGCGGGTTTCAACTCGGTGGAGTCGGCGTCATTGACAAATACGCTTCGTGGCATAGGCTACCGACGCTCGCTCGTAACGCTTACGGCAGTTCTGGCGCTTTTGCCAGGTATTGACGTCCTTAGTCATCTCCAATCTCGACGCGCAAACGCGGGTATACTAGCGGGCTTCATTATCCCCCTTTGTCTTCATCTTCCGAGCTCGGCACCCACTCACGCCACGGCGGCTTCACTACGACGGACGTGGCTACATCTTATTGGCTACGCATTCAATGCATGCCTCAATGTCGCACATGGACGAGCTGCGCCAAAGACAACCGGAACCGGACTCCAGGCACGACCATCGTGGGGGGACGGACAGCATAGTTCCCCCCGAGGAATCGTAGCATCGCTTCTATTCGCTCTCCAAGCGATAAAGATTATCCTTATTCGCGTAGGCGAGGAGATCTCCAAGGCGCTACCCGACATCTGGCTACGCGCCTCCAATCTGATTCGAGAGAGTCTCAAGGACAGCAATGGAAACTTTTTCCTCAGTAGCGACCTAGCTAATGACATGTCACCAATCCCATCACCTTCCTCTTCTCGTCCTCCTTCGCCCAGTCAGCAGGCTGACTATCAAGGGAGCGCAGTCGGGCCTAATCGAGAACGTACACCTCGCGCGGTTGACTACGCAGCTTGGTCCATTCTGGAGCTCATTTGCTTCTACCGCATGCCACTCAGCATTCACCTACGTCTCTGGCTCCAGGAGCGCCTGAGTCTCCTCGAAGCACGGCTTGATGCGGCAGGTGTCTCAACACGCGTTTCGTCTTTTATGCGCGACCCCCGACGGCAGTCATTTTCCCCTTATAGCAAGGCACGCCGGCGATCTGGTGTCCCGTCCAACACTCCTTCACCAGACGCATCGCCATCTCTGGGAGCTGTCCGAGTGGGGTCACCCCACCACATATTCTTCTTGGGTCTCCGAGCTCGATTATGACATTTGACCGTTTTCCGCAAGCGTCGCCTCCCGCTGACACTGGCCTCCCTCGGATTCGTCATCTAGGTCCTGAGTTTCAGATTAGAGAGGCCAAGGGGGCATCTACACCGGTAGACCCTCTCAGAGCGGCAGCCAAGCTAATATCAATGACTCGACCCAAGTTGGTACAAGACTCGCATCGTCGCGTAAGCGTCGTCCGAATCTTCTGGGGATATGAAGCATTTACAGGAGATGACATGAGCGGCTTCGAGGCATGGACGATGGCTTCTGCATTGAAGAAGATTACCGCCGAGACCAAGGAGCTTACGAGAGAGTTTCATGACGTCGCCAAACTGGAGGGTGACGATTAGGTGTAAATTTGTGGTCCTATATGATTTCATTACTCCCTGAGATTGACGCGACAGACAGGACAGGAGGGTGAACGTGAAATCCAACTGCGGAGGCAGGCTTCGTGGAAGCTGTCGAAAATGAGATCTTGAAAGGCCTGAGTACTAGGATACGCACCAGTGTTTGCATTTCGGGAATGCTCCACTCTCGTTCGCTCTGAACTGGGATAAGCAAATGCCACATTTGTCGACGCGAATGTCCGTGATAGAGAGCTTGAGTTTAGCTTTCCCGTCCTTGGTCGTGCGACGGCTCATGAGTTGCACTGGAGCAATCGACACGTTGAATGGTTCGTCCTGCGTTCCCATGTTGCTCGAGCGCATTCTTGGTGCCGGGCCACTGACTTCCTCGAGGAGAAGAAGGTCCTGGCAGAAAATATTAGTATAAAGAATGTTATAGAATGTTTTCTTACTTCATACGTTGCGGATTCTGGGTTAGTACTGATTCTACTGACCAGAACGTCCCAGTCTGTTATCGCCTCGTACGCTGGAGGTGGAGAGGATCGTTCATTTGTTGAAACCATCGTCTCTAATCCAGCTGAAAACCGCGTTTGAGGAGTTTGGGAGGTGCTTGGAACAGATGGTTCACTGCGCGTCATAGGCAATGCAGGTCTTCGAACGGTTTCATCAACGGTATAGCGAGATGTTCGTGGAGAAGGTTCAACGGAATTTGAACTTGATGACTGTTTTGTCGGTGAACGCGAATGGCGCTCGCGAGATGTAGACGTCGACGCGCTGTGCCTATACGAGTCCCGCTGGCGGTTCCTCTTGGTTTCTGAGATACTCAAAGAGTCTAAGAGCATCTTGTGGATATCATCATGGTTCGCCATGTCCCGTTTTTGGCGTGACTTTGGATTGACAGATTCTTCTGCACACGAGCTGAAGATTTTGGTCGCGCTTAAAGACAATAGAATCACCTATTGGGGTCACTAGCCATGGTTTTACTGTTCTTTCCATCCCTCTGCTGATAACTCGGGTCAAAAGAGAGATTAAGGTGGGAACAAAGTTCAAGGATCATCGCGTGGCCGCTGCAGAGAACCTAACATACGAAGAAAATGACACCGAGTTGGTCCGGTTATCCCGTGGACTGGAATGTACTTCCAGGCGAACGAGGCCCTTTCGTCTTCGTTGTTTGGGTGCGACCAATGATTCAGGGTCACACTTACCCTTTAATCGATAGTAGGACAGACCAAGGTGTGCGGAAGGATTCGTGAATCACCAAGTGATAACTGTGGAGACTATATCATACGGAATTTGAGAAGAGATGTCGTTGAATTGGTCCGGTATCTACACTGAGACTAATCCTATGCACGGACGAGGCGTAGCTCCCCAGTAGACATGTTAAAATTTAGAACCCATTTTGTGGATTCATCCAGTTCAGCAAGATTCTGGCTCCAAATCTTGGGCACCTCCACTCCGCCGGGTAAGATCTCGCCTTCTCTGAATTCACCAGTCACGTATGCATTCAGGACAGGCTTGAACTCGGCCGTGAACGTTTCATTCGATCTATTGGAGATATCAGAGGGTGTAGCTCCGTATACGGTCCCAAAACTCACGCGATGCCAGGACAATAGCGAACAGGGTAGTGTTCCCCATGATCAAGCGCAAAACCTGGTCACATCAAATGTCAGCACCGATATTTCCAGAGGACTCCAAAAGCGAACCGATGGCTAAATTGACATTTTGAGCTGTCCCGTTTTCTGCGCTAATCGCGTTGGGCGTTCCCGCAATAGGATTCTGGATGGATTATAGCATGATACCAGCAGTCTGTGATAGATACATACCATAAAGAGGAACTGGTTGGCCTTGGTAATAAGCGTGACTTGTTGGCCGACCTGAATCACAGTTAGTTGCAATCACGAAGAGAGATATGGATCCTGCCTTGACACTTGGAGACGAGACCGATCCTACAATATGATTATTGTGGACCTCTGGATACATGAAGCAGAGTCTGCATGATAGCGTTAAGCGGACGACCTAGGAGCAGACTATTCATACATACTGGTTGTGATAGGTGAACCTCGCCTGAGTTGTGGCTGGGCACATCAGTTCAATGGAGCTAAAGGAGACATGGCCAAGCACGTACCCTCTGCTGGGAACTTGATGGTTCTAAGGTAGCATAAGGAGGTAATCGGAACGATAGAGTAAAAGGGCGTACTTCCAGACGACCGAGTTCTTTTGGTCTCCAAAGGCGAACATCAGAGTGAGGTTGTGAGGTAGGCCACTTGGGGGTACCTATTAGAGGAAGAACTTGGTGTACAAGGCTGAATACGTACGCTGCCATAATTTGGATGTTTTTGTGTATTCGGTAGACATTTTGCTTTACTGCAGACCGCGCGACTAGAGGTGGGTGCGTCCTAGGACGTCCTCTTTATACCATTCCACGCCATGCAGAGCGGAAGAGCGGAGGAAGAGAATTTCCGAACATGTCAGTTGCGAAGTGGTGAGCAATGGCTCCGGGTGGGCGATCCATGACATGTGGCGACGTCTTGGGAGGTGAGGCATTCGGGAGACTGAGAATGCCGCGAAATCTCAATGATAAGATAGCGACTCTACCAATTTGACTTGCTGCTATCCCTGCGGAGAATGCAGAACTGCGAGAATGTTTGGACATGTGGAGGTCCACAAGCCAACACACGTTGCATAGCTTACTTGCCGTACTCAGATTTGTAAGGAAGCAATCAATTTATGGTCCTAGCTCTCTTTTTTCTATGTCTCGTTCAAGATGTGGGAAGCAGGTGAAGTCGAAATGTTGGAGGCTCGCTCTCTTCCGATGACCGGGGCGAATATTTCGCCATGGATTACAATATTCGAAGGCTTAGTGGCCAATAGCCTAGGGGCCTAGTCTCGTCGTTGGTCTGGCGCAAAGTCCGTGGGGCGCTTATAGCTGATTCTCATCTGAATCTGGTCAATAGGTATTAGCGAGAGATGCCATATGCAATACTGGATTCTCGGCGGTGCTTCGAAGAGAACACACAGCATCCCGAAGGTCCCTCTCACACAATTGATCCTCGTTTTCACACTCGTCCTCGACGCTTGCGGCGCCCAGCCCTGTCTCAACTTGACAAGTCTGCACCGGTGGCCTGTGGGAATTAATTCTCACGTGCACTCCTGCACATATAATCCTCTGGATTTCCCGAGGATTTCGAATCTACTACAACCTTGGACACCGACTACCACTTCTAATTTACACGCCGCCCATCGTTCATCTGCGGCGGGACGAGGCCACTCGCATCGAGGCAAAGATGACGCTGCTTTATTTGCTCATTTGCTCCCTTTTCAGCGTCGTCGCAGGCTTCTCCGTCACATTTAGCGAAAACCCGAGCCAATGCGCGCCGTTTACCGTAAATTGGAAGGCGGATTCTAGCGGAGGGCAGCTTGGACCACCATTTGTCGTTCTCATCGTTCCTGTCAACGGTCCCCAGGCGGCGTCGGCGGATGCGGTTGGCTTGGGCACTAGCACACTCAGCCCGCCAATCCGCAGAGAAATCCCAGACAGCGCGTTTAGTGCATCCACGAAATCTGGCAATTTTACAATCGACCAGCTCCCTCTCAAAGCTGGCGAACATTTCGTTGTCGTGATGGACGATGGCTTCGGTACGTCCTAGGTTTCTCAATACAGGTGCCATCCTCGGCCTTGTTTGCTAAGCGACAGCGGGGACAATGTCATTGATCTTCATTGTCTTTTTTTTTTTTGCTAATAGGCTATGCGACCGGAGGTGTTTCGACCATTCATACCGTCGCTTCGACTTCGGGTTCCTCCAGCTGCTTGACTGGGACCAGTGCCTCGCTCTCCCTCTCAACTCTGTCACCGGCACAATGCAGGGACCTTAACATTGTCACTCCGCCTCCCCTCGAGATTCGGGGATTTGTCCCCGGCGGGGCTGCTTTCTCGCTCGACTTGGGAACGGGTAGCTCGGGAGACGTTACGACTGCATGGACGGTCAACAGACCAAGCGGTACCCAGTTTGTGCTCCTCTACCGTGGAAGAGACGGATCAATGGCTAGCTCGGGTCTACTTGGCACCGCGTCGGGGACCGACACTAGTTGCCTGAGCGGATCACATTCTCTGACAGCGACTGGTATGTTCCGGAGCCTATTATCCTACTTAATGCTGACGGCGTCCAAAGCATCCTTTGTGACCTCCTCGGTTCCTACCTCATCGACCATGTCCGCGGGACAGTCCCAAAGCCAAAGCCAGTCCGGAGGAAGCAAAATAAAGTCAGTAGCGCATGCGTTGTGGCTTATTTCCTCAGTTCTGACTGTATCTATTCTGCGATGAAATACCTTCAATACCACTCTATTTATCCAATGACAGAGTGCCCGCAATCGTCGGAGGCATCATCGGAGGACTGGCCTTTGTTGGCCTCATCGCCCTCGCTACCTTTTTCTGCGTAATGCGGCGCACAGATGTCGTCGGACGGCCCAAGTCGCGCTCGACGCTCTCTCCGTACGTGAGCGGCGCTTCGCGTGATCCGACCACGACCAGCGGTGCTGGCTCCAACAATTACGACGGTGGAGGACTAGGACGTAATGATACTGGTAAATCCCGGCGTAAAACCGACCTTGAAGGCGGTCTCATGGGTGCCATCTTTGGAGGGAGCGTCAAGAGGAAGAGTGATGGATATCGAGGCGGGAGAGAGCGCGAGATGATTAGCTCCAAAAAGCGAAGGGAGATGTATCCTGGTCTCAGCATTGCAAGTACCCAAAACAGGAGCATCGGACTCACCACGCTCGACGACGACCCGCCGCTGCCAAGACGGACCAGTCTAGACGATATGCCTCCGTTCAATGGCACGACGGCATATCGAGACATGAAGAGATCCGAAGCACGCGCTCCCCCTCCTCCGGCTTCGACGAAACGAACGTCGGGAGAGACGTCGAGCGTGATAACCACCCCGTCGACTGCTCCGCTTGTAACACGAGATAGATTGGCTGGAGTCGAAGAAATGAGTGGATATGGCTCTGGCTCGAGGTCGACTGGGTCTAGGGATCGACGGCGGAGTATGGAGGATAGCCCATTCCAGGAGTCGGCTACGGCAAATACCCCTAGTGCCTGGAATTCGAAATCACCAACGACGAGATCGAAGAATAGCGAGCGACCGTCTACTGCGCCGACAACGCAGCAGTACTCGCCGTCTGGATTCCACCGCCCAACGCGACGAGCGGCTGGGAGCCAGGAGAGTCTAGAAGGATACGGTGGAGCGCATGGATACCCACCGGATCGTAAAGTCGACGAGCAGAGGAGGGCGAGTGTGACGGACGACGAGATTCCCAGAGTTCAAGTAGACTTACTTTCCATGGACACACAAGGTGATGTTTATGATCGGAATGGAACTGGACGAAACCGAACCGACGATGAACGGCGGAGAAGAGATGAAAAGCAACGGCAAGAGGAAGCGAGCGTGCGGAGGGTTTTGGCGCAGAGCGCACATCCCTATGCACTCGCGCAGAGTCCACACCCGGATGACGAGGAGAATGAACGGAATAGAGCGCCCTTTACGAGTCCATCTTCGTGGCGGCAGCCGCGCCAAAACTCGTCGTATTCCCATTCGGCGGACGGGCATTCTGTGGAGATGATCAATACCGGTACTACGCAGACGCAGACACGGTCGAGAGGCTGGTCGTCGGTGTCACATCCGTACTCGAACCCGTCTCTGTCGCATTCGGATGATGGGCATCGGTACACGGGCGGGTCGAGTGCGGCGCATGGGAGTTCGACGCAAATTATTCGACATCGGGATGCCGGGCCGATGATGGGGTCGGAGGATGGCGATGGCGAGGATGGAGGGAGGAGGATACTGGAGCTTCCGCCTTCGTACGGCGAGATTACGAGTTCGAATAGGCGTAGAGATCGGTGATCCTACATCTTTTCTTCAGTGTGCAATATTACGTTTGTCATATTTCATTCGATACGAGCGTCGGTGGTAGTGCGAGCCAATATTCTCCTGGCACGTAAATCACATTGCTCTCAGTATACAGGCCCTTTTTCGGTCACAAGTCGTTTCGCTACTCGGATCGTCTAGTCTACGACTTATGCCTTGTTCGGGAAGGCCAGCAGGTGACCTCTCCACGGGTGTGATGCGGGGCCTATGATGGGTCGGAAGACGGTGATGGTGAGGATCGGGGAAGGAGGATGCTGATGCTCCGCCTTTGTATTGCGATTTAACATATGCATAGACATTTGCGATTGTCTTATATTGCTATTTCATTGGACGCAAATGTTGGCGGTAGTACTGGAGTTTCCTGTCCCACAGGTGGAATATGCCAGAACATGATCGCTTGTCTCGACTTTTTCAGTCGGAACCCATTTTATTGTTTGTCCTTCGGGCTGAGGCCCGTACAAACTCCAATCTGGATCGTATGGGGCGATTAAGGGTAGAGATTAGAAATTTCAAAGGCCTATCCTTAGGTTGTAGTGAATGCGAACTCTGCTTCATTTGAAGAAGAAACACAGAGACTCTCCTTTCTGGAATGCTTGGATTTTCCCGTCACGTGATCGTGATATTGCCCCTTCTGAGCACCTGGAGACGACTGTCCCCAGTTCTAGCGAATCAACAACGGACAATGTGTCACATACCAGGAGTGCTGCCACCTGCCATACCAGCGTCCGACCGCAGATCTCAACGACGGGTCCATCCCGGGGTGCAAACGAAAACTCTTCTCTCTCTGGTGACCACGACAAGCTGAATCTTAGCGATTCAGACACTTCACCTCAAATTACTCCCATCTCTGTGACTATGACGGACACAACTGGCCAAACGGAGATAGAAAATGGTGCGCTAGTGCATCCTTTTACAAGGCCGATAGTTGACTGTTTCCCTCTAGATTTGCAGCCAGGTTCGCAGCCGATTCGGCAAGGATCCGAGGCCACACCAGCGAAACAAGGCCAGACGACCACGCAACCACACCCATATTACAAACGCCACCCCCCTCCTGATTTCAATCTCAGAAGAGATTCGATTAAGCTGGGCCGGAGCGTCTGGGACAAAAACTACTCAGCCGTGCACGAGGGAATATTATATCGTAATGGCAGGGATCTCAAGGTACGCTCTCATTTCTCTTGCGGAGTCATTTGTACTGACATGGCCTTCTTCTCGTACACCTAGGTCGCCGTCAAGATCCCCAAATCCTACGGAAACTCTCACGGGGCCGACGGCGAGCCTCATGTAAGTGAGAGAGTGAGTAGCCGATATACGCTAGGCTCGCTTTCTAACACTCGCAGCGCCTTATGCGCGAGTTCTCCGGTACGCTTGCTGTGCGGCATGAGAATGTTATAGAGGTCTATGGCATTTGCGAAACTCTAGGGGATCATGGAGCATTGGTTACGCCGGTAATTTCATCATGATCCGATGGACTCTTTCTGACATCTGTCAGTGGTACGACGAAAATCTGCGAAAATATCTCAGGTCAGAGCGTTTCGCAGTCGAAAGAACTGATCTGGTATGGATAAGACCAGCGGTGTGGTGCTCCTTCCTGATAAGCTTATAGCTGCTGGGGATTGTGAAAGGAGTCGTGCATATGCACTCTTGTGGATTCGCTCATGGGGACCTCAAACCCGTATGTATAGCTATTTCCGTTTTACTGTCCAAGAGGAGCTCAACAGATTGTGCAGGAGAATGTCCTCATCAGCGGCGATAAGGCTCCCAAACTTTGTGACCTTGGACTTGCGGAATACTACGGCGGCAATCCCAACCTGATGAATGACGAACTTACGAATTTCGCCCGTGGAGTGGCAGCACAGCTCAATACTACCACTCACCTCGGTTCAGACCGATATATAGCACCAGAGTTGATCTGCCACCGTGACATAGGAGCGGCACCACCAAAACGCACAAAGGAGAGTGACGTTTGGGCCATAGGTTGTCTAATGCTAGATGTGAGCCCCTTTTATCCTCTTATGCATATCAAGGGTTAAATTCTTGTGCTCCGATAGCTCCTGTTCCGTGTTCAGCCCTACTGCAGAGTTCCGTCGGAGTATGGGTTGGTGTATGAGCAGATTAGAAAGGGAAAACTACCAGCCCAGCTTATGGACTTTCGCCGCAAATGCAATGTTTGGCCCGGACAGGGAGTCGCCTGTACTCACCCGGGGACAAACTGGCTTTGGGATCTCCTTGGAAATGTTGGAGCGCTCCAAAGTCTCGTCCTAGTTCTTCAGACCTGCTTCGATTGCTGGAAGAGAAGATGGTCGTCCTTGTCGAGGTCCAGGAACATTTGGTCTATCCCACCTCGTCTGACAAGTACGTGCTCACCATTTGTCAACCTACAAGGATGACTTACCCAGAGCCAAGAAACCATTGACCGGTGGGAGAAGTGCATCGATGATCAACGCTACTTCACCACAATGCTATCAGCCTCCATAAATCGACCGTTTCCGTTCTCATGGCTCAGCGGTGCATTGAGTCCCACTTCGTACTAGTAATACCTTCACCTGCTGGATATTTCTGCTCCTTTATGGCTATTTTCCCTACCGCCTGGCGAGGCTTGCGGTTTTGTGCTAGTTTTTGTGCGTCCATGGGTAGGGATCAACCTCTCACCTGCGCCTTCAGAGTATCGCCTGAGGCTTGATGGGCGGTTTGGAGATCTCTCGCCTTTTATGTAGCGCAACGCTATCAATGTTTCACCACACCATCCTTCCTTGTATTCACCCTGCATTTATCCTAGATGTAATGGAGATTTTTTTGAGAATCTGTGTGGTCATTTAATCATTCGTCTGCTCTCGCACCGTGATCAGACCGCCAGCCTTACGCAGGAGAGAATTGAAGCGCGCAGGGAGGTATGAATAAGCAGTGAATCGCTAATGCTCGTCACTGACGAGCACCGACTATGGCATCGTGGCAGGTGACCGACTGCTGACATAGGGATGATGCGACGCTCGGACGACACAGAGGATCGCGACCCGAGCACAACTCTAGGATATCCCGCAGAATGCCAATATCATTGTATGAGGAAAGTAAGGAAGTGACATTAGACGAGTAAGGATCTGTGGTTGTCATGACGCAAGGTCAACGGGCAGGTAGTAGTCCGCAGCAAATGTTATGGAGTATCTGTCAATGTCATTTGTATTCACGATGAGCATGGGGTACGAGCAAGTAGATGAACTGGTACGCATTAGTTGGTATTTAACGAATGGACCGCATTGTGAAAGGAACTCACAAAACACAGCCCGAATCTGACACGAACCGGCGCATATACTGTACTTCCTTGACCGTAGTAGGCTCTGACGGATCGCTGAGGTCACTAGCTCAGGGTCAAGGCATCGCGTTGTGCCTGTATGCGGAGTTGTGATATTGACCTCATGCATTTCCCCCCTGTGTGAGGTAACATACAGGATTCATGTCTTCTTGGACGATTTGCGGCGAGTGTGAGTGCATATAAACAAGGCCACCCACCACGCCTCGCCACTACGTTGCTTTTGGCTCGCGTTTATCCATCGGTCGCAGCAGTACTCACTAGAGGATATCTTTCCAGTGCGGCAAAAGAGCGTACTTGTAGAGACATTGTGCAGCGTTGCCGCTTAGACACCACTGTGAATGCTCAATAAGAACCTTCCGTTAGAGGATTCACTTACTGGAGTCACAGTGGCATCGAATGATCCGAAATTTGGGTCTTCTACTATACCGTACACTGGTAGGATGTTCAGGTGCTGGAAAATCGTGACCTCGCGACGTTGTCTCTGCACCTAGGTTGGATCGACTCTTGCGGATTCCACACTATCTACCTGCTATATCGAGTGCCTAAGACCGGACTGCCTTGATGACTTTAATGGTAACCTGTCGTTCGCTCAGTACAGTTCTATTCACAGTGAACAGTACACACGTCTTCCGCCCAGTATCTGTCTTCGTAAGGGGCCTAGATGCACTGCCGAATAAGGGTTATGCGTTTTGATCGATAGAAATTCACGGTGCCCTTGAGATCCCGTTCTCGAGAGTATTGGGATGATACCATCGGGATTGGGATGAGATACATCCTTGTCCGCGATTGGAGCCAAATAGAAGCTCTCCTTGGGCACTGGATAGACATGCTGGGTTCTTGGATACATCTCGCTATGCATCAAGGGTAGTATGGTAATAGGCCAAGTCAACGGCGGGTCCAAGTTGTACTCACCATTCTTCAGAATACAGTCAATAGTCTTGGCTTCATTTTCTGGTTTGAACTCTCTTGCGTAGCTATCTCTTCGGCAGACGTATGGTTAGGAATGATGCGGCAGTCGTATTCCGGGGACTCTTGGATGCCCCTGCGCAGCCTTCTACGGCCAAAAGGTTATCAATAGTCATGAAAGATATTTGAAACTTACGTTAACGCGTATCGCTCACGTTGATCACACGGGGGAGAACGCCGAGGTCTCCGCCTTTGCGTGATGAGACCGTGACTTTGGATGTCGACTTTCATACACCTGTTTTCACTTTGTCGTGTTTAGTAGTACGCCTGACCGGGCCATCGTTCTGGAATTAATGCGAGCTGTCGCTGCCCAAAATGCACGTGTAGTATCTGTATACCATCTCAGACAGAGTAGGATGCAAATGAATGAGGAGAACACCCATACCTTTGCCATACCTACTCCACGACGGGCGCTGTTGATTTTCGCCGCACTTGGGGGTGCGTGCGATAGAGTAGGACTAGCTTGCGTACAGGAAACGAAAAAAACGTTCAGAATATGATCCGGGATTGATCATGATTTATCCCTATTTTAACGGCGATGGCTGAGTAAGCAAGATTCGAGGCGCTGTTTGCTGGTTGGGATCCGCAGCGGTCCAAGGAGAGGTTATGTGCGATTAGCATGAACCTGGAGTGAACTCCGTCACAAGTCTAGTGACTCGATGACATTTGCAGGCCACCTAAGGTGATGGATAGCATATCAAATACTTTACCAGAGCCCGCCCAATCAAAATCGAACCTTCGCGTGGAGATTGTATAATTTGGCCAGAAGACTCTGAGGTTGACGGCCAGGCTTTTGCCCTCGCCCACTTTGATATTTCGTGACCTCAGCGTGGTACAAGACTCGCGCTGTGCGCTCGCGTCCTGCGGCTATTGTTGGGTTATTCCAGAGTATTCTGATCAGGCGCATTTTCTCTCGCTATCATCCCTTGGAGACCGCAGCCGCCAACGACAGGCAGCCGAAACCACAAGCGCGTTCGCGAAACCGCCCCCACACCAGGCCCTTGTCTCTTTGTGGACAGAGTCGCATTAGTGATGGAACAGGATCCATCTCAACGAGTCAAGCCAAGCACGTTGCACGTCGGCGACACGAGGTGAGTGCCCACTTTGGACCCAACGCCGACCCTAAGTGGATTTGAAAAGGACAGGCCAGAACGTCAAAAATGATTCCTTCGAGGTGGAAACGGCCAAGAATTCACCGTACGTGTCACACTGGATCATTTGCTACCATACTGAACATCCCAGTCCACGCCGCTTTGACCAGTCTCCCGACGTCGAGCATCCTGCCCAGCCTCAACCGGTGAGCAAGGATCTGGATTTATCTGTACACGCGCTAATTACCGTTCTATATCCGTTTCAACATCAGATCCTGTACGACGCTTCGGACAAGTGCCCGCACTATTCCTCTATCGGCGTCAAGTCTACACACAACAATGCAGCTTCATCAGAACATCCATTTCCCTCGAGTCCCGCCGTCCCTCCTCCATCTCGCGCGCCGAATGGCCAGTCGGCGCCACCTCTCGTGAACAATAGCGTCAACCAGCCGCTATACGGGGAGCCTTTGACTCAGGATTATGATCCCACCAAAGCCTCAGTGTTTGGTGGACAAGGTCAACCCACCGTGGACACCGCGAGTGCCAATGGCAAACCGGAGATTCGCCAGGCTCGTCTCCGCGACGGTTTCCGAAAGCGCATTCGACTATCGCCGACTCTAAAGAAGCTAAAAAAGCTGTTGAATCTCTTAGAACGGCTCTCTTGGCTTTCCCTGTCGCGTGGTCCAGATCCTGCGCCTTCTGTGGCGTCGCAGACGACTGTCCCCGATTCTGGGTCATCAACTACGGATAGTTCATCATCTGCAACGTCAACTCACAGCCGCCATACAACCACCCAAACGCAAATTTCGATAGCAGGTCCACCTCCAAACGTAGATGGATCCCAGGACCCCCAAACCTGGACCACGGGGATGAAAGATGGTGTTTTGACTTGCCCTTTTACAAGTTTGTTTGTTAATCGTTTTCCTCCAGATGGTCAGCCAGGTTCGCAGCCAACTTCGCAAGGATCCGAGGCCACACCAGCGGAACAAGGCCAGACGACCACGCAACCACACCCATATTACAAACGCCATCCCCCTCCTACTTTCGATCTCAGAGAAGATCAGATCGTGCAGGTCCGGTTGCACTTTAATGGGAACTACTCCAAGGTGTACGAGGGAACATTGAATCATAATGACGTGTGCATTCGAGTAAGCTCTCACCTACCGGCATCCCTTTGTGCTGATACACCTAGGTTGCCGTCAAAATTCCAAAGTCTTATGGCAACCGGCACGCTGGCGAGGGCAGGGCTCCTGCAAGCGAGAGAGTGAGTATCTGATGAATATATACGCTAGAATGGCTTCCTGACGTTTCGTAGCGCAATCTACGCGAACTTTACGCGGCTCTTGACCTCCGCCATCAAAACATTATAGAGGTCTACGGCATTTGCATGAAATTGGGCAAGTATGGGGCATTGGTTATGCCGGTAACTCCATCTTAATCCACTGGCCACTTTCTAACATTTGCCAGTGGTACGACAGAAATCTCCGGAAACATCTCAAGTCAAAACCTTCACCCGCAGTGCGGTTTCAATTGGTATGTGAAATGATCATGGCTTCGATGCGGTCATTAATCAGTCGAAACAACCTAGTGGCTAGATATCATATGCGCCGTTGTGTACATGCATTCGCGTGGTTTCATCCACGGCGACCTGAAGCCGGTACGGCTACCCCATCTTGTCTTCCACGTGAAACTCACCGAATCAAAAAGGAGAATATAATGATCGACGATCACGGCAATCCCAAGATCGGGGATTTCGGACTTTCCTATTGCATTGAACGCGCCCAAATGAACGAATACCAGCAACTCGCGGTAGCGTTGAATACGACAACCACACACGTGGGTACCGCGCGATATCGAGCTCCCGAGCTCGTGGGTACAAATGGTGGAGTACGCGTCACCCAAGCTGGCGATGTGTACGCATTGGGAGGAATAGGCCTCGATGTAAGCACAGTTTATTCCCCATCTAGTTTCGCCGAAATAGCTTATTGATGAGTGATTGTATTGTAGATCTTGTGGTCTACGATGCCGTACGAAAACCGCGATAACCACGATGGCATCGTCCTAGATATCGGTGCAGGGCTTCCACCGGCGCAGCGCCCGTCGAACCTTTCCACCCAGCCTCTTGGGTTATCGCGCCTTTGGGATGCGCTCGAGTGGTGCTGGAGGCCTGATTCAGGTGATTCAGGTCGCCCCGAGGCAGGGCAGTTCCACAAGCACTTGTTAGAGCACCAAGGGGAAATTATCGCCGCGCTCGGGAGCAGGCGTAATTAATGGAATCGCTCGGAAGTTTATTGGTCCCACGGATAGTTATCATGCAGGATGGCGCTGTAGCATCCTTTTCACCTTGTATCATTATTCAATCATGCATTCGTTACACGTTATTATATGGCTATAATCATTGGTAGAAGGGGCCACCGCTTAGTATATCGTAAGTTTGCTCTTGATCATCTCAGGGATCATATTTCCTTGAGATTAAAAAAGGATGGGATCGTCCGGGTTTCATGGATTTGGCTGTGTAAGAACTCCGGGAAGTAAAAACTATGGTAAGAGTCCATTGGTTCATATGCAAAATCGTATACAGCCGATTCTATGCGATAGCAAAGATACCCAACCTCGCCCGGGTAGCCACCGCAGCTACCGTCCAGCCATAGTATGACAGGAGAATGGGCCTTGTGATGGTGGCGACGAATGGTATCGAGGGATTGAGCAGTTGGGTAGTCAAGGCGCTTGCTGAAGTGCACCGACTATAAGATTCTCGTAAGTATCCAACCATTCCCATAGGGAAGATGCAGTTGGACGACGGAGAGGATCGCGACTCCAGCACAACTCGAGGATATCCCACAAGGCGTCGATACCATCGACCGAGGGGAGTTTGTCAGATGAGGAAGAATCCGTGGTCGTTTTGATGCGTGGTCGACGGGCAGGTGGTACCCCGCAGCGAATGTCATGGAATATCTGTCCACGTCGATTATCATCGCGATGAGCGTAAGGTACAACCGAGTAGATGAACTAGTACGCGTTAGTGCTGGTACTCGGCAGATGGGGTGCATTGTGAAAGAAACGTACTTCGAATCCGATACAACCCGCAGCATATACGTCCGTAGCCGTTGTCGGTTCCGACGGATCGTTGAGATCAACTAGCTCAGGAGCAAGGTATCGCGGTGTACCCGTATGCGGAGTCGTGGTATTGATCTCGCGCATCCATTCCCGACTTTCGTCACTGCTGTACCCGTCGCCAGAAGAAGACGAAGAAGAGTCGTCGACCACAACTCGAACCAGTCCAAGGTCGCAGATCTTTGGCCTTCCATCGGCAGCGATAAGAACATTGGGCTAGGTATCGGGAATCAGATCGTGAGATGCAAAATGTGAGGCGGCCTACGGGTTTCATGTCTCCATGAACGATTTGCGGCGAAGGAGAGTGCAAGTAAACAAGACCACCGACCACGCCTTGCCACTACATAGGGATTAGCCCACGTTCATTCCATGGCAACGTTGCTCACTAGACGGTATCTTTCCAGTGGTGAAGGGGCGTGCTTGTGAAGATATTGCGCAGCATTGCCGTTTAGACACCACTGTGGATACTCAATAAGAACTTTCTGTTACAGGATTCACTCACTGGCGTAACAATGGCCCCGAATGGCCCGAACATTCGATCTTCCACGATACCATGTACCGGTAGGACGTTCGGATGTTGGAGAATCTTTCCAATCATGACCTCGCGACGACGTCTCTGCATCCAGTTCAGATCTACTCTTGCGGATTTGACACTACCTACCCTCTGAACGGAATGCCTAGGACCGACTGCCTTGATGACTTTGATGGCAACCTGTCGTTTGTTCAGTACGTTTCTATTCGACGTGACAACACGTACGTCCTCCATCTGGTGTCCATCATCGTAGACGCCTTGATATACCGCTGAATAAGGGCCATCGTAGACTTTGCGTGATCGGTACAGACGCACGATGCTCGTCAAATCCCGCCCTTGAGAGTGAAATGGGACAATTTCATCGGGATTGGGGTCAGAAACATCGTGATCAAGAGCCGAGGGACGAGTGCTTGGAGCCACACCGAGGAATTGAGAGGGGATTGAAACGCCGGAAAGATGTTGCTGGTAAAGTGACAGAAGAGGATCCACTGGGTATGACGAAACAGGCAAGTCAGCCTCGACCAAAGGCCAGCAACGTTGATGTTCGACGCTGAAGGTGGTGAACGTATGGGACACGGGGATTGTGGAGTCGAGAATATCGTCAACAACGAGCCGGTCTTGAGATTGGAAATGACCACCACAGTCGGGTTCGCGGGACTCTTGACTCTGGGTGCGATCCCATGGGTGGGAGTGGGATTCAGGAATAGGGCTAGCCGTTTGGTATTCCGTGTGATCATTGATAGATGGTCGAGTGGTCATGCAACCAGTGCTGCTCAAAGGATCAGCCGTCGAAGAAGGGCGGGGAACGCTGGATGAGCTTTTCAATGAAAGCCTGCGGGGCAGCCGTTTTGGTCTCGTCGAGATGGACTGCCTATCCGTTTCCGGAGGAGGCAGAGGTTGACCACCCAGGGTACCCATTTCACCGACAGGTTGGGAACTTTGTCGTTGTGTGACCTTGACTCGAGCTCGTAAAAGCGAAGCACCTGAGCGGATCCAGGCGAGAATACGGTTATTACTCTCGCTCGTGGGCTTGAGGGACAGATTTGGCGATTTCGTATCCTTCTTACGGCGAGTATCGACGACGGTTTCCCGTTTCGTTGAATCTCGCCTTTCTGAGACACCTTTTTTGACATTGAGCTGGCGAGAATGATCAGATATGCAACTAGTGTGGTCGTTGAAGAACAAACCAGTTGGAGAAGAGATTCCACGTAGCCCGGCTTTGGTTGGCCATGAAGAAGCCGCTTGGTATCACGTGAATACTCGACCCCCGACTTTGAGCAAGAGGAGCAGTCGCCCGGAGAGTCGCACTTGGCCTGTATGTAGAAGGCAATGGTGGACATTTCTAATTAGCGCGATGAGGGACGCGCAACACGGGGAAGCACTGACCCTGCAAGGACGAGATATGTCACAAGGAGAAGGATAGCGACGTTGGCTGACCGGTTGAGTGGAATCGGGACCGCCCTTGCCGTCACGATTGTTGCGTGTTGGGGCAGACATACTGATATCGTGAATATATGACATATATGCATGGTGTGACACTTACTGAAGATTTTTAACATCAACTACATCCAATGAACCGTCTTCCAATGGCGAGCCCGTGATCCGCGAGCAGACGTGGCGAGACAGGATGCACGCATCACGTCTCTGAGAGTTTGAATGCGTTGTACACTTGATTTTGCTTGAGCGGCTACATGCTTCACATCAGGCCCAAGTCGAAGTCGGGTTCAAGACGCGACTCACCACTCGTCACACGCAGTCGACATTCTTTGCCTTGTGATTATGCTTTGAATATTTTTGCACAACTAGATAAAACCTCGCCGAACCAGTTGCTTACCTGAGCGGGGGACAACGACGCGGTTCCATATCGGCTATCGACCCTTTTTAAAGTGACTTCGCCTGGTGTCAAGCCTACTTTTGAATGAGGCTGGAACTTTGGGATACCCCCAGTGATGCAGTCGCGATAGTGGGCCTGATCCCATCTTCGACCCGCCCATCTCGACTGCCGGCCCGCAGAGGCGACGTTTCGACTATCAAGATTTTGGATATTCCATTTCTCTTTTTTATTCGACATCACTTCACTGGACCTCGGGCGTCGCATCGATGTGGCATATAGTTATATAACCAGAATATGCTCAGATTCAGACTGCTAGATTGTATCGCATTTTCCAGACTCATTCCAAGCTAGAGGCTTGCTTCCGGACTCTTTTTCTGGTGCGCTCCACGCCATCTTCGTACTCGTCGCCATCGTCCTCCTCCGCCTTTCGCTTCCTCCCCGTCCTCTCCGCGTCGTAGTGCTCCCTGATTCGCTTCTCTACACTAAGGCATCAGCTCCGATTCCGTTTACGAAAGTCATCCAAGGACTTACGAATGCGATCTGGTTGGTCCTTTTTGCGCCCTCGAGAGATCCCAAAGTGCGCCTCTATCACATGGCGCCTGTACGAATCCCCCGTTGCGACCTCAATTCCACACGGTTCGCACTCCGTGTGGACCCATCGCACGACGCCCGAGGTTGCAATCGCCCCCCGGATTCCGCATCGGCGCCTCCCTTTTGCGTCGACTGTAAATCCTTGGTCGACGGGGAAAACGACCTTGAAGGTGGACGTCCTGAAATGCTTTTGAGCCCTCTTGAGGTGCTCAAGGACCTCGATGGGATCCGCGTATCCCATCGAATCTTTCTCTACGTATTGTTAGCAAGTGGATATTGTCCAAAAAAGGTCACGTACCAAAATGCTTCTCCTCTACTCCATCTTTGGTGGCCTTGGAGGCCTTTCGAGAGGGCTTGCGAGGTTGGGTGACCTTTTTGCCTGGATGGCGAGGTCGGATGACCTTTTTACCTAGATGGCGAGGTCAGTGATTAGCGAGAAAAAGGCGAAGGAGGACATACCCCTGGCGGCGGAGCCGCTCTTGATAGGTTTGTCACGGCTTCTTGAACGAGCGGAGCCGTGACTCTGAATATTAAGAATAGCTCCGCCGGCAGGAAGGTTCCCACCGACGGAGGTTGGGCCCTGGGAGATCGACGCTTTCGACCTCCTGGGCTCACCTGCGTCGCTCTGCTGGTCCGCGAGTTGAATAGGTCTGTATCGATCAGTATTAATCAGACCCTTCATGCATAGTTACGAACCTATCCTCGTCATCCTCAAATTCGGACTCCAGGTCCCCTTCGACTCCGACCGGCTCCGGTTCGTCCTCCAGCTCTGGCGCATCTGCGTCGCCAAACAATGAAAGTCTGTCCGAGCGACCGTCAAGATCGCTCGGGCAGACCGAAAGCGTATCGGGCTCTGTTGATGGAGCGACGCTGACCGATTCGTCCCGTCTAATGCTGCAAGTCAGTGGATATTTAAAATGTTCACAGAGCACGAACAGCGAATCCGCGTCTCCGGCAAGGGCCTCTTTGCCTTCCAAGCTGGTTGCGAAAAGCGTCAGCGCCTATCGAAATCTGCGTGGCCTAACTCACTGCTTCTCCCAGTCGCTCCGCGTCCACCAGAGGCACTCTATAACCTCACGGTCGTCTGCGGGTTCGGGGGTGGGATCCCTTCGCGGCTTCTCGATGAGGTCCTCGTCGAAATTATACGTGTCCATGGTTTATTCGTTTGCAGATCCCGGCTTTGTAGACGCGTTGGTGGGCAGCGACCAAAGGACGCGTCGGGGGGCGAGGTCAAGGTGCGAGGCCGGCCAGAAACTGACTCATGGCCTCTTTATAATGACGCGCTAAAGCGGGGTTTGAACTCGTTTCGCGAGACACGTGATCCAAGCCACCTGCTGAGTCGCACCGATTGGCAGATGCCTTTGCCTGGAGGTACCAGGCGCGTGTTGGATGGATGGTATCTATATCCGAGAGTTTCAGCTACTCAGATAGAGGCAGATAAAAGCAAGTTTGTGGGCTGGTCACCGTTGGCTCCGGACGTGGCTCAACGCGTCCTTTCCACCACATCAGGGCGCAGACGCGCACTCCCTCTGAAGGGCGTGTAGTCCCATCTAGAGCCTGTTATGTATACGTTTGACGCGTTTACATGTTTTCTTGTGGCCTTTCGTGAGCAGGCACCCTGGTGGACTCGTGCTGTTGATCGCTGACCACAAGGAACCCCGTAGATCCTCGTTTATATAATCTATTTCTGCTCTAAATCGAGTAATACGATGAGAAGACCGCATAAAATTGGCCCGCCAAACGGTTGCATAAAGGATCACATTCTGCCACATTTTTTGGAGCCGCCGCTCGTTTCTCAACACCGCTCGCATCCATTGGTCTCTTTACAGTCTAATTTACCTCTTCGTCTCTTATCAAGCTCTAACATGGTTGTTTGGTGGTGTTCTAACCAAAGGACCATGCTCATGTCCCTCCCTCGGCGTCGTTTTCACTTCGTTCCCGCCTCATTTCCGCCTATCCATATCCTCTTTCAACAGTAATTGATTCGTCTCCATCAAAGGTTCTCGCCTGCGAAGACTGGTCATTATCGGCGCCAGGCTCATCCTTAGATAGGGGAGAAACGCATTATACATAATATAGACGGTTCCAAAACGACCATTATACGGGATAAATGTCACGTACAAACTTTCTTTCTCTCACAGAGACTTGCCGGCGCGCCTCGATCCGAAGAACGACAACCCGTCGACTCAAGTCAATTATGACTATGTTCGTAAAGTGTTCATGATACGAAGGTAGTGTAATTAGTCGGTACTCAAGGCCATTCAGGGAGAATCACGACATTTGAACGCGTCGTCAATATTTGGGAGTTTGTTTCCAAGCGCGGTGAGTGTATTACGTAAGCCTGAAAACCGACGAACTATGGTCCTTTATGAACACATTTAATTATATATACATGCCTTGTAGACTGCAAGCGTCAGAACAGGCTCCCAAGGTATCTTTACCGGCAGCCCGCTTGCATCCGACGAAATAATTCAAGTTGATTTAAGGTCAGATAGAAGGGGAGGAAATTTCCATAACTCTAGCCGTTAGGTTTGGCGCTCGAGCGCACTGACAATCGCATCTTCGTAACTGGCCAACAACTCGCATAGACGCAATGCCATCGGGCGAGAAGAAGGATCACGACGCCAGCACCACTCCAGTATATCCCATAGAAGACTCACACCATCGACCGGGGTCGACAATGGACTAGTTTTGGGTGAGTGTGAGGTCGTCGAGTCGAGCAGGAGGATGCCGCGACGAATATCATGGAAGATTTGGCCCTGGAGAGTTGTGGACGATTTGCGTAGGGCAACTTTGAGTAGATGAACTGTGCCATTGGTCAAGCGTCATGGAGCGGAGTTTCAGAGGAGACGACGTACCTCGAACCCGATACACCCGACTGCGTACGTCTGCCGCTGCCGTAGGTTTAGAGGACGGTTTAGATCAACCTGTTCGGGAGCGAGGTATCGAGGTGTTCCAGAATGCGGCGTTGTGGTATTGATTTTACGCATCCATGACTGATCTTCGTCGCTAGCGTATTCGTCGCTCGAGAATGAGGTCTCATCGACCAAGATTCGTGCAAGCCCGAGGTCGCAAATCATCGGCCTTCCATCTTTGGCAATCAGAACATTGGGCTAGAGGTCGGCGGTCAGCGAAGTCAGGGGAGTACCTGAGGAAAGACCCACCGGTTTCATGTCTCCGTGTACAATCTGCGGTGAATGCGAATGTAGATGAGCAAGTCCATCCACCACACCTCGCCACTGAGTGATCGTTAGCATGCACCTTCTTTTATCCCATCAGTACTCACCAGACGATATCTTTCCAGTGGTGAAAGATTGTACTCGTGGACCAATTGCGCAGCATTGCCATTTGGACACCACTATGGACGCTCAGTACGGCTTTTCAATCTAGAAAAGCATCTCACTGGTGTGATGATTCCGCCAAACGGGCCAAACTCCTCGCCCTCGACAATGCCGTATACCGGGAGGATATTGGGATGGTGGATACTCATTCCTGTCGTGACTTCACGACATCTTCTCTGGAGCCAAAGTCAGCTCAATCTCTACAATATTTCATGACGCACCCGCCGTATGGAACGAGGAGACCCGACGGCTCGAACGATCTTTATGGCGACCTAAGCGGTGCTCGCTCAGTGGGAGTCGACCCACAAACAAGGTACATACGTCTTTTTCTTCGTCCCCGTCCTTGTAGATACCTTGAAAGACGGCCGAATATGGACCATCGTAGACTTTGTGCAATGAGCGCAAGCGCACGTAGCCCGTGAGGTTTCTCTCTCGAATTGTCCACGGAGAAGAGGTGGCAGGCTCGAATTGTCAGGAGACGCTGCTGGCGGAAGAGTGGCGCAAGTTCTTGTGGGCGCCGAGAGAAGGAAAAGATGAAAGGTGAGTTGGATAGTCGAGATTAACCTCTTTTAGTGATACCGGGCGAGTGGGAGCATCCACGTCTTGAGCCAGATACCCGAAAGGTCTTTGTCTACCTTCGAGGTCGACGTCTACGCTCTCGAAAAGACTTGACGTCGGGCTCTGTGGTTGAATAGGTGTCCTATGAGAGGCAGACGACGCGCGGTCCGTGATTGATCGCGGGGAACCACCCGCTTGTGTAACTGGAGAAGACGCTGGATCAAAATTGCGCGGTGAAAAAGCCCGAGAGCCGCCTAGTGAGTCCTTGGTGGCTCTCTGTAGTTTCACCACCGGATGAATAAGTCTGTTGATTAGGCGTTGTAGACGAGTCAGGCGAGCGACTGTTTGCTCAATGTCGTTTCCATCGTCGCCGTTCACCTTAGGGCTCACGACGCCAGCAGAATGTTGGATTTGAGACTGGTGGATCAGTGTGGATCAGCCATGAGAAACGAGGAGAGCGGTGCGAGTAGAAAACTCACCTGGTGAGCAGGATATTGGCTTGTCGACCGTGTGGTGCCGGGAGCAAGTATGCTGATGTTGTCAGCATAATGCCAGCGCAAGGGTAGATTGTAACTTACCGTTGATTGGCGACTTCGTGTGGGATGAAAGCGCGCGCTGCCAACTGTGGATCGGTGGCTCCAAGGGTCGGAGAACAGGCCTGGCGGGTCTGAATGCAAGCATTGCATCTCTCAGAGGTTCTATTTCGTATACACTCGATAGTGCGCGCGTAGCTGCATGATTCGAGTGTGAGCCAAAGTCGACGGCGGGTCCAAGGAGGGCTCACCACGCTTCGCACGCCATCGTCATCGTCGACATGCTGTGATACTTTGGAATACTGCTGTACAACTTCAACAACGGAGAGTGAAGATGGAGAGGACGAGGAGAGACAAACGGCATACAACGGCGATCACGTCTGATTATATGTCGGTAGTTGACCAGAGATGATATTTTCTCCCCGACGAATACAGGGAAGCACACCCTGGTTTCGACCTACCTGACGCGCCACATTGCCACGTTGGCTCGTACTCTCCATTCAAAAGGATTGCATTCACATCAATTCAACCGCTCATCGCTTAATCTCCTTTGGAGACTAGGCACTCACTCGCACAATGTCCGGGCATAGCGTGCGCGTCCCTAAAGACAAACAGCATTCAAATCATCATCGAAATGTGCGGAAATACCAAGGGAAGAGCCTGCGTCCTCCAACATCGTATCCGCCCACACACTTCGAGCCGAGGCTCGTAACTTTCCTGTGGCTTCTATGCGATTAGGGACACAGCGTCGCAGTTGGATCAGGGTGGTACGACTCGAGGTTGTGCCAGGCGGAGATATTGATGGTGCTATGCGTGCCATCTATGACAGTTTGCGAGAGCTTTGGTGAAGAACCGATGTAGACACTTTTTGTCCTCGACTATACTTACTGCTGATCATGCGCCGTTGGTCCAGCAGGCAAATTCGCCACGAGGCTGTCGATTATAAGCTCAGCAATGGCAGTCCACGTAATACATCCCCACCATTCTTTAGCTCAATCATTGTGAAAGCATGAAATCTACCATATTCCGATGACATTACATCTCCATGTGTCAACTGGGGGACATTTAGGCAGGGTGAACTGGTCCAAAATATCGTCATATTTGCAGCGAACATACAGTTTGACACCAGCTTGGTGTGTTTGGACTAGCTCGAGAGAGTTACGAGGCCTTTCAGCAGAGAGAATTCGCACAGATTGTCAAGGCGCGACCAATTTGAGGATGTACAGCGGGGTTTGGCTTAAACCGGTGAGGATAGTTTCGCGAAATAAGGCGGGGTGACTAGTATACTCCACATTCGAGCGCATCGACGATCACGTCCTCGTACTCGACCAACCATTTGCGCAAGAGCAATGCAGTCGGGCGAGACCGTGGCTCACGACTCCAGCACGACTCTAGAATACTCCAAAGAATATCGATGCCATCGGCAGAGGATGACGCGGGTGCATCATCAGCCAAAGAAGAGGACATGTCTGGTCGAGACGCGGGTGGGACGCCAGTCCGAATGTCGTGGAATATTTGTCCTTGGAGGTTATGCTCTCGATGAGCATAAGGTACAACCAAGTAGATGAACTAGGGTCGTATCAGCTATGCTATCCAGCATATTGCGATGACAACGCACCTCGAATCCAATGCACGCTACCGCGCATATACATCCGTAGCCGTGGTTGGCTGAGATGGACGATTCAGGTCGACCTGCTCGGGGGCAAGATACCGCGGCGTCCCGTATGCGCACTCGTAGTGTTGATTCCACCCATCCACGCCCAATGTTCATAACCCTGCACTCGAGGGGACGATGAGGGTTGAGAGCCGTCGACGATGAGTCGCGCAAGACCAAGGTCGCAGATCATCGGTCGTCCGTCATCTGCAATAAGAACGTTGGGCTAAACATCCTAGATGAGCGCAATCTGGCACAGAACGTGAAGCAACGTACGGGTTTCATATCTCCATGTACGATTTGCGGCTCATGCGAATGGAGGTGAACCAGGCCATCCACAACACCTCGCCACTGTACTGCTGTTAGCCGACACTCGTCCCTGGTCGCAACAGTACTCACCAATCGATATCTTTCGAGTGGCGAGAGCTTGTAGTTCTGGAGATATTGAACAGCATTGCCGTTTGAGCACCACTGTTTATATTCAATAAACGACGTTAGATTAAATTACCAACTCACCGGTGTGACGATTGCGCCAAAGGGTCCAAACATTCGACCTTCCACGGCCCCATAGACGGGAAGAATATTTGGATGCCGAACCTTTATCCCAGTAATAACCTCGCGACGACGTCTCTGAAACCAGTTTAGGCCGACCCTCGCCGTTTCGGTGCCACATACCCGCCGTATAGAATGCTTAGGGCCAACTGGTTTTATCACTTTGATGGCGACCTATGTAAATTGAATGAGTGTACTTTGGCCGACGAAGAATGTACGCACGTCTTCTTCGCCATATTCGTCCTTGTAGATGCCTCGATAGACAGCCGAATATGGGCCGTCATAGATTTTGCTGGATCTATATAGATGTGTGTTTCCAGTAAGACTCAATTCACGAGGCGGGCATGAGAAGAAGCCACCCTGAAGAGGAAGAGAATCGGCCCACGCGTCGCCTGTGATTGGGAGCGACTCAAGGCCATCCAGTGTTGCATACAGGGATATTGAGGGAGAGGGGTCGCTGGAAAGTGGTCGTTGACCTGCTGGCGAGTCACGTTCGACTGGATGGGACGAGCTAGGCGCATAGGCTTTGATTGTTTCGGTGCGAGGTGAATGGCTGACAATGTCGGCATCGTATATGAATTGAGCATGAGGCGTAGCATCAATTATAGCGTCTGGAGAGAGCGGTGTCGGTGACTCCGGATTGCCGTCGAGGTCATGTGCGCGAACGCAGAGGGTCTGAAGGGAGATTGGAGGGTTGTAGTGCGATGTATCTACAGGATTCGCCCGATGGCATTCCACATGATAATGATTTTCAGACGGTGTTGAACTGGCCTTTGAGATTGTCGACAATCCCCCCTTTCGCCTCCCATTTTCTGTTCTTGAAACAGACGTCCCATTGGATTTTGGCAGAGTCGAGGAAATGAAACCCTCCAAGGCACCTGGCCGCTGGATGGCTTGGGTTCCAGATAGTGAAAACGCCGCCATCAACCAAGCAATCAGACAAGCGAAAATACCCTTGGCTGGAACAGCTACGGGCTTCGGAGTATTGTGCGGATTTTGCGTCTGTGGCCTTTTCCCAACGGCGGAGCCGACAAGGGATGTGCGCCTTGAGGTGCTCGTCTCGGAGGGTGTTTGCCTAGCATTGGGCTGGTGAAAATGGTCAAATATTTGGCCAACATGGCTATCGAAGGACGAACAGTATCAACAAAAGATTCCAGGTAGGTCAATTTAGTCTCCAGAGCTTCGAGGTATCGTTTCGATGGCCCACGAAGGCGTGACTTCATATCACGCGTGCACTCGACACCTGCTGTGGAACAGTTCGAGCAGTTGCTTGAACAGTTGCATTTGACCTGGATATGGAAGAACGGTCGTCGTCCGCGGTTAGCACGTTCAATGACAGCACATGTAACATGGAGAATCACCAACCTTGAGAGTACGACATCTGTCACAAGCAGACGCATGCCGACGCGGGTTCCTCCTCTCAGTGCTGGCCGCGATCTCGTCGACAGAATGGTCGGGTGTTGGCGCGCGCATGCTGTGATCATCAGAGTTTGTCGGTAGACGAACAAAATAGACACATACTCTTCGTCCTCGACGTCTATGACACTCAAAGAGATGTCTGCCCATCGTTGATGTCCTGCCTGGGAGGATGAGAAGCATATGCGGCGATCCAAGGTGCACAGATTGCATCCTTCAGAGCCTTTAGTTTGTTTGCACTTGGCTTTATGCTTGCGGCTACATGTCCGAGTAAGAGCCAAGGTCGAAAACGGATCCAGGTTGGGCTCACCACTCGACGCTGGCTGCCGACATAGTCAGCGTGTTTCGTTGGAAGGAGTCTGCTTGCATTCCTAAAGACAGATATGGCCACCACCAGTCAGCCTTTGGAAGGGGGCCGGATGCCACAGCAAACGGTTGTATTGAGTATTTATATGTGCCGTGGCCGACGAACTGCAGCTTTAAACCCGCACGCACCGCCAATATAGCACATTGTCTAACTGGAGCCCACTTACTGGGTTACCCTCGGTTTCATTGGCGCGTGCATCTCCTTGTAGGCAGGCAGTTGTCGCTCTCCTCGCCGAGATCTCCCTCTGGGTGTGGCTCTGCTACGCTACTTTTGCTTGCTTTTGACTGTCTGTGAAGTAAACGAAGCGCTGAACTTATACGAGTTATCTCGCTTAGGAGACTTACGCAATACAGTCGAAGCCAAACCCCGACATTGCTCAACAGCACTAAATGCAGTCTATCGCGTCTCAGATTATCACCCAAATGTTTTCAAAACTCAAAGTGCTCTAGACTAGGCCCCTTGAACGCTTTCGAAGGTGCTGGCAGTTTGCATCGCCTCCGAATGTTTACCCTCCTACGGAGAGTGGCATCTTCCCAACGCCATTCCTCGATTCCATGGATGATGAAATCTGCAGCTATTTCATCTAAATACACAAGGTACCCGTATAGAGTCGAGGATTCCTAGCTGCTGGCCGAGCAGCCGCTCTCACTCCTGAATGTTCACCACGTCGATGTCATCTAAGGTGAAATATATTTGATTTCCAACGAAAACAGCGAGAACTATGCAACAGAGGCACAACGAGGCAGATTGATGGAACGCAACGTTCATCAAATAGCTCGCCAGGAGAATAAGGATACCTTTTAGGAGGAGAATTCACATAGATCATCAATGCGGAACTATTTGAAGATGAACAGAGAGGTCTGGGTTTGGCCGACCGAGAATGGCATCAAACAAAAGGGCGCTGGGCTATTATGCTCGGCGCTCGAGTGCATCGATAATCACGTCCTCGTCCTGCGCCAACCACTCGCACAAGTCCGATGCACTCGGTCGACGACAAGGATCGCGACTCCAGCACAACTCCAGCACATCCCAGAGGATCGTGATCCCACAGACCTCGGACGACGCCACGGTGGGATTGGTAGAGGACGGAGTTGCAATATCAGGTCTACGTGCGGGTGGAACACCGTTGTGAATGTCGTGAAAGATTTGCCATTGCAGATTGTGTTTACGGTGCGCATAGGGTACCGCCGAGTAGATAAGCTAGTGTGTGTCAGCGCTGGGACGTACAGTACCAAAGGACTAGGAAAAGGGAGATAATGTGCGAACAACGTACCTCGTACCCAATACACCCTACTGCGTACACATCCGTAGCCATGGTTGGTCTCGACGGATTGTCCGGGTCGACCTGTTCTGGTGCGAGATAACGCGGTGTACCCGTATGTGCGCTCGTAGTATTGATCCCAACCATCCATTCCCAGCATCCATAGCTAAGGACGCCATTGAATGAAGACGGTCGCCGATATTCCTCGACTCGTGCAAGTCCGAGGTCGCAGATCATAGGTCGTCCATCGTCAGCGATGAGAATATTAGGCTACAAAGCAATAATGAGTTGGTTACTTGAGCGTAGTCACAAGTTGGCCTACAGGTTTCATATCTCCGTGGACGATCTGCGGTACGTGCGCATGCAGATATGCAAGCCCATCCACAACTCCCTTCCACTATTCGATTATTAGCCTATCTGAGCCCTTTCGTCGCAGTGCTTCTCACCAGGCGGTACCTCTCAGCCGGCAAAGTGTCGTGGGTGTACAGATATTGCACAGCGCTACCATTTGGACACCACTACGAATGCTCAGTTACACGTCCAATCAGAGTGGTGACTCACTGGAGTAACGATTCCACCAAAGGGACCAAACTCTTTGCCTTCGGCAATACCATAAACGGGGAGGATATTAGGGTGACGGAGAATCGTCCCAGTAATGACTTCTCGACGACGTCTCTGCACTAGGTTAGCTCGGCCGTTGTCATTGCTCCTTTCGTACCCGCCGTATCGAATGTATGGGACCGATTGACTTGACTACTTTGATAGCGACCTACGTAGGTATTAGCGAGTTTATTTTTGTCATGGGGTATTCACGTACGAGCTCTTTGCGAAATCCATCATTGTAAACGCCAGGATAAACAGTCGAGTATGGACCGTCGTAAACTTTATGCGATAGATATAGGTGCACATGACCGGTGAGATTTCTTTCTGTACCGCTCACTGAGTATGAGCAACCGGGATCCGAGTTGACTGTGGTGTGCTTGGCGGATGAAGAATGGGAGCGTCTGGAGCTTTTCTGGCCGACGAGAGGGTGAGTGGATGGAGACCGGATGGAGGGATAAAAGGCATTGTTGACTTCTCCCACTCCTATGACAGCACCGGAAGTGTCTGAGGGAGGGGGTGCAGATGTGCGATGGTGATCGGAAGAGACGAGATTCACATGTCCAGACATACTTGCCAAGTTCTGCGGTTGGATACTAGCCTGAGGAGACGCGGAGGGATTTGTTTGTGGTGGATGTCCCGCCGTTGTAAGGTTGGGATTGGTTGCACGTCTGGGTAGGGTCATGCGTGGATCAGGATCACGCAGCAAGGAAGAAAGTGTTTGCATCTGTCGTATTGAATTCTTTATCAGTCTCTTCATCCGGACCACCGGACGGATAAGCTTGGTGATCATGTCACGTAGACAGTTTGGGCGAGTGTTCGTTGGTGCCTTGACCCAGTTCTCTCTATGGGACCTCGTATCATTTTGGATTCGAATGGCACTTGAGGTTGGGAACTCTTCAGAGAGTAAGGGGTGCTCAACTTCATGCTGAGGAGCCATAAGAGCCTTGAGCGGTCCATTAGAGACGGTATTGACATGTTCGTCGACTCCCTCGGAGGATGGAGCAGGCAAGCCATATTCCACACGAGGCGAAAGACCGACAGGGGCGGGAGACGAATTCACAGATAGGAATAGGATTTTCGACGGTTCTAAGCTATCCGAAATCTCCTGCTTCGAGACAAACTGGAAGATTATCAGCGACATGGCTTGTAGGGTGATTGAAACGGACCAGATTACAAACAGAATCTTTCGACTTTGTCATCCAGGATGAGACGTATTGTTCTTGTGATCCATGAGGGATGGGTTCGTTGCTAAGAGCGTAGGCGAACTCAGGAATGGGATGATTTAAACAAGGGTCTGGGGAGTTGCACTTGGCCTATATCCAAAGTGACAATGTGCGCGATCAGCTCGTCGAAGCCAGTATGATAACCAAAGTAGGACTTACCTTGTCCGCGCAAATAGCGGTGCATCGTTGGCCTCTTGTGCGTTTGATAGTTGAGCCACTACTATCATTAGTAAAGTGATTGAAAACGAGTTGAATTCCTATTTACCGTTGATTATGGACACCGTCCGCGATGGACGAACGCTCTGCCACTCTGCTACATGTATCCTCGACAGTCTGAGTGCAGACTGTGTGATTCAAAGTGCAAGCATCGCATGTCTGAGAGCTTATACTCCATACACACTCGATTTTGAGTGAGCGGCTACATGGCCAGATAAAAGGCCGAGTCGACGCACGATCCAAGGGACACTCACCACTCATCACAGACGGCGCTCATCATCAGCTCGGCACGTTTGCTGGGATCGTCTTGGATAGAGGGAGAAACTGAGAGCGCGGAAGGAGAAGAGGCGGATGAGGTCCATGACCGATCCTGGAGTGGTTTAAATGGTCAGACCGGGGATACGGTAATGGTACTGTTCGACGATGATCATTGGCTCCCAATGACACAGCCACTGCCCAGGCTGGAGTCTTTTTTAGTTTCCTGAAATTCACGCATTACATACAAGAAATTTGCATTCACGTCTATCCAATCACTCCTCATTCAGTTCGCCAACTTCTTTCCTAAGGCAGAGATCATGGTTCCCGCGGCAAGCCGAATGACGGCATTCTCCACAGGTCAGCGTCCCCATCCGAGGAGGTTTTGGTAGGGACTCACGTGGCTACACGCTCGCTTCGCGAAGGTGCACCCATCGGGAACAGGCGCGGGCTAGACGCCTACTCAATCACTTCCCACTTCCGGTTTTGACATCTGATCTCAGCCCCACGTCACCGGCGGCCGTAATTAACCTTTGTGCTTAAACCCGGGGTAGACACGTTCAATTCTCGCATCCTATAGGCGCAAAGCATCTTGATTGATGATGTACAAACCCGCGGTTTAGAAAGAAAGTGGCACACACCAGAGGCCGAACGAGACAGATTGACTCGAATAGGCGGTTCACAGAGTAACTCGACCGGAGAAAAGAGCAGGATATCAGGAAGAATATTTGAGCAGACATGTCCCTTCAGAAGGGGTCAATTTAAAAGCATAGTCAGACAAGACAATGAAAGAATGATGTCAGGAGAATGAAGAGTCGGAGACGTTACACTCGATTATCGAGTGCATCGACAATTACGCCCTCGTACTGCACCAACCATGCGCGCAAGTCTGCCGCACTTGGACGACGGCGAGGATCGCGACTCCAGCACAACTCTAAAATATCCCATAGAATAACGATGCCATCTACGAAAGACAAAATAGCGGTGTCATCAGACGACGACGAGTTTTGGACGGTCGCGGTGCGTGGTCGAGGTGCGGGTGGGACACCGTGGCGAATGTCGTGAAAAATTTGTCCCTGGAGGTTATGCTCACGATGAGCGTAAGGTACAACTAAGTAGATAAACTACGTGGCGTCAATTTCCGTACTATCCAATATACGATGGCGACGTACCTCGAATCCAATACACGTCACAGCGTACACGTCCGTCGCCGTGGTCGGTTGAGACGGACGATTGAGATCGACTTGCTCAGGCGCGAGGTATCGCGGTGTACCCGTATGTGCGCTTGTAGTATTGATCCCACCCAACCATTCGCAACCACCGTTGTCCCCGCGTCCGTGGGAGACAAATGGCTGACTACGAGTCGGGTAAGCCCAAGGTCGCAGATCATGGGTCGTCCGTCATCCGCGATAAGAATGTTGGGCTGTGCCGTATAAATGAGCGAAGGTCGACAAATAAGATGAGGCGGCGTACGGGTTTCACATCTCCATGTATGATTTGCGGCTCATACGAATGTAAATAAACAAGACCATCCACAACGCCTCGCCACTACGAGAATCGGCAAGTGCTCGTCCTTTGCTGTAAGATACTCACCAGGCGATACCTTTCGAGGGGCGAAAGGTTATACTTGTGAAGATATTGCACAGCATTGCCATTCATACACCACTAGCAACGATGAACGTGAGATCTCCACCCAAATGAACGACTCACTGGTGTGACAATTCCGCCAAACGGACCGAAACTGTCCATGACAACTCCATAGACCGGTAGAATGTTCATATGATGGAGGTTCATCCCAGTAATAACCTCACGGCGACGTCTCTGCAGCGGTGCTCAGCCTGATGTTTGTAATTCTACATCACCCACCCGTCGTATAGAGTGCGTAGGGCCGACGGGTTTGACTACTTTAATTGCGACCTGGATAGAATTTCATCAGCATTATTCGTTGAGTGAACATTACACCTACATCTTCCTGACGATGGCCGTCATCATAGAAACCTTGAAAGACGGCCGAATATGGGCCGTTGTAGACTTGGCGCGATGGATGTAAACGGAAGTAACCCGTGAGATTCCTCTCTTGAGTATTCCACGAGGAAGAGTAGGCGAGGCTCGAATGTCAGGGACGTCGTTGGTGAAAGTGTGGCGGACGGCCGTGTGGGCGGCGAGGGAAGGGATAGATGGAGGATGAGCTGAATCATTGAGAGAGCTGACCACCTCGTTTAGGGATATGCGGGAAGTCTCAACGCCTTGAGCCAAATACCCGAATGACCCGTGGTCATCTTCAAGGATGTCGTCTACGCTCTCGAAGTGACTTGTTTTCGAGCTCTGTGGTTGAAGAGGTGTCTTTTGAGAGGTATAAGTCGCATTTCCCGTGATTGATCGTGGGGAATCGCTCTCTTGTGTGAGCGGAGAGGATGCTGGAGCCGGATTGCGTTGCGAGGAAACTCGAGAGTCGCGTAGTGAGTACTTGACAGCTCTCCGCATTTTAACGATCGGGAGAACAAGCTTGTTAATAAGACGCTGTAGACAAGTCAAGCGAGAGACTATTTGCGCAACGTCGTTTTCATCGTAATCATCCTTCCTAGGGCCTATGAAGCCAGCAGAACGTTGGATTCGAGACTTTTCGATTAGTGGTGATCAGCGCTTGAGAAACAAGAAGGGCGGCGAGTAGAGAACTGACCCGATGAGCAGGATATGGTTGTTGGCTCGTTGACTTTGTAGTGCCGGGAACACACACCCTGATGTGGTCATTATAATGAAATAGAAGACTATAATTGAATTTACCGTTGGTTATTGACGCTTCTCGTGTCTAGCGAGTGCGATGGCCCCCGCCGTGAGGCGTCCAAGGTCCACGAGCATATTTGGTGAGTCTGGATGCATGCATCGCATCTCTCAGAGCTCGAACTCGGTATGCATTCGGTATTGCGCGCGTAGCTGCGTGGTCAAGTCTGAGCCAAAGTCGAGGCCGGAGCGGCGGAGTTCATGTAAAACTCACCACTCGTCGCAGACAGTCATCACCCCAACTTATTGAGAGACTTTCAAATCCTGCTGTATAGTTTCGGACACAGAGAACGAAGAGGAGAAGGCGGGGAAGAGGTAAACGGCATTGAAGCGAGATCGGGTCTGGCTAAAAGGCTGACCACTTGGTATTGGGAGGAGATGGAGAGAGAATGGCACGTCCCATCGGAGCGATCCCATTGGCCAGTTCCCAATGACTTGAGATGATGCGTAACGGCCCGAAAGGATCGGGTACCAATCATAATTGGTGTACTGGATCTCCCGCATCACATTCAAGAAATTTGCATTCACATCTATTCAACCAATCGTATCGCCTACTTCTTTAACAAGGCAGGCGCCGTGGTGCCCGCGGCAAGACCCTGTTCACCCGCGTAGACGGCATTCTCTCCGAGTTCCTCTTCGATGCGGAGGAGAGCATTGTACCTAGTAGCACCACGAGTAAGCGTCCCGTCCGAGGAAGGCTGGCAGTTTAGACTCACTTGGCTACACGCTCGCTTCGCGCAGGTGCACCCGTCTTGATCTGGCCAACCCCGAGAGCGACGACGAGATCGGCAATGACCGTGTTCTCAGTCTCACCCGAGCGGTGGGAGACCATGACACCCCACCCGTCCGACTGCGCAAGCTGGGCGCTATATACATGGTCGATGAATACCAGGGGAAATAAAGAGTGGAAAAGAAGACGCACGCTTGGATACTCTCGCTAATCGTACCAATCTGGTTAATCTTGAGCAGCAAGCCATTGCACGCCTTTTTGCCAATCGCCGTCTGGATACGTTCGGGGTTGGTGACTGTCAAATCATCACCGACAACCTGGACTTTGGTGCCATTGGTAAACGAGCTCCAGGCCTCCCAATCATCCTGATCAAACGGATCCTCAATCGACACAATCGGGTACTTCTCAATCATCTTGTTGTAAAAGTCGCCCAACTCTTTGCCGGTGATCCACTTTGTCGGATCCGAGTTGGCATTCTTGAAATCCAAGTCGTACTTGCCGTCCTTGTAAAACTCGGAAGACGCAACGTCGAGTCCAATCTTGATCTTGCCCTCGTATCCAGCCTTTTTGATCGCCTCGCTCAACAACTCGAGACTCTCCTCGGCACCAGCGACATTGGGTGCGAATCCACCCTCGTCACCGACGTTGGTCGCATCAAGCCCATACTTGGCCTGAATGACCTTTTTGAGCGTATGATACGTCTCGGTACCAATCTTCATCGCCTCGGTGAAGCTGGTCGCTCCCGTGGGGAGGAGCATAAACTCTTGGAAAGCGAGTCCATTACCAGCGTGCGAGCCACCGTTGATGACGTTGAACGCAGGGCACGGCATCGTCATCTTGCCACCTTCTGGGTGTCCAGCGAGTTTGGCCAAATAGGCATAGAGAGGCAAGCCAGATTCGGCGGCACCAGCTTCGGCGACGGCGATGGAGACACCTAGGATGGCGTTGGCTCCGAGTTTACCCTTGTTGGGCGTTCCGTCGAGTTTGATGAGGAGGGCGTCAATGTCCTTTTGTTGAGTGACGGAGAGACCAGAGTCGATGAGGGCGGGTGCAATGGTCTCGTTGACGTTTTTGACGGCGTTGAGCACACCTAGAATAGGTTGTTAGTACGGTTAGTACATATGTTAACATGGTGTGATTCGAGGCGAGACCGATCGGAAAAGGAGAGCCGTGTGTGCATGATAGCGCGAGGGCAGGTGATTTGGATGTAGACGTACCTTTTCCAACATACGACTTCTTGTCACCGTCACGGAGTTCGACGGCCTCGTGAACGCCAGTGGATGCACCAGACGGGACGGCTGCTCGGAAACGACCTGATCAAACCGAATCGATGAGCCCTCGACGAGCTATGGAAAGCACAGGACTATATGCGCACCTTTTGCGGTGTACAAGTCGACTTCGACGGTCGGATTGCCTCGCGAGTCAAAGATCTAGAACACGGATGGATGGCATGTCAGCGCCCAGATCTATGCGTATTACACTGTTGAATCCAGTATAGATGACAAAACAACAAGCTGTTTGGACTCGCTCGCCGTAGATCTTGCCCAACGAGATTCCATCTGAACCCCAATAACCCAAATGAGAGTAAAACTAACCTGACGAGCGTGTACTTTGGTGATGGACATATTTGCTGTCGTAGATTTGTGGATTTGGAGTGGTGGGGTTGGATGAGGAAAGGGCCAAGGTCGAGTACTTACGCCCACTTTATACGGTATGGCCCGACTATGGCAAGCGGCGCCTCGGACCTAGTCGGTGAGACGGACCACCCACGTTGATCCACACAGTTTCCAAGGAAAACATCGGCAGATAAGATAGCGCTACGAGACTTTCCAGACCGGCAACAACTCGGAAGTTGTACTCTATATGGGAGACACTAGACGCGGCTAAAAGACGACTGTGTAGTGATCGAGAACGCCATAGCTCATTCGAATATCAGAATCAGTTCTTTGTTATTCCAAATAGGGCTCTAAGCAATGATCCACGCATGTTTGGACACGATAGTAAGATTATTGGTATGAAATTATTCGGTACATATTGTCTATATTGGTACGGACCACGAAGATGGCCCAAAGCTGGGATAAATAGTCAACTCCTGACGCCGCCACGAGCCCAACCCCTGTGCCGACGCCAAGATAACCGAATAGCTGGTGATTCTCTCCCATCAGTTGACTTTGAATTCTGGGATCGCTTCCCACCCGGAGACTTGTACCCGTTCGGGTGACCCTTCGGTGCCAGCAAACTCTAGTCCATCCCGACGTCATTCAAATGTAGCTTCAATTCCATTCTCGAGGTTTCAATCGATGTCAGGACTGAGATGAGCCAAAACCCAGGAAAGAAAACCGTCAATCTTGGAGAGCCGGAATCGTTCTTATACAGGAGCAAAGAGATCAAATCACGGTGAAATCCGCGAATTACCTGATCGTTCAGCACATGAGAACGACAGACATCGTCGCTGCGGCTCCGTACATCGGGGACTGTTCCTCTATGATCACGCCAATGGACCACGCACCGCTCAAAACACCCTATGGAAGGCTTAAATTGGAGGAAAAGATATGCCTGTTAGATTTTCCTCACTACAGGATCAGTAGAAAAGGTAATTGAAACCGGAGGGAGACGCCCTGCTCTTATACAAGGGTATTCTCAAGACGGCGAGTTGGCATCGCCGTTGTCATGAAGGCAAACTGCACGCCTGCATCCTGATTCGACGGAAAGGACAAATTGCGCTATCCCCAGGGCCGACCGCGACGAGCCCATAAACCTGCCTTTATTTGCTTCTGAGTAGGCCGTTGAGATTGTCCAGTTTCGACAAGCAACGACTCTGAGAGGAAATTAAAAGAGGAGGAATCTATGCTATATTATATTGCGCGTAGACTGCGAGGAGCATGGAACGGCGTGAGAGCAGAGCATGGGGGTGGCTCTATGATCAGAGCACCGCCGAAAGATCGCACAAGAGTTCGAAGAGAGAGAAAGAGGTGGGATAGACCGTAAACAGGCCAATAGGTGCGAGCGCCGTCGAAACGCCAGCGCTGGCTCCAAAAAATGTGGCAGAATGGGATCCTTTATGCAACCGTCTGGCAGGCCAATATTCTGCGGCCATGTCATCATAGGACGCAGTATAAAGCATGAATAGATCATATAAAGCAGGTTCTACTGGATTCCCTTCGGTCAGCGATCAACAGCCGCGAGTGAACAAGCGTGCTCGCTCACAAAGGGCCATACGAGTACATGTAAACGCGTCAAACGTATACATAATAGGCTCTAGATGAGACTACGCCCTTCAGAGGGAGTGCGCGTCTGCGCCCTGATGTGGTGGAAAGGACGCGTTGAGCCACGTCCGGAGCCAACGGTGACCAGCCCACAAACTTGCCTTTATCTGCCTCTATCTGAGTAGCTGAAACTCTCGGAGGTAGATACCATCCATCCAACACGCGCCTGGTACTTCCAGGCAAAGGCATCTGCCAATCGGTGCGACCTAGCAGGTGGCTTGGATCACGTGTCTCGCGAAACGAGTTCAAACCCCGCTTTAGCGCGTCATTATAAAGAGGCCACGAGTCACGTTCTGGCCGGCCTCGCACTTTGACCTCGCCCCCCCCCGACGCGTCCTTTGGTCGCTGCCCACCAACGCGTCTACAAAGCCAGGATCTGAAAACGAATCAACCATGGACACGTATAATTTCGATGAGGACCTCATCGAGGTGCCAAAAAGGGATCCCACCCCCGAACCCGCAGACGACCGCGAGGTTATAGAGTGTCTCTGGTGGACGCGGAGCGACTGGGAGAAACAGTGAGTTAGGCCAAGCAGATTTCGATAGGCGCTGACGCTTTTCGCAACCAGCTTGGAAGGCACAGAGTCCCTTGCCGGAGATTCGAACCCTTTGTTCGTCCCTTGTGAATGTTGCGAATGTCTACTAACTTGCTGCATTAGATGGGACGATTCGGTCAGCGTCGTTCCATCAACGGAGCCAGACAGACTGTCAGTCTGTCCGAGCGATCTTGACGGTCGCTCGGACAGACTTTCATTGTTTGGCGACGCAGATGCGCCAGAGCTGGAGGACGAACCAGCACCGTTCGGAGTCGAAGGGGACCTGGAGTCCGAATTTGAGGATGACGAGGATAGGTTCGTAACTCTGCATGAATGGTCTGATTGATACTGATTGATACAGACCTATTCAACTGCTGGCTCATGAGAGCGACGCAGGTGAGGCCAGGAAGTCGAAAGCGTCGCCAGACTCGAGACGCGCGTCGACGTCTGGGACAGAGGGAATGAGCTCGCTCACCTCAGGCTCTGTCGGAAGGAAGATTCCTGCCGGCGGAAAAACTCTTAATATCCATAGTCACGGCTCCATCAGTTCAAGCGGCCATGACAAACCTATCAAGAGCGGCTCCGCCGCCAAGGGTATGTCCTCCTTCGCCTTTTTCTCGCTAATCACTGACCTCGCCATCTAGGTAAAAAGGTCATCCGACCTCGCCATCCAGGCAAAAAGGTTGCTCAACCTCGCAAGCCCTCCCGAAAGGCCTCCAAGGCCACCGAAGATGGAGTGGAGGAGAAGCATTTTGGTACGTCACGTCCTTTGGACAACATCCACTTGCTAACAATACGTAGAGAAAGACTCGATGGGATACGCGGATCCCATCGAGGTCCTTGAGCACCTCAAGAGGGCTCAAAAGCTTTTCAAGACGTCGGCATTCAAGGTCGTTTTCCCCGTCGACCAAGGATTCACGGTTGACGAAAAGGGGAGGCGCCGGTGCGGAATCCGGGGTGCAATTGCAGCCTCGGGCCTCGCGCGATGGGTCCGCACCGACTGCGAACCATGCGGAATCGAGGTCGCAACAGGAGAGTCGTACCGGCGCCACGTGCTTGAGGCGCACTTTGGGATCCCACGGGGCAGAAGAAAAGAGGACCAACAGGAACGACTCAGTGAGTCTTTGAGAGCTTTATCGACGAAATTGGAGCTAACCTCGCCTATAGAAAAGCGAATAGGGGAGCATTACGACGCGGAGAGCAGGGGGAGGAAACGAAAGGCGGAAGACGACAACGATGAGTACGAAGATGGCGAGCGACGACAAAGAAAAAGGGTCAAGAAGCAAGCCTCTAGCTTGGAATGATTCTGGAGGGTGAAATCATGTAAAATATAATCTCATAGTCTAAACTGAGCATGTTCTGGTCGAATGATTATATGCCACACTTGATGCGGCGCTCGAGGTCAGCGAGGTGATGTTGAATCCAAATATAAATGAAGCATCCACCGTCATAATGGCCAAAGCGTCGCCTCTGAGCGAGTGTAGATGAGATGGGTCGGTCGAAGATGGAAAGGCCACATCGGACGTGTATCTCGCTCGCAAGAAAGGCGCAAATTATTCAAGCAATATTATACAGGCGAACACTGCCGTTTGCGAGTTAGTCCCCGACCAAACTGAATGGAGGCGGTGCTTCAGTCACTCACCTGGCTAAGTCACTTTCTCTCTCTCGCCTTTAAAGGCACCTATAGCTGATACGGAGCCGCGTCGTGTCCCCCGCTCAGGCAAGCGACTACTTCGGCAGATTTGCCTAGTGGTACAAGAAGATTCAGAGCATCATTACAAGGCAAAGAATGTCGAGTGCGTGTGACGAGTGGTGAGTAGTCTCTTGGACCCGACGTCGACTTGGCCCTGATGTGAAGCATGTAGCCGCTCAAGCAAAATCAAGTGTACAACGTATTCAAACTCTCAGAGATGTGATACATGCATCCTGTCTCACCACGTCTGCTCGTGGACCCCCAATGTCACGGGCCCGCAATCAACAGACGGCTCGTTGGATATAGTTGAGGTCGACAATATCCAGTATGTGCAAATATTCATTTCTAGCTGACATATACTCACTATATCAGCATGTCTACCCCAACGCACAACCGTCGTGACAGCAAGGACGGTCCTGTTCCCACTCAACCGGTCAGCCAACGTCTATATCCTTCTTTCTTACGAGATTTCGTACTCTCAAGGTCTGTGATTACCAGCGTTGCACCTCCGAGGCGTTGCTCACCGACAATGTCCACCGTTGCTTTCGACATATAGGTCAAGTGCGACTCTCTGGACGACTGCTCCTCTTGCTCAAAGTCGGGGTCCGAGTGCTTGCGTGATACTAAGCGGTTTCTCCATGGCCAACCGAAGCAAGGCTACATGGAATCTCTTCTCCAACCGGTCTGTTCTTCGACGCCTCTACTAGTTGCATATCTGATCACTCTCGCCAGCTCAATGTCAAAAAAGGTGTCTCAGCAAGGCGAGATTCAACGAAACGGGAAACCGTCGTCGATGCCCGCCGTAAGAAGGATACGAAATCGCCAAATCTGTCCCCCAAACCCACGAGCGAGAGCAATAACCGTATTCTCGCCTGGATCCGCTCAGGTGCTTCGCTTTTACGAGCTCGAGTCAAGGTCATGCAACGACAAAGTTCCCAACCTGTCGGTGAAATGGGTACCTTGGGTAGTCAACCTTGGCCTCCTCCGGAAACGGATAGGCAATCCATCTCGACGAGACCAAAACGGCTACGCCGCAGGCTTTCATCGAAAAGCTCATCCAGCATTCCCCGCCCTTCTTCGACGGCTGATCCTTTGAACAGCACTGGGTGCATTACTACTCGAGCATCTATCAATGATCACACGGAGTACCAAACGGCTATCCCTGTTCCTTAGTCCCACTCCCACCCATGGGATCGCACCCAGAGTCAAGAGTCCCGCGAACCCGACTGTGGCGGTCATTTCCAATCTCAGAACCGGCTCGTTGTTGACGATATTCTCGACTCCACAATTCCCGCGTCACATAGGTTCACCACCTTCAGCGTCGAACATCAACGTTGCTGGCCTTTGGTCGAGGCTGACTTGCCTGTTTCGTCATATCCAGTGGATCCTCGTCCGTCACTTTACCAGCAACATCTTTCCGGCGTTTCAATCCCCTCTCAATTCCTCGGTGTGGCTCCAAGCACTCGTTCCTCGGCTCTTGATCACGATGTTTCTGACCCCAATCCCGATGAAATCGTCCCATTTCACTCTCAAGGGCGGGGTTTGACGAGCATCGTGCGTCTGTACCGATCACGCAAAGTCTACGATGGCCCTTATTCAGCGGTATATCAAGGTGTCTACGATGATGGGCACCAGATGGAGGACGTACGTGTTGCCACGTCGAATAGAAACGTACTGAACAAACGACAGGTTGCCATCAAAGTCATCAAGGCAGTCGGTCCTAGGCATTCCATTCAGAGGGTAGGTAGTCCCGAATCTGCAAGAGTAGATCTGAACTGGATGCAGAGACGTCGTCGCGAGGTCACGATTGGAAAGATTCTCCAACATCCGAACGTCCTACCGGTACATGGTATCGTGGAAGATCGAATGTTCGGGCCATTCGGGGCCATTGTTACGCCAGTGAGTGAATCCTCTAACAGAAAGTTCTTATTGAGTATCCACAGTGGTGTCTAAACGGCAATGCTGCGCAATATCTTCACAAGCACGCCCCTTCACCACTGGAAAGATACCGTCTAGTGAGCAACGTTGCCATGGAATGAACGTGGGCTAATCCCTATGTAGTGGCAAGGCGTGGTCGGTGGTCTTGTTTACTTGCACTCATTCGCCGCAAATCGTTCATGGAGACATGAAACCCGTAGGCCGCCTCACATTTTGCATCTCACGATCTGATTCCCGATGCCTAGCCCAATGTTCTTATCGCTGCCGATGGACGGCCAATGATCTGCGACCTTGGACTGGTTCGAGTTGTGGTCGACGACCCTTCTTCGTCTTCTTCTGGCGATGGGTACAGCAGTGACGAAAGTCGGGAATGGATGCGTGAGATCAATACCACGACTCCGCATACGGGTACACCGCGGTACCTTTCTCCTGAGCTAGTTGATCTCAACGATCCATCGGAACCGACAACGGCTACGGACGTATATGCTGCGGGTTGTATCGGATTCGAGGTACTTTTTTTTCGCAATGCACTCCATCGGCCGAGTACCAGCACTAACCCGGACTAGTTCATCTACTCGGTTGTACCCTACGCTCATCGTGAGGATAATCGACGGGGTCAAATTTTTCATGACATTCGCTGCGGGGTGCCACCTGCCCGTCGACCACGCATCACAACGACCACGGATTCTCCCTCGTCCGACATATTACCCTCGGTCGATGGTATCGACGCCTTGTGGAATATCCTCGAGTTGTGCTGGAGTCGCGATCCTCTTCATCGTCCGACCGCATCTTCCCTGTACGAGTGGTTGGACACTGCCGAAAACCTTATAGTTGATGCGCTTCAGCAAGCGCCTTGACTACCCAACTACTCAATTCCTTGACGCCATTCGCCGCCGTCGCCACCATCACAAGGCTCATTCCGCTGCCATTCTCTCAGTCACGTCACTCCAAACCTCGCTCGAAGGACCCAGGGATAATCTCGATTTTAATTTATGAGATTTTCCAGCCTCACTCCAGTTTCCGAGGAAAAACGTGCAGATAAGATCGCGCTACTACACCTCGACTTCGGTAACTCAGGAGCTGTATTCTGTCTGGGAGACACTAAATGTGGTTAGGGACGACTTTGTAATGGTCGAGCGCGTGGGTATAGCCCATTTAAATGGAGCCAGAAGCTCAGAAATAGCCCCATGTTATTCCAACCAAGGCCTTGAAGTATCCTTTGTCTGTACTACTTTATACGGTTGGATTGATAAGACTACGGGTATGACACGATTCGATGCATAAAAGGGGTTCGTCCCGACTGCGGAGATGGTCAAAAGCCGGAGTGAACAGTAAACCTCCCGACGCCGCCATGAGCACTTTGCATGCGCATAACGCGTGTTGATGATGCCAAGATAGCCTAAATAGCTAGAATTCCTCTCTCAAGCGATCCTCACGCATCGTTTACCTCGAATTCTGGAGTCGAGACTGTCCTCCAGCTCGCCATCCACCCGAAGACGTCTACATGCCGGATGGACATTCATTGCCACGAGAATTTCTATTTACCTTTGACCTCTTTCAAACGTCCCGGAACCTGCTCTGCTCCGCCGTAGGACCTAAAGTCTTTAAAACCCTCAGAGTGTCCCTCTCGCATCTCGCGCCTGCAATCTCAGTAAAACCAAATGACTACCATATACGAGAAGAGGCTCGTCATTAAATCGTCGTAAGTCCAATTTTGGCCTCGTAGTTGATCGACAGTTTCCGCTGACGGTCTGCAAGTGAGCTGGGCAAGGCTGGAACTCTTCTCTTAGCCTTCAAGCCTCTTGATAACACTGGCATCAGGCAAAAGATAGTTGTGTGGAAGTAGGTACCATTGATTGACATCTCACGGCTTGATTCGATCTTCCACAGGATCATCCCATTCTCAAAAGCTCGTTCGTAACTTGGCAGGTCGAGTGTAATAGCTGACGGAGTATACATCATCGCAGCCAACAATGTTGCCAAAGTGAAATACGTGAGCCAGTATGCTGTCATGATTTGGTATCGAGTCGCCAGCCGCTGACCATCCGATAGGCTCGCGTTCATCGCTCCTCAGATCGACGATGATAATATAATTACACCTTCTACGTCCCACACTGTCGACGTGTGTCATGTCTGGCTTGTCCTCTGTCCGAAACTCACAGAGTATAGGTTGGAGGAGCGGTTATCTATGACATTGACTCAGATAAAAATATAATCATCAAAGTAAGTGGGGGTTCTTATGCCCCCCCGTGACAGCAAAGGCTTATACCAAAAAAATAGGATACCGAAGAAAACAAGGAGGAAGGCTCTATCGCCGCAACGAACAACACTGGAAAGCTACGAGATATTGCCCTTGGTATGCTTAGTCTCACCTTGTGACATGGAGTCATCATGCCCCAATAGGCCTTCAGATCGACGCAAAGGCTGATCCCGAGCCTATTTTGCATTTTCCCAACATTGCGTACGTATCTCTGGATCTGGCCATGAACTTGATTGAACAGAGATTGTAGACATCACGGAGCAGTTGTGGCCAAGTTTCGCCCAGTACTGCGTGCCTATATGACCTCTGACTATCGGGAGCACGAAATCATTTCGGGCGAGGTGCAAACCAATATGATCTGGGAGAGGGATCTTACTCAGTTGGATAGTAAGACCGTCTGGTCACTTCTTTACAATGGGGAAACCGGGAGGTATAGCCTGGCGCAGGAGAAAGAGAATCATTAGTCACGTACGCCATTGTTTCAATAACTCTTCCTCCTCCTCGTCGACTCCATGCATGGTGAAATGGTTGATTCCTTGAGCCGAGCCGGCGGGCAGAAGAGTTTACTCGGCCACTTGAACTCGACCACGCTATCCGCCGTTGTCAAATGCGCCCATATATTCGCAATTTCGCTGCAGGTGCAATGACAGCCGTTCATTACACTCGAAATCTATCCAGATTTGCAACTTTGCGGTGACGTCGTGTCGGCTGACCGAAGCTCGAGCTGCTGTCAATCTTGTCGAGGGATCGTCAAGGATGTATATTGATCCGGTGATCGGGTTTATTTACAAGTTTGGCGTCTCTTCGCAAAGTCTCACCCTCAAATTGCCCCGTTGCCGACTAGTGAGTGTACCAATGTTCTTTTGCTGTTGCCTTTTGCTCACTTCTCATCTTTCTAGTGAATCTTGATGGTGAATTCTTCCGCTCATGTCTCGAAGTTGGTCGCGGAAGACGGGCATCCCCGATATCCCAAAGGACGTGCCAGAGGAGATCACCGACGAGTCACCCGGAGCATGGAGAGACTTCTTTGGTTTTCCATCGCTTCCCATCTCAATACATCGCACGGGCCCAGAATGGCCGATAAATCCTCCCCCGAAAGCATATCGCATTCCGAGACAGGTTTCACCTGTCTGCAAACATCCCATTCAAGCGGTTTGGCTTACGCTAGGTGAATAAATCTACAAGCTGCTTGATTCTCTCGGAGTGCGGTGGACGACGATCGATCCGGGCCGCTTTACCGACGCTGAGAAGAGATGGGAGGCGGACTCTCTCTACATCTGGATAGGCGTTCTACCTAGGTCACTCTCTGTCGAGCTTGCCAAGATCGCAGCCGTCAGTTGCAAAGACATCCTCGCCGCCGCAAACTTCTCCGACATTGAAATCTCATTCCGGGAGTCGATCTTTACACTCTCTGCCCCTCCAACGCTCCTCAATCACACCGAGAGATGTTTCGACCCCACGGCTGATTTGCGTAGCCCCTTCACAGGCGTCCTAGGCATTGCGATCGCTCATAAAAAGGCAGCTCCGGTAGAGGGTATGGGGACGCTGTACATTTGCGAGGGCGGTGAACGCAACCGAGTTTTCCTGTTGACCGCCCGCCATGTCGCTCTACCTTCGAGTATGCACCGCAAGGACCTCTATATCTTCGATAGGATCAAATCTAGCCTCCTTCGTCCTCGTATTCGTCACCAAGTACTTATTCTCGGTCCACAAGCGTACTCCAATGCTATCAGGGACATGGTTGGCAAAATTGGATCCGAGGTTTCCAATCTCGAGCGCTACAAGCGTCTCCTCGGTCAACTAGGTGAAGCACCTGCAGACGAGAATGTCAGCACGGTATCGAAGAACCGTAGGACCTATAAGGAAAGGTTGGATAAAGCGGAGAGGACACTTGTCGGTGTAGACGCGCTTCATAGCGAGATCACCAAGAATTGGACGGTGGTGGAACAGCGCGTGCTGGGCCACGTTGTCTATGCTCCCCCTATTTCAGTCGCCACTGACCCCAAGCAGTTCACCGAAGACTGGGCATTGGTCGAGCCCTGTATATCGATACGTTCTTCGAGGATATTTACCAAGTACGATGTCATCTGACTGGGACCAGAAGAAAAAGTTTCCGTCGCAGAGTTTCTTCAGCAACTACATCCAAATCCCGAGGATCGTAACATCTCTCCATATATTCATGACGGGCTTCTTCACCTTGATGGCATCGTAAAAGAGGAGGATATACGCGAACCGACCACGCTAGACGAAAGAGGAGAGGAATGAATCATTTTCCTTAAAAACGGTGCAAGTACCGGGGTCACCACTGGCCGCGGGAGCAGGCTCGAGTCGGCTACTCGAGAGTGCGATGAACACGGGGGGATCAAGTCGACATCGATAGCAATCGCCATACACCCCTATAGCCAAAAGCTTGGGGCGTTTTCCGCTCCTGGTGACTCCGGCTCTGTTGTCGTTGATGGTCACGGACGTATCCTTGGTATGCTCATCGGTGGCGCGGGCATGGCAGGCGACATGGACGTCTCGTACGTTACGCCGTATTTCTGGCTCGAGGATCGAATCAAAAAGATCTTTCCCGACTCCTACCTCTACCCTGCTACGGAGGAGAGTGACCTCTAGAGGACTGTCGTTTCTTATATCTCATTTATAGCTGTATATCCGGCTTGTACGTTACGACGAACGTTCGAGCATTTCCTCTAATCCTTTGATTTTTCAACATTTTTATAAACCCGGATTATGGCTCGTTGGTGGCCTCGCCTATCCTAAATTGATTGCCGTCCTCTTGTTGACACTTCAGCTCGATACGTCCTCCTCAATGATGGGCTTGTTCTCTGTAAGACGTTACGGCCCAGACTTGCGGAACGTCACCCAGCTCGACAAGACTTTTGACCGGAGGCGCAGACGGTATGACAGGGAATCTGGGGTCTAGAGCCCCCCACCCGACGAAGAAAGCTGGTTAATTTCAAGTTACTGCAACAGACATTTGCTCGCAACCCCGTAGTACTCCTGCATGGACTTGACTGCGAACCTCCTAGGCTAAGTCACCGTGCGTTCCTCTCAGGAGTGCTCCTTCGATTTTCAAAGTTTCCGTCCCCTTCAATTTCGGGGTGATGCTCATTCGAGATGGTATCGGAGCGGCTATTCAAATCAAACCGGAGCTTTCAAACGTCCGCTGCCCCATGACTAGTCGGCTGCTGATGGTAAAAAGGTGATTACAGCTCTCAAGCTTGACCAGGTGTAAGTGCTTCAAACGTCTTCCGCCCGCAGTTTTGCAACTCCATCATAATGTCCAATCGGTTCAAGAGAGTGATTATCATCAAGACGCCGTGAGCTGCCTCGCTTTACTATTTCTTGCCATTGAGCAATGAACGATATTGACAGCGGCGTGGCCAAAGGTGGCACCCTCCTGTTTACCTTCAAGCCTCTCGATCGTATTGGGCTGAAGCAGAAGAAGGTTGCTTGGAAGTCAGTTGGCCTTGAGGAAGCTGTTTTGGTACTCACTGTTCCACAGGGTTATTCCGTTCGCGGCAAACGGTGTGTCATTTGGTCGGCGCTTTATTGACCTGCTGAGAATGTCCCTCGACTCAAGCCAAAAAAAGAGCCCAAGTAGAATATGTGAATCAGTATATCATTTCCTCTAATCTGGTATCGCTCCTGAGGCTAACGTATATTCTAGGTTGGCATTCATTGCCCCTCAGGTCTCTGGCGGTAACCGCATCGACCCATCTACCTACGAAGCAGTGAACGTACGTAGCTTTGCTCGTTGGTTATGTCCGTGAAGCTCATAACTCCTAGGTTGGTGATGCAGTCAGCTATGATCTTGACGGGGATGGACAACTCGTTATCAACGTGAGTAGGCTCCCACTATTGTCGGTAAAGGCCTACTGATTTGAGCACAGGAGGCCGACGACCTCAAGAGGCCTGACTTTATTACCGCGAGGAACAACACCAGAAAGATTCAAGATATCGCCATCGGTATGCATCTGAACCGGTGACTTGTATGTCACGCCTTATTTCAGATAGGCCTCCAGCCCAAACCGAGGAAGGATCCCGAGCCCATCCTGTACTTTCCTAAAGTTGGGTACGCGCATTACATGTCGGCATCAGAGGCATAGCTCATTAAAACAGGAATACGACAATGGTCGTCGCCAAGTATCATCCCATCCTGCGTGCCTATATGACCTCAGACTACCAGGAAAGCGAGGTAATCTCGGGCGAGATTCAGACGGGTTTGATGTGGGAGAGAGATCTTTCTCAGCTTCCTGATACCTCGAGCTGGATACTCACATATGATGACGACTCTGGCATGTACAACCTCGCACCAGACGATGATAATTAACCAGTGGTTGTGCCAATTAACTTCACGATTTTGACCAAGTCCCACCGAACGCGGGTATGAGCTATAGAATGACCACCACTGCTTTCCCATAGCTATGGATGGAGGAGAGTAACAGAGAATGTGCATAAGTCTTATTGCGTGACCACCAACCAACGGCGCTGCGCGAGCACTTCACTGCGGCATACACTACAAGTGTGAACTAGGTGGCGATTTCATATAGATTTAGAACGGTCAAGACACTGATGTTCACCATGGGTGCGCGGAGATTGTCAATCCCCGAATCTCCCTATCCTTCCTCTATTTTTGCACGCATTGATGTGCCAAAGTCTGGGTGACAGTAGATATCTGCATTACAGTACCCGAAGTGTTGCCATTCCGGTATACCAGGGGTAGGATTTGCCACCGAAGCGCATTTCGCTCTTCCGTCCTCCAGCTGTTATGGCCTCCTCTCGACCGACCTCCTCAATACCTGCATCGTCCTCACTCGAAATGTCACGGATCTACTACTCTGCGTCCGGAAACTCGAAACCTCCGCTGCAAGTGACCTGAGCTCTGGGAAATCCTATAAAGGTGGGTCGGTATCTCTTTGATATCTCTCCAGTCGTCTCGAACGTCTTTCGCATAGCAAACAGTCCTACAAAGTCTCTAACATGTCCGAACAATTCAAGAAGAAGCTCATCATCAGAGCCTCGTGAGTAAACTATCATACATTCCACAATCTCGTCTTTGACCGGTCTTGACAGTGGTCTCGCAAAGGTGGAACCTTTCTCCTGACCTTCAAGCCCCTTGAAGATATCGGCACCAAGCAGCAGAAGATCGCCTGGAAGTGAGCCGAATTCTAGCTACGTATTTTCTTGACACTAACACTGCTCCATAGAGTCATTCCGTTCGCAACCAACAGTTTGTCATTCTAATCGACTTTGAGTTAAATTTTTAATCTTCTGTTCTAGCCAACAAGAAGGCTCAAGCTGAATACGTGAACCAGTAAGTGGTGTTGGTCCCTCTCCAACGGAAGGCTCACCAGGCGTTATAGGCTCGTCTTTATTGGTCCCCAGGTCGATGACGACAACTTGATCAGCCCATCAACTTTCGGGAATGTCAACGTACGCTTCACTTACTTTATGTAGCGACTGCGCCTCATCTTGAATAGGTCGGCGGTGCAGTAGACTTTACTTTGGACGCGGACAAGAACCTCTTGATTAGTGTGAGCAAGTGCGCTCGAATCTATCGACAGAGACTTATATGCGAAACTAGGACTCCGATAAAAACAAGAAGCCCGGCTTTATTGTTGCCACGAATAGCACAGGAAAGGTCCAAGATGTTGCCATCGGTTCGTTGTTCCCCATGCACATCCTCAGGGATTGACACTTTTGTGGAAATTAGGTCTCCAACCTAACCTGAAGAAAGATCCCGAAGCAATCTTGTACTTCCCCAAAGTCGGTGTGTTTTCTTGCCATTGAGTTCCTCGAATTTCGATCTAACGGGAATACTAGTAATACTTCGATGGTTGTTGCCAAGTACCATCCTATCCTTCGCCTACATGACTTCAGACTACCAGGAGACTGAAGTCATCTCGGAATGAGATACAGACGGGTATGATCTGGGAGAGGGACCTCGCTCAGCTTGATGACACTACGAACTGGCGACTTAACTACAACGGCAGCACAGGCCAGTACAGCCTTACGCCTGAAGAGGATTAGTAAATGCATTGTAATATCCTTGCAACATGATCCGTCCCCTAATTGGTGACTTTTTGAGGTCTAGGCTGCGCAACGAAAGTCGAGATTATGAGGGGTCATAAGCTACGAACGGTGAGTGCGTGCATACACCTGGGAGAAATAAACACTTAGCGATACTAAAATGCGTCTGTTCGTCGTAAGGGTGGTGAAAGGTGGTACCAGTTGGTCGATTCACTATCAAGTCTCCGAAGAATAAAATGAGAAAGTTAGATTATTGGGGAGAGAGGTTTAAAGGACCAACCGCCAGCGCGCCGCCAGTATGTGCCCTTCAGAGCACCGAGATAGTGGTCGAAAAGCATATAATGCTAGTATTAAATAGGAGTATACCACGCCCACAGACACTAATGCAACGAAATCTAACAGATTTGAAGTACAATACCATTATCTTTATACTCGAAAGATGCCGCCAAGCACCCTGTCTGGAGCTACTTCTACGAAAATGGCGTATCCATTGTATTTGCTGAAGATTTTGAGGCCGGGAGAATCGAAAACTCCGAAGGCTGCATGAAGCGTGCGTGTCCGCCACTAATAGCGCTTGTCACCTGACCGCTCCATTATCCTATTTCGCTCGGATATTCATCCTTAGTCCCAAATTCTATTTAAGACAGCCTGTACATGTACGCACCGTTTAGCTGGTCTTCCTGGATATTCTTCCAAACCGTCGAGTCTCTCCCTCGCTCTGTTCTAAATTCCTTGTCTGGCTTGGTCTCTCGGTCTCTCGACGATTCCGCACAGGTAATCATTTGGAACCTATGAATGGCATAAGCGAAAGTGCCACTGATGTCGTGTCTCTCTAGCCGTCACAATTTTGCCTCCCTTGCTAATTTAGTTCTTATGTCCACATACAGGAGAAAGCTCATTTTCCGCACTTCGTGAATACATCTCTTTCCATTATTTCTTATTGACTGAACTCGACAGTGGCCTCGCCAAGGGTGGATATCTTCTCTTCACCTTCAAACCTCTCAAAGATCTTGATTCCAAGGAGAAGCCAGTCGCCTGGAAGTGAGTAAAGTCAAATTCACGTGGCCATCTGATCGCTGAGCAATGGATCTAGAGTCATTTCGTTTCCCAAAGATGGTTCGTTATTCCAGGTGACTGGTAGATATATTTGTTCACCGCTAGACTAGTCAGAATGACGGCCGAGATCGAATACATAAACAAGTCACCGGCAGCTGACTCAGTGACCGGAATCCGCAAGCCCGTCCCTACCAACGTTCAAATCGGCGAGGAGAATTCGATCAATAAAGCAAAGCACGCAAGTGTCGACGTACGTCAACCTTTTTGGGCACCCATGTCTCGCGCTTGACGCCTTGCTGACAATGAACAGACTGGGGGTACTGTGGAATCTGCGATGGATTCGGACCAGAACGTGTTAGTCGGCGTGAGTGCTACTCTTTTAAGTTCATCCAATGGTCAATTTTGATTAATCTAAGCGATAGTTAACCGGCACAAACAAGGATGAGAACGCTGGCTTCACCGCTGCAACGAGCGGCACCGAAAAGCGTCAGGACATGACCCTCGGTATGTTATTCAGCACTCTTATATAGTCGTTAGGTATAGTGATCATTCTGGGTCAGGTCTCCTTCCAATTCCAAGAAACAATCCGATTCCCCAAACGGAGTACGCGCCTTCATATCTGCCCCTATCTCTATGCCTGACGATATGATGATAGTAACCCAGCCGTGGTTGTCGCCAAGTATCACCCGATTTTATGCGCCTATATGATCACAGACTATCGAGAGACAGAACTCATCTCGGGTGAGAGGCGAACGGATATTATCTGGGAGAGGGATCTTTCCCAGCTAGAGGAAGCTACGAGCTGGTATCTTCGTTACGACAGTGGATCTGAAACGTACAGCCTCACACGGACGAAGACTCCTAGATATACCTGTATCGTCCCCGCAAGGAAATGACTCTTGTTCCAACTGGTGATGTTGCCCGATACAGTATCTAAACAATACCTCTGCAACAAGGTTGAAATGAGGAACGGCCATAGCCTACGAATGATTTGAACACATTGTCATTCCAGAACGACGTCTACGTATCACAAAAACCATTTCGCACTGCGAGATACGCGCCCGCTCGTTCTACGAGCAGAGCGAGTGAGGGATGGTATCCATTTGACGAGTGATTCTACGCCGAGTCTACGAAGCAGCAAAAAAAACAAGGGGGGTGGAGCCGTTGAGAGTAAGAGAGAGAGAGGGAGAGAGGGTATGAGACGACGACGCGTCGACGCGCCGCCGAGCAATGATTGCGTGTGTGCTCGTTTAGAACACCAAGAAACAAGTCGCGAGTCGTTACCGACACTCGGTGCCGATAGACTGCGCACGAAAGAGAACCAGGTTCAGTATATCAGCGAGTAGAGTAGGATCGTCGACGGTCATGAGTCGTCACGAAGCCTGGAGAGAAGGGGAGGGAAGGGGGTAGACGCGGGTTGCAAACGAGCGTGCGTATGGACACCAAGGTCCATTTCCAAAAAGAGTGAATAAACGTTGGTAAGTAGGCTTGTATCACCAAGAAAAGTTGGAATTATTCTTGTCGTTGAGTTCTTCCATTTGTCAGAGAAAGCAGATGGCGCTTAGTTGGCCTCGACGTCGAGCGAAGCTCGTTGGCGTCCATGAAGTAAATGGCGACGACGATGGACATTGGAGCGCTTGGCCGACGAGATATTTCGCTTGACGACCTCGTCCTTGACCTCGCGTTCGACGACCTCGACCTCTTCTCTCGCCACAATCTCTACATCCTCCATCAATCCATCACGTCGAATACGACGCATATCACGCGCATAAACGCTCATACGCGCCGCGCCACCGCACATTAGGTTCGCGTCTCCTTGCACTTGAAATTGCACTCTTCGTCCTTTTTCAAGATTGCACCTCCTCTCATTGAATTTCCGCAATAGCATTCGCCACCATATTCGGTCGCCGCCATGAAGAATCCCTTGGAGGCGCATCGTTCGGTACAGAGCGCGGGCGTCATCTTATCGCTATTCCATTGTCCAGCGCCATCAAGTGTACGATATGGCCATACTTGGTCGAAATAGCATCCGCGGTAAAACCAGCCCTGTGGCGCACCGTGAGAACGTGGGTCCGGGACGGAGCCCGTGGGACTTGACGACGGAGCGGAGGAAGAGCTGGACTGGGTGGAGGAAGTGCTTGACTGGACAGATGAAGAGGAACTTGACGTGGCGACAGAAGAGCTGGACGACGAAGAGGCGGTGCTGGAAGTGCTCGACGAGGAAGAGACAGGGTTGGTACCCTCTGGAGCGGACACAGATGCCGTCGGTGGGGTGCTGGTAGCGGCTGGAACAGTCGCGCTAGAGCTAGAGGCCCGAGTGCTCGAACTGGAGACACGGGTGCTCGAGCTAGACGAAGGGGTTGTATTCTTGTTGGGGTTGTACTTGTAAACGCTGAGCATTCCACCGTTACCACAAATCTCGGTCCGATCTCCTGCGCACGGCTGAGAGCAACTTCCGCGCAAATTAGCCCTCGATTCGTCAAAACTAGAACCACACCAGCACTCGACACCCCACTGGGCACCAGCGTAGGTGTATCCATTATTATGGCATAGATTCCCGCACATCTCAATCGTCATTGCCGGGTCGGAGAACTTTCTGGGCAAGAGACGGTTGTTGAGGTCGTCCTTGGCGCATCCTACTGGATCCCAAAAGGGAACATCCTTTTTCTCAAAGCCAACTTGATCGAGGCTGAGGATAGAGGGAACGGTTGGGCACGCTTGGGGCGTGGCACGTCCAGGACCATAGGTGACGGGGTTGCATCCTGGGAGGGCGGGGAGCCAGCCGAGTGTGTTTTCAGCGACACGTGTTGGGTTGATGCAGTCCTTCATGAGAGAGTCGTCTTGCAGTTCAAGGTCTCCGGCGCAATCTTCGATTCTTCCAGAGTCTTGAGTGCATTTGTCGAGCGCACGTTGCAAAGCGGCAATATCCCATCCGTTGAGGAAATCTAGAACGGATGTAAGCTTATCGTCCCCGAGGAGAGATATAAAAAGACGAACCGCCATGGAAGCCATAGCCGGTTGGGTCGCCCATCGAGAGGACGAATGGATGGGATCCGTCTGGCTTCCACCACATGTTCTTCCAGTCGTTGACATTCCAGATAATCTCGTAAAAGATGGAGACCAAACGGACAGGGTGCGTGGCCGGGCAGTCGCCGCTGTTCATGCCGCTCGGATAAGCCATGTGTGATTTATGATCCTTTGAATCGAGATTGACACCATCCCAACAGCTCGGGAAAAAGAGTTGAGTCCTGAGACCGTCGGGGCAGTTGCGATTCGGAATCATTGGTGTCTCGGGAGAATCTCCTTTGTAGTTTAGACAGACGTGCGACACGGCCTTTTGACTGAGCGAAGTCGGGTCGTAGGAACGGAGAAAAGGGTCGCCTGCGAGCATGCGAAAGCCTGCTGGAAAGGCCTGGACGGGCTTCTTGTCACTGCCCGTTCGCTGGAGGTAGTAGACGGTCATGCCTCCGTTTTGCTCGACTCGGTGAAAGGAGCCGTTCTGGGCTTGATAGAAGAGCGTTGGGGTCCAATAGTTTGATCGGTCTTGGGTAGCCTAGACGTGGTTTTAGTCGACGGGTTCGGAAAAGAAAAGAAAAAGGCAGACGCGCCTTGCAAGAGGTGCACTCCGAGCGTCTGGCATCTTCATACGTCTGGGTAAAATTAAAGTTAGATCCGCCCATAATTGTGTGCAGATGACCAGATATGGCTCCAGGATTGACGATGCTGCAGAGTCGAGTTGTCAGCCACAAGGGTCGAACGGCCGAAGAGGGACGGAGGGTAGACGCACGGGTCACTGCGCTCGACGACGACGGGCTGCGAGCATGGCATGCGGAAAAAGGCATGGACAGAGGGGACAAGCGTCGCAAGAGCTGCCGCCGAGAGGGCGACAAACGAGTTTGCCAGCATTATTGAGGGAAATGAGCGGATTGGAAGAAACGAAGGGAGATGCGCTCGAGGAGCGACTTTGGTACAAGAGAGCAAACGGAGAGGAGAGACGTGGAAGAGGACAAGAATAAGGACTATTTGTTTGGGCGCGGGCGTCGGAGAGGCTCACCGGTCAGGCACGGGGGGACACCAAATATTCCCATAACCAAGACTCTTAGTCGAAATGAGCCCCTAGGTACCCTTTGGATTCTCGCGCCACATCTCAGGGCCATTTCATGTGAATATTTGATGCAAATATCCCAGACTGACGACCACACTCAGCCACCAGGACCAACAGCTGCCGGGGCGCCGCCGTACATCTCGGACTATCAGCAATATCAGCCTAGTGTCAGGAACGTCGGTAGCCATGTCATCTAGCTCGTCAGTCGGTCCACGTCCTCGTCTGCTTCCTAGCAACGTCCTGTAGCCTACTTGATTTTCGCTCAAATCATCATCTTTTTCTGTCGTTTATGCCCAGATCCGCTTGAAGCTGACCGCTATGGGTTCCGCTGAGGATGGCGACGTCGAATTGACCTACTGTGGTGAGATCAAAATCTTGTCACTGTTACCCGTTTATCTCAAGGGAATCTTCACTCTATTTTCAGTGAGATATTTTTATCCAGTCTATAAAAGATCTTCTTTTCCCCACCCCTCGTAGACTAGTGACCTTCCGTCTCAGTTTGGGAAATATTATAAACAATAGAGTACCGTAGAGTATTCGCGAATATTCAGGGACTTTTCATGATATCCAATCAGACATTGTCGGCTCACCAACCGCACGAGTATGGCATATTCGTTGCTATTTGATGTAGGACATAGACATGAAGAGTACGCCATACCAAGAAACCTCGAAGCCCATTCGACAAGTCGATTATGCAACGAGCGTGCTGGCCGTCGCAGCCTCGTACTTGAATGTCGGGGCAATCTTTTGCTTCGACTTGTAGTACCTCGCCAGACGGTGGATACGCGACTCGATGAGAATCAGACGAAACTTGGAGTCTTTGTCTTTTCGGTTGACCTCGAGATGTTTGCGAACGGCCACTGCCTTTTTGATGAGATGCCACAGGTCCTCTGGGATAGACGGTGCGAGACCTGAATAATGGGTAAATATATGACCAAATGAATGCATATAGATGAAAATGACATACCCTGCGACTTGAGTATTCTCAGAATCTTGTTACCAGTCACGAATCGGACTTGGGGGATACCGTGCGAGTCACGGAGGGTAACACCGATTTGCGAGGGAGTAAGACCCTTTCTTGCGAGCTTTCCGATGTGGTCGACGACATCGGCTGGCGACGTCTTGAGCCAAGTTGGTGGTGCGCGACGATAGGGGAGGGCAGACGAGGCTATATGGATATATTATGAGTGGTATAGTGATAATAGCATTGTAGCATACCAATGCCCTTGCCGGGAGCGTGCATACGACCCATGGTTGATCTGCCCAAGAGGATACGATGAGCCAGCGGTCGTCTATGGCAGTCTATACGCACGAATAATCCTCTGTAGACTAGAAAATATCCAAGTTTTGATTTGTGTGGATTCTTGTCTGGGACAAAAAGGTCGACGCCAATAAGGTTTTGCGGCCAAACAAACGGCCCAAACCCTCACCCAGACTTTGGACTTTGACTGCATCCATCGCGTCGTTGGAATCTACGTCGTTGGGAATTCTCTGCGGTCCCGTCTTGTAATCGGTGAGCTCGTCGTGGCGATATGACAACGAGACGAGCTGATCATGCGTCGGTTGTCGTTGGTTGCGTCGACAGAAAATGAAGTTTAACATTGCAAGTGCGTCTTATTTCTCTTATTCTTTGGAAAATACATTTGCTCATAATCGACATCAGACCCGGCCACGGGTGAACAAAAGACCATTGACCTCGACGACGAGCGTCGCTTGTGAGTTACTTGTATAGGATATAAAGTATCCACCTAACACTTTTTTTGCTAGCCGTCACTTTTACGAAAAGCGCATCTCGCAAGAGGTTCCAGGCGACCCGCTCGGAGACGAATGGAAGGGCTACATCTTCCGTATCACCGGTGGAAACGACAAGCAAGGTTTCCCAATGAAACAAGGCGTCCTCCTCCCATACCGTGTCCGCCTTCTCCTCGCCGACGGTCACTCGTGCTACCGACCCCGACGAACGGGTGAACGCAAGCGCAAGAGTGTCCGTGGCTGCATCGTCGGTCCGGATATCGCCGTTCTTTCTTTGGTCATTGTCAAGCAGGGCGAGCAGCCAATTCCCGGTCTCACCGAAAACGTCCTCCCCAAGCGTCTCGGTCCCAAGCGAGCGACCAAGATTCGCAAATTCTTCAACTTGAGCAAAGAGGATGACGTTCGCAAGTTTGTCATTCGTCGCGAGGTCAAGAGCAAGAAGAAGGAAGACGCAAAGCCGTATACCAAGGCGTATGTTCTCTCTCCGTACATCTCGTCTAGACGAAATATAACATTCTATTAGTCCCAAGATTCAGCGTCTCGTCACTCCCATCCGTCTCCAGCGACGCCGTCACCTCCGCTCGCTCAAGAACCGAAGACTCGCTGCTCAGAAAAACGAAAAGAAGGAGTACGAGTACGTGTGTTCGACATATCCCATAAACTATGTTTGACCATCCCAAAGGGCACTCCTTGCCAAGCGTCGCGACGAGAAGAAGCAGAAAATCGCTGCCATCAAGGCCGCCCACAAGAAGTCCGTATTTCTCTTCTCTCTCTTACGCTGCCTAATCATTTCTCAGAGCTGCATAATTCTTCCCACTTCTCTTTGCGCGTGCTTTGCCTTGGAGCCGCTTTCGAGATGGAGGCGACTCGTGCAGTCGGCGTCTTCTTGTCCACGGTACTCTGTAGAGGTTCGACGCGTTGTGTTCTTGATAGTTATGGAATGCCGAACCCTATGCGACCAAATTTGCGGCGTTGAGAATCACCCCTTTTCGCACACAGTTTTCCCGCGGCGGGCCGTGGCGGCACGCCCACGTCCGTTGAAATCAAACTTCATCTCACTTCTTCTACAATTATGAACCCTCGAGGAGCAGGGTCTCTGTTGGTACGGCACGTCTAAACGCGCCAGTTCTTGGGGGACTGTCAACGTGATCTTGATTCACATGTGAGAAGGGAAATTACTCGTAGACCCAAGGATGGAGCGGCACTTTGACGTATTCAGCCGGACCGTGACGAGACAAAGATGTCCCCATGATGTCGCAAATCTTCCAGACATTAGGCGAATGTCATTTCGAGAAGAATAGGTGCCTGTTTACGCTTGTTTTACATGTGATACTGTCGTCCATAGCTTGGCAGTCTTCTTCGGTTGATATTCGTCAATCGGCGCCACGACGACTCCCTCTCCTCACTCTGTGGTGTATTATTTTTATCCTCAGAACGCGTTCATGGGGACTCATCCGCTTCGTAACAGGTGTTTCTGAGGAATCTCCCTGGTGGATTAGAGCACGAGCGTATAAGTACGGGGTGTGGTGAAACTAGGCTCCTATCGCTGGAGCTAACCTCAACTTTGACAAGGCAAACTGGATGCCGTAGTCCATGCCGACGTTGAGCTGAGCTGGGTCGAGATGAGATCTCTGAAGATGTATCTATCCGATAAATACACATTCTCTTCAGTTCATGCATGTAAAGCTGTAGCCCTTGTCCACTCGCGCTTTGAACTCGAACCACGAGGACGTTGAGCGCAAAGCACAAGGAAGACAGCATAAACCACATCTAAGGAGGTGTATATAGTCAAATAATGCATTATCATGATACAAAGAAATCACACACGTGAGTTTGCTGCCAAGTTCTGCGTCGAAATCTCGCTAACCAGGTTTCACCGTCGTCTATCCAAGTCCTCGAATGCAATCAGAATGAAAGGCTTCATTTTAAACGGCAATTATACGGCACCTGGTCGAGGCAATGTCCGAGGATAATCAACAACATCTGAACCACGAGCGATCCTGTTCAGTCAACTACTCGTTCTCTGAATACAATATTACGCCCTTTCAATACTTCTGAGCTTGGCTCTGGCTCGTATTGTGTTCAACGGCCCGCCCACGCACCGACCGGTACGTTGTAGTCCATTATGTGATATTGATCTCGGCGATTGATTTCGAGGCTAGGGATTCTATGATGCGCGGCTCCTCGTCTTCGCATCTCGCCACGTTTTCTATCCTCCGAGCCTGCCAGTCGGCAGTGCTCGCGCGGCACATCTCAAAGGCAAGACTCTGCTGCTAAGGAGCTTCCAAGTGAGTAACATGGCGTCCCTCAAATCCAGCCGTACACCCTCGACGTGCGACTCCCTCTCACACGAAATCTTCCAAGTTTTAGGCGACTGGCTCTTGCCAAGGGTTGCTCGACTGAATTCTCGAGTGGTTGATCACTGTTGAACCGCCCATCATGTGATTCTCAACACGAGCAACTTTCTTCGGTTCATTCTCGTCGTCCACAATACGAGGACCTTCGCAGCAGCTTGGCGTGTCATTTCGCTTGTTCGAATAGCGAAGTCCCACATACAAACATCGCAGAGACGTATGGGGACAAACTCCGAATTTTCAATCGTGCAGACCACTGTGACCCCTATAAAGAGTCGTAGCAATGCGAGGCCGATACAGCAGAATATTCACCATGGCTTTTCGACTTGTACCTGCACTTCTTTTTGCTGGCTCTGCTATCGCCCAATCTGTCGGGATGTGGGGACAGTGTAAGTTTGGCACCTAGGCAAGCTGAGACGTGCATTGACTATTTCCAGGTGGAGGTATCAACTACAATGGGTCCAAAATTTGCGTTTCAGGAGCTGTGTGTACCTATGTCAACGATTGGTACAGTCAGTGCCTACCTGGGACGGCGACGTCCACTACAACACGAACCAGCAGTTCTACGACGCTAACACCGTCGAGCTCTAGCTCTAGCATCCAGGCAACCACCACGACTCAGAGCTCTCAAACTTCAACGTCCCCCCAACCCTCTGGCTCTTGCACCCCCCTCTCCGGCAATCCTACATCGTCCACGATTCCAAAACTCCCCGACCCATTCCAACGAGCCTCTGGATCTCGAGTCACAACCAAGGCTGAATGGCAATGCCGACGCGAGGAGATCAGTCAACTCATGCAGACGAACGAGCTTGGAACAAAACCTCCCAAGCCTTCCTCTGTCACCGGCTCTATGAGCGGTAACACCTTGACTATCAACGTTTCCGAGGCCGGCAAATCCATCTCGTTCTCCATCAGCATTTCCTACCCTTCCTCTGGCACCGCGCCCTACCCTGCCATTATTGCGTACGGCGCCATGAGTATCCCGACGCCCGCTGGCGTCGCTGTCATCACCTTCAACAACGATGATATTGCCGCCCAGCAAAATAGCGGTAGTCGTGGCTCTGGCAAGTTTTACACCCTCTACGGGAGCAACCACAGTGCGGGTGCCCTCATCGCCTGGGCGTGGGGGGTGAGCAGAATTATTGACGCCATCGAGACCACTACCAACGTGCGTATCAATCCAGCAAAGATTGGCGTCACTGGATGCTCTCGAAACGGCAAAGGCGCCATCGTCGCCGGTGCATTTGATACCCGCGTCGCGCTCACTATTCCCCAAGAATCTGGATCTGGTGGCTCGGCGTGCTGGCGTCTCTCTGATGCACAGAAAAGCAGCGGTCAGAATGTTCAGACGGCGTCCCAGATTATCACAGAGAATGTCTGGTTCTCCAAGTCGTTTGACCCCTTTGTCAACTCGGTCACTCGCCTGCCATTCGACCACCATCTGCTCGCTGGTATGGTCGCGCCACGGGGACTACTGGTCATTGAGAACACGTCCATGGAGTGGCTGGGCAACATGAGTTGCTTTGGCTGCATGAAGGCAGGTCAAACGATCTACCAAGCCCTCGGTGTGCAGTCAAATATGGGCTTTTCCCAAGTCGGGAACCACAACCACTGCTCGTTCCCGTCTTCTCAACAGACCGAGCTCACCGCGTTTGTCCAACGCTTCTTGTTCGACCAGTCGTCGGCCAACACTGCCATCTTCAAGACGGACGGGAACCTCAACTTTGACCAAGCCGGGTGGATGCCGTGGTCTGTTCCTACGCTCTCTTAGCTAAACGAGGCTTGTTGCCCTAGAAGTGTACTACAATGCGACCGACTTGATGCTAGCGATGTCTTACCTTCATTTGACAAGCGAACATTTCGAGTAAGCATCTAATACTCACGATTAGTTGGAATCCACTTTGTCGGCGGAGTGTCCAGAGTGCGCTTCCCGATATAGTTGATCCGTTTTACACTAAACGCGAGGATACGCCACCTCCCCTCGCGCAATCCGGAACTCAAGACAGCATCACCGACTAGACAAAAAAAGGTTTGCAAGGATATTACAGGAGGCGTCTACGAATCCTCGTCTGGGCTAAGGCTGTACTGGCCGGTGCTACCGTTGTAGGTAAGTCGCCAGTTTGTTGTATCCTCGAGCTGAGCGAGGTCCCTCTCCCAGATCATACCCGTCTGGATCTCACCAGAGATAACTTCAGTCTCCTGGTAGTCCGAGGTCATGTAGGCGCGCAAAATGGGATGATACTTGCAGACGACTTGCGACGTGTTACTATTTCTCTTGTTAGATGGCAGTTAGATTCAAGTAGAGACGAGAAATGCACCCGATTTTTGGGAAGTATAAGATCGCCTCCGGATCCTTCTTGGGGTTGGGCTGGAGACCTGTTCGAGGTGCAAGTGTTAGTAACTGTACAGAGCGCGTCAAAGGGCATACCGATAGCGATGTCTTGGATTTTTCCAGTGCTGTTTGTTGCAACCACAAAGCCGGGCCTCTTGTTCTTGTCGGTATCCTAGTTCTCTAGGTAAGTTTTTGCTGGATATATCTGGAGTACTGGCGCTCACGCTGATCAAGAGGTTCTTGTCCGAGTCCAAAGTAAAGTCTACTGCACCGCCGACCTATGCGAGGTGAGGTGTAGTAGCTACATAAAGGTGAAGCGTACGTTGACATTCCCGAAAGTCGATGGGCTGATCAAGTTGTCGTCATCGATCTGGGGACCAATAAAAACGAGCCTATAAAATGTTGGTGAGTGCGTCGTAAAGGATGACGCAAATTCTGCAACATACTGGTTCACGTATTCGGCTTGAGCCTTCTTGTTGGCTAATTAAGGCTTAATATGTTATTTATATGTCGGGAGAGACAACAAACTGTTGGTTGCGAACGGGATAACCCTATGGAGCTTTGTTAGCGTTGAGAAAAGTAGTCGGATGGGCTTCGACTCACTTCCAGGCGACCTTCTGCTGTGCAGTTCCAATGTCTTCGAGAGGTTTGAACGTGAGGAGAAGAGTTCCACCCTTTGCGAGGCCACTAGGACGATGATCAATGCGACTGATAGATTGGACGCAGGTAGCACTCACGAGGCTCTGATGATGAGCTTCTTCTTAAATTGGTTCGACATTTCTGCAGATTTGAGAGACTGTTTTCGAGATCAAGGATGTCTGCAACGACTGGCAAGATGATACTGAGGACCAAGCTCACTCTTATACCAGGCGAGCACGCACATGTCACTCCCAGCGGAGACTTGGAGTCTCCGCGGAGATATGAGAGGATGGTGACATCTCACACAGCGCAAACTGATGGTGGAGAGGACGGACATACAGTATACAGTTGAAGTCAGAGGACGGTGGGGGCATCTAATGTGGTATTTTGAATTGCAGAAACTCTCTAAACGAGTATATGTCCTCATTTGAATTCTTCAGTCTACTTCCATTCTGATTTTCGCTGCCCGAGATGAGAGATAACGATTAATATCATGCAGATTTTTTTTAAAAAATCTCAATGAATAAGAGGAAGAGAAACTTTGGTCAGTATGAGCGGAATAGACATTTTTCGGGCCACACACACGTTCGGGTCACCTGAGCGCTAGGAGGACGGAAGCCATTGAGCGGGGCACCCGTTGCGCCGTTGGGGACATACTTCGACGATACCTCACAGGTGATCTTTTAGAACTGCTACCCTGGAGCGCTTATTGCTGGCCGAAGGGATCCAACCTGAATGGGGCGTGTCCGCATTTCATTCTTGTCGCAAATCGGCCGGCACCCTACGACTCACATTTCAGTGCGGCGTTTGTCAATCTCCGGGACACAGGAGCATTTTACGAACTTTAGACCTCCTGGTTTTTACAAACGAGCGAAGCTCTGTGTAAAATCCTTGCGTTCGGCTTCAATTCAGTGTGCCGTTCACTCTGACTACATATAGGCTGATTGCAGTTTTGTTCGCTGCTGACATATGCGAGGACTAATCAATCATCTAGGAGCAACTAGTACGTTCCGCGCTGTTCGTTGTACGTCAACTTCCAATAGGTCTCATCACCCAGCTTGGTCAAATCCTGCTCCCAAATACTCGGCGACTGGATTTCACTTGTACTTGAGGGAGCATTTGTCACGTCTGACGTAATGTAGGCGTATAAGATTGGTTCGAATTTGAACTCCACTGAATGAGAGTTCCTAGATATGATAAGTCGACATAGGTGATCAGGAACTGGCTCTCACAGAACTTCTGGAAAGTTCACAATCGGATCTGGGTCCTTTCGTGGGTTGGGTATCAGGCCTGCTCAGAAACACAAGAGAGAAAGAAGTCGGACATCAAAAGTATACTAAGCTGTAGGCAACATACCAATTTGAACGTTCAGAGTTCCTCCAGTTTCGTTACTGGCTACAACGAAGTCTGGCATGGTTCCTTTCTCTGTAGGCTTGAATATTGGTAGTTAAGTTCAAAAATGGATAGCTTCAATATCGCTTACAATAATCTGAATACCATTCTCTTTATCCCGGACTAGCTTGACTGCTCCGCCGACCTGGAAATATGTGAAAATAGAATTTGTCTGAGGGAGCTGACTGACTTTGACAGGTATATACGTCAAAGGATTGATCACATTGTCATAGGTTATTTGAGGGATGATGACGACGAGCCTAGACAGGGATTAGCTCCAGCCATCGCTGCCAGCCGTACCCACTGGTGCACATACTCCACAGTTGCAGTTCTTGCAGCTGTAGTAGCATATTCTGGCCAACATGAACTAATCTCTGTAACCAACACTTACATCTTGCAGCGAACTCTATGACTCTTCAATATCAATTAGTAGAGGCACCCTTCGCAATATTAGATTACCTCCAGCAATTCTGCAGCTGCGCCTCGCCAAGGCCTTCCAGCTTCGTAAATGTCAGGAGGAGCTTGCATGGCTTGTTGATCCCCCTACTTAACTAGTCTGCCAAATACAGCGCGCATGTCACTGAAATACTCACTCTGCCTTAAATGTCATCTTTTTCTTGATGTCAGACATGTCGGTGAGCGTAAAATATGAGGAGGGGAGAATTCTCGCAGGTGACAAGAAGCCACCTTTTTATAGCAACCTCCTCAACTACTGACGCATTCGAGTTTTTATTAGATACACATTGTCGAGTCTTCTCTACGTACCGCATCCAAGAGGCCGGAGAGTACGGATATTGACATTGTATAGTATGTGTTCGCATTCGCTCGGTTCAAAGGGCACAACTCGCGAAAAGATTCAGAGAAGGACTTGGCATGACAGAGCGGCCTTTGACGTGTGACTATATACGAGTGATGTATCTGAAAGCTCAAGAAAGGGAATAAATCCCGGTAGCGGTATCATAGTGAAGCCTCCAGGTCGTTTGCGCACTTAATTCGAGGAGATTTTGCTCCTTCAGTATCACTGAAGAAGGGATCTCCCCGGCGACATCACGGGCTTGGAGATAGATACGCAAGATTGGTGTGAACTTAGCAACTACTTCTGATTGATCCCTTTTACATCCTTTGTCAGAAAATGAAAACTTGTGAGGTGACACTTACGGGACTCGACCAAATAACAAAATGGGCTCAGGAATTGCGTCGGCATTTGGCAATAATCCTGAATGAGAAACCAGAGTAAGATATCTAGCATAGAACCCTCCGCAAGCGCACCAATTTGGATATCGAGACATTCGCCTGATTGGTTCTTGGCCGTAATAAAATCCGGATGCGCGCCGTCATCCGTGGGCTTTTGCGCCTCGGGGTAAGATTCTGTTCAAGGAACAGACTAGTCGCTTGCAACGATACTAATGACGTTCTCTCCGTCTGAAATGAATTTCACAGCTCCTCCGATATCGATTGGAGCAAAAGTCGAAGCCTCAACAAGGTTACCCCTGACCTTCTGAGGACTAATGAACGCGAGTCTGAAGGCCAAGTTAGCGTACGAAACTTTCTTGGCAAGGAGCACGCCTGTTCACAAACTCGACGGTCGCGAGCCTGGGAGCTGGAATAATTCAACGTTTGTGGGTGGGGTTATATGTAACTGACGACTTGTGGGAAAATCAATCACTCTAAATCTCGTTTAGCGTATGCATCAAACTTTATCATGAACCTACTTCCAGTACGGATTCGTCGGGCTTTGTGAAGTAACGTCCAAGGGCTGAAACGTCAGCAAGAGTCTGATTGGGTGGGGCCTAATGGAGCTTTCGAGGACGTTAGCTGATATCTTCAGCCGCCGAAAGTGTGACTACTCGGCTCTGATGGTGATGTTCCTGTGGATTTCATCCATAGTGAGTAGTCCACCAAGTTAAGTAGGTGTCAAACGAAAGGACATCCCCTCTAGCTATATAGGTCACCCCAATCGATAAACGAGATCGCTGGCTGATTGTAACCCGATTGAAGGGGACGGAGACACCGGAAGATGAGATTCTCCGAAAAACCTGGTGAGAGTCGGAGGATCCGGGACACTTCGTTGGATATTGGATTAGAAATCCGACTGACTACACAATCCCGGCAGCATCGCGACTCATTGGATTAAGGGAGGGTTGAAATTAGACAGTCATCTTGCAGCTATCACTCTCTCTTCGTTGGTTCCACATCGCAAACTGGATCACTTGACATTCAATCCGCGCTTGCTGTCAGTCGTCGCTAAACTGCCAGCATGTACATAGGGCCCAGAAGTGCTATGGATTACAATAATGCAGGAGCATGTGACGGAATGAGAGCTTTCCTACTGTCGACCATCCCCAGCATCACGGTCCTCTTCGTCCAGTGGTTCAGTCATTGTTAACTTGTATGTTCCGCCGCTGCCTTCGTATGTCAAGTACCATGTTGTTTCGGGTTTGAGGCTCAGGAGATCGATAGGGTCCATCGGTTTGTCTGGCAAACCTTGCGTCGCAAGAACACCTTTGTCGTAATTCGGAACCGCATAAGGGAATAGGACGGTGAGCGGCTTGAAGACCCGGAATTGGTCGACGCTATCCGTTCAGAGGTACAGAAAGAAATCAATTGGTAGCAGCAAATTGAACGGAGCACTCTCACCCGACGTCTTCGTACCAGTATATTATATCTGGTTCAGTGGCATGTCCCTGGCTCATCCCTTTGAATTCTCAGTGACACGAAGGCTTAATTTAACAACTGGTTATATTGTCTCACCTACCGCGATATCTTGCATGACAGTCGTTTTGTTCTCCACCCGAATGGAGGTTTTATCGGTAAAGTTGGTGCTTTTCTGAGCGGCAGGTCAGAATATGTTGTCATTGACAGAACGTAGGAGTACCGCAAATTCGGCATCACCAGTGCCAGTCTCGTCGATGAGGCTGGTTTGCTCGCCAAGCTGCGGCACAAATCTTCAGTCTCGACGTGTCATTTGGTGATGATAGTATACCTACTTTGAGGGGAATATTCGTGGAAGGAAAAATGATATTCCCTGTGTTGACCTGCGGGTGTATGAAGCAGAATCTTCGATACTTTTGAGTTTTATATGAAGTTGGATAATAAGGGACGTACTCGCGTCGATATGTCACTCTGGCAGAAGCTGATCCTATCCCAATGGCATCAAATCCCAGATCAATTCTCTTTTATCTTGGAGAGAATGACGTTACGCACTCTGTGCGGGAAACTTGATGACCCTAACCAAAGTATATATCAAACCATGCACGGACTAGGCAACATGCGAGAAGACGCACTTCCAGGCGACCAATTTGGCGCCATCTCGCTTGAACTTTACGTCGTCGACATCGCAGAATGTGAGCAAAATATCGATTGGATTCGGAATTGCTCCTTCCCTGCGATAAGCGTGATAGTTAATAAGGCAATCTGAGATTGCCCATTTCGGAGAGACACCGACTTGGCTTTGAAGATGAGTCTTTTCTTGACTATACTTGCCATTCTCTTATTCGAGTCTACAGTGAGAGGAAATCGCGTGCGTGGTATGCAAAGATCCATACCTTCGATTGAGACAATGTGGGGGAGAGCAATCTAGCAAACAATCCGATACAATGGCTGGGGAAGCTCAGATAAAGCGGAATACGGAGCTCGTGTATTTGTACAATGAATTGAATAAGCTTTCCATTACCGTCCTCCCACTGCCACGGCGACTTTCAATCTCCGGAGCCAATGTATGCGCCATTCGACCCACAACTGCTGTAACTCTGACTTGGCAAACATTTGCGGGCTATCGTATGTAGAAATGTTTAGAGTGCAGACAAGCCTACCGACGAAGTATGTCAAGAGGATGAAAAATGAGACCAATTATTCGGCAAGATGGTACCCGAGTAGTTTCTGTCTCATCCCAAACGGAATCGCTATACGTTACCCATTACATAGCTGGCACTCCTCTGCTCGCCAGCACCAGTGCTGGCTAGCTTCGCTTTCCTAGCGCATTCACCACGAAAACGAGGCCGCTACGAGATGAAATATGTCACGTTCCATGTATTTGGATTGGGAGAATGAAAAGCAGATGTGAAATTCACGGGTTTACTGACCTGGGCGTCGGCTTGGCTTTGCCAAGTAGGTATCTGACAGGATAAGGCATATCCATGTGTCTCCACCATGCGCAAATATAACTATACGTCTATGTATCCCGAGCAGGGGAGCGTCTCTCCGAGCGGAATGATGGCTTGGGGGCCTCTTGATGAGCTAACGGATTGGGAGGCTTATCAAGCGTATCATGGTATTCACTTAAGAAATGACCAGTGACTGCTGAGATACATGTTTACCTTAATCGTCGTGGGTCAATCTCCAGGCGGTCTACTAAGGGGCGAATTTGTGCAGGTCTTGTTGCCAAATCAGCTGACTGGCGATGATCTCGCGCAAACTCAGAGTGATGGAAAAAATTTCCCAGATACGTGAATATTCGTCAATGGTCGTAAGTACAAAGGCTCCGAAGATGAATACGCCCGACGAGAGGGCGCATCCGAATCACGAAGGAAGCAAATGCCGAATAAAGAACACAGATATCACGAAGAGAAAGCTGAAATAGTGAGAGTATCAGAGGGAACGCGCGCGTTATGTGTCCACATTCGGGAGCTCAAACGGCGGCGTTGAACGACCTGGTTCGCGATACACGAGGGGAAGGAGAGGAGCGGTGAACGGCTATGAATCGAAGGTGGAGACGAAGGGGAAAAGGGCAAGTCGGGGGCGGAGACGGCAGAACGAGGTTGGGGCGTATCGCGAAGGAAGAGGGTACGGTCAAAGCGGAAAGTAGTTTAAAGAGCGATAGTGTAGAGTCGTGTCACATCGTAGAGTGGCGTCAAGGTCGTGAGCCCACAGCGTCTAGCGCTGGGAGGGGGTAGGTGTAGGTAGGTAGATGGTTATTCTCCGAGCAAACAAATGCCCACGTACTCTTGACGAATTGGCCTAAAAGGATACCCACAGGGCCAAGCATGCCCGAGTTATCACCACTTATGAGGGCCAGAGCTAGTCAAGCGACCGCGTTAAGGACCCAGTTCGTCACGTTGTGAGCTGAGATTGCGGCGCTCATTCCCTCCTTGTTGTTCGCCTCGGAAGGGAACATGGACGTATCCAACGACAGACGGAACTGGAGGCGAACACGAGGACAAGACTGAGGAACGTCGTCCTGATCAGCAATTGGGCCATGTATCACGCAGTCTGCGGAAGAGTCGTCGTCGACGTCCATCGTTGGCAGTTCGTCGTCCGACGAACCGTCATCAGAGTCATCCGAAGATGTATCGCCAGACGAACTATCTTCCGACGCATCCGTGGTATCTCCATCTGAATCCAAATCCGCCGCGCGAATTTGGTGGTCGTGCTCAGCCATGTCGGTTATGATGACGTCGACGGTGGTCTGGAGACCTTTGGAGGAGACCTTTGGAGCCCCTGAGACCACAGAAAGCGTCGCAGGGTCGCTCATGGAGACGTCACTGTCCACCTGCTGAATAGTGGCAGTCGAGATGTCACGATCGACAACGCCGGCAGAATGACGATACGAGTCGACAATTTCTGTAACCACGTCCACCATTTCTTCAACCTGGACACTGGATGGAGATTCAGAGACGGTAGAACAGGCAGACGTGGTCGTAGGAGCGGCCAAAGCGACTCCATGAACGTTGGTCCGAAAGGAATGAATAGACGGAGAGGTAGGCTGCGCAGAGGTTTCTGTCACGACTTGAGTCTCTGTTACCAGATCTTGTGTAGCAGAGGTCGATAAAGAGACACCCGTGGTGATACCTGAGCTAAATCAGAGGGTGTCAACAAGGGGAATGAAAAGGAACATACCGTGGAGTCCGTCGACTTCCATATCCTCCAGCTCGCGGATGCACTCTTCGGCAATACGCTCACGTTCCAAGGCAAGTTCCACGTCGACCTTGGGCGTGGACGACAAAGCATTCTCAGCCGAAGAAGAGGCTTCTTCGGACACGGCAAAGGATGGCTGTACATCCATTTCGTCCTCGTCGTCCTCGAACCAGTGCTTGATAACCTCGCCTCCTTGTCTTGCAGGGGTCGCAGATGAGTGGGAAACTTCGTCTTCGACGAGCTTTTCAGCCTCCCAGATCTCCTGAGCGAGCCTCACGCCAACACTGAGGATACGCCTGCCAACCTCTGGGCCGCTCTGGTTAAGAACGGCCCAGCGGAGCATAGCAAGTCTCGACCCAGTCTTGCGGGGGGCACGGCTCGGGACAGGAGTCATGCGCATTTGAATGCCGCCATGGACATCAAAGGGACGAGGGCTAAACTTGCGAGAAGAAGAGATGATGCGACCTGGTAGAGCAAGGTGAAGCGCGGCACGGTTTCCACGAAGGACAGGTGTCATTTCTTGGTCCTCCTCACGGGCACAGTCCAACGTCACAACGGGAGCCGTAACGAGCAGACTGCTCACACGGGGACGATTCCACTCTGGCCTTGCTGGCATAGCCTGGGTTGACATTGCCGGCTTCGCGGGTGCCTCGGTTGGGCGACGAGGAGGCTGAGTCGTCGGGGCAGGTCGAGGTGGTGGCGAAATATGAGGCATGCGCCTGAGAAGAGGACGCTTGACAATAGTGTTGGCGTTGTCAGTGTAAGCAGAGGGAGAGACTGGTGTCGTTCGCACATGCGCAAAGCGTGGCTTTCTGAGGGAAAGCGGCATCGACAAGGGGCCTAGACGAGCACGTTGCATCGTAGGCGGAGGAGACAACGACGCAGGAGGAGACGTAGGTGCTGCCTGGCTAGCCTCTGGAACATTCGGGACATCGACCAAGCGCACATCGACGATAACGGTCGAACGAGGGCGTCGAGGGCCACCAAAGAGGCTATACGGCGCGTCGAGAGTGATCGACGTGGTCTTGATAGTCTTCTTGGAACCCTTTTTGGGCTTTGGCGACTCTGGCTCTGCGGTAGCTCCCTCCTTGCTCTCTTCTACCGAGGATAGCGTAACAACCGCTGGAGTTGTATTGGCACGCGGAGGAACGCAAGGTGTCGGGAACGAGGTGGCATTGGCCGGAGGACTAGCGCGGGCGGGCGCAGGGCAGGAGCGGCGGCGCTGGTGGCGTGGGCGTTTGCTGGATGACTTGTTTTTGGACGAGAAGAAAAAAGAGGAGCGCCTGGTGGGGCTCGTAGGAGAAGTTGGAGAGGTGGGAGACGAAGGGGCAGTGGAAAGAACAGTGATAGTCTGTTCGCCATTTTCGACAGTCACAACAGGTTCCTTGACCTCCTCTTCCTCATCAGTGGGGACTTGCTTCTCCTCGACAGTGTTGACGGTAACATTGACGGTGCTCGTCGAGACACCAAGAGGGCCGCTGTAGTTGTGCACGACGCGTACGTTGGTGACGACGGCATTTGGTGGGAGCGGAGGAAGCAAAGGAAGAGGAACGAGAGCATTTCGGCGACGGATGATAAAGTAGAGACCTGGTTGAGTGCTCTCGGGGAGACCAGAGGCAACCTCTGGGGTCGAAGGGGGCATCGAGGAGATGGTAGACATTATCAGAGATCTGCGACAAGGTGGATCAGCGGCGCGGAACGTGTTGGAGAATTGGTATTGATCGTGCGACACGTACGGGAGGGGTGCAAAACGGGTTTCTAGTCGAATGGGAGAAGAATGTAGCCAGTAAAGACGGTGATGAGCGACAAAAGGCAGGGGGAAAAGCGGTAGGCGGATCGGAAAAGTCGTCAGGAGCAGAGGGAGTGGCGGAGAGGAGACGTGGAGGAAAAGAGGATTGGATTGCACGTTGTAGACACGCGACAAACTACAAATCCCCTCTTGAAAAAGGACAGAAACGGGCGGGAGCAAGGTTGGTGGCCTTGCTTTGTGTCCGAGAACGGCACTCGTTGTTCTTGTGTCGTTAGCCCGTCTTCTATTAATTCCTTTGTTATTCTATTGTATTGACATGCGATTCCCTCCGCCGTCTCCGCGCCCAACACAGTCCAGGCTAGCTATTCGCGGCTCCAGGGTTTCCGAGCATTGTTCTCAGCGACATATGCCCTCCAGCACGTTGTCGACACGTGGCAAATATTGCAGAAACTTGGGCCAGGCCCCTTAGACTGGAGACCGATGACGGAGGGATTCTGGCGAGCGACTCTAGAAAAATTAGGGAGCCACCCAAGATCAAAAGAATGGTGGAAGTAGCCAAATCTAGCGAATCAAGCCGCCGCGACGCCTCTCACAAGAAGACGAACCACTTAGACCTCGGGCTCCACTGAATCAAATCAAAGACCGTCACGGAACTGCGACTGGCCCTCGAGATCACGAGCTACTTGCGCATCTCCCTTTACTTGAATCGACGAAAGACGTTATTCGACCCCAAGCTGCGCGCTCGCGTGCACAAACCAAGGCTCCTGATTCCTAGCACTCGCTCGTTAAAGAGAAATTGACTATATTTCATAGACGACGATTGGCGGACACGTCGCGAACTAGCGCATGACCCAAGTTTAAGACGGTACGAGTGTAAGGCTGTACTCGCCAGTCTGGAAATCCTGCTTAAGGTTGAACACAGAGTTGGGGTGACCTTTGTAAGATCCTGCTCCCAATGAATATATCCCTGGACATTGCCCTTGATGAACTGGCGCTCTTGATACTGGGACGAAGCGTAGCATCTGAGGATAGGAGTAAACTCCGCGACAACACTGCTGTCGACACTAGATTTAAAGGCTCAGAAACGACGTGGACGCGACCAGAAATACGTACGGAACGTCCTTGAAGAGTAGAGCGGGCGTATAGACCGTGCCGCTCGGATCAAAGAAACCTTTTCGCCGCATGAGTATAGAGGTGAGGCATCCGAATAGGCTACATACCAACGCTGATCGGCTGAATTGCCGTAGTGTTGTTGTTTGCGACAACGGCCGAGGGGTCATCCGTGTAGGGCGTTGGTGCCTATAACAACTCAGCTTGGTATAATTCAAGACTAGGGGCAACATACCGTGAAGTCGTAAGTAGCACCTTTGTTAACGAGGTTGGTCTGATTTTCTACCTGGGATACTTTAGGCTGTATATCATGGACATGGTATGTGTACTTACGTTGATCTTGGTTGTGATACCCGGTGCGACAATGTTGCCATTGAGAGATTGAGGGCGACTGAAGCCCAATCTACCGGGTGTTAGTGAGCCCAAGGTAAACCGGCTGAGACATACTGGCTCGTGTACACAAGAGTTCCCGTCTGGACAACCGTACTTGAGGAGTTGAATGGAATGACCCTGACCAACAGATCAATCTTCCGCTTAAAGGTCATAAAGATACTTACATCCAGGCAATGGTATAGTTATTCCACATTGCCCCTTTGAGTGGGTTGAAGGAGAACATCAGAGTCGTATCAAACCTGAGGGCTCCACTAATATTTCCGTTAGATTTGGCACCACGTCGTGACAGTCACATACGGCTGGACTTGGATTGAGAAAGGGCAGACGAATGGTCCGGACATTTTGCAGTATAGCGCACTTGATTGAGACGAGGGAAGCAACCGATGCTGATAAACGAGTGTCCTCATCCTCGTCTTATATGTGGGAACGGTAGAATAGTGACCTCTCGACTTGTTAGCCAGCCAGAGAGGATAACAGGGCACATGTCGCACGTCAAGGACCTCGAGATATGCCGCTGAATTGGAGATACATATCGGATTGACATATGAAAGGACTTTAGCGCGGGATGTTTAGACTGTAGCAGAGTTGGGACTGAGAGCCGGGCAGGTAGTTTATTCTTGTGAGACTGACAAAGAACCGGACTACCTCCACGTTTGACCTGCTGGATTTGACCTCATGGCGACCAAATGCCGAGTTCATAGCCATGGTGTTACCTTCCCCTGACGGCAAGTGATTGCCACTCGAAGGCAGGGAGATGACCCTGTAGGTTTCGTGGCAATACATTGCAGGTGGGATGGTCGGTATGACATCTAATGCAGCTTCTATAGCGGCGAATTGCAAGCTCCGAGACTATGTCTTCGTGACGAGTGACGGTAGCTAGAATTCAGACTGTCCGCCCACTATGAGGCAGTAGCTTGTATCAAAGGCGGAAGGTAATTTATCACGCTTGTGGGTATCTGTTGAAGAAACGTCGCTACCATGTCTAGCATAGAACCAGATCGTTCAGTGACAGAACGTTGAAGCGGCCGAGTAGCCAAGCTAGCGATCTCCACCCACAGAAGGTCCATAGACAGGTAAAGACAGCTACTTCAATGGATGCAAGGTTCGTGGCTTACACAGAACACTGCAAAGACCGCGTTACCAGAACGTTCACTCGGATTCCGCGGAAAGAGCACAACTCCGCACGTCTCTACGCGGCTACTCAATACACTCAATCATTTTTTAGGTAAGCTTTGGATTCATTTCAGTCGCGCGTCTATCCCTCGGACCGTTGTCACGCTATGTCCTCAGTCGGATGCCCGCCAGGGTTCAAGTCTCCATAACGGTCTAATTTAGAAGCCGACTAATACAAAAAACGACGTTACACATTTACATCGCAGATTTCAAGGATCCTGGTGACCTCCACCTTCGAATATGTTACGGCGCTTCTAAAGCTCCGGCTTCAAGCTCGCTATTTTTGCCAGGTTGAACCACCTAAGACAAGACCAAGGTTTTAGATATAGGCATACTCTGATGTTTCGGGAGCATAGGCACAGCTAAAGTTCTCTACCATGTTCCCGCGTCTTGTAGCCGCTGCTACAGTGCTCATAGCACTCCTCGCTACTCCCGCAAGCTCTGAGCAGACGCCACTATCTACAGGCAACGATCACGACCCGTACTCCGATGGTGGGTGACCAACAGTCGCACGAGATGCTCCTGATTTGGCCTTGATTTGAATATTATATGAAGGTCCAATAAAGGTAACTCCAACCCGCGCTTGTTCGTCGCTCATCCAAAGCAGGTGGTTGTGCCAACTTGTCCAGGCATCAAGTTCTCGCCTTTGCCTTATGACGAGGCAGGTGACCCTCACTGGATCAACCTTCAGAACCCACTTGATCCAAGCTTTACAGCATACACTCAAAACGACCCGGATCACAGCTCTGATCGCTATGGACGAGAGCACATTTATGAAGTTCAGCTCGGTATAGCGTCTTATGGCCCACGCACACCCTTCTAACGTTCATTAATCGCGCTTTTCATCGACTCTTTAGCTACCAACCACCAAAACCGGCCTTTATGGACCTGGGCCGGGAACAATTTTGCGCTTGGGCGAAAAGTAACATCGTCAACCAGGGGGTGAGTGTACTTCTGCTCGTTAGATTACACGCTCTCAACAGTTTTTATGAAGGTCGTCAACGTGTTGCTCCAATGTCTTCCGCACAACGGTCATTCAAACCCGCCGTGGATGCCGTGGCTCGAGATGATTGCAAATGGTATGAAAGCTAGTATAAGTCTCCTCACCCGCTTCTTTAATTTTTGAAACTGACGCTGGTGTCTAGATGTTCATGGGGAAACAAGTTCGAACCCAAGTAACTTTCACGAACGATGATGCGTCGAAGAAGGTCACTATCATGCGCGATGCGGCGGGGCTCGCATCCTACATGTCTGCGAACGAGACTATGACCTCCTGGAACACCCATTCACAGTGTATCGAGGGGTGTGGACGAAGTGGTTCGCTTGGTACTCCGGGCTGGTGCGTTTTCCTCGTCCACTTCATCTGCCCTTGCTGAAAACGTGATGAGCCGAATGTTCCCGCTAGCGCTAAAAATGTTCCTCTGATCCAAAAATACGAGAATTGCCAGCAAACCCGGCTACTAGGATTTTGGAGCAATCTCGCCAACGGAGTCGAACAAATAATCAAGTGGTGGAATCAAGGATACCAAAACGCACCGCAAGCAGTACGTACAATACCATTGACCTTTGAATTATTCGCCCTAACACCGGGTAGGTCTCACTCAACTTTGTAAGTCTCACAGAATACACACCCCCGAGTGCTGTTAGCGGGAATCAGCTCCAGTGTCTGAGTGCATATGTACGTCAACGAATCCCGCATCTACAGCCTGTGTTCCCCTAGTCACAGCACATTCGAACAGTCACCAATGTCGATGTATTCCCACATGAATCATGGTTTCCATCTTAAACATCTTGATCTACAATTCGTGTCCGAGCTGTGTGTATCGAGGAGAGTACGATGATTTCAATCGACCCGTTTCGCACGTATACGCCTCTTCAGTCGTCACCAACACTTGGGCATTGGGATCTACGCGCAGCGCACACTGCGCTCACAACTACACATTCGTATAATTTATACTTGCTTGCCTGGATCCCGGCGTGGCTGACTAGCAAGACTCGAGGCTCAACGTGAAGGAATGAGCAGCTGCTGGCGATATTGGCACCTGACACGGACCCAGTGCATCCATAATCATCAGCATCCAACAAGTATACCATTAAGATAGAATATACGCACTAGGTCGACTGCCATGAGTTTTTGCACGTGTAACAGGTTTGGATCGACCGTGTTGGGCGGCGATGCATACTGGATGGGGTGTCCATGCGCTGTCTAATGAGTATTTCCGTACACAGACCGCGCCGTAGGCGCCGAAATATTTACTTGTCGTGGCTGTTGGAAAACGGTCGAGTGTCGAGTCGGCCATGGACGAAACCCCACTTGTCTCGGGTTTCCATCTCATTGGTCAGACCTCGATAGTTTACAAGATGCCCCCATACTTTCCTGTCGAATTCCCACCCAGGTCTCAATCATTGGGTTCCGGAGCACCCCAGCAAGAGCACCAACGATATCGGTGTTCGTCATTCAAGGTTCAATTGGCTTCCGGTTGCTCATCACTGGCCAATTTGTCCTACAAAATACTTCGAAGGCAATAATATGATGGTCGTACTTTCCTCACTTGACGTGGAGCACAGGGAGGATCAAACTTAGTCGCCGAATGGCACCATTTGATGAACCATGAGGACATTCGAGGCAAGGAGTTCCTGCGTTCTATGACATCTCTCCTCGACATACAGAGGTGTGACCTCCACAGGCTACGAAACTTCCGCGGACTCATCCAAGTGCCGACACAGGGCCTTGCAGGACGTCCGACGTGGAGGTTGCAGTTATTAGTACCACCCGTCCACAAACGCGGTGAGCATGTCGTGGGATAATCTCTCGGATTTGAACAATCTCCGGCTTAACAAAACCCACCAAACGGTTGAGGAACATGGCAGTGGCTGACACGAAAGTTCTCAAATCTCGAGTATTTATAGTCATTTGAGGTTCAAACCACTAGCGCCTCGTACCTGTCCGCCGCCGATGTCCGAGCAACCACCAACCAACCCTCTCTCGTCTGCGCTTGCATCTGGAGATGACTTTGTGCGTAATATAATGGTCACCAGCGAGTAAGTTATTGAGTCAGCGAGTTCCGACGTTGACTCCAAGAAGCGGCAACGTTCCGCCGACGACAGTACTGATAATGACCCTTGTAAAATATGGTGGAAACGGTTTGTATACTTATCCGGTCGTATGGCAGTGAGTCGCAGCCCAAGTAGTTGAATGAGAGCTAACGATCTATTAGAAAGTCTATTCCATTCGTACCCAAAGGTAGATACCTCCTAATCCCCGACGGCTTCTCTAATATCTTGCACTAGTGCTGACACCATGGCCCATCGTGTATCGGAATCAGTTTGCCAATATATCCATGTCCAAGTCTAGTCACTGACCTGCCATCAGGTTTGCATTTGGTCGTCCAAAGGTTGAAGATAACAAGATTGCCGGCAGCCTTGCGACCGTAACAATTAATGTAAGTAGACAGACTTCTTGAAAATATACTCACAACCTAGTAGAAAGGACAGTCTACGGAGTTGCATACAGATGGAAAGGGGGCTTACTCCTTCACCGTATGTACCTATGATCTTTTCTCATTCGATTTCTCATCGAGGCCCGTCTAGACTCCCGTGCCAGCCGGAGAAGGGTTTGAAAATATGATTGTCGCTCAGAATGACTGTCCGCTCCTGGAGAATATAACAATCAGTAAGGGATATTCTCGCCATTCATCCAAGCTAATAATCGCAATAGGCGTGAGCAATGGTCTTGGATTTGAACCTGTCGAGATCTGGACAAGCACGGGGTCAGTCGTACATTTCTTGAGAACCATTCGCTAAGGCCACCATAGTTCTGGGAGCGAGTTAGTCAGCGAGTTCCAGCCCATTTTGTACATTCGTGGTTGGGTCGATCCAAAAGTGAGCGCCTCGGCCGGCCAAATTCTTCCAGACGATGGACCAGGAGATCTTCTTTGGTCTGCAGACCCACTCTCTCTCAAGCCCACAACTGCGTTACAGCTCACGTATGATATCACTAAACTGGCGCTGGTTTTGAAGCAGACTCCTTGATGCAATAAGGAAACGTATTTGTTCTGTCGTTCATCATATGCGGACCCCTAAACAAAGTTTTGTCCAAAAGCGCATTAATTTTGCAGGCTTTAGAACCCACTCAGGTGAATTCCTATTCCAACGAAATGTGAGCCAGAGTCATGTCTCCTGCGCCATCAATGAAAATCAACAGGCCGAGTGATGTTCGAAACGCGGATACGGTCAAGAAGACCGTAGCCGATAGCATAACGCGCTTCTTAGGGCCCGGCTTCAGTTCGGTGTCGTCGTCGTCTTCATAAGGAGTCAGGTAGGGAAGCGGGTCTGATCGCGGTTCATACTGTTTACGGTCAGTATCAGTACGTTGGAGGATGGGAAGACGGTGTCATGATCGGAGAGGGAGTATGAAGCGACAGTTGGTACAAATGAAACGCACCAGTAAATCTTGACCCCTCCATCAACCGGTTCACTCCAGAAGAATACCCAAACGGCGTCTGATCTCGTCACACAGGTACGATTGCCACCTAGGATGCCCAATTTGAGCCTATTGAGGACACTTAATCAACTCATCCACGCGACGATTGACCTTAGGCGCAGTGCTGCACATCGACTGTAACATGTCAAACGGGGACCGTGTCACCAAAAAGAAGCTGATATTCAAGACAAAGTACGTGCCTCCACCGTTTTGTCATCCGATCTCATCTCGTGTCGCCGTTCAACCAGAGATGACGCGCTCAAGAAGCCAGTATCACTGGTATTGACATTTTGGGACGCAGCTGACGCAAAAAAGAATAAGAATCAAAAGGCTGTGGCTTGGCGGTACGTTTGCCCTCGCTGTTTTATCCAGAGTCTCTAATGTCATCGATAAGGGTTGTCAGGTTTCCTACATCCAGTCAGTCTCTTCCCGCTTTTCAGCCTGGTCCACTGAGATCTAAGTCAGAATCGGCAGCTGCGAGACTCACGTACCGCAATCAGTAAGGACGCTCCCTCGAGTCAAGTTCGCATCGCCAATGGATGACAGATACTGTTTCATACATCCTCAAGTCAATTCTGGGAACTATATATATCCATCCGTGCACAATTTCCTCAATGTGAGAGTGACGCTATGTTTACACAGCGCCTAATTTTGCTTAGATAGGTGAGCAGACGTCTCTTGTTGAAGATCCACAATCTGGCGACATCACCTTTACCGTAAGTTACTCCAGATGTACGGCAACACCACAAAATGCATCTTCTAGGGCAATACACCCGGGGAAAAAGGCGTTGTTCGTATCGATAACAAGACCAGAACGATACAGGACATAGCCATCGGTGAGCACGCGTATACAAAGGGAGCAATTCTTACCGTAATAATACACAGGGATGGGTAGTAACACGGAAAAGGAGCCCAGTATCATCGCCTGGTACACCAATGTGGCGTAAGGGATTGATGTAACCTGCACCTCCAATTTGGCTGACCTAACAACCACAGGGTCGACCAGATGGTCTCGTTCACCCCCCTTAGCAAGCTTTATTGCTATGTTGTCGACGCCTATGACAGAGGACTCTTTATGGGAGACATAGGTACTAAACCGGCCCAGATTATAGACCTTCCTACTCTTCCACCCGAGACCATTTGGTACCTCACAGTCATCGGGACTACAGGTCAATATACGTTGACAAGTGAAGAGCCAGATGACGACCACGGAGGGGATATCGATCATCAATAGTCGCTTGGTTAGCAGTTGTGTCCATGCGCCAGCTTTCCCTACGTCGAAATTGTAGTGCCTGCAAGTAGTGACTTATGCCACTCGATTGTACATCTTGTACTAACCCTGATGAACTCGTTACTCCTTTAGGATCCTCTGACCGGGATAATAAACGCCAGTAGACTTAGTCTATCCCCGAGCGTAGTTATAATATATCACAAGTCGACACGTTATACTAAGACAATTCTCACATTGTCACCATGCTTGCTTATCATCTCTTGATAGAGGACAGTATCCAGCACACGTTCAGGTGACCCTCCCTCTTCAACGAGATCACATAACCTCACTGCTTTTGCAAAGTTGCCGTCTGTCGCATCGACGAGTCGCTGTTGGTCTGCTGCTGACAGGGAGAAGCACATTCGCGAAGATACATAGGTCGCAATGTCGGCCTTGTTCTCCGCATCCCCGCTGTCTCCAAGCCCTAGCGTCTCTACTTTCACACTACCACTGCTAGAACGAAGCCAATTTGGCATCGTCGTGCATGTGATCAGGAGCCGAAGCCTAGAATCGGGCGAGTTGGCGGTTGTTACAACTTCAAGCAATCGCAAGCCTTCTCCGTGAATTAGTGAATCTGCGTTGTCGATCACGATGACATGACCATGCGCGTCGGGAGTATTGATGCGCTTGATGATATCGGTCACCAGGCTTTTCCCGTGGTTCGGAACTGTTTGGCCTCGGGAACGAAAGGGAGAGTGCGACAGTGGCGACAGTGATCCACCAAGCGACTTTGAGCGGGGCCGAGCCGGTGGAGCCGCTGAGCGTTTCGCCAGTGGACCGCTGTTCGCGTTGAGAAAGTGAGCGGAATGGAGCATGTCGATGTTTCCTAGTTCACAGCAGGCCATGGACGCAGTGGTTGACTTTCCTGCTCCCTTCTCCCCGAGGAGGACGAGCACTAGTGGAACCTCGCTCGAAGACGCCGCCCATATCTTGATAGAGTTGCGTAAAGACACACGGGTATCTGGAAGGCAGAGGGGATGGACGATATTCAAGTCTATTGAGGAAAAATCAGCATCTAAGGAAGACGTCGACGCATCGGCTGACCATGTCTTATTTTCTCGAAATTTGTATACAATGCCGTTTTTTGAGTCTGCGCCTTCATGAAATCTTCTATACTGGCCTTTGATTCCAACGTCAGTCTCGATACACGGGAGGATGAACCTCGCACCTTCAATGGTGCAAAGGACGCCGATACTCTCTCCGCCGCCATAATAAGTCTCGGATCGACTTTATCTCTCTGGGAATTGGAAGATCCAGACGAAGCTGAGGATGACAGTCGACGCAGCATTAAGCCAACCCGGCTCGTGGAGATGGGGGGTGATGGAAGATCCATTTCAACATCGCGAAGGTGCCTGTGAGGCATATAAGGCAACATATAAACCAGCACAATGGGCATTACCTAACGTATCGAGCAAGTCTCGCAAATAGCGACAGTTGACGAATCGCCACCGTCCTTGTGGGATCAATTTGACAGCCCTTCAGTATCCATTGTCGCATTTCTTTATCTTGTGCCTGTAGTAAGGATGCGAAGTCGAGACATTGTTTCGTCTGTGGTTGAACGCGCTGATGTTCAGGTCAGTATCCAGCCAAGCTATCAAGATGGTTTGCGTACTTGAACGGCCTCTAGTGCTTGCCTGTTGATCTTTCTAGTCACTCTCAGCGCAGCGAGTACATCATTCTTCTCCCCATCCGCTGGTTCAAAGTAGACGCCGAGTGTGGGCTCCTGCAAAGGCCGAAAGGTAGATCCAAGTACAGGACTCGTCATTGGCGACGAGAAGTGGCTCGAGTCGCTCTCGACCTGACGTTCCTCTAACACTTGATTGTCGTGCACTTGTCGAATGGCCGTGTCACCGTGTGCGTCCATATTCTCCTTTCACTGGTGCAAATCACCAAGAATGCGAGTGTAGAGTGGGTTACAAAGAGTTTGATGGCGTCTGCTCTCCATCGCCCTTTTATGTGTGCGTCAGCTCGCCGGCCGTTGCGTTGTCCCGCCAACCCGGGAGGACAAGTGACCGAGTTGGTATTCCGACAGCACTCAATGTTTCAAATCTGTCGTCTCTCTCGACTTCTGTTCGCGGTTACATCGCCGCGCCGGTCGCCGTCTTTCACAAGCTGGACTCTCCACATGGGATCCAAGTTCGCGCCACTCCGGCCATCAGAGATGGGCAAAGAAAAGATGTGCATATATGTGAGAGAAAGAGAGATGTTATGCTGCGAATCACGCTATTCAGAGCTCGGCTCCATGCAAGACATGTTGAGAGGAGGCGCGGTCTGGATCGCCCACCTGCCAGAGGTGGACGCTCACGCCGTGCGCAGGAATTTCCAAAGGAATGAGCGTCGTAACATCAAACGACTCTCCAAGGGATCGGCCCCAATTGCCTTCGACGATCCCAAGAGAGGGATTCGTCAGCGCCCATGCATCGAGAACACTGTAGCGGTTAGATGTGGTCTTCTTCTATCAGAAAACAGTCAAACAGGTGATAATCGCTGTCGATTGCGTACGTACCGCTTGAGGATACACGTCTACAAGCTGATACCGCATCATGTACTTCTCGGGGGTAGTGTTCACAATGGCAACGACAGCTCTGAGAGCAAGGTGTTAGCTGAGGAAATATCACCTGGTCGTACGCACCCATCCTTCAGGGGACCACTCCAGACTTGGACGTTGCCAGTGACTTCACCATGTGGGTTCTTGATAATCGACTTTCGGACACGATTGACCGGCAGAGCGACACGGTCCTGGTTGATTTTGATGAGCCATTTATTAGTGATGATTGCTTTCGTCACTTCATCCTATCCATGCTCAGTAAACTGATGACTTAGACGCAAGGGGACGAGAGGCATACCATCTTCGTGAGGTCATTGCCTAGAATGAGTGGGCTCTTGATGACAGCCCACATGGCAAAGTGCGTTTTATACTCGTCCGTGGTCATTCCGCCGTTTCCTACCTCGAGCATGTCCAGGTCATTCCATTGCCCGGCACCAGCCTTTTGAACGAGAGGAGCAGCGTATTCGAGGATACGGGTCATCGAACAGTCTACATCAGAGTCAGTAATGTACCTATAAACTGGGTTAAACGTCTATACGGAATCCTGGGAGTTTGCAATCAATCATTGATTCGCAAGGACATCGGTCGTCATATGCATCGTAAGACTGCAGAAATGAGACTGTAGTATAGGAACCGGGTCGATAACATACGTCCATAATATCTCCAGACATTCTCCAGGTGTGAGCAATCGTCTGTCAGACGTGTTCAACACATGCAAATCAACGTCAGTTTACGTACCGGTGCCCAATTCCATGTATGATCCTCACCCCAATTGCATAAACTGTAAAGTATCGGTCGTCCTGTATCACTAAGCGCTCTCGACATCTTTGCATATCGGTTGTAGGACACGAGATCATAGCCAGCTTGTCCTTCATTGTAGCAGTTGTCATACTCTGCCAAATCATCAGAGCATGAACAAGAAGAGAAGAGGAGGGTCTATCAGGGAGACGACCGGGCGAGGGGCCATCAATCGACTTGCGTTTGCCAACGGGGCTGCGGGTTTACTCACTGAGATAATCGATTCCCCATTCCGCATATGTTTTTGCGTCGATCTCTTCATACCCCAATGAGCCGAATTGTCCTGCGCAAGTCTTTGTGCCTGCGCTCGAGTAGATGCCAATCTTTAGTCCGAGTGCGTGAATTTTGTCTGTAGCCGAGTTTTGAGTTTAAGCCATGGAGATGGAGGAGGAATTAACCCGCCAATGCCTTGATTCCGTCGGGGAAGCGGATAGGATCTGCGACCGGAGGGTGTGGTCGGCGCGAAGAACGCGCAGGAGCATGCCAGCAATCGTCCATGATAACATCTACAAGACGTGGTTGTCAGCTAAAAAGCAAACTTTGCATAAAACAGACGCACATTCGTAGCCCAGGTCTTTAAGTCCAGTGTCGACGAGGGCTTGTGCGGCTTTGAGAATCGTGTCCTGGGTAATGTCACATGCAAAGAAATTCCAACTTGGTACGAGAGTTGTCAAAGTGCTGTGCTTAAACTCGACGAGGAAGCTCAAACCAACCTATTCTGCAAAAGAGAGTCAGTCCTGGTATTTCCTTTACTCTTTTTACTTACCCAACCCATTGGTGGCGTCCTGGCCTGCATAAACAACCCCGTTAGACGGAAGCTGCCCAGGCATCCGATTGGACGAGAGTCAAACTCACTAATCCGTCGTCTTTGGCGACTCCCATCGCAGCTTGGAGCACGAGAGATAAACCAAGGAGTAGTCTTCTAGACTTCATGTTCGCAGTGGGAGGGTCCAAGTTTGAAGACGGCCTCTCACCACACAACGGCCCGCACGGCACGTGTCCGTGAGTTCAGAAATAATCATTGAGAGTCAAAGGATTGCGCAAATAGGAATAAATACAATCGACAGAATTACGAAGAGTGAATCACGCCCCCCAATCTGGCCCAAAACATGCGCTCTCGAATTCGTACGAGCTCTAACCAGGCCCTCTCTTCCCAAGTAGTGCGTCCTACATAGAATTCGTGTCCAAGCCCTCCTTTTTCTGGAACTGGGGGTCCATCGTCGTCTGGTATCGGAGCCGCGGAGTTGTTGGTGTAAACGGATGGAGTGTAGTCCGAGGAGCTAGACACTACAGATTGTTGACGAGAGCGACCCACCTTGGTCTCTTCAATCGCTACATCCTCTTTTTCGAGGAACACTGGCAGTTGGGGAACTGGATGCCTGCTCGGAGAGGGCATCTCGAGAGGAGGTAGTGGCATGGAGATTGACTTGGGCGTAGATACATTGGAGTGACTCGGCTCTATGACAGTGGCATCTTGGTCTTGAGGTGCCTTGGTTTCCTCTGGTTGCGCGGTCGGTGGATCTACTGTGCTCGTTATCGGCTGACCAACCGCCTTTTCGTCCAACTCCGAGGAGTTCGCTGCCTTGGTCTCGTCAATTGCAGCTGCTGTGGCTGTTGCATCCTTGACATCCGCCGAGGTCGTTTCCTCCTTCGCTGGCTCAATCGAAGCTTCCTTCTCGATCTTTTCGGGCTCTTTAGGTATAGCGACAATACTACTTCTCGCGGCTGCGTTCCTTGCGGCTGCTCGTCGCGGTACAGGGGGAGGTGCTGTTTTACCAGGAGTGATGGGGGCCTTTGGTACCGAAGGCGGCGGAGAAGCAACTCTGTCTGCATCCTTCGAGACAGGAGGCTTCTCCACTGAGTCCGCCGACGGCTGATTGGGCTCGGGTACCACTTCGGGGGCTACGGAATCTGGGGCTGCATTGATAGGATGTGAAGTTGTCGCATTTTGATTAACTCCAGTCGAATCCAGTGTAGTATCCTTGGTACCTTGTCCCTCTGAGAAAGTTGTTGCGTGAGGTGTTCGTGCGTCGACTTCCGGAGCGGCTGGTACCTCAAGCTCAGTAGCTGTCTGGCTTGGGATTTCCTTTGACGTGTCAGAGTATGCTGCAGGATGAGCCAGCTCCAGGGGTGCCTCCACTTCCTTCGCGAGGTTGCCATCCACCTTTTCTCCCGCATCCGCCTTTTCTTCCACAACGCCAGGTGCAATGAATAGTGCACTTAGGCGCGCAATCCCTCTCTTTCCAGAATCAGAACTGGATCTCTTGATTGTATCCTGTTGGAGCTCCTGCACGTCCGACTCGGACATGTCGTCTCCAAGATCCAGTTTACCGCTATCGGCATCACTAGACACGCGCTGCGGAGCAGGGGCCGACAAGCGGGGGGATTCTTCCACTCCTGAACTTTCTACCCGGACAACACCATTCGCAGAGGGACTCGTGTTTCGCCCTCCAGAAAACGATCTCCGCATGCCCCCAAATAGAGTCGACTTCGATCCATCAGAAGGCGACGGACCACTAATCGGTGAGGCGCCTCTAGCTTTGTCCAGGACGTTCTTGCCCATGTCCCAAAACGTGGGGGCCTTTCGCTTGGCTGGTGTCGGACTTGGGTCGCGAAGTTTCCCAAATGCTTCCTCCATTCGCTCTCCAGTAGGCGACACGTCTCCAACGCGGAGCCGAAGGTCGATTGAGCGGGCCTCCCGCCAAACGCGTTCAAGCACGCCACGATTGACATGTCCCCAAAGCTCGCAAGTCGTTCTCAGTCTCGAAACACACCACCCGGTGTGGCAGAGAGGATAGGGAGGGCCATAGTTTTCAGCACCTGTGCTGTCCGCCCCATTGGAGCTTGCGTTTTTATTGGCAAGCGGAATACGGAACGCATGAATGACAGTCTGCAACGAAGTCGAAGGCGGCGGGGACGATGGTCGGATCATTGCATTTGGCGGAGTGGCTACCACTGTAGGCGAATCAAGCGAGTTTCGGCTAACCGGGGTGCTTGGGCGCGGCGTGATTGTCCCATTTGTCGAACCGCTAAGAGAAGAGAGGCTGACAGTCTTCAAAAACTTGCTAGCCACCCAGCCAGTACCACCAGAATCCGTGCGCGTTCTTGGGGGAAGTGGTGGCGCATTGGTCGCGGTGGGCGTAGGCGTGGTGGGAGATTGTGAAATGATCATAGAGTGGTGTTCATTTTGCTCCGCTTGGATCGCTTCCGGCGACATATAGACCACTTTGCCGCACAAGGCACAGCTGACCTTTGTCAACTGAGTGGGCGATGTTGGAAGCGAGGTACCTGAATATGATATGAGTATAAGAACTACTTCAGAGAAGTGCTTCTGACCGCCACCAAAACTAGAATACGAATACGAGGAAGCGCTGCTCTCCAGGAAGAGGGTTGCAACGTGAATTTGTTCTATCAAGAGGGTGTTCGCATGAACAGCCGCGAGAACTGATCTCCTAGTAAGCCAATTGAGAGAGGGCGCCAAGTCTAATCGTAAAGTCGGCTCCCTAGTAGATACATTAGCCTTCGAATCTTGGACCACGTTCAGACGTACGAATCTTCGACAGCCAAGCGTTGTAAAAACGGAAGTGTGAGAACAGACGAGATTGGCGGTGGAGCCGGCGTAGTTGCGACGAGGGAGCGGAGGTGCGCAAGAAACGAAAGGTATTCGTCTCGGTATGGCGGATGAGTGTTCATCATACGTATTGCTCCAGCATAAGAGCTAGAAATGCTTGTCGAACCGACAGAGTTGACTGCAGCGCGCAACTCTTTCAAGTCCGCCTCGCGAAGCTCTCGTTCTTCACGAAGGTGGTCGACGGTGCGTTGACTTTCTTCCATCTGCCGCTTGGCCACCTCCAGCTCTTTCTCGAGCCTGATGCGCTCAGATTTGACAGTAGAAAGCGCATCTTCGACAGAGAGACGATTCTTTCGCTCCGTCGCCACCATGTCGTTTGCTGTACTGAACAGGTTGGCAGAGAGATCTGACAACTCTGCTTCTATCTGAGCATGCTTTGCCTCTGCAGCTTTTTGAGCATTTTGCGCGGCAATAGATTGCTCCATCAGTCTATGGAGGGGTGCGTTAGCCAGATGGGAATAGACAAGGTAAACAACGTACCGATTCATTTCTTCCGCGATAGATGTACGCTCCACCAGTCTTCCATCTTTAATCGCATTCTCGTGCTTTTGCTTTTCGACCTCCAAAATACTCTTCTCTCGCTCGAGGTTGACCTTTTCGCCCTCGAGCGCGCGTAGCCTTTCGTTGTTCTCGTCCAAAGTTTCCTCGAGGTTTGACATTCTGTCATAAGACTGGACGAGTTTCGAATTGAGTAGGGCGACCTGGGAGAATAGGTCTGATATTTGGGAGCGCAACGACGAGATGACGAGATTGCGTGGGTCGTCTTCGTCATTTTCTGCTTCTGCCGATATTCCATTCGAACGAGGAGCGTGTTGGGCTATGGTAGATGGGAGGAGAATCTCGTCAGCATCGTCGTCGTGGGCTTCAGACGCAAAGGTGCCCTTTGCTGGTGTCGAGGGGACACTCTTGAATACAAGAGGAGGACTTGCAGGCGCGATGGTCGTTCGATTGTCGTCCAATTCGGTCGTTGGAGTGAGCGCAACAGACCGTAGGCCCTCGAGCTCTGCAGAATCCGCGTGAAGCTGCGTGTTGATGGACTTTTCTGCTCTTTCTTCCTTGTTCTGCGTCGTATCGGCGTTTAACGAGCGTGGAGTCGTCTCTGAAGAGGACAACGAGCCAGCTTCAAAGACGAGGGCAGGCTGATCACTCATATCCAGGTATATAGCAGTCCAATGCGCGTATTTTCTGCGTTTTGAGTGTCAGGATGGGCGCCCCTGGAATCAGCTCCGACGTGGTGGCTGCCAATGTGTCGGCGCGCTTTGGAACGACAATTCTCGTAATTCTTGCCATCTCAACAGTAACTTTATTAGAAGAAACATTGGATCAGAGGGCGTACTGTGGGTCCATGCATGTACTATTCACTCTTGTGGATGTGTACAAGTGACAACCTGTCGAAGTTGGAATTCGGCTCTGGCAAAGTGGATGAAATTGTCATTGAGAGTGTAATGTTGATCGCTGGCTGTCACCATCGTTGGTTACTTTGTCTACTCTATTCCCGACTTCGTTCATCACCAACTGTGCGCAACGTTGGGTGGATTCTTACTGGAACAAAGTATTAATCGCCAGTTCCTGCGTTTTCTCACCCGACTTCGGCCACTCAGCATCCCGTCCTGGTCTTGGCTAACGTCGTATAAATTAGGTGTCGCCTCCCACAATTTACGGTGGAATGACCGAGTCGTTAAGGCGTATGATTTGGGACCGCGTCTGAACGGATTATGGCTCCGACGGAGCTGCGTGACGATTTGTAGGTGGAACTGCAACGCAGTCTCTTGGCCATCCAGGCTGAATACAAGTGTCGAAATTGACGCCTAGAAGCAGTGAGAATCGAAAAGACCATCTATTTACCTACTTACGCGTAGCTTCGCCACATTTGTGCTGATTGACGGGGGCTTCCTCTCAGAAACGCTCCTCGATAACTCGTTGAGCCCAGATAGAATCGTAACTACTTCTCCTGTTCGAGCTTCACTACGTTAGAGGTTCGGACGGGAACGGCAATCCACTCACCCGAAAGCAGTGGGCTTGTCCATGCTTTGCGCATAGCCTGGATGGTCGCCCAGCCACGAAACACGGCAACTATGAAGCAGTTATTCCCCATATTCGGAATCCCTACCGGGGGAGGAGGGAGCGATGATGGTCGAGGTTGGGGTTCGTTCGCCAGCTCTCTACTCCGTCGTGACTGTTGTTCCGCGTCAGAGCTCGTTGCTTTATTCTTCCAATCAAATCTTCGCACTTTAGAATTAGATTCAATACTCTGCTTTGGCCACTCTTCATCGCCCGCCGAGTTCTCTTCGGACTCGGGCGAGAGTTTGCGGATTGATATCCGTCACTTTGAGGCCCTAATGACATTTCCCTTTGCCCTAGTCTCTTGAAGCTTCCGACGCTTCATCGGTCGATACTCTTCGTTTGAATTATCCCCCTGCTACCGGCATCGTCAGCTTCAAACCCAGACATGATGATAGAGGGCCAAACCAATCTCTTTCTGGTCCTTGTCCGGATGCAGACACTACAAAACCTGTATCTTGATCAGAAGGGCGAGGAGCTGGCTGGAAAAGACTTACCACGGTCCACTAGGTTCTATGTCGGTAGGAAGTTGTGTATTATTCCTAGCGGCGCAAACTCTATGGTCCCATGCTAAGCATCCATCACACTGAATCCATTCATCTTTCGAGTGTTCGACGGCGACTTGATTGCAGTGTAGGCAGACTTCCATTGCGCGTGGCAAAAGCGGTGGGCGAATAATCAGCCAGGCGTCGTCGGATTCAGGTCAATGGGTGGTTTCAAAGGCAATCCTCTGTGCGACAAATGAAGTTGGCCGTAGATGGAAGAAGCGTGATGGATAGCCCGACGAATATAGTAGGTGAAAGCAGAACGTATGACCTGAGCGACCCACGTGAGGCAGAGCGAGTACAAGCAAGTGTCTCTAAAGGGGGATAAGGATATACAGCGTGCAGACGAATCTCTCCGGGTCGTCTTTGGTGGTGGTCAGGTGCAAGAATGGTGAATTGGCTGTATGAGCAGGAAAAGGAAAAGGCGATGCTAACTAAAAGCTTCAAACTCTGCTCAACCCTTTGTGCATTTTCAACTCATAGATAGCCAACAGAGGGGGAGCACCGTATTGCTGGGTGTGACATAAGCCGAGCCCCCCAAAAAAAGACATGATGGAAGTGGGATTTGAACCCACGCGGTATTACCATATGAGATTTAACACAAAGTCCTAAATCATACGCCTTAACGACTCGGCCATTCCACCGGAAATTGGCAAGCACTGCTCACAAATATTATCCAAAGGATTCAAAAGCCTACGGCGCCACGCCAAAGTTCGCGCATCTACTAATCCAGAGAATCACGTCTAGCTCTGGTTCTATATGCTTCATCAACGAGCTGTGAATCTCGTGAATCTCGTGAATCTTTGGGAGCGGCCATTGACTGTAGCTAGAGTAACTTAAGTCTTCGTTCACTACGAAAAGAAACACTCCTTCAAGCTATTCACCAGAGCTCACTCAGGCTGTCATACACCAGTTGGCGCATAGTACGCATCGCGCCATCTGTATCACCCCCGGGCACATCTTGAGTTGTGCCGTCTCTTTCCAATTGCCATCTCGCGTCCCTAATCGCATAAAAGCCACAGCAGAAATTGTTTCGTTGAGTAGCTGGACGCGTCTCCTGATGAATCTCGACACGAGATACGCCGTGGAGATGAGAAAGAAGATAACTGAGGGCGCTCGCAAACTGGAGGATATCGTGTCTCCTCAACTCGCTCGGTTCTCTCCGCCCAACGCTGTCAAAGATATAAACGTGCCCGACCTCCCCAACCATTTTCGTCACGAGGATGACCCAATGTCCACGACGTCCATACTCTTCATCGATTAGTGGCATCACCAGAAAGTTTTCCGGTAAATTCATGTATTGTCGAAACTGGGGGAGCAGACGACCCACCAAGGGCCATGTTGGAGGATGGTGCCGATGATGGTCAAAGTCCCGCGTAGCTGAGTCTCGTAGTTTTGCGCAAAATTGGATTGTCGCGAGGTGACTTGCCGTCCGCTCATCCGTCACCTCTTTCGCTAGATAGCCGAAAACTATCCGGGAATTTATGGACCCTTCTTCGTCGACAAGACCATTGAAGTCTTCGGGTCTTATCTTCACGATATAGCGCCTTCCCCCGGCTCCATAGTCCGCGTAAGCTACTTGCAATGCTGATCAAGAATAAGCATGACCCTCAAGTTGGGGGAGAACCGCCTACATACGAGAGGTTTGGGACGAAACTCTACACCCTTTTCCTTTGCATGTTTGGCGCGCATGCGCAATTTCGGAGCGTCAGCTCGTAGTGTGTCGGCGGACACAAGCTGAGACGAGCCTATATTTTCCTCGAGTAGCTCTTTGCATCGTTTTCCTGGATACAGGGCGGTTTTTCTCGACGGTCGGTCATGTCTTTGCTTCGACATTGGGCAAGTCAGACTCCAGATTATGTCCATTCATTTTTCTCCCGAACAAGTCGAGAAAATGTTCTCCAAGTTTCGATGCCTACATTGCCAGAGATCGTTTTCGGGCAAGTCAAATCGGAATACGCACATGAAGGAACAGCACCACGGACTACAAACAATCAAGTGTCCCCGGTGCCCGATGCGTGCGTCCAAGTATTCGATGGTCAATGGATGCTGATAAATCTGTAGCTTTCTTTTTCCAAGAGGATGCGGATAAACATGTCAAAGCTGGCAAACATTATACTCCCGAACAAGTTGAGAAAATGTTTGCCAAGGCTCGATGCCAATATTGTCCCAAAGAGTACAAGAGGAAAGATCATCTGAAGAGGCACCTATTGAGTGCACACGGAGTGGGCGAGCAAGGTTGAATTTTCAACCTTGGGTCGACAAGTAAGCTAGACTGTAGATGTACTCAAAACTGTTTTTGAACCCACGCGGTTTCCCATCTGAGTTTCAAGACAGGGTCCCGGATCATACGCCTTAACGACTCGGCCATTCCACCGTAATTTGGCAGGAGGGCGCCTTTGTGCATCATTCTCCACGTAAAAAACCTCCCTACGATAGATTCAAATGTGCATATCCCACCTTGGTCAAGTAGGAGATTACCCGAACCCACTTCTATCAAATTGTTTTTTTGGCACTTGCACTTATGCTCCCTATTGGCCGTCTGATCGATGAGCCCAGAAGATCAAAAACGAGTTCAAAGGTGAGCCAGATGCTGCAGCTAGTATCATTGAAAGGAATGAAAGCTCCCTGATATCATGGAGTAGGGAGAAGCTGAACTCATCCGGAACTGGCACCGTCAAGCACGGGCAACTTTGGCCAAGCGGCCAAAGTCGATTCTAGTAAGACGAGATCTCAAATCATGCGCCTCACGGACTGTTCGAAAAACCTTTGCCCCGCCGCGAAGCTTTCCTCAACCAAAGCCAGAATATTCGGCCGCTCATGGAATACTCGAATACATCTACTAGGTTTTTAATTTCATCATTAATGGCGCATTTCAATTACTTTTACCGTGCTCCGCATGCCGGAGCTCCATAATTACCAACCCCGGACTGTTGAGCCATGGCTTCAACGAATCAGAAAATCCACGAACCGGCGTTTAATGTCTCTTTGTGAGCATCTAAAAGGTTGTGCCATAATGCCGAAGGTTCGCTCAGCGCCACGCGCCCGAGTAATCAACAGTCAAAGTAATTCGCCAGAATACCCAGGAATCAACGCACCGGTCATACTATAGCAGGAGGTAACACAGATCCAGGCTGCAGCGTAGATATAAAACCTTCAAATATCGCTCTATATACGGTCAAGTTCTCCCAGACGAGATTTGTGGCCGAACGATCCGAACCATGCTGGAGGTGTCGATTTCGCGCTGCTATATTCACATTGTCATCAATAACCGAGACTCCATTTACAAAAAGCCACAGATTTAGGCAGCACTATAATATATGGACGATATAGCATGACGGTGGGGACGGTGTGGTTTTCACAGTGGATGGAGCAATTATCATTGACAGGCCAAGTCAGGCTGTGATGAATGTATATGGGCCATATAGATGTGTTCCTAAATACTGCTAATGACCCGCATACCCGATGAGACTAATATCCTCATTTCACCAACAAAGAAGTGTAAAAGAGTGTGGATTAGGGACTGAACAGAGTCTATACATCAGTTGCTCGCCACAAAGTAATTAAAATTGTAGCTGGGCGGGTCGAGAGTATAGGTAAAAGCAGCACCAGGATTGACATCGACGACGGGTAGATCTGCTCGTCTAAGCACTCCTCTCATCTGTCCTGGACTGTTGCGAATCTTGACCTTGTTGACGCCTGTAATGATCGAGAATGTCTCAGAATTGGATCCGCAGCTGAGAACGAGCTCTCCATCACTCGCAGCAATGACCAGTCCCCAAACGTAATCTTCAGTCTTCAAGTAGGTCAGCCTCCCGCCTTGACCTTTTCAAAGCGAACTCACCCAGTCTGCATTGTTGGGACGCCCGATAGGATCTCGCGGAGCCTGCGCATCTCGAGGATGAGAACGCGACCAAAGATAGACCTTGTCCTCTGTAATAGTTGGATAAGAACCCGTCTTGAAGGCGGTCGCATAATAGGAGGTCATGTCGAGGAAGCCAAGATGGGGGAATCCGTTTGTCCACGCTTCAGAGTTGGGCTGTTCTCCTTCGATAGGACCAATGTACGAGGACTCGCCATAGTCTATTGAGCATAAGCAAGAGCGAATCGAACATGGTATAGTCCAGTTACCGTTCCATGTGACAATCTCTACCAAATCGACCTCCGCACGGTGACCGACGAGCATCTCCCAGCGAGAAGCATAAAGCCAGTCGTCGCTACGATAGATCCAATTCTTGTTGTACGAGTTTGGCCCATAGTGCTGGCGCGCATTGAGGATCTCGTTGAATGTATGGACGCTACTTACTGTGAAGAACCCAGGGGAAACAGACGCCATAAAGAGCGGTCCTGGGCTAGTAGCAATGCGATAGGCGTCACCGTCCCAGTTCACGTCAAAGTTGCCGGTTGGCCAACCACCGTTCCACTGTACATCGTCAGATGCTTGCTCGAACTCGAGTGCCATATACGCACGTGAAAGTCCCCTTGAACAACACCGTTAAACTCTTGCTTGCGTTGATCGACTCTCTCGAACCAGCTAGGCACAAACGCAATCTCACGGCCAGCAGCGCGTAGACGAGAAACAACAGCTTGATCCGCGACGACGGACATCCATCCCTCGCGCGGGGATCCTGGTTGGCGTCAGCAGCAAAATAGACGATGAAGAAAGACAAACCGAGGCCAAAGTTGCACCATTCACCCGAAAAGGTGCTGACGACAACACGTTGGAAAGCAGATCCAGATGCGGGTGGAAGCACCAGATGACCGGGATGCGGCCCCCAGGTCAATAGGAACTCTCGCAGAGTCTGAGCATCCTTTTGACTACTACAAGGTAGCCCACTTGATGAAGATTGAGTAGCAGAATAGCCACATCGTGAGGTACTCACGTCATGTCAAAACTAAAGATCATCCCAAACCCACCGACGGTACTAGCCGCAACAAATGCATCTGAAATACTCTTCTGCTCCCAGCCACCATGAATACTGCCAAAGTTGAGTGCAAAACCATCGATGCCAGCCGACTTGGCGGCCGTTACGTCCGTGATCCAAGATTCGATGGTATATGGATAAGTGTTCCCGACCATGTGATGAGCAATGACCTTTTTGCCGGTAACCTCGTTGGGATTTGGTGACGACGCCGAATGAGAGGGCTGATCGTTGACAATGTCGGTGGGGAGGGGCGCAGCAGTGGCATTGCGAGACGACGTATCCGAAATGCTAGACACGGTAGAGTGTTCATCGTCAAGGAAGATACCATGCTTTGTCGATCCAAAGCCATACTGGTCGAGCACACCATTGCGACCAAAGAGGAGCGTGCGCCAAGGTCCTCCACAGATGTCGCCGGGAACACTATGGCTACACGGCGTAGAGCACTCTTGCTGAATGACCTCGCGTGACGAAGGCTGTTCCGCATCCGCGAGCGTGAGCCTATTGCCGCACCAGCACTCGAAGCCATTTTGTATTCCAGCGACGTCAAAAGAGCGCTCTTCACAGTAATCAAGACACTCTGTCGAGCTAGAGACGGGCCCCTCGGAGCGCACGAGACTGAGAAGACGCGCATCTTCCGGGTCGACCATACACGGGCCCATCTCCCACTGAGACGAGTCATGTGGTCTATTCTGAGATGCATCTCGAGTTGTAAAGGAATGCTGAGAGGGGGGGATGTTTGGCTTTGCGTGATCGAGGCGGCTGCGTCCATGGTGGCGACGACGACGATCGTCCCATGACGCACGTGTGTGCTTTGCGAAGAGTGACGTAGAGAGAAAGAGATAAAGAGGGAGTTTCATCGTGGCTGTTGATGGCGAATTTCGATTACGAGTGGCTACGAGTTGTCTGCGGTATGTTAGCAGTTGGGCCAAAAACAAGATGTAATAGACATAGAAGAGTGTGGAGCATCAAAATGAGCAGCAAGGAAGGGCAATTTAATGGAGAATGGGTCGTCGTTGAGCGCATTGTCCGTTCGCCACTCTCCAAAATGAACGGGAAAGGAAAAAAAAAGCAGGGCGTGGACGTACATTAGGACCAAGAATAAAGAAGAATAAGTCAAATAGAGCCAGTACTGGCGAGCGAACTAGAACGAAAGACGTGGTGGGGAGCAAGATGAGGAACATTGTTTGGTCGCCGTAGAAGACTCCACCAAGTTTACTTAGCACTTTGATCCCATCTAAGCATTACTTCTCGTTTATAGAGTGCATTTATTTCAGCAGTAAACGGGTACACATTCGTACCAGCAACGGATACCAACTGACTTTCGAAGTGTACTAGAGTCCAATGTTGAGACGAAAACTAGATGCGACGGGGAGTAACATTCGTGGAGACGGGGCATGAAGACATTTTACTCGGTCGTGACAGACTTGGCACTGCAGATGCGGTCAGTTTAGCAATAAAGAGTGCGAAGAAGGACTCACAGGTTCCTAGGGAAATCAACATCAAAGCCGTTGAGGACTGCCAAGTGGTAGCTGAGGAGCTGGAGCGGGATAATGTTGAGGATACCCTGGAGACAATCGACAGTTCCAGGTACGACAATTGCCTTGTACTCTCCACGCTCGTTCTTGTACATGCCGTTCTGGACAGCCGGGTCGTCCTCGCAGCAGATGATGATGGGAGCGCCTTTTCTGGCCGTGACCTGGGCGAGGGCATTTTGGACCTTGGGGTAGAGCGAGTCACGGGTCATGATAATGATGACAGGCATATTCTCATCAATCAACGCCAGCGGTCCGTGCTTGAGCTCGCCAGCGAGAATACCTGACGACAGTCAACCCAGCGCTACCGAGTCGTATACAAAGACGAACCTTCCGAGTGCATGTAGGAGATTTCCTTAATCTTGAGGGCGCCCTCGAGGCAAGTCGCGTTCTGGTATCCTCTACCCATGATAAGCAAGCTGCGGGATACCTATACAGTGTCAGAATGAACAGACTGAGCGACTCGCGTCCATACCTTGAGCGTGGCACGAGCCATCTCTTGAAGGGCCTTGTCATTGTTCAAAACGTTTGCAATCTGTTGCGGGAGCGCGTGAAGACCAGCGATGATGGCGTTGCGGCGCTCAGTGAAGGAGATACGGTCCTCGGAGAGTTGAAGAGCCATCATGATGAGGGCGACGTATTGCGAAGTGTATGCCTATGGATGATCAACTCGAGCTCAAGGTCGCAGGTGTAGCATACCTTTGTACTAGCGACACCGATTTCGGGACCAGCATTGATGTGAATACCACAGTGAGTCTCTCGGCTGATTGTGCTACCGACAACGTTGACCACTCCGACGCAAAGCGCTCCACGCTCCAGGCAGTAGCGCAATGCGAGAATGGTATCGGCCGTCTCACCACTCTGGCTAAGGAAGACGCAAACATCGTCACGGAAGATGGGCGTCTTGCGGTCCAAAAAGTCACTCGCGAGTTCGACAGAGGCCGGAATCTCTGTAAGTTCTTCGAAGATGGCACGGGTGGCAACGCAAGAGTGGTAACTGGTACCACACGCAATGAAGACGATGCGACGACCGCGACGGATGATGGGGAGGTACGCCTTTAAGCCACCAAGCGTAATCTTGTTGTTGTCAAAGTTGATACGTCCTCGCATCGTGTTGACGACAGACTCGGGTTGTTCGTAGATTTCCTTTTGCATAAAGTGGTCAAACTTGCCCTTCATGATTTCGGCCAACTCCATCTCGAGCGTCTCAATCGCACGATGCTGCTCGGCTCCGCGACCAGGGCTCACGCCGCCGTCGGTATTGGCACGCAGTCGGTGAATGTGAAGTTCACCCTCGGCGATATGCGCGATATCGTCATCCTCGAGGTAGAGGACTCGCTTGGTGTGCTCGACAACGGCGGCAGCGTCCGAAGCGATGAAGAATTCGATGGGTTGAGTTCCGTCCTCGCTCATGAATGCACGACTTTGGGTGCGGAACAGCTTTTGGCCTTGGGTGGCACTTGGAGGGCTGAGGAGGTTCGAGTTGGGAACAGGGATGGTTGGGCTACCAGGGTTGAGCAACGGGGCGAGCTCCTTTGCACCTTCTGGCTCTGGGTTGTGGAACTCGACATCGACGAAATCGACTTTGAGCTTCTTCTCCGTCTTGACACCGATCAGGAGAGGGCTACCGCGACGGGCGGTGACGACCTCGTTGGGGAAATGAACGGATTTGAAGACGAATGCAAAGGAACCTTGGAGCTCCTTGAGGACGGCCTTTACGAGGTTTGTAAACGAGTTGCGGAGCTCGGGCTGAGTGTCCCAGATGTACTTGCTGAGGACAGCGACGGATTCGGTGTCTGTCTCAGACTCAAACTTGTAGCCACGTTTCTGAAGGACGAGACGGAGATCGCCCGAGTTTGTGACGATACCGTTATGGACGACGGTGAATTCTGCCCTGCGACTTGTCAGAACGTGGCGCGCCAAGTCGAACGGCGGGTGACGTACTTTGGGTCGCTCTTGAGCGGATGGCAATTGATCTCGCTTGGAGGACCATGGGTAGCCCAGCGGGTGTGGGCGATCGAGACCTGCTGGAGGAAGACTTTCTTCTTGTCGACGGGCGAGGATTCGATGAGCTTTCTGAGACCGGCAACCTTTCCTACGTGCTTGAAGAAGACGACAGAGTTTGGCGCGTCTCCGTCGATGCCAATGCCTGCGTTAGACATGGACGATCAGTGACTATCCAGGGTCGATTCTGATGAGACTAACCTGCAGAATCGTAGCCTCTGTACTCCTGACGAGCAAGACCTTGGACGAGAATGTCACAGATGGCTTGACGATCCTGTGTTTTTGGGATTATGGCCGTCAGCGGAGGTGCATCTCGGGCATCGAGCATACCTTTTCGATGAGAAAGTTGATGTACGCAAAGATTCCACACATTGTCGAGTCTTGGAGACGTCTAGGGGCAAGGCGGCGGGTCGTCGTTTGGTCCAAGTGGCGGGGCAACCTGGCCCTTTTATCTTGGACGGGGGTTGAGAAGATCAAACACTAGAATCAAATAGATAACAGCAGGTGGGCGGGCTGTGATTAGCAGTGCCGGCTTTACAACGGCGTCGGCGTCGAGCTCGGCATCGTTCAACTCGGGAGCGCTATTGCTTCAGATTTACACGTTTGTCGCAGAATTATTGTTGGGTTTAACAGCCCAGCCTCACTGCCAAACTGTCGCTGCCAAACAGACCAAAGCCTGTTTTCCTCCATCGACGATAGCGAACGACGACATCTCCCAAATCGCCACAAATCAAATAAAAATTAAACGTAATCAAATCTCTTATTTGTCTAGACGGCATATTGACAGCTACAGGATGTCTGACGCTGGAGATGAAGTTCAAGTAGACGAGACCCCGCAAGAGGTCGTCGCCACAGAGGCACCAAAAGGAAAGATGAGTGTAGAAGATGCACTCCAGGTCAGTAGACTCCAGTTACACTCTATATCTTCACACTCACACCCCCTCAGCAAGTTTTAAAGATTTCGCTCCAGCACGACGGTCTCGCCCGTGGTCTCCGTGAATGCGCAAAGGCTCTCGACAAGCGTCAGGCCCATCTCTGCGTCCTCGTCGAGACAAACACAGAGGCCGAATATATCAAGCTCATCGAGGCCCTCTGCGCCGACCACAAGATTAATCTCATCAAGGTCAGACTTTTCAAACTTGGTGCTATAATGTCACTCACACTGTCCAGGTCGGCGACGCCAAGATGCTCGGAACATGGGCCGGTCTCTGCAAGATTGACAAGGACGGCAACCCCCGCAAGGTTGTCGGTTGCAGCTGCGTCGTCGTCAAAGACTATGGACAGGACAGTGAGGGAATGCACGTCCTCCTCGACTACTTCCGCACTAGGTCCTAGACGGTACGTTGCCTTGATCTATTCCTATCCACCCTATGAGATGACAGAAAGACTCCCTCTACCGACACCCAAGAGGATAAACGTCTATCCGGAATCATTATCACTTTCTGACCCTTTTTATCGTCTCGTCTCGCATGATACTGACATTTACAAGGCGTTTCTTCGCTGTAGCGTGTCCTCTGAATATACTCTCTTTCAATATATGTAAACTTGACCTCGACCACGATGAGCCATTACCTCTTTCGCGTCTCTCGGCGCGTCTCTACACCGTCTACTCGCTCAATATCGACCCAGTATTTCTCGCATGAAACCGTCCCACTGAAATATGACGTCGCCCATGGTGCCCACCGCCACGGCGAGCACCGAAAATTGGTACTATGCCACGGATTATTGTGAGAATAATCTCTACGCTCTCAAGCGACTCTGTCTAACGTTTCGAGGAATCCTTTTTGCGTAGCGGCTCTAAACAAAATTTTCGCTCGCTTTCCAGGCAATTCGCGAAACGCCTCGGAGTCGACGTATACTGTGTAGACTTGCGAAATCACGGATCCTCTCCACATTCAAACGTCATGAATTATACCGCCATGGCCGCAGACCTCTTACGGCTGCTCACCAACATTTCGTCGCGACCAGGAGACATTTCCCTTCTCGGCCATTCGATGGGAGGGAAAGTCGCAATGGCACTCGCTCTTCATCCAGAGACTCCGTCAAACTTATTACGCGACTTGATTGTCGAAGACATTTCACCGATCAAAGGACGCCTGAGCAAAGAGTTTGAGGGGTACGCGAGAACGATGCGACGAATCATGGACATGCAGTGCAAGGACCGAAAAGAGGCAGACGACGTCTTTAAAGAGATTGAGCCAGTAAGTACCGACCGGCTTGTAGCAAGTCTAATCCCAAGGGTAGGATGTCTCCGTGCGGCAATTCCTCCTCACCAACATCTCTGCATCTTCTACGCCCGGTGCACCCTTGACGTTCAGAGTTCCTCCCGACATTATTGCCGACTCAATGGACGCGCTCGGAGACTTTCCGTTTGAAGCCGATAGCGAGGTCATGTTCGACAAGCCGACACTCGTCATCCGCGGATCCAAGAGCAAGTATATCAAAGATTCGGCACTGGAGGTGTTTAACCACTTTTTCCCGCACAACCGACTTGTCGAGTTGAATACGGGCCATTGGGGTGCGTCTGATAATCTGTCCGCGTAATGTACTGACTTTGTTCTAGTACATGCCGAGGAGTAAGTAAAAGGCATCACAGTACCTCGACTAACAATCGCTAGCCCAGTGGGATTCACAAACGCCGTCATCGAGTTCCTAAGCGAGGATAGATAGGCATTACAGTCTAGTACTAGGCAGTGGAAAGGACATTATGGACGGCTTCTTCTACATCCCTCGCTTGAAACGTCGGTTTATGAGTGGGAACGCCATCACTCGGTGAATATACCCCCGTATGGACAAGAACGGATTGCCAACCTGCCGCATTTGCGCCAGCAATGTCAGATTCCGGATTATCTAAAGAGTTTGAGTACGAGACGGGTCGATTAGTAGGTGACGTACCCCCTATCATGTATCTAGAGCCGTCCGTCAGCGGATATTGTCTCAAGGATACCGACTTACATGTTTCTTTTTGATATATTGTGCATTTCTGCGGCTGAAAAACGTCTTATCTCTTGCGCCCGCTCAAGCAAAAGACTTTCGGCGTGATGATATGTCTCTCGGGTTGGCTTTCCGAGCTGCTTGTATGGATACTGCTTCGGCTCCAAAGCCTAGGTCCCATTATTCGCGCTGGCTAGGAGAAGCATTGTAGACACACCTTGTACACGCCCTGGAATGCTTCTCGAAACGCACCTTGGCCTAGTCGCGGCCGAAAATACGCACCTCGCCAGATGAGATCAGGATTGCAGAAAACCAATTCGACAGCGTCCAGGGGATCAGCATGGACGTGGGAATGAGGCGTATCGTTAGAGCGAGTAAAGGCTGGTCGACCTTTGGATCCGTAGCGGAGAATGTCGAGAGTAATCTGAACATCCAATGCCCAGTTTCGAGGGTCATGGAAGACAAATACGGCTTCGATAGGAGTGGTGGAGAAGTCAAAGTCACGCTACCGCCAGTCAGTGATCACAATACGGGAAAAGAAATAACGCACTCGGACATAGGCCTTTTCCTCGTCACGGAGTTTGTAAAACGGCCATAAACTGAATTGTGAGCATGAGTAGTTACGGACTGCAGAGACATACTCTGGGTTCCAGGCTAGCACGTCGGCAGGAATCACGACATTTTGATAACCATACCTATAGAGATGAGAGGAGTGTACGTAAAAGTGGAACACTCACCCCTCTGCAATCTTTCGACAAGTGTCCCCAACGCCTCCCAAGACCATGACAGCTCGGTCACGATACCGCGAGAGGTATGGCAACACTGGAGACGACAGAACCGTGTGTGATTGGACGAACATGGAAAGATCAATCTATCGACGGCTCAGCCGGGAGTTCGGATGAAACTAAGGCGGACCTTGGATTGGAGTCGCTCCGAGAGCTCTCTGCAGCGCTCTTCTTCGGGTTTTCCGCCACCATTGGTCATCTGGAGATGCGATTTGTCATCTTGCGGCGATCGATGCTCGATATGATCGTCTTACAAGGATGAACGGAAATTTTCTGCCATTGCTAAGTGTCCAATTGGCAACATAAATGATGTACAGACTTGTTCCATTCGTTCTCGCCGTCGAGGTATCGTAGTATCCGTCGTGCTTCGGGCAAAACGTAGGACCCCTGAGTCAAAACACCGTCCTGGATGTCGGAATTCCGTAAACGAGCGTTCTACACGGGTGGATATTCGTTTTCTTACAATATCAAACGCAAAAGCCGCTGTTGGTGGGCTGCGCGATGTTGAACGCGTGAGGTTCGACGTGTATCGGACGAAATTCGGTCGCTGTGAACATCCTCGAATACCTTTTATCCGTAAATTGTGGAAATATGGACGCGTCGCCATGCAAAAGCGACACGCAACGGCGTGGTTCAGAGTCAACCGAATGCGTCGACTGGAGCCAGCCTCAGAAACAAGTGGATATACTGCGAACGCTGAGACGGCTTCGTTGGGTAAATCGTTGCGGGAAAATCACTGGCACTGTTTGTTACCGCACACGTCCGTAGGCATGCTCGTGGCGAGAGGACAAGACTGAGATATAAGAGGAGGCCACCCATGTCCTCTGAATCAGCTTGCTACATCTCAGTGTTCAAAACGCCGGGGTATAGTCTGATAATCGTCGTGAAAACATTTCAATGAACCATTTAGTGTCACCATAGCGCTGTAAAGCTAGCTACTGGGGGCCATTCCAGCCTTTCAGTATCCGCATGCGTCTAACTCACCTTACTCAGAATCTGGCGTGCGAACTGCCTGAATGAATTGAATAATCAGTGGTGATAATGAGGGTGGAGTGGCTTGTCTAAGCTTGCCTATGAATCTGTATATAGCCTGAATGACAGCTGATTGTGGCTGTCAGACTTGCAAAGAAGCTGGATCGTCTGCCGGGAGTCGCTTTGATGCGAGAAAGCTAATCCGGTCCTCGGTGACCATAAAAAACACTGTCTGCTGGGGCTGTGTCGAAGTATACATGCACAGAATGGGCAATTTCCGTGATTACCGTTAGTAACATGCCCGGGCCTTGTCTCCAGCTTACCCCATAAATGTTACTGCTCCCTTTATATGGACATATGTGCACTTTGCGCTCATCCACATCTGTGTGGCCTTGCTGTGGCACCCGCTATCCAAGAGTAATACTATGCATCCTCCTGGTCGGCTTAGACATCTCTGGCGTAATATTCGAGTTCCTAGGGTCCACTTACTAGTTTCAAAGCTTAGGCATACACTACATCCACCCCTGCCAGCGCGGAGGTGACGGGTATCGTTAGGAAAGGGTAAAAGATCTGTATATGTGACCATGAAGTGCTTCGGATGCGTGAACGGGCTGTATAACGCGGGTGGTCAGGAGAGTCTCGGGCCCTTGCAACTTGCGGTGCCGTGTATTATTATAGCAGCTAGAATAAATATCTCACTGGGCACTGGTCACATGTAAGCCGAACAAAGTCAAAACTGCTCGCCCAAAGAACATCAGGTGCGGTCCAATTATAAGTGGCTTCTTTGATCTTCACCTCGTTACCCTCCAAAGTCTAGATAACCATGGGGTGCGTTGTGATATCCCTAAAATTTAGCTTGGCTCATACATTTCTTCCTAGTAATTTTACCGTCGGTGCATATCGTCAGTTGCACCGCCAAGCTCAGAGGCGCTGACTGCATTTACAGACCAGATCCGTACCCTACAAGCAATACCTAGGAACATACGTAATATATCTGTCGTCGGGAGTGGTCAGAATCGCGTTTTATAGACACCTCGGCCACCGTTCTGACCGTGTCACATCCTCCACAGTCAATCACGGCAAATCCACGCTTATAGATGCACTCGTCATCAGATCCGATACTTTTTCTCGGGAGGATGCTGGGAACATGCCATACAAGAGCCCCAGCGACGACGGAAAGGGGCAAAGTATGACCATCAAATCGACTGCCATCCCAATGTCTTTCCATATCGACACGGAGAGACTTTCCATCATCAAACAAGACGTTGGAGGTCCAAAATTCTTGATCAATCTCATCGACTCGCCCGGTCACGCCGATTTCTCGTCGGAGGCCACGGCCGCTCTCCGAGTCACAGACGGTGCACTTGTTGTTGTAGATTGTGTAGAAGGGGTCTGCTTACAGACAGAAACTATTCTTCGCCAGTCACTCAACGAGCGAATCAGGCCAGTCGTCATCATCAACAAGGTTGACCGTTTCCTCCGTGAGCCTCAAGTCTCCAAGGAGGACCTCTTTCAATCGTTCGCGCGTACTATCAAATCGCTCAACGGAATCATCTCCATCCATAACGATTTCGCTCAGGGTGATGTCCAGATCTATCCCGAAGAGGGCACCGTCGCGTTCGGTTCAGGTCTCCACGGCTGGGCCTTTACTCTCCGCCAGTTCGCCACTCGCTACAGCAATATATTTGGTGTCGATAAGGAGAAGATAACGGCCAAGCTCTGGGGTGACCACTTCTTCGACCCCACCACAAAGAAGTGGTCGACACAAGGAAATGATGCTGATGGCAAGCCGCTCGAGCGAGCCTTTAATATGTTTATCCTTGATCCAATCTTCAAGATTTTTGACGCTGTCATAAACTTTAAGACGGAAGCGATTGGCCCAATGCTCCAGAAACTCCAGATCAACCTATTATCTGATGAGCGTGGTCTGGAGGGCGAAGCATTACTCAAGGTTATTATGCACAAATTTCTACCTGCTGGAGACGCTCTTTTGGAGATGGCCATCATCCACCTTCCTTCGCCCGTCACCGCCCAAAGGTACCGCGTGGAGGCTCTCTATGAGGGTCGTATGGATGACGAATCCGCCATTGGTATTCGTGACTGCGATCCTAAGGGGCCTCTCGTTCTCTACGTCGCGAAGATGGTACCGGCCTCTGAAAAAGGTCGGTTCTATGCTTTCGGACGTGTCTTCTCGGGCACTGTCCGTTCTGGCCTAAACATCCGCGTTCAAGGTCCCAACTATCTCCCAGGCAAGAGAAACGATCTCTTTGTCACGAGCGTTGAGCAGACAGTCTTGATGATGGGTCGCTACGTTGAGCCCATCGAGGAATGTCCTGCCGGCAACATTGTCGGTCTCGTCGGTATCGATCAGTTTTTGCTCAAGTCGGGTACCCTTACGACTTCGGAGACTGCCCATAATATCAAGGTCATGAGGCTCTCAGTCTCACCTGTCGTCCAAGTCGCCGTCGAGGTCAAGAATTTTGTAGACTTGCCGAAACTTGTCGAAGGTCTCAAGCGTTTGTCCAAGTCGGATCCTTGTGTTCAAACATGGATCGCGGAGACTGGTGAGCACGTCGTTGCTGGTGCTGGCGAGTTGCATTTGGAGATTTGCTTAAAGGTGAGAATCTGGGCTGCTTTTCATTATGCCTCTAACATCTTTTTTTTTAGGATCTCGAGGACAATTACGCTGGTGTACCTCTAGAGAAGTCTGATCCTTTCATCAGCTACTGTGAAACTGTCCGTGCCGAATCGTCCATTGTAGCCCTCTCAAAGTCGCCAAATAAGTACAACCGCCTCTATGTCAAGGCATTGCCCATGGAGGAGAAGGTTTCTCTTGCCATTGAGAGTGGGAGAATCAGTGCTCGTGAAGACCTGAAGGTCCGAGCTCGTGTCCTCGCTGACGACTTTGGTTGGGACATTGCCGATGCCAGGAAGATATGGGCATTCGGCCCCAATGATTCTGGACCCAATCTGTTTGTGGATGCTACCAAGGGTGTCCAATACATGGAAGAAATCAAAGATTCGCTTATTGCTGGGTTTCAGTGGGCTACAAAGGAGGGTGTGTGCACCGAAGAGAAAATGCGTGGTATCTGCTTCAATCTCATTGATGTCGTGGTATGCGCTCGTGGTATCTGTCTAGCATTCAAATTGATTTATTTATAGTTCTTTTCAGATGCCATCCATCGCGGAAGTGGACAGCTGATTCCTACCTGCCGTCGAGTGTGCTACGCTGCATGCCTCGTGGCCACACCAACGCTCCAGGAACCGGTATACATTGGTAACCTTCCTACACCCATCTTGGTTTTACTCATAACCACCACATAATAGTTGAGATTCACTGCCCTGAGAATGCCATCGGTGGTATTTACTCCTGTCTTAACCAGCGACATGGTCAAGTTTTCTCAGAGGAGCAACAACCCGGAGCACCGATTTTCAGAGTAAAGGCATATCTCCCTGTCGCAGAGTCATTTGGTTTTATTGCGGATCTACGTCAATGCACGGGTGGACTTGCTACTCCACAATTAATCCTTGATCACTGGGAGCTAATGCCTGGTTCATACTTGGACAAGGGCTCCAAGGTCGAGTTAGTGGTGAAAAGCATCCGTCTCCGCAAGGGCCTCAATGTGAGTTTTGATTGCGTCGGGCTGGGCACTGATCTGATAGCAAGCACAGCCTGAGATGCCATCCATTGACAAGTATTGTGACAAGTTATAGAGAACACAGTTGTGCTTTGATGAATTCACAATCAAAATTGTCATTAGCTTACTTTCCACTGCTTTTGTGATTTGATATCTGATTCATGATTGACATGTTAAGTGGACAAGTTCTCGGTAATAGGCATCCAAATACGTCACGAGGACTTGAGCCATAGTATGGATTTCAAATCATGAGATGTGCAAGTGTAATGTTTACACTAGAGTAAAGATGTTGCACAACACTGAAGCGAGACTTTGTATCTGTAGAGTGTGAAATAATGTGAAACCCGAAGTCATCCAGGCACTACTGTCCTTCTTCCATTTCCAGCCATGCGCCATGGTGTAAGGATTGGCTCACCTTACAGGTCAGAAACCGGTCGAACAGGTTAGATTACCGTGGGTACATAGGGTGTGTAACGCATTAGAGGGAAAAGAAGGAGACTATAGCCTAGTGGTCGAAACCTAAGTTGGCGCGAATCCAGCTTGTTCCAGCTTCCCACGGGTAAATGATACACATCGCGGAATGCATCTTTGCTTGATCGCGACGTACGTCGCCGGCCTTCTCGTGAGCCAGGAACACTGGGCAGCACGCAATGCAATGGTCAGTCTTGTAGTGCGAGTCGGAGTGATTTGGTGGATGACTCGATGTGTGAGATTGACGGTAAAAGGTCACCTCTACGAGAGCTAAGCGAGACCCAGTGAGTACTATTTAGCGGGGGCAAGCGAGTTCACCAGTCCAACCCGTTTATTGATGGTGGGCATCGACGTGGGAGGGGTACAGGAGGCATGGTAGTTAAGACATGTACATGTGATCTCATATATCATGGGCCAATGTTGGGACAAGGAAAGAACGATGGGAAGGCTAGGCATGTGCTAATGCTGTCGCTACGATTAGGGTAGGCACGACGGAGGCCGTGAGGAGATTATTGGTGAAAATGATATGAAATATACAATGAGTGCCATGGATACAGTTTCGACGTACATGGCGAGGAGTAATCCCCGAAAATTTAAATCTCTCCGATTCGTCGAAAGTCAATGCGTGCTTGTCAATACATAAGATATATTCGAAAATCTGAACCTCGTTCGCAGTCAGGAAACTGTCTGCATTGAGCTTGAGGTCGTCTAGACATGTGCGAGTCGCTCTCTGACCATATTTCCGAGGAAGAGCCTCGTAATGGACATATGGTAGAGTATCCAATAGATTGGATGGAGAGCCACAAACAGTCTTCGTGGATTCAGACGTGACTCGGGGAACTGGATCCGCCTTCCTGTCGACTCGTTTGTACAGAATACTATGACCAACCGGCATACAACAATCCCAACACGTTGTTGACATCCACGATCGACATTTACTACCCCAGCACTGCGGTGCCCCTCTTGGAGGAAAAGGCCCTGTTGAGCGATACGTCTGTATTCGTGGGTCGTGCTGGTGGATTTGCGAAGAGTGCTACGAGTAGGACATATTCGATATAGTGAGGAAGAGGGCTCCGGTCGAGATGGAGATGCCGAATGGCCCTGCTTGGTCAGCCTCGATTAGAGGAGGGGACGTTGTGGGACGGCATGGTCGGAATCGATTCAGCGTTAGTAGTTTCAGTCCAGATATTCTCGAAGACGATGGCAGCAATATTTAGTGCGCAATATTTCGCTCCTCGTGCGGAAATGGAGGGTTTAATGCCTGGATATATACAGGTATGGTCGCATCCCACAACGCATGTTCCGTCGGTACAAGACCAAGAACCCATATGAGCTCTTCCACGGAAACCTGGTCATCGTCAACGAGCTACCCGGCAAGCTCTTAGACATGTTTCCTCAGAAGACGGAAAGAGAGTTCAAGGTTATGCGGTGCGTTTGACGGTTACCCTATCCTCTTCAGTGCTGATTATGTTTCAGGTACACCTCAGCGACGTGTGGTCCCAATGACTTCAAAGCAGACGGAGACACCCTTCATCCGGTCATGTACGAGCCAGCGTGTAAGACGGAACTGTTCATTGTAACGACCATGTACAAAGTAGACGAGGAACTACTCTGCCTGTGCGTGCTCCCTCATTTCCACCCAGTCGCACGATTCTGAGTTGCTGTTAGATCCAGGTCCGGTGTGATGAGGAATATTCAATATCCCATCGCTCACGAGCGCTCCAAGATGTGGGGAAAAGAAGGTTGGAAAAGGTTGCCGTCTGCATCGTCTCCGATCGATATCAAATGATCAACTCGCGTACCTTGTCCGTTGTTCCTACCATGACCGCCTACCAAGACGGTGTTGCAAAGCATGGCGTCAACAACAAGCCAGTAACGGCACACACTTATGAGTATACCGACGACCGAGAAGCCGACTGACGGATACGAGCCGACGCCACCCCCTGCGAATCAAGCCCCGATGAACTATGAACGCAGTGCTGGTGGTGCGCCTCCTGTTTCCGGACACGGTGCCAACTATGAGTAGAAAGCAACTGGCGGACTCTTCACGAGGCTAGCCATCTGCTTAATCAAGACCCTTGAAACGAGTGCATAACTGCAAATCGCTGTCTAAAACTAATATAATTACGCCTTTGTGCATGATTGACAAGTTTACACTTTTTTCATCTGTCTTCTGCTCGAGGGAGTTTCCGTTGGGTGCTGAAAGTATATCCGCTTCTCTGTCCAGAAAGATTCAAGAGGCAAGCAGCAAGTAAGGTAGGAAGATTAAAGCTATCTGTGGCTCTCACCTCGTCTCACGTGTGATTATGAATCGCGAGCTAGCGAATAACAGGGATGGTTAGCAGGAATCATCCTTGGGATGCGCTCAAGTGAGCTGCGTTGGATTATTAGCAGCTTTTGAATCGATAAATGTCGGTTTGTGTTGAGACGAAGTGATTCTCCCGCTGGGTGGCCTGTCGCTTCACTTCAATCTCGAGTCGTTGAGCCCATTTCATTCGACTACGTTGCCTTATTGGTTCTGTTATGATTATGCTCTCTTATTCACGTTGGCCTCGTCTGAGTGGAGGCTGCGAAAGCCGTGACCACTGGGATAAGACTGCGGGATAACATGTCATGCAAACGCTGTAGCCTGCGCACGTCGGAATGTATTCAAACTACCAGCTACGAGTGTCAACCATCACCATCTCCGGGCCGCGCATTGCATACATATTCGCTGAATTTGCCCGGAATTGTCTGTCCTTGCCTAGTCAGTTATCTGATTTCCATTTTGGTCCTGGAACATGCTGGCACTCAGCGTCTGCAAGTCTATTGATTTCCGATTGTTGACGGTCTGCCAAGCCAACTTGGCTATACACCTGTACGGCCTCGGAGCGCCAGGTCGACCGGCCACCAATCCCGCCACGCGCACCTCTTTGATACTTAATCCTTTCACCGATACAGCAAGGCGACCACTCCATCTTGATCCCCTCCTTCCCTGGCGTCCAATTTGACATTGTCGACAATGATCAACCTGCGGGCTATGTTTCTTTTCATGCTCTCCTTTGTCGCAGATGCGATGGCCAAAGGACGAGGTGGTGGAGGCGGTGGAGGATCATCGTCGTCTGGGAGTGGCGGAGGCTCCAGCTATGATCCTGTACGTGAATCTTTCCGCTCATTCCGCAGACGTTGCGCAGATGATGCTAAACTATGAAAGAACAGGGACGACTCACTCCAGGCCATAATCAATATGGCAATCAACATTGTCTGTGAGTCGGAGGAACGTCTAGTCGGGTCAGTATGCTAATGCCAGATAGTGGCTCTCATCGTACTCAGTCTGCTCGTGTCAATCTGTCGACGCCTCGACCACGTCACTCACTCGACTGCTCCCTATGTACTCCTTGCCATTGTGACGAGCACAGTAATTGCTGGATACGCCACATCAGCCGCCATAGTCAGGTTCTACAAACCAGCGCTCGCCCTATACGCAGTTAACGGCTTTTTATGGGATTTTGACATTGCTTTCGAGCCAGCAGTATGCCTGTGGCTTATTCACTGTCGGGGCGAACTCGTGACCACTTCGCAATTCGTAAACGCTACGCCATGGGTATCGCAACGCTGGAAGCGCATCGTCGACTGGTCGCTTGCGGCACTTACATTTATCATCGCCATCACGATGACATCTGTGCTCCTGAGAGCAAAAGTGATGCGCAACGAACCTCGTTTCAACGTCAACCTCTATCTCTACTATCTCGACGTCGGTCGCAACCTCAAATTTGCCGTCGTTGGACTCGGCGTCCTTTTATTGATCAATGTCGTGATTTCACTCATTGCTCTCAAAGCCTCACAGAGCAGAGGTCGCTTTGTTGACCGAGTACGTCCGTATACACAGCGCAAATTAAAGAGCCATTGCTAACCCAGAGACATTCGCAGATTACAACACGACTTCTTTTCATTGTCTTGCCCTTTGTGATTCTTGGGATTACCCAATCTCTCGCATTCACAATCTACCGAGAAATCAACCCCAGCATTGGCGCCATCTTTGACCTTGTCGTCGTTGTGACTGGTGGCATTTGCAGAATTGGGACCATTGGTGGACTCATGGCCACCATGAGAGTGTTCGGCGCTGTGGTCCCCAAGACCATTGACTCTACTCTTCCCCTCCCAGTCGATGGAGCGCATAAGCTGGAGTATTCACAGCAATCCTTGGCCACTCAGCCACCGACAGGACTGTGGCATGACCCACCTTCGATGCCCATTGTCCCAGTACAATACTCCCAGCCAAGCTACTATCCGCTCCGGCAAGGCTCACCACCACCAATCCATAAGACATATAACTCTTGATATGTCTGACCACCTTTGTTGAAATAAGGACAATATGGACAGCTTTATACTTGTTATGTATTATCTCACATGTTATATCACAGGGCCTCTATTCTCGAATGTAGATAGCTCTCGCATTTTCAACAATAGTCAGCTGATTATGCATCCCCCCAAAGAGCTTAGGAGGAGTCAAGAAAGCTATTCTTATAGGCTACAAGGGGCCCCAAGCTTGACTTCCACTGTCACTGACGAGTTCAGGAGGGACCCAACACCTTCCTTGCAATTACCCCATGAGGCAAGTCGATAATGCAGAGAATGTGATTCTGATTGTCATCATCCAAATGCAATGATATTTTGGGTCGGACCTTAGAAGCTAGGCTGCAACAAAGCAGTGACATGCCAACTGTAAGGTTTTTGGTGAGAGTGAAGACGTTGTGAACGTCGAGTCGAGACTTTGTATTCAAGGAACGATGAATAAAGTCGACTTTAGACAAAAAGAACCTGTGTAACGCGTGCATATTGAGGACAGTTACAAGCAAGAGCTCAAGAGGAAGGATACCTGGACCTAACCACCTGCGCGGCGTCAGCGACCAAACTAGATCATACGACACGAAGGGGTCGAACCAGCATATACCAAACGTAGTAGAGCAATTCGAGTAGGAGGCCGACCAGCATGGCAGCGACAGGGAGCGCAGCAGCGAGAAGAAGCCAAATGAGGTCGGAGATGACAGGAATAGATAAAGAGATAGTACACGATAGGGATTCAGCAATCAAATACATGAAGAAGCGAGGATGGTTGGAGGACGACACGACCATCACAACTGTGCTCATGGCGGACATCTGTCGGCAGGCAGCAGAAAAAGCGGGAGTGAGTCAAGAAGCGAAACACATGCTGAAAGCCTTCTCTTTTGTGCTCGAGACTGCAGCGGTGGACCCTCTCCTCAAAAGCTTCAACAAGACAGCTACCGCAAAACTCGATAGCCTAGTTGATGCGACAAAGCTGAAGCTCAGCCAAACCATCGAGTCAACCACCAAGCACCTGGATGCCGTCAGCTTGAAGTACAGCGAACTCACCATCTCAGCTTCCGAAGTGGTCGCGGCTCTCAAGGCGGCACCAGTTCATCGACTGTACAGCCAAGCACTAGCAAGCAATGCATGCACCAAGCTCAGCCAATCCCTCATCCTCGACGATGCCAAAGCAATCAACATAGTCAACGCTAGGGAATGACTAGTCCTATTCAACACTCCAAGCGCCGTCACAAAGGAACAAGGAATGTACACTAGGGACGACATCAACGCTTACAAGGACACACTCAACGTAGCACTAGAGAAACTCACGGATGGAGCAAGCAAGAAGCGGATAGTAGGCTTGCGCATTATACGCACCGGGACGCTCCTGGAGCTGGACTCTGCAAAATCCGCTAAGTGGCTAAAGGAGAATAACAGGTGCGCAGAGATGGTAAAGGAGGCTTACACCTCGAGAGAAGAAGAAACAAAAGTCATCCCTCGCGCGCACGAGCTGATGGTACGCTTCGTCCCTGTGGACTTCGACCCCCATGAAGAGGAAAGCCTGCACTCGGTGGAATTGGAGAACGGCCTACCGCCACACTCAATCATCTCTGCATCCTGGATCAAGGACCTGTCAAGGAGGTACGAAGGACAAGGATACGCCAATGTCAAAATCAACTGCGCCTCACCCGAAGTAGCCAACCGCATGATCCTTGGCCCCACAAGAATTGGTAACCACTCTGTCAAGGTGCAAAAAGAACATCGGTTAGTACCCATCTGCGCCAAATGTTCTCACCATGACCACTTCCTGGCGGCATGCAAGGCGGAGAGGTTCACCTGCCGATTCTGCGCGCAAGAGCACAGCTCTCGGGACTGTCCGGACAAAACGCAGACCAAATGCACCCCATGCGGGTCCAGCCAACACTCCTCCGGGGACGAAAGGTGCATAGAAAGCAAGTCCAGACAGGACAGGCAAGCGGAACATGCGCCAGAAATGAGATCCAAATTCTTCTTCACCAAGGACCAATGGACATATAACGAGTCAATCAATGCCCCATGGAACTCAGGATACCTGTGCCCAGAGATCGAGACCGAGACCTCACAAGAACAAGCAGGCAAGCAGCTCACAATGGCGGCTGCCAATGCCTCACAGGGAGTCACCAACAAGTCCAGAAAGATCAACCAGACAAGAAACCGACAGATAACACTTGCCCAATACAGCATCCCAATGCAAGCCGCACGAAGCGTCCAGCACCCCGGGCCAACTCCCAAGACCCAAACCACCCCCAATTCATCGCAAGAAACGACCTCTTCACCATCCTCACTGCCCCCCGCTCAAACCCAGCCATCCATCGCGACCAGTAATGCCCGGCCAACCGACCCCTCTGCATGAACAACGGCACCCCACTCACAACAAGCAGTTATCTAAGAATCATACAGATCAACCTCAGAAAATCCTTTGACGCCCATGACGAATTCATCAACACAGCCTCACCGGATGACTGGGACGTTATCGCAATCCAAGAACCAGCACTCAACTCCCTCGGCAACACTCGGGCTAACAGGAAATGGCAGTCGTTTTACCCATCCACCAAGGCTCACGAAGGCCACGGCAGAATACGTGCTGTAATGCTAGTCAGCACATGCGTCGGTGCGTGCATGCAGATAGACGTCGATTCAAGCAACATTGTAGGAATAAGAGTGGGTACCACATCGGGCCTCTGCACCATCTACAACATCTACAATGAAGGCACCAGCAACGATACATTGGACCAGCTCACCCAACACCTCGAAACGCGCAATACATCAACATGGGCCAACCGGCTCGAAGTATGGCTCGGGGACTTCAACAGGCACCACCACACCTGGGAGGGGGACAACAACCGTCACCTACGCAGTTTGACCGACACCATCACTCCGCTACTCAACCTGATCATTGAACACAGCATGCAGCAACTCCTACCAGCCGGAATACCCACACGAGAGGAGAACGGGAGTCAAACTAGGCCAGACAATGTGTGGGCATCAGACAATATTGTCCACCGACTCGTAGAGTGCAATACATGGCCAGACCTTTGTCCAACAACAATGGACCACATCCCAATCGCCTCCATCATCGACCTCTCAGTTGCGAAAGTGGCCATCATGCCAAGGCCAAACTACAGAAGGACAAACTGGGAGAAATTCCGGGAAGGCATGGAAGACGCAGTCAAGAACGACCCAAGACTGGCAATCGAACCAACGCGCCCTGAGGAGCTGGAGCAGCTTGTCGAGCTACTCACAGGTTACATGCAGACAAAGCTCAAGGACACGACCCCGCTCAGCAAGGACCCAACATTCCGCAAGCCGTGGTGGAACAAGCAATGTCAGGATCTTCACAAATGCAAATGCCAAGCATACACAGAGTCACGGTACTGGCAAGCATCCCCAGCCCACCCAAGTCATCAGTTTTACAAGGCACTGTGCCAAGAGATGAAGGAGATGGTACAAAGGAGCAAGGAGGCATTCTGGTGGAAGTGGATCGATGAGGCATCTGACACCGACCTATGGAACATCAACCGCTTCATCAAGCGAGGTGCCAAGCTGCTTTTCTCGTCGTCATTCTCGCTTGGTCAACATTTCCGTTTAATCCTCGATTGTTTTCTTGTCCGTCACGACACGTCCTAGGTTTACTCTTAAGTGGGGGGCCTTCCAGGCGAGGCAGGCGTGGGCGGGAGTGGCTCTGGGTGGGATGGTGGGCCAACATCTCACGCTCACGCTCACGCCTGCAGAGCATCACCTAGGGCGCGGTGGGTGGGTCGACGAATTTTCAGCCTTTTGGGGGCCACGCTACGCCCGTGCTGTCGGCAGCGGGCTTGCATTGATGTTGGTTGGCGGAGCCTTTCGTTTGCGGCTCTTGCCACCTCCACCCGCACCTCCATTTTTCGATTTCATATTTCGTCGTTTGTCAATTAATTCTTTCCAATATATTCTCTATCTATACTGTTTTCCTTCTAAGTTCTATTCCTGGAGCTCCCATTCCTCGCTCGCTCTCGCAGCATGGCGAGACCTTCTGGTCTCCAACCAGCTGCTTTTCTTGTCGTCATTCTCGCTTGGTCAATGTTTCCGTTTAATCCTCGATTGTTTTCTTGTCCGTCACGACACGTCCTAGGTTTACTCTTAAGTGGGGGGCCTTCCAGGCGAGGCAGGCTCCCAGTTTTGCGTTTTTCGCATCTTCCTGCCTTCGCCTGGGCCTTTCCGCTGTTAAGCGCCCCCAATTTTGCCCGGTGAAGGTATCTATTCATAGCTGTTTATCCTTCCATTGTACATTTGCCGCGTGGTATTCGATTATTCCGCCTGTGTTCCTCCAGTATAACTTGAAGCTCTCTGAAGACCAACGTCCCATCTTCTTCACAATCTCCACATCCACGCCACTCAGCAGGAATGCCGTCGTTCCACCAATTCGGAAACAGTGCCCGGTAAAACTTCCTGAACCTGCTGGGCTCCACACCTCGTTGCACATCTTCATGAATTGTGCCTTTGTCATTGTCGTTCTCTCGCCGTTCCGGCTCTTGAATTCACACAGCATCGCCCGAGCGTCTCCAATTCTTGACTTTGCTAGGTGTCGCTCGATGGCTCTTGACGGGTTAAGCTTGTTCCTTTGCTTGACCAGTTTGATTGTTGCTCCTCTGTTCCCAGTCGTCTTCGTCCATGGCAGGTAGAGACTTTGATGCCGCCGCCCTTCCATTGCCGTCTCGCCTCGTCACTGTCCAATGGTGTCGTTTTGGGTATCGATCCGTTTCCTTCGTTTCTGGTGACGCTGGCAGGAGCTCGCCCAATCTACATAGGCCACACCATGCCGTCATCGCTATCGCTAGCGCCGCTACCTCTTCCGCCGATCCTTCGTACCACTTTCCGATTAGTCTCTCCATCATCTCCGAGGTCACCGGCCGTCTTAGTTCCTTCGGTTCCTTTCTTCGGCCACATCCTCTCGATGCCTCGGATTATTCTGCTCGTGTTTGTAGGTTCGATGAATTCCATCCCGTTGTCTTTGTGCCACGATTTTATGCTCGATAGTTTTTTCCGTGCTGTGCCCGGTCCGGTTACACCTGCGCCGTCCGCTATGAATAAGCTCACTATCTCCGGTCGGCTTGGCAGGGCTTTTCCGATTGGGACCCCGATCCCTTCGGCAAACGTTTCGAATTTCTTCACATAGCCGCTATATCCTTTCCGCGTTTGCTCTGTGAGACCATGATTCAGCGCCGTTGTAAGCTTCTCCTCTGCCTGGTGCCGGCGTTCCTCTGTCGACTCGGTTCTGATCGTCTGTTTTAGTAGGTTTCCGATATCTTTCTCGTTCTTGTCTGCCCTCGACACCTTCCTCTGCCTCTCGCCATTCGCTCGCTTGCTTGCGGCTTTTTCTTTTCAATCTTCTTCTCATTTCTTTTTCGCCGTTCTCGGCTTCGTTTGATCTCTTTCTGTTTCTCGCCATCTGGTAGCTTCGCCTAATTATCATCTGGCGTGGCTTTGTCCAACTTTCATCTTTTGCGTCCTCATCTCTCTCGGGTTCCTTGTTCGTCCAGTCTCTTCTCACCATCGATTCTCATCCTAGGCTCTTCGTACATAACCGACCAATGACCTTGGGAATCTCCCCAGCTTCCTCTGAGTGTATCCGGGCGGCTCTAGCCCCCTCGATGGCCCGTCGGCTGGGTTTTCTTCCGACCGCACATATGTCAGTGTCAGGTATGCCTCTGCTCGCACTAGCCGGCGTAGAATTCGCCCGAGAACCTCGTTTTGCGCCTCGTTTCTCGATAACCGCTTCTTCCAGCCGCCAATTACGCCCTGGTTATCTGTGCAAATCTCTATGCGTCCTTTCCGCTTCTGGCCGTTGCAGTATGAACTCGACTGCTAGCTCGACCGCCGCAAATTCTGCCCATCCATCTCTCGTTCTGCGCCATCGCCCTCCTCGTTCTCCAGTCACTTTCCAACCTGAATTTGTCGTATTCATCATCGATCACGATGCCCAGTCCCCATCCCGTCGACGCGTCTGTGTAGATCCGGTACTTGCAGTTTGGTTCGCGTTGTGTACATAGCTGAATCTTTATCTCCGGCTTCTCGAGCGTTTCCTTCCACCATCTGAGGTCGCACTTCGCCTTCTCCGGCATGTTCCACTTGATATACTTTGAGTGCTGGTTCGGTAGGCCCATTTTCGCTACCGTCGCCCATAAAGCTCTCGTGTGCGTTCGTCCTTCAGGAATTATCATTCCTAGGTGCGCCAGCTTCCCGCATAATGACTGCAGCCTTTCCCCGGACGTCTTCCTTCCTTCTTCCAGCACCTCCTGTACCAGTGCTAGGTTCTTCTTCCGCTTTGACTCGCTGACACTGACTGCACGTTCTTGCCAATGCCAGTCAAAGCCGACGTACGTTGTGATGTTGGCGAAGTCGCGCACCTTGTCCGGCGGAAAGGGGATTCCCAGCTCCTCCCCAAGCTCCAATATTTTCGCTATTCCCATTCCATATATCCATTCCTCCCCGTCTCTCCGTACTGGAAGTCGTCGGATCATCAGGTCGTCTACCCAGTATATGATCATTCCGAGCTCTTTCCGTGTGCAGATTTCTACGAACGCTCTGTTCGGTAGTTCGAATATGCCAACGGATGATTTTGTGCCAAACTTTGCCGCCTTGTCGATCCAGAATTTCCCGTTCCATTCGACTACTCCGTATCTCCAATCCTCTGGACGTATAGGGCAGTTTCTGAACGCCGCTTCCCAGTCTATCGTTGCACCTTGTGCTCCATCTGGCGAGGTCACGATGAGCTCTATCATCTCTGCCAGTCCTCCCCAGTTCGTTCCGAGGTTCTCGATATTCGTTTGTGCGTTTACTGATTGTTGTTCATCTTCGTAGGCGAATGATAGGTGTTCAATTACGCGTTTTCCCCTTCCACTCGCCTTGTCGACCGTTCCAAGGGTTTGCCACAAATGCGCCCAGCCTTTTCTCGACTTCCTCGTATGTGTGGGCCGTCATATCGATTTGCTGCAACCTCTTTTTCTATATGATCTTCTATCACTTTGGGGTGCTCGACCGCTGACCTCAGGTGTGGGTATACTCGTGTTTCGTCAATTGCCAACTGGCACTGCATATTGAAGCCGTTCTTAAGTCCATCTATGAGCGTCGCATGCTCCTCCAAAATATCAAGATATTTAAGCGCTTCCTCCCACTTCTTGGCCTGTAGCGGGGTCACTGGCTCTGGTTGTCTTCCATTCGTGTCAGTTTTGTCCGCGCTTGCATGATTGGGCACTGTGGCTGGCTGATAGGCATCCCGTGCATACGTGCTTTCCATTTGCACAACGGCTCGCCGAACATCCTTTGGCCGTGTTGAATGACCAGCAGAAGGACGTTCCATCGAAAAGCGTCCAGTCCCCTTTGGCATTCTTTTTGACGTTGACGTCTGCGCCATCGATTTGGCGTCTTGCGCCCTCGCCTTTGTTTCCTCCTGATCCTCTCTGCCCTCCATCCTTCCTGCCGTCCGTTTTCCCATTTGACAGGCTCGCCGAGCTCCCCATACTCGCCCCACTCCTTTCGACTCGATTCTCCAGCGCGTCAAGCCGGTCGACATATCCGACGTTTACCCTCATCTCTGCCCGCATCAGTGCCTTCTCGTCGTTCGGATCTGGCACAAGTCTCGCGCCAGCCTTCGGGTTTGGGATGCATCGTTGGATTGTCTCGATTGCTAGTTCGCGGAGCACGGGCCATTCGTTCTTCGATATCACCTTACTGTGATATAAGTTGTTCCAGAACGACTTCCAGAACTTGGCAACATCCGGCCAGTTGCTCTTCATCAGACTGTAGTGCCGCTTGATCGCTGCGATCCCTTCGTCGAGTGGAATCGACTTGTCACTCTTCTCGTACACCGGGTGTTCGAGTACCCCGTTTCTGTAGCTAATTCTGTATGCATCTTGTCGTTTCAAGAACTCGTCTGTGAGGAAAGTGAGGGGGACGGGGTGCCTTCCTTCGGCGAAGGCTCCATTAACTTCCGTGGGATCGAACCAATCTCGTCGATTTCGTTGTCAACTTCTGTATATATGTCAATATTATTTTCGATTACTCGGTTAGCCGCGCGACGAGTAGTAGTGCGTCCAGTCATCTCGTCTGCCTTTGGCAGCTGCTGTTCGGTCTCCTCGGTCTCTTCCTTGATAGGTACGTAGATGTAGCCTTTCCACTTCGACTTTGGGATTGGCTCGCCGCTCGGTTTCTCTCCTCCGCCTCTTCTCCTTTGGGCACTTTGCCCGTCTCTTCCTGGCTTCCTTCGCTCGTCTTTTCGTTGTCGTTTTCATCAGCCATGATGTGATGCTTCTTCCGCTGTCCTCGCATCCCTGTGATGCTTCTCTCGCTCTCATCGCCCTTCGCTTCCTCGCTGCGCTCAACCATATCCTGCTTCGCGTGGCCATTTGTCGCTACTTGTGCTCTTCTTCTGTTCGAGCCGTCCATATTGTCCTCCTCCTTCTTCCGCCTTTTCCTCCTCCGGCTCTGGCGGTCTCAATCCTCCAGCAACTTGTCGATCGCGCGCGTCCGTTCGTTCGTCGACTTCGCGCTCCGCCTGCTTCTTCTTCTCCTTCGGTTTGTCCTTTCCTTTGGTCGTCTTTACGGCGATACCCATCTCGCCAAGTCCCAGGGGTCGTCCCTGCCACTTCCAAACTTGACAAACGTTGTTGTATCTGCGCTCGCGTAAGTCTCCAATCCATCTTTTCTTGATTCTCGGCGTTCCCAGTCCTTCGGTTGGACGCTCGCGCGCTCTTGGTAGCTCTCGGCCCATGCGATCGTTCCTCTGGCTCAGTCTCTCGGCCTCGTGCCGGTTTTCCATCGCGTTCGTCTATCCTTTCTCTGTCTGCCGGTTCTCGCTCCGGGTCTCATCGTGGCACTGTACTGCCTGCTCAAGTCTAGCAGCCCTGCCTCAGCTGCGCGCTCGCTGGCTCGTGCCAGTTTCGTGGTCTCAGTCTCTTCCTCCTCTCCTCCGATTCCCGTTCTTGGGATTTTCGGCTTTGAGGAGGGGTCTGCCTTCGGCTTTGGCACGACCTCGTGGACGCGACACGTCATCTCGATGTATACGTATCTTGGAACTACGCTCGATTGCGTACAACGATTGCCATTGTCGAGTCTGGTCCTCCCAGCTCGACTTACGCTCCGTGCGTGCTGGCTCACGTCGCCTCGCCGGTCCTCTCGGCTCGAGTTCTCCCGCTCTTGCTACACACTGTAGCCATCTAGTACCTTGCGGTACAGCTCGTTCTTTCCCTGGGCATGTCTCTCCTGCCCCTCCCGTCCTCCAGGCTTGCCATGGTAGTCGGCTATCTCTGGCCTCGGCGCCTGACTTGTCCGCGTTTCCTCCGTGGCGCTCTATACTGTCCAACCCGGTTCTGATCGCTCGATCGCTTGTCTTGGCTCTGCCGGCCTCCAGCCGACTGCCATCTGACCCTTCGCTTGCGCTCCGCCCTACTCGTCTCGCCGCGTTCAATCCATGAAATTGCACTTACCCGATGTGAGTTTGATCTTTCCTTTCTCGCCCTTGCCCTTCTTCTTCTTGTTCTTCTTCTCGCCCTTCCCTTTTTTCTTCCGCTTTTTTGCTTCTGTCGCAGACGATGATGATGACTCTGATGCGGACGAAGATTCGCTACCAGACGATTGTGATTCGTCCGATTCACTTCCGGACTCGCTGCTGTCCTCATCGCTTGTCGTCTCGTTCTCGCCGGTTTCGTCGACATCCATCTTCTCCATCTCCTTGCGTGCCTTGTCTGCCGCGGCTAATTCTATCTTCTTCGATGCTCTCGGCGAGCTCCTTATTCTTTTCGAGTCTTTTGAGGATCTCCTTCCTCTCCGCTGCCGCCTCGACCGCTTGCTGACGCGCTTTTTGCTGCTGTCAACCGCAAGCTCCAAGCTTGTCGTTGATCTTCCTGCTTTCCGTCGTGTCCTGGTTGATTGCAGCCTGGAGGCGTGCAATGCCGTCCTGGTACGTCTTTCGGATTTTTGCGGCATGCCTCTTCTTTGCTGCTTCCAGCGCAGCCTTGGATCTTTCTTTTCTCGACTCGCTGCTTCTTTTCGACGATTTCGACCTTGCACTCTTGCCCTTGGTCGTTTTTGATTTTTGACTTTTCACCATCTTTGACGTGCTTATTGTCTGCTTTTCTCGGCTGATTCAGGTTGTCTTCTGGTTGTTCTTTCGACGAATTTTCAGCCTTTTGGGGGCCACGCTACGCCCGTGCTGTCGGCAGCGGGCTTGCGTTGATGTTGGTTGGCGGAGCCTTTCGTTTGCGGCTCTTGCCACCTCCACCCGCACCTCCATTTTTCGATTTCATATTTCGTCGTTTGTCAATTAATTCTTTCCAATATATTCTCTATCTATACTGTTTTCCTTCTAAGTTCTATTCCTGGAGCTCCCATTCCTCGCTTGCTCTCGCAGCATGGCGAGACCTTCTGGTCTCCAACCACGATGGAAGTAGCGAGAGAATCCCCCCACTCAAAAAGCCGAATGGCACACTAATGCAAAGTAACGAGGAGAAAGCAGAGCTACTATGCAACGCATTCTTTCCACCTCCACCTGCACTCGCACTCCCCAGACCAAGGCCGGCACCTCAAACTGCACTTCCTCAGTGGACACCATACTTGATAAAGAGGGTGAGCAAGGCAGTTGGATGTCTCAAGCGCGACAAGGCACCAGGCCCGGATGGTATCCCAAATGCAGCAATTCAGGAAGCACTCCCAGCTATCAGTCCCATCCTCAAGAATGTATTCAATGCGGCCATTCGACTCTGGCACATTCCAAAGCAGTGGAAGGAATCAACTACAGTGGTCCTACGAAAGCCAGGGAAGCCAGCGTACAATATAGCCAAAGCGTACCAACTGATCGCGCTCCTCAACACCCTCGGAAAGCTTCTCTCGGCACTCATGGCGGAGGACCTCACCTATATGTCCGAGCACTATGCACTGCTCCCACACTCTCAGTTCGGTGGTCAACCAGGAAGGACAACAACGGACGCCCTTCACCCTCTCACAAGCACAATCAAGAAGGCATGGAGGGAGTCAAAGGTGGCCAGCGCACTGTTTCTCGACATCCAAGCAGCATTCCCCAATGTTGTCAAGCCAGTCCTCATGCAGAACATGAGAGCAAAAGGGATCCCAGAGGAGTATGTGCAGACTCTCGAGAACATGCTGACAGGCAGATCCACATGCCTCAAATTCGACGAGGTGCACTCCGCACCCCGCGCTATCACCAACGGGAACAGCCAAGGATGCCCACTCTCGATGATCCTCTACCTATTCTACATTGCCCCACTACTGGAGATCGCAAATGGCAAGGACCAGCTCACCCTTGGGTTTGTGGACGACTCTACCCTGATCGCCATTGGCCAGAACTTCCACGACATGCACCTCGGACTGAAGGACATGATGGAACGTGAAGGAGGCGTACTAGACTGGTCACGTTCGCACCACTCACCACTCAAGAACAACAAACTCGGGCTTGTCGACTTCACCATGTCATCCGAAAAGCGCAAAGGCTCACATCCCCTGGTCCTTGAGGCAAAGGACAGCAATGGCAGAACGTCAACAGTAACGATTCAACCCACCAACAGTTGCAAGTTACTTGGAGTGGTGATCGACCAGTCACTGCGGTGGAACAAGCACCAGGAGCTCATGCACACAAGGGCAGTAAAGTGGACCTCACTATTCTTGCGTATACACAGGGCATTCCATGGCCTCCCAATCCGCTCAGGCCGCCAACTCTTCAACTCCGTTGCCATTCCTCGCATCACATACGCCGCAGACATCTGGTACACCCCACTGTACACCAAGCCAGACTCTGCATGCCGGATGGGATCTGTAGCCATCACCAAGAAGCTGCAAGCCATCCAACGTAGAGCCGCCATCGGTATCACAGGCGCTATCCGCACAACAGCAGGAGATACCCTTGATGCGCACCTCAACATGCTACCAATCAAAGAAACTCTACGCCTCACATGCCAGAAGGCGGTGGCCCGGCTGGCAAGCCTGCCCGCTACCCATCCTCTCTCCAAATTTGTGAAACGAGCATCAAGAGGACTCCTCCAGAGGCACAACGCCCCCCTACATTGCATCTTCCACTCCATCGACTCCAAAGTAGATGACCTCGAAACCATCACCCCAGCATCACGCAACCCCAACGCCACTAACCCATTCACTATCTCAATAGAGGAGTCGAGGATGTTAGCGAAAGAGGTGGACAACAACAGCAACGGCAACAACGAGCAGGTAGTAGCTTATACAGATGGCTCAGGAATGGAAGGCATGATAGGAGCAGGTGCAGTACTCTACAGAGATGGAGTACGGATAAGGTCAGCAAGATTCCTGCTTGGAGAAGACACGGAGCACATGGTACACAAAGGAGAACTTGTTGGAATTGCACTCGGAGTCCAGCTAGCCAAGATGGAAAGGATCATCATACCACGTATCAAGATCAGCCTCGACAACCAGGCAGCAATACAAGGAATGGAGAACGTCAGTGCCAAAGCCGGCCAACACATCATCCACAAGATCCACAGAGCAATAGACGAACTGCGCAACAATCAAAAGCGTAGACAAGAACTTGTAGAGGCGAGCGATGATGAGACGAGGATCAATCGATCAACTCAGATCACTCTCACGTGGGTCCCAGGTCATGAAGGGATCGAGGGTAACGAAGCAGCAGACAAGGAGGCCAAGAAGGCCATCACAGATGGATCATCCACAGCAGCAACACTCCCACCATGGACAAAGGACACCCTCCCGCAGAATATCTCGGCACTCAGACAGGAACTCAAACTTGCAGCAAGGAAGTCAGCACACGACAAGTGGAAATCTTCAGCACAGTACGACAGGACCAGGCCCATCGACAAGACAATGCCATCCAACAAATATCTCCAAATCACAGACGAGCTAACAAGAGCAGAAGCAGCGGCACTTATTCAGCTACGTACAGGACATATCGGACTGAACAAGCATCTGAACCGCATCAACAGAGCGGATGCACCGTGGTGCCCACACTGTGGAGAGGGAAATGCAGAAAACATAACTCATCTCCTCCACATCTGCCCAGCGTACAATGCAGTGCGAGCCGAATGGGAAGGAGCATTGCATGAGAAGACGAGAGAACCAGCGGAGATACTAGGGACAAAGGAGGGAATCAAGGAGACGTTGAAGTTTATCAGGAGGACAGGGAGGTTGAAGATGGGACGGGAGGATACAAACGGAAGGGAAAGAGAGTAACCAACTCACCAGAGAGAAAACGCATATCGAAACCAAACCAACTTCACAGACAGTCAAGGCAATTGAAAGCAAGCAAAAGTAGTGTAGCAGAGCCACACCCAGAGGGAGATCTTGGCGAGGAGAGCGACAACTGCCTGCCTTCAAGGAGATGCATGTGCCAATGAAACCGAGGGTAACCCAGTAAGTGGGCTCCAGTTAGACAATGTGCTATATTGGCGGTGCCACTGTACAATAATACTTAACACAAAAAAAAAAAAAAAAAAAGAGCTCAAGAGGATAGCAAAGACAGAAGCGCGAGACAGATGGAGGGAATCCAGGAGATTCAAGAGAGCAGCCAAGATCGACGAGACCATGCCATCGGGAAAATACCTGGCACTCACGGACGAACTCACCAGGAGAGAAGCAGCGATGTTAACCCAGCTACGTACAGGTCACACATGTCTCAATGGTCATCTGAATCGCATCAACAGAGCAGACACGCCATGGTGCCCGCACTGTGGTGAGAGGAACTATGAAAACCTGACATATGTGCTCTACATATGCCCCAAGTACCGTGAAGCAAGAAGCGAATGGGAGAGAAATCTACGAGAGAGAACAGAAGACCTCTCAGAGGTCCTAGGGACCAGCGACGGGATCAAGCAAATGCTCAAATTCCTTAGGAGAACCGGGAGATGGTGAACAGGGGGGATGAAGGAGAAAGACAAAAGCAGTGGCAAACATCGATGAAACAATGCAACAAGCTATGATACCAACCGAAACTAATGGAGAACCATGCGAAAGGAAATGTAGCAATAGACATGGTCACGCCCAGAGGGGGAACCTAGAGAGGATGTGACTGACTACCTGCCTGCAAGGGGTCACCTCATCTTAGGACACTAGGGATAACCCAGTAAGCAGACTATTCGATAGAATGATGTGCTATATTGGCAACGCCACTGCACAATACTACCAAAAAAAAAAAAAAAAAAAAAAAAAAAAAAAAAAAAGATTACAAGGGAGGTACAAGTCTACTCTTCTGATCGGAGAACGGTCAAGTACTACGGGCTATATAGAGAACGTGGAAATGGATCGGAAGGAATGGAGGAATTTAAGATGTAAATCGGGACGAGTGGAAGGCATCTGACTCAGGTATAGGGGTAAAAGAGTGACAACGGTCAGAGGACTGTAAGGGAAAAAACGGGAACAATGTAGTGAATGGAGATGGTAACTAGGACAAGGACTAAAGCGATGAAGAATAATCCTTGATTCACATGAGGTAGAAGCGTCGTACAGAGCAGACGCGCGAGCCTACACCAACTGCCCTCATTATTTTGTTCATCGTGTTAAAGAAGATGTCAGAAAGGACTCTGTCTAGCGGTTGTCCAGAGATAAAATCCCAAGGTTGGTTGAACTCCTCTACGTGAAGTCTCTGAAGTGCATCAGGTATTTTTACCTCAAGGGTTTCCTGCCAAAGGTTTTCCCTTTGACTCTTGGTGCTCAGAAATAGACTTAGCCAATTAGATCGTTTCCCTTTGTAACTAAATGTATTTAGGGGCGCGTGACGCAATGGCTGGACCTTACTGGTCTTACCTCTCGCCTCACGCGTCCTAGTATCAACACATTCACTCTCACCAATGTCCTCCCGCCGATGTTGGTTGCCGCCATGGAAAGTCCAAGTCATCATAGTCCCTCTCCAATGTCTTCACGACCCATTTCTGTCGCCCGGCAGCCGCCGCCTAGTGTCCAGTCGTCCCCTAACGTCTTCTGCAACTCACCATCGTTGTCGGTTCATGGAACTCCTACGCCATCCATCATCCCCAGTATGCCAGATAGTCAAAGTGAGATTTCATCACAAGAGATATTTTCTGAGAGCTGCGCGATGTAGCAGACTCGTCCAGAGCTGGTGCGAGACTAGACCGGTCGACTCGCGAATTTCTGGACAGAAACTACTCAAAATTGCTCTAGTTTGTACAAAACTTTGGGCATATCGCCACGCGCAAGCTGGGAAATGACGTTGGATTCATTTGGGCTACCGTGTGTACACGCATTTTGACTGCAGTTAGGGTTATTCTAAAAAAAAAAATCGAGGGTTTCCCCCGTCAATTGACCAGATTTCAAATGTGTACTTTTTCTCCCAGAGGCTCGCGGAGAGCTTAGAAAGGCTTCCATGGCGTCGCTATCGGCTGTAGTCGTGGTCGCAAATTGGGGCATGTCGAGCAAACAGCCGCGGACAGCCACGTAGCTGTTCGTATGCCCACTTAGTTGGTCCGTGTTGATCCTGGCGCTGCGGGAGCCGTGGGTAGTCGAGGGAAGTTGAGATCGGTCGTAGAGCGCAGACGACCGCTCGTCCTGCGTCGCCATCGTACGTATGAGCAATTAGGGGGTACAAGCATCGTCTACAGGTCGAACCAACAACGCCGACCGTCGAAAAAGGGGTGGTTACGGTTTCGACGGTCCGAGAGCGTGTTGGGTCGGCCAGTGTGTGCTACCTCCCAGAAACAATCGAGAAGGATCGTTCGAGGTTGCTTTGACGCAGCTGCGGGGCCTAAATAAGCGTCTGTTGGACGTCACCACTGTACGCTATAGAGACGGTCAGTGGCGCGTCTGAAATCAATAATGAGACGTACTCTTCATTGTATGTGATCATCAATGCGCTCTTAGTCCTAGCAGCTCTCGCGTCGTCCGTCCAAAACGACGACGTTCGGTAGGGATGTATAGATGCGGCGGGTGCGGTCGTGCGTGGTTGAATTGAGTAACGAAGGTCAGTGTCTGTGAATTCGCGGCGCCGGAAAGGCGTGGCTTGGTGAGCACCTTGACGATCCTATCAAGGCCGGCGGGTGAGGGCGCAGTCAACCACAACGACACTGGATCTGATTCCTAACAGACTAGTTAGTACGATGAAACATCTGTGTGGTCTTTTGGCATACCTTGTTGCGCTAAACGCGTTGGCGCTGGGTAACGGGACATGGGATGAACGAAGGTGATGACAGAGCTGGGAGAAATCGACAAGACGGCCGTTGTTGATAAGAGACTGGCGTCCCGTGAGCGTGACCTTGCGTGATGGCGTCGTACTCCTCGCGTCAGGCGGGGACTAGACCAGCAAGGAAAACGTCTCTCGCTTTTGCTCAAAGATCTGTGCTGGTTTTGTATCGTCGTCGTTTTTGCCACTAGATGAGTTAAAAAAAACCCGCCGTATTAGCTCTATTTATCCGCATGAATGATTTCCAAAGTACGTACCTCGCTGCGGCTTCCTCGTGCGCTCGTGGATGACTTTGGATCGACGGCTGGACAGGCCAGAATTTGAACACTATCCGACTTCTGGTTGATCCCTCGGCTCTCGAGGCTGCAGGCTGCCATCGATGGTTCATATCACACCAAAGGCGCCTATCCGCAGCCCCTCCTTCCGTGGGGGGCCCCCAGGGTTAGTCGGAAAATAGTTGAGTGTCGTTGCTGTTCCATTGGCTTGCGCGTGTGCTCGCGCCTTATACGTTAGGCGTCGATAATTGCGTCAATGCGTGCAATCTACCGCGATTTGAGTGAGTCTGGATTAAGAAGAAAAAGAATTATCAGCGAGCTGAAGCCGTCCAAACGCTCGCAACACGCACTCAACTTGTGCGCCCTGTCCTCAAAACCAAAGGCTGTGCGTCACGTCAAAGAAGGGTGGCCGAAGCGCATCTGGGATGCATTTTTTGCGGTTGTGGTGATGCTCGGCTGTGGCAAAGATGCAGCGCGGTCGTGGGCGGGACCAAGTATTGGCGCAGCTGCTGCCGCCGCCATGATTTCATTTCGAATTCGCAACGTCTGAGAGCGGTAACAATACACTTGACAATCGCATCGGACTCGTCCTCATTGGATCTGCGCTTCCAGATTGGGAAATCCAGTCGGCGTTTGTGCATCAACTTGTATTCATTCGATCCAGTTTAGACGTCTGTTCACAGGTCTTGCGTGAGCGTGTCTTTAGACTTGAATACCGCGCATTTACTCGCCGCTATGTCGCACTCCAAACGGCATGGATCAGGCCAGGCGGCTCTTGTTAAAAGACGACGACCCATCCTGCCGTCAACTTTGAAGAGGTACTCTTTCTAATTTCACTGCATCATGTACAGTTCTCAACGTTCCTCTCAACACGTGACACAGGTTCACAAGGTCCATTTCGACCGTTAGATGCCATGGTGGAAGCCTCAATGCACGAGTTGGACGTGGAGAGCGAAGAATAAGATCCAGAGCATCTGTATATCCACAATTCTCTAGGAAACAACGTTGGATGTCGAAGATTTTCCCTTTGACTCTTGGCGCTCACAAATAGACTTAGCCAATGATATCGTTTTCCTTTGTAACTAAATGTATCTAAGGACACGTGACGCAATGGCTGGACCTTACTGGTCTTACCTCTCGCCTCACGCGTCCTATTATCGACATGGAACGCTTCCAGACTGATGGGGAGTGGCTCAGTCGCAGGCTTGCGTTAATGATGTTGGTGACTATTGGGACAAGTTGCTGGCTGAGCGCTTTGATGGTGGCATTGATAGCCCCCGACGGGGCTGGGGTCTTGTAGGTAGGGTGTCGGAGGATGGTGTTGCGCACTTCTTTCTCCGAGGTGACAAAGTCTTCGAATGGTTTGTCGTAAGTAGCGTTGCTGATGTCATGAGGAGGGCGGTTGGGCGAGGTGGGAAGAGTACTTGCTGGAATAGACGTGACTTCTGAGAGTTTGTCGATGCGCTTGTCGATCAGAGAGCATTCTCTTATTGCCAGTCTCAGTCATCTGTAGGAATCGCGTGGTGGTTTGTCTGACAAGCGCGAGCGGGAGTACAAAGTCCACATAGTTGATATATCACTAACCGAAAGTGTGGGTGCAATCGAGTCACAAACCACGACCCAGGCAAATATACGCACGCTCAGACAATGCAGCAAGCAACCGGTACCAGACTTTGACCAACTCTTCTGTATCCATGAGCACGTGGATCGCATCTCCGTATAGGGTGGACTGCGCCGTCGGTTGGCGGGATCCCGCTGATGATTGTGGTGAGGACCAAGTTACATTGGCCCTTGATCCAGTTGCTACACTGACCTCCTCGGTGTTGAAGCGAATGTGTATTCTGTCCACAGCGAAATGGCGTAATGATAGGCGACTTGATGTAGACGATATTTGTTGGACGCTCTACTTGTCTGAATCTTCTGACCTTTGGTACGGCGTACGGCACACCCGCATTGCTGGATTTATATTTCCCTTCATGGCCTCTATCGGCTATGCAAGGTGGACGTCTGATGGCCGGTTAAGATCGATGGGCGCCAATTCCAGTTGGACCCCATCTCCTCCCCATGTCGCTGAGAACATTTGCCACGCTCAAGAAGAAGGGAAAATCTAAAAAGACACTCCCATACGCTCGTGATCCAGATCTCGCGTATGATCGCACACGCAACAACCTTCTCGAAGGCCTCAAGGTTGCAAAGGCGGTGACCGAGGCGACCTCCTTCCTTGGACCTATGAAGGCAGTTTGCGAGCTCGGTATTCTCTTCCTGGAAACGACAAAGGTGAGATCTGATTTCGCGCTCAAAGCTCCTCCGTTGGCGCGTGCTGATTGCTCGATGCCAAAGGCCGTTGATGAAAACACGTCGAGCCTCAAAGAAATTCACCAGAGGCTCTCTACCCATATTGGAATCTTGGATGAAAGCATTGGGACGTTGCCTTCCGAGACACGTGGGCCAGCGGCGATTGCCGAATTCCAACACGCGCAACAGCAATACGTAGCGTGAGTTTCAAACTTATTCATCGTGCCCTCTGATGTGCCTTCTGACACCGAGTCCCACTTCACAGTGGCCTGAAAGTCATTCGGGACAGGCTCAAAGACATGCTCGCCCAACGAGGCAGCGTCACCTTGCGTAGCATCCTCGGAAAGATTGCAGACGCACGCATTGATCCAGAGATCATTGCATCGATCAAGGAAGAGATTGCCCAGCTCTCGAAAATCTTTTCTGTAGGCAATTCGCAAACTGCGGTACCGACTGACTCGACGTTTTCTCAGGAAGCGACATCAAGATCCATGATTGTCCTTCAAGAGGAAGGTATGCATGTCTTTCTTCCACCTGGGCCGTAACTTAGCGTCGTAAAGCATGGAAGATGGCCAGCCTTGGGCCTGAGCAGGCCCGACCCATGGGTACTCAACACCAGCTCTGCTTGCCTGGGACGCGGACTTCAGTTCTCCAAGAGATCCGCAACTGGGCTACTGGCGAAGATTCCGAAAAGCCTATCTTTTGGCTTTGCGACATCGGTGGGACGGGTAAATCTACTGTTGTGTATACGCTCTGTCACGAGTGGGATACCAAGGATCAGTTTATCCAGTTTATTTTTGCCCGTTTCTTCTTCTCGAAGAACGCTCGTTCGACATCAGAGACGGACATTGTCTGTACAAAACTTGCTAAAGACCTCGGCTCAAAGGACGACACCATCCGGGCTTATGTCAAAGACGCATTCAAGAAGGACGAGGAGCTCGGCACGAGACCATTATCTTACCAATTCTTGAAGCTCGTCGAAGCTTCCATACGGTTAGCCTCCAGGCGCGTCGTCTTGGTGATTGATGCGGTCGATGAGTGTAAACAAAATATGAGACGTGATCTACTCAGCCTCATCGTTGAACGACTTCCGACTCTCCCAAACCTTCGAATCCTTCTCACAAGTCGTCCAGAGCCAGATATAATGGCATTACTTCGGGGAAAGGCTATTGTCCGAAGCATGCACTATGAGCTTCAGGGAAGCGAAAATCCGTCAAACGTTAGCGACATCACAGTTTACGTCAACACATATCTTACGGGGCTTCTCTCGGAGTCGGAGCGTAACAAGCTCATCGCCAAAGCTAACGGGCTTTTTATATGGGTTGCTACAGCCCGTAGAGAGCTTGAAGACGCAGATGGTCCTGACGCTCGTGCTCGTACACTTGCCAGCCTCATCACACGAGGAAAAGGAGGCGACATAAACCACCTTTATACCGGGATTCTTCGTCGCCTCTCTAAGGAGGCCTCTCTAGAAGCGGTGAAAAAGATCATTGGAACTATCTCTATTCTTTTCGAGCCAGTTTCTATACCAGCACTCTCCAAGCTCGCCGGTATGAACCTGGACGATTTGGAGCCTATGATCATGTCCATGCGTAGCGTACTTCGCACTGACCATGTTGTCGAGTTCCTGCATCCGACGTTTCAAGAATACCTTCTCAGTCCATACAACGTGGATATACCATTCGAATCGACAGCAATGCAATCAGATTTGGCTACATCTGTCCTCAAAGTGCTTCAAGAGGATCTAAAAGAAGATATTTGCAGCATTTCCCTGCCAAACGAACCTTATCCAAAGAATGCAGACGTCATGGATCTGGATAAACGTCTGGAACGATTATGGACAAGTTGTCCGGCGCTACCTTATGGAGCAAAGTACTGGGGCTATCATGTGTCTACTGTCGTAACAGAGAAACAGGTGGCCCAGATGCTGCGGATGTTTTTAGAAAGTGGAATTCTCTACCTTGTAGAGCTGTTAAGCTTGATGGGTCGCTTGCATCTTATTCGAAATTTCGAAGAAGTTCGGCAAAGTTGTGAATACCAAGGGTTGGTTGATGATGTCGAGGTGAGCTGGTGCTACATATGGTATGTGTGTTGACCATGGTGACAATAGGTATGCCATGATACAGTTAGACTTGTCCAGAGGCATCAAGAAACACTAGAGAAGAGTGCACTGGATATCTACTCATCAGGGCTACTATTCCTCCCTCGAAAGTCACAACTGTGGACGATATACAAGAGCAAGTTTTCAGATCGGCTACCAAGAATCATTGGAGGACCATCAGTGCATTGGCCCTCACACCAGACTTTGACTGGACATACCAGTTCGGTCTCATGTCTGGCCTTCTCGCCAGATGGGCGCCATCTTGCGTCTGGCTCTAACGATGGCACTGTACGCCTGTGGGATGGGACCACCGGTGCAAGCCTTGGGACGCTTGAGGGACATACCAATCAGGTCTGGTGTCTGGCCTTCTCGCCAGATGGGCGCCGTCTTGCATCTGGCTCTGGGGATCGCACTGTACGCCTGTGGGATGGGACCACCGGTGCAAGCCTTGGGACGCTTGAGGGACATACCATCAGGTCTGTGTCTGGCCTTCTCGCCAGATGGGCGCCGTCTTGCGTCTGGCTCTGGGATCGCACTGTACGCCTGTGGGATGGGACCACCGGTGCAAGCCTTGGGACGCTTGAGGGACATACCGATCAGGTCTGGTGTCTGGCCTTCTCGCCAGATGGGCGCCGTCTTGCATCTGGCTCTTGGGATCGCACTGTACGCCTGTGGGATGGGACCACCGGTGCAAGCCTTGGGACGCTTGAGGGACATACCAGAGGTCCGGTGTCTGGCCTTCTCGCCAGATGGGCGCCGTCTTGCATCTGGCTCTTGGGATTGCACTGTATGCCTGTGGGATGGGACCACCGGTGCAAGCCTTGGGACGCTTGAGGGACATACCAGGGAGGTCCGGTGTCTGGCCTTCTCGCCAGATGGGCGCCGTCTTGCGTCTGGCTCTGGGGATCGCACTGTACGCCTGTGGGATGGGACCACCGGTGCAAGCCTTGGGACGCTTGAGGGACATACCGGTCCTGTCCAATGTCTGGCCTTCTCGCCAGATGGGCACCGTCTTGCGTCTGGCTCTGGGGATTGCACTGTACGCCTGTGGGATGGGACCACTGGTGCAAGCCTTGGGACGCTTGAGGGACATACCAATCAGGTCCAATGTCTGGCCTTTTCGCCAGATGGGCGCCGTCTTGCGTCTGGCTCTGGGGATGGCACTGTACGCCTGTGGGATGGGACCACCGGTGCAAGCCTTGGGACGCTTGAGGGACATACCGATCAGGTCCAATGTCTGGCCTTCTCGCCAGATGGGCGCCGTCTTGCGTCTGGCTCTTGGGATCGCACTGTACGCCTGTGGGATGGGACCACCGGTGCAAGCCTTGGGACGCTTGAGGGACATACCGGTCCTGTCCAATGTCTGGCCTTCTCGCCAGATGGGCGCCGTCTTGCGTCTGGCTCTGGGGATGGCACTGTACGCCTGTGGGATGGGACCACCGGTGCAAGCCTTGGGACGCTTGAGGGACATACCGATCAGGTCTGGTGTCTGGCCTTCTCGCCAGATGGGCGCCGTCTTGCATCTGGCTCTTATGATCGCACTGTACGCCTGTGGGATGGGACCACCGGTGCAAGCCTTGGGACGCTTGAGGGACATACCGATCAGGTCCAATGTCTGGCCTTCTCGCCAGATGGGCGCCGTCTTGCGTCTGGCTCTTGGGATCGCACTGTACGCCTGTGGGATGGGACCACTGGTGCAAGCCTTGGGACGCTTGAGGGACATACCAATTGGGTCCGGTGTCTGGCCTTCTCGCCAGATGGGCACCATCTTGCATCTGGATCTGGGGATCGCACTGTACGCCTGTGGGATATCACCACCCCACCCAGTTTGGAACCTCCTTATGCGCTCAATCATGTTCCCAGGCATTTATATTTCTTCCAAGGTGGACATTTCTTACATGTGGACAATGGACCAGTACTCAATGTCTCCCACAATCGCCTTCAGTCACTCTCATCTCCATGTCCGAGTGTCACGCCCAGCCATGAGCATTCCACAGTAGCTGTTGACTACATCAGTCAGGAGCTGTGGTCTGTTTGTTGTCCATACCATAGATATCGGATCCCTAATGAGTTTCGGCTGGCTTGCTCCACCAATTCCCGAGATAAAATCGCCCTAGGTCTGGAGAATGGACAGGTCATGGTCATTGATTTTGCAAAATTTTCTGACCCACATACCCAATTGTAACCAATTCACAATGTGTTCCAAATCACAAACCTTGAATGCAAATCCATCGAAACTCCAGATGATAACTAAATGTTATCCAATTTTTAGACTGTCTATGTGGTAGTGGTCAGGGTACAAATTGCAGCAGTCTGCCTCAGCATGATAGTCCTGGTTCAACCAGCCAAATAATCCACACTGTACCAACCCGGCCCCCCTATTTCCCCCCAAGAGAGAACAGAGGCCTTATATACCAGTTGATTATTAATCTTGGAATGTTCTAGAATATTCTCAAGAATACTAGTTAGAAAGGCATGACTAATCTCTGCGGCTCTGCTTACAAATGGCAGCTGCATGTGATTACAACAATTACTCATCTGTGCATCATTTGGCTAGACATATTACTACCAAAGCCACAATTGTGCTTGCATTGTGATCTAATGTATAGCAAGGATTTGTTGATACTAGGACGTGTGACTGTTGAGGTAGAACCAGTAAGGTTCCAGCCACAATGGCACATATCCTCAAATAGACTAGATACAAAGGGAACTATTGTAATTGACTGAGTCTAATTCATGAGCACTAAGAGTCAAAAGGGTACGACCCCTGACTGTATGACTTTAGCATGTGAACAATG